TCGGTAGAGAGAAAGGGCGGTCTTACGCCCCACCATTTGGGCATCTCTTCAGTCTCGTGTTGTTTTGCCTGTATTGGGGGAGGGGGGCATGTCGCGTTGCGCATAATGGAGTCGTCGAAGTAGCGGCAGATGTCAACAAACTGGTGAAAAAAATTCCAACAAACCTGCGCATAGTCAGCACTAGGCAATTCAAAGTAGGAGAAGTTGGCGACGCGCGAATTACGCCATCAGGCAAGCAAACGACTTCTAAGACAAGTCTCCGTTGGATCTTTTCTGTTCACATCAGTTACGCGGGCCAGCCCGCCTGTGTATCACCTTCTGGATTGGCATTGTACTACGATTTTAGGCCAGAGGAGGGCTTCATACGGATTGCAGAAGAAGTCAAATTGAAAGTACAAACCAGCACAGCTATCGCCGATATACTCGTTCGAAGTAAAATACACACTGCTCGGGAAGACATAAATAGTTCACTAACACATCAGCGATATTGCGTGTTCCATGATTCTATAACACCAAGGACCTTCTGGGTGGAGTGGTTAATCAATACTCATTACTGAATAGTTCCAATGCTCGATGACTGCTTCCATAGTAGTCTCAATAATAAGAAGGTCTGGAGATTGATTGTTGATGCTAGACCTGGCCCAAGCGCCCACTGCCCCTGCGTTCCATGGATCGATCCCGCCCGGAGCACGGAGATGCCTCCCAATCCAAAGCACCCGCCGCAGATCGCACTTTTACTGGAGCGCAGACGAGGAGGGGGGGAAGGGGGCTAAATGGGGGCAAACGGCAAGCCAGATACTCGGCCTCCCGCTACCCCTCCAACAAGTGCGCCCGACACTGTGATAATGTGGAGGGGGCTTGCATTACCCTGAGGCTTCGCACGCTTATTGGGCCACCCCCCTGGCGACGTGTCGGAGTATTTTCTCTCTTCACACGAACAGACACTGTTCGAGAGCCCTCTTCACGAAAGCATGTGACATGTGACTGGCGCAAAATGTGTCGGTCCATGGAGTAAATTGCGTCCTAAAATTGGCAAATGGACCGGCAACTGCAGAATCACCGTCCATGCCTGCATAGATTGAGCGGCGAGAGACACGGGCCATGAGGAGGGGATTGCCAATGGACTGATTCATTGTGCATCTCATGTTCAGGGATTGTAGCTACCATGACTAGCTACAATTTATTGCTTGTGGATTATCCAGCTAGCTAGTGTATTGTGAGTTGCCTGTATAAATCATCATGGATGTCATTGTGTATCGGATGCCTTGTACCATTGTACTCTATGTATCATGCTCTGTACAGTATTACACCATCCTTTTTGGGGATGGTTCTGGGTGCTTTTGGTGCCGATTCTTCCCTGTCTCTTCCAAGTCTAGACCGTTTGACAGGACAAAAGCTCGGTGGTTCCGAGTCATGTATTTTTTGTTACAGCATCGCTTCCACAAATTTCAGGAACTGGGATCAACAGAATCAGGAGATGGACTGGAGAACCAGCTTCCCCATCTGTTCGCAATCTGGGCCCAAACTCTGCGATGGAGCATCGATCTCGTGTGTCCACCGGCCCCAAAACTGTCGCGCTCCGGTCAATTCACGATCCAAGATTCGGTCCGGTCTTCATGAGTGTTAGGAACTATGTATTGTGAATCGGTAAATGATGCTGACTCAATTTCTGTGCTACTTTCTCCCCCGTCACGTCGAACAAAAGTACTTTCATCAATACAGCGAACAGAGTGCTACATACGACCTTGCCTTCCACCCCCCCCCCACAGATTCCACCATTTTTTGCACCATTTTCCTGGCCCCCAGAGCCAAGATTAAGACCATTACCAACATACCCAGCAATCGACCATTGAGACAATCAGGCTCTGATCGTCCCGAGGGTCAAGGTCTTACATGGACAGACCCTAAGATCGTAACAGTAAGCGTGGGTCCCACGTCAAAAGATTTTCCGTCGCTCCAAGCCCAGCAGCTGCACCGGGTACATAAACTATAGCCTTACTATGGATGCACGCCGCGGGTGGTACTGCAATGGGCCGTGACGTTGCCTGGCCGTTTCGATGCCTCGCGATAGCTCGATTTCGGTCGCGTTTGTGGGTCCCCCGGAGGCGTCTGCCCGAACCTGCGCTCTATCCATCGGTTCCTATCGCAATGGGATCAATTTGCTGGAACCCACTAATCCGCCCAATCCGCCCCACGCGGGATGAAGGGCGAGGAAGGAGAGGAAAACAAAGAAAGAGAGAGAGAGGGGCCAGGCTAACTCGCATTTCTACCTCAGGCTAGTTTAGCTCCCCTTTTCTGGACGGCTGGTGTACACGATCGGGTTTGTGGCGATTTACAGAGGGCCAACGGGGTTAAGTGACTTTGTACTTTGTCCAGAGTGCGGATACTTCAGCCAGTATTATTATTACTTGTCCCCTTTTGGACCACGAGACCACGGGGATTAGATTCTGTTTGTAGTAGAAGAGGCCGAGCAAGTCAACATAATTAGAGAACCATAGTACTTTTCTTGTTCTATTGAGGCTGGTCGCAGTTTGTATTTCGCCTCCCTGCCCTCGTGGTATGCAGCCTGTATATATGTGTTTGTATATGTCGCCTCTTGGAGCCGAGGTGCATACAACATCGAAAACATCGATTTTTGGCCTACTTGCGCACCGTCTCTTCTATTTGACACTGGTCTAATTCCCCCACTAAATAGACGACGCGAGAGGGACAAAGCGGAGGTAGAAAAGGTGGAGGAAGTCAGAAAAAGAGACTTTTATGGCTGCTGTCACTTTGGGGGCCCGGTCGCTGCGCGGTCGATCCCCGGAGGATAGTTGACAGGCAACGTGAGCGAGGGGCGAAACGGGAGGATCGAGAGCGCGAGACTTGCCACGGGAATAATATTTTACTATATTTTACTATAAAATCGACCGTAGTAATTCAATACGGGGCAGCCTGTCGCAACCCAGCGTCCTCTCCCCCAAGGTGATTGATCGAGTCCGTGTTTGGCCTGCTGCAGGCTCCAGCACACGGTCAGTGCATTCAAGACATGGGCCGGATTAACCCCACAGAATTTCTCTGGAGGCAGCGTTCTGATTCGCGCGGTTGCGCGGGAGGCTGGGTGTTTTTGTTTTTGGGCAAATGAAAACCCGGAACACCCAATGAGCGTGGGAGCAGTGGATGAGGCTTGGAACGGGAAGCGTTCGGCAGATGCAAGGTGGGCTTGTGTTGGATTTTGGTGGAGGAGAAGAAGAAGGGGGTAGAGAGAAGAGTTGATTCGGATCTAGACGTAAACCAATCATGGGGAGTCGGAAGTAGAAAAGTGGCCAGTAGGGAGGAGGGAGCAGCAAGCAGCAAGCAAGAAGCACGGGAGGAGGAAGCGAGGTGAAGTATCTGAGAATGAAGTATACGACATTCGAGTCCTCCGTGTCACAGTTGGTCTTGTATAGATAAATTGTAGGGTGGGGAGGTCCATCGCCTCCCAAACTACGGAAAGAGTACAGAGTCCAGTGGCCGGTTTTTTTTTACCCTTCCCGCAGCTTTATTTTATTTTTTATTTTTTATTTTACGTTGCCTAGGACCGGATTGCAACCTGATGATTCCCTAGCCACATCGAGGTAAAGAAAAAGAAAGCTCATACCGTCGTTGGCACGGAAAGGAGAGACGAGACAGCGACCGTGGACCGAAGCGTACGGAGGACGGAATCCACGCTTTCAATACGGGAAAGGTTATGTATACCTGTACAGCGTCTGTGTATGCGGTGTATATGGTATAGTAAACCATACGACTCGTTACTTGCACTAGGGGCCTTTTGGGGCTAGTCAGGCAAAAGTCAGGAAATCCATTTAAATCCAGGCCCCGAAACTGTCAAAAATACAGAGAAAATAAGGAATAGGGAAAAAATTAGGAAAATCGGAGCATCTGCCCCCCCTCCCCCCAAAAAAAGAATTAAATAAAACCAGGTCAAAAGTGGAGTCCACATGGATCGTCCCGATCGAGTCCCAGAAGAAGCAGAATCCACTGTCGGGGAGAGCTCTTATTCCCTTGAAGCCCGCCCTCCTTTTCTCTTCCCCAGTCCTTCCTTTTGGATCTCCTCTCGATACCCTTTTTTTTTTCTCTACATCTATATACCCGTGGGACTTGGACCGGATTGGGGAGTTTAGGGCTTCTGGTTTGGTTCAATACGTTCTATACGCCCATTGCCGCCGGTGGCAATATAACATTCATTCGCGTTCACCCCTTCCGTGCTCTCCCCGCCCTTGCGTGTTGAGACCCCCCCCTCCAAAAAGAAGGGATTCCAGTGTCGTCATCCGCTGCTGCAAGTCAGTTTTCGCGGCTTCTCATCGTCCTTGCTGCGATCTTCGTCTGGTACAGGGCTAGGCCAAGGTCTCCTGGCTCCGTTCAGAGTGGCATTGTACCCTCCGCTTTGACTTAAGTGGGATCTTGCATAGATCCAGTGAGACTGGTCAATCGCTTTGGACGCTCAATCATTTCGCTCTCCGGAGAGACGTTTAATTACTGTTTATAGTTTGATTGCATTGTTATTGTTGTGGTGCGTAGGTTGCTATCCTTTCGAGTTCTCTCCGTGCAGCGCCTCTGACGGCCTTCAACTTGCACCCTTCCCCCAGCATTCCGTGCCCTACTTTCTTCCCCTCGACTCCCTCGACTCCCTTGGAATCGTACATTCCACTGGGGAGAACAAACACTCTCCATTACTCTGTGCTCTGCGATTGAATCACTCGCCCTTTGTCCTGCGCCCCTCCAATTAACCTTGATGCGTAGGATCATCATCCCCAGCCCTCTGGCGATCCGACTATTCACCAACCCTAGGTCACGACTCGCCGCCGTCTCCTAAGGCTTCCTTGTCCTCTATCTTTTGTCGATTAGCACCTGGAGCCCTCAAAGGATGTCAATTGCGTTGATTCTCGTCTAAACGCCCACCCCGCCTCCGGTCAGTGACCACCACGGCATTTATCGGCAACCGAAATCAATCTATAGCGAATGGACGAGAGATGGAATCAATGAAGCCAAATATCCCACCATTAAAGATCGCCAAGTCGAATCCGAACATTACTGTGTCGACCACATCACCCTCGGACCCTGACGCCAAATTCATCCCGTCTCGATTCTATTCGCATAGCGGCCATTCGGAGATGACGCCGCCGGTAACGCCGCAAACCCAGCAACCGGAAGCCAGCATGGAGCAATCAGAACCCCCCGAGAGCGGTTTTTCACAACTACCTGCGCGCTTTCTATCCTTTTCACCCGGCCGGCGATGTCTCGCCATCGACGGTCACGCTGCCCCTCGACCAGGGCGATATCATTCTGGTCCACTCCGTTCATACCAATGGCTGGGCTGACGGTACCTTGTTGGATTCGGGAAATCGAGGCTGGCTCCCGACCAACTACTGCGAAGCATACGACCAATTGCCTATGCGTCCATTATTAAAAGCGCTGACTGATTTCTGGGATATCATCCGTGGCGGATGTGGATCATCTTTGAAGGATTTCGGAAATCAGGATTTGATGCGTGGCCCCATTGCTGGTGTTCGCTTTCTTCTGGTAGGTCACTTTTTTTTGATATTTTGTTATATTGCAAGGACTATCCAGCCAGATTGGATCCACTGACTTCTTGAATAGGAGAAGTCTGAGTGTCTGACTCGGGAATCCCCCTAGTCAAGAAGTATGATGGATTGCGAAGGATTCGCAAAGCCTTACTGTCGGATCTGTCGTCGCTTGTCAAAACCGCGAAAAGGTTTCAAGAAGTTGCCAACGGAACGCCAGCGGAAGATGAGGTCGAGGCCATCCTGGATGAGATGTTGCTCAAAGCCTTCAAGATTGTCACTCGGGGCGTCCGATTTCTCGACGTCTGGAATGAGGAAGTTGGTCTGAGTCGGACGATTGCCGAGCTGGAGACAGCCAGCGATGGCCGGAGTCTGCATGACATGCCTCCAACGCCTGCTTCAGAAACATTCACTCTCGCCGACACGACATGCGACGGCATCGACTGCACTGAATCCCGACAGATGAACCACAGCCGTATGGATGCAAGCCGAGCATCGATGCGAACCGAGATGATGGACCCCCCTCATCGACCTGTCTCGGTTTCAACCAAGCGTATCTCGGTGTCACACCGGATTTCATACTCGGCCCCGTCAGGCGCGATCCGGTCGCAAAACCTGGCCTCCGAGCGTCTCGGCACGACCTATGATGCTTTTCTGGGCGTTCTGGGCTCCTTCATCGGCCTTCACATGCAGTCGCGCTCCTCAACCGAGCTGGTTCTCACCACTCAGCAGGCCGTTCAGTCCTGCCGTGGTCTTCTGAACGTCGTCGAAGCGGTCTCTGAGCATGATACCCAAGGAGGCGCCTTGTTGGAGGAGGCACGCGAGTCGATGTGTGAGAAGCTGGCAGAGCTCGTCCATGCTGCCCGCGACGTGTTTCGGCCGGCCAACTTGCACGACGACGACCTAGTGTTCATGCCGGACGAAGGCAAGCGTCTGGTCGACGCTGCAACGGACTGTGTCCGCGCTGCTGGCAATTGTCTGGCCAAAGCTCGCCTGGTGCTGGAGCAAATCGGAGATATCGAGCTCGATTCGTTGGACGAGGAAGTGGCCGCTCCTCCCACGTCGACTGCCGACACTCAAGATGTGCCGGGCATCGTCACCTCGCTAACTTCGCCCAACACACCCGCCGAGCAGGACAAACCGCAGGAACGGTCTCTTCGTCTTCCCCCGCCGCTCACGATTCCAAACTCAACCTACTCGCCCTCCACCCCTGGCCTCACCGATGCGGCCACACCCTCTTCTTTCCAATCGCACCTCACGTCCAGCAGTCACCCCTCGACGCTGTCTTCTTTCCCCAACTCTGCCATCTCCTCTCTCCCCAACTCTGCCATCCTCCCCACCCATCTTGAGAAACTGTCTTTCTCTTCATACGACAGCACCTACCGTGAAAGTCATCCGAAGTCGGACATGAGCGAGTCCTTCGGTCGAGGTGTCACGAGCACGGGTAGCAGCTTCACTTACAACAGCCACGCCCGCGACTCCGAAATGAGCGGTCTCTCGCAGACTTCGACCCGGGCGACCTCGCCGGACATTGGTGGAAGCTTCCACGGAAGTTTCCAGGTGCCTTCGCTGAAGGAAAGTGTGAGCCACTCGACTTTGGCGGAGGAGAACGAGGAGACCGAGGCCCACCTTCTCGAGAAGACCTACGCCCACGAATTGGTCTACAAGGAGGGCCAAGTCATGGGCGGCAGCCTGCGCGCGTTGATCGAGAAGCTCACCGCCCATCAGTCCACGCCTGATGCCATGTTCGTCTCGACCTTCTATCTGACCTTTCGCCTCTTCGCCACGCCCTTAGAGTTTGCCGAGGCTCTCACTGAGCGGTTTGAGTACATCGGCGACACCCCCCACGCTGCCGGGCCAGTCCGGTTGCGTGTTTACAATGTGTTCAAGGGGTGGCTCGAGTCTCACTGGCGCCACGACCGGGACAACACTGCGCTCGAGTACATCATCAACTTTGCGAAGACGCGTCTGACGGCGGATCTACCCACAGCGGGCAAGCGTCTTTTGGATCTGGCAGACAAGGTATCTGCTGTCCACGGCCCTGTTGTTCCTCGTCTGGTGTCTTCCATGGGCAAGACAAACACTGCCATTGCCCAATACGTGCACCCTGACACTCCCCTGCCTCCCCCCACCCTCGGAAAGAAGGAGCTCAATCTGCTCAAACAGTGGAAGACCGGGGATGCCTCCATCACCATTCTCGACTTTGATCCCCTCGAGCTGGCTCGCCAACTCACCATCAAAGAGTCGCGTATCTTTTGCTCCATTCTACCCGAGGAGCTTCTCGACACTGAGTGGACTCGGAAATCAGGCTCGCTCGCGGTCAACGTCCGTGCCATGTCGACCTTGTCGACTGATCTGGCTCATTTGGTCGCCGACTCTATCCTCTACCTGGAGGAGCCCAAGAAGCGCGCCGCTACCATCAAGCACTGGGTTAAGATTGCCAACAAGTGCCTGGAACTGAACAATTATGATTCTCTCATGGCTATTATCTGTTCCCTCAACTTGTCCATGATCTCTCGGCTGAAGCGCACCTGGGATATCGTGTCTCAGAAGACCAAGGCCACCCTGGAACACCTTCGCAGCATCGTCGACGTATCCCGGAATTATGCTGTACTGCGTCAGCGCCTTCAGAACCATGTGCCTCCATGCTTGCCATTCGTCGGTACCTACTTGACTGATCTGACTTTCGTGGATCATGGTAACCAGTCTCTCCGCTCCCTGCCGACGGAGGACGGTGAGATGGCCGTGATCAACTTCGATAAGCATATGAAGACGGCCAAGATCATTAGCGAGCTCCAAAGATTCCAGATTCCCTATCGCCTGACCGAGGTTCCTGAGCTGCAAACCTGGATGCAGAACGAGCTGGTGCGAGTACGATCTAATGGCGAGACAACTGCGCAGACCTTTTACCGTCGGTCACTGGTCGTCGAACCACGAGAGCCCTCCCGTAGCGGCGGCAATCTTCAGGCTCAGAGTCAGCCCCAATCCTCCTCAGCCGAATCTAATCCCTCCATACTCGAAAACGCCAAGGACAAATTTGATTTCCTCTCCTGGACTCATCCCTCGAAGCCCAAGTCCGTCGCGACTAATGGCTAAATCCCCTCTCACTTCATCATTCATATCATACCCTTGCACCATATTGACGACTGATGACTTGTGCTATTCCTCATGCTGCGTTCTTTCATGGTATGGTTCTACTCGGTGTTTTATTCCAGTTTCCTTCGGCCCATTTCTATTACCATGCTGGCTGCATAATGTTTCTTTTCGCCACCTGTCCCAATTGCTTTGTGAATATCCTCTTTTATTCTTTCATCATCTCCTTGTTCTCTTCAGGCGGCGCTCACATCTTTTTTTTCATCCCTGCAAGAAATGGCATCAGAAAAGCGATTGGAAATGGGTCCGGGTTGGAAAAACGGAGTACATACTGGGCCTTCTTTCGTTTCTTTTCTTTGGGTCGTTTTCCATTTTGATCGGCGGATGGGACAAGGGATTTTTATGTATGTCTTTTTTATTGTCCCCCAAGTCCTTCCTAGAAAGGATATAAGCCTCGCGGCTTCTGTACAAGTGCAATCTTAAAATTTTCCTGGAATGCAAAAAGGCTTTTATGGATTCGATTTCAAGCGAACATGACCGTAGTTCACAGTAGTATCATTGAAAATAGTAGAAGAATCCCCATTGAAAAATGGAATTTTCCAATTTGGATGGCAGCTAACGCGTTCATTGGTAAGTCGTGCATTGTACGTCAGTTAGCCTTTGCTCCGATTGCGCTTTTGGGAAACGAGGGTATACAATCGTCACCTAGAAAAGGCACTTTCCCTTTCTCAGATTAGGCTTCACAATTCAGTCGAATTCGTATTAGTTTTCTGTCAATTTTCTGTCAATTCTTCCTCCTGATACTTTATAGAATCGGAGTATAGGATTTAAGCTTCGTTCCTGTCCTTCGTCTTCTTCTCTTCTTTTCTTTATCTTCATCCAATACCACCCACCATGCGGCTCCACAGGAGACAAGAGCCGACTTGGTACTGGCGCTATAAGCGCCAGGAACAAGGCCTGGAGGGCATGCTCCTCGCCCTCAATTACGCAAAGAGACACGCATCCCCTGAGAAGGATCTCGACCACTGGCTCAGTCGAAAACGAGTCGGCCTGCATCCTCTCGACTTCACCACTGGAGAAACCTGGTGCTCCAACTCTACCTCTCCATTCTTCATGCCAACAGATGAAAAGGTTCTCTATCAGAAAAAGAACCAACCCATCCACCGCCGCGCCGCTGTTAGAAAGATCCCTCTGAAGACCCGCCTTTCCAAAGGGCAAGATAGCTCTCCAATGCGCGACCTCAAAATCCGGGACGAGCTTTCCCATGAGCTCGAAAACTACCGTATCCGCGCCAGCAGATATCGGCGCCCAAGTGGCTTCAAATCCTTCAAAACCGACTCTGCCACTGAGGGCCGGGGTATTATCAGAGACAGCCCTGTGTCCGCCTACATCCCTCGCGCTGCGCAGATCCCCAATAGCCACCGTATTGTGACGTTTGTCACGGATGAATACAACACCCCAGAAATAAATCGACCCTCCGCCACGGAGATGGAGCTCCTCATCGCCATGATAAAAGGCGGAATGCAGAGCCAAAGGCGTGCAGAACACCTCTCAGACAAATATAACCGTGCCAAGAAGGGTTCCATCAACTATATCATTCCTGTAAGTCAAGACTATCCGATACAGCGTCCGGCAGCCACCCTTGAGTGAAGTGGAAGCTGATAAGAGCTTCAGGCACTCATTATCTCAATCTACCCTGGCGCCCAAGTCCGTGTTCTCTACGGATACCTCACTGAACGGGTTCATATCCATTACACCGAGCCTCAGCAATTCACAGAGGAAAAATTTGAAGAGATGATGGAGAAAACCCTTCGCTGGGCAATGCCCGCTACCGGGGAAGACATTACGCGAATCGTTATGCTGGACGATATTGAGGAGATTGATGAGACTGAAGAAGAGCCGGAAAAGGGGCAAGAGAAAGAGGCTGTGGAAGGATGCGCGGTTCATGTTTTCATGTCCGCAAATAAGAAGAAGAGCAAGGGGAAGACGAAGAACCAGGGCCACAGAGGAAGGAAAATGTTGGCTGTGACTACATCAGCGGCTCAAACATGAGGATGGCGAAGGAAGAGGGAACCATTTCTTCAGATACCAAGGGATGTTTGTCTTGTGTTGGGGATAGGAAGATACTCTATACCATCGGGATGACAAAGAGAAGATCTTGAACTCCTGCCGACGCGCCGAACCATGACCGACGACTAGGTAGGAGGGATAGCAAACACTATGCACATACATTCAAGGAGGCAAAGAGAAAGATGAGGAGAAAAAAAAAGAAGAGAGAAAAGTAGTGGTGTCCAGTCGTAGGGACCCTGTCTACGACACCCTCGAGCAGGACTTGCACCTTTTCGTGGTGCTCGAGATAAGTAGCCACAATGGCGAAACCAAGCAAGTCATGAATTACTTCTATAGAACTTAACTACGTATATTGAAAATGCACTGGGCATACGATATCATTGAGTGATGCGTATTTTAATAGATAGATAAACCCTTGCCTGACTGCGAGGGTTCAAGTTGCTCCGAATGCAAGAAGTGTAAGTTAACCAAGTCCACAGGCTTCGCGGACTGTTCGGGGCAACTGGCCAATTCTCTTAAAGTTACCAGATTTATTCGTAACATTATTGCATCGGAATTGCTCATGTCCTGAAAATAAATTCTTCGCTTACATGCTTTCGAGAGCAACGAGTAGGAGAAAAACCGCCAACACTATGTCTTAGGATTGCTGCAAGGAACAAACAACCAGACCTTGAGTACAGCTACTGAGGATGCCAGTTTTCCAAATATTGCTTACTGTTCGAATGAAAAAACGTATCATGGAGGACCGGTCTACGTGCCAGCAGCCTTCGCAGCAATACAGCCGTCCAATCCATACGAACTAAAGACACACTGGTTTTGAAATAAAAATACATAAAATAACTGAACACTGAGTAAACCTTCAATACTGAAAATTCGGTAAATACGAATTGTATTTCTTCTCCCTGGGTTCTGGTACTATACAATCCCAGCTTGGGTCTACGTGATCCACCAAAAGAGATATTCCTTTTGAGAATGCAGTGCAAACCTGATTAGGTTCATAAGGTAAGTTCGTCGTATAAAGCCACCGAGAAGTGTGTAACAGCCTCAAAGTTCAATTGAAGAGCGAAGTGATGTATCTCTCTGCTCCTGTTCCCGATGGCGGAGATCCTTGCATAAAGCCCCTCCGCCACCTTCCACATCAGCGAGTCTGTGCTACGCCTCGATATAGATCTCTCATATAAGGTATCGACAGGCACTGCAAGGGATACGTCAAAAGCCCCGCACAAGGTTGAAAGGAATATGCTGTCACAACGCAAGTCCGTAGTTCGCAAGAGTTCATGTAGCACAATGGAGATGCCTGGATCTGCGAAGTGCAAAGTTGAGACTAATCGGAATCTATTTTGACTCTGCATGGGTAGCGTACAGAAGCATGGTTTGCATGACGAATAGAGTTCATGCTAGTTCATACATGCTTAGGGCTGACAGACGACTAAGTGGCGGGCTGAGACCTCACGTAGGTACTCCCTTCGAACAAGAAATTTCTTCGACGGAACGAAGCTACTCCGCTATGCAATTCTAATTTTTGGCCTGAAAATTGAAAAATGACGAACAGCCTAGGTATTGTCACCAAACAGTACGAATTATTTTGAATGGTCATGTAAATGCCACTTGTTCTATAAAATTAGCATGTGATGTATCAAATGCCTCGAATTTGACGTGGCTTGGCCATTCTGACCATGATGAGGGGCAAGCGTTTCGAAAATGAAAGACAGGCGGGGGCCAGAAACCATGCTTGTTTAACAGGATGATAACGATTATCATGGAAACGTTGATGAAGTGTGAATTATTTTTGTTCGTTAACACGATAAGATATACAGAACTGCCAAGTGGGTCGTACCCAGTCTTTTAACTTTCGTATTGCGCCTGAAAAGCATCTAGAAATCTCAATTGGTTGTTGCCGTGTTCGTCATCGTTAGTGGGCAAGTCTCCGTCAACAAAGGCCAAGCTGTCCCTTCCAGCTTGTGACCGAAGGTCAAGAATAGGTATCATGGAAGGCCGACCATGGGCACATTGAAATGGAAAGGCACATCGTGAAAGTCGTGTGACCAATGCCCTGCATTCGTCATTGTTCAATGAGTCATTGAACATAATCGCTCCTCGACAGGCGCGAGAGTTCAGCATATCCAAGATGCCTTGCGGACAGCCGTTCATTTTGTGTATCCATGGGTGAGCGATGCTATCCATCGATTCATGCAACGATGATTCACCATAACCATAGTGATAGTTCCGTAAGAAATCCTCTCGGGAATCTAGTGATCTTCCTGGTCTGCTGTCCTCTTCCTCAGCTGTCCAGATCTCACGGCGGAGTAGGTCGACAACTAGAGTTGGCTCAAGTCGACAGCGCTCGGCAATGAGAATCGGAAGCGCATAAACGGAAACAATCATCCCAACGCCTTCTTCTGATCTCTTGTCGATTCCGTAGTGAATCCCCCAGTGCTTGAAAAAATTTTTGTATTTTTGGAAGAGAGAAGCCTCGGTAGAGGAAATTCGAAATGAGATACAATCGATTTCCACCGTTTGAACTTCAGGATGGCGTGAAGCACTAGTTGAGATGAACATGTTCGCAAACAAATCTTCCACTCGACAACGCTCATCTGCTGCATGTTGATCAATCAAGACTAAGAAAGCACCCGAATCATTATCTCCAGAAGTACCGTACTGTGACGAGCCAAATCTGGTCAGAATGAACTTCTGATCGACTTGGGCGATTACAGTTGCCATTGCGAGGTCGTGACGGCGCAATCTTCCCTTGAACTTCGCGAATTGGGAGGTGCCAAGAGATCCAATCTCTCCAAAACAATCGTGAGAGCATAATTTAGTTTGTGAGGTGTCTGCTCCAGTGGCAAGACGCGGTATTTGCAGTTCAGAACGGGCGAAAATGGGATTATCCCATGCCTCAATCAAATTGTCCACCCAGAGCTTTGAAGTAGAGGACGGTTGCGGCTTGTCAGAGAGTCCAAGTTTTTGTAGTGTAGTAAAGAAGCTAGTGGATCGGGGACCATCTGGGAGTGATTTGGGGCCAACTATCAAACCGGTTCGTGAGTTGATCAAATGCGATTTTCCGGTGTGCGGATCAATCCAGGAAATCAGACTGTCAGCCGATGACTGAGATGAAGGATCATCGCAGGTCTGGACTTGTTTGGTGACATTACATGAGGCCGCTGAGTCTTTATGGATTTCATCCGATGGGGTAGGGTGATTGCCATCATATTTGCGTAATTGGAAATGAGTCCGTGGCTGTCCTGGAGGTGCAAGAATATTGGCCTCTGCGGGGAGATTTCTATTGTTTGGGGCAATATTCCCTGAGCCAAGTCCAGTCAGGGGAGCCGGAGACTCAGATGCATTTGCTGCCTTGACTCTAGACCAATTGTTGAAATGAACACCGGAGTTCACGGACTGTGATCTTCCAAAAGTAGGTAGCTTATGACGGCCGTTGAATATCTCTTCTGTGCTCGTTGCCTGACCAAATTGAGTTAGAGAGCTCGAAGACTGGCAAGACCCCGCCCGGGAAAGACTGCTGGATTCTTGAGATCGTTTGGAAATCTTCCTTTGTCGCTTTATAGCACGAGGTCGCAAGTTCTGCTGTTTTAAGAACTCCAGAATCATCGCTCCAAGCACATCCAGGATATGTCGAAGGGACTCTTCGGACTCGGTAGATGGTTCAATGCAGTCAACCGGCCCGAGAGAACTCGTATCGATACGTATATAGAACATTGGCCATTTGTTGATGGGCTTCGCCCAAGTCCTGCTTCCCACACTATTCGGTGCATCGGATTCTCCGTGCAGAGGTAAGGGACATGGTAAAGTTGCGGCGTCAGAGGCAGCTCTAGCGTTTCCAAAGTCAGACATCGATACTAGTCTGTTGACCTCGCTGAACAAAACATTCGAGCTGTTTCTTGGGAAAACCGGATCCTTGCCCAAAGAAATGAATTGACACTTCTTTGAGGGGCTTGGCATAGTGCACAGGGCAGCACGAATGATGAGATCGGGACTGGTGGCAGACATTATACGCCAGGAATCCATATTTCGTGAGTCAATCATGGCGGAGGGGGCAAGGATAGACCCGATGCGCCTCAGGTTCATCTCACCGGAAGGAGATTCAGAGCTCTCACTCTGTGTCAAGAGGTCTGGACGTATGGTGATTTTCTTCCCTCTTTCCATGTCAAAAATCACCAATTTAGATAGCTGTATATTGGATAGCATGAGAGAAACCAACGAATATCGGAGTTGGACCCATTCTCTTTCCATTTCATCAAACTTTTGAAGAGCTAAAGCGCGGCTCTTCACACGGACTGGCATGTTACCGAAGAGGTCATTGACAGTCACACAGGTGCCATGTTCACCAAATCGGAGACTTCGGTGCGCTGGCGCAGGAATGAGTCGCGCGACAGGCTTCGAATGATGGAATACAATGGCGTTGGTAGTCGGATACTGTCTGTGGCGCGCAGTCACAGTCAGCAAGGACAGAGAAGCCAAAGAAGCCAGGAAAAGTCCACGTTGCCCATAGGCACCTCTGTTCTGGAAGTTTGATGTATCTGTAACCAGTCAATCGGTGTATCTCAATTCATAACCACAAGGGATGTTTACAGTGTGCCTTCCCAAGGCCACCCGTGGATTCGAACTCGGCCGGTCGGATCCCATCGCCATCATCCTCTACTATGCAACTTCCGCGCTTAAAGTCCACAGAGACATGGACAGTATGTGCATTCGCATCTAGTGCGTTCTTGACCAACTCAACAATCACTCCGTTCAAATGAGTGATCGAGGTTGAAGATTTGAGTTTGGCGATCACATCAGAAGGAAGTGGTTGAATGCCTGCTCTCGGAGGCATTACGAAATAAGCTCCAGTAACAAAGTTGCTGCTGGTATTTCAAGGCATTTCCATCGCATGGACAGCGGGGCTCATAGAACGGCAAGAACGCTGCCACTCCTTCAAAGCCGTCATCACGTTTGAATCAAATTTCAAATTCGAAAGGGGTTGAAGTTAGTAGACAGAATGACAAAACTATTGAGACGTTGCCCCAATCCGCCAAGTTGACGGAGGCGATCTTGCCATCAAGGGCGGGCACATGACCTGTGCGGATAAACAGTCCTCCCGCACCTCCCATTCGCCTCAGTGTCGAGCTGCCACTTGCTTCAACGTTGCTACTCTTGAGTAACATCTGGGGCCCAACTCCAACGGTCTCTACCGGAATTTGACATGGCTACAGCTGAAGGGCTCGCGCGGGCGCACGGTAAGACCCCGGGTACTGAACAGCTGACCTGTTTGAAAATAAGTCGCTCATCAATATGCAAATAGATCGCAATGGTCGTCGCCGCCCATTCTCCAGCTGGATGAAGCGTCTTGCGAGTCTCAAAAGTTCCTCCGAATCAGGCTCCCATCGCTGGTCCAACAAGCGTCACACAGTCGCCAAGGGGAAGAAGAGCGTGGGCCAAGGAAACAACCCATATCCGTTGTCAGGGACCCTCAATCGCCCCACCCAGAACGATTCATACTCGGAGATCGATGACCATGATGGCCAAGAATCTCATTCTCGAAGCGATCCATCCATGGTTTACTCCGGATATGAGAGCCAGCTACCCGCAACCAGCGCCAAATCGACCGCCCCTACCGTCTCCACTAACGGCGACACTGTCATCTCAGATGCAGGGTACTCGAAGGCAGGGACATTAGCAACAGGAGGCGGAGGGATCAGCTCGCATGGGGGAGGAGAGGGTAGCACATTCTCGTCACCCGCTCCCTCAATTCGATCCTTAACCACCACCTTGACCACCGTGCAGTCCGCCGCCCCATCCACTCAACTGTACCCTGCGCCGAATCCACAGCATGGACAAGCACATGGAAGCTCCACACAGAACTCTGGGAATCAACAGGTCCAATTTTCGCACCAGTTTCCTTCCTCTTCATCGCCCGCGACCGCCGTACCCCCGCACCTCATCCCACATAGCCATTCTATGACGTACAGCACTGCGACCGCAAACAATGTCCTGACCGACAATGCTTCCATACTCACACTTGCGAGCTCCTCGAAGAGGCGCCGCAGGAACTCCCTGGACACAAATGCCTCGGTCCGTGCGTTGGCCCCATCCTCAGTTTTCGGTGGCAGTCGCGAAAGTCTGCCACTGAGTGTTTTGAGCGGCAACGTGATTGAACCGTCCAATTCCTCGGCTTTCAACGCTCAAGGCGTACTAAGCCGACCCAGCATCGTCGGCCTCGCAAGTGCTGAGCGCATTAGCGTCTATTCTTCCTCAGGCACCGCTCCCCTGGGCAGTGCTGGCGGCGAACGGGGCAGCCTCTACACCGCTAAGCAGAACCCGGTGACGGGTGATGGGGCTAGTATTCGGAGTGGTGCGCCTTCACATGGCCGAAATGACAGCACTGCTGCCAGTATCTCTGGTGGCGTGGGAAGTCCGCTTGCCATGGCTTCTGGTCGTGTTAGCCGCCGAAGCTCCGCATGGGGAGAAATTACCGGCGATGAGGGCGAAGATCGGAAGTCCGACGAGGTTAACGATGAGAACTCGGCACCAAAACCCGAGGAATCCTTCAATGAAGAGCCAAAGAAGAACTAAATATGAAGACAGGAGCCTCATTACCGAACGAGGCAAGGTCTAGAGGCTTGCATGATGTTATCCACGAACTTCGCAAAGAACTAACCGACTTCGGATGAAGATATTTCTTTCTTAATGAATTGATGCATGGATTTTGGGAAATTGGGGGTTTTACGTGAACTGGGCCTTTGCGGTGTTTTTATTCTGGCGTTCTGTCCTCTTTTTCTCTATGGGAAGACCTTTGATACCCTCTATAGTATGAATGGGGGGTTTTGTTCCAATTCAGCGGCATGAACATGCAAATTGCTCCTTCGAGCCATAAGAGCCAAGCTTAATTACTTGTGTTTGGTATTTCGTTTGATGTACCTCCTTGAAAACTTGATCTATACACGTGAGATTTATTGACTGACAATTTTCCGACGACGAATCACCATTGGCATGTCATACTGGTAAACAAACCAGGCATTGCGGTATTTCCACTCATGATTGGGATCCACCAATTGAAACTGTGTTCTAAGTTAGCCCACCGAAGAAGAAGACCAGCGTGGTCACTTAAGCCAAGGACTTACTTCAAACAAGTTATACAAGGTAGCAATGAGCTTCTTGATCTCTAGCATCGCGAGATAACGTCCCATACAAACACGTCCACCGCCGCCGAAGACAAAATCGACGGTATCCTTCATTCGCCGAGAGCGAGTCTCAAAGCTCTCACTGTTTTCATTCTTGCCTGGAAGCCAGCGATCTGGGTTGAAACTATCCGCGTCGCTGCCAAAGACCTCGACGTCATGGTTTGTCACAAATGGATTGCACCCGACCTTGGTACCAGCAGGGAGATACCGTCCGTCCGGAAGCGTGAAACCGCCCTCGGGGACAACACGCTCAAAAATCATAGCGATGCCTGGGTTAACACGCATTGCCTCTCTGATGACTGCATCCAGATAGGGCAGGTCCCGAATAGATTTCCAGGATGCTGGAGTAGGGAGGGAAGCAGCTTGGAGCTCGGAATAGAGCTTCGTAGACGCAGATGGTGACTTTGCTAGATAGTATAGAACAGCACGCATGGTAGCAGAACTTGTGTCGCCACCGGCCAAAATACTCAGCATCAACCAGTTGACGATTTGTTGGTCATTGACCATGTCCGGGTAGCTTTCCTTCAGCTGAACATACTTGTCCAAGGTGTGGTCGACTGAGCCTGCGATGACCTTCTTGTCTGCAAGTTGAGTTTGGTATTCGGCCACAACCTTGAAGGCATACAGAACACCAGTGAGAGTAGGCTTAGGGCCAATGCGCATGATGGGATTTTTATCAAGTAGGTTATCGATCCATGGAATTTGAGAAACCTGAGGAGTAAAATTCATGTTAGTTCGAAAACGTCAGGAAGGTATTAAACAGCTAGGCCTCCTCACCGGGGCAAAATAGATCAAACCGGCGGTCGAGTCCGTGATCAGGTTATCGACATCTTTTTCTTGATCAATGAAGCCATAGTGGCGCCCGAAGCTGAAGTTGGCCGTAACATCCCACGCAACTTGGAATTAATCAGTCGACTTATTCGTAATCAGTCAGGGTGAAAGATTGGTATAACTTACAGAATCCAATCCACTCATCTGCTGGGCAGATCTTGCCTGAATTCTTACCATCCACAAATCTCAGCGCAAGCTTGTCCACAAATTTGATCAAGGTTTCGTCAATAAGAGGCTCATATTCAAGAGCTTTAGTCATACTCCACAGGCCACGGATGGGGCGGATGTTTTGATTATGCCATTCTTCGTCTTGAGTGTTGAAGAGGTTGGATAGACGGTGTCCCTCAATTAAAACATCGTTTGGTCGGTACATGTCACTCTTTGATATGAGATGTCAGAAGTCATATCCAGGCATTGTACACACTTTTGATGAACTTGGGACAGTTTGTCGCCTACCTTTTTCCATGGATTACGTGTGGAGTAAATTGTTCGAATGAGGTTCGGATCAGATATGCTCACGCAATTAGGGCCGATCTGCACCGCCGTTCCATATTTGCGGTGCAGTTCCAGGTGTTTCAGTTCCACGCGCCCATGATATGTGTGAACAGCACGCCAAACATTGGTCACCTTGGCCAAAATGGGACCGGGAATTGCTCTTAGCGGAGAGAAAAAGATGTCGTAGACAAGCTTCGTCAAGACCATGAGGCCAAGAGTGGCGAGAGCTTGGGCCCACGGGCTGGAAGAGATTGAAGCCAACACTGCCATTATGCCGGGCTGAGGCCAGCTAATACATACAAAGGCGCTCAAAAGGACTCCCTAAAAAGAGATACTGACCCTTTACTGAGTACAGGAGGATAACTGGAGGCGACTGAAGTCAAGAGAAATATGATGACAGGTCACACACAAGGGGCATTCAGGTCCCGCGGGGGCCAGAATAAGACGGGAGATTGGATAATCAAATGCCGAATCATAAAGAGTCCCCCGCGAAGAAAAAACTAAACCAAGAACAAGTGTTCGTTGCGGATGCCAGCGCTGACCGGAATTCTGGCGTAGTTGTTAACCGGTGTTTTGGAACTACGCTACAATGGCTTAGTTGTAGAAAAGACGGGATGTGGAGACCGAAATTGTATTTACCACCGCGGCGACTGGTCAGCTTCGAGTCTAAGTGTCCCAATCAGGCTACTGGAACCTTCACTTTGACATAGGCGCGCCACCCTAGCGCCCGTAGACATCGCTTAGGATGAATTTTACCAAGCCAAAAAAACGTGGCGTCGGCGAACGACCGATATACGAAGCTTGCAATAATGCAGTAATAGCCAGCTCTCGGGAAAGATGAGGGATCCAGCAAGCATCGACCAGCCCCAATAAACAATAAGTAGAGACCTTTCGAACAGTTTTGGAGCCCCTTGTAGCTAGGCGTGTTGTGATAATTTCTTGCACGATATCTATATGATACTAAGCATGGCCTCGGTTTGACTGGTGTAATGGCGACTGGCCACGTCCCCGACAATTTGCCCCAGTCTACCGAAGTAAAAGATCCACTCGACATGAGTGAAAGGTCATCCTAATCGGAAATCCCCCCCTGTCAGATTTGTTCCCAAACTCGTTAGTTGGGATCCGCTGCAGACAGCATAATAATCATGCTTAAATCCCTTCTGGCTCCCACGTGTTATGGAGGCCGCTGTTGTTTCCCGACGGTGTCGAAAAGCCGGCCGGTGCGTTCTAAAACCGCACGACTCTACGAATTTTGGGGGTAGTTGAGAATGGTGTCCAGCGATTCGGAGTCCTACCTCCAGGAGAGCAGGGCTCCCCTGGTGAAGGGAGTGATGTGGTTGATGGCAATTGTGCCGTCAATATCCGTATTGATGCGTTTATACGTCAGGTGTTTCTTAAAGCGTGTATTCGGCTGGGACGACTTCATTATCATCATTGCGACAGTAAGTTTCTTTTTTTCTTCACATGGTTTCTGTGTCTGGTCGGTCTAATCTTATAACCTCTGTTCATGTTAGGCCTGCTTAATTGCCTATGCTGCTATCTGTCATGTTGCGGTGAACCTAGGCCTTGGAAGACATCTGACAGCCGTAGAGGAAACCCCAAACAATGTTATTCAGGTGGCACTGCTATGTGACATCGGAGAAGTTTTCGCCATTATGGCTTGTACATTAGGAAAGACTTCCTTTGCCGTGACTCTGCTTCGCATTGTTGTCCAAAGATGGATGATTGTCGTGCTTTGGTTCGTGATTGTGACCATGAATCTGGTCAATGTTCTAGCGGCCTTGTTTATCTTTGTTCAATGCAAAGATCCTCGACATCTTTGGAACTCGGCGATACCGTCCGAATGTTGGCCGGACAGCGTGTTCACGGATTTTTCGCTCTTTGTTGGAGGTATGCAGGCCTGAATCTGTCAGATTTTTCCCATGCTGACATGTCTTGTCCAACCCTTTAGCTTATTCCGGAGCCCAGGATTTTGTCCTGGCATTGCTTCCGTGGGCGATTGTTTGGAACCTGCAGATGAAGAAGAAAGAGAAGTTGGGTATTGCATTTGCTATGAGCCTGGGTATCTTGTAAGTGCTTGCGAAAACCGCACGTGACATGCAGCGGCGTCTGAACTGATTTTGCTATAGTGCGGGTGCAGCTGCCATTGTGAAGACAACCTTCCTTGTAGCCCTGTCGGCCAAAGCTGACTTCACTTGTAAGTGTTTATGGATCCTTCTCGAGGCCCAGGAACTAATTCATGGGCTTGGTCCTCTAGGGGAGCTTGCGCCGTTACTTTATTGGGCTGCGGTTGAAGACGGACTTGCCATCACTGCTTCCTCGGTTCCAGCTCTGAAGCCTCTGCTTATGAGAGTCTTCCCCAGTTCGCTGGGAAACGAAAACTACAACATGATCTCCTATCCCGTCGGGACTCCTCGACAGAGAGTATTTGACAACTCCCAAGGCGAAACGCAAACAGATATTGGGCATGCCACTGTTCATGAACGGGGCAGCCAAACGGCCATCTTGGAGCCACACTCGCCGGGAATTAAAGAGGAAAGCATCAACATGACGACGGAGGTGTCAGTGACGTATAATCGCGTTCCATAGGGACGATCTTCGGGCCCAGTTCTAAATCCAAGATTCCAGCCGATCTCAGGGCCATCTTGGCTGATGTAATCCTTTCCGGTTCCAGTTCCAGTTCCATTTGTAATTCTCTTCGGGGGCTCGTTTTCGTATTGCTCCATATCTCACGCGTGAAGACTGCTGATTTTGCCGGGCGTTGATTGGCGGGCTGAATGGATCCATGGGCACTTGACCGAGCTACAGTCAGCATGTGCTTCCCCCAGCACCTCGGGCCAGGGCTGGAGATCGAGAAAGGACCCATGTCTCGGTGTTCGGGGCAACTGATCTCTCCCCAACGCAACGACGACATTTCCAGTCAAATCGATCATGAATGATCTCAATCCGCTCGTACTGTGGCGTAGGGTCGAGGAGTATCGACCAGGAGCTCAGGAGTTCATCGATTTGGCGGGCGGCGTTCGCGGAACATGTGGCGATGACTAATCATAGCTGACTAACGAGGGATCAATAAAGCCGGCACTGATCCTGTGCTAGTGGAGCCGACGAACATGAAGAATGGAGAGTAAGAGTCAGCCCTTGGAGGCCGTATAAATAAGAAAGGAGAGACTAATGACGCGGTGTTCGGCACGATTCAATAGACCGAGGGCAGCAGGTCTGGGAAAGGCCTGGTGTGATTGGGACAGGCCGGTCCGCGGAAGTCGATAGATTCGATCGCTTTGCCCCAACAAGCCTGGGCATTTTCTCGATTTAGCCGTACCCGCTCGTGGATTTTCTGCAGGACGCTCGAGAACTACGGCATATTGTACGCTCATTCCCACTCCCATCCAAGGGCCAGATCTAGCATGAACAGCTGTCTGTCGAGTGTTCCTTGCATTTGAACTTGTTCGCTGTACACTGTATATCGTATTTCTCATCAAGGTCTCGCCACGATGGAGAAGCCTCAACTCCGGCGACCGCGGACGGTTGCTGTTGTGGGCACGGGCATGGCCGGTCTGGCCACCGCACATCTGTTACACCAGGACTCGCAGGATCGATACCAAGTGACGCTGCTTGAAAAGGTTGGTTGGTTTTGTGAATGTGTCTCCGGTCTGGGCACTTGATACCCTCACGGCCCGAGACAACCCTAGATTGCCTAGAAAGCTGACCAATGTTGGTAGAGAGACCAAATTTCATTGAGTGCAGAGTCTATTGAGATTCCAACTCGAGATGAGAATCATGCTACAGTATGGGCAGATGTTCCCATGCGCGCCTTTGCAGGCGGCTTTTACCAGAATTTGATCCGAATGTACGATCATCTGGACATTCAGTACCACGCACAACCGTTCCTCTTCAGCTTCACCAGACTGCCACAGCGACAGCAACCCTGCTCGACCACTTCGTGTATCCCAGGGCCCCAGATGGTGTACGCTTCGAACTTTCATCAGGTCCCTCCGATCCCTCGCACTCTGGATCTGCTCCAGTGGTTTGTGGAGGCCGTCTATGCAGTGGTGTGCTACTGCTGGTTCACTTTCTGTGTCTTCTTCATCGCACCATATGATGAGGACTTGCAGAATGAAACTCCCAGTGAAACCTTCGGTCACTATCTGCGCCGTGTCCGGATGCCACAGTACTATGTGATTAACTACCTTCTTCCCCTGATCTCGAGTGTTTGCACCTGCACGCATCAAGAACTGCTATGTTTCCCAGCAAGCGATATCCTGGACTACAAGCGTCGCACACACAGACAACAACACTTTGTCGTCGCCGCAGGCGTCCAGTCTGTCCAGAAAAAGCTTCTGGATGGCCTAGATGTGCGCCTTGGAATCCAGCTGACACATGTGATCCCGAAAGATGGTGGTGTTGAAATTCAGTACTTGACCGCCGATGGAAATAGCTCGTCCGAGCAATTTGACCTGGTAGTATTAGCCGTGTCGCCCGATGTGGCAGCATACTTACTGCCGGACTTGACATCGCAACTATCAGCCATTCCGACAACACTCGTAGAGACAGTCGCACACACAGACCAGTCAAGCATCATTCCGATGCTCCAGGCCACAGGCTCTTCAACTTCTAAGGCTCGCAGGTCCTTCCGAGGCACTCTCAGCACCACTATGCAGCGCATACACCTCCTCTCTAATGAAAACCTAACCGAGGCCGTCCATGAACAAGCCAACTCGCTCCTTGTTACCACCAATCCTCTCCTCCCTCTGGACAAATCAAAGATTCTTCGTTCTGCACGTTTCGTTCGTGTTCTACGAAGTCCTCTTAGTCGACTGCTTGTCAACTCCATGTTCCAAAATCGTCAAGAAAGGTTCTCCTCCTCTTCTCCGAAGTCATGGCGAAGTGGAGACAAAGGAATCTATCTCGCAGGAGGCTGGTGTTGGGATGGCATGGTTCTGTTAGAAGGATGCATTGTCTCCGCGATGCGGGTCGCTGCTGACCTAGGTGTCGACGTGCCCTGGGACCTCCCGAAGCTATAAGCGAGCTTCATATAAATAGTCATGATTTCACGTATTTCTTTCGGTTGTATCTTTATGTCCTTTGCGTAGCCTAGACGGCTGTTTAGTCTACATAGCTTGTTGAAAAATGTTTATTCTGTTGTTCTCGGCGAATTCTAATATGCGAATGAAACAAGATACCCGAGGACCTCTCCGTGACGATGGGATTTCTTAGGAACGGGAGAAGACTGCATCTAGATGCATCTATTATACCACTGGTTGCACTGCCACATATACTGTATTTGGGCTAATACATGGGTTCCCATACTGATTGAGAGACCATCAACTACACAAATTGATTTTGGATTCCAGCGAGAACTTATTCATTGGATTCAAAATGTGTCCAATCACTACTTCGTTCACTCACTAGGTAACCATTCAAATACTCGAATCCGACCAAGACGTACCTACCTAGAAACCAATGCAGACTCTAACCCCGGTGAGTAGGCCGCATGGGATCAAGCACTGGCTCATAATCAGTATCTCCATCTATCAAAAACACCGAGAGGGGCGAAAAGCAGATTGTTTGACAGGTCACTTACGCATATATTAGGTCCGGTCGGATTAGATGCAGGTGGACAGGTGTTGGTACCTAGACAGCAACCAGGAAGAGGGCCGCCTGAGATGCATGTAGTACCTCCAGGGCACTGCCGAATTATCAGCGGCACAGTTCTACAATGTGAGTTTCGCCGTCACTTACGCATATTCCCGCCGCTGGGCAGAACGGTGTGGCTGCTGGGCATTGGACACAAATGCCATTGACACAAGCGCCACCTCCAGGTCCAAGTGGGCACTAGTAAGCTCCGATTAGGGATAGAAAATTTAAATAATACAAATACAGCGAAATTAAGAGCGGAATAGTTAAAAAAGGGAACGGAAAGATTAGAAATGATAACAATGGCAATAATGACAACAATAACAACAAATAAAGAATCAAAGAGAATAAAGACGAGAGAAAACGTAAAATTCTGTCTCGGATGAGGGAATAGCAAACTTACTCCTTGATTGCATTGCCCACAGTTATTCAAGTTATTTGATAAGTCAACACATGTTCCCTGACAGCAAGCAGGTAATATGCCGGTGCAAGGTGCCGCTGTGCAGGATCCACAGTGAATCAAGCTACTGCTGAGATCTGTGCAGGTTCCATTACAACAAGCAGGTATCAAGCCGAAGCAAGGAATAGCCAAGCAGCCACCGCAGTGAAGCGGATCTGAGCTTAAATCGGTGCAAGTTCCACTACAGCACGCGGGGTTGACACCAGTGCAAGCTGGAGCTGAGCAGGATCCACAGTGTGCGGTAGAGGTTGCTAGATCAGTGCATGTGCCATTACAGCATGCCGGTTGGAATCCAAGACAAGGTAAAGTAATACAAGATCCACAATGATTGATATCTGTACTCAAATCTGTGCATGTTCCTAGACAGCATGCTGGTCTGATACCAGTGCATGGTGGAGCGGAACAGTTTCCGCAGTGGTTAGCATCAAAGGAGAGATCCGTACAGGTTCCACTGCAGCAGGCAGGCACTATTCCTAGGCATGGGAAGGCTGTACAGTTTCCACAGTGCAGAATATCAGAGCTAAGATCCGTGCAGATACCAGTACAACACGCAGGCGCCACGCCGGTACATGGAGGAGATATGCAGTTTCCGCAGTGTGTTGTATCAGAACTTAGATCAGCACATGTGCCATTGCAGCAAGCCGGTAATAAGCCGGAGCACGGTGCAGCTGTGCATGAGCCACAATGCGTAATGCTCGTGGCCAGATCTGTGCACGAACTATTGCAGCAGGCAGGATTTAGTCCAAGACACGGGATAGCTATGCAAGAGCCGCAGTGGTTAACATTTGTTGCAAGATCAGTGCAGTTGCCGGAACAGCAAGTCGCAGCAGTTGGTGGACACTGTCAAAGCTCTAGCGTCAGCAAGCCCAACGGAGTTCATTCCTGGCATGATGCCCTTACAGTATTAGTACAAGATCCACAATGGGCATTGCTAGAACTGAGATCAGTACAGGTACCAGCACAGCATGCTGGTGAGAGTCCTAGACAAGGCAGAGCAAGGCATGCTCCACAATGGTTTGGATCAGAAGCCAAATCGACGCAGCCTCCCAGACAACAAGCAGGTTGAACCCCAGAGCACTTTTAATAAATTGCACATGATAGTCAGAACCATGTAAACTGTTAGATTTATGGTTATGCGGGAAAGACTCGACTTACGACAGTATTGCAATTTCCGCAATGATTGAAATCTGTGGCGATATCAGTACACTCTCCTGAACAGCATGCAGGTACAATTCCTAAGCAAGGTACGGCGTTGCAGGCGCCGCAATGGAAAATGTCGGAGCTGAGATCAGAGCATATGCCAGAGCAACACGCCGGATCGTTACCGGTGCACTAAATGTTATTCTTAACATGAAGACAATTGACTAGAGGTTAGTCAAAGAATCAAATCTTACGTTTATACCGCAGAACCCGCAATTGGACACAGATCTAGTCAAGTCGGCACAGGTGCCATTACAGCACGCCGGGATTGTTCCGTTGCACTAGGCGACATCATGTTAGACTCCGGTTATAGAAAATAGGCTTGATGCGTTACTTACAGCTATTGCATTGCAAGCTCCACAATGCCGTACATCTACGGCCAGATCAAAGCATGACCCCGAGCAACAAGCGGGGTTCAGCCCCGCACACTTGATTGGTTAGTAAGGAACAAGACAGAGATTCTGACATAAGAAAGCTTACAGGCAAGGAAGTGCAGCTTCCACAATGTGTGGTAGATGAGGCAAGATCAGCACAAGTGCCGCTGCAGCAAGCCGGCAATGTTCCAGTACACTATATGCTTTTTGATTAGCATAATAGAGATAAAGTGGTACGAGCGAATCCAGAATACATAATAAAGAGATCAAGAAAAGAATGATGAAATCAGAGGACATTGAAACAAGAAGAAAGGACACTAGACAAAGAGAAATTAAAAGTAAAGACAGATATAATGTAACAAAAGGTGCGGAAATTACCACTGAGGCGTTGCATGATCCGCAGTGATTGATATCAGATGCAAGGTCAGAACAAGCTCCTGAGCAGCAGCCAGGGTTATTCCCAGTACACTAGGAGTAAAGTCAGATATTTTGAAGAATAATAAGAGAGACATTATGCGGCATACGGCAATACTACAGTTTCCACAGTTTTGTGGGCTTGATGTTAAATCCACACAGAGGAAATTGCAGCACGTTTGATTAGTGGGACACTAGGCCTCCAATTTCAGTTTTCTCTGATGTATATTGCATCTTGAACATTTGAAAGTTGGTGAAAGAGAACACACTGGTTTCCATGGCAGCCATGATGCACATATAAGCCCTCCTTCCACAGTAGGTAGAGGAGTGGCGACAGCGGTCACAGTCACTTTCAGCGGTGTCGATGATTTAGATTCGAAGGGTTTTGCTTCCACACGATTATGCCAGCTGAGCCCAAATTCTAATATATGATTAGAAATTCATTGTCGATAGAATTGCGCATATAAATATTCGGATCAAGGAAATTCAACTTAGTGTTACCGAGAGCAAAAAGAAGGTATGTTGCTATGCTGACCATAATGGGAAATCCAGGTATTAGATGATGCTATAAAGCTTTCAAATGAGCAAATCTCCTGAAGGTAATCAGAAGCGAATCTAAGTGGGAAACTCAAAAAGGTAGCTCTTTAGACTGAGAACCCCCGGTCTTATGTGTTGTATGCCAAAGCTATTTCCACATGATACCCTCAATGTAAAATGGTGTGGTTGAGCTCACATTTTGTCAACATATGGTGGAACCCCCTGCATGCGTCCGGTCTACAAGTAAACCAAACTGAAAACTGGTGGGCTCAAGGTTGTCCTAGTTTCCTTTCATGGAGCTTGCTTTCCATCCCCAGGTTACTCAGTGTATACGTTGTCTCGCGGATCAGAGATGTCAAGTAAGTGGCTTTTATGGGATTCGGTTCATGCAACTTTTGTGAAACACTTTCACAAGAATGATTTTTGTAATACAGCTGCACAATCTCGGATCTTTAATCATACTGGGACAAATTTTAAGAGAGGATCTTACTTGGATTGAAAAAAAATTAGAATCATCACTGCAGCTATTGAAAGATGCTCTTCATATTATTTTGTTAAGAATCTCTTTACGAATTAAAGCTCTAAAAGGCCAATTGAGAGCTGGTCGAATAGACTTTTGTCTCATTTTTTTGCTCTTGATGCCACAGTAACAGGGATACTAACATGGTGTCACCTTCAAAGCCTAGTAACGGGGACTTGATGATCTCAACTTGAAAATTATAGGCCCACTAATTTTTACATATGAAGAATTCATCAGATAATTCTTCTGTATTTAGTACTACCGTATTTAATGATAAGAAATCACTTGGCAAAATCCAGCAAAAGCGTCCAGAGAGGAACGTCCATAGCCGGGGCCGTACACGAGATTATCTAGTAGACGAGATGCCAATGATCTTTGTTGTGGGAATCATTCATATTCTAGCATGTACGTTAACGAGAGGTACGTAGAAGTTTAATGAAATGGAACGGTAGTTAATTTATAGTCTGTACGACGGGGATGGCGGGTAGAAATTAATGCCTCTCCCATCACGAATAAAAAGAAGAAATTTTGCTTAGGGTATATAGGCTGTTTGGTGGATTCCCCTTTTACCTTTCCTTAACCATATCCCGTACTCTGAAACCTCAGGTTTTTGATTGATCTATTTTTGAGACCTATGGGACGAGGCCTCAAGTATAGCGACATATGTTGATTTGAATATTGGAAAAGGCCTATTATTATATTCTAAATAATGATAAAAATTTGTAGTACACAGGTATTTGTATCCTCATATAAAGGCGAATGAGTCATTTCTATCATACTAATTCAACGAGATCGACAAAAAGCCGATGGAGTTGCAGGAGGCCAGGGACCTAATGAGGTGGCTTTGCAGCAGGTGACCATACCTAATCATGTGAAGAAGTACCTAAAAAGTCTCGACCATTTCTCAGACAAGAATTCTTCAAAGCAAAATTAAGCCCATTAGGTCGGCACACGAAGGATTATCTAATATAAATGGTTCTGAAAAAGAAATTACCAAGTCTTGGTGTCTCGGTAGCTCCGAAGAATTGAATCAAAGCATCTTAAGAGAATTGCTTAATCCAGAAGGACGCCACCACCAGATGAAAACATACAGCAGATCTGGTCGTAAACCCCACTCTTTCAGTATTATTTATCTCAGGCGATTCATTTTTAATAGTACGTCAACGTATCTTCATATCATAGCACCATCTTCAAAATCCTATCATAACTTATATTTCACGGGCATTAGTAAAAGCAGATGGATGAGGTAGCAAAATCATTACCGTTCCAGTCCTTATGACGGCCGAGCAATGATCTAAAGTCTTGCCAATAGCCGATACCACTCATGTTGATCAGTAAGCACTAGTCATGCATAGTTTTTGGTTTGAAGTGTATAAGCCAATTTACATTGTTAAAAACCCTGTAGTTCCTCAAAAAAACAATGCTGCGCTAAAATACAGAGCAAATTTTGATGAATTATTAGGTCTTTGGAAGGCGGATGTAGCTTTTGTCATTTCGCCCTGATTTTTCTCCCTATCTGCTAAAAAAACAGTGTTAGTGTTGTGGTTGTACATGGTATATTTTGAATTATTTATGTGAGACCAGTATATACATTTGTCATGGAAATTCAAACACGACTTTCATTGAATTTAGCCTTAATAGTGTCTTTCAAAACGCAGGCGAGGGACTCTGAGGGTTCTTGAAGACATTTTGAGGGTCAATTTCTTTTTTGATTTGCTGAAGCCGTAGTAGGTTTGAACCCCAGTATGCCTCGGGTCCGGCTGCCATCAGAGGATCAACATAACCTGGGTATGCAGCATACGGAGCCTTGTCATTTGTCACAAGATTGTTGACCTGCTCCAAGTATTCAATCTGCGTCTGGGAGACAGGGCCAAGCAAATTGATGCTATATGACTGCAGCCAGATGAGCACATCGCGGTGAGCATATGCGGTCGCATCTGTGGGAATATCATTGGTGTAGCCTCCCTGGAAATCGAACAACAGAAACCAGATCAATGTTCCTTTGTCCGCACTATCAATGTAGTCGAAGAGCTGGTCGATTGTCTCAGAAGTCATCAAATTGTCTGGAGTCCATGCGGTTGATTTGGAATAGAAGTTGGACGCAATTCCACCGCCGAGCTCCAAAGCGGCCTCTTCGGCCCAGTCACCGACCAGACCAAGCCAATCCTGAAAAACAACAGCACTCCCATTGACACCGGGCCATTGGGAACCAATATCCAAGGACTCGTACTCTTCTTCGGTACCGAAGAAAGTACCGGTGATGACCATGGTGTCTTCAAGAAGGGTAAGAGTGGACGCCAATTTGCGGGTCAGTTTCGGATTAGAAACATATGCTTGCCATTGTTTGAACAAAGTGGCCCGTTCTTCGGTGCTGCCTATCTTCAGGGTATATTCGTATTTAACAGCGGTACCAGGTTCAGGCTCAGTGCGAACCTTAAACTCGGTGACAATACCAAAGCCGGAAGCAGCACCTTTGATAGCCCAGAAGATGTCCGAATTTTGAGTCTCAGAAGCCGTCACGATGCTGGAATTGGCAAGCACAACTTCCGCCTCCACAATATGATCAAGAGCAGCTCCAAACTGTCGCGATGTTGGACCGAGTCCACCAATGGTGAAATGGCCACCAGATCCAACCTGAGGGCAAGTGCCATGAGACATAGCTCGACCTCCAGCATCATGCAGATGCTGTGTCACGTCTCCTAAAAGTGTTCCAGATCCGATTGTTGCCACCCAATTCGAGCTATCCATGGAGAATTGCTGTAAATTCTTTAAATCGACGACAACAGCGCCATCCGTTCCACCAAGGCCTACAGTAGCTATGCATTAGATCTCATATTATTTCAAAACGCGAGAAAGAGCAAATACCATAGTTTCCATAGCTATGACCACCACTCTTAGCCTGAACATGATATCCATTGTCCGCGGCACACTTCACAATAGCAGCAACTTGTTGCGAGGAAGTGGGAAATGTCACAGCAGCTGGAACTACAGGTATGTTCAGGTTATAGCGATTCACATTCGCAACTTGGTAGAAAGGGTCACCAGCAAAGGCGACACTTCCACTGTCAGTCAATGCATACTGAAGGCACGATTTCAAATTATCGGCGTCGCTTGCAGCCACAAATGCAGCACCTGCAGCGAGCAAAAGATTAATGATAGATGCCATAATCAGTACCTGGCAAGGGGAAAAAACGGGGGCCCAGAAACCTCCAAAAGCACGAGTCACAATCTTCCTGTGAGTTATTGGGATTTTAAATAGCAATTTATCGGTGGATCTCCATGCAGAATTTCAGAAGCGCTTTGACAGAAGTCATCGTCGACTTAAGCTGAAAAGGGACAAACTTTTCCTCTTTAGCGCTCCTCAGCACTATTTTGCAAAAGTAGCAGTCAACCCCATTAGTAGAGGTAGTCATCCAGGGGGTCGCCTAGCGAGAAAGCGAACTCCATTCTTGAGACAATCCATTCGGCTACCGACCCGAGCAAGCCAGGCACCCCTTTTGAGCATTGAACTGACTGGGAAATTGATGAGCAGTTCCGGTGGTTTCTGAGCCCTTAACGGGAAAGGTTTATCTCCTAGACCCCGATTTGCGCGCTAGTGGTGTCGATCGTTGTGAAGTGTGGGGGGTTTGGGCTCAGGGATGACACCGCCGCTCGGCCGTGATAGACCTGTCAGCTTCCTACAAGAGTCAACGCTCAAGATATCAGATCGACATGAATCTTCAATCAAATTAAGCGATGCCGAGGTGAGAAAAGATATAACCATGTGCTTGTGAGAGGTGAGCAAAGACAAAATGAATGCAACAACGTGATCTATGCACCACCTCCCCTTTATTGGGATTGGACTTGATACCTCTTAGTCGGCATAAATTGACATGATTCATACCAATGTGAGCCCCAGCACGGAATGCTACTATGATCTCAATCTTAACATTTTCCCTCTTCATTTGGTAGCCATGGACTCCAGTCTGAGCTTTCATATAATGTCTATCGACAATATGACAATTTCTGCGATTCCAAATATTTCTGCTGCTCTTCTGGAGATTTAGCTATGAACGCTTTGTGATCCGGCATATTTTTCATTCCCTTGGGCATGCCGTTGACTTGCAAGCCGTGTTCATCCATCAGCCTCTCGCGAATCTCCGTAGCTTGTTTCCAAGGAGGACGAGACCCATAAGCTGATGTCAGGTCCGACAATTTGGTATAGTACCAGTGCAGCCTCTCTGGAAGTATTTCCCATAGACATATTCAGCCGAAAGTTCCAGGATAGGAAGGCATCAAGAAGATACTGAGCTTACCGGGGACCTGCCCATTTGGACTGTTATTGATGAACGGGGCTTTTTGACATCATCGAAATTGAACAATTCGATCACCTACGAGGTTTGAAGCTCTTCGACCGCGCAAATAACCTATCTCTTATATATTTAATAGCATTATTAACATTCTGTCGATAAATGATAGAAGAATCATGGGATGAATGTTGCAAGAATTGGGGGCACCCGCTTGATTTTATTAGTTATGGTATCAGAAGCTGCAACGAGCTGATAACCTTATAGATCAGCCAAACAGTAATGGGCTTGGGTCATTTTTGCAATCCTATCAAGCATGATTAAACTTCCAATCAATTCTTTCTAAGATACCTGAGAACATTTCTCAACAATAAAAATCAAATTGGGGCAGAGTGTCTTGCCCCTCCCCCTCGACTCTGTCAAGCCGTAGGTAGGCGTCAAGGAAAAGTCAATTAGTTTGATGTATCGGATCCTGTTTTAACTGTTATTCAGTGCAGTGATTCCTGGATATCAATAACTGGATGCTGACATCAACAATGAGGTCTCTCGGTTCAGGTTATTGCCCTGTTACCAAGATAGAAGCCGCCATGTCTGACTACTTGGACCCATTCGCCCCTCTGTTTGCAGAAGCAGGTGAGTCTGGGGATCATGCTCTTTGTGCGGTGGCTCCGGGGTAGCTATGCCCCGGGTGTAAGCCACCAGCCACCCACAATACAGTGAGGATAACGGGGTATCAGGCTATATCAGACTGATTCACAATCCAATTCGGGAGTAAAAAGTTGCGTCTATTCAATCAAACTGCACTTAGTAGTAATCATCATACTAATTATTTCCACCCCCCAAACCAACAGACATTGTCTGAAATAGCTGAAGCTGCTGTTCAAAAAAAAAAAAAAAAGACGTAAGACAAAGTCGCTCAAAACATATTCACAAGAAACAGAAAGACAGAAAGCTGGGAGTTCAGATATGTGAACTTCCAAAGGCATCCGTCGTTAGCAGCAGGGGATAGACGGCAGTGCGTTGAATCAGATCGCTTGAATATTCTGTTTTTGGGGATTTTCTTTGCTTTTTTTCTTTGCTTTTTATATTGTCTGATTTACACAGACGTACCGACACCGTGCTTTGACTTGGAAAGACTTGATTCGGGCTCGCGCGAGGCCAGGTAGCTCTTAAACATGTCAGAGATGGCCTTCTCGGATTGCTCGTCGCGCTCCTCCGTGCCGTTCTTCTCCATGATCAAGCCTCGAAGCCAGTGGTTCTCAAGCTCTAGCTGAGAGACACGAGCCTCGAGGGCATCGTTCTTTTCAGTGGTCTCCTTCACAGTCCGTTCCAGAGCCTGCTCGCGCTGCTTCTTCTTCACCCGGAACCGAGCACTGGCAGCTGTGTTACGGCGCCGCTTATCCTCCTCAGCGATGACCCGTGCAGCCTCCTCTGCACTGGCCTGAGTCGACTTCTGGGTGTGCTTCCGCTTCGGACCAGCAGCGGCAGCAGGGGTGGTGGGAGTAGGCGGCGCCGCCACACTCTGTGGGGTGGTAGTAGGCGAATTTTGAACGGGGGCCGGGTTAGCCGCGACCGATCCATTAGGAACGGAGGGCACCGCGAAAGACGCGTTCTGGATGGGCATGGACGGAACGTGCACGCCATGGAGATTGGGCTGATATTCCATATTACCCAAGCCATCTGTCCAATCAAAATTAGCCATCCGGTCATTTTAAAACACAAGACTCCACATGGTCGCGCTCTCGGTCAATCCAAAATGGTCAGATAATCCTCAGCATCGTGCGGTCTTCTCCGATCACGTGGAATGGCGTAATAGCGGAGTGCACTCGCGACGAAGGAAACCAAGTGCTTGGCGTTGACTAGGGGCCAACGAAAACCTTGCCAGCGCCACAAAGTGTAGACGGACTGCAGCCCTGAGGAGACTCTCGAGAGATCTGCTTTCAGAATACACAGTGTGGTGCTGGCACGCGAGGGAAGGGAAAGTTGAGCACATCGAGACTTCAGAAGACAACATTCAAAGCCATGGCTATGAACGTGCACCACTAAAGCAAGATCAAAGTAGATGAGCTTGTCAACTGAGCTAGCGATCACAAGCCATGCATATATGAGACCAGTGCCCGTGGACAACCTGATATATGGTGTGATCCAGGGGAACTCATGCAACGTAGGCAGACCATCAATCCATCGAGCGCGACCAATAGCAGGCAACTTCAGCGGTTGACTTTCCAACTTACCGTTCAAAAATTCCAAAAATTTCATGTCCGCATTTCTTGTGGAGTGGTCGGCGAGGGACTCGCCGTGTGCAGTCTTCTCCTCCACCGAGTCAAAGGTCGGTAGGCCCAAGTCGGCAAATTTGTCGAAATCGAAGAACTCGGCATTGGTGAACAGAGCCAACTCCTCGTCGAGGTTGAATGTGTTCTGCTGCTGCTGCTGCTGTTGCACGGCCTGGTCGTAGGGCGATGGAATAGCGTTCAGGTCATCGAGATATTGGGCGAAGTTCGGGGCGCGGCGCCCATTGAGACCAGCCATTTCGAAAGATGTGCGGAGTCGCGTGGACCGTGATTGAATATAACGAACAATGGTAGGGGTTGCGCTTGTTCAAGGCCCGAAGGCTTCGCGTCTGCGTGATCGTTCGTGAGGGACGTGGATCGGGCGCGCCGGATGCGGCTCTCGGCCGGTGTGGATGGCTGTATCGAACCCAGGTAAAGCGGAGGGCGGATTCTGTCGCGACGCGCGAATGTAACGACCAACGATAGTTTTTGGTCGATGAACTTGATCGGTTGATATGATGTGAAGGAGAGGAGGAGGAGAGAGGAAGGGTCGAGTCACTGGTGGGTTGGGGGAGGAGCCACTTGTGGGTTTTCCCTTTGAGTTTGAAGGTGGTGGGGGTTCAATTCATCCGACGAGGGGTGCTGATTAATCGCCGGTTTGCCTCATACAATTGCATAAGCAAATCATCAGATCCAAACCTCGTCCTGACTCGGACGCGCTCCACGGTGTTTTGTTTGGCTATTCTTTTCAACCCTCTTCTATAACTCTATAATCTATGTCGATTCCAGTATACCTGTCCTCTGCTATGCTACCTTTGCCCCATGTCTACAAACGAGTTGCACAGTTGAACCCTTCTCCTTATCACAGGGCAATCGGTTCCGGGTGGCCGAAAATCGGAGGCGAATCCACTGGAATTGCTGGTACCCACTCTTGGACTCGACCTCCAAAGGGGGGACTGGGTGGGAACGGAGGGCCCCATCGCACAGATCCGCATTGAGCACGGTCGCCCATTAACGGCTCGCAACACACGTTCTGTTCTATGTGCGACCCCAGGGTCTGTCAGCACTGGACTTTCCCGAAATCCCCTCACGGCGCATTCGGTTTGGTTTCTTTAATTCATCCGCACTAACCAGCCTCATATCGAGAAAATAGAATTTACAGCGACAAGCGCGGCTTGCACGGGGCCTGCTATGGGCTTTCATTGGCGGATGCCGCCAGCATTTGTCAGCCTCGAGGTGAACTCACTTTCTGGTCATCGCACTTCCCTGTTTCTCCCGAGGGTTTCGCCGGTGTATTATTCAGCATCGCCTCCGGTCCACGGACCATTTCGCCTGTGGCCAACCAATCCCGTGGGATGATGATGCGCAAAAGGGGGAGACTTGGAGTGGCACTTGGAGGGGGATACATATATACATCCATGGAGGGACAGTATGTTAGTGCTACCCAGGGCTTTGACCACACTAGGCTCGTGCTTCGCAGACCTGCAGGACATTCGAGAAAAGCACGGACAGTCTCCACGCCCACGAGATACATACATTGATGGGCATTTGCCAGGGATTCGCGGTCTGGGACCGGGAACTGAGTTATGAAAGAAATCATGCCAATAATCATGAAACTGAGGTTCTTCGTAGTGTTGTCTTTTGCAAATCTCATTCCAGTACAACGGTGGATAATATACGGGAGCATCTTCTTTGTGGTCGTGATGCAAGTTTCCCTTCTCAGTAATTGTATCATGAAATCCCAAGCAGCGACAAGACCAATCAGATTGATTCGGCCTAGAGAGCGCCTGGAAGGTATATATCAATGAACACAAGCGACCATCAAATTGATAATACAATCCTGCTTCTCGAAAGCTTAATCAAATATCCGTCTGTTCTCGAAACTCTCTTCGGCCCCAGAGGCGCATTGTACTTCATTCACTTATCAGCACGTGATGTTATTTATCGAGTCTCAACGCGCGTGCTGTCCGAATGACGGGAATGGAAAGATCAAAGCAATACATTCAAATCCCATAGACACCAATCCTAAGTCAGGCCATTCCGCTGATGCAAAATTCTTGTGTCTAACCGACTGCCAACACAACAATCTCCGAGTCCCAATCAGCCATGGTGCGCTCCAAAACGGTTCGCGCAGCGACAACAGCGAGCCTTCCAAACAATTTGCGCATCCCCTCAACAACTTCCTCTCTTATAAAAGCCCTGGGAAGACTGTCGCGACAAGAGCTACTGGATTTAGCCCTTCTCTGGCTAGATGATCGAAATCTGAGCTCTTTCCCTCCATATCTCCAGCCGGCCGCCGACAAGGGCTTTGATGATGAGGAGACCTTGCCCTATCCCGCGGCCGAAACAGTTGAAGAAGCCCGCCAAACATACGAAGATCTTCAAGCCCGCAGGGGTGGGAAACGGGAAGTTCTCGAGCGTATTTTGGAAGGGGATTGGCGCCACGGTATCACCCTGCGCCAGCTCGCAATGGCCGACTTGCGCTATATGGACGACCATCCCGCAAGCCTGCGATGGACGGCTCTGGAGCTGAGTCGCATTGGGGTGCAGGTTAAGCATTCCCGGACAGCTCCTGTAGCTGGCGACTGGTCTAGCAGCATTCCACGCATGCAAGCAGCAACCTTCGTCAAGGCGCTCCAACAAGAAATTTCCCCGCTGGTGAAGGCTCACTACCACCTCGCGCGCTCGACTACCTTCCCTCTCACCTTCCTCCGCATCTTCATCATCGACTCGCCATACCAATCGCCCCGGCAAACGCCTGAAATCTTTGCCGACTCGTCGCGTGTGATCTATGTCGCTTTCCCTGATAGCTGCCCCTTCATCTATACCTCTATATCCGCATCAACCGGCACGAAGGCAGCCGCTGCGTCAACAAGCTCAATCGCCACGGACCCTCGAAGTCTGCAGCGCTTAGTGCGCGATGCTATTCCCAAAGCCTTTTCTCGTCCACAAGAGCGATATACCCTAAAAGCCACCGCGTTGGCCGCGAAGAATCTGCCTACTCTACTAGCGCTCCGTGGGCCGGGCCGAAATACAGGAGCAAATGGAGCTTTCAGTATATTCGCCGATTCTGCCATCGAAGGTAGCCCGCTGGACCCACGCCCGTCAAACACGGTTCCCGTCGAGGAACATATGCGTAGTGGGCACAGGTCCTTGGCAACGGACGACAAGGAGAATATCCGCGACGCAGATGATCTCCCGCAAGCATCAAGCGCTACATCAAAAAGAAAGTCCCAGGGTCAAGATACAAGACCACTTTCTCCGGGGTCTAAAAAGCGGCGGCTTGCTGTCCAGACCCGCTTTGGAACAGCCGGTTCCTCGTTAGCCCCTGCGCCTCTCGATCGTCTCGATATTCGGCTTCTTGACATGCCTGTCGCCGACAAGTCCGCTGATTCCGCAGAGCAGCCCTCTGGCACCTCACCGGCAATCTCACTTACTTTCAGCGGATCAGATGTTATAGGGGGGATTCGCAAACTCGCCGAGTTGGGAGTAATTGACCCGGAGCGGATGCCAACCTGGATGACAGGAGAGGAGGCCGTCAGTACGGCTGTTGTTCAGGGAGGGAAACGGGTGAGGAATGCTATATGAAAGTCGCTTTTTTTATGGTTTACATTGCGTATGGCGCTCTTTGGCGGATTTAAATTGTTTTATCCTGGCCTTTTCTGTGATACCCCATTTTTGAGAAGGTCGATATGAACTCATGCAAATTCTTTGTCAATGGATGTTCCCCATTTAGCACGTAATAATGTTGGAATAGACCGAGTAGTTCGAGGTTCATAAACCATTCCATCAAGAACTGGCTTCTTGGTAGAATATCTATCGATCGGCGTACCGGTATTGCTCCTGCTTTTAGAGTACAGATCTTCTGGCAGTGTGGTGTACACCGGTCTCCTAGTTATCTCAATGGGCGTGCATTCTTTGTGTCTGCCATAACATTGATCACATGTAGCTGTCTCAATTGAGGAACATTCAATGTTTAGACATATTTCTGTACGAACCCACGCTAGGTTGTTGTCCAGAACTATAAAGAGGCCAATTATGATCGACTGAACTCCAATACTCCTACGTGTATAATTTTGATCCTGACCAGCATCATACGGACCGTGGAAGGGGTGACAGAGTCGGCACCATGCCCAATAAAGTGGCCATCAAACAGTAAATTTCAAGTGGTTATCAGGAATTACAGACTCCTCACGACCCTGGATTTCGATTCCAGATATAGGCCCATGGGGTTGATGTTCATCAAGTGGCTATCAGCAAGGTAGGTAGGAATCTCGTGGTCCACCACATCAGGGGGGCTAATGAAGAGGCAATCAAGGCTCTGAGCCCAGTGAGCAAAATATTCACAGGAAACAATAAAGCATTGGCAGACAAGGGGTATATGGAGAAAAAGGACTCTCTCTCCGAGCGAGAATTTCAAATACACGCAAAGCCCAAGAACAGAACACCCGCAAATTCTCATTCATTATCAACAAAGGAGTTGGCCAAGCGACCAATGAATGGAACTTCGAAGTGGTCGAGCGTGGCGACTAGGAAAAAACATGTATCAGACGATAGCCAGCACTATGGATATTCGTTGACAGGCGTGCTACTCACCATCTCGATAAGCACGCATGCTAAGGAATCCCATGAGAAAAAGATCAATAATAAAGAGAGTCCATGAAATGAAGCTACTCCAGGAGAAGATGAGATGGATTATCTATGCCTAGCGTTAATATTTTCGGACCTGCGACGAGAAGGTCTCCAATTGAACCTACGAAAATGATGGCAAAAAGCATGCTCGACTGCCAGGCATGGAACCTGCATCTATTTGTTAGATCACTCCTAATTTCAACCCTTTCGAATCTCTCGGCTCTCAGAAACCACGTACCGCACGTAGTCACTATTGTGCTCCATCAATAACAAAAACACACCTCCAGCTGGAGGCAGAAGAAGGTATGCCAACATAGCCTCAATATCCATGCGAATGGGAAGACTCGTCTCGAAGGCACCTAGGCTCACATGGCCACCTTCCACGTCCCGTCCAAAGCCAGTGTTGGTATGTCCACCGGCGAAATGGCTTGGGGATGGCAGATCGGCTGAGGTCCGGGGAGATCGGAGATTGGGTGATTTAACACGGCCATCCGGGTTCGGAGGGGACAGCGCCCGCTCGATCTCCGGGGATTCGTCCTGGTACGGGGCGAAATTCATTGTTTATTGGGGTTGGGCAAGAGAAACGACGGGGGAATTTGGCCATGATTTGGGGGAAGCTCCTTATCCTTATCGTAGGAACCTAAACTTATCGGGTCGCGTGTCCGCGTATACAGGGGTGCCTGAGGCATCAAGGGGATTTCCAGAGGATCGCAATTGGGTATCTTTCATTGGGCGCGTTTTCTCCATCTCTAGGGTCTCATATATCATACAAGAGAGTGGGTTGCAAATCTAAGCCTTGCCCCGTCCTCGAGCAATTCCACTCCCGCGAGCAATCCCACTCGCTGGTCTCCGCGTCGCAGTTGTCGAGGATCCACGCGTCGCCGCGGGTCGATTGGTACTGACGCTCGGTGTCCTGCCGAGTCCAGTGCTACGGACGGTGCCACGAGTAGTCCCACGGCCACGAGTGATGGCTGCCCGCCGTCTCGCTTCCTCGTCAGCTTTCTGCGCTGCTGCTTCTCGTTGATGTTGGAGTGCTTGTTCGCGTCGCTCGGCTGCCTGTTGCCTCTGGATGGCTTCATTCTCCATATCGGCCACGTCCTGTGTAGCACCTTGCCAGTTGGGGTTGAGAATGAGTCGCTGGTTATGTTCGGTTTGGGAGAGAATTCTCGTCCATGTATTGAGAAGCGTTGACGCTGAGGTCACGGTTCGCGATACTGTCTGTGAAAGATTTAGCAGGGAATAAGGTATATCAACCATCATCAGATTCTGCAATTTACCTCCATGTTGCCTTTGGCGTGGTCGATGCTGCCTAGCAGGCTTTCAAGGACTTCATTGATATTCCGCACAGCCTCTAGCTCATTTTGCAGCGCCACCTCGCGAGCTTCCTGGCGATCGAAAAGCGTATTACCACTATCGTGGGGCTGTCGAGGTTCTTGAGGAGGAATTCCGTCGGAAGATCGAGATTCAAATGGTTCATGAGTTTTTCGCTTTGACGGGGAGTTCCAAAGATCTTCTGTGTCTTCATCGGAGAGCTGAAGTCTTTCCATTTCCTCGGCAGTGCTTCGAAAAGCCATTTTGGCGGGGAGGGGGAAAGACGGGATTTAGAAACGGTCTTTACTGCGCAAAGATTTCTGATGGGCAGAGCACTGAGTGGGTCTGGGGTAAGTCCACCACAATCAGTTCGTAAAAAAAAGAAAAGAAAAACACCAAAGTCGCGGGGCAATCTGCATCGAGGGAATGTCAACAAATCTATCCATGGGCCGAGAACGATCGCGGGGCGGGAAGAATGGCGCCAAGGCGGTAAGCTGGCTGGGCGGTGAACAATTGAGGTGGCTGGGCGCCAAACATGCCGCCCTTTATTGGGACCTCGCCCTTTCTTCCCACTCTTGACTTTTACATCGTTTTCTTGTTGCTGTTCCTCATTGATATCTCATCTACTGAAAGAGCTCTTGAAATCTGTTTGTTCCCGATTCCTATCGCATATTTTTGTCTGTGCTCCTCCATTGTTGATCGAGTTTCATTGCGCCCTTGATTCAGCCGTCTCAACATCAACCTGACGACTTCAGACTGGAATTTGTTCCAGCAACGCCATCCCGCGTCGAAAGTCGTATAGATCTGAGAAATTTTGATCGATTTACGCCATCTTGCACTTGTTATTGATTACGAGCGTTCATAATGGCATCGACTCCGCCCCCGCCTTCACCATCATCCCTGCGCGTTCCTACTGCACCGCGACATGGTGCTGGATACGACCAATATGAGCCATATCCCACCCGATTCTCAGCGAGATTAGCCAGCCAGCGTGCGTCAAGGATAAACGAGAAGACACCAGAGCCCAACTGCCCCAGTTCGCCTAGCAAAATGCGATATAGAGCGTCACCTAAAAAGAATCGAAAGGTTGAGGAGGAAACGTTGTCGCCTCCCAAAAGCGAAGCGAAACTCCATAACAATTCTCACTTCGCACAATCGGCTGCCTACAATCACACTCTTGATTTTGATATTTCTGGATCGCACAATCGCCACCCTTCTCGCTCTCGCTCAGCAGTAAATCAATCTCTGCCAACCCCTGCCAAAACCCCTCCAAGAGGAAGATTGCAGACGATCTCTCTTCTGCATCTCGTACTCTATTTCCTACCCACGGAAGAATGGCAAGCAAGAAGCCCTCTCATTTGTCTCTCGATAGCTTCGAGACCCCTGCTGCGCCAAAGGAAATTCAGATTTATACGGATTCTCGTGACCGTATCCCAGTGTCTGTTGCTGCAATGAAAACTCCTTTCGCTGCAAAGATTGAAAAGGACAGTCCTGGCAAATGGGCTTCCAAGCGTTCCACCAATGAGCCCAGCTCCAGCTCACATGACAGTCCCGTCACCATCGTGTAGTAAGTTTCGTATCATTTTATCCTCAGTTGCACCACTGATTTTAACATGGTTTTGCAGTCATCCTAATGATAGTGACAACGAGGATACCAAGAAGTCTATCACTCAAGATGGAATGACCATGATTTTGTAAGTTCTGTGATATCTCCATGACTCTAATAAGGCAAATATTCTGATACAAATTTCACAGCCGTGGCAAGAAGGTCTACAACAAATTTGAGGAAGAAGAAGATGATGGTGATGACGAGATGGGCCTGTTTGCCGCTCGCCCCGACCTACTCGATGACAGTGATGATCTGTTATCTAGTGTTCAGCCCCTTTCTCGCAACTCCATCAAGCCGCGGGTTCTCTTCCCGAGTCAGAAGCCACAGGACCAGGACCAATCAGTTCATGAGGAGGAGGCAGCCACGGATGATGAAGACGGCTATGAGGCGGATCCTCAGTCACCCCTTGCTGACTCCAAGTCACCTGTCTTCACTCCTCAGTCACCTGAGTTCCCTCGTGCTCCTGGTGCCACCCGCCTCCTGCGTTCTAACGCTCGGTTTGGTTCTCAGCTCGATCTTACTCCTACTGTCAGCGCCTCTTCTGACGCAAAGCGGAAGCGCATCAGCCCCTTTGATCAGTGGTTGCGTAAGAAGCAGAGCCCCGAAGATACAGCCGTTCCAACAACTCCCAAGAAGAGAGAGGCCGACCGTTCTGGCAGCCCTGTCGCTCCTCCCTCGGCCAAAAAGACCCGCAGCACTCGTGGTGCTGTTGTTCCGTTGGTTTAAATCTCACTTTCACCATCCCAATGTTGGGAATTCATTTGCCTCACTTATGAAGGTTTTTAATTTCGCATGGTGCATTAAGTGAGCGGCTTCTATCTTCTTTCCTCTTTTTCTTTACATCCTGAGTGTTGTCATTCTTCAGAGTGACAGAAGAAAACACTTGACTTCTTTGAAATATTGGATGCCTTGCATGTCGCCTTGCGGGAACTTTCCCTGCTTGGCATCTTATTCTCAGTTCTCTTGAAGCATCCTTTGTTGTGTCGTCCTTGCTTTGACATTTTAATTCGTCCTCCTCTTCATGACTCATGTGTCTTTTCGAACATTGAATTCTTCTGCTGCTTTTCTTTGGCGTGTGTGGGTTTGCTCATCTTTGGGGAAAACAGGATACCAGGTACCTTACGTGTTTCAGGAAATGGGTTGGGGAGTTGGGCTTGCTTTTTTTTCTTTTCTTTTCTTTTTTCTTCTTCTTCTTGGTGTCTTTGCTTTGCCAGTCCTCTCTCTATCTCTCTGGTTCTAAGAGAACAAACTTAGGTTCTGAGCGGCTGAAGCCTGCGTGTTTGGTTTCTACGTTGATGGAACGTTAATGGAACAAGAACTTTTATGAACATGTCCACTTTGTAACTTTTCCCCATAGACTAATCCTTGTTAAATGCTTATGGCCTGTGAGAAATAAACATCGCCATAGTAGCCCATCCAATCCCCATTCAGCAGGACCCAATGCTCCCTGTTTTTGATTATCGTTCCTCAGAAAATCCAACAAAAAAAAAGGCTCAAAGGCCAACGCTGGATGCCTGAAGTGCCATATAATCAGCAGGCCCAGCATGGTGGGTCGCGAAGTAACATCGCTAAAGATGCCTTGTTTCCCCGCTTTTGAATTTGATTAACCACTCCAGCTTTGTTCAAGGTGAAGTAACGTCTGAAAGGCTCAAAATGAGCGCCGAATTTACAGTTTCAAGTCCTCTTCTTTCGAGTCAACGGTCATCAAACTTGAAAGCAGACCTTGAGAATACTATGCAACAGGACGCTACGTCTTCAGAGCAGGACGATATCCCACCATTACATGCCGTCAATATCGCTCAGAGATGGAATGAGTCGAAGACTATGATTTGGAGGGTGACAGCCACATTCTGGTGTGCATTTGTTATGGGTTCCAATGATGCCGCATATGGTGCTATAATTCCCTATGTTAGTGTTACCCTCTTTCTGTTTACTACCTTTTCAACTGCCTAAACAGGACTCTGGGGTTGTTTTGCTCTAGTTGCAACTTTCTTATCACAAAAGCTACACTGTGATCTCGCTGGTTTTCCTCTCGCCCTTTTTTGGCTATACAGCGTCCGCCATCCTGAACAGTCTGGTCCATCAGCAGTTCGGCCGTCGAGGAGTCAGTATTCTCGGCCCTGGATGTCACTTGCTGGCTTTCATGGTCATATCACTTCACCCTCCCTTCCCGGTATTGGTGATTATGTATATGTTTGTCGGCTTTGGCAGTGGTCTCCAGAACGCAGCCTGGAATGTGTGGATTGGAAACATGGCTAGTTCTCACCAAGTCCTTGGGTGTCTCCACGGATTTTATGGAATTGGCGCGACATTCAGCCCTCTAGTTGCTACAAGTCTGATTACCAAGGCTGGCTGGGAATGGTATTTGATCTACTATCTCATGGTATGCACATATATCATGCTTCACAACACGACAAACCTGGAATAGCCTTCACTGACATGATAAGCAGACCGGAGGGGCGGTGATCGAGCTTGTCAATGCCACTGCTGCATTCTGGACTGATAACGGCTCTCAATACCGTCAAGAAAGTGCATCGTCTTCCGGCAGAGACGAAGGAATCAACCAAACCCGTCTTTCGCTTACCTACCGAGTCACATGGATCTGTGCTATCTTCCTCTTCCTATATGGGGGCGTCGAAGTATCCATTGGCGGGTGGATTGTTGTTTTCATGACCAAAGTTCGTCATGGCAAAGCATTTGCATCCGGTATGGCAGAAACGGGGTTCTGGCTCGGCGTCACAGTCGGCCGATTTGCGCTCGGATTTGTCTCACCTCGGATTGGCGAGAAGCTGTCGATTGCCGTCTACATCATTCTTGCAATCGCACTTGAGCTCGTTTTCTGGCTTGTGCCGGACTTTATTGTCTCCGCAGTGGCGGTCTCCCTCGTTGGCTTCTTCTTGGGCACTATTTTCCCGGGGGTGGTGGTTGTGGCCACTCGTCTGCTGCCGAAGAATCTTCATGTAGCGGCTATTGGATTTGCAGCCGCTTTCTCCATGGGAGGCGGCGCTGTGTTTCCTTTCATTATCGGCGCTATTGCACAGGCTAAGGGTGTGGCAGTGCTGCAGCCTATTTTACTTGCCATGCTATTTGTAGCGTTGATGGTTTGGGCAATGCTGATTCGAGAGCCAACGCAGGGGCTACCGTATATGGTTTAATAGGGACGAATATATATAGATATTATGAGTAGAACAGGGGCGATAGCTTGTTGATGAACCGATTGAAAAGGAACGTTTACCCGGATATTCAAACGACAGCCGAGGCTTACGACATATACATGGATGTTCTTTTTCTGAATGGAGGTTTAGTATTCATGTACTAGCTTAGCAAAGAAATCGCCCAATGGAGTTGTTGAACAAAATTTTTCTTCATTCGTGACAGCGTTATAAGAAATATGAGTAGGTAGACCACAAACCGAACCGGTCTGGAAAGAATAACAGCTTTTTGCAGGTATTACACAATCTCTAAGTCATCATCATCGTCTGATAGAACATGTCTTCTCTCTGTTGCCGCATCAGCACCCAAACTCTCTCGGCCTGCTTCTCTGATCCCTTTTGAGGTGATAAACCGGGTCTTCTTGACACCACTGCCATGTGGCTTGTCATTGACGCGCTTCATAGGGCCTCTTAGGCGGACATTCTCCGCTTTGAGAGCGGATAAATTCATGCTCTGGGTGACAGATTGAGTCGTTGGTGTCGAGGGTGTCTTCGGTACTTTGTCGTGGTCTCCAAGTTTGGGGCCAATCTGGTTATTGGCGCGAGTGCGAAGGTAGTCTGCGCCAACGCCACCTGCCCGACCAGAGACGACAAGTTTTTGCGCGATATCACGCTCACGTTGCTGGTCTGCAACACGTCGACGGAATAGCTCCTCCTTGTTCTCCATACCACGTCCCATCATACCGGCGGCAAGGAAAGGGTCATCATTGGTATCAAGTAGATTGGCAGCTGACCGCCCGGAGGTGAAAGGACTGAAAGATGCGCGGGCAAGACCCGCGGTTTTGGGAGCAGGGGCTACATAGTAGGTAGACTGGGAGGCCCAATCATATTGGGCACCCTCTGACTTCAAGCCATCGCGACCTCCTGCTCCTCCTTGGCCTCGGCCGACAGTACGTGCGCCAGCTCCTCTCCCACCACCACCACCCCAGACGCCTGTTCGTTGTCCGGACTGGCCGCCAGGGCCAAACATCCCCGTACCCTTATTAATACCGGCACGCTGTCCTTGGGTGCGCCGCACCTGGACGTCAATATGAAAGTCACAGAACTCGGTCTTTCGCCCGTCTACCCATGACTGGCAAGTTTTTCCGTCTTTCCTCACAGATTTGCAGAAGCCAATGTCTCGGGCTTTTCCGATCTCGAGAATTTTGTCATCCGAGGAGGAGAGCGCCAAGCTGAACCGATTGGTGTCCAGTTTATTCTTTGGAGGGGGCATAATTGTGGGATTCAAGATTGCAATGACTGTTCCCTTGGATATTCTGTAGTACCGAGGGAATGCTGTATCAAAAAGAAACATGTCAATGGTCCACTTGAGGTCAGTCAAAGTGATAGCCATGTAGTTATTGGAATTGTTCAGCCCATCATCATATGGGTTCGTTGCTTTCGCAGTGGAGCTCCCGGAAGCTTTGGTTTGCTTCGTATCGGACTTTGATGCAACGATTCCAAATACGACAAAATCACCATCTATCTCTTCCGGTAGTTCAAACGAAGGTGCTTTGACCGTTTTGAGGAGATCGGGTATTTTGAGTATGGTTTTGTCTGCTAAGGTGCGGCTCAGAAATGAATGTGGTAGTACACGGCTTGACAGGTGTAACGAAGAATATGCTTCGAATTTAGAGGAGTCAGGTGGGTTCACTATGACTCCAGCTTCATTAGAGGCTGCGTCAAGTTGGGCACCGTCCTCATGAGATGAAGCTCGTCCGTGTGAGGCAGATGACCGGTTTGGAGTACCCCCTGCATTCCTAATATTTGGAGTGGTTTGGCTGCGCTTCATCCCGCCAGAACGAGGCGGGCCAAGAGAGCGAAGAATATCCTCGCGATTGAAACTTGGCGCTTGTGGCTCTCGGGAAACAGATAATGCGGTGGAAATGTTTTCATTTGCGGCTGCTGCCTTGTAAGTCTCGATCTCAGAGTTGTCCAGCTGGAAGCCAGAGCTTCTATTTGCTTGGATCCTGTTCACTCTGTCCATCCGAGCTTGCTCCGCCTTCTCAGCGGCACGGCCTTCGGCCATGCGCTCACTGAAACTTTTGATCCTGTTCAGCCCTGCACCTCCGGGTGAAGTTTGTGGTCTTGATGAAAAGACATCACCTGAATGTGGCATTGCACTGCTTCTGCCTCCAAGCTGACTGGTTGGACGAGGAGGACGCTTTAGAGATACATCATTGGCTTTCCAACCCTTGTCAATCCCAAGTTGATACCTCTTTGGAGACCAGGGCTCTGCTGCAGCTGTTTCACGCCGCGTTGGGGACACCGGAACCTGAACATCATCTGTATGAGCCCTTCGCTGCACACTTGTAGGACTCCTCGGGATCATGGAATGGCTCTGAGACCGTGAGATGCCGGAAGTTGGGCGGGCACGTCCTTCCTCTCCTCCTTCATTATTTGAACTGGTGGCGCCAGACCTTCCGAGATTCTTCTGCAGCTGCTTCAATTTGAGGCGAGCCTTGATCTCAGCAAGCTGCAGTTGTAGGGTCTCTTCATCCTCCTCGCCGTCACCCTCGTCCTCATCAATGACCAGGTCGGCCTTGGAGCGGAAGTTTGGGGTTGTGTTTGAGCGTTTTAAAGGCGAGGAGAGTAATTCTCGGCGACGTTGCACGTCTTGGTATTTCCTTCGTCCCCCAGGCGAACTCAGCAGGGCTTCGCGGGGCGACTTGGGCGGCCACGCATTATCAGTCACTAAAACCGGCAGTATTAGCAAGGAAATCTACATCATTCTCGGAGAAGATCTCACTGTTTCTTTTTCGAAGCCAAAAGGTAGTCAAAATTCGAGATCACCATGGAGCGGCACGCCCAACTGCTTCAGCCGCTCCGCAGGCCATAAGCTGTGTCTCGATCGGCACAAGAGAACAAGATGACTGTCGACAGGTGAGAAAACCTAATCCAGGTAGATACAGGAAACGAGGGAGTTGGAAACAATGCAACGGCTGTCTCCTGGTTTCTTCAGACGCAAGGACGTAGGGAGATGTGAGGGATCACACACCTGCATGGCCCGGCCCGCACATGATTCCATGGCGCGTCCCGGCGCGTCTCGCGGTTTCCCTTTTCAAGCCTATTCAATCCTGTCTTCCTCCACCAACCCGCCAATTCGTCACCACAATGCCCCGCACTCGATCAACTGCTCCCTCGGAGCAGACTGAGCCTAAACAAGATAATACAACATTGACATCGGTGGAGAAACCCAGCAAGAGCTTTATTATTCCGTCCAACGTGAGCGCCAATGCGCGCCTGGTTTCCCTACCGAACCCACAGTCGGGCGAGCTATCCCGCTATTTCTTTTGCCCAGAGCGCGGCTTATATGAGTTCACTGTCATCGCGTCTTCTCCTCAATTAGCGCGCAGTATTTTATTTACCCCCGATACGCAACAGTCGACGCCCGGGTCCGAAGATGAGCGAAAAGTGTCTGCCGCAAAGGCATCAATTGCCAAAAAGGCAGAGTTGCTGGTCGCGACGCCAATCGATGCAATCTTCTTCCTGATTCCATTGTTTTCATTGTCATCGAAGTCTGGCCAGTCCCTCTTCCAACCATTGGACGACATGATCGACTCGAACGACGACCTTCCTCCGCACCTCCGCCAGATTCTTTACAACGAGACATTCAGAGGCAATCTTCTGTCACGCGCGGAGTCTATTTGTGATATTGTGGAAGCTGGTGATGAAAAGATGTTCCGTTTCAGCGAGACAAAGCTTCTGAAGGAGCTTGTTGCTAAAGCAGAGCGTATGGCGGCCCACGGGCTGCCTGCAAGCATGGAGGAACGATTTGTTCGCCAAACATTGGCCGCTCCACTGATGTCAGTCAAACGTGAAGATGTTTTGACCAACCATACGTCAAATGAGAATGAAGCCAATCTCTCTAAGTCAGACGAGCGACCAGACTCACCATCGACAGTGGCCACAACAACAACACCATCGGTATCGACACCTGCCGGAGAAACTACGCCTGCACCGCAACCTTTGAATGAGGGATCAGCACCTGTGGATGAGATCGCTCGCCTGCAGCGGGTTTCCATTGCCCTGTCTTTCATGAAAGATTCGTACCTGCCACAGACCTTGTGCTCTCGAGTCGACGAGATGATCGCCGCCCCGGAGAGCCCTTTAGATTTCAAGCCATTGACTGAGCGATTGAAAGAACTCGTCACGCTTCGTGCTGAAGCCCTCGCATCGAGAAGTACGAATGACTTTAGCCGAAAACGCGGGTTGGATGATGAGGAAGTCGAAGCTCGTGCTGATAAAAAACGCCGAAAGGAGGAGGAAGAAAAGAAGAGCAAAGCATCTGAATCTCGAGGAGTTCGTGATCTTAAAAAGGTCAATACATCTGGCATGAAGAAGATGAGCGACTTCTTTGGAAAAGCTGCTATGAAGAAGAAGACGTGAATGTTTCCTCGGGTGATACTCAATAGGATTTCTTTCAGCATGCACAGCATGCTGATGAACACGAGCGGGCTCCACTCTTCTTTGGAATTTGCATCATCCATGGCGAGCGCAAAAGCTGCGGCTCCGAGATGGCCGATAGATGAGCCACGCCTCAAAACTTCACAAGCACGGTACTTGCGAGGCGTGGCAGGAGAACGACAGTCTTATCGCGTACTTAGCAACGATATGATAATCTAGACAGTCAATTGGCCTACATCTGTCTTAGATCTCTCGTTATCAGGCTGGACCGTTAATGATTTACTCGAGCCTTTTATTTGATCGATTCTTGGTTGAGGATCCTCTACGCAGTTGAAAAGCTGCCCATAGCGCCTCAGTGGGAAACAATGGAGGGCTTTTGAAAGTTTGTGGATTTTTTTTGGAAATTATTTTAATCAATGAACCCTTCTGGGCAATAATACCCCAAAGCTTAAAGAGCAACTTGATCAATTGCAGCACCCGCAACTCTGTTTTCATATTAGTAATATTTCCAACAAACAGTATGAATATCAACGCAATTCACCAACGAGGGAAAACATACACAAATGAGCCATTGGACGGCTTGCTGATAACCATAGCCTGCTCCAGCTTCTCAGCAGTGATATCGGGGAACTTCTTGAGGTAGTACTCGTTGCGCAGGGCCGTCGTGACAGCCTCAACCTTGTCCTGGGGCAGCATGTGCACGGTGCAGCCTCCCCATCCAGCACCAGTCAGCCGGCTACCCAGAGTGCCCGCACGGCGGGCAATGGCACAAATCTCATCGACCTCGGGAGCGCTACAGTCGTAGGCAGTGCGGCACGACTCTTGCGACTCGTTCAGCAGCTGACCCAGGTACTGGATGCGCTTCTCATCCAGCTGCGAGGCATTGGCAAGGCATGCCTTGAAGTCCAGCACGCGGCGGGCCTCCTTGAAGCAGTGCAGCGTGCGCTGGCGCAGAAGGAAGCGCTCGGCTTGGACAGGAAACGCGGACAGAAAGTTTGACTCCAGCTCGGCGACGGTGATGCCCAGCAGCTCCGCCATTTCTTCGCGTGTGTAGCCTTCTTCCTTCGTCAGGAGATCTTGGGTTGCCTGGATGACGGAGTCGATCTGATATTCCAACGGGTCGCCGAGACGGCCCTCCTTGGTCATCAGTTGGTTCTGGAAGTTACGTAGACTGTATCCCAAGGAGCTGTTGTCCTTCGGAAGAGTCAGGCCGTAGTGCTTAGCGAGGATGACCGCGGCGAGTGTGCACTCGGCCACACGCAGGTTATAGTGTCGCGGAGCGGTTTCGGCCTTGTTCGAAGTGACGAAGCTCTGGGCCATTAGGAAGGTGATTTCGTTGGTAGCCTTGGGGATCGGAACGTGCTCAACCGCGAACTGAGGGTAGAATTGGGTGTAGAGCAGGAAGCCGCGCTTGGAAAAAATGGAAGCAGCCTGATCCATGCTGTAGAGGGGAAGATTGAAGAATGTTCGTTAGTTTAGGATTCCCCATTTGTCTTCAAGTTCAATCGTTCCTGGAAACTTACCCGCCAGAGTAGACACCGACAGCACGCTCCGATACAACGGCCAGATCCAATAGATCCTGCTTCGATACGTTGTGGTTGTTGGCCTTCATGACCGCCAAAGCACTTGCGCAGACAAATGCAGCGCTGCTGGAGATACCACCACCCGGGGGCACATTACCATCCACCAGAATCTCCATACTGGCAGGGACCAGCGCGCCAGCGGCCTGATTGCGAAGGAACTTGAGGGCGCCTAGCAGGCCGGCTTTGAAGTAGTTCACCCACTCGTGCTTCTTGGGGTCAATTTCGATATCGGAGTCCTGAGGGACAGCGAACTCGCGGGTAGGGAATTTCTCCGGGTTAACATTCGCGATCTTCACCGTCGTGCCCGCGGTACCAGCCGGGACGACCTTGACGGCCATGATCACATCAACGCTCACGGCGGTCGGGAGGACATCGTAGAGAGAGTAGTCAATGTGCTCGCCGATGATGTTGACGCGCCCTGGGCTGCGCGCGACGAAGTCAGGACGGTGATTATACTGCTTGTTGAACTGGGAAACGAGAGCAGCCCAGCGCTGCTGGTGTTCCGGAGCAACCGAGTTCACAGAAGCATCATCAGTGGCGTAGACCTCCGCGATGGATTCTGTTTGGGGCACCAGCTCCTGCGGGGATGACATGGCGGGGTGGAGAGTCTTGTACTTTTCTTTTTTGTAGGAAGAGGGAGAAGGGAGGGGGAAATAATAGAAAGAATGGTGGGGGAAAACGAAGAAATAGTTGTAGATGATGGCATGTCCACCGCGGGGTTTTTTTGCCCATCCCACTCAGTTGAAGGCAGCCAAGCCCGCGTTCCAACCCCGGGTAAATTGGAGTTGAGGGCTCTTTGGTGGGGCACATACTCCGTACGGCACCTGGTTTCGTCCCCGGTGTCCCGTTGAAGTGTAGCCCTTTGCGGGGGGTTCGGCTTGGGCCACCCTTCGGTTCTGTTCCTGGAATGACGTGGTTATCGAATCCGGACAAAATTAATGTGATCGCAAGATCAATTGATCAGGCGTCTCCATTCCTGTACTGATTCATGTGTTATGCCGTGTAGAAATACTACACCACAGTTAGCCACAAAGAGACTGGCTTAGTATGGTAAATTCTGCCTATCCAAAAGCCCCCCTCAGTGACTGCTACCGATACACCCGTTAGTATTGCTTTTTGACACGCCTACCCCTTTCGAATATTCCTTCTGTTCTCCTCCTACCACGACCCATACCCTTCACCGGGTTTTTAACTTTATTTCTTTTTATTTGATCTTTGGAATCAACGGGTCAAAGGAGGGAACGAACACTTTCGGAGCATAATAGTGTATTCGGTCTGTTGAGTGAAAGCAAAGGTATTGGCTGCCTGTCTTCAAACCCGGCATGCAGGGCAATGCAGGGCTCGTTGAACGAACGGAATTGCATGGCTTGGACCGGGGATGATCCAATCGTTAAGCCGTGTCTGGAACACCGGGCCGAATTGAAGGGGACCCGCCCCGACTTCCGAGTCCACGATGTTCGGGATCCCTTAAGCGACCCGTGAGTCGGCTAAAAAAAGAAAGGGAAAAAAGAAAAACATCGTCGGCTACGATCGGCAGCAGAATCCAAGCTCTCGGGCGATCCCCACGACCCGCCGATGTCAGTGGCTGAACAGACTTTTGGTGATGCATGTACTCCGTAGTGTATGTATAAGCTTAACCAGCGACAAAGTCCGGGGTGAGGCGTCAACAGACCGGGTTGGCGATCGGGCTTCCCCGGATCACGCACAAAGCCCGCCAATTCCCTTGCAGCCAGCCTCACCGTAGACAGAATCGAGCGTAGCTGGGGACAAACTCGCAACAAACCCGCCAAGAGGCTTAGGGCATCTTTAGGTGTACTTGGGCATACCTAAGTTGCCTCGAACGCTTCTGAACTGACCGTCGGCAGAATCACATGACTCCGGCAACGGGCAGATCAGGTGACCGCACCGAGTCTCGCCGAGGTCGGAGCAGCAGAGGGGCGACCAGCCAATCAAACACGCCGAATTCTTGACTCAGAGCGGTCGGATGGTTTGGGTTTAAGGCCTTTTTCGTCTTCCCCCAGAGAGATTCACGGTAAGGGCCATTGGATCTCATTTTTACTTCCTTGACTCACCTACAAGTGCTGCTGGGCTCTCGTCGGTCAGGATGATGCCGTTCAGACCGTCAAAAAGCGCTCTGCGCTCCATTCACCTCCAAAGGCAGCTTGCCTCATCCCGTCGGTCCTTCTCGACTTCGTTCGTGGCTTTGGCTGCCTCGCCCCACCGCTCTTCTCCTCAGAAGCGTGCTCAGAGCACAGCTACCGCGCCCTCGTAAGCATATCTCCAGAATTTAAATCAGATCAGAGCGTGCTAATACCGTCGAGCAGTGATTCTAGGCCCGTGCCGAGTCCGGCTTTCAATCAAGAACCTCACCGCAATGAGATTTCGCCTCTCCAGAACCGTCAGCTCCCCGAGCTTGACGATTCGTAAGTTATTATCCCTTGGCTCATCGCCCTGGATGTGAAAATGACAGGAAATTAACGACCGTTCAAACAGAATGGTCGGCATGAGTGGTGGTGAAATCTTCCACGAGATGATGCTTCGCCTCAATGTGAAGCAGGTCTGTAAGTAGACTGATGCAGCTGCCTTCTCCGGTATATCATTGTTCGTCGAGAACGATTTTTGCTAATGCATCATTTCGAAACAGTTGGTTATCCTGGTGGTGCCATTCTTCCCGTCTTCGACGCCATCTATAACTCCAAACACTTCGACTTCGTTCTCCCCAAGCACGAACAAGGCGCCGGCCACATGGCCCAGGGCTATGCCCGTGCCTCTGGCAAGCCCGGTGTTGTCCTCGTTACCTCGGGCCCTGGTGCAACCAACGTTGTCACCCCCATGCAGGATGCCCTGTCCGACGGAACCCCTATGGTTGTTTTCTGTGGTCAGGTTCCGACCAGTGCTATCGGAACCGATTCTTTCCAAGAGGCCGATGTCATCGGTATCTCTCGTGCTTGCACCAAGTGGAATGTGATGGTCAAGTCCGTTGGTGAGCTGCCTCGCCGTATCCAGGAAGCTTTCGAAATTGCCACTAGCGGTCGTCCCGGTCCCGTCCTCGTCGATCTGCCCAAGGATGTTACTGCTGGCATCCTTCGCAACCCGATTCCTATGCACAGCACCATTCCCTCCCTTCCCAGTGCCGCGACCATGGCTGCTCGCGACATGAGCCAGAAGCAGCTACAAGCCACCATTGACCGTGTGGCTCGCCTGGTGAATACCGCTGAGAAGCCTATCCTCTACGTTGGTCAGGGTCTCCTCGCTCGCCCTGATGGCCCTGAGATTCTGAAGGAGTTTGCCGACAAGGCTTGTATTCCCGTCACCACTACCCTCCAGGGTCTTGGTGGCTTCGATGAACTCGACCCTAAGGCTCTCCACATGCTTGGTATGCACGGTTCTGCTTACGCCAACATGGCCATGCAAGAGGCGGATCTGATCATTGCTGTCGGTGCCCGTTTCGACGATCGTGTGACTCTTAGTATCCCTAAGTTCGCTCCTCAGGCCAAGGCTGCCGCCGCTGAGGGCCGTGGTGGTATTGTTCACTTCGAGATTATGCCCAAGAATATCAACAAGGTCGTCCAGGCCACCGAGGCCGTTGAAGGTGACTGCGCCGACAACCTTCGTCTTCTCCTGCCGCAGGTCGCACCCGTTGCTGAGCGTCCCGAGTGGTTCGCGCAGATCAACGACTGGAAGTCTCGTTTCCCCCTGTCTCTCTACGAGCGCCAGGTCGATGATGGTCCCATCAAGCCCCAGAGCGTGATTGAGAAGCTGAGCGATCTCACCGCTCACATGAAGGACAAGACCATCATTACTACCGGTGTTGGCCAGCACCAGATGTGGGCTGCTCAGCACTTCCGCTGGCGTCACCCCCGTACCATGATCACTTCTGGTGGTCTTGGTACTATGGGTTACGGTCTGCCCTCCGCCATCGGTGCCAAGGTGGCTCGTCCCGACTGCCTGGTCGTCGACATTGATGGTGATGCCTCTTTCAACATGACTTTGACTGAGCTCTCCACTGCTGCTCAGTTCAACATCGGCGTCAAGGTCCTATTGCTGAATAACGAGGAGCAGGGCATGGTCACCCAATGGCAGAATCTGTTCTATGAGGACCGCTACTCCCACACCCACCAGCAGAATCCCGACTTCGTTCCTCTTGCCCGCGCTATGCGTGTTGCTGCTGAGCGTGTCTCTAAGACCTCCGAGGTCGAGGCCAAGCTGAAGTGGCTGATCGAGCAGCCCGGTCCTGCTCTTCTGGAGGTCATCACTGACCGCAAGGTCCCCGTTCTGCCCATGGTGCCCTCTGGCCGTGGTCTTCACGAGTTCCTGGTTTACGATGAAGGTATATTTCGAACCCCATTCTTCCGCACTCGGATTATTTTACTAATTGTCCATATAGCCAAGGAGAAAGAGCGCAAGGAAACCATGCGGAAGCGCAATGTTGACTTCAAGGTTAACTACCGCGACTGAACGTGTTAAGCAAGTGACCGACCAGCACCACTAGCCACGCGTGATGTCATTCATTCTGACCGTCGTTTCTTTTTTTTACCCTTGATATCCATGGCGTTGTCTTGGCAGGTCCACCAAAAGCTACTGGGAAAGAATCAGTCGAACTCGACCACTCCGAACAGAAGCAAAACGCCAAACCGCCGCCTTTCCCCCCAAAGACCAATATGGCAAAAGTTTGATTCGGTAGCCCATGATTTTACGCTCCTTGGGCTCCGCTTATTTTCTTGATAGGGCTTCAAGCCTTTCGATGACATGCATCGTGGTTTTACTAGTCACATTTCGGGGTTCTTTGTTTCACTCTACGCCACCTTTTTTCGTCTTGTGTATATAATGTTTGTGTGTTTTGAGTCATTTAGGTCCAGATTGGGGAAGTGCCGTTTCGGATTCAATGCTAGTGGAGCAGGTACTACTTCCGAAAACATTATACGTTTCTTGAACCAGCTTTGGGTATCTACCTTGTTTTTCGTAGGCGCTCCTTGTTGGGAAGGTACAAAAGTAAGCCGCACTGATTTATCTCATTCACCCTCTGCCCTCGTCCTCGGTCCAGCGTACAATCCCTGGCAAAGTCAGATCATCAAATGTCTCCTGCGCTGGTCACCTTATTGTGTTCCAATAATTTCATTATTTATTGAATCACTACTAATTGACCTGCAATAGTCCATGAACGAGCGTAAGAAATCTTTGCTGTGCGCTGGGCGACGCATTTCTTGATGGAATTTGGGCACCCCTGCTAAAAATGATGTTGTTCAGATATTCTCGATCGCAGTGATGGAGACCCCACAAGCCATTAGCCTAGTTCTCTCCAAACCATAGATAGGATCTTTTTCATCCTTAGCCGGCCAAATTAACAAATGGCGCCTTTGCGTTGGGTTATAGCAGACAGATTGATGATATTCAAATTCTGTTTCAGTGGCCTTGTGGGTTCCTTTTTATCTACTTTTTTTTATCATCTCAAAAGAATATTCAAGCTTAAAATCTAGAGTAGATCTCGATTAAGGAAGAGCTTTCTCACCGTTTTTAGGTGAAGTATGTTAATGAAGAGTCTCAATCAATAATTCAATCAAGGTCATCGTGCCACCCGGTAACGCTGGGGTGTTATTTAATCAGTTTCATCTCGAGTCCTAATACTCAAATCCACAACCAACGCCAAATCTGCAATCAAGCTCAAGATAATTTCCACTGTTCTCATGAATCTTGCATTTGCAATTATGACATCCACTATTACCATGCTTAATTACCATTTCAACATTCCAATTTGCCCTCAAGACTGGCTTTTAAGAGACGCTTAGATCATTCGGTTCATCTACTCCATATTTGTCTTTCATCCGAAGAACATGACTCTTGATTACCAAACACTAAATTACAATGCCACCTTGTATCTTATGGTTTACGATGGTCTGGGTCATGAATTTCTAGAATATAGAAGTGGCTTCTGTGGGTGGGGGGCGGTTTGTGGCCGACAAAGTCCTCGAGACAATCAACAGGATGTCTATCGATGGGCTTTCAATTTTGCACAAGGGCATGTTTTGGAATATCGGTCAAATGAAACAGTATGCTCTGTGAATATCTTGACTTTCTACTCTTTAAAAATGACCTCTTCCAGAACTGCTTCGCGTCACTCCGGGAACAGGTCGTTGTTCGGTCAGCTCTTACTCACAAACCGAGTAGGTATACAGGCTCAAGGAGTAACCAAGATTCCTAGTCTTGGAAGTAGAAAAAGCTTCAGTATATATTAGCGTCAATACCAGTAATACGCCCTCGTGTCTAAAATTTTTGTATAAGATCGTCCAGGGGTGGAGATCCACCCGTCGTATTCGCCCCCGAAACATCAAGAGATTCCGAACCGAGATTATGCCTTGATTCTTAGTTTTGCTGATTCAATCTCATAGAACCCATTCATTTCTTGCCTAATCAGTTAATCATTCAAGCCACCCTTGAATTGTTGACTACCAAACTAGTAGTTGAATTGGATTTGAGTATATCACATATAGGACCAGACTCGTGTATATTTAGCTAGCGTATCACTAGGCCAGGGGAATACGAACAAGCTCAAAAATAGCATCTCTCAACCCTTCTGCCAAGACCTTAACGTTTAAATGAGCCTTTCACGTACAAGAGAGGCATCATCTTACGAAGTAGCTTATCAATTTAAGTTTAGGATTGAAATATATAAGAGAGGCCCGGTGAATCAGGAGAAGTTAGTTCTCACCAATCTGCACAGCCTTCTCGAGCTATCTGAACTTCTCCAAAAGCTTCCAGTTTGCTACCTACACCGCAATCGATTTTCTGTTGTCTCATTCTAGTCAACTTGAGGTCTGGAATATACAGAAGGGTACCCAAGAAATAAGTTCAGCTCCTAACAGCCTCCTAGGAAGATACTCAAATTAGCGAAGATGAAATTCCTCGAACATGCTGTTGTCCTTTTCCTCCTCCCCCTCGGTACCCTCGCCAGCTCGTGTTACTTTTGTGAAAATTACCCTCACGTTGGGGCTGTTGCGCCTACCTATGACTGTGGGAAACATTGTGGTCTAGACAACTATCATACCGAGATCGAAGGTTATCACTGCTGGGAAGATAGCAAAGGATCTGGTTCTTGCTTCAAAAACTGCTGTGCCAAGTCCGGGAAAAGCGCTACGCATCTTTCTGGGATCTAAATTGCTCACCGGGCCCACGGAATTTAACAGAACTTAAAGGCAAGAGTAATTCTATGCTTGAAAATTTTACATGGGCCCTGTACCTTGAAGCTCTTTTGAAAGTGACGATGGACATATTCCCTTCCTATTGGTGGCAATATTTTTATTAAACATCCGAGCTACAAGTCGCTAGTCAAGATACTTCGTGATATTGAAACATACATTAAATTGATTAAGGCTAATCAGGGGACATGTATCATGAAATCTGAATTAAGCATTGAGGAAGCGTCTCAGCGTCTATGCATATCCGAAGACCACAACATCTGAGGTGAATCAAGCGATCAGTTAGCTGAGGCGACATTACCCTTTAAAATTTGAAAAATCCCCATCAAGACTATTGAGTGACACCAAATTTTTGATTGCGGTTCATATATTATTGACCAAGCTCTGTGACCACGCTATGTTTTTCTTTCAGTCCTGAGCCTAAGTGGTCCTCTGGCAACATCGGGTAAAGAGACGAGTTATTGGAATGAAAATTCAGGGGGATTTTTTAGTACCTTCGTGCAGCTTTCACTATCATATCGCATGAGAGCAAAAAAAAAAAAATTTTCTGCTGGATATTCAAATGTAGTGCTAGTTGTCTAAGAAAAGCGAATATTACATAAATCAGACCGCGAATACTTGCGTGATGGCCGGTGGGTGCCGCGTACAGTGACGTTCGGGGAACATCCCCCCATGGTGTCACCACCCAATGAGCTTATCCTCTTATCCTCTGGGCAACTTGAACCAACACTCTTCCTCCACCACCCCCCTCGGAAACCCCAACAGACCTCCCATTCCTCCGTCTATGAATTGCTCTTGCAAGCGACAGTGGTGAAAAGAGCCCTCTGCTCAATTAATTGCTCTGCAGCGCAGGTGTTTACCGCCTGCTCTCATTCCTAGGCCCCCTCACTCCCTCCACGATGGCGAGCCCACCGCCGGTCTCTGAGGACCAAACCCGCCTCCTCGAGGAGGCATTGGGGGTGGTGAGGCAACAGTCTGCCATGATGCGCAAATGTCTTGAGACTCCGGGCAAGCTCATGGATGCGCTCAAATGCGGGTGAGCTTTGCTCCAGCCTTCTCCCTCCCCAGGCAGCGACAGCGGATGACTGCGCAATAGGATCATAAGCTAATTGCTGCGTCCCCCGAACGCGTTGATACAGATCGACTCTCGTTTCCGAATTGCGAACCCCAAGTCTCGGTCCGAAACAGTATTACGAGCTCTACATGGCCGTATTCGATGCTTTGCGACACCTGTCTGTATATCTTAAAGAGAACCACCCGGTCAACCACCTTGCGGACCTGTACGAGCTGGTCCAATACGCTGGCAATATTGTTCCTCGCTTGTACTTGATGATCACGGTCGGCACAGTCTATATGTCGGTTGAAGATGCACCTGTTAAGGAGATCATGAAGGATATGATGGAGATGAGCCGTGGCATCCAACATCCCATCCGTGGACTTTTCCTCCGATACTATTTGTCCGGACAGGCGCGTGACTACCTTCCCTCAGGTACCAGCGATGGCCCAGAGGGTAACCTGCAGGACTCAATCAATTTCGTCTTGACCAATTTCGTGGAAATGAACAAGCTCTGGGTTAGGCTGCAGCATCAAGGTCCCTCCAGGGAGCGGGAGCGACGGATACAAGAGCGGCGCGAGCTTGAATTGCTGGTTGGTAGCAATATTGTTCGATTGAGCCAGCTGGTGGACCTGGAAGCATACCGGTCGGGAATTCTGCAGGCGCTTCTGGAGCAGGTGGTGCAGTGTCGGGATGTGCTGGCGCAAGAATATCTCCTCGAAGGTGAGTCTCGCTCGGCGAAGCAGTCATGGATACTCCATGTAGATTCTAATTAAGTCTACAGTGATCACGAAGGTTTTTCCAGATGAATTCCATCTCCACACCCTGGACCTCCTCTTGTCCGCCATTTCTCGCCTCCATCCGCATGTCGATCTGAAGAAAATCATCATCGGTCTGATGGATCGCCTATCAAGCTACGCCACCAAAGACAACGAATCAGTAGTTGAACCCGAAGCACGAAAACAGAATGAAGAGGAAGCCGTTACCCGACTTTTGGAAAAGCTCGAGCTTGATAAGGAGAAGAAGAAGCAAGCATCCGCCGAAGCGGCGGCCGCGAACGCGACACAGGAGAATGGCACCGAAGAGCCATCTCAAAACGAGGAGCCCTCTAAGCCAACAAAGGAAGAACCCCAGGACCAAAATGCTAATGGGGAAGATTCAAAGCCTGGAGTCCCAACTGAAGTCAAGCTATACGATATCTTCTACGAACAGGTGGTCAACTTGATCAAGAAGGGCGCCTTGTCAATTCAGGATACCATGGCACTTCTGGTATCCCTTGTCAATCTTGCATTGAATATCTACCCGGAAGAATTGCATTATGTCGACCAGGTGCTTGGTTTTGCGGCTGAAAAAACCGCCGAATATACCGATCACGCCGACCTCCACTCGGCACCGACACAGCAGCACATTCTTCATCTCCTTAGCGCTCCACTTCGTTCCTATGTTTCGATCTTCACAGCGCTCGCTTTGCCACACTATCTTCCCCTTTTGACGTCCCAATCATACCCTACGCGGAGAGCGATTGCAGGCGAGATTATCCGAAGTCTTCTCAAGAATAGGATTCTCATCACCACTACTGAGAATCTTGACCGTGTGCTGCAGGTCGCTCGCGTTTTGATCAAGGAGGGGCTGCAGCAGTCGGCTGGATACCCAGGAGCTCCCTCCCAGCGCCGTGGAGGAGAGACAGATGAGACAATTGAGGAGCAAGGTTGGCTCGCCAGACTAGTACACTTGATCCAAGCACCCGATAACGACACTCAGCTCAAGGTAGGTTTAACTCGCTGCGAAAATCTTCACTTTCCGCACGCTAACATTCCCTCGAAAAGCTTCTTCAAGCGACTCGTAAAGCATACACGGATGGAAATGAACGCATTCGGTACACTACACCCGCCATTATCACCGTCTCGATTCGCTTAGCTCGAAAACTGAAGTCGCGTGAGCACTATGACGACAACTGGCAGTCACAGTCGTCGGCTTTGTATCGCTTCATGCATCAGTGTGTCAACAACTTGTACCAGCGAGTGAACCCTGGCTGTGCAGATCTCGCGCTTCGACTATTTGTGATGTGTGGTGAAGTCGCAGATCAGACTGGCTTTGAAGAGGTTAGCTACGAATTCTTCGCGCAGGCTTTCACTATCTATGAGGATGCAATCAGCGATTCGCGCGCCCAATTCCAGGCTGTGTGCATCATTGCGGGTGCCTTGCATGGAACCCGAGGCTTCTCCAAGGAGAATTACGATACCTTGATCACAAAGGCTGCTCTCCACGGCAGCAAGCTTCTCAAAAAGCCAGATCAGTGTCGTGCAGTTTACCTTGCTAGCCACCTCTGGTGGGTCGTCGAGAACCCCCAGCGTGGAGAGGAGGACCCTAAAAACGTAAGTGTTCTTGGCTCGCCCTAATTTAACTTCCGATACTGATCGAACATAAAAGCTTTACCGTGATGGGAAACGAGTCCTAGAATGCCTTCAGCGGGCCCTCCGTGTCGCCGATGCCTGCATGGACACCGCCGTTTCTGTTGAGCTCTTTGTCGAGATTCTCAACCGCTACGTGTACTACTTTGATCAACAAAACGAAACCGTCACCACCAAGTACCTCAATGGTCTGATTGAGCTTATCCATTCCAACCTGCAAACTAGCGAGGATGAGCCTAATCCCAGTCTTGATGGCCCCAAGCGCCATTTCGAACGCACGCTTGAGTACATCAAGTCTCGGGACTATGAAGGTGTGGTGACGGAGCGACAGTAGTTCTGACCACGAATGAAACAGATCATAGTTGATCTGGCCTTCTTCGGGCTTTTTGGATGTGAATTGACCCTGTTCATTGAAGGAGGAGTCTATGTTTTGTTTATCTGAGGGTGGACAGGCCTTGTCTTGTTCTTATTTTATCCCCTTTTCGTCCTTGTTCGCTTCTGGAAGCCGGCCCCTGCCTAACTTTGTCTTCTTTTCGTTTTAAGTATATACAAGTGTACAATTGTCTCTGGACAACACAATACCCTTCAACATCACTTTGTTCTTGTATGCTTTCCGTCGTGAAGTTCACCATGGTAAACACCTACGTACCGGATCTCCTATGCCACGTCTTGGCCTTCCTCTTTCGCTTTAGTGCTCACTGAGGGCCGCTTTTACTCTCTGACTATATCTGAGAGCCGCTCAGTGAGTTCGATCTGACCGCGCTGATTTACGCTCTGATTTACTGTGCTCCTCCGCAGGCTGGTCACGTGGAAGTCCACGGACCGACAAAGGGACCTCAATAAACTGTGTCAATATAGTAGGATACGGTATCGGCTAGGAAAGCTGGGATCCAATAGAGTGAGATGCTCAATCTGATAATGTCTTAGATGACTTGACTATCTATGTGTGTAGGCGGGGGAATGTTGATTATCCTCTGCCTCGCTGTCTAGCGCGTTACAGCGCTGAATTCCGAGTCTACCCGGGATACTATACAAAATACGTAGGGAATCGATTATCCCTGTAACAATCTGACGCACACAGGGAGAAGTAGGTCTTAGCGGTATTATGCAGTCTCTCATCTCGACACTAAGCACTCTCTCAGCAGAGAGTGCTCAGAGGCCTTGCTGATTTATCACGTGATTTCAGTGAGCCTGAGCTGAGTCTGAAATATCCCAGCGAGTCTAACTCTGAGCGCTCTTAGTAAAGCGGCGGCAGATCGAATAGGAAAGCCCCACCCGGTAGAGGGAAAATGGTACGTATAGTGACCTATGTATCGCTATTCCTGTTTCCGCAAGGAAGAAATGCAAGATACAAAGCCACGATCATGGTCACTAGAAATGGCTGCGTTCAATTGTCTACTGGATCTTTACCCAGGATCAAAAGACGAAGAAAGCTTCAATCATGCAATTGGTCAAATACGATGAAGGAGAGGGAGATCGTCCCAAGCTCCACGGATATCGCTGCATAATGCAGAACGGCCAGTGAAAAAAAAATAGACTCATACCGTACACAAAACAAACCCGGATGCCCCAGGTCCAAGCCCAGCCGACTTGAACACGAAATAAGAACCGATCAAAATAAAACCCATGTCAGAAAAAGATCAGGACAGTTCAGAATGTGGTGGGTGAGACGTTAATCCGTGACGCTTCAATTCAAGAAAAAAAAGAACACATAAGTAGGAAGTGAGGAAGGTTGTGGAGAAGAGGAAATGGCGTGGGAGAGGGAGAAGGTGGGGGCGTTTTCAAACATCATTCTCATAAGAGCAAAAGAAAGATCTCAACATGCCTGGATCCCCAGACAGCCAAGCTAACTCGATGCCATAGCATGAAATCAGGAAGTTCCGCCATACAACCCGGCTGGAGGCGAGGAATATTGACGCAACACAGATGGCGCGCCGAAACCACCAAATACAGCTGGGTTACTGTTCCCAGGGACAGGGCTCCCGATATCACCAGGCACAATGCTGCCCCGGTGGCCTGTGACTGCACTATTGGTGTCTGGCTCGAACTTGACGTACCGACCCTTCTTATCTTCTTTGATAAAGAAAGAACCACCGCCGTTCTGGGGGCTACCCTCAGTGTCACAAATATCCAGCATCTCGTCTAGAGAAATTGCCGGTTCGTTCGAAGCGCGCAGCTGTTCCACTTGGCCGAGAACAAGATTCACATCGTGATAACCCCCGGAGCCGATCTCCGGACTTAGCGTGTTGAGGTGCTTGCAGGCCTGAATCACCAGTAGACGAATGGTGACAGGTCGAGACGCATGGACACGATGGTGCCCGCCGGCGGCAAAGGCATTATGAGACCACCCAGTTCCTAAAAGAGCTATGAGGGACAATTTTGTAAGGGCATGCGAATACATCAAACTCACCGGTCGTTGCTCCCCAGGTAGACGCACCAGGGAAAGCAGAGCCTCCAAAAGGCGCCGGCGCACCCCAACCGGTACTAGCTGCAAATGGTGCGTGTTTAGCTCCTACTGAAAAGTTAGCAAAAATATGGAACAAAATATGTCGGTACAAAGATCCAATCCTACCCAAAGGCTCCGTGAACAACGATGATCCTTGGAAGCTAGCTCGCGCCGGGGATGCATAAGGTCCAGGTGCTGGTGCACCAGGTAGAGACTGAGACAACTTCGACGGGAAAGGGGTATCTGTGTCATCGAGAAGAGCGCTACTCCCTAACTGGGTACTCAGGTCATCCATATCTCGCTGGGAAGACGCATGACCCATGCCTTGTTGATCCTGCGCAGTGCTTGGCGGTCGCTTGATCGGGCTTGGTCGTGAGATGGGGAATGCCTGTGTGCCAGTTTCCAAAGAAGAGCGATCGAAAGAGCCAGATGCTTGTCTGGAATGAGTTTTCGACAAACCACCTTGCTGCATCGGGAACATACCGGGGACACCAGGGACTCCGTGAGGCCCAGGGAAAGGCATTGCGTGGCCCGGCTCAGGAGGAAATCCTCGACCTGGGTGCATTGGACGAACCCCGTTGATCCCAGGTGGTGCCGGAATTCCCCCAGGCCCACCGATGCCTCGAAGAGGATTCATCATTGTCGAATTGGGCGAGTACATTGGCAGGTCAGGCGGATGAAGAGGTCGGCCACCCAAACCTGGGAGACCTGGGGGATTGGAAGGCAAACTGCCCAGGCCCGGAAAGCCAGGCGGATTGGTTCGACCCAGAGGGGATAATGGTGCAGAGGGTTGGGGGTGATGCAAAGGAGGCTGCTGTTGGTGTGTTGGCCGAACACTAATTCCCGGCGGGCCTGCTTGCGATTGCGCCAGGGAGCGCGGCGATATCGACGGCTGAAACGGGAACTCCGAGCCTGTAGACTGCGAATGAGGAGATGAAGTGTGGGAGCCATGCTGGGAGGTTTGTCGGGCCCTTCCAGGCGTCGAAGCCTTTGGAGCCACAGGTGTAGCAGCAGTATAATGCGGCGACTGGAAAGAGCCAGGGGCAGCCTGGGTTTGTAGATTAGGAGCAATCGCGGCGGGAACAAGAGGTGGTTGAGGCTTTGCCGGTGCATGGAATTTCCCAGTGCGTTCTCGGAGCTCTTGTTCAGCTTTGGCAGAGGCCTCTCGGTCCTTCTTGAGCTTCTCCTCTCTTGCCTTCCGGTCTTGTTCCTCTTTCTCTAACCGCTTTGCTTCCTCACGCCGCTTCTTCTCTTCCTTCTGCTCGCGTTGTTTGCGCTCCACTACGGCTTGCCGGTCTCTCTCCTCTTTGGCACGTCGTTGCTTCTCGGCGTCTTTGCGGGCACGCTCTTCCTCCAGAGCTTTCCGTTCGGCCTCCCGCTTTTTGCGAAGCTCTTCACGCTTCTGCCGTTGCTCTTCCACCTGTGCGGCCTTCAAAGAAGCCTCCTCGGCCGCTTTTTCTGCCTCACGACGGGCCTTCTCTTCTTCCTTCGCCTGCTTCTGTAGTCGTTTCTTGTCTTTCTTTTTCTGAGCCTCTCGCGCCTTCTTAGCATTGCGCTGCTCAGTTCGATTCTCCTCTTCCAACAATTCTTCAATGAGCTGCTTCTGGCGCTGTTCGGCGACTTTCTCGCGGTATGCCGTCATGACTCGTTGTTCAAACATCCGAGCTGCAAAGATTTGGAACATTCGCCGCCCTTCCTGCATCCGTTGCTCTTCGGTCATAGCATCCTAAGCATGATTGTTAAGAAAAAGATTCCCTATGCAAGGATTGATCACGGAATAACAAACCATCTCATCTTCATCAAACTCTTCCTCCTCCTGACTATCATAGTCCTCGTCCTCTTCATCATCGTAATCATCGTCATCAAGAGGGCCGTGATTATGACCAGCATGGAATGACTGATGAGCGGCAGCTATGTTGTACTGGGTATCTTCTTCTCGTTGCATTCGACGTTCGGCTAGTTGCTCCATCATGTCAATAAAGTGCTTCCCATCGTTTTTAAGAAGATCATCTGCCACAGTAAGAATGCCATCTGTAATGTATCAAAGATGTACCGTTAGTATATAGACGTTCAAGGGACAAGTGATGTCCGCCAGACAGACCTTTCACAGTTAAACTGTTTCCAAAGGCAAAGAAATCCGCACGAGCAGCGCGCGTTTCGTCGTCCTCGAATTCCTCGTCACTGTACATCTCATCATCTTCCTCGTCTTCGTCCTCATCATACTCTTCCTCATATTCTTCTACATCATGTTCCACTTCCTGTACACGGTCCCTTGATGGGTGGAACTGGCCATGGGTGCGAGTATGTTGACCGGGTGATCGAAGTGGAGGTTGGTACAGTCGGGGTGGAGGAATAATTGGGGCACCTTCATCAAAGGAACCCTGGTTGTTGTTGTTGGCGTACTGCTCAAGCTCTTCATAGTATGCATCGTACAGTACCTCAAGCTCTTCCTCGATAGCGGTTCGCTTTCGGCCACAAACAGTACAACTGCAAGAATGCTTTTGCTGTTCTTTCATTTTCTTCAAGACAGCATCTTTCTCCACTTTGACCAGCTGACGGCGTTCTTCCTCGCCCAGTTCAAACCAGAAAGTTCGGATATTCTCGCGTTCTTCCAGGGATGACTGGTTCCAAATACTGCTCTCCTTTGATGACCGAGCAGGATAACGACTGCCATAAGGTAAAGAGTGCGGCAGCGGAGGAGGATGGGAAAAGGTAGCAGAGGGTGTAGAAAGTGGAGTCGAACTGCCGTCGGCGAGGGTATGCGATCCCGAGCGACCTTTCTTATTTTTCTTTTTCTTTGACTTGGAGCCGGGAGTATTTGGGGGTTCATGCGGATCATTCGACATCGACCTGCCTAGCATCTCATTCGGTCCGCCGGACTCTCCGTCCCTATACAGATCGTCCAGGTGGGCATGGTTGAGGTCGGGGCTCTCGCGATCGCCATTGTCATCGTAAGAATGTCGGTCATCCGCCAGATTCGCGGCGTCAGCGTGGCCATGAATGTCGGGTTCTGCAGCTAGGCGAGCCGCTTGTTTTTGTCGGCGTTTCTGCTTCTTGCGATTCACCGTCGGTGCTGGTGTGGACATATTTCCGGATGCCGAGTGGCTCAAAGGTCCCCGCGCGTCACCGTTAGTCGAGGATGTAGTCGGAGGGGCTGCTGCATGAGTCGTCATGGCGAATATGGAGCCTGTAGGGACTTGCTGCCGTAACCGGGTTCTTTCACCAGGCACAGCGAGTTATCTGTTAGAGACGAAGAGTCCCATCAAAAAGTTGGGGGTGGGGGAACAAAAGGCAAGCAGGCCAAAGCGGAGAGCGGGAGGGCGAAAGAACCTACCAACAAAGCTCCGGTCAATCCAATGCCAAGATCAACTCACCAAAACAAAATCCCCCTGAATATCTCAGCGAGGGGGGTTGTCGCTCCCTTTGTCGCCCAATAGAGAGGAGCGTCTCCAGAGCGACAGGTAGGAGGAGGGGGGTTTGCGGGATCAAGGTCGAGAAGAGGGGGCTTTGCAAGGTAAGAATCCCGGCCGGTCACGTCGTGTTTGCGGTTCGGAAATAAGACCGGGGCGCTGGGAGACCCGCGGAGGAGAGTGAAAGGGAAGCCAAAGCCAGGCCCAGCAGAACAACAGAGCCCTGAGGTGCGGGATACAGAGGAGATCTCTCGTGGCGGATGATGGATGAATCGATGGGCGTTCTGGCTGGTTGTCGTGCCGCCGCAACGGGATAGCCGCCGCAAGCGAGCTGGTGCCTGATCAGTCAGGCACCAGTCACAATCAACGGAAAATCGGGATAAACAAAGTGCTCAACTCACTTAATAGGCGCTAAAATTCCCTACAGGACCCTAGGGCTAACAACTTTTAGCACTGCTACAGCGTGTCTTGCACAGACTGAGGTTTGTCTGAAATCACGTGGATTAAAGTCACACCGCCTATTTACTCCTTTATTGCCGGCACAATCACCAGGCGGTGTCGTGGGCAACTATCACCGTGACTGCTCCACTGCGCAGTGAGACACACCTAGCGCTAATTAAAAATAACTTCATAGCGAAGGAGTGGGCTCATGAGCATGGAAAGGAAAATTTGGAACATATGATGATCATTCCGGAGGAGCTGCCCTGTGTGTATTTTCGTCCGTGGGCCTCAAGCCCCTCGATGAGCCTGAAATCTCCGGGTTTCCTCAACCTCGTAGTCATCAAGCGGACTGTTTAAACTAACCGCATCTCCTCCCCTTCATCTTATCTACCACCCACTGGCTCTAAACTCTCGCTTACTAGACTTAACTTCATCTTGTTCTTCCTTCTCTCTTTTTTTCACTGTGGATCGGATCATCGTCACGATCGTCGTGCCGGGCCATCCAATTCGTCCACCCCTCCTCCGACCTTCAGTGCTCCCCCCCCCCCCCCCCGGGAGACGCGCGACCGCCTCGAAACCCCCAACCCTGGACCGTCACGTCACTGTTTTTGTGCATCTTTAGGCCGTCCATCCCCTCCCCCCTGAAGCGCTATTGGGTGGCAATACCGTGTACAGGGCTGGACTTCCCTTACCCCTGCTGGCTTCCGTGTCGCGATCTCGGGTCATCAACGCTCAGCTCCTACGACCTGCTCGAGACCCCGTATCCGTGTCTTGACCCCCCGTAGACTTGTGATCGATCTTGTCATCCCCTGCTCAACCATCCTTCATCTTGTGACATACGGTTTAGACCATCCCACCATTGAACCATGGCCCAGCAACAGGATGAGAATGTGATGCGAAGGTACGCGCGGCCAGTTTCCTCATCTTTTGGCGTCTTGTCACACCGTTTCTCCTTCGAGCCCCCCCAATTGCACCAGGTGGTTCAGCACCAGAAACGTCTGTCGTCGATACCAAGTCAACGTTCAGAACGAATCGGGCACAATGCACAATCCAGAATAGACCACCTCCGTCGATCTTGCCTTAATGAATGCTAATCCGAAGACTACCCATACAGGAAGCTCGTGATCATTGGCGATGGTGCATGTGGCAAGACCAGTCTTCTCAGTGTCTTCACCCTTGGATACTTTCCTACTGTGAGTTGTTATGAGATCAGTCTATAATCTAACAAGGTACAAGAGTGGCTAATTGAACTTCAATGGTTACAGCACTACGTTAGTCGTTCAACCAATCACCCCCACCCGCAAATCCACTCCATCTTACAATTTCATAGGTCCCGACAGTCTTCGAAAACTACGTGACAGACTGCCGAGTCGATGGGCGATCAGTGCAATTGGCTCTCTGGGATACGGCAGGACAGGAAGACTATGAGCGTTTGCGGCCACTTGCATACTCCAAAGCTCATGTCATCCTAATCGGCTTCGCGGTAGACACGCCAGATTCGCTTGAGAACGTAAAACACAAGGTTCGTGGAATCTCGTTAGACAGGATTGAGAATCTTCCATGCTAAACCTAGATCATAGTGGATTGAAGAGGCCAATGAACGATGCCCCGGTGTGCCTATCATCCTCGTCGGTTTGAAAAAGGACCTTCGGGAGGACCCCTTGGCTATTGAGGAAATGCGCAAGAAGTCCCTCAAATTTGTGACAACCAAAGAAGGCAATGATATCGGGACCCAGATTGCCGCCCGCAAATATCTCGAGTGCTCATCCTTGACCGGAGAAGGCGTCGACGATGTCTTCGAGGCAGCCACCCGAGCTGCTCTTCTCACCTTCGACAAGCGGAAAAGCTCCTGTTGCGTGGTTCTATAACGACTCGATTATGTGAACGTGCACATTGCGATTCTTTCTCTGCCCAGCGTTCGGTTTTATCTCGACTTGGAAGTCAGCGGGTGCCCAAGCTTGCCTTTGCTCCCACCCACTTGACATTCTCCGTTGTATCATGCATCATTGGCGTTTGGGAGGTTTCGTGATTTCCTAGGTTCCTTGGTCCAGGCATGACGTCTGCTTTCGATTCCTTTTCCGGTCATTTCGAGCCGTGTCTATTCTCTCGGAGTACATTCTTTTCTTTCTTTCACGTCTTTCCTTTCCGCCATGCCTTTTCACAACTCCGGATTCCCATCATTGTCGTCCTTTCCCCGAAGTGCATTGCGAATGCCGCTCCTTGGTCCTTTCCCTTCTTCTCTTGTAGTATCTTCTTGGTTATTTTATACAGTGCACTCATTACTTTTGCCTTCCAAGGGCTACATAATCCAGCTTCTTACAGCCATTTCGTTTTTGAAAATAATGATGTTCATCAGTATCAAGCCTAGCCCTTGAGGTAAGCTGTAGCTAACAAGGCGAGAGAAAAGGAAACCAAACACAAGAAATGGAATATGTAGGGAGTCCAGAGGTAAAAAGGATGCTCTCGAAAACATAGGTAAAGAGAAACAAGAATGCGTATAGTACATAGCGCCAAATGATACATGAGGGCCTAAAATTGCCGCTAGCTCCCCCAGCAGTAGCCATTTTTCCGTCACAATAATATCCATCATACGAGCGACCTATTTCTTCTCGATGCGCTTCCAATCATGGTTCCACCCCTCGGCCGGTGGGTAGTCAGTCTGCATACGGCCATATTCAATAGGGAACATATCAGTGAAAATGCCCTTCTTGATCATCGACTTCCGGAATAGTCTACCACCATCACCAGCCCCAGTACGCAGCTCTTCACAGGCTGATTGCATGCTCTGGTACTGGCGCTCAAGCTCAAGCTCCTGGGCACGGCGCTGCTTAGCCTGGAACAGGTTCCAAGCGCGGTGGATGGTCCAATGGCGGAGGTAGCGGTTTCGAGAGAAGCGGAGGGGACGAGGAGTGAGAGGGTGGTGCAGGAAATAGCGGATGAGCGCTGAAAGGATACATTAGCTCTGAACAGAAGATTTTCTTCTGAAGTACTGGGTTTTGGTTGCAGAATGACATCGAGTAACACACGGCAACCGATATCACATATGTGCCCCAATGGCAAGGAGAACATACTGATTCTCTTGTCCACATTAGGACCTTTACCCTTGCGTTTCGCCAGGGAACTTGTAGACGAGAATGGCGCCGACTGAACGGCGGCGGTGATGGGACCGGGTTGTGGTGTTCGGCGGGCTAGGGTCTCATGGCAGGCCCCGAGAATAGTCGGGCGGGCTGGAGCGAGTGACAGAGGAATTCGGAAGACGTTCGCAAGGGACGCGAGTGCAGGGGATAAAGACCGCATTGTGAATGGTATATTGTGGATGTAGGAGTCGCGGGAGTTGCACACGAGGTACGGGGGATAATTCCCTGACGGCAGAATCTTGTCCGCCTTATTTAGCCGCGCGCTTATCTCACACTGCGATCGCCATTTCACTGCTCACCCATGATGTTCCCTTTGACGGTTTCGAGGACGCTTTTGTGAAAGTATCCCGACCTGTCTCTACTCCGAGGCCAAATATGAAGAGGTTTGTTTCTATTTAGAGTACAGGAGCTGCGGATGGAGTTTTGTATTTGTGATCGGAGTATCGTATCCCCTCAAACACCATGTAGCCTGCTTTCAATAGTAGATACATTCAAGAAGACAAAAACCCGGCCTTCTTGTTGAAAAAAAAAAAAAGTGAAAGGGGCAATCATAATATTTAACGGTATCTTGTGGGTCATGAAAGGCATCAGTATCGAGGAGACATGCGTGTAGGCAGTGTACCACGTCAAATCGTAAAAGCGAGACCCTAAAAGGGAGAAAAGAAAACGCCTAGAATGCACAAGTTATCGAATGGTGTGGATAATTCAAGGAATGAAGTGGACACCCGAGTAATGAGCATCCAATAAGTCGGGGTTCATCGCTTTCTCCCGGTCTGCTTTTTGGATCGATCGTAATTCAACACTTTTCGCCGGCGATGAGTTTGTGCGAGTTTCCATCGGCAGTAAAGAACGAGTGCATCCTTCAAAAGTACAAACATGCATCCGCCTACCACGCTGCGACCCCAACGAGTCTGGAGAAGCCCCGGGCGACTGCGTTCTAAGACAGAGGACGGAGTGGTCCATGACTTTGGCAGCACATACTTCAGTATACCACCCATGGATGCTGAGATTGCCGGGAAGACGAGAGCTCCGAGAACGATGTCGGCGAGATTACCCGTGTCGTGAATGATTTCGTTTTGTCGACGTCCGAGACCAAGCCCCTGTCCGTTATTCTGACCTTGTGCTTGTCCGTCCTGGGCGGCTTGGTCAGCGCCATCTTGGTTCTCTGCGGCAGGGAGAGCTTGAGCCTCGAGCGGCTCGTCGTCGTCGCCCATCCCTACCTGCAACTCGAGATCAATCTCCATCAGGATTTGGCCATTGACATGGTCACCAAATCGATTCAGTCCTTCTGCCTGGTCTTGTTGCTGTACTTCATCCAAAATTTCCTCCGCAGCTCGAGGTTGAACTTCCGCAATCCATTTTTTCTCCAATCCACCAAAAAGGCGGTCATAGAGAGCGCCGTAGAAACTCTTGACATATGGCAAAGCAGCAAACGTCATGGCGGGAGTGGGTGGCCAGAGATCGAAGTCTGGTTCTTGTCCCGGGCTATGTGCAGCAAAGAACAGAACAGGAATGGCCGGGAGAAGGCCTTCTGCATAACGTGTGCGCGAGAAGATCAAAACCAGCGGAATGAGGGGCAGGCCTAGGTTCAACCCCGGGTTGAACGGAGCATCAACATTATCCTCGAGAATGCGCTTAGCTTCCTCAGTTCCAAAAATAAGGTACATTGAGTACACGCCGTGTGCGCAGCAACCAGCCCACACAGTACCGGCTACTGTGAACACCATCCCCGGGAGGACTAACCGCCCTGCAATTCTTTCCACTAGGCGCAAAGTGTCCACGACGTAACTCCGTGGGCGCGTAACTATAATCTCCGATTTGCACTGAGGGCAAACCATTCTGGCGCTATGGCCATTCCGCTTGCGCGACCGAGGGTTCTCCATATCAGCAAGCCAGTCGAGGAGGCACGCTTCGTGAGCCGTCAAAGCACATGGGCAGGGAGAACGCCATTCCGCGTTGAGTGGCGAGTTCTCTGTTTCATCGGTATAACAAATCCAACACTTTCGCGGCTCCTCCTGATTACCTGGGGTATCTCCAATATTCGAGGGCCGAGCAAGAGTCTTATCAGTGGCGTCCACCGCGCTATCTTGAGGACTCGGGGTCGAGGACCCTTTGTTCAAAAAGATCGTCTCGGCGTCCTCGAAGTGCTCTGGTTGGGATGATGTACCTTCAAGGATCGAGCCTCCGTCGGTGTTGGCGGTGGAGGCGCCATCGGTCGATCTGGTCCTCCCAGCGGCGGAGACGCCTGGAAGAGAGGCCATCGTCAAGGCGGATAGTCGTTTGCTGAAATGCGGCGCTAAAGTAGGAAAAATAATCCAAAATAAGCTTAGAAGTTTCCCGGACCTGAAATCAGAAGTGTACACAATACAGTGACTTCTGAGCGAAAGGAATCACATCAAGGATGGCGGAGAGAAGCGTGGAGAGTCCCGCTGGGAGAGAGAACCTCCGCTCGAGTGGAGCGCTCGCCTTAAAAGGAATATCGGTTGTCAGCCGCGGCTGTGAGCCAGCAGGGTCACGTGTTTACTGATCACGTCACAATTAAGGAATGATCGCAACTTAGCAAAGTCGATACGGCGCATTCTATGAAGAAAGGGTATTTTCTTCAATTTAACACAGCAGCAATAGATGTTCGTACTAATTATTATCTGCAGTTCAGAGTCGGATGATTTTTCGTTGAAAATTTTATGGTGCAAATAGCTGTCTTCCGTCTATATTGTTTGTAGGTGCGTTTAACTTCCTATGGTTGTATTTGGCTGGTTTGTTGTAACAGGTGAACATTTCTTTTGAGGAATGTGTAGACGTAAGGGCTCTGCAACGAGGCATCCAATGAGCTTTGAAAAGTAGATAAGATTATACTCTCTTCACTGGCTAAAGTATAGAAAATCAACCGAATTTTTAACAAAGGGGGAAATCTCAACCCTGTATCATATAAACATCATTGATTTCTCTTGTTGATCTTATTTCCACTTGTTTCTCAAGACTTGGAAAATCGTTCTCAGGGTATGTTGGGCTTAGTGTATCAGCACATGGAACTTTCTTATCTCCGACGACTTCTCAATAAAACTCTGCGACTTCTCAGGGCCAGGGATTGGCGATCATTCTCCTCTTGTAGAGAAAGAAGACAGGTATCATATCATGATGTCGACGAAGAGAAAGCCGAAAGCCGCTATGCCGTGGGATTAATTCCAGATCTTGATGATGTGCCGTTCGGTGAGATTATCTACAAGTACTGGACATGCCAATACTCTAATGTCGACCAACTGAGGCTTGATTGCAATAAAATGAATGACACGAACAAATGACTGGCTTTGAGTATGGATATGAACGCATTCATCAAGTCTACGATTTTTGCGTTTGCATTAGGTAACATTTTACTCTGTGCGTCTTGAAGACTATCTTGATATAAGTCAGGTACAAAACTCATTTAAGTACTCCAGTTCTGTGGATGTGCGGAGCGAGAGGGGGTTTGATACGAATCTAGATGTAGTCAGCAAAAGCATTATGTGATTTTGAATATTATTTGTCTTAGCTACCAGCATATATTCTTTGGCCTAAATGTTTATTTGGACTCAATTGAAATACCCTATCTTCGACTTAATTCTGCTGAGATAAGTAGCTCTGCCTGAAAAGGGGTTTCAAGAATTGCCGGACATAAATAGGAATGTGCATGGTATCTAATTATACTATACCTTTGAGTAATAGTCTCAATTTCTTGGTTAGGTCCTGTCTGCTATATCTCAGGAGCGCACGGACGAGTCTCTCCCAAAGCTCCAAGGGATCATTTCCAAATTCAGAAAAACGATTCTCAAGCCGCCCAGGTATCAGCAAATATGTTATATTTTCAAGCCTAGCACGATTTGCTCAGGATGTTGTTGCTGTAGGCCAAAAAGCTTCGCAAGGGGGATATAGAGCTGCCAAAGAAATCCTAGGGCCTTATTTGCCCCAAAATCGCGGATTAGTTGACTTCCAGGAAGAGTTTATCAGAAGTTAATCACATTACTATCAGCTATTGCTTTATTATTCTCTTCTCAGGCTCCGAAGGCAAAAGAATGCGTCTAACCATCGCGGGTGAACTGTTAAAATATTAAGAAGGAAGAAATTACAGTATTCAGAGCCAAAAAGTGGATCTATAAACAGGCTCAGCCGAAATAAACCCCGATAGTAAGATTTCGACTCGTTGAGGGACATAAATTATTGAACATCCTGTCTCTGTTCGTTACATTAGAAATTCCTTAATATTAGTCAAACACTAAGTAAACATACTCAAGCCTGATGGTAAGCGGGGGATAGTTGATTGACAGAGGTATTTATAGGTATCTTTTTATTAAAGTCTTCAATAATAAGCATCAATTCTCCAAGGATAATAGAAGACTATCTTGCGAAGAAGGGAATTATCAGACAGTTAGTGTGTTCATCCAGCGTGCTGCAATTACTCTAGGAGATATTTATAGAGTAAATCCCGGGAATCAAGCCTACGAGGAGACCGACGGTAGATCATAAGCCATTGGAAGCGATCAGAATTCCTTCAAGTTTTGTCCACTTTTTTCTTTGGCGGTCCATTCTTATCGTTAGCTTTAGTATAGGGATTCCAGTGTATAAAAGGCCACCGCCAATCTTTCCCAAGGCACTCGATGGTCGTTCTTCACTGCCAACTATCTTTACCGATCTTCCTTCATTATCAAATTCTCATTTTATATAGATAAAAAAAGTGATGAAAAATACTCGGGAGGTGGTCCTTCTGCAACATCTCAGAACCATAAGGGGAATATAGATCTGTTCAAACAAATCACGGCAAGTTGCGATCGGGCACGTCAAGAACATCTCTTTCCTTAGCTGAAAATAGGCGACTCTATGTATTATTGTCCTACAGATCGCGTTGCTCTAGGTGATAAAAGAAGAAATCGACAAGGTAGTAGGACGATGTTTTCCTCCACACTATCCTCATTTTGATCAAATTAATACTTTTCTTGTCTCATATGATCCTAATCCAGACAGTTCACACATAGTATTTTTTGGCATGGAAATAGATTCGATTTCACGGGTCTTCAACAGCAACGCTGTCAGAGGGATACATAGAGAGGGAACCTAGGTCAATATTATCAGCGGCGGGTCAATTAGGAACAACAGCATTCTGTTCAATAACGATTTGGACCCAAAAAGCTTCAAAAAAATAGTTGCCAAATATATATATATATCAGGTACAAAATGAAACTTCAAAGCAGAGTCAAATGGTGCTCCGAGAAGTCTGGATGGCCATAGTCACATTGAGATACGCTGAATTGACATGTATTAATACATATTAATATACTATAATTGCGTTCATATCACGTTTGGACTCCAAATTTACCATATAGTCTCTTTAGTGTGCAATGCTTGAAGCAAGCTCAAACTTGAAAAAAGGTATCGCCAATAATAGATTTCCCTAGGATATCAGAAATTCAGATATCAACCCTGAAAGAGGGTTCAGTTATCAAAAATGATCACTGATACGCCATTCCAAGTAATTGAATCCATCAAATCAAAAAGAAAGCGCAATACCAGCCACGCCCACTGCGCCAGCAACAGGCATCATAACACCATTGGTAGGAATCAAGATCCCCTGACCATTGCTTGAGGAAGAAGTTGAAGATGTGGCAGTAGTAGCAATGGCGGCGACAGTGCCGGTCGTAATCCAATCTTGAGTGTGCGTGATCTCATAGGATATGATAGCGGCGTCTCTTGTGGACTCGAAAACCTTGACGCTCTCGGGCAGGCTATTGTACCAAGCTGGCATGGAACCACGAAGCCTCGCCAAATCCACATACATACCAAAGGCGGAGTCGTATTCATAGAATGAAGCTCATGCGGTTGGCTCAGCGCTATTGATAGCTTCCACGACCCACGTTGGCTCGATCAGTAGGGACTCAAGGACGGGATCGATGGTGGTCTGTTCAACAGCTAGAGTCGTGGTGGCCAAGCAGAGGACAGGAAGGATGTTCCATTTCATGGTAATGGTGCTGTGTAGCAAGAGGCTGATAGACGATACTGTTAAGATATTATTCCCTTTATTGAACAAATGAAGTGAAGCTAAGAGGGTGGGCTTTAGGAGATGGCTAATAGTTGGTATTTATGAACTAGAGGAATTACTTCAGGCGGCTGTCTGCCTGTTCTTTGAACACTACACCGGCACAAGACTAAAATTGAATGTTAAGAACAATACGAGATTTTGTTTAACGAGAGGAAACCATGAAACCAAAATTCACTAGCTTGAGAAGAGAATTAAGCTAAGCTTTTAGTGCCTTTCGAAGCGAGATGATAGACTTGGAAGTGGGTTTTTGGAACGGTTTGGTACGATTCGAAAGATCTCGTGTTACCGTTTTATCTACATTACTTGGATCATTCGGATCTTTATTCAAATCAGATTGTTGATTATCATTTCCGATATTAGCAGGATTTACGGGTATACGTTGGATATTCAGACAAAACTTATTAAGGACCTCATTAATTTCGTATTCAAATCCGAGTTAATGAAAAGAACAAAATTTTAAAGTCAAGAAAGAAACAACCCCTCTCTACTTCGACCTAGTAGTTTAAAACTTGAATAATACCCGGGAAGTTGTTCTGAAACAAATTGATTTACCCGGAAGTGGGTTTTTAGGATACAACTTCAAGACGACCTATGAAGCTGAAGTAGTATAGGTAAATGTTTCATTCGAAGCCGCATTGAAACACAGCTTCTAATATAACTCCCCAGACTCATTGATCACGTTATTCAGACACACCATTTGTCTCTTGGGAACTCCGACGCAGGCGTGTAAGAGTTCATAATCTTCCTTGCCAGTAAAGTCACGTAGACGGTTTATACGTAGCTAAGACTCTGGTAAGAAGGAAGCTAAAATAGCGTCAAAGCTAGACATTTTTTGGCCCCAATTTTACCGTCACTTAGCTTTGGGGTGTCATATACGTATGGCTACGTTCTGAAGCTGCCCAGAGATAATAGTCTAATGTATTTCTCGTTGCTCTAGCATTAATATGAGCCAACAGGTTCTTCTGGTTGTACTGAGAAATCGTAACAATGCCGTTCAATCAAGGATTAGACTGCACTTCAATACTGTAAAACATACTAGAGGAAAGGGGACATAATTAAAAGGACTTGAAGTGTCTATATGTGTTAGACTGACGATAAGGTACGCTACACTAGGCCCTATGTACTAGGGAAAGTGCGAGCAAATTAGTCACACAGATTCTGGAAGAATCTTCCTTCAAAAATTTTAATCCGGTCAGTTGAGGCCATCGTTTCGGCTCATCTAATAACTCCAGTATAGAGGGTAGCGTTTGGCCCGAAGGAAGCAAATTACGAGAACCCCCCAAATGAATGGCATTTAGGATGTGGGACAAAGCTTGTGGAACTTGAGGAGCAGTACAAAGCAATAATGATCAAACAGATACGAGATATTAACACTAGTATATTCTAGCCAGCTCAGTCGACCCTACATCTATCTGATAGAAGTGTCGACTCTTGGGGTAGAAATCTACGTGTTTCAGACAACTGTTCGATTCATCGACTTGGGAATTTCTATCGCAAGTCTGTCTGCCGAAGAATACAATTACTTCCTCTACATATCGAAGAACTTCCAACAACGTGTACGCTGACTAAATCTGCTTTCTGCGGGGCGATCCTAGTTCTGTACCTCGGTATATTTCTCTCAGGATTTCCTGCGCCCCCCTTGCCTCTCGTAATGCCGCGGAGAGGGGCACTGCTTGGACGCTAAATAACACCACGACTATTTTCTGTTACTATCAAGATTTCAGCAGATCTCGCCTTTTTCAGTATTTTTCTTCCATCCTCTGACGTTCAGATGGCTAGATCCTCAGATAAAACCGACTCTTCTTATATACCCTTGGCTGGTAGCGCTGAAGATGGATTTTCCAAAGATGACGAAGCCACGGCCACGTGCTATTGTGGTGCTGTCCAATTATGCTTCGTGAGTCGAAGATGGCCAAGCACATTGATCTCATTCTAAAGTCATCATAATATAGCCAACTCAAGGTCCGGGATTAGTCGACACTTTTCTATGTCATTGCACCGACTGTAGGAAGATAACAGCGTCAATGTTCGCATCGAATTTTATAATATTGGACACACATCTCAAACATCTCCGGGGTCGCGACCAACTGAGCACATACAGTCAATCGAAAACTATCGTATCTGGGAAAGCAATGACAAACTTCTTTTGCTCGATATGTGGTTCGTTGATGTACAGGGTTGGTGAGGCATACCCAGGAAGTAGTATTTTGCGTATAGGCACTGTAGATGATTTCAATCTACACGAAACCAGGTTGAAGCCTAGGGTTGAGCAGTTTACAAAGGATCGCGTGGCATGGTTGTGTGGAGCGGATGGTGTTGAGCAAGTTGAGGGGTCAGCCTATAGCCCAAGAACAAGAATGCCTCGCCGAGGATCTCTTTAAATAGTTGTGAGGTTGCAAGAAATTTAAAACCTTCGTGTTCTGACAGATTCCATCATTGAATCAATTCTGGGAGGAAAAATTAGTATGAATCTTCCTTGGCCACATCTATCAATTTAAGGGGCTGTTTAAGATAGGCAATACTCATTACCTGCATTTGCATCCCTTGGGCATGTATCACTCTCAAGGTATCATCACTTGGCTCCAGCTCACGTATGAGTGTGGGCTTTTCTACATAGGCCTGTGATATTTGTCGAAGATAGAAAGTCAAATGTTCTTCCGGGGCGTGGTTCTAGCCAAATAATGTCATATTGTGGACAATGCACCAGACTTGACTATTCATGCGCTATTCTATTGCCTTTCAACATCAGAAGTCCTGGAAAAGGTGTGTTTATTCTTCTATGATCCCTCGGGCATTAAAAGTATGAGCTATAGAATATACGATGGAACAGGGAGGAATTTACCCCTTGGCTTAAGGTATCCAATCCGATGACCTTGTGGTCGAGATTGATTGACAATAATCATGCCGGATAGCCTGGACCACCCATGTCAACTGCCCTTATCGTGTGCCGCCCATCTTTCCTGGGGGTTGAATAGAGATCTAGACTGGGATGATGACGGATTTCTCGCTATAACAGCTTTATTACTGCATTTTCTGTAGTTATAATGGCCGATGATTGGATTATCGATCTGATAATCCACCATTGACATTCTCATTCGGAATTAAATGATCCATATTTGTTATCACACAATCCTAGTAATGAGAAGCATCGCTTTTGACAAGCAAACCTTCCAAAAATCCACCATTTCTTGTTTATACTTTGCGGCTTTCTTGCAGCGTGGTGATCATATTGGCCTCGGGTGCTGAGTGTCAAAGTCATGCAAGTCGTTCATCTCTTGAATTTGCATCAAAATGGTAGATTTCGAAGACCTCGGTTATATCGAAGTCCAACCATGTGTGATTTTCTTCCTATGTCTTTCTGTCTTCCTTTCAGGGGCTTAAACTTACCCCAGTCACTCTTATCTTCAGAAACTACACGAAACTACACAGGGAGCGGCTAAGTTATCTCGACCCAGTCATCATGCATTCTATCAATCTGAACAACCCCATGCCATTGAAGCTGTATGATGAGGTTATCTTTGAAAAACATGTACTTTCCCAACTCACCCGAATCCCTACTCTGTGGCTTGCTTTCAACTTTCCAAATCACATACATTCAAATCGCCCTGGATGCCTAAAGCTTTTATTTGATGGCTTTTCCCCTGCATTCAAATATGCTGAGGGTACCAATATTCTTAATGGAGAAAATCCAGGCATTGGAGATTGCGATAAACACAGGTCACAGTGAGAGCCATACCGACCTCGGTCGGACTCCTTATTCTCTCCAGCGGAGATGGAGAACGAACCAACAAGCGAATGGGAAGTCAAAGAAAGGAACTGTATATGAATGAAGAGTTTGAAGGGTTCAAGGAATGGCTCAAGCAGTCTTCAAAGCAGAACTAATCAGTTTTATCTCATATGAGCGGCTTTGCTAGCTCCCAAATATTCGGACCAAGTTTCGGCCGACCCACATTGGTTATAGAAGTCTCGCCAGGTATATCCCTCTACAAGGAATAGAGCATCACGATGGCGGAAGACACATTCCTTTAATGAGCCAAGCCCACGAGCATCTGAGGTTGCCATTGGCACCGAGCGCAGTTGGCTTCCTACTGCGTTAAACATGGCTTCACTCAGCTGTCGAGTTGCCGAGCCAGGGTTGTTAAATAGTCCATTACATAAGTGCGATCCACGTGATTCGCACCTTGATGTCTTTGGGGCCAACCCCCAAGACTTAGGAAGAATCCAAGACTTTATGATCCAATCACGCTTCAAGGGGGGCGTCGTTTGACATGACGACATGGGGATACGTCATAGTAGTACTAGTAGTAACCATCAACCACGATCAGCAATAGCGAGGATCATGACCTGTTTTTGACAGTGGGATGATTATCTGTGGTTCAGGTCAACCCCGTTCATTCTTCTCCCTCTCAACTCTTCCACATTGCATAATCGATACAATGGCCCCCCTACTGCCACTCCTCTCGCGAATGCAGGCGCGTTCTGCCTTAACGTCCCTCGGGACCCCAGTCTATATTCAGACATTCCGACGAAGATATGCTCAAGGCTCATCTTCATCAAAGTCTGACGGTGACAAGAGCGAACCGGCTCGGGATGGGGGACCCCCCGAGGATCCTGCCGTCAACTATCCAATCCCCTCCAACAAGGCTACCCCAACGCTACGAGATGGACGACAGTCACCAATTGCGGATTTTGAAGGCAACTTGAAAGAAGATCTTCCTGAGGATGTGAAGCGACATAACGAGGAGATGGAGCATCGCTATGATCGGCCGTACAACCATATTGGAGATAAAGGAAAGGTGGAAAGAACGTGGCAGAATGATTAGGGGGTCCAGGCGTCTGAGACATTTCTGGAATAGAAATGGACTCCCTAACTCATCGTATGTATGAAAGATCTGGATGTTTCATTGGTTTTCATTATGTTTTCGAGTCAAATGGGAAGAAGCAAGCTTGTATTCCCCACATCTACATACACATGGAGACATCAGCGAGAAGTAATTATTTCCAGCTTTCCACAGCCGATCTTCGTGCACGTAGAACCAACCCCAGTCGGGCTCTTTGGAGAGCCAAAGCAGAAGAGCTTGAGAGAGAATGCAGTACATGGTAAAACACCAAAAAAAGGTGGGTTCAAGGGGTAAGCAAAAATATAAAAGAGAAATGACAAGAGTGGGATTCGAACCCACGCCCCGAAATCGAGACACGGAATTGTGGATCAGGTAAGCCTGAACCGTGCGCCATAGACCAACTCGGCCATCTTGCCAATTGGATGGCAAAGTTCCCTAGTCTTGACATCATGAATCCAGTGACCCTATCGTTTCAACTGAACTATACAGAGTCGATCAATGCCAATATGTAGCTCTACTATATTAACTACATGTACTTGGTCGACTACTCCCATGCTTGCTGTCTATATCCCGATGCCTGATAATCGACAGATACTAACATTGAAGCCCCATTATCAAAGTTGAATGTCTTTCGTCATTCGTATATTTTGCATCACTCGTATGTACAAACCACCTTCATCTCTACCAATCCCCTCATTCTGCCTTCATCTCAATTCGTTTGTTTGTGTTTTATGACCCACGATAGGTCGAATAGTTCCAAGGTCCTAGCAGTACCGGCACGTGGTAGTGGCGCCAGCCCTCCTCGCCCTCGCGGCCGCGGCCCTTGACGGTGAACTTGACCTCGACCTCGGGCCAGAAGCTCTCGATACCCTGCGCTTCGTACCAGGGGCCGACCTCAAAGCGCACCGCCCAGTTGGTCTTGCTTTCAGCGGTGGGAAGAGCCTCTAGGAGTTTGGGCACGGAGGTTGCGGCCCCGCCAGTGGGCGTCCACTGAGCGACACGACCGTCGGCGTTGGTGGTCGCGTGGAAGGTGACCGGGGTGGATGAAGAGAGTAGCGTCAAGGTCACCGGCAGATTAGCAGCGGGAGTGCCTGTCAGCGTATTAAGACAATGGCAGGTAATGGGGTCGCGGGCCATGATTATTGGTTTGTTGGCGGGGGTGGGAGATGGTCTGGAGAGCGGGGCCGGGGTCAGTTGGTGCTGGACGAGGGCGAGACGTTCGGTGGTAATGCGACCCTGTGCGGATTCACGGGCATCCATTCATGCAGTGGATGAGGGAGTTGGAGGAATGAGCAAAATGTAAAGGGGGAAGAGAGGAAGGGGGAAGATTTGACCGGGAAAGTCTCCTGAGGAGTTCGCCCTTTCTACGGGTGTGTTAGCATCGGAGAGCACCGATAACCGCGGAGGCTGCCATCAGTGGAGATTGTCGGCCGTGGTCAGAGTAGGAGGTTCTGAAAGCCGTAATCTGGTTCATCATGTTCAATTTTGCATATCACTCACATAATAGCCCGGGTGGTCTAGTGGTATGATTCGCGCTTAGGGTTACACCCCAAGCATAATTGCGCGAGGTCCCGCGTTCGATCCGCGGCTCGGGCCTATTATTCTCTAATTTTTTTCAAGCCCCCCAATTTTTCTTGCCAGGTGAATCATGATTGACTTTAGTGAGAAAATTTCCAAGAAGCAGAGCATATCAACAATGATCCCCCACCGAGGTTTTATTCAACCTGTGATAATTATTTTTTGAAATGTACCCGGTCTTAGTCAATATTCATCATATTATGGGTCACTTGAGATGCTAATTTATTTTAATGAACAGCGATATTATGAAGAGTTTTATTGTCATTCATGCCTTCGTACGGGCGGATTTGATGCAACTTATTTATGACAGCTCTGTCTGAGAGAGGATAGTATCAAAGCTGGACCGTTGCCACACCCTTCTATCCTTGTCTTTTCTATGTCTCTTAGCGAGGCACGGCTATACTGGCATGGGGTCTTGAGCTTGGGTCGAATTTGAACTAGGTTTGCTGCAGCTTCTATGTGTTGTAGATTTTGTTGTCTTCACTGGCTTTGTAGGGGATACTTGTAACACTCTCTACTGATAGGTCTGTATAATAAATATCAATCCTCGGCTGCTGATGGATTCAATGCTGTGACAGCAGTCTTTGACGCGGGGTGGAATAGTAATTTGGAGCCAGGTTACTTTCTTCGTCTTTCCTGGTGGACAACATTGAATGACAGGGATCTGGGAGCTTGTAGAGGGATCAATCCACTGTTGTGAGCTATCATATTCAGGTGCTAGAGTATAAACGCGACCATGCGTTGATGTTATGGTCTTTTTAGCTGAGCATAAAACGCATGTGTCCAGACGTATTCCCCTACATATGTAACGTCCGATACCTCGTGATATATATATAAGGAGAGAGAGACATACATACCCATGTCTTATTTGAAACCCCTTGATAGATCTGCTAGAGGCCTTCAGAGTATACTATCTTTATATTGTCATTGACTTCTCGTCGCCGCGACCTGATCTAGAAAGAAGGCGGTCTCACGATTGAACTGAGTTCGGGGTATCTATACTTCCTATAGTAAGGGGAAACAAGGATTTCCCTTATGTAGGTAAAGTCCTCAGATTATAAACATGAATAGCCCGGGTGGTCTAGTGGTATGATTCGCGCTTAGGGTTACACCCCAAGCACAATTGCGCGAGGTCCCGCGTTCGATCCGCGGCTCGGGCCTATTATTTCTTTTTTTGTTCAAATTTTGAATTCGAGCCGATTAAATACTGCCACCATTGATTTGACGGATACATAAACAAACACATCAACTCAACAAGCCTTTAGCGAATCAAACAGGAACCTCACGATCTATTACTAGACGCTGGATAACCAATACCCGGGTTGGACCTAGGATGTCTTTAGATCATCATATTACTAAATACTCGATCTGAAATTACCATCATTCTGCTCCAGCTGTCACCATGCCACTGCATGCATAGTATACTCTGTCTATCCACTTGGCCAGAAGGCAGCCTGGGGCCGGTCATGGCTTCGAGCAACCCAAGACAATCGAAAGTATAGGTCAACCGGATTGTCCAACTAGTTGATCGAGACTCCCATCTGTGGCTCATACTGAACATTCCGAACATGGCTGTCGACATTATCGTTCGCGAATGTTCGATCGCCTTTGCGGGGCAAACTCCTGGAATTTTGAACCTCACCTCTCCGCCTCTCCCCACCTCTCGACCTTCCCGAACCCTCCCCACCTCCGACTACCCTACTCCCCCTTTTCCTCACATTCGCCATGTCCTCTGCTGTCGTCCATGGCGATGAGCTCGATATGGAGCCAACGCTCCAGTCGATTCTCAGCCAAAACACCCTCCGCTGGATCTTCGTCGGAGGGAAAGGTGGTGTCGGCAAGACCACCACCTCCTGCTCCCTTGCCATCCAGCTGGCCAAAGTCCGCAAGTCGGTCTTGCTGATCTCCACCGATCCCGCCCACAACCTGAGTGATGCATTCGGCCAGAAATTCGGGAAGGAGGCCCGCCTCATCGACGGCTTCGACAACCTTAGCGCCATGGAAATTGACCCCAACGGCAGCATTCAGGATCTCCTGGCCAACGGGGAAGGCCAGGGTGACGACCCCATGGCGGGTCTGGGAATGGGTAATATGATGCAAGACCTGGCGTTCAGCGTGAGTGGCCGCACCGCCGGGACATGCCCCCGATCTCCATGGATGGAAATGTACAAGCTTTACTGATCGTATCATGACTGTTGCAGATCCCCGGTGTCGATGAAGCCATGTCCTTTGCCGAAGTCCTGAAGCAGGTCAAGTCGCTGTCATATGAGGTTATCGTGTTCGATACCGCGCCGACCGGCCACACCCTCCGATTCCTCCAATTCCCCACCGTCCTCGAGAAAGCCCTGGCCAAGCTCTCGCAGCTGTCCTCGCAGTTCGGCCCGATGCTGAACTCGATTCTTGGTGCCCGGGGCGGCCTACCCGGCGGCCAGAACATGGACGAACTATTGCAGAAGATGGAATCGCTGCGCGAGACAATCAGCGAGGTCAACACCCAGTTCAAGAACCCGGACATGACCACCTTCGTGTGTGTCTGCATCGCAGAGTTCCTGTCATTGTACGAGACCGAGCGCATGATCCAGGAATTGACCAGCTACAGCATCGACACCCACTCGATCGTCGTCAACCAACTGCTATTCCCCAAGGAAGGCAGCAACTGTGACCAGTGCAATGCGCGGAGGAAGATGCAGAAGAAGTATCTTGAACAGATCGAGGAGCTCTACGAGGACTTCAACGTGGTTCGGATGCCTTTATTGGTTGAGGAGGTCCGTGGAAAGGAGAAATTAGAGAAGTAAGTTGAAACCGGAGCGTCCGCTTCTACAGGCTCTCCCTGATTTTTTTTTTCTGTTTTCTTTGCTTTCTTTCCGCGAAACAAGCTAATCATCATCGCTCTGTTCAGGTTTAGTGACATGCTTGTCCACCCATATGTTCCCCCGCAGTGAGGGATTGGAAGCAGGTCACAAGAGGATACCAAAGTATTGCGCGCTCATCTTAAGTTGTCAGACGAATTATGAAAAGGCTAGAGAAATAATGTATGACACATACCCAATCATCTGGGGACAGGGCTTATTGCACCCAACTTCATTGCTCGAGTTGTGGGATTCCACCTGTAGATGATTCGATTGACTCGAGAATACTCGAGAATAACCGAGATTTTGTGAGTACAATCTAATTGATCTTCTAGGGGAACTGAGCATAATCCTGCTCATGTGAGATGTTCTGATAATTATTACTACGATCATGTCACGGTCTTATATACTACTGGATACTCCAATTATCCTCGGGTCTGCCCCAACATATCCCAAAACAACAAGCGCTCATGCGGTGTGATCAGGCGTACGCATGCATGAACTGGACCACATAAACCTCTCCAACTGCGCCCTGATGAATGCGCCTCCCCTACAAGTTGGCCCCACCATGTTCTGTCGCATTGGGTACCATAAAAAGTACTCGCTGGACTGTATATGTCAAGTAGACCACTCACTGTTGACGAGAACTGGATACCCAGCCTCCAGCCTCCAAATGTATACCCAGAGCGCACTCAACAGGGATATTTGTTGCTTTTTAAAGAGGGGCCGATGCCCACGTCCATCCCCGCATCTGGAACCCCTACAAGCATTGCCAAAATGCCTGAGACGATGTTTCATCACTCTTCTGAGCCCTCGCCGAAGGGGAGTTTGAGCTGAATTTTGAAATGTGAACCCCAGACCCCTTGAAAATCATTTTCGTGCACCATTGCCGGACTTTCGAGAGTGCAGCCTCAATTCCCTTTTATGTCCCTGTGCCGCGCCTTAATGAATGGGTTTCTTTCTTGCTAGAACACCAACTGAGAATATGGCTGGAGTTCAAAGAAATGCAGGTTCTCGCCGAAGAGCCAGATGACACCGAGATCCTCAGAGTGAACGAAATGGCAAGGACTCGCATTCGCTTGCATTAAAAGCAATGCCAGACTCTAGTGGAGCTTGCGAACAGCAGGGATAAAGGAATACCTGCGTTTGACGATTTCATCTATTGAAAAAGAAACTTGCTTGATCCGGGATTTTCTTTATGATCTTACGGAGGGGGACCTGATGCAGCAATTCCAGGGAAAAGTCGCCGCAGCCAAGGCAGCAGTCAGAGAAAACCCGGACTGGCAGCAACGGTCTCCCGCAATGTCCTCTTCATCATCATCCAATCACAACCTTTACGCAGCACCCCTCTATCCCATTCGCCCAGGCGGCTGGGCTACTTATTCCTTTGCACAGAGCTAGGGAGATTGCATTGGGATATCGTCCCTCAAAGGGGTAGAAAGGGTATTTGAAACTCATTCTTTCTTTGCGTCTATGTTCATACGGGGCATCGAGATCATGATGACCGGAAGTACTCTTTGATCCATGCTTGTATGTATAGATTCAAGTCGAAACCAAGAATGCAGGCAAGGGTATAATAAACTCTATCTTTTCCCCTGTTTCCACCAACCAAAAGACTGGAGGCTTCCCGCTGTTCCTGAGGCAATTGTCCTAGTTCTATCACTATGTAAGGAATTCGAGCAACAAGACAAGGCTCTGCATGAGAAATCTAGATGTTATCCTCAAATACATGGTCTGTGGATTGTGGATTAGAAAAGGAATCCATCGAGAATCCATCAAGACTGGAATACAGCAAATGTATATATAGGCCCTGTGGAATAGTCTGACTGAAGAAGTTTGGTGGCTTCAAATGCGCGTACTGCCGCCTACTGAAATGGGTGACATTTAGACAAATATTGTCTCGTCAGATTGAATTTGAAACCGACCTACCGAGTAGATAGTCAGTCCACAGCCCGTGGAAGTACACCGCTGGGCGATTTACAGATTTGCTTTTTCTCCTGTCCGAAAGTCCAGTGACACTCTCCATAAATAGAAGGGCGAAGTGTCAGAGGAGCTTGTCCTATGCACCTCCTTCACTCCGACTTTGCTGTGCTCGCTTAGCATTCAGATGCCCTCATCCAGCGTCCTTCAATCATTTCACACACCGGAGTCAACAAGTGGGACGCCAAAACTCCGCAGGATCTAGGTCTATCTATGTTCCATCAGTCGATATTCCAACACCGGCGTCTGCATCTGCCATGTGTTCGGCATCAAAATGTCCTTCCCTCTACAATGACAGTTACCCACCGTCTTTTCGACACCCCAAAACGAACAGCTGCAGAAATGCTTCCTGCAGCTTAGGTCGGACCCCGCGAGGGAAAGACTTTAGCTCATGGTGCCACGACATTCGCGCAGCCAGAGCAAATTGGCTGCATCGGAAAAAAAAGAGGGGTGAAGTGCGGTGAAGAAGAACACGCCATGAACAACGACCAAATCCAGTTTCCTGCCAGGGCCATCCATGCCTTCGGGGGTTCGCTGGCCGAGATTGTCGCAACTGAAGGATTCTGAGTAGGAGAGGCCTGGAGAAGCTAAAGATTGAAATATGGAACCCAGCAAGACGCAAAGAAGGTGGTGGGAGGATGGGAAGGGGGGGGGGGGGGGGGGGGGGGGGGAAGAGCTCGTATGCAGAAACTCGGTCTCGGCAGAGACAGAAGACTGTTTTCCACAAACAGATAGCGCCCGACAGATGCCAACCTTCGCATGCGGATTCTGGTTCTCGGGTGCGTTGTTCATTTCGGCCTCTAGCTTTGCAGTGATTCGAGGGCGCGCTGTCCCCTAAGCAAGCCTCACTTTGGCACTGGCCCGAGCCCCCGGTTATGGCGACGGGGAGACTGGGGGCGTTCTTCCTGGTGTGGCAGGGCGGATCCCCTATACTGAGCATGGTCCGGTCCGATATTAATCTTTCCTGGAAATCAAAAATCCGTCAGAAGGAAAAAGGGTTGGGTGTCGTTGTCGCTTCGAAGTGAGGCGGTCGTCCACCCCCTTTCTCTAGTTTGGCCTTCTGGCGCTGCGTCGTGCGTCCCCCCGACGGTTCCGACATGAAGTCCTCCTGTTCAGCCTGGGCTGGACCGGGACAGGAAAATCGCCGGTTACTGGATCATCTCCTGGATGGGGTACGATGTTCTTCAGGAGCTCTTGCTGCGGTGATCCATGGCCGTTCACCTTATGGCACCCCCGAACCCGGGCTGTGGAGTACTGGCTGAAACTAGCTGCGTGGCCGATGTGGAGGATAGCATTTGTCAAGAACCACAACCAAGATCGAGAACCGGTGGATCTCATCGACTGGCGCGAACGGTGTCCGAAATGTAAGTCTAGAGTCGGTGTCCGCGGTGCGTCCTCCGCGAGCATTGGCGAGCAATGGCTGAGATCATCGTTGCCCCGAACGGATCTGGACAAAGGAAGACGAAGTGCCACTGCAGCCCTGGTGGACGCTGGTCTCATTCGTTCTCTCTCCCCTTCCATTCCGTCGGAGTCCTTGGTTGACTACGGAGGGGAGGTGACCATCAGAAGGGCCGCTCGGTTGGTCCAGTCAGCTATTTATACCCTCCCCCCTACGTAGTCCTGGAACCGACAGAGAGAGGGAAAAAAAGATACCAAAGATCTCCGCTGCCAGTGTCCAGTTCCGGCCCTTCTCGTGGCGGCCTTGTCTGATTACCAGACTCGCCCTATTTCACAACCCCTTTGCCTCCCCAAAGAGCCTTACGCACACGCCTCGGGTTCTATACTGCGACTCGATCATGTCTCGAGTTCAACAGTACTGGCTGCCTGGGTATGGCCTGTCCCGACACATTGTGCTTGGGCACATCCATTACTTTCTTGGTCCGTCAGCGTCAGTCAGGCCGTATAGTTATCAGGTACTTTGGAATCCACCACCCGCCATGCGCCACGGTTGACACGCTCTAACCAGATTTCGTTGCATGTCTAAAAGGGGCGTGAAGGTTACCTCATCACAGGGGTGCCTCTCACTCGGGTTTGTCTTGACTCCAGTGCGAGGGCTCGACAGGTTGACTGACGTTGCTTCCCACAGGAACAAATCGACGATCTTGCGGCCATGTCCCGGGAGTACGAGAGACAAGAAGCACTGCGCATGACAAACCAGAATCCTGGCACGAATTGGGACCAGAATAGCAGTGACGGGTCCTCACGGCAACCGTCAGAGCCCTATATCAATGAGATCATTCCGGTGGATCCCAATCGAGCTCGCAGACGCCCAGTGGATCCGGATCCCAGAGGTGGCCGTTGAGCAAACCAGGACCACCTTTCTTTCCGTGTCCAATGGTCCCGATCTTTTGACAACCATAGACAATGAGTTCCACCAATATACCTGACCAGGATCCAGATGCTCTTCCTTTGTTTCTCCAAGGAATATGAAAGAGAGGACCACGAATACTATCCATGACTTGATTGCTCTAATGCCTCAAGAGGGTCGGTTGCTGGCTCGAATTTCCTTGATTCTGCTTCTTTGGCCTATAAATATCGTTTGCCAGACATGTGGAAGCACCAGCTATGCAGGATTCTCAGGTCTTTCAAGGCTTTCAATTATCCGTGGATTGAAACCATGCGCTAGGAGACCCGTTCCTCCCCAGGAAAAGGACACGACGGACATGACCTCTAGACACACCAGCCCATGGAGCTTTGGGGGATATTGCTTTTTTTTTTTGACGATACCCTTCCGTTTCTTTTCTTGATCTTCATTCCATGAACCCCATCATAGGGGGTTCCTGGACATGAACTTCCCTGTTCTATTTCGTTACGTTACGAAGACTCAATCTACCGCATCTAAACCACCCGGAACGAACATTGTCAGACATCATTTTCACTCATCTCTATAGACCATTCGTAACAGCATAGATCCATCAGACCCCAGAACGGAAATCTGGGATCTTCTACATGATGCCCCGTCTTTTCCTTCTTCAGACACAAAAAGAAACAGACAAGGCGCGGAGGAGAAGCGTCATGCATGGACCCTCCATGCAGGGTAGGGTCCGTTGTCCTCCCCTGAGCCCCTCCATCTTCCCGTTCTTCGCAAAACCACCAGAGGCAAAGACAAGGATGTCATCTTTTCTTGGCACACACAAAAAGAACCAAGCACGTAAGATAAATAAACTGTAAAGAAGAGAATATCTGACGACAGAGAATGGGGCATGGAAATATAGGGGATAAGAGGAAAACTGTGGACTAAGAGGTAAAAAGGAAACATCAAAAAGGTGGACCACCTAAGAACGCCAGCCGGATGCCACTCTGCTCGGAGTCCCCATCCCTCAAAGAACCGTGTTGTGACATACACGGAGAGATCACTAAAATGGGCAGGCAGAAAACATGGGTTGATAATAACAAAGAAGAAATTCGGTTTTTGGCATCAGCTCATAGAGAGAGAAGGGTGAGGGAAGTATTTCATTTTGCGACAGCCGAGCTGAATAAGGTGTTAGTTAATTGATATTCTCAAACCCCGAAACAGACTAGCATGTGGTTAGGATAGAAAGTCTCTCTTACCTCAAGACTTGTGTCCGGAAGAATGCACCCTTAGTCTTCTCAATGACTTGCTGGTACACCGACTGAGGAGGGTGGTTCATGATCACGGTACCCTCCTTGTAGTCAATCTTGGCGTCAACTCGGGTATCGCGGATGAGGTTGACAATCCACTTCTCGCCCTCATCCTGGCTCAGGCCAAGGCGAGTGGAAAGGTCCCTGAAGACCGGTTAGATAGGACTTTTTTTTTTTTTTTTTTCCTTGGGGTTCCAAGAATTGAACATTTGGTCACTTACTTAATATCAATCCGCTGGTGAATCTTGCAGTAGCTCTCCGAGATAAGGTGGCGGGCAGCCTCAACGAAAGCATCGGCGGCAGACACAAGGAAGAAGTCTGTGCGCAGAACTTCCTCAGCCTCACCCAGCTTCTTCTGAGCCTCCTCGAAGTCGAAGTCGACGTAAAGAGCCTTGATAAAGTCGGTGATGGGGTCGGTGTACTCGTAGCCCTCCTGGCGCACAACTCGGATCAGGTCCTTCAATTGCTTCTGGTACACACCGGTGTGCTTATGAGGGCGGCTGCGGTTGGTGATGACGGCGGCAGCGAGGTAGCGCAGGATCCAGGGGCAGCTGGTCTGGATGGTGTTGATGTAGGCGGGGGAGAAGAAGAGGTCGGTCAGAACGTCGCGGGCGGGATCGTGGTTGAAGAAGGGGAACAGGGACCAGTGGATGAGCCAAGAGCGGTTGGTGAGCTGGCCCAGCGGGTTGTTGAACAAACGGGTCTCGATCGAGTCCTTGGCCTTCTGCACCTCCTCCATGGCGGCCTCCCAGTTGGTGGTCAGAATCTCGGATGCCAGCTTACCCCAGGTGGCAGAGGCAACCTTGTCGTTGTCGGTGGACAGGACACGGAACTGGTAGAGCAATTCGGCGGCGTTACCGTAGCTGCCGCAGCTGTACTGGAACCGGCCATAGTCGTACAGGCTGTTGACCATCTCGTTGGTAACACCGTGTTGCTCCTCCAAGAAGCGCAAGTTAGCCGCCTTGTCGCTTCGGAGGTTGCCCACAACATCCTCATCCTGCAAAAGCTCGGTGATCTTTTCGCTCTGATCCTGGTAGTGCTGCAGCTTGGCCAGAACCTCCTCGCGCTTCTTGACAAACTCGTCGGGAATATCGTCGGAATCGTTGATCTCCTTCCACAAATTGGCAACATAGTCGGTCATGTTGGTGTGCTTAAGCAACTCGTACTTGGCGCGGGTGATTTCCTTGTCCTCCTCATCGGCGCCGGCGCTGAACTCCAGCAGCGGGAAAACCAGGTGGCGGTCGAGGTACGGGATCAGCCGGGGCAGCAGATCATACTGAGGGGTGGCATCGGTCGGGTGAGCGCCGCTGAGCATCTCAGCGGAGGGAGGGGCGTTGTCAGCCATGGTGGACAGCACTGAGGGGGTTGTTCAAAGACAAGACACAATCTCGCACTTTGAATTTGTGTGCGGGAGGGTTGGCGGCGCTAAACCGCTTCAGGGAAAATAAAGGCGGTGGCAGAATCGGCGGCCGCGAAGAAACCTGCTTCGTCCTTTCGTCGACTTGCAACGCGGGCTTATTTTTCGTGTTATTCTGCTCCCCTGCCAGGTTCTTCGCCCTGCCCATCTCAGACGTTCAATGGCGTCTCTTCGACAGTCGGCCTCGGCTGCCTCGGTCGTGTGCAAACAGACTGCCAACTGCCGCCTGGCGTCGTCCGTGGCTTCCGTGCAGATGCGGAGTCCGCTTTCTTCGTTATCTTCCGTCTCACATCGTGCACTCTGTAAGTTTGAGTCTTGCTTTCATTTCCCCTCTGTTGGTTTGTCGAAATGGTTTATGCATCTAGAGAGGTTCTGGACTGGAATTTTTTCTGTACCAAAATCAAACCGCACCTTTTTCGGAGATCATGCCATCCTACTACTTGAAATGACAATATCTAACAAAGCTTTTGTTTTTCCCCCCTACAGCTCCTCGCTCTCTATTCTCTCTGCGCCCTAGCTCCTCCCAGATTACTCTCTCCAGTCGCCAAACCCGCACGTTCCTGACACAACTGCGCCGTCAAGCACAAGCTCTGAAAGAGCAACCCATCTCATCCTCCACACCCTTGCCCAAGCAGGCTAAACAACCTCAGTCGGCGCTTCAACTGAATAATCTCCCATACTTTGTTCGCCGCACTGGTTCCAACCAGCTGCCTGTCTACCTTGTTACAAAAGCAGGTGGAACCAAGCAGCTCACCAAGATTCAGAAGACAGAGGGAGATTTGGATGCTCTGCGCAGTGACCTGGCTCTTACCCTCGGAATTGACACACGGAGTCCCGATGTTTCTATTAACAGGCTGAACGGGCATATCATTGTCAAGGTATTCACTATTACCTGAATTCCTTTCTGAACCTTCATGATATTAATATGTACCTCAAAGGGCTGGCGGAAACCTGAGATTGTAAAATTTCTCCAGGAACGCAACTTTTAAACATCTCCCAAACCTCCACTCCCCGACAATGGACCACTTTTGGTTTCTGTGGTCGAGGGAATGTTTTCAAAAGCAGTGATGGGTTCCCAATGAGCAGGGAACCTTGGCGAGCGCTGGAACAGATGGGCAAAGAGCAAGAACAAAAGCATACGGAGGGCCAGAAAGAGGAGGGAACCAAGTTGGCTCCGGAGGCAGCTGCTGTCTATGGGTAATTTTTTTTCCCTTTTCCTCGATTCCCTACTCCTGCGGTGTATTTTTTTTTCCTAATTTCAGCTTATGGGGCCATTTTCTTTCTTGCGGGTGTTTTGATTTCTTCGTTCCTCTCGTTGGCCCTGTTCTCCGGCGCTTTGCGTTTCTTTTAATCGCTCCCTGTACCATTTCTACTCTAAATATGCTCGACGACTCAATGGAGGCTTCCTCTGGTTTCTTGATCTCTAATTGAATGGATCCATATATCATTATTTCTTGTGAACGCCGATAAAGCATCGGCGGTCTCTCATATCTCCACTCTTTTGAGACGCTTGCATCGGCCCTCTTTGGCGACTCGCAATATCGCAAATATGAGAACTTGGGAATGAGGAGACAGATTTCTCAATTAGACAAGGCCCAAAATCTATAAGTTGCATTATATAACTATTTTGCAGTTGACGGGTCGCTTTTTGAAGGAACCTCGTCTCAAGATCCAGCGTCTTCCGACTCGAACGGTTGAATGCCTCCTCCGTATGGTTTCGTTAGGCGCCGGAGTTGTGGAGTCTACGTAAGAAATTGGACGGTCGTTTCCGAAGAAAACCCGCACAGGCGTGCAGATTCCCTACGGCGAGTAAGTAAGCTCTGGTGTTGGGTTCGAGTGATCAATAGGCCCCCAACATGGTAAGCTAATGTTGAAGGTATTCAGAAGCAGGCTGCGACGCTTGAACGCTTGACCAACCAACAAATTGTCCACTTGTAACTGAGAAATATAATATCATGGCATCATGATACAAATGAAGTGAGATAGCATCGTCCTCAATATTAGTTTTCTTTCGGCCTAAACTATGTTATCTCTTCCTAGGGCCTATAGTCGACCTAAAGCTTCAGCTCATACTTGATCAACATCGAGACTTCATTAGTTTTCCAGTTACTCTCTGCCTCTCCCAAAATACTCGCTTATCCCGAGTTGCTGTTTCCGAAACTACGTTTGCCGCGAACCACCTCTGTCCCTATCAGCATATACCCACTTTCAAACAAAAGATAGATATGCGACTAATTGTTGTCCAAGTTCGCGGCTTCCTTCTTACATTGTTTCTTCGAGGCCTAACCCGTAGGACAGGGCTGTGCATTATCTATTGCCTTAACACATAGAGTGATTTTCCTATAGAACCGGTGACCTGTCGATAGAACCAGATTTGACATTTCAGAGACTATGCTGGCGACGAGGCAAGCCAAGCCTGTGATTACGGAGAAGTACTATCATAATATGGGCACATAGAGCATTCTGAAGTCTCAAGAATCTTTGAGCGGTCCACCTTTAAGCAGAACGATTATAGATGACAGGGATTAAGAAAAGCTCATGTCTTGTAAGATTGGATGGTATGTGTTGGCTGCCGTATGACTATTTCACAGGCCTAGGCTGGCGCCTCGAGGCTACCTAACCCCACTAGTAATATGATCCAACGAGAAAATTGAACTTACGAATGTGTTAGATATCCCCCAGGGGTATAAAGGTTTGATGTCAGGCCCCAAGCTTAAGAAGAACTCTTTTGCTACGTATATAAAGGCCAGTAGACACGGTCTTCTTCTGCTTCGAATACCTTTCCTTGAATTATTCTCAAAGAATCCTGAACTATTCTAAATAAACCTCGAACAAAAGACTTGCTGGGAAAACAAACGCTCTGTGGAAAACTTTTATGCCAAATTTTGTTCTTCTCGAATTTGAATCCCGCAAACATGAGCACACGTGGAAACGTCGATCCTAGAAAGGTTGCCAGCTGGAGAGCAAGCCCAGCAGCCAATGCCACCAAGGAAGCACCTCCTGATTCTAAAAACATGAAAAAAATTGTAGGCTGGGAAAACAAAAGGCCGTGTTCGAATATTCCTCCAACACATAAATCTGGAGTTGTTGACGGGGTTCCTCTCAAGTGGCAGGATAACGCTTATGACCTCCTTGAGTGTAATGCTGGCAAGTTGAAGATCAAAAGGACGCCGCAACTTCTGAAAATCACAACTGAGAATATTGTGGCGCAAATTGGTCATCGATATTGGCGATCACTGCCGGCAGAACCACTTCTCATTTTGTAGGACAACACTTTGTTATATATTACTTCGCTTGAACTTTTGTAGCTGATGTTATTTTAGAGGTCCCGTGCACGAGGGTACTATTACCAGACTTCCAGGTGGCAATAACGCAACCACCTCGAAGAATGATCCTCTTCATGTCACTATCCAAGTTATGGATAAGTTCAAAATTCATGCATATATTGACCCTAGAGATGAAGAGACGATCATGTCAGTGAGTGTTGTGGTGAGGAAAAATGTGATTAAAGAACTTTGCTACTAGTAGTGAAGATAGTGAAAGCCGATAACAGGATCAATACCCAACAGACAAGTACAGTATATACCAAATCCTCTTGCTGGGAAGAAAGAAATTTCTCGAAAAAATGTGTTCTTCACTTCGGACTAGAGATGAACCACGATGAGTAAAAATCCTCTGCGGAAATAGTGTGTGATCTTATTTGATGAGTATATCCAAGACATATATTTCAAGGCATCCAAGGAAGGAAGAATTTCAAAGAAAATGCACCTAACACTGTGACGTCTCAAACTGTCAGAATATTTTTTTGGTGTGAAGAATATAGATTCTTGATGATCTCGATAGGCATGTAGATTAGAAATTGAGGTAGTTGATTGAAAAGAATTATCGTGCTGAGCTAGACTGAATTGACATGGGAAATTGACAGGAACAGTTTTAAGGCTGTTCTAGATCGCATATTTCTATAAAATATCAGTTAATCCGATCGAAATCGAAGTATGCCCCCGCACTAGCCTAGTATAGCTCTCAGCTATGACGCAGAAGTCGACTTTGTATTTATACGAATAGAGAAAGATGTTGATCTCTGCCCCACGGCTTGCGCATGGTGGCATCCCTTATGACATCACACTGTGCATCGCATTCACAATCACAGTGGTGGTGCCGTGTGTGGAGATGCCAGTGGACGCCAAAATCCCGACACCATATGGGCCATGCGTTCGTTCCAGCGCAATGGATGGCCAATTAAGTGACCCACCTTGCTCCACTGATAGGCTTTGATATGCACCAGCCCCCTCTAGCTTTTTGAGATCGGTTGCGCGAACCGAACACTTCGCCACTTCGTTGGAAGTAATTTTTCGCATGAAGAGGAATTGTGGGCTGGGAGCACGATAAGGCAAAGCTGCGGCTGTGCCGGTTGATGTTTCGACAGAAGGGAAGCGTAAGACAAGTTTGTCTGGCAAAGCTGCTTTAGTGGTCTCCTTCAGTGGCTCCCTCTATAAAGTCTCGTATGTTCCAGAAATTCCAAAGTAAATGTAAGTATCAACCCATCGTTGCAGTCGATATGAAAGACTCTTTAATTAGCGCTCAACTAATGAGACTAGCCCCTCAAACAAGTTCAGCTCAATAAATTCTTTGAAGATTGGCACTGAAGATGGTCCTTAAAATGGGCTTTGAGGGTGAGAAAGTTGGAGCTACCAAAAGCGACCTTGAGGAGGAGAATGAGGATGAGGAGGAGGAGGAGGAGAAGAAGGAAGACGCCGAAGAGAAAGTAAAGCAAGAGCGACTGGCAGAATTGGAGAAGAAAAAGGCTGAAATCCTGAAGAATGTCACAACTTCAGTGAATGTTGTTCAAGCGCCGCAGTGATCTGTTGTTGGGGGGGTGTTGATTTTACATTGTTTACTAGAATTCAAACATGATGACATGAAATAGCAAGCAGTGCCTGCACAGTAAACTAAGGTGCCATCAGATTTGAATCTACCTTATCTCTTTAAGTTTACTTCTGTAGTTCTACCCCGCATTTCTGACTAACAGATATGCTTATTAACTGGGCGGTGTGTAGTGGCAGAAGCGAAAGCTGGGTGCACTTTCCAGCTTAGCAATCTCGCCTTCATGAAGATTCTACATTCTGTCTGCATTAAATCCAGCTAGAACTGACTCCATATCTCATTACGCTCTGCTGAATACAGTCTCAAGCTGTCTGGTGCCTAACAGCTTGCCTCATCAACCTTTTCTACCGCATCTCCTACTAGGGGTTCTACTTCAGATGTCCGGGGACAGCTCAATAGCACCGGCTGATGCTGTTGCAGCCGCAATCGACGACGGCAAGACACATCTCCTTCTAGCCGCGTTTGTATCCCTTTTTCTTTTCCTTTTCTAGACTAGCCAGAAACCTTGGATATGTCCTATATCTTCCCAATTCCAATGAAAGTTAACACCCCATGGAACTTCAGAAGCGGCTCCGTTGCAACCATCAAGATCCCTCTAATCATCTCCGCCCTCCAACACCACAAGAACCTCTCCATACGCGTGGTTCTGACAAGCAGCGCATCCCATTTCCTCAATGGAGATTCTCCCGAACAACCCACTGTCGCGTCACTAGCCTCTCTACCCTTCGTCGATGGCGTCTACCAAGACAGCGATGAGCAAGCCGACTCCTGGACCCGAGGCGCCGGCATTTTGCACATTAACTTGCGCAAGTGGGCACATATTCTTGTTATCGCCCCTCTAAGCGCAAACACTCTCGCCAAGATCGTCCATGGCATATCAGACAATCTGTTGACGAATCTGATCCGCGCGTGGGATACGTCCGGCCTGCTGGACGGGGCCAAGAAACGCATTCTAGTATTCCCGGCTATGAACGTCGCAATGTGGCTTCACCCTGTCACTACGAGCCAGATCCGCGTCCTGGAAGAGGACTGGGGTGTGCCGGCTGACGGCGCGGAGACGGAGGACAAAAATGAACTAGCAAAGCAAGGCTGGTTTGAGGTCTTCAGGCCTATTGGGGTACGTGGACTCTTTCCCCCATCTTCTTTCTTTGTAGTTCCAGAGTCTATTTCTTGGCACTACTCGTGAGGATGCGTAGTTACTGGGAGTACCTTGCTAATAGGAATCTATAGAAAACGCTTGCCTGTGGCGATATCGGAATCGGGGGGATGCGGGAGTGGACAGAGGTTGTGACCATTATCCAGCAAAGATTAGGTCTCACGTAGTCATAAATAGTCCCAGAGCCCCCTCTTCCAGACGACCCTCTGTTGACCATATTTGCTCCCGAGGATAGCAGAGCTGTTCGGGAATGAATTCTTGCTCACCCGTGATGGACCAACAAAGAAGTCGCTACCATCTCACATACTTGGACCATTCTCCTCGACGCCCGTCTTCGGGCCGAGCTTTTATTCCTGACCAGGTGGTGCAGGAAAACACACCAGTCAGCTATAATATGGCAGATGGAAGATCGACAAGGAAAATGAGTCTTCACATATCTCGGCAATGAAAACGAGAGATTGAAAAGAGATCTGTGCCAATTCAATGACGCTCATGACGAAGACAGAATTCGAGGCTAAGCGGGTTAATTTCGATTTCCTCGGCTTTCCTTTTCTATGAAATCCACCATACTATAACTTCAAGTCGACTCTGATCATCTTGTGCTTCAATATGTTATCATCCAAAAATATATTGGGGTATCTGAATGCATATACCTAAATATAGCTCATGATACAAGTGAATCAACGCTTTCTGCTTCTTTGGAACACTATAACACCATATTCCGTGATCAGTTAATCTCATTCGGAACTAGCTAGAGATATAGCATACATGACGAGTATGTGTGCCTAACGCAACCACATAATACCACATCTTTACTTCTAGGAATAAAGCGATGAGCAGCCGCTGCATCAAGATAAGTCCTCAATATCTCGCGTTTAGCCGAGGGTATTTTGAGCATTGTACATATGGATAAACATAAAAGGCACGCTATCTCACAATGGAAGGAAGGAGAGAGGAAATAGGAATAAAATAGAAAAGAAAAGGAAAATAAAAAAGAAGCCCCCATTTCCACCGGCGCCCAAAAAAGATAGGAAGATCGAACCTGACCGTTTGACTTTGAAGAAACATGCGTACAAATGACATGACAGAAATCAGAAAGTTTGTCGTAGATGCTTCATGCACAGCGGCAACGCCCTCGCGTCCATATCACTCCAGCCGTGTATTCGCCTGCTCGTGTGCTAAAGAGGTAACTCGTGAGGTGGCGAGGAGATGCAAAAAAAAGAGAACAAAACACCGAGTTTACTCTGCCAGCCGAGCATAGGTAATGAGTTGGCGAATGATGGTGGGGTCCATGTTCGGAAGGAGAAGTGCACCAAGAAGGCTCTCTTTGCGGGGGAGGATTCCGGAGGGGAGACGGAGGGGTGAGGTGTTGTCTATTTGCTTCGACTTTTCGGCGAGTCGGCGCAGGATGGCCAGACCGCGGTGAATGATCGATCCAAAGGCATAAGCTTCGGCTTCGGCTTGACCACGCTGTCGCATATTGATCTGCGGGATGCGTTCAGTGCACAGGAGACACGAGAGGCGAAGAAGATGGATCGCAAAGCCATCGACAGATCCAAGCCATAGCTGGGCTAGGAGTCCGTCGGCGAAGGTAGTCAGAACATCGGCAGCTAGGAGGCCTTGCATGAGGAATACCTTTCGGGCATCTGCAACCGCCAGGGGTTTCTTGTCTGGGACCGCGCAGATGGCGAGGCCAAATGTGCGGGTGAGAAGCTCAGGCTGAGGAGGCGTGGCGCCATCTCCAGAAAAGATGGCACCGAAATAAATCCGGTTTGGATCATCTCTTGCCAGCAGCTTGGCAAGGCCATCAACAGCAGAAGGAGTGTATCGGTGGATAGAGGGATTGAATGCTGTGAACATGACCTGATCCGGGCTGGGCCCAGCTGATTCAGACGACGGTGAGAAGGCCAGGAGGAAGTGCAGCAGACTCAAAGCTTCATCTTTTCCGGGAATTTGCATAACATGTGCCAAGTTGCTCATGAAAATAACGGCGTCTTTCATGAAATCCAGTGTATTCTGGTTATTCCGAAGGAACATATCGCGAGTCCCAATGCATCGGAAGATATTGGCAAGGCACTGAGTAACAGATGACAGGCCCAAGGCGCCAAAGTTTGACTCGCTGAATGAAAAGTTGCGCAGAATGGTGGTAATACAAATCAGTCTATCCACGGCTCGGTCGAGCTCATAATCCAGACTTCCAAATTCATGAACGTCAGCAAGAGAAGAGTGCTCAGACTGGCAACCACGAGTCACATCCTCGTATGAACGCATCACCATAGTGTCTGACACTTCGGGGAGGTGATCGGCCAAGAAATCGGCCTGGTTATCGGCACAGTCAATTAAGCTTTCCACCAGATCATCGCAGTTCTCAAGTGAAATTTGGATGGCGGGTTCACATGATAGAGTAGTGAGCGTATCCAAGGCGACTCGGATCTCGGCATTGATTCCAGATTTCAGTCCCATAGTGAGAGCATGGATGTCAATGACACCCAATTCTGCAAAGCTGGGTACGGTCGGGCGGAGTCGTGAGATGTCGTCGCCAATCTGATACATTTCATCCACCTGAACGGGCCCATGTAAACGATGCTCTGTGAGAACCATCGGTTTAAATGGGTCCTCCAGGGGTTTCTTCATTACCTGATCGGGCTTCGGCGCCATCGGGCCAGGCTGTTGTTGAACAGGAGTTGGCACGGCGGGCTTCCCTTGTTGGGTTGGGGATGGTGCTGTGAACGGAGCCGTAACCTCAGGCGGGCCCGGAGGGTGCGATTGACGAGAGACACTCGCTCGGTGTGCCTGCTGTGCAGACTTGCTTTGACTTCGCGCTTGCGTAGGGGTGGCAAATCCATTAACTGGGGTGTGTTGAGAGTTGGCGGAGATGGGGGTATTATTTTGAGGGGAATGAGCGATTGGTTGAGGCTGCTCAAAGTGGCCGGTTTTGACAGTAGGTGACTGAAATTGCATTTGCGATGGGTCATTTTGTTGGCGTGGCAGCCCGCCAGGTTGCTGCTGCTGCTGCTGCTGCTGCTGCTGTGGCGGCGGCTGTGGCTGCTGTTGCATCTGGTCGGCAAAGTGTTTGGACTGGGACTGGAAATAGGCCTGCTCATAAGGGCCTAGATTCCTTTGGTGATAGTCCCGAATTTCTTGTGCCGCCATAGGGAACTGCATTTGCGGGAACTGGAGTTGCTGCGCGACCATCGGCCACATGTTCATGGCAGTGATTTTCTTTGATCCACCCATTTTCATGACGGTACCATATAATTGCATTACATTGATGGGTCGACCGCTGATGATTGGGTTAGGATCCAAGGGCAGATTTCGTGACATCATGAATTTCTGCAGTGTCCGCATGAACATTTCCGGGTTGTTGGGCTTGCCCATATTCTGCTGCATTTGCCGAATGGCGGCCATCTGTTGGGGATTGGCCATAGGATTCATGACTCCGGGAACTTGGGGGCGTCCCGCCATTTGGGGATTGGCGTTCATTTGCGGCCCTTGGCCTTGCATCTGCATCTGCCGAAGTCGTTGCTGCTGAGCGGCAATTGCCTGGTGATATCCAGGAGGAACCTGTTGCATCCCATTGAATTGCTGAACTTGCATGGGTTGCTGTTGCCCGGCTGCCGCCATCCCGGGTCCCTGTTGGAACTGTGGGTTCATGCCTTGGGGGAAGCCTTGGCCGGGCATGAAGTTGGCATTCTGAGGAGTGTTTACACGACTTCCATCTGACTGTGAAGGGGACATCTGTGGGCCACCCATATGCGGACCAGCTGGGGAGTAGGGACTCGGCGAGGCGGTTCCCATCCGAGCACTCTGTTGGTCGAATTCTGGCATGATGGGTGACTGGGTCACTCCCGGTGACGCGTTCTGCTGAAGGTGCTGATACGGCGTGGGATGCTGAGGAAACTGGGCAGTCCCGTTGGCCGGGCCCTGATAGCCTGGAAAAGGGACCTGATGTGGGGTCTGAGAGCGTGACCCGGTCACCCCAGCGCCGGGCGCTGGGCGCGGCGACATGGGCATCCCATCTTCTGGGCGAGGCCTTTTGGAAGGGATCACTTGGTTAGGGTTGTGGAACCCGGGGGAAGCATTCCGCGGCACGCCATTGAACATGCGCTGGAATTGGTTCGGGTCTTGAGGCGTCGGGGAGTTATGGAGGAAGGCGGTAGAAGGGTCTATTGTGGAAGGATTAAACGCGCCATTATCCTGGCCAGGAAGGGTCGAGGCGTCAGGGAGCCAGGCATTCATCTCGGACGGAATCACCAACCCATCTGTTTGACCTGAGGGAGCGGGAGGTCAGCGAGGTTCACTGCAGCGACGTGCGCTATCATCGCGACGAGAGTCCGCCGCCTAGGAATCATCTCCAATGCCAATGGGGAAGGGCAGGGGCCTCATGGACGCATCTCCCACTCGGTGCGAACGCGTCAGGGCCGAGATGTTTAGGGTCAGCGCGCCCGGTCGCGACACGCTCCGAGGGGGTTGGGTCGCCGAGGATAGACGAAGGCAGCAACGATCATTCAACCATGGCCATCCCCGAATGTGGTGGAGGGGAAAGAGGGAAGGAGGTACATACCGACGAGGCTGGATGAATTAAATTCCCGACTTGCGATCGGATGACTGAGGCCGGGTTCCGGAATTAGCAGATGGGACGTGAGGCAGAGGTTTGGGGTGAGGTGGTAGAGTCACGTGGAAAGAGGGAATTATGGGGGCCTCAGGCAACAGGGGAGGTCACGGGGAAGGTCACGGGGGGAAGGTGACCTAGGGAGGTGGGAAGCCAGCGGGAAGCCGGGCAACCAAGCAGGGCAGCAGGGAAGGGGGATGATCAGACCACGATAGCTGCGGGCCGAAAACCATCCAGGGCTGGGAAAGAGTCGGTGGACTTCCCGGAAGAAGGGGGGAAGAGGGGGGGGGGAACCGGAGTGGGTGGGTGCGTGGCCACAGAGCTCTCATCCAAGGCCGGGGAAGGGATCAGAAGGGGAGCGGGGGGAGAGGATTAACGAACATCCGATTGAAAAGCAAACGGAGTCAAACCAGGCGTACCTCCCGTACAGATTTTTGGGCGTAAAAAGGCAGTCCAAAGGGATGCGTCAAAAGGGCGAAGTGGAGGCAAAGAATGGGTGAGGGAAAAATACCAGGAAACAGCCGGAGTGAATGGACACCCGAGAACGGCTTGGCGGTACAGCCATTACAGCCCATACCGCCCATACAGCCAATACCGCCAGTACCCCGGTCTGTCGGCGGCAATCGGGCTGTGTACCACGGAATTACCCTGCTCGTACCATACATACATGGCCGTCTTTTTCGCTGGTGATTAAACAGAGTCGCTGGTGATGAGTTTCTGCTCATCTTCTCATGGTACTCGGCAGCATAATATCCTAGGGATCCCCGAGAATCCGCAGGGCTGTCTCCTCGACTGCATGGTTACAATAATTCAGCTGGGGTTAGTCAGATTACTCAGGTTAGTCAGACGGCCGCAACCGCGCCGTACGGGGAAACGAAGGGGCCTCCCTCTTCCACTACTAGGAACCCCATCAGATTCCTAGGCAAAATTGGGATCAGGACTTCTGGTCCTGGGATAAGAAGAGAGAAGAAAGAGGAACGAGGAAAAAGAAGAAGAGGCAGAAGTCAAAAACGGCGCCTAAGAGCGGCCTCACAGGACGCAAAGCCCCGAAGATCCATTCCAACGGTCTCCGCCCAGTATGGTTTAGTCAGGTTAGTCTGGTGAACTAATTAGTTCGTTTGAAGCCCTTTATGATCGATCCCAGGGGCCGCAACACCGGAATTTGGGACCGGAGAGCCTCAACAGGGACGGGAAGGGATCAATCTAGAACCTCTTCGGATGGGAAAAAGGAGGGGGAAGTGAGGTCAAAAAGCCTTCGGGTTTGGGAGGGAAAAGGAAATCTCGTGGGCTGGCTCTCCTTATATGAAAGCCCGGACTAGCGTCTGATAATCAGGGCGAGCCCAATCCTCCGACGAGATCAGCCATTCTGCCTATTGGGGGAAAGCTTAGAACCCAGAGCACAAGAGACCGAAGTCCCTAGAGGAGCTCATCTTGTGTTGTCTCCAATCTCCGGTCTTAATGGTCTACCAGCGTGGCCTCCTATCCACCCATTTTTACTACAATACGATGCTACTTGACTACTATAGTACCATGTTACTATGCTGCCATGATCTGATAATCCTATAATCATATACCGTTCATACTATGATAATGCAATCCCATATTGCTCGATATACTTTGGACTGTTCAACGTTATTCTAACGAGCTGCTGCCCATGCTAAAGGCCCATCGAGTCTCCTTTTCCTAGCGACCGTCGTGACCAGGCTCTGATTCGATTGTCCCTCCTCCTTCCGTCCGGACATCGTGATGATTCGGTGCCTGTCCCACCCTGAATTCCCTCCTCTCCACCACTGAACTCGCCGTGCATGAACGTGACCGCGTTACGGGCCTGCGACTCCACCGCCGTTGGGGTCATATATTCCCCTCCGTCCTCCCCGCGGAGCTCATTTGGCAGGCCCGTAAACGGCCCAAGCGACAGGAACAGCTCATCCCATGGATCAAGTGGCTTAACACGTCTCTGCCGGGGACGGTCTGCTTCCTCGGCCCAGAAATGATCAGCTCAGCTGCCTTGATCTACGCGCTGGCACTGCATTTCGAACGAATCACCTCCACGCAGTTGAGTCGGTCGGATTAGCCCTGCGTGGCGCAGTTGGCTTGGCCCGAAAAAGAAGCGATGTTGACCAAAGGACTGCCCTAGCATGATACAATCGATACCATTACAGAAATGAGACCCCCTCGGACGGAACCATGATGAGGCGAATCAGAGAACCCGAGAGCTTTGACCGAATCGGGCGCACGATCACTACCCGAGCATGATACTGTACAGGGCAAGGTGGCTCTATGGAATGATGTTGCTTTGCTTACAACATACGCAGCATAAAATGGCTCAGCGGGGTCGATTCCATTTATTCTAGACGTAGTTTTAGAGAGGTCCTTTGCTCCCGTACAGTTCTTGTATCACGTTCCAACGAATCAGCCTCGAATGATGACTGGCGGCACGGGAAATCGCCTCTTCGCGAGGATATTAATGATATGAATCCATTCATAACTACCTCAAAAATGATTGCCTACCAAGAAAGAGAAGAAAAAAGAGATAAAACAGTATCAGGTAAAGCCATCAAATGCTGTGTGGACCAGTCCTGCGGAGTGACGAGTGATCACAGTCACGTGAAGCATCAAGTAAGCTCCAGCCCGATCTGAAGCTCCAAGGACCATCTCCGGACTCCCTCTACACAACGCGACTTCCACGTCTCTTTTTACGAACCCCTCCTTTCTTACGATCTCTTCTATCCTATCGCCTTCATCTGATATCGGATCCCTTACATTGGTCAATTCTCATCATGGCAGACGTCGCCGTGGAGAACCCAGCGAACAACGTCACGCCTCTTCCCAAGCCAACGCTGGATGCCATCGCCAACTTGGACTCGCTGGAAGGCACAGGGGCCGATGGAAACGATGAATATGCCAACCTCAAGCGGTTACAGAGACATCTAGAGTGAGTGGGCTCTTTGCCACCACCTCAACAGGCCTGGATCCAAGGTATTAACGCCGCCGCCAGATACATCCAGTTGCAGGAGGAATACATCAAGGATGAGCAAAGGTATGGCCCCATCGCGCAGACAATAGATTGACTTGAGCTCTATACTGACCGATGGTTTCCAATATAGGAGCTTGAAGAGGGAACTGGTTCGGGCACAAGAGGAGATCAAGCGGATACAGAGTGTGCCGCTGGTCATTGGGCAGTTCATGGAGGCGATCGATCAGAAGTAAGCCGGACCCGTCATTCTTATTACTGTGATGGTGTTGTCGAGAGATGCTAACCTGTCACCTTCCTACAGCACTGGTATTGTGCAGAGCTCAACCGGGTCGAATTACGTCGTCCGCATCCTGTCTACCCTCGACCGCGAGAAGCTGAAGCCCTCCTCTTCGGTCGCCCTCCACCGCCACTCCAATGCCCTGGTCGATATCCTCCCTCCGGAGGCAGACTCGTCGATCGCGATGCTTGGTGAGAGTGAGAAGCCAGATGTGACCTACGCCGATGTAGGTGGTCTTGATATGCAGAAGCAGGAGATTCGGGAAGCCGTCGAGTTGCCCTTGACACACTTCGACCTTTACAGACAGATCGGTATGACCTTTGAGGGGATAAAAAGTTCCTTTTCTTGAACAAAACGAATTAGAGCTTACTGACTTCCGAACTACAGGTATTGATCCTCCTCGGGGCGTGTTGCTGTATGGACCTCCCGGTACCGGCAAGACCATGCTGGTCAAGGCCGTGGCCAACAGCACGACTGCCAGCTTCATTCGCGTTAACGGGTCCGAATTCGTACAAAAGTATTTGGGTGAGGGTCCTCGGATGGTGCGTGATGTGTTCCGGATGGCGCGTGAGAACTCCCCAGCCATCATCTTCATCGACGAGATCGATGCTATTGCCACCAAGCGTTTCGACGCCCAGACTGGTGCCGATCGAGAGGTCCAGCGTATCCTGCTGGAGTTGCTGAACCAGATGGACGGTTTCGAGCAAACCAGCAATGTCAAGGTCATCATGGCCACCAACCGAGCCGACACTCTGGACCCGGCTCTGCTGCGTCCTGGTCGTCTGGACCGTAAGATTGAGTTCCCGTCGCTGCGTGATCGCCGTGAGCGCCGACTCATCTTCAGCACCATCGCATCGAAGATGTCCCTCTCCCCCGAGGTGGACCTGGACTCCTTGATCGTGCGCAACGAGCCGCTGTCAGGTGCCGTCATCGCCGCCATCATGCAGGAGGCCGGTCTACGTGCGGTACGCAAGAACCGATACAACATCATCCAGTCCGACTTGGAGGATGCCTATGCTGCTCAGGTGAAGAGTGGCCATGACGATGATCGGTATGTACCCTTTCCCCCCCCGGCCGAATCTCGGGCCATTGCTTTCGTGTTACTAATCTATGGTTTTTTTTTTCTCTCATAGTCTCGACTTCTACCGGTAAATCGTTGATTGCTGGAGTGGGCGCGTGGATGAGGATGGTGGAAGCTTGGCCTCGAGCGTTGTATTATCAATAATCTGTGATACTTGGGAATACATGGATGATTCTTTTTCTGGAATGGCTCATGATAAGGCCACTGGCAGGCCAATCTTTCGTCCCACGTAGAGATCGGATTTATCAGTACATGGATACCCGAACACCAGTCGTAAATAGAGATACTGTTTATGCAAGTTCTGTAAAGACTCCCAGTATGCGGGACACGATGTGATCCACGTCTATTGTATGCCTTGTTTTTTTTTATAAGGAGGTAGGGCTAAATATAGGTTGCTTGATTCATCGACTGATAGATTGACTTCCAGCACAAGCCAACCCTGATGATGACTAAAAGAATTTTGATCCTAAGGTTGAATCCGCCGAGTCATCCTCAGTGAAACATTTATGTAGTAGATAATGGTTGGGCATTTGTCGAAGGTCCCGTCAGGTGATGCCGGGTAACTCTAGACCCTTTCGCCATGGTAATCAACTTGATTCCGGCTGACGAGCTCCTGCAGCTGCTGCCAGGTACGCGGGTGCTTCGACCTCCTCTTGACCTGGTTAGCGCAGGCAACCAGCCCCCTTCCAAAGCCCCCCTAGACTGTTTCTAAGTCTTCTGCTCAACAAGCTCAGATCGTAGATACAGGCACATGCACATATAGAGGCCCTGAGATTTCATCAAGCAGGCTAACACCTAATTCCCCGAGCAGGGGACGTTCCACGAGGGGAGAATAAGGACAGACGGAGAATCTGGGAAGGGTGTAACCCGCTCCGGCGCAGCTGATTCCGGGAAATGACGCACTCCCGTCACGTTATGCCGATCGGGTCCCCAGGCTCCGCCCCCAGCCCGCTCTTATCTTCCCTCATCACCTCTCCATCGTTATCATTCCTCCTCCGTCACGTTCTCTACCATCATGAAGTCCTTTGCCCTACTCACAGCCGCAGCGCTGCTGGGCTCTGCCTCTGCAGAGGTCCACAAGCTCAAGATTAAGAAGCTCCCGCTCGAAAAGCAGCTGGTAAGAGAGGACCCCTCCCCTCCCGCCGGAAGCAGTCACCTCTGCTGGGATCGCTGTGACTAACTGCATCACCTTAGGAGAACGCCAACATCGACGCCCATGTCCAGGCGCTAGGACAGAAATATATGGGCTTCCGTCCGGACAACCGCTTCCAGGATACTTCTTTCAAGCCTACCGGTGGCCACAATGTGCTCGTTGACAACTTCCTGAACGCTCAGTGTAAGGCCTTCATCCCCTTTCCCCCTGCCCGGTCCAGGTTGTTCATCATCAAGAGACCATCATAGTACTTATTAGGCTATTGTGGCTGACTATCTCCAGATTTCTCTGAGATTTCTCTCGGCACTCCTCCCCAGACTTTCAAGGTTGTCCTCGATACAGGTAGCTCCAACCTGTGGGTGCCATCCTCGGAGTGTAGCTCGATCGCTTGCTTCCTCCACACCAAGTATGACTCGTCTTCATCGAGCACCTACAAGAAGAATGGCACCGATTTCGCCATCCGTTATGGGTCCGGAAGCCTGACCGGGTTCGTCTCTCAAGACACTCTGCAGATCGGCGATCTGGCCGTCAAGGGCCAGGACTTTGCCGAGGCCACCGAAGAGCCCGGTCTTGCCTTTGCCTTCGGTCGCTTCGATGGAATTCTAGGCCTGGGATATGACACCATTTCCGTCAACGGCATGGTGCCCCCCTTCTACAACATGATCAATCAGGGCCTCCTCGATGAGCCCGTCTTCGGCTTCTACCTTGGTGATTCCAACAAGGAGGGCGACAATTCCGAGGCCACCTTCGGTGGTATTGACAAGAGCCACTACACTGGTGAGATGATCAAGATTCCTCTCCGCCGCAAGGCTTACTGGGAGGTCGACCTCGATGCCATTGCCTTTGGCGACAACGTTGCTGAGCTGGACAACACTGGTGTCATTCTTGACACCGGCACCTCGCTCATTGCTCTGCCCTCTACCCTGGCTGAGCTCCTGAACAAGGAGATTGGTGCCAAGAAGTCCTTCACTGGCCAGTACACCGTCGAGTGTGACGCCCGTAGCAAGCTGCCTGACTTGACCTTCACCCTGAGCGGCCACAACTTCACCATCGGCCCTTACGACTATATTCTGGAGGTGCAGGGATCCTGCATCAGCAGCTTCATGGGCATGGACTTCCCCGAGCCCGTGGGTCCCCTCGCTATCCTGGGTGACGCATTCCTGCGCCAGTGGTACAGTGTCTATGACGTGGGCAACAACGCTGTCGGCCTGGCCAAGTCTAAGTAAATACCCATCCTAATCAAGGCCCTCTCCTCGAAGCCGTGGTTGCCGACTAGCTGGAGGAAAAGAAATTGAAGCGGATGTCTCATATATGCAGTGTTTATGCCGCTTCTTTTCTTGAGTTGAGTGGTTTGTAAATGTGCCTGCCTTGATCATCTGTACCAATGGCCTCAAGCGCATCATCCATTGATATTTTGATTCTCTTCGTTTCTTTTCTGTCCGTCTCTCAGCACGGCCGCTTCCGGGTGCCTTCTTAATTCCTTGATGATTACAAACCGTCACAGGCCATGGATTTATTGCATTCTCGTTGATTTATCTCGCTTTTACGAATTGATCACCCCAGCTTTGCTTCGTACCTCTAGTTCCGGTTATCCTCTTGAGGAGACTCGACGTCGTAGTCAAATTCTTTCCGCGGACTGGGGCTTCTAACGTAGGCCCTTGATTTAGTTTATTATGAAGCTAGAGCCGCTCTCATAGCTTGGACCGAGAAGCTGCAAATGGAGCCGGTGGCCCGTAGCTGCATAGCCAATCATGCAGCTTAGCCCAACCCGCAGGAGTCGATTTGGACCAGATGATAGACTCAAATTGGGACCATGGTTCTTGATATTGTCCTAGATAGATATTAGCACTTCTAGTATCAGCCCGAGTAGTTATACCGAGCCTTCTTTGTCATCATGATTTCTTTGTCCGGGGATGTTGACATAAGCGGAGCTCTCCTGGGCAGATTCCCCGCACAAAGTACTTCTACTCCCTAGGCTCTTGCTTGACGCACGACAATCCTAATCCTTTCTTCCTCTATCCTGGATAACCTCGTTTTCTCTCTTCTCGGCCTCTCCTGATTCCTAGTGTGTCGCGTTTCTTAGACCTGTCTCGTGCGCTAGGTTGCGTCGGGTGCGCACGATACTCTGTACTGCTCCGCGTTCGTGTGGCGATTTACCCGTCACTCGACCTGCCCACTACTTCTTCCCACCCCAAACCCTTGCGCTCCGCACCCGTCCTTCCTTCCAACCTCCCCCTCCCTTCCCAAATCCATTCGCCAACGCCTCTTGAGCTTCCGTTGGCCCAATCCCATTTTATCTTCTTTCATCCTCTCGCATACCCGCGAGTCCCCGGACCTGCTGTTGCTTGCCCCACGCGTCGCGTGTCGGGGATGGCGCCGTAGCCAGAGTCGCACGCGATCACCCTAACACGACATCCGCGCCTCGCTGCGACGCGGAGACATTCCGAGCTTCCTACGAGCCCCCCACAGAGCGATTCTGTGGCGGGGGGGACCTCCGGGCTGTGGACTACATTGAGGAGCGCCACGGATTTTTTCGGGCGGCGATCTTGGAGCAACCATGCTGCTCCGCTTGCCGGGCAGCTTGCACTACCCGATCACCGTGACCTCACTTCTCAAGCAGGAGGGGGACACGGTGGAACGGGATGAGGCGATCTTCTGGTACATCTACCAGACCACGGTCGAGGAGGGCGACGGGCTGGGAAACAAGGTGGAAGTGAAGCGCCAGTTTCCCACCCGGTTTCAGTCCTCTGTGGATGGGACCGTGGTGCGGTGGAATGTCGCGAAAGGAGATGTGATTGATGAACCGTGAGTTTGCTGTCCTCTTTTCTGTTTCTATCCTCGTCCGGCTGTGTCTAATTGGGTTTGTCTTGATGAGGCAGAATTGATATCGTTGAGATCGATGAGCCATGTGCGCATGAGGTCCAGTACGGAGGCATGTGTGCGGAGTGTGGAAAGGATATGACCGAGTATGTATTCGTTTATCATGGGAGGCGGGTTTCTCTGGGGATATCTTTGTGCATAACTGACGGGTCTCTCCCTTTCTTCGACAGAGCTTCCTATAACACGGAGGTGATGGACTCTTTTCGCGCGCCAATTCAAATGACCCATGACAACACTACACTCACCGTTAGTGCGAAAGAGGCGACTCGCGTGGAAGAGGATGCAAAGCGTCGTTTGTTAGCGTCTCGCCGTCTTTCACTTGTGGTGGATCTGGACCAAACGATCATCCACGCGACTGTCGACCCGACAGTTGGCGAATGGAAAGAAGACAAAGACAATCCGAACTACCAAGCATTGAGGGATGTCAGGTCGTTTCAATTGATTGACGAGGGTCCCGGAGCACGTGGATGTTGGTATTACATCAAGCTGCGGCCTGGACTGGAGGACTTTTTGGAGAAGGTGGCAGAATTATATGAGCTGCACATCTACACCATGGGTACTCGAGCCTATGCTCAGAACATTGCCGACATCATTGATCCCACCCGCAAGCTTTTTGGGGACCGCATTCTCAGTCGTGATGAAAGTGGAAGCTTGACAGCCAAGAACCTTCAACGACTGTTTCCAGTGGACACGAAGATGGTGGTCATCATCGATGACCGCGGCGACGTTTGGCGCTGGAGCCCGAATCTTATCAAAGTGTCGCCTTATGACTTCTTCATTGGAATTGGCGATATCAATTCCAGCTTCTTGCCTAAGAAGCAAGATATCGGCGAGACAAACAAAGCTATTAAAGGTGCAAAAGAAAAAGACACGAAAGAACATCATGTGAATGGCGCGACTTTGAACGCAGGTGCAGAGACTGAGGTCTCTGCATTGGAACAACTCGTGACGATGGGCGGTGGAGATGACCCGAGACTATTACAGGAACAAAGCAATGCCCAAGAAGAAACCATTATGCATCAAGTGGAAGACCGTCCTCTGCTACAGAAGCAGAAAGAGTTGGATGCTGAGGACGATGCTGCCTCTGTCGACGGCAGCGAATCATCTTCTAGTGCCGAAGACTCTCAAGAGGCTAACAGGCCCCGGCATCATCTGCTTGAAGACCACGACTCTGAGCTCTTCCAGTTGCAAGATCGATTAGAGCAAGTTCATTTGCTGTTCTTTGAAGAGTATGACAAGAGGCGGACCACTGCTTTGGGTGGCCGGGTGGCGGCTCTGAGAGGCGAAAGGACCGCATCTAGAGACAAGGATGTTGATCTCAAAATGGTTCCTGATATTAAGGACATTTTGCCACTGTACAAACGGCAGGTTCTAGGAGGAGCGGTCGTGGTCTTCTCAGGAGTTCTACCTCTAGGCTCTGACATCCAGAATGCCGAAATCTCTCTGTGGGCCAAGACCTTTGGTGTAGTCATCGCATCCAAGATCAGTAATCGGGTTACTCATCTCGTGGCAGGGCGAAACCGCACGGCTAAGGTGCGCGAGGCGACCCGGTGGCCGAATATCAGGATTGTCACGAGCCAGTGGCTCTCGGACTGTCTGGTCAGCTGGAAACACCTGGATGAAGAGCCCTATCTGCTCCCTGTACACCCAGATGACCGTGGTGAGCCTCTCTCCCCCGGCTCGCGCGAGCTCGCTGAGAGTTCGTGGCTCTCCTCCTCGGATGAAGCCTCGGGATCTCTGTGGACCGACGACGAAGGTGTGGTGCAAGAAGACGATTTCAGATCTGCTGGGCTGAACGAGACATCTCCCATTGGGTACGATGAAGATGAACAGGCGGCCGTGCACGACGAACTGAGGGAATTCCTTGGCAGCGACGACGAAAGCGAAAGTGACACCGATGCCTTGGGCGACGAGTCCGCCGCTGCTGGCAAGAAACGCAAGCGTGGTGAGAACAATGGTGGTGACAGTGAGGAAGACTCTGCCGATGACGACGGTGACGACGACAACCAAGGATCGCGCCTCTCGCAGCGCATTAAGCGTTCATACGAACGAAGCACCGGCCTTCGCGAAGTAGCCACCGCCGGCAGCGGCTCCGAGATGTCCGCCGGCGCCGAGGGCGAGGAAATGGACGCTGAGACGGATGCCAACCACAGTCCCAACGACGGATACCCCGAAGACCCGGACGATGATGATGACGAGCTGGAGCGCGAGATGCTCGCGGCGTTCGAAGACAGAAACGACGAGGAGGGCGCCGAGGCCGATGCGGTCGCGGATAGCGGGTAATTCCTCCCGTTCAATCTTGACCTGTCCAGTTTCCCCGATAGGCTTGTACGAGGTTCTTGTCGCGGCTCTTTTTTCTTTCCTCGCCGTGTTCAATGGCGCTCTTCGGTTTCTCTCTGCATTGGCATCCGCGTGTTTCTGCTGATTCGTTCCGTGTATCTTTTCTTCCCATTGATTTGTGCAGTTGCAATGCGCTCCTGGCATAGCGACGGCGTTCGTCAGTGATCTGTTTTTTCTCTCCTTCTCCCATCCTTGCCCTCTGTACTTTTCAGTTTCGCCTGCATTGGCTGTGCGTTGTGTCCTGGATTCGATTGTGGCTCGTGGGTTGATCTCATACGGAGCGCGTGTATGTCGGCTCCTTAGGCTTTTGCTTGTGAATTTCTGAGGAAAATTGAACATGTTATTTTGACTAATCTGGGCTTTAGGCGTAGGCCTTGAAGTATAGGGGGTTTCTTCCCCCGAGGCTTGCGGGATGTTCCTACCATAAGCTTCTAGTCTAGTAGGCCGTATGAGCAGCCAAAAAATGGGATATTCTTGTGGACCATCTACTTCATAAACGCCACTGTAAGACTTGATAGTGGACAGGCTTTTTTATTTTGTTTGTGTCACTTCTTCTTTTGTACATGAAAGATAATCAACAGGCTCACCGGTCATCAAATATCCTCTCTTCTCTGTATCAGGCTCCACTCCGAATTGTCCTTCAATATGTTTGATCAACATAACTTTGGGCATTCACATACGCATGTCGTCTCATGCATCGGATGCATCACAACAGATCCTTTCTTTGAATTTGGACCAGATCAAAGAACAAATACCCGAACCTAACATACAAACAAATAAATCCCCGAAAATTAACAAAACCAAATACACTCAAGTATATCCTTCTTCAGGCATCTGAAACTCCGTGCTCGCATTTTGACAGGTTGGCGCTTCCTCGCCACAATGTCCTTGAATGTTTTGCCTTGGTGCTTCTTCACCCTTGGCTCCTTTCCCTGCGGCTTGTGCCACCCCACCGCATTTGTTGGCTTTGAGGTTGAGGATGAGGTTTGACGCTTCTTCGTCACTTCGGTTGTCCCATGTTTTTTGCCGTAGTGCTTCTTCACTCTTGGCTCCTTTCCTGCGGCTTGTACCTCCACACCGCTCCAGTTCCTCCGCTTTCCCAGATTTTAACAGGGTAGGGGATGGTGAGATGTTCTCAAGGAATGATTCTCATGCATAGGCAGAGGCTGATGTGTGTGTGTGTTTTGTTTTTGTAAGAGACCCACACAAATTCTCTGATCTGACTTGAAGAGAAGATCAGTATGAATGGCTCAGACAAGACCAAAAATGGAGATCAGTTACCTTCGCTCGCATTATGTGAGTGTGAATATCAAAACCATGGAGTCAAGGCGTCACCACCATCGTAGCCCAGAAGGAAGTTGATGAATGATGAGAGAAAACTAGAAACTGGCGAAGAGTCAGTGTTGTTGTTGATATATCAGGATTTGAAGGACTCACTTCCTCGAAAAACATCTCAAGATGAATAAGTCCCAGCACATAGGACAAAGAGATATGTTGACATGTTTTTGTTTGACATGCTGAAATATTATCTCGACATGATGACATGTAAACAAGAGAGAGGTGAGAATGTCAGAGGTAAGGAGACACGTTCATAGAAGAGATGTAAACAAAACATCCTGAGGTGATGTGTCAACATGTTGATGGGGAAGTTTGAAGAAGTGAGGTGCTGGGACCAGAGGTAGTATGGTGAGGTACAAACACATTCATGTAAACAAGACTTCGTTTTGGGGGAAAGTCTTTTGGAAGAAAGAATGTAAACATGGAAATGAAGAGTTGAGAACCATGATGATATGTGTTTGAAGGACAATATATATGATGTAGGCCTAGATGAGTGAAAGAAAAGTAGGTGTGGGAACATGTGAAGGCCAATAACGGGTGTTGGGGGAGGAGGGAGAGGGGGAGATGAAGAGGGAAGAAAGAAAAACAAGAGAGATTGTGAGAGAAGAGGTATTTATAGTTGTGTGGGTGGGTGGGTGTGTATAGCATCACTTGCCCTAGCAACATCCTAAACACACAGCCTGCCTTAACAACATCCTCAATTTGTAACCTCAGGGTATGCCAAAACAAGACTAGTAACAACACACTCACGACGACCTACCAATATGGCCAGAGACAGAGCCATTCCATGAAACCCCGAGAATTGCAAGACTAAGAACCTGGCCTCTATTCGATGAACTCAAGAAAAATGCCTCATATATTTAGAAGTCAGGTATTCATTAAAAACTGCAAAATATGTCACAGGTCAAGCCTGTATAGATATGGCATGCTGCGATGGAAACCATGTCACGTAACGCCGGAGGTCATGCATCAAAATGGTATCACAATGATTGAGAAAAAGAAAAGCTGATAATATCCCCAGAAGAAATTCCATACATGAAGAGTCAAATGCATCAATGGTAAAAGTCACGGTGGACCTGCCATGACATAACCATCATCCAGATATAGAAGATGGTATTGACAAGCTCGAATGCGAATGCAGTCTTCCAACAATTACCTGTATCGGCAGGGTCAGAGGAAGGGCCATCATGGTGACAAGACAGGGATAGGGTTTACTCACATATCAAACTTTGTGTCAGCCAAGCCAGGGTATTGATGTTGTTCCCATGAGATACATTCTCGACCACATAGTTTTGGCAGTTGTCATTGACGTTCCCGGACACGCCATACAACTGGAGTGCGGTTTCAATTAATCCAGTGAGAAATAGAACGAACAGGATGAAGCTACCCAGGAGCAGGACACCCGGAAGTAATAGCCCACGTGCTATGAGGAGGCCCAGGACCATGAATATGAAAAGCACGCCCAGAGCACTGGTCACGACCATGTAGGGAAAGAGCCTAGAGAGCACGAGTCAGTGTTTGCGGTCCTTGGAGGATTAAGTGGTATTAAGCAGAGCAGGAAGCTCACCAAGGCGTTCCAAGGTTCATTTGGGACTGTACAACCATGAACCAGGAGAAGATGCCCAGGCAGGTTGCGGCGCCAGAGAGTACCACGATGATCCAGATGTTGAGCTGGATTTCGGGCCATCGGTAGTTCGTGCGTGCCACATGGCGAACACGGATCTCCTCCTTGACCATTATGTCAATCCAGTCAGTCCAACGAGACCAGTATGTAGGTAAGGCTGCGTGGATGGAATTTGGACGTGCTCGATCTCAATTGTGAAATGCCACTTGAGGTTGCGGTATATATGTCGGTAGATTGCACGTCTGCCCAACAGTATCTCGCTGCCTGATAGCCGTCACTAGGGAAGTGATTCAATGCGACTCGAGTGATGCAGCACCGGGAAGATTCGATTCGAGGTAAGTGGTTGCGCTCAGAGGAATTGGTTGTGGAACTGGGGACGATAAGGGCTGACAGCGCATCAGGCGCCGTTCGGCGCAAGTGTCGAGACTAAAGGTGCTATCCTAGAGACGCGCGAGAAGCAGCAGCAGCAGCAGCAACAGTGCAAACAGCGCAATCGTTGTACGCTACAGATGAAGCGACTAGAGGGTTGTCAAAGAAGAAACTTGGCGTGCTTGGAAAAATGAAAGAAGAGGGGCTGGTTTGTTGATCGGGGAAATTGAGGTGGCAGGGGATTTAGTTCCCGCCCCGGGGGACGCGTGGGAACCCACTTCTACTCTCTCAAAGCCACCCCCCAACAGCGTCATTCTCTGGGAATCAAACCACTCTCTATTGATCTCATCTAACTTTGGATATCGCTGATTTTTCATAAACTTAACAATTACAGAAGGGTGTCACCCAGCGCACTCCGTACCAGTGAGCATCCGGCGCGGATGGTCTCGGCCGCGCCCACCGACTCGAGGCTGGGGTTGACCTCCACCAGGTCCATTGCCACCAAGTTACCGGTCTCATGAACGCATTCACAGATGAAATCACCCTCCCGCAGGGTCAGACCGCCGCGCACCGGGGTACCGGTGCTCGGCGCCCACTGCGGGTCGAGCGCGTCGACGTCGAACGAGAGGTGGATGGGGGTATCGTTGCCGATGTGAGCGAGGGCCATATCAACGACCTTGCCAATTCCGTGACTGTGAGGGGGTGCGGATTAGAGTGAGTGAGGAAGCATTACACAAGGGGATAGAGGGATAAGTTCAACGTACCGGTCAATGTCGTGCATGCTGAAGGCCTTAATACCGTGCTCCCGCAGGAGCTTCTTTTCGCCGCGATCGACATCCCGCAGACCGATGTATACGATCTTACGGGTGCTGACGATATGCTCGTCCTGGAGCCAGCCAAAGATATCGGGCTTATCCTCCCGGGCCAGCCGGGTGAGGAAGGCCATGGGCATGCCGTGGATGTTGCCGCTAGGGCTCATCTCGGGAATATTAATGTCAGCGTGGGCATCGACCCAGATGACCGCCATCTCCCGCCCCAGACGCTCCCGGATGGCCTTGGCTGTGCCGGAGATGGTTCCGATGGCGATGGAATGGTCGCCGCCCAGGGTGAGGACGAACTTGCCATCCTTGGCGTAGTTATAGACCTGCGAGCTCAGCTTCTGGGTTACAGCGCTGACGGCGCGCGGCTTCTTCATGTTCCGGTGATCCGGATCCTCGGCGGGAATGTCCTTCTCGTAGTAGTGGATGATGTTGTCGTGGTGGATGTCGTAGTCCAGATCCTCTCGCAGCTGGGTGAGCAGGCCGGACTCGATCAGAGCCATCGGCGCGGCCTCGACGCCCTTCTTACACTGTAGAAAAGGGACTCGATTAGTCTGTCATCTCGGTGTCCTTGCCGTCGCATTTCTTACCTGCCCGCCATTGAAGCCGACGGCGACGACACCCAACTGGTTGGGGTGCGAGAGGAAGCGCGAGTCGATGGTGGAGGGTTGCGTCATTGTGCGTATCTATGCAGCTATCGAGCCACTACAGCAGAGAAGGAGGAAGCGTAGGGAGTCGGAATTGCTCAAGATCAAGTTCAGATCCAGGCAAGATCAAGTCGAAGATCCAAGATGATCTCCGATAAGATAAAAAAAAGGGCAACGAAAAGTGGATCGGGGCAAAGTGGGACACCCGATAAGCCGTCAGTTTGAAGGGCAACAGGAAGACACCAGATCGAGAGAAAGAGAAAGACGGGGGATTCTACAGATATCGAGGAGAAAAGAAGAAAGGAAGTCCCAACGGAATACAGGCCCAGCTTTATAATCGCTCGCTCTCTGCCCCCTTTCCCGCCCTCCTGTCATTCCTGTTTCGCGCGCGCAACCGCAGTCGCTAAAAACTGCTTTTAGCGATCATCGCGCTCCGCCGGGTTCTCCATCACTTCCGTTAAGTACAGGTTGAGGAGAGCGGCCCCGTTTAGGTCCTTTCGGCGTCCCACTGGGTTGCAATTTTGCCTTTGCGAGAGGGGCAAAGGCCGGAAAGATGTCGTAATGGTATCGGGGCCTCCTTTTGTCCCTTTGTAGGAGAGCCCGAAGTTGGTGATTCCGAGTTGGTTGGCGTCTGCCGCGGCCAGGGTTTTGGTAGAACCCCGGCATAGTCAACCTTACCAAATAATAAAGATATCTGCCATTTGGACATGCCTATCTACGTCTGTTTATACCGTCGAGGAGAGCGAAGGAAGCACCAGGTATCGACATTGAATATCGAGGGCATACATAAATAGGGAAAGATCCCTCCCTGCCTTACACCAGCGAACTATATTATTCTTTACTATGTTGATGACCTGCTTCCGACACGATGGATGCCAGTCTCCTATTTCACGATAAAACTAGCAATCACTGCCCAAAGGACCACGAAAGTAGTTGTATTTACTCGAGAATTAGGAAATATGTATGGCTCTCGATCCTCAATGCCCAATCGCGTTCGTGAAACAGAGGCTTCCATGCACAACTTCCCACAAGGCGCGTGGGAGGGGTATCATTGCAATCATGTTCTAATAGCTACAGGTAGTACACGTATTCATACAACAAGCGGGTATGTCCCCGACCTCTAAGGTTTGCCCAGAATAAGTTCACGAAGCATCTCCTCGGCCTTGGGGGCCTCCACTCGGCCCTTCTCCCCCGTCCGCATCATCTGCCCAACGAACCAGCCCAGCTTCCCCAGCTGATTCTTGCTGCGGATCTGCTCAACCATCTGCGGGTTCAGTGCAACCGCCGCTTCCGCCAGAGCCAGGTACTCCTCTCGCGACAAGGGGCGGAGCAGAAGATTGTCTTCTTCCAGTAGTCGAGGCACTGGCCGACGATCGCCATCAAAGACCGCCGCTAGGACCTGCTTGGCCGTGGGGCCGGTGATGAGCTTCCGGTACAGATGGTCGATGAGGTCGGCCAGAGACTGTGCCGGCACAATCTCCGCGTCCCACGCTCGGTCTGTCTTGGTCAGGAGGCCCCCAGTTCGTGAAGCACCCAGTTACCCGCCAGCCGCGCGAGAGCCGCCCGTGTTGACGAATTTGGGGCCCGATCGGCATGGGCCGAGCAGAGAAAATCGACCACGTCTTGATAATACTCCAAGCGGGCGCCATCGTCGAGCTCGATCAGGGGCTTTGCATCCTCGATCGGGAGCCCGTACTCGGGTCCGATCAGCTGTACCACCAGCGAGTCGGGGGATGTAGGGAGGGTCTCCTCAAGGTGGGTAATCAGGTCCTCCCCAATGATCAGTGGCGGGATGTCAGGGTCGGGCATATAGCGGTAGTCGACGGCACCTTCTTTGCCTCGTAGTTTGCGAGTCTCTGTGCTGCCAATCGTCCATCCTCGAGTCTCCCCTTCAATCACCCCCCACTTTCCAGAACCGCGATTTGCCGGTTCTTCTCTGCGATAATCGCGTCCTCGACAGCCTTGAAACTACTTAGGTTCTTGATTTCGGTGCGCTGGCCCAGTCCACTAATTCCATCATACTGACATTGCCCCGGCGCCTCACCCCGCCGTCGAATGGAGACATTGACATCGGCCCGTAGACCACCAAGCTCCATCCCCGTCGTCACAGCACCACATGCTTGTAGTATCGCCTGTAGTTTCCGGACACAAGCGGCAGCAGTCGCAGGTGTGTGGATCTGCGGCATTGTGATGACCTCGATGAGCGGGTGGGAGACGCGATTGAAATCCAGCAGCTGCGTCGACGGCGGATACTCCTGGGACTTGGCCGTATCTTGTTCCAGCTGGACCTGTTTAATATCCACACGAACTCGGGTTCCATCCTCCGGGGCAATGCCATCATAGTCAAAGAGATCAACGTGGCCATTCCGGGCGAACGGCTCTATCACGCATCGTCAGTTGATATCCCAGCCGATCGGTCCAGCCAGGGGGGAACGTACCATAATATTGTGTAATTTGGTACCCGGCCGGTTGGTCTTGGTAGAAATAGTGCTTCCGATCGAATCGGCTAACTGGCTGGATCTGACACTTCAAAGCAATGGCGGCGCGGAGGGCTGGGAGGAGGGTGGCTGCTTGGAATTCCTGTAGCGCATGAGCGTTTGTGTCTCGTACTCATGCCACACGAGAGAGCACGAACCGGTTGGCTGCCCGGAAAGGCCAGATCAAATAAGGCGACATTGGAATTCGGAGCATCACTTGTCGAAGTTGCGGCCCCTGGAAAGCAGTTGTCAGTAGTCACCGGCCACGCCTCTTAGGATCCGGGCAAGCAAGGCCGGATCCAACGACTTCACTCACGGGAGAACAGTTTTGCGCGTGTATCTAAGTGGGCGTGGATCTCCACGCCCACCGTCAATTCCCAATCCTGCCGAGAGCTTTCCTCGCTTTCTTTGCGCTGCTTCTTTTTAGCCCTGAGGACTTTGGCCTCCTGCTTGAGTTGTTTGCGGAGAGGGACGCGGTCTGTCGGTGCGGCCGGGAGCTTGTGATGCGCGACGGTGGAAAACGATGCAATTGGCGGGCGAACGAGGCATGGACGATTGATCCGGCCGAGAAGGCGGACTACGCCAGTGGGCCATGGCCGGAGCATCGAGGGAGAGGAGGGGCAGAGCTCGCAGCTCGGAAGTTGAGGTTGTGGAGATCGTTTCAACTGCGGAAGTCGATGGGGAACTTGGCGATCGGCGGCCGAGCCCTTCCATTCGTCTGACGCAACTACTCTGTACAACTCTACCTATTTATGGATTGATGGAATACGAGCTGTTCCGGTGTCGATTTCGGATCGGGAATAGAAACACATTTCAAAAAGAAACGAAAGAAAAGTAAATTTCTGGGGAACTCGTGCAATCTTCCGAGACTGCCATGCAATGATGAGTGTTGGGCGTCAACCACGTACTCGCTGTATGTACACTTTGCTGGACTTGCAGTGACCACTTCTGATTCAACCTCTCCTCCATCTTTTCCCAACCCCAAACGCCAGAACCTCCTGCACGACAGAAATTGGGGATGATTGCACGAATCAATCTGCGAACCACAATGGTTCAATAGTTCCATGGCCATTTCTTCTCCCTCTTCTCCCCCTCCCCCGCCTGGCGCCTCTAAAAATGGGGCAGCCGCCAGACCGCCACAAGGGCCAGACGCAAGGAGATGATCGTCAGGCGAATCGCCAGCTCATCGTGCTAATGACTTAACTACGTTCAGACACGCATACATTCTACGCATTGCACTCGGATCGGACAGGAACGCCGGCTGATTTGTTGCGGCTGTCAAACGGCCCACTCGAAGAGTGCACAAAGAGGGACTCCCCCGTGGAAATCCGCTAGTCTCAATTCCATTCCCTTGTTTTCATCCTCAAGTGGACGTCTTTTCCCGTCCAGCGTGATCGTAAAAGGCGTCACGTCGTCACGGCTCATCACAAAGTCGCCCCGGGGCGAGACACGAAGTTGGCCCCCCGGGTTTCATGTTTCGATCGGCAGGGATTTGAGGAACTCCCTTGCGACCCCAGTGTCATTGGCTGCCGATCTGAAGCCCCCGGCGCTTCTCATCTGCCTCAGATTGTTCGGGAGTTCCCTGTGTGACGAATTGCAACCCTCCATTCCTGGCGACTCGCCCGGGTGCTCATTTTGGCCCTGCACTGGTGACGCGAACGTCGTTTCCACTCCCTGGCAAGCTGACGTGCCGCTGGTTGGCGCTGTGACAAGTACATTATTGTTTCCCCAGTGCACTAGTTCATCTAGTGCTGGGTCCCCGAGAGTTGGGGCCGGGATCCGTCAGCCCTGAGTATACATACTTCGACGGTACCCTCTGCGTCTTATCGTCGGAAGAATATCAAGGAGACGACGCGGGGAGAATTGAGACATCACATTCTATTGAATTTCGCTTCCTACTTTTACTTTGGCACAGTCTTTTTCACTGCGCTCGACTACGCAGGCCGTGCACCACCCCTACATTCCTGTGGTGGACATCACGATCCGATCGGAACCCTTTGCCCCTCTCTTGTTTCCTGATGCCATGCCTTGGGCCCCCATGCTCACGCTGTTGATTCCGCCGTCATCATTGCGATCGCTGTGGAACACTCTATGCCCATCAGTTCTGCTAAGTATGGACATTGTGTAAACCGAACAGTCCATTCTGTTTGATTTCTTTTTATTTGCTCCAAGAGATGAGCCGGGTCCTCCCTCCGACCTTCTCCGATCATCATGCCGCTCCATACCGGCCATAATTTGCGAACTAGAAAGACGAAGAAGGAGAGCAAAAAAAGGACGTCATCGACAGTTTCTTCGTCTTCGCCTACAATCTCACAGACCGGCCGTACCGGAAGTCCCAAGACCACCGAAACGGCCTCCTCCCCAACCGAACGATCCAATGGATCTAAATCAGCCCTGAAACCGCCGGCGGCTTCAGAGGTTGCGCCAGATAAACCGGCGGAGCCGGCGAAAAGTGTGCCTAATGTATTCGAGTTTCTTGATGACAGCGATGAGTCCTCATCAGATTCATCGTCCGATGATGGAGAGCCTGCCTCATCGGTTGAGGCGCGAGCCATTACCAAGATTCAATCTCCAAAGCCTCGAGCCAGTCCTATCCCACATGCGCTGTTGGCCTCGGCCAACACTCCCTCGAAATCAATTGTAACATCCTCGCCTGCGCCATCAAGAAGTTCTAGCGACTCACGTCCACCACCAGCGGCACCGGCGCCCGCATCGACAGAGAAACAGTTGCAGGTGGCCCGGAAACAACCACCCTCGCGAAAAATGTCCCCTGTTGAGGATATCCCTCCCGAGCAGCATCAATTGCAGCTTACTCGCCCGGAAAGTTACTATGTCTCACGAGACGCTGCCTCCATTCACCGGCCGCCACTTCCACCCTCTCCTCCAAGCAGCCCAGAAGATAGTATCCATCGCGGCACATCAGTCAGGCGTAGAGACTCGAGCGCATTGCAATCAACATCAGGCTATGGCCTTCTTGCTACCCACCTGACGCATTCTGCCGGCGAGGAAAAGGTGGGGTTTGCACCTCTGTACCGACGCTTTGAAAGCGTCAATCATCGCGTCCTTTTACATCTCCAGGATGAGATCTCTCAGATGGAGGAGGACCTCAACACACTCGATAAGTATGAGGAGATGCACCGGGTAGCCACCGCCAAGCAAGAAGGCACCCAGCCTTTGCCTGCTTCCCGTCGGGTTGATGTTCAGTCCCAGGCGTATTCGTCGCTGCATTACCGACGCATGGATGTGATGGCTGCTCTTATTGAAAAAACGGAGCAGTACAGTGAGTGGCCATTCTTGTCTGCCATATGTCAGATAAGATACTAACTGAAACGAAAATAGACAATGCCCTCAGTGCATATAGTAAAGTGCTTCAGACCCTACCCCAGGCCTCGGGGGAAGACGTCCAAAATTATCGGACATGGATGAAAGCGAATACCCCCATTGCCGCCGCCGAAAGCCGGTTTTTGGACCAGGATGCCGACCTTGTAGCTTTGACTCCTCGTCTTGCTGCCTCTGCAGCGGCGGCACCCGTGTACATGGCCATTATCATCGCATCTGGCGCCTTGTTGCTTCCCCTACTAGCATTCAGCATGATAGCAGAGTTCTCAGGCCGCCTTGTTGTCGTAACTGTTACCGGTGGAGCGGCAGCTGCTATCGCTGCGAATTACTCAGCCGGGATCGAAGCACTTGTCGATTCAAAAGATGGATGGAGATGTGCGACGCTGTAAGTTTGTTTTCGTCACGAACGAGCTGAATCTCTTCTGACTCCTTGGCTATAGGTATTTTGGTTTTATGACCGTCGCCGCCATGTTTATCCCCTAACTTCCACAACCAGAACCATAGGTTTTCGCGCCTGTGACGACTGACGAATTTCCTTTCTTACACCCTATCTCTCGCGTGCGAGTTTATGCGAAAAAGAGTATACCCTTGTCATGGGTTTCAGAGACATTCTTATACCCACTCGGTCTTTCATTCCTCAGCAACCCTCCAGACGTGACGAGTGCACCGAAAAAAGGGGCGTGAAGAAAACCAAACGGGTCAAAATTCTCTGCAGCGAAAGACATGGCCTTTTTTTTATTTACATTCTCGGGAAATTGATTATACCAAGTTAAAGGCCGTGTAGAATGGTTGGGTCTGCAGACGGTGACAAGAGAGATACCTTGAGCATTGGGATGGACGGAATATAGCGGATTGGCGAGGTGTTAAATGGGAGATTTTACTGAGTGTGATTAATTCATGTTGATGTACTATTTATCTGACGTTAATGAATTCCGGGGTTTATGATTTTAACAAAATTTTCAACATCCTGGAGTATAGACTCAATGCGCTCCAAGTTGATAGCACTGAGTGCGAGCGGACTCGATCTCGATAAAGTAACAGCGACCTACTACTATCGTGAACAAAAATGCAAAGCTGAATCTTTTAGAATCAGGAGAATGGTACATCTCATAAAAAGAAACTGAAAAAGCGGGAGCAATCTTCTTATCTAAAACACCCTGGAGACACGAAAATAAGCAGACTGCCTCGCCCCCAGCAGCCCAGGCCACCCAGCCCAGACCCGACCCGACTTATAAAGACCACTTTCACGCCAATCGCTGTCATTCGACAAAACAAAAACACCGGGAAATACAATTCAAATATGAGTCCACCGAGACATGAGGATAACACCATTAGAAACACAGTGGGAAGTGAAAGAAAAAGGAAAAGGGAAGAAAAAGCGACAGTGATGGAAAAATCACGTATTCGAGGCGAAAGAAAAGAGAATCCGAATAAAGGGCACTTGTAGTCCATGAATTGGATAAATGGGAACTTTTTTTCACTGTGACGCTGCCATCGCAAAAAGTACATCTTACTCCGGCATCAAATTTGAAAAAGCGAGAAGCATAATGGTGTCTTCATGACCGGACGGGGGTGCCATTCTGCTTGCCTGGGGTGAGGCTGCCCTCATGGGAGGAGTGGCGAGGCTCGAAGCCTTGAGGCTGCAGAGCAGACGGGCTCTGTCGTTGCTGGGCAGCTGCAAGCTGGGCCTTCGCAGCTTGTTGTTCGGCAGCACTGCGAGCATAAGATGCAGCTGCGGCAGTGTTCGCGTACGCGGCTTGTGAAGGGGTGTGGGCTGCGTATTGCATCCGTTGAGTCGAAACTGTCGCATTGGCGTAAGGAGTGCGCCCCTGAGGGGTGGCATTGTATCCAACCGATTGTCCGGGGCGGGGAGTATAAGGCTGAGGGGATTGTGTGTAGCCATTCTGCGCCGGGCGCGCGAATTGCGATGCATTGTTCCCCTGGGAGTACTGCGCATTCGCTTGCTGCGAAAATTGTTGCTGAATGTAGCCAGGTCGCTGCCCAGGGGTGCTTGGACGGCCTCCAGCATAGGCTGGATTATACGCGCCTCCTGTTGAAGATTGCCTTCCCTGCTGCGATGCTTGAATCCCAGGCTGTGACTGCGAAACTCGAGAACTGGGAGTGAAGCTACGCTGATTGTATCCGGTTTGGGCTGGTTGTTGGTATCCGGGTCGGGCCGAAGTAGGTGTCGAGATTCGATTTGCAGCGGTCGGTGCGGCGGCAGCAGCTATCGCGGCGGCACGCTCTTGGTGCAGAGTGTAATCGTCTCGCTCCATGGTGCCACTGTAATCAGGGGTTTCAACGATGATCTTTTGGCTGATGTTCAACTCTGCCAACTGGTCGCCGTCGAGCTTCGCGACTGCGAAGGGAGGAAGGTTGTTGATTATCGCAAAGAGGCTTGATTTCAATGTCTCGTACACCATCCTCTCTGCGTCTGATGGATCATCAGGTGTACCAAAGTCTGGGACGGCTGTCTCATTCGATTCGGGATTCTCGCCACCAGAAGGAAGAGAAAGGTTGCGGATTCTTTGATAGGAGCTGAGAGTATCCAACAGCTCAGAAATCTCTTGAAGAATCTCTTCCACTTCCCTGGATTCTGGGTCGACCTTCTTTGCATCATCCTGGGGGATGTCGACAGCGAAATCGTCCGGATTGAACGATTTGACCATCTCATCGAGAGTGCTTTCGTCAAGGTCACCAATGCTGCCAGGCTGGACGGTGGGTATCTGTTCATCCTCTGACGGAAGTGATAGCAAAGTACGTAGGCGTTTTGCGCCTCGCTTACCCCACCAGATCATGTCCTTTGAGTCGGCTTGTACGATGGCCCCAGAACTATCATAGGATGGAGCAAATGACGAGAATACACCTTGCAGGTAAGAAGGATCATCTCCAGTCCAAAGTGCAGGATCTCCATGCTTGGGGCCAAAATCCGTCTCGGCATGGTGCTTTTCCACGCGACCCCAGTAGGATGGTGACGATGTGACTCCACCATATTGCAACCACTGGCCGGCAGGAAGGGTTGCAAGGCTGTAACTGCTATTACCACCCAAAAAGCACTTGGTGTCAAAGACTGCGTCAAAGGGATCGATCCATGAGACGGAAGAGCTACGATGCGTTCGTCTTCGGGGGGGTTCCATTGGAGGTAGACCTGGACGAGGGGTGAAAACTTCACCGAAAGTTCTTTTTGAGGGCTTGGTGGCATTTAAATTGTAAGGAACCACTTTAGTCGATGCAATGCCGGTAGGCAGAGCTCCCTCGCGGAGTTGCCCCTGCACTTCCACGAATTTCTCAGCATCTGATTCGGAAGAGTGCAGGGATACTTTGACGGATTTTTGAAGACTGGAGAACAGCTGTTTTGGATTGCCCGGATTTGAAGGATTCGCACCAAAAAAAGTCAAAGCCTGGCGGTCCTCCCGAGCACCAACATTCGATAAAAGTGAGTCTGCCTGTTCCTCAGCATCGTCATCCGGAGTCTCGGTTTTGACCTCGGTCTGATTGACAAAGGACTGGCCGATGAGGCTGTTCATGTGCTTTTTGAAAGCTGCGATGCGGTTGACGACCTCCGTCAGAGGAGTGCCATCAAGTTTTGTTCCGTTAGACTGATTCTGATTGCGCTCAATTACTGCCGCAGAGGCCTTTTCGATGTCTGCGAGAAATTCCTGAAGAGTGTTATAGCGACTCGACTCGACACGTGTCCGCACATTGGACGTTTCTTGATCTGTTGATGTTTTGGCACGCTTCGCCCGAGGTTTAGCTGCCGAGGAGGGAAAGGGACAGGAGAGAAGTTGGAGTTCAGCATCGTGTCTACCACCACCGTGCGTTAGCCTTGATGATCTGTTAAACAGTTAGATTAAGGCCATACTTAAGGAGTAGATCGACGAGACTCCGCAAATTCTCGTGAAGGTTTGATTTATCGCGCGATGAAGATGCAGTAGCGTCGACAACCGATTTCTCGTCGGTGGAGCGCTTCCTCTTCCCTGGAGTTGCGACCACCGTCGAGTCAGGGTGGGGTTCACCGTTTGTAGCAGGCATGGTAGAGGTGTCTCCGCTTTCTTCGGCACTCATGGTTGTTCAAAACGTCGCGAAGATGGACCAGCTTGACAGAACTTCGTCCAACGCGACCTCCTTCAAAATCAGATCTCCCTGATTGACCCTGAAAAGGAACAGCTAAAAAAGATCGGAACGACGCGATCAACTGCCAGTGATTTTCGTGTTGATCGGGGTCGAGGGTGGTCCTGGGGTCTGTTCAGAACTGGTGCTTGGGCTGGTCTTGATGCGAGGCCCGAGATAGGATCGAGAAAGGATGAGATCGCGACAAGAAGGACCAAACAAGAAGCGGATTGCTTCTCTACCCCGCAGCGACAGGAAAAGTAAGTGTCAGTTAGAATGCCAGCCCAATAGCTAGTGTTCACTCGGGTAACAATGGACCAGGCCACCACCAGGCAGAGGCGACTATGGACTGACACGGGTTTCGAAGGCGAGGCGGATACCGTTCGTTCGTGAGACGCTCAGAATGCGCGCCATCCCGAAAACCGTAGCCCGTGACGATCACTCACGTGACATGTTTACTGCCGCGTCGGGCGGGCCGGACACTTTTTCTTGCGGTTGCGCTGAGAATCTGCTATTTACATCTGGGCTTTTTGAACTGCGCACTCTAAAGAGCAGGGGACGGAAACTGGAGACTCCTGCTAGAGTGTGCTGCATCAAACCGAAGTCTGCATGACGACATTCATGGATGTCATCGGCTTTCAATCATGGTCAAAGCCTTTCGGGGGTATCTTTTCTAAGAGCGGCGCAGCTCGCTGGCCGCCCGCGCCGCAAGGTACTTTCTAATCGATTCAACCCAAGACTGCTTGACTTAAGAGTCAATGCTAATGGAGGATGTATAATTGCATTTAGGGAATCTCTCATGGTGATCTCCAGCCGGCTACACATCGCGGCATGCTGCGTCATACCCCCGCCGGCTTTCAACGCTCATTCCGTTTCAAAGCTTCTCTTCGTCATCCCGGATCTCTTATGACAGGCTCAATTCCAGCTATTTCCGATGGACTGTCTGTTCAAGATGTCTCGACTCACTTGCCTGACGACAACCGTCCCTCTTCGCCGCCTCACGCCGTAACTGATATTCATCGTCAGAGGGAAAACCAACACCCCGAAAGCTTGATATCGAGACGGCGGTTTAAAAAATATTACGCCCAACCAAAACCTACCCCTTCCGAATATCTGGCTAAGGCCTTGAAACATGCTGGTCATGCTCTTGGATCCGTGGGGTATTCGACGAAAAAACGGGTCGGTCGTTCCAGTTTCGGCCCTGGCCAAGATGCATCCAGAGATGCCCTTCAAACCCTCAACATGCCACGATTAACATACGGAAGACCTCAAAACCACTCCTTTCAAACGACTCTTGCCGAATATATACGTCTTGTGGATCCTATTCTCGCAACCAGCACCGCCAGTGACCAGAGTGGTGAATTGGACAAAATACTTAGCCAGGTCTTTAGAGAAAGCAGTCATCGATTTTTGACGTCCAGGGGATATGATATTGAAGATGTGGTCGCGTGGGCGTGGATTTTGAAAAGCAAAGACACTTGCCAGGCAATTTCCAGGCTGTTCGCGCTCGAGATGGACTATGGAACTCGGTTTGAAGCCAATTATCCTCGTGTCCCGCCTTTCATTGCCCTTTTCCTTTTGAAAGAGGATCATCTGGATGTTCGCTCTTTTCGATTACTGGTCATCTATTCTTTGCACCTTTTGAGTGGCCAACCCCTGCCGCCCTTTGATTATATGGCAAATTATCCAGCGCGAGCTTTGGAACCCCTAGAACATTTTCGGCCACGAATTGATCCCTCTACTGGGGCGCATCTTGTGGCTCGTATGATTCGACATGCGCGGCTAATTTGGCCCCAGGCCTTACCTACATTAGCACGGGCTCTTGCTCGATTCTTGATGGCTACGGATGCAGAGACACAGCCTTCGAGGTTGAGTAAAGATAGGTCCGACCATTTCAAGACAGACAAGCTTAATGCCTGTTTATGGCTCATCTCTCTTCCAACTAAAATTTACCCCTTTCGCTCGACATCTATTCAGCAGCAAGCGCAATTTGAGCTCCTTCGAGCCATGGCCAGTCACAAACCAGTTCTTCCTCTTTCACGCCAAGGCTATCGGGCAGTCGTCGCCGTCCAGGTGGCCCATAAAAAAACCACAGCAGAGCGACAGTCAGCTGAACTGAAGGCTCCTTCATGGCCACCATGGAAGGAAGAAAGAATGGGTATCGATGCCCTTCGTGGTAACGAAGGTGTCTACAGCCGTGCGATGAATGTCCTCTCGCAGATGCGAGAGGCTGGCTATTCCCCTCGTCTCTGGGAGGACATAGCTTCTATCCTAACTGGATGGGACACCGACCGCAGTCCGACCATTCAGACAAGAAGCCTCGTGTCTTGGTCACCGTCAGTGACTCGTGCGCGCCAGAGTAACCCCGACAACATTGCGCTCTGGACTGCGCGAATCCGCGCTACAAGGACTGTCCGTGAAGCTTGGGCCTGCTTTCTATCGTACCAAGATCTTTGTCTTCCTCCAAAGCCTGCCATGTACACTGCGATGGCCGAAAAGCTGATATACCGTCAAAGGGCCATCAAGACCCGGTTTGATGAGACCAGTAATGCTCTCCCAGGTGATGGGCCTGAAGTTCACCCTGAACCGGCGTCAGCACGCGATATCATCTACGTCCATACGGAACCCCCAGTCCTGCGAGAATTCCTCGACCAAATGCTGTCTCATGGGTTTCGATTCTCCGGGAGGTTTCTGGCTTTATTGCTTCGCTCTGCTCCCAACATTCAAACTGGGCTGCGATACCTGCATTGCAGCGACTTAACCGAAGATCAAATCCGAGCTCTCTGCACCGTGCGGAGTCATCCATCTGAATACGATGTCTCGCATCTCACAGCCCTTCAGTCTGTGCCAGATTATATCTTTGCTTCTTTCATCCAGCTGCTATGCGCACGATCAAGTTTCAGAGTTTGGCAAACAGACAGGAGAATGCCCATGGATGATCGCTTTCCTCTTATCGCCGCAACTGACCATTCTCATACCCCTACAGTTCTTCTTCCTGATTTTGAAGACAAACTTCGGCATCGATCCTATCCCAAGGCTCTCTGGCATGCACTTCAACTGACTCGGGCGCGTCAAGCTCCGTGTGCTGCTGCGTGGTCCACCATTTTGAAAACCTTAGGCGATGAGCGCATCAGCAGGAAATGCCCTCCTGGTCAACGATACTTGAACCGCATCCTTGCATGGCATGAGACCCTGATCGCCTTGAGATGGATGAAATCTCAGGGTATTGATCCTACGATGGAGGGATTCTACGGTCTATGCACTACCTTCAGGCAAGCCGTTGATGCAGGGATGAGACATCCCGACAAAGCCGACGAGAGCTTCATGATGATTGAAAAAGCGGCCCGCGGTCCAAATGCCCCCATCAAAATCTGCGGGCAGGATTTCTTCGATGCCATGGTTGAGAATGGTCTCCAAGTTCTGAAGTCGCTATTTGATTCTCTTGTTCTCCCGACTTCGAATACAACGGAGGTGGCCGAGCACAGCGTCTTCTCAGTTGGTAGCCTGGTCGAATCGGAGCTACATGTGCCCTCGGTGTTGCACGTTCCGTCATTTGCGGTGCTCCATAGTTTCGTGCGGGTGCTTGGGACGGTCCTCGATGACGACGGCTTGTTGCATCTGTTGCGATGGATGGGCCGGACCGCTGCTCCCTTGAATGAAGTGTCCGACGAGCTACTGAACGGTGAGAAGATGCGTCGGCAGACCTTGACAGCTATTCGCGTGTTCCTGGAGCGGCGACACATCGCTGATCTCGATGCCGTTCATGACGACCGGGTAGCAGCGGAGAAAGTGCAGGAGGCATACGACATCATCTGCCGGGCACCTGGCTGGGACTGGCCCAGTGACGCGGAGATCGAGGAATATTGCATGGACCAATAATTTGTATAGATAGTGTAACTGTAGCTGTTCGTTTTTGATCGGAAATATGATACCCACCTTCAATCATTAACACCTTCGGCAATCGTCGGCATCGAAAAGCTTTCCCCACACCCGAAGCTCCGAGCACAACCAGCTTCGATCTTCAAACCTCGATCTTCAATTCACCTTGCGTTCACTGGACAACTCCTGGCCCTTCTACGACAGGATAAATACCTGGTCTACAACCCCAGTTTTCCCTTTTCTCTTTTTTCTCGTGATCGAGGTATTTTCTTTTCACCCTTCCCTTAACCCGGGCAATGGCCGCGACCATGTCCCCGCGGCTCGTCCGCCTCACCACCCTTGGCGGACACCTTTCTCGCCCGACAGTACTATCCACCCGGGCGTTTGTCTCACGATACAGCACCAGTGCCGATGAAGAGGACGTCATCAAGACCCAGCAGATCCCAGCTCCGGGCTCCGGGCACGTACGCGTGCTCCAGCTGAACCGACCTAAAGCCCGCAATGCCATTTCACGTCACTTGCTCGAGTCACTCTCCAAGCAAGTGAATTCCATCGCCGCCGAAGGTGGCAACGGGCCCACCAGGGCTCTGGTCCTGGCCAGCAATGTCGATGCGGCCTTCTGCGCCGGCGCCGATTTGAAAGAGCGCGCCAATATGACCCATGCCGAGTAAGATTGCTGGATCTGATCTCCCTCTTCTGCATCTGCCTCTTCCTCTTTTTGCCCCTCTCTCCGTAGTTCCTAGGGGATTTCTCGCTGACCAGTCACTACCACCGCCTCCTTCAGGGTCGAGCAATTCCTCGAAAAGCTCCGTGGCACCTTCAAAGACCTCGCAGCCCTCCAAGTCCCCACCATCTCCGCTATCTCGTCCATGGCCCTCGGCGGCGGCCTCGAGCTCGCCCTCTGTACACACCTCCGTGTCTTCGGCTCCTCCAGCACGGTCGGCCTCCCTGAGACCCGGCTCGCCATCATCCCCGGCGCTGGTGGCACTTACCGCCTGCCCGCGTTGATCGGGCCCACCCGGGCGCGCGACCTGATTTTGACGGGGCGACGGGTGTCCGGACCGGAGGCGTATTTCTTAGGGCTCTGCGATCGCCTAGTCGAGGTGTTGCCGGAGGAGGCTCATCAGGAGGGGGTGGCGCGCGAGAAGGTGCTCCGGGCGAGTATCAAGCTGGCGCTGGACATCTGCGAGGGTGGGCCAATTGCCTTGAAGCAGGCGCTGCTGGCGGTGCAGGGCTCGGCGCTGGGCGAAGTATCGGAGAACCAGGCGTATGAGGGTGTGATCGAAACGGAGGACCGGTACGAGGCGCTGCGGGCGTTTGTAGAGAAGCGCAAGCCTGCGTTTCGGGGCCGGTAGAGAGGTTAATTCTGCGGGCTGCTGAGAGGAGCAAGACTTTGTGACTGAATACGCACGAGTCGATTTTGAAAGATACTCAAATTATGCCGTTTGTTTGGGCCCTACATAACTATACTATTCACTTTTCCAAAAGTTTAATGATCCTCAACCTCCTTGTAGCTTTATTCTACGAAGCTTCCCGATTAAATTCCCTATTGTATCCATAGTACGATAATTATATATAGGCGACAAGAGACAGCCTCTTGCTAGACTTGCGGGTTCGTGTGCCACATGTACTCGGTGAACGTCGGGGAGATGAGGATGCCCGGTTGCCCGGTTGCCCTGCTAAAGCCAGGCTGCAACGACGCCCGAGCACTCGGGCGTCGGCTGGATTAGCTAGCAGGCGGAGCAGGGCGAAGAGTGTTGCGATGGTTGGCGGACCGAGAAACATGAGGTCCCAGACCTCAAAGAGTAGAAATTGTGCTGCCACTTTTTAGCATAGAGTACGAAGAAACTTTCAGCCGCGTACATCTGCCATATGTAGCGATACCTTGTGGGAGCGAGGCTGTGTGGCACTGCAAGCACACTCCACGCAACCCGGGCGGATGCGAGTCACCGTCCAGGATATGCTGGCCGCCAAGAAGAGATTTTTATGACAAAAAAGGGCGGGTCAAGGCAGGAGATAAGCACAATTAATGAGTCTTCGTAGCCGACGAAAGGGCGTCGTGCCATGAATCCTAGTTGAGCGATGCATCACGCTCTATTGTAGTAGTTTCCTATGCGAGATCTTGAGGCGACTGTTCAAGGTTTGTGGACCGATAAATTTCGGACCCACTGTACTTACAGCCCGGGTGGTCTAGTGGTATGATTCGCGCTTAGGGTTACACCCCAAGCATATTTGCGCGAGGTCCCGCGTTCGATCCGCGGCTCGGGCCTGTCGTTTTTTGTTTTTCTCAGTGTATCCAAGTTTTCTGTTCGCGAGGTATACGAAAAGTATAATATAGGCAGACAATTTTTCGGTCGGATAGAGTTTTTTTGTATTTTTTTTTTCTTTGGGTAAATTCAATGACCGCCCATGTCGAGAAGCGGCCTATGGCGTTCCGGGCTTCAAGAAGTGTAACGGGGTTGATCAGTAAAAGATTGCACTACGATGATACCATAAGTTTTCGCCCCCAATATCAATCGCCCGGGTGGTCTAGTGGTATGATTCGCGCTTAGGGTTACACCCCAAGCACAATTGCGCGAGGTCCCGCGTTCGATCCGCGGCTCGGGCCTTTGTTTTCTTTTTTTGTTTTGGTTTCTCTTACCATCTATTTTACTCTGGGTTGAAGGGTAGTGTGGCATATATGTAACATCTTTATTGAGATTCTAGAGCAAGCTCTTTCCCTCCCTTTGGATGCATCGACTTGCTCCCTTGGTTCCGCAAGGCACCGACTCCCAAATCGGATGCGCTGGTAGGTTCAAAGTGTTTCAATGTTGGTTCTGATGAGTCACAACTAGGCGACAATATTCTAGGGACTTTGATATCTTGATATTCTGATATTCTGATCTTCTGATCTCTCCGATCTCTCCGATCTTAGTCGCGCCGCCACCCTGCCCAACCCCTCACTATGTAGACCGGGATCTCACCTCCTTCGCCCAGGGAGAAGCGGGTCCCGGGCAAATCGTGGACCCTGGGTTCCTGCATGCTTTGCCCGTCTGAGTGGCGCAGATCCCTGGCTTCAGATCAGTTGGCCCCCAGACGAATCGGGACTCCACAGTCGATGGGATCTAAGAGTTGACTGTTTGTACTCTTCTTCCCCAGTCAGCTGTCTGTACTGCTGGAAATTTCCTTTGTACTCGGCCAACCCGCCCCGCAGGTCCTCAGATACGTATCTATATCGTAACATAGAACCGCTTTGATAGCGCTACTTCCTCCGGTCATACCAACGTCTCGGAATAGGAGTACCACTGTAACATCTACCTTGATTTCGCTCCTAGTTTTCTTGCGATCACCGTCTTCTGGTCTGATGGTTGGAAGGTCATCTATGACAGGGTGCCCAACAACTGCCGTCACCGGCGAGGTATCCCGGATGTACTCCATGCGCCCTTCGCCCGCAGGACTTGGGACGCCAGGTACCCCCGAGTTACCCAGGGAATCTGCAGGGCGGCAGGCTCCACCCAGTCATCTGAAAGGGTCAGGGGAACAACCCCAAACAACCAAGCTCGACTGACTCGACTCACTCGACTGATCCGATCAGCAGCCAAGCCTACCTTTATAAATGCTCCCCCCGCTTCTGCTGCTGGGTTATTCTTCTATAATTCGCCTTTGGGGCTCGACATGGCTTGGTGATACCCTTTTCATCTTTGATCCTCCTGACACCTTATGTCCGACCCCCGCCCCGTTAAGGCCTTTGGCCTGACGCAGGTGTACGTCCCCCGCGGAGACCCCACGGTGGATATCGTCTTCGTTCACGGCCTCAACGGTCACCCCCGAGACTCGTGGACGAGCAAGTCGGGCTGTTTCTGGCCCGTTGATCTGCTGCCAGATGTATTGGCCCCGTTGCGCCCGCGCATCTTGACGTATGGCTATAATGCGAACGTCACGGCCTTCACAGACGGCGCATCGCGCGATTCCATCGTCAGCCATGCGGAGACGCTGGCGTCCAGTTTGGCAGCTAATCGCAATGTATGTCCCCTCTCAACCTTAACTTTTCGTTGGACAATCCGTCTTAAGTAGAACCCGGCCCCAATAGCTCCGAAGCTGCTCCGATCGCCCCATCATCTTCGTCTGCCATTCCCTCGGCGGTCTGGTCGTCAAACGCGCCCTGATATATTCCCGAAGTCTCTCAAATGAGAAAACAGAACATCTCCGCTCCGTCTACGTCTCAACATTTGGCATCCTATTCCTCGGCACTCCCCACAACGGCTCCGACATTGCCAAATGGGGCCTGTTGTTACACAACATCTGCAGCGCCGTTCTGCCCAAGAAATTTATGGAGTCGTCGCCGCAGCTAGTCAAGGCCCTGCGCACCAATAACGAGACACTCCAGCACATCAACAGCTTATTCGCCGATGTCATGAGTCGTTTTCATATTTACTTCTTCCACGAGACCCGCTCAACCGACGTCCGTGGAACACGGGAGGTCATCGTTGATGAGGCGTCTGCCGCTCCCTACTTCGAGGGGGTGGAGCGAATGGGCATCGAAGCGGACCACAGCCATATGTGTAAATTTGAGGATGAAAATTCTCCCGGCTATGAGGTCGTCGCCGAGGCTCTTCTACGTTACTCACGTCTAGCTCCGTCACTGATTTCCGATCGCTGGGTTGAAGAGAGGAAGACCCGAACTTTGGAAAAGAAGGCCAAGGCTCGAGAAATCTACGACGGTAGGCCATACCTCTCCCAGGCGCCAGGCGTCTCAGTCTCGTCATCATCGACGCTGACAAGTATCACAGGATCCGATGATCCGGCTGGTCGAAGCTTGCCGGATCTTAACACTGGTAGGGCATTGCTTTCCCTTCCTTCACCGGAAGAGTCGGTTACTCTGAGAGATTATGAGATCGAGGAGCCTCCTGTGTGATGACACTACTTTCTTCTATGCTGGCGATGATACATGATTTTTATTAGCTCTCTATTTTCTTTTCTTTTTTTTTCATTGAGATATTGAACACACTCCTTCCTCTCTTCGCTATCTCTACCATCAAGCTGCAGAGTCTTGCTTCGATTCGTGGATGCGCCAAAACGTTCTCAAACTGCGCCTTCGTGTACCTAGTCTGTGCTCCATTCTAGGGTGGCTCCCGTCCTCTTCTCTCAGATTGGCTGGTATCTTTCGATGTGACCTTGAGACTTCACCGTGTGGCTTCTTTCCCTAACTTCTACCCACCTTCTCTCTCTTCTCTTTGATTCATCTTTTTACACAATACGATATGCTTTTCTATCCAATCTAGTCAGACAAATGCTGACTCTTTCTTTCTCCTCTTGATAGGTCAATCTGTACCCACTTTGCCCCCGGCACCTGCAACGGAGGGCCGCAACTCCCCCTGTGTCAGATATGAACCATAGTGGTATTCTGGCATTGTCTCACTACTCACACAACAACCCGCCGCTCTTCGTTGCGCCCCCCGGGATTCCACCCTAATGCAACTTTCTTTGGTATGCAGAAGGAGCTAGAAGTCCTTCACAACCGCTTGTTTAAAGCAAAAGCGCGTGTGGATCGGGCTATGGCCGTTTTAATAGCAGGTGTACCTGGATCGGGGAAGACGCATCTAGCGCGCCAATATGTATTCGCCCAACGCGAGTGCTATCCCGGAGGAATATTCTGGATCGATACCAAATCCCGCGAGTCCGCTTATAAATGTTTCTGGGAAATCGCCCAGGCTGCGACACTAATAGACCGCAAAGAAGCCGAGGACCCCGAATACCAAGAGTCTCGGACATATGTGAATGCTGTGCGCAACTGGCTGCAGTCACGCAGCGAATGGCTGTTGGTGTTTGATGGCATTACATTCGACCATGATGACGATATCAATGAATTCCGACCCTTTCTACCATGGAATAAACGGTGCAGTATCATTTATACTTCGATTGATGCCACGCTTCGGAAAAAGCAGCGTCTTTTTGAGCCCTATTGTCTGTCGATACCTCGTCTCAAAGTGGAAGATGCTTGCAAACTTCTCTATAAAGATCTAGGCATTAAGAAGCCTACACCAGAACAAACTGCCAAGGCGAAAGAGATTGTCCAACACTACGAGTGCTTGCCACTGGCTATTCACGCTATCGGTCACCGTCTTAATGCAACAGGAAAACCGATTGAGAAATATCGAGTCAGGCACCAGGTGACCGATAAAAAGCTTGCGGAGCCGTTTCTGAGCATCATGAACGACCTGTTTCGCCTGCAACAACGAGAGGCTCTTAATTTGGTCAATTTACTCTCGTTTCTCGGTCATCACATTCCTGTGGGACTTCTGAACTTCGGACGGAGTGCTATGTCCGCTTCTAATGCGGAGATTTTGACTAGTGCGCAGACTGGTGAGGACCCCGACCTAGATACTACATTAGGAATCCTCATCCATTATGGCTTGGTTGAGCGAACTTCGGATGCTGATGCACTTTTTCATCAAAATTGGTCTCCGAATCAATCGATGGATGAGAAGCCAGCGGATGCGAAGTTACCTCCAGAATTGTCAGAGTCATTGACGGAAAGCAGCCAGGAGGGTTTCTTCTCTATTTATCGAGGAAATCTGGCAGTCGACGTGGTCAAGATCCACAGTGTCGTGCAAGGCTTCTGCCGTGACGAGCTTCGAATCAAGGATGAAGAATACAAGGACGTTGCTCGGAAAGATGATCCCGGATTCTTCGACTCGTGGCTCATCCTCGCTACCCATTTTTTATGCAAATCATACGAGACTGCGAAGGAAAAGATGGCTCACTATCATGACTATGGAATTGTTCGTGATTATCGCGAATACGAGACCCATGCGTCTCGGCTGGCGGAGTTTTTCCCCAAGAAGCCATCGATAGGCAATCACCCACCGGTAATTCGAGAGGCGCGAGAGAGCCTCCGACAATTGATGAAGAGCATCAGCAATGAGATTGACCGCATGTCGCCCAGTTCTTCGATGGAAGGTGCCCGAAACCAAAAGTCCGTTTTTGACCGGTCCAGTAGCTCTTCTTCCTCGTTCCCGGATTCATCGGCAGATGAAGGTGGCCTATCACGCCAGTCAACCTGGGCTTGGACGGAATCAGGTTCAATGCGAGCGGAATCCCCAGAGGAAATCGTTGCTCCGCCTCGGTTTCGATTGGAGTTGTTTCCACCTCATATCTTTCGACAAGCTGGCTCCGAGTCTGAAGATGGCTATGAAACAGACGGTGAAGGAAAGGAAGCGCCTGGGATTTCTCCTGCACATTCGCAAATGAGCCAGGCTACTGAGAAACCGAAGCAGTCCCCAGCTTCGTTGAGCCCACCGGTTCTGTCCGATGAGCAGGAGGATTGGCAGGTTGTTGATCGTCACTCAAGATTACGTACAAGGCAAAGGCAACCTCGAAAGCGAACAAGAGGACCGTGGCGGTTCCAAAGTGCAAACCCTTTAACTCCTCTTGTCAAAATCTCGCCGATTCAAGGAAAAGGCTCGTCCAGTCGTGTGTCCTCAGAAGAAGGAAGCAGCTCTACGATTTTAGCTTCGGAGGCCGAGAGAGCCCTGGCGGCAGTTCGAAGGTCAAGCAATAGCCACACAGAAAACACAAGGCCATTTTCAGCTACCACGCCGTCCAGCAAAGAGAATGTACCAAGCTACGCAAGTGTTGCCGCCAGACGTATGCTCAAGACCTCTGAATTCATTCCACGTCCGGCTTCTATGCCTATGCCTAGCGTATCGGACCAAGCATCTAAGCTGCAAATAAAGGCTTCTACGGAGTCACTTGATAGCCAGGCAGGTCCTCTTTTTGCATCTCCATTATCGCATGAGGTGATGTCCCACGAGATACTAGCTGGGTCTACCTATAGCGACCCTGGGCGAGACTATCTTGCTCAGTCTCTCGGCGCATTGGACCTGCATACGGCCCCTGTATCTCAGATCCATTCGCGCCGCCCGTCACTACAAGCAAACTTTGGTCCTACTCGAGACCTTTCTGCTAGTACTCCATCGATGCTCCCATTCGCAGTTCCTATTCGAGATCTATCTGCAAGCACACCCTCTCTTCTAGCCTACACCCCTCCAGTGCCACTGCCGTATGATGAGGACATCACAATTACGATACCTCGACACAGACGATACTCTCAAAAACCTCCAGGTCCTGCCTTCAACTCTCCCATGGCTCCCAAACCCGCTGCGGTTGCCCACCCATCCGCCATCATGCCAGGCGCCATTTCGCTTTCCCTAGCTCCATCGGATTCAACCATTGTTCCGGCGCCTGAAAGACCTGGTAATGAAGCTCTTTCACGCGGCTCCTCTAGCTTCTCGCATCAATCTTGGGCTACAGAGCCCGTTCGTTATCCACCGCGCTTCTCTCCAACCCCAAGCTTCCAGCAACCAAGCGACATCACCCGCAGTCCTACCCCAATGATATCATCGCAGCAAATTCTCGCCGGTACCGGTGGCTGGGCTGCCGAACCCAACTTCCCTGGAAGCGCGATTCAGTCTGACTTACCATACCCAGTATCGTCGCCAGCCCACCCACGCCTCGGATCGGTGGACGAACGACTTAGTAGCATGGACCTAGCGTGGGATCCAGCCATTGAGCCTGCTCAACTTCTCCATTTCGGCACCCACCGCGTTGACGTGCGAGATGCACGCCAGCGCCTCCACGAAGCCGCCCGCCTTCAGACTCCACGCCACGTCCCCACGTATCACCTTTACCACCCGAACCTATCGGGGCCTCTGATCCAGGAAGGCAGACATGTATATGCCCCGGCTCCGGCGCTGGAAAGCTACGGGACCCGCGCGCGGAGCGGCAGTTCGCCGCCGCGGCCGAATGATGGCTCAGGAGTGCAGTTCTGACGCTAAATGTTCTCAATGACGCCTGGCCACCTATCCGATCTTGATTATGAAAAGTCGTTGGCTAGTATCACCTCAATTCCGCCCTTGATCCCAAGAGATCTCATCAACCGTCCCGTCTATCAACCTGAATGACGTGCAATTAGACAGATATAGATACTGTCAATCCTTGAAAGACAAGGGATATGATCGCAATAAACTGCCAAAGCTCTTATGATACCCTATTTTCTTCCCTGTCAACGGGACTTTTCTGCCGGATTTTCTTTCCTATCGGAAACGCAGGTTTTTTTTTTTTTTTTTTAAAAAAAAAAAACTCTGCCTCTTATTTTTACTAATCGCATTTGTGGGTTTTTGCATTTGCATATATGCGGATTGAGGGAGATTACAATAATCCAGGTCTCTTGCTCAATGTGTTTCTTCGTTTATTCTGATCTTGCTTCATGCCTTTTTTTTTCTTCCGCATTCACTGGTTCGGGGACACGATGCTATGGCATATGGTTTTATGCTTTGAGCAATGAAGGTTTTGATTTTGCTTTTCAACGTTGTTTTCGTTTTATCTGTGCCTTGCATTTTTACGATAAAACCCTAGAATGGTGGTGGGTGCATGAGTTGTGACTGAGCTTGGGGAGCATGGATCGGTGTTTATTTTGTTGCATCCATACATACCACTGGATATTTATGTCTGACAACTTCTGACATTCCATTACTGCTCTATGTAAATGGTATCCTAGGAGTTTCATATTGAGACTGAGGTTTCCAAATCAAAAGATATCCCGACCACTTCTGAAAAATGATTTCGATACTGTTTGTTCTAAGCGGCTCCACATTTTTGATTCAGCCGTGGTCTTGATCGTGCTTTTCACTAGGGTTCACTTTCATGTGTAGAAAAGGAGCTACACTCAGAGCGAAAATGGAAAAAATAAAAGCTTTTATGGGGGCCGTTCAGACTACTGTACTCTTGAAGAATGATGCGCAGTCGGGAAACCAAATGGGTATAGCGTACAAGTCAGCATTGCCTGAATCTGCCAGGGGAAGAGATTTACGATGTACTTAAATACTAATCAATATTCTCCATCAGACAAGTATTCGCCTCTCATATTTTTCCTGCTTTCCAAAATCTTTTTCCTACTCCAATTGCTTTTTTTCCCTGATATTCAAGATGTCTCTCCCCTTACGAGCTGTGGGCCGTGATGGCCCGCAAGCGTCTGCTATTGGTCTGGGGTTCGGAAGTTTGAGCGGATCCTATGGTGCACCCGGTAGTCTTGATGAAAGAATCACCCTTCTAGACCATGCACATGCTACAGGACTCCGGTTTTGGGATCTAGCAGATATTTACGGGGATAGTGAGGATGTCGTGGGGGAATGGATCAAGCGATCTGGGAAGCGAGAGGACGTATTTCTTACTACTAAGTTTGGACTTCAGCACCGCCTAGATGGGAAACCAGGATGGGTTTTTCGGTCCGATCCCGAATATGTCAGGGTTGCTTGTGAAAAGAGTCTGCAAAGGCTGGGGGTCGACAGCATTGATCTCTACTATTGCCATCGAGTAGATGGGGTGACGCCCATTGAAAAAACGATAGAAGCTATGGTGGAACTCAAGAAGTAAGTCCGAAAGGCCTTGAATGAACATATTGAAGGATTTTCTGATCTTGTTATGTTATTTAGCCAGGGCAAGATTCGGAACATCGGCCTGTCCGAAGTCTCAGCCAACACGCTGCGCCGCGCGCATGCTGTCCACCCTATCGCGGCCCTACAGATGGAATATAGCCTTTTCACTCTCGACATCGAATCTTCAACATCGGAAATTCTAACCACATGCCACGAGCTGGGCATTACCATTGTGGCCTTTAGCCCTATTGGACGTGGTATTCTGAGCGGTCAATTTCAGTCTCAGGGAGACATTCCCGAGAACGACCTTCGCCGCTTTTTGCCCAAGTATTCAGAGAAGAACTTCCCCGAGATCTTGAAGCTAGTGCAAGGGTTAAGAGAGGTAGCTAAGGCGCATGAGGCCACTCCGGCACAAATTGCTCTTGCCTGGCTATTAGCGCAAGGGCTAAATTTTATCCCCATCCCCGGCACGAAATCGGCTGCGAAAATGGACGAGAACGCGGCTGCTGCGGGGCTTCAGTTGAGCGAGGAAGAGGTGCAATGGATTCATGGCCTGGCGAAGCAAGCTGAAATTGAAGGCCTTCGATATCCTGCTGCGTGAGTTTCTTTTATGCTGCCTTCTTATTTATAGATTCTCTTTTCTGAATGCCTTCAACCGCTAATCAATGTGTAGAACGATGGCAATTCTCTGTACAGATACCCCGCCACTGTAGGTCTATAGCGAAGGGATGTATACAGAGGCAAAAATATGTGCAAGTCGTAAGAGGATCAATTGATCCTTCATTTCCATGACGTATTTACATATCAATGCAAAATCAAACGCTCAATCTTACTTCCATGTATAATGTACTGATGATCAAACTTGCCTATCACCACAATCTGTCTTCATAATCGTGCTCTTGTGCGCCACTCATTTTGCAGCTTATCTTCCTCATGTTGTCGCCAGGCCATGCTTTTTCGCATTCGAGCATCAACTTTCTCGTCGTCCAGTTTGCACGCTTTCTCGAGGGGAATCTCGCGTATCGACCGCAATTGGAACCCAACATAGGTCAAATTCCCGGTCGGTGTAACACGGCCAGCTGCAGCATCGCGACAGAAGCCTGAAAAACCTTCCCAGAACCGCCGCCCAGTGGGGGTATCCATCATGAGAATACCATGGCAGTGCGGCATTCCCTCAAACTGTTCTGTGACAACAGCCACGCCAGCTTGGTGCAGTCGACGTGCCATGATTAGGTCTTCATCGGCAAGACACTCTTCACCAAATGAGATGAACACGGGCGGGGCATCTTTCCAAAGGTCTGGTTTTGCTGCAAGTGGAGATGCAAGTGGATGAAGCGCCATATTTGCATACGTATACAGATCTGCACGCGGCGGCGAAAGAGGCCATACATTGTCAGGCGGATATGGCAGTGGGGTAAATGGTGCCGGTTCCTCTGGACCCTCCGATTCTTCGGCTCCCAAACCAATATAGTCGAATTTTCCGTTATGGATGATGGACGGCAAGGATCGGATAAGATCACACCACGGTGACATAGTGGTTACTCCGGCGGGCAGCTCAATATCTACGTCCTTGCCGTGAAAGCGAATGGATCGCGAGGCACGTTTCAGAGTGAGCAGTGTCTGCAGTAGTACGAGAGACAAATTACCCCCTGCCGAGTCACCAGCGATGACGATCTTGTTTGCTGGAACGGGCTCATGTAAGGCTCCTGGAGGGGGGTGAATCAGGGAGAGATAGGCTGTCAAAGCGTCCACCAGTGCCGCAGGGAATGGGTTCTGTGGCGCAAGACGATAGCGCACTGACAGAATGGGGGATCCTGTTAGGCGAGAGAGATGTGCCACAGGTACACGATGTGTGCATGGATCCATTAAGAAATATGCACCGCCGTGGAAATAGAGAATCGTCATATCAGATGGAGACTCCTTTCGCAGCTCGCGGTATTTCTCGGCCTCGGAAATGTCGGGAGGAGGTGTGTATTTGCCAACCTCCTTACGATATCCCGTCCATTCGGCCTCCACAGCGGCTATGGCGGGAACATCGTACGTCTCGTCACCGGTCTTGAGATCTTCAATGGCACGGAGCACCGCATCGCGAACATCAAACTCGGGTTGGGGAAGGGTGACTTTGGACACCCACATAGGACCCTTGATTCCGGGGTCACGCATGCTTTCCTTTTGCACCTTGGTGATGGGCCGGCTAAAGGTCAGGAATGAACGAATAATAGTGACCGTCATCTCAGTCCGTAAATCTTGCTTCCCCGTCACCGGGGACATCTGAGCGGCATGCAGAAGGAGGGTCTTCAAGATCAGTGGGGCCCGGACCAAAAGCTCCTTCACGAGATTAATGGTTCGTTTGACCGAACCCATATTGGAGGTGAGAGAGTGGTTTGGAGCCGCTGCTCCTGGAATGTTGATTTCTGAAGAAGATGGGTCCGAAAGTGATCTAGAAACCGGATGCCCCCACCCCCGTTGGTGGCGTCAGAGAGCCGAGGCCCGCGAGTGAGGACCCACTTCCAAGGGTTTCCCACATGTTTGTAGTTTTTGAAACAAACTAGTACATACGACAATTGAATACTTCAAGGGCATATATAGATTGTCAATAAAGCTTGATTTGAAGTGATAGGGAGATCAATATAGAAAATATAGATTTTTATGAAATCTGTTCAGAAAAGATGTTTTTTCCACATTTATGTAGAAAGAGGCCAGCCTTTCTGTCAATCAGAACGCTATGCAATCATAATACAATCCTTATATTCGAGCCCCGATCACAGATCTGGTCCAATATCCTTCGGTTTCTCTGCATCGACCTTACGTGCAGCTGTCGCGCTCTCTGTTTCACAGTGGCGTTCTTGTGAAACCTCTACATTAGCCGACTGGCGGCGAGGATGGAGCTCCCTTTGATAGACGGGCTGTTCATCATCCTTGAGACCTGATCCAGTCGGGTCTCTGCGAATCAAAAAGCTCTGCACTCGGGCATCATTTGAGGGCATCTGGGCCACGGTATGTTGCCGGCGGCCAGTCAAGAACCGCATCGAGTCTTCACTAACTTCGCGTAGGCGCTGCTCATATCCACTGTTTAGTTGACCAATCCATGAAGCCTGAACAGCACCGCCGAAGAAGACCAATAGGATCACAAGTCGTATGAAAGTACGGTGGTCAACCACGTTCTGCTGTTTCCCCTGGTGACGGTTATTCCATCGCTCCCAGTCCTCCCAGGTGGCATTTGCGTATATAGTTGGTCCATAAGGGCCCCATTCCGCGGTTGCGTCGTAAACAGTAGTGTATCGCTTCGGGCTGTGGTTCCATCCGGCACCAGATAAGTCGTAAGCCGCTCGCTTGGTAGGGTCCGAGAGAATCTCATGCGCAGCCACTACAATATGGTAACGCTGAAGGCGGACTTCTGGGGTGATGTTTTGACAGAGAGGATGTTCATTGCAAGGCCGATCTGGGTGGTAGATCTTCACAAGGTCATAGTACCGAGTCTTGGAATATGGGGCATTCCGGTTCAAGTTCAAGACATCGTAGGGCGTGAAGGAAGTGCCGGAAGGCCATTGATATCCATATTCCGGATGATGCGATGTCGTCGTGGCATAACTTTTGTTCCAGCGAGGTGCTGGTATATATCCTGGGAGGTGGGTGTTAGGACGAGGATGTGGCGAAATTAGGCTTGACAAGCTTAGCAGCTGGATGCCGCTGTAGCCAAACAAGGTGTGTCTCTTAAGCATGACCGCATGGCTTTCCGACGAGAGCAGGGTCAAGTCCCGAGTGCTCTCTGGTGTGAATGGTTCAAGTGGAGAAGGGCAAAAGCTCCCCTCAATGCTTTGATGTGCCGGCCGCGGAGGTGCGTCACGTGCCCATCGAAGCTTGGTGGGTTTCAGGCGAAGCTTCATTGATTCCCTTCTACCAACGTTTGGCTTTACTGCGACTTCGCTGAAATGACTGATTTGCGCGAAGACAACGGGGAAAGCGATCGGCAATCCCCGTCTAATTCCCTAGGTCGCGGTGAGCGACGCAGCACACGAGATACACGGGACGACTACCATTCTAGTTCGCGGCGGAGGGATAGAGAATACCGAAGCTCTCGCCGTGACAGTCCCCGCCGCCGATCCTCACGCAGCCCACTAAGGAAAGAAAGCGCGTCGGGTGATCGTGACAGACATCGTCGACAACGCAGGGAGAGGTCTACGGATTCAGCAGACGAGGATCGCCGGCGACACAGGCACCGAAGCCATCGACACCGCAACGACCGTGATCGGGATGGGGAACGCTCTTCTCGAAGAAATCGCAGTCCACGACCACGGTCGCGCTCGCCGAGGAGGTCGCGTACGCCACCCAAATCCATGAAACGAAGTGGTCCACTTCCTTCTCAGTCGGATGCATTTTCTGGCGAGGTTGCGCAGTCCTCCGATATTCCTCTGCCCGAGAAGCAGAAGCCCAATTTCAGCAATACAGGCAGACTGGCAGCGGAAAGCAACACTGTTCAAATTGAAGGTGGCGAGGGAATCGTTCTGAAATATCACGAGCCCCCCGAGGCTCGTAAACCTCCCGCAAAGGAGCCCTGGCGGTTATATGTTTTCAAGGGAGAAGATCTACTGGAGGTGGTTGAGCTTAGTGGACGCAGCTGCTGGCTGATTGGCCGGGAGCGATTGGTAGTGGACTTCCCCCTCGAACACCCCAGCTGCTCGAAGCAACATGCTGCGCTCCAATTTCGTTATGTCGAAAAGCGGAATGAATATGGTGATCGCATTGGCAAGGTCAAGCCATATTTAATTGACCTTGAGAGTGCGAATGGGTCCAGTGTCAACGGGGACGCTGTTCCGGCAGGCCGCTACGTGGAAATTATGGACAAGGACGTTCTTAAGTTCGGATTGAGCACTCGTGAATATGTTCTCATGCTACCGAACTGAATGTTTTACCCCGATGAATACAGCAAAGAGGCTTTGGTTCTGCTCTTGTTATAGCGACAAAGAAAGCGTCAAGCTTTGACATTTGATTTACAATATCATACAATTCTTCGAAGCAGAAAGACAAGAGATGAGAGTGTGTGAATCTCTCGGAATCACAAACAACGGGAAGTTTTCAACCAACATGTGTACGCTTAGCCTCCTTGGCCTTGCCTGACATCTCTTCCATTTTCCCTTTCACCTTCCCGGCAGCATGTTCTGCTTCGCCCTTGCTCTTGCCCGCATATTCGGCAGCATCTCCCTTCATCGACTGCGCCTTAGACTTGGCCTCGGCACTCGTGCTGCCGAAGACATCCTTGAGTTTGTGACCAACCTCCTCTAGATGGAAGACAGCTGTCAACCTAAATTGCATTTGCAGAAGCAGAAGAAGAAAACGTACCACCCTTATTGATACCCTTGACTGCGGCATCGGAAACGACCCGATCGGCTTTCTTCAGCGTATCCTTAGTTGCGTCGACCGGCCCTTTCTCATTTTTGGCTGTGGATGAAATGGATCGAATAGCCAGGATTCGGGGCTTGGGGCATGTTGCCACGCGAGATCTCACAACCGGCACAAGGCGTATGGCTGACATGGTGGGTGGTAAATACTTGGCCTGTTGTGCAGGAGATAGTGGTTGAGTCTAGATGAAAATCAAATATGGTCAATGCTAGCGGATTCATTCAAAGAATTGACTGTGATCTATATTTGCCGCCCTATCGTCCTTTTATATTGATTAGTTGGATATACTTTGGACCAGTGCTGGCCAAGTTGACGTCATCGGCATCGCATTTCTTACGTCGTTACGCGGTCACAGCTCCCGATCCGACCACCAATCTCTGGGTTGCCCATTCCAAATCCCTGCTTTTGAGCCCTACGCTCTAGCTTAGAATACTGGAGCAGAAAAACGCCACGGCCTGGCCCGGTTTCCATGTTTTTGGGGGTCAATGGCCAGGCTGAATAAATCAAATTTAATGTGAAAGATCACTTGTCCCGCCAAACAGACGGTAAAATCACGAGAGCGAACACATGCTAATAAGGGAAGAACTCGTATCTTGAATATTTTTAGACCAGCTACATGTGGTTTTGGGACGGTAATTTTCCTATTCTCAACAACCCCGCAGCACGGATGAAAGAAATATAATTGACCAACATATTCGTTCAGGGTCTTGGGCCTGGCGTAGTGACATGTCAACTTTGATTCGAAGTCAAAAGATATATCATGAATGCCACAATGCATGGACCGATAAAGTCCCTGCCCCGACCGGGGCCACGATCATTAAATATACGTTCGGAACCCCCACTTTAATTCCTTCATAGAGTAGACTGATATCTCATGAACGAACTTCGATTTATTCATGGGACCCTCATTAAGCAAAATTTGAGCTAAAAAAACCATAAGCCTTCGTGGTCTAGTTGGTCATGACGTCGGTCTCATATTCACTTATGACGTCCCTGTAAAACAGGGTTGCTATCCGAAGGTCTCCAGTTCGAACCTGGACGAGGGCAAAATTTTGCTTTTTTTTTTTTGCTCAGTTAGTCAGTCAGTCAGCTGGATGTCAAGAAGGGACCAAGTGGAAAAATGCTGAAATCAAATTGCAACATTTTTTTGATTAACATTCAAGTAGAATCCCCTTATATTTGACACATCTGGATCGGGTCAATTCAACATTGACTGACCAATGGGGTTCATTGAGTATAAATCAAAGAGACCAAATGTACCTGCAGAAGCATACGTATGCTAGCCTAGTAGATGGCCAACATATAGAACGCAAGATCCCAGGGTCAGCTCGTGGCCACCTCAAAGCCAGAGAGAACAGTTATCTAATTGGCTGAATAGCGGCTTGGCACTAGTCTGTCCAAACCAACGGAGAACTTATATCAGATAAACAAAACAATCCTAAGAGCATCAAGGTAGCTAGTATGGCCGCCAATGCATATACTCCGCTTGAGATCGATAATGGTTAATAGAGGATATTGGCAGCCACATTTTGAGATTGAATGATCATCAATTGCGTTGGGCTAATCGTATCAGCGAGTGGCTCGTCCACGACGCCGCCGATACCAGCAGCCAACAGAAGATAACCAGCACGCCATAAAGTGTTTCTTGCGTTGAACATCAAGAGTGCAGTTTGTATCACTTGATTGACTGCTCGTTTGGTGAGAAATGCCGAAAGAAGCAACTGGAGCGTTGGGTATAGCATCGGAAAAGCTAGTCGCAAGATTAATGTTGAAAATTCGATCTGTTTCCGAAGGTTGTTGTACTAGAGAAGTGTTGTCAGTAAATCCATTTATTTTGGTACTGTTCTTTAGATTAGTGACTTACTCGATGTGTCGAGGTCTGTGGTCATCTCCTCTTTTACTTGTAGTTCTCTTGCATGATCAAAGTAAATCCTGTGTCGTTGGAAGCCTAGTAGGGGAACGAATTCAATGATATCGTCCTCCATAGTGATTGGGAAGTGAACAGTTTTGCCCTCGAGAAGATATTGTCTTGATCCTGGAAGCTTTTTTGTAAATGAGCCTGCCTCAAATATTGCCCGGGAGGCAAAAAACTATTTTTCCAATCTTGGACGCCAAGCTGCGTTAAGTTTAGTTCTCGACGCTGGGTTGGGATCTCGTGCAGGTTTTTGCCACTGGTCGCAGGTTTGGACCCGGTCTCGAATCGAGGTGCATATGCACCTTAAATCATGTGTTAATATTTGGATAAGTTAGTTAGTCGCCCCATTCTTCATTTAATAGTCCTCCAATGGGATAAGTTTGACCTGGAACGACCATTTCTGGAGCGCAACCAGACGAGGAGAAGCAGAGCATCCGGTAAAAGCGACAGAAGCAGATTCAAGGGGTGAATGTGCGAAGATTCAAGCTGTTTCTTGATACGCTGATGTTAAATGAGGATTTTTCCCATCTCTTCTCCGCTGGATGATCAGAAGCTGCATGCAAGTGCCGCCCCGAGAGAAATCGTGTCATGCGGCCACCCGCCCCACGCGAGCCCGCGAGCCCCGTTGCCGCCTTAAAGCCCAGGTCAATCGCAAGGAAATACGTATTTCACCCGATTGTGACTTTTATATTATGCCTCGAATAATTGATGCAAGGCACTCCACGGTAACAGCAGATATTTCGCTCATAGTAACCTTTACGGGACCGCGCCTCTACTCGGTAAGACTGTGGGATTAATTGCCGAGATGAGCGTGTCATATTATCGACATCGGCAGACGAGAGATCTCTTCAGTGCCCCCGCCATGGTAAAGGATCGTTCGATGCTATGCAATGTTTCGAATCCGAAAAAAAGGACTTTGATTCTATACACTTGCACTTTTGCTGGAGACGATGCTGGCGGCAGGTGCCTCAGGCTTCTCAGTCCCCAGAAGGGTTAATGAGGGTCGCGCCAGTTGGATCCTCATGAGTCTAGAGGTACGATTGTGTGGACCAACAAGATGTCTTGTCGTAAATCAAGGACGAACAAAATATTGGCTGAAGCTATCACATTAGCCTAAAGGGCAGGCGAATTTAGTGTGTTTGACTCTCAGCCTCGCTGTGTCTTAGCTGCCGAGGCGACATGTTTGCTACTCTTGCCACAGCTGTTATGTCGCAGGCGGGGAGCCGGTCTTTCAGCGCAAGGTATGAGCAGCTGAGCTTGATAAAATGCAGTGGTTGCAGTGGCGGTATCAGGGGCGACCGTCTTGGTAGTCCTCGGCGCATATAGTCGCGGGCCGACGCTTCGGGCATATCAAAGGAAGGCCCGAGATTGGGAGACGATGGCGTGCAGATTGAGGTAGAGGCAGTCCAAGGCTTCTGGGAGTGATTCGGGATTGCGGGAAGGATTGTATGGGTCTATTGCTATAGATAGACCGCGATACTGATTTTGGGCTTTCCCGTTAGAAATTAGTTAGGTATTCCATGATTGAGGTTGCGGATGTACTGTCTCATCGTTCCTAGAGCTTGTATCCTGTTGACAGGCCTCTATAGCACCGAGTGTAACATCAGCTTGCACCCCATGAATAGGCAGAAAAGCCTCAGAGCGCGAAGATCTTTTGAAAAGAGAGTGAGATAGGGTGATGCTCTAGTCTACTAGGTCGGCGGCATTGAAGAAGGCAGAGAGGACAAGGGAGAGGTCTGATCCTTATACCAGGCTTACGTTCGCTAGCGAAGCTACATTTGTACGTAAGTCATTAGATAACATGCTAGCATAAGTATTGGTCATGAAGCTCATGGTCTCTTTCTAGCCACGGCAGGGGTCTGCCTATCTCCTACGGAGGCGTTCAGACTCATTGAACAGACTCTATTTAAGACGCATTTGACGTCAAATGAGATGAAGGTTACTACTTTGTGTTTATACCAGGCCCGGTCAACCGCATTTGAGAGTACTGGCGGAGCTTGCTCAGTAGTTCTTCCCGGGCGTTCACCGGACTGGGTGTCGATAGCAGTCTATGATTTTCTGCGAGATAAGAAAGTCGTGGAGCTATCACTATTTTTAGAAGCTCGCATTGCATTTAAGGGAGCGAGATGCCGATACTCTCTGGGAGGCAGAATTCTTCCTGCCCGGAGTCCAAGGTGTTGGGTTCGGTAGGTGTTGGGTTAGGTAGGTGTTGGGTTAGGTAGGTCCAAGGTATTGTTGGGTGACACGTGTCTACTACCTGCTCTTTATAGTATAGTATACAGCGCTTAATAGTGCCTGTTACTCCTGACTATATCTATTGAACCAATCAGATCGTTCATTTCAACCTATTCCAACACAACAGAGAATTCTTCCTTCCCTGAGTCCAAGGTATTAGGCTAGGTACTGCAGTGGGGAAATGACCCACGAATGGTGATCTCTGATTGGAGGATATCTTTCCTATCACACCTGCCTGTGCCTGTATTCTCAGGCTTGCAGTAGAAGCGCCCTGGTTCAGTACGTAGATGTTGGGTTAGATGACTAGCGCCTACTGCCATATCTGTATAATATATAGCGCTTAACAGCGTCTATTCCCCCTCTCCATATCTACTGAAAATAATCAGATCATTCATTTCAACCTATATTCCAACGCAAGGCAGATTACTTCCCGCTCAGAGTCGATGACATAGAATTCCTTTAAAAAGGCACCTAAGCCCATCAAGAACTCCGATTTACCAAGCCTGATCCCCCTGCAAATTTTCACAGGATCTCTTTTTGCGAAATAACGAATCATTTCCATCCACGATGTCCGTATCAATCGATATAAATGATTTGGTTTCAAACTTCGACCCGTTGACGAAAGCTTCAATTTCGAAGCTACAAGGTGCCGATGTTATCAATGTGGTCTATGCTGTCCGTCCTTGCGATTGGACAAGAAAAGACATGCTGTATGCGGATTTGAAAAACAAAATTGCATCCCTCGATAAAATCAAGTTCGGGACTGCCTGCCGCTTCAAATCCCTCAAAGGAAAGAAAGAAAGTACTCCCACGGTCTACGTTGTCGGCTTTCACATCCAAGAGAAGAAGCCGGATGGGTCGATAAAGACAACGACGAATGAGGAAGCGAAAAAGAGAATAGATTTTCTGAAAGTTTGGAAGGGTTTACAAATCAATATCCTGGGCCCTTACATCCTCGACCCCCTAAAACCAGTGGGGCAAAGTGAGGTCTTTGATATATATAACGACAAAAACGGCAAGGACAAAGAAACGCGTCGCACATGGGAGAGTGAGTTGGTCGGATGTTTACAGCCACGGAAAAGGCTCGCATCCTGTCAAACAATCAACGTTGTGTACATTGTCGGCACCTCCAATGAAAGAAAAATGTCAAGTATGAATGTCGAAATGCTAAAAGCAATCGAACAACTTACAGGGGACCTGCAACAAAAATACACCGGGTGGAGCGGAAAAGTCACATTGCTGGGCACCTTCGGCGTGAAGGCCTCCTCTGGCGTGTCTGAACAACCTCAGGGCGAGCATGAAGGCTCAGAAGGTGTCAAGGGCAGATGTTTAAATGGCTGCAAGAAGGAGCATTCTGGCAACCCGGCCCTAAATGCCGCAATCATGAAGGCGGACATGGTAATACATGGTGGACAGGAGGCATGTCCAACAAAGACAGAATCCGAGCCTTCTCATTATTATGACGCAAATTACTTGATGTATTACTGTGCCACGAGGCTTCCTTCGGATCCGTCTCGGAGTCGGTCTCGAGGTGTTTCTTCGAGTCACGATCCGAATCAGCCTCGAGGTCGGTCTCGAGATGCTACTTCGAGTCACGATCCGAATCAGCCTCGGGGTCGGTCTTCGAGTCGGCCTCCACAGACTGGGAAGCCAATCCGGCATTATAAGATCGCAAAGTCCAAGGGCATCCGGGTGGTGGACGAGGCTTTGAGAGAAGCTTTGAGGAGAAACAAAGCAGAGGGAGAGAAAGATGATTGGACTGCCGGGAAAATCATCGTTGAGTTGGGAATTGCGCATGACCACGCTCATTGGCACCTTGAACTCGGTCCACCAGGAAAAGATCGCTACCACTGGTCCACGGATGGATATAAGCTGCTCTCTCTGCCACTGGAATGGTTTATGCACCTCATGCCTCCGCGATCATAATATATCTACTTAGAACAAAGTAGCCTACAAACTAGACTTGAATATCTTCTCGCTGGATTTCCCTTCCTTTTTTGATGTGTATCGTAATCCGGACATATATGTTCCTGCAAATCAACCGCGAGGATGATCCACCGAGGAACGGGTGGCACTGCGCCGCATGGAAGAAGGCGAGAGGGATACAACAGGGACCGGAGCGTGGATATGGAGCCCCTGTTCGACTGCTCTTGGCGGCCGGCTAAGCTGGTCTTCATTTTCCTTCTCTCTCTCTCTTTTTTTTGAAGGCGCAACAGGACCCCATCCACAAAACTCCGGTTGCCCATCTTTGTTTATTTTCACTACAATCGTGCCTCGGACCAAACCCCCTCCATAGCCCTTTTCAATGGAACAGATCGACCTCATGGTGGCCGCAAGACACAGCCATCCTCCACTGAACATGCCCACGGAAACTTCTAGATAATGCAATGGCGGCCGCGAGTCGACGCTCAAACCACCCGAATCGACCAACGGACGAACACCCACGATGCGGAAGACGTGAACTGGCGGACCATCTACGGAGAAGATGACCAGTCTAGGATTTGGGATCACCTGCCCGCCTTCGCTGCCGGGAGTTGGAACTACATCTTGTCATGGCCGTGTAGTCGGTCATATGACGCGTGGCCAACACTATCGAGTACTCGTACCAGAGTGAAGATAACACGGGCCATCGGCTTCCTGCCGATATGGGAGCGGAATCGCACGCCGGAGGTGAGGGCCCGCCAGCGATTCTTGAAGCGCATCTGATACGGCAATCGCGTTTCGCATCGTGCGATCAGGAAAATTGGGAGGCCACGAACTGACCGAATCCTCTTTTCCGCTTATATGGTTGTTTCTCGGCCCTACATAGCTTAAAATATAAGACGAGGTAGTTAGATCATCTTTATACTGTCTTGACTTCCTTGAATTGCTCTTAAGTTATTTTTGCTGTATTGTGAGTGAAGAGCAAGCTCACCTCGACTTTCTACTGCCTAATCAGAATCCTTTCTGCTGTCTTTACCAACTTGACATGATCCTGAGAATCATTGCTGCTCTCACTCTGCTACCCCTAGCCTCCTTTTCAATTTCCTTCCTGTGCATCTTTTCGTGTCCATTGTTTTCTTTTTCTCCTTTTCCCTCTTTTAGATCTTTTAAAAACTTGGGGTCTGAGCAAAAATAAAAATAAATGACAGGCCTTGATGAGGCTCTGAAATTCTTTCTCAGCAAGTAGGGTATACTTCATTTTAGTATAGCGATATATATATTTGACATAGCCGAGCCACCATGCTCCTACAGGCCTCGATTGCCTCATACGAAGATATGTCTCAATCCAAAATAGCAATCAAGACTGTCAGTAGACGAGCGAACACCGTAAGCTGATACCGGGATCTCTGGAAACCCCAGCTCGAGCACCATAGAGCAATGGCCCCACGAACAAGGGACCCAAGAATTCAATTGTTCAGTGACTCCGGTAATTTGCAAAAACTTCCAGTCCAGCAACCGGCGTTCTATACAACGCCAAAGTCGATGAAAGCTAGATATTACAATACGCATATTTGAGGATGTAATAACCGAAAGCATTTAGGCTGTGTCACAAAAGCCTGCATCATGTATCAATTTTGGAGCTCAAATCATTCACGAAAGAGCGAAAAGGCAAGGAGGGTAAAAGTAAACGAGACTGGAGATTGATCGCAGGATCCTGTCGGTATTACTGTTAACGACACGTGGCTATAGAATAATCAAACCACCGCTTGAGCCCCAAAGCAATAAAGAATGAACACAAAGCAACCCACATATGTCTCGACCGGTGGTCTCAAAGAGTTGAACCCTCTTCGTATCGTCCATGGCCAAGAAATATAGTCAGAAATGTGTCAAAAGAAATTGACCAGATCCAGGCTCGAATCGAGGACCTTTTTCGGTGTTAATAATACATACGGTAATTTACGGTGTCAAGGATATGGAATAACCAAACCACCGCGTGCACCCAAGTGCAATACAAAAAGACCACAAACAAACCCGCACACTTCTCGATCAGTGGTCTCAAAGCATTATACCTTCTTCGAAGCGTCCATCGCCAAGAGATATAGCCAAGTAAAATGCAAAAAAATTGACCAGACCCGGGCTCGATCCGAGGACCTTGTCGGTGTTAACGACATGTGATAACCAACTACACCATCCGGCCATTGATGAAGAAAGGCCCACAATTATCAAATTAACAAAGAATTGGGGGCTGTCTCAGGTTTGACCTTCCTTGTCAAGATTCCTTTTAACGAATGCAAATTACAGGGATTCACTTCAGCTCGATATACTGTGGAGGGGACAAGGGCTATAATAGATGATCTCTGATTAGAGGATATATTCTATAGTGTATAGTCTTAAATCTTTATAACATAGCTTCGTATCTTCGATAAGGGAAAATATATCTTCTACACTCTTTTCGCTCAAGCAATATCTATTGCCCCATCTCCTGAGGCCTTGCTATATCGTGGCATATAGTAATTTGTTGGGTTGTTCGTTGACCTATCTCGTCCTGCCTGCATGTCAAGCTTATCGTAGAGCTCTTCGGCTCAATATATAAGCACACGCGATGAGCCATGATAGTTGAGGATATATAAAATCATTAACTAGGTTTTCAGAAGACAATAATACATACATGGGCCTTCGCAATCTCAACATCGTTCAAACTTCTGGCTTATAACATGTTGACCCACCAGCCTCGGAGGATAAATTAGCCTCGACCGATGAGACAGTCAGGAAAAAAGTGTAAAACGAAGTATAGAAGCCATTGGTTCGAGTCTAAAGGGAGAACATTCATATGTCTGACTGTGAACGGATCCATATGGATCTATATACAGGAGAAAATTGAGCTGATCCATGTGCTCCAGCATCGGATCCGAATTGGAATCTAGAAATCAGAGAAATCAGATAGATCAGGAGGCTGATATTGGGAGACTGCTTGACAGGCCGAATGCATACGGATGAAATCGAATCCAAACGGAGATCTCCAGATCTTCCAGGCTACTGGTTCCCATAGTCATCATCCTCGACTGAATTCGTGCCTCTCCGTTCTCCCTTTCCCACGCAGCTAGGGCACGGGCACCCTCTTCGTTACAAAGTTGTAATGATACGCCTCCGGCAGCGCGGAATCCTAGATATCAGGCCACGTTAGCTAGAGGTCCAAATCCGATTTGAAAAGCATATAACTATATCACATACCAGTGCTCATAGCAGTGGCGACTTGCTTCACTAATTGACCCCCATCGCCAGCCACGAAGCAACCTGGCAGACTGGATTCACAGAAGAGTTGGTTGACCATCACCTCAGCACTGTGTTCCATCTTTGCAAGTCCAAGCTGATCAATCAATGCCTGCGATCGATTAATGATTGGGGGCTTGTGCAGAAGCATGCTCAATGTGACGGCCTGGGAGTCTCTGAATTCAATGCCGATGGTGTCCCCTTGGTTGATCAACCGCCGAATCGGTCGCTCATCAAGTCTGACGCCACTGGCATAGGCCGTACGAAGTGCGTTTTAGATAGCGGAGTCAGTTGAAACCGGTCCATTACTATAGATAGTGATGTCCTTTGAGAACTGTAGACTCATAAGAGCGAGTCCCAGGTAGGCTGGGGAGGAGAACTCTAAAATGCCTACACGATGGCCTCGCTTTTCATGGCCATCACAGAAGAGGCACTGATAACTATTGAATAGCGTGAGTCAATTTTGAAATAAATCTCACGGTCGCAAATGAGACTTACATATGCGATGCCCAATTCTCCTGGTATCCCTCGATGTTCATAGGCAACACATCCTGCGATCCAAGGGCTAGAATCAACTTGCGCCCTTTATAGACAGCATTGTAAGTATCAGCTACCTGGTATCCCATATAGCCATCCCCTATTTCGGTATGAGATGCATGATGAATTTTGGCCCTGGAGAAATGGATATGGGGATACTTGTCCTCGATCTGACTGCGGGCAATCTGGCGGAACTCGGTTGGTGGTGTGCCGTCCCGCGTCAGAACTGTATGCATGGCTGTCACTTTCTCATTTCGATAGTGACCAGAGTCAAAGACCAGTGCTGTGCGTTGGACCCGTGCTAGAGCCAGTGCCGCCGACAGGCCTGCAGGGCCACCTCCAACGATCAAAGCGTCAAAAATCATGTTGGTCGTATTGATATATTTCTGGAGACAGTATTTAGTGGTAAATAAAAATTGATGAAAAACAGAATCCACCACAGACCAGAGTCCGCTTTTTTATACCTCATCTTGGCTCGGACACTTCGTTGATAAGTCTCCGGACATCTGCATTCCCTGATGGCGCAGCTGGTAATTTGGACCCCACATCATCGCTCCTACTTCCGCAGGATCAAATCGAGGGGGAAAAAAGTCACTTTCTTGTATATCAATGATCCTTTTCCGGTTCTTCCTAGTGAAAACATTTACGAAAGTCTTTTGAATATTTGAGTTCTCAATTGGCTGTTCAGGTAGGATGTCCATACCTCTACTCACCTCTAATTCGCCTGATGATAGATCGACTCTATTCATGCGATCTGAGTTTGACTTACAAAAAATCATTGAAGATCTGGAATGAAAGAGCCGCTGACAAGAGACCAGATTCGATTTACAGGAAAGTCGCAGCGTTTTAAGGGACTAAGCAGCACGTTACATACTGAACCAGGGCGCTCTACGGCAAGCCTCAGATGCAGGCAGGATGAGATGGATCAACGAACAAGCCAACAAACCACACCACACCACGACGAAGGAAAGCCTCCCAAACAGGAAACAGAGGCTGCTTCAGTGAAAAGATGTGTAAAAGTTGATTCTCTCCCTATTGGAGATGCGAAGCTATACCTGTAAAGACTGTGTACTAGAACAGAGATCCTCCAACCAGAGATCACCTATCCTTGGCCATTTCCCCACTATAGTACGTAGGAACAACAGTGCCGGAAACATCTCGGACACTTTTGAGTCGCACTGTCAGACTTCAGATAGTATTTAGAGCTAAGCTCATAGGCTGATGATTTCAATAAATCTAGGTAAGACCTGCCAAGATTGGAAGACTAGTATATTTAAATACATATAATAACAAAAGTCTTTTTACACTCCTTCCCGCCCCACCCACCTAAACAACTACCTATCTTCTACTACCTCCTTTATTATCAGATTGCGTTATATTAAAATAGGACTTGATCAGAATATAAGAGCAAGAGATGAATTGAATAAGGTAGTGCGCACTGCTATTATTTACGCGAGCGAAAACGGTGTTCTGAAGGCTAAACCGGCGTATAATTTTCACATTAGTAGGCCCGTAGTTTTAAATATATTACATCGCTTCTAATATACCAAAAAACCTTCTCTCTCTCTCTCTCTCTCTCTCGCAAAGAATGCCTAAGGAGGATTTAAAATCCTAATTTTTGTTATATCCTTCCTTTAAATCGTAAATTTCAGCGATAACGTAGAAAAATCTTATTAAAGAGATTCTGTTACCATCCAAGCCAGGTCACATGACTCCAGTGCATCTTTCTAGCTAGTTTAGGGATAACTAATAACATCACTTTTACATCTCCTGGCTCTGTCACAGATAATTTTCGATATTTTATATGATATTTGTCTTTCTACGATTTAACATAATTCAATTGAGTAATGAATTCGAAAATAGGCCTCGAAGCAATTCTGTTAGTTAAAAATTAAGAATATAAAGCGTTGATGTTCCTTGATTCAAGATTAGGATAATTTAACGCTTAGGAAACGATTATCTTTTCCGATAAATACTAAGCAATTTAAACCTAAGTTTGTTAATTTATCAAGCTAAGAAAAGGAAAATTCCTGAATAATCTAGAGTTTTTTAGGCTACTGAAAACGAGACAGGCTCGGTTCCTTCGCCTTGAAGAACATCCCCGGTAGTTCTACTCTCGTTCACGGCTTCCTCATCTTCATCCTATTATGGGCTTGGCGATTATGCCACCGTTGCGGGACTCTCGCGGAAGAGAGAGTCCCCAAAAAAGCAAGCCTGTCATTGTGAAAGCCAGCAAGGCGTATGTATCATTGCGGTATTTTGAACTAGAAGATCATGTTCCGTGTTTCCAGTGTTTCAGTGTGTTTCCCATAATCGAAACCACTAGCCATATCACGGTCAAAGCTCGGAATAATCAAGAAGCCCAGCGTACAGGAGATACTAATTGAACGGCACTGCAAGGTGTAGAATTGAGATCCGAGTTGAGGTATAGTAAGAGATATAAAGGCCGTATCTTTGAGCTGAAATAATGACATGGCGACCAGAGCGCGTTGGAGCATACATAGGGTGATAAAAGTCTTTTTATAACCCACATTTTTACCACTAAACCTAACACTAAACCCCAATTTCTAGCAACAATTTCTTACTCAAATTAAATGCAGTTGCTTCTAGAATATGATATAATCTTTTTAAATATTATTATATTGAATAACACCCTTTTTCTTTCTTAACTGCTCTGATTTGCTTTCGATAATAAGCGGATTAAGCTATCAATCTTCTTTTGATTGAGAGCCCACTAAGCTTTACGAATTGCTCATCGAAATAAATTCCAATCAAGATTAGATATTCCTCCTTTAACTAGATTTAGATCAGGCGAATACGGAGGCTATTCTATCCTTCTGATCCTTCGATCTTCAAACTATAATTATATAATATTCTAATATTCGCTAATAAAAATAGTACGTAATCGTATGAGAAAATTGGATTAAAGTAATAGATCAGAAGAGGACCCTTTTCGAGTATTTTTAAATATAGGATTTCACGTCGAATCCTTTACCGGGCTTTTTTTCTTTGAAAATAATATCCGAGCGACTAGTAATCTATATTAAGCTGGATTTATCATATTGGACTGTAAACTTTCATTTGAAGTTCGCTATAATTTCCTAAAGTTTAATGCAATCTTGTCGATTTCGTTCGACATTGGTAATTATGAGAAATTCTTTCTTCTATTTTGGCTTACCAATTGAGGTACAAAATCGCCTCTGATTGAAGCTCTGGTGTCGTGACACATGTTCAGAGCTAGCTATTCACCTGGAACAAGGGTGAGGTTCTGAATTCTTGAGGCTGGGGCACGACCAAATGTAAGATAAAACGCGCTACCGCAATTCTGTCCCGGTCTTGCCTAGTAACGTATCTCACTAGCGAGCGGAACACCTAGAACGCCATAGTAAATGCGATAGTTAGTTAGTTAATTAATTTACCCATGTGAGGTAATCCATCCCCGCCAAGACGGAGAAACTGAGACGGACCCTAAATTAGCAACTCTAGTTCTCACTGGCTGTATTCATAGGCGATGATTTGATCTTGCATCGGAATTTTTAGCCTCGGTCCCTCTTAGTCTCACTCTACATTTTGTACCCCCTCTTGGACTTCCCGCCGCTAGTAGTCTCGACCTTGACGATTTCCATGCTCCGGTAAGTCCTTTTTTATGTTCTCTTCCGCTTTTTTCATCTTGCATCTGGGTCAATCTCTATCTTTCTGGCCTTCTTTCCTTATATAGCACTACTGTTTTGAAGATTTTCATCTAATTTTCTACGATAACCCTCATGCCATCCCTCGTACGAACTCTTCTGTTGGGAATTATCCCGGCATATTTCGTCAACTGCCATGCAGCTGATTCCCTCGGGTCAATGTATCGCATTGACGTGCATTCCCATGCCATTCCAGCAATTTGGAAACAAGCGATGATCTCAGCAGGCTTTCCAGTCAAGAATGGTACTTTGTATAATGACGGCGCTCCTGTTCCCGATTGGACATTGGACTCGCACATTAGCGCCATGGACAACCTTGGGGTCAATTACTCAACCATCAGTATCACTGCACCTGGTTCTCCTTTATCAAAGATGCGACCAAGGCAAAATCTTTAGCCCGCAGAATCAATCTCCTACTTCATGAATACACCCAAACTTACCCAACTCGGCTTGGAGCACTTTGCCTTCTCCCTCTTCCTCATGTCAGTGAAGCGGTAGAGGAGATTCGAGTACGTGCATTGATGATTCATTACATCAGGCCCTAAACCTCACTAATTGGTCCTCTTTCTAGTTCTGCATGGATGTCCTCAAATTTGTGGGCGTGGGCTTGTACACTAATGCCAATGGTATATATTTGGGCGACTCCGCCCTCAACCCCGTTTTCTCGGCCCTCAGCTCCCACAATGCCAGCGTATTTGTGCATCCAGCCTCTCCAAGTTGCACATCTGTCGCTCTTGACCACCCAATTCCGATGACAGAGTATCCTTTCGATACCGTGCGTGCTATGGAGAATTTATTACTAACTGGTCAACGTGCGAAATACCCGGACCTTAAAATAATATTCGCTCACGGTGGTGGCGCTATGCCATATCTGGCCACACGTATTGCTGGTGTCGCGACACTTTCCTACGCAGGCGGAATTTCTTTCGCTGAAACAATGGCTCAACTTACTGGATATTATTTTGATCTTGCTAGCGCAACATCAGCCATTCAACTGACTGCTTTAAAGAGCTTCATTGGTGCCGGAAAGCTCGTGACTGGAATTGACTGTAGGACTCTTCCCCCTTAAACTTGCGCTATCTATGCCCTGAGAGTGTATAGAGCTCAGTATGCTAACACAGACAGATCCCTACGTACCACTTACACAGGCTTTGCCAGGTCTGACGGGCATCCAAGGAAATGGGAATTTTACGGATGAAGAGATGGTCTCGATTAAATACCTAAATGCCTTGGAAATTTTTCCACGAATCTCCAATGCCTTGAAACTTCAGTAAGATGACAGCGTAGCATGCTCATGATGAACATGTTTTTAAGTAGCTAGTTAATTATCGATGGCTCATCAAGAATACTATTGCTTTTTCTTTGTTCTACTTCTCGCTTTGTGAAAGGGCTGTACTTGAAGCGTGCATTTGAAAAAAAAAATTGTCTCTTATTATTGCTGGAGAAATAGGCCGAATAGGCCACTATTGTCTGTGATTGATGTGTTTTAAAGCTTCTCGAGTGAGGAAATTGAGACACTGATTCATTGAATGCTAGGCAGGGAAGAGATCGCAAGACATTGAGGCCATTTGCTATCGCTGGTCTCTCCTGCGGGGCTCGAAACCAGAAAGGAAATGTCCAATTCGCTCAAATTATGTTCACATTCTTCAGCATACTATAAAAACTTCCCTGTACCTATGAATCCCCACTTTCGACTTTACACAGTGCGCTCTGCGTTCTGAACTGTGTCTTGGCAAGGAGGCTGTGCCAGGCAACATCACCTAACGCCGCGTCATGACTGGCTCAAGCGATTCAGCTAAGACCGAAATGCACTTATTTATTTGAAACTCATTGTGAATTGTGATCAGGCTTCTTTCTGGCTCCCATAACTCTATTTTGACATCGTTATTGTGGCGTTCCGATCTGCCGCCTCGACCTGTGCGACTCGCCTCACGTCTTCAAGAGCCGCAACGGTATCGGGATGATCGCGACCCAATAACTTCCGTCGCTGCGAGTAAACACTTTCAGCAACATCGCCCGCTCGATCCCAATTCCCTTGGGATTGATAGATGAACCCGAGATTGGATACGACACTCAGGGTATGAGGATGCTCCTCGCCCAATGACTTGTTCATCAGCTCCGCCACCTGTGCAGTCAATGTTGCAGCATCATTAATTTTCCCACGAATTCGATAGGTTACTGCGAGGTCGGCTAGTGCTGTCAAAGTATGAGGGTGGCCATCCCCCAATACCTCCCTCATGGCAAATGATGACCTCTCCCCAAGATCCTGCGCTTCTGCCAAGCGCCCAAGACCACGACAGGAAGAAGCAAGATTGCTCAGGGACATTAACGTCTGTGGGTGCTTGAGGCCCAAGGTCGCCTCGCTTGTTGCGACTACTTCTCGATCCAGGCGCTCCGCTTCCGTCCATTTATTCTGACCACGATATGTTGACGCCAAGTTGGCTATTGAAGCTAGAGTCAACGGATGTTGCGACCCCAAGGATTTCCGTCTTGCTCTAAGAACCTCTTGATCCAACTTTTCTGCAAGCGAAAAGCGGCCCTCATCTCGGTATGTGGACGCCAGATTTGATTTGATTGTCAACATTGAAGGATCCGTTGCATCTAGCACCCTTTCTCCCCGTTCCACTAATTTTCGATTTATTTCTTCTGCTTCCTGATATCTGCCCTGCTCCGCATAGGAAGTGGCCAGATTTGTCATGGAGATGAGCGTGGAGCGGTGTTCCGCCCCAAGAGTCTTTGATTTCAAGTCCACAAGTTGGGCGTCAAGTGCCCGTGCATCTTCCAAGCGGCCTTGACCTCGATATGCAGATGCAAGGTTTGACATTGAAATCAAGGTCTGGGGGTCTGTTTCGCCTAGAATTCTCTTTCGGAGGTTCGTTACCTGTAGGCCCAGTTGGGCGGCTTCCTTGAATTGACCTAATCCCCAAAATGCCGAGGCTAGACTGCTCATTGTACTCATAGTCTTTGGATCCTCTTTGCCTCGGAGGGAATCGCGATATTCCAGCACTACAGACGCCAACTCGGCGGCGGCGTCCCACTTTCCATGGTTGAGGTGGGCTCTAACCAACATGTCAAGCTTGTCAAGCGCATCAGAGGTCGAGTTGAACTGAGCATCTGTTGTAGCCGGCACAGTTTGAATTGAGGACGCTATTTTTTGCAATCTTGAGGCATCTTCACTCCATTCTCGGGTTGTGTATGTCTCCCCAAGACTCTGGATTTTGTGCCGTAGCGACCGTGCTGATGCCGAGGTTTCGTCCATGTATTGCTGTTCCGTTGGCAAATGATTGATAATTACCCGTGGGGGGTGGCACATTCAGTCTTATGAGTCAAGCAAAGACAAAATGCTTCCTGGACTATCAACTTCAAAAATATGGCCACTTCAATCAAAACGACTATCCGCCGGGATTATCGGGAAGGAGAATGCCACACTCGGAACTTCCACAACTGGCGTGAGGTGCTAAAGAAATGGTGCCCAGAGCGGTGAAATACGCCAAGGTAAAATGCGCCCCGTCATGAATTTCCAGGCTATTAATAAATTATTACTGCTATCTAGCTATCCGTCTTGATCTAACTGATATGCCTATCGTTCTATTTGTAGATGTAATACGGAGAAAATATGAAACTATCCTTCGACCCCACATATGACAGGATGATGGCAATATATTGTGGAAGGGGGCAATTTGTGCCTCATAGTGAACCTATCGCACGTTCATGCCGGTTGCTGACCAGTTTTTGCGTGAAATGGTGCTGCCTACGCGGCCTGGGTCCATTGTAAATTTGGTGGGGTTCAGCCCTATCAAACTGGCCCCTGGAATGTGGAGCCATATGGTTCGAGCTGCGTCATGTTTGGCACTAGTAATAAGGCTGAATACCGCCCTGCAAAAGGTATGTTCATGCCGACATACACTCGTTGTATCACCTGCCCCGCTCTGGCGGACTGGATTACTGTATTTATTTTGCTTGAATGAGCCGGCTTGTTGGGTAATTTGCACTCCAGACCGACAATGACAGTGCCCAGCATGTCCCCGGTGGCCGACCAGTTGGGCAGCCCGGCACAAGAATCATCAAGTGGGCAAGGATCCCCAACAAATAGCCCATTGTCTAGATGGTCAGAACTGGTTCATCTGCCTGCGCAGGCTAAGGTCGGTCTTATCAAGGGACAAATTCCCATGTTCTTCTGCCACTAGCAGCTGCAGCAAGACTCCTTCATTGGAATGCAGCTATTGTCCTGGTAGTCAACTTAGTTGCGATCATCTTCCTTTCGGGCGTTATCTCATCTGCATCTGATGATCTCGCCGACAATTTCGGACATTTGGGGCATTTGCTGAGTGCACTCATTGGCGCGACGCTGGGCAACACTGTCGAGATTACGGTTTGCATCTCTGCTTTCGCGTGAGTTTACACATCAGACTTATCGATCGTGTGTTTATGTTTAGTCCGGCGTCTTGGGTCTTTTAAATGGAGACATCGTCTTTGCCCAGTCTGTTATGGCTGGAAGTATTCTGTCAGATATTCTATTGGTTGGATAACCCCCCCATGTTGCATCCGAGGATATCAATTCAGACTAACTAGAGCCGGACCAGATATTGGGATGTTGCATTGTAACCGCCTCTTACAATAAGCATATCCTCAAGCTCAACAATTCCCTCGCCAAAACACTGTCATCGCTAATGATGATTGCTGCTGTAACAATGCTCCTTCCGACGGCCCTATACTCGTCCTTCCCCGTCTCTCAAATCGACGATCGCGTCCTCCTATTTTCCCGCGGCATCTCCCTTGTTCTCTTTCTCCTATACGGCGGATACCTATATTCCCATATGAAGAGCCACAAATATCTGTTTTTGTCGGGGGAGGAAAATGAGGATGAGGAGCTTCATACAAATGAAGATGAAACCCCTGGGCTCTCAAAGTCACGTTCGACCGTGTCCAGTGCGTCCAACGTTTTCGCATTAGGCATACGGCTCGCGGCTGCAGTGGCAGGGACTATATTTTGCACAGAGCTCATATTCGAAGGAATTCACGAAATAGTTGACACTCTTGGCTTTAGCCGTGTGTTCATTGCTGTCATTTTGGTCCCGATCGCAAGTAACAGCACCGAAGGGATGACAGTCATAGCTTCAGCTCGCGACGGCGATACTGACTCTGCAATTCGAGTGATTGTGGATAGTCTGCTCCAGATTGGGCTGTTTGTCATTCCATTTCTTGTCATTATAGGATGGTGCATACAGGAGCCAATGACTCTTTACTTTAATCCTTTTCAATCAAGGGTTATGTTTTTGGCCATTTTAGTCGTTAATCATCTTCTCCAAGACGGACAATATGCATACATTCACGGAGCAATGCTAATTGCACTGTAAGTTTCTAGAATTAACCTGGAGAAAGCCTGATATGAATTCTAACAGAACCTACAGATATGCTAGTTTAACAGTTGCATTCTATGCGAGTTAGAGAACGAGAAAATTCTATATGCTACTATAACTATCTTTATCAGAAATCCTGACAAAGATATTGGCAGAATCAGAATTTTAGAATTTCAAATTGAGGAAGTTCTCCTTGCCTTCTATAATCCTTTTTTAAATCAAATTTGTGCCCTTTCCGAGTAATACGCTGGAGAGCTGACAGGAACAACTTTTATTGATGAGTCTGGACGCACGTAAAAGGAGAAAGCCATTATAATGTACCTATGGGTCAAATATGTTGGTTAACAAGTAATTTAATTCCAAAATAATAGGTAGCACTCACGTTCCGATTAGCATCAAGCCTTCAAAATAGTTGCTTCGTCCATAAGAAATCAAGTAGGTCATCACAACAATGCTCAGAAGGAGCGATGTAGCCTCAAACTCATCAAACTTCAAAATCAACGGTTGACCAAACGCCCAACCAATCATCGCTAAGAGAGGAGCAAGCAGCACAGTGAGCCGCAGAATACCGTTAATAATGGCTCGAATACCACGTTCAATTTGCTCGTTCGATGATCCTTTTACAATTCTGTGATATTTCGTCAAATTGTCAAGTAATGGTACCATTGTGATACCAAGAAATGGTGGGTTGGTTCCCAAAGCTTTAGCTGTGCCGTCAATGCTGTTGACAAGTGGAAAAGAGCAAGCTAACATGGTTGACGATGCAACTACTAGAATGAGCGCTGACTTTCTGCTCCCAGATAGTGGTTGCCAAGTTTGAGAGTCCATGGTTGTGTGTGAGACTTGGCTATCTGAGCCGGAATAGTGGAATGGGGTACTGGCAAACATCTCTGCGTGGGTTAAAAGCCTGAACATGAGGTAAATAGCAAGGAGAATCATCAGGATAATGACTGTTGTGTGCTGGATCAACTGTGTGTCTGTAGTCGAGATGGCCTGGTGAGATGACAGGGTTTCCATAGCAGTTGGGACGATCAACATGATGAATACGACCATCATGAGAGACGACAACGTGGTTGTTAAAGTGCGATCAAACCGCAATCGATTCTTGCCATAGCCCGCAAAGAATATAGAGCTGCCAAGAACCAAAAGCAAATTGCAAAGAATACTCCCCAGGAAAATATACCGAGAGATATAAGCGCGGCCTAGAGTTACGGAGCTGATAGCAGTCTGTTAATAAAGAAGAATCACAGTTAGCCAGGCTCTTTGTATTCTTGGGATCTCAAATCACTGCCGAGAAGGATTTTACCATAAGTTCGACGGCATTTCCCAGAATCGCCTTGATAAACTCATTGACGAGTCGCGTTGAATTGATAGAAATTGAATCTACCGACCGCATGATCCATCCCAGAAGGACTGTGAACGAGAGAAGATTGAGCGCAAAGACCAGAAGAGCCGACGGCTTTAGAAGTCCTGCTGCGATGCCTGCAGCGGGCAATAGCAGGAGGGAGTCCGAGTATCGTGTAAATGTTGACATTATCGAGCAACTGACAGGGCTCAGCATCGGGTCGAGATTTTCAGATTGGAGTATATATTGCTTTCCACAGGTTCCGCCTCGGTGCAAACAATAGCAAGTCCTGGGCTTCTTGGCTTCCCAATGCCCCGATTTCGATGGAGAGAGCTCGCGAGCAAAACCGTAATGTGGAAAGGATTGGGTATGATCAGCGCGAGACACGATAAATTAGACACTTGGTGGGCGTTCTATTTCTGTCCCGTTGCAGCATACGCATACCGTCTTGGACTGTATTTGCCCCACTTGTACGTGGTCTTACCGTTTCGTTTGTTTGGGGGCTGAAGTGTAAGTATGGGCGTCGTTCATTCTTCGCAAACTCTCCACGATATTAGTCCAGCTCTTGGGCCATTCGTCTCTCCGTCTCGTAAACTCCTCATCTTTTTATTAAAACACATAGAAGTTCCCGCCACGACTCGATTCCGGAAGCCTTCAAGAACCAACTTAAACCACGATAGTATGCCAATTTCTTCCACTGGGCTCGATAACCAACAGAAAAACGAAAGAGAATGTCTGTTAGAAGAGCGTTTCAGAAAGAGCTTCCAAGAGAATCAGGCAGAGCAGTTATCACTTGTCTCATTTTCCAGGCCATTCATAAACAATGGTCCAGGGTCTGCGCCAGCGCAATCTGTTCCTCTCGGTGAGTCTGTTCGGATCACGATAAAAACTACACTGGGTGAAAGCTATACGAGCTATCTTCTTCCATTTGTTTTCCTGGGCATTGTTGCGGGGGAGAAAGGATGGAATGAATCATATGTCTTTCTACTGAACTTCTTAGCAATTCTTCCCCTTGCTTCGTTGCTTTCGTTTTCAACCGAGGGGTTGGCAAAAAGTGTTGGGCAGTTACTAGGAGGATTAATCAATGCAACATTTGGGAACGCAGTTGAAATGATTGTATGTCTGAAACTTCCTCTACACTCTGGAGGTTCTATTTACTAACCCATATTTTCTTAATTCTTAGGTGGGAATCACGGCCGTCGGTCGGGGAGAGACCAACATTGTACAGTCGAATATGGTGGGGAGTATACTATCTGGGAGCCTTTTGGTAAAAAAAATCCGGCCCAGCCCATAATAAGCCTTACTAAGTTTGTGTATCCAAGATTCTCGGATGCTGCTTATTCACAGGTGGTTATTCCAGAGACACTGTCTCATTCAATGTAGATGTTAGTGGGATTCTGTCATCACTGATGGTCATCTCCTCGGCATCTCTCATCATCCCATCTGTTCTGGACTTGACCACACCTTCCACCAAAAATTCCGTTCATGATAGTGTTTTGAGTCTATCCAGAGCTACCTCTGTTGTTCTCCTCATATTCTACATCATCTATCTTTATTTTCAACTCAAAAGCCATGACGACCTCTTTACCGACGATTCAAAAAACGAGACTGAAAACGGCAAAGTTAAAGTTGGCCCTTGACCGGCGAGCATTGTGTTGATTTTAACTACCCTCGGGGTGACTGCTTGCTCCGATCATCTTGTCAATAGTGTGGATGGGTTTGTCAAGGCCTGGGGTATCAGTAGGGCTTTCATTGGACTGATAGTGGTGCCTGTTATTGGAAATGCTGGCGAGTTCAATACTGCTGTCACAGCAGCCATGAAGAATAATATGGACCTGTCAATTGGTGTCATTGTTGGAAGCACACTTCAGATTGCCTTGTTCGTGAGTCCATTCCTAGTAATATGCGGCTGGGTCATTGGGCAACCCATGTCTCTTCGATATAGCACTTTTGAAACTGTGGTGTTCTTCGTGTCGGTGATTGTGAGGGATTGCTTGATCCGTAGCGACCGATCGAATTATTATGAAGGCTTCTTACTCATTGGAACGTAAGTAGCCAGTTAACTCTATTCTGTCCTTGGAACATACTGACTTGAGAAACGCTACGTTATCATTTCAATCGCTTTCTATATACAGCCCGACACGGCCAGTTCAACTTGATATTGGGTTGTCAAACTGACGATGTCGGTGCGTATTATATCTCCAACTAGGCAAAGGAAAAGGGAATGACTTATAAATTGCAACTTCTTATTTCTAAATAAATTCAACCATCCTTGGCAACCACATATTGATTTGACTAATTGTATGAACTTGAATTATATGCTCTCATTTGATCCATTGCGTATGTAGAGACTGAACAGCGCGCACATGGAAGTTGAAAGAAGCTTTGTAGTCCGGGAAATGTAAATCCATATTTCCCATAAACCGCTGTCTCATATAGATTCATTGATTCAACTACGGTCTCATCCGCAAGTATGAAGAAATATCTGGAATGTGTAGGAAGATAGGGGGTAAAGATCTTTGAGGCTGGATCTGGCTCCTGCAATAATTAGATGAATCCCCTCTACACATTGTAGTTTGACGTGCCATGATACAGCTACGCAACACCCGTCATTCTGAAACACTTCTCAAAGACACTCAAAAGTAATGTCACTTCGTGGAGAATAAATTCTGTATGGAGAGAATAGCATCAAGAGCTCTGGCAGCTCGCTCAAAAAAGAATTCGTATAAGCAGAAGAAAGAGCTGGCCGGATTTCAGCTACCCGCTGGTTCACTTTGCTTCTGCTCATCATCATTTTTCCTTTGTTCATGCTCACTCTGTGTATTATGTGCATGTTCACCTTGCCTCTGCTCTGCATAAACTGAATCAGAAATAGAACAACGGGGTTCCGAGGGACCCGGTTCTGAATCTCCATCAACAGTAGTAGATTGAACCTTGCTTTTCCAGAACTTGAAAGATACCATAGCAATCAAGCATATCAATAGGAGAAATGCCGTCACAAGTGCCATTAAGGGTCTTCCAGGAAGTGTAGATGTCGATGCATCAATATGATTGATAGACCACGGGTAACATGGTGACTTAACAACGATGTATATACCAAGACCCATATAGAGGAAGGGAATGATAATATCCACATACTTCTCAGCCAACCGTATAATGTGCTTTTGCTTCATGATGAGGAATGCCACAAGGCACCACACCCCGAGTAAGATGTAATATGTCACCACATACACAGCGATTTCCGCCCCTCCTGCTTGCGAAAAAAGAGGGTATATATGTCCCGATTTTATCTCCACCATTCATCACGGTGACGATTGAAACTTTGAAAATACTCCTCACTGAGGCCATCTTCGACATTCGGAATCTTCTTCTTCATCGGCGGGTATCAGAATGTCTAACAGCTTCCAGACCCCAAGCAGGATTGGGAGTAAGCCAAAAAAAACCAATTGGTTCAGAGGGAAGCACCAGCGCAACGCCATATCCGATCATACTGATAACGATGAGGATTGTGAAACCGATGTATTGACCGATAGTAATTGTAATAGGGGTCATGGTTTTGTTGGTAGACGATTCGGCAAAGAAGGTGGCTAAGGCGAACATATCGTCGATATTTGTGATAGCGAAGGAGCTGCGTGCTGTCCCAATTGATTTGCCGAACTGCATGGCGTGAGAGCAGCCCAAGTAATGTTCGTCGAAGTCGACATTGGCGATGAGTGGCTGGGCGTGCCGAGGGATTGATCGAAGGTGAGACAGATGCACTCCACCAACCGAGAGTGACAAGGACTGACAGGCTCAACGGGAGTTGTTGCTATTTCTATATGGGACCGTCAACAGCTCAACATAACCATGAGTCCCTGCTCTGGAGATGAGTCAGGGTAGGAAGGCAGAGGGCGAGAGATAGCAGTTTCTTCGAGTCCCGTGACAACCCTGGCCCCTAGGCATAGGAGCCCGGATCCTTGCCTTCCAATTATAACTCACCTTTACCGAGCTGTAGGTTGGCATCTTTCGTCTTTCGTACGGGTGGAGAGGACTCTATTTATACAGAGGTACCCGCTTCTGTATTGCATGTATTTAATCCTGAACGAAGTGGGGCTTCGCTTCCTGCTGTAGTGGGGAAATGGCCTACAAAGGGGGATCTCTAATTGGAGGATATCTTTCCAGTACACAGTCCTTACAGGATATAGCTTCAGATCTCCAATAGGGAGAAATATCAACTCTTACACTCTCCTTGCTCTATCTGCTTCTGCTTTCTATAGGGGAGGCTTCCTCCATTGTGGTGTGTGGTGGTTTGTATGCTGGTTTGTTGAGGCTATATCATCCTGCCTGCATTCTCAGGCTTGCCGCTGAGCGCCCTGGTTCACTGCGTATTTCTGGCTTCCTGGGAATACTCCCCGAGCCCCAAGTACCCTTTGTACGTCTTACGGAACTTCCCCCAAACAGCCTATTGTTAACAACACACTGGAGTCTTGTTGTACCCAAGACTAGCATTTGAGTGCCTCAGATACATCATCTATCTATCTAATATTGAGGATGATATACAGTATGTTGGCACCTCTGGGTATATCGTGAAGGATTTCATTCTAGACAAACCTCCAGATCAGTGCTGACCTAGTTTATCCCAGTACAGCGGCAAGAATCTCCACTGTAGCTCGCGATCAAGCCCTACATCCCGATCGACCCAAACTGGTTGCAGTCAATGGAATCACGGCGATTGGGGCACATGGAAACGGCTATCATAAGATGATCACCCTTCGTTTCCTCCACCCCTCCCCTATATCCCCTCATCAATCATTGACTCACATACCGGGGTGGAAGACTTATATGCGCCCAGCGGTGTGTGGCCCTTGAATAACTTAATATCATGGAGACGTGCTTGCTAGATTTTCTCAGAATTTCGACTTCTATCATCCATACCCATTTACTCGCGACGCTGGTATTCGATGAACTCGTCGTCCTAGAGCCTGGCTATGACTTTGGCCTCCACCCGGTCGAGTTCTCTGCCCCTCAGTCGGACTTAGAGGAGTCCCAAGAGGGGGCAAGGCTGCCCTACGCAAGCGACGTCGGAGATGGGACTCTCGCATAGTTCCTTTTATCTGCAAGTTGGCTTCCGGTCTATTCTGCCGTGTCTCATATAATACCAATATTGAACCCAGCGTGCCTTCGTTCACTGTGACTCTATCCACCACCAGGTACTAGGAATTGTTGAGCTCCACAATTTCTCATCTCGAGCCTGAGTCGAGTGGACTGGGTCGGTACTTATTGCCAGACTGGATTCTGAAGCTGAGCTTCGATGCATCTTTGGATGGACAGTATTGAGCGGCCAGTCGCAATTGATACTTTGCGCGACGCAGTGTATTGTGGGCTTTTGGTAGTCGCAGTCATTTCTCGCCACTTGAGACTCAAGGGAACAGACCGAGCAATGTAGGCATGGGTGTCGGAGGAAGTGGGCGAACGAGGCAAGGAATGATCGAAAATCATCACGTTTGAGGAAGCTAAGCATATTTTGGTGTATGTATGAACAGCTGGACCGATGTGCCGATGTGGCGGCCGATTGGGTTCAATGCTGCTTTGGGGCTGGCTTGCCGACGACTGCTTCTTCGCCAGGTCTTAGGGGAAATGTTCTAAATCAGGCATGTTGAATGCGTCTGAGGCGGGCTTGAAAGCTACCCTCGCGTCTGGGAACATGGTGAAGCCCAAAGAGAAGCGGTAGACGTTATCGAGAGACGGATACCTCAGATAGCTCTGGCTCGATGCATGGAGGATTGACCTCCATTCCTTCGATTAGTATAATCCAGCAATTGGGGTTTTCGGAATTTTCTTGCAGTGCGCAAGCTGCATTGCAATGCACCAGACTCCAGTCGAATGCAGACCAAGAATCCTGTATTGCGAACTCACGTGCCAACTGGAAGTCATTCCCAAAGAGGGATATTTCACGCAGCCAATCGATCCTCCTCCTTCTACTCTTCCTCCTCTCCTTCCCCCACCACAGTCGCCTTTTTGCCCAGTCGGACAAGGTCGTTGCATCAATCGTTTCCTCGGACTGGGCCACATTGACCGAGCGGCGGTTCTGGCTTGGTGCACGGCCGGGAACAAACCCTTGGGTGGGCTTTTTAGCCTCGAGCTTATTATTTGCCCTTCGCCTACCAGCATGTTCCGCCACGCAGAGCCATCCCCAATCCCTCGATCGGATGAGACACGCATGGCTGGCTGCTTATCGACTGCAAACAGCCAAAGCAAAAACCTGCCAATCGCGCCTTCTGACCAGGTTGCCGCGATGATACGGTGCGTCCTTGGGGCGTAAATCCCCACAGGGAATGTGCCGTCTCAAGCCAAGCCGCTGGACCGGACAAGCGCCTGGCCAGAAGACGCGATTTTAAGCTTGGGGCCAGCTTGGCAGCCAGTCGATTGGCTCACAGCGGTGGACCATCAGTCACCCTGTGGCTCCAGGGTCTAGTTGCCCTGAGGATAGGCTCCTAACGCCCTGTGTCCCGCTTTTTCTATTAATATGTCTGGCTCTCTTGAGCCCCTCTGCTCATTTATTTGGCTGACGCAAAAGCATATTGCACGAACCAGAAAACTGAGGGGATTGACTCAATAGGCGAGCAAAGTTGCGCGAAATTTATCCGTCATTTCGACGAGAGATCGGGTTACCATCAGTCCTAGGCGAAGGGTTGCGCTGGCAATCGGAGCCACAGGTGCTACGGTTTCATATCTCACTGTTTCATTCGCTCTCTTTGTGTGTCTCTTTCTCTCTCAACCCCGTCTCCGCAACCGGTTTATTCGACAGAAACCGATCAACAAGCCCTCGTGTGCTACAATATGACAAGACCATTTGATTGAGCCCAGGAGGATTGAAACGGATATCTACTCATTAATCCTTACCCCGCAGCTTGGTACGTAGGCCCAGGAATGTCTACATTGTCATATCAAAGAGGTTATCGTCGACATGGTGGGTGTTCCGAAAAGTAAAGGATGCCAGACGTGTATCACACGACGCGTGAAGGTAAGTATCTACCCAATATCCTACCAAAGTGCGATAGCACTCCACCGGGATGCTCAATGCGGATCATGCTAACACAGTTGTCAAAAAGTGTGACCTACTGCGTCCGCAATGTACCCAGTGCCAACGATACGGTGCCGAGTGCCCCGGCTATACGCGCCCCCACAAGTTCATGGACGAAGGGCCACAGCTACGCCAACGATTCCACAAGAAACGATATCAGTCTAGCTCTGCCCCAAAATTCGAATCAATTGATGAACGAATCGCCCCTTCCCTTGTAACCCAGTCTATGGGCAACCAGCAGCCGGTCATCTTTGGATCCTTCGTCCTCACAGCCTTCACCCGCTGGTTTGGGCTCAACAAATACCGTGTCCATGTACCGTGGACGGGGTATATTGCGCAGCATATTGGCCAAAGTCCTGCCTTCGACGCTGCAATCTACTGCGTCAACTCCATTTTCATGGGTCAGACACACCACAATACCACATTACAAAGGTCCAGCCGAGAGGTATATAGCAAGGCGCTCCGCCTGTTTGGGGATCGAATCCGCGATGCCAACGCAATGGAGTCGACCGAGAGCGTGAGCATCACCATCGCGCTGAGTTTGTTTGAGGCCTACTCGCGCACAAATTCGGACTCTTGGGCCCGCCACGCTGCTGGTACAGCGCTCCTCATGGCACACAGAGGTCCAGCTACACACGTAAACGGCTTTGACCGATGTCTGTACCTATCCTTCCGGAGCTTTCTCGTCGCCGAGGCATTTGTCAACAACAAGCGATGCATCTTCGAGCGCCCCGAGTGGCAGGCGCATATTGACCAAATTCGCGTGGAGGACATGACCTCGTCTCGAGTGGATGGACCTATTTCACTTTTCATCGATCTACAGGATCGCATTTTCAAAGGCGTTGTGAAGACACCGGGCTTACTGGTGCAAGCTCGCAAATTGCATGCAGCAGCCGAACCGCTGAAAGCGAGTAGAAACCTAGCCGCACAAGTTCTCCGACTTAGCCAATCTCTTCACACATTGACAGTACGGCTCCGCCTAGCTGCCACGGCGCAAAGCTATCAAGAAGGATGCAGGCCCTCCAGTGGCAGTCAACCCCCTAAATTTATCGGACCAATCCCGACCACATTTCCGCAGGAATTTGCAAACAGTGTCTTGCGGGGCTCAGAGCAATGTCTGTTAATACTACGGTTGCTATTGGACTACTTGGAGAGCGATACCATACATCACATTCCGAAATCGAGCTATCAAGATAGTGTCGAAAGTTCAGATCCATTGCCCTTTCGGCTCGTCTCCAACTTAGTTCGCTTTCAAGATAAGAACTCAGACAGTTCCTCGGCAATACTTGCGGGGGAGACAGACGTTCCGTCTGCAGATAAATGGCTCGATCTGGTGGCTGCATCGATGGGTCTGGAGGCATTCGACATCGTGACCTCCACGAGCGAAAGTCATGATCTTCCCTCCGAAGACCAGGGCGATACAGACCAGTGGAATGCTGCTCTCGCACTCCGATAATTGCTCCAAACCTTCTACGATATTAATTAGCATCTCAAGCCATACAGCACTATTAGGTCGGTCTACGAGAAAATGAAATGAAGATCAAATCAGATATTTCTGTGCGAGCTCATGAAAGCAATTGTCGTATCGCCGTAGAAATTGACGTGTACGGAAACCCGCAAAAAGAACACCTTGCCATGGGAGTGAGGGGATACCGGCAGGAAAACAGCCTTTCATTCGTCAACCACGAAAGGATCAGATCATGATAACGTCCCATGTCAAACAGCCGTAAAAAATTATCAACAAAGCAGTGCAACCAGACGCCGTGCAGAACATGCCCCCAGAAATCCATCAGTTTCGCCGCGTGGAAAAGGCCTTTGACAAGGAAAGCAAGGAACAAGAAAATTGAATCGAGAAAACATTAGAAGCGTCGAGGGATGCAGCAGAAGAAATATGGGTATGCATAAAATAGCCCAATGAGGACAGAAAGAATAGAAGTTGTCAACCACAGGAAGACGATCCGCTCAAACGTTGAAAAACCGAGCATTTTGACCATTACTGGACAGTTGCGCGAGTGGCCCGAGATGGGCTTGAAGTGCTACCGACTCGACCGCTTGGCTTGCGCACACCTCGGGATTCGCTTTTGTTGCTCTCCGTTGCCCGCCGGGGGCTGGAGCGAACCTTGCTGACTGAAATAGCGCCGCCACCACTCTTGCGGCTGACGGGAGTCTTGGGAGCAGCAGTTTCGACCCAATTCTCTCGATCTTCGTGGATATCATCAGTCAATGTATAGCTCGCCGTCACGGTGGCTGAATAACTAATTGAACGTGAAGTTGTGGATGCGATAGGAGACCTTGATGAACGCTTGGCTAGCATTCTGAGCTGAATCTCTTCCTCACTCTCGCTGCTCTCGTTGCTGAGTCGATGAGCACGAGGCGAGCGAGAGTCTGCATGCTTATGTCCATCATGTTCCATAGTCAACGAGCCGGAAGCCGTGCGAGCGTAAGGATGGTGTCGTGAGTCCTTACGGTGTGACTTGCGTGGCTGCCCAGGAGTTGGAGCGGGTAGGTTTTCTTCGTGATGGCTTGCGCCGCCTTCGTTGTGGTCGATCTCACCCAGCGCAGCGCGCTTAGAGTGGCTGTTGTTGGGAGGAGTTGATACCACTCCGTTGCTAGGACGCTTCTTGGTAGATACACGAGCCGGGGTTACCGGGGCGGACTGGGCCAGCTTTTCACGCATGCTGTCCTCAAACCACCATTCTCGGAAAGAGCCCTGGTTGAGATGCAGCCAGTGCTGCTGAGGTCCAACGACCATTCCTGGACGCATGAATCGCATGAAGGCGATAACTTCATTGGCGGTGAACCCATAACGATAGATCAAATAAGCGCCAATCAAGCACCCTGTCCGGCCCAGACCAGCCTTACAATGAACTGCAATACCCTTGTTCTTCACAGTGATCATCTCATGGGCCATCTTAATGAAACGTCGAACCAATTGGAGAGGTGGGCAGGTGCCGTCCTCAAAAATCATGTCGATATGGTTGATCCCCATCGCAGTGAAATAAGATGGGCTATACAGCTCTGAGTTCAATCGAACAACGAGACCAACGTTGCGTGAAGTAAAATGGACCAGCACATTCTTAAAAGGAAGGGGTAGCTTGGACGAGCAGATTTCGGAAATGGAGGAGGGCAGCGCGTCGTACTCGGGAGTATTTATAGGGACCGGATCAACTGGTTGGTGTTGGGGAGAGGCGAAGGCGAGGAAATTCGGTGTGACCCAGTTGAAATCTCCCATATCGACGCGCTCAAATTTCTCGTACCTGTCGTCCGATTGTCAGCAGGAAAGATCTCAACAGCAGCCACCGGTTCTTGGGGGGAGCCCTACTCTTCTAGATTAAAGTCACGTAGTCCACAGAGACCTTGTTCCTTGGCCTTCCACACTCCATATACCACATCTTGAATGTTCAGAATAAAGTCGGCCTGGCTGTAGCCTGCGTCGCGGAAGGGCATGTAAGGAGGGTCCGCCTGCGCGATGGGCGCCAGAGCTAAGTGTGGCGGCCAGGATTGAATAAGGACCATATAGCACGCCACCAGACAAGCAGCGTTAGCACGACTCCGAGCATCAGTCTTGCTGTAGAACACAACAGGGCGATCGCTGTTTGCGGGGTCCCCGAGGATCTCATGAAAGAGCACAGCGAAGCGATAGAGGTGGCCAATGTGGAGAGGGCCAAAATCCGCGTGGAAAGCGTTGTAGAGGAGAGTATCGTCAATCGTGAAGTACACCGGGGACCGGCGCTTGCTGCTCGGGGTGGTCGGCTGGGCCCGGGCTGCCCGCTTGCTGGGAGACTTGGGTTGGTCGAGCGGGTAAGGGAATGGAGTTCTCGAACTGGGCGTCGAGTCGTAGGATGCCAGGTAGAGGCGATCTGTAGCATGACATGTCGTTAGGATATGAAAACAAACAAAATTCCTGCATCCGAATCTCCGCGGGGCGATTCCACAAACCTTGGATGTACTCGATCATCTGGCCCGCATGGCCAGCGTTGGACGTCATCTTGTACCGCCTCTGCTGGTGGCGCCGCTACAAGAGATGAAAGATAAAGAGGGATAACAGTGTCAGGGTCAGCAGCAGTGCCGCGGAACTGTATTGAAATGTGTAGTCGTGGGCCAAACCAATTGTCCGAGAGCAAATGGCAGACGGTCGGTCAATGACAGGATAACAAGCAGTCTCAAAGGGTCATGATCTGATTGATCCGAAGCAAAGTAGAGGAATGATGAGGATAACGATAGTCCCAGCGGCAAGAGAAACTGTACAGGACGAATTCTCAGGGAGGAGAGGTGTTGAAGAACAAGCGGAGGTGGGAGGAGAATAATAATAATAATCTCATGGGGTTGGGGCAGCTGCCATGCCACGCTAAGCCGCTGTTATGTTGTGCTGGGCTCCTTTGGGACTAGCGCCAGAGGTTGGCTCGACAACCATCATTGTCGCCTCAGGCACTCACAACGTCTGCCTTATGTCATCCAAACAAAGCGTCGTCACAGCTTCGACTCCGAGTTCCCCCTCATACCAACAGCCTTGGTGCGCTCTGGCCCGATTGATCCGCTGGATCAGATCTGGCAACAGGCATTTGATTTTGGGAATTCTCTCATATCTTTCCGCACTCGATTTGTTATCATATAGCTTTTGACTGATTGGTTTAGTTGGTCGCATGTTCAATCTCACCGTGATTAGTGGTTACATACTATAGATGCCTGAAAAGGGCAACCCATGTGCCACTAGAATCCTTCAACATTCCGGATGACCAGCGGGAGGACTCATTGTCAAAACAATTGATATCACCCCGCTATGCTGGGCAGACTTGCCTCGAACCGGAGGCGGGATTGCCGCAGCCATCATATGCAGCGTTATAGCCTGTTCATCGTCGGTATTGTGATTGATAACAATTCCATTTAGAGAATTCGCCTACGCTCCTAGGAGAATAGTCTCATTCTTTTAAGATATTGTTTCCTCCTCAGAACAGACTTTGTCAGTCGTGAGTAAGAAGGAAAATACTTTGGCACTATTGATAACCGGTCGCACCCCTTGCCACAGTCCAGATGTTGAGATCAGACAGCAGCTCGCCATGATGATGGGCGGCAACATATGGAGATCCCCACTTTCTGTTGCCACTAACATGAAGGGGCGATAATAGTAGTAAACAAACAATGGAGATAAACACAAAAATCACATTTCGCCACCAGAACAAAATCCCTGATATGATTTAGGGACTTGGGCCTATCATGCTTGATTTATTGCGTGACCGACGAACAATTCATGCAATAATCAAAGACATGTATATATATTTTTTCAAAGATACAAAATCAGCTACTCACCTGCCGCTCAGGCACAGCCGCTTTTTACAACCCAAACTACGCTAGATGAATTGGGTTGATTTTTGGTGGGAGTTATTGATAAAATGACGCGCTCTAATTGAAGAAATTGGTACAGCATGACATGTTCATCCACACCCTCAACCATAATGATGTCGGTTCTATGATAATGCGACAGTGACGACTTTGAAGCATCTTGCTGGCGCTAATTTTCGCTGGTGATTCCCTCCTTTTTTTGGAACCTCCTACTTTAGGGCGTTGAAAACACAGCTAGGCTATTAATCTAAGAGATACCCAAAAAATTACTGTAGTTTCTCTTCACGAAAAAAATATGATGGTATTCACTGTGTTGTCGCCGCTTCGAGATGATCTTTCCCCATGTCTCTGCTGACATGTCTCCCTACGCTCACGATACCGAGATCCTTTCAAAAGTAAGCTAGGAAAAGCTACCCCACCTCACCTTGATTTTTTTCTCTACTTTATTTAAATCTGGATGGGAGCAAATTTAAGCAAATTGATAGTTCATAGACATATTGGAGATGTTCATATCTTTGGAATTATCCTCAAAACTTGCTAGTAAGGAGATTCATGGTTACCAATACAGAGTTTAGCTGCGTGTCATGTCGTACTATAATTGCCAAGTAGTGGAATTTGAAGAACTCAGATCGCAACTTTATTCCACGCATTAAAACACTTGGTGTTCTCAGCTCTCTAGGACACCGTCGACGGTCGCGAAGTGAAAGAAGTTTGAACCCGACCACAAACGCACAGCGAGATCCCTGGATCTCCCGCAGCGTAATAATATGTAGACTACTCCGTCGAGCCAATCAACCGAATCGAGTGACCAGCTAATCGTCCTCCTCACTGTGATATGCTAATGATAATCACACGAAGGTCAAGATTTATCCTTGGCCATTAAGAGGATTGATGGAACTCGCCAGACTATGAGAGGCAAATGATGCTCGAGGACCTCGCGACCACGGGAGCGAAATTGATGCAAGGTCTTCAAACGGTTAAGTCGCTCTTCAGAACGCAACCCAGTCAACAGCTTTGCAATGAAACCTCCCTCCTGTCCAAATGGGGCCCCGAATGATCACCAGAGCAGCAGGGACGTTATTCGTCCAGGCGCCGCCGCAGACGCCAGCCCTTACTGCTGTGGCCCCACCAGTCAAGTCAATGCATCACATCGTGGACTATCCCTCGCATTGGGTCGCGAGTGAGGTTTATTTGTTGTTGGTCGACAATTGTTATCTCATAAGCCCCAAGCGACTTCGTCGCCTTCATTCCGACTCGTTCTTTCCCTTGTTCAAAAATCCACAAAAGCGCTGATATAACGAGGTTATCCATGAAGGGTCCATTCGGAACCCAGTCGACTGAACTGCAAGAAAAGTTCATCTACCAGGAGATCACTCGCTGAAACAATATGAAAGCCTTGCTGAATACCCACTGAAGCTTAGCCAGATCGAGCAAATCAAAAACCCCAGACTTTCTATAGCTTGCTTCCGGGAGATTTCAATGGGGCCCATGTGGGCACATCCCTTCGCCCTCTTGATGGCGATTGACTGAACTGTCTGCATGACCCATCGCATGGCAGCTCACTAATGTCGATCACCATGAATGGTGCCCTGACCGGACGAAATGAAATCAAAGACAAACCATTAGACCCCTGAACCTTGGCTGCAGGGTATGCGAGGAGGTTCACGACGCAGCATGTGCAAGCTCATACTTGGTAAATAAGCCCGTTCAAGAGAACATATATAAGGGGGCTCCCAGCCTCCTCTGTCTGAATATCCCTGCTCCATCAGACCAGCTCACTCTTTCACACTCTCCTTGTCTCCTTCTCTCAGTCGCTCTCTTTTCGACGTCCAGTCTTTTACCAATAAACCCTTACCTCAACAAAGTCTCTCCTTGACGTTTATTTTTCCTCTTTTCCGCCAATCGCGACAATGAAGTTCACTGGGCTGGCTATGTCACTCGCCCTGGCCGGCATGGTCTCTGCCGCCGCTCTTCCTGCTGTTCCTGGTGTTGATGGTGCAGTTGGAGGGCTCAAGGGCGCCGCCGAGGGGGTCATTGCAGGTGCTGGGAGTATCAAGCGCCAGCTCACTACCGTCGAGCCTATCACTGAGGGCGTGGGCAGCTCCTTGAATGGGGGCACCGGTGTTGTTGGCAGTGCCGTTGGCACCTTCGAGAGCACTACCCAAGGCGCTGTCGGTACCGCCGAGCATGAGGTTGCCGGGCTCGGTGGCGTCGCGAAACGCCAGATCTCTGCTGCTGAGCCGATTGCGAATAGCGTCGGCAGCTCCCTCAACGGTGGTACTGGTGTAGTTGGCAGTGCTGTTGGTACCGCCGAGACTACTACTCAGGGTGCTGTTGGCACTGCTGAACACGAGGTTGCCGGGCTCGGTGGCATCGCTAAGCGCCAGATCTCTGCTGCTGAGCCGATTGCGAATAGCGTCGGCAGCTCTCTCAATGGAGGCACTGGTATCGTCGGAAGCGCTGTCGGCACCGTTGAAAGCACTACCCAGGGTGCCGTTGGGACCGCCGAACACACTGTTGCTGGCGCTGGCTCTGGTGAGTCGGCAAAATCCTCCATCAGGTTTGGAAAAATGTATAGCTAACCTAATAATGCAGCTGTCAAGCGCCAGTTTGGCAACCTACCCGCTACCATGTCCCAGACTGGGACTGATATTTTCGCTGGTCTATCTGGAAGTATGTTTCCTGGTTTTTGGATTTCCATTTGAACGCCGCTAACGTCCTTATAGACCCCAGTGGTATTTACGGTGCCCTCAACAACCTGAAGACCATTGTTGCCGCTGGCCAAATCTCCCCTGATGAGCTGTCCAACATGCCCCAGGCGGTCCAGAATGTCATTGCCAACCTTGCCGTCGCATAAGTGACTCGAATGCTTTGGGTGGCAACACACCGTGTTGCCTATATGCATAACAGGTGTCATGACTTTGCTTGTTTGGCGCGTGGTTATCTTCTTGTTTCAACCTTTGGGTCTGTTTGTCCCGATTCAATTCGTACGCAAATCATTGTACAATACTTTATGAGTGTGTTTCCATACTTTGATGATTACTTTTCGAACTTGCATGAGCAGTTCATTCTCCGAGAGAAATCTGTTTCTACCATAATACCTATTTGATATTCGTTGCTGTTGATCCATCAAATCGAAATTGTTAAACCTTCTCGTGAAGCACCCATGTCTAGTTCTTTCCAGCCTTTGTAACTGGCGGCAAACCTGTGAAGCTGCCTGTGGAAGTATGTCATTATCATGTGTTCTCAGCTCGCCATTTTATCATATTTTTTACTTCGCTCCAACCGAGAAGATTGCCTTTAACCTCTTCCCTCCTCGCTCTTCTCGTCACGTTTTTATTCATAGCTCAATAGACATCGATATTTCAATTTCTTCTGACTTCTATGGCCTTAACGGTAACCTTGATAAAGGGTGCATCATGTTTATTGGCAATGCTCCCTTCATGGCATCGGCGGAATCCAGTTCCCACATTTCCGAGTGGCATTTTATTTTCCCATTCACATCATGAGGTCTGCTGATGAATGTCACCTCATACATCATAGGTCGCGCAGATGATGCATGTCGAGAAGAAATGACGAAGTGCTGAATTCGTTCATGTTCAGGGGGAAGCCAATCCTCTTCTGGACAGTCGCCTGGTGGTAATCCCAAGTGCTTTTCTTCGAATTCCATAATGCGAGAGAATATTGAATGGTATTGCACGGTTTGGTAAACCCACTCCCATTTAGGCATACGACTGAGCAGGTCGAGTGCGCGGCGTCGCAAGCGCGGCCAGCGACACTTCCACGCCACGATATGGAAAGCTGGAAGCAGTACCAAAGCCAGAGTGAACACCATTGAATGGTCGTACGAGGATTGATTTCCTTCGGGAATAGTAGCCTCCATTATTGGGAGGAGTGCTTCGTACTCGGCGTGATAAGCATCCCAGCTACACTCCTCTTCCGTTTGGTTGACCAAAGTGGCTATCCGAGTACTAAAGCTGACGACCTGTAGGCGATTCGCTAGTTCTCTTTCCCACTTGACCCAGTCGTGTTTTTGTCGATCAACGAGCTCGTTGAACCTATGCATCCATTCAAAAGTCTGCTGCATACTGCGAGAGTATCCATATAAAAGTCTATCACTTAGACCATTTTGGTGCTGGCTTGTGACGCTCCAAGAATTGATATCGATGATGCAAGCACTAGCCTCGGTCAGACTCTCGAACCGGCTCGCTAAAACTGGCCCGCCAGGCTGATTTGAAGGATGAAATAGAGTATTAGTACGCTTTTCAAATCCACTCTCCACTGCTTGGGCACTGAAGAGCGATACAAATGGTAAGACTTCAGTCCCCATAAAATGTGATTCAAATGCTGTAAAGCTCTGGCTCCTTGTCCTAAGGGGATCTTTGGTCCAATCATACCACATTCGTACTAAATGCACCCCATTTTCGATATGTACTTTTGCTGCCGGGATGTTTACCTGGAGCATCTCAAAACATATGAAAAGGATATTGGCCGTGGCGACCAAAGGAACCGCACTTGGTCCTATTGCTAGTTTTTGGATGACTGCGCTAATGGATCGATTATATAGCTGAATATGGCAATTGGAGAAAGGGCCTTCAGGTCTTTCAAGGATATTTTGTCTCTGCAAGGCACCTATGGCTGCCATCGCCTGGCGGATTACTGGCTCTGAAAGACTCAATCGAAGGATACTCCCCTGGAAAAAGTCTGGTCCAAACAGGCCTGCCAATTTTGGCGCACTTCTCAGGAAGAAGAATTCTAAGGCCTGGGACTCATATTGTGATTCAAGAGCCGGCGCTGGCGCTAGTGTTCTGGGAGCCAATATCATGGATCTTACTTTTGGAGCCCTATAGCCCTGGCAGAGTCGCCCGGTCTTGGTACACCTAGACAATTTGGGCACAAGTTGAATTAGTCAGGCACTGGTGAACACAAGAAATTTGATAGTAATGAAAAAGGAATCAGGTACCGATTACATGCTGGCTTCCCTTCATCGCATTTAACTCGTCGAGATCTATGTAGATTTGAGTTTTTGCTCCCCTTTTCAGAGAGGCATGAGACCCACTTGCAAGTAATGCAACCGGTGCGTACTTTTGGCTTCCTAGTGCGTATTCTTTCCTGTTGGGACATGGAAATTTCATGAGAAGATTTGACTTCGAGCGTCATTTTGGTACAGAGACTTCTTTTGAGGAGAGATGTGGTGAAGATGCCACTAAGATAGGTTGTGTGGTGAGCGCCAACTCCTGCTGTGTCCTTTGGTCGCCCCCTTGCGTCAATTTTCTTATCTACGCGAACACAAATAGCAGTTTAGAGGGATTAGACTCAACAAGATATTGACTATATACAAGGTATTGACTATATCGGTTGGCTTCTTGTGGCCGTTTTAAAAAGATAATGTACCCATGCGAATTTGGGAAGAACACCGGACTTCGAAGCAAGCCGTAGTTAACCAGTAAAGAGGCCACGTGCTTTCCGACTCTATCAGAAAAAAAAATAAAAAAGACAATTTCAAAGATTATGGATACCTCCTGGAGCTTGCAGCTATTTGTAGCTGTATCTAAGGTACTAATTAGATGTTGCTGGATTATTCCCGGTTGTTTTGCACTGGCGGTCAGCTCCACGAGCAACTGTTGAATCTGATCTCGAGGCTGAGTCATCCTCGCCAAGTGCCCCTCCCAACTCGCTTTGGAGAAGGAAGTTGAGCCTCCAGTAGAAAAGAAACAATTATCCCTCTCAGCAGCACTACGTAGTCCAAGAGACTTGCTAGCTTCCAGTTTTTCATTTTTCTTCAGCAATTGATCCTGTCATCCTTGAAAATGGCTTCCACTCAACCCTCCGACGCCGAGTTCCCATACTCGCTGTATGATTCCTCTCCCCCGCCTTAACCTTTCCACACACACATCATAGCTGCTTTACGGCTGTCGTTTGAGCTTAGGGATTCGTCTTGCTGATTGCATTCTCAGAACTATCTCTCTCCCTTTTCCGACCCATCGTCTGGCCTCCTCAGCCCTTCAAGCTCTCGAGGTCGACGCCGAGCTGTCCCCATTTGTGCGGCGCACATTGACCCTTACGGCCCCGTCCTCCAAACACTCTGCCGAGCCCCAGGAAAAGAAGCTGAAGCAGGATCCAGATGAGTCGAAGACAGTTCTCCAGACCATCTACCGTGCGACTACCAACCGCATGTTGCGCGTGGCCGTGAACGGGTTTATGGAAAGTCTCGGAGTAGTTCTCGGTGTGATGACGGAGTTGGACGTCGATGTACTCCAGGCAGAGGCCGAAATGGAGGGGTGAAGATCAGACAAATTGACAACCTTTTGCTGTCTTACCCAATAAGCCCTGTGGACGCCAACAAGGCCTCGGGTGGGGGGAGGAGACCCGGCCAGGGACTATATTTTCGATGCGCTGACCGTCATAAGGCCATTTTCATCGCATGCTACAAAGGCCTCGGAAGTTTCTCATATGGCGTGTGCTTTCCAAAGTCCGGGTCTCTTCGCCCGGGTGACCGTTTTGCCCATCCCAAGACCTTCAACCTCTGTTTTGGGGCAGACGTCCGATCGGAGATCATACCACAAGTGTGCGGGCCATCAGCCCGCGGCTGTCCGACGGGGAGGCTGTGCGGCCATGGGAAGAATGGGATAAGCGACTAGACAGCACTATTATAATCAAACCCACCACTGGGGTGGGACGATCCCAGGTCTTGCTTTTTCCTAAAAAGGAAAGCTGGTGGTTCTGAGAGGGTCATGCAGTTGCACAATTTGCTTCTCATTACGCGCGCAGGGCGCCACCGGGAGTGGTCGAGGCCCGCGAGTTCTTCTAAGCAACCAGCCGACAAGGCCATGAGTAATGCCAGACTCAATAGTCGCCCGATAATTCCAAATCACTGAGTCGCAGTCGACCCCACTCGTTGTGTTTTCGTGTAGATTTGTGCAGAGCCCGACCAATTAAGCTTAATACTTTTCTACTTGACACAATTCCTGCAGCATTCGGGCAGTGGAAACACGAAAAAAGGAACCGTTGGATGATCGCACATTCCTCCAATCACGTCGCGCATCGCCGCGATCGGCTCGGGACCAAGCTGCAGCCGTCGGTCTCTCAGGCCTCCGTGTCTGGACCTGCGATCATTGGTAATTGCTTGTCTGAGAGAAGCAGGAGGAGAACTAGAGAAGTAGAGCACCCGGGGCTAGTAACTATGGCTTCGGCCCTGTCCTACAAAACCGCGCTGTCTCGCCAAGCTCGCCAATCTCTCCGGTTTACTCACATCCTCGGTTCTCCCCGCTCCCCTTTCCTCTCGACGTCATCGAACCACCAGCATTCGAACACTCGTCTTTTCTTTCCGCGACAGCTTCCTCTCTGCTCCTACACCTTTATTCAATCCAGAACAATGGCCTCCGCGACCGCTTTCTTTGATTTTGAGCCCGTTGACAGTAAGTCGCGAGTCCTGAGTCCTTGAGTCCCGCTAGAACAACGCCAGCCACTTGGTCCCTGTCCCTGTCACATCCCTCCCTCCTTTTTGCGAAACCCCTACCCATGCCAGGCGCATCGTACAGATGCTGGCTCACCGCAGTAATATACCGCGCGCTAACCCGTTCGCTTCTGCTGAACAGAGAAGGGCCAGCCCTTCCCTCTCTCGGAGCTGAAGGGCAAGGTTGTCCTGGTCGTCAACACTGCCTCCAAGTGCGGCTTCACCCCTCAGTTTGAGGGCCTCGAGAAGCTCTACAAGAAACTGAAGGCCGAGTACCCCGATGACTTCACCATCCTTGGTTTCCCCTGCAACCAGTTTGGCGGCCAGGACCCGGCCTCCAACGATGAGATCCAGTCTTTCTGCCAGATCAACTACGGCGTCAGCTTCCCCGTCCTGGGCAAGCTGGAAGTCAACGGCGACAACGCCGACCCCCTCTTCACCTGGCTGAAAGAAAAGATGCCCGGCGCCCTTGGCCTCAAGCGCGTCAAGTGGAACTTTGAGAAGTTCCTGGTCGCCGCTGACGGAACTGTCGTCTCGCGCCATTCATCTCTGACCAAGCCCGAGTCGCTTGAGGGCGCTATTGTCAAGGAGATCCAGAAGGCACAGAAGGCTGGTACTGCTGCCTCCACGCAGAAGGCTACTGAGACTACTGGAGCTGAGGGCACTGGGCCCACTGAGGCCACCGAGACTGCTAAGCTTTCGTGAGCCGGATCGTCCGTCAGGTTTCGGTTGTGGCTTAAACTGTTTATCCTTCCCTAATTTGTTTCTTGTATCTATACCTCCGCGCACCTTTTTTTGCCTTTGCATTTGTACGTAATACGCTCGTTCTTTTACGAGGGAAGTTAAAATTCCATTTATGGTTACGAATTTTTTTCTTCGTACTTCCGCTCATAACATGACTGGTTCCCTCTAGATCTTTCAGCCGCCCGCGCGCCGTCAATTGTTTTTCCGCCACATTAGGACCCTTAGGTCTCCAAGACTTAAGCGGCATCGCTGCCCTTCGGAATCAGATTTCGGAGCGAGAGGTCGTAGACAACATCTTCAACCTTCTTAACCTATATTCGCGTAAAAGAACGTCAGTCGGAAAAGACTTCTCTGCGGCGTAATTGCCCTTTGCAAAAACTTACACTGTACTTAATCCCATCGCTACGTTTGCGTAGGATGTCATTCTTCAGATTCAGCAACTGGAATCCGGCAAAGAGATCCTTGATGAAGTTGCTAATCTGGAGAGGGCGGTGATAGTCGCCTAAGGTGACGGAGTTGACGGCCAAGCGCGACTAGTGAGTCAAATTAGCCTTCGCTCATTCATCTCTTCTCATGGCGGCAGATGAGGCCTCCAAGGATGGGGTTCTTACCAACTCCTCTACCATGGCAATCAAAGCCAGGAGGTACTCCTCGATTGTGAGGTGGAACGCATCTTCCTGCTTGAGATTAATTGGGACTGTGGAAGAAGAGAAATTATCAGTTAAAAGTGCACCCAGAAGTGAGAAAAAAACAATGCCGTTTTCATGAGTAGTGTCGTAGCGTACTTTCCAGAAACTTGCCCACGTCCTCGATAGTCATGAACGACGCCGAACTGGGCCCCTTGTGCTCCTGCAAGCCGCCGAGCCAAGCGCAGAGCTCGATCGAAGCAACCTAGAATCCGATCAGACATGATGCCCACTTGCTCCGGGTCAAGAAGACTTACCAGGTTTTGCAGCTCGCGCGACCATAGCCCATTGTACTTATAAAACGGGTGCTTGTCTGCAACGGCCTTCAGCCGAAGCACCTCCTGCTTCTCTGCGAGGATTTCAGCGGCAGCTTCATCGAGCACAGGCTTGACTTTGTTGAAAGAGTTAGCGAAACGTCTGGTCCAAAAGGTCTCTCCCTATATCGGGGGCGAGCCACTCCTCGCACGGCTCTCAAGAGACAGGGGTCATGCAGGAGAAAGGCAAGACGATAATCCATGGGTTGAGTAGGTAATACATACGCTGGTCGGATGGGGTAGAGTGTGCCCTCGAGAGGATAGCCTGCGTCGAGCGTCCTATGAAAGTCGCATCAGCTTCGATTTGCCCACACGGATACTGATGAAGGTCCTCGAAAGCTCCCTCTCGCTATCTCGTATGTGGGAACAAAAATGATCAGAATGGATGGCAATGGTTTCCTACCTTTTCTGGCTAGAGTCTGGACAATTTCATGGAGTTCCTATGCCTCAAATGTCAACTTTAGGCCACACTGGTGCGATCAGCCGCTTCGAACGGAAGCTTTGGCTTGGCACGCGCAGAAAATACTTTAGGTCCGCGCACGGAGTGGGATCGCGAGACTCACATCGCGGACAGTGGTCTCCTCATCGATTTTCGTCTGAAGATCCTCAAATATGCGTTGGTTGATCATTTTGGCGATGGCTATGAAAAGGTGTGGGAGGTACTGTGGGTGGAATGCGGACGTGTGGTGGTGGACGGCCGGTGGACGGATTCAACAAGTCACGTCCAGGTTCAAGAACGGCCCTCAGAAACTTAGGGGGGTTTTTTGAAGAAATTCAATTAAAAGGGACCCAGATCTCATAGTAGCGTGGCCTTTTCAAGCATTTCTTTTAATTAGATATTACACCAATTGTAGGTGGAGAAGAGCTGCTGAAGCTTGCAAACTATCTACACAGCGGGTGATCTGGGCAACCACCACTACGCTTATTGAGCGAACTACAGAAAGATGCTATTTGGCCATAACTTCCTCTCTTTTCTTCTGGAATTGAACCGACAGTATATCTTTTGAATTCGAACTAGCCGGCCTAGCCACCATTAAGAAAAATCTTTATTGAACCAACTCCAAGAACGCAAATATCCAAGGGTTTATTTTTACACTGCTTCATCTGCAGCGCATGTAATAATCATCAAGTTTATGAAATGATGCGACATCCATCAAATATCGCCGGTATCACCATCCTCCCGAGAGAGCTTCGTTTAGTATCGGTATCGTGTAGAGTAATCTGCGCATGTTGTCAGCTTCCGAGTGACTTCCTCCAGCAGCTAAAATCAGTAGTCACTTACCCTTCGGGCTGACCACCAGACCACGACCCTTCTTCGCGCCCTTGTAGATGGTCTCGATGATATCTATCAACTCTTGCTTGTCCTCAAGCACCCAGTTCAGCTTATTGTTATTTCCGGTGCCGAAATCGCACATCATATGCTTGTTGCGGTAGAAGAACATGATGGTCATGGTGTCGTATAGCTCGTACATCGTATTGAAGTCAGGAACCTCGTCAATGTCGCAAAGGTAGATCACGGCGAAGTCTGTGACAAGCCAAAGTCAGCTGCTAACGTTTCTGTGGGAGTTCGGCAAGGGGGAACCACTCTTGACACGTTCGGCGATCTTGTAGAGGAGTTCATCTTGGCGGATACCTACACGCATGGTAAGTTAGTCCATGACTTATGCGACATAGCAGAGATGGTTGGACTCACAGTCGGGGTCGTGGTCACGGCCGAATCGAATCACCACCAGGCGCTCCTCCTCGGACAGGATAGCCTGGTCCACGTGCCAGGCAGTCTGCAGGTGAGGGAGCACGATGGAGCCCATGGCGATGGTATGTTTGAGGGTGAGGGGAGCACTGGTCGCATAAATTTGGCAAGTTGGAGAGCTTATCAGGTGCCCCACGATAGAGGCTAGTCAGGTGACATCGACCTTGGGTTTATGTCCGGGGTCCAGAAAATGTCAACGAATTATCAGAGCACTTTCCTTTTTTCTTTTCTTTTCCTTTTTTGACAAGCAACGTTCATTGATGCGTTTCAGCTAGTGGATAATACTTTGAGTTTCGGTTTGTCTAGGAAAATCTAAAGTATTGACAGGCATTCGAGACCCAGCTGGGCTACTAAGATATATGTTCATGGTCGGCAATGTATGTAGACATGTCCTGACTTTGGTCAGTTGCATGTACGGGTAAAAAAATATATATATACTTTTAAATAAGCTTGTTACTTGGTCGAAATATTGTTTTCATAGGTTCCTACTGTGCTGGGCTCACCTTGACCGTTATCGTACATCTCAGTCTTGCAAGTGTCCTCATTCCTCAAAATCCTTTGAAGGGCTACAGACCAAGTTTCACTAGTCGACAAAACCTTCAGTGCAGCATTCCAAGGAACTTGCTGTGAGCAGGGCGAAGATGGAAGGGACATGGACATGTAAAAACAGCAGGTAACTTTATCAAGACAGAGCAATGAATAAAATTGCCACAGAAAACCAGTTCTTCTCCAAGCGGTCAGACAAGCCGACACAATTGATGAAAAAGGGTATTCGCGTCGATCGGGGGTAGTGTGAGCCCGATGACACTGTGCGACGAGGCATGCGCAAGCACAGGGGCCAAGTCGCGGGATCCAAAAATGAGAATAATCAATGTTGTTTTGCTATGCAAAACTTTCAGAGATTAAACTGAAAAGAACAGATACTACACTTGATCTAAGCCAATTGGCAAAGAGAGCTGGAAAAGAAAAAAAAGAAGAGGAAGAGTGGCGAGGGGGAGGCAGTATTTATACTCTGCCGAGTGGGGCTCGGCTGTGGCCTCAGCACTAGCCTCGTTTAGACTAGCCAATGATAGCACAGAGCCACCTATATGATGACTGACCCATATCTGACTCATCAATCATGTGATATCAGGTGGCCTGGGATGTTCCACCATCACCTGACCACCATCACCCTAGCCCTTCACATTTCCCAAAAGGGACTAGCCCACACACCGCGAGCCCGCCATGAATTTTCGAGGCCGAAAAGAGCTCCACTGCAGCGAAAGTTGATCTTTCTCCCGACCATCTCTCTCCCGACGGCGCAGGATATTCACCTCTTTGCGACCACTTTCTCCCCAAATTTTCAACCCCCCCCAAATCATCACAATGGCTCCCGCTGCTGTACGTTGAAAGAATGCCCCTCAGACCGCTTTGCTGTTCCCCCCGGCCATCTCGGCGGGCTTGCTCTTTGCCAAAAACGGTATACCGAATATTGGAAAATCTATTCGGTTGAAATGCGCCGTCAATGAGCAAGACAAGTCTACCGAGAAAGCCATTGGGGCTTCCGACATGATGGAGCAGTAGGCTAATCCTTTCCCCCTCGGCAATAGGCTCGTGGTCGCAAGGCCCAGAAGGTCACCCAGAAGGTACGTCTTTCCAAGCTACTCCCGTTGAACACCCCTCCCCAGTTCACGAGCCCCGAGGCTAACTGAAACTTCTCTGCAGTTCATCATCAACGCTTCGCAGCCCGCTAGCGACAAGATCTTCGATGTCTCTGCCTTCGAGAAGTTCCTCCACGACCGCATCAAGGTCGAGGGCCGTGTCGGCAACCTCGGTGACAGCGTTGCCATCTCCCAGGTTGGCGATGGCAAGATCGAGGTTGTTGCTCACATCCCCTTCTCTGGTCGCTACCTTAAGTACCTGTAAGCTTTTCTTCCTTGGATACCCACTTCACGCAATCTTGCTGCTTTCTCGATACCCGTACGCTGACCACCCGTTTCTTCTCTCTTCAGGACCAAGAAGTACCTCAAGAAGCAGCAGCTCCGTGACTGGCTCCGTGTCGTCTCCACCTCCAAGGGTGTCTACGAGCTCCGCTTCTACAACGTCGTCAACGACGAGGCTGAGGAGGATGAGGAGTAAATGCGCATCTTCGGCGTGTGACCTGCATGTCGACCGATTGGAACTGGTCTGTGTGTCACGCTCTTGGACCGGAGGGATTACCGCCGGTTTAAAGTGTGAGAGTCCATGGGGGGTTTCTGGTCGTGGTGATGTGTCGGGATAGACTAGCCTACATTGTAGGCGAAATGAAAAAAAGTTTATACCCTCCACAAGAATTTTTATCTTTTCCTCTGTAATCGAAGTAGATCATGTGCATTTTATCGTGCTGCACCGTATTCTGGCCTACCTCTTGGTTGGTACTCTCTTTTAGGTATTGATACCAGTGATGCCATAAGTGGGGACCGTTCTCTTTATCAACTAGTTTAGAGAAGCAGAATATTCTAGGTGCTCGATATGCCCATCTACTCCAGTTGAGAGGAATTCATAGTTGTTCAAGATACCTGTGAAAATGAAAGAAAACAGACAATCGTGAGTAGACACCGTTCAAATGGACATGATTCTGATACTGGTTTGTTGTAATCCATACCGGGTAAACGTAGTGACAAACTAGAAGATAGCCATCTTTATTTTTCCACCTCTGAATGATGAATCAAAATGGACCTAGAGGACTTAGTTGTAAGATAATGTACTATGTCTTCCGGGAAACTGCTAATGGTCTGCTCGGCGCTATACATTTCGGCTACTTGCTTGAGCTCTAGGATTTCTCCACTGAGCGAACTAAATCTGATTTGAGTGGAAGAGTATCTCGTATATAGCTGATGCCGTTTGTTATTCACTAGTCACCTAAACAGGTAATAGTCTACTAAGGAGGCTAGCCCAGGAAATATACGTCATGCCTAGATAGCAGTGTACATCCATCCTGGCACAGAGGGTTAGGTACAAGTAAACAAATGTAGCAGGCTAATTTCGCTGATAGAGAAAGGCTGTTAGCGTCATGGTGGAGGCGTGCAGATCAGGAAGATCAGCAATGCACTCTTTCCCCGCCCTGAAAGAAAAGCCGGGGTAAGAAGCCAGTAGAAATGACGACTCTTCCCCCTCTTTTCTTTTCCTCTCAACATATCTCCTCTACCTACTGTTGACACCATGACCAGAGGGTTCGCAACCATCACGCCTGAATGTGAAGTCGCCTTTGATGAGGTCAAAGAGACTGACAACCTTAACTTCGTCATTTATGAGGCCTCCGCACACAATAAGAATATCACCGTTGCCGAACGTGGTAAATACCAGGACTACGCCGAGTTCATCGCTCGCTTCAAAGACGACACTCCCAGATATGCCGTTGTTGATTTCAACTATGACTTTCCGACCGGCGAGAGTGCTGAGAAGCAGCAGAGACACAAATTAGTTTTCATCACATGGTAAGCTCTCTTGAATCCCTGATATCTGCGATGGCGATGGGGTCTGCAAAGGGCCAGAAGGGCCGACAATCCAACACCATAATCTAGGGTTCCAGCGGCAGCAAGCATGCATGAAAGATCCTACTACACATCAAACAAAGATCATCTTTACTGCGCGCTCCTCGACATCAGTCTCCATGTGCAAGCTACCTCCCAAGTGGATCTGGCCCACGCTACTAGTACGTAAATCAAGAGAATCTTACCTTTTTCTACCATGAAATTTGTAAATGACAATACCTTTTTTTTAATTCAGTCCTGAGCAAGTTCAAGACACTCTAGAGAGATGGATCCTATCGGTCTTATCGATGCGAGGAGCTGGCATAGCCAGAGGATGGCGAAAACCTTGAATGCTCTCACCTATGATAATCAATGAAACATTTCATTCATCAGTTGGTAATTCTCCACCTTCACCTTAACTTGGTCGTAGTTAGCCCCATCAGTACTCTGATTGCTGCCCTGAAACCATCCAGGAGGAACAAAATGGGAGTTTCAGATAGCATAGTCCATCAGCACTACAAACCCAGTCTCAATAGCGTCAAAATGCGCGGAAGAAAGTCATCCTGTATGATTATTGACTTTTTATTTAGGCCTATATGTGGATCTCAATATCGATGATAGCTCTCGTACATATGCGACAAAATCTCCGCATTTCGCCACTAAGGGCGCATCTTGCCTCACTGAAATTGTTTGAGGCATTGCTATGGCCTGGCCCACTTAGAGCCAGGTCGCGACACCCAGAATTTGTGCAGATCTGCCTCGACCGGATACATCAGAGTTAATCTGAGTTTTTTCTTTTATGTCCAACGCCAGGGCCCAGACCGAGTGCCATCTTGTGCGCATCCGTTGGCTCTTGACCAGGAGGGGGATCAACTTGTCATCCTCGAGACGCCAGCCCTTGGATTTCAAACGTTTCCAAAGATCGCCCGCTTTAACCCGCACTAAATCCCCAGTGGCAATGGAGTCTTCCTTTGAGTCGTGTCCTTTTGTTCCTCCTGTTTGAATGTCACGGTCGAGAAATCTCCGAGATAGGGTCTTGAGACTCATGCGATTGGGAAGACCGCCCTTTGGATGGGGATATAGAATAACTGTATCTATAACAGTGGGGTGGATTATTCGGCAGACATTGAGGTCATTGTCAATTGCGTGGCCAATTAAGGGTGTATCGGGTTGAAGAAATCGGAAAATCAAGTCCCGCGCTACAGCGGGCGAATCCACAACTTGCATAGGTTTTTGATCCTTACTTTTAGCTTGAGAAGGGAGTTCAGTAGAAGAGCTCGAGGTCCTATAAGGCGTGGCGGAGGCGTAGTGTTCAGGGAACACACCGGAATACCGCGAATTGAGGTCCAGGACTTCACCCATAGGCTTGACAAGAACGTCAAGAAGCTCACGTCCCTCTGGCCAGCTGACAGCAGAAACACGGATAAGCTCCAGGCCTAACGTCGTGTAGCCCATCTCGCAATCGAAACATACCGGCTGCAAAGGACCTTGGTCGGTTTGAAGTGGAGTTTCTTTGAACTGGAGAATCGATGCGAGTCGTTTGGCCTCAGAGACTTTGAAAACATGGGTATCACCCTTCATGCAACCGGGTGAGGCACCCAAGCTTTCGCCACAGCAGGGGAAGTATGCCTCCGACGAGCCGGTGTGTCTCTCAGTCTTCTTTCGGGGTGGATAGAAGGGCCGGCTTGGATGGTGGGTACATTGTCCAGTGGTTGTTAATGCACCATCCTCACGACGACCAGGGAAAACCTGGAAACGGCTTCCACAACGGTCGCACTTCTCCCAACCCTTCGATTCCACAACGCCTTTTTTGGCTATTTCTATCTCTGCTTCTGTGGGAAGCTTTGTAACATAGCCGAATTCTTCGAGGCCGTCCAAGGGTGTTAGTAATGATGCCGCAAGAGCCACCTCTTCCTTGCTGGTGAGGCCAGTATGAAGGGGGTTGGGAGTCTCAGAAGTAGCGCTCGCTGGTTGAATTGGGTTGATTTTATAATACCGGTCATTGAGGTGATTTATAACTTCTTCGGTCCATTCTGCAGTGCTCAACTTTGCCAATTTCACAATACGAAGCTTTATGACATTTGAGTAGAGGTCGCCGCTGTCTTTTGCGAGCTTCTCCTCCTCGTCCAGCGCCATCGTTATCAATTCGTCAGGAGTTAGGATAAAAGATTTATTTGAGCTGTCCTTGTCCTTGGCCAGTTTCTGACTCTGCGCAACCATTGAAGAATGGAGCTTTTTCAAAATCGCAGTTCGGACAGTATGAGTAGCCGGAGGCTTGGTCAACATGCGAGGGTTGAGACTTTCTTTTGGTGCCTTTCGAGGAGGAAGACGTGACAACGGGCCAGGTGAAGTAGCCGCAGTGCTGCCCACAGTAGATTCCATTTTTGATTTTTCTCCAAGTCTTTTAGATGGAGGCGGGGAAATCTCTCGAGAGGCTGACCGTAGAATCGGATTGTTTTGTTTGGCATCTTGAGATTGATGAGGTGGGCCTGGAGTTGATGTGGAGGATCTCGGTGTCACCACAGGGGTAATTGAAACTTCAGACGATGTCGAAGCATTACTCAAAGATGATGCGACAGCGCCCATCCTTGGCCTTTTTGCAACATGTAAGTTGTCCACATTCGATGGACGAGGGTTGACGGGTCGAGACACAAGTTTCTTTGTCTCAGACGCGCCGAGGCTCTGATGAGCGAACATGCACGCCAATAGAGAGCAGCCTTGACCCTCGGGGCAGGGTACCTCCGCAAATAGGCCTAATGTGGTGAACATTGTGAATGCGCCGAATGGCAGCGCTTAGAAATCTACCTCTGGGCGCCTAATAACGGGATCAGAGAGGAGTGAAGTCAAGGCAGTGACCAGTTTGATTCATGGTAAATCAACCATGATGGATCCTTGTCATCTAGGAAATTGAAGGGCTTTGTTGTTGAAGAACCATAACAAACAATAACGAGGTGTAGCTGATAGCTCAGGTCAAAGGAGCGCTATTTACTTCGAGCAGCAACACCATGACCATCGCAACGAATCTGTGATATCAGATACGCTGTCAACTGATATATCCGAAGTGTTGCAGCAATCAAATCACAGGGAACCAGGCGATCGATTGTTGGATGTTGTGGAAAGTTGGCGATGGCAAGTTGAAGCGGTGCCGGCTAGTCAGTGACGGACGTCGGAAGTTGGTTTGCAAACTAGGCAAAGTTGGAAGCCTGAAACACGGGGCCAACACCCATTGTCTTATCGACCACTTTTATACCTATAGGCGCTTAAATCGTCACTGGGCGTCAACACCAGCAATGGAGTTCTTAACATCCAGTTGCCCGGTAAGGATTCTCTACCCCTTCAAGATTCCTGAGTGTTGTTCCTTGCAGGAGCCATGACTGAGATTTCTACCAAAGCCGAGCACTTGTGTGTCCTGGTGCATGGGTAAGGTTCAAGTCTAGATTGCATCTCAAGTTTCCCCCCAAAAGAACTAAACTAATTAATTTTGCGCATAGACTTTGGGGTAATCCAAAAAACCTCGAGTATCTAGAATTTGCTCTCAGGCAGAAGCACAGCGAAGAGATTTTGTATATTCTCCGAGCGAAAGACAACAGTGGAAGTTTCACATACGATGGGATCGAACTCGGCGGAGAGCGCGTGGCGCATGAGATCGAGCAAACGCTGATGACCTTGGAAGCAAAAGGCCAAAAAATTACCAAAATCAGTATAGTTGGATATTCTCTTGGAGGGTTAGTGTCACGATATGCGATCGGCTTACTTCATTCCAGAGGCTGGTTTGAGAAAGTGCAACCCATCAACTTCACCACTTTCGCTTCACCGCATGTTGGGGCGAGAATACATCTCAAAGGACTCTGGAACTATATCTGGAACACAATGGGAGCGATCACGATTTCGATGTCTGGCCGCCAGCTCTTCATGATAGACTCCTTCCGAGACACTGGACGTCCACTTCTCAATGTGCTGGCGGACCACGAGAGCATCTTCATTCAGGGACTGAAGAAATTCCACAATCGTTGTGTTTATGCGAATATAGTACATGACCGTACTGTTAAGTTTTACACCTCGGCTATTTCCAAAACGGATCCATTCGGGAATCTGGAAAACATTAACATCAACTATGTAAATGGCTATCACCAAGTCATTATTGACTCTAATAAATGGCTACTACCATTTATGCCAAAAAAAGAGACCATGTGGACGAAAACAAAATCATTCACAAGAAACCTGCCTTACAATGTACTCGTCTTTCTTCTAGCCCCCATCCTGGTGCCTCTCTATCTCCTCAACGCTGTAATTCAAACGCCTCGCAGTCGACAGCGGATACGTCAACACGAAGAGGGGGACAACGGTTTGCTATTTGGAAGGTATAAAATACCTTTACTAGTGCAGGATGCTCAGAATGTCCTGGAGGAGCTTTTTGATACTGCGAATGTGTATCCGCGGCCTGACTATCTCTCAACTATCGAAGAAGTTGAAATGTCCGATTCGTCTACCCTCCATGCAGCATCATTGACGGACAAAAAACTAGACGAGGTCAATGAATCGATGGCTAGGTCAGACTTATCGGCAAGCACAGATTATATTGATATTGATATTGAGAATTCTGGCGGCTGTCGACCGACACTTGATTTGACCGACGAGCAGTTTTCGATCATTGACTCACTCAATGCTGTAGGATTCAGGAAACACCCGGTCCACATCCATCACCACCGGCGTGGCCATGCAGCGATGATCGTCAGGAGGGAAAGCCACGGATTTGAGGAAGGCAAGATGGTTTTGAAGCATTGGCTTGACAACGAATTTGTAATCTGAGATCAAGATCAAGATCTATGCACTGATTGTACTCGACAGCATTTTTTGGTTGTTCAATACCTGAGCCTTATGTTTTATTTTATTGGGTGAAAATATTCAATTATATTGTTTTCCATTTGAGACACCTCGTGCACAAAATTGAATCTAGAATATACAAGATACTACCTATCACGCTACATGTCTTGCACGCATTCGTAAGATACTCGGCTAATGCCCTTCTGGCGACTAATCTTGCGCACAGTAATTGGTCCCACCAAACTGGTTCGGGACACATGAGTACCACCACAAGGGTTTCGATCAAGACCACCTATGCTAGCGATGCGAACAGGACCGGCTCTTGTCGCGCCCCGACCTTCAAGGTCGCTTCCATCCTCCATCCATGAGATCAAGATTGGCAAGTCTTGCTGGACCAGCTCATCCACCTTTGCCTGGATCAGCGGCTTATGCTCGTTGTATAACAGGCCTTCATACTCCATGCAAGCTTCCTTTGGGAAGTGATTTGCCTTGAATTTCTTCATTTCTGGAAAAAGGATCTCCATTGCCAGTCCGACAATATGTCCTCCCGTATGTAACCGGGAATGGTAATCGCGCTTGGCACCGTCGACTTGCTGGACAACAACCTGGCCTTCAACAAGGGGCGCACTTCCCTCAACCGGCTTGCCAAAGTGAAGAATCCTTCCATCTTCCACCTTGCGCACGAAAGACACAGTGAATGTTGGATCTTGATCAACGAGCGCGAGTGTGCCAGTATCGCTTGGCTGACCACCCCCTTGCGGATACAAGATGGTCTGGCGCATTGTGATTGCCGTATCATCCGGACCAGCATTTTTGATCAAGCTCTTTTCATTTTCTGGGAGCGCCGAGACCGACTGGCATGAGACTATCTCCGAGGTCAGGGTTCTCAGCGCAGCATTGTGCAAATATACTGCTTCTGTGGATGTGGCCTATTTTAGATGTTAGACACAAGGATCGCTCTAAACAAATATTTCTCAATCGGGACCTGCCATTTTGCTTCACCAGACGTATGAGATTAGCTTACAGGTTCCCTCCATGTGGCCCCCATTGCAATCATCGGTCCAGTGGATCGATTTTTCCCCCGCGTAGTGGGCCACATCACGAATAGGGATGCATTTGCAGCCCGGATTCTCAGGCGCCGACTCTCGGGACTAGTTCAATGTATGGGGGAAAGCCCAAAACGGGACTGACCTGTGTTCCTCGATCAAAAAAGATCACGCAGAATGATTTTGGAGAAGCTTGGACTCATAGATAAACAGAAAATATTCTCAAAGCCACACTCAAGGTCCTCAAGCTAGGAATGAGACCCGATTTGTGGCATCCAAGATCCCACGACAGCCGTGTAATTTGCCATGGCAGACTAACTGCCTCGTTGAGAAAGATCGCATGTTCTCACCACATCGAGATGAATAACATCTCAGATACTGTATTTACTGAAGGTCTACCAAGCCGATGAACGAATCCCTCAACCTTAAGCCAACCGCCGTGATTCAGCCGGACCACACCCGCATTTCCCCCGGCTTTCCTAATCTGGTCCTCCCGTCCACCAGTGCCAAACTCCCTGTGATTTGTTGATCGCGAGCCAGCATGCCGAAACACGAGCTTACCAGGGGATGATCTCAGTCTCGAAAAATATCATTTTTTGGGCCTGCCAACGCTTTAAGGTGCATTGCATTACATCACGTTATGTTGGTGCGGGGTGAATATTGACTGGGTAGCTAGAAAGTTGCGCTGAAGATCCGGGGTAGATGGGTGTTAGTCCCCATGAGCACCCATTGATTTTGGATGGTGTGTATTACGGTATCGGGGCTTGAGACCTGGCGGTTGGAAATTTGGAATTCCAACTGTATTGAGAACGGTAAGCAGCAGCTTAGATGGGGAAAAGGCATAACATGAAAGGTTTAAAATGCTCAAGAAACAGGAAGCATGGTTTATTTGTTCATGATAATCCGATATAAATGGTCCTGATAATGCAGGATAGATAAACTACATCAGGCATAACAGCCTGGAGGTCTTGAAATTGAAGATAGAAGAACCAAACGGAAAGAAAAGGGAAATAGAATCAATACAACAGAGGGTGTTTGTTATCGTGACTTGAAAATCATCATATCTGATTGGTCATTTAAGAAAAAAAAGGTAGCGGAGTAGATAGCGTGGCCATGAAAGGAAGCTGGCTGAGAACGGATGATAGGGAGGTATAGAAATCAACCAGCCAAAGAGGACAGTGAGAAGGCCAGCAATCCATAGAAGAAAAGATCAGCAAAAGACCCAGAAGAGGCCTTAGTTCTTCAAGTAATTCTCTTCAAGTGTATCTTCTCGACCATAAAATGGGTTACCCTTGTTGATGGATCTTTGGTGCTCACGCTCTACTGCAAACTTGACCGCATCAAAAATGTGATCAACGATCTTCTTGGGGGGATAACGAGGAATAGTATTGTCCTGGTAGACACCCGTCTTCACCAGGATAGAGTACCATTCGTTATCTGAAATGTCGTTGAATTCATTGGTACCTCGAATGTCTGATTCGGGAGTATCACCAACAAAATAGACTGTGCTCGGCGGCTTGTCAATGCCATGCGAGTCGCTGCGCCACTGCTGGAGCAAGCGAGTAGCGAACTGAAAGGTACCCATCTGGGGCTTGCCAAAGGCGACGGTCTTCAACTCATTTCCGGTAACGGCTTTGTAGAGTGCCTCGAGCGAAGCACGTAGGGCTCCCATACCAATACGTGAGTGCTCATGAGATGTAGACCAGACTACATCGTTATGGGAGAAGTAGACAGGGGGTCCCTCATCGAACGTCTCCGACCGTGTGCCCAGGCGGCCGTTCTGAGACATCAAGCAGTCCAGAATGATCTGCTGGTCGCCGGCCCAATCGCGGCTGTCGGCAAAGACGAATATCGCTTCAATTTGGACCGCGTCCAAGTCGAGCTCTCGTGAGTTCTTGTATTCTTCGTCGGTCAATTTACGGAAGGGGGTGGTGTCGTGACGTGTCTTGATAATGTCACCTGGGGTGATAACATTCTGAAATCCATATCCTTCGGCGACAATGCGACACTTTTCGCCCTCGCCGCCTACGACGAGGACGGTCTTGTACCGTTGCGCCTTTTCGCGCATGGGTGTGTGGCCACAAATGAATTGGCCCGGGGAAACTTCTAATTGGAGCTGGCGGCTGAGATCCTGACACCTTTCTTGCTCAGTCTTTCCACCACCGTTGGTCAAGAAGATGTAAGGTCTGCCCAGTTTGCAGTCAGCGCCCACGATTCTTTTCACACCCCTCCCATTGAGTCGTCTCGGGTCCGCGGGAGGAAATACAGGGAATTGGACTCACACTCGAATTCCATAAGGATTTTCGCCATTGATATACTTCATCGCATCGACCGCTTCGGGAATGACCTGCCCGCCTCTGATGAGGACACCATCGATGTCGAAGGCAAGGGCGAAATCGTCACTGGTCATTATTGGCGGAGTTGACAGAGGGGTATCAGTCTGAAGATACTCTTCTTCCGATGAGATAGCGTCTTCGTCCAGGTGATGCTTGACCAGTTCCAGTTCAGTTGTCAGATCACAGTCATGAGTGGAAGCCATCAAGTGCTTTGGAGGTATGACGACGTTGGGGCCCCCGTAGAGGTCGGCCCGATCGGCGTGCAGACTGGAAAGTCGGCGGACCCTCTGGGCACCGAACCCATCGGCAGTAGCCATTGTGAGCGGGCAAACGGTCACGGTGGGTCAACAAGCGGGTCTCCTGCAGCACAGCAGGTATGACGACAATCGTAAGCGCGACAGAGAAAGAGACGCGCTGATATCCACCCGGATCGACGAACGACAAGGCGCCAGGAGATCTGTGACTGTCTCTTATCTAGAGACAATGGTTGGAAAGGAGATCGAGAAAGCTCACGATTATGCACTTATCGTGAGTGATGTGCAGTGTGCAGAAGCAGTAAGCAGCAGATGCAAATCGTGTCGAAAGCAAGTTAGGACTATGGAGCATGTGGAGAGGGAACAGGGCCATTAATATAGCATCCCGAGGCCAAATCTGGCGCGCAAAGTATCAGGAATCATTTGTAACCTGGCAGGGCCCCACTACCCTGTCCTTGTTGCTCAGACACACAGCCTCCGTCATCATCATTTCGAGATCTGAAGCCCGTCCTAGTTTCCCTTCTGGTATCCTCCCATGGCCTCCTACTGGTTACACGCAATGGACTTCACTCAGCATCCAGAGAGAGAGGGCGAAGACTGTCCCTGCGGATCCACAACGGCGTGCCCTTGGCGCAGGGAGCCATTCCCACGAGCCTGCTCGCCGACGCTGATTGATTCGTACAGATGGAAAAAAGACGCAACCGTTCCGACTGCACGGAGTGGAGTCGGCCGGGCCTGCGTACCATGAATGGGCCCTTGACGTCGTGCATAGTACCGGAGTACTGCATGGGCAATGCGTGTTAATCAGGTAAGATTACCGAAGGCGATCATTGCTCCCGCGAGCCTTTGCGAGTCCATGCAAGTCTTTGTTTTCCTTCAACGGGATCAGTGACTCGGTTGATCATGACTCTCCGAATTGGAAGTTCCCATGGCGCCTGCTTGGCTGCTTCAAAACCCGACCTTATTTCGGCGTGGCGTCGGCATCGTCTGCCAAAAGTGATTCATCACCCTGGTCGTTGCCGCTTCTTTCCCTCCTTCCCCTCCGGAAACCATCCCTCTCGCACATCCTTGAGGATTCCCTAAGCCCCATTCGACCGACGTCCATGATCCCATCCCTGCCCAACCAGTTGCTGTGTAGAGTATCCCGAGGATTCTCTAGGTGCAGGGCCGGTCCTGCACGATCGAATCAGCAGGCGTCACCGCGGGGCAGATCGGAGGCCTTGACGTCATACAATTCCGGTGGCTGACTCAACAGCCTCAGGAACCGAAACACCAGACTGGCTGGGCGACACTCACTACCGAGGTCTGTGCTCGCCCGTCCCGGATCAGGCATGGACCAAGGACCAAGCACAATAGGGGGAATCGGGAGAACGCCCTTCCCGCCCTTGCCCCGGTCATGATGGTGGTAGAAGAGGACGAAACGCTCGAGTTGGGGAGTGGTATGTGGCGCCAACATGGCGCCGGATACTACATCAGCCCGACCGCCATCTCAGCCGCTCTTGTCTACGGGCAAGCCACATCTGCAGCCATCCTACTCCGGCGCAATGAAGGACCTGGTCAAGTCGACGCCTGAGTGCACTTTAAACGATTCTACATGGGAAAGCGGGACCATGTGGAGTCCTATTCATATTCCAAAGAAATAGAGTACATGTGCATAGACGACGGATTAGGCAGTATAATGAGCCGCCATCCATGGTAAAACATCCAAAAGGAATATACCTTTATGGCTTCCTGCTGCTACAAAATACCATACTTCAGGCCCTCTCCGACCCTGGCCAAGGAGGAGGGGGTTCGCCTAAGATGTGGTCACCATGCATTACAGCCATTGATCTAGGCTATGTTATAGTTCGCCCGCCCGCCCGCAAGATCTATCCAGCGACCGGGCCGCGAACTTCCTTGCCATGACGGATATGGCTCTGGCAAATGCTGTCAGGTGGAAACCAGAGCTCTCAGGCTGTGAATTCCGTCCAATCGAGCGCAGACAGCGGCCAGCAAGTCGCAAATCCGAGCTTTCTGTATGGAGCCGAGGAGGAGAAGATCTCACTTTCGTGGCCCGAGCCTAGCCGGCGCACGGTGGATATAATCCCTAGCATGTGAAATCAGATATGATCAGGCATTCGTGATTAGACGCACGGTTACTTGGTGCTGTATCTTGTTGACTTGGCTCTCGACCGACCGGGGAAGAATACTCTAAGGCGAGCCAATAAACTAGCTAATTTACCCAGTAGCCAGGTATAATAACTTCTACACTGAAAAGGTCATATCCACATGATGGGTACAGACGTCGCTTAAAGGTCCGGCCAAAGGCAAGTCAAGCAGAGTGCCGGTCACGATATGGCTTGGCTCGTTTTGTAACAAGGGGCTTCCTATTCCTATAACCTCTCTTCTCCTCATAGAGCATACCCCCATTTCCATTAATATTTTTGGAGACTGAACATGTTATATATCTCGCTGATTCGTTGGAATATTTTTCTGGATTGTGAAAAGTTAGACAAAATCTATTCCGTTCAAGAGTGGGCTGCTCTAGAACAGGCAACATAGACCAACGCTGCTCGAAGTACGAGCACCTAATGTGACTCAAAGGAAGAAAGCAGATAAAACATATCATCCTATTTTACAACTATATATATTACTGAGTAGTATTGCTCTTATTTCTGATTATATCAAGAAGCCGCAAAGCCTTAACGCTATGTTTTCAAGGGCGAACGATTAGATGGAAAACATTGCGATGTACGCGCCATCATTGTATCAATTTAGTTTAACCTAACTCTCTAGGCCAAACATCTCCGCTATTTCGATTACCTTTTCATCATGTTTTTTTTGTAAAGGCCGCTGCTCTCGGAGATAAATCTTGTGAAAAAGCCAAGGCTCTAGACCTTCGCTCCTTTTCCTTGAAGAAACATGAACATAAGTCATTAAGATGATGAGTTGCAAAATGATGGCCACGATCCACGCAGAGCTGAAAGAACTGTTGGCACCAGAAAAACTTGTCCCAGATTCCTAGTGCGAGATAGGTATGAGCAACTGTGAACATTGGCAGCATCGCGGCATGCAGCCCAAAAGTTCCCATTTTATCCTGTGTAAGATACGCAACACTTAGACATGCGCGGTCGGCATAGATGGTCAAGTGCCGATGATGTTCTTCATAAAGCTGACAGACATTTTTCTCGTAGAAAGGCAAGTCTGGGGATGCCTGTGAAAGGGGCCCAACAAGGCTTTTCACTTTATAAATCATGTTTTGGTTCTGAATCATCATGAACCAGTACCATGTGTATAATGTGGCATCATCCATCGAGTGAAAATGATAGGGTTTGCCAAATAATGAATCCATAGGTGGTAACGGCGAGGAGAAGATCTCGCCAGCGACAGGGTGCCAATGGCACACACCGATTCCACTCATGGTATACCATCTAATTAAATTCGATTTCTGCTCCAAACAATTTCCAAGTAGATTTTGATAAGCCTCGAGATCAGGACAGGGCTGAGTGATCGAATTGATGGTGGCAATTACGGAACCAAAGTCATCGTAAATCTTAATCAGCTTGATTTGGAGAGTGCTCTCCCTTAATTGAGTGACCGGAACATATCTCTCGTGGGGCTTTTTGATACCTGCTGACGATAAAAGCTAAACGTATCATCCAGTTAGTCACTGATGAGGAGGAATATTTTTGGGCGACGTTCAGACCATTGGTAGCCTTGTGTGGTTGATATAGATTGCATCGATGAGAGAGTTTTGGACAATCTTTGGGCGGTAATGCCGCAAAATATTATCGGTCCCTTCTACATGGGCAAAATAAGCTTGAAGGTCATGAGGGCAGTGAAGTTTCTGACATGCTAGTCAGTACACAACCCGAGTATGTCACGACGCTAGCCCGCTATACCTCGATTTCCTGGAATAAAACGGCGGTATATATTATCTGGTTATCATACCTTCCAAGGTACATCGCATTCAACAACATCCGGATTGCAACAGTATACAGCTGCAGTCCGTAAAAAAAGAGACCGTTGTTGCCTTGCATTTTGCCAAGGTAAAGACACGATAGCGCGGCAATGGCCCTTTCGAGCATGTCGCTCTTATTGGGGAGGACTGCAAAGCCCCGAATCAAGAACTGCCAGTAATCGACAAGAGATACGGCTTCTGTACCCTTGGGAAAGTAAAGATCGTAGTAGGAGGCAAAAACTTGGCTTCGCCATGCAGGTCTTGCCAGATCTCCCGGTCTGTTCACAGACTCAACCTGGAAAGAGGATCTTTGTTTCCGTCCTTCAGCATGGTAGATAAACAGAGCACCGGCGTCAGATCTTTCGTATCCTGGACAATGGCCGCTTCGTTTCAGGCAAATCTTGCACTGTGGTTTTTGCTCGTCACACTACCTATCCCATGAGTATTAGGGGCCAAGGGGGGCCGTGTGGGGGGATTCTGTTGCAGATTTGAGGCGCACTAACCTTGACTTTCCTCTTCCTACAGGCTTGACAACCTTTTGATTGCCATGCTTTGCCGCCCATTCTGTGCTTTCGAATATACTCTGAGCCCCGTCTCCGCCCTTATCACCTGACCAATGGGTGTAAACGGAGTCGAAGGATCGCTTGAGCACAACAAACACGTTTTCCCTGGCAATATGGAGACGGTGGGGCCGAGCTGATAAGTAGTGAAGTCTGATACCGCCCTCCTCTCCGCCTGCCGTTTTTGATAAAAAGAGACGGTGATGGTTCACGGGTTTTGTCGTTTCTACGTGGGAAAAGATCGCTTTACAGGCCCAGGGCTTCAGAAAGAGATATAAGCGCTTTCGATGTACAATATGAGGTAGAAGAAAATTATAAGAGGCCACGGATCAAAGAAATAGGTTGATTTCAGGTTCGAAATTGAGAAGTCGCGTGTTCTATGACTGTAGTGTCGTCCTATCACGTAGGCAACATTCTACAGGAAGTGAATGAACATCTCCCACAGCTCTGAAGGGAGAGTAACACCCCATTATTGGCTGGTTAACAGACTGCCGACAGACTGTTTCCCAAGAAGGGAAATGGATAGAGCGAGGAACGGAAAACGGAGAGTATGATCGAATGTTGGTTGGGTGAGAGTCTGATCTGAGCGTAGAGATATCGAAATTCAGAGTTCTCTTCAGCTTCGACAACAGTTTTTATCAGTCATTTCCAAACCCTTATCATCCGCAGCAATCTAAACAGAATACCTGAAGACCATTTTTTGCTAACGATTTTACAAATGAAGTCGCGAATGGAAAATCAAAGAAGAAAAAAATGAATTATGGGTATGGACAAGAAGATTAGCTATCTATGTAGGTGGCACTGACGCCATGCAATTATGCAGAATTGCCTCTCCAAATCCGACTTGGGTGATCGGATATCAGACCAAGACTCTACCCTAGAGAACATGGTAGTCGCTAATGTACAACAGAGAAAAAGAGAAAAGGATATAGAGAACGTTCGAGAAAAGAAGAGATAGGCATAATATTTTCAGTCCACATGCAATATAAGGTCATGTCCTCGCCTGGAGGGAGTCAGCTGAGGACTCACTGTTGATGATCGAATAGGGATGTCGTCGGGTTGTTTTTTTGGGCTTGATGGGTAATGCACCTGGCCCGGATAAGCTTCCGATGGATATGGAAGCTCAGCCGTCCCGGTACGAGGTGGCGGTGGAGGTAATTGACTCCGAGTACGCTCCAGCCAGAAATCTTCCGGGGAGTATGGAGCTAGAACACCGCCCGGAGACCGGCTACTATTGCTGCCAATCTGAACGCGTTTTATATCATCTTTTCGGATGATCCGTGGCCGCGAAACAATTTCTGCAAGGGCTCCCCGCTTTCCTGTGCGTTGTCCTGGGCGCGTAAGTGGAGGGCGTCTAGGCGAATCGGCGCGAAAAGGTGTCTTTGGACTAGATGCCATCCCGGGCAAATTGTGCACTTTGGCCGGAGGGCCGAAGGGATGTTTCGTTACGGTGGAACCAGCGGGTGTGGTTACCGGCGGTGTTGTTATCCCAGACAATCCAGGTAGATTTGGTATTGAAGGAAGTGCAGGAACGGTACCAAAGGTTGTAATGGGCCGTGGAAAAGCGAGTTCTGGGTGGGTAGAATAGATGCTACTTTGCCGGGGTAGGCGAATGTTATTTGATTCAAGTCCGCTTGTGTATTTGTCTGCGGAGAAAGGAGACCCCAGCGTTCTCTCGCTTGTATAGGTTGGCAGTATTTGTGCAACCGGGGATAGAGTTTGGCCGCCTCCTCCTCCAGGCCACTCGGCTGGGCTGGGCATCAATCCATCCTTTATAGCGCGAGGATTGGATGGGAGTCCTGTGGCGCCAAAGGATGTCGCTGCTGCTGACACTGGCGAAGTCATTGAAAACGAATTATCTTGCAGTGGGACATTCGGCAAATATTCATCTTCTTCGAATAGAGTTTCGCCGCTATCTGGACGATGATTCCATTTCAGAGCCGGAGGATGTATTGGAATGGGTTGTTGAGGCGGGTCCGTGAGTGTGCGTTGAGAGGACAACGTCCTGGGCGGTGTTCCATATGACCCAGGCGAGTTGATTGTGTTTTCAGCTAGCTCGTTCTCGTTGTCCTGCTGCGGCAGACCGGCACCGAGAGCTCCCCGAGCCCAAGCGCCAGCAGTCTCAATTGATGCGTTATTAGATAGTGAACGGAAGGCATGCACTTCGTTCGACTGAAGTGCTCCGCTGGCAAAGAATCCACCACCTGGACCAGGGTCCCCTCCAGTACCTGGGTTATACATGGAATTTCCGGAAGATGGCCTTGAGAAGTCGAGAGGCTCGGACATGCTACCTCCGATCTCAAATTCACCGCCCTCTTCGCCTTTCTTCTGCCTCCATTTTTTGCTCAAGAAGAATACGGCCACTCCGATAATAAAACAGCCCGCCACTCCAGATGAGACAGACACTCCGATGACCGTGCCTGATGTGATGTGGGACTTTCCACTGGTTTGAGTGGATGAAGCAGAAGGGCTCGTAGGGCTGGAGGCGTATTCTGAGTCAGAAGTAGATGCAACACTCGGTAAAGAGGTATTGTCCGCGGACTTGTCGGTTTTCGTCGTTCTGGATGTATTCGTGGAAGTGGATTTGGAGGTGGTTGTCGTGTCGGATGTTGTACTATCAGCGGTCGTCGTCGAGGACGCTGGAGCAAAGCTGATCGCGGTGATTGTCGGCAGCGTTTCAGCGATATGGCCATTTACCGAGTCGCAGATAGCATAGACGCTTTCGCTGTCTTTGGAGATAATAGACTTTGAGCAGACGGCATAGAGACAGCTCAGGCTCGCTTCTCCCAGAGTATAGCCATTCTTCGTGGCTGTTTTACAGAGACAGTTGGTATTTGACGACGAGCAGGACGTGTATTCGGTGTCGATGAAGTTGTTCACGCATGTTTTAGCACAGTTCGGAATGACATCCAACAGAGAAGATTCGGTAGATGATGTGCCCAAAGGGTCTGCAGAGCTGAAGGAAACCAAGAGAGCAACCGCGGCGAGAATTCCGTAGTGAGAAGAGAGACGCATTCTGTGGTGACAAAGCTATCATGCTTGTAAGCAGGTGTTTTCTCTAGATACCTATATCTCTCTCTATTCCACCAACGCCACGCAGGGGCTGACCTGTTCTGATATTCCGTGGGTATGACTACCCTCGAAGCCATAGAACCTTTAAGGTTACCATTATAGAGCCAAGATAATTTGAAGATGACCGTTATATCGAATACCTGGACAGGCCGATACGAATGAGAAGAGAGAGAAGAGAGAAAGCCCTAAAGAAAGGGAATGTCAGAAGGATCCCGAGGGATGTTCCAAAATAGAAGGGCTTAAGGTCCCTCATTAAGCCCGTAGGACATGTAAAATGGCGCGATTCTGCGCGCGAGGCCTCAAGATCCTCGATAATGCTCTCCCAACTGGTCCATTGGCCTGGCAAGCCAGGATTGCCCCTCCCACTTGAAACTCGGACGCTGCAGTGGTGCCCCTTGTAGGCGCCCTGATGAAACCATATGACATCGTGAGGCTTGCAGTACATGATTCGGGCGAATGATAAGGGGCGAAATGCACCCACTCTGCTGGTGTTGGCGCTGGGTGGGCGAACGCGACGTATAGGCGCCGGCGGTACGCGCCCATGCGACCCTGGGCGCTTGGGAGGACACCACCATCAAAGTCGTGCGATGTGGCTATGTTTCAGCACCGCTCGAGCTTGGCTTATCGCTAGATCTGCTGCAAATCATTGTGGATATGTTGGAGTGTCGGTGGGTTGAGGATAATTAAAAACGGGGAGGGCCCATAGTTCCAAGTTATTTCTGGCCCAGGCCAGATCGCCCAAGCTTCTTCGGTCTCGTTCATTTCAGGGCTCCCCGCGCCTCTTCCTTGATCATACACTTGGATCATACTCTATGAAGGACACGATTTGATCGCTCCAAGTGGCTTGCTACGGCGCTTGAGGAGTGCACTGCTTTGCAGCACATGCAAGTGCCTACGTTGTCCCTCCAATCAAATTACAGGCCACTGGACCAATCAGAGGCGTTAGAGAGACCCGCATCTGGAGATGCGCTTGAGGGGCGAGTCGCGCATCAATCGACCACAACCAGCAAGTTGGGAGAGAAGTACAAGTTAAGCTATTGAGCCTGATCAAGGGACCGTTTGAGAGGATTGAGAACTTTCAAATAATTGCCATTGCCATCAATCGTAAAAGCGAACTAACCCCGGGCCAAGACGCGAAAGAAGCCCGAAAGGTCGTACAATATGAGGTGGTATCATTTGTAATAGGAAAAAGGAGAAAGCAAAGGCACAGCAAAAACAAAACCCGGCAAGATTCGAAGGCAAAACAAATGAAAAGATCGATAATCACTATCGAGGCGGAGGGGGCGCCGTAATTAAGAAATTATGGACATCACTAGCGATGCCAAGAAGGGGGGTTGCAGGAGGCTAGCCACTGAACCGGACTTCTGCGGAACGCTGACCCCAGTGCCGCCAGACGCACCATCGTTGCACCCGCGCCGCAGACCTAGATCCTAGGAGAGCGTACACTGGGCGATCCGATTCATCCAGGTCGGTCGGAAAAAAGGGGGCGTGGTGAGATCCACCGGGACCGGAGATTCCGGCGGACGTATCTAGTATTTGAAGATGATGTAGCTGAGAAGAGCGAGATGTCAGTCTATGAACGTCAAGAGTGGAGTTGGAACAGAAGGGTTTTCGTCGGTTCGACGGTCGGCGCATAGGCAATACATACATGGCGTGGATCACACCGGGGATCCAACCCAGGATGGTCAGACAGATGTTGATCAGGAAATCAGCACCACATCCGCGCTCCAGGAAGACACCCAGAGGAGGCAGGATGATGGCGAAGATGATCTTGCAAATGTCGCTGCAGTAATTCAGTTAGCTTTACCGGAAGTTTGGATGAAGAGCCGAGTATGAATGCGAAACCGCAAGGCTGGAACGGTCGCATTTGGCCAAGACCTTGCGGCCCCCCGGATGGGTGGATGAGGGAAGCTTGGAAGAGGAGAGAACTCAGGGGCCACAAGGGGAGCAGAGAGCACTTACGAAGCAGTGAAAGGCATGTTGACGGTTGGAAGTTGTGCGGAGGAAGGAGGAATGAGAGGGAACCGAGATGGAGGAGTGGGAATGCGGAGGACTTAAGAAAGCCAGAACCGGTCAGGAGCAGTCGGCGAGCTTCTTTTTTTCTATTGCGTCATGGGCCCGCCACGTGTGGCGCAGGGAAAGGTAGCTTCGCCCCTGATTGGCTGTAAAGCCCATCTCTGTGGCTAGAGTATGTTACCTAATATTGCTGATATAATCCCTGGGCTTTCCTGATTGGGTTTCGGTTGGGAGATCGCGAGCACATGATTCTAGTATGACTTGATTTCCCCAATGATTAAAATAACGATAGTCAGCCCTCCCATAGTCCAAACACTTTCCCCCTTTTTTCCCACTCAGTACAACATGATTCCTGCTACAAGGCCAGCTGCAGCCGCTGTGGACCTCCAGTAGAGGCAGCCAGAGACTGCAACAAAAAAACAATCGCCAATGCATTCTGCGCGATCTCCATTCCGAACCGCCCTATCGGCGGGGCCCGTTTCCTGGTTGCCTGGATGGTCTATGCTTGGCATTGTGCGCTGGCCGTGGCTGGACAAGTTCGCCATGTCTGTGTGTGTGTGACTGGAAGGAACCTGGAACGCATTGGATCCTCCGGTCCCATGATGGTGCAGCAGCGCCGATCCTCGGTTGACTACTCGTGCAGGCCGGCCGAGACGGCATCATCATCTGTGGCGCTCATCCTGGTCCAGCGCCAGCCCTACAGGGGACGCTTCCCTGACTAGGCCTAACCGTCGCCCCGTTCCCCCGTCACCCCCACCTGCCAAGGCCACGCTGTAGCCTGGGTACCTCCATTGGCTGCCAGTGACTTCACGAACGACGTGGGCGGTTGCGACAGTGGCTGGAAACTCCGTCACGGCGAACAATCAAGGATGAACGACTTAGCTCCTGGCGTAAGCCGGTTTCTCAAGAGGGTACTTTGTGTAGCATACGATGTACCTTTCGATAATCAGAACCGGAAGCGCTCATCCTTCGGTTCGGCTGATTTTCTTTTAGGGGTCGAACTCCCGATTCTGGCATCCTAATCAAAATCTCCAAGATTGGACATGATGCTATTTTTAAATGTCGATTTGCATACTCTGTACAAAGCATATGATTGCATCAAAACACATCCAGCCCGGTATTGAAATCCACTTCCTCCAGCAACGAACTCCACTGGGGTATATCCAAATCGGGCGCCACAGCCACAAACTCAGACCACAACTGGTCCCACCCTTCTTCACCAATGTCGTTGACCAATATACTGCCCTGGTCGCCATCTGCTTCAATTATAGATGAGGGTTGTATTGTAGTGCGTTGGGTCCCCGGGACGCGTACGGAGTCGCTCAGGCCCGACGCCGGCAGGGTCTGCACCCTAGCCGGCTCTGACGCCCCCGCAGAGTCCCCTTTGAACGTCGAGCTAACAGGCTGCGACTGCTGTTTGTGGAGGGTCGACATGAGGGTCTGAAGGTTCTTCTGGACCCCTTGCATTAAATAGTTCGACTCCTTTTTAGACCGCTCGAGCATCTGATACCCCGCCATCACCTTGGCCTTGCGAGCTTCCACGTCCGGAGCATTGGGGTTGAAAGATACATCCATAGCGAGGATCAGCGCGGCAAAGAAGACATGGTGCATGACGGTCCAGAACCGTCCAGGCATAAGTCCCACGTCAGTCTTGATATCATCCATCGAGCGCCGTAACTCTAGGACCTTCTGTGCGGACCGGATGCATACCATGTGCGAATAGGCATATTTAGGATTCATTGTTCCCTCCAGGTGGTACGGCCGGTGGAGCCGGCAGAGACGGGTATTCAGACTGAAGTGAATGCTGGTCCGTTGCCAGGCAATGTAAGGTCGCTCTTTGCATATCTCGCGGCTCTGCTCGATGCTGTCGGGGTCGATCTTGAAGAATACGGGCATGTCTTCGATCAGCTTCTGGAACCTCTGGTCTAGTTCTAAAATGGTATCGTAATCATTTTCCGAGCTATCTAGGAGGACCGACGGCAGGGCGTCGATGACTTGCCGACACAGTTCCGAGGTTTTGATTCGCCAAAAGAAGGCGGACATTGATGTCGGGACAGACATGGGAAACTCTCGATGTATGCCAGCGCAAGTGATATACTCGTCATCCGTGTTGCTGGGGAAATTGACGTTCATATGCTTTGGTTGAAAAATGTACGCCCCCTCTTGGGCACCACCTGAAAACGACAAGAGCCTGTGGTTGTGGTTAGTATGGATTTGAAATCTAGAACAGTCGGTCAGAAGGAAATCAATACCAGTCTGATGCGACCATGCCCCACCAGAGACGTCGTTGAACCTCAATATCGATCATGTCGCACCCCTTTATCCTTCGGTCTTCGCGACATTTCTCTGTATCTAATCGATGAATCTGCAACTCCCGTGACATCATGAAGCAGCGGTGGCGAAGTAGATGCACTTTGAGCGGGAATCCGTCCGTGTTCATGAGTATATGAGCCATGACACCAATGGCTGCGAGGGAGATAGTTGACGCTTGTATCAGCTGGCGAGGATGGTCTAGGATCGCGAGTGCAAGCCTAGTGTACACCATGAAGGCTGCGCCAGCTCCTTCTCGAGTGGACTTGAGCGTCTCCAGGAGCTGTGGGGTCCATAATAGTGCAGCACCGGCAAAGATACCAAATATTAACATCACATCAGCCGCCTCCGGCTCTTCCCCTTCTAGGAAGCATTGATACGTCTTTTCCATGCGAGAACGGGTGCTGGGGATATGAAGAATTCCCATGGTTGGTTGATAAACATTTGCAAAATGGTCGAACAGTTGCCTTGCTTGCCGAAGTGGAGGCAGGTTTTTAGCTATTTCAGCCATACTGGGACCTCTATTGTTCATTTCCTCTGAATGTAGAAGATGATAATTAAAAGGGGTGACATAGTGAGAAGTGGAGCCCTATATATTATCAGTAAGAGCAAATATTAACCTGCTAGTAGGTTATCTTACAACTTGAGGACTCAATGCGTATGTCAAACTATCAGACAAATCGGGTCGGATTGTCCCAGATTGCATCGCCTCATAGTTCCTTTCAGCTAACTTTTGCTCCAATCGACGAACACGAAACAGAAGCTCATCTGAGTCGCTTAAGAGGTATTAGCACAAACGAAGACTTGGCTTAGTCTTCGAAGAGAGGGCCCTTACTTCGAAGATAGTTCCGATCGATCGGTCGCGAGGCCAGAATCGAAACGAGACACCTGGGATGGTCCAGCAGTCCCCGCTTCATTTATCTCTTGCCCCGGATATTCACATGGGATTTTTCGAAGAGTGCAGTTCGAACAAGGCCGAGTGCGGTCACAGCGACGCTTTTTGTCACGACAGGCTTGACATGACAAGTGTGGTCTATTCCACCGCTGGACCATTGGAACCGGGTTACCTCTGTTATCCCGCTTCATGGTGCTACCTGAATAGCTTGAATCGGATTGTAGATGAATCCGCGGAACTCCGCGGGGGTTGCGCTTATATACTTCTCGAATGACCTAACTAACGGGTCCAAGTGAGAATCACACTGGTTCTTTTTCCTAAGACTGGACCAGGTTGACGATGTAGGAGCAAGGCCGCGGAAGTCCGCGGGAGACTTACTATTTATAGCTAGCGTGTCTGTAATCTGGGACGCATATCCCCTTTGACTTCAACAAGTATCTTGTATCTAATACACTGTATTACGGGTATTATTCAAGTCGGATTGCTGCGCATCTGAATGGTTGCTCCCCGCAACTCGACCATTGTGACGTTTGCAATTGCTGCACCGAGTGGCCGACAACGCTCGGCTGGGTACTGAGGTCTATGGAATTCCGCACAGTACCTCGGCTGGTGCAGTTCCAGCGAGCGCGAAGCTCAAATCGAGCTCTGTTGAACTCGAATCGCACGAGCCGATGTTATTCCACCAAAAAATGCGCGCCATTCGCATACACATGGCTCACAAAGTCACCCGAGGCCATTGTAAGTCCTGGAGTCCGTTACCAGCTTCCTGCATATGCTAATACTTTACAAGGACCCTAGTGATATCCTAGCATCCCTTCCCTCCCGACCTGTCATTGCGCCAGACTCCGTTCCGCTTCTCCTTCTCACTCCTAGCTTTGCCCACTGGCTCGATGCCTCGAATCTGTTTCTTGCAGACTTGATGCGACGGCTGTATGGCGATACCCCTGAGCCTCAAGCCCTCCATGCGATCGCCGCTGTTGTTGACAGAATACCATACGGCCCTTCACTACCGAAAGGCTCAATATCGGATATCAAGAAGAGTCCTACTACACGGGTTGTGGAGTCGGAGGGTCTGTCACTTCTGGTCGTTGGACCTGAGGCAGTGCAAGGCAAAGTTGCACCGACTCGTGGCATTAGAGGGCCTGCTGGCGAGGAGCCGGATCTGATGATATCGCTTCAGAACGGGGAAGCCCACATGAGCTCCGCAGGCACCGCCTATCGAGTCGGATTACGTCTCGCAAACACCGTGTTTACAAATGGAAAAGAGACAACTCTTTTTGGTATGCGCTGGGCTCGCAACACTACTGGTAAATACACCTTACAACAGTCAGTGGACTTCGCCAGTTGTTCTGTGACCGCTCTGTCACAGGTTGATGGCTTAACCCCCAGTCTCTCCCTTCCGCTGCATCCTGTGGGCGAAAGGAGAAAAGTGATCACAAGCATGGGAAATATCTTGCGTCAAATCTCCAAATCGTCGGATCCGAATTCAAATGAGCCAATTCCCGCGTCCTCTGAGCTAGAGAAAGATCTCCCTCGATACATTGAAGAGAATAACATCATGGCCCAGAAAGTGTCTGTCTGGGCCTTGGTTGAGAAGCCCGATGTAGTCGCCGCTGATGAGAGCTCGACGACGCAGGACAGACTGATCCAGTCACTTCGCCAGGGTGGTAAGCTGCACCGCGTTATGAGCGGGGGTGGTGGATGGGGCAAAAAGCAAGGTCTTCTTTCGCTCGATCCAGAGATTAGCTTCTGTGACACCACTCGTCGGCAAGAGCTTCTTGGCCTGGATCAACTCTTTGATCCGAATGCAGATGCAGTAATGGAAATGCCATCGTTGGATACAAAGGGCATGATTGGGGATGATCTCTCACTGCTGTCCCAGGTTGCAAGAGCCGGTGACTTTGTCCAGTTTTTGGTGTCTGTAGAGCCGGTGTACCCACCTGATGCCTCTCCCACGCACGATGGCGCCTGCGAAGAAAGCATCACCTACAATTTTGGTGTTGTGTCTCGTGCGGATGAACTTGATTCACAAACTTTGAATGGCGAAGAAAAGAATCTCATCCCTTTGCCGAACTCGTTCGGGGCATTGTCTGAGAAGGCGATTGCGTATGCACAGCCAGTGCCGCAAGGAGAAACTTGGGAATCTAGTACGAAGCTAGATATACCAGGATGCCGAGTTATCCTGAATCTGTAAAATAGTGAGCCCGTTGGGGAAAACACAACAATGATATTGTAACATTAGAATGAATACAATTCAGTGTCGGCAAAAAGAAGAGAGTCGATGTATACAAATCGACAGTGGAGACCTCCCTGACGGCGCCAAGACCACGTGACCGAAGCACCAGCGTGTTGGCCTCTGACCTCGTAGCACCCTCCATCCTCTCCGATCACCGCTACCACCTCGCCCACGGCTTGAGCTTGTACATCTCGAGTCTCCTACCATCCATCCTAAGCTCCAAGCGCCTCTTGAGACTCTTGCTGAGCCGCCAAATCCATCAAAATGGCCACAGAACTCTGGTAAGTCATCATCAAGTCGCCTTCGGCCCCCCTGGGCAGTTAACAGCTACCGCTCGTCGAGTTTGTGGCTCAATATCTATCACCCTCGATGCATTGATGAATTATAGCTAACACTGCAACCAACAGCCCCGTCTATGCCGTGAGTCTAACTTCTTCAAACTTCCCACGCCCGAGTCCATCCATCGACTCCTCCGCGCTTTAGCCATCCCCTCCATATCTATAACCACACCTTGTCACAATAGCTCGACAGAATGACTGATCTGTTTGTTTCTTAGCCCTTCTTTGGTGCGCTGGGCTGCACGTCCGCCATCGTTTTCACCTGCTTTGGTGCCGCCTATGGCACTGCTAAGGCCGGTGTCGGCGTTTGCAGCATGGCCGTCCTCCGCCCCGACCTGATCGTCAAGAGTATGTAAAAGCTGAACATCATAACAGAGCGTCTGCTCTCGCTTTTGAGCCCACCAGTGGACTAACAAAACCTATAGACATTGTTCCCATCGTCATGGCTGGTATCATTGGTATCTACGGTCTCGTCGTGTCGGTCTTGGTCGCCAACGACCTGACCCAGAAGCTCCCCCTGTACACTGGTTTCATTCAGCTGGGCGCTGGTCTGGCTGTCGGTCTCGCTGGTCTCGCTGCTGGGTATGTGTGCCAATCGCCCCTAAAGGACCCCTTTTCTCCTGTTCCAAACTAACGAGTGTTCTTTACAGTTTCGCTATTGGTATTGTTGGTGACGCTGGTGTTCGTGGAACTGCTCAGCAACCGCGTCTCTATGTCGGCATGATTCTGATTCTCATTTTCGCTGAAGTCCTGGGTAAGTCCTGACTATGCTTGATTGTTCTAGTGGATCGATTCTCATCACTGACACCGCATCCAGGTCTCTACGGTCTGATTGTCGCCCTTCTCATGAACTCCCGCTCGAAAGCCACTTGCTAAACGAGCCACGGCTCGTCGCACTCGGTAATCGGACCATGAAAACCCCATGCAGCCCTTGCTAGGAGGCATGGGGGAATTACATCCCGTTTGTTCCGATGTGTCTATTCTTCGCGACCTCTGTCCTGACAGATCCCAACAGAAGACGGATTGGTGGCAAGAAAGGAAAAAAGATTTCGGCTATGACAATTTATTTGATTCGTGAAAGGATTTCTTTTTTTTTTTGGTTTGTCAATGGTGGTGGTATGTAGAATTGGGGACTCGGGGACTGCGCCCCGAGTCCGGTGGACAGGATGTCGGGTAGATATTGGACTTGGCTTTTTTTTTTGTTTCTACATTGCATGAATGCGCGCTGGATTACTGTACTTTATATGGGTCTTGCTCTATCTGGGACCGGATCCCCTCTGCAGTCGTCTCACCGGTCTGACCGGGTTCTTGTCGATCGCTGAGACTGGACAAAAACCCCCCGTCTTTTCCTGATTTCTTCTCGGTTTTGGCTATTTCTTTCTCTTTTTATTATTGATTTTGTCGGGGCTTTGTATTCGGTACGATATAGGAATCCCGATTTGTGCATTATACTTGGCGATTTTTCTGCTCACTATGGCTGTTCGCTGTCATTTGTGACTTTTAGAACGGCGCTTAGCCTTCGTCTACGGCAATCTGTTGGGGCTTGTAAATCAAGAATTTCTGATCCAGAGTCTTCATTGCTTCGAGCACTGTCAATTCAGGATTTGAGAGCAAGATCCTAAGGCACAACAGAATCTATCGAATGGTCCACAATGCATGCAAAGCCAAAACAAAATTGGCCACGCAAACTTCCGAGCGGGGCCATCACAGTGGTAGAAAAAATGGTGAGGTGGTTGGATATTTGATGTAGAGTATATGAGAGCGGATGAGAAAAGAAAAAGCACGGACTGTACGGGCGGGGAAAAAAAAACTTGAAACGGAGAAAAATAGAGGATATATGCCCTGTGAAAAACTCAGACAATACTAACCCTCAACCCAGGGAGATGCAAGACGCAGGCCAGAAGATGCATCCAACGAAAACCGAACGAAAAAAAAGAAACAGAAAGAAGCGGAATGTAGATTAACAAGGCACCGAGTCTAAGCCTTGTCGAGTTTCCGTCTAAGAGTGCGTGTCCGCCGCATCAGCTTCTTGAACTTGTGCTTCTTCATCTTGGTCTTGCGACGCCGCTTGGTGCTGATGGCGTGGATGGTGCGGTTGTGCTGCACACGCTCGATATAGGTCATGCCAGACGTCGAGCCGGTAGGGGCGTCAATGGTGACTCCGTCCTGCTGAGCGGGTTCTTCCATGTCGTTGCGGACGAAGGGGCCGGTGTGCGCCTCGTAGGTCTTACGACCATCCGCGTGGCGCTGTTCCCGGATAGTCAGGACGGTCGAGTAGGTCGTCTCCTGGTTCTCGGCTTCGGCCGACTCCATAGCCTCGGCGCTCATATCCATAGGAACCGGGGGAGGGGGAGGGTGGAAGGGACGAAGACGACGGGTGTACTCTTCCACGGTCATCTGAGCCTCCGGACCATCCAGCATGCGGAGCTCTCCCTCGCCGTCGCTAGCGAAGCCGCGGTGCAGCGGGCCGAACTGGTCCTCTGACTCGGACACATTGTGTGTAGTGTTCTCCATTGACTGAACTGTCGAGGAAAGGGTGAAGATGACATCTTCCGGCTCGTTCTTGAGGAATTTCTTTGAGAAAATTGCATCAAAAGCTTCGGGGGTCGAGATCGGGGGGACCGTGGTGGTTACGGAGATAGGGCGGTGGATGGAGAAAAATGAGGCGACATGGACATCTATGCGCAACGAAAATTAGCCTCTGCGCCAGGAAATTGCTAGACAGTAGAAATGAAAAAAAATGACAACTCACCATGCGGCTGGCGGTGCTGAGTCGAGGGAACGCTGGGAAGCTTTGAAAAGACCGCATGCTGCTGGCTAGCTCTCGATGAGCCATTTCGGCCACTGCTGTCCTTTCCACGGCGACGGGTAGCCTTGCTCTTCTCACTGGAGGAGTTTACACCCTTCGCTGGAGTCGAGGTATCCATTCGCCGAGAGCCATCGCTAGGCGGGACCGGCGGCTTCGAAGATGAAGAAGAGTACCGGCGTTGGTGAACATATCGGGTAGCGATGGCGGTAGTAGGAATGTTCTGAGTAGAGCGAGATATGCCGGATAGAGGCGCCCATGCAGCCCGGCGTAAAGATGTCGACAACATGGTTGGCGTGTAACCCAGCAGCTCGGAGACGGTGAGGATGAGTCTGAATCGGAGAGGCGAAATCGTCGGGCCGGAACCCGGCGTCTCTGATCATGTGGAGATTATGTAATATGTGGCCTCAGGTGTCATTTGCTGGAGTTATACCCATCGCAACTACATGGATTCATCACGTTTTTGGGGCTATATTTTACGAGAAAACCCCTCGGGGAAAAATGATGGGTTCAAGGAGAGTAACACATTGGTTTCATTTGAGATGAGAATGTGAAAAAAAAGAAATAGTGATAATACAGAGCATAGTCGTCAGGTATAACACGTCAGCACAGGGACAAAACAAAAGGTATCATCCTGCATAGTCAAAAATAAAAGAGAACTGAGAGATGGATAAAAGAAGAAAATGGAAAGACGCCGTCGCTGAAATTTGAGCTTGGCATTAGTTGGGAAAAATCCAACGGGCTTTTTGGATGCAACATAACAGACCCAAGGGTGCGGCAGAGAGCCGACAGCTCTATCAAGACGCCTCGTAAAGAAGAAAGAGAAGGAAAATGAGAGGGAAAAATGACAGGTCAAATCAGACAGCCAGACGTATGTGTGGACAAGAGGGGAAAAAAGGAAAGAAGAGGAAAACGTATAAGGATCAAAGTTGCAGAGAAACGGAGCCGCCGTGGAATGCAACATGAGGGGGGAAACAAGGCCGGAAAGCTTGACCAGAAACGAAAACTAACTTCGTGGCAACAATGACGTTCATCACATACAGGCCACCGGTATTCTAGATGCCGCTGCCTTATAGTATTAAGGTATGGAGGTTCTTCTGGATAATCATATCCTGCACCGAGTCCATAGTAGCCTTCAGCAGAGTGGTGTCGGTAGCATTGGTGCGATGGATATAGATTTCTCGATCGGGAATTCGGTTGATGCCACGGAATCGATCAGAGAAGTATCGGACGGCAGCATCGAAATCGGTGTCATCGCCAGTATAATCTGGGAAGTGCTTGGAGATGGCGGAGATGGCGAGTTTTCCCTTGAACAAATCCATCTTGTTGAGGAAGAGAATGATAGGCTTACGCTTAAACCACTCGCCATTGACAAGAGATTCAAAGAGCATCATCGCTTCGTGCATTTGGTTCTATGAAAATAAATTGTTAGCAACTTTGGGACCCAGCCGCTGGTCTGACGAGTGCTGTCATAAGATAAGTGCACTTACCGCGTTCTGATCTTCCACCAGACATTGATCGTACCCAGAGAGCGCCACCATAAACAGCAAGCACTGCACGCCCTCGAAACAATGAATCCACTTCTTTCGTTCCGACCGCTGTCCTCCGACATCCATCATCCGAAAATTCATTTGGCGAAGCTCAAACAGAGTTTCGGTGATACCTGTTGTCCGGAGACGTGCTTGGAGCATATCCTGGTTGTCAGGAAGCCACCCTGGTGTGAAGATACGATCCAAAGAGTCGTAAAAGCTAAAATTGAATAATCGTTAACCAGAACTCCCACAATGATGGGCAGGGCGTGTTGGTGTGATTGTTCACTCACTAGCTCAAGTTGTCATGCAAGGCAAACTCGTGCCCCCGCGCAACAGCCTTCTGGACACCTGCATCGAGCCACATCTCTCTCATTGCATCACGAACTTTCAGGTCAGAGAAGGCTTCATCGGAACCTACGTCTGGCTCGGTTTGATCTAAAAGTGCCGACAACGGCTTTATGAAGGGGAATATCAGTCCAATGTCTTCATATACCCGACTGGAAGGAAATGGGTTGTGTACCTTGCAGCTTTCACGCTCAAATTCTATGTTTTCGGTTTTCATGATATCCAACAGGACTTTGAATGCAATGACAATATTTGAGTAGATGACGGCCCGATTTTGGTGACGCTCCTCGTCGGGAAAGCCTCCACTGTGAATAATCCGCATCTGTTTAATGATAGTTGACTTCCCAGATTCTCCGGCACCTGATGAAGCTGTTAGCGGGGTTTCTGCGTTGATATGATCCGATATTTCGGGCTGCACGCACCGAGCAGGAGGATTTTGATTGTCCGGTCCAGGGTTTTCTTGTCATTCTTGAGCGTGCGTTCGATGCGAGCATTCCGTTGAAGCGCATCCCGGTCCGCCTCGGCGGGTTTTGAATTCATACAGCCCATTCTGCCGGGTTCAGGGACACCGCAGACGAAAATCAAATGATCTAGGGTGGCAGTCGTTAACGAATTAATCAAGACTCATAGACCTGACAAGGACTCGAAGCATGGCTGGGTGCTCTAGTTTGGATCTGAATCAGGGATGTGGCCGCACTGGCGCCACCCCAGACCCGATTGAGAGACAAGCGACCCAGCCAGCGACACGAGGTTGCGGGTGGTGAATTTCGTGAACCCATCCCGCAGCTCTAAGCCAATCCACGTTGTTGGGGGTTCGGGCGTACCTGGAGATCACCGCCAATACACCCGTCTGCCGTCTGCCGTACAAGGGACCCCGAAGACAGAATGCGCCCGTTTGGACTCAATGGCTTTGCTGATGACAGCTTCGATTGGCTCGTTCCCCACACAGTTGAGGGCCTGCCACGTTTTGCGATAAACACTGCGCCGCCCAGTTTCCAATTAGGCCAGATTATTCTCCGAAGCCAGCGTTACCGAGTCTGTACCGAAGCCAGTGCGACGTCAATTCGCCAGAAGAGTCGCGTGAAGGTAAGAGGAAGGAATCGCGAGGTCGTCGTGCCGAGACCGGGATGGGGGAGGTTTCTTGGGCGCGGAAGGGTTCCAAACTTTGCGGTTGCGGGCAAGCGGCGAGCCGATCTATAGGTCCGTTTCGGCGAGCTTGAGGAGAGGAAGAGGCAAGATTTCCAGAATCGGCCACAGAGGGAAGCAGGCGAGGAGATGCTTTGAACGAGTGAAAGCTGTCACAAACGGGTCAAGAGCCCGAGAGGAGACAAAGGAAGGGGGGGAGGGAGCGGGTGGGGAGGCAGAGAGAAAGAGTATGGGGGGGCGGAAGGAAGAGAAAGGGGAGTTCGCATGGAATCGAGGAGTCGAGGAGTCGCGCGGTCGTACATAGTCTGCCGTCCCACTCGGCGGAGAGCAGAAGCAGAGTAAAAGCAGCCACTCCACCGTGGGAAATGCGCAACAATGCTTGGCCAGGCCGTCGAGGTTAGTTCCGGTTAGCCTCGTTAGCCCCGTTGGTGAAGCTGGCCGGGTTTATCTTACACCTCCGGGCCGCTCTGGATGCGGAGTTGTGGAAACTGTGGTTCGATGGGGGAAGTTTTTTTTTTCCTTTGGGAATATTCCATTTTTCATTTCTGATCTTTCTCGGTGATATATCTTCTCCTGATGAACAGAATCCTCATGCTTTGTCCACTGAGGTCATCGGCCGCTTCGCTTGAAGACTAGGCCCCATATTTGAAGGATTACCAGCCCCGAGCTAGTACTTTTGACATTGAAGTATCGACAAGGTATAGGCAAATGAGAACCCTGGAAAGCTATAAAGGTGTCTCTGTTCCTATTGATTTCTATTTACGTTCTCTGGCCCCTTGCCATTATGTTCAAGCAGGGAAGCCACCGTACGGCACTAAAGCCGATCCACCAGCAGAATGGGGCTATTGCCCCGAGCTGATTTGCTGCCAAATCGCAACATAAACAATAGGATACGGAATCTGGAATTCGATCGGTAGGATGAGGGTTATTATGTTACCGCGCGGGTTGAAAATGATTGAAATGATTGAAATAGACTCTATGATCGTTATCATGAAGCCCTTGCATAATGATACTCCCGTCGTATTAGTCGAGACAGAACACGCTTGAAGGGCGCAAAGAAGGCCCATGAGCCCTATCTTGCGCAGGTCCTTATGCGTCCACCGGAACTCCTATGAACTCTGCTTCCATAGGTATCGGGTGTGCGGAAGAGAAGGATAACTACTCGGGCTCCCAGCTTGAGTGGTTATCATCTCGAGACGGTCTTACATTTACTCTTTAGAAAAAAAAAAAAAAAAAAAAAAAAAAAAGCTCGCCATGCGACTTCTAGTCAACAGTCTATCTTTGCCCCCTAGCCAGTGGAGTAGAGGTTGCAGAGAATTGAGAACTCCTGCAGGTAGGACTCAATACTCCATATACCATTTACCTTCTACCAACAGTACCAGGCCCACACATATACAGAGTATGTACGGCCTTGCTCAATCATAATAGTCCACTATTTTTTTTTTCATTGAGTAGACTGCCCAGCTAAAAACAGCAAACAGGGAGAGCAAAAGGATCTGGCTGATCTCAGGATGATTGAACCATTACTGTGTCTGGTAAAGATGCTCCGGGGACTATTGATATCGGCCTCGGGTCCAAGCGTGGGGCCCAATCACATTCCCCCAAAGTCCCGGTCAACTTGGGACAATTGGATTCTTCAACCTCTCCGACCTCGCGAAGACCGTGTTGGGTCTTCTCTATTTCCCCATCTTCCCATACTTCCCATGATTCTTCTTTCATGAGTCTGAGCATGCCTCCTCTTTCCTCCCCCTTTCAGGCCCTGACAAGACCTGACACTCCTCCAGCCGCACCAGGGATGCAAGGTGGATCAACTGTGGCTCCCATGGTTTTTCGATGGTTCTTCGACTGCACGCCAAGCCACCATGCGGGCTGCATGTCGCGATCGGCACGTAATTGCTGAAACTGTGTCGGCGTGCGCAAGAATCTTTCTGAAACGTTGGCCGGAATCCTGGTCGGCCTGGAGTATACAGATCACCTGTTCTGCGCCTTCTTCCCTCAGCCGTGACTTTCCCCTCCCACAACAGGAAGCTTCTTCCGCAAACTACCGATGCATGTCTCTGGAGCCCAGGTCATCCTTCTCCCCTCTCCTCCTCTCCAAGCACGGAACCGCCCTCAAGCCGTCAGAAGGATCCGGCGCCATGATACCGGTCTTCAGCCGAGGCCCTGCACGCACCAGAGCTCCTTTTCTGAAGCCCTCCTTATTCGCTGGTGCAAGGACCTCGTGGGTCGCGGGGCTTTCCCAGAATCTTTTGCTTTAGCCACGCGCCATTTCGCTTATTAGCCCCCGTCCTCAGATCCATGGAGATTCAGGGACGGTAACGATAGACCCATTGAACCTCCCGTTGGGACAGGTTCGGCAGTCCTCACCACCACAGTGGAGCTTGTCACCGAGCAAACTCCGCCTTGTTGGCTCGGTCATGCCCGTGCTCCCTGACGCAACAGGGTTTTAATTTGGAATGCGCCCACGAGCCAACTCTCGGACCGAACAGATCACCCTCCAACGCTATTCAACATCAACTCTATACAGACTTCGTAATCCTCTACATAATGTCCGTGGTCCAAAAAGAAAAAGGAAACAAGAAGCACCAAAATACAAAGTACAAAGATTTCATCTATCAATTCCCTAAGTGAACACCACTCGCTATCTGCACCCTTGACCACGAGGCTGGGAGAAGGAGGGAGAAGGAGGGGGGGGCCATTCGACCTTTTTTCGATGCGAAGTGTCATTTCCCACATGGGAACTGTACAGCCCGTACAGCACCGTACAGTACCACAGGCCCCCCTCGGAATCCCCACAGTTGGGGCCTCTGAAGTTTGTTGAACACCGGTGGTCCGTTCATACGACCACATTGCCCCGTGATCTTCCCACTCACGACAAAAAGACAAGGGATCGGCCTTCTCGGTTGCTCGTTTCCGGTTTCACGTCGCGGGCGCGGGACAGGCGAGTGTGCGCCGGCGTGAGACTAAGGCAGGGGGTCATCCTTTCCAGGGAGGTGCAGGAGGGGGACGGGCTGTGGGGAGAGAATCGATGCCCCTATCGCAACAGGCGGTCGGATGGGATCACAGTGCCGGCATCCAATTCGATCTGGGGGCGAAAAGATTCCGGCGGACTTATGTCGAGGGCGGTGACTTGCATAAGTCGAGATTCAGTGACATGAAGCATAAAGGACGCGGTACCCTGGATGCCTTGGGATGCTGAGCCCGGGGCAGAGGATTCTGACAGCGGGAGTGGGCCAGAATGTCCACGTCTCAGCTAACCGCCCCCTCCTTTTCCGTCTTTCTTGGTAGTCACTCCGAGTCCGTACTCCTACACCATGCCTCATACAGAGGGGAACTTCAATCGAGTGGTCTTCCAACAGCGCGACCTGACTCTTGCATTGAGACCCAGGGTTGGCCGTATATTTATTTCATTCAAATCGGTGTTCCGAAGATCTATTCTCACCGAATCCCGAACAAATCAAGGGCTATAGACTTCAAAATAAACGATACTGGGATTGCCAACGCCCGTCCACATCCCCTGTTAGAACACTTCCAATCGGAAAATCCATATGTCAATGGTATTGACCGATGGGAATAAAAGAATAATCATGACCTATATGGGGTGGGGGGCCGTCCGGAAGGCTTTGATTCTGACCTTTTGCTGATCGGATTTTGGGCCCAGCGTCTCCGCAGGATTTGATTTGGGAAGTCAACAGAGTCCTGCCAAATTGATCCCTAGTGGCCCCCTCCATAAGTGGTTCGAGCTCTTGAACCAACCAGTTCTGTACCAAACCACCTTTCCCCAAATCCTCGAATTGGACGGACAAGTGGACATGTCCACTTGCGCTCCAGAAGAGGGCATGGCCGCCACATGGACGACCAACGGCGATCATCAATCCTTGATTTCCCCTCTTCTTATGTGTAAGCCCCCTCTACATAATTATGCATTGGCCCGAATTCAGAGTTCGCCGTCTGCTGAAGCCTAAGCTTCCCCGGCTCGGGGTTTCTGGAGGGGGGACTTGGTCGACGGTACAATGACCTGTCAACAACTATATTCATCGCTAAGACCCCATCTCCTCGCGCATAGACTATACAACACCTATGCGTGATCAATCGGAGACAAACACGGCGCAACTGCCTCTGCGCGCGGGCCCCAAAGAGTCGAGGGGAATAGACTGGTCACAGCGCTCAACGGCACAAACGGGCACAACGGTCTTAACGGCCCACGATGGTTGAGCTGTGGACCCGTGTAAATTAAACGTTGTCGATCTGCATTTGGCAGCAGGCTAGACCCTCCGTGAGCGACGGAAGTAGACAGGGGGCGCCCGGCGGGTCGTCGGGCTTTGCCTCCGAGGGCGCTGGGCCCTCGTGCAAACGGCTCTCGTTCAAGCCTCGGATTCTTCTTTTGTGGTCCTAAAGTTCAAAGATTGACCGGGCCTGTCGGGAATTTTCTAACCTGTCAGCGTCGTGGCCGTTGGTATTATTGTTGTTGCTATCTTTAGATCAGTTTGCTTTTTGAGAAGCTACAAATCATGACAAGCCTCTCATGCTGGAATTCTTCCAGAATAATTCAACCGAGAAAGAGAAAGTACTTCTGACTTCCCCGATTGGATCCAATGAAACATTACGCTGTGCTTTTGACACCGTCGCTGCAATATGAAGTCGAGCGGCCTGGCCCTGCGCTGGCCTCGGGCTTCCCGGAAGAGAGGGATTGTGGGGACATAAACTATATTTAGTCTGAGTCTTGATTATTCACGGGGCTACGTATGCTTAAGGAGGGTGTGCCGATCAAATTGGTGATAGTTTGGCAGATCAACGCACTCCCAGGTATCTTTGTTTTCGGATTATTATATCGTCCCCCCGCCCCCTGGGTATCCTAGCCTCGTGAAGGGCGGTACGGCCGCAATGGTCTTGAAGCCCACACTCAATGGCTTCAAATGTCAGCAGAGCTTGAACAATTTGTAAGGTATCCCGAGTTGCAGCCAGATGGCGTCCGGCTACAAACATCTCTTTCAGTTGGGCCCTTGCGTGTCGGACGAAGCAGAGGCGGCCAAGTTTCTCCCGTTCCCACAAATGGCGACAATAAGAACGGTGATTGCTCGTCATTGTCGAGGGTATTTAAGTTAGCGTCGTTCTCCAGTAGAAGTCAAATTGCGTCCCCAGAATCACCCATAAAGCCGTCAACTACAGTGTGTTATCACCTCTCTCTTTCGTCACCTCGAGCTCAACATTCCCTTCCAGCCAGAGTTTGACAACAGGAATTATGCTACTGGTTGGTGCGGTAAAGATGCAGTGTTTCTACTGTCAAGTTTTGATGTACAGGCTTTCTTCTCTGACCACGTCAGCCTGGACAACATCCTGATGGCAGCTTGATGCTGCTATGAGCAGTGGGCAGTCCAATTCCATTCGCCCAGAGCCATCGCTTTATCCAATGCTTCGTAGTAGCGGTTCTCACACGCATACAATAAGGTTGTATGCTCTGTAGGACGGAGAAGATGCGGGTCGGCCGTCTTTCTCAAGAGTAGACGGGGCTACATCAAACTGAACCGCACGCTGCTGAAGCATGAAGCAATGCCTTATCTATTTTATTCTTCATGCTAGGATCAGCACTTTTCTCCAGAGAAATGGATACTATGTCTGTGGTGCCAAAGGTGAACGGCTAATCAATGGTCTTCTTTGAAGCTCATCTTTAGTTCACTGGCCACCGCAATGAAATTAACTTTCGAACTTTACCATCCGATTCAAAGCAGACTTCAACGTATTCCAGTAGCAAGTATTGAACAGGCGCTATCAAATACAGAGAGCCATATGCGTGTCCTAGGTACGGTTTGAACGTACAGTCTGAAGTCCATGTAGTTACGAAAAGACGGAATATTGAACATAACTTGCGCATAGCAATTGGTTGACAGCTTCGACGGCGCCACTAGGTAGCTCAGTCTTAACTTTGCGTCCTCGGGAATCCCTTCTAGGGCCTGTAAGTGAAGCATTTAATGGCACTTAGTTGCGGCTGTAGAGTAAGTGTGGTCTGGCGGAGCCTGGAAAGCTGATAATATAATAATCATAAGAAGTCGCTTAAAATAAAGCCTCCACTTTGATATACCCTAATAATGACAGGGAACCATCACGTATCCATGAGTATTGCATGATACCTGACTGCAGCTTTGCTTGATCTCTCACAGATATCTATATTGACCTTCGGAATAGGGATATACGTGCACTACAGCCCTCTCTGACTGGTTATACTGAAGATAGAGTTTTTTTTAATATTTTATCAAATGAGCAGGTCTCTCTTCAAAATAAGCGACAGTAGAATCCCCGTAATTAGGATGAGAGCTCCATTATCGTCTCCTACATTTGCTCCCCACCCCATTATCATTCTACTCCGCCCACTTTATTTCCTATCGACTTTTTAGGGGTTCATTATGGCTAAGGCTATATAAAACTGTAGAGATTTCTGAAATTCCTGTTTTTGTTTTACTGGCGCGTCATGCATAGAGACAAAGGTTATCAGAATATCCTAGAGCTCTGGTTTGGAATTGACAGTTCGGAGCATAACAAGATTCCATGAAAAAATATAATTGTGGCCAAGCTTAAATTCTGAGAGAGAGTGGTCGAGGGTGAACATAGGCCAAGTTTCTACCTCGACTTCGGAGTACGTAACTTCACGAATGGAATTAACAGAAGGAAGCGTATGATCAGTGCAACTGAAGTCGGTTTATCTGTTGAGCCGTTGTGCAACCCTGTGTAATTGTCTTTCCCAAATGGGCAAGTATGCAACTGGCTGACTCATCCTAGTGCATGTGACGCCATCCCCCATCTTTGAGGTTCAGTCGTGCGGGGACGACTTGCCCCTGGCCATATCCAACAACGAAAGGCCGATTATACTATCTTTTTCACATATCGAACTCGTTGTTGGCTACTATCTGCTCTGAGCAACATGGCATTGCCGTTCAGCCGGTAAGTCTTATCAGTGGGTCCCAATGACGACGAGTAGCCGCTGAGACGAGTGCTGTACAGCTCCGATGAGCAGAGCTTGGCCTATGTCGCCGATATTGAGTCCGAACAGAAACAAGGCCTCCTGATTGGCAGTGATGGTATCGGGCGGACAAACGATATCTTTGTTGAGAGTACTCCCAGAAGCATGTGCTGTAAACAAAGAGGTCATTCGATCCGGCGCTTAGCGAAAGGCATCGTGACGATCAGCTGGATGGGCCTTCTGGCGTATGGTCTCATTCGATTTTTTTCTGGTATGTATGACTCGATTTTTATTTGAAAGTAAGACAGCATCTAATGCAGGCGGTCTTGCCATTCATCAGGTACAGAGGTCGAGATAATCGAACCGTCTTCCCCTCACCCGCAGACTCGCCCTGCAATTTGCCAGACACCAGAATGCATCCATGCAGCCTCAGAGATCCTTTTCAATCTAGATTCAAAATACACCGAGGTTGATCCTTGCACCAATTTCGACCAATATGTCTGCGGTGGGTGGAGGGAGCGCCATGATATGCGCGCCGACCAGGGATCGATCTTCACTGGGACAATCATGGAAGAGAATGCCCAAACCCGGCTACGTCATATACTAGAACGCTCAAATCCGCCAGATGGTGCCGATGACGGTAATTTCAACAAACTCAAAGCTGCTTATAATGCTTGTCTGGACGAGACCACCATCAGAGAACGTGGTACCAAGCCCTTGGTTGACCTGCTTACAGACCTGCAGAAGATCTATCCCGTGAAGAGCGGCCTTGTTTCTGGCACCCAAGATCACCTCACTAATGCCCTCTTGTTTCTTATGAAATCTGGAGTCGATGCTCTTGTCTCCTCGGGTGTTTCTGTAAGTGATTGCCACACCAAATGGATCCGTTTATCTTGGCCTCCTCTGATAATATCTAGTCTGACGATCGTGACCCTGACAATGTTGCGATATTTGTACAACCCCCTCGGAAAATTGGTCTTCCAGCGAGGGAGTACTATAACAAGACGGACACAGTAGCCGAGTATACTCAAACTCTGAAACAGGTACTTCAAGCCTTCGGCGGATCGGACAAGATTGCCGAAAATGTTGTCGCTTTCGAGACAAAGCTTGCACAAGTGACGCCGGACACAGCGACCCAGGAAGACGTCACCAAGTACTATAATCCGCTTAGTATCAAGGAAACCGAGTCATTAATTCCGGAGATTTCGTTTTCCGCAATCCTTTCAGAGTTGGCATCCCATGACTACAAGGGTGACCGACTGATTGTGGGATCCCCATCATATATGAAGGCCTTATCTGATATTTTGAACGATGCATCGCGAGAGACTGTGTCGTTCTTTCTGCAATGGAAGCTCATCCAGGGTTTCTCAGACGACATTGAAGCCGATGCGATTGTTCCTCTGCGGCAATTCAATAACAAGCTTGCCGGAAAAGACCCTCAAGCTACCGAGGAACGGTGGCGCAAGTGTATTAAGAGCTTGGATGATGGCCTTGGCTGGAGTCTAAGTCGATTTTACGTGCTTGATTCCTTCCCTGAGGAGTCAAAGAAGCTCGGAGATCAGGTTGTGTCGGACATCAAGGAGCGGTTCGTTTTCACCTTGACCCAAACCGGCTGGATGTCACCGGAGGTTCGGAAGCTGGGTATCAAAAAAGTGGAAAATATTATCCAGAAGATTGGATTCCCTACCAAGAGCCCCAATGTGTTGGATGCACAGGATGTGGAGAATCATTATCAAGGCTTGGATGTGTCAATGAACACTTTCTTTGAAAATGAGCTGGCCGTGGCAAGCTTCAAGCTTCGTAATGAATGGGCCAAGCTGGGAAAGCCCACCAACCGCGATGAATGGGATATGACTGCGCCCACAGTTAACGCTTACTACAACCCTCCTGGCAATGAAATAGTCTTCCCAGCCGGGATCATGCAGCCGCCAGTGTTCTATGGACCTGCCGCGCCGTTGTACCTGGCTTATGGCGCGTTTGGTGCTGTCAGTGGTCATGAGCTCTCTCATGGTAAGTATGCCATCTTGCTATGCTGCAACCAAACTACCCCTGTGGACTTGTAATGTGTTTGATATTAATCTTGTTTACATAGCATTCGACTCGACCGGTCGGCACTACGACGAGACGGGAAACTACACAAACTGGTGGGACGACAAGACCGTTGAAGCCTTCGAGGAGCGTGCCCAGTGTTTTGTAGATCAATATTCCAAATTTACCGTGGAGGGCCCTGGCGATAAAGTTCTCCATGTCAATGGACGCTTGACCTTAGGCGAGAACATCGCCGACGCCGGTGGGCTGACTGCATCGTTCCATGCCTGGAAGAAACACGACGAGGCCTCCCCGGATCCTCACCTTCCAGGGCTTGATGCTTTTAGTAAAGAACAGCTCTTTTTCATCTCCTATGGTAATTGGTGGTGCAGCAAGACCACGAAGGAAGCTGCTGAGCGGGCGATTTACAATGACCCGCATGCGCCCAAGGCGGCACGAATCATTGTGAGTTGAAATTACATGTTGGTTTTTTATGCCATATGAGTCTTTTATTAACTTGACGGGACTAGGGAACTATGGCCAATTCTCGCGAGTTCAACGAAGCATTCAACTGTCCCGAGAAGAAGCCTGTCTGCAAGCTGTGGTAGTCTGGCGGCCGGGTGGTATTCAGGGAGCAGGGAACCTAGGTTTGTTTTTTTCGGACTGTTTATTTTTGCCTTGCTTCTTTTTCTCTTTCCTCGCGTCCGGGCAATTTTTTTTCCAGGTGAACCACTTAAGAGTGGAAAACCTCTGTGCATTAGGTCCTCCTTTCGAGAACTCTTGTTTTCGGCGTCCGATCGGATGGAGTCAGTAAGAACATCCATTAGTAGCAGCATTTAGCATCTATCTATTAAAGTTTCTCGTCTTTTTTCTCTCTTTTTCTGTGGGAGAGGGGCTAGGCCTCTTTCTTGGACTCCGAGGTATCAGCTGCCAGATTGTCCAGTGACAAGCAGGGCCCCCCCCTCCTTCCCGAAATTTATAGCGCATTTCCCAGTCCAGCAATCCCTGTTCTGCGTGAGCCTAGTTCAGGCAAGCAAAGAGATCCCGTGTTCTAGGCAAACTCCCGCAGATCATGGTTGAAGGGGAGCGGTCTGGTTGGGAAAAAGTTGAAGGGAGATCATCGCGTCCAGATTGGACCCGTCCGACTTGGTGACGGGAAGCTCAAGCCGATCCCGCGATGTGGAGAAGGGCCGATCATGTGAAGGCTTCAAAATCGGGGTTGCGGTCCCAACCAACGCTTTCATTAATTAGTAAATTAAAGCAGCCCATCGCCTTGGCAGTGGTGGAACCGTCGTAAACCGTCGAAACTATCGTAAATTGAGTGAGCAAACCTCAGTAACACGGCCATTCGCCTCCCCCTGACTTCCTTCTAGGTAGACCTAAGCGAGTTGGAAGAGAAGATGAGTAGAGAAATCTCGTCAGCTACCCGAACCTTTCAAAACTCCCAGTTTGATCACTCCTTCCTTGGCAGTATGAGGCGTTCGAAGTGGGCATGAAGGCCGACTCGGCTCACCGATGATCAATGTCTTCCAGCAAAGCAAACACAAAACATATCGCCAATTATCTTCAAGGAAAGCCATGTCTTCAACGTCCCGGGTGGGTGGATTCGAGGTGCCAGAAGGATTGATCTCTCACGTCCCCGCTGGGCTGCATGGAGGTAATGCATGAGAGGGACCAGTGGCCCAACGCGGCGACGGGACAGGTCTCGGGGGCCATACATAGGGGCGGGACGTGTCGTGAGGTGTGCCCCCTTCATTTGCTCCATCTGCTCCATCTGGGCTCCATATATCAGCTGGGGTTCCAGAGTCGCGTCACTCAAACCCGAGAACCTAAGTGGAGAAAGGATTAACGGCGCCAGCCTCGGCCAACCAGCGAGCGGGGCCTGGTGGCCCCGACTGGGGGGTCGCTTCACCGGGGCGAATGGAAGGGCCTCGCGGGACGACGCGATGACCTATCACCTTGACGGTCCTGGGCCAAGAGAGCCCGCTCTCTGCAACATCCGGAGCATTTCCAGTGGAGGAGAAATGAGAGTGTGAGCTGAGATCGGACCGAGTTAGAAAGAGGTAGAAACGGGGAGGGAAGAGTTGGGAGCATAGGGATGTGGCAAGACGGAGACGTGCTGGGCGATCCTAATCAGCCCGTGACTCTTATCGACTCGATCCTACGCCCGCCTTATTCAATTCACTGAACTTCGTACACGCATTTACTTTGCGCTGCATAGTGCCAAAGCCCTCTACCTTTAACAGGGAGACCCAGCAGTGCATCCTGTCATATCCCACCCGATAATATGCCCTTCGGACTAATAAGACCAGTAGAATATTCATAAACCTGACTGGGCGTACCGTCATCACGCTCGACCTGTTCCTGGAGGCTGTGGCAAGAACGGGTTACCCAGCGTTCGCCAGGTTTTGTTGGTTCCGCCGCGTCGGGTCCGCCATCTCCACTCGGGCAAAAACAGAGCTGTCGCTTCTCCTGCTCCTCTCTTCAATTCTCCTACTCTCCTCTCGCGGCATGTCGTGCCAGCGTCGTTCTCGATCCCGACTTGGGCTGCTGTTGCATTTTCCTTAGTCCGTTCAAGATCATTGGCGCCCCCCTGCTTAGGATTGCGATTGTTCGCGTCGCGACGGAGCGGCTCGCCGCAGAGCTGCCATCCGGGGTAGCTCTCGCGAACCGCCTACGATGGAGCCTTTCCCATCTGCGATCGACTCGTCGGCGCCCTCCAGAGACAAGTCGGGCGAGCCTCAAGTCCGTATTGATGAGCTACCGGTCTCGATGCAAACACGCGGTGGAGCCCCTCCCAACAACATGACGCATTTACGCCGGGCCAACACAGTGGCACAGAGTGGAAATCTCATCAAGAGGAACCGTGAACTCAAGGCTACACGAGAAAGGACCGCCACTACCCCTTCTGGCCTGCGTGCCAAAGATAGCCATGAATTATTACGAAAGGCCCCATTGCAACGGTCCCAGACACACCGTGGTCCATTGGAGGCGCGTCCAGCCGGGCGCAAGGCAGGTCATTTTACGGTTGGAAGCGTCGGCCAGAATGGCAAGATCTTTCTCAGGTAGGATCTCAATCGATAATCTCAGTGACATGATCCCATGTCGCACACCGACTGCAGTAGAGCTGACAAAGGATCCTCCATGGCCAGACCGATTGCAAACCCGCCGCAGAAAGCGCCTTCAATAGTCCCATTCTCATCTATCGACCAAGTGACGAACCCCCATATTCCGCATCTTCAGCCGCAAAAGTACCCGCCGATCCGTGATGACCCATCGCGATGGTCGAGCTCCCAGCTCTCGGAACTGCGTCCCCGAGATCCCCCCAGTGAGGAGCCCGAGTCTGTCATGTCCGAAGCACCGCGACCCGAGTCGGCCAACCACTCTCGCCAGAGAGCCAATTCTTTCTCCACAATATCTGAACAGCACTCCGTGTCTGGCGCGGGGAAACGTGGAGAGCTGCGCATCGTGATCGACCGATCCGAGGATCGGCCCAAGTCCGCAGGCGAGAAAACTGCCCACGCAGCTCTGGAAGTCCCCATTCCTCATTACAGGCTTGGATCGCCACGATTCAACACCGAAGGTAGTGCAATCCTGCAGAGTTCCGTTTACACGCGAACATCAATGTCCGATAATTTTCGGAATTCGACATTACTGGGCGGCATGGCAGATCCGTTACCGACGCATTTTTCGAGTACATACTGCAGAGAATCCTTTTCTCGTAACCGTCCGTCTTTCGCGATATCTTTATTCTCCGGGACGGGCGCGATAGATCTCAGCCGAGCTTCGCCGGTGCCCAGGAACTCTGTTGTGTATGAGTTGAAAGGACCGGTTGAACCCTCCATCTATGAATCTTTGGTGTCGGATATGGATGGCGAAGCCGTTGTACGGTACATTCCTGGTACGAAAGATATCAGCGCTGCTACACCGGCCCGTATTGTTGCCCAGATCTCTTCCGAGTCATTCATGGATTATGAGTTGGTTTCGGACTTCTTTCTCACTTTTAGATCATATCTCTCACCAAGTCATCTTCTGGCTCTACTCCTTGCACGTCTCCAATGGGCTATCAACCGATTACAGGAAGACGGTCGCATCATTCGCATCCGCACATTTGCAGCTCTTCGCCATTGGATTTTGAACTACTTTGTTGACGACTTTGTTACGCACTACGAACTACGGACCCATTTCTGCGATACCATTAACTCTCTCTACTCCGATGTCAAGTCCCGTGAAAATGGTGGCAAGAGTGATTTAAAGATTCTCCTTGACTTAAAGCGATGCTGGAATGGCAAATGCTCCGTATATTGGACTGCTCCGGAATTCTCTCGTGCATACAACGACCCAGATAGCCCAATTAGCCCCGGAACTGCTCATATTGAGATTTTTCCCGGCGACATACCTCAACCAGATGGCATGGCGACGGCTCCTCGAAATGGCAATGTTCGTGAGAGCTTGTCCTTTTCTACCCAGCATGACAGAAATGAGTCTGCAGCCACCGCGCAAAGCATACCTTTCTCTTCTAAGAGTGACCAGAGTGTGCTCGCGCTTTCCTGCTCTCTTCCCCCCGGTCTCCGAAGCGCCTGTCAATGCCTTACTCCAAAGGCAAAGCACCGCGTCCGGTACCAGTGGGCCTAGCAAAGACAAGCTCCTCGCATGAAGCATCGCCCACATCACCGATGGTGTCGCGCCATCCATTTCATGGCCATGGACACAAGCGAAGCGGCAGCTTCTCGGACTCTGTCCGAGATGATCGAGTGCCCATGTTCGGTATGGAGCCTGGATATGCTAGGCGGGCACCCCAAGAGATATTGGACCCTATTGGTTTCATTCGCGGTGCTCTTTACCCTCCCGCCGAATCGTACATGACCATGATGGCACCCGAATCGCCTCCATTGGCGCCGCCTTTGGCATCATCCAATCCAGATCGCCGGAGCACTCCGGATGGTGGAGCTAGGTTGGGATCGAATACAGGCGTCAGAACATTCATTGGTTCAATCAGACGCGCATTGCATACCAAAAATGGCGGTCAAAGTGTCTCCGCTCGCATCGCTAATGCCTCTGAAGCTGTCGTTTTACCGCGTGGGAAGACCTCCGCGATGCCGAATCATATAGCTTTGGGTTCGGACATTTATCGAGAAAGGAAGCTGACCGCTGTGTCGAAGCGACCAACAAGGATTGATATACTTTGCGACGAATCACTAAAGCAATATCGCCAGATCATGAATCCCAATGAGATCCCAGGTGAGGTGAAGAAAGATATACAGCCACAAGCGATTCCTCCTGGCCTGCAAATCACACTCCAGCAATCCTCGCCAAATCCAAACGACGCTCATACTCTTCAGCCTCCCATATCCGAAGCCTCTAAGATCAAAAGTGGGATCACGACTGGCAGTGGGTCGATTGTCATTGTGGACGATACTGGGTTTGAGTTCCCAACGATGTCTGGGGCAGTACCAGAACCTCTCGATGACGCCAACTTTTATCCAAACCCACAGAACAATATATTATCAACTACGTTGTCACAACAATCCTCTCTAGGAGATGGCGGGTACTTGCTTCCGATATACTATAATAGTGAAGGGCCAGGACTTGTTGGACAACCACCAAAGGATCAGTATCCTTCCGGCCTTCCTTCGCAGCGACGATCTTTCTCAAACGAACGTCAATCTGTACCCAGAAAACGGACATCATTGTCGCTCCGGCTTCGAAAATATGCTTCTTTCCAGAGCGGGATCTCTAGGCATCGCCTCTCGATGGGAAGTGAGACAAGAAAATCCATCGCCGGATCGAATACCACTCAAGACTGTTCCGATAGGCCGGCTGGCCCAGCTCTTCGCAGACGACCCGGCGGAAACCTGCGCCAAATGCAGTTTGTTGATGAACGAGAGCAAAACTCTGGCCGTGGGTCTTTTGATACCACCCATTCTTACGGCGACTCTCTAGCGGAGACATCAATAACCGCTGACGAAGTTGCGTCTCGACCACCGACGACTTTGATTCCTCCTAATCCTCGTTATTCTCTTATCCAAGGCGTTTCAAATCGAAACCCGCGACGGTCTTTCGAAGCAGCTCTCGCCAGTTTTGCTCAAATTCCAGACGATGATGATGGTGGCATTGAATCGACGCTGCTAAAGCTCGAGGGTAAATGGAAGGGTCCATCTAGTAGAGTTCAATCTTCTGCTGATCAGGGTGGATCTTCTCAGGGGCTCCCAGCGCATGGAGAACATCCCCATGTTGAACCTGGCTTTGAGAAAGTAGGCTGGGATATCATTTCTCGGAGACGGCAGACTGATAAATCAGCGTATTCTACCATTGGCGGGCGACTGGCGGTACCAAGACCTTATTCTGATTCTGTGGCAGAGTCTGAGGAGTCGTATAATTCTATTCCTCTGCTTGAGCGTGGACTTTCAGACGAGTCGATGAAGCGACCACCTACTGGTCGAACTCGCATCGCTGAGACTCATGGCGCTTCTCTCAGTCTCATCTCTAGTCGAGATACTTCTGAGCTGACATCCTCGCATCCATCGATCCAGATCATTCAAGAAACGGAAAGCATTCGACGCATTGCTCGAGGTTCGACCCTTCCCGAGTCAGCCTCAAGAGAGACCGAGCAGCCTACTTCAAAGCGGCTGTCTGGCTCATCGTCGGAAGCCTCTGTTGATATGATTGATTCGCGGGAGGCCGGGGACGAGCGGCTGTCTACGGATACCCGTAGTTTGACCGCTTCAGCTGTGGAAATTCCACCTCACCCTTTAGCACACCCCCCTTCCCCTCCGATGACCATTCAACATCCAGGTTCTTTCGGCTCTTACGTCTCACCGCTAGACAAGGTACTGGTTCAGCCCCAGCTCCTTACACCTGATACCTCTCCTAGACATCGAGAGAATGAGCCTCCAACCGCGCAGCCCCGGAATATGCCACAGTTCGCTAGTGACGTTCTGTCCAATTCGGAGAAGCATAGGCCTATGCAGAGTTTTTCTACCGAAATTGGTCCCCATCATGTTCCTTTCATTCTTTCCTGTGAATCACAGGTGCTCGCCCAACAATTAACATTGGTTGAAATGGCGGCACTCAGTGAGGTTGACTGGAGAGATTTGGTCGAAATGAGATGGAGTAGTGCTTCTCCATCTATCACCAGCTGGGTTCAGTTTCTGACTACTGAAGAACGGAAAGGCATTGATCTGGTTGTTGGCCGCTTCAACTTGATGGTCAAGTGGGTTGTTTCTGAGATTGTACTTACTCGCGACATCCATGAGCGAGCACGCACTATCATCAAGTACATACATACTGCGGCACACGCGCGTCGTATCTGCAACTATGCCACAATGCTTCAGATCGCAATTGCCTTATCTTCGTCTGACTGTTCTCGGCTGCAGGATTCGTGGCAACTAGTTCCCCCCGAAGATAGACGACTCTTCAAAGATATGGAATGTTTGATCCAACCTGTGCGCAATTTCCATGATCTCCGTGTTGAGATGGAGACAGCCAACTTGCAGGAAGGTTGCATTCCATTCATTGGTAAGCTCTTTGACATTTCCCTTTGATATCCCCCCCAAATGCGGTGCTAATACAGTCCAATCGTACAGGTCTATACGTCCATGATCTTACCTACAACGCCCAGAAGCCAGCTCAGGTCAATAGCAGTGCGGGTGGGCTACTGGTCAATTTCGAGCGCTACCGTACTGCCGCTCGTATCGTCAAGAGCCTGCTTCGTCTGATTGACGCCAGCACGAAGTACCGATTCGAGCCTGTCCAAGGTATTATTGAACGATGCTTATGGATCGCATCTCTCTCTGAGGAGGAGATCTCAAGTCGAAGTAAACGACTTGAATAATCAACCTATATATATGTGTCCCCCCGGGTGTCTTCGAAAGCCTTGCGTTTGTATTTTGTTTTTGCCCTTCGATGTTTTGGATTTTTCATACCCCCTTTTGTGGCACGGGTGCATTCCTGCCATTATATCCTGTATCTATACTTTGCATTTGTCCACCTTTTGGCCTACTCTTTGGTTTTCGCGTTTGGAGCGAGCATTAAGCATATGATTTGGGAATATTTGAGATATCACGGATGATGGTTATTGAGATGTATTGATTGTTATGCCTGAATTCTTTTACTTTGATGCGCGTCAAGTTCTGCAAATTCCCCCGGCTTCCCCATGTTCCGCGTGACTTCGACAAGATTAGGTGAAATGATCGTTTCACAATGGCCAGATATGAATGAGTACAGTATACTGTAGATCCTCCTTCAATTCGTGTAGACCCCTGTTGTTATCTGGTGGGAGTGGCATCAACAACGTCGGGGTTTCATATTAAGTGGGTTCCAAAGTGCGTCATAAAAAAGCTACAGCACTGGTTGGTGTTTGATCTACGCCCCGGACCACCTTTTTCAGCGCCGACCCATCACTCTCCCGCCGACACCTAATTCCGACCGAGCGCGACTCCATTTTCCCACGTCTTCTCCTCAAGGACTATTCCTCAATATTTGGATGTCCTGCCTCTTCCAGTCTCCACGACCGCAGGCCCTCCAAGATGGACACGACCGAGCCACGGCGCGGGGCTCCAGAGGAGGGCGACACTGACCCTAACTACAGCCCCGCGTCTTCTGAGAAACAGCAAGAACTCCCCGATGACTTACCGAAGTCACTAGACGATCGCCGATCAGTGCCGGTTTTTCAGGAGACTGAGATGTACGATGCGTGGCAAGGTAAGCAATATCTCCCAGGACTCCCAGGGCCTGCGCATAGCCACTCTATTCGGGCCATGCCTGGGGCCTTTGATTACCAGCCAGATGATCGTGCAGATTGAACTGAACCATCACGCTTCCTTCAGGACAATCCCAATTCCTGACGACCCCGGTCGCCGCAAAACCCCTGAGCTTTAGTCTCGCCCTCGATGACCACTCGCACGATTCGGAGCACGAATTACGGGCACAGTACGGCCGGGACCTGGAGGATAGTGATGCCCGTCTGATGGAAATGCTTGCGGCCCAGGCTGCCCATCGTGAGGTGGACTCCTTGGGCGCGGATGAAGAGAGTATCGCTGCAGACGAAAAATTGACTGTTGTGGAGAAACGGGACATCCTGCAGAAAAGCCTCAACATGGCGGCAAGCAACGGTGACGTCGAACGTGTGCGGAAACTAGTCCAGGGCCCGATCAAAACCTACGTCGATGTGAACATGCCAGACGAGGAGGGGGCGGTGCCCTTAATCTATGCCAGTTGTTTTGTGGGTTGTTCCCCTCTGTTCCTCCGGCGCGCCTCCTTGAATAGGGATAAGCTTCCCCTTCCGTTGATGGCAGGAAGGGTTGATTGAGAGGGATAAAGGCTAATGAATGGGTTGGCAGGGTCACCAAGATGTCGTTTCGGCTCTCCTCGACGCGGGCGCTTTCGTCGACCAGCAAGACCGTAACCAGTGGAGCGCATTGATGTGGGCCATGACGAATCGACACAAGACTATTGCAAAGATCCTCCTCGATCATGGAGCTTCGCCGGATATTAAATCATCTTCTGGAGGCACAGCATTCGACTTTGCGCAGCCGGGGAGTGAGATTTCGGAGTATCTGCATGAAAATGGGTATAACTTCGGGCCAAGTGCGATCGAGGATGATTTCTATGACGCGGGACTAGCACATGGCCGGTTCGAGGATGAAATTGCCGAAAATGAAATGAAGCGCCGTATGATGATGGAGGAGAGCGCAATCAATCTGGAGGTTGACTTATCGAGTTTAGGCCTCGATGAGAACTTTGAGGTGAGCCCTAAAAGATTGGCGTGCCAAAGAACTATGCTGATAGTGGACCCTTTTTCCAATTCGGAACAGCCATCAGACGACGAAGATCTTGAAGAAGAGCAGCAAGAGTTTGTTTGGGACCGATGCCTGAATGACCAGATGTTCGTGTTCCAAGATCACGAATTGGAACGTATACTGGAAATTATTATAACCAACATGACTCCGCAACGCTCTCCGTCTCAAAAACCCGTACCGGCGAATCTCCTCTTTCTTAGCGCCCGATATGCTCACTATCATGCCAGCCCTGAGCTGCTTGCGGCTCTCCTCACATCGGCAACAGAAAAGATCAATGATGTCGTAGAACGTCACCAATGGGATATGACCATGCAAGCATTCTGGATGTCTAATGCTACATTGCTGCTCCACTATCTCAAGAAGGACACGGAACTCGTGGAAGCCACGGTCCAGTTTCAGCTTCATCTGGCCGAGCTAATTAACGAGATTTTCATTCTCATCATTCGTGACGCTGAGCGGCGAATGAACAAAGTCCTGGATGCGGCAATGCTGGATCATGAAACCATCCCGGGTCTTGAAGATGTCGCGTTTCAAAATGAGTGGAACATATTCCGAAAGAAGAAATCAGAAGCTCCCGAGCCTGCAGAGAAGAGATTTCGGCCACCATCCCCTCGTCGGCGAGCTCAGATCTCTCCCAGAAACATAACCTCTCTATTATCATCCACCCTTTTCGTCCTTGACCTATATGACGTTCACTCAGTGATCACTACACAAATCCTGTCCCAGCTCTTGTATTGGCTTGGTGCGGAAATTTTCAATCGCATTATGAGCACCCGACGCTACCTAGCACGAACAAAGGCCATGCAGATTCGGATGAATGTTTCCACACTGGAGGATTGGGCTCGTACCAACAACAGACAACCGGAGCACTATGAGAATGGGTCTTTGACGAGCACCGGTGAGAGTACAGTTGACTCCGCTCGGCATCACCTTGCGCCAATCATCCAGTTGCTCCAATGGTTACAATGCTTCTCTTCTCTTGGCGACGACCATGAATCTCTTGTGACGACTCTTCTTCAACTCCAGCAGCTCAGCCCTGTCCAACTCCTGCATGCCGTGAAGTCATATAGACCGGAAGTTGGTGAAAAGGGCCTCACCAAGCCGGCAATGAAGTTTCTCCTAGAAATGCAGCGTGATCCAGATGTGCTGTACCGGGAGCAATTTAAGATCCAAGAGGAAAAGGCGAAGGCGGATGCAGGACCAGCGCCTGCATTAGCATCCGGTGCCACCAAAGAAGACCGGCCAAAGACACCAAGTAAAGACAAAGCCGATGCCAATCCACAAGCACCTGGAACCTCCGACCTCGGGGTCGCTTCTCCGGGTTCGGCAGCTGCCCCTTCGCGACCGACTAGCATGTCGGCTCCATCCAGAAATGATGACCGCCCTAGCAGAAATAGTATTTTCTTAGACCCAACGCTCTTCCTCCCATTTTCCCTGCCAACAAGCACAGACATGCTCATCAGCTATGGCGCCGGACTTGGTGGGACCAACCGCGAGCGTGCACGCAAGTACATCCCAACCGTTCCGCCAGAAGTACTTACCCGCTTCGATCGCGGAAACGACGCATAAAAAATCAACTGTCGGATCACCACTCTCTCTTTCCTCTTTTATCCCTTATTTGTTTCTCCAAAGCTTTGGCTTTTTGAGTTCCAATTCATCTCAACTCAGACTTTGGAGTGCTCGGATTCTGTGTTGTGTACGATTTCGGGCTGGACTTGGGATGACGTGAGCAAAGCGATACCCTTTCTCCAATATTTGCTTCTGGGCTGGCGAGTTAAAATGAAGGATTTGTGGAAGGACTTCGATCCTCGTATATATCTATTTTCCCAATGGAAATTAAATTCGTGAATAGAAGACCTAAATCTCTTTAAAGACTCCTTCCCTCACAGCCTAAGCACAGCGACCCTGACGCCGATCAAGTGCACCCGTCATCTATAACTTGAATTTACCCCTGTGGTAACCCGATCGGAGTCAATTTGGCTTTGCGGATGCTGCTATAGTTTGTCACTGGTTGGAGTGGGAATAAGGTTACGGGTATTGATAGAAATCCCACTAGGTACCGTGGTTCTAGTTCGAACCTTTTGATTCAGACGCATGAAGGTCCCTGTAATTCAAATTAATAATGGCTTCAAATAACCAGGATACAAAAGTCCCCGAGCATTCACCATATAGGGTCATCCCGCATGAATCTACCTCGGTTTTGAGAAGATTCGTATGCCTGTCAGGGGTTGGTAAGCACCGACCAAGATTTTTTTGGCCTTCATTATCTCTTTCAAGACAAATCTAGGTTAGCTCTAGGATTCAAAATAAATCCTACCAAAATAGAACAAGTAAGGTGGATCAGCCACAAGCCCATTTGGTGAATGGTCCGTGGTGAGTGCGTAAGCGTTCGCTTTCGATGGTCATGCATCACTAAAGGATGAGTATGACATGCGTACCGCGTACTTCGTACACAGGCCACATCGCCAAGTAATCCAACCTCCCAAAAAATACAAAGAAAAAGCCTATCTTAGCCTATTGAACATCATAACAGACATATCAATGAGCAATTCAGTGCTTGACTGACAAAGTTGTCGAAGACGAGCCACTAGGTCTAAATAAGGGTGGTCGCGATCTATCACGATCTATCATGCCGAGCCCAATCGGGGTCCCACTTTTTCCCTTTTTTTGTGCCGTCTGTGCTCCTTTCCATGGCTGTCAGATTGTTGGATGTCAGTGATTGGGTTCAAAGGGACCTGGAAGTATAATCCTTGGCGAAATCGTAGACATAGCGATAAGATGAATTGCGGGTTCAGATTTTTGGAACTCGGGGGACTCCCCGATAAGCTTATACTCGTCACATGGTCGCATCTCACAACCACGTCTACATCGCCTGAATCGCCTGAACCGTCTCTTCAAAGGCAACGAAGATGGCAATCATGCTGCCACTCCGATTCTCTCTGTCTTCGATTGGCCCAAGTGGCTGATTGCCACGGCCATTTCTGGTTCTCACCCGCCCGGGGTCCAATCGGCATGATGAAACAATCCATGCATGTGCATGGAGAAGGAAACCCGCTGACTTCATCCTAGACTGGGAGCATACATGACAATATCCGGAGTACGAAGCACTGTCTGTACCATCTGCATTCTTACACATCGCGCAAAGGCCCTGGTCTCTACAACATCCGTGTTCGTGGGCTTTTGTTTGAACCGTCATTGGATGCCTGACTCGTAAAGGAATCCACCCACGGCACCCGATCACGAACGCACTTCCCCCCCCCCCCTCAACAAATGTTGGGATGCTAGGATCTTGCCAACTCAGGGATGCCTAGTGCTGCACATGCCCTCTTCCAGATCTGGCCAGTCGGTGTTCAAGTAGAAGCAGGTCGAAGCGAGTCGGTCTTCTTGCGACTGACTGATGATTGCATTTCCCGGCCCCCTCGTTGCACTGCTCCTGGTCGTCATCATCAATCTCAAACACCTCCTACTATCACCATCTGAACCCTGCCCGGGAGCCGATCTCAACCAACTCCTCCAACTATTCCCAACCGGGCTGCGATTGGCATCATTGCCGAACCGCGCCCCCCTAAAACATCCGGATCAGCGCCGTGACCAAGTGGAACCCAGCGCTTGCGCGGAGTCCGTAACCCACCCGCTTTCGCAGCGTCGTCAAGAATGATTATTGGAGGTGGTCTCTTGATTCGTCTCCAGAAGGCGGCTCCCAATTGAGGCTAACAGAGAGGTCGATGCTCCTCATTTGCGCACCTCCACTGTCTTCACCCACTTGTCTGGCCCGGTAGTGTCGTCGTCTTCGTAAGGCCATCTATCCCGGCTAAGGGCAATGGCCTAAAGCACGCCGACGCCTACGATCAATCATAACTGGCCCCTTCGAGTTTTGAATTTATTTTTATTTTTCTTCTTCCCTCGTCTCCCTCCCTCTTCTCCTCTCCCCTGTCACAGTCCTGGTCCTTCTCGGAGAAGCCGAGAACCCCCTTCCTTTTCCCTTCTAGAGGCCCGTCGATGCAGGCTATCGGTACGGCCCGTGCTGAGGTACTCGCAACTTGTTTCAGATTGCCTCAGATCTCGCGTGTCCCCGCCTTCTGGATGTTCGATGTTTGAGCTGTTCTCGCTTCTATCGAGACCCGGCAATTCCTTCCTAGACTGGCACCGCTCGTTTTCTCTCTCCTCCCCCCGGAGCCGTCTGTAGCTGCTGGGCCCCATTTCGATTACGCAGGCTTGAGGCCTCCGGCGGACTCGACGCTGACTCAGTCCCACTGTGCACGCAAGAGGGTAGGTGCTTTCCTATTTAGGTAATCGGGAGGTTGCTTCGTTTGAGGGTTTTGCTCCATTCCTTTACACCCCTTCCCTATTCTTCTTTCCCCCAAAAACCCATCTGCATCTCCAATCCTTGTCTTTCAAACCATGCGCCAATACACAGTCCCGTGCTTCGACAATGTTGCTCACTCTTAAACCTCCGTCCAGCGACAGAGACATCAATGAGTATACGGAAATTTACCGATCGAATCCGGCCTCGCGGTCTTCGACGTGGTCTGAGACCTCATTTGGGCCTGATTCAACCTCTATGGAATCCTCCAATAGAGACCTTCCTCCGCCGTCTACCTTGACTCATCGGCCTTCAGCAATGCCTACTCCTCTACCTCCCCCGCCTGCTCACTGGATCAGCCCGGAAGACATGCAACATTGGCTGCAGGCTAAAGCCGAAGAGGACCGGCGCAACCAAGAGGAGGAAAGGACTCGACAAGAATCTTTACGGCTGGAGCAGCGGAAAATGGAACACACGATTCTGATGGAATCGTTGCGCAATGGTGTTCCACCACACATGGTCCCATTGGTATTTGCGTCGATGAGTGGTGGAATGAATTCCAGTGCCTGGGTGGATCGGATGCATCAGTATATCTTGGACACTACCCGAAATACTTCAATGTCAACACGCCCACAGGAAGCATCTCCGGCCTATTATTCGGGCTCAGCTCAGGCTACGACTCTTCCACCACTCTCCCATCAGCTCTCTCAAATGGCTCCTGTTGAGCCACCGCGCGATACGCGGGATATTCGCATTCTCCATTCTAATGTCTATACCTCAACTGCTCAGAATCCGCCCCTCAACACGGAAAATATCCCGTCTCAGCTACCCCCGAGGAGCGGCGGCTTTTCCTTCAACCCGGTTCCGAACACCCCAAGTTCCGCTCCATCGCTTGTCCAGAGACCCCTGGAAGTGCCATCGCGAAGCCAAGCAAGTACCTTCAACTCTGTTCACTATATTGGTGTTCCACCACCGCCGAATCCAGCCGTCCGGGGCCAACAGGAGAATCGATCACGTCGGACCTCGCCCGTGATATCATTTCATCATTGGACTCCACCGAGCCATCAACAGCCTCAGGTCCCATCAAACAGGAATCAGGAAGATTCTGTGCCATCATCGAATATGTCATCCCAGATCCGGGCTAGTGGCCAAGCTTCACCAGGTCGTAAACGCAAGTCGCTCTCTGTTCATCGCCAAGTGCCTCACCCATCCTCTCGTTTATACGATGCCCATCCTAAAAGTTCTGTCGTCTACAGCCAACAAAGTCCAAGTACCAGCAGGGCTGGCGAGACTGAGTCGCATGAGCATCATCGAAAACCGAGTGATGTTTCAAACTCGCATGAATCGCGTGCTCCGGAAGAGGACGAGGGTGATCATCTCCGGAGGACGACGAGATCCCGAGCGCCGACTGAACAGCCTGTTCGGGAGTACAGAAGACGATCCACCGGCAGAAGCATTAAGATCGAGGTTGTTCCCAAACCCATTCAAAAAGCTGGTCCTAATGAAACAACTTCGCAAGGTCAAGCATCGGATGCCGACAGTCCGCCCTATCCGTCTCAAGACTTAGCAATGGGTACCAGGTCTGGTGGAGCCGCTACCAGGGGCGAAAGCCCTAAGCCTTGCGAGTAAACTCAAGCACCGATTGTTTCAAATGTCCTTCACCTTTTCCTTTTTTGGTAGCCGAGCTATGGATTGACCTCCGCTACCTCTTGAGTAACACATTTTATCCGATGTTGCATCGGTTGCATCACCGTGGGCCCCGATTTTCTATTTATATGAGGTTCCAGAGTGGGGTGTCTCGAAAGACTTGAACTCACGGCGAGAATCCAACATCTCTTGGATTTGCATTGATACCGCTATTCACATATGGTGTTCGGTGGCGAAGCGGCTGCTTTTTGTCTTATCTGCATTCGTTTGAATCAGACACTCTTTTTCTTGCACGGGATTGAAACGGTTATCTGGAAGGACTGGATCGAGGCCGGCTGGTTCCGTGTCTTGTGTATAGAGAGTCATGAGGTTAAAACCGGCCTGTGTATTGCTTGCATAGCCCGTTATTTTTCTTTCCCAAACTCATCTTGTATATTTCTGGGATGCGCTAACGGGTTTAGCCCTATTTCTATCTCTTGCGCGTTGGGCTACCCGCTACCAACATCACACAGAAAAGTTCAATTCATTCCTATGTCCTACTCTAATACTTCCAACCCTTATAACATGTATCTAAATAATGGAGACCGGTCGCCCATCGAATCTGGATCCGCAGGATACTGCGATGGGTCGATACGATCTCGTTTGTGATTAATGCGCTGGTATATGAATCGCATAAGAATCGTCGCCAGCATGCCCACTACCACGAATCCTAGTTCAAGTGCATGACCGAGAATGTACTGTGGGGCGTCTTCGGCCCGATAGAAGTTAGACGCCATCGCTATGGTTGCGGAGATAGGTTAGTACACCGATCTATCCAGTCCAATCATTCCTTGGCCTTGGAAAACTCACCCCCTGCAAGATTGCCGAGGCCTATGTAAATGGCCATGCCGGCGGCGCGCTTATAGTCACCCGCAAGGTTGACGCTTAGCCAGGTCACATTACCTGGGAAAGCAGGGTAAATGCCTAATCGTATTATTAGCAGTTTTTCAGTGCCTATAGGTTAAAAAAAGGGTGGTGGAACGCCGGACTGACCAACGACTGCAACGAACACCCCAAAGTATACTACTCCCGGGACACCCCGCCCACTGGAGGCAATGCAAATGATGAACCCGATGGCAATCATAGCCATGAAGAACAGGATGAACGGAGAACGCTGTTTCTGCCGATCAGAGAACCATGCTGCAACGACGGCGACGACGGCAGCCGTAATATATATCGGAACCTGTTTGCTAGACCGTCAACTTCTTGTGATCAGTCGGTACTTCCAGCAAGGGGACTTACCGTCAAGAGCTGTGCGGTGGACGAAGTGTACCCCAGGTCTTTAATGATTGATGGGAGAAAGAACGAGATGCCATACAGCGGACAGGTTATGCCCCAATACACTGAAGATGACCCTGTTAGCCGAAGCGATTCCGACGTATGGCGCATCTGCGTGCCAGTCTCCCCGCCCCCCACTCACTGAAAAGCCCCAGGTAAATCTGCCAATCCGTGAATGCGTCAATGACATATTTCATCCGGAACTTGGCCTCATCCTGCACCATCTCGCGCGCGTCGGCCGAGTGCTGGATTCGTAGGCTGTGAATAACAAACCGGCGCTCTTGCTCAGTGAGGAATGTGGCTGTCTCGGGCGAATCGTGGATGGCAAATGGTGCGATGAGCGCCACCAACACGGTCAGAAGGCCTTCAAGAATGAAGATCCAGCGCCAGCCGGCGTAGCCACCCACACCGTCCATTTTCTAGCCGAGCCAGGTTAGTCTTCGGTCCGGGCCAGTGTAGGAGATGCGCAATCTTACGGCAATGCCATATGCGAGAATTCCGGAAAAAGCACCGGCAATGCTGGCCGCGCTGAAAAAGAGAGCCTGGCGGTACTGGGCTCGGTGCCTAGGGTACCAGAGCGTAATGTAGTAGGCGACGCCGGGGTAAAGACCGGCCTCTGGAGATATTCAGCACTCCGTTTGTCCAGGGGATGATGGCGCGCCCAGGAAAAGGATCACAGGACCAGAAGACCTACCAGCGACGCCCAGGAACAGGCGGGTAATCAGGAGCCCAGCATAGTTATGCACGACCCCCATGAGTGTCTATCGAAGGGTGGACAGTGAGATTTCCGTTCAACTATGGACAGCCATTGGATTGGGCGCCCACCATGACGATCCCCCACGCCACCATAATCAGCGGCAACCATCGCGACGGTCTGAGCTTCTTTAGCAGCAAATTACTGGGCAATTCGAAAACGCAATAGGTGAAGAAGAAGACAGTGACTGTTTGCCTCTGGAATTAGCCAATGCCCACCAAAGCAGAAACGGAAGGGCAAAGCAGCGGGTTGCGCACGGGTCCAATTGTACTGCGGCCCCGTCATATGGAGATCGTCCACTAAGCCCTCGATCTTGGCATTGCCAATATTGCCACGGTCGAGAAACGCCAGCAGGTACAGAATACTCAGCATGGGAATCAGCCGGATGTCCATCTTGCGCAATACGGCCATTTCATCGATGCCCGCGAATTCGGGTGCGGGAATGGCCTCGTTGTCTTCGGCCTTGACATCCGGTGTGATGGCCCGGGCATGTTCAAGGTGCTGCGAGGGTTTCCCCATCGATTTTGAATCGGTCGAGTCGGGCATGACGAGAAGGAAGAATGAATGTTCAGGCTGATGGATGCAGAGGCACAGATTGAGGGACTGGATCCTGCATTTATATAGTCTTTTTACCGTCATACAGCCTGCAAATATTTCCCCGGCTTTTCGGGTCCCCCTTGGATGGGATCTTCATTCTGGTCCTTGGCATGAGGGGTTCATGGCGCAAGCCTCATCCCGCCCTGGCTTTTCAGGGTTTGGCGCGGTGTCGGGGTGTACTTGCCAGAGGTCGAGTGGAGGGGGCTTGCGGATGGATGGTTGTACAGACAAGGTAAGAAGACTCAAAGAACCCAAAGTTGCGATGGTGTATAGATCGAGGTATATGCCGACCGGGTATTGGGCTGCCTCCAAACTTCGAGTCCATAGAACTAACTACCATGCAGAGAAGCTGCATTCCGCGATCCCCGCACTTTAATTTACTTTCTCGAAGACCTCGGCGACGGCCAAAGGACCAGTTCCAATCTCGCCCTTCCTGTATGCTTACGCTTCATACGATCGGACTAAGAAAGAATACGTCAACATCCAACGACCCGCTGGAAGACCATCCAATCTCATCTGGATCACATAGATCGTGTATCGTTTCATGTCTCCGTGTAAGGCTATTCGCGGTCGGATCGTCCCCAAGCCTGTGGCCCGCTCTATGACCTTTCCAAATGCGACCTGAACGGTCTAGAAGATGCAGAAAATACAGCAAAGGGTTGAGACAGCTACCTGAGAGTCTTCCCTACGCAGCCACATCTGTTATCAGACTGAAATCATCGCCGAAGCGTGGCTCCGCCTCCAATTCAGTCATTAAGTGTCATCATAGCATCATCCCAGCCATGCATCTCAGTTCCCATTCTGTCGCCCGGAATCACAATGGCTTCAATTGACTTCCAACCTTTTGCTATTCTTTACCCTGTGAGCCGGAGCACTCCTCCCTTCTCTTTCTCGCTATAAGCCTATCTACCATCTATCAATCTCCAACGCTCCCAAAAGAAAGAAAGAAAAGAGGAAAAACCACCATGCCTTCCACCCCATGGACCAAGCCTGACACAACCACCCGGCCAATTGCGGTCATTGGCGCCGGCGTGATGGGCCGACGGATCAGCATGATGTGGGTGGCAGCCGGCTATACTGTGATACTGTGTGAGAAGGCCGTGGGCAGCTACGACCCAGCGCTGGAGTTCATCAATGGCAATAAGGACCAGCAAGCCGCAAAGATGGGCACCAAACCCGCACAAGTGAAAGTGACGGCGTCGATGCAAGAGGCGGTCGAGAAGGCATGGATGGTGATCGAGGCCGTGCCCGAAAAGCTGGACATGAAGATTGAAATTCTGGGCCAAATCGACCGGCTGGCGCCGGCGGACTGCATCATCGCCACTAACTCGTCGTCTCTGCGCTCCAGCCAGATGCTCGCCCAGACCGAGAAGAATTACCGGATCTGCAACGGGCACTACTATATGCCGCCCGAGCAGACCTACTACGAGGTCATGTCGTGTGGCCACACCGACCCGGATATTTTCCCCTTCTTGATGGAGAAGGCCACCACCGCGGGCTTCCAGCCTGTTCATGCGAAGAAGGAGTCGACAGGATTGGTTTTCAATAGGATTTGGGCCGCCATTAAGCGCGAGTGTCTGCTAGTCATGGCGGATGGGGTCAGTGACGCCCGGACGATTGATGATATGTTCATGTCGTGGTTCAAGGCGGCGAAGGGGCCTTGTCAGATGATGGACACCGTGGGCTTGGATACTGTGTACAACATTGAGGTTGTGTATCAGCAACAGCTAGGCCTGGACCCGCGGGCGAAAGATTGGCTTAAGGCGGCATATGTGGACAAGGGGAACTTGGGCGCGAAGGGCGGAAAGGGTTTACTGGGATGAAAATCGGAAGCATTACAGACAAGGAGAGAAGGCAGTCTACCCTTTGACTTGTGGCGGGAGACCTGGATAGAAATCAAAAAGTGCTAAGTCGCGATCTGGATCTGATGAACCCGGGGCTAAAGCTCGAGAATGTGTGGGAATCAGCTTGCAAATAAAGTGCCTCTGATTCAATACGTGTATCAGTAGCGGCGTTCTTTCGCCCGTTCTATATATGGATTGAATTCACAATTACACATTGATACAGTTTGCCCAAAGAAGAAGCAAATCGAACAGTTGCAGACCGAGCTGAGGGAAGAACCAGGTCAAACGCATCGAGATGGAAGAAAGAAAAAGGCCAGCCAGTGTCAAAGACCCGAGGTGCGGTCAGACAGTCAGATAGCGATGAGAAGGAAATGAGGCCATGAAAACAGGTCTTGTGGGCAGAAATGAAGAACATGGGAGATGGGGACATATTAGGAAATAGAAAGAGAGCGAGAGAGCAAGACATAGGGTGCGTGTAAAGATAGAAGGTCGTTCGAGGGCACCACAACGGTATTTTGTAGTCATGAGAACAGGCCAAGAGAGGCCGAAGAAAAGAATCAAGTAATGAACGTGATGAAACATCAAAATTGAAAGAAACAAAAGATAGGTATTAAGAATAAGAAGGTGGCTGTGTTCAAGAGAGTAAGTGTTCAAGAGCTCTCCCACAGCAGTCCATTATCCCGCATTAGCGGATAAGTCAAGACACATGAGAATGGGTATAATGTATTAGACATCAAGGGTGATTCTCGAGGCCCACCCCGATCATTAGGGTATAAGATCGCCTATCAGGGAAAGGAACAAAAGGCGAGAAGAGGTAGAAATATCACGTCGAACGGAATGAATCAAGCCAGATTCAAGATGAGAAAGGCTATTAGATCGCCTTCTTGCGGCGATGGACCTTCCATTCTGCTTTGGCCACCCGCATGAAGAGTTCAATATCTTTGATCGGAACCCAGCTGGTAAGGACCTTCATACTGTTTTCGAAATCAGACTCTAGAATAATCTCGCGCATTCCGTCAATCAACGCAGCAGAGGTGGCATGGAGGACATCAAGACCCTGGCCAAACGTGCTTGGACGTGCTTCAGATGCATCTTTCTTATGTTTGGCGGATGAAGTAGACGGACGGCCCGTAATATCTTGAGCATCTCCAAGGAGCATGAAGACATCCCACACTCGAAGTTGGGCCGGAAAAGGGATAGAATAATTAAAAAGGGTCAGATACCAGCGGGTACCATATGCAGTGGGTGGAATGCCAACTTCGGTCTAAAATATAGCGAGTTAGTGACTGGAAAAAAAGTGTGGCAGTCCGCTGCTTACTAGTTTCGAGGCGACTTCACCCCCGGCTAGCCACTCCCGTTCAAAATCGTCCAGAGCCTCCATCAGACCCGCGAACCCAGATCTATATAGCTCCTCCAAGCCGCGTAATTGCCACAGTCGAGCAAGCATAACAAAAGCATGTTCTTCGTCATAGTACGCCAGCAAGGTCGCCGCAAGAGCAGCCATTCCTTGCACATAGCCGGTGTCAGGGAAATATAATGACATAGCGTGGAGCACCCGGAAGAGAAGTCTCTGTCCGCCGCGGTATCGCCGACGAAACATGATGTGGCTTGAGATAGTTCGCGGGACATCAATGTCAATTTGGACGTCGTCGGGCGAGGAGACATATTGGTACTCGTGAAAAGCCTCAATAAGTTCCTCTTCGGATGGGCTATCCGCATGTTGTTTTGCACTAGCCTCGAGGAACGAAAACCACGCCGTCGAGCGCCATCGATCTGGAATGCCCTTCCACGTCCGCTCAATCAATTTGGAACTGTGAACATCGAACTCAAATTTCATCCCACCACCATCCCTGGTCTTCTTGGTAGGCTTGGCCATCTTGGTCCACTTGTCCTCACGTTCCCACTCCTTCCTCCGCATCGCACGCGCGGCGGCAGTGTCCTGTCCCTCAGTGGGAGTGTCCGCTGGGAGGGTCAGCATGTCGCCTGCCTCGTCCTTGAATTTCCGGTCCCTATTGTGAGGGAGGCGGTTGGTTGCAGAACGTAGGCGAGAGGTCGATCGCCGTATTGGTACACTGTGTGTGCTTGCCGAGGAAGATGGCCGGCCTGGCGCTGAACTATGGGACATGTTGCGAGTTGGGGATCGGCCACTGAAAGACCGGTTACTCGCGCGAGTAGCTGACGGCCGAATAGAACGTTTCCGCCGTGGCATTTCAGAGGCGAGAAGAAGGCTGGTAGTTACCCTTTGGATGGGATGGGGCTCTGATCCACTGCCATTCTTTGCGGGCGAGCGAATGAAACCGTAACGATCCACATCTCCAGCACCTACATTCTGCCAATACTCAATCCCTCCGGCCAGCTCTTGTGTTTCCCTTTTGATTCTGACTCGCTCTACTTCGGCAGAGGCTCGTCCATTTTGCTCAAGTGCTCCGTGAACATCCGGGCCAGGAGTGGAAGCAGTCTCCACATCAATCTCAGCATCAGGAGTGGCACCCTCCTCCCAGAGGACCCCATTATCCTCTGCGATTGATTTGGCAACATCCGAATCAGTCACGCTGTCATTGCCCCGCTCGTACATGAGACGGACGCGGCGAGAGAGCATATCTTCGTCCGCAGAGATAGCCCGGCTCTGAAGGCTCGTCTGCCTGGGACATAAAGTCCCCTTCGATCTAAGCGGCCGGAGAGTGGCTTGTGGGACATCGTTGTCTTCTGCCTTCTTTTCATCGTTGATGCTGTCGGGGGTGTCCGTCGAAGGGTCGGGCGAAAGGGTCGAGGGGACTTGACGGATCGACAGTTTCTCGGAGGATGGTGCTGGGCTTTGTTCGGTCGGTTCAGATGGCTGCTCAGATTGTTGATCCACACTGAGAGCGGGATACGGCCGTTTGGACCGATTCCTGATGAGACTGCCTCGGTTAGAAAACTTCATTGTCTGGCCTAACCCTTCCAGGCTTGCTGTCGGAATATCCAAGCTGATTCCACTAAATGCAGGTTCAATCGGAGGCACTGGAGGTAATTCTTCGGTGCTCATCTTGCGTTCCAATTCGGCTGACTTCCTTCTTAAACCTCCCCACTTGCGCTCCGACCAACGAGACCCTGGCCGCGACCCTGGGCGTGAGCTGGGGCGGGCGCTTAAATCATTGACGACGATGCTAGGAACACTCCGCAATGAGGGCGCATCGACCCCAGAGGAATCATCTGTCGAGCGCAGCATTCGGTTGTGCTCCCCCGCTCCGATCGAAGTGGTTGGCCGTCTTTCATCCTGCTTGGTCCTCCCTCGCGTGGAGCGTGCAGTGGCGGGCCGGTCGACGAAGTCAGGAGACGCGGCGCTGGCGCTGAGCGATCGGCCATTCGAGTCATGTAACGCATCAGTCGGGGCAGGGAGTGAGACGGAACGAATGGCGCCGGGGCGCTGGTCTGCGACCGTGTTGTTGTCGGGCTCGCGGTGAATCGAGGGCTGCGGCTCCGATCCCACGGGCGATAACGATGCAGGAGGCTCGTCGCCCATTATCCCGGCATGGCTTGCGAAAGAGGAGGCGCGCAGAGAGGAGGGAAGAAGGAGTGTGAGAGTTTGAGCAACAGCGATAGTTAGACTGAAAGGAGTGACAGGCGTATGCAGGAACGCATCACCGTTTGGTAGGGACCTGGAAAAATCGCGACAATTGACTCCTGGCGATGGAGCGGCGACGTGAAGTCTTGGCGCAGGAGCCGCTTTCATTGCGAGCCGCAGGTCAGCCCGAGACTAGTCCAGCTGTGTGCCACGGGGTTCAAGTCAACCAACTTGAGGTATTGAAGAATGAGATATCCAGCTTAGACGTTTAGATTCAATAGGTATCCATTTGTCTGAATCTTCTTAGTTGAGGATCCATTGAATGCCCAGAAGGGTCAATCAAGTCAGTATACTCCGTACTCAAGTCCGGGTGACAGAGTTCGACCATAAAGATATTCTCTGAGACAACTGTGATTATCTAGCGCTAATAACAAACACCTATATTAGGATTGTTTTTAGAAACAATGCTTCTTTTTTTAGGTTAAGGACTGGCTCGCTTGGACTCCCTTAATCATTGGGTAGAAATAAGAATATAGGGGGTGAAAGCTCCGAGAGATGGGATTCAAGGGGGACCAGGCTTAAGTGGGTATAGGGCCACCACGTAGTGCCCTACGTATCCTGCTACGTACTTATGGATAGGCACACTATACATGAGGGGTAGGATAGGGGCTCAGGTCCGGATTAGACGTGGAATATGCTCTCCGGATCAAACAAGCTTTTGGCAACTTCGCAGTCGAAGTATAGCTGTGTCTCTTACAAGATCTGCAGTGAAGGCCTTGAGGGGTTTTCCTTCATACTGCGACCTTTCTTTTCCCATCCCTAGCCCTAATCATTGGAACACAGTTTAGAGTATTTAATGAGTGTACTAATGAGCGCGAAACTTGCCAGGGAGCTCAAAATGCAACCAAGGCTTGGTCGGCTCCACTGGAAGGTGGGCCACAAAAACTATGATGGATGGACCCGCATGCTCTGATGCCTATGCTATACTTAGAAGCATGACATCTTGAATGCAAAGCCTGGAGTTGGGAGACTTTTAGCAGGGTACCTACTCTCCCCTTTGAACATGATCCGGAACGCACGGAGGCGTGGGCTTTTGATAAAAATAGAAAACGAGTTCTCAACGCTAAAGATGTCTCGAGGGAGGCATGGGTGAGCAATCACCATTTCTCCTCTAGGAAGCACAGGACTAAAGCTTGAGACGCAAGTGCTTGGCAGGGCAGAAATTTAAGCTCGACCAGGTCCCGTCGTGTCAAGCCATATCTTTTTTATCTCTACATAATTATGTTAATCCCTCACTCTTTGCCCCTTCCCTCTCCCTACTGGAGATTAGGGCCGGAAAATACAAGAGGTCAGATGCGATGCACAGAACCCGTTCAATTTTATCAAGATATCCCTTTTCTCACTTTTGGGGAAATGGAACATGTACTAGAATGTACTCGAAGAAAAAGAAGAAAAAACGCGAGGAACTCCAGTAGCCGAGGCTGTAAATCCAGCAGGCCATCGGCTGCACAATGCAAAAGGGAGATTTAACCCAACAACCCCAGCTATACCCACCAAGATCGTCATAGCGTGAAAAGAAAAGGAGAAGATAGAGAAGGGACATGGCCATGGTGGGTGATCTAGCGGCCCAGCGTTAGATCGGGTTCCAAAGCATGCCGAATCTAAGCCACCGTGGCGGTGTTGGCGCCGGACTGTGGAGTTGTACGGGCCCTATCAATAGGCTCTTTAGGAAGGAGTTCAATTTGACGAACGAGAAAGCTCTTTTCGTCGGTGAATTGGTCATCATCAGTCCTGTCCTCCAGGAATTTTGGCAAGAATCTCAGCAATCGATCGCGGTTATTGATGAGAATTCGTTGCACCGCCACCGACTTGTTTGGATTGGCGACAAAGACCTTTTCCAGTCAGCACATTCATTCCCTCTGAATTGACAGGGCGGACACCTACTTTGAATACATGGAACCCTTCATATTGTACCATCTTGCGGTCATCACGTAACAATTTCATGCAGAGCTTGAGATTCTCTCCACTTTCCACGTAGGCCATCATCACATTATAGTTTGCACGGTCCAACAGGATCTCCCCTAGTAACTTTATGCTCTGTCGCTTGGTCACGTAGGAGTCCGATTGAACGAGGTTATCATTGAATCGCCCAAAGAAGAGCTCGAAATTGGTGGCCAGGTAGGCTGTCACCAGACTCTTGTGACGAGTCAAGATCTCCTGCAGATATGACCAGTCAGTCTCTCATAATTTATCCCAAGAAGGAAGAGAAGGACAAAATCCCGAAGGCTCTTCTTACCCTGAACGTAGTAAATGCATCGGCGCTGACTTCAAAATTGCTCTTGTCGATCCAATCAAAGAATTTCCAAAAGACCCCATCGCCCTTTTGGGGTAAATTGGGCTTCAAATCAGAGAGGCGGACTGCGGGTTCCCCCTCATGTGATTGATCATATAATACCACCGCCGTGACCACGTCAAACTTGAGTGCTTCTCGAAGAATCACGCCACACGGCATAGCACTCTGGCTCTCCGAATAGCCTCGACATAATTCAATCAAAATCTCTGGTCGATGGTGAACAATGTATGAAATAACAGGAGGGTCCTTGTCGGGCGCAAATGAGGTCGGTCGGAAGCGCAGGATATGGGAGAAGATGGTCTGCGTGTCCTTTCGGGCCTCAAACGGGAGCAAGTGAATGGATCGTGACAATTCGTAGAGCAGATCTTCCTGAAGAGTGGCCTGGATCAGGGCGTGGACCTGGTCGGGGGACGTGTTGACCTCTGCATTCATGGGAACGATGTCAGTCGTGCATTCCGATCCAGTCCAGCAGCGCGGGAGTGGCGGTCCTTCAACTGTAAGAAGGCAGGTAACCGACCTTGTGTCCCTTGAACAATGACTTTCATCTGGCTGAGCTGCTTCGCCAATTCCTCATCGCCCTAGCTTCGTGTGTCAGCGATGATGCGCATATGCTGGGGATTGGATTTCCCGGACTTTGGGGTTGCTAGGCGTCTCTTGGACCCTCATTAACAATTCTTTAGTGGAGCGGACCACATCAGCAGGTTGTCGCGATCGGCCGCGATTGAAGAAAAACGCCATGGCTCCAGAGGTTGGAGAGTTGTAGAAACAAGGGCCTCGGTGTCTAGTGAAGCCAAGGTTGGGTCCCTTGTGACCCGTCATCAACCGCCCGCAATAAACAAACGGCGGGCGGGGCAACCGGCTGGCCTCAGGCCGCACTGATAACGGATTTTTTTTATCAGTCAAATCTCTGCCCCTCCAACCCCCTCCGTAACCCCAGTTGGTCAGTCTTTCGTTTTTGCCAATTGCCTTTCAATCACGATGGCGTCTTCGAACCGTGCTGCCGATTCACCCGTCAACGAAATCCCGGCCGATTCACGCTCACTTTCAGACGATTCCGACTCCAGCGATGAGGAGGGTTGGGAAGATGTCGAGCCTGATGATGAGTCCCAGCCTGTAGTTGGCCTTTTCTCGGATGTTGTGTTCCCTGACGTGCGCTCTATGTTGAAGGAGTGCAAGGAGAAAAATAATTTTGATCTAGTGAAGATCCAGAAGGAACTCGGTGTGTTATTCCTGTCAGGTCATGTCTATCTCTAGACACAGACCTATGATTCCTCCTATACCATGTCTACAGCAGGGAGATGGTCTTACCTTAGGGACTTTGGGACTAATTGCGAAATTTCTGTCTCCAGATCTGGATTTCCTCGACACCATCAAGCTGGTCAACTATGTGCGATCTGAGGTCAAGGCCGGAAACTCGACCCCCGATGTTTCCTCCAAATCCAAGTTCGCCGATGATGCCTTCCTGAAGCCCGTCCTGGAGGACGACGCTCTCCTTTACAGCCTGGATGATATCGCCGATAATGATGGAGAGGATGCGGCACCTGGCAGTGAAGCTGAGAAGCAGGTCCTTGAGCTGCAGGAGGAATTGGAGCGTCTCCAGAGTCAATTTTCCGAGTATAGACTCGCCGTGCAAAAGTCGATGGAGGATCAGCTGTCCAAGGAGGACGAAAAACTTGAGCCTGGTGCAACTATCAAACGACCGGCCAAGGACCGACTCCAGGATGCCGATGCCGACTACTTTGTCTCATATTCTTACAACGGGATTCACGAGTCCATGCTGAAGGACGCCATCCGTACTGATGCCTATCGCGATTTTGTCTATGAAAACAAGCATCTCTTCAAGGACAAGGTTGTACTAGATGTTGGCTGCGGGACCGGTATTCTTTCAATGTTTTGTGCCAAGGCTGGCGCAAAGAAGGTCATCTCGGTTGACAACTCCAACATTATCGATCGTGCTAGAGAGATCGTGCACGCCAATGGCTTGGGTGATGTTATCACGTATGGTTACTTATTTTGACCCGCCTTTCAGACACCCCATTGACTAACAATCTTGGCAGATGCATTCGCGGCAAGATCGAAGAAGTCACTCTGCCTGTTGAGAAGGTGGACATCATCATCTCTGAGTGGATGGGCTATGCTCTGCTTTTTGAGGCCATGTTTGATTCTGTCATCTACGCTCGCGACCGGTACCTTGTCCCTGGTGGTCTGATGGTCCCGTCGCATGCAACTCTTCGCATTGCCCCCTTCGCGGATTCGGAGTTCGTTGATACGAACGTCTCGTTCTGGAACAACGTCTATGGCTTCAACATGTCCAGCATGCTAATGAACATCTATGATGAGGCGCTTGTTCGTCATGTGAAGCCTACATCTCTTCCTGGTGACTCGAGTGTGTTCCTTCCGTTGCCATTGCACACCATCACTGTCGACGAGCTCTCCTTCCTGAAGGAGTTTCAGGTGACCTTGAATGAAGACATTGATGCTCTTGATGGCTGGGCTATCTGGTTCGATATGTTCTTCATGCCCTCGCAAGACTCTACCATCCCCGAGAACGCTGGCCCCTCTGACATGCAGAAGAAGGGATTCGTTGCCTTTACCACCGGGCCTCATGGAACTGAGACTCACTGGCAGCAGGCTATCTGCCTGATTGACCATGGAAAGCAGCAACCCAAGCCTCTGAAGAAGGGCCAAGTTCTGACCGGAAAGGTTGGCTACCAGAAAAAGGAGGAAGGCTCTCGGCTCCTCAATATCAGCATTGAGTGGCAAGCAGAAGACATAACGAAGGGCAACCAACACTGGTCCCTTCAATAGATGATACAAATTTCAAAAGCGATTACTTCCTAGAGGACACGGGACACCGTGACGTTCCATGGACTACTTAACAAGATAGAGAATAGTTACTATACCCAGCGAAGTATGGCATCCTACAACCTGGATAAGGCTTTGATCTAGTTTCTGACAATACATGAATTTCCATAAAAAAATAAAGTATTCATATTTAATCGTTTTATCAGTTTATCATGAAGTCATCCTAAAGTCAACGCTCAGCCGTAGTCTTCTCAGATTTGCGGGAATGCCTGCTTTCTCTACATGCCCTGTCATGAGAGCGGCGATAAGAACGGTCTAGAGAATGGCGGGAGCTTCGATGTGAACGATGCCGACTGCGACTGCGACTGCGGCTGCGATGTCGGCTGCGGTCTCCGTGATGATGACGATTCTCATGACATCGACGAGAACTCCTATGTTCCTTGTCATCGCGTTCTCTAGGCGCAGGAGCATCGAGCTTGAAGTTGCCAAAACTATCTATAGACTTGGATCGTCGCCTCCGACGATGCCTTGAAGAACGACTTTCTTCAGCTTTCAGCGCTTCGAGCTCTCTTTGTTTGTTCTCATTCCATCGCTTTCGCTCCTGCTCTGTAGCTTTTAATTGGCGTACGGCCTGTTTCATAGCCATCAGAGGATCGCTGGCATCCATACGGGCTTTCTCCCGTTCTTTGCGCCTTGGGTCCTCATTTCCCCACACATTCTTCTGTGACATGGAATCTGGTGCTTCTAGGGCCTGGGCAGATGACGAATACCATGGTTTTCGACCCACGTCTTCTTTGAATCCTGCAGCATTGGAGAATCGCATCATATACTGATTTTCATAGCCTTGTCGTTCCTTCTCCGCCTCGGCCTCGGCCTCGGCGTTTTTTTCGGCCTTTCTGTTGCCACCTTCGGCTGGGAAGAGGTTGATGTGACCTGCATTATCCAAAAGGGGGACTTGTGCTTTCTTATCATCACTACGGGACGCAGAAAGAAGTTCTTCTCGTTTAGCATGAGCCTGGGCGGCATCTTCTCGGGCCAGTCTGATATCCCTATCCGTATCGTCTTCTCCGGCAAGCCGCCGTTTCTTGCGATACCTCTCGGGTCCGCCAGCACCTTCTCTGTCTGGACGACTCTTTGTATCTGACGAAGAGCGTATCGGCGGTGGAGGTGGGGGTGTGGAAGGGCGCTCGCCGCGTAATATCTGTATCCGGCGCTTGGCATCGACCTCTTGCATCCGACGCTCATCCTCTTCCTCACGGGCCTTCGCCTCGGCCTCGTCGCGCTTCACTCGCGCGATATTCTCGGAGTTGTAGACATTCCATGACTTTTTGCCAAGGAGATGGCTGTTCAGATGTTAGCGCCAAGAATAGAATCCTAGGCAGTGAAGAAGCACTTACAGCGGCATTGTGGAACGATAGTGAGGGAAGGAAACCCAGAACGCGACGGGCTCGTAGGAGCTGCCTTATCGATAACGCCCCACGGCCCGACGCTGTTCCCGGAGTGGCTGAGTTCCCCACGCCGTGGGCCTTCGAGCTTCAACCTGCTCTCTTCAACTGTTTTGCTATTCTGAGGTTGTCGCTTGACACTCGTACACCTGCTCAGCCATCGATCTCAAGAGATCTAAACCACACGGGGGCTTGATCTGCGTCGTTGCCTGCTCCCGTTAAGACAAGTGGCGATACCCGCAACGTCCCCAACTCTCCTACACCTCTTTCGCTCTCCAATCCTCATATCAAGCAATATGTTTAATCGGAACAATCTCCCATCTGTCCCGAGCCCTTTCGGAAGTCGACAAGATGCTGGGCGTCCGTCGCCACAGGGCTATTCGAATCCCAACCAAGCACCGCCACGGTATGGTAACAGCTCCGGCTACGCCCCAAGACCCGATCCTGGACCTGCCCACGATTACGATGTACCCATGACTGATGCAAGTAATGATATAAGGGGATATGGAGCTCCGCCACCATCCATGGGTCGGTCACCGCAACAAGTGCCTGACCGCATGCCCCTCGGAAGACGGCCAGCGGGAGGGGCAGCTAATGGCCCGACTTGGACGCTCTATCCCAGCAAGAGCCCAAACGACAATTACACTTTTGGCAACCTGTATGCTTATTTGAAGCCTGACTCTTGTATATTCGGATACTGATTGACTTCAGAGTCGCTGTGTCACCTCAGGATATTCCACCCAGCCGTGACGGCACAGACGTCCTTCTCCTCGTTAACGATGTCTACGTCTTCTCCGCTCGTCCCCTCGAAGGCGTTCCTGCAGGTTATATCGGCATGTCGGATCCTCAGCGTACTTGGGCAATGGTTGGAATGCGAGATGCTGTCAAGGTACAGCTCTATGATCCGTTCAGTCAAGGAGGTCAGGCTTACTTGGGATCCGCCGACATTGAAGTCAGCTTTGCATCTCAAAAGAAACGAGTGGAGGCACCATATGACCAGGATGATCTTACAAATGCTGTTATTCGTGTAGGTCAATCTCCATTGTGAATTTGTTAGGACATACTGACATGATAAGAACTTCGAAAACCAACTGTTTGCTCCGGGTCAAAGGGTTCTGATGGACCACAGAAGTATTCCATTATTGCTCCAGGTCAAAACTGTTCAACGCGTGGACTTGACATCTGAGAAAGTCGACCTTTCATCTGGCGAAATTGAGACCGACCCTGCAGCAAGAGGAATTATCACCCGGCATACCCAGTTTAATTTCTTCAAAGATACGCAAACTGGCATCAATATGAAACCGTCCAATCGCCGCCCTGCAGCGAACTCGATTATTCAACCCGGGTTTAAGTTTGAAGACATGGGTATTGGTGGCTTGGACTCGGAGTTTAGCACCATTTTCCGTCGGGCCTTCGCATCCCGTATCTTTCCCCCTGGTCTTGTCGAGAAGCTTGGCATTCAGCATGTTAAAGGTCTCTTGCTGTATGGACCTCCTGGCACTGGTAAGACCCTGATTGCCCGACAAATTGGCAAAATGCTGAACGCCCGGGAACCAAAAATCATCAACGGTCCCGAGGTGTTGAACAAGTATGTCGGTCAGTCAGAAGAAAACATTCGAAAGATGTTCGCCGACGCAGAGAAGGAATATAAGGAGAAAGGCGACGAAAGTGGTCTGCACATCATCATTTTTGACGAGCTAGATGCCGTGTGCAAGCAGCGTGGCAGTGGCGCAGCGGGCGGTACTGGCGTTGGTGATAGTGTCGTCAATCAGCTTTTGTCCAAGCTGGATGGTGTCGACCAGCTGAACAACATCTTATTGATCGGTATGACTAACCGTATGGATATGATTGATGAGGCTTTGCTCCGTCCTGGCCGTCTGGAGGTTCACATGGAAATTTCCCTTCCTGATGAAAAAGGCAGAAGCCAAATCCTCAAAATCCACACCGAGAAGATGCGGACCAACAACGTTATGGATACAGATGTCAACTTGGAGGAGCTTGCTCAATTGACAAAGAACTTTTCCGGTGCTGAGATCGCTGGTTTGGTCAAGTCAGCATCCTCGTTCGCCTTCTCGCGTCACGTCAAGGTTGGTACAATGGCTAGCATCAACGATGATGTTGTCAACATGAAGGTCAACCGATCCGACTTTCATCAAGCACTCGAGGAAGTCAAACCCGCATTCGGTGTTTCGGAGGAGGAGCTTTCCAGTCGAATCCAGTATGGTGTCATTCACTACTCGGAAACCATCAACGAGATCTTGCGGGAGGGTGAACTGTTCGTCAAGCAGGTCGGCGAAGCAGAGTCTACTCCGCTATTCTCCGTCCTGCTGCATGGACCTCCTGGCAGTGGCAAGACGGCCCTGGCTGCTCGAATTGCCATCAACTCAGGCTTCCCTTTCATCAAGTTGATCAGCCCGGAGGATATGGTTGGATTCAGCGAGACCGCGAAGATCCAGCACATTAGCCGAATCTTTGACAGTGCCTATAAGAGTCGCACCAGCATTGTCGTAGTCGACAATATTGAACGTATCATTGACTGGGTGCCCATCGGCCCTCGCTTCAGCAATAGCGTTCTCCAGGCTCTCATGGTCTTCCTTCGAAAACAGCCTACGCATGGCCGCCGTCTATTAGTCCTGGCTACCACCACTGAACGGGCTTTGATGAAGCAACTGGACGTCTACAACTCGTTCAACTCCGACATTATGGTGCCTAATGTCAGATCTTTCGACGAGCTTCGGTATGTCATGGAGAAGTCCGGCGCCTTTGATGCCCAGGAGATCTCACAGGCTCTTGAAAACGTCGGGGGCCTGGCGGATGACGACCGTCTCAGCGTTGGCGTTAAGAAGGTTCTTTTGGGCATCGAGACTGCCAAGCAGGATGCGGACAAGGTCGGTCGATTTGTCCGTGTAGTTAATCGAGCCATTGAAGAGGAGCAGAGCGTCTCTTAAAATGGTATATAGTTAGATAGACCTGGCTCGGGATAGAGTGGTGTAATCACGATCCCCAAATGGTCCACTTTTCTTTCCTTTTGAGGGCAAACAAGATACTCAAATCCTAATCATGCCTTCGAGGCTGTCATTTTTTGAGATAGCTGATCCTTGTTTCGCCAAAACAGGATATCATCTAATAGTAAATCCCACTTCGAAAGGATGAAATGCCCTTAAGTTAGCGTGTCTCTCCAAGCTGAGTTACTGTTTAAATGTATACATTTTTAATATCTTATGCACAAATCATTGACCAACATACATGTGAGCCCCTTCGAGAAAGTCCGCCATAGTGACAGTGGTTGAATACAGACCATTGGGCGTCAGACAGTTTCTTAGGGCAACTGACTAAGAGACCCTCCTAGTCATACCTGAAATGGTAAAGCTACCTGAATATACTTTTTTAAACTAACGAACGCGTAAAACACCTTTCCAAGTGGGTATCTCTCAGCCTACAGCCTATAATCGACCTCTATTTCTGAAAATAACCCTAGCGAGGGCTTAACTACGTACAATACCGAGCCTAATACGCGAGGTTTATGCCATATTGTATATCAAAGGGCCATAAAACATCATTTTACCGGGGAAAATTGGTAAAACACATACGATTCAGAACATCCGCCCAGCTATCAGCCCACAAACGCAGGGAATAACCCGATGTAACGTATCGAGGCACAGATATACACATAGTTCGTAAACAAAAACACGCCAGAGCCAACCCAGAAAAGCAAATTAGCCCGTCCCAGTCCCAAAATAGTCCAATTTTGTCCGAAGTCCATCATCACAGTCGTTAGAATAAGCACATTATAAGCATAACAGCACAGGGCACCGCCTAGGAGGGGCCCTGGCCGCAAAATCAGTAGTCATCATAGGTGTATTTCTTCGCCGCCCGGCGGTATTCGTCCGGATAGGCCTTCTCGGCCTTGCTCTTGAGCGCGCTATTGGGACAACATTCGTCAGCCTTCTAGAAGACGCATGCGGCGCTAATTTGGCCCGTCGATCCCCTAGAGCGCACGTGCCAAGCGCTACCCCGGCGGAGCGGAGGTGATGTGACATGTCGGCGCGGAGCGGGGCGGAGCATAGAACGTTCATGCTAGGGGCTGGGTTCGGTCCAGGGTGCATTTCAAGTCTTACCTGACGCGTTTCTGAGTCCATTCTAGATCCCGCTTAGTTTCTCGCGCGGTCTTCACGCCCTCGGCAAAGTTGGCGCGGACGCTCTTCAGACGACGCTGAGCTAGGGCTTGCAGCTCCAACAGCTCTCGCTGCTTTGCATTCAGCTGACCGGAGCTGAAGATCACGCGTGCATTAGCTTGATGAGGCTCTGATGCTTAAATTTGCTGCAGAGCTGCCAAAACAGTGGCTGCAGCCTCGTTCTTTTTCTCATCTCCCATGTGCGAGTGCGGTAAATCACCGCGTCTCAGGAACCATGCTTCGCGGTAGATGACTCACGTTTGCGCCTGTCTCGCGATCCCCTTATCCAAGGGGGTCGGGTCAAATGCGGTTTGCATTCGGTCGCTCAAAACATCGACGACATCCACTCCGGAGTACGACGCCGAACTCGAGTCGTAGTCACCGCTGGCACCGGCAGAGCTAAATGTGAGCCCGCCAGAAGTGCGGCTGCCCGCAGTTGTGCTCGCATCTGAATAATCTGGTGGAGAGCCTGCGACCCGCGAGATAGGGTAAATGCTGGCCGACACCGGTGCCTTGGAGGGCATAGCCATGGTGTGGACGGCGGGCTGGTAATAGTGACGCTGGGTGGCCATTATGGTGAGGTGGATTTCTTCCTGGAAGGTAAATGAAGATACACAATGACGAGATAGTCTCGGCAGGGCAAGACAATGTTAAGTTGAAGGACAAGAGAGGCCTTGGACTAGGTCCGGGTAGCAATATCAAAGGATGAAGGCCACAGGGTCTGGGTCTGAAGAGTTGGAAGTCTGAGAGAGATAAATAGAGAAGCAGGAGGACGTCCAGGCCCGCGGAATCCCACGACGGAATTTATAGTCCTCACCGGAGGGTCTTCCATCCGATGGCTTCTTCGTGTCCTTCTTCCATGATTAGGAGGCGCGGGGGGGAAGAGCAAGGATGGGCGGGAGTGACTGCGAGCCATTGGACCAGCGGAGTCCTGGGACATGCTCCCCCCTCCTTCCTGTAACCTCTCCAATGCCCCCCCATCGTGCCATCTTCCAATCCGCGAGCTTCGGCTGCAACGCCTTCTCCGTTTCTGTCCGCCGATTCGCCTCTTGGACCGCCCGGACCCCGCTCGCCAGCGGGAAACGAGGATGTCTGGCCCAGTCCACTAGGGTTTCCGCCCTCCGGTGGCTTTCCACTCTGGGATCTTCGGTCTTGGTCTACGCGGCCCCCCTCCCTTCTGCTGGGTCTGAGCGGGGCCTGGAAGTATCCGGGATAGAGAAATGAAGCCTGAGAGAGATGAATGGCTGAGAGGGTTGAAAGTGATATGAGCCGATGGTGGAGTTGGGACCAGGTATAAAGATAAGCATGGATCCCTCCCCCGTGCTTCTTCTCTGGACATTTGGACCTTTTTCTTTCTGTCTCCCACTCATATTCATCTCCCCACTCTGTGCAATTGACGTTCTCAAAACTCGGTGGCTGGGGACGGCGGTAATGGGGGCTTGGCTGGTTCGCTGCAAACTACAGAGGAGCCGGTAGGACATACAAGCTCGTGTTTTTCCACCCATGCGCTGACTTCGCATCATTGGTTCCCATACTGACCATACCATAGTCTCTCATGACTGCTAGAGCGGGCCGCTTAAGCCTCACTCTTCTGAAGAGATGCCATCCAGCGTGATTGACGGTGCCGAGGACCATCTCAGCAAAGACCGACAGAGTGCGGACTGGGTTCCGAGTCGTCCCCCCCCCCCCCCCCAAAGAGGAAAGATAAGACAATCGGAAAAGTCCATGTTTAACAGCTTGACATCATCTGGAATGCAAGCATCGAACAAATCAAAATAAAACTCAAATCAGATTATTGCAAGGCAGAAAAATCGAAACAACAGGGTCACACGGCTTGGCGATCTGAAATGTTGGACATCACTGCATAGCCCGACGAACCGTGGCAGCCGGCAATGATTCGAAAGAACCCGGAAGTTCCAGCCGAGAGGGTGTGGCCCCCATGCCCCTCGGGGGACACCGGCTGGCTCCTATTCTAAGTCCCCCGGCCAGAAGAAAAAAAAAAAGGGCAAGACCATTTGACCCCAGAATGGTTTGCTCGGGTTGAGCATATAAAAGAGATCTATCAGAAAAGGCCAAAGGTAACGGGGAGCAAGCATTGCGACGATGATCCCTGCACCTTCCGTTTGCCAGTCTTGGTGCGGCTATTGCTGCGAGAGCAAAACGCCTCAAACAAGCCAACAAGTGGTTAGAAGAACAGGGAACAGAGCAACGCAGCAGTGACAAGCGCTCTAGACGCCGGTCACAGCATGGAGGAAAAGGTACGTTTCCCCCACCGATCTATGCACATGGTCGATGACTTGCTCCTTCCACAGAGATGACAAGGCGAGAGACCCTCTTTTACAGACTCTTGGAGAAAAAGGTAAACGCAACAGACCCCGAAAATTGCAGAGCGGCCACCTCGTCATCATTGGTCCCCGATTCCCTGCTGACATGAAGACCACGCAGGCTGCGGAATGCAAACGAGCCTTGCAACAGGGCACCAATTTTCGCCCGCACTATGATGCTAGGTCGTCTACATCTGTATACCCACGCCGGTACTTGCTACTATGGCTCTTCCATGACTTTAGGTATCAATGGGGCGTGGTCGATTGCCTATTATCACGGCACAACGCCTTGGCCCTGAATATGCTGCATGCCTTGCAGCCTGACGAGGGCGATATGCCCCGTTGACTCGCATACGGCCACCGAATGACACTGTGCCACCACCCTCCATGGGCTTTTGATTTTATTTTTAATTGTTACTGAACCATCCCAAGTGCCTTTCAGGGATCCAATACCGAACGACCTCCGCCCAATCCCTTTCTGGGTGCTCCCGGCACAACCAGCCCAGGGCATCAGGCAGCACGGCAATGACGCGCAGAACATGTCCACCAACTGTGCAAATGGGAAATTTCTCCCTCGTCCGGTCTTGCGCGTCATCGCTCCGATGCCCTGCGCCCATTTACCATCTCACCGGGCTCGGGTCCGCCCCTCCCTGAGCCTCGCCGCTATCTTGTTCGCTCGGGCTGTTTCCCTCGCCAGACCAGACAAAAATTCCGGGCTGAAGCACATGCGGTCCGTTTTGGAGGTGTTTGTGTTTTGGTCTTCCCCAACCCCGGACCATTGCCACGAACCGCTTGCTGTTCGTTCCCCCGAATATACCATGCATCCGCCTTACACACCTGCACTGCACGCTGTCAACAACGGGCCAACAGAGTTGCATGCGTTACACGAGCCCGCAGTTTTGATCCGAGGCGATCCAGAACCCATCCCGGGGGACGGTTAATTTCCCGTCATCTGCAGATTTGCCTCGTGCACTGTTGGATATTAAGGCAGATTGGGAGGGGCGGACATCACCAAAGACCTACCCCTGATTTCTTTTTCAGACTTGATGATCATATCAGCAATGCTTTCGGGTCATCATTGGGTTTTTGTCGAGCATCTCTAGACCCTGCGAGAGGCCAGTAATTTGCCCGTCAAGTGGGGTTGAGGCGGGGATTTTTTTTCCCTACAGTTTGTTCCTTCACCGCCACATGCAGCGTCATGACTGGACAGTTGCTCTCGCCAACTCATCTCCCTTTCCATTTTGGGGGTGGTTCGCTTTTGGCGTGAGTTGGACAAATTCAACGCTGGTGAGTGGTGAAGCCCCCCCCTCCTGTCACCAATCCCCCCAGAGGTACAAGAGAAAACCCAAACCCCCCAGCATGCTTCGTCGGCCCTAGAAGTAGACACGATCTGCTGGCGTTGCAGACGTGCGACAAGGGATAGTATCGGGTACTCACGGCCCTTTGACGCATGCCAGACCATCTCAATTCGCAAGGATTGACCTTGAATGAAAGTCTTAACATGCATCGTAATATACCCAGATACCCACGAGGCCTCATATCCCTCGTTATCTGACTTTCCAAGAAGACTGCCGGATCCCGATTGGCTCGCGCCACGATTCATATGATTTACGCCTTGCTTCCCATCTTTTCCCTTTTGGCCTTGCCTGCTTCGATGATGAAGTCTGATGGAAACTCTTTTTTGAGGGGAGGGGGAGTCTCTTGTATTGATTGTCAGAACCCAAAATTCCACGTAGCTAGACTCGTTCAAACCACTGCCCAGACTACGGGCCTCATAACACTTCTCTCCAAATTTAACTTCTATATTCAAGTTACTGACCTTTCGCCGTTTATCAACGATCTAGAGCTCTATCTATTCGACTGGTAATAATCATGGACGGGTAGACTGCTATGACGTATATCTCCATTAAACGAATATGAGTCCCCCCTCGACCGCATCCTGCGATGAGTGAGAAAGTAAAGGCAAAAAAAAGGTAGGAAGGCAGAATTATTGACAAATACAGATCCAGAAGGTAGATAAGTGTCGTTACGCGCTCGTAATCTGGTATCACAAGAAAAAGAAGCAACACGACCCGGAGAAAGGAAGAAGAAAAAAGCAAATCAAGAGGACCAGGAAAGAAGAGGAAAACAGCCAAATCCAGGCACTGACGCCACACGTTCAAAGTTTGAACGGCCACAGTAGAACCCCAAAGAACCAAAACGTAGAGCCACCGGAAGGGCGCGGTGGAAACAGACAATAGTACAAGAAAGAGGAGCCCTTCGAATAGCAATGAAGATGCTGAGAAATGCGGCGCTAGTAGAAGCCCATCGCCCAATGCAGATGCAGATAATGCGTGGAAGGTTTCAGGCCCCGGAGCGAAGGATGCAAATGCGATGAAAAGCAAGGCAAAATCATAGATGAGCGCCCATGCCGATATGTATTCCCCCTCTCCTTTGCAGACCCCACCGATTCCCCAACCATGACAAGGAAAAAACGAACCCGTTGCGTGCACCGTTAACCGATCGTAAGATATAGAGGGCAATAAGAAAAGGAAGACAGAACAAGACAACAATCCGCTCAATAGTGTGCTAGAGAGCCGAAAGTCGAAAGCACGAGACTAATAAAATTTAGTAAGGTGTAAAAGAGGACGCCCTAAGCCATGGAGTGGATGAAGGCAGAGTGTTGCCATCACATTGGCAGGAAGGGGTAAAGTGAGGTATAAACCGTTAGCGGCGAGCAGCAGGGGGGATCTCGCCGCTCGGTTGAAGACGGTCTCGAAGCAGCAAGAGAGGCCGGCCAGGGTCAAGAAGACCCATCATCATTTTGCCCAATTCATTGTGTTTAATTGGCTTCGTAACATAATCGTTGAAGCCCGCTCGGGCTGCATTCTCGATCTGATCTGTCATTGCATTGGCCGATAGAGCCATGATCGGAATTTGAGGATAATGATTCTTCTGCTCCCATGCACGGATCTCCCGGCAGGTATCGTAACCGTTCTTGATTGGCATTTGGATATCGCACTATGAATTGAGATGTTAGCAACACTTAAAATCACTCAACAAAGGAGGCCGACGAACGATAATGAGCGAATAGTAGCCCGGCTCCTTGGAGAATACCATATCAGTACACTCCTGTCCATTGGATGCAGTCTCCGACATGAGCTTGATCTTGTCCAGATATTTCAACATGACCTATTTAAGAAGATTAGATGATTCCAAAGAGGAGATTCCAGAAGAAAAGAACTTACATCACGGTTGGTCTCATCATCTTCAACAAGCAGAATCCGGTAACCCTTATTCCCAAGAACCTCCTTGACCATCTTGGACACGGTCTTGAAGTTGTTGTTGATCTCCCGAGCCATGTCTTGGTTGCGATCCTTGCTCAGTTCGCGCTTGCTTTCTGGGTCAAAGATAGTGGAGAATGCCGAAGGCTTAACAGGCTTTGGAACAATGAAGACTTGCTTTCCAGTTGCCGCCAGCTCCTTTACTTGTGTACTGATCTGGCGTTTCTGGTACAAGTCCGAGATGATAACAACAACAGGGGCAACATTCGCATCAGTCTCTGACACATGTTGGATGACCTCCAGGATGTCATCCGTAGCAGGAAGATTCAGAACTAGATGGGTACAGGGTGTGCTGGAGCCTGGCTGCATCATGTCCTTCCACTCATCGACATCAAGCAAGGTCTTGATTGTGAACGGGATCTCGTGCGGGACGACCTGCTCAATGTGCTGTTTTGTGGCTTTCCGAGTATTATCCAGAGGGCACAGGATAACGATATTAAACGGCCCTTGGAGTGGCACGGCTGCTGCTGGTCCACTAGAAACCCTGCTCAGAGACATGGAGCCTTGAGGCGGCGGTGGAGTTTTGCGAATCGGTGTTGCCGTATCAGGTTCGTGAGAAGGTGAGTTCGAGGTAGGGTCTATACCAGGTTTATCGTGATCGAAATTAGGCGGTAGATTCACGGTATTGATATCTGGTGTCGGCAGAGCAGATGAAGAAGCAGAAGGCGGAGAGAGAAGCTTGGCCCCTGGAGGGGCAAGGAAAGGCGACTCCGCGGGAGGCGTTTCAAGTCCAGGTGACAAGCTAGCAAGGCCTTGATTTCTCAGCTGTGAGGCAAGGCTGTTATTGTCGTAAGAAGTTGTTCTAGACGTTCCTGGTCTCCGAGAAGCAGTTGACGCCTGGCGAAGTAATCGAGGCCTCTCAGAAGGTGAGGGAGGCGGAGGAGCATCAACCTTCACATTGAAGGAGAACTTGGCACCCTGGCCTTCTTTGCTGCTAGGAGTAAGCTTGCCCCCATGCATTTCCACCAGTTGCTTTGACAAGAACAAACCCAATCCACTGCCTGCATGTTGTTGCGATCCATTTTCTCCTAACTGACTGAATCGCTGCATGAGACGCTGCGCATCTTGAGAACTGAATCCCTTGCCGGTGTCTACAACATCAAAGTTGAGCAAGGCTTCGGTCTCCTTGAGCTGTGCGGACACGTCATGGAAAATATTGCAACCAATGTAAATCTCACCCTGAGCGGTGAATTTAACGGCATTTCCAACAAGGTTGATAAGAATCTGGCGAATTCGGAAACGATCACCAATCACCATTGCGGGCACATTGGCGTCCATCAAGTAGTTAATCTCAAGGCCTTTGTCAATCGCTCGGGAGGCAATTGTGTCTATCACATCCTCGATCATCGACCGCACATGGAACCATGAGTTCACCATGGACATCTTGCCTGCCTCAACACGAGAAACATCAAGTATGTTGTCCACCAATTCACGAAGATTGGTCGAGCTGTTCTGAATGGTATCAAGCATTCGTCTCTGGTCACTATCAAGTTGCGTGTCAAGGATGAATGGAATGGTACCAAGTATACCATTGAGAGGAGTACGAATCTCGTGTGACATATTGCTGAAGAACTTCGTCTTGGACTCCATTTGGTTGTTGAGTTGGCTCATCGCCTTGTTCAGCTCCCGCTCAAGGTTCTTGCGGTCATTGATGTCGGTGCACGTGCCATACCAGGAAGTTTCTTCGCTTCCAAAGCTGCTCGTCTCAACACAAACAAGGCGAACTAAATGCCATCGGAAGTCGCCGCCTCGAGACCGTAGACGAATTTCAGTGGAATAAAAGACTCGACCATTCTCGTCTTTCTGCAATGAAGCAACGCCGCGTCGCACCAGGTCATCCAGTGCGGATGAAACACCCTGGGTTTCTGATAATGATCTCTCACGACCATGTTCAGAAGATGGTATACCAGGTTCTGCCGCCTTGGGTCCGTGAGGGCCAGGAAGAGTTTGCATTGAAAGTCCGCCACATTTTTCAAGATCATCAGGATGAACATGCTTCGCGAAGCCCAGATTGAGGGCCTCCTCCAGTTTTTGGCCAGTATATAAGTTCCATTGCTCATTGACAAAAATCAAACCTCGATTTTCTGTTGCCTCGAAGACGACCTGGGGGATCGAATTCGAGAATGCCCGGTACTTGGCGTCTGTAGCAAATTTCTCCCTCTCTTGATTTGCTTTCAATTCGGCAATATGCTGTTCGTGAATATCAAGGAAGGAACCTATCCAATAAAGAACTTCTCCAGTGGACGAAAGCAAGGGGTTGGCTCTGAAAATGAACCATCGATACGCTGTCTCATCGTTGAATCGTCGAACACGAACGCGCTCGGTGAATTGAGAACCGGTTCGAAGGGCATTAGCCCACTCGTTAGAAACATGATCCCGTTCGCTACTGTGGATATTCTGCCACGGGTCACGAAACTTGTGCTCTTGAGGCTTGCTCCTTCGGTACGCATCAAACTTGGAATTAGTCCAAATAACTTCTCCGCTTTGGGGCTTAGCCAGGAAAAGATGGAGGGGGATAGAGTTCAGCATCAGCTGTGCGATTGTGTCCGAGAATGGTCGTGGAAGATCCCGCTGAAGCTGGGCAAAGAATGAATTTGTTGAGGCCTGGCGGGAGGATTGCTGAGTAGGGGACAAAATAGAAGGTCTGGTCTCTTGTAACGGGGATGCAATCGCCTGAGTAGAATCTTGTGGAGTACTTTCATCGGCACTGGGCGCTTTTCCTATTCTACCTGGAGATGTCGGTGTTGAGGAGGCGAGATTCGACTTGGATTTGGAAAGACGACGTCGATGCGGCGCGATAGGATCACGAGGACCTTTGGGCTGTTGAACATTGAAATAGCCGTCGGTAGCGTCCCCCGAGCGTGATATCAAAGCCGGAGAATGGGTTGTCGAAACAAATCCTGTTTGGCCAAGGTCATATCCAGGCGTTCCAAAGCTGGAGATGGCAGGACTGAGCTTCGTAGACGAGCGGTCGCTCGGACTGGCGATACTTGCTCGCGCAGATATAGAAGTTTCGTCGCCAGCGGAATAACTGACATGGCCACTTAGTCCTGCAACAAGTTCCAGCTCGCTGCTTGCGTCAGAAAAGGTTCCACCCAGTCCCAATAAATGGCCATATCGAGGTGTTTCCACTTTCGACACCAATTGTCTTTCAAGTTGACTATATTGTTGAGCGAGGCAAAAGGACGTAGTTAGGTGTGGCATAAAATGTGCCAAGGATTGGCGGAGATTAGATGGGTATGGCACAATTGTGGAAAGGAGTGAAACAATGGCAACTGGAAACCTCAATGTCGAGGAAGCCCCTTGGGGAGCTCGACCACCATGTAAAAGAGGAATGTGGATGACTGTCTTCGAATGGTCGATCCCGATGGCTTCCAACGGATGGGTATTTGAATAGTCATGGGCGGGCGGGTGTTGCGAGAAAGCGCCTTCATCCACTGTATGGTTGGAGAAGAATGGATTCTGGTCTGCATGCGTTCGGGGGGCGGGTGAGGGTGCAGGGGATTGAGACCATGGTGACTGCGGAATTTGCTCGTACTCATCATAATGCTTCAGACCAAATAAAGAAATATCATTTCCAGGCAAATTCAGCCCAGTATTCAAGTCATAGTCGGTCCTGTCCGCACGTTCAGTATTTGGTGTTTTCTGGACAACTTCGAGGGGGCTCGGCGCCATTTCTTGTCCTTGCTGAGAGATCTGCATCGAATTCGACGAGTACTCGCGAGTAAGAACAACCGGGGAGGTACGTCCGAATAGCTTCACGACTCCGGTGCGCTTGATTAAGGGGTCCGACTCGACTTCCAGAGGTCTTGTTATTGGAAATACTGCTTGCTTCACAGCAGTCGCATGTTTGTTCGAAAAATCTGCTGGTTCGGCCTGTTCGGACGCTCTGGCGACTCGTGCATGCTTCTTCTCCTGTTTTCCGGTGGCCTTTGATTGTGGTTGCTGTTGATCTGATTCAGAAGATGCAGCTTGCTTCTTACCATAACCAAAGCCTGAAAATGTGTGCCGGGATGAGAGGGTTGGTCGGGTCGACGAAAGGGGAGGGCCGGGGGCTTTGAAGTTGGATGATGACGACAATATTCCCTCCTGCTTATGATCGGCTTCATCTTGATTGTTGCAGTCGCCAGTAGTCTCCGTTGGGAGCAATTCGGTAAAGGAGGCCGTGTGGTTATTCGCCGGTCTCACATATTGGTTGAAGACGGCTTTTTGGCCCCAAGGCACGTTTTCGAGGTCTGTCGCATCACCGGGGACTGCGAGTGATACTCGCTCTGCCCCATAATGTGTTTGCAAGATTTGAATCAGATTGGACCACCAAGCTTCCAATCCCGGGTCCGCATTAAGCTTCAAAGTTAGATCATATAGACTGGGGGAACCGAACTCGGTTTCCGGGTCGATCTGTTGATGCTGAGGCGGCAGAAATGTAGGCTGTGCATCGGACACTTTTGTGGACGGGTGGGACTCATCTAGCGTCTGTGATGATGGTGTGCTTGATCTCGCCCTGTCCGAGGGTAATTTCAGCCGAAAATGTCCCTGCCGCCCGATTTGTTCGATTCCCGGCTTCCCGGATGGCGAATTCTGTACTTTCGGGAATGGATAGGAAGGTGTCTGGGTTGTCGCATTGTTGGGAGAGAGTACTTCATCGGTGGTACCTTTGATCGTTCCCCCAGAGCCTATAGAGTCAGAAGTGTGGACGACGGTTGGTGGAACCTCGGTTGAGGTGATAGATAGTCGACGTTTCTTGGGAGTTTCGCTGGAAAGGGTCGACACGGGTTGAGTCTGGGATGTGAGGTGATGTTGATGCTGTTGCATCTGCTGATACACCAGGAGCTCTTCCATCTGCCGCCGCAACTCTTTCAACGTTTGCGAGCTCCGGCCCTGATCTTCCTGTCGTTCGCTGAAGGACCGAGGGTCTTCCGTCACGGGAGTCAGGCCAATCATCTGTTCCGTCGAGTCGCCACGCGAGAAGCGAGGCATTCCGGAAGATGATTTCACGGCCCCGTCCCCTCCATCCGTGGTGGCATCCACTGGCAAGCCGGCGGCATGGCGGGCTTGGTCAGGAATTCGGTAGCTCGACGACCGTGGGGGCTGCAGGTGGGGAGGCTGCGGCACGGCGACAGGCGACACTGTCTCTGTTGGTGATGGGAATGGAGGAGTCCTCCTGCTATGCACGTCCCCCATCTCTCTCTCACACACACACACACACTCTCTCTCTCTCTCTCTCTCTCTCTCTCTCCTCCGCCGATCAAATGAGGGCAATCAGTACACCTGGGCGACAAAAACAGCGTCGAAGCACAGTCGGTCGGTCATGTCTCGGCCACGGCAGTCCGGTGCAGTCTTGAAGAGGGAGAATGAGCGAAGCGCGTTGGTCAGTGTTGGACCGGGGGAGAGGGATGGAACGTCGGCTCGGGAAGAAAGGAGACGAAAAAAAGACTCAGCAAAGCGCAGATGAGAGCTGGGTCGATTTAGAATCCGGGATCAGAGTCGAAAGAAGTGAATAAGGTTCAGGCGGTGTATCGCCCCGTGAGATGGGATGGGGGGTGGTTGTGGTATATGGTGTGGGTTGGGGGGGAGGGCGGGCAGGTCAACAGAGGAGTGTGTGGTTCGGTGGGTGGGTGTTCGGGATCGAGGGAACAAGCAGCGGCTGTCGTGACTCTGGACACTGGCGTCAGTACCCGCTAGGCCATTGCTTGGATCGGCCAGGGAGTGGATGAAGAAGGGAAAAAAAGTGGATTCTCGATGGCTCCGTCTCCGGGGAGGGGGGAAAACGAGGCGCCGATGACGTAGCCGGCCAGGGCCAAAATAAGAAAACCTTGACGCCCCGTGATGCAGGTCGAGCAACACCCTACTTAAAATGTCGCGTCTGATTGCCGAAATTTCGACGATCCCCCATTTAACCCTCTATTCTCTATCATCTATCGGGTTGGTGGGTTACCAGTCCAGCTGGTATAGTTCGCTCCAAGGGCAGCCAGACCAGAGAAGCTTAAAAAATAGACCCCCGAATCAATGTAGAACCCCCCCCCCCCAGCAACGGCTGTAGGAACGATGGAGACCGGTGTTCTCTGCATGAGTCGGGCCTATCATGGTCTCGCACTCTCGGGAGAAACTGCCTACAGAGAGTGAGAGGGAGAAAACGGAGTAGTCGAGTACAAGTCCCGTCCACTGACTCGCGTTGACGTCCTGATCCTTTTCCGACTCGCGGTGAAGGGGTTTGTTCTGGTCAGATGACGGAGTTTTGTCCAGTTTGGGTCCGAGTAAATGGTACTTGGACGGTACAGAGACTGTACAGAGGGAACATGTGCAGAGGTGGAGATATACTCCATTCCCTAAACCCAGATGTACATGGATACACACCACATATATACATATATAGATGTGTGTGTGTTTGTATCTATAGTGGTCTACCGTTCTTGGGAGATATACTCTGTTACCTACCAAGAGATGGTCATTTCCTGTCTTTCTAGATGCTGAGGAATCCTCGGTGGAACCGGTTCATGATTCTTGTTTTTGGACCGCGCACCGACCGGGTCCGCATCGGCCCTTTGGGTATCGCGACCGCCCCAATCAGAACTCGTCCCTCGCCCCTCGTCTCTCGAGTCCTCAGCGTCGGGACCTCCCAAACCCTCCAAGTATTATTATCGACGGGACTGCATTATGGGGCGATATTATGAAACTATGTTATGAACTGGGTGGACTAGCGATGACTAGCAATTACACCCTTCCGCTGACTGCCTACCTACATCATTCCCGCCGAAATCTCAATCATCTGCATGATTGCCTCCCTCCTTTTCCTCTCTCCCTCTCCAGCGATGGATCGATGGATTGACCTCTAGTGTTTCCCATCCAATAGATACCCAGCATCGAGTGGCGGTCCATGCTGATCATCTTTCCCGCGTGCCCATCCTCCCATCTGAGGAGGTCAACTGGCCGATCCAATGAGGCCCTCTTCCCTGTATAATGTAAAAGGTATAATACGTAGTATCCGAAATGTATCTGTGACCTCCCCCGTATCTATCATAACGTATCTACCCAGGCAGGGTGACGAGTGACTTGGTACATAGGGCACAGCGATCGCAGACATGACGAAGGGGTCCTCTGCTTATTTCATCATGTGCTGTGCGTCAAGAGAGAGATAAAAGGGCTCGAGATATTCATCTTCTCCTTTAGCCTGCGAGGATTCGTCGGCGTCCTCCATGCGGGATGTTGTACGAGGCCCCCAGGCAGGGGCGAAAAATCCCCAGGGTCTAGGCCCTCGCCTGTGCATCCCTTGATGATCGGTGCCGAATACGCGACATCGTGACGTGAGTGGGCTTTTTTCTAGAAAAGACTGTTCTCTGGGGCAGACAGAGCCCGTAGCAACGGGCTTGGCCAGTGGCGCACGGCTGTGACACTAGTCACGAATTGGATGTTGGACCCATTCGAAGGGGCCTGAGAAGAACACATATCCTCTTTCCGAGACGAAATGGGGCGATGCCGTGTCCTGGAGACCAGTAGACCAGTCTGTCGGCTGGGGCGTCCTGAGCCTCAGGGAATCTGACCAGCAGTTGGGAAGCTGAAGAGCTGAAAAGTCCAATTCGCCGTCATCCGACCACGGCAGTTGGGCTGTTAAACGAACCCGAAACGTGACGGGTGCGTCGAGCCCGCCGGCCGATGTCATGCTGCCGCAGGCAAACCCTGTGTGTCACCCCGACTGCTTGCACGTTTTCTTGAGGGTATTCAGGCATTCTCAAATAAAGATAATCAGAAGGTTCTGATGGTCGATCATATTTGAAAATGGGTGATAGAGCACTGGAGTTCGTATCAGCTCTATTAGATTCCTAGTTAGGTTTATTTTCATTGCGAAACTAGTGGTACATTCGACGTAACCTCCTTTGACTACAAACAGCAGCCAACTTCGTCAAACAAAATCGCTTTTCGAGATCAGGGCAGTTGCGGTAGGTCATTGTAAAGTCTATTGGAATGCCAAAGAAGGCGTGGTGAATAATTGACGACATACATCTCGAGACGGATATTGATACGCAGAGATGTCCGTCAATATATATGTTGCCTTTCCAGTTGATTCTCGAACAAGGGCAGCTATGACTGGAGCACCAGGGCTACATGCTACATCCCTTCAAGAACCAGAAATCAGAGGTATATTCCATGTGCTACGATAAGGTACCTATCGGCACCCATACATTTTCTCCGGAACGCCACCATACTCCGATTGCGAACCGGGCTTGGACGGGTAGGCACTTAGATTGAAACTATAGCATCCACTGATGTCAGCCCGCGGCCACGCTCTGGTTTCCCCATTTGAATTGAGCAGGCTTGTTTTTAAAAGTGGAAGGAAGTTCAGACGTCCATCGCACAGGGGCAGCGGATCTCTCCTTTGGACCCATCCGATCGTGTTCCGTCTTGATTTCCTAACGAACGAAATGGCGGATGCACCTAGATCTCCGTAAAAATAGATTTTCCGATCGACCCGGCCCACCTGCAACGTCCGTGTGGACTGCGCGACAAAACCTACGATGTCCACTTGTGAGCCGCCTGTGATTGTTCTTCCTTGTGGGTGAATTCTTCAAAGGCCAAGGCCCGTGTGTGCTTCTTTTTCTTTTGACTGCACCCCAACACTCAAATCTGTCACTGGACTTTGGAGGCTGACTTCCGCCGTCGCTATCGCCAGCGCCGTTTCCGTCCTCCATGTCCGTCCCGCCGCTATCCCACTTTGCCTAACCCATCTCGCCAGACCGGACACCCAGACAACGCCCAAGAGAGATCGGTCTATGGCCACAGGGATCCATAGGACCTAGAAACACCATAGAGATGGAGGAAAGTCACATAATCAGCGAGGATCTGCCGCTTCCACGCTCCCGGCTGTTTGAACGTCTAGGCAACCTGCCCGGCTATACGTGGGACCAGTCAGTCGAGCCGTTCCATTCGACATACAATCATTGGCATATCTGCGGATTTCGCCATGCGATCGAATCCGACCTCTCAACCCCCGTCGCGACCTCTTCGGGCCCAGCCTCTTCAGGTCCATCGAGTCTCACTCGTTACTCCCCGCGTGCGGACATTCGTCCGGCCACCCGCCCATTGATACGACGAGCCAGTATTAGCGAAACAAGTAGTGAGATTTCTTTCTCACGAGGCGAACAGGAGCAGATATGGATCCCGGTTGTCGCTCGCGTCTCCACCAATGTGATTAGATTGGAACGTGAATTTCATATGTTAAGATCCGTCGTGCAATCTTCCGACCCGGACTGCAACCATACAATCCGACCTATCGACTTGATTCGACTTCTCCCCGACCCTGGTGACGAGAGAACCCTTTTGGTAGCGATCTTTGAGTCTCCGGGCCACGACCGATTACGCGACTTGGTTACATTTGGCCCTGCTTCGTTCGTCGCCGGAGCAAAGGGAGACAATAACGCTACGCCCAATGAACAGATACCATTGCCGGCCTTTTTTGACTTTGCGATCGGCGCATGCGACTGCTTGGAAATTTTACATTATGGAGTGAAAACCGTACATGGGGAGATTCGCGGCGATGCATTCCATTTTTGTGGCGAGACTGGAGCTGTCAAGCTTGTAAACATCGGGAATGGTGCTCGGTCATTCGACAACGTTCTCAGTGAAGGATGGTCTTCTGTGTCTCGTGAGCTTGGGGCAAAGTACAAGTTGCAATTCATTGCTCCAGAGCAGACGGGTAGGATGCCTACCGAGCCAGACAGTCGCACCGATATCTATGCTCTGGGTCTCTTCTTCTGGTCAATGTTGGTAGGAAAATTACCCTTCGAAGGCACTGATCCTGTCGAGGTTGTTCAAAATGTACTAGGAAGGAAATTGACCCCCATATCTGCGAAGAGAATGGATGTGCCAGATGCTCTTTCAGCAGTGATCCAAAAAATGACACAGAAAGCGGTTCACGAGCGCTACCACACAATTTCCTCGGTGAAGCGGGACCTATCGCAAATTGCAAATCTACTGGGCGATGGAGACAGTGAAGCCTTGAACAACTTTCGAATTGCGCAGCAAGACGTGTCATCCTTTTTTACCCTTCCGTCCCGCATGTTTGGTCGACAAGATGTGTATGATACCATAATCAACGTCGTGGAAAAGGTGAACAGACGACAGGCAGCTGCCTTCGCAAAATCATTCACTCAGAGCCCAGGAACAGCGCATGCCCTCGCTTCAAATTCATCTTTCTCCGAGGGGCGTGTGGACAGTTTCGAACTTGCATCCATGTCTAGCGATTCGGGATCATTCCACCTACCTCCCAGGACACGCTCTGATGCCACTAATTACCATCTCTCCCACGTCAGTACCCACGACTCTGTCACAAGCAGCGATGTGACATTTCAAACTCCGAAGCAAGCACAGACACCAACCAGTCAAGAAATTCCTCCTTCGGCACATAATTCCATATCCGACAAAGTGAAAAGTCCCTCACATTCTCGTTCTTCATATAATACAGACCGGGAGAGCCACCCCTCTATCGGTACTAATACCAACAGCCAACCGTCGATTCATAATTTCAGTCAGTCTGATCCATTGAACTCTATCGCCAAGCAAAAGGCCGGCGGAAAATTCCGCCGTAGCGGACGGTGCGAGGTCATCACAATTAGCGGTGTTGCAGGACTAGGCAAGACGGATCTTCTGAACCGGGTTCAACCAATTATTCGTAAAATGGGCTATATAGCCATTACTCGTTTGGATCGAGCGAAGCGAGTGCCGTTTGAACCATTTGCAAAAGTTTTAGCCAGCCTTCTGCGTCAGATCTTCTCTGAGCGCGATGTTATGACCGACTATCATGACAGCATCCGACGGGCTTTACGCCCACTATGGCCTACCTTGCATAAAGTGCTAGACCTGCCTGAGCAGCTGATGGCTCCTGGTTCGAAATACAAACCGCAGTCATCCAATATCACCGTTACTCAACAAGTCGTTAAGCCAGATGTTTTCAAGGGTGAGCTCCCCAAAACAATGAAAATCCCATGGTTGGATCAAGGTCAAACTTCGGCAGATTTTTTCTTATCAAATGCAGCCTCCAATAATCTGCGTTTGATGGAAATTTTCCTGGAGATTTTGAAGACCTTGTGTCAGTTCCGACTGATCACCATTTGTCTTGATGACCTTGAATACGCGGACGACGAAACTTTGGAGCTGGTTTTGAACATCATTAGAGCAAAGTTACCATGCGTCCTCATTCTTACCAGTCGTAAGGATGAGATCATGTCTGATAGTGTCAGGTCATTGTTTGAGGCGGACAATTCCAACGTCACAAGAATTGATCTTCAACCGTTGGGTGAAGACGACATCATGGAGTTCGTGGCTGCGACAATGCACCAGGCGCCCAATCCCACATTGACACCGCTCTCCGCTGTGATCCAAGAAAAGAGCCAGGGTAATCCGTTCTATGTGCGGGTGATGCTGGAAACCTGCTACCGGAAAAATTGCATCTGGTACTCGTGGAAAGACTCGAGGTGGCTGTTTGACCTTGATCGAATTTTCACCGAATTCGTGGCTCCTGTGTATGGGGAAGGGTTGGGTCTGGGCTTTCTCACCAAGCGTCTCCAAGAAATTCCGCCTGCAGCCAGGTCGATCATGGTTTGGGGTGCGCTTCTAGGGAGTCCATTCTCATTCTCGTTGGTTCAAAAGATTTTGACTAGCGAGTTTCTTCTCTCTAACGATGATGGAGATTTGGATCTTCCGTCCCCACAAAATGTAACACTGGTACGGCAAACAGAGGGAGACATTGTTGTTGGGCTACAGTACTTGGTCCAGGCCAACCTCCTGAATACAGGGAAAACTGATGATGAGTTCAAGTATGTGTACGAGATATGTGCTGGATTTTGCCTCTGCCACCCAAAAGAACCTTGGCTAACAATGACTATAGATTTGGCAATGACCGGTTGGCGCAAGCTGCTCTTACTCTGAACGAGAGCCAAAATGTCGAGAAAATGCATTTCATCGTCTCCCAAGCTTTGATGAAATATTATCATGATCATCGTAGTCGTTATTCGATGGCAAACCATGTCGCTCATTCGTCCCGTACCATCAAGTCTCGTGTTACCCGACGGATTGACTACAGAAGAATACTGTGGGAAGCTGGACAAACTGCTGCTCAGTCTGGAGCACGACCAACAGCACTCTGGTACTTTCGCCACTGTATCGCGCTCCTTCAGGATGACCCATGGGACGATCACCAAGTTGATGTTTATTATGACGAGACAATGCGTCTATTCATTGCAACAGCTGAAATGTCATGGTCCCAGGGCCAAAATGAGGAGGCGCTTACATTGATAGACGCAGTTTTTGTCCACGGAAAAGATGCAGTGAGCAAGTCAAGGGCCTGGATCATCAAAGCGAAGATCTTCGCTCAGCTAGGAAACCACCATCGATCGATGGAATCCCTGCTCACGTGCCTTGATGAACTGGGTGTTCACCTTCGCTCACCCACAACATATGAGGACTGTGATGCTTCCTATATGAAATTGAAGCACTTTCTTGAGCAGGCTGATCTGGAAGCTGTCACCCAAAAGCCAATCAGCAAGGACCCGAACCTGGTCACCATTGGGGCCGTTATGGCAGAGGCGATGGCAGTTACATATTGGGATGATGCGTTAACATTCTATCGCATGGCGATTGAGATGATGCACATCCACATTTTCAGGGGCGGATTTACGCAAATCTCAATCGGTTGCTCCCATCTTGCCATGATCGCCCTCAGTCGCTTTAAAGACCTGGAGTTTGGTATTAGACTCAGCGATCTTTGCCTTTCCCTCCTTGAGCGCTGCCCTGAGCTATGGACCCAAAGCCGTGGTTCTATCGTGCACAACCTCTATGTCAGCCACTTGCGCATTCCGATGGCCTCAACATTGCCGGCCTTGGACGCCTCTCTGGAGGCATCGTTTACTATGGGCGACCCGTACATTACCTTGATCAGCATATCCTCAATGGCCATGACACGGCTGTATCTTGGCCAAGACATGGATCAATTGGAAACATTCTGTCTGGACACGCCTGAAGAAATCCCGCATTGGAACCAGGACACTCGCGGTGGAGCCAGCGTACTTGCGGTCCGACAAGTTGCACGGGCTCTCCAGGGCAAGACCGAATTCCGCGATGCTGATAATGTCATGTCAGATGACCAGCATCGGACAGCTGCATATATGGCCTACCTGGATGCAAATGCGAGCAATGTGGACAGGCCCCGTGACATCTATTATGGCTTGTCCATGATTCCTTTGTTCTTGTTTGGTCACCACACGAAAGCGATCCAGGTCGGTACGAAATTACTAGAGACGACACACAGACTGTGGTCCGTGCGCGTGTCCTACCTAGTGTACTTCTACCTATCTGTCTCACTCCTCACACTTCACAATGATTATCCTGCTCAGGGATACCTGGATGGCAAGATGGACACCATCCTCCAGTACAAAGCCGAGATCGACTTCGCTCGAACCTGTTCGGATGCAAATTATGGTATGTGGTCGCTACTGCTAGAGGCACTCATATCCGAGGTTCGGAACGACCATAGTGCGGCGATCCAGGCGTATGAGGCTGCTATTGATCATTGCCAAGTTCACGGTTGGCCCTTGGAGGAGGCACTTGCACTTGAACTTCAGGGAGAGTTTTTGGTTCGACGTGGAGCGAAGAGGGCTGCTCGCGCTGTGATGCAAGATGCTATTGCTGCATGGAGCTCCATAAGTGCTGGAGGCAAGGCCGCAATGGTCGCAGAGAAGCATGAGTGGTTGCTTAAGACAGCAACTTCGGCCAAGACCGTTGATGTTGGTTGCCAGACCGTCGACTCTTTGCTCGAAATTTCTCGTGACGTTGTCGAGGAAGAAATTGGTATCCCCTCGCAGATCGAGGAAGAAGAGAGAAGACATCGTTGGATTGAACAGAATGGTGTCACCGCGGGTGAGAGATCACTAGATATCTCTAGCGTTGGACTTGACATTATCGATCTGTCTAGCATACTCGAGTCAAGCCAAGTCATGTCATCTGAACTTCAAATTGACAAGCTCTTCACAAAGATGCTCGAGATTATCATCGAATCATGCAATGGCTCTGATTTTGCAGTCATTGCTACAGACTTTGACGAGCAAGGCTTTGCAATTGCCGCAGCCGCAGATGCCGAAAAGGGCCAAAAGTCTTTCACGGATGGCCTGTCTTTCTCAGAAATGGAAGGTCGAATGGCTAACGAGATTACCCATTATGTCATGCGTACGAAAGAAGAAGTTCTCGTCCACAATGTCCTTGAAGACGAGCGATTTTCCAACGTCAGCGAAGCGTACCATGCAAATTTCCCACTTGGCCGGTCTGTAATTGCGCTGCCCATTGTTCAAGCGGACCATCTTCTTGGAGTGATTCATCTTGAAGGTAAACCAAATTGGTTCACCCAACGAAATGTTGTCGTGTTGCATCTGCTCTGTAACCAGATTGGAATCTCACTGTCTAATGCCCTCCTGTTCCGTGAGATTCGCAAAGTCAGTGCAAAGAATGCATCGATGATCGAATCGCAGAAGCGTGCGCTCGCTCAAGCACGCGAGTCAGAACAGAAGGCTAAAGTAGCTGAAGCAGAGGCGAAACACAACGTTAAACTCAAGGATGATGCTGCTCGAGCTAAATCTATTTTCCTCGCAAACATTTCCCACGATCTTCGCACTCCGATGAATGGTGTTATTGGTCTTTCGGAGCTCCTGAAGGGTACATCACTGGATAGAGAGCAGGATGAATATGTTGAATCCATTCGCGTCTGTGCCGATACCCTACTGACTCTCATCAACGACATCTTGGACTTCTCAAAGCTCGAAGCTGGCAAGATGAAGATCTCGACTGTGCCACTCAATCTCAAGGAAACAATTTCGGAGGTTATTCGTGCGCTTCGGTACACCCATCGCGAGCGTGGCCTGGATACAATCGAGGATCTTGAGCGTGTACCACCAGAGCTTGTTGTACTTGGTGATCCTGTTCGGTTGCATCAAATCTTCATGAACTTGCTGAGCAACAGCTACAAATTCACACCGAAAGGCTCCATTACCGTCAAGGCTCGGGTTGCCCGTGAAGGCAAAGGCCGGGTGCGCTTGGAATGTTCAGTCTCCGACACCGGAATCGGTATTCCCGAAGAGCAGAAAGCCCGTCTTTTCCGGCCTTTCTCTCAAGCTGACCCCTCAACTGAAAGATCTTATGGCGGCAGCGGGCTTGGTCTGAGCATCTGTAAGGCGATTATTGAGGACGTTCTTGGTGGTGCAATCTGGCTCGAGTCAACGTCAGGAGTCGGAACCACTGTGACCTTCCACTTGGTTTTCAATAAAGCGCCCAAGAAAACAGCAGTCAAGGCTCCGTGGTCACAGGATCTGAGCCAAGCAGAAAGCAAAGAAAGTCCACGAACGAAAGCCCGAGACCTCACCCAAATCCCAAGAGATCAGATCCGAGTTTGCATTGCTGAAGACAATCCTATTAATCAAAAGATTGCTGTCAAGTTCGTGACAGGGCTTGGTCTCCAATGTGAAGCATACAGCGACGGAAAGCAAGCAGTGGACGCTCTGCGCGCTAGATCCAAAGAAGGCAACCCTTTCCATGTGGTTTTGATGGATGTCATGATGCCCACTCTCGATGGATACAACGCGACCCGCGAGCTGCGCCGAGACCCCGATCCCAATGTCAATGAGGTTCTGGTCATTGCTATGACGGCCAGTGCCATCGAAGGCGACCGGGAGAAATGCCTTGAAGCTGGCATGAACAACTATTTGCCAAAGCCCGTGCGATCACCTATTCTCAGCGAGCTGTTGGACAAGTATCTTGCCCCCGTGCCCTCGTACCCACGCACCCGTCTCGCAATTCGCGAAAAAAGCTCGAGAAGCAGCATTGGTCCCGACGCTGGCACCCCCACCAGTTTCTCTTCATCAGCATCCGATGAAAAGCCTCTTCCCCCACCACCAACATCAGAGGAAAAATGATTTTATGCACTTTCAAATGATACCCTGCACATTTGCACCTGGATAGAAAGGATGAGGCGTCTTTTGGATTTTTTTCTTTTGTTACATTTTTTTTCGATTTTTGATTTCTGAGCCGGGTTGGTTAGCACCGAGGCTGTTTTTGGGTCTCACTTATTGCACTACTTGACGACTCTTTGTTTCTTCAATTGGTTTTGTTGTTTCCTGTTCTTGGACATGGTGCTATGGGATTCTCATATACTCCATGCCTTTCCTTTTCATATCTGCGGAGCTGATTAACTTATTTTGGTCTCTTTCTGATTTTATTTACGATTTTCATGATAGGGTGATTCACTACTTTGTTCCAGGACCTCGTCTTTACTAAAGGGGTTCCATATTGTACCTGTAATCTCGGATATCTGCATTCGATTTGTCTATATTATTTTTCCTGGCCTGGGGGGTTGTTTAACGAGAGAAGATCCTCGGTCTTTCGATTTGTAGAAACTGTAGGAAGGCATGAAGACGGTTTAATGGAAGTAGACTTCTAGAAGATGCACATGGTGTAGAGGTCGGAATTGGGTCTTCGTAAGGAATTGCAAGACGAAGGGGGAAAGATGTATTAGCCCAGCCGTGGAAGTTGAACCTCGCGACCTGACTTCTGGCGGCATGCCGTAGCACGCAATCGGTCTTTAGGGCGATGCTTAATTTTATGCATATTTATCCAGTGGCTCCGAGACATAACGGGAATCTCTTATTCAGTATGATGTGCACCCTTGCAAAGTAAAGCCGCATGATTTGATACCGAAGTAGAAACTATGCCGTGACATTGAGTCCGAAGTCTCTTGTGTCAATTCTGACATGTCAATGTCGATTCTGACTTTTGAGGATAAAGGCAAAGAAGGTCCTGAAACCGAACCTTCCAAATAGAGAATAGAGAAAGGGGACAGCGTGGCGAAGGACGCTGGGTGCTGGGAATGATGACATTTAATGCTTACCGGGAAGCAGAGGAAGACGCAATCCTACAACTGGAGAACTACAATTGAACGAAGCAAGATCTCTACCTTGCTGGCTTGGCGGAAGGAGAGGATGCAGAGGAAGGAAGGAAGGCAATAAAGTATGAGGATGTGGTGCTGTATGTTGCATACAACCGAGTTGCCGGTTGATCTGGGCGGGATTTGATGGTTTCTACTACTTGTAGGCGTTATATATTACCATTTGATAAGGGACCTAGGGCTTATCTGGACTGGTTTTGTATGGCAGAATGTTTTTTTCCTTTGTATTGTTATTCTTTGCGCACAGCTGGAGATGGGACAGCTCTTGCTTCCACTGGAGAAAGCGCCTTCATAGCCATTACCCCACGATTTAGGTTGCATTACGTTAATAAAGTTATCGCTTGATTGACGTTGGTTCCAATTTAGTATAGAGGGCTATCGAGTGCTAAGTGTAGCGTCTTTAAGCCCTTTATCTTGTCAATTAAATCCGTGTTTTGTAAAAGTCGCTGCTCTGTAGAGTTTAGCCACCACAAAAAACGGCGTAAACTCCAGAGACGCCCAGCGAGCCATTTTAGGCATCTGGTGGGTGGAAAAGATCCCCAACGAGGGACATCAACTTGGCTGCCCCGTGCGAGATGTATGACACTCGGAGTTCGATCGGAATCGCGGCATAGAGGACAGCATAGGCAAAAAATATTCGTGCAAGTGATTGATTGGAATTTGCCCCATTCTCCTCACTCCTGGCTCGGCAGGTGGTACAGAGTGGTGGGATTGAATTGGCTCATTATACGAGCATCACTAGCTGCGCGTTTTTCAGGTCCAGATGATCTTGCTCGATGAACATAATGAAGGTGGAGCCAATGAATGGGGGAATCTCTAATCAGACCTTGTCGCCTTCATTCGGTTGGCACTTGACGGCTCAGGTGAAGTGTCACTTACGTTACTGTTGCAATGTTGACCACACTGCTAGGTCGCTTGTGCAACGCTCAACGGAATCGCTGTCGAGTCTTGCGGCTGCTCGATATTATGCATCGGGCTTGAGAAAAGAACATACAATAGGAAATAAAAGTCATTAGGGGGCACTTGTTGGCTTTTATCGGCATTTTCTTTTCTTTATCGGTAAGCAAAGATATGTATGGAGGAAGATGGAAATAGTATTGGAAATTTATAGACAAATAGGGGAGTCGAGGCAGCAAAGGATCATAGCGTCTCAACTTCGATCAAACAAGGAAATGAGCAAAGCAATCGAACCCAGTTGAATTCCTGGAAGTTACCCAAAAGTGGCTTTGCGAAAAGCAACGCACAGTGTTGCTGGAGACTTCCGGCTCTAAACCAACGCCGCCAAATGCCCTCTCGGCGCTCAATCATGGTGTCAATTCAAAATTAAAGCAAACAAGAAAGCACTTTTGATCGCTGCCTACCCGCTCGCGGCCTTTGTTGCCGTTTTCTCTAAGTGATTGTATCGCCATTCATATTGTGCAAGCTGTCTTTTGTCGGTCGGCGACATGCTTTCCCCCTTCTCTGCCAATTCTTTCTCTGCCTGTTTCAGCATCTCCCAACGTTTCAATATCTTTGCCTGCGCCTCGGAGATTGATGCGAGATTGGTATCTTGAGAGGCCATTCGCTCATCGATAGTAGAGTGGTATGACAGTTTCGCATGGAAGAGAGCCATCTCGGATTCATCATACTTGAGCCCTTGCGCTTCTGGCATCGTGGTATTATATTGGGCTCCCTTGGGAGGCATCATGTATTGAGAGTAGGTAGGCGGCACGTTGATAGAAGACAGAAATTTTGAGAAAGCAAATGTTGATGCTGATTGCGGGTCGTTTGGGGTGCTTGGATGCAGCGTGGGAGTCGACAGGCAAGGGAAGAGAGGGGATAGGAGGGGTCATATATCCAATTCCACGGAATAGCGATGTGTAGGAGCTGTGATTAAATTAAATTATAAAATAAAAAAAGACGAATCATTGACGAGCGAGACCTTTTATTGGTGCAAACAATTGAAATTCCGGGACAAGCAAAGCGACTTCTAGAGACGAAAGAAAGGACGCATGTTAGATGGTCATCGGTTTGAAGCACGGGGAATAGGGTGCCTGAAGCTCCCTAAATATACCCAAGTCTGATATTCATCATAGCTTTTGTTGACCAACAAACTTGGCCTTCCAATACCCGAGCATCCCCCACTTGGGTGATACCAAAGGATGGGAAAGACAACCATGAAACCCTCCCCAACACCGCGCAGAGAACGAGGGGCAGGACCAGGCCATCCCGGAAAGAGAAGGAGACTGAAAGACAGACTTACCAAGGGTAAAGGGCCTTCATGGACCGGCTCTCAATTCTACCCATTGTCAAGGACTCGAAGTGGTGTCTGCACGCCACAAGAGGTGACGTTCCGTTTGCCTGCTCAGCAGGAAAAAGATGGTCGCTGTCTCGTGATAATAACCATCAAGCCAATGGACATCACTAAAGTACCTTCCTCGCTGCTTATTGGCAGTTGAATGGTGACACCGTTTTCCCTCTACCGTCCGCGCAACCGGACATGCATGGCGAGGGGAATCTACTGGAAGGAGGAACATGGGAGATGCAGCAGTCCCGTCTCAGTCCGTATGGCCGTGCGTGGTTGTTGAGGTCTGTGGTCTAGGATCTCGAAGAGCTATACCCTGATTAAGCGGAGTTAAATTCGAGTAGTCCGTCTCGAGCGACCAAGGAGGCTGAAGTTGGCCACAAACACGTTTCGTGCGCATGAAAGCGACAGGGGGATACCCCGATAAAAAATGCTTCAGGTTGAGTCCACATCATCTTGCCACGCGAAATGACGAATCACACGAGAAAAGCCAAATCGGCGGTGGGCAGCTTGATTGACAGATGGGCGGAGGAATGAAATTACACGAAAATAGAGTTGACGTATCCTGCCAGTCATTTAGCTCTCCCATCGTCTCACCGTTTGGGCTCCCCATACTTCATCTCTACAAGTCTCTAAATGGGCCACTGCTCGCCACCCCACCAAAGAACGTTCGATCTCTGCATAGAAGCTGAACACGGGGAATTACTGTTCAAGTGTTACCGAAGTGGTTGATTCAACGTCATCAATGCAGGTTGATGCTGTGTTGCCACAAATAATCCATTTCAATACGACTGTCTCAAGAGAGCTCTAGGATCAGATCAAACTTAGTTTGTCGGGAATTACTTCGATTTGCCAGTGAAGCTGTAACTTTCCATACAAGTAGAAAAGATAGCCCCCCCCTCCCACCCCAAAATTCTTATGTAAGGGAATATGGTGATATCTGAATGGCTGTTGGGGGGATTTCTCCACTTGCTGCCGTTATTAAAGTACTTGTTTGGTCGAACTTAGGCTCGCCCAGGGACAATTCCCTGCTCACAATAAGTCCATGATGCAAGATATTTCTGGAGAAGCACTAATACAGAGCAATTGATTATTTGGGTGGTAGAAGGCTCGATCATCGCTGCTCAACAAGAGTCGAATGACACTGTTTGGCAGGCACTCAACTCGGTACCTGATCTGTTTGTGTGACTCAGCCTGCGTACATGTAGGGCGCCTCTTAGATTGACTAGAGTTTTGAATGATGGCAAATTACCTTGGAGAAAAGAAGAAGTCGTTGACTTAAAGTCTTGAAAAGCATCACGGCGACGATTTGCGGCTTATTAGAGCTGCAAGACATCATGTCGTTTTGGTTGGTATTTGGAACTATCTCGGACCATTAGAGGGAGCCATTGCCCATTTCTGTTCGAAATAGTCCCTACTGCATCTTCTACACTCAATGATCAGGTGGTCCCAGAAAGAGGGAATAATTACCAGAAGGCGGATACAGTGCGATAGAACAAGCATACCCCCGACGGGTAGGGGCAGCCGCGTCGGGGCGGGCGCGGCCGCCTGTGTTTCATCTACTTCGCATGGACATTTTAATTCCAGAGAGTGTGGGAGCTAGAAATTCAGCTTCCAGAATAAAGTTTCTGGTAGAAGCAAAATTGAGAAACTTGTGCGCTTTTAGGCCAAAGCAGCTTAGCACTATGTCCAAGTTAAGCTCACATCTAGGGTAAGAGATTCGGTTACCTGCAGCTGCAACAATTTCATTTTAACGCAACATGAAGCTGCACTCAAGGAGAATTTGAGTAAACAGCCCCTGAAAAGACAGAACAGCAATTATGAATTAATGTACTTGGTAGTACTACATCAATATTCAGTTCTGGCCTCCTCGTCTCGCGTAGCTGCTCTCTGTTTCTTGGCCTTCTGGATGTCAAGGGACATTTTGACGGGATTGACACCAGGTGTCTCAAATACGGCATCAATCTCCTCCAAACTCAATCCGCCGGTTTCGGGAAAAACGAAATACGACAGGATCAGCTGGATACTGTTGTATGCAATGTACACCACCCAAATCTTATACCCGAGTTTAGCAATACCGACACTGATTCCATAGGTCTGTGCGGCACTGGCACCGCCCTGGATGAGACTGTATAAACCCATCCCCTTGGCACGAAGGGACAAGGAGAGAATCTCAACCGGATAAAGATTATGCATCGTGGCAATCAATGTCGCAGAACAGGTCTGATACAAGAAAATCCAGAGCAGGGTCAGAGACGCGGCTGCATGGGTTTCGTGAAGACTGAACCGCCATGAGGTTATTGTGGTGGCTGTCTGGAATATAATCATTGTAGCAAGACCGGCAAATATAAGAGTTCGTCGACGGAACTTGTCGACAAGAAGAGAGCCTACGGCAGTGAAGACAAAATACGTGGCTGTCGTGCCAATGGAAATACCTAGTACAGGGATTGTGTCTGTAATTCCGATTGTATTCAGCGCATCGACCATCTGTAATGAACTTGTAGTTAGTATTGACCATAACAGGGGTCAAAGCATGAAAGTTCTCACATAGTATGTGATGATTCCTCCACCATTCCATTGTTGGAAGAACGAGTACAGGGTCAAAACAAGGAGTCGATAACGAGCAAGCTTGGTGAAGAAGACCCTGAAATCCCAGAAAGCTCGATATCCCGTTTTATCATTCTCAAGAGACTCCTCAATCTGCGAAACAACAATCTCAACGATCGGTTCGTTGATGTCCGTGCTCGTGGTGTGGTATTTCGCCACAACCTCCTTGGCCTTTTGTCGGTTGCCTCTCATTACATAGTATCGGGGTGATTCGGGGGTCAACACATAGATGGTCAAGCACACGATGGCCGGGAACACAGCCTCGAGGATCAGGGAGATACGCCAGCTCTTGTTACCAGACAGCTTCGAGAGACCTACCATGGCGCCCAGCATGACGAGACTGCCTACTTGGAAGCAAGCGCCGAAAAAGCCGACCATGCGACCACGGAGGTGGATCGGGGAAATTTCACCGATGTACTGAGAGCTAGACATCAGTGCCGTGCCGAAGCCCATGAAGAAGCGGCCCGCCATGAACATGTCCAGATTAACTGCGCAGCCCTGCAGGAGGGCGGCGAAAATAACAATGGCATTGCCAGTGAAGTTGATACCCCGACGGCCGATCACGTCTGCGAAGGCCATGAATGGAGCGCCACAGACGGAACCAATGCTCATCAGGGCATTCATTAGGCCGTATGTACTGCCACTGGTCCCGAAACCAAAGTATGCATGCCACGAATCCAACGCATTGATGCCACTAATGACACCCCAGTCGATTCCGTAGCCGGCTTGGTTGCAGCCATGTACGAACATAATGAGGCCCAGACGGAATCCAGTCCATGACCAAACGGACAGCGACTCCTGAGACAGCCTCCAGAGGTCTTCTTCGGTCAACCGTGCCAGAGCAACCTCCTCAATATGCTCCTCTCCCAAGTCCTTGACCATATCAGCCTTACCGAGGCTCAGTGTTTCCTTTTTGGCCATGTTTCTCAATCAATGGACCGGGAATTTTGAAAAGGCGAGAGTTGGAGCAGATCCGCCAGAGTCCAGCAATCGACCTAGAATGCGGGCACTGTAGGCTGTAAAGTCCTTTAAAAAATGTGAGCCAAGCGAGGGGCACAGGGCCACAGCTTGTATTTCTGCCCTCGCGAGCATGGATGATCCCGACTCATTAAAAGAAGCTGGCCAATCCGATGGCTACTGGATTGATTAATCCGTCCAATTCCGCCACGGAGTACTGGATTACCCGGGGCCAAACAGGAAGCGCGTGAACTTGGGAAATATGGCGACCAGACTCTCCATGGCATAGTTCTCCTGCCGGAATGCAAAGACTTATTGGCAGTTATCTTCGAGGGCGGAATGCTGGCGTTGGTCACATTCACCATCGCAAGCGACACTGAGTGTTTATTGGTCTCTTTGCGCTTGGGCGCAAGGCAGGCTCTGCTCGCTAGGCGCATGAAAAAGTGGTCTTTGCTTCTTTGAGAACGATAGTGAATGCAAGAATATCTCCACCACTGGGAAGCGAGTGCGGGGTACCCCGTCAACTCATCTAGACCCGTCAGGATGCAAGGCTGATCCTGAGAGCTCAGTACGCTAGACTGCGAGCCCGGGTAGAAGTCAATATAGCGTGGAGAAATCCGGGGACCATCGTGAATTTAACCGGTTTCTACCCGCGGGTCAAGTGGCGAGATTTAAGGTGCAGTGACCAAAGAATTAGATGCTTATGATTATCGCGGATTGACTTTGCAAGGACATGTCTGTGCGCCCTGGATTTCTCGATCAGATGTTACTTTGAAATTGACTTGACCTTCTTTGAAGCACGTTCATGATATTCGACCCATAGTAGTTAAATCCTAATTAAGGGATTACATTGTGAAAAAACCGTTTCCGTCCAGCCTATTGAAGTTTGACTAAGATCCAGTCAAGATGAACGAGCTCTGGTATAACCAGCCTGCAAAGGACTGGAATGAAGCTCTCCCAGTGGGCAACGGCCGCTTAGGCGCGATGATCTATGGACGCACTGATACAGAAATGCTGCAACTCAACGAGGATTCGGTGTGGTATGGGGGCCCACAGGATCGTACCCCCCAAGATGCTTTGAAGTACCTCCCAATGTTGAGAGAGGCTATTCGCACGGGTAACCAAGTCGAGGCAGAGAAGTTAGCTCATTTAGCCTTCTTTGCCAATCCAATCAGTCAACGATTATACGAGCCTCTTGGTAGTCTCTTCATTGACTTTGGACACCGGTTTGACGAAGTGACCGCGTATCGACGCAGCCTCAGTCTAGAGACCGCCATCTCGCATGTGCAATATGAATACAAAGGAACTCATTTCGAGAGACAAATGATAGCCAGCTATGCTGATCAAGCCCTTGCACTTCGCCTATCTTCATCATCAGAAGCTGAGTTTATCGTACGTCTGTCCCGCATGAGTGACTTGGAGTTTGAGACAAATGAATATCTTGACGATGTCTTTGCGACTCATGATACTATAACAATGCATATTACGCCGGGCGGCCGGGACAGCAATCGCGCCTGTTGTGTTGTCCATATTGAATGTCTGGATGACAAGGGCTCTATTCAAAAGATCGGGAACAACCTGGTCGTCAAGTCCTGCCATACCATCATCAGGATCTCGGCGCAAACCGTCTTTCGCCATTCCGACCCAGATCAAGCAACACTTGAAGATATAGAGGCCAGTCTTAAGTGCTCATGGAATCTTCTCCAACAGCGACACATAGAGGACTATCAGTTCTTGTATGCAAGAATGGGCTTGCATTTAGAATCAAATACACCCGATGAGCTTCCGACCGATCAAAGAATACAAGCCTTGCGAGACCCTGGCTTGATTACCTTGTATTTCAATTATTGTCGTTACCTTTTGATATCATCAAGTCGCAGTGGGGACAAAGCACTTCCTGCCAACCTACAAGGCATCTGGAACCCATCTTTTCACCCGGCCTGGGGCTCCAGATTTACTATCAATGTCAATCTCCAAATGAACTATTGGCCTGCCAATACATGTGCCTTGTCGGAGTGTGAACACCCACTTTTCACGCTGCTGGAGCGTATGGTAGAGACAGGAAAAGTCACAGCCAAGGATATGTATGGATGTCGCGGCTGGGCGGCTCATTCATGCACTGACATCTGGGCCGATACGTCGCCTGTTGATCGGTGGATGCCAGCGAGTATATGGCCTCTCGGCGGCGCATGGCTTTGCTATCATATATGGGATCACTTCCAGTTCACGAGGGATAAGGATTTCCTTCGGCGCCTGTTTCCCATTCTGCGAGGATGTGTGGAGTTCCTTGTCGATTTTCTGATTGAAGATGCATCCGGGACATATTTGACCACGAATCCGTCAGTCTCGCCAGAAAATTCATTTTATGACCAGAAGGGACAGAAGGGTGTCCTGTGCGAGGGCTCTACGATTGACATTCAAATTATCGATGCTATTCTGAGCGCTTTCGAGTTATGTGCAATTGATCTAGATATCGCAGATGCCCTTCTACCGACGGTTGGTGAGACACGCACTCGACTGCCACCCATGAACATTAGCGATTCTGGCTACCTTCAAGAGTGGGCCATCGATTATGCTGAAGTCGAGCCAGGCCATCGCCATACTTCGCATCTATGGGCGCTTTACCCGGGCAATGCAATTACGCCGTCCAAGACCCCTGAGCTGGCGGCTGCATGTGGAGTGGTCCTACGTCGACGAGCACTTCATGGTGGTGGACATACAGGTTGGAGCCGCGCCTGGCTCATCAACCTACATGCTCGTTTATTCGAAGCTGAGGAGTGTCAGAAGCATTTAGATCTGCTTCTCTCCCATTCCACTCTGCCTAATTTGCTGGATAGCCATCCGCCATTTCAAATAGATGGAAATTTTGGTGGGGGCGCAGGCATTATCGAAATGCTTGTACAGTCTCATGAACCGGGATTGATCCGACTTCTTCCAGCATGTCCGAAAGACTGGACAGGGAGTATTCGAGGAGTGCGTGCTCGGGGCGGATTTATTTTACAATTCGGCTGGAAAAAAGGAAAGATCATTGGCTCGGTGATTGTGGATTCGGAGCGTGGAGAAAAAACCACGATCTGTTTTCATGAAAATGGGAAGCTAGTGGACATAGACGGGCTTGGTCGACATGAAATTGATCCCGAATTTCAGTCGCTACACACATAGACTGATGAGCAGATGAGTTGAATGATTTTGGACAGAACCTGCTTAAATTGAGAACATGGTGTCCTTACCTCCAGTGTACGGAGTACATGCGTTGGGGTTTCAATATTCACATCGCGGCCGGTGCATTAATATCCATTTTCTTCCCACCTGATTCCCCCTCACTCGGCGTTTCCTAAATAATCACGGAATCGCACTCCGTCCAGGCTGAATTCCGGATAAATGACACTCAAGCACTAGCTAAAATATGCGAGCTTAGCCAGATAGTTGGATGTCAAAATAATAGTTTCAAATAGATCGGTTTGAAAGCAGAAGAAAAAAGTCCACGGCGCCGAAATCATTAAAACGAAGACATTCCATTCGGCCATGGATCTGAAATCAGTACAGGATCTGAAAGGCGTTCTTCGCCCAGACTTCTACCATGGATATGCTACCGCTGCGGCGCAGATTGAAGGGGCCTGGGATAAAGATGGGAAAGGAATCTCGATCTGGGATGAATTCGGCCATACCCCCGGCAAGATCTCCGACGGAAGCACGGCAGATGACGCCGTCCGAGCTTATGACTTTTACCGCGAGGATGTGGCGCTCATGAAGTCCTATGGCGTTAATGCCTATCGCTTCTCGTTGGCCTGGTCGCGTATCATCCCCCTGGGAGGCTGTGATGACCCTGTCAACGAGCAAGGTATCCAATACTACTCGAACCTTATTGACGAGCTCATTCGCAATGGAATCACTCCTTTTGTGACTCTGTTCCACTGGGATATTCCCCAAGCCCTGGAGGATAGATATGGTGGCATGCTGAACCAGGCAGCCTATACGCCAGATTTTGTGCGCTATGCACGGGTGTGCTTTGAACGGTTTGGTGATCGAGTCAAGCACTGGATCACCTACAATGAGCCGGGGGTGTACACCTTGGCTGGATACGCTGCCGGTGTACATGCACCAGGGCGATCATCTTTTCGCGATCGGAATGCAGAGGGCGACTCATCCACGGAGCCTTTTACTGTCGCCCACACCGAATTGGTCTCGCATGGACATGTCTCTCAACTGTATCGTGAGGAATTCCAACCTCAACAGAAGGGGACGATTGGGATCACTCTTCATGGCAATTGGTCTGAGCCTTGGAATGAAGAAGACCCTCTTGACCAAGCAGCTGCGGAGCGAGCTCGAGAATTTGAGATTGCTTGGTTCGCGGATCCCCTTTACAAGACTGGCGACTACCCTGCATCTATGCGTGAGCAGCTTGGAGACAGACTACCTCGATTCACCTCCGAAGAGTCTCGACTGGTGCTCGGTAGCTCTGAATTTTATGGGATGAATACGTATACAACATTTTTCATGAAGCACAAGACGACACCCCCAGATATCAATGATCATAAAGGAAATGTGGAAATCCATGATGAAAATTGCAACGGCATACCTCGTGGAGAGGAAAGTGACACTCCGTGGCTTCGTGCCGCACCTGGAGGGTTCCGAAAGTTGTTGAACTGGATCTATAAGCGATATCAAATGCCGATCTATGTCACAGAGAACGGCACTACAGCAAAGGGCGAAGTGGCCCCAACGCCAGAAGTGCTCAATGATACATTCCGAATTAGATTTTTTGAGGGTTACGTGGGAAATGCGTTGGCCCGAGCAGTCAAAGAGGATGGTATTGACATCCGGTCATATTTCGCTTGGACATTCACTGATAACTGGGGTGAGTAATAAATCTTTTCACCTATCAAATTTGTGACGAGGATCCTGATGACTGACTGATGTATAGAATGGGCTGCTGGATATTCAGATCGATTTGGGTGTACATTTATCGATTATGAAAGCGAGCAAAAGACACGCTACCCAAAGCAGTCTGCGTACTATTTGGATAAGCTGTTCAAACATTTGATTCAGGAAGCCTAGAATGCTCAATGAAATACTTTATTTTTGCGAAAGAGAAAATATCTTTCTTTTGCCACCCTGTCACTTCAAAATGCACCTTCCGGGCTTTCTACTCACTGATACCGATATTTAACCATGGGTATCGCCTTGCGCTGTTGGGGTTTCTTTGGAGTAATCGGCAGTCTGAAAATTGCATTTAGTCATTTCTCGAGGTCCAAGATCGTATCTAAAAGCATATCATATTGTCAGAGCATCGACCTTCCGTTCCGAGGTACAATCTGACAATATAACCAATTAAGGCAGGTCATTGCGATCTGTTATAGGCTAGCCCCCGCACGACTCCAACTGAGGGGAAGTTCGGCTCGGCTGTTGATAGGCTCGGGTAGCCGACGAGAACCAAGAAGTCCGGAGAAGCATATAACTAATTAACTAACAAGCGTGCGTTTGTCCATCTCTGAATCAATCTCATCAAAGCGAAACTACATTCACCATGAGCTCGGGCGACGCGCCAATTCAACTCACGCTGAGGGGAAGCCCCCGAGAAGTATCGCATCCTGTCTTTGCAGAAATAATGATTTTCGAGCCAAGTTTCATATGAAGCTGATTTGCGAATCACAAAATAGATTGGTCTCGAGCATGGCCGTTCATTGCGGGATCAAATCCGCAGTCAAATCGATATCTATGAGGGCATGTTTGAATATACATCCAAGTTATCCTGGTCCGAGGTCCGCGAAGTTGCGAAAGAGTTCCAGCCAGTGCTTGTGGAACGGACGCCTCATCTATTCGCTGAAATGGAGGGAATCGCCGAGGGGGCCGGGTTGGATGTGCTTGACATTGTAGCGCTTAACTGTCGCAGTGAGATTGCCCTAGGCAAATTCTCCGATGGCTGCTCAACGCTCTGCTGGAAAAAGAACGATCATTGCCGTGTTTTATCTCAGAACTGGGACTGGACTGACACTGTGAAGAAAAACCTGGCCATGGTCTCTATTGAACAGCTTGGCAAGCCTACCATCTATATGGTAACGGAGGTGAGAGCTGCTCCTCTAACAAAATATCGCGGTGTCAGAGGCTGACCAAAGATGATTGTGACGCTGTACAGGCGGGGCTTGTGGGCAAGATCGGATTCAACTCGGCGGCGGTGGGGACATGTCTTAACGCAATCAGGGCCAAACCGATGATCAGCAGCAAACTGCCCATCCATGTCGCCCTCCGCTTGTGTCTGGAAAGTACGTCCGTTGAGAACGCTGTAAAGACCCTCAAGTCATTGGGTGGTGTTGCTTCTGCTCAACACATTTTGGTTGCCGACCATACAACAGCGTTGGGTCTTGAATTATCGCCAGTGGGTGACAAGCATATTGTTGAGGATGCGTCGGGGTTGATTGGCCACACCAACCATTTTATTGAGAATCGATATGTCAACGAACCCCCGTGGCTGGCCGGATCTCCCGTTCGCCTGAAGAGGCTGGGAGATTTAGCCCAGGAGCTCATCTCACAGGGGGTGACGGGTGATGCCCTCACTCCATCTGTGCTGCGAGATCGAATCTTCTCAGATACATACAACGCTCCAGAGGCTATCTGTTGCCGCGAAGATTCCACCCGTCATATTTCAATCCGGAGTAGCTCCTTATTCAACATCGTCATGAATCTAGATCCACAAAATCTCGGAGCCGAGGTAGTTTGGGGTCGACCTGGTTCGGGGGAAGAGGGGCCTGTTCTGAAGATGCCTTGGTAGAAAAAAAAATCTCAATAACTCTAGAAAAACTCAATAGGAATCAGTATTTTCATATCGAATATATCCGGTATCATATTCATCGAGATTGTATGGGGGTTAGATCATGGATGCTGCCAACCGTAGGGAGATTAGAGGAAAGTTCTCATTCGTCATCTATTGTTTACTACAAACATCCGACACCCTTCTCATAATCCAAAGAACCAGATGTATGATACATGTTTGCAGTCTACGTGAATCTTGAAACATGGCCATGTCCTGGAAATAGAAATTTGAAAGCTTTCAATCCTACATCAAAGCGGAGACGTACCCACAATGTTAGTGTTTACAGGAACAAAGGCTTTGAATATGTACACTTCTGTTTATTATTTATACATTGGACATAATCCCCCAACAAAGAAGTGGGAAGGGACGAAATAGGATGATCATTTGTACATCTTTCACGGTCCTCCATTATCCCCCAGCCAGGTTCAAAGAATAGTCTTAGACTCCCCCCTCCCCTCCCGACGAAAAATCTAGCATAAAAAGCCTTGATTCCCTCATAAAATATCAACCCATATAATAAATCTCCCATTTTCGTCAGGTCAGCATCCGATCCAGTTATATTCTTTTTGTCGATACTCGTTTCTCCACGGATACCGCCCATCATGTCTCAGCTTCCGTGGCGCGAGTACGATCTGGCGCCTTCTCGCGTGCATTTAGTAGAGTCGGCTGAGATGCTGCAAACTCAGGTTGACATCCTCGAAGCGCGTGATGCTCGACGGTTCAAAGATCTCCCACGACTGATAATTAGTATAATTCACAGGATCACTGGAGCCAAGTTACTTAGTGAGATTGAGCTCACAAGAACGTTCGGGTTCAGCTACTCCGATCCCGTGTTCAGTGAGAACTGCAACCAAATCTGTCGTACCATCAACGAGCAACGACAGACTCTCGAGAAAAACTTTGACAATGCTACAGAGGTTGCCAAAGGGCTGAAAGGAATAATTTCCTTTATTAACGAAATGCTCCTGAATGACCATGAAGGTTCTCCCAACTTTCTCCAACTGGACGAGTTCATCTACGTCGTTTGCGGCATCAGCAGATGGCTAACCGGTCTACAGGATCCCAGTGCAGACTGGTCTGCAACTCTCCGGATGGTGAATGATCTTATGAACCAGCTCTGTGAATGTATCCGGGTGGCGATGCAGGCTGCGTTCGAACGGACCTACCAAGATGCACACCTTGCGGTCCAAGCAAATTACTTCTTCAAGCAGTGTGAACTCATTCTTGGGATTATTGTTTCGCAGCAAAGCATTCTCAATATGAACTCGGAACAATTTCAGGGAGTCATTTTGAATTTGAGCTCGCTGGTGATCGCCATGCGTGAGATGCAGACGAGATGGCCCAAGGTATCTGCGAAGAAGTAGGAGGGACTCTTGGCCTCTCTGATAAATGTATTTCCTTTGCTCTTGGAGTATTGCGGGATTGCCTGCCTTTTTTTTCTAAATTGTTGATTTTTCTCGTACAGTAATATTCGAAATCAGTTATACCTCTACATTCTACCGACTTCTGTCCCGGAAAATAAACCCGGGATACACTAATCTCCCGCTCGACTATACACGATCAGACTAAATTAAAAGTCTGAGGCAACGAATTGAAAGGTACTAGTATAAGTAAGAGCCTAGCTATATTCCTCTTAGAGTTTCTTTATTTATATTCAAATATAGTGTCATATGATATTGTAACATAAGGCTATTCCCAACTTAATGCCTCAGGTGTTAGTTCGACACCTTATCGGTCAGGCTTCATCATGATAGCCCTACTTCTTCCTAACATGGATGCATAACCTACAAGGCCCTAAGGGTTCGGTGCCCTTCCATTAGGGATTCGTGAACCCCTCTCCCCTGTAGCCTTTGCTTACCTCTGTTACATGTGGGCTACGTCAGACCGCGTGTTGTAATGTGATCCATCGCCTTTACTTTGGTCATGTAGGAAAGTGTTGAAGCCTGTACATAAATTGAGGATTATAGAGAGATCCATGATAGCAAGAAATAATGTTTTGTCTTCCTTACTTGACGTTTATCTTCCTACCTAGTCGACAGGCTTTCTACCCTGTACAAGTAGTTATTCTTTAACACTTATGCTATAGAGAGTAAACCATAGTAAGCAAAGATGCTTCTCTATATCGATATCTTATATTACCTATAACCTATTGCAATTTTTATTCGTTCCCGGTTCCTAGCAACCCCTAGTTCTACTAATATGCTAACTAGGCGTTCTAAGGCTTACGATTAATCTTTTAGCTAGATAGTATAATCTAGGGTAAGTAGCTTAATTTAATTGTATAGATAATTATTACTCTTCTTTAACTATAGGTCGGAAAGAGGAGAAAAGAGGAAAGTTGTTAGTTACGAAAAAAATACTTAGCGAGCTACTCGACATAGAGAGGAATAATTCTAGCGAGAGACCAATCTAGCGTAACGTCTATAATTTAATATAGTACGACTTATTTATATATTAATATAGTCCTTATTATCAAGTAGACCCGATAGGGAAAAAGTACTATCTACTTAAATCTTATTATATTAAGCGCCTTATTATGTACGTTAAGAAAGGTAGGATACTAGAAAGCTATAAAGATATACTAGAAGTAGTCTAGGACGAATTATATAGGGAGGAGTAAGAGAGACTAAACAGAAAACAGCGTAAAGGAGACTAAACTACCCGGTTCGGAATTTGTATCGTAATAATCGAGAATAGCCTTGACCTGGAGCAGGTCACAAAAACTAACATCCAAATCTCTTCATCGAGAAAGGGATAAAAATAGGTATCGCTCGACGTTTCGTAGAAGACATCGGAAAGTGGGTTAAGAATGTGAAGAAAGCGATGCCTGTTTATGAAATTCTTTAGACTGGACAGGTGGTCATTTAATCATCATAGCGTTTTGGGCTTGAACACGTTAATTGTATTTTTGACCGAACCAGATAGAGCAACCCTAGATTGTTATAACAGAATTCATCGCGTATCAGCTTTCGTTTTCCTCTAGTTTCTGTTAATGTTTGAAATCTTTGAGCAGTGCAGAAGCCAGCCCGGTCACTCAGTTTCGACTTCGGCTTTTTGCCTAGCTGGTCTGTTTGTCGAAAAGATCTCTCTCGTCGCCTTGCATGCGGTTGAGACCTGATTTGCGAAGGTCGGAGAAGAAATTAATCGCAGCATCGAAAGTCTCATGACTCGTCTATCCGTCCCGCTGCACTAGGCTATCAACACTGTCAAAAAAGTCTTGAGCCTTATTCCAACCCTCTGAATCCTTTAAATAGTTCTTCAACTCTTCCTTAGTAAAACTATACGGGCAATCACCTCGGATCCCTATATCTTGCTAGTGTCTTTATATATCGTCAGCGTTTGCTAGTGTCACAAGATTTAAGCACGGTATAATTGGAAGGTCGGCTGTGGAAGTGCCGGCCTTTGCTTCCGAAACGGACGGGATACATGATATCTTAATTGTTGCAGAGCGGATAGGATTGAATGCCGCATAGCCCTGGTTCATCGCTGGATGTTGGCGGTGCTCTGATAACGAATAGCGATAAGTGGCACGGGAGTTGGCAGGTTGGCGCCAGGCTTAGTAAGTCACTATCTCAAGACGACACTGTTTAATCTGCACAGGGCTGCAACTTCACTAAGTTTTACGACGATCAGGTGAGGCGAAATGCCTTGTACCCTCCAATATTCCGAAAGGTATATGTCTAGTAAAACATAATTCGTTAATGGCTAGGTGACCTGTCCTATCGCAGGGATAATAGGTCTGGTGACCTCGCACAAGCCCTGTGTATGAGTTTCGTTAACCTTTACTAGTTTATGTGAGGTAGCCATTCCATTCTAGGCCTTTCGAGCTCTCTGATAACATGGTACTGTACTAATTAGGCCAGATGTTTGTTCAAGCTAGATCTTCTTAAGCGATTGCTTATGTATACCCCGCACTCTCTAGCTATTAAATACGAGGATACTCGCGTGGAGGGATATTTACTTGGAGTCACGAATATAAGTAATCTATAGCTAGTACTTTGATTTAACAAGGTCAACCCTCCGATCTCAAGGTACGCGTTTAAGGACTTGATCAACGGACGAAGGCTCATACTATCAAAGGATGCCTATTTCTATCAAGACAGTTCGTGCATTCATCGATGGTATACCTTAGGCAAAAGTGTTCAAAAAAGCCGAAAATACTAGCAGGGGCCAGCGCCTCTATCCGTAACAAAGCCACGACCAAAAGAAGAAATTCTCAATTGATAAAGGGTCAAAAATCAGCGACAGCGAGCAGGAGATTATTCTTCAAGCGAATCAAGGTGCTGAAGACGCCTAAGTGAAAAAGTCCGCTCAGAAGGACAGCGATAGGATTTTAGCAAAATGCGTTATTGACCCTAGTGATATGGACGCTGAACAGGCCAAGGCGGATTTAGAAACGTTTTCCAGGGAGAATAATTGATAAGTCGGAGCAGAAAGAGCTTCAAGGGTCGACAGGCTTCTTCTATCGCTAGGCCTGCATGCCGAAAATGACCTCTAGCGCTCTCTTCTTCTGGCACTAACTATGCTGATACACTAGTTGAGGAAGACATTAAATCCTCGATTTGGACTTTGTTCATAATGACTCCAATTACGTTTAATAAAGCTCTTGAGCTCAGCGAAGAACTCTTCAATAGGATTTAGATCCGGTGAGTAGGGTGGTAAATAAATTAACTTAACCCCCGCATCCTCATATATCTGCGTGAGCCGCTCTGAATAGTGAAATGAAGAATTGTCTATAACTAGGATATATTTAGATTCGGGCTATCTCCCGTAATATTAGAGAAGCTGAGCTATAAAATCCTCAAATATAGTAGTATCTGTGGTGCCGCGGAAGACACGCGAGAGAATAATCCCGTCCTAGGTATAGGCAGGCAATATTTGACATCGCTGATCGCGGTGGAACTGCGCTATTTGTAAAGGGGTTTTGCTAAGTAGCGCCTAGCCTGTGCATCTAAATCTATTCCGTTTATCACATCCCGACTTATCAACAAACACATAGGTAATACAATAAGAAGTCGGACAGAGTATATAGGTAATAGTCTCGTAAATCAGCATTTTGCTCCTTAGCACGTTGTCGCGCGGTCTTCTTAGACTAACCTTTAGCGACGAGGGCTCTTCGGATACTAGAGGTTGTAATAAAGGTTTAGAACTCATCCTAGAGGAAGAGAGCTATCTCAATTAAATAAAGGCTAGGCTTCTTAAATAGATAGTCGCATAGGGCTTCTATTATTAGCGGCATCACGGTAAGTTTCCGGCTGATTCGGGTTTAGGGTACGTAGATACTTCTAAATTGCCGTAAAATTCTGCGAATATTAATAATTCTAAGCTTAGTGCATTCTGCTTCTTTAGCTATCTAGGATATTGTAAAAATTTAGCTCTCTGTTATGTCACGAATAAGACAGAGCTTCGCAAGAGGTAGCCTTAGAGCGATATTGTGTGAACTAGTCTTTGGATAACCTCGGATAGCGATAATAAGGAAGCAGCTTGACGGTTAGGAGAAGGGAGATGTCGCAGTGCGTGTATAGGAGTTTCAATGTAAAATATATTATTGTACGTCTCTTAAGTGTACTGTAAAATACGGATACTACTTTCAAAAAAGCAGTTTCGAGCCAGAGGTATCGCAAGTATCCAATCAGAACTCGCATTACTATGGATTATTATCCGGCAAAGAAGGCGTAAGAGTTCAGAGGTATAACTGATTTCGAATATCACTGTATAGCCAAAATACATTTTTGATAAAGTTCTTTATTCTTGGATCCTCCGCACTCAAATACTATGTAGGTGGTAACAACGCTTTTATGGGAGTAAGAAAAAAAAAACAAAGTCCAAATATATGTATATATCATACAGCTTGCAGATTCCATAGAATGACAGTAGTTGGGCAGTCTTTAAGACTCCCAGAGTTATCCCTTTTTAATGCTTCCTGGCGGGTTGAAAGGGTGGTGAATCATAAATGTAAAAAAATAATCAATAAATAATTAGTTATTTGATCCATTCCTTGATGAAAATATCGAGGGGCATCATCCATCTTCATTCCACTTGCTTGTTAGCAATGCCTCGTCGTTGATTAGCAACCCGCCCCTCCACAAGTCTGCATTGGCCTGCATTGGTTCATGCTGGCGCCCCTCACCTCGTCATTCCCGCGGATGATCGCGCCAGATCAAGCCGCTTCCTCATGAAGCCTCGCCTTGATTGTGCAACACGTAGTAGGACAGCATCAGAGGGCAACATTAATGCATTTGATACTGCTCGTACTGCTACTAGTGGTTAGTAGTTAGCTTTTAGGGTATTACTAACACTGAACAGGTTGCTCCTGACCAATTCTATAAAGCGCGTTCGCCCCTCCAGAACCGTTGCTCAACTTGGTTCTGATTGATCCTTCCCGACTTTGCATCGATCATGGCATCAGCCTCGGATAGCTCGGACAACCATGCGGTGACGGACCAGTTTCCGGAAAGTGAACCTTTACTGGGCCATCCGGGCGATGCCACACAACGACAGGGAGAGAGCATCATCCGCAATCTAATTACAGGTGAGGCGGATCGGAATCAGACAAGCCAGGTTTCACCAGATTGATTCTATCCTCGCTGATATGATTTCTGAATACAGGCACGGCGAGTCTTGCGCAGGCGGGGATTTGGATCGTAAGTATATCTCGTGCATCGTCTCGCCTTCCGCTGTTAACGAATCCATACAGTTGGCGGCGCTCGTGTGGTCCAATCTGCTTTCGCACCCAATTATTCTCTTTACGGCACATCCGGTCAGTCTGATCCCTGCAATCTTCCCTCCTCGTCACTGGCCATCGCTTCTTTTGGGCTAGGGAATCCGCCAGGAAACTCCTCGTGCTGTTCTCGATATCTCAGGGGATGATTTTGTTTCACTGACCGGGAAGCTTATTGCTCGTCTCTCTAGCTTCTTGCCAGCTCTGCCCTACTGCTTCAAGTGCAAGCTACGCTCATCTTGCAGCCGACCACAACCCCGCCACAGAAACGCCTCGGCACCCGCATCCACTACAGCATTCAACTTCTCAGTATCCTGTGTTTCCTCGGCGCCTTCATTGTCATTGAGATCAATAAAGGCGATCACCCCCGTCTGACTTCTCCGCACGGTGTTCTCGGCCTCCTCACCGTCATCAGCGTGGTGCTCCAGTCCGCCGTGGGCATTATCCAGTTCTTCTTCCCAGTCACAGTCCTAGGCAGCGCTGACGCCGGAAAGCGGATCTATAAGTATCACCGTTGGTCTGGCTATGTTCTGCTACTGCTGGAGGTTTCAACTGTTGTGGCGGCGACGCAAACAGAATACAACCTAAGCACATTGCGAATTCCGACCTGGGGCGCGGTGATAGCCATCATTCTAACTTTGTCTGGCTTGGGTGCGAGGATCAAGAAGCATAAACTAGGGCTGTGAGCAGGCAAAAGGGAGTAAATTAATGGTACTGCTTGCTGGCTCTGCAATGGATCTGGCTATCCATCTCGATTTGTTGTGCTGCCAGCACGATTTGACACCAGCCGCGAACAACCCCCCCCCCCCCCCAACCTCCCTTTCCCCTTGGTTCGCGGCATGCATTGACGAAGTGTGTTAAAAAATAAGATGGATCTGGGATTTCAATGTATTTTTGGTGAAGACTAAAGCCTTGAAAACAATGAGTCTATTCCTAGCGTAGTCGCATAGTCTTCAGCTGGTGCTCTCATACTTGGCGCACTAAACATCGGACACCAGACGGGCCCACCCACAAAGAAAGTCGTGATCCACTTCTTCGCATTCGCCAACGCCTCCCTTTACAACCTTCTCTCCCCTCCCATGGCGCCGTCCCCTCCCCCCTACATCTGCTTCAATTGCAGATTGGCGCCCCGGAATGTCCTGCCCCGACTTCTCCCACGGAATTTCTCAACAAGTCGCCGGGCACACCAGCTCCTCCGTCCCGCAACAGCTCCCAAGCCCACGCCGGATGTGAAGCACATCCGCCAGAATGTCGATCTCTTCTCACAAAACTGCATCGACCGGAACTACGCTGGTCACGCCACCTTCCCTGCCCAGATACAGGCCCTATCCGAAGAAGCCAGAAAGTTGGACCATGATCTGAAGGAACCACGCTCGCGCATCAAGCAACTAGAGAAAACAATCGCCAAGCTGTCCATTGCAGCTCGACAGAATGCCAGCGCCGACGGTAAAAGTGTCGACAGTACCCAGCCCCCAGACCAGGAACTGGTGGACCTGAAAGCCGAAGCGCAGCGGCTAAAAGATGCCTCCCACGCCATGACAACGCGCAAAACGACCTGCGATGACGAGATCCACCGCCTTGCCCTGTCCCTCCCGAACCTCTCATCCCCCGACACTCCTATCGGCGACACGCCCCGCCTCGTCAGCTACCTGAACTTCGATCCGCAGGCCCCCCGTCCTGGACCCGCCTCGCGCCCGCCCAGCTCCAGGCCCGTTCCCACGTCGCCATCGGCACCGAGCTCGGCCTTCTCGACTTCACCAGCTCAGCCACGACCACCGGCTGGGGCTGGTATTTCCTGGTGAATGAGGGCGCGATGCTGGAGCAGGCGCTGGTGCAATACGCACTTGGGGTGGCACGCCGGCGCGGATGGAAGGCCGTTGCGCCGCCGTCGCTCGTGTACTCGTACATTGCCGAGGCCTGTGGATTCCAGCCGCGCGACCAGCACAACGAGCAGCAAATCTGGGCTATCGAACAGTCTGACCGCGACCGCGACGTCAAGCCGCCCCGCTCACTGACCGGCACCGCTGAGATCCCGCTCGCCGCCATGTACGCGGGGCGCGACCTGCGTGCCGCCGACCTGCCCATCAAGCTGGTTGGCGCGAGCCGCTGCTACCGCGCGGAGGCGGGCTCGCGCGGCGTGGACACCAAGGGCTTGTACCGCGTGCACGAGTTCACCAAGGTCGAGCTGTTCGGCTGGGCAGATACGCTCGAGACAGGCGAGGCATCGTCCTCGGACGCCCTGTTTGCCGAGCTGCTCGATATCCAGACTGAGATCTTGACGGCGCTGCATCTCCCCTGCCGCGTGCTGGAAATGCCCACAGGCGATCTGGGTGCCAGCGCCACACGCAAGCGCGACATTGAGGCGCTGTTCCCCTCGCGGTTCCGTCCGGCGGGCGCGGCGCCGCCCGTCGTCGTTGACCCCATGGCGCATGCGCTCGAGTCGGCGTGGGGGGAGGTCACGTCGGCGTCGATCTGTACGGATTATCAGAGCCGGCGGCTGGCGACCCGGGTGCGCGGCGGGTCGCCGAAGGAGTCGCGGTTCCCGCATACCGTGAACGGCACAGCGATGGCGGTGCCACGGGTACTTGCGGCGATTCTGGAGAATGGCTGGGATACCGAGCGTGGTGTGGTCATTGTGCCGGAGGTCCTGCGGCCGTGGATGGATGGTATGGAGACGATTGGTCGCCAGGACTCAGTGTAGGTGACCGCCGTGGAGCTCTCTGCGCTTTGCGCACTTGTATAATATTCCCGGGCAGATTTGAAAAGGGTTAAAGCTTTTGTGTATGATGTATATATAGAACAATAGGGATTTTTACCACTCTGGATCACAATATCAAACATTATGAAAATAACATTCTCCCTATCACACAGTATAGATCTCACACAGGAACATTATGTAGATCATTCCAGGGGCGACAGAAGGTATAACAGGGTCTAGTCTTTGCTAGTGCGCACCAGATCAAACAAACCAAGGCCTTAAAGACCAATGGGACCACAGGGAGACAGGAGCAAAAGAGGTCATTCATGGTATCGTAAACACATTAACTAGAGACGCGGTAAGAGGGCTGCGGGACATTAATCAAATACACGTCACATCATCGAGCAAACAAAGAGAGCAAAAAAAAGGGAAGGGAGGGGGAAGGAAAAGAAAACAAGATATGGCATGCAGATAGGTGTACAGCCAGCCAGTTCGTGATTTTCTGTCCACAGACCAAGGCCAGCAGGCTGGAGAGAGAAAGGTCACTTCGAGCAAAGATAATCGAAAGATGGCAAAAAAGCAAGCGCCAAGTAGATAGCGGAGATCAAATGTGGCAAGAGGTTTAGTTCCAGGGCAAGTCAGCCTCCTCGACTCGGGTACAGGTCAAATAAGGCAACCCGGGAGACGCGGTACCGTTGTTGGTACTTGAGGTGCCTTGGTCAGTGCCGGTGTTCTTCAGCTCCAATTCGAGGAAGTTGCGCATGAGCGGTTTCACGACCTCGCGGGCCAGCCGTTTGATCTCGTCCATCTTGCGCTCGAAGCGTTTCAAGGTCTCGCGGGTGTACAGGGAGCCGGAGGACGGGGTCGGATGGAGCTTGAGGAAGCGCTTGATCTCGTCGTGGGAGAGGTATGCCTGTGGAAGTGACGAACCGATCAATTTGTACACGCGGGCGCTCGGGTCCGGCGCTGTCGGGGGACGAGAGGAGCCTGTCTGGGAGCCTTGCACCGCAGGCGGCGGGGCGGTGCCATTGGAATTGGAGGAGTTCTTGAGGATAGGCGGCGGTGGGGGAGTGGTGTTCTCGATGAGCCACTGGCGGAATAGGGAGACGGCAAGCCAGTCCAGGTATGCATTTGAGGGGCCGACACGTTCGCCGCGGGAGGTGGTCAGAGACAGGCGGAAGAGCTTGGACTCCACGCGAGCCTTGAGGTCTTCCAGATCCTCGTATTTGTCCTCGATCAGATCGAGGACGGAATTAGGGAGAGGCGCATAGGAAGCATTGCGCAAATTCGGTAAGGCGGCGGGCCACTGGCCGACGACGTGAACCAGGGCTTCGGAGAAGATCACCCGGCTGCGTGCCAGATAGCCCAGCTTGAGATAGCTAGGCGGATACTTGGCGATTTGTTTGAACAGACGTGAGCCAAATCCGAGAAGGTGGTGATCTACTCGGGGGCCCGTGACGGACAAGGCGTCGTACATATCCGCCAATGCAAGCAGAGCCTTACATTCGGCGTAGGCAGAGGCAATATTGACACTGTTCAAGAGAGGTGGATGATTATAAAATAGGCGGAAGAGGTTGTCGTAGTCACGAACCAACTGGTCGACCGGCGGGCCATGATCTTCACTCCCCTGCTTAGGCAAGTGAGCTACCGACTGCATTCCGGTCAGATTCGCCATGGATCGGAAGAAGCCCGCCTGTCCGGTGGTCGGCTTGGTCATCGTCGGTACATATGTGGATTGGTCACTGCTGAACATGGGGGCATAACTCGGTTGCTGCACGGGGACAAAAGGTTAGTTGGTCTTCCATGAGTCAATTCGAACAGGGACGGTATCTCGACCGGGGATGCGCTCTCGCGCGCGGCGCGATAACTGACCTTCTGCACCAGAATCGGCTCTTCGTCCTCCGCACGATTGTCCCAGTCCAATTCATATCGCCAGCGCCGCTTCTCGCTCGGCCGCACAGCCAGTGCGCCTTGTTCCGACTGCGCCAGCGTCGAGCCATTGGACAACGAATCGTCCTCGCTGATGCGCGACAACGAACCCGACCCGTCAGGTTTGGATGGCGCGACCACGGTCTGGCGCGACCAGTCTTCGCTGGTGCTTGCCTCGAAGAAGCCCGAGCATTGCGCCAAGATCAGTCGATGGAGGAGATAACGGCGTTCCTGCGCGCCGACGCGAATGACAATCTCGGTGTCGCCGGTGTAGGTGAAGATCGGAAAGTCGTTTGAGGAGGCGGCGTGCAGGGAGCCGCCATGATGCGAGCGCCCCGATCGATGCCGGCGACCGGAGTGAGAATGTCGCGAGACCACGGACACGGCACTCTGGTGCGGCGTGGAGTGATCGGTGGTTTGCGCCTGGGAGACCATGTCGGGAGGGCGCACAGGCAGGGTGGTGGTCATGGAGAAAGAGAGACTGCGCCGGTGCTCAACACCCTGCGCGATCGGAGTCCGACATCCAAACCGACGCGAGTGACTCAGGGGGACCGCGAGAACCAATGCGTGATGTTCGAGGAGGGAGAGCAGGTGTGACGTGAAGGATGTTTCAGACGGGGGATGCTTTCGAGATGCGCGCGCTACCCCCCGCGCGATGCGCCAAAACACTAGGTTTATCGCCGACGCCGATAAAAAAAGGGGGGAGATGAACCGGGACCGGCTTTCGACCGGGGAAGGACTTCCTCGGATTGTCTCAAAGGGAGATCCTACAGCGAAAGAGAGGGACAGGGGAAGCCGAAGATCACACAGGAATAGTAGACTGGAGGTCTGAAACAGCTTCTACTCTTCATCAAGTCACTCCAAAAAGAAAACAAACCGGGAAATGTCCGCGGTTGAAGAATCCCTAATCCAGTAGATTCCTGGTTGCGTACCGCATTTCCGGGACGCAAGCAGCTGAAAGCCAGCGCCAGTGGCAAATCTCGGGCCAAAGCACGCTGCACACCTGCAGGGTGCTTATTATGGCACCTCCAAGTGCGAAAAAAAGACAGTACCTAGGAATTAAGTATCGGCAGTTGGCGGTCGAGAGACGTGCATCTATCCCCCGAGAAGGATATAGTTGTATAGGTGTATCGTTGTATAGTTGGAGTGTTGTATAGTTGCATCAGCTCAGAAGAGAGTAGGATAGGATATCCCAACCATGCCCGATGATTCTGGCGATAATCACTGAACTCAACAGTCTCTCTAGTCTCTCTAGTCCATCTGGTTCAACGTATCCAGCAAGTCGCCGTTGGGTTCACCTGTTCTCCGCGTCCAGAAACACACAGGTTCCCCCATAGATCCAAGTCTCCTTTCGGAAGAGAAGCTTGTTTTCGACCCCGAGTTCGTCGGGAATGAGCGAAACGGATTCGGGTCTTCATCAGGCGCAATGCAGCTTCGAGCATCTGAAACAGGTCTAAATTACTTAAACACACTGCACACCGTGGCCGACAAAGGCTTTCTATTCGAATCCAGCCCGTGCTTTGTTTCAGCCAGAAAGTGACTCGATTCTTCGACCGGCGCGCGCTGTCCAGGCCGTGGGCCCCTCTGTCCGGCCCTCTATTCTGTCGGTGTCGCGGTGTCGCGGTGTCGCGGTGTCGCGGTGTTCGGTGTGTCTGTGTTTCTGTGCTTCTGTGTATCTATCACCACTTTGGGAAGCGTCTCGTGGGATTTGGGACTCGACGCCCCTCTGTGTCGCCCGTGGTCGCCGAAATCCGTCTTCGTTCCCCCCCGCCCTTAATTTTCTCTTTCTTCTCCCCCTCCTCCCCCGCCATCATTTCGGCCCCGACAGCCCAAAACCAAAAAGAAAAAAAAATATCCCGGCATCGGTCGGCTTGCTCCCTCTGGTTCGGACCTTCCTGGCAAACGCAGTTCGGCCTTATACGAGGTCACACGTGCTCTTGCGACGCTCCTGACATCCATTCGACGCCCAAAACTCCCGAACTTCCCCCCCCTCTCCCTTCTCTTTCCCCCCCGCCCTCGATTTTCCTCAAAAAATCTGGCCCTGGATACTTCTTCACGGGACAGCTTCTATAGCTGTCCCGATCTGTCCACGCTGCAGATTTCCCAGGTCTCGGCTGCCGCCTACGGAATCGAACACGAAATCAATACCGAACCCTCTCGGTCGCCCTCCCCGGATCTGGCCCCGCGCAGCGTCAAGAAGCGCTCCAAGGGCCAGGCCGTCTCCAGGAAGGCCCGTGGCGTGATCGGCAAGGTGCGCGCATTCCAACGGATCGCAACCGCTAAGATGGCGCATCCGTCCATCAAGATCGACACCAACGTCCAGTCCACCAAGCGCGGCCCGCCGGACAGCGATGCGAGCCTTGACGGGCTCGGCAGCGAGCAGGGGAATCCCCGTCTGGATGTTGGGGATACGGCCGACGTCCCGCCGTTCCTGTGTCAATCGGCCTCGGGTGAGTGAGGGGTGCATGCACCTATCGGAGAATACCAGTCTCCACGTGGAGAGGGTCTTTTCCTGTTCGTGTTTGGGGGAGCGTTTAACTGACCGCTTTGGGACATGTTCACAGAGATTCACGACAAGTTCGAAGACCTCGAAATGAGACAACACACCCGCATGACCGAAGGCTCGCTCTCTGACGATCCCGCCCACCCCTTCGCCCTCGAGGCCGACCCTAGGATTCGAGACAGGAATCGCTATGTCAACGTCCAGGCCTGGGCGAACTGCCGTATCCATCTGCAGGTCCCCGAGGGCGAGTGTGATTTCATCAACGCGTCCCCGATCCTGCTGATCGATACCGTCACGCAGGAAAAACGGAGGTATATTGCAACTCAGGTAGGTGGACAGTTGGATCCCCCTCCCTTTCTTCCACCCCTTCCCCTCCCATTTTGGATATACTTGGTACTTTTGGCATGGCTTTTTCTCTGACGGACAGATTGGGCGTGTAGGCACCGAAGCTTGGTCATATCTCCCACTTTTGGCATATGGTCTTCCACGAAAGCCAGGAGGTCGGCGTCATTGTTATGCTGACCAAGACATTTGAAGCGGGCCGGGAAAAATGCGCACAGTACTTCCCCTTGAACGATGAGCAGCCCTCAATGATTTTGTCCGATTCGTTCGTGGCCGACCAAACCCAGTCCCCAGCAGAAGAAGCCCGACCCATCCTTGGCAAGGTCACTCTGTTGGACTCTGACTTTGACGATAAATCGCGATCTGAGATCCGGAAGCTGGAGCTGACCATCGGCTTGGAGTCCAAGATTGTCTGGCACTTCCTCTTCGCCGGCTGGCCAGATTACTCCAAACCTGAGGGTAGTGATCGTGAGGCGCTTCTGGAACTGATCAAGCTGTCTGCATCCAAATCCAGTGCCCAGAACCCACGTGTGGTGCACTGCAGTGCTGGCGTTGGTCGGACGGGGACTTTCATCGCTCTCGACCATCTCCTCCAGGAGCTTGAATCGGGCCAGCTCCTACAGGTAGCTGATCCTGAAATCGACCCGGTCTTTGAAACAGTCAACCAGATGCGCGAGCAACGCATGATGATGGTCTACAACGAAATGCAGATGCAGTTCATCTACGAGGTCCTCCGAGAGCAGACCGATGTGAAGCTGGGCAAGGTCCCGGCTCCGAGCGAGTCCCCTGGAGATCAAATGGACGAACCGCGTTCGGCAAAGGTGGCGAAGCTGAGCGATCAGGCCGAGTACTCGCTGACGCTGAAGCCCGAATTGGAGGCTGTCCCGGACCGAGTCGCAACACCGACGCACGAATGGTTTGGAACTCCCGAGACCTCGGACAACGAGCAGTGCGAAGGCTAATTCTCATACTTCTTCGTCTTTTTCACCACATTCATACGTTTTTCCTTTCCTTTCTTGTTCTTTCTCTCTTTTTTTTTTTTTTTTTTTTTTTTACGGTCGTGAATATTCTCCCACAGTTTTATCCTCTTCGTCACGATTTGATCATGAGCCCCTGAATTGTCGATCTCATTTGTCCTCTTGCATCATATCATGGCATCCGGTGTTCTGCGTTTTTTCTATTCCCTGTTCGAATTGTTTAGTTCGCTCATGTTTGTCTGCTCATCCGAACCCTCTCCCCCACCTTTGGTTTTCCCTTCCCCGCCTTTTTCGAAATACCCCCAAGTCTGCATGGCCATAACCTTGATGTCCCTTGCCCTTTATGTAGCCCTATATGCCTGCTGACCGGAGTCGCCTAGTTTTGCATTAGAATTGCTGTATATTAACGGTCTGTTGAACAGTCCTTTGCCATTATGCGGTCGACCACGCCCGAAGATTTCTTTACACACTCACGTCACATCTATCACATCTTGCCGGTTGCGGTTGCGGTTATAATTGTATGTAATATTGATAAAGGCGCCTAAGCTGTACATCTATCTAAAGATGAATCGGTTCCTCGACCAAAAGAGCATTGCAATATAGACCGAGAAGAGGCTGGCAACAGGACACGATCCGGCCGGTTCCTTCCACACCCTCATACAGCACATGCCCGATCCTGTAAAAAGCGGAAAGAGAAATAGAGACAAGCGCTGCGGGATACACAATTGGCTTAAATGACTGGTATCATTCCAACATGAAATCGATCAATGCATCAGTCCATAATCATAACGACTCGTAAAATTGACAATTCAACAGAGAAAGATGGCGACGAGGACTCTCAACTTGCAAAATTTCCCAGATTTGAGTTGCCCTGCACACTCTTTTGATATCCAAAAGAAAGCAGAATGAGAGTCATTTAGTCATTGCGTTTGGCTGCACCTTCGCTATTTTGACCCGTTTCATGATAGCTTGGAGGTGAAGCCTGATGCTGCGTTGGCTCGGGCCCATCTTCTGTGTCCCAATTGTCGACGGCGTTCTCATCCCAATTGTCCACCTCTTGCTCGAGGTTCATGACACCGGTCTCTTGGGGCCCTAGTCCCTCCTCATCCTGAGAATCACGGCCAGCAACCCCGACGCCAAGCTCGACATCATCTGCACCGCCCTCCATCATACCGAAGCGGCTCTGGCGGCGACGCTCCAACATGCGGCGGTGGTACCAGCCGCACAGACCCACAGCGCCGAGGCTGCCGACAAGGTTGGCGAGCACATCGAACGGATCGAAAGCGCGACCATTGGGCAAAAAGCCCTGGACAATCTCCGAGCCCACTCCCAGGCCCAGTGTGCAAATGATCAGAGTCAAGTGAAGGGTGCGCCGGCGCGAGGTATCTAAGATCCAGTAGAAGGTCACGGACAAGAGGAAGAAGGTGATGAGGTGCAAGAACTTGTCATTTGGCTGAAGTTGGGTGGGAATTGAAGACGAGGTGCTGTGTGGGAGGAGACCGACATAGGCAGCCAATATGAGGAGGAAAATGAAAGCTCCTAAGTGTGTTGGGTTAGCTGATTGGCCTTGGTAGACTAGTATTGCGCTGCAAACGTACCTGCAAAAGGATAACGGATCCGCATGGCGAACGGTTACAAAAGCAATATAAAACCTAGGTGGCGGAGAGTCTTTTTGAAGCTTTGAAGGTGGCGTGGTTGAGCTTGAGGTGGCACAAAAGGTTCCCAGACAGCGCAGCAGATGTGGTGATGGTACGGATGGACGTTGATCACTTGGCCCCAGCTGCTGCCTTAGTGCGTCATATGTGGAGTGGTAGGGGTATATCTCCAGTGATGGTGAAAATGAGCACCACAAGAGTATTCAATGCATAACAGAGTAGAAATTAGGCGCTGTTGAGCAATGTGATCAGTGATATCGTTGCCTCGGATCAGTCAACGGCAAGATCGTCGTCGTCGCCGGCGCTGCTGACCTTGCGATCTGCCGCGTCTCTCCGCCTTCGCGCCCTGGCGTACTTCATCCCCGTCCAGAGAAACTTCCCTACAAAAGCCCTCATCTTCTTCATCAAACCTCGCCGCTGTGCCATCGCTGTTGGCCCTTCCGACATCGCCTGTCGATTTGGCCAACTGCGCGGCTAATCTACATATCACTTAACCCCCCCAAAACGTCCTCGTTGTGATTTCCCAGTGCGTGGTCCCAACCGTGGAGATTCGAGTCTCGCCCGCCCCAGAACCGGGGTTTTGGAGCGAGCATGTCGCTCGGTCACAACGCCTGGCCCCCGGGCAATATCCGTCCTCCCGATGAGCATCTGGACTCGCCGCGCCCTGTCAATGGCTTGGTCAAGACATTATCTGGCTCGCGAACTCCCCAAATACGCGGGTCTGTCAGCGCCGACGGGCCGAACCCGGGTAGTATGACATCGGAGCCCGATATGGCAGTCGAGGAGGACCCGCGCATTGCCCAATTCCGCGATCTCTATCGGCGCAGCGAAGCGAAAATCAACGCGCTCTTTTCTGCTCAATCTGTCCCGGCTGACACTGCCGGCGCCGCGGGCGCGGAGCCTGACCAGGTGGAAGGTCAACCTGAACGCGTCGATGCGCCGGCACCCCCTTCGGCCGCCCCGACCAAACCTGCCCGCAAGCTTGACGACGATTATGATGACTACGATGAGGACGAGGATGTGGAAATGGCTGATTCGACCGAATCGCCCTTGAAAGCCAAGTCTATTCCGCCGTCGCAGGATACCGGCACCGCTGCACCTCCGTCCCAACGTACCGGTACCGCAGCCTCTCTTGTTGCTGAACAGATGAAAGAATCGAAGAAAGAAACAATGGAAGATATTCGGAAACAGCTCGAAGAAGACAAGAAAGCAACGGAAGAAGCTGCCAGGAGAAGCTTCCACACCATCTTCTATACTCTTGAAAATGACCGCGATGCTATGCTGGACCAGCAGCGGTTGGAGGAATCCGAGCGACAAGTGGAGGCAGAGATCTCCGGCCAGGCCAATGGCGGTGGGAGTAACGCCGCTGTTGGTTCAAATGGCTATAGTTCTCTGAGTAATACAAACCTGGGTGCATCCAGCTTGACACTGAAGAATCTCATTGCTCGAATTGACAAAAAGCGCGACATGGTACAAGCATCCGATGCTGAGCTTCGAAGTCTCCTGAGCGAAGTACGCAAGAATCGCAGTAAATGGGCCAGCGAAGACAAGATTGGCCAGGAAGAGCTATATGAATCTGCAGAAAAGGTCCTTAGCGAGCTCAAGGCCATGACAGAACATTCTACTGCTTTTTTGACCCGTGTCAACAAACGGGATGCCCCGGATTACCACACGAGTAAGCTCACTTATACCATCAACATTGACATTCAGCATGCTAACCACCTTTGTCTAGTAATTAAACACCCGATGGACCTCGGAACGATGACGAAGAAGCTCAAAAGCTTGTCCTACCGTTCGAAGCAGGATTTTGTGGACGATCTCAACCTCATCTGGTCGAATTGTTTGAAATACAACACTAACCCTGAGCATTTTCTACGAAAACATGCCTTATACATGCGAAAGGAGACCGAGAAGCTAGTTCCTTTGATTCCCGAGATTGTCATCAGAGATCGTGCTGAGGTTGAAGCTGAAGAGCGCCGAATGCAACTTGCCGAACTTGACGGTGCCGAGGAAAGTGATGATGAACCTATCATGTCTTCTCGAGGAAGAAAGGCCCCTGGGAAATCGTCGAAGAAAGGCACCGCACCCTCCCGCAATACGCCTAGCGGATCTGAAGGCCCTTCGGGTGCTCCGGCCAGTCAGCCTCCGGCACCTGTCCGTGCAGATTCTGATACGGCCATGGAATCAGGCCAGAATGGTTTCTCTACCCCTCCACCTGGATCACACACACCCTCAGACCCTGCAGGCGTGGGCGTAGGGGCTGCAGCAAGCCAACAGTGTGATTCTATGGAGATCGACGCCCCTATAATCTCTACTGCATCTCTCAGTGCTCTTTCAGTCCCTGGAATGGAACTAGAAGACCCTGAGTACAAAGTATGGAAGCAAGTCACGAAAAAGGATCGAGCTCTCATTGCCGCTGAACGGCACCGTCTTCTCAAAAGCGACAAACTCAACCCTGACGAGCCAGCTCTGCTCCGGACAAAGGCCGGTATGCGGCGATGGCTTCGTCACGAAAAGCAAGCTGCTATCGAAGCTGACAAAATCCAAGATGCCGGTGCCCAGACAATGGAACCCGCGGCCCCTGGAGAGACACTTGCAGAGGGTATCGAGGTTGAAGAAGACAAAATGGTTCCTTATTACTACGACGTTATGTCTGGTGTCCCAGACCTCCCAGAACGACTTGCCTGGAAAGAAGATGCAGAGGGCAATGTTGTGGATGCCTCTGAAGAGTACCTCAGAATTCTTCCCAAGGACTCTTTCACGCAGCCAGATAGCAAATTGACTCGCAAATTTAATGACAACATGCGACAAATGCAAGATACACGTAAGATTTGCTCGAAGATCGGCATTGTGAAGCAAATGCAGCTGCAGTCTCAGGTACGTGCTTCGGTTTGCTCTGAACCTGAAATTATGAACATGCGTCTTTGGTTCGGTACTGACAATCTTCTAGATGTATCAAAACCAATTCCAGAAGTACCAACCCGAACCTTTTGCCGAGCAAGATGTTGCACCTCACGTCATGAACGACGATGGCCCCGTGATCGCTCCAGGAACTTGTCGGGCCGCGCTGCAGCGATCAGTCGCCAAGATCTTCTATCACACTGGCTTTGAGGAGTACCAACCATCGGCTCTTGAGGTTGTTACTGACATTACAGCCGACTTTTTCCACAAGATCGGCGAAACGATCAAATCCTATATGGAAGCACCCAAAGTTCCCGCAGTTGAATCTGAGGACCCTGCTTCATCTGCCGCTGACTGGAAACCTGCGTATACCGAGCCGGAGATGGTACTTCACACCCTTGGGGCGGTCGGTATCAACATCGATGAGCTTGAGTCCTATATTAAAGATGATGTTGAGCGTCTCGGAACTAAGCTTTCCACTGCCCACGATCGCCTCAAGATGCTTCTCACAGAGCTCCTCCGGCCCGCCTTTGCGGATGGCGGCGAAGACGGATCCCATGCCTTTGCGGATGGAAGCGAGCAGTTCGTTGGAGGCGACTTTGCTGAGGATATCGATGAGGACTTCTTTGGATTCAAGGAGCTGGGTCTTGACCGTGAGTTCGGTCTTGCGACTCTTAGCGTGCCACTTCATCTACTTCAGAACCGTATGTTTAATGCGGCACGCTCCCAAGACACAAGGTATGTTCCGAATCGCAAACACTTACTGTAATATTTGTTCTTACTGACTTTTTTCCCCTTTGCAGCTCTATTCAAGCGATTGACCTCTTCCCACCACCTCCGCCTTATGTCCGTATCTCGGTGGATAACTTGCCCAATCAGATCGGACTGGTGCAATCGTTCTTCAAGGGCAAATTGGATGCGCATAGCGATGAGCCCCTCGTCGAAGATCTTGAATTACCACCCAAACAGAGGCCAATGGCTGCTAAACCCCGTCTCCCGGCTTCCGGTAAGATTCCTGCGATAGCTGGAGTCTTGGGTGCTACATCAAGCCCGCAGAAGCGACCTGTACCGCCGAATGCAGCCAGTACTTCCAAACCAGGGCCTTCAGAACCAAGCAAAAAGAAGATCAAAAAGAATAGCGGTGTCGCATTAGAGATGCCTAATTTCAATATCGATGGTGATGCCGACCAACCCAACGCCACAAACGAGACTAAAGACTTCATGACCGATCTTACACCCAAACCCGAAGATTCCAACATGCCGGATGGCACTGGTGAGCTCAGTGCCAGCCAACAGGATAACACTGTTCCGATGACAAATGGTACTACGACATGATCTCCTCATACTTGCCTTTATGGCAATTAAAATACTCGGTTGCACAAATATCTTTCCACTCATCTTTGTCCTTTTCACTCCATCCTTTCTACAATTTCATTTCTCCTTTTCTTCTCTTGAATTATCCACGACGATGAATCACCACGCACAAGGAATGACATGCGGCACATGTGATGATCAGTATCTCCGCGATTTCCTCAGCCCATTTAGGTTTTTCCTTTAGGAGGCAATGCCACGGCCAGGACAACAGGGACTCAGAAGCATGGGGAAGGTAGAAGCCTAACCAAACATCTGTTCAACGCTCCTAGCACGCCGCACGCCGCCTATTTCCTTAGTGGCATCTACATCCTTGCTCGTTGCAATGTATTATTTTCTTTCTTTGTTTCTCTCTCTTTTAACCTATCCTTATCTTCTTCCCTCCATTTCCGCACCTGGGGTCGCAATGCATTAATATTGTATCCATTTTGACCTGTTTTCAATCTTCGAATGCGCATGTACCATATCATACCATCTGCCAAGTGGCCGAATTTTTTTTTCTTGTGTTGTCATGTCTCACTTGACTGCAATGAAAGACTTTTGTCTCGAGATCTTCCAATCTAATGTCTATAATGAACCGCGTAGGATATTTGCTGCTTTGTAATCTTTGTCTGGCTATGCACAGCTTTCGTGAGAGTCGGCCATGAATCGTCGTTGTGTTCTTTATCTTAGTTACCTGAAAGATAAGGTTGCCATTACTGTAAATGTTCCTGAATAAAGTTGTCGTATCACTATGCCCCTTCTAGTTTGTTAATCTCCCTTCCTTATACACTCAAGAATGAGCAAAGTACCTCACTATGGGCAAATTGTGCCTGCATATCTCGATGACATGATTATTGTATGTTTTGTTCTTCAATTTCTCCACTTATTTCTATGTGTACTGGTTGTAGAGGGCTATGGCAAACTAAGGATCTCTCAACATGAAGCTGAAAAGTCTACCTGCAATAAAAAAGAAATCATCTGAACTACTTCATTTCTATGAGTTCTTTTCGGGACTTTCAGATCGCCCGTCGGGCTGCATGGTCGCCAAACCGAGCCTCTTATCAGCTGAAATGGAGCCTCCTACCCCTTCAATCCCTCCATGGCAGCGGGTTCAAAGGGGAGAGAAAAAAACGAGGAAAAGCAGGCATCAGGATGTCAAGGAGTGGAGTGCTACGAAACCGAGGTGGAACGAGAATTTGCAAGCCCTTGAAAGACAAGAAAGGCAAAGTTGCCGATGGAATGCACTGGTGCATTGAGCACATATTCCGGGAGCTCAGTGGAGACATTACAGATAAAAGAAAGGTAAAGGGAAGATAGAAATCTCAGCCTCTTCATATCATGATACAAAGGGAGATTGTTGAAAGTGCAGACTCTGGTGGTGCAAGTTTCACATCCACCACATCTTGTACTCTAAGCGATTGTGTGTCTCACCGATTGGGAGCAACGGAATAATCTCCTTATGTGGTTCCTTTCGCTCAGGCCGATGGACCTTTCCTCGAACCAGACGTACAGCTCGTCCGTGTTGGGCTCCGAGGCGTGAGGGGATATCCTCATGATGACGACCGCGAACAGAGATCAGATGAGCATAGTAGATAGAAGGATGCACAGATACCGAGGTAGTCGAGCGCGCATACTGATAGCAATGTTCATAGATCATGTTCTGAAGCTCCTCGGGCTTGTGACCAATCTCGTCCTTCAGAACGGTGTAATGCACAGGGCGAGAGGTGCCCTGGAGTGCGATGTGAGAGTACAGGTAGAAATCCCACCCATGGGGACTAACCACCTCACGGTCAATCAGAGTTCCTGGATAAGGATTGCCATTCTTGTCACCGGCAGCATGATTCTTCGGATCAGGGAATGATCGAATATGGTGGCGTTTATTTGCGACAATGACGCAAATTTTTCCACGCCATTCTTCTATGTTGGCAGCCCTGGCTAGTGTCTGTTTGATGGTAAGAACCTCACGCATCAATACCAGCTCAAACTCTCCTTCAGAGACTCCATCCCGGAAGTAGTAAACGTATTTGGGACCTTTCCCTTTACCAACAGTCGCAATCCATTCGTTCAACATGGGCTCGAGAATTACCGGCAAAATGGGCTCATTGATGATTTCTTCCTTGTCCCCATTCACCTCACACCCGCCCATGTAGCGTGTGCATTGGATGTCACTAGATACACACATAGCAGCAATTGATGGTGTCCAGACACCTAACATAGGATGGGTGACATCTGCTCCAATGATCATGGAGCCCGGTGACATATTAGATGACTTTGACGCGGGAATAGCTCGAGCCGTCGTCCCTCCAAGCTTCGCATTGATCTTCATGGCGATATTGGAATAAATTTGATCAAAGTCTTTCTTTGCATTCTCGTGCTGGATGACTTGCGAGGCAATACCAAATCGGCAGTCGCAATTTTTCTTGATGCGAACGTAGACATTCGCATCCCAGCTGGGCACCAGAAAGATCAGGAGTTGTGCGGAGCCTTGTCCGCGCAGGGAGTCGCAACGATTTCGGAGACCGAGCACCGATTCACCAACATCAGAATTGAGCAAAAGAGAGGTTGGATGTTTTTCAATAAGGCCGCCATGGTGACGATAAACCTTGACAAATTGCTCAATCCAGCTTTGAACCATATTTTCATTCATGGGACTGTATGGGGCGGACCAGTATCCAATGCCCCAGGATTTCAGAGGCTTGTCATTCGACTTGAAGAACTTCTTGCCCCGGAGGTCCCACCGCCCATTGATACCTGGATTGTGCTTTGAAGCCCCAAATTGAATCTCGGGATTTGGGAGGAGACGTGCCTTGGCCCGAACCATGGCTTTGTCAACAACCATGCCATAGTGAATCAAATTAGGGTCATTCTCATGATCAAAGATCTTCTTGATGAGCTGGATATGAGACATCCGCTCTCGAGGTTTTTGTGCAGTGTACCTGATCATTTGTCCAGTCATCAACTTTGAAAGCTTTTTGTTGTAGCGTTGTAGGCCTTTTACCACCAGAAGCTCGGCAGGGTAAGCAATAGGCCATCCATGCACCTCATCGCGCATCTCAACCACGCACATTTTGGGCTTTTGGAGGAGAAGATTGTACTTATCCTTATAGAATTGAGCCAGTGTTTTCTTCTCAGTCTCACCGGTCGCCTTGTCTGTCACTGGAATGTGGTATTCAAGGCAATGTCCCATAGCCAGACCTTTGATCTTGAAAACGCGATTCGGATTCGGGCAGCCTCTGAAACTGGGAGATACCAAGAGCCCTCCTATGTTCTTGTGAACAACCTTCCACGCTTCAGGATACTCTTTGGCCCGCTGCTCCATATATTTCTTTTCGACAATGGTAGTAGCTTTCACCAACTCGTCATCGTGGTCTAGGTCAAGAAACCCCCGCATGACTGACATAAGACCAATGCGAGAATAGAAGACAGCATAAGCTGTGTCGACATTGAGAATCAAGCCCCGCTATACTCTCATTAGTGGGAGTCCAGAAGATATACGAGGTAGATAAATGATTCTTACTGGACACGCTCGAATTGTCTGGAAAAGACCACGATGAACAGTTGCTCCTCGCCCAGCGAGTTGGTACAAGAATTGCGATTGGTCCACATTTTTGAAGTTTGGTCCAAGATCTTTGACATTATCAAAGAAGTACGCCCGTTTGTGCTCGTAAAATTGTTTTCTTGGCCAGTCACGAAGCAAATGGTCCAGGAAATCTTTCAATGTGAGCTAAAAGCTGGATTGGAAATTGCCCAGGCTACTTACTGAATGCTTCAACTGTTTCTTCATCATAGGGTCGCTTCTGATTAAGCCATGCGTTGATCACACTCAGATTGATTTTGTGCTTCAAGATGACTCGGAACTGAACTTTGGGAAGAAGGGTCAAGAACACGCGGTGGGCATCTGCAATCGCGGCAAATCCTCCAACCCGATTGGGACCTTCACGGTAGTGATAAGGAGGATCGAAATAAATCATCTCATTAATACCCTTCTCAAGGCTCAGCTCCTCGAGAGACCTAGATGATCCCGTATCAGCTTATATGATAGAACCCTCTGGAAAATGACCAGACTTACCAAGCAATGTAAGCACCGTTGTGAATAGCATTAGCTAGGTGCTCCTTTCGAAGTTGACTTCTTTCAAAACAGGTTTGAAGAAGATTCTTGTCAAGCGTAGGGAGAATCGAAGTCTTGTCCCCTGCTGTGACGGGGTGGATTACTTCAACCTGTAGTTGCTCAGTAATTAATTGCCCCTGAACATAAAACCTTTTGCTACAAAGTGAGAAACTTACCTCATACAAGTAGACTGGCTTCTTTGGCACTTTCCGAATCGGATATGCATTCACAACCAAGTCAATCTCCTTCCCAGTGGTGTTGTATTCGTTATCACGTCTAACATCGAGTTCGGGAATCTATGCAAGGTCAGTGAAATATTCCAGAGACAGCGATAAGTGGCCTCCAAATCGGCCATCAGAGAGGAATGAGGAACCACAATGATGGAAAAGATCGGGATCCGAAGGGATTGCAACGAACCGGGAATACAACGTAATCCCACCATTTACGGGGCTTCATGCGGAGATGACCTTTCTCATCTCTGAAAGTGAGATTGGCAATGCTTTGCCTTTGAGCCTCAATCTGTGCATCTTGCGAAGGGTCTGATACTTCCTTTTGGGGCTCTAAAGATTCTTTCTGGGGACTTGACCGTCCACTTCTCTGGCCTTTCTGGCTAGGACTCGGGGGAGAGCCCATGATAGATGAACGACGATCAGGGTTTCTGGAGATAAGAGATCATTAGCACAACAATATAGATCAATGCTCTGATGAGATTTGCGAAGAGAAAGTTGACAGAAATGTTGAAAAGAAAATTCTGGGAAAAGATGCTTGTATATAGAGGATCGAGTCGATATGATTCGCAGCCTGGTACTTCCAAGATGGCCTTTGGGATAGTTTTCCTTGGAGTGGAGACCTCAACTCATGCTGCTCCAAGGCCGAAGGTCCTGAGAAAAGGAAAGCATATAAAGAGACTTGAATGAAATACATACCGTCGTCAGGAAAGAAGTGTAAAGGGAAAAGAGTAAGAAAATGGTTCAGAATAGGGTCAAAAAGTACAAAAGCTGCTTCTCACCGAGTATCTGGGCAATAAGCAGGGAAACTGAGAGCAGAAAGACCTAAAGAGATGGGAATCCTTTCTTCAGGTGCCCAAATCGCAGGGGAAGGGTTGGGACACGTGAGAAAGTAATGGTATTGATAGTGAAATAGGATATTGAAAAACAAGAGGATGTTGGAGAAAGTGGGAGGAAGAAGGGAAATTTATATTCCCAGGGGGCAGGGGCCTCAGAGATGAATTGGCAGTCACGCTGAATGTCAATCAATGGACCCCACCTGTGATTCAGTTAATTCGGGTAGAAATCGAATTGTCTTGGAAAGCATCAAGAGCTTACTATTCAAGAAATGAAATTGGACAAATCTGAGTAGTTCAAGGAAGATTCACAAGTAGAGAAGCCGCAGGCGAGAGATGAAGTCGTCGTAGAGAATGAAAACAGAGAAGGAGGGGGAGAGGGAACGGTCAACCAGATAGGCATCTAAATGCCTTAGTAGGCAACTAGCTGGGCTTGCAGAGGAAAGCCTGAAATCCTTTTTCATTACCATAACACCATGACTTTCTAGCATATTGCAATTAGTTGCTAGAAGCTAGAAGTGTCCTCCTAGGCGACTATTTAGTACGTTGTGATGGAGGTAACCAGAGTCAAGCAATGGGTGGATAACCAAGTAAAATGGAACTGATAGACAAACAAGTCAAAAGACATCGACTACTGAGTGAATTCTATTACCTTCATTTCATATAGAGATATGTCTGTTCAAATTGTTACTTGTGATCGTCCTGGGTCAGGACAGGACCTAGGTCTAGCGCCAAATATGCCATATACATTATCATATCAGCAGCGTTACAAATTTCTTTATCTCTCTAGAATAATCTAACCTAGGAAAACTGGTTGTGAAAGTGGATCTATTGTGGCTACATCTGGCATATCATCCATCTGCTGTATCTGAAGTATCATTGGAGTATCTGCACAACTTGTCGCGAACTGTACATATAGGGTTATGAAGATGGCAGGGGAAGGCAAACTCCGCAGTCTCAAAAAAGTGCTTAATGTGAAAAAATGAAAACATGAGAACGAGAAAACCGCAACGTAGGGTAACCGCATGCCTGTTGAAAGAAAGAATGCCAATCAGACCGACGCCGGCATAATGCAACAGATTCTAGGGCAATCAGGAAGATTCCTACCACACCCAGAATGAAGTAAGAAGTCGGATCATCTAGATCAAGGAGGATGTTGCCAGGTAGTAATCACCCAATTTGGACGCCTCGATGATTAAGTGAGAAAAGTTTCATGGGAAAAGTTGAGTGAATATACACAGAAAATGAAGGAATAGTGGCAATTGATCAGCACTCGAGGGATTTTAGCGGTATGAGCCTGGATAAAAAAAACCGTGTTAGAAAATAAATGATTCCGAGGGGATTCGTATGTTTGAGGAAATGTGTCTCAATTGACCGCCAGGGGGATTCGTACCGGAGGACTGAGGGGCTCCAAGGCCCCGCGCATTCGCAGGAAGGGGAATATGGGAAGGAGAGGAGGGAACATCGATGCAACGAATCAGATCAACCATCTTCTCTGGGGAGAGGCGTGCGATGTTGTAAGCGGACGCATGAGGAATGATACTGAGCAATTGTACCACTTCTCGAGGCAAAGGTGTCGAAGATCCTTGAGGTTTGTACGATGATGTGGTCTGACCGTTGATGCCTCGCTTTTGCTGGTCCAGCCGGCGACCTTGCACGGCCTTCAATGGGGATTCGGCACGAACAAACTTGCGTGGGCGATCCGAGTCGTAATCAAAGTCGTCAGTGGGGAATGGCCTTTTTGGAGAGTTCAAAGTATCCAGGTGCGGCACCGGGGAGCTACGAGACTCCTGCGCCATTCCCGGAAGAATTGACTTGGGCCGAGTTTGCGAGGGTGACAGAATAGGACGAACGGTCATAGGGTCGAAGATTGGCGTTGAGTACCGGTGGGAAAACTGATCCAATAAGGGGTCTTCGGGGTAGAGTTCGCGCATCCGGGTTTCCAAGTTGATAACTTGAACTAAATCTCCATACCGCGATTCATACTCGTGAAGGAAAGCAAAGATCGGTTTGGCCTTTTCAACATTTTCTGGCTTGGTGGCCAGTCTCCTGACAGTCAGTTCAAACACAGCCCGGGCATCTGAGACGTGGCATTAGCAAACATGTGAGAAGGGTGAGGCGCAAGAGGTTTTGCTTACTGATAATATCATTGATATCAATGAGATGTTTCAAGTATTCGAGGGCGAAATTCTCATCTTCTGGAAACAACTTCGCACCTCGCTCAAAGATCCTGGTTGCGGCAGGGTCTTTGTAGCAGTGATACTCCATAAGGGCACTGGCAATATAGACATCGCTCGTGATTCGACCTCGTTTGCGGGCATCAGCAAATACTGAGCGAGAACCAGCCACCTCGCCTGGCTTTCCCTTTCCCGAGATGCGACGCATAGCACGCATTAGTGCTACCCAAGCGAATGAGATGGTCTTGGAAAGTGTGTTGATTTGAATAGAATGAGCCTCCCGGACGGCGTCAATTTGTGCCTTCTTGGCAGCTTCTTTCTCCTTGGCCTCGCTGGGAGCATCATCGTCATCCTCATCATGCACTGGTGGAGCATCTGGGTTCTGCTTTGCGAATGTCTCCTCAATGCGTGACACATCCTGGGCTTCTTGGTTCCGGGCCTTTTCAATCAAATCGTAAAGAGCATCAAGCAACTTGTCATAAGGCTCTTTGACTTTAGCTGCCCGTTTGGAAACATCTTGCTCGGTATCTGACGTAACCTCCAGCCGATCGGCCAACTTGAAGGATAACAGACAGCTCTCGGGATTAGCTTCGATACCTTTTTTTAACAGATCGGAACCATCTTTTTCCATGTTGTTCAAAAAACAAAACTCGGCCGCGTCAAACCACATTTCAGGAAGAAATCTGAGAGCCATAAGTGCCTGCTTATAGACGTACAGCACACGAGATTTGAACGCGGCAGCATCATCTTCTTGCAGGACTAAGGGGTCTTCTTTTTCCCAGGCAATCCAACGCTTCCAAATATCAACCTGCTGGGCAAACTCAACATCACCTTCGGATCCTGGTACAGGCGGCAATCGAGGCAGAGAAGTTCTGACGAGGTCACGAGTGATGTTCTGCAGTTCGACCTGCGAGCTACGCGCAGTCATATAGGATGGCGAGTGCTCTTGCAGAAATTTTCGACCCTGAAATGGAGTGTTAGCCTAGTTTCTATTAGATAGGAAGTAGAGTGGTTTTACTGTTAGCTTGTTGAGACCCATCTCAAATTGATCATACTCCTTCCACAGAGTATTAACAGCTTGGTTTGGGACACAGATGGCTTTTTGATAAGCCTTTCGCAACAGGTCCATCTTCTGCTGGTCTTGCCAGCCCGATCCTCCAACGGTGCCTGGTCCAGAGCGAATGAACTCAACATAATCAGACCAGATGTTTCCGCAATCTTTGTCCATTCCGACATATTGAAGAGCTAGATCATAGGCTGACGAGATTACACGCCTGGCGTCTCCGCTTGTGTCTGTGGTCAAAGGATTTCGGCGACGCACGTAATCAAGATAGACCGACCAGAGCTGGACACTTGGAACTGTGAGAAGGGTTCGGCTGAAAATCTGTTCCAGGCGGTAAAGTTCGTTGAGCTCAGATTCCATAGTCGCATATGCCACCCACTGGTCAGCCTAACATGAGTTAGCCGGGGAAATGCTCACCACCAAAAAAAAAAAAAAAAAAAAAAAAAAACATATAAAACCAAGTAAATACGCGTGGAGATCTTTGGGGACCTACCGCATCGGGAAACAGTTTCAGAAATCGTTCGTAGACTTCACGGGCACTATCAAGTCTGTTACGACTTCTGTGCTCAGAAATTAGCTCCAGCCAAGCAGGAATATCTCCTCGTGGATCCTCATCAACCCTGTCCTGCAGGATTCCCACGCGGTCATGAGGCAAGCGACCTCTGGAGGCAGAAGGTGAGTCAGGTACAGGGGTAGGAACAGTACTGTTCTGGAGGCTCGCATCATGCAAAGCCCACTGAGTGGGACCAGAAGCAGAAGGATCAATATTTGAAACAGGAACAGGAGAATAAGAACTATTGGCAACATCTGGCACGGAGGCAGCGGAATGCACAGCCGGTTGTGATGATACATCAGGGAGAGTGTTTTGAATTGCATTTCCTGAACTTGGATCTTCAGACAGGGTCATAGGCATGGCATTTGCTTCATCCACTTCCAGCGCAGCCGGCGGCTCATAGTCCGCCTCTTCTTTGTCATCCTCATCATCTTCTTCATCCACAAATCCCCCAATCGTCCTGGTCTGGGGCTGTACGGATGCACCAGCGGGTGGTACCGGGGTGGACCTCTGAGACTCAGTACGCGAGGGGTTCTGGGAAGCAATCGGGGCGTTAGCGGCGGCGACTGTGTCTATGTCTGAGGAAACGGTCGGATTCAGAGTGCTGTCATCGGGTAGGTCTTCTTCATCGTCTTGGAATTCGCGCGCAGAGGGCTGGTACTCTTCGTCCAAAGTTTTGGAGGGGTCATATTCATCGTCATCATCGTCGACGTCTGCAGGTTCTTCCTCAGTTGGGACTGGGTCTGCAGCATCAGCATTAGCTACCTGCGCCTGGAAAAAGGCCTGTTCAGCTTCTTCATCCGCCATGACAGGCGCCGTCTGTGATGGATCGCAGTGAATGGAATATGAGATTCCCAACGGGCGCAGAGAGCTTGGGATAACTTGAGGTGAAGGGGATTGGGTTAGATGAAGAAGGGCAGAATTGTAAAAGAGAACTGGCAAGCTGTCCCACCCTCTGGCGGGATCAGAGAAGAACGAAAAAGACCGAGAGGAGATTGTTGGTGAAGACAAAGAAGCTGTTGGCAGCTTGTGATGCATGATGCCCGCTGAGTCTGCATCTAGCAATCTCGATCACGTGGGCGGTGAGCGCGCAAGGGACGCGAAGGCGCGTCGGGCGATGGGCTCCTCCTCGCATACATGCTTTGATTGCGGCCCTCGAAAGAAACTACCCTTCGCATTCCTTGCGGTGAAACTGTTTGTTTCTCTTTCCCCGTGCCCCCAGATTTGACCTGCACTATAAATTGATCACCCTTTCCTCCCCCTGCCCCTGTCCCACTTTTCTCCGTACATATCTGCATCTCCCATCTTATCACCATGTCCGTCGTCTCGCTTCTCGGGGTTAAAATCCTCAATAACCCAGCCACGTTCACGGCTTCTTACCAATTTGAGATCACTTTCGAGTGTCTCGAGCAGCTGCAAAAAGGTGAGCAGTTCACCTGATGACCTATTTACTTTTGGCGGCCCCTGCTCACCAAGTCCCAGATCTCGAATGGAAATTGACCTATGTCGGATCCGCCACTTCGTAATTCTACCTCATCCACCGCCCAATCTGCCCCTCACTAACCATTTTACTCAGTTCCGAATATGATCAGGAACTTGACTCCCTGCTGGTCGGCCCCATCCCGGTTGGCGTGAATAAGTTCATCTTTGAGGCTGATGCGCCCGACCTTCAGCGCATTCCTTCCTCTGAGATTCTGGGTGTCACTGTCATTCTTCTCACCTGCAGTTATGATGGTCGCGAATTCGTCCGTGTGGGTTACTATGTTAACAACGAGTATGACTCGGAGGAGCTGGCCGCGGATCCCCCGGCCAAGCCCATCATTGAACGCATTCGCCGCAATGTCCTCGCCGAGAAGCCCCGCGTAACTCGCTTTGCTATCAAATGGTACGTTTGTATCTTGAGGGTTTCGCTGCCTGTCTTCCTGTTGCTAACACTGTGTTTCAAGGGATTCGGAGGAGTCTGCACCCGCCGAGTACCCCCTGACCAGCCTGAGGCCGATGGCTTGGATGATGACAGTGGAGCCTACGGTGCTGAAGAGGCCGAACTGGAGGCCGCCCTCGTTAAGGAACTCGAGGATGCCAACAAGGAGGGCGAAGGTGAGGACCAGGAGATGGAAGGTGGCGAGGCGACCGCTGGCAATGAGGAAGATGATGACGCCTCCGATGCTGGCAGCGAGGATCTCGAAGAGGAGAGTGACGACGACGACGATGAACTGGATGAGGATGAGGCTGGTGATGAGGATGTGGAAATGGGTGATGATTCGGAGCAGAAGGATGAGTCCAGCAAGCCTGCCCACCAGGCCCAGCCCGAAGTCATGGTCCACTAAATTTGGACTTGGTTGTGGACATGATTCCTTTCATCGCCACTTTTTTTCTCAACCTTTCTCCCAACCCATATGTTTTCTTGATGACCGCCAGTATGCTACGTTATGACACCTGGACAACACACCACTTCTCCTATACCCTTTTTCAACGTCGGCGTTGATCAAGGTCTACGAAATAGAATTTCATACCACTTCCATTGAATCGCCATTCGCACAAACCTCGCGCGAGCTTTCAAGTTCAAGCCCCTTCCTCGAGTATGTAGGAGGGCTCTCAATGCCTGTCGTCACCTTCCAGAGTCATGCTCAATGGGTCGGAATCCATAACCAGGACTATGATCGGCATCGAAAGAATGCTCAGATCTCTACCTAGCCGGAGTCCGCTTGGATATTCCAGAATAGGTACATGACTAGTCCTCAAATGTGGCGAGAGCTTCCGCAGTGGATCCCGATTCTAGGGAGCGCTCTTGTTTATTTCTGCTCGTTTTTATTTGTTTACAGTACTGTATATCCAGTAACCACACTAGGGGCAAAATGTAAAAACGAGTCTTTATTTGGGAGTATCAATGGCCCATGGCGTAGCATTTTCCTGTACAAAGAATAGTCTGTTTTATGTTTCAGCAAGAGAGGGGGAAGCCCCCATACAAACACTAGAGTCCGAACTTGGAGCCCAATACTGCATAATGTTGGTCAGTTTCATGCAACTAGAGATGCAAGGGGGTTGATTTTGACAAGGATGCCCGCAAGACCACTTACCGCCAAAGACAGCCTTCCTCTTCTGGGTCTGGACGTACTTGCCGACATCGCTGGCGAAGTTGCTGCTGTTTTCTTCCAAACGATCCATGGTGTCTCCAGCAATACCTAGACGTTCAGTGCGTTCTTGGACTTGGCGCGACATGTATGACCAGTAGCTTTCGTCATTGCCCTGGGGTTCTGGCGGGGGTGCACGGCCTTCTCTGAGTGCTTGGCGGCGCTCTTGTTCTTCGAGCTTCATTTGTTCGATCATGCGCTTGGACGGTGGGCGCTCGGGTCCTCCAACTAAAACAAGATTAGAAAAGTTGATCTTGCATGCAAAGCCTATGGCAGTATATCGTACTCAGAATATCCATATCCGCTGGGGATATATATTGAGTCCCGGAGATCCACTGGATGTTTGTGATTGTTGGCCGTGTCGGGATGATCTTCTCAGGGTCGTAGAGACGGTCCTGTGACGGACTCCTGGAAAACTAGTTAGCGAATCGTCCAGGAGGATTGCTTCAACTATGGCGTACAATTTATTCCCAGACCCCCAGACATTGAACAATCCAACCTCCGAAGGACCAGTCCAGGTCATGACACTGCCTGTGGGTGTAATGCATGCCTCTGAGAGTCGGCGCATATCGGCAATGTGGTTAATCTTGCTGCACCCAATTTCTCTGAGAGCAGGAATAGAGAAGGCACGAGTATTGCCATCACCAAATAGACCAACCAGACTGAAGCCCCGTCCCTCCGACTTGACAAGCGCCGCGGAGTCGCACAGGTAATCGTCCCAGGTCTTAGAGGCACCCTTGGCAGTCGGGGGCTTAAAGATCCGACAGCCCGAGACAGTCACAGCGATCACCACACCATTGATCTTCATACCGTTTCGCAATCCTCCAACAGCACTGGGTGTTGCAAGGGCGCGGCCGCCGGATTCCGCATCGATGGGAATCAGGCTGATGACCTTATCGTCCACTGCAGAGGATCCGACAAAAGACGCCGTGTAAGTGCCATTAGAGGCCGGCAGAATTTTGAAAGTTGCCACATTTCCTCGGCTCGTGCCAACAAAGCAGCAGATGCTAGAGTATTCTGATGCCAAATAGGTTAGTTAGGGCAAAGAAAAGCAATGCCTCGTAATAATCATACCTTCCCCTTCCAAAGTCATCACGCCAAATTCAATTTCTGTAGGCCACTCGGCCGGAGCATCATCTGAGCCACGAGTCTTTCGGAAACTACCCCGTTTCGAAGCCTTGGTAAATTCAGAAAGATGTGCAGTATGGATGATTGCAGGACCGCGCAGGTCGACTATAACTAAACCACCACCCTCGAATCCCGCTGCCACAAAGCCCACAGGGCTATGTTTCAGGGCTGTGACGGGGCCCTGTTGCATATCCAAAAGGGTTAAAGGTAGTAGTCCAGTCTTGAGACCGGGATCCGTCCGATGAGTGACCGGAGTCAGAGTCCCTGGTCCTTGGTTGACACCGGGAGGTTGTTCATTGCCGTGTGAAGCATTGTTACCCCATCGGAAGACGACAAGCTCTCCACTACGGAGCCCAACAGATAATTCACCTGTAGTGCTTGCGAGAGACATCTCGGTCACTTCCACGTTACGTACCCGACCAACGGCCCGGGCCAGGTCCACTTGAATAACTTCCCCATTTTCGATTTCATCATCATGGCCAGCATCCCAGAGGCGGATTGTTCCATCAGCATGAGCAGTGGATATTATATTGCGATTCTCAAAGCGTTTCAAGGGATTCTTCGCTTCTGCGCCTCCGATTACAAACCGGGGTCCCTGTGCCCGGCGTTCCTTCAATCCCAGCCACGCGTTGCGATCAACCGGTGTGAGGGTAGCTTTGTTCACAAACGGATGGACAAAGGATAGATATGGATGAAGCATGTTAGTTGGAGTGATCGCATGACCACTGGGAAAGCTCATTGTGACCAGTTCGCCCGAGGAAAGCACGGCAATCAGGGCAATTGGATCATGGGCCCCTGCGAAATACGGAGAGGCCCGGGGGACAAGGCAGAAATCAACAGCATGTGCACCCGTAGGGATAGGAAGATTGATGACTCGGCGAGTTCTCTCAAAATATGCGGCCAAGATTTGCCATGATGACGTCGAGTAGTTCGGAGTCGGCCCCATATCGAGGAAAGTGAGGCCCTTATTTGGATCCCCGGCGCTTTTGCCACCGGCAACTAAAAGACCAGTATCATCAGGGTTATCTTTAGCACACCACTTGACCCTGGTAATGGGCTCTTTAGGGCCAGACGGCACGTCTGCCGAGCTGGGCCGGCCCGAAGCACCGGGCTGATCAACATTAGTGGCCTGAATAGTTCTGGCATGAAGCTTTCGGCCATCCTTCGAATCCCAGAGGACCAAGCTGGTATCCTCATGGACAGTCAAAACGAAAGTGCCGTTTGGATGCCACACGGCATGGGTCAATTTTGGTCGACGTACACCCGCGGAGGACATCTCGGGGTCCCCGCCCGGAGCACCAGTGGGAACTTCATAGACAAAATACTTTTGCGCGACATTTTGTTTGAATGAAAAAGTGACAGCTCCTTCCGGATAGCCGATGAGAATCTTGCCGATATCTCTCGTAGAGAATTCAAGGGAGATGACAGGGAAAAGCCGGGCTCGCGGGTTGCGTTCCAACCATAAGTTCGGAATCTTGAATGGCGTCAAAGTCTCTCGGTCGAGATCATAAGCGATTATCTCGCCTGTAACGAAGTCAACAGCTGTCTATTTACAGGTACGGTATTGAGGGTTCTCCAACCATTTGACAAGCCAATAAAGGCGTAATCGAGACTTGGGTCTGTTGCGAGGGCAGTCGCTTGACCCGGCGGCGCATATGATGTCACCAAGCATTTATTTTCCAATGAGAAAATGCAGACTTCGTTCTTAGAGTCGACGCTGATGAGCTTGCCAGCGCAGAACTGGAGGAACTTTGCCGAGGCCTTGCGCGGAAAGTCAAAGACGACCAACACGCGCCGCTGTCCAAAGACATAGATCTGACCGCTTCCAAATTGAGTATCACTCGTTCCAATGGCGAGAAGAGATTGAACCGGATCATAGGTGACCGCACTGATTTGGGAGTTGACACCGCATCGCGCAAACTGGAACGGGTAGCTTTTCATCAGTTCACGATCGCAAGAAAAAAAGATGCCTGGAGCGCCAAGAAACATACATCGTCAAGCCCGAAGAAGTCCGGGGAGAGACCCTCCGACAAATCTCGCTGGATACCAGCTTGCTTGCCTCTTAAGAACTGCGCCATTCCCGCAAGTAAGTGGTAGGAGGACTACGAGGGATGGGAAGGAAAGAAAGCGGAGGAGCTTTGGAGGAATGTTCACAGCTGACGACATGGCGGAGCTAAATGGATCTGCCCCGCTCCCGCCGCCTTACGCCCCCTGCGCTTAAGTCATGCCGGTATGCACCAGGACGTTTGCGATATACACCGAAGGAAATAAGCGGGCTAGATTCGTTCTTATTCCCAGCCAAGCTTAGGGGTATCTGTGAATCTCATAGTCTATGATCCGAATACAATCCCGACTGACCTCTCCTAATCTGCTGGCCCTCATATGCCTTGCGATGCTCGGGAGCCCGAATCACATGCCGAACTATAGGCTCCACCTGAATCGGCTTGGGATTGGGATTGGGCCCTCAACGTTTAATATATCATGCAAGGGAGGCAAATTCTATGAGCTTCAAACAGACATTGAATTGCTTTGTGCTCGCTCATGCAGATTTCCATTCTTGAAATGCTTCATTCAAATTCTAACGTCACCATGTCCGCAATTGTCCTTGTTAGCCGCCGTCGAGCACTAAACTCTTTGTTCTCATCTCGGTTGCGGTAATATTGTATCGTGATTTGGCATACCAATCGGTAGCAGGAATATCTTAAAAAGAGGCAAACCCCACATTAGCATGCTAGATAGGAGTGAAAATAACGACCGAGGCCAATCAGGCACTTACAATAACAACCGCATATGCTCTCGTTTAGTCCGAACCAAGGGTAGCCCAGCCCCTTCGAGCACGGCAGAGGATGGATCTTCAAATATCTCAGCCATCAGTAGATCTCCCCAAAGGGCACTGCTAAAGTCCACTACGCCAGAGAGTTGCCGGGATGCCTCATCTAAGAGAACATGCGAAGGCCGGCCAAAGCTGACGACCACCAAACGAGGCAAGGTAATTTCGTCGAGAGCAGGGGCTAGACGGACCATCTCGTGTCGAATTTCGGCATAAGGTAGATGAATGAACATGTCTTCGGCATCACGTAGCACACTTTCGAATAAGGAGCTGAATGCCTCTCGCCACGCCCGCTTCCCGGCCCCAACGGCAACCTGCTGCAGAGAGCCAAATCCCGGAGCCACATTTTGGCTGATGGTACTTGCCAGGAACCCCAGATGCCGATCGATATCAGCTCTTTGCCTGGCCGTAAGTTGATGTTCCATGTCTGATAAGCTGGTTCCATTCACATATCGACGGACAAGATACGGCGATCCCAGAGGACCGCCGTAAGGATCATAGTAATATAATTGGGGAATACAGGGGTTGGCACTTTGTCCCAGTAAGGCCAGGGACCGAGCCTCAGTCTCAAGATAGAATCGTTCCTGTCGAAGCAATGGAGTGCCGTTAAAGACAGAGCCCTTGAGTAATAATCGGCCACTGTTTGAGAGTGTGAGACAGCGCAAGGAATGCAAATGGCCCAGGATATTTTGCGACTGTTGCACACGGATGGTGGAGGGAAACAACAGGGAAAGCACTGCATCTAGTCTTTGATACTCGACGGATGCGTTTGTCCGGGCATCATTTTGGGCGGCAGGCATGACGGACCCTTTCAGGGAAAACACGGCAGGTTGTGTCTGCACATCCGCGTGGCGCATTCTGATATAATGATATAGGAATAGAAGGGTCAAGAGATGCCGAAAAGGGAGGTCTGGGATACACGGGCTAGAGCCGAGAATTGCGACAATCGTAGAATAGAAGCCAAGTAACCCTAAAAGCGACCCTAAAAGTGACCCTTGCTCATTAAGCAGACGCCAGACCTCGTCCTCCGAGGAGATGGTTCAACAACGCGGACCACATTCCTTTCTTTGCAGCCTTGCATTTGAGTAGCCGAGGGTGCAGAAAGGCTGGCACATTGACCAGAGACAGAGAGGGGGAAAAAAGAAAAAGAAATAAAAAGGGAAATTGGGCCTAAAATCTGGCCCTGGCAGCCATCAGAGACGGACTAGGCGCTGGGCCACGCCATAGTTGCAATGTCTCGTCCCCATTGTCTTGAGTAGGGAAAGTGGCCACGGGCCTTAACCCAAGAGCGCGCCATGACATGGACCTACTGTAGGTTTAGCTACGCGAGATACGGGGACCGAGTGGAGGCTTCCGAGGCTCGGGAGACCGTATACTCCGTCCGAAAGACAGGTCCATGTTACAAGGCCCCCGTTCCAACGCCCGGCAGAAAAGATGACTGGAGGGGTAACGAAAGGAGCCGGTCCACTGAGTAATCGCCGAAAGGTTTCTGTCTGTCACTCTGGGGACTGGGTCTGGGCGACTCAAAACGCGAAGTCAGCGATGCCTTCTCGCGTAAGGATCCCGCTTGAAGCAACGCGGACATCCGAGCCCCCACTCGCCGCCAATCAGAAGTGCGTCTTGCCGAACTGCCCCCCGTGGATCCCTGAAGTGCGGGCCCGCGCCGTCGCTAGACTTTCAAATCCACCTTCGATGTATTCCAGGCGACTCTGTCATCACCCTATTTCCTGCGCTGCATGGAATGTACTGGGTCTTCGCTTCCGATTGCTGGGAAATAAAGGAACGGCGCCATCCTCACCCCACTTATAAAAGTCTGGAAAACATATACAAGACTTGCGCGAACTGACAGCGGAGCGCCATGATCTCTTCTGAGGGCATTTCTATGAGAAACTCTCAATAACAATTGGAGTTTGTCCCCACGGTAGAACCAAGGTCCAAGTATCCAGGTCCAGGTCCACGCTGGGCAAAAAACCCTGAACCCTGACCTCTCCGGATGGATCGGCATGGGGCTTCCAGGCCCTTAGTCCGTGTAAGGAAGAAAATCCGTGGGTAAGTTCTGCCGTCCTCATGCAAACCCGATGGAGGGCTTGCTCGTTTTACGATGTACCTGGTAAACAAAACGCTCCTCCACGCGGGAGGGCTTGTGGCTGCATGAACTTGGCCCTGACTAGGAATTTGATAAATTGATCGAGCGGTAAGTTCCGCATGCTGGTCATGCAAGGTGGCCAAAAATCCCATTGGGCTCGTCATCATTTGATTTCTCATTTATCAGTGGGGTCCTGCGTCACTAATAACCAGAACTCATGTTATGTAGGTTGGGAAGAACGCGTGGCAGGAATCTCTCGTCTATACTTTAAGCCCGAGACTCTAAGATGCGGTCTCTATTGGGGCTTCCTTAGGGGCTTCCTCTTCCTTGAGGGATTCTTTGGTGGTTTCCTTAGGGACTGGCTTCGGGGACGGATCATAAATCTCAGCCAGGTTAAACCGTTTCAGCTGATCGTAATCGCTATCGACTACACTCATACCAATGACATTCTAGGGACCAATTAACGTCAGCCTATTTAAGCACACGACTCGTCATGTTGCATCAGAACTCACTTGGCAGACATCGACCAGAATCATCTTATCGTAGTTCGTCAGATTTACCGGGTGTTCAGGGCCCACGATATCCGCGATGGTCTTGATTAGAGGGTTCCGCTTGAATTTTCCGTTTCCTCGAATAGATGGCCGGATCGCGTACTATAGGAACGAAAAAAAAATTAATTAAATTAGCAATGCAGCTCGTCTCGCGGCGGTCATGTCATGATGGACAGCAGTCGGGGCGAGGCCCATTTCTATCGCCAAGGAGGGGCAATCCGTTTCACTTACCCTACGTGGAGGTCCCCCAGAATGGAAGTGCGGCTTGAGGATTTCTCGCGTAAAAGCTTCCATATCGAATCGCAATGTTTTTCTGATTGAGGTGACAGGGGTCATGCGCTTGATAAATCGACTCCTCTTCGTCTCCGGATCGGCCCGTGCTTCTCGACACAGACGGTGGACCAACTCGACCGGGTCGATAGATGGGTCCAGTCGGACAAATATGACTGCCAGCAATCATGATTAGCGCCACGGGCTGTTTCTAGAAGTCGGCACGAAGGGTGCACGTTTGCGCCAAGCCAACATTTTCATTTGGGAACACACCACAGGGCATCTCCAAGCGAAATGCTTGGAAGGGGCGCTTTTTATCCTTGTTTGGTTTTAAGCCCGCAAGCTCTTTTTGAATCTGGGCCTCGATGTCGTCCTCCTCCTCGTCGTCATCGTCATCCTTGGCAGGGGAAGCTGATGATTCAAGTTCCTGAACGACAAGCCAGTCAGCGTGTGTTGGCGTGGTTTGAAGATTGGCTCCAGCGCTGGCCATGCAGGCCACGCAGACCGTATGATGGACGAATGGACCAACCTGGGAGAAGATATCGACTGTCTCCGCCATGCATTTTCCTTCCTTGCCCATGTCACAAGTCACAAAAACACCGACATCGCCCGCCTCAATATTGACTCTGCTTTTGCCCTGTTTCCACATTCCTTTGTCGCCCTGTTTGGCCCTCATTTAGCATTTTCCCACCGCCCTGAAGGACTTTGGACTGGATGCTCTGGGGGAAAGCATACCTTGCCGCGTTTAGCAGACGGATTTGCGTTGGTCGGCATACTGCGTTTGCCCGGTGCGGCCATTAGAGGGGGGTTCTTCTGGGGAAACTAATTTTCTGTGATGGACGCGATAGGCGATAATGGGTCAAGAGGCCGACGATAAAGGATAAGCCCCGATAGACGATAAGACGATTGGCGATTGGAGTGGGGGAAAACTTTGAAGTTCGGGACGGAGTTTGATGTGATCGCCCTTCAATTGGGTTTAGCGCGCCGGAGGACCGATGAACTGGACCATCGGCCTGATCATCAACAAACCCCTAGCCGTGGGTTGCATCAATGGCTCAACGGCTCTCAGCAGATCAAGCAATTGCCGCATATATCACCGTTGGTCTCATCCACGAGTCTGCCCACCTCGTGGCACGGTAACGGTCTAATGGTCGGACGGACTATTTGTGTTGGCATGACATCAATGCTCCAATCATGACGTAGTGCACTAACTGTCCTCGACCTTCAACGTTGTTTAGCGTGACTTAAAGGGCTTAAAGGGGGTCGATCCGGCAAGCCGAGTGCCCTGTTTTGGAGCGTCACATCTTCCGATCACTCCGTATCACCCGTGGTAGATAAGGGTGCAACGGTTGTCCGTCTCCTCCTTCTCTTCTGCCTTCTCGCTCTATCGTGCCTATCTTCTCCTCTGTTCCTTCTCGTCACATCCAGCATGGCGTCTACAGATATCGCTACGCAGGAGCTCAAGAATCCCATGGATGTCACCGAGTATTTGTTCCGACGTCTACACGAGGTAGGCATCCGCTCGGTTCATGGAGTCCCAGGTGACTACAATCTTTCGGCTCTGGATTACTTGCCCAAGTGCGGCCTAAACTGGGTTGGAAACTGCAATGAACTCAATGCCGGTATGATCACTATCCACATAGACCCCAACCAGAATGGAAACGAGCGTTAATGGACTTTCTGACGGGGTTTCTTGTTGATAGGCTACGCGGCCGATGGCTACGCTCGAGTAAAAGGAATCAGTGCCATGATCACGACATTTGGCGTGGGAGAGCTATCAGCTCTCAACGCGATTGCTGGCGCATACTCGGAGTTTGTGCCCATCGTTCACATTGTGGGTCAGCCAACCACCAAGTCTCAAAAGGACGGAATGCTACTTCACCACACCCTGGGAAATGGGGATTTCAACGTCTTCACTCGAATGAGCGCGGCTATCTCATGCTATGTAGCTCGCCTGAACGATCCTCATGACGCAGCAACCTTAATTGACAGCGCCATTCGTGAGTGCTGGATTCGCAGCCGCCCTGTGTATATCACCCTCCCCACAGACATGATCGCTGCGAAGGTGAACGGTGATCGCCTCAAGCAACCTCTGGATCTTTCCTTACCAGTGAACGAGCCGGAGAAAGAGGATTACGTCGTGGATGTCGTCCTCAAGTACCTGCAGGCGGCTAAGAACCCGGTGATCCTGGTCGATGCGTGCGCCATTCGTCACCATGCGCTAGAGGAGGTACGCGACTTGGTCGAAGCTTCGGGTCTCCCCACCTTTGTCGCGCCCATGGGGAAGGGTGCGGTGAATGAAACGCACAAAAACTTCGGCGGTGTTTATGCCGGCAATGGCTCCAATCCAGGCGTGCGCGAAGTGGTTGAGTCTTCGGACTTGATTCTCAGCATTGGCGCCATCAAATCTGACTTCAATACCACGGGATTCACCTATCGCATTGGACAACTGAACACCATTGACTTCCACAGCACCTACGTTCGAGTTCGCTACTCGGAGTATCCTGACATTAACATGAAAGGTGTCCTGCGGAAAGTGGTGCAGAAAATGGGAAAGCTCAACGTCGCGTCCACCCCTCAGATCACGAACAAGCTCCCCGAAAGTGAGAAAAACTCCAGTGATCAGACCATCACTCATGCCTGGCTATGGCCCACTGTTGGACAATGGCTTAAGGAGAAGGATGTGGTTATCACTGAAACCGGCACGGCGAACTTTGGTATCTGGGACACTCGGTTCCCTGCCCATGTGACGGCCATTAGCCAAGTACTTTGGGGCAGCATTGGGTACTCACTCGGAGCTTGTCAAGGTGCCGCCTTGGCTGCCAAAGAACAAACAGACCGCCGCACCATTTTGTTTATTGGAGACGGGAGTACTCAATTGACCGTGCAGGAAATCAGCACGATGCTGCGCAACAAGCTGAACCCGATCGTGTAAGTCGCCTTGCAGTCCCAACCCATCTTGGAGTTTTTCGCTCGCCCGCATTTCCATACTGATCCCGACTATGTAGGTTTGTCATTTGCAACGAAGGTTACACCATCGAGCGATACATTCATGGGTGGGATGAGCGCTACAATGATATTCAGCCCTGGGATTATGCCAACATCCCCAAGGTGTTTGGTGGCCAGGACGGGTATCAGGGCTATCGCATCAAGACCCGGGATGAGCTGACCAAGCTGTTCGCTGACCAGGCTTTCTGCTCTTCCCAGACTCTTCAAGTAAGTCCATCGCGAAATCTAGTCTTGTTTCCGCATCTAACCATGGTGTCCAGCTGGTTGAGCTGTACATGCCTCGCGACGACGCTCCTGCCGCCTTGAAGTTGACCGCCGAGGCCGCTGCCGAGCGCAACGCATAAGGGACCAGGAACCCCTGCCTTCAGCCATGATACTTCACGCTCGCAAACTTTCATCTCTCTAATCGAACTCGGTATCCAGCGTTATCGAGATTTCCCCACCATCTAAATTGCCATCCTCTTATTTCCCGTGCCTTCAGTAGGTCAGGATCTGCGGTCGCCCACATGGTCTGAATCAGGATTGACGTCTACCAGCAAATGCTGTTATGAATCGGTTGGTTGTGTTTAATCATCTCAGGAGTCGGGCTTTGCTTCTTTACCAGCCACGAAATCTATGAAAATCGCTTGCTTGCTTGCTGCTTGCTCCAGATTATTTGTGTAAGAGCACCAGGGCCAGGACTACACCCGCATGTAGACAGGAGAGACAGCAGGACCATAGGGCGGGTACCCTTATCTGGTCCCTCGGTATGTAGACCATATTGGGCACGAAGGGAGTAGGGCCGGCGCGACAGGTAGCAACCAACAGCATAGTTGTGTGCAGCTATAGGCATTTGGACACATCAGATTGGAAGATTCCAGGCCCACTGATGGCCACTGATGGGGATGGGCGAGTCTAGCCAGTTTCATGGGGAGCCAGGGTCAGGGGCCGGCGTCAATATGACACCCGTTGGGGAGCGCGCAGCCAAGAGAGGGGGTGTTTCTAGGGGGCTTCTAGGGCTCGATGAATATTCCCTGTCTCCCTTGAAGAACCAGTGCCGCCTCGAAGGGCTCAAGAGTGTACATTCATCAGCCATTCCGTGACGAGATACGTGATACAGTGTCAAAGTTGAAGAGCCCTCAATCTCTGTACAATAGTCTTGCCCTGCTTCTTGTTCTTCCTCTTCCTCGCTGTACACAAGTACTCCAGCCGCAGGCCGAAGCCAAAGCGCCCAAAACGCAAAAACACGTCTCCACTTGGGCCCACGTGACGATCCCAGGCACTCCAGTCCTCAAAGCTCTTCTCCAGCTCGATTCTCGATTCTCGGGACGAAACAATTTCTTTTTCTCCAGCCTTCCGGCCTTCTTTTTCGCTTCGGTGAGTGCGTGCGCTGGATTCCGGGAGTAATTCTCCGAAGCAAGGAGGACGTGGCTGGAATGCTCTCCCGTCGCTTTGACTTGCTTCCCGTCTACGATCGGAGGGGGATCGCCCTCGCGTTCATTTGCCTCCAGATTTGCTGACGATACGCTTTGAGAAGTAGCAAGCCCAGCCTCTTTGCAGCAGGCTGTTCTTCGGTTGGGCCTACGATCCTCTAGCCCGGTTGCTGGAGGTGATAGCGTTTTCCTCGCGCTCTCAACGACCCCGGCGACAGCTTCGGAGACGCCGAAATCGATTATGCCGTGCCAGTGACCGAGTGCGCTCCTTGACCCGGTTTTTACTTTCAGTCCTTTTGCACCAGTACCCGATCTGTCCACAACATCTGGATTTGGCCTTCATGAGTGGTCGTGTTGGTCCGCCTCTCATCCCTCACGATCTTGTGAATTTGTTGCATGGAACCGAACTAGACCTTCGGGGATGCGACTGGTATCGGCGACAGCCAATAACTTCTCCGCGGTGATCTTGTGGTCTCATAATATCTGCGGACGGTGATAATCGGCCTGTTTCATAATGGACGGACAACGACAGCAATACATCCCAGGCCCCCCGCCCACTTCTCAGCATACCATCAACCTGCCTCCACCTCCCCCACGACACCCTCAGCCTCAGCTTCAAAGCACCGTGCCACCCCCGCCTCCCGGTCCGCCTCCGTCGGCTTATGGAGCTCCTGCTGGATGGCAGCAACAAAGCTGGGGCCGGCAGGCTCTGGCCGGCTTTCCGCCGCCGCCTCCGCCGCCGCTTCCTCAAAATCCACAGCATATCGCATATCGCGCTCCTGGCCCGCCGGGCTCTCTTTCCATCGTCACCCCGCATGACACTCAACCTCTCACTTCAGCAACTTATATCCCGGGACATGACACCATTGGTGTCGGAATTCCACCGTTGTTTGAACAACATGGCCAACCATATGACCCCTACGCGCAACGAGCGGTGGGCGGTCAAGTAGGCGGCCAAGCATATCAACCTGGTGTTGAATCGTACGCTCCACCAACGCCGGGGGTCCGAAGTGCTATTCCATTTGGTCTCCATGATCAGGTTCACGAACTAAACGTGTCGATTCCAAGTGCGAATCCGAACTCAAATCCAGCCCCGAATCAGCTGCCGCAACTCACAAATCAAGGCATGGACATCCCAAGATCGCCGAGTCATCGTCATAATGCTAGCGGTGCATCCTTGGGTGGGCTCTCCCCGAGCGAGGCTGCGGTTCAATGGCCATTGGATCGCGTTCTTCTGTGGCTTGCCAAAAACGGATTCTCTGAAGACTGGCAGGAGACTTTCAAGTCCTTGGAGCTTCAAGGAGCCGATTTTCTGGAACTCGGCCTCGCTTCTGGCGGACGCGGCAACCTGGGCAAGATTCATAAAGTTGTTTATCCTCAGTTAGCAAAAGAGTGTGCTCGGAGTGGTACTGGATGGGACTCTACTCGTGAGCGAGAAGAAGGGCTGCGCATGCGCAAGTTGATCCGCCAGATTCATGATGGAGGATCGGACTATACCATCACAACTCCAATGCGAACCGAGGCACCATTGATCCCGAGTGCTTCGGAGAGTGGAACTGGGTTTTTCTCAGGCCAGATCGCCGAACCCCGCTCAGCTGGTCCTATACCTGGCGTCAACGACATTACCCCAGACCAACTGGCTAGTGTCCAAAACCCTCAATCGGCCCAGGCGCAGAAGAATTCCCAAATGCGCTCTGTTACCTTGCCAATCCCTACAGGTCATGAGTCGCCGATGTATGAGTCGCCTTCCCGTGATTCCCCGTGGATGCGGTCTGAATACTCCCGAAGCACCTTGGCAACAATCAATGATCACCGACGGCAAAGCCCGTCTATTTCCAGCGATAACGGCGCTTTGCCTGCTTCGCTCCGGCCCGCAGAAAGTCCAAAGAGTGGTAGTCCAGCGACACAACATGTTTTGCCTGCAGGCTTATCATCTTCCTCCACCGGAGACCTGTCATTAAAGTACGATCACTCTCGCGGCAATAGTACCGACTCAATCCCCGGTGTCGGCAGAGGCTCTGCCACTGCTGGACGATACTATGATTCCCGCAGGTATGGGCAGGATGGTGCTCGTCCGTCACCTCAGGAGACGCATAGCCGACCGTGGAGTGGGGAAACTCTCACGTCATATTCAAAGGACCATGGCAAAGGCATTCTCAATATATTCAGCCGAAAGAAGCAACATAAAACGGACAACTCGAATCATCCATCGCCGGACGTGGAGAATTTCGATTCCCCGCCGAGCCCAGAATGCCGGACCAATGGCTATCTTCCATATCAAAAACCTGGATTCAATACAAGTGACATGTCTTTAGGTGACCGCCCATCTTCGGCAACAATGGCGAAGACGAAAAAATGGATCTTTGCCACCTTGGATGGAATCAACTACCGTTTGATTGATGTATCAGATATGGACTCTGTGGAAACTCTACGGACTGGTATTTGCCAAAAGATGAATATTCAAGACTGGACCAGTGCTCAGTTTTTTCTCACGCAGCCTGGACAGACTGAACATGATGAGCCACTGACCGACACTAATTTGACACTTGTTCGCCGAACCAAGTGCGATGCTTATGGATCCCTAAAAGTCTTTATTAGGGGACAGTTCTCCCATCCGACGCCTCAAATTCCCAACTTTGAAGGTCTGGGAGTGTCCATACCTGGACTTGCTGACAAGGCAAACTCGTCACCCACCGCATCTCATGGTCATATCCCTCGGAAGCCTTTGGACGAAGATGCTCTAAACAGGATATCTCCACAGACTCAAACTAAGCCCGGATCTCCTCTGCTAGGTTCTCGCCAGCCAACCCCGAAGACAAACAACAAGACACTCCCAGATGGTTCCCAAGATGTCAATCTAGCCATGGACCTTGACAAGGCAGATCTCATCGCGCGCCACGAAGCACATCTACGTGAAGTTGAGCGGAAGCAGAAGGAACATCGCATCTCCAAGTTCCCTCCGTCAACCACCCAGTCCAGGAAAGATACTTATGGCGAGACTGGGTATAGACGTGAAGGTGTGATAGATTTCGATTCGCCTCGTATCTCACCTTATGAAGAGAAGAAATCAGATACATTGGTTCCGCTTCGGAAGCCTCCAGCGGCACCAAATGAATCCAACACGCTCACTAAAGTCAATTCTCTTCGAAAGGCTCCTGGTGAGCGAGTTCGTCCACAGCCTGTATCTTCTAGTCAAACTCCTGGCCTGGGTTCTGTTTTGGCCAGCATGGGTCGCATGACCAGCGCTATTGGCACCCCATCCCCCTCGGTCCCCGTGCCTTCCACGCCCTCATCAACCAATCAGGAAAGTATTTCGTCGGATTCTGATCGGCCAGGTACTCTAAACTCCGAAATGACGTCTTCAAGCAGAACTACCTTGGGTAAGCTCGAAAATTATTTCCATTTCCCGGTCAGGTGTAGTACATGCAGAAGTATAAATACTGATAATGTTGAAATACTAGAAACATTGAATGCTGCTTCTGCTGCTTCAAACCGTGTCTCAACGCAGAGTGACAAATCTCTGACTTCTTTTGCCCCTCGGTCTCCAGCGAATACTGCTTCTCCCAACAGTGCGACCTGGCAGAAACCGGCTTTGCAATCTCGCAAATCATATGGCCCCGAATTTGACTTCCCAGAGACCGAAGTATCTTTTGTACGAAGTCCGAATCTCGCTGAGCAGTCTGATGACGACTCCTCTGATGACGGATTGTTCCAAATTCGGCCGGCAAGAAACGAACCCCCGAAAGCAGATCCTGAGCCTGAAAGGAAGAGGAAGCCTTCTCTTACGGTGGACACGGATAACAAGCCCCGTCGTTCTGTAAGCTTTATTTCACCCAGTACCGCCTCGGGAGAGAGTTTCGGGGGTCCGACATCGCACGGTTCTGGTGGAGATCCTTCTGAAAAGCAGGATAATTTCCCCGGTGCCTCTTATGAAGCAAAATCACCCGGTGACGAGAAGCTGTCACGGAGAGATTCTTTTGCCAATGCAGATGTTTGGGCTAGCAGACCTGCTGTGGAGGGTGTTATCGACAATCTAGACAGCTTCTTCCCTAATGTCGATCTCGATGCCCCTTACCTAGAAGAGCCACCTTCACCCAAAAGCAAGAACGATGCTGAGAGTGAGGCAACCCTCAGGGGCAAGCAACCGGCTCCACCCCCGACACCTCAATCCAGTGTCGATCCAGACAGCGTCTACGGGGCGGATATATCAACAGTTCGACCACCTCCCATGCCGCAAGGAGGCTCAGTCGTTGCCAAGCGCAACTTGGATCGTGGTGGCGGCCTCTCACGAGTGAAGTCCATTCGTGAGGTTGCCAGAGGCGCGGCCCACCGGACGAAGAGCGTTGGTCCTTCTACCGGCGCTGGTCCTCAGAGATCGGGTGTTCTTCTGCGCCGCAAGAGCACCAAGATGTTCGGTGCCAAGATTATGCAGATCAGTCCCAAACCAGGTACCAGACTCAGTCAGCTCGACCCAATCCCCCAAAACGCCCCTCCGTCTCCCGGACCAAGTGAACCTGTCCCACAGCGCCAACCAACCTTCCGCATTATCCGTGGTCAACTCATTGGAAAGGGAACCTACGGTCGTGTCTACCTGGGCATTAACGCAGACAACGGTGAAGTCTTGGCGGTAAAGCAGGTCGAGATTAACGCCAGGATTGCTGGCTCAGATCGTGATCGTATCAAAGAAATGGTCGGTGCTTTAGATCAGGAGATTGACACGATGCAACATCTTGAGCATCCTAATATTGTGCAATACCTTGGTTGTGAGAGAGGCGATTTATCGATTTCCATATACCTTGAGTATATCTCTGGTGGTTCCATTGGAAGCTGTCTCCGCAAACATGGTAAATTTGAAGAAAGTGTCGTGAAGTCTCTCACCCGACAGACGCTTGATGGCTTGGCCTATCTACATGATATGGGTATTCTGCATCGTGATCTTAAGGCAGACAACATTCTGTTAGATCTGGACGGTACTTGCAAAATCTCCGATTTCGGTATTTCCAAGAAAACAGACAACATCTACGGCAACGATGTGACCAACTCTATGCAAGGCTCGGTCTTTTGGATGGCGCCGGAGGTCATTCAATCCCAAGGCCAGGGCTACAGTGCCAAGGTCGATATTTGGTCGCTTGGGTGCGTGGTGCTGGAGATGTTTGCCGGTCGCCGGCCATGGAGCAAAGAAGAAGCCATCGGTGCAATCTTCAAGCTCGGGAGTCTCAACCAGGCACCGCCTATTCCCGACGATGTTTCTATGAACATCAGTCCTGCAGCTCTTGCGTTCATGTATGACTGCTTCACAGTGTAAGTACCTGAACATTCAACGCCTCTGAGAAGAACTCCCCCCACCTAACCTTATTTATAGTGATTCGGCCGAACGTCCGACTGCCGGTACACTGCTCACTCGCCACCCTTTCTGTGAACCAGACCCCACCTATAATTTCCTGGATTCTGCACTATACTCCAAGATCCGCCACGTTCTCTGAGAACTTTCCTTCTGTCCCTCAGGGTGGTGATGAAAATAATGCTACGTTGATTGCGTGTGCAGTTTCACGAATATGCTTATATTCTTGTCTACATCGTATATACATACCCCCTTTCCGAGTTTCTTTTTCGTTTCAGCGAGTATTGGCCTTCCTGGATTAGTTCCTTGGTGTTCTTGATTGCTGGGCGTACATAGGTCTTATTTGTCGGAATTCCCAATGATTGTGCAAAACAGTGCCAGGGGTGTTTTTTGAAACTTTGAAACGATTCATAATTCGATTTTCTGTCGACTATTTTCTTCGAAGCCCTAGTAGTCAATTGTACAAACCGAGCTCAAATAGCGCAACCTATGCTCGTCTGTTCTGCCATCATAAGTGCATATTTCACACTCTCCAGTACAATTTCCTTGTCTTCGAGTCCAGCCGATATCCTGACAATTGTCTCCCTCAGACCATGGCTGGTTGCCCACTTCTTTTCTTTCTGCAGAACCATCTGGACATACGGCTGCGCCAGCGTGATGTTCGCGCCCAGCGACGGGCCTTTCTGGACGTTCAGATTGTCAAAGAAAGCTATTGAAGCATCCACTGTCTCGAAATCAATCGTCAACAGACAGCCATAGCCGGGCGTGAAGTCGTCTGTTTGCTGGCGCATTCGTGATTCGTATTTGCTGGCAGATCTGCAGACTTTCGGATAATAAACGTCACTGACGACGCTTGCGGGATCGGAAACGAGGGGGTGAATATAGTCGACAAGATTTTCGGCCGTTATATTCATCTGTGAGGCGCGTTTGAGGAAGTTGCGGCTGTTGTGTTCAAGTTGGATTGCGTCGTCGATATATAGATTGTTGGAGTAGCTATCGATCAGAGAGGTCTTTAGTGCGGCATAATAATGAGAATTTGGATTGATCGTAGCACTATGATTGATGTTAGAATCGTTTGCCGTAGAGTTCTAAGCCTTTTCAAGATCTGGAAAATACCTTCCGGCCAATAAGTCAGCGTATCCGTTGAAGGACTTTGTTAATGAAGTCACAACGATGTCCGCAACGCTCAAAACATCGACGTTAGCGAAGCTGCCGATAGTGTCATCGACAACAACCACAAATCCATACTCGTCCGCCAGTCGTCTGATCCTCTCCAGGTCTACTGTATGCAGCAAGGGATTTGATGGGCATTCGCACCAGACCGCCTGGATCATAGTGCCCACGCGTGCCTTGCCCTTCAGGTATTCTTCGAACTCGTCGACCTGCTCATCTGTTCCGAAACTGTAGAATTTGAAGGACGGACCGTACGACTCCATCATCTTGATAGTCAGCTCATATGGAAACCCGATGATCACAGTCTCGAGCCCTCTCCAACTCAGCAGCATCTGGTGTACATGGAAGATGGCAGACATGCCGGATGGGTAAAGGAAGACATCGGAGTCCTCCACGGCCAAGGCTTGATGCGACTGTGCCGGAGCACGCTCAAGCAAATATGCAATTCGATTACAGATTGTTTGATATACCGGAGGCACGATGGGAACCGCGGAGTAGAAGCGTCTTTCTGGCCGTTGGGTTCGCCGTATGGACTCGATATCCTGGAGACAATGCTCGGCAAGGCGAGACGATATTCCTGTCCCTGTCAGACGCCAAAATGTAGCACCTAATTTGGCTGCCTGCTCTGGGTAAACCACGGCCCAGAGGTTTGTAGATGCCCGGGTGTGATTCTTGGCGTAAAAGGCCGTCGGTTGAGATCCGCCGCATTCAATGGCGAAGATTGAGATTGATTTTGATGATACTGCTTCTTCCCTGATTAGGGAAGAAGATGAAATAAAAGATTTGCATGCTTGTGCATGTTTGAAATTCGGGAAAAGTAATATTGTTGTCGAAGTGGGAAGAAACCGATCCTGGCATGTTTGGAAGAGCTGTATATATATAGTAGTCCACATCGTAAGTAGGTGCTTGCATCGAATATTTGTAGATTGATTTTACGATAAAACCACGAGGAACATACACGTCGAACATCTTTATGAAAGAAAGACCTGGGATATCCATTTTGTAGAGCTTTCATCACTCTGGGTTCTCCTTGTCCCATACCACACATATCTTGCCATGTAGGCAGATGGACCGATATGGCATGGCCTCTTTCGGGAATGGCTTTCCCTAACGGTGGTGATTTGGTAATTGTCATAGTGAATATATCATGAAAGATTCAAAATGGAAAATCAAGCCGACGCGCTATTAATTAGATTCGTGGGTGTCTGACGTTGAATATCAATCTTCCTCGTCCGAAAGCGGATGGCTGAGCCGCTCATACATACCAAACAATGCCTGGCAACTCTTGGCCTCCCCCTTCCGTTCTCGTATTCACCTCTCGCTGCTTTTCGATCACTCAGTAAAATTGAGCACGCCCTTGATCAACCTGAGCTGGTCAGTGATCATTATGTAATCAAATTGACCAGCTCACTGAGCCCGATCATGGCTATTCCCACTGGAGCGTCCTCTATTTACAAGTTGTTATGCAGGAGTTCGCGCCTTCTGGTTTCCAGCTCACTGCGCATGAGAAGCGTTGCCCGCAACATGAGGTTTATCAACGATTGGGTCGAATAAGTGGAAAATGAATGCAGACAAAGAATATAGCAGAAACGAAAGGAGAAACACTGCCCCCACGGTCCTAGCTCGTCGCGGTAGTCCTCGGTGGCTTACCGAAGGCGCCATAATTTTGATACTATGATAATTGTCCTATTTAGCTACACGTATTTAAGGGTAACCCAAAGCCCTATTAGAATATTGAGAAGCTATTGTTACCCTCCAAGCCAGGTCACATGACTCCAGTGCACCTTCTTAGCTAGTTCGGAGATAACTAATAGCATCACCTTTACATCGCCTGACACTGTCACAGCTATAAATGATTTAGTTAGCCTTCTAGACGCCCTCAAAGTACCCTAAGCTTCATAACAGGTATCATATAGAGCTACAATATGATCTATAGAGATTACTCGGACTAAGGTCTGCATCATATCTGGCGGATAAACATCTCGTCCCTGTATTAACCCTAAATTTGGATAATAGGAGGAAATTCGATTACCATTCAAAAGGAGTAGGTATAGAGACATTCAACATCTAGAGCCACTGAAATAATCATCTATCTTTCTGGAGGAGAAATAAGGCGTCGCTGAGATTGGGCAGCGCTTACTAGTGGTTTCGACTCAGCTTCAGCCCCAGCATGTCTTTGGATCCGAAGCACACCTGACACCTGCACTTCCCAACATCTGATTTTACTTACGCACACGATACCCTGGCATTCGTGGATCAAAATCGTCAGCAAGAACAAGCCTCGACCGAATCAATCCGATAGAAACCCCGGAGATAAGGAAATATATGCCTTCTCCTGAATAAGTACCGATGGGGAAATAGAGCGCGTTAGTTAGATTTATGACGAATACAGTATATCGAATAATTTTATCGGTCTGGAGAGTATTTATGGTATATTCTAGTATATTCTAAGTAGGAGCCAACAGCCAAATCAAGTAATAGAAGGCTATAATTAAGTCACGGCATGATCACTGAGTCTGAGCCCGTGCGGATATCTACACTATTTACTGAGCCTTAGCCCCAGCGCTCGTACAAAAGCGGCAGCGGAAAGCCCCACCCGCCAGACATTATGTGGTCCATATAGGTGCATACATTCCAGGTCGATCTTTCCCGAGCACAGCGACGCAGTCCGACCACAACCATCAAACGGCATAAGTAATAGAATGATTGCTGAATCTCCCCCCTAAAATATTTTACAGAAAGGGATAACGTTTCCCGTGATTTACCGGCTTGCCGTCGATCGCGCCGAATTCAATCGCAGCACCAGGCATGCGACAAGGAACGAAAGCAAATCCATCTATGAGTTCATCTTTTTAGCAATACGAGTCGGATACTTACCGGGAATCTCTACGGTCAAGGATTGCGATACATGATCGACGTGGACGGCTTTGAATAATATTCTTGATTCGTACATATACACTACGCTATTTCCACATGGTATCAAAGCTCAAGATGAGAGGATCAAACGAAAACAAACAAAGATGAAATCTACGAGCTCGTGCTCAACAGGTCCTCATCGTCCTCGCTCAGGTTATCCACCTGCTCAGACTGAAAACCAGCGACACCGACTCGGAAAACACCCTCGCACCATTCAGCAAAGGTCTCAACGTCCCAGATGGCATCGTCCCGACCCTTGCCGTTTCTGCTGACAGTATGACCCTTTCCTTTCTCCGATGAGGTGTATCGGTCGAAGAAATCTTCGTAGATTTGGATCGTCCGATCTTGCACCGCCCCGACAAGGGTTTCCTTCATGCGAGTGTCATCAATGTACTCATTCAGAATCTTACGAAGAGCCGGGACCTCTTTCTCGATAGTGTTGCAAGAAGGATAGATCAACTCGCCACGTTGCAGGTTCCGAGTATCGACGAACTTTGTTGGCAATGATGCGGTCGTACGAGCGGCGAAAGCGTTGATGAAGTCATTGATAACGGTTCGTAGGCGACCGTCGAGCTCAACTTTGGCATCGAGCATGTTCTCCACAACGCGTGGAATAAGACCGTGTCCGACAAGACGTACTAGATTCCGCGGGTTGAAGAGGCCACCGCGCTCACGGAGCTCCCAAAATGTGCTGGTGACACCAGAAAAGTCGAAGGACACTTCGGGCGCAACGAATTCTATGTCGAACGCGACGATCTGTTGTTTTAGGATAAGGAGGTGGCTCATCAGGAAGAGTTGTCCATCGGCAGGCGTGGATTTACTAGAAATAAGGGTACTGGCATGGTGGAGGGACAGAGTAGTCTGATGGACAATTTGATGCGCCAAATCATCAAAAACAGTGGACTTGGCGAGAGATGTCAGCATGAAAATAGATGCTCGGCATACTGAAAGAAAACTCACGTTGACAAGACGATAGATCCGACTGAGCAGCCAGATAGCCTTTCGAAGGGTGGGATACCATCCCTTAAGCGCGGTCTGCGTTTCGAAGTCCCACTTTCCATCTTGCTCCTGTGCACCACTATTTTCTTCATCCTCAATGGATTTCGTCATGTCAATCATAGTGTCTGCTGAAGTATCTTTCTTCCCTGAAATTTGTGTATCGGTCACAGTCAGGGATACCTGTTTGCTGTGCATAGGGTAATCAATGTCTTCAGGGCGAGGCTTGTACCTCTCGATTTCATCGCGAAGGACGGCCTGAGCACGGAACACAAGTCGAGTTTGAACGTCCTGCAAGGCGGGCTGAATCAAAACTGAGAAGTCAAGTTGGTTCGTGTCTGTTTGCTCTTGTTCTTCCTCTGGGTCCAGGAAATACCGGGTTTGCAATAAGGTGCAGAGTTGACAAAGATTGCGAATGTCGGTCTCGTGGATGATCCGAGGGCGAAGGTGATCATAGAGAGGCTCACAAATGGTTTCAAGAAAATCGTACATCCCACCTTGGCCATGAAACCATTCAGCCCACAAATCGTATTCGTCTAAGCATAGGCCGCGGATGTAACTAATGCTTGCCCGAGCAAATGCCACCAAGTCCTTGGATGAGCTGGGCGCCTGTGTGATTTCATTGAGCTTCTTACGCGCGAGTGGTACGATAAGTCGTGCACGAGTAGCCGAGTAGCTGCTGTGCAACTCATTCATCAAGCTTTGATATTCTGCCTCATTGTTCTGATCCGGGTTCAACGGTGGGACAGCTCGCTTCTGGATTTCGAGTCCAATCTGTTTCAATTCGGGCGCCCCCACTCTAAATTTGGCGTACAGAAGAGCTGACATGGCTGTGTCGTTCAACGATGGGTCGGAAATCTTTTTCGAAACACTTTGGTAAATATCTCGGAGTGCAGTAACAAAATTTCCTCGGATCAGTGTGAGGGCACGCGTTAAGAGAAGCCTGTATCTGGAGCGGTATACCTCGGCTTCCTTTTGCTCAGGCTATACTTCATGTCAGCTAAAGTCCATTTAATGGAGGGACGGTCCGCAGGACCTACATGCGTTTCCATGTAATCCAAGCAAACATCAAGGCGCCGCAGCATGCCCGAGAACTCCTGGTCACGGACAGTATTTCCAGCTCCCGGGGCATTGAGGCGTCGCGAAGCTGGATCCAAGAAGTCGTAGTAATGAAGGTTGCTTTGTATGTTATTGGCAAGTTTTGTATCTCGTTCCTGGGCAGATAAAAGCCCCTCGCATTGTTTCTCGAAGTTGGAAGTCTGCGACTCGACAGCTTTGAAGGACTCAGATAGGCTGGAGAGATCATCAAGTAAGGTCAGGGTGCTCGTTAGAATCTCGTCAATATGTTCCTTTGACTGCTGGAGTTCATCTAAACAGGTCCTATTCCAGATTGAATGTCAATGTTAGTCTTAATGGCAGCAAACCCCCACGTTGATTACACATACTGGTACTGGTCGTAGCTCTCTTCAACCAGGTTATCTCTCACACCATTGAGCCATTTGGAGAACTCCAGTTCATTGTCCCAGCTTGGAATGCTCCATTGAAGGAGACCATCTGGCTGTTCCCGTGTTGTCTCCAGTTTAGGTTGCATTTCGTTGGCGGTTGGCTTCCGCGGCGGGCCCGAGGGTGCGGTCTGGCGACGGGCACGCTGCTGCTTTGTGGACGGCATGGTGTAGTCAGAGGCCAGATCATTGAAGGGAGTTCAATATCCAGCTCACACCCCACACCGACCAGGAAGGACAAAGAAAGTCGAATTGTGACCTGCAACTGAAGCCAAGGTGAGAGGTGTTAACTGCGGCGAGGGATTCTGCCGCGGTACCCCGCCCTTTACTGACGCAACAACTTAAGCTTCCATCAGCTCCAGCTTGGTTCGGTTCTTGTGAATTGGAATGCATCAACACCCCCGGTACGCCTATCGACATGCTTGCAAATCGAGTGAGACCACCTGCACCTCACAGAATTTGCCTCCTCCGGCCCTCCCTCGGTGCAACTCGTCCAGCTCCCCATGCGCCATGGCGACGACTTGCCAGTGGTAAATCGCGGCCACAAAACACCTCATCTCACTGGCTTCGCAACTCTCTTGGTCTGGCAGTTATCGGCACCGCAGCTTTCCTGGGCTATACATATGTGAATGAAGACTTCAAAGGACCGTGGATCGAGAGTCAAACCAAGATTGAAAAGCATGTGATCGATGTCAACGACCTCCGTGCACAGTTCATCCAAGAGAAAAGAAGCTTGAAGAGCCCAGGGGTTTACACATGGGGCTCAAATGTTTATCGAGTGGTGGACCCAGGATCGAAAGATACCGACATCAAAACCCCGCGACGCCTCAAGTACTTCGACGGCCAGGTGCTGCGTGATTTCAAAATCGACGAAAAGTTCGGTGCTGCCATCACTGAAAATGGCGATCTGGTGCAGTGGGGCAAAGGATACTCAGAGACTGATTTCAAGCCGACTAAAACTCTCACTGGCAAGAATTTGACATCAATTACCCTGTCTGAAAGCCGAATTATCGCCCTCTCCTCAGATGGTCGCGTTTATTCATTGCCTATCTCGAAGGAAGAACAGGCAACAGGCCCAAAGGCTCGGGAAGGCTCCTGGGTCCCTTTCTATGGTGGGAATTCTACGTTGAGTTACCGCGTCCTGACGCCCAATTTGAAGCTTGGCGAAAAAATTTCGGCAATCTCCTCTGGACAGGAACACGCCGTTCTACTCACAAGCTCTGGGCGCGTTTTCACAGTGGCCGCATCGACTGAACACTATCCTCAGCTCGGCCAGCTTGGTATTCCTGGCTTAACTTGGTCTACACGGCCCAAGGGACCAGTGGATGCATGCCACGAAGTCATCGCTCTCAAGGGTGCAAAAGTCACACAGATTGGCTCTGGTGATTACCATTCTCTCGCATTGGTCAAGGATGGTCGTGTCTTTGCGTGGGGTGATAATTCTTTCGGTCAGCTCGGTGTTGAATTTGAGCCCGACCTACCTTTCAAAGATACCCCTTTTGTTCTTTCGCTGAACAAGCTCTATCGCAAGAACATCTCGTCTAAAGCCACTGGTATTGCTGCAGGAGGAGCTAGTAGCTTCTTTATGGTGGACGCCACACGGGTTCTTGGCCCTGACGAACAAGCGTCAAGTATTCGGGATTTAGGAAGCGTGACTGCTGATACCTGGTCGTGTGGCCGAGGCATATGGGGCACCCTCGGCACTGGTAGATGGATTCACCTACAAGATTCGCCTTCTAAAGTCAAGGATCTGAGTGGGCTGGGGGAATATGATGAGAAAGCCAAGAAGATGCTGCCCATTCGACTTCGCAACATTTCGGTCGGTACCACTCATGTTGCCGCCGTGATGGACAATAAGACGAGTCTCACTTCAAAGACTACAGAATTTCTGGACAAATCAAATGACTTCGGCTTGGATGCACTTTGGTGGGGAGGCAATGAGCACTTCCAACTGGGCACTGGAAAGCGAACAAATTTGCCTCGACCGAGCCATATTAAAGCACCTTCTGAGTCTGCGAAGAAGCCGGAACCAGAGGCACGGCTCCAAATCATGCCTTGGCATAAGGGCAAAATTGGGACACGCACTGTGAGTATGGAACAGCGAGTTGAGTGTGGACGCCATGTTTCTGCCATTTACTCTGCCGTTTAAAAGTATTGGACAGCGATGCCGCAAACCTTCTGTATATTATTTGTGTTACTAAATACTTAATTTGTGGAAATTGATGACCCTCTCAGTTCCTGGCCTCTGACTTCCTTTCAAATCCATTGAGTGAAAGCTGTAGATTGACTCCTTACTCTTCGTAATCTACAGTCAGACACTCAATTCAAGCGTGTGATGGATCCACGGAGTGTTGGATCCTGGTCAGATCACTCTGTACTCCGTTTAGGTCAACCGACCAGAAGCGATGTTGATCTGACCAGTCGGTCCACTTTTATGACACAAGACAAGAAAGCTGAGAGAAAGCTGACCTTGACCAGAAAGATCTCCCTCCTTCCAATTACTACCTAACAACTTACTACCTCTCTCTCTCTACCTAGGCGGTAGTAAATAGTACAAGGAATCAGTAAGGTCTATGCAAAATCGGGGCCCAAGACTAGCTGGCCCCCAACTTGGATGATCTCTGGGACTTTCTTCTCCTTTGCGGATTACATTTCGAGTATTATCAAAGTATTATGTGACTTCTTCCTCTCGACAACCATAAATAGCACTAGGTACGTATCCTTGGGTAACAGAGAAGTATAGGGATATGCATATATATATCAAAGTTAAGATCAAAATTCAGATTTGAAAAGAGAAGAATTTATGCAATAGAATATTAGAGCAGTGTATTATGATATGATACTTGACTCAATATAGGACTCGAAGAGAGGGGAGAAGACCTTCTAGTCAGATGCGGTCGGAATCCTGTGATAAAAAGGAGAGAAGTGCGTCTATTCTGGTCAAGTCAGAAAGTCACCTTTGGCCAGCCTACCGCTTACGCCACCACGGAGCCTTATGGCCACGATAAGGCTCAGTTCCGCGGTTTCCAAGGGGTCAGAGGCCAAATCCTCCTACAGAAGTTTCAAACGCATGGAAGCGGGGGTGGTATGTTGGATAATCAATACATTTTGAGTTTCTATTTGCTGTCAATTTTTCGTATAGTATTTTAATATATCTTAAGCTATGTTTTGTTCAGTGCAATTTACATACGCTGCCGTAGTTGGGCCGTATGCACCGTTTTTTATTGGTCTTGTTCGGCCCCAAAATTCCAGAGAAGGGGCCAATTTCTAAAAAGGAAATACACAATTTTTTGTGAATTGAAAGGACCCGACACTCGTGCAAAGAACAAAATTAAAATCAAACTGAAAAAAGAACCGAGACCTGAGTCAGCCTCATTCACTGAGCGTGTCAACCTAGAGCCCGAGCGCCTTGACCGACTTTCAGAGTCAGCACTAGGGGACATTCTCTCTTTCTCCAAAAACGACTCCCTCTGAGCCATGGCAAAGACACCTTTGGAGCTTGAGGAGTCGCTTGCGGCTCCTCGCGATGTAATTCATGACCAGCCTGCTGGTAAGCCTTGCCGCTCCTTCTTTATTCGGTTCAACTAACACTCCTGTAGATAGATATCAACGCGAGTTTTCTCTCCTGAACCGGTTCGGTCTCCAGGCCAATGTAATCATCGCTGCCTCATATGCCAACTCTGAGAGCCAAGATTTGGTTCTTTCCAAAGCCCTCATCTACCCGGCCCTACGGCAAGTTGTGCGACAGTACCCCGAGTTGGGCTTGATCAACTATTGCCGTTCTTCGGAAAGGAAACGCTCCCAACATCGTCTTTATTCGGCAGTTCTACAGAACATCAATCTTGACGCTCATGTTCAATTTATCAATATCCCCAGGGAAGAGGAAGATGCAGGTCTTGGTACCACTATAGAACGATACCACGGCCTGTGGTTTGACCCTTCAAAAACGCCACCATGGCGATTAGTTGTGGTCAATGGACGGCATGCGCTGCTGGTGTTTGACCATTTTATTACTGATGCCCGCGGGGGCTCTACATCCTGGAGAGCCTATTGGAGGCACTCAACGCCCCAGAAGAAGACCAAGGCTGTGCCCCAGTTGTGGACTTAACCATCGATATTCAAGGGTTTCCAGAGCCAGATCCTGTGACTCAAAGTTATTCAGAGCTCTCCTTTCTCGTTGCTATCCTGAATTATCTTCGGTTCTATCTAATCGCATTTTTGTACCACGGCAAAAACTTATTTTTCTACGATTCGGCTATCCAAGCTCGCAGATTATCCTTCGATAGTCCAGAAAAAGAGGAGAACATGGTGGTTACAAAGATACAAACCCTTCAACTGAGTCCCGAGACGATGAGTAAATGCCTTCACGCCTGCCGCAACCACCAAACTTCTTTCACCAGTCTTCTACACACTCTAATCAAAGTGACGCTTGCGACAGAATTCTACCCCGATGCCAAGTTTAACCATTCACAACTCGCCTTGGACGTTCGACCCTATATCAAACCTCATAATAGGAAGCATGTTATGAGTTGTTCGGTATCAATTATCTCAAGTTTTGATTGGTTATCTCAATTCCGCAGGGCAGGAAAGCAAACTTCGACGAGCGGGGATACGCTGGATGATGCGGATCTACTGTGGGAGCTTGCGCGCAAGCATAGGGCATATGTTCTCAATGATATTCATCACAAACAGTCATGGAAAACAGCATGGCTCTCTATACAGCTGATTGGCGAAGATGAGGAAGACTATGCGAAGGATTTTATTCGTGGCCTGAAACTTGCGCAGCCCAATTGCTTTTCAATTTCCAACCTTGGCGCTTACGATGCCAGCCAGTCAGCAAGCCAAGCTGTTCACAACGGGCCGTGGTCCATCACTAACATGGAATTCTCTGCTGGGGCTTGGAAATCAGGATTTGGAGCAAATTTAAATTTCAATGTGGCTGGGGTTCGAAACGGATCTACTATCATACATGCCAACCATGAAGTGGGTGCGTTTAGTGACGATTTTCTTAGCTCTGTATTGAAGCGGGTTGAAACGCGCTTGGCTGCAATCATTTAGTCGACCATGAGATGTTCTTGATCGAATTTGGGGAAGCTGAGTAGCTTCGGTTATTGGACGAAATATGGAGAGCTAAATGGAATGAAGCTGTATAGGCACCTATAGGAAACGAAGACGCATAGGGTTTCATATTAATTATTTCATGTTTAGCAGATCCATACCAAGCCAACTACCTTGAAACTCCTTCCAAATTTGTTCGTATGTCCAATCTCATATGGTTCCATACGAGTCGAAAGTACACAGCTCGGCCCCGGACCGAAAACGCTGCATGCAAACCAGGCAAACCATCACCGCGGAGGCGCTTGGACCACCGCTTATCCAAAAAAATTTCCCAGCGCCGTCTTCCGAGTTTCTGTAATCAATCACCGTCACCATGCCCCGTGAGAAGCAGAAGAGAGGCCGTCGGGCCGAGCAAAAAGCTCAGAAGGATGAATTCAAGCGCGAATATGATGACACAATTGAAGCGCCTTCCGCAAAGCGAATCAAGTCCGACAACGCCGATCAGATCTCCGAAGAGCCGGCCGCAGACTACATTCCTTTGGAAGAGGGCCCTCTCGAACAGGGCGACCGACAGGAAGAATATGCAGGCAATGAAGAGTCTGGTGATATGCCTTTCTATGGTCTACTCGACACTGATGAGCAGGAATACTTTTCGCGCGCGAACGAGATGCTAGAATCGAACCAATTCCAAGATGCTGAAGAGAAGAACTTGTTTGTGGAAAGTATATACCAGGAAGCCAATGGCAAGGAATTGAAGATTGCCTGCAGCCAGGGTTGTTCAAGACTCATGGAGAAATTGATCTCCATGTCAGATGTTCGGCAGATCCGGCGCATCTTCAGCAAATTCCTCGGTCACTTCCTTCACCTTGTTCAGCATCGGTTCGCGAGCCATTGCTGCGAAACACTTTTCATCAATGCGGCCCCTGCAGTAATGCAGAAGACACCCAAGGCTCAAACCAAGAAATCAGATGAGGAGGGTGAAGGCGAGTCGGACTTGTCGCTTGCGGACATGTTCATGACTGTCATTGAGGAGCTGGAAGGAAACTGGGGATACCTGTTGACGGAGCGATTTGCATCTCATACAATTCGAGTCCTTCTTCTGGTTCTTGCTGGAGAACCGGTAGATGTCGCATCAAATGACTCGGTGGTTGCTAGTCGAAAGAAGGAAAGATTGGGTGTCCCAGTGGCCGGCGCGCAAGACGAAAAGGCCCCCATTGAAAAGCCCGGCGTTCCTGAGTCTTTTGAGCCTGCATTAAAGAAGATCATGGGTGATATGATTTCAGGATTGGATGACACCTACTTGCGTGCGTTGGCAACTCATCCTGTCGGAAACCCGGTTCTTCAAGTGATGCTGTTCCTTGAACTCTCTCACTTTGGCAAATCTAGTGCCAAAGACCCAAATTCAATTCTGCGACGACTTGTCCCCGACGAAACTTTCGAAGAAGGCACAGATAGCGCGACTTTCATTCGTGGCCTCCTCTACGACCCCGTCGGCTCCCGGTTGGTAGAGACTATGGTGCGCTATATGCCCGGCAAGGTGTTTAAGAACCTGTACAAGAATAACATCCGCGATCGGATCGGATCGCTTTCACGAAACAGCACTGCTGGTTACGTTGTTTTGCGAACGCTAGAAAGACTTGGAAAGGACGATTTACAGAATGCCAGGGATCTCATCATCTCCGAGGTTCCAGGATTGATTGAGCGCTCAAGGCTCATTGTACCTCGGGTGTTGATCGAGCGTTGTGTGGTTCGAAGTGTGGACACAAAGCCTTTCGCGGAGGCTCTCTCGAAGGCATACGACCGGAATCCTGTAGTCCGCCTTCGACAGATGCTCCGGCTTGATGAGCCCGTCGAAAACGCAGCACAGGAGACAGCGGATCAAGAAATGGAGGATGCAGATAGGGACGGAGAGAAAAACCACAAGGCAAGGAACCCCGCTGGTGGTTCTTCTATCCCCGCAGCAGAGAAGCTACACGGCTCTCTCTTAGTACAGGCTATGCTAGCAGTCCCTGGACCGATGAGTGAACTTGTGTATTCCAGTCTTCTTGCTCAGGATTCCGACATGATCTTTCAACTTGCGAAAGAGGCGACCTCCTCGCGTGTTCTTCAACAAGCCCTCACTCTCCCAACCTCAACTGCCCAATTCCGACGACAATTCATCCCCCGCTTCCAAGGCCACCTGGTGGAGCTTTCCTTGCACAACAGCGGCTCTCACGTTGTCGATGCATTGTGGTCGGCTACCAAAGATATCTTCTTTGTCAAAGAGCGGATGGCACAGGAACTAGCGCAGAGCGAAATGATTCTTCGTGATTCGTTCCTGGGCCGGGCCGTGTGGAGGAACTGGTCCATGGACCTATACAAGCGCCGCCGAGGCGAGTGGTCTGCCCGAGCTAAAGGCATTGAGCGACAGCCCATGGGCAGCGAAGGCCCCGGAGGTCCTGGAGGAAGGCCGAAGTCGAAGATTGAACTGGCTCGGGAGCGATTTGCAGCCAAGGAGGCTGCAGCTGCTAAGTCCTAAGGGATTTGGAGGAATATTAAAGTACCTCAATTTGATGACATTGTTAATACCATCTTGAAGCATATGATCTGAACTCTATTAAAAGGAAAAGAGACATTGGTGAGGAGCTGGCGGGGCTCCTGCAGCTCAGGCTGATTTCCAATTGGTGCATTACCTGATTTTGTACATCTATAGCAAGCTGTCCGAGTTTCATGTCTATCCTTTCTCAGTAGACCCAACATGTTGTTCAGAACATAACATCAACAAGCCAATCTTGTGCGGCTCACGAGAAGATGGCCCGCAGCGGGGCAAATCCGACAGCCCACCAAGTCTCCAAGCCTCGAGACTGGCCATTTCAATTGAGTAGAATCACCTCGCGATAGCCTCAAGATCAATAAACTGCAGTATGAAGGATCGGTGCCAGTCTATCAACCGAACAAACATGCATATCGGCCCGAATACCGAGGGGATCCGCGGGGTCCTCGCGGGGTGAATGATGTCAGGCGTTCGGGATGTCGCCATCTCCGGCGAACGGCGAAATCGGCTCGTCGTTAACTTTTTTTTTCGCAGCTTTCGCGTTGGATGCGTACAGCACCAATTCCCCAATTTTGCGTTTTTCTTGATCCTGTTACGTTTCCAATTATAGATCCGCTATTCTTAACGTTTTCCCGCAGATAAATTTCCTTATAGAAATGTCGGACGTCTCGTTCAGTCGCGCCGATGAGGTGCAGAATGTGAGTCTGCAGATGCCGCAAAGCCACATTTGATTCGCATTGAGAGTATAGTGAATTACTTTGTGCTAATTTGAGGATTCTCCACCGACTGTAGCTCCTGAAAGCCGTCGAAGATCTTCTTATTCCTTTTATCCGGTCCGCAGACGAGCGCCTGGCACCAGCATATACGAACGGTGCCAATGGGGGTTCGGAGCCACAAGGGACATCGCTAGTGGACTTTAAGAAGCCAGAAGAACTGCGAGACATTTTGCAGCTGGATATTCCCAAGCAGGGCCGCAAGCAAGAAGGCTTGATTGAGGTGCTTCAGAAGGTGTTGCGGTACTCGGTCAACACCTGGCACCAGGGTTTCCTTGATAAACTCTATGCATCGACTAATGCCCCTGGAGTGGCTGCGGAGCTGATTCTCGCCACTCTCAATACCAATGTCCACGTTTACCAGGTGTCGCCAGCGCTCACGGTCATTGAGAAATATACTGGTCAACGATTGGCGAACCTATTTGGCTTGGACGGCCCTCAGGCCGGGGGAATATCTGTGCAAGGTGGCTCTGCTTCAAATACTACGTCAATCGTTATTGCTCGCAACAACCTCTATCCCAGCACGAAGACGGACGGAAATGGTGGATACAATTTCGTGCTGTTCACAAGCGCCCATGGACATTATAGCGTGGAGAAGGCGGCACAAATGCTTGGATTTGGTAGCAGTGCTGTCTGGCCCGTGCCAATTGATAAGCAGGGCAGAATGATTCCCTCGGAGCTGGAGAAGCTTGTACAGAAAGCTCAGGCCGAGGGTCGAACTCCCTTCTATGTCAATGCCACGGCCGGTACTACAGTGATGGGATCGTTCGACCCCTTTAATAAGATTGCAATGATCTGTCAGAAGTACAATCTGTGGTTCCATATCGATGGGTCTTGGGGCGGCTCCTTCGTTTTCTCCAAAAGACAAAAACAGAAGCTGGCAGGTTCAGAAAAAGCAAATAGTATTGCGATCAATCCGCACAAGATGCTCGGTGTGCCTGTGACCTGTTCGTACCTACTGGCCGCGGACATGCGCCAGTTCCACCGCGCAAACACACTACCCGCTGGCTACCTTTTCCACAACGAGGATACTGCACCGACTCAGAATGGCGATGCTCATGATTCAGAGCTCGAGGTCGAATCACCCGAAGTATGGGATCTGGCAGATTTGACTCTGCAGTGCGGCAGACGCGCGGACTCTCTTAAACTTTTCCTGGGGTGGACATACTATGGATCCGAAGGCTATGAACAGCAAATTGACTCAGCGTGCGATGTCGCGGTCCACTTGGCCACTTTGATTTCTGAGAATCCGAACTTCGTTCTTGTTAGTGAGAACCCGCCTCCCTGTTTGCAAGTATGCTTCTATTATGCTCCAGGCAAGGAGGTCGTGTACCCGCGTGGAATCGTGTCCAACGAGATCCAGCGTGCCAAAAACAACAGCAAGGTCACGGAGCAGATCACGCATGCTATTGTCCCTAAGGGCTTCATGGTTGATTTTGCACCCCCGAGTGGAGATGAGGACGCGGCTGGAAATGGCAAATTCTTCCGCTGTGTTGTGAATGTGCTGACGAGCAAGGAGACTGTTGAGTCCCTGGTGCATGCTATCGAAGAGGTTGGTCCTGCTATTGTGGAGTCTTTGAAGGTGGCCACGCCAGTCGTTCCTAAGAAGCAGCCTGGTGAGCACGGACACGGTCCAGTTGTCCACCATACCTGATATATTTTGCTATATTATAAGGGTGGACAATCTGTCTTATATTAGATTTGGACTGATCGGAATGATGGCATTAATATACCAAGAATGCGACCTATTACTAGCGCGAAATCCTGTTACATACTGCCGTTTTTTGGACACAAGCTAAGAATTCAACCCGAACTTGTTTTTTAATGTTTATAAATCGGTCTGCATTTACATCATAGAAGAAATTGAAAAGAGTCTAGGAGCAGAGAAGACATGATCAACCACCATAAGATTCATAATTACACATCGAAGTGTCATGATATGGCTATCTCTCTAGCTACCAATCTCAACACGACGTTCAAGCACAGAGCGCGCCTCGGCTTCGGCTAATCCATCAATTTCCAGCTCTGCAAGCACAGCCCGTGCGCTTTCATTGTCCTTGAACAGCCTCTTCTCGACATCCCACAAGCCCAGAGAAACATCCCCCTCGCCCGGATTCTCCGAGTCCGACTCAATCGAGGCGCTAAGGTTCAGAAGAAGCAGTCCTTCGCTGAGCTTCTTCAGAATGCGAAATGACCCGTCCACGGGGGCTGCAGGCCCGAGAGCCGTGTCGACAACACTGCTGAGATGATCGGCGTCACTAGCAAGCTGCGCAGCCCCGGCTTCGGAGAAATTATTCCTCATGAGCACATTATCCCAAATATAATTTTGAATGGAGAGGAGGAGCTGGCGTGAAACACGTCGGAGAGGCGCAATTCCCAGCGCGCGAGCAAGGAATGAGAGCTGCGTGGAGAGAGTGCGCATCGCATGTGCCAAGTCAGAAGAAAGCGAAAGGGGAGTAGCGGCTGCATCGGCAGATGGCGTGGAGAGCGTTGCCCAAGTCGCCGTGCGAGAATAGGGCTTTAGGGTGGCGGTGATATTGGACGTCAATGTAGAGATGATAATGGATTCAGATTGAAGTCGGAGACGGCGATACGCGGAGGCTGTTTCATCGAAAAGCGCCCCGTCTGGGGAGGATTGTGCGTCATTAGAATCATTATTTGTGACCGCGGGCGACGTGCGCGAGGCAACTTCTGCAACGGACATAGACCCAGCCAGGTTTCGGCCACTGCCGCGGTTCTGTTGAACCCGCTCTTGCAACTCAGACCACAGCTCAATGAAGAAGATGTCGTTGCTCCAGTCCCCCATCTTCTTCTCGAGATACTCGGCACTACCGAACACTCTGCAAAGGCGTTCAAGGCCCGCAACGCCTTCTACACTCGCTTGGCCTTCAGCGCCTTGTACGGTGCGGCCAATAGTTGAGGTCATGGTCCGATAAGCATCCAAGGCCTCGTGGAGACGTTCGTGGAACTGGTCAAAGATAGTTATTTGAATGTCAATTAAAAAACGAAGCTTCTGGCTGAACGAAGATAACGGCTGGTAACGTTCAGTGATGGTTTCGAGAAGGTCATTCACTCGAATTGCAGCTTTGGTAGGCTTGCTTGCAGTCACGTCAACACCGTCATAGTCAATCTGGCCACTATCCGGCGTGTCGATGATATCTTTATACCGAGCCAGTGCGAAGTCCTTTTCAACTTGAAGCCAGCGATCGTACCATCCCTGCTTCGTGAGCACTTCCCAGGTCATGCCTTTCCAATTCCCTGCTGCGTAGGGGTCTGGTAGGTAGGCCGAGTTTTCTCGGATGTCGTTATCAAAACTCATCAATTCATGCACAAAATGGCTGAGCAGTTGGGGGTGATCTCCAATTTGCGGTAGAAACGAATCAATCTTTTGCCTCAGCATTGGTAGCAATGCTGTAATGTAAGTATGAATGGAGTTATAGAAGTGCCATTCCAAAGTCGGCCCTACTGATTGGGCTTTGTCATCGAGAATTGGCTGCAGGTATGAGTTGAAGAAGCCTCCGAATTGATTGATAAGATCCATAATGTGGGCCAGGAAATACTCGGGCTAGACACACTGAGTTAGAAGATGCGAAGGACTAGAATGGAAGAGATGCTGCTTACCTTGTCGAGCCTATTTGTAGGCTTGTCGCCGCTAAAGTGGTACTTGAACCGAAGGTCCAGTGAATGTACCATCACTTCTAATGGGAAGAGAACCGAGGGTTCAAGGCTTTGACCAATATCAAATGCGTCACGAGTCGGAAGTTCCCTGATGAATCAAGTTAGCAATGAGCTTCTCAATGAACAGTGGACTACATACGGCATTTGCAAATCGATCAAGAGCTCCACTTCCTGCCTCCATTGAGCCAGCAGTTTATCATTGATATTCAATTCTCGTGTTGGCCATTTCATAGCCTCCAGTGTTTTTCGCAGTCGGTCCCCAAAAATCGTTTTCAGCTGCTGTCGCAAGGCTGACGCCAATTTCTCTGTGTAATCGATAAGATGGGGGGCGGCACCTTCGGCGGCAGGCTGAGCTTCTTTTAACGACAGGACGATACCACGTAGTCGGATGTAAGGGCTCAAAGAGGCACGAGGGTCCGAAAATATACTCTCCAAGGCTTCCTTGCTATGTATCATCGCCGTATTCAGTATTCGTCCGGTACTCCGGTCCAAGATGGCCTAACTAACCTCAACTCCTCGGCGTCTTTCAGCAACTTCACGTATCCTGTGGAAATCTCTAGTCGCTGTAGCCTTTTCATGCTCTTCTCAAGGTGCTGCACAGCCTCGTCGCTGGTCTCCGATTGTGTAATGGCCTTCAGCCGCCGATCAATATCCGCCTGCTCGGCCGTAAAGGCCTCGGCACGTTTGCGAGTGGCTTCCGCATGGTCATTTGAAGCTTTCGTCGCGTTTGAAAGGGCTCGGTGTGCCTCTGCTAGCTAATTACCGACGTGTTAGCCGTGTGTGCTTCGTTTGGGCTCGAAGTCGCTAGGCCGGGGGGGGAGAGGGGAGGGAGAAAGAGTACCTGCTTCCGTTGGAGCTCCTGCTGTACGCGGAGGTTGGAAAGCAGTGAATCCAAACTCTCGAGGTCGGCAGAAACTTGAATTTTGTCATTCAAGTAGTCTTCCACGCGTGTCCGCTCATGCGAGGACAGCGACGTGGCGGGCGCCATGGTTGCGGAGGGAAATAATGGCGGAAGCGCAACGTTGCGATTGTTTGATCTCCGCCTTCCGCTCTGACGTACACTTCCGTCCGCAACGTAGCTCCAGTGGCAACATGAACTACTCCCCAGGGCGCCTTCATACATTAAAATATGTCCAGCCCGGCTAAAAAGCGCAAGCGAAATGGCGCTGATGCATCGCCGCAAAAAACGCGCAGTATTGAATCGTTTTTCAAAGGACAGGCCACTAAGCAGGCTAAACAACCAGAGCCGTCGGTGACTGAACAGACGCTATCAGACGAAGCTTTGGCACGCAAGCTCCAGGCTGAGTGGGACCAGGAAGATGGTGCTCGCGATTTGACTTCAGATAGTAATCAAACTATTCCAACTGAGCCTGAAGCGAGCGCGGCCCCAACGCCTACAATACCAGAAGATGTCTCCTCGATAACTCCAGTGACACCGAAGAAGAATACACTATCATTGCAATCATCTGCAGGCACAGAGGATACGGTGTCTCTTGCAGTTCCCTTCGATCAGAGCCCACAAGTCTTCGATGCCAACAAATATGCCACCGAGTTGCGGGCACATTGGGGAGCGGAGGGCGGCGATGCTTCCTACGCTCTGCTAACCAGAGCCTTTGTCCTCGCCAATGCGACGAACAGCCGCATCAAGATCGTTGATACGTTGGTGAACTTTCTTCGCGTTTTGATCGAAGGCGACCCGTCTAGTCTTCTTCCTGCGGTATGGCTAGCAACCAACTCCATTGCACCACCATATGAAGCTATAGAGTTGGGACTAGGTGGTTCTGCGATCTCCAAGGGCCTGAAGAAGATATATGGTTTGAATAATCAAGGCCTTAAGACGCTTTACGACAAGCATGGCGATGCGGGCGATGTTGCATTCGAGGCTAAGAAGCGGCAGGCGTTTACGTTGGTCAAGCCGAAGCCTCTCAAGATCAAGGGAGTGTATCAGTCATTGCTGAAAATTGCCTCCAGCAAAGGACCGGGCAGTCAGGAGAATAAGCAGCGGATTGTGGACAAGCTTCTACAGGATACCCGAGGTGCCGAGGAAAGTCGCTATATTGTGCGCACATTGGTTCAGAATCTGCGAATTGGTGCAGTCAAAACAACCATGCTAATTGCTCTTGCGCGTGCATTTCTTTACTCTAAACCAGAGAGTGCAGATTTTGAGGTTCGAACACCACATGAAATGACACGTTTGAAGAAAGAGCAGCTCGCGGAGATCTACTCGAGCGCAGAAGAAATTGTCAAAGCATCGTATGCTAGACATCCGAATTACAATGACCTCGTCTCCTGTCTTCTAGAGATCGGCGTTACGGAAGAACTCCTTCTTCGCTGTGGGTTGGTTTTACATGTTCCATTGAGGCCAATGCTGGGCAGCATCACCCGCGATCTGTCGGATATGTTGACGAAGCTCCAAGGGAGAGCCTTCAGTTGCGAATACAAGTATGATGGACAGCGTGCCCAAGTCCACTGTGACGAGACAGGCAGGGTGTCTATTTTCTCTCGTCATCTTGAGCTCATGACAGAAAAGTATCCCGACCTTGTGTCCCTCGTACCACAAATCCGCGGAGAGAGCGTGTCCAGCTTCATCTTGGAAGGAGAAGTCGTCGCGGTGGACCGCGAAACCGGCGACCTGCAGCCTTTTCAGACGCTAACTAACCGCGCCAAAAAGAATGTTGAGATCGGAGCCATTACGGTCAACGTCTGTCTGTTCTCCTTCGATTTGATGTACCTCAATGGGGAGCCACTGCTGGACAGGCCCTTCCGGGAGCGCCGTGAACTGCTACGCAGTCTCTTCGTGGAGATTCCTAAAAGCTTTACCTGGGTGAAAAGCCTCGACGCAACATCTGCAGATTCTGAGGCTATCCTCGAGTTCTTCAAGGGCGCCACAGACGCGAAGTGCGAGGGTATCATGGTCAAAGTACTTGACAACACCACCAAGCCCGATTTCCAACCAATCGAGGAAGTACTACCCACCACCACTGAGACAGACTCTATCAAAACTCAACGAGGCGAGACTGCCGCAAATAACATCATCCTCAAACTCAGCAAAGAAAAAGGCACCCGCCGCAAAGCCCTCCTCTCCACCTACGAGCCCGACAAACGCCTTGAATCCTGGCTCAAAGTGAAAAAGGACTACAGCACCTCCTCCGAAACCCTCGACCTGATCCCCATTGCCGGCTGGCACGGCAACGGCCGCAAAGCGAACTGGTGGTCACCGATACTCCTCGCCGCCCGGAACCCGGAGACAGGGGCGCTGCAAGCAGTCACGAAGTGCATGTCCGGCTTCACGGACAAGTTCTACCAGGCCAACAAGGACAAATACGCGGAAGGCAGCCCGAACGTGATCTCGCGACCTGGCTACGTGGAGTATGCGGGGGAGCCGGACGTATGGTTCGAGCCGCAGGAAGTGTGGGAGATGGCGTTTGCGGACATCACGCTGAGCCCGACGTACACGGCGGCGATTGGGCTGGTAAGCGAGGAGCGAGGACTGAGTCTACGGTTCCCGCGGTTTCTGCGCGTACGGGAGGATAAATCGATTGATGAGGCAACGAGTTCGGATTATCTGGCGCTGTTGTGGCAGAAACAGGCGGAAAAGGCGAATGTTGAGGATCGAGAGGAGGGAGTAGATGAACAGGAGGAATCGGGATGGCAGGAGTAAATAAAGGTGTCGCAGATGTTGGGAATCTGGGAGGAGCTGTGTTTTGGATCTCATTTTCAAGGCCTCGAAGTGATTATATATACGAATCATATAGATATGGTACAAGTAGACAGGATAATTACCTCGGTGAAGATATGGAGAGACATGCAGAATCTGACAAGGTAGAGACTCAAAGAGTGCAGGTCACTAGATACACGTTCTGATTTTCATTTCATTTCTCGATAAGACACAATATCCGTCTTTTCCTGGACTTGTCACACAACAGAATTAGATACTAGAGAGCCTATTCGAGGCAGTAGTAGGTCGAGAGTGGTGCAGGTTCTCGTCATACAGCATGTTGGATGCAGAGAAGCAGCACATGTGCAATAGAGTGAGAAATGCCAACCAAATGAATAAGGAGGGCAAAGCAAGTGACAAAAGATACATCATTCATAGACAAAGGGAGCAATGCAGGACTCGGGCCATGCAACACGAAATCAAAGTAAAAAAAAAAACTGAAAAAAAGAAACAGGCAGAGAAAGAAAACGCCATGGATGCAGGTTGTAAAAACAGGTGCTATGGAAGTGGAGGCCCAAGGGACTGATCGACATGCATGCCCCGGGAGGTCCAAGGCAGGAGGGAGATTACAAAGGAGAAAATACCAAGGTCGAATGTGTACATAGCAGAATCGTCAAGTGTCGTGAAGGAGAAGTAAGTGAGAAGGGGGCGGGTATAAATGCACAGAGAATTGAACAGAGGATGCAGTTGGGAGCAGCTAAGGCCGCAACTCGCCACCAAGCTGCAGAGCCAGTCCACTTTCTTTGTTCCGAATGCGGGGGCTGGAGGTACTTGGAGGGACCAGGGCATCAAAGTTCAATCGCTTGCGAGCATCTTTGGTGGAAAGAGGGGTGCGTGAAGGGTTACCCGGAGTGCGGCCACTCCATCCCGGCTGAGCTGGGCTTGGAGTGACGTTCACGAAATCAGCAAAATTGAACTGTTGGCCTGGAGTCCCCAGATTGGGGGTCATAGTCGGGAGCATCGCATGTTGACTGGGAGGCGTCGATGGGGGAAAGCGTGAGAGCCCCTTGCTATGCGGGCGGGTGTTGGGGAGTTAGCCAAGTAGAGCAGCAGATCTGCGCCATCCTCGTGCTGAGAAGCAGGGTCCCCCCTCGGTAGACGGGCATGCTTCGGGGGCGGAGTGCGCGGCGGCGAGGAGCCGACCATGGAGCTCATATTCTGGAAACTGTGCAGAGGGAGGTCGGGATCAGGTTCCTCGTCGGAGGGGCCGTGATATGGCGGAGAGGAGAGCTCGGGGATGGGGGCCTCGGACATGAAGGGGAGGTGGCTCTGGCGGCCGGGCAGGTGCCGATTGAGCCCAGGTGAGGACGCTGGAAGTTGATAGGAACTCTTCCATGAAACTCGAGGGACCTTGGCAGGGCGCTCCGTGGCCGAATCGGACCGCATCCGCTTGCGGCTGGCCGACAGCATCGGCTGCATCACATGAGAGTTGAAGGTAACGGCATGTTTATTGCGAGCGGATCGAGGGAGCTCCTTGGAATAGGTTGCGGCTCGAAGAGGAGGGGAGGTGAATGGGGTCTCGCACCGGCTGCGAGAGAAGTCGGACGATGAGTCGGAGGGCTTGTCACTGCTGTCCTGGATCGAGTTCAGCCCATGGAGTCGGCCATGCTGGTACTTGAGTTTAGCTAGGCCTAGACGGTCCTGTAAACTCAGCGAGACCTGTGGCAGCCGGAAGTTAGCGATGGACATCGTTGATTGCACCGGGCAGTGATGTATGGGCCAGGCGTCGAGCGGTATCAGAGGATAGGAAGATGGGAGCCGTCTGCAATAGCAACCACTATGGTCGCCATCCCTAGGGCTTTGACAGCCTGGATGCAATCTGCAACCCAGATGGACCCCAGCCTTGCTTTTGGGAGAGAGGGGGAAGATATCCTCTGCCAGGAGCACAGTTTTTCTTACCTGAGCAATGTCGATTTTGCGAATGGCCTTCTCCGCCGAACTCGGCTGCGAGGATAGGGTCATGGTGGGTAGTGAACAGGAAGGAAAACCCCTCGACCTGGGAAGCGTTAAGGTCGTCGAGGGTCCCGGAGGCTTGGAGGCAAGGGCGGCTGGGAAGGCCGATCGAGCCCACTTAACCGAGGAATCGGGGCGAATTAGTACTAAATGGGCGTTGAGCACTCGTTCAAGGACAATTCAATTGGGTTTGATCAGATCCAATTTAATTTGATTTCATTCTGGCAAGACTCGAACGGGTTGGTGGAAGCGCTTGCGAGAGCCTGAAAGGGCTGAAAGTGCCTGACGGTGTCTGAAGTGCCTGAAGTGCCTGGAAAGTGTGGAACGGGAAAAACGCGTGCCGCGCCGAACGCGTTCGCGACTCGCAGCTCGCACTCGCTGAGAGGCTGTGTTGTCGGGCCCTCGCGCTAACTTCCTTCCCAGTGCTCCTCTACTATTGACACCATTCGCTACGCTGCTACGGCCCCGAGAAGACTACTGGCCTTTTCTAACTCACTGACAGGTTGCGCACGGGGAATTCTCTCGCCTGTCAGATTGACAAATCAGCTCCCCGTCCTCTGGGTCGAGTGGCTTCAGGAGACGAAAAAAAAACCCAGTCTGCTAGTGCTTAGCTGCCCCCACTTCACAGCTTCACCAGCTTCCTCTTTCTTTCTGGTCACTGTCAATTGGGCCCTGGTGGTCGGGGACAGGCTGGAGGGTCCCCCTTTCTGTGCATCAAATTCCTAGCGGTGGGGACTGGGCTGGCTGCCACAGAAACGATCTGGCATGTTGGTATCCCGATCCACTGGACTACACCGGGATAGGATTGGGGTCCGTCCGTAGCGCAGGGCTGCTTCTCACGATGTCATCGCCCCAAAAGGAGCTTGGGAATTTTGTCCCTGCCCAGATCCTCTGGTATGTGATGCGCATGGAGTCCATCCCTCCCCCCCCGACCGCGCCGGAATAGTCTTCAGGTCGCCTGACCCGGGGAACCCTTGATCCTGGCACCGATGACGATGTGTCTAGGCAACGCGGAGAGGAAAGACAGACTGGATTGGAGGTCAGGTCTGTGAGAGAAAAATGAGAAGAGCCTCCGATTGTTCAATGTAGCCCCCGCCCTCCCCCGGTGGGGCAGCGTTCACTGTCATGTTGTGTACTCAGAGGCAATAGTTCATATTCAATTCTTCCAATCGGGGAACCCTCCTCAATCTGCTTAGTCTGCACACTCCGTCTGCTCCAGGTTCTCCAGAATCTTCTCACATGACCCGAACTCGATCACAATTAATGGCTTGGGAGCTCCGCGGGTGCCATGTCTCGCCTGGCCCTGTCTCGGGAAGGCTCGAAGGTTCGGGACGGGGAATGGGATTCAGTTTCGTACACAAACCACCGGCACGTCGAGCTCGAAAACAGGGCAATGGCCGCAGCGGCCAAAATTGCCCGAATGTCCAGATCGCGTCGGTAATTACGACCTCCTCGACTGGATATCAAATCTCGGGAGTGCCGCCCCGCTCTAAAATCTCGAGATCCGCAGAACTTTGATCTCAACTACGTAGCGAGGTGGTTTTCTCGAGGCTCGGCACAGCTCCCCCCACGGACGGGCCATTGGGGATGTCCGGGCGCCCAGCCCGTACTTGAAGATCCGACAATGCAGCATAGCGGCACAGCTTGGCTGAGGGGAAGATCCGGTTTGGGTGTCATCTCGACAGTCCCCGAGTCTCACGACAGCGGCCGGCATCTGTAGCGGCAGGTCCATGTCCATGGGTCCATGCATCATGCATCATCGCTGCATCCAGGACACGTTCTTCGCATTCTTGGAGGTTGACGTGTAAGCTTTGTACATCTTTTGCAGCTGTAGTCCGCGCATGGATGTACTATGACGGTGTTTCTCTGGAAATATCTGGTGCTGAATCCAGTGTCGAATGGAGCATCGTTTCATCTCTTCCAGCGGATCAGCATTCGATCCCCCTTTGCCTTGTCCACGGCATCAATGGTCCTCCCGAAGCTTTGCAAGCACGCAGCCAAGGGATAATGAGCGCCAGGAGCCTAAGGGCCCGCGAGAGGGGGGGCGACCGTGGCTCTGCCTTGGTATGTGATGCTTTAGCCCGACACTAGATCTGGGCTAGGACCGTTAGGGCGATCATCCACGATCCACTGGTGAAACACTGCGACTCGTAGGGAGCAAGCCTCATTCAGTCTCGGGAGGGGGTACGTAATGCCTGTTGGAGTCCACTCTTGTCACAGACGACTCAGGAGGAAGAGTGTTGCTGTTGGCCACGTTGAGGGCTCTTGAGACACGTTCGATTCGCCGTCACGATTGCTTCTTATCGATGGGCACCGGCTCTTGTTGCTGTAGAGAAGAGTTGAGATCCGCAGACGCATGGGCAAGAGAAGAGAAGTGTTGGGGGATCATCGTTGGAACTTGAACCAGCCCGTACCCGTCCACTGTTTCTATTCTTGTTCGCGTTATCGATATAGGCTTCCTGTGGACTATTTGGACTCCGTGAAGGCCAACGTTATTGTTTTTTCTTCCAATTGTTACTTCCTTTTTCCCCCCCCTCCTCCTTTTCTTTCTCCTCTTCCTCCTCATTTACTCCTTTTTCTCCTTTTCTCTTTTCGCCTCTTCTCGTCCGACTTCGTCTTTGGTTTCCCTTCGTCACAAATTGGAGGGTTCTTGCGGGGCGACTCCAGCGGCGTCGTCATCCGCCGCAAACGGTCGCGCTCTCCCTGTTCCTGAAAACCACAATTTGCCCGGTGGTTTTCCCTCCCACTTGGTTCCAATTACGGCAGTTGCCTACCAAAGCTTTGGGGTGGGCTTGAAAGCCAGCTTGAGAGCCAGCTTCTCTGGGCGCGACGTTCTTCCTCCTTGAACCCCCTTTCGATCTTCGATGCCTACAATGCCATTCTTGAAACAGCTCCGTCGGCGGTCGAAGGCAAGCTTCCAGGCCGCCGACTCCAAAAGTGCCCAAGTTCAGGTTGTCGCCGGCAAATCCTCCTCCACGATCGACACCTCTTCGCACAGCTCTATTACGCCCCCATCTTCCATTAAACCGACCCTCTCCTCCCCCAATCTTCCCTCCTTAATCGAGTCAAATGGAACCAGCACCCCTCTGCCGCCGCCCCCGCAACGGCCGGGACCGTTTGTGACCAACTCGCAGCGCAACAGTGTCGTGGTAGGCGGACGCTCCCTCCCCCCCCTCTTCCACCCCGAGTTTTTGGCCTCGAATGGGCCATTTACGAGGTTGCGTGCGCGTTGAGCTGATATCGTGTTTCTTTCCTCTTCAGGGCAGCTCGTCCTCCTCGATCAATGGCGCATATCGCTCGCCTACCCCAAGCTCGCCCTACGCGCCAAGAATTGTGTCGATCGCTGATAACTCCTGGGTATTGCTCCCCATTTTGAAAAACGCCTGCGAGCCAGGAACAGGAAAGCTAATTGAAGCTTCGCACAGGTCCACCAGAAAGTGCTTCTGATATATGGTCAAATCGGAGATCCACGACACCACCCGCTGGATGGATCCCTCACAGTCTTCCACCACCAAGATAATTTCCCGTCGATCGGCTGGCCCGTGATGGCATCGCATTTTAAAGCTCTCGTTCACCTCGTGCCCGGTCCAAACCGCGTGCGCTTCGACTTCGTCTCGCCCAAGCTGTCGTCGGGAAGCTCCCACCCCGCCGTGCACTCGACTTGGATCTGTATCAACTACCTGCCATTAGTTAATTCCCCACCATTACACCTGGTTATCCTTCTCGGCAAGGATTCGGATGGCACGTACGACGCCGTGCCCGAACGTGTGGAGCGCGAAGGGAATGGCTTGGAAACCGCAATCAAAAAATACCGAAATGCCGCATACCTCTGGCAAGCGTTCACCGGCGAACAGATGTTTCGCAACAACTTTGGCCGGCGCTGCTTCCGGTTTGAGGAAGAGTGGCAATCAGGCAGTCTGAGTCGCCGGGACGCGGCGGTCGGCCAGATGCGCAACGAAGCCAAAGTCCATGTGATCCGCAGCGACAAGACCGTAGCGGAGCTCCGGGATCTCAATATTGCCCAACAGTACGATTCCGCCAAGAAGAAGGATGAGCTGTTCAACATCGCCAAGCAGGCCGTTCAAAGGCACTTCAACCCGCAGCCTGGTCAGAAGCAGTATGTGTCTGTCCTCTTACTCGATTCCCACTGGGACACGGTAGCGCAGACCGTTACCGGTCATGCGGCATTGGGCTCAGCGGGAGACGATATCAAGATGGCCATCTTCGGTTCCCACTGTCTACAGAGCTATCCGTCCTGCCTCGAAGAGGTCGTGGATGCCTTTTCAGACTGTACCAGAACGGATACTAACTACGTCGCCAATGATTGTGGTGAAGCTGGCTCCAACTGGGAAGCCGCCAATATCGGCATTGGAGCTCACCTCCATGAAGTTGGACATCTCTTCGGATGCCCGCACCAAGAATCTGGAGTGATGCTTCGAGACTATGTACGATTTAATCGATCATTTTTGACTAAGGAACCCTATTCCACGCGGACCAAGGCTCAAGGCCTGAAGGTATGCTTGCCAAATGATGAATGTGGATGGCATCGTCTGGATGCGCTGCGATTTCGATTCCATCCTTGCTTCCGCCTCCCCAGTGATGCATCACCAAGCAACGACGACAGCGTCCAAGTTTGGCCCGTCGAAAATGGTAAAATATTGTTTACCGCCTCGTCTGGCATCGCATTCGTGGAGCTGTACGCCGAGGGAGACGAACTGTGCCACCATTTCATCGAATATGTGAACAGCGAGTCAAGCCCTAACGGCTTGCCCAAGCAAGTCACCATTACAGAAAATGAGCTCCGGCAACAATTATTTGGTAACGAGAAGGAAAAGAAAAAGAAAATCAAGGTCATCGTCTATTCCGGCACCCTTGGCAGCTACACGGTGGAAGATGTCGGCCTGCTCAAGTCAAAGCATTCCCTTGTCAAGCTTCCCAAGGGCCAATCAGGCTACAAGAGCGGAAAGCTAGGACAGTCCACGATGGAAGGCAGTGAGCCGGAGCAGGTGCTATTGGAATGCGCCTTCATCAAGACCAAGCTCTTGACCTCCATCAAAGTATACCATGGGCACGCACTAGATGGTATCGAGTTCTGTTACGAGGACATGACCAGCCAGCTCTTCGGAAAGCGCGGCGGCAAACCTGGTGGTGATGAATTTGTTCTTGGTACGTTCACCTCCTCGGCATACAGTCCCTTTTCCTTTTCGGCGATCAACTGCTAACTTTGGCCTCTCAGACACCCGGCGCGGAGAGATTCTGCTTGGGTTCTATGTCCGAGCTGGACTCTGGATTGATGGAATCGAGATCCTCACTAGTCTTGGCCGAAAGTCCGGCTTCTACGGCAATGCTACCGGGGGATCAGGGTAAGACAACCCCTTCAGTCAAAAGAGACTTCACACACACACACACACAGAGAGAGAGAGAGAGAGAGAGAGAGAGAGAGAGAGAAAGGGATGAAAAAAAAAACACATGCTGACCATGCCATCTTCTACAGTCATACTCTCATTCCACCCCTTGGATATAAAATCGCCGGTGTTGCAGGCTCGTGTGCATCGTGGATTGATGGGTTTTCTCTCATCGTCCAGCATTAAAAGTGTCACTGTTTATGTACAGTGATACTGCAATCCCTCCTTGAAGATACACTATCTTCCTTCCTCCTGTGTTTGATTTCTCGCACCGGGATCGATGGCCTGGGAAACCTGACTGGCCCGGGGTCGGCCAGCACATATACACGAGTTTTCTACGGGGCTCATGGTGCCTCTTTCTGTTCATATCTTCATCTCTTGTTTTTTTTTTCTCTTCTTTGGTCATTCTGGGTTGAAGAGGCGTTTCTGAGTCGGCGGTATTGCGATGGCATTTACGCATTGTACTATCTTTTCTTCTGTTGCGGCTGGTCGACGCACATTCGAGGACCGCATGGAAATTGCGTTGGTGGTGAGGGTTTTCTTGAGATCCGTGATGCTGGGACATCTTGTATAAGGGCACATCCATATTGGGCAGCACAGTTCATAGATCGATAATATCATTGGGGCCTGGACGCCACGGCCTCGGTTCACTGACGGTCTTGCATTTTTTTCTCGGGTGATTTCCCAATAAGAAAGCAGATGGAGCTCACGCCTTTCATCTCCAGTCCGTAAGCACTGGTCTTGCCACCTCGGTCTCAGTTCGGTTGTAGACCGCCCCGAAGCTCAGGTGAGATCTGCCCATGTTGATCTCTCGACCTGCGACGCTGACTTCCCGAGTCGTCAGGCTACAGATAAAGACCAATCGATCAGCATCAGGACGGCCTGGGGTGCTGTGGGGTTTAGGCAGGGATCGACGAGGCACGCGGCCGCGAGAGACAAAGGTACATCACTTTCCGTCTTCGTTTGCGTCTGTACGTGCCCGATGTCATCCACTGCCATCCATTCGGACATTCATACAAACCATTCAATGACGACGATAATGGTGCATCCATCGCCCCTTGCCCAGAGCGTGGTTCCGGATACCGGAACTGCATCGGGACCACAGAGGTACATCGTATGGGAGATACGGCAACATGATGGGCAGATGCCGGTGGATCACTATCCCAACAACCCGTCAGGATCCATCAAGTGAGTCACGATATCAATGGCTGTTTCTCCAGTCGGTATTTCGGAATGATGAAAGGACTCAATTGTCTTTCTCGACTCCACTCCCTGCTGGATCCATTCATTGGAGTTCGCCACACCTTCTTCCCCCCGGCCTGTCTATCAATCCTCATTGGCGACTCGCCCTTTCCGCTTGATCCGCTAGCTCCCCACGTCTCTTGGTGCCCCACCAAAGATGTTTTCTCTAGAGTTTCTCGAGAGAGGGGCGACTATCATCCTCGTGTCCTCGTGGTGCTTGTGGTGCTTGTGGCTGACAGCCCTTCCTCCTTGACAAGGGCCAGGGGCCGGAAGCTGCGTCAGCTGGAAGAGCTTCAGATGTGGCGCCGCACACCACACTTTCTCGAAGGCGAACTCGGGATGCCTCAGTCCGAAGTGGCAAGCCTTCCAGCTCCGCTGACTGGCTTTCACGACGGGGCTGCCTCGCCCGGTCACACACAGCTGGCCCCAGTGCTAGCCTCTCCTCGACCAGGATGCTAAAGCCACAATGACGATCATCCTCGAACGGAAGCGGCAAAGGCAGCCGCTCTACGCCCAAGAGCGACAAACAAAAACTAAAGGGAAGAAATATGCGTGTCGTCCATGACCACCCATGTCGCTCTCCGCTCATCCATGTCTTCGCGACCAAGGCAAAGAGTCCGCCCTACGCAGCCCGGTTCCTGGTTGGACTGAGAGCTATGGGCAGAGTACCACACAGAGCTTTCCCTAGCCGGACCGCATCTGCACGTCCGCCCTAGGGGTCCCCCTCCCCCTCCTTCTCTGTATCTCTGTGCAGCATATACTCCGACGATAAACGGAGGCCCGTGTCCGAGTTGCCCGTTGATCGGCGTCGTGGCACCCTATCAGGCGGGCCACTGGCTGCCACTGGCTGCGTCGCCGTGCGCTCCTCTGTTTCTGGATGCTCGCTGCTCGAATTAGTCCTCGGTCAGACAAGCGACCGCTGAGAAGCGCCTGCTGACTGTCGATCGTGCTAGAAACGGGTGGTACCTGTCATCAACCGATCGCCCAATAAGGCGATCTCTTGACAGCGATAGAGGAGAGCGGAGGGGAAGTGATCACCTACAAATACATATACATCAGCCCCTCGTCCATGCCCAGTGGATGATGGAGGGAACTGTTTTGACGATAGCTTTGCGACGAGGTACTATTGCCGCAACCCTGATCATGGCTTTATTCTGGTTCATATCGAGATTATCGAGATCCTCATCGTTCGGTATCGAATGTATACGATTTGCCCCCTGGTATCCCGGCCCTAAGCGTCCTAACAGATCCGTACACAACAGTAGCAGAAAAAGAAAAGAAAAGAAAATACAATCAAAAGAAAATCCCCCCTCAAAAAAAAAATCAAAAACAATCAAAATACAAAAGCGCCATGCCAGTTCACCTCTTCTGTCCTCCCGCGCTCCCGCATGGTACCGTCGGGCTACATTCCGACCACAATTTGCAATTGCACTGGTGGCGTGTACGCCTCTTTCGTGCGCCTGAAACCGTTTTTACTCTCATGACGGGGGTGGCTTCCAGTCTGAGCCGGGATGTTCTACATCACCCTCGAAGGAGCGGCCCCGACGTCAGGACCATCGGCAAGAAGGGGTAAAGGAAAATAAAGCCACCGGGGTATTTTTTTTTTAGCGGGAGGGGCCGCATTCAAGGAGCTATGGCGTCAGGGCTGATTGCGATGTACTGTATCCACATCCACTTCTGATTACCACCCCCTCTCCCCCTCCTTCCACATGGAGGAGTCGGCTGTAAGTTGGTTCTCTTGCATGATGGGAAAACCCCCCAGGATGTACCGTGTACCACGCCCATTTCTCCAGACGCAGCGTCTCACTACCGTGTCCCAAGACCAATGAGCTCCGGGGGAAAGGCCTCCTTGGGCTTTGCTCACTCCGTTGGAGCCGTCATCTGGGGTGAGGGGCATGGCTTGCGTGCTAGTGGTATCGCGCAGTTGGGGCGGTGGTTGACTATTGACCAGTGAAATTGTGCGCCCTTGCTGCAATCAATTTTGGAACAATCCTCGATAACCCTTGCACGTCATGGAGCTTCTGTCGGGCTGGACCATGCAGTCGAGCTACCAGCTCGCGGTGGTTAATAGAATGGCGCCACAGCCAAGACCCTGATCCATACTTCGTTGTATCTACCGGCTTCTGCTAGGGACAGGAGCTACAAGGTAGTTCGGCGGGTGGTCCCCACTGCCCTAAGGTACGTATACGCGTGGTTCCAGGACAGTACGCCATCCTTCCATACGCCAGACAGTCGCGCTGCGCTCGTCTAACCAGGTCGGAGTATGTATGTTTCAGGGTGGTTCCCCCCCTCTTCTCACTAATTTCCGCAGGAAAGAGGCGCGAGAATCCTTGCCGCATTGGGGAAGTCCCCCCTTTGCTTTTTCGAGTGATGTCTTCAGGTTCGATCGGAGTTAGCGCCCAGCAAATCAGGGAGCTTAATAGACCGAGCTTTGAGATTTGGCACGATCGCGGCCTACAAATGGTAGATCGGTATAAGTAGCGTACACAGTATGAAGCTCTACAGATCTATGAGCAATCATACATGTAGGTAGTTCTATTTGGAGGAAAAGAGAGAAGTATGTGAAAGATAGGTCTGTTTTTTCTTAACACCCTTACTCCCTGTTTCTTTGAGACCTCGAGTAGTCTATTCCCAAATAAAGAGAGATCAGCAATCTCTTCCGTCCGCATGAATGTTTATCATAGTGTCAGTCTATCATCTTATTCTCGATATTGTCATCGCGGAGCATCGAAGTCCCGTGCGCGGGCCGTACGGTATTGTTAGTATTATTCGCAAGCACGTGCTCCGGGCCGGACGGCCCCGGAATTCCAGCACTATGATTGGCGGATTAGATTCCAGCAATGAATAATGAGTCGAGGACTGTGTATCGTCACGGTTGTGTATTCCGCTTTCAAGGGGCGCTGTTGAGCAGCAACACATCTTGGGGGCTACATTGACTCTGTATCAGACGACTAGACGAGGTACAGGATCCTGGAAGGATCATAGATATCCCAAGGCGCATATGCAATGACAATCTCGCTTCATCAACCACGGTTTCCCCTTTCTTTTCGCTATGATGACTGTATTTTGCTATTTAGGGCACTGCTCGGAGCCACGAGGGAAAGTCGTTGATCTAAGTGGCAGTCCTTCCATGGCTACAGTACCTGTGAAGGGCATGGAAAGCCCCAACGATCTTCAAACTTTTCATCCGAGTCATATCTTTTTGCGATCCTTTGGCATCCGGCATTTGCCAACCACCGCCACATATTGTGGCAAATGATCCTCATGGGGACAACGCGATGCTCCAATGACCGAACTCTGGAACAGCCGCAAACTTTCGCAACACCTGTCGATCATAGAACGATGATGTCGACACACCCTCTCGCGCGCTCTCCGAGGCCCCGAGCATGGGTTCCGGATTCCTCAACCACCTATCACGCCGAAGCTTGCCCCTCGACACGGCCACAGAGCTTCCCCATTCGATCCACGAGGGATTGCAGCCGTGTCGCAAGCGCGTGGCTTGACGATTCGCAGTAGCTCAAGAATCTCGTTGCCTGCGGTTCCGGCCGTGTCGCTCCCTTTCTCCTCTTGCGTCGCTTTTTTGTTAGGTGGACAAATGAACGGTGAGCCTGCAGGGAACGTTCCGGGTGGGGGGGTTTAGTGGGAAGGGCAGATAGAAGCTGCAGCTTCCAGATAACGGTGTCGATGTGGTTTGCGGTCTGTAAATATCGAGCACAAGCTGCCGCACGTTCCTTGGACGCCCACCTGCCACGGTCGGCCACCGACGTAGCCACTGACGCGCCACCAATTACCCCTTGGTCGCTTAGAGCATAGCATGGCGTGGATGCAGTCCCCGTGCGACTGAGAGAATCAGAGGCCGAGCGGCTGCTGTTTTGCGCCAAACATCGACGAACTAGGACAATTGCTGGGGTTTCTGATGTCCTGATGTTAAACCGACGAGATTCTCAGGCCGTCAGGCCCGTCCCACCGTTGCAAAGCTGTGGCGTGTGGGGAAAGACGAACCCGGAGGGATGGTAACTCCTATCGATAGACGGAGCGCTTCCGGCTGGTTCCCCGGTTTCCACTAGCAAACAAAAAAGGAAAAAAGAAGCAAGAGGTGACGTTGATAGTGCCCTTGAGAGTGCCAAATATCTCCCTTGTGCATTGTTTTTGTTTTACCTCGCTTTTCCCTCTTTTTGATTCTTCTCTCTATGATCTGCACGAATGGATGCACGAATGGACGAAGCCATTGGGCTCGTTTCTCAGTCCCATGAAGTATACAGGTCATACCAATCACCCTGTGTGGCTGCGGTGACAGTACAATCCCCCGACGATACCCCATCCTCTCGTTCTCGCATTGACGTTCGATGATCGTCGGTCATTTGGATCACTCGATCCTCTTCATGAGTAAGACTCGGAATTTGGAGGTCGGCGTGGAGCTAATCATTCAATGATTCACTCGTTTCAATCATCGCGATTATCCAATCATAGGATCGAGCCCGTGCCCTATGATGGCCCAATCCGCTTCGTACCTTTGGGTGGTTCGCCATCGTTTTCTCTTTCTGCTTCTGCCCGAATCCGCGCATTGTCCAGTCACTCGACTAATAATCATTTATTAATCATTCCCAAGCCGACGATTGTTCATTCGTCATGATATCTTTTCCACCCCCCGCCACTCCACCGCTGGCTCCACCCCTGGAAGGGATACCAACCAATCATTTCCATTGGAAAGCAACAAAAAATAGTAACATGACAAGTTCCTCGGATGGAAAACAGAAAGTAAAATCAAAAATGAAAAATTAAAATAAAAAAACAATATCCAAAAAGACCCCCCTCAAACCCCGAAAAAAAAATCGAAAAACAAAGAATAAAATGCAACCGATGGCAATTCTCATTTCCGAATTCCTCTCCAATCTTACCGGACTACGTCTAGTACACGACCATCCAATCCACACTTCCCATTCTCCATACTCCGTACGGTGGCACTCCTTCTCAAAGCGGCCAACCTTCTCATTTTCTGTGGTAGCGACTCCCCCTTCAGCTGTCGCTGTGTGGCTCGACCAACGGAAGGGGGAGCTCTTCCTTTTTCCATGAGATCATCACTGGCTCCTGTCCTATTCATCTGACTGTTCACTGTTCACCTCGTCTGTACCTTTCAGTACCTTCCGTACATAGTTTACATAGTTTCCATAGTTTTACCACTTTTACATAGTTTACCATGACCGACGGGTACAAAATGGGTACACACGGGAGACTGAGGACTCCTTCGGAGGCCACCACGTACACGGCCCCGCCTCACAATCTGGAGGTACCGTGCCGCACCACTTTTCCCATACCGTTTCCCCGATCTTTCCTGGTGGTAGGCTCTTGTATTGGCTGTATTGGCTGTACCGGACGGTGGATGCCCCCTGGAACGCCCACCACCAGAACCACCGTCCCCGAACCTGAGCCGCCCGAGTCAACGTGAACACGCCCACCGCAACCACTAACCACTAATACACCCGAACCCATCCAAAACCAAACTTACCTCCGATCTACTTCGACCTCTTTCAACCTTTTTCCACCTCGCCCCCCCCCCCCTTTCCCTCGTCCCAACTGTGGCTCAGTCAATGCCCATTTCATTCCTCTTTCAATAGTATACTACTGGCAGGCCCCATGGCCCGTACCGTCTTTACTTTTCCTCTTTTCCTTTCTTAGCCCCCCCGTTCGTCATACGTTTCCACCCCTCATCCTCCGTCCCCTCGCCGCTCCAATCTTTTTTCCACTTCAGCCTGTCTTCCACCCTTCGACCATTCGACCATTCTACTATTCCACTGTTCTACAGAAAGCAGCTGGCCGCCCGAGTTTCTTCCTGATTCATCGACTAGACATTCTGTTCAAGACGGACCAGCTCGACCTCCGCGATCAGTCCCGTGATTTCCATTGTTTGGAACCAGAACCCCAAGAGATAAGGCGCATATTCACCATTTGATCCTCTTCGAGCCGCCGCCTCCCACGCTCCTTTGCGCGCCCCCTTCTCCCAGTCCGTTACCGACTTGGAGCCCTTGATTTCGACCACACGCCATTCGATCCATCCATTGGATTGGCCCCTCGTCGTTGAAGATCCATTTTCTCATCTGATCTGGAGAGCTGCCGGTGGAGGCTGAGACGTCCCGAACTGTCGGTATTGGCGAAGTTGAGACGACAATATCAAAAAAAAACTTCCGACTCCACGCCAGATACAATATTCCCGAGAGTATTATCATAGTGGGCAAGCTTGTACAACTCGCAGCAGATGTGGCATATAAGTCTGCTGCCCCTCTCCCTCTTGTTTTAACACCTCTCCTACCCCCCGCGCATCTTCCGGTGCGACCCGCTAGTAGATTCGCCCTCGATGTTCCGTAACCGGTATGCTTTTCTCCCCCAATCCCCTGCTATCGTTTGCCATTGTTCTTTTCTTGGTTTGGTCTTTTTGCGGACCTGAAAAAAAAAAAAAAGATATAACTGACACTCGGGCCTGGGCGGGTCTAATGCAGAAACAACTCCCAGAAGCCTGATGACGAGTTCATCAGCCGCTTCCAACGAACCTTTGCAGAGGTGGTACCTCGACGAGATAGCAACGATCATGAGCAAACTGCCCCCTTCCAAGTCGGGGCCGGAGTGTCTACGGCATCCGGCAAGTATGCCGAGAGCCGGCCCGGCGATGTGGTCTTCGGAGCTGATATGGCCACCCCCGGGTCTAAGACGATGGCGAGCCATGAGGTGAAGTTTGAGGATGGCGAGATGAAGTTCTCACATGAACGAACACCACGCAACTTCCAGGACCTCGGGTTCACCCCCTCGTGGATGGATCCGCAATCGATGCAAATGATGTCTCTGGCCGGTCAGCACCCTGGGTTTTACACACCTAACTCTGGTGGCATGGGCGCCACCTTTCACAGCCAGGCCGGCGACCTTCACACCCCCACCCTCGGATTGAATATGATTACCCCCATGTCGCTCTCCAATTCCATTGCGGCCACCCAGCAGAACCCACAGCCTGGCCTGGAGCATTTCAACCAGCAGTACATGGCTCATCAGATGCCCGATATGAACAGCTACATGCAACAGGCGTCGTATGCCCCTAGTGCCTTCATGCATCGAGACTCGTACGACGTAATGGACGAGTCTGGGGACGGTTCGTCGCTGAATGAACTCCCAGTTGATCAGGCTTCAAATTTCACCGCGTCTACGGATTATTCCGGTGTCATGGATATGGCCTACGCTGAAGGTGAAACGTACGGAAAATCTTCCCCCATCCCCTCTCCCCCACCACGCCATCTTTTTTTTCCATTCTGCTAACTGTATTTTGGCTCTCTAGATTCCGCTACAATGTGACTCTGCGTGCCCCAACGGCAATGGTCAAGTCTGGCCGAGAAGTCCCCATCTCGTACCTGAACAAGGGTCAGGCCTATAATCTCACAGTTATTGACTCCAGCCCGCCAATGGTCAGTTCCGAGCCTTTGCATTACCGCACATTCGTTCGTGTTTCGTTTGAGGAAGAAGAGCAGCGTGCGAAACCAGCCACTTGTTGGCAATTATGGAAAGAAGGCCGGGGCACGAGCGAGGCCCACCAGCGCGGGGGCAAACTTCTAGCCGTTGAATACGTTGATCCACTACAAGGGGGTGACGATCATAAGCACCGTCAGATTCAGATCGAGCAGACCTCTTTCGATGGGTTCTGCGTAACTTGGACGGCCAATCCTGCTACCGGTGCCTCGGACTGCACCATTCCGGTACGCTTCAATTTTCTGTCGACCGATTTCAGTCACTCGAAAGGTGTGAAGGGCATTCCGGTGCGGCTGTGCGCGAAGACCGAACTTGTGTCGCCAGGCGATATTTCCGGGGGCCCCGGCGAGCCGGAAGTCTGCTACTGCAAGGTGAAGCTTTTCCGAGACCACGGTGCCGAACGCAAATTGTCCAACGATATCGCCCATGTCAAGAAAACAATCGAGAAATTGAAACAGCAAATTGCGCAGGCAGAAATGGGAGGTGGCTTCGGCAAGCGCAAACGTGGCAGCAATGTAACGGCGAACCCCAAAGACCGGTCGAAACCCACAAAGCACAAGCGGACCTGGTCGATCGGTTCGCAGGACGGACAATCCGAGAAATTGTCTCTGGAGGATGACTTGCAGGCCAAATTGGTCATGATGCAGGACATGTTCTCGTCGACTCGGAATGTCAGCATTCTCGCTCTTCGTGGAGAAGAGCAGGATGATCCGGATCTGTACCCTGTTCGGCTCCCGGCCGAGGGAGAGTTCATCAAGACCGAAACTCTTTTCCGCCAGAATAAGAGCGCATCACAATCCGTGGAGTCCTTAATTCTTTCCCCGACTAGCAGCAATGTCTCCTTGAATTCACCGCGCTTCAAGGCCGATCAGTTGGCTGCATTGAATGATTCAATGAATTCTAAGACCGTCCAGCGCGTTGTATCCAGAGACCCCAGGATTTCGACAGGTTCCATTGAAGCTGTGGATATTGATCCGACCTACCGACCCCCAGCGGAACGACCGCCTAAGCCGAGTAAGTGTTCTTTTGACACCTATATTTCAGCAGTATCGTTTGTTCAGTTACTAACCACTCTTCATAGTCGCATGTTTCTATGTGCGCTTCACCGGGAGCGAACATCACCCACAGGAGTATTATCGAGCGATCTATCTTACTGAACGCACCGTTCGGGATTTGATGAAGAAGATTTCTGAGAAGCACCACATCGATCCCTCGCGGGTAGTGCGAATCCTCCATGTCAATGAGAACGGCCTTCGAATAATGGTCGATGACGACGTTGTTCGTGAGCTTCCAGAAGGCCAAGACATGATCGCCGACATCTGCGAAAGTCCCAGTCCCTCCGTCCCCAGCAGTGGGAGAGAAGTGCCTGGCTCCCCGGTGGAGATCAAATTGACCTATTAATCATTTCGCCGTTGCATAGAGCCTTCAGTCCCGACGTCTTTTCCCCTTCTCAGCACAGCCTCAACACCATTCTTCTTGTGCCATAGATTGACTGTCTTGACTTATTTTCTCTCACACGATCGTTGCTCGTCATGACCGCCCGACCTCTTTGTATCAACTCTCACCCTGCTCTTCTCGCTTTCCCTTTGGGATACTGGCAGCACCTGGTGTGTCGCCGATATCGGGATTCACGCGCTCACCCTTCGTGATCTTGAACCTCTGTGCGGTGTCGCTTCGATTCTCTCCCATAACTCTCTTCAATCTCGTGCTTTTTCATTGTCGAATTTTTAAGCTTTCATTGTGCTCATCTGTCATTGGGTTGGCGGTCATTGATTCATTTTCAGGGCGTTGGATACGGAGATAATACACGAATCTCCGGGCAATGATACCCTGTCGCTATATTGCTTTTATGTTTATGTTTTGTTTTTATGATGTCTTATTTTTAGGGTTCTCTCCCATGGCGTTGGCAAATTTCCATTCCCGACGACGATATATGAGTCAATGGGTCACGGTGCAAGGCTGTTGATATACACATACTGCTTGTGTCTTTTTACTGTTGCCATGATATCTTGTTCTTTTCTTTTCTTTTCTTTTTTTTTTTTGTGTGTGTGTTTTCGCTTTCTATGGATTTTGGTCCAGGGAGGAAGTCTACGATGTTGATACCCCGGCTCCAACTCTCGGTTCTGGAAGGTTCGCTCGATCTGTTCCTGCTCTTCATCTGCGGTGCGATCCCCTATCTTCTCTTGCATCTCATGTTTCGTTGGAACGTTTGACTTGGCTTCACTTCTTGTCCATCCGTCACGCCTTTGCCTCTCCACTTCTGCCATGTGGACATGGCTTTTTCTTTTTCTCTTGTCACGCATGGGCGTATGTACACGGATTTGGGATCTTGGATACAGCTAGTCATCGGGGGACGGGGTTATAAATGAATTTGTTCGAGCATAGGTACAGAATACGATGTCCTGGCTGATCACCCTCCAAATACCGGATGCTTCTTTTAACTCTGATCTCCTCTGGGAGCTTTTCTCTATCTCTCCTCGTACTATCGCCTCAATCGGTATACTCTCAAAGAAAGCCGAGCCCCAAACCATTAGAATCGTTAGTGTTACGCCCTAAAGCGCACTTCAAAGGCTCCGCTCCCGCTTCGATATCAACGGGCCTACGTCTCGAACGCACACGTACCCTGACCCATGCTTGCCCCTCCGCCAAAATCCGCATATGCCCGCAGTTCGCGCCAAACCATATATCCCTACCCCTCTTTCCACCACGGTAAAGCCTCTCGACCACAATGGCAATACCTCCGTGTGGCGTGTACCGTCGCAACCCACAGGCCCAAAGCCTGGGGCCTCCGGGCCTCTCCGATGCCCCACCCCCAGAGCCGGTCCCAGCAACCAGGTACAGCGAACAAGGCTGGCAGCCACCCGTCCATGGTTTGCTTTCCTAACTGTCGCTCTTTTTCCATGGATCTGTCTCGACTGGGTTCTCGCGGTGAGCTGCCGCCTCGTCTTTGCTACCAATACCTAAACCAGCACTGTGGACCGCCGATTTTTTTCTCTCTTATTTTACATTCCACCGGCGGGAAATAATGGCTATCATTGGTGGGGTTCTGGGCCGGAGATTTGGCGGAGCAATTATGAAGGATATCATAGTGTGGCATACTCATCGTACTGGGGAATGACAAAAGCGTCTAAGTACCTTTGTCTGGGAGTTTAAATGATGATCATCCTCGACGATTGCGATTGGGATCCGTCTCCCGGTTGAGGTTTCTAGGTTCTGATATTCAGTGTTCTAGAGGGCATTTCGGCTGTGCGAGAGTGCGCCTTTTGGAATTTCTGGTACGGAGCAAATCTTTTGCGATGGGCTTTGGTCTTTCGTTGGTTCGGAGGCTGAATACGGTAAGCGGTCGGTTGATCGGGACTTGTGGCGAGACACGACTTCCGTTACCATTTCCCTATCTCGAGCAAGGTTTCTATCTATAGATCGAGTAGGATCTGGTCTCAGGGGTAGAATTTTTTTTTCCTGCGGGTTATATTATATTATCTATTATTTGGTATTATAGTATATATTGTCGTATAGTTACAAAGTCAAGTCCATACAGTGACATTCATAAAGAGCGCCCACCCCAGGGCCCTATTACCCCAGGGTTATATTACAATCTGTCTTTCGAAATCCTCCACGGTTGATTATTGGAGACAACGGTAATCTGCTATTCAGTAGGACATATTTACTCTCTATGATCGCTTTCATATGACCTAGTACATGTGCAGTCTTTTGATTTTCTATGTAGGCGCGCACACTCTCCTTGAACTGTGTACGGCATTGTTTAGCGCGAGGCCTAGGGATAACGGCTATGAGGGTATTAGCAATCCAATTTTTTCAATACATTGTGTCTAGGCTCAAACACCTTCTTGGTTGGATAGTCTGGGGAAATCAAAGGGTGCTGGGGAAATACTAGCTTCATATAGCTTTCTAAAGGTAGATTGCCGTTGTTGGTTTTTCCTGGAGAATGGTTCAAAGAGATGTACCCAGCCCACGATGGGTGGAACTGACCTCTCCTCTCCATGCAGATAATGTCGAAAAGAGTCTGGTCCTCTATGGAGTTAGCGCTATCTTCGTGTCCATGGTCAAGCAAACATCCAATAAGAATAGGCCCTCCAAAAGCCATTGTACTTGTTCAATCAGTAGCTTATTCCTTGAATCAGTCTCACTTTACCTGTTCATGTCTCATCTCTATGCCAAGTATTGTGAATGTCTTGCACAGAGCACAAGCACCGAATAATCATTCAAACTTCTTTGCATGGAGACAGATTGGTATTGCAACGCTTTCAGCAATGGAGCTTTGCCATCGAGAAAACTGCACTGGCGAACTTATTCGTCCATTATATTATCGGGCTAGCTAGTCTAAGCAGTGCACCCGCAGAGGCGCACACTGACAAGCAAATTGACGCTGCCCAGATCCCTATGAGATTTTTTGTGCCCATAAAAGTCGCTTAGCTCAAGATTTCCATCTTGCAATGGAATCGCTTGCAATTAACCCTACCAAAAAAAAAAAAAAAACCTCTTATTTTATTCAAAGCTTCATCCGCAGAAACCTTAATCCTGTCGTAGTTAAATTTCATAATTTGGTTGATCTGCAAAACAAACCAGACTCTATCGGTCGATTAGTCGATAATCTCGGGAGTCATCCATGGCAAGATCTTAGCCCTGTCGACGGTGGAACCATGGCCTCGGGTCCGATCTAAGCATTACCATCCAGTGGCTCTTGACCCCTCTCTATGACAACATAAGACCAATGCAGATAGTCATTATTTGAGACAAGCAACATCGGCATATCTGCATGTACAATTTGCCAGTGTTTTTCGTGAAAAATGAAATGCAGACAGTTTGCACCAATATATATATATCTGAACAAGACCTATTCAGCATCGACTAACAGACCATAGAACACGACATACGTCCAGGACTAGATAATGGACCATATCATCCCAAACTTCATCAAATATATAGCTCCTTCCTCCCTCACCACACTCGGCCCATATAAAAAATCTCCCTCAAGACATAAAAAAAAAAAACCTAAGTCTCCCCAGTTCTACAGTCGAAGCAACTCCACTCCCCCGCCGATCCAACGTTCTATCGGACAAAAAGCTTCCTGATATGATAGCCCACTCATACACACCGATCGCTTCCAGAACCCAAAACAATGAGGTCAATACATCGAAGCGAGTCTCGATGCTGGCCGTCAACCAGAATATGCCGTCTCAACATCCCCATCATGCCCCTGCAGCCGGATATACCTGCAGGTTCTCCACTCGTTCGTACAGTAAAACAGTAGAACGACACGAATGTGTGCTCGGTTCTAGTTGATGAAATATACCATGTAATTCATACAGTGCTAACTACGGGAGTAGTGGAACCGGAATACCATACAGAACTCTCCCCACTTTCACTGCACCATCCGAATGTTCCAGGATGACGCGCGGTGCCGGCTCTCAGCGTCTGATTGGGGGAAACTTCTCCGTCACGGATCGTCCCGAGTGGAACAAAAACTGAGAAGAAAAAGGAGTTACGGTGAGGTGGGGAGAATACCGTTTAGTGACACAAGCAAAGCTTTTTGTCTTCTCTTCAAAACCGGCTCCACTTCCAAGAAAAACCCTCGCGAATGACACCAGTGACATCATAGGACTGGGGGGAGGGGCTGCATTGGCGCGAGACGGTGTGTACCGAAGGGTGTCCATCGGATAGGATTCCGTCTATGGGAGATTGATCTCAAACGGGTGCTCATGCTAGTGTCGACCGGCGCTATTTACAAGATGAAAGGATGGAAAATGGGGCTGGAAGCTAGTGAGTGAGATTAGAGTATCAGCGACTAGCGACGTTACATACATTTCCTCCGTACGCCGTCTCGTATACAATCCTGATCCACCAGGCTAGAGGGAGTGTACAGTACCGTCAATGTGCGAGGGGAAGATCGACAGGCACACAGCGGGGGGGGAGGGGGATGGTCTAGATCAAAATTTGGGTCGAGGCCGGGTGGGTTGAGGGGATTCAGGGCCTGTTTGGGCCCAGGCAGGCAGTGGCCAAGCCGTAGGTCGATTTAGGGCCACTCGAGCTGAGCAAAAGACCTGACGTCATAAAGGATGGGACACACACTAGCCACAAGAGAGGAATTGAGAAGCCAAAATGGATCAGTGTGGGGTTAAGAGCAGTGAAGGGAGAATGACAAAACTGAGCACGACCTGCCAGGAAAGAAGAAAACTGGCTAGTGCAGTTAGGTCAGAAAAGAGAGTGCTGTATCACAATGATTTCGTCGTCTTTGTTTTGTTTTCTATATGAAGAGGACATCTCGGCTTGTAAAGGTCTCTGGCCTCATCCACAGCCCCCGTTGGTGCTAGGGTTCCGGAAGCTTGGTTCCGGTTTCTTCAAGCTATTTAGTTCATCCTCATACTAATTGATATATGGGGACTTCACATTCTTCACTTACAATCTCACTCCACGGCCTGTCGGGCATCTATTGCTCGAATTCAAAATAAATTCAAAATAAATTCTTTACCAACAGCGTCATAGCAGGTACCGGCATCATCATGCATCGTCAAGAATTAGAGGTAGTCTTCAGGCGACGCTACTTTTATTAGCGCCAAATAACCCCAAGTCTCTCTTAGAAGACCATGAGCTGTCTATCATAATTCATTAGAACCCATGTGATCAAGTTAGCTCTTCAAACTTACTTATTGAATTAATGGCTCTCGATTCTTCCAATGATCCCTGCTGGTACGGTTTACCAGGTTTGCATCCTCTTGATGTATAATCTCTGGACATACAGCGAGTTGTCAGATTTCTGCCTTTATGAGGAGAATGGTGAGAAGTTCATTCTCGCCGCACATGCGTAATGCGCCGTCAGCACAAGCAGTTTACTCCAATCTGACCAGAGACTCTTCTCCAAAATTGGCTGCAAAGCTAAGGCCTTTCACAACCTTAACTTTCACAAGCGGTGCTCGGATACCTTCCCGTCCATTGCATGAAGGGTCCAATGTTCCAATCAAAAGCTATCAGCGACAATCTGGGTTGAGCCTTGGACATGAACAACCTCAAAGCAATGAAGGTGCATCTCTTCGTAATTCTGACATGTGCGTTGTTGGGCAAGAAGCAACGACCTGGTGACGTCGGGGTATATATTTGGAACATTTGTTGATTCAGATGAATTCAGAGGCATTCTTCTGCAGGTTGCAGTTTCCCCGTGGTCGTACAAGGAAAACAAGCTTAGGCAGAGCGCTGCTCCTCCATGGCTATACAGTGTATGTACATAGTATACAGTGTACAATTGTTGGTGTGGTATACTTCGCAGGCACGTGCATGTGCACGTCTCTATCAAAGAGAAGTCGTGCACCTTCCCAAACAGGCAGGCAACACCTCGACTCCCAACATCTCCTTTGCTGCTTCTCTTGTTCTCTTTTTCTCTTCCTTTCTTCTCATCCCTCAACGCATTTGTTCCCATCCACAAACTCACTCGTTTCATCAACACTGAGCTACAATCTCAACCCACACTCGTTCAACCATTGGAATCTCGTGGTAACATGATGTTCGTGAAATTCCATCTGGCCACGCTCATGGCTGTGGTGTTTTTCACGGCCAGATGCATTGCCGAGAGTAAGTTTGTTTTGTTCTTTCCCCTTCTTCGTTCGTCACCTTGTGTCTAAATTTATTTGTTTGTACAGATCTGGATATATTCGAAGAGCTTCAGGGCAAGCGGGATGTTTCTATGGCCCGTGAGGGTAGGCTCTCACCTTCTCCCATTATTCAGGCTGAGATACTGAAAATTTTGATACCAGCCAATAACCTTCCTGACCTGGCGCGTCGTCTGATCTATCAACGTGATGCCAATGGTCAGTTTCTTTATCTGTTATGTTTGGAAATCGTAATTCCGATGCTGATCCAACATTCCTTTTTGTAGGTACGGTGACAGGAACTGATACACCGTATTCGGGTCAGACTGCAACTGTGGTTATAAGCGCGGTTACCACAAGTCCCCCTGAGATCACGGTGCAGATTTTCGAGACGATCACCTTGTCTTGCCCAGAGATTTGCGCTGAGACCCCTGAAGTGGCTCCTGTTGAGACTCCCATCGCAACTACACTGGAATTCACCCAGACTGTCACCCAGTCTTGCAACGAAACTACTGTCACCCTTTTCCCCGAGCCTACCCCCACTCCTGACGCTACGACTCCGGCTGAAACTTGTACTGGTATCTGCGTTACGACCACTGCTGAGGCTCCTACGGAGACTGCCGCAGGGACTTCTATCCAGGTGACTCCAACTCTTACTACCACGGAGATTGCTACCGAGAGAAGCTCCATTGGGGTATGGGTTACAGAGTCTTGCACCAACATTAACTGTAAGACTGCAACAGTCGTAGTGCCTCCGGAAACTGTCTCTATTGGCTCTATTGCTGTTTCAAGCACTCTGGCTACTGTTCCACAGTCGTCAAGGTCTCTCACCGACTTGGTCATTACCATACAGAAGACCCCGTCTGCTATGTCGACTTCGGAGACTCGTAGCATTGAAACTCCCACCAAGGAAGCCCCCACTGCCATCAGCACTGAAAAGCCGTCGGGGACACCTATTCTTAACAGTGCTCAGAGCCTGAAATCTCTGGTCAACAAGGTGATTGCTGTCACTTTTCTCCTGGCTCTCCTCGTTGGAGGCCTTCTGTGAAATCGAAAACTTGAGACTGCGAACCATTCTTTCCCCATCTCCAGGCCTATTGCATGGATGCCGGTATCTTCCTGATGACCAAAGTAAAGATTTGGGGATGATGGAGTCATTATGCATTTATGGTTTCGCGGAAATGGAGTTCTTTTTTCTTATTGATTTGGCAGTTACTATGGACGACGTGCTGGTTCCCAGAATTCTGGGATAATTCTTTAATCACTTCATGTCAAACTGCCAGCTCGCTTACAGAATCTAAGTTAGCTTTAACTAATTCTTCAAATCAATTATTCCTCCACAGAGATTCGAATCATCATAACCTTGCAATATATTAGCTTTCGCTGCCACAATCTAACATATCACGAAACTTCCAAGCTGGTGAGTGATTTTATTGAGGTCTAATAAAAGAACCTTTTCCCTTCTGATCAATGGAAATACGATGCCAGAAGCAGACTGGTTGCATTTTAACAGGGTAATAAATAATATGAACAACAAGCAAACCCCGAGACGCCCTAGAAGAATGCACAACTAAACAGAATTCAAGACTCGGCCATGTAGCAATAGTTGCTGAATAATACTTCGTAGCCAGCGTTGCGCATACCGACACAAGAGTCATTCCGAGAAAGGTGGTTGGGTATCTCAAAAGAAACAATGGGGGTGTATATAGAGGCAATGTATGTGTGGCTCTGGCATATAGAGTATGCAGAGAGGTCTGAATTTCATCGTAAAAGCTTCAATCCTTCCTTTCTACTCTCCCTACCGGGCTTTCAAACCTCGCCTTCGCTGCCAAGGGACTCAATTTTCCTAGTGAGAGCACAGATCCGACATCCATCTCCGATCCTGTCTCGCAACAGTCTGGCTGTTGTTACTTTAGGACCAACGGTTCGAGAGGCTGTGGTTGAGGACGGTTCCTCAGATGGAGAAGATGGTCGAGGGGTGCGATCTGCAGAGCGGTCGGGGGTGCTTGTGTTGGACTGTTGCCGCGATGCTTCGGAGTGAAGATGGGATAGGTGGAAGACGTGGCCACATGCAAAGCCAATGAGGATTTCGCGCTCTGTGGAAAAGAATAGGGTTGGATATGTTAATCGAGAAGATACTTATAGAGGATGCTTAAGCGGGCGCTTACCGTTGGCTTGGAACGGGGCGTTGCAGCCACCACATCTTCCCTGCCCAGGCCCTACCTGCCTTGTCGAACTACCAGATTCCGAGACAGAGTCCTGGGCTGGGGCATTGGCAGGAGCTGTGCCAGAAATTGGTCCATCATCTACAATGTTGTCTTCACGGATGTTGAATTTGATGCCACGGCGTTGCCCTCTCCGAAGAGTATCCATTCCCAGAGCGACCTCACCCTGCATGACGCGCGCAGCACCCTGGCTTATAATCGCCTGCAGGTCATGTTCGCGAATTAACCTGGTCAAACCATCTCGTAGACCTTCAATCTCCAGCCCGCTTGGAATGCGTCGAACGAGCTTGATGGGATCAATGGAGGTGCCGGCCTCAACAAGCAGCCCGTGAATAAACTTTGGCTTGTCCATGGAGTAGTCGAGAAGGTCTTCCCATAGATCAGGGTCATCTTGTGTCTTAGCGAATGATATAGCCTGTGAAACATCCTTCAAGTCCGACAAAATTAGGTTCAAAGCTCGTTTCGTTTGACCCATCTTCGACAGCAGGTAGATCAGTTCTTGAGTAAAGTGTCGCTGCTCGCAGATATGAGTCGCAGTCTCGAAGGTATAGGAGATACTCGTTTGCAAAAACTCCATCAACAGCGGCCGATCATAATCCGCAAATACCTCTACCGCTGTATCGGCGAAGCCGTCGATGAGAGCCTTTCCTTCGTCTGCAGCTAGTCTGCTTGCTGCATCGCGGGCATAGGCTCCGCGACCTCGCGAAGGCTTTGAAGATTCATGCGGTGAAGATTCACCGCGCCACAGCGCCCGAAGGTAGAAATAAAGAAACAGGATGCGATTTGCATCCTTGAGCTGGGACACCACCGACTCGGGGCGGACAATGCCTGTATACGCTTCACTGACCAGTAACCGGATTGGCTCCGCGGCCATCTCCTCCAACTCTGATTTTGGTGCGGATTTCAATTTTTCCTTAGTAACGCGGATCAAGATGAAAGCAGGGATGTTATCTGAAACTGCATCTACAAGGCGATGCTCCCGAATCAAAGACATGGCGGCTTCCGCATCTTGCAGGCGGATATAACAGTGTAGTGCCTCGCGATAGTGCCCGCCGACCAGATACAATCTGGCGAGACAATCTGTGAGAACTCGCCATTCATCCGATTCCACACGGATAGAGTCCAGCTTCAATTGTTCCTGGATCGCCAAGGTGACATGGTTAGAATCGAAAAGATCCGAAGGCCATGTCTCAACCAGCTCTCTAAACCGACATAGGTCTCGAGAGACATAGTAATTCAAAACATGCTCATAAACTGAGGCAGAGAGTGAGGGGTGCAGGTCTGTGGGAATGTACGGAGTGAGCTCATCTAGCTTGCCCTCTTTGATGAACATCCACGCCCAGTGCTCCCACCGAGAAGCGTTGCGAAGCACCTTGCCACAAACCTCTGCGGCCTGGGTCCACTTATCCTCACTGACTAGCTGTTCGGCCCAAAGTTCACCGATTTTGGCCTTTTCTTGGTCCGAGGCTGAGGCCTTTATCCGGCCAGCTGTCATGATAGATGATTGATCATCAGCAAAGAAGTCTCCTAGGCTACTTTCTGATCTCAATGACCCAGAAGGTATCTCGGCCAGGTCGGCCATTAAACCTGCAGCACCAGGGTGCTCGTCAACAAGTTTCCAAGCTTCTTCGAATCGACCGTGCGAATTTAGCCAAGATAGTCGGTCCGTGAGATTTCTTTTCACGGCAACAACACAGTCATATGGACTGTGGACAAAAACTTTTGCGCCTAAAGCCCCGGAGACATCCTGCATTTCCTTGGACAATATTTCGTCACCGGAGACGTGTGTGGAGGCGAAAGAGGGCGGCGCTCTGCCGGACACTTTATCCCCGCTGCTTGTAGTACTGCGAATGCTGGCGCCAGAGCTAAACAGCCGGGCAGGGTACATGGTAGCATCCAATAAGCCGTGTCCAAGAGCCCCCAGAGCACCTCGCTGGACTACCTGTCCTTCAGGTGTTTTCCAAGGAGGTAAGACACTCAGATGATAATCGGAGGAAGTCAGTCCCTCAAAGCGGCTGGCAGATAGTGTGTCGGCGCTCAGCTCTTCCTTGGTTTCAATATCGATGATCCGTAACTCCGGCTCCAAGCCTCTTTGTCGTTGATGTCGTCCAGGCGATTTCCCGGTGACACTTTCAGGAGTAGTTGTGTCCGCCTCGATATAGGCAAGGATCACAAGGAGACGTGGTGTATACAAAGAGATGCCTGAGATTATACAGTCGGTTCGCAATCTAAAAAGTGTAAGTAAAGTGTCACCAGAGGTCAAATTCTCAGTAAGCTTACATCGTAGTGACCTCTGCGGATCCATATTTCTCCCCTTTGGACGATTTGCTTGCCCGGTCAGGGAATACATCGATAACCCACACGGTACCGCCCCAGCCGACAACCAGTTTCTCGACGTTCTTGACCGCTGGTGTCAATTTGGGTGCTTGTTGTGTCATGTCATCGCTGGGGTCCAGATTGTCATGGCTATCTAAGGCAGATTGATCAATCCATTCAGCACGCGCTTTCCATACACTGGCCATTTCCTCCCAGCCAGGTCGATTGGGCCGATCAATGTGGCTAATTCGTTTCCATGCAAACTCGGATTCCGAGGATTCCAGGTGTAGATTAGAACGCATGATCTTGATTCCCTCTTCGTTGACCCAGGTAACATATTTGCCCGACAAAGACCACCGAATTGTACCTATTGCGCCTTCGCCACTGTGCAGGATGGTATCTTTGCCGTTATTCGTGCCCAGTCCCATTGAACCGAGCCAGCTCGAAGCTGCCGCCGTTGCACCGCCCATTGTGGTGGCATTTGAACTGGCTCCGACTCGGCCACCAGTAGTTAAAATCAACTCTCCCGCGAGACCACCAGATAAAAACGTCCTGTCACTTTTGTATTCCGGGGAAAGTGCAACTGCTTTAACTGGTCGCCCAAAATTTCGTTTAAGAACATCCTTTGGGTCGACTAATGAGGATATGCATACATTGCCGTCGATGGAAGCGGATGCGATATAGATAGAGTTTGATGGTATATTTGGGATAGATGCCTGCTTGGTAAATCTCGGATTGCCGCGAATACTGCCCGAGTTTGTTGAGGTGCGTGTCGGAGGTCGAGAATCCTCAGCGCCTAATCTGCTAGGAGCATCAAGTTTAACGTTTGGTAGGGGAGGAGGGAATGGCGATATGGATATGGATGTCACGCTCGCTGAATGAGCATGGTACACTCGGAGAGGCTGCAGGAGGGGCAACGACAAGACATGCTTCAAGAAAGTGAGCTTATTGCTAGACTTATTGGCATGAGCCTAAAGTGACTTACAATGACCCCATTATGTGTTCCGACAATCTAAATAAATGTATTGTCAGCTTTCTCTTTATGAGGGATCTTCAATTTAGACGCACCATCTTGTCTCCGGCAACCAGGAACGTGCTGGTCGCATCCCCGTTGCGATAGACTGATCCCAGGTGTTTAGTAAGGTACGCATATTTGAGCCGAGGCTCCTCGTCCTCCTCATCGGGATCATCTTCATCTTTGTCTTCATCTTCATCCTCGCTATCGTCGGTTTCCTCGGTATCGTCCTCGCTGTCCCGATGACGTTGCTCGTGTTCCTGAGGGTTCGTACCCGAGGGCGACCTGTTTCGTGTAGAGGACGTGCCGCACTCTGAGGCCTCTTTTTCAGGGCTCCCGTTCGCCGCTGTCGCGCCAGGCGCGTCCATGCCGAGTCCCTTGTAGCGCCCGGGGCTTCTAAGCGAGTTGGATTCGAGATGCGACGAGCAGCAAGCATCGAGCGGGACCTGGGCTGCAGCTCGGGAGCTGGGGTTCGGGTGGAGCTATGCTGACTAAGCGGATCAGAAGTTCCTCAACCCATGGCATCGTCATCGGCCACTTTCATTTGGGATTCCGTAGCAAAGCCATGTTTGCAAGGACGACCGTCTGTGCCGCTTGTAAGCGGTCGACACCTCTACGTCTCCTGAGACGACCGCAGAATCATTATCTCCATGCATCGCCAGCATTGGAACTTCCGCGCCGGAAAGATTTCTTTTCATCCAATGCCTTCCTAACACAAAAGCAGCTCAGCAAGAATGAGGGGTCGTCAGAACTCCCCGAATCCCAGAAACAGCGCAGACGAAGTGGGAGGACTCCTGCAGCTCCTACATCCCTACGGCGAGTTGCGGTGGAGGCACAAAGATCGAGGGATGGATTTCTCTCCAAAGCCCAGCTCAAGGAGCAGGGCATTCATCAGACTAAGGTAATACTAAAACCGAGTCAAGCTATAGGAAGGGAATCAGACTGACCTTGATATGATTTTCACAGACAGTGACAGCCTATGCTGTGGCTGAACAATTCAACATTCGCCAAGTCCGAGAAATTTTACAAGAGAAAGGCTATGAACCAGATCCATTAAACACCGGCCTTTACCCACAGGTAGTTCACGTTCAAATACCTATCGACTCGATACGCCGGGTTGGGAACCCATCAACAACTGGTCTAGCCTCTGATGAAGTCGGCGATGTGTTTGTTTTTCCGTCAGGAACCGTGGTGGCATGGTCGCTCCCTGAAGGGTTCACATCATTTTTGGCGACTCGAACTCTTCTTCCAGCTGCAGAAGGGGCTCATGTCGATGACCTCGAGACTGAGGATCTCGAGTTTGTTGAGGATCCTAAACGGGACAACAGTAGCATTAAAGGAGACACCATCGTTCTTGGGACTAAGTCCAGCAACGATGGATCTGAAATACCGCTTGCAAAACAACAATCTATTGATACTGTTTTGACCAAGGTTGCATTCTCTTCCGGTCTAGCCAGAAGTACAAAACTCGCGGTTCTTGAAAGTCTTCTCTCGAACTATTTCGAGTCGACCCGCACAATCCCGACTCTTCTATCACAAGGCTCCCGCTTGCCCTTTACTCGCGATTTCATTCTTCGAAAGACAGGGCAACTTCTCAGTGTGCGCGCACAGCTCAACCTCTACTCGGAACTTACAGACTCCCTCCCTGATCTCTTCTGGGACAGCCGGCATGAGCTTGGTCTGGAAGGGTATTATGAGCAGGTTGGGCGGGCCCTAGACGTAGGAATCCGCATCAAGCTCCTAAACGAAAAAATGGACTATGCACAAGAGATTGCAAGCGTCCTACGTGAACGACTTAGCGAGACACATGGTCTTCGCCTCGAATGGATCATTATTCTCCTCATTGCCGTCGAAGTTGGCTTTGAGGTGTTGCGGTTGTACAAAGAGAGACTCCACGAACAGGAGGAGATCTCACGAAAACGATCATTCGAAGCTGGAACTGTCTGACATTTCAAATACCCACATGCTAATTCAATAGAGATACCCCTTCCCTCTTCATATCTCGTATCCCGTACCCCTGGTAGCCGTAGTTGCACTGGACTCCACAGCGGAGCCTTCGGTGTTGGTGATGAGATGTGTGATCACCTGAACTGTGACGGATGATCGCCTTAGTCAGCGAGGCTTGGCAGTCTGGGGCGATAACAACCCCAACCTCCATTCAAGTTGTTTTGCCTTTTGTATTTCAGTCAATAATCCCTGCAGTTCTTTGGTTGTCAATAGTCGAAGCTTGGAATACTTAACTGGGTCTCAAATATGCTGGGTGAAACTCAGCAAGTCCTGGACATCCCTGGACCCCAGAAGCTCCTCAAGACCCTCGGTACCTGGTGGCTGTCGTCAGCTGCAGATGATAGGCCGATCCCAGGAACATCAAGATCTTGTCCTCTGTCAGAAACTAGCTGCCAAGTCAAGTACCATGGCCAAGATACCTGCTGTTTCAACTATCCAGGTGGCCAGATGTTGCAAACACAGTTCTGGGACGTTGACCCCGCGCTTGGGCCCGATGACTCGTGGACTATTCACGGTCTTTGGTAAGATTATCCCACACATGTGCAGAGCCGGAAAATTCATGTAAATTTAAATTAACACGAGCCAGGCCTGATCACTGCAATGGTGGCTTCGATCAGTTCTGTGATTCGAAGCGGAAGTACAGCAATATCTCACTTATCCTGGTGGACTCCGGTCGCGGAGACTTACTGGAGTACATGAGTGAGTATTGGAAGGACTTCCGTGGCGATGATGCTCATCTGTGGGAACACGAATGGAACAAACATGGCACCTGCGTCAGCACCCTTGAGCCTCACTGCTATGAGGATTATATCCCGCAACAGGACGTTGTAGACTATTTCGACAAATCAGCCGAGCTCTTCAGGCAGCTTCCTTCATATGAGGTAAGTCATAGTTTGAAAAGTTTTCATCAATGATGTTGCTAACTACCATATAGTTCCTGGAAGCTGCAGGCATTCTGCCGTCTCAAACACAAACATATGCTCTTGAAGACATCGAGGATGCACTAGAACGTAGCCATGGTGCTCCCGTTACGGTTCGCTGTCGACATGGCCTCCTCAACGAGATATGGTATTATTATAATGTTGCTGGAAGTCTTCAAACAGGAAAATTCGTTCCTGCGAAGCCAGGTGAGTCAAATTGCAAAAGATCTCCTTGCTTAGGTCATATCAGATTAACAAGCTGCAGATGGTCAAGTTTCAAACTGTCCTAGAAAGGGGATTCGGTACCCGCCTAAGCGATCCCAGAATGAGCCAACAAAGACAACTACTCGCGGCTCGGAACCCACCGCACCCGGTAGCCCCTTCTCGGGCAAAGGAAACTTGATGGTCTCGACCCTTAATCAGAGACGTGGATGCATCATCAGTTACGGAACATGGTATTCGTCGGGGACGTGTGCTACCTTCCGGACAAAGAGGGCCTCGGGTGAGTCTCTATTTTTTGATATGACGTTCTATTTCATAAGCCTAGACTAATATGAGCTTTTGTCGTTGAATTTTTTGCAGGAGACACATTCACTTTGAAATCAAGCAAAGGACTTTGCGCTGTCGAACACGATGTCTTGACCTGTGGTCCTCAAGTTGATACTCCAGCCGAATTTACAGTGTGTATTCTATCCAATAAGTGTCTAATTGTCATGCTAACTAGGCTACTACTTGGCAGGTCAAAGATGAGAAACTCTGTTATCAAGGCAACACCACCTTCTACGCAGAGAAGGCGCCTAAGGGACAAGTCCAAAGCCCCGTCTTCGTCACCTCAGATGAACATCCTATTGAGCTCGAGATCAGCTGGAAGTCAAAGGACTCCTACTGACCGCATCTTTCTCGTTCGGTATTTGTTAGCATCTCTCGGTATATTTGATGTCTCGGCTACGTTGAGACATTATTAGATCCATCGATTTACAATAAGTCACAGGGCATATTATCATAGCAATCTATCCATATTGGAGTATCCTACAATCAGTATCGCTTGTGTGTTGTTGCTGACTCTCCCCACTACTGAGCCCACTTCAGCAAAGTGGGTCTTTCGGGGAAGGCTCCGTCGGAATATTCCCCGCGTTAATAGACATAGAAATACGCAAGTCTACTGTACCCCTTCAAATACCGTAGAAAGCCCAGAAGGACCATCTTTTCTACATAATTAAGACGATTTATAGTTTCTCCTTAGACACATTGCCTTCCATGTCAAGGGAGCCCATCAACGCCCGTCGAGGCATCGAAGATTCCGGCACCATCATTATTGTGGACACTGCCGACTTCAACGTGAGTGAATTATCATTTTGAGGTTCTTTAATCATTACTTATCTCTATAATATCAAGTCAATCGCCCGTTTCGGATCACCGGAAGGTACCACAAACCCATCGCTATTATACCTAGCAGCACAACAACCCCAATATGCACACCTCGTGGAACGCACGCTTCAATACGCTCGCAGCCTACCCATAGATGCAACCTCCCCGAGCTCTCGGTTAGATCAGGCTGTTGAGTATCTTGCAGTGCTTTTTGGTACCGAAATTTATCGTCTTACGGGACGTATTTCTACTGAGGCCGACGTTAAGCATTCATTCAATACAAAAGAAACTGTCAATGCGGCACTTCGTATCATTAAGCACTACGAAAATCAAGGCATTGCAAAAGAAGGTGTCCGTATAAAGATCAGTGCTACATGGGAAGGAATACAGGCCGGTCGCATCCTTGAGCGGGAACATGGAGTGAGCGTTTTGATCACGATTGTATTTGGCATGGCTCAGGCAATCACTGCAGCAGAAGCAGGGGTCACATGCATCGCTCCTTACGTTGGGCGCATTGGAGACTGGTTCCGTGCCCAAGGATTACATCAAGACGAGGATATGGGCGTCTATCGTGTCCAACAGATGCAGAATTGGATCCGCAAATATAACCATCGGACGCAGGTCATGGGCGCCAGCTTTCGCAATATCAACCAAGCCAAAAATTTGGCAGGAGTTGATTTGCTGACCATTTCTCCGGCGATTCTGGATGACTTAGATCAAGACTTGAGCAAGGTGATCCCACAGGTTACACTTGAGACCGGTAAGCGCAATGGATGTTCCATTCTCGGCTAATTTGATGGCTCTACTGATTACTTCTCAAATAGCACAAAATGCCAATCTAGGACCTGTTTCTTACATCAATGACGAGGGTGCCTTCCGCTGGGCATTCAACAATGACCAATGTGCCGTTGAGAAGTCCGCGGATGCTATGCGACGATTTTCTGAAGACACGGAGCATCTGAAACAGCTTCTGGCATCTCAATTAGGAGAGAAATGAAATAGGTACCCAAGTCATAGATAATATGAAGTTTAATAATACTGTCAACAACCTATCACTCTATGCCTACCGAATCACACTTTATCCGGTTCCTGATGCTGACAGGTCTGGGGCTTTCCATCACTCTCGCCACTACGAAGCATTAACTCAAGCTATTGATAGTTAGTTTGGTAATCCATGAGATGGTAGTCACTAGGCTTACAAGTTCAAGATCTGCCAGCCCCTGCTCTGGGCTCTGCTCAGGGTTCTGTGTTCCCTTTGCTAGCGCCTCTCCCCAGGATCGAACCTCCGGTGGGACACCAGTGCGCTCATCTTTGACCATTTGTATATCCTCTTTTCCGTCTAGTGTTCTTACAGTGACTTGTGAATCCGAGACGGTAACACTTCCATTCTCGCAGCCGATTGTGAATTCATGGCCCACCAGAGGATTCCCATTGGATAGCTGGAAAGTTCCTTGGACCCCTGTGTTTGTTTTCAAAATGGAATCCAGAGTGTCAACAGGGAGTAGGTAACTTTTGAGCAGTGTCGTGAAAGCAGCCAGGTGAGTGACGTATGTGTCTGGTCCAAGAAGTAGTCGCAGAGCGGCCGCATGATGAACTCCACCATCAAGCAAGAAGCCGCCTTGGTGGGTCGGTACTTTTCTCCATTCCGTGTCTAGATATTGATTAGTATGCAAGGAATCACTCTCTGTGAGTAATGGGGACACCTCACTGAAAAATTTCCCATCCTGCTGGATGTTGCCGTACACCCGGGCTCGGAATCCCAGTACTGGCCCCAGCTGTTGAATTTTCTCCCGGGCAAGCCGAAAGCTATTCAGATAACGAATATTTTCCGCAACACTCCATGTTGCCTTTTTACCAGGTTTGATATTCTCATAATACCATTTGATCAAATCATTAGCTTCAGCTACATTTTCCGCGACTGGTTTCTCTGACAGAACGTGCTTTCCAGCAGAAAGGGCCTTGCGAACAAAAGAGGCCTGCTGGGCGATAGGAAGACTTGCCAAAGATGTTATTTTTGCAAGATTTTGTCTAGAAATAGATGATGACTCACGCGATAATTACTGCATCAATGTTGTTGTCACCAAGAAGGTCTTCATATTTCTGCTCAAGGTCCTCCGCATACAAGGCCAAAGCTTTTCCAGAAGCTTGGGCAACATCTTGTGCAGATTTTGATGACCGAGAGTAGATAGCCTTCAGTTCAAAATTCTCAGATGCAAGCACGGCTGGCTGTGGAGTAACTAGATGTTAACAAGGAGGACCCATCTGGAAAACAATGACCCCACATACCAGATGCTCTTCTTTAGCCCAGATTCCTCCGCCTACTAATGCAACTCCGATAGCCATTCTTAGTAATTGCGCAGAGAACGAATCTGAATCTTTAATCATACATCAGGTTTGTCTGATCACTTTTATACCTTTCGTGTAAAAGCGCTTGACAGAAGTGGGGTACAAGGTCGCACAGAAGTGCGACGAACGGGGACCAAACAGGGCACGGGGAACATCCCGGTGGGGCCGCCGAAAAAAGAAATATGAAAAGTGCTCGCCTTTCTTTATAAAAAAAGGAAGAAGAAAAACGACTGCCATTCTTGATTCAAAGTCTTATGGTTTTCAGGTTGAACGAATCCGATGTCTAAAGTAAACCCTTAATTTGGCATTATGGGAGGCGATGTTGCTTCAATAGCAACCCTTCCTTTTCAACTTTCTTTGCTCTCGAGGCAGATAACATCATCTTCTTCGAGAGGATCCTAGCGCCGAGGATTTAAATTCCAAACCTATGTATACTGCAGAAAAAGAGAACAGGGCAAGCGGTGTGTCTTGCTGGGTCAGCCTATCTGGTGCATAACTGGCTTTTCACAGCCATTCCGGCAGAGCCATTCGAGAGTTACACGTTTCTCAGCGTGATGCCCAGTATTTACCAGTCTTACGGATGATTCAATTCTTTCAAATTGGGATATATACGCGGCTATTGCTTTGTTATGCTTGTTTAACTGAAGCTTTACCTCGAGCCAGATCAGGTTTAGCTTCCCCGCGTTTCGGGGCGTCTCTCCGCACTCCCGCCCTCCCGCACTCCGCCACAAGCCCCATGAACTGTCTAAACTGCCACTCAGACCATCCTACTTAGTACTTCATGCCCGAGGACCCTGAGAATCTGCAGCCCATTCGTCAGGGGCGTTCCAAAACGCAACTAGCATGTGACACCTGTCGACGGCGGAAGTCCCGCTGTGACGGTGTCCGCCCAGCATGTACCCATTGCCTTCATGCGGGCGCTGAGTGTCATTATCGAACAGCATCAACTGCATTAGATAAGTGAGTGACGCCCCATAATTCTGGATCTTTTGATTATTAATTTTTGAAAGTGACTCTGCATTTATGCTTCGCTTAACAGCAATTGAGGCTCGTTTAGACGAGTTGGAAAATCAATCATCGCACCCAGACCCCGGGCATTCCAGAGATGGGAATGCTCCTCTTCATTCAAATGAGTTAGTAATATTTAGCCTTGATCGATTTCCCGAGTTCCACCATGGTGGCAATCATAAAATGCTGCATTATTGGTCTCGTCTGCGCATTAACTTGACCATTCCCGATGTGGATATTCTCCAATATCTGAAGCAATCCGAAGATCGAGATGTCCGGTTTAAAGAGCTATTACCGGCAGAACTTCTCCAAACTGCTTTGCCCCTTCCTCTGATTGAAAAAGCAGCTCGGTCTTTTGATAACGTACTTTCTCAACTACCAATCGGATTTGTCACGCTTCTTCAGAGCAGTGACTTGTTTGGGACTCGGATCTTGTCACTGCACAATTTACTATCCGCGTGCATTGATAATGGCATTGAGGGCATTCATCTAGGAGAAATATCTCCGAAAGACTTGCTTCTTTTGTGTATCTTTTATAGATCACTGCCAAGCACACAAGGATTCCGGACCTCTGATATTTGCTTCGCTATCGTTCTTCAACGTCTCTGGCAGGCCCAGATAGAAGTCGACGAGGTCTCTTTGCCCTTCCTGCTACTGGTGGCCCATGTCTTCCTTTACATATATGGGATGCCTTTCAAAGCGCTTGGAATACTTCGGATCTCGGACCCAATAATCACCCGACTGTTTAGTCGAGCTGAAACAAGGTAAGTATTCGCACTTTTTGTGAGCAGGGGCCCTCTGCTAATGACCACAGTACACCAAATGGACACGTCACCATGTTAAATCGGGTCTTTTATATTTTTCAAAGGTAGTGAAAGATGCTGAGTATTTCTTTTGACACTCGAAAGCTAAAATATTGGGCAGCGATATTCTCTCTGAAATAGATGGTACTCCATCCGCCTGTTTACCCCGACCTCTCTTCAATGACGCTGAAGTCCATTCGCCGGCAAGGAGTAGAGCTAGTGGCACACATAACATGAGCGAAGATCTATTTCTGGCCAACTTGTGGCTTCGTTCATGTATGAACCGTATCCTTACGCATATGTTCAACACAGACCAGGCCTACTGTCAACCTCGGGACGTGAGCTCAATTATTTCAGAGCTCTCTTTGCAGCTAGAGCGCTGGTTCCAAAATTTACCTTTAGATTTACAATTTGTTCGAGACGTACGCAGCTTTCGGCTTCAGAGGGCTTCGGTGCCGATCCACATGGTCAGTGAAACATATTGGAAAACCCCTGTTTTATCAGCTTCTCATAAAGATCAAATTTGCAGAGGGAACTATGTCTTCGATATCATGCGTGTGTGGCTATCATGAAACGACCTGTCCTGTACCATGTTCTATATCAGAATATGGAGAAATCAGCAACCACGCCTCCCGGCTCGGTATCTGAAGCAGACCGTCATCTCGAGCCATGGGTTTTAGAAATTTGCCGCGATTCAATCGAAAGCGCCAAGCTTATCATCCTTGTACTAGCTTCCCAATCGCGGCACCTGTCAGGAGGCTTACCTGCTAGCTCTCGTCTCCCTTTATCTCCTCTTCATGAAGACCAATCATCTCCGAGCTATTTATCATGGACAGATGTACAACTTCTCGTCGGTGCCTATGCGTTGCTGCTATCTGTGCAGACGGCTGCATCGTTTTCTTTCGCTTTCCGTGAAATTACAGAGATTGGTGAGATCTTAGACTCTGCAGAAGATGTCTTGTCGGGAATATCATCCCAATCATCGGGCTATGCGGATACGCTGGAGATTCTAACGAACATTCGACACACCTTCCAAAACTCGACTCCCTTGGCCGGCTTATGATGGATTGAATCTATCACGATACCCTGATACATGGAATCTGGTTGTGCACAGAACCCTCAAAACCAATCCTTCTACAGTGATGTCTCTAAAAAGTAAACCTTATCTTGACGACTTTTACACTTGCTCTCTGATTTGCCAATGCGTATCCTTTTCCATCGGCGCAGGACTTGCATCCTCTTCCTGGAACGAAAAATTGTACGTTGACCACTTCTTGGCTGGAACACGCTCTCGAAAGAGAATCGAGATCTCCAGGATGGATCGACCTGTCGTCTCACCAACGCAGAAGTAGATGTACCATAGAGAGAATATCGTCGTTCCCGCGTAAATAAATGCCAACATCGCTCCCAAATTGGCTGTATAGTACAAGTAGGGAGCAGTGAACGATATGACCCAAGTGGCCAGAAAAAAGGTCACGATCGAACAAGACATGATTTTGTTTCTATTGGGACCCACAGCCACTTCACTAGCATAAGTAAAAGCCAGAGGGCCCAGGCCAATATTGAATGCGACGATGACCACGTAACTGATTACCACGATGGCGATCGCCGGGCCGATGGTCACTTTGTGGGTTGCAATTGCACCAATGATGATGTACGCGAAGAACATCATCGACGTTGTGACAAGGAGGTTCTTTCGGCGGGGAACCTTGTTGCCCATGAGAATCGAGACTCCAACCGCAACAACCTGCAGGATATTCGTTATAAGCGAGATGGTGAAGGCCTGTGCCAATCCGAGAGACTGCGCAAAAACCACACCATACGAGTAGAAAAACACAATTCCGTTCATCTGCTGTGCTGCCATTGAGCCACATGAATAGAGCATCTTGCGGCGTTCGATCGGATCGGCGATCAAATTCCACCAAGAAGAATTCTTCTCTACTGTCTCATGGGCTCTTTGGCGTCGAACCTCCTGCTCCAAAGTGGCGATATCGCTGGTCGGGTCATAAGATGCATTGCTTCTATTGATTCGACGCAGCGCAGCCTCTGCCTCGCTGTGCCGTTCCTTGCTCATATACCACGTCGGACTTTCAGGGATGAAGAACAACCCAACAAGCATCATCAGTGGCAAGCTGATTAGCAGTCCCATTGGAATACGATATGACGCCGAAGAGTGCTTGATGCTGTTTGTGCCCTGCGTGATACCCGATGCCACCAGCTGTGAACAAGACTGCAAGAATTGGAACATCATCAATGCAGGACCACGAATCTGTCGCGGCGCGATTTCGCCGATATAAAGAAGACATGTCACGGTGAAGTTGCCAATCCCAATCCCTACTAGAATCCGGCCCAAGATTATGATGCCCTCGATGCCGGCGTCGGCTACCTGCGCTATGCCACCGGCGATAATTGAAATTGAGGCCATGGAAAACACGGCCTTGCGGCCCCAGCGTTCATTGACAGGAGCTGCGATCAACGCGCCCACCAGCTCGCCGACATAAATGATGGATGTTGTGATTGAAGTGAAACTTGCATCAAGCGCGAAGGCGCCGGTTGAAGCATCATAGTAGCCATAGACGTCCTTGAAGGCCTGCATGCCCAAGATTCCTGTATAATATGTCTGATCATAGCCGTAGCAGAGAGCTCCAATTGCGGAGATGGCACAGCAGACAATCGCCCAGCGATGGTGCTTGACCTTGAGCTCCATCGAAACGAGGGCCTAATGAGACGATTCGAATAAACACAAGGACGGAACGAAGATTGCCAACTGCATAGCCCCTTAGGTGGAATGGATGAAGAGAAGCTTCCCCAGATAAGTGGAGTTGTCGTTGCTGGACGGCATCTCCACCACCCGCAACATCGCCCACCCGTCAAACTCGCGAGCTTAAGGCAGACGACGCGCTCCTCCGCTTTTGCAAGTCCACAGTTTGGGGGCGGCCGGGAAGCTCCCCGAACCGTGCACCAATTGCAGCGGGTGGCGCGGCGGGAGGATGTGGGTCATGTTGAGGACTCCATGTCGGAGGATCCCCCGAAGGTGGAGAAGTGGGATGATAGCAGTGAGTACGGAAGATGGCCGTGATGGATGGACTTCAATGCTGAGGGGTAACGAGCGCTGGGTCCGCAAGCTGATATATAACACAGATGGAATAGCCTGACCGGACTGGTCTCGAGCATCCACCACGACAATCGCCATGCCTTATATAGTCGGCCTCAACAGCGGTTCCTCATTCGATGGAGTCGATGTGGTGCTCTGCACCATCGATATCGCTGAAGATGGTCATCCCTCGCGGCCCAAGTATGTGGATGCGGTGACCGTCGACTGGCCGGACGAGCTGCAGCCATTGATAATGAAGGCGTTCGAGAACAAGCTTTCACTGTTTGAGATGACGCGAGTCAACTATGCGGCAGGTGCTGTCTACGCCGAGGCCACCAATGCTCTTCTGGCAAAGGTGGGCATCAAGCCGGACGAGGTCGACGTGCTCGGCTATGATGGCCAGACAATCTATCAGGAACCTCCAGACCGAGCCAAGATCGCAGAGTATGTGTCTAGTGGGACCAAGAGTCTACTGGATCTGTGGAACAAGGGCGGATTCGCCTGTGGCTATTTCATCGTTGAGTCAGGCGTGGTAGCGGCATTGACCAATATCACGACCGTCACCCAGTTTCGGCCAGTCGACCACGCCCTTGGAGGATCGGGAGCACCCCTGATGCAGTATCTCGACTTTGTCTCCTTCCGCAACGACGGGCCTACCGTCACCCTCAACATTGGCGGTATTGCCAACTTGCAGCTCGCTGACAAAGATCGTCGCAACATGATGGCGTTCGATACCGGGCCGGGGAATGTGATGCTGGACCACGTTGTCAAGGTACGAGCAGGAAAGGCGTACGACAAGGATGGCGAACTCGCCGCCAAGGGCCAGGTGATTCAGCCTCTGCTGGAAGAACTACAATCCCACGAGTTTTTCCGCCGAAGTCCTCCCCGGTCTGCATGGAGATTGGACTTCGGCTCCCACTATGCCGATGATATCCTCCAGCGTTACGCATCTTCATCCACCGAAGATCTCCTGGCCACCTTTACGATGTTCACAGCAACCTCGATCGAGCGGGCACTGGTAGACTTCATTCTGCCCAAGACGAAGATTATGAAAGTTGTCGCCAGTGGGGGTGGAACGAGGAATCTCGAGTTACTCCGCCTCTTGACGGAGCGTCTGGCAACTCATGGACTGAAGACGTGCGTGAGCACTGAATTTGGTCTTCCAGCCGCCTACAAGGAGGCGATTAAATTTGCCACGTTAGCTTTTGCGGCAAAAAGAGGCCTTGCTAATAACATCCCGGCTGCTAGCGGGGCATCTTCGTATGCAGTTCTCGGCAAATTGACAATGGCACCAAGGCTTGCGCAGGGAACAGAGCCGCTGACGAAGGATTAGCTCTACCATCCATCGACAGAAGGTGAGAGATAGAAATATTTGCGGGTTTCATACGCTATGAGCAAATGAAAACCGCCACTGACGTGAACCAGTCATTCACGCATTTTGTCTTTGGGGTTGGATTGGCTTATGGTAGTGTGCACCAAAGGAACGGCTTATATGGACCGAAGTAGACATATCATATGTAATATGAATTATGAGAGAGATACGACAATCTGAGCTTATTGAAGGAAAATGTTCTGGGTGTTGATGAACAACCCCATTGAAGGTAGCCAGTTGTGCTGAGACAGAATATATATTACTGCTAATACTCCTGGTATTAATAATAAGGGCCAAATCTTCTATGACATGATCGTATGTCCATATACCTATAGGAAATTTTTATATTCAACTCAACGCCTCTAGAGGTAGAAAAGCACACCAGGAGAATATACCCGCAACTAGCTAGCTACAAGAGTTTCCATTGAGAGCCCATGAAATGAAATACAGATGGAATAAGGAAAATAGAGGGGAACATTAAGGGAAAGGGGAAGCAAAGCATTTCCATCAATTCCGCAGGCAGGATGAAGCCACCGAAGAAATAGCATCATGCCCCATATATGGACCTTGGGAACCATACCCCTCCAAAAAAATGGCAGAGAGCAAACAAGAATCAAAAATCGAAAAGTACATAAAGTTGGGGCAACAGGCAGACAAATTGAGGGCAATAAAAAAACTCCCCCAAGTCCCCAAGTTACTCCAGAAAAGATAAACCCCGAAACCCTGGTCAAGGATTGTTGTCATGTGCGCTAAGGTCCGAATGTGCAATAGAAAAAAAAGTCAGGTGCCCACGAGCTAGCCGCCGCCGCAGCCAAGGCGTTCGCCTGGGAAAGAAAGAAAAGAAACTCCCGTGTGTCGTGCGTCGTCAGATTTTACAGGCTCATATCGTGTCATAAAAAGATTGTGTCACGCAGGAAAGCAGAGGAAAGAAGGCAAGTCGCATCGTCCATGCCATGCTTTTGGTTCAGAAAAAGAAGAGCACCGCTGGTCATGCAGGTGTAAGTCGCTCAAGGGTCAACAAGAAACTCGTTGGACAAAGAGTCGATCTGATCCGAGTAAGGGTCGTCGAGAGGATGAAGACCGGAGAAAGTTTTCTCGGGCATGTCATGATAGAACGACGACGTTGGAAAATCGGATGCATCGACGTAAGCGTAGGTATTGGAGAAGCTGGACAGAGCCTGGGTAGTGATAGCGCCGAATTCCTCTTGCACCTGCTCGGAGGGATCTTGGGTCATGAAAAGATCGATCTCAGAACCTACAGATGACTCGGCAAGGGTGGGTGCGGTGTGCGGAGAAGACATGTCGTGAGGAGGAGACAAGGCGGAGTCGCTGTATAGGTATTCCCGAGAAACAGAGTCTGCCACAGCCATGTTGGGGTTGAATTGAGCAATAGCTTGCTCATATCTGGCATGAGCGATTTGGGGGGGGGACAGCGGCGGGAGCATATCATCGTCGAATTGAGAGCTGAATGAGTTACCAGCAGGGTGCGGTGATGACATGTCACCAATGCTCGCACCAGGAGAGGCGGGGGGCGTGAATGACGACATGCTGTGGGATGGAGCGTAGTTGGGGGACGTGAACACGGGGGCTTCTTGAAGAGTTTCCTCGCTCTTAAGGGAGGAAACAAATTCTATCTTCTCGGCGACACGTTGACGAGTACGGGTAGACTTTGTTTGACGAGTTTCCAAGTCAGGACGGTTCTTCTTGGGTGGACGGCCACGTCGGGTGGTCTTCAGGGTGTGGCCATTGTAGCCTCCAATGCACATGTCACGCTGACGGTGACGGGTCAAGGCATCCTGTCGAGCGAAGCTAGCACCGCAACGACAAGCGAAAGGCTTCTTTCCAGTGTGAGTCTTCAGATGACGCTTCAGATCATGGCCTCGGACAAATTTCTTATCGCAAACATCACACTTGTAGGGACGATCGTCGAGGTGGGTCTGAACGTGCGATTTGATGTTTTCTTTACGGCCAAAGCGGGAATTGTCGCAGTCGTGCCATAAACACACCCACTTGCCGTCCTTAGGATCAGGACCCGAAATGTACTTGTTGATCTCGTCATTCGACACCCCCGTCTCTCGAACGGAGGCTTTGACTCGAGCGTCGAGATCTAGGTCATCGAGAGGTTCGGATTCAAAATCAGATCCACACTTCGTGGGAGATGACTCAATGGAAGTTGCACGTGTCTGACGATTGCTATTGCACGGAGTTTCGGACACATCTGACAAGCCACATGAGCCTGGAGAAGGCATTGCGGCTAGCTCGGCAAACGAGGCTGACGGCGATTCGGCGGGGGAGGGCATCTGATGTTTAGCTTGCATTGGACTAGACAGCGGCAGCCCCTGCAGAGAATGGGCTCTCTGCATTTCGGAGCTGACAGGGGTTCGGGGAATGGAGAAACTTTGGGGCTTAGAAGGGGTTTGGTCATTGCTGTACATGGAGAGATCAAAAGACCCCTTCATCGGAGTAGACTCGGGGGTAAGGGGAGAAGTGTCTAGTCAACAAAATTAGATTCCGGAAACTCGAAGAAGAAAGCATTTGGAAGAACTTGCAGGAAAGATAGGGGTTCATCTTGGGAGAAATGGCCTCTGGTTGAACAGAGAGTGGTTGCATCACTCGAGAGTGTCCAGTAATCTGCTCCCTCTGCATCATTGAAAGATTGCGCTCCTGGCGCATACGATGCAGAGCATTCTTCAAGGAAGCGTTGTTATCGGAATTATCACTCGCGGACCTCGAAAGAGCCGGAGCCATTGTATTTACTGGCGAGGTACTGACGGTTGCGGCTGCGTAAAGGCCCTGCAGCTCCTCTTGGCTCCACATCGGTGATGTTTGGTAAGAGAATGACGGTTGAGCAGGCAGCCCTGATGAGATAAAAGCCTGCTCTGCATGTGGCATGTATGATGTGAACTGCTGAACAGCCCGTGGCTGATTAGGAATACCTGCTGATTTTGCGTTAAAGAAGTCTCGAAGCTCCGGTACAGTCTTTTGCACGTTTCGTCGGTCAACGGCGGGAATCTGTTGGCCGTACGAGCCGTAGTCCATAGTCTGTCCGCGGCGATGAGTCCGGCGCGGTGGAATTGCAGACATGGGTTGCGGCATAGTTGTAGCGTCAAAGGGTGCTGGAGTCGAGAGTTGACGACGGTGGTGACCGGGACGTAACGAGGTTGAGTTGGCGGACATCATGGCTACCCAGCCGCTCGGTGTTCACGGCCCTGTCACAGTGTTAGTCTGTGAGCTTCAATCACGAACGCGCGACAACTAAAAAGACAACGAAATAGAAAACGCGGTTGCTAGAGCCTCAAGCAAAGAGCTTCAGCTGTCAACAAGAATGATAGAGGATAGATTCGCAGGGGGATGAGAAGGAATCCAGGTCCTGCACAATTGGACGGCAATAACCACAGGTTCAAGTTCCAGAACTTGAAGGATTGAGGAGAGAAGTAGGAATGAAACTCAATAAGTGTGACAGTCCGGACCTTGAAGCGGGCCAGAAAGCATTGGCGATCTATCAATTGAACCCACGGTTCCCATCAACAAGCCCGCGGGTTGGCATGGCAACGCGCCGTGCCGGGAGTCTGGGAAACCAGCAGGGGCCAGATTTGTGATCGGATGTGACCAACTGTGACGACGGACGGGCCCACTCGTTGCCCACTTGGATCATGCTATATTTCCCTTGAGATCCAGCCCTCTCTACCCTGCTGGTCCGTTGGCCCAAAGATCCCCTGGCTTCATCCTCCTTCCTTGACTGCAAGGGCCGCTCAATCGTCCTGTGAGGAGAGTGGATGTTGCGATGGCCCTGGGCGGAAGACAGGAGCTCCTGGTGTCGTCGCCATGGGGATATCCCTTCGTAGACAATAGTAAACAGCCGATCGGTTGGATCGTGAGCTCTGGGGCCAGTGGTGCCCACTCGACGACGGGCGGAAACGATGTCATTGTGTGCCTTGTTGCCTTGTTGCCTTATCGTCTTGGCCGTCAAATTTTTCATCTTGACACGTGACTTTGACCTCAAGATCTTCTCTCGGCAACGGGTTTTCTATTAGTCCTTTAAGTACGCACTAGCCCTTATGTGGTAATATTGCACCACGTGACCACACAACGATTTTAACCTCCAACCGAGTCCCACCACGCCGAATTTCTTTCAATCTTGCAAGGTTAAGGAAGACAACTTGTCGAGGTCAGTTGAACACCCCCTACACTCTACAATTACGAGAGTTAGCACACCATATTGAGATGCGATACTCATTCTCATTATCAATCCGGCGTTGTCGGCGCGATCTCGCACTCAAAATATATCTTGAGCACCTAAACTAACATGCAGCGTGACAGGCCTTCATCAAGATGCAGATCTTCGTCAAGACCCTCACGGGTAAGACCATTACCCTCGAGGTTGAGTCCTCGGACACCATCGACAATGTCAAGGCCAAGATCCAGGGTATGTACAGGTTTTTCCAGAGCAAATGACCGCCCCCGTCAAGCTCAGTCGCACTAACTTGATTGTGTCCACAACAGACAAGGAGGGCATTCCCCCAGACCAGCAGCGTCTGATCTTCGCCGGCAAGCAGCTCGAGGATGGCCGTACTCTTTCCGACTACAACATTCAGAAGGAGTCCACCCTTCACCTCGTGCTCCGCCTGCGTGGTGGTGGCAAGAAGCGCAAGAAGAAGGTCTACACCACCCCCAAGAAGATCAAGCACAAGCACAAGAAGACCAAGCTCGCGATCCTTAAGTACTACAAGGTTGACGGCGATGGCAAGATCGAGCGTCTCCGCCGCGAGTGCCCCGCCCCCGAGGTATGTACATTTTTTTCATCTCTTGGCAGATGACGCTTTCCCGTATAACGAGCTTCCGGCTGACCCGTTTCCTTCCTTTAGTGCGGTGCTGGTGTCTTCATGGCTGCCATGCACAACCGTCAGTACTGCGGCAAGTGCCACCTCACCTACGTCTTCGACGAGTCCAAGTAAATGGAGGTTGTCGGATCCGTGAGGTTTCTGTCATCGAGTTCGCGCATGGAATATACTAGGCTAGAATACGAACAATGGGAATCTCACGATTGATGCTACGGTTGATGGGCACCTACGTGGACCTTGACTGTGAATTAAAAAAATCACGAAAATTCGGCTCCTGCAATGTTGACTGCCTCTGTAATTTGTAATATCACATAAACGAAAGACTAACGGTAATGGTAGTCTGCATGTGTAGCATGCCACCCCAGCCTGCAGAATAAAATGTGTAAATCATATTCCCGGCTCTGGTACATGCAGTAAATGCATGTATGTGCCTCGCGAGGTCGTTAGTGACCAGGCATCCCGGCCCGCAAATTATCATACTTGCTCTCCGGATAATTGATGGCATTAGCCGTCTGGTCCAACGCACCAATGCCACCGACTCCATCGACAAACGTGCCGATCAGACTCCCATCCGCTGCATTGGCGCCCTTGCCTCCTTTGTCACCGCTACTCTCCCACCACATGCCTCCTCCGAGCTTCCGCTGCTTGATAAACTCTGCCTTCCGCCGGCCGATCTCGACATTGTCATAGCTGATCATGGTGCGTGCACCGCTATCCCAGCTCCACGAAGCTTTCGCTTCGTTATCGACACGCTCTAGGGCGCCGGGACGCGGGAGGGCCTTATAGTCCCAAACGCCGCTCTCCCAACTTCCCTCCCCGACGCCGCTGAAAGGGCGGCCGGGGCCGTCGGTGTTAGTGAACGCGCGTCCGTACAGCGGCATGCCTACTACCATCTTCTCGGGCGGCACACCGCTCACAGAAATGTAGTGCCCCAGCGCCGCGGCGGTCGAGAAGGGGGTTGAAGGCGGATTGGAGGTGGAAGGGAAGATGTTAGCTTGATGGCCAGCGGTTGTGTCCCAGCTACCAGCATAATCGTACGCCATCAGGTTGTAGAAATCCAGAAGCGGTGTCATCTGCGGGATTCTCAGTTTCAGGAAATTGCTGGGTCCGGCAGGACAAGCAATTGTGAGATAGAATTTGCGGCCTGGGCCAGCAGCTTTGTCCAGATGCTTGTTGTCTCCTTGTCAGCCACGGCAACAACGGGTAGATAATATATAAAATATGGATGTCAAGTTAGAACGTACCTGACGGCAAGCCTGGAGCAGTTCAACCAAGTTCTGAGCCTGGTTACCATCTACATAACGCATTAACCACGGTTTCGATATCATAAAGCGATCAATGGCGCTCATGGCAATTCGCACATACTTTGAGGGTATTCCCAATCAATATCGATTCCTTGAGCCATACATCAGTAATGTTTTCTGCAGATAAGCAGCGAGCATAGATTATGGAGCTTACCATCGAATCCTAGATCAAGCACAAGTCGAGTGGCCGTTCTAGCAAAGGTGTCTCGCCCCGCCTCGGTGCTGGCAGGCCCAGCAAAGTTGGCAGAATAAGTCCAGCCACCGATAGACAGCAGAACCTTCAGCTTGCGATTCTGCTTCTTCAAAAGGAAGAGCTGCTTGATACATCCATAGACATTGTTGCCAGTGTCATTCCACGAGTCTGTGGGGTAATGCTTTTCAACATCTGACCAGCTATCGGTCAAGTACCTATAATATAGCGGATGTATGTGTTAACAATATACCATCGCAAGATAAAGGAGAGGCAGAGCCTCAAAAGCCACGGGGTAAAACTCACACCTCTCCAGTCTCCGGGCGCACATTGGCGAATGCATAGAGCACATGGGTCAACTTCTGCGCCGGTAGGTCTTGCGGGTTATAGTTACGCCCATAGATGGCCTAGGAAATCGAGGAGTTAGTGTTCAGCCTCCATCAGCGAAACAACAACATGGGGTGGCAAAAAAAAGGGTCCAGCTCGTGTGATCGTCGAATATATTGAGATTGAGATCAGGGGTAGGGGTAGGCGTCCCAACCTACCCAGTTAACAAAATAAGCGACCGATTTCATTCCAGGCGACATATTGACTGCAGGTGGGGTGGTACAGGAGAAAGAATAATATTGCACTAGAACAGCCACAAGCACCACAAGGGCAGTCAGCAATACAATGGGCCGAGAACGGGAAGCCACAATCGTATATTTTTCAACAGCAGGGTTTCAAAGCTCAGCAACAGCACTCGGTAGGACACACCCTGATCCTGATAAATGGCGGGGTACTTAATGTCGCAGCCTAACTGTTAGTTAATTGGTGTACTTCGCAGTTTATAAATAACCACGCCACCACGTCATTCGGCTACGATTGGTGTGGCTGTGTTGATGTGGCTGGCTCAGGGACTCCCCGTACCTGTGGCTGACGTGGTTGTATACTCCGTATAGAGTAATCAATTCAGCAGCAATAACAGCAATAATAAGCACCAAGAGAGAAGTAATATTAACCACAGCAAATCAGACAAGCGTGCATGAGTTGGTCAATACAATCGACCAACTCCGTCTAGAGCAGAGTTCTTATACCTGATTCTCCAAACTCAAGGAATCGTGCAGCGTGACATCTCCACATGCACAGGGTCTCAGTGCGACTTGAGATATCAAAAGTCATGCCGCTCGCAGATGTTTTGCCATTCCTTGAAATCAAAGTTTTTACTCTGATTGGCCTCCTCTTTCTCATTTTGATAGAAACAGGTAATGCAAAAGGCCTCATCACGCGTGGAAACTCAGAATGCTGGTGCCGATGGCGGAAGGGTCCGGTCGCCTGTACTTTAGTTTTTGGGTTCTCAAGTCAAGACTGGACGTTTGGGTAGTAGCTGGTCATGAGAGCTCGTTTGTCATGTATTTATGGGGTCTTATTTTGCTTGGTTGCACGGGATTATTGGCCAGGTGGTGCCGACAGTGTCAGCCAGTTAAGGGGAAAGAAAGGAAAGAAATAACTGTATGAATATTCTCACGAGTATTGCTACGGTTATTTTGCTCTTCAAGGTTGGCCAGTACAAGCGTTGTTCGGCTTGGGCGATGAGAGGGGTGCTTCGGGCTATATCAGTCGATATGCCTTCCATGTTACCGAGAAACCCTCTCATTCTGGCGCCTCGGTTCCATAATCAAACTCAAAATAAAACTTCAAGGAAAGCTCTGCACATACCTTGTGCCTGATCTTCTCAGACTCTGCACCATCCTAGAATTCAATTTTGGGCAGATGACATGCGCATAATGCCATAGTCATGCTAGAGGACAGGCTACGAAAAGAGCTTATACTTCCCAAAAGTCCTTTCAATCAAGAAAAGCGGAACTATATTTTTGAAGCCAATGAAAGGTTCCCCGAATGTTTCGAGGAGTGAAAGCCCTTGCAATCCTTTGTCGACGAGCAGCATATTCACATTTAGGGGAAAGCCGAGAAAGACTATCTTAGTAGTTCAAAAAGCACAGTATATAGAGATACTCTAGGCTGTCAGAATGCTTGTAGTAGCCCCAGATTGGCTGAGCATGATTCATGTAGATTTCTGAAACGTGATCTCATATGAGGCCCAGAGGCCAAATGACTCAACTGGTTAGATTCTCCCCGGTTTCATATGACGTTATCTACGGTGGAGCCCAATTGGTGTGGGACTCTGTTGAATATATTAAAAAAGAACAATCGATCATCGGGCAGACACGCGAGACATTGACACATGGCCTCGAATTTGACTCCGAGCCAGGAAAATGAAGCAAATGACCCCATTCTAGAGAACAAAAAAGTCCCACAGCAAGCGGCCCTAATACGAATCTCCCCACTGCAACAAGCATATGCTGTATTTACCCCTATGTCCGACCGAAAATGAGACGTATAACCTCAGGCACTCGAGGACAGCTGAAACCCATACTCCACCACCGACTCGCGACGAAGCCACGGGCTAGGAATTCAGCCGAGCAGATGATGTAGTCTCCACATCGTCACTATAAGGTTAAATGAAACCAAGAAGAAAAAATTTTCTTCCTGATTTTCCAGGAGCCCAACGGGTCCAAGAACCAACACCAGCTGAACTCGAGCCGACAGACGCCCGATCTCAGCCCCGATTGGCGCCGGACTGGGCGGGCTAACAGCCTAGTAGCATCTTAGCATCGGCGCAATCGGCGCCCCAGATCCACATGGTCCCCCTTCCGATCACATCCCAAGCCTTCTAAGCCACTCCCAAGAATCCAGTTTACCCTTCCTAGTCCCTCATCTCTCCTTCTCTATCCGACCCCCCGGGCCCCCCAGTCTCGCCAATATCATTCGTCGCGCCAAATTTGGTCGGTATATCCCGCCATTCTGGGATTCTCCTGCCCCCCCTAGGCCGTTATTTTTGTTCCCCCACCCCGGCCCTGTTTACCTCCCCCCACTGCCCCGATCCACTTTGGCACGGCCCATGCAGGCCGAACCTCTCCACCGCGAACTACTCCGTATGCAATGACGCTTTCCACAACAAATCGCTCCAGCTCGGGCGTTCCCACTGGATACCTCAGGCATAGTGGAGTCTGCAGTAGTGCAGAAAAGGTATCCGTCCATTGGGTACGTTGAGTCACTGGACGGCGCACCGGTCGAAAAATTGCTGGATCGAATTATGCATCATCCCGATGAGGGTCCCTGATCCCTTCCTCAGCTGGCATGTCTGCCTCGAGACCCAGGTGTCCGGTTCCCCGTCTGTGCGAGAAGGCCAACAGTTTTTTTTTCTCTTTATTTTTCTTGCTAGTGCTATCGAATCCGTCGATGCGAGAAAACAGAGCATTCGAACGATCCCTAAAACCGGCGCTAGAGCCATAGCTTTCTCGAATCAGCGTTTTGTTTCATGTCTTACCATAATTTGTTTCTAACGTCTTTAACCATTGAGCTTAGTGTTCTCCTTTTCGAGCACAATTAAACGTTTGCTATATTCATCGGTACCTGTAACCTGAAAAGGCGGAGACTATCTGAACAAAGGGTGGAGACTTTAGGATTGGATCTGTTTCCGTTCTAGCCCCACGTATAATGGATGCATTTCCGGTCTATACGGTGTACACCGTCTTCCCATACAGTGGGAAGACCCAGGAGAGAGAAAAAGAGAAAAAACCCCCCCTTTCCCTAAGACCCATGCGTACTTTTTCGGTTTCAAGATGTGGAAATTAGACGTGAATTGTGTAGATATCGTCCCATCTCTCCAGGAGGTTCGGTCTGGTCGTGTCTGTATGATGCAATGCCCGCGAAGTCTTGTACCGCATTCACCAACGCACAATGAAATGCCCAACGCCGGAACAGGCAAAAGCAAAATAGGAATGAAAAACAGAAGGAGCCAAGATAAATAGAATATGAGAATGAAAATATAATATAATAAAGAAGAAAAGAAATAGAGAACAAGCATAGTCCAATAAACACCAAACACATAACAAGAGGGGATATCGTCGCCATGCTCAACAAGTTCAACAAAAACCCAGACTTGCCTTTTTGCCTTCCTTGATTTTTTTTATTTGACTCGGCAAATGAGCTTCTTCTTCATCTTGGCTGAGACTTGCGACCCGCGCAAGTATCAGCCAAATAGAGACAGCAAAAAAGAGCCCGCAGTTCCTCCCACGCAGGCCCCTCCATTAACAAAAGAAAAGAAAAGAAAAAAGGGGGAGCGAAAGTCAGATCGTACAGCCAGATTTTCATAATCGTGTACCATCATAGAGGCCGTTGGAAAAACGAGAAGCCACCAAAAAGCGAGAAGAGTGAAATCGCCGATGTGTTGTTACCGGCCGTTGATCCAACGCCGCATAGCATCTAGCGATGGGTCATCATCAAGCCAATGACCTGCCCGCAGATCGGCGGCTCGAAGATCAGCGACGACGTGCTGGTCGGTGATGCGAACTAGTTCTTGTTGTAGGGTGGCATGGGCAACTTTCAGGGCGGCAGCGTGTTGCGGTGCTGGCCGTTGGCCGCGGAGAGTGCTTGCTCGGCTCATGGCCCATCGACGAGCAGCGGCAGCGCGGAGGTAGATCTTGTGTGCTTGGAAACGACGGGCGCTGCTATCAATGATGACTCTGCAATTGCCAAAATAGAAAGATTAGTCCTCCGTGATGCCAAAAGAGGGGCGATTGGGCGCCCCTGCACGGGGTTCGATTGACGGGAAAATCTATACACACCGTTGTAGCTCAGCTTTCTCGGTCTCTGCGTCGCCTCGGCCGGTGACAGGGCATGGGTGGTAGTTGGCTGATAAAAGGCGCTGGGCGGAGGTATGACAATCGCGAAGAAGGACGAAGCCTTCTTCGTAGTAGTCGTCGGCGGAAGCGTCAGCTTGCTGTTGGGAGATGTGCAGCAGGAGCGTGCGGTAGTCATTGAGGAGTTCGGCCACTCGAACGGCGCGAGCTTGATTGACTATAGTCCCGGAGCGGACATATATCAGCATCTCGACCCTGCAAGATGAAATTGAGAGCCATTGAAGGTGGAGGATGAACGCTTACGGCCGTCTGCCATTGCGGATAGTGGAATTATCGTAGGAGCGTAAGGGGCGTGATTATCAACGATCAGTCGTAAAATATTAAAGGCGAAGGGATGGTCGTGGGAATGACATCAATTGAAGACGTGGACAGGAAAGGGAAAACGTCAGAAGCTCGGTGAAGGAGGATCAAAGGAAAAAGAAAAGAAAACAGTGATGATCCGGTTATTCTAACGGTCCGAGAGGGCAGGGAAGGAGGCCTCGGAGATCTTTATAAAGTAAACGGATGGGAAGGAAGTTAAGGAGAGAGCTTTAAGTCCTTTTAGTTTCCCGCTCTTCAGACGCCATACATGACAGCAAACGATTTTTTAAACGGGGGAGCCGTTCTCCGAGAAGAGTAAGAGCCAGGGTTAAAAAAATCAAAAGAAAGAAAATCGTCGAATCACAATCGAAAGCTGCTCAAGATGATGAAGTTGCTGAATAAATAATAATAGAATGGTGGGACTGTGGATACATAGATGAGAGGGGGAGTAGGAAGGAGAAGTGGAGGGATGGGGAGGGCTTGTGTCAATCGGAGACCCAGTAAATAGGAAAATTAAGCCATAAAATGCATAATTAAATCAAATACAAGGGAACCAAAAAAATAAAAAACAGAAAAAATAAAAATCGAGCCATTCAACTAACAATCCTAATCCATCACCCTGAAAAAAAGGAATTATCAGCCCGTGACAGCGGAGACGAACGTCAGGAGGATCATCGGCAGTGCATGGCTGGCTGCACCAATGGGAACCAATGAACGGCCCAGAACCAGGAACCTCGCGGAGAGCACAGCTGGGAGATGCAGTGAGGGTGGATCGGCCCACCGCGATAGTTCCCGAGAAACCGAGCAACTATCATAACGGCAAAGCGAGACGTGATCAGGGCCTATCCCTGTTACTCCGTTACTCCCAAGGGAAGGGATCCAAACGAGTGGAGAGGCGGAATCGGCGACAGAGGGTCTGTGGGTTGGTGATGTTGATGGAGGTCCTCGGTCCTCTCGTTTCTTTTTTGACCCTCTTTTTTTTTCCATTCCTTTTTCCGTTTTTTACCTTTTTTTAACTTTTGTTTTTAGGCAGGTTTGATGATTGGATTTCGTTAGATCGACTAGGATGTTGCCAGCTCCAGCCTTCGTCCACTGACCCGCGGCAGGCCCTTCTATACTCTCCTACTCCGTACTCCGTCCACTAGACCAGACTATACCGGACCGTCTCCTGCATAGTACTGCCCCTGTCGAGCTCGCCCTTTATGCTCTACTCCATTTGCCATAGAACACAATCCGATTGGCAATCGGATGTATCCCTCGCCTCTCGCTTTCTCTTACTACAAGATGAATCCGATTCTGGGGCATCTCCCGAGTTGGAGTCATTCTCCTCCAACCAGGATTGGGTCTCAGGGTGGGGTGGAGTGCGCACTGGCCGGCCGAGATTGAGTTCCAGTACGGTCCATTTTGAACTTCATCGGCCAGAAGAGACTGGGTTGGGCTTGATTGGGTTGATTGGAGCGCGCCCGGCGAACTCCTCAGTGGGGTCGAGCTTTGACAGGGGACAAAAGTACCCATTCACCCATTCTTGTGGCTCGTGGGACCCCTGTCATCCAGTCGTTCAGTCGTCCAGTCATGGTCTGGCTCCGACAAATAGCAGCGCTATTGGACACACAATTCCAGACGTTTTGTTGGGGTTGAAAGGGGGCCCGCCTGCATACGCGAGACCCGGGGTGGCGATGCCTCTGAAACAGCCGAAACAGCCAGCAACGTCCGGCGTCGTCTGTAGCCCAGTGCAGGCGGTTATGCTTGCCCAAGGATGAAGGGGACGGGAGACTAAAAAGACGGACAACGGTTGGCGTGGGCTAGCTCGTGTTATTCCTTGTCGCGAACTGCCAGCTAACCTGCACATCGGTCGGGGGGCAATCGCTGGCGCCCAGGCTTCGGGGTTTCATAGGTTCGTGATGAGATGCACACAGGCCACCATGATATCACACCGAGGTTCGTCTGAGTCGTCTGAGTCTATCATGGCTGGGGGTCATAAACCAGGGGTTCCTCAGCCCTGGTCTGTACCCCATATGCCCTCTGAAGCAAGCCCCGGATTTCTTGAACCTCGTCTGGGCTGGCCCTGCTATCCTGCGACAGAGTCGAGACCTCAGCCACCCTTTTGCTGAGCCACAGGTGTGGCTCTCAGTGGCGCTGGTACATCATAGCTGAACACGCACAGCAACTTCCTCCTTGCCTGCATGTCATGTACGGAGACTGCATCGGGCCATCGCGGTGACGATGTTGTTCACGGCCCGTCCCAGTGTGATTCATCTTGCGGTGCCCGTCAGTGGCAAAAACTGATAATAGACCCACTTCGGGTATGTGTTGTTGCTGCTGAGATCGCGGGTTCGAGAGATGGGAAGACGACGCACGGCGCCAGCCAAGCGCATAGTCAGCGACCAGCGTCCACCGGCATCCACCCTGCACCGGCCCTTGCAAGACCTGAACCGTCATGCATAATGCGCTATGCGGGTGAAACAAAGCCGAAAACCGAAGCCTTGCAGAGTCTAGAGGAATCAAAAACTCTCCAGGTCTTATCAATAATTTCTGAAAAAAAAATTACACCGAATTGTTCATTCACAGATCGTCCACGGATCTTTGCTTTCTAAGAAAATCGAAGAAGGGGGAAGATGAAAAATAGAGAACAAATAGCACATCCGCTCCGCCCTCCTAGAGCCGGCTTGGTCTATCGTGCTCTTCCCCGGTCCCCTCGCCCCAGCGTGCTTCTTCTGGTTTGCCTCCCCGGCCCCATTCACGGCTCAATTCTGCAGGACGTAGCTCCTTTAGTCTTTCTCCGCTATGGCTTGTAGCCGCTCATCAATCTCCTCCTCAGTCAATGCTCGGAACGCCGTAGTAGTACCCTCCTTGCCGTCTGTCTGAGGCCCACCTACAATGCCAATCTCCAGCTCGTGCTTCTTGAAGTCAACGCTCAGTACATTGCTCAGAGCCGTGATGCCGAGCTCTACCACCTCCTCCCAGTTACCGGGAGCCGCATCCTTGTTCTTCAGCTTCTTCTCCAAGTAATTCTGCGCCTCCTGCTGCTTAGGTCCGGAGGCCGTCGCTTTGTACCCGACGTAGTAGCCAGCCGGGTCGCACTTGTAGAGCTGCGGGCCGTTCTCATCGTCCACGGAGATCAGGGTCGTGGCCACACCGAGTGGTCGCATGTATGCCTAAGAGAGCAAGAGGTTATAAGCACAAAGATCGAGGCATTAAGTGGCAGGGAATCCCCATCTACCGTCTAAGCGATGTAAAAACAGAAGGCGGACTAGCAATCTACCCCAAGCTTGCGAGTTGATCTTGGGGTATGATGGCAATCCAAGGGGGATGCGAAGGGGAGAAAGGAAGGATTCTTACTCGTTGTGTGTAGACTTGGTTGATATTTGCCAAACGCTTCGCCAGCACATCGCAGGGCATTTCATATCCGAACTTGTAACGGAACTCAGCAGCCTCACCGCGAGCTCGGTCGACAGAGGCACGGGCATCTGCTATGGAGCCAGTCATCACGCAACCTACGGACGGCGAGATCTTGAAGACATGTGAAACAGAGGATGGGTCGATCAGTTTGTCCTATGTGGGATCAGCATATGGCAGTCCTCGGGGTTCATCGATGCGGAATTTGTCCGTACAGCCACTTTCTTCTGAGAGAGTACTACAGCGCAGTCCTTCCCCCGCACACCAATGGAGGTGATATTGGCAGAAGTGATGGCTTTGAAGGCATACTCTAAGGCGGAGGGGGATGATTAGCGGTCATGATGATCAAAAAGGTGTCAAATCGGCGGTTCGAAGGCCGGTACTCGAGAGTCGGGTCGGGGACGGAGAGATCCAGTGTACATACCGACTTGGTACAGGCGACCCTGGTCGGAGAAGATGGTGATATGTCGGTCGTAGCCCGCGCTTCCTGATGCGGAGAAGATGGAGGTTAGTCGGGGTTGAGGTCATGGGGCTGGGAATGCAGGTTTGCATCAACGTTCGGGGAGGAAATCATACCAGACATGATAGCGAGTTATATGGTCTTTAATCGGAGAAGAAGTGGAACGTGAGGATCGGGAAAAGAAAGAAGGCTTGGAGGACTGATGAGAGGTGGAATTGGTGGTGACGCGTGGGTGCGGTGCCTAAGCTCGAGCTTGAGCTTCAGCACCGCTCACCGCCTTCGTCCGTATTTGAATGGAGGGTATTTGAATGGAGGTTTGGAGCGCTCACTACGTATACCTAGCACTAGAGTAATTAAACAAAGTACAATCCTGTGCATATATTTTACTGATAGCTCTTAGTTGGAATCAAAATCAATACATAGAGACACAGTCTGTGAGAGGAACTTGTTGTAATGGGAAAATGCATAGATCTCATGTATTCCCTCGAAATCCATACAAAGTCACGTCGACAACTTACTGACATATTGTTTTCTTTCAAATAAATACTATCTAAGTTTACACTATAATATATGAAAGGAGTGTCTGGACACAACCTTTGCCTAAACTAAATCTCTAGAGTCAATGATAATAAGAATTTTGCAAGGCGGACGATGCTGTGAATGTGTAGGTACTTAATTTGAATCCGACTTGCAAATGCTAAGAAGAATATTCTTCATATGCCCGCTTTCACAGGAACATTCAAATATGATACATTGTCATTTATGCCATGGTATAAATATGCAATTCTCGAAGACAAAACACCGATAGAAAGAGACTCCAAAACCCAAACGTTTTCACACTTTTCACACTCAGTTGCTGTCACTCTCGCTGCTACTCGAGATCTCGATCTGCGCAGTTCGAACTTTGCGCTTCTGCTTCTTCTTGTTCTTCGACGGAGCAGGGACTTCCTTGGGAGCAGGCTTTATCTTCTGCTTAGGGGCGTTCTTTCTTGACAATGCAGCTTTCTTTGCTGGGACAGAGGCAGCAGCATTACTATCGCTTTCACTGCTGCTCGAAGAATCGCTGCCACTGCTGCTAGTGCTATTATCGCTGCCGCTGCTGCTAGTTGATTCGTCGCTGCTATCTGCCGCCTTGGCCTTGGTCTTGCTAGCCATCACAGCACTCTTTTTAACGGTTGGTTTGTCTTCATCGCTGTCGCTCTCGCTGCTGCTCGAAATAACAACAGCCGTCCGGTTCTTTCGCTTCTTCTGCTTCTGAGCCTCGGCCTTAAGCTCGGCAGACTTCTTCTTCGCGAATTGCTCACGGTTAAACAGCTCCCCTGAAACAGCGAAAAAGACCAATTCAGCGCGGAGTCTCTTCTGGAGGCGCTTCCGATTCTCAGTATCCAGACCCTCTCCTTCACCCGCATGATTCAAATCCTCCCCACCAGCAGGTAGGGATACCCTGAACAAATCCACAGCCTGCTGATATCCATCGCTGTTCTCAACATCTGCATCAGGTTTCAGGACCCCGACCGCACCCTGGCTTAACCGCTGCTTCGCCGCGTCGCCCTTCAGTCCCTGGAGATACGTCAACAACGGTGCGTTATACAGCGCCGGAACGTGCTCGCTCGAGTACAGGTGCTTGAAGAGATTGGTCTCGCGGTTCTTCTGGAACTTCCAGAGCGTACGGTCGTGGTAGTACCGGCTCAGGTATGAGAGGACAGGAGTCTCGTGAACGGGGCCGGCAGAAGAGGATGAAGCCGCACTGCTCTTGCGTTCCTTCTTCTTCTCACGCTTGCGCTTCTTCATTTCCTCGATGGCTTTGTCTTCGGCTTCTTTGGCGGAGTTGTCATCTGTGCCGGTGACAGTGTCGCTGCTATCGTTCGCGTCGGCTTCGTCATCAGCGGGGCTGTCGCTGTCGCTGTCACCGTCGCCGTCTCGGGTCTTGGTTCCCGGGCCGAAGGAGACTCGCTTCTTCTTCTTCTGCTTCGACAGGGACTCGTCCTCGTTGTTGTCAGTGCTGTGCCTCCGCTTCTTCTTCTGGCTCACATCGCCATCGGCGATCTCGCTGGAGGACTTCTTGCGCTTCTTCTTGTCTTTGCTCTCTGCTCCGTTGCTTTTCTCGGTAGATGTAGATTGCTGTATCTCGGCATCGCTCTCTGTAGTATCTTTGGCGTTCTTGCGCTTCGAGCCAAGCTTCTTTTGAACAGAGTCATTGGCCATTGTGGCGGTAATATCAGTTCAGCCCGATGCTTCAATGCGGTAAAGATAGAATGCCGCTTCTGTGGTAAAAAAAAACCAGAGTGTGAAAGTAGTTTTTTTCGAGCTTGGTTGAAGTAAATTTCTCAAGAGCTGTCATCGTGGCCAGGTTGATTGAGGGCGGAGCCGACTTTTTTTTTCTGCCGGGTCACACGTGAGGGCGGATCTGCGATAGGCTTCGACGATCTGGAGATAGTGTAGTACCTCGATCAACCCACTGGAGGAGTCCTTTTCTACTTGTACATTATAGATATATGCCATGAGGGGGTGTGAACTCGTTTCATTATCGTGATATAAGAATTATTTTGACCCTTTCTGACTAGAAAGAATCTCACAACAGAACTACACGGAGCATAAACCACGACTGAAACTACGTTGCGGACGTGTTAGCCTGTACCTGCTCGATGCCAGCCGCACTGCGCTCGCGACGCATTTCGCGCGACATGCTCGACTCCGTGCCTGAGCCGGTATTCGCCGATGCAGCAGCTGCTGCTGCTGCCTTGCGCTTTGCGCGCTCCTTCTCCTTCTCCTTGTCGCGCGAGCTGGAGCCCACTGTACGTCGCCGCCGAGGGTCGTAGACATCGTTAAAGTTCATCATGACGCCGAGGAAGCGCATGTCCAGGTCCGGCTGGTAGGACAGGTCACCTAGGAGACCATTCAGCCGGGAGCGGAACTCGGCACAGAGGTCGCGCAGCCGCACGCGTAACGACGCCAGCATGTTGTCGTCGGCTGCGAGATCATGGGTGGAGAGGGAGAAGGGGGTGTCAATTCCATCGGGCCCGGCACTGGCAGGCCGGATGTCAGGCGTCGAAGCCATGGAAGCACCGGCCCGGCTGTTCGCACGGCGGGGCAGGAGATCGTGGTCTGTGACACCCCAGCGGCCCTGGGCAGTGCGAGTTTCGATTTTGGCGCTGAGTTCCTGGCGACGGGTGAACTCGGCAACTGAGAAGGAATAGAGGCCGTCGACGGCGTCTTTGTAGCCGAGCATAATCTTGAGGATCTGGTGTAACTGGCTGAGGAAGCTTTCTTCGGGCGGCTTGGCAGAGTTGGAGGTAGATGAGCCATAACGGGCACTTGAGGCTGAGCCTAATAGGCCCTTATGTGTAATGGAGTTGAGGTATATAGTGTGCGCTTCGATCAGGTCATCTAGCGTGCAGCCCGGTTTGGAGACCGCCGCTTGGAGCTGGTCCCAGCTGGATTCGATAACCTCGAAAAGGATGTAATACTGGAGCTGGTTGACGAAGTGGATCATTTCTGCAATCACACAGCGCGCCCGCTTCCAGTCTGATCCAACTTTGTCGTCCACGCTTCCCAGGACTCCTCGGGCACCTGTCATACAGCGGCGCCAAGTGCTGCTCAATGCAAATTCGACGCGTTTCACGCGCCACAAGAAATTGAACACTTTCAGGTATTGGGTCGATCCCCAGGGAGTGATGACCACATCAACCGGGGCATCAATCTTGTATTCCAATGTGAAGCAGTCCCAGCCAATCTCGCCGTGGCTTAGTTCAAGCATCCGCGCATCTAGTCGGCGGAGCACATCTGGAGAGTCATACTGCGCATTTGAGGCGCGAATCGCATGCTCCAATTGCGCAGTCAAGGTATGCCGGTACTGTGAGTTTGCCGGGCGATCCAGGTTCGAGGCTAAGGATTCCATGAGTAAAGCGATAAAATCGCCCTGTCCTAATAATAGGTATTTTTTCAGTGCCCGTAAATGGTCGAAAAGTTTGAACTTATCATCCATGAGATGGATCAATCGTTCCATAGTAGTCTTGTATGCCTCATCGATGGAGGTCTCTAGTGTCGCCGTGTCGCCATAGCGTAGCTCCTTTGAGGCTTCTTTTGAATATGCCTCAACCCAGCCCGAATCTCCACAGCCATATCGAATGAAATTGAGAGATTTTCCGATCAAAAACACTTTCTTGGCAAAGTCCTGGGTAATAATAGAAGGTACCATATCATCATCAAGCTTATACTTATCTTCCCATACACTTGTCGCGATGCGCCGTGGGTCAGTACTAGGCCGAAACTCGGGCTCTACAACGAAGAACTCCTTGTACGGATCAGACAGCTCGCCGTCATAGATCCATAATCGAAGCATATCATAGAACGGACGGGTAACGTGAGCAAGGAGCTTTTCCGCAAACGCACAGACAAATGGGTCACCATGAGACGAAGAGAACCCGTGGATTAAGGAGATGAGCTGTCCTCCTTTCTTATCTGTTGAGAAATTAGTATCACAAAAATCGAAGACATTCACCACAAAGACCACACTTACCCCGAGCATCCTCCACAATCAGACTCATCAACCGAAGCGCCATGGTCGCATCTCTCGTCCACACCATGCATCGTTTCAAAGTGACTCCACCCTTTCGGACACCCTGCGGTTGGGTTGCATCTCCAATAGCCATCAGTGCCTGACGAATCTCTCCCTCCAACGTCGCGACCAAGCTAAGATAAGACCGTAGCTCATTTGCAATCGCAGCCCGTAGACTTTGATTCACAAGCCCTCCCTCCGCGCTTTCCACAAAGCCAGCCAACTCCTTGTAAAGCAAGCATGGCTCCGCCAACGAATTCAATAATGAGACGATCGGGGCCGGAAGATTTTGCGGCAGCTTCAAGACAGACGGCGACTGGAATTGTAAATGCTTCGACGAAAGGCCCTGCAGATTAAACGGCAGGTCTCGCAGAAGCCCATGCTCAACACTCTCCGCCATGCGAGCACCGCTTCGAGGCGTCTCTGTCGGCGACGCAGGCTCCTCATTGTCCTCTTCCCCACCAGTATCAAAGTTGCTCGCACGACTCCGCGCCCTCCCCGTAGATCCGCGCTGGAACTGGTCCACGCCGCCGCGCTCCCAATCCCTCCGAAGGGAGCCATGGCGCTCCGGCCGCGCAGACACCGGCCCACGCTGTTGCGATGCGGACGAGCTCACAGCAGGGCCCTCGTCCTCTGAATCTGCGACCGCAGTGCCGCGGCCCAGCATATTCTGCAAATTCCCATCTTCCATCAGGGGACTACGGCTGCGCTCAGGATCCTCGGTTTCGGACAGCTTATAGAGCAGGTAGAGGATGCCCCATTTCTGCGAGAGCACGGGCTGCGTCAGGAGGCGAGTGTACAAGTTCGAGAAGCGCATGACTTTGTCCGGGCTAGCGTTCTCACGCCGCAGCTTGCGCTTGATCAGATCTGGCGCGTTATTCACGGTCTCCGCGGCCATACTGCCACGGCGGCCAGCCGGCGAACCCGGGTCGACTGGGCCTGCAGGAAGCGTGTCAAGGATGCGCCAGGCGCGCTCAAGCTGAGCATGATGGCGTCGTTCTTCGGCGGCGGCGAGGGCGTCTTCATCGTCGGAGTAGTCGGGGTCGTTTTGGACGGCGGCGAGCGGGAGCGCGGGGGTCAACGAGTCGACGAGTTGGGAAAGAGCATCGTCGATGCGGCGCGGGCGTGCAGGCTGGCGGGGTGACATTGACATGATCCTGGCCGTCCGCCGCCGGTCAGGTGCTGTCGAGTTTTTCAAGGTGTGAGGTGGCCTGGCAGGGAGTATTCTTTTTGTTCTGGATTGTCGTTACGGAGGGAGCGTGGTTGAATTTGGGTTGTTGGGCAACGAGACTCGAGAGTCGGGCTGCACGTAAGCTCGGGCTTTTGCACACTAGAAAGAACCGCTGACGTTTGTTGAATATGCGAGAAAGTTATGTATCCGAATTGACTTGAGGGCTGGCACGCCATCATCTGACAGGATCCAGACTCATGGGGTGTGTTCGCCGAGGTGGGTTTCGTGTTTGCGGTGTTTGGGTTGTTTGGCAGGGGAAGCGCGTCTGGGAGCTTATCAACCTTATCGGGCCACATCTATAAATCAACTACGTACCAATCTCTCTTACGGTTGAAACTATGACGAAAGTACGAGCTGATTTAATGCGGAGCAATGATTCGGGTCAATTGCAGAAAGCATCCCTTTCAAGGAAACTAGTCAGACAGGAAAAGAAGAAACAAAAAGCCATCCGTACGCCGCCCTGGAGTCATGTATCACAAAGAAAAAAAAAACAACCCGGATCAGAAACAATTCGACATACCGGCGGGTCCTCCAAGTAATAAACAAGCGAAAAGAAAGGGTGAAGCGATCTCTTGAGATCATCAGGAGAGAACGCACATTAGAAGTCGAAAGAAGGGAGAAGATGGAAAAAAGCGAGGGGGGAAAATACATCAGGAAAAACATGAGCCATTGCAACGCAAACAACCTTGAAGCAGCCATAAAGAATCTCAAAGACGCCGAATTTGACGCGCCTTCCCCCCCCCAAAGACTATAACGAAACTCATCCGTTTCCAGACCACTGGAATCAGCCCGTCCAATTTTTGAGTCGTGTGGATCGTTAACACCTGCCCATGCCAAAGGTTCAGCGCAGCCAGAGCCGAACCAAATAAGAGATGTTTTGGAGGACAAGAAAAAGGGGAATAAAGTGATGCCCTCCAAAACAAGAAAAGAAACCGCTTTATCTAAGCAAAGGAGTATGAACTTTCCCATGCTATGCGGTCAAGTAAGTAAAGACGACATTTCCGGAATGCAAGGCAGCAAGAGGGAGAAGTTTTTCAAATGAAAAAAAGCACTCATACTCATGCTCGGCGCATACCCTGGGCCGGAATAGGTGCGCCAGGCGGCATGCCCATCTGGCCAGGCATGTAACCATGAGGATCAAATCCAGTTGACATGCCATTCATCATAAGAGGACCAAGGCCTTGGGCTTGCGAGACGGGGCAATCCTTATGGGCCAAAAGAAGAGTCTTGAGGTTGACAATCTCCTCTCGAAGCTGAGTAACGGTAGCGGTCAGGGCATCATTCTCGGTGGTAAAGAGCTCCACCTTGGCCTGGAGATTTGCGAGCCACTGCTTCTTCCGTTGACGACACTTGAGAGCCGCCACACTAAATCGGTGTTAGAGGTCAATCTCGATGACAGGGAGAAGAGAATAGGACTATTAAGACATACCGGTTCCGCTCCAGAAAGTTTCGTCGTTTTTCTTCATCGGTCATCTTCTTTGGATCCAGAGCACCCTTTGATAATGCTTCATCTTCCGAATCCATATCCGATGGCGATTCGATGCTGGTTTTCGCTTTCTTGTTCGAGCCCTTGGCCATATCATCCGCCTTGCGCCGGTTATTGGGAGCCAGATTGGTCTTGGGCGCATTTTTTTTGCCCTTGCCCTTGGCTGGCTTTGAGAGCTCTTGGTCCGATCCGTCACCGCTCATCTCCTGGCCGCTATTGCCATTGGTGTTTTGCGACACACGTCGCGCCGCGGCAGCGGCGCGGGTGTCATTCTGCATAGCAGACCCTTGATTCATCTGTTGACCACCTTTAGCCAGCATGAAGAGGCCGTTGGCGGCATCAGCGGCATCATGCTGGGTAAAGTCGGCGGTAGCGGGTTGGCGGCCCTTGGCGTCCATAGCGTTGTTAGGGGCAGGCTGTTCTGGTTCGGTTGCGTTCGAGGTAGGACCGTTCGAATTGTTCTTCTTGGCGGCTAACGCGGTGCGATGGAATTCGATTGTCGACGGGGTTGCGCCACCACTCTGGAGTTGCTGGAGTAAAGCTTGAGAGTTGGGGCTGGGAGCTGGGAACATCGAGCCTCCACCACCAGGGGTCAGACCCGTGCGAAGGGAAGACTCGTTCGGGGTCGGGAAGCCTCTACCAATGCTGTCGAAGTAGTCATTAGAACCGGTTGGGCCAGGAAGCATCGCCGGGCTCAGAGGCCCCGAGCGTAGGGAGTTGGACCAGTTGTATCCGCCGGCTGAATTTGAGCCTGGGAGGGCGGGGGAGGTGAGCGCCGCGACGGGCGGCAGTAAGGATTTTCCGGGGGTCTCGCCCGAGTTCCCACCGAAAGACTGCTCGAATGGATTGGGCTCCAGTGAAAAGGTGTTGTGGATGGAACTGAAGTAGTCGGGAGTATCGCTGGCGGCGTTGGCCCCGGGGCGTGGAGGCGGTGCCAACGAGGTGTTTTCTACGGTCGATTTTTGGTCCTTGGTCTCTGAAGACACGGCCTGCGGGTCTGTCGAGGTCGAGTTAGCATTGCATGCGGCGAGGTCTCAGAAAGCGATGCGACAGCGCAAAAGGTACCAGGACGATAACGACGACCCTTCATAGTCGTCGAAGTGGGAGTGGTGGTGGTTGTGATGTGGAGATAGAGGGAGAGAGCAGGTGGTAGATCGATGACGCCAGATGTGAGATCATCTCAACGGGAGAGGGGCTTGAGTTTAAAGTATCGGCATAACCAGGTGGCGTATTACCAAGCCGAATGGGGGGGGGGTATGGAGAAAGCGCAAGAAGAAGATTCACGGGCATTCATAGGGAACAAGAGGCGAGGACAAAAGTACGGGCACGTAAAAAAAACGAGTTTTCCCAATCTCAATCTTTGCGATCGCAATTGTCCAGGAGAAGAGAGGGGGGATGGTAGGACACTTTAAGGGGGACTTGGAGAGGAGACACAAGACACAAGAGATATCGCAAGATGATAGGGTTCCCGGGTACCAACGCGCGCCATCACAAGACGAGGGACCAGTACGAACCTTCTGTCTGGGGAATCTTCGAGTCCATGGAGGTCAGGGTGTTCGAGAGCGTCGACACACTGGGTGCGACCGCAGCAGACATCACCAGAAGTCAAAAAGAGAGTCGGGATAAGTGGCGAGCGCACAACCAGCGCAAGAGAAAGTGAAGACCCGTCGAGTGGCTTGCAGCAACAGTCCCGAGGGAAGGTGAGAAGGAGAAGAAGTGACGTAGAGGAGGATGACGACAGTTTTTTAGTTTTTTAGGGGAGGAAAACATTAAGTAACACGGAAAGATTACAGATTACGACCGTACACCCCGTACCGCCCGTACCGTCTGAGGGGGGGGCGAAAGGGACAGTCGGTTCCGGTATAGATCGGAACCATTTGGCTGCGCGACTCCGAACGGGCCAGAGAGACACGCGACAGAAGGCGTTATGCCGGTCGCGCCATACTCGATGTACCGCGTACACAGGCGAGGATGGAGGATACCGTTACAGCATCAGCAACCCGATGCCCACGCGAGCAGGAAAGAGTCCTCGGTGCAGAAAACGTCGAGGGATCGTCCGTCCAAATTGCCCCGAACGGACTCTTCGAAGGGGGGGGAAAATAGTATTGAACAGTATTACGTACGGGAAAGCGAGGTCAGAGGGGAAGTCCCAAATGTAACTCGCCCGACGGGGCCTGGGAGTCAACCGAGAGCGGGTTGCTCTGCTCCAGAATCAAATCAGGGAAGCAGGAAATGAGACCAGAAGGGAGGGTGGAATCGCCCGGTGACTGGCCCATCGGCCTTGTATTTTATGAATGGCCGTTTCCTCCAGATTACATATCCATCTTACCAACCCCCTCTGGACTGGAGTTCGCGGTAGGGCCTTCCCGACGTGTCGAGTCTGGAACTTTGGTTGTCCAGCCTTCTCCGCCTGCCTCTGCGATTCTGTATCTGGAAGATCTTTTGAATGTCGTTCTGGTCGGATTTCCTCGGGCATATTTCATCACTGTCCCTCAACCCGGGAAACATGATCCGTTCTTTTTCTTTCTTTTGAACCCGGAGCGATGGGTGGAAAAAAATTCCCACGAAGGGCCCGGGGGCGCCCTCGCATTCGATGTTGAACCTGGAGAGCCAGTGGGGCCCGGTAGCGCGTATCAACCAATCATGAGTATTCAAGTAAGAAGCGCAGACTCAACGCTGACCCCAACCGGTTGGCCACTGGCCCTTCGGAGATGAAAAAAAAAAAAATTTTCACGATGCTCATTCAGAGGATAAATGGATCCCAAAAGGCTCAACATCATACTGAGCCTAAAGATATTTGTGCGCAAAGGGCAACGTGGTACATCGAATTTGCGATGCGCGGCAAGTCGCGAGAGCCGCCTGTCAAGTGTATACAAGCTCGAAGCATGCTCTGGGCGATGGATGATTTCATGATGACGACGACAGGAATGTGTCCCGTCGACCAGGTGGAGTCGAAAAGGGGGACCGATCGGGAGAGCCAATGAGAATGAGATGAAGAGGTTCGGAATGCCACGAATCCCTCGAAACAGTCACTGGGTGCGGTGAGGGACGGGAAAATGACGCAATGCACGTGAGACATGCGGAAGTGACAATACTGCCTGACACGCCATACGATACGCGGGACAGGAACTACCCCCAACCCCCTTAGTCTTATGCGTGGCCTCGGGACCGGCTTGGCCCAGACTTGATGACCAAGGGACTCATAGACTTCATAGCGGAATCTGTCTGTAGGACTCCGGAGATTGATAGATTCGCATCCTACTTTCTTTTGAGAGATCTTATATTAGGAGTCGTTGACTGTTCTCAATAAAGAGCCGTCTCTAAAGCCCCCATCGATTTTCCCAAATAACCGTCGAGTCAGGGGCGATCGTTGTTTTTTGTCCCCCACGGGCAACATCCCAGTCTCCTGGATACAGGACGTTTTCTTCCGTGTCGGTGATTGTATATCATCATTCCTAGTGTTGCTTCAAAATGCCTGAAATCGCTTGCCTTGTTTTATTCCCCCGCTCGAGTGAGTGCTTCAGTGGGAGTCTGATGAAGTACCCCTCGACTCATCAAAGGTATATTTTGATAAAACGCTGCCGGGCATAAAACTGGGAAGCGACAGTAAGGAAAGATAATCGAGAAAAAAAAAATCATACCAAAAAAAACAAACCAAAATATTATATGGCAGGGGTTCCTCCTAAACAAGGGTAGGCGGAGATATATCGACATCCTCCAATCCAATCTATAGACGTCCACTCAAAAGCCAAGGACTGCCAATCCCTCATGGCGTACATGTACCCGTGTACAGTACACGAGTTCACCTAGAGGGCCACACAACCAAGGTGGATCCGCTCTTGAGCTTATTTTAATCTTCATTCCGGAGTCACAGTACCCGGAGCTAGTCTATGTCTTTGGAGGGCCCGCTCCCCCAATCTAAAAACACCGCTTTGCGATGCTCCCAGTTGCTCGGCCAGAAAGAGGGAATCCTATTCATGTGCTCATAATTAGGCATGACTCGGAGTCCGCATTCCCTATTACCGATCTGAATCGTTTTTCGACAATAACATCAATCGCCTTTAACCTTTTCGTGGCCCCAGCGTCCGCCGGTATCGATAAGATGTGGGTGTGTGCTTCCCCGCACTCCTCATAAGTCAAAAGAAAGTGCGATGCCGCTGACAATACATACCAGAAAAATTGTATTCACTCGAAACTTGCCACGCACTTCTCTGGCGACATGCAAGAATTCTATCTTTCATCGAATGAACCAAAGCCCACGGGGTCATCTTGTCACACATATCAGGGGTGTGACTATTTCAATATCCCAGAAGTCTGCATTTTCCGGGGAGCCTGGTATGCCCTGCTCTGCAATGATACCTCGAAGATCAACAGATATATCATACTTCAGCTGATCTATTGGAGGACCGGATTCAAGACCTTCTTAGTCTGAGACAAGGTAGTCAGCCCCTTCTTCTCCGCCCGCCGGGTGCCTCAGAGAAAGCGTGAACAGTTCAGGAGTAGCTATCTTGAAAATTCAACTCCCGAGCGTTGATAAAGATACATTAGGAGATAACACGACCCCTCGAGTAATCTCTGGAAGCAGTGCACCATTTGGACCTCAATAGGGACCAGCTGAAAAGCTGATTCAGTGAGACTTAAGCATAGCACTTGATCACAGAAGAAAAAAAAAAGAGATCTCTCAACAACGCCTCTCCAACCTATTCCCACATAGTACTTCCTAGCTCACCCACGGTAACGAAGTCCCTCACTATCCAAGGCTCGGTCGGCCATCAATTTCGCCCGGACAGTCGCTTTTAGGATCTCTATTTTGAGGTCAAAAATCTTCTCCTCACGGAGCTCGAGATCCCGCTTCAATTGGTCCCTCTCCCTTTTGAGGGCGTTATTGGTCTTCTCAAGGGAAATGTTTTATTCATGAAATTCGCGCCATCTTCCGCATATTCTCATTCTTTTTCTCAAGTTCCTTAATAGTTTCTGCCAATTTGGCAATATCCGTGGAAGGGAAGTCACCCTTCGCTTGGGTCATTGGGGGGCCATGGCGGTACTCCCGCCAGCACATCCATATTTGAATTATGGCCCACAAACTTGATGGCACCATATAAAAACCCCCAAATGGTGGTGGCGATGAACAGCTGGAACTTTAGATCATCTTCTTCTCTTTTTGCTACTCATTTACGCATCGTTAGCTAATGTCTACTTCAAGGTTGGGGTTATCCTGTGGCCAGAAAGTGGACATTTATTGATCAATGATTGCATAAGATATTCTTTCCCGTGTGGGACAAGAATCATCAAAGTCAAGCAAAAGATCATAAATGACAACATATCTTGCTACATGTGGCGGGGGAAGGGAGGGGCTATGAGTCGTGGGTGAACAGACGTTGAAACATGCGCGCAAAACGCGCAATCTCTTCAGGGAAGAGACAATACCTCCCGTTGCGGTCAGCATGCGGGGGAAATACTTCGCCAGCATCGGCGGCATTGATAACGGAGGCCTGGAATTCATTGCATCAATTCTGAATGGTTATTCATTTCCATGTTTTCGAAGCCATCCACGGCTCGGCAACGGCGCCAGACGCAGCTTTTTCCTGCGTAAATATGCGTTCAAGTGAGCTGAAGGGTATGCATTTACTTACGACACAGAGGACAAGGAGACGGAGGAATAGGATGGAGAGGCAGCGGTGGGATGACATGCCGATGAATTTGACAATGAAGATGGTGTTTATGATGGTGATGATGGCTCCGCTTTTGAGACGAGCGTGACGATGCCGATGAGAGTTGACGGAGGTCAAAATGAAGTTACTGATGACTCCACATGCACTCCACTCCTTCACCCACCCTATGTAGTTGTGAGTACCATTTAGCTCCATGATCTAGAAAACACTCACTGTATATAATTAGCATGGCGGAACTCTTGGTACGAGTAAGTATAGAATCTATATATTGAACTAAGGAAGCTCGCAGCTATATCTGACAATGCAGGAAAGAGCCGTATGGATTCGCCAACTAGCTGCCAGACCACCACACACCACAAAGCTGAGCAGGCCTACTAGTAAAGGACATAGGGGTTGATTCTCAAAGGGAGTGGAAAGGCTGCTATTCTAGCTACTGAACCAGGGCGCTCTACGTCAAGCCTGCGAAGGCAGGCAGGATGAGATGGAGCAGTGAACAAGCCAACAAACCACACCACACCACGATGGAAGAAAGCCTCCCAGAAAGGAAACAGATGCTGCTTCAGCGAAAGATGTGTAAAAGTTGATTCTCTCCCCATCGGAGATGCGAAGCTACGAAGCTATATCCTGTGAAGACTGTGTACTAGGAAAGATATCCTCCAATCAGAGATCACCCATCGTCAGCTATTTTCCCACTACACTACGTAGCAGATAGAGGCTGTATCTGTAAGAACCGTACGGCTGTTTCTAGTCTTCCAATCAAAGCGCTCCCTGAGTTGGCAGATTCCCTATTATAGTAGATATCAAATGGGAGTAGGTACTTAATTTCAAGTTGGGCGCTAATGGGCAGGTCTTTTAGAAAGGATAGGTTACATGAACAACTACCATACGCCGTATGGTAGGGTTGTCGATCAGCACAGGACATAACTCTTGGAAACAAGACTTCCCTATGGACAAAAGAGTGGAAAGAGGTGTGTATTGTCTATCTAACCAGCGTTCCGTAATGCCTTATCATTCAGGCCGCAAAAACACCCCTGGACCATACTTATGCCGTAAGTATAAGGCCCCACGGACATACATAGGGTGAGATTTCAAAAGTCTAAAACACTTTCTGTCGTGTCAAAACGCCAAGACTATTCTGCCAGATACATTCAACTAGGAAACATACATACAATAACTATTCACTCCGCCTCTAGATATTTCATATACCACCCTTCTGCTTCGATTATAGCCTACACTCTTTGTAGCATCTTATGTGATAAGTTCTCCAAGATATGGAGATCTAGCAGATCTCAATAAACGATGTGGAAAAATACTGATTGGCATCTCGAGTCAGACTGAGATAGGCGATGTAGTTAGGGCGGTGTAGAAGAGGATTTCAGGCTTTACTGAAATCTTATGTAAGTTATTCGTGCACCCACTGCACCAAGTATCAGTAGGCACTGAGTAGTAATTCATTGATGTGATGTTTTGAGGATTATTTAAGGCAGATCTTCAGACAGATTTACCTAGTAAATATGGAGTAGGTATCTAGCTATTCTAAATGGAGAACCTTGGAAGAGGTGGTCCAAAAACCTTGGAATGTTGCAAAGTACCTGGTTCTTACCATGTTTTTAGCAGCTCCCGATGTATATGTTGAACTATTCCTCTTTGGGCCCAGGCCGCCACCGAAAGGAACCGCTCACTTAAAACTATATCTTACTAGTACATGAATGTTGTCGGATCTTCCAAATTGAGTTCCGCACTTTTTCATGTGTTCCAGATTGACTGCCTTTCTCCCATATTAAAAATGTGCTTTCGTTCCCGTCACTTTCTTCCAAGTACACCAATCATTGATACATTTACAGTTACCATCTCAATCAATACTGCTACTATTACCATATCAAGATCACCCACCAACTGCCACTATGCAAGCTCTCATATCCAGGTTCAAACGCTACCTTGGCCACCAATACCAAGTGATCAGCCCTTATGATGAATCGCTTCGTATGAATACACTTGCCGGACTGCCTGCCGAGCTCCTACTTTTAATCATGGAATTTCTTCCACTCGTCGATCTCACTTGTCTTTCTCTATCCAACCATAGGCTCCTGGAACTATCGCAAAAGGAAATAAGTTGTCTGGCATGTACACAAGATGAAAAATTGTTGATCTTGACTCGTTTGGAACGAGACCTCCCAAAATACTTCGCTTGCGACAATTGTCACATTCTTCATAAGTATGATGGATCCGAAAGTTTTGGCATGGAAGGGTTGGATCTTTCCTGCCCGATTCCGTGTATACTGGATCAGATTTCTATATCGTCCGTCATGAGAACCCACACCATGAAGTCATACTTGTGGAGTCATGTTTCATTCCTCCAGGTCAAGCTAGCTATGAGAAGATTTCAGTATGGCCCAGGATATGGAATTAATACTGAGTCTCTACGTTATACACAAGTTTGCCATTATACTGCAAATCCAGCACATTCGGGATTAACGTCGCTATTCTCCCGCGAAGCTCAAATATGTCCTAGCCCTCTTGGCCTTGGCCTCTGTTTGAGAATGCAAGATATCATTCTCGCCAACACACGAAGTGACTTGATTCCGACACCAGAAAAGGGGGGGATTCATTCTTGGTATGTAAACCCTCTATGTATTATGGAAGTATGTGCGCATATACACCTTGACGATTTGGCCGCGGAAGTCAAAGAGCTTTTTGCTGCAAAACCTTTTGAGAAGACCTATTTTCCCCATAGATGTGAGATATGCAACACGGACTCTTGCATTGAAATCAAGAAATTCGGCTACAAATATGCCCTTATAATCACAAAATGGGTCGGCCTGGGCTTCGGTCTTAACAAAGAGGATCCACTATGGGATAATCATGTCCTTTGGCCTTGTGGGGATGGTGACAATATCAATACAGAGGACTATGAAAGTCCCCGCATGTGCTTTGAAGGCATGGCACCTGAGTCGTTCCGAGAATTGGTGTCTCGTAACCTCTTTTACCTCAAAAACAATCAATTTCGAAGAGACGCGCGTTTTACTGCGTTTGGAAAGAACTGCTGGTACATCTCATACAAAGATCCTTCGAAGTCTGCGAAAAGGGGACTCTGGAAATTCTTAGAAGAATGTTTGCCTATTGATCAAGAAAAAGCGACAGCTACGGAAGAACCGATACGAAAAGGGCCAGTTTATGATCAATTTGATCTTTATCACCTTCGACATGATGTTGCTTTGCTTCGAAAGGATTATCTTGCCCTTGAGAAGAGCATTAGCTCACTGAGGAATGAGCTCAATTCAAGATGTATCTAGATAATAGAGCGATGCAGCAAATGCGACTCATGTTTAGAAATCCGCTGTGTATTATTGGTGAGAATGAGGGTTTTCGCTGCTAAGAAGTGAGCAGCAGGGATGACGAGAAATTGAACTAAGCAATGACTAACACAAGCCGGATATATCTGAGATATATGCAGGGACTCACAGATATCGAGAAGCTAATCGATCCTAACGTTCCCTATTTCTTTCGACCAGCCATTCGTTGCCACTAGAAATTAGGACCTTGATCTGTGGGCTCTACAAGACTTGAACTATCAAATTATCAAATTTCACAAGAGAGTCAGGATCTCGGGTTGGCAGTCATCAAGGATATCGATGACTAAATACGCTATGCCTAGATTTGGGCCTGCTAAATTGCTTGGTTGAATTACTTGGTTGGGCTACTTGGTTGATTTGGTTGCTGAATCGCGTGTGTGACCCGACAGATGTATAGTTTCAATCAGAAAATATAAAAATACTAAAAACTGACTCGGATTATGCAAATTGATGATGAATATTAGCAAATTTACTATATTTAGTGTCTTGGCAAACTTATAGGTTCCTGTGGGTTGTGACTTTGAACCTCTAACGATTCATTGTAATCAGTTCTTTTCAACTCGATTAAGGGTAGCGGCGAGGCCAGGAGTCCCTATTGTTGAAGCTAAACATAAGGCCTTTTATCCACTATTGGTCATTCACTGCCGCATTCTTCTGTATGATGGGATTTTTACCACAAGTTTGGGAGATAACCAAGGCGAGACGAGTCAATAGAAGTCGCAACAACGGAATTATTTTCGGCATCAGTTCAGACCGTCGTCATTTTGGCCACCAGAAAACAGCAAAGAGACAGAGGCCATGCCCGGGCGGATAACGGAGAGAGGGTGCGAGAGACACCGCAAGTGTAGCCAAGATGATATTTTTCAATCAACCTGAAAACGATTCCGAACCAACAGTATGTCGAGCTTTAGACCAAGCGGTCTGTAGATAAAGGTCTTGAATCATAGATTCAAAATTCGACCACTATACCATCAATTGGCAAGATGGCCGAGTTGGTCTATGGCGCACGGTTCAGGCTTACCTGATCCACAATTCCGTGTCTCGATTTCGGGGCGTGGGTTCGAATCCCACTCTTGTCATTTCTCTTTTTGCCTTTTCATTTTTTGATTCTATCCTTATGATATCCCGTAAACACTCGCTCTCTTTATTCTCTTGAAACAAGAGATTAGGCCATATGATGCATGTTATTGGTTTTTCGGCCACGGTGCCTCAAGCAATGGCTTTGTTTGATAGATTCCAACCCTGAATACCATAATCTTGCTCATAAATCATTTTTGCACATGAACCAAGCAGGTTTGTTCCATCACTGTATACAGGCATGCTTGGCGACTAAAAGAAAAATCCGGGCTTACCCTGTGGTATATTTATGGATAATATGTCCAGAAACGCTGTAGCCTTGAGTGAAGATCGACTAGAAAAGAACCCGGCTTCTGCCTGGATAAAGGGTCAATGAAAATTTGATAAAAAGCAGCTCCTAGTACACAACTCTGATATTATATCTGGACTCCAAATTTCCTCGTTCCTCTCCGCGGTGGTACATGAAGGAGTGATCGACAGTGACAACCTTAGCCGTGGTTTCCGCTTTGTTTTTGTTTCAACGGTTGACCGCCCGCTGGCCTGGCTAATCAGCCGCGTGTACACTTTCTCTCTCTCGACCACATCACCCCGAGACTTTGAACCTACTTTTCGCCAGAGCTCCCCAAATCAAGTCTCTTTTCGTCGCTGCTATTCTGTCATCGTCCGCTTGCCCACAATGTCTATCGCCGAGGAGTTTCGCGAGAGAAATTTCAGTAGGTACCCCGTCATGTTGATGCGGCGGCAATGTCGATCAGCCCCGTGGGATTGACATTCAAGCTAACACTGCGCTCACTTAGGCATCTACGGTCAATGGTTAGTGTCTCAGCTCATATCGCTTCCTTCTTAGCCTCCGTCTGGCCCCTACCGAGTTCGACAATAATCTTTGGGCTCTGTGGTGAGATGGTCATGGATGCCTATCGCCTCTTTCTGGCTTCTAGGCGCTCTTTGGCCTCTCTACTCCGTATGTATAGAGAGCATCATTCTGAGTACATTTTGTTAGGTGCGGTGTTGTTTCTATGGTTCTTTGCTTTGCGCTCGGCATTGCAAATATTTTCTCCCCCGTACTCCGCATCATTTTCTCCGCCATTTGCCTGTGAGTCCGGCCAATAATCGACCCTGTGTAGTCGCCTCATTTCTAACATCCACAGCGCTTGCTCTTTTGTAATTCTTTTCATTGAGGTGCCTTTCCTCCTCCGCATCTGCCCAACCTCCTCCAAATTCGATGCCTTTATCCGCCGCTTTACCACCAACTGGATGCGTGCCGCCATGTATGCTGTGATGAGTGCTGTTCAGTGGGTCAGTCTTGTCACCGGTGCTTCCAGCCTGATTGCTGCTGCTGTGTTCCTGATCATTACCGCCTTGTGCTATGCGCTTGCTGGGTTGAAGAGTCAGGACTTTGTTGGCAGTAAGACTCTTGGTGGCCAGGGAGTTGCACAGATGATCGTTTAGTCGGTTTTGGGTTCGAACAGGTCTCCCTCTGCTGCTTCTCGTATCTGATTTTAGTATTTTATGGCATGTCTTCTGATCGATCGAGAGTCTGGGTGACATGATGAGATGCTTGATGCGAAATTCTGGGAAAATTGGCCCTCAGGGTCAAGATACATTGGATGTGCCACGACCTTACTACTTTTTTGCCACTTGTACCTGTATGTCTAGGCCCGTTGTCTTCGGGGGGGGACTTACTTGACGCTGCTATTTTCTTGCGGGCATATTTGGGGTTCTTGGGTATTGGGCATGTGCCCGCCACTTTAGTAGTTTTTATGGGCTATGTCTTCAATTAGGCCCAATTCCTTTGGAAAGGAAAATTTACGATTACTTAATTTCTCTTGATATCTGATCTATTTCTCAACATGAGAGATTCATCCACGGTAGATTCCGCTATTGAATCTCCTGCTGGCGTGTCCACTGGGTCTCTTCTAGAGGCTAAAAGGTTATGGTATATGTGGCTTGATGTAATGTCATTTTTCTCAGATGGATGGGTAAGGTCGGGTTTTAGATCTGAAACCACTGTTGGACGAGACTAAATCCGTGCCCTTTATGGGAAAGATTGGGTAGATGTGCGCCCGTCGGAAATATATATATCACTGAGCCAAATGCCCGCTCGGGGCACTGAGGTCAAATTAAAAGATACATAAACGGTCAATACATTCCTTAAATTTCATTAGCATATGTGCCCTTTATTCAATATGTTTGAAAGCCATATTAATCATGCTAAGGGGAAAGCTGTCCACAATAGCATCCAACGTGACGGTACTATGAGAAACTTATCCTGTTTCATATGGCATACGTGATGAGAGTTCTGACCATGATCCCAAAGATCCAGCCACCCTCCATCAAGTAGGCAAGATGGCCGAGTTGGTCCAAGGCGTCAGGTTAAGGTCACACCTTAGCACAATTTCCTGATCTCGATTTCGGGGCGTGGGTTCGAATCCCACTCTTGTCATATATTTTTTCTATCTTAATTTTTTTTTTTCACTCCCACTTCTCGGGTTTGTTGTCTTTTATTTTCTCGCGTTATTCTTTTACTATAAATCCCACTTGCCCCACTCACTCGACTGACTGGTGCACCCGTGCAGCAAATTCGAAGCTATCGCCACCGACTTGACACCAACCTGAGTCAACTTACTGAACAAAACCAGAGGCTCCACCTGAAGCTGCACGTATTATGGTGCTCTATTGCCGTACTCCTAAGAATGCGTAGGCATATCATTTGTCCTTTTCCTCTTGATCTTGAATACTACGAGGCTCAGAAAAGGGTGATCGAGACCTGCCCCATTGATCCGTCTTAAACCAGACCTGGCCTGCTTCCCGGTTCCCTCCACACTACAGACCTCAGCCTTATACCTATTGACTTTCCCACATTCAATCTCTGAAGATTCTTCCACGATTCTGACCGTCAAATGGGCTCTTTCAAACACATCTGAGTACAGGTCAGATATGATCGTCACCCCGCAACCGCACCAAGCTGCAGCAAACCCAGGCCTGATCATCGAAAAACCTCAACAAGCCACATGACCCCCTTCCTGGAGACCCCTTAGCGTAACCTATTCAGGAGGTAGTGCAAGCCCAGGAACCACGTCAGAACAAACCGGTCTTTCGGGAGTCCCGCGTCATCCCAAGACGGTGTGGCGGTAATATTCATATTCACAGGGCTAAGGTCGGTTCAGAGTGGAGCCTAAGCCTCCTGACGAGGACAGTGATTTCATACCTCTACCAGAATTGGATCGAGGAAGAAAAAGAAAGGAAATAGGATGTCAGATGATAGACCCGACACACCATTTTCCGAACAGACAATCCCAGCCACTATCCACCTTCATCCTCAGATGGATAAAGGGGGGACAAGGGAAAGTTTGTAGGGGAGAGATGATGCAATTGAAGGTGCGGAGAGCCGAGTTCACCGCCTCGGCCGCGGAGGCCAATCCGAGCAGAAAGAAATAATCTTGCCGATCCGCTTCCCTTATCGCCCCCCCCCCCCCCAAGTCGCCAGTACAAAGTCCGGAGTATAAGTCTATGAATCACAATGGCTGAAGCGATAGTCAAAGATAGTCGAAAGATAGCCACCCGCGACAGTAAAAGGGCACAGTGGAAAAGAACATGGAATCTAGATGGCGCCTTAACTAGAGAACACAGCCACCAAAGCTGGACAGCCCAGGGCTATTAATACATCACACTTTCAGACCCATGGTCTAGCCAGGGATTATCGGTCCAACACCCCTCATACGAAACAAGGGAGACGCCCATGCACGTACGATGCCGAGACAGACGTGGTTGGATAAGCTGCACCAGACCTGATTTGCCCCCTCTCCGTGTTCATAGTATCTTGACCAGTTCCCACCGGGGACGAGGCATTTACCCCAAAAATGCCGCACCCGTGAGCATTGCTCAATTTCAAGGTCTCTGCAATTCTCTCCGCAGAGTATTAGGGATAGTATGCGGGAATAATCAATCAATCGGGGAAGTCATTCTTGCCGAGGTCGAGTCCGTATACTTCATGGGAGACACACTCGACCAGGAGCAATTCCCGCCATCGTTGATAAGTCGGGGTCACGATAAGTTAAAACTCGATTTTGGGCAGTCCCGTTGTAACGATACGGTAAGTAGACGGTAATCTGGATGCTGGCTGGCCTGGATGCGGTCAGAGCACGTCACGCGCCCGGTGGGTCGTGGCAGAAAGAGACATACATCATCCTCGTCGCTCGCTGGATTGCTTCAATCTCTGTCCTTCTTGTCTGTTACCTGCCCTCCCTTGCACCGCTTTGACCTGATCCAATTGGTATATTGTTTAGACATTGATAGCGGGCGTACCAACCTGGGTAAGCAAATCACCTTGCATGGCCTTATCAGCAGCAGCCCTCCCCCTTCCCCCTCTCGCCCCGATGACTGCCGGGAACCCAGTTTCTGGCATGCATCCATGCAGGTCCTGAAGCGGTCAACCCCAGGATTCTCCGCCTGGACCAACTATCTAGTCTTGGCCCCAGTGGACATCAGGGGAGGGCGCCAGCTGTATCCATTTTGGTCCCCAGTGCATACTTTTCGGGCCGGCTCTGTTGGGGCATTCTCTAGTAGATATACTGACAAACCGGCAGCTTCACAATACTCTCCATTATGTCTACACAAACCGCTCCGGTCATCCCACCTCGACCGGCTCGATCCCCACAACCACCCACATCGGTAGACATGCCGCGGATTCCCCCTCGTCCATCGAATCGCCGCATCGATCGATCGGTGTCGCCAATGCGGGACAGTTATGCGCCCTCTCCTTTCAATGAATGGAGTGGCCCCAGTATAAGCCGAACGACGTCGAACGATCTCCCCCCTCGTCCGCCGAGCGTCACGATACCGTCCTTAGGGGAGGAGGGAATTGAGTATGCTGATCTTGATGTGGGGAACATGTCTGACAGCCATCATCAGGCGCCCACGGAGACGCGAAACGTTAGCAGTGACCTAAAGATTCATGCACCAAGACCTTCATTGCCAACTTCAAGTGCTAAGGCAAAAGTGCAGGCGGTCACTCGCACGGACTCTCGCCAGGCCGCAGCAGCAGGCCTCGGCCGGGAGAGTTCCCACTCTCCAGCAATACAGGAGGAGTTGGAACGCTCTAGCCGTTCTTTACACTCTCGAACGAGTGGCTCGCGGGCCGAGTCCTCTACCGCTTCGGCTGACCGTCGGCATTCCGCACAGCCTGGAGATGAACATGGCTTCCGAGTGCCCATGTACCCTAATGCGGGTGACGTTCAGGCCCCATCACCAAGCCCTTACCTTGAACAGGGCTCGCAGCGTCAGGGCCGCAACCATAACCGAACTCGCAGTGGACGGGATGTGTCCCTTCCCCCTGGGAGCTATGGCTTGCATGGGCATGGTGTCCAGCATGCCGATAAGTTCGAGAAGGCCTGGTATGAAAAGCACCCTGATGAGTTTGCCAAGGAAGAAGGGCAGTATGGCCCAGGTGTCGGTACACCCCGCCCCGATTGGGCTTTGAGCAGTGATGATTTGAACAAGATTGTTCAAGGCTCAGCCTCCACCCCGACTGGAGCTGGTAATGCAACCCTTGCAACCTTCATGCATTGGTATTCAAAACTAACCTATGCCCAACAGGGACAACCCCTGATGTCACAGGAACTCCGGAAGAGGAGGTTGGCTACCTCGCTACCGACGAGTATGTTCAACGGATGGCCTCTCCACCTCCCGATGCTCGGCTTGATAGTCAGCCCGCCGTAGAATCACCCCTCCGGCAAATGAGCTTCCCGGCATCTGAAACTGAGCCCAAGGATCCTCCCCGTTCTCCGCTACGCCATATCCGTCGTACCAGCTCGCACGGACGTCATACGGATAACGACGTGATTCACGTTGATGATCCAATGCATCCTCTCCACCACCCCGACGGATTTGCTCCGACACCGGCACCAGATGATCTGACAACCCACCGAGAGGAACCCATTGAAGAAGAAGAGCCCATTCTTGCAGCTGACGAAGTACGTCCCGAGTCCGCGTATTTGCATCCTGCCATTTCGCCTACCTTCGAACATAGAGGAAGCTTTGATGAAGACATTCGCAGCCGGACACCAAGCGTCTCACATAGTCGCTCAAATAGCAGATCAACGAGCGCTCAGGGTGCCCATATGCTGACTCGCTTCGATTCGCGTGAGCCATGTGATGATGCCTATACTCCCTTAGAAGACGTGGAGGAATATGAGCCGCTGTTCCCTGATGATGAGACCAGGAAGGAACGCTCTGCTTCCGCAGCAGAGCGTTTCAAGAAGCGCCCTGAATCTCTCAAGCATCGATTCCCGAGCGAGGACATTTGGGAAGATACTCCAAACAGTCTTCAGCATTATGCCACAGTTACAACTCCAGATCTTCCCAAGCGTAACTCTTCTGAGATCTTTGAAAGCCCCGAGAAGGAGGCAGCGAGGAAATTCCAGACAACAAAGCTCGATTCTCACCAAGTCGCGAGTCATATTCTCGAAGGCGATGGAGCTCGTTCTGGAGAAAAGAAAGCAACTCGTCCGGATGCTCTCAAGCAACGGTTCCCGAGCCGGGACATTTGGGAGGATGCTCCTGATAGCCAGCAGCTGGTGACCACCGTGGAACCGGCTGCCGATGAAGTGAAGAGCCCTGACGCATCTAAGCCATCGATTCCTCCTCGTCCTCAGAAGCTATCTCAGGCAACATCACCAACTGAAAAGCGCCAACCACCATTGATTCCCGACAGACCAAAGCCTCAGATTCCGGCTCGCCCTGCCAAGCCCAGTGGCCAGGCTTCGGCTGAAAACCTTGCCAAGGCAGCCGAAGGACCGGCTGTACCGAAAGTGAAGCCTGCGATTCCGGCCCGTCCTGGTGGTAGCAAGATTGCGGCTCTGAAGGCTGGTTTCCTCACTGATCTCAACTCACGTCTGCAATTGGGTCCCCAGCAACCGAAGCCACAGGAGAAGGAGCCCGAGCCAGCAGCCGAGAAGCAGCCACTGAGTGATGCGCGTAAGGGACGAGCCCGGGGCCCTGCGCGGCGGAAGCCCGCCGCGGAGAATGCCAACGCGAGACTGCCTAGTATTCCGGAGATCAGGATCACAGAAACATGGAATGTGTGGTCAGTCGGTGAAGATGGCAACTTGACTGTCGGTAGCGACGACAAGGAATCGAAGCCTTCAACGACAGCTGACCCTGTCCATCCGTCTGAACTATCTGCAGCTCCAGAACTTGCCAAGAACACGGCGGGTGAGTCCGTCGATCCGATCCCAGAACCACCTGTTGGTGAGACCACAGCCTCGGAACCCGAGCCAGTCCTTACGCAAAGTTCAGCGGAAGCTGCAGAGGTGGTCGATTCCCCCGTAAAACCAGCTAAGAAGGAAGAGCTTGAAGAGTCCGCAGCTGAAGCCCAACCGCTCAACGAGTCGGTCTCTACCTCGCCCAAGGTGGACAGTGTTTTAGAGCACATGGCTGCCTCGGCTGATGGAAAAATGGCTTCCGATGGCGAGATTCATCACGTGGATTCATCCTCTTAGGCCTTCCACATTTGTCTTCTCTTATGTTAATTTCATACCTTACCTTCACTCGCTGTAATTGTTGATGAAACTCCATGTTGAAAATATGGGTGCAACGACCATTTGTAGTCTTGCCAATCTTTGTGTTTGTCTGTTTTTTCCCACTTCTTTGTGCCGTTTAATGAGTGGCCTACCACTGGCCCATGAATTCATTTATATTGCTGCATCGGCATAGATGCAGCAATGTTTCTTTCTCATGAATTTAAATCTGGAGCCTTTTTCTTCTTGAATCTGAGAGTTGGGCCGGGTACACTCCTATGCCTGAGGATTATGAGTCGACCAAGTATCAACTTGGCTTGTCATTTCCACTTGCTACAGTAAATAATACTGGAATCCTGTAAATTGATATTAAAACCGTCAATGATTGATTGCATTTTACGCATTGTTGCCTGTCGTTGTGCCGAGGGTTGCGCTAGAATTTTGGAAGATATGACCTACGTCTTTACGCCCTTGATATATCGGCTTGGCTCATAAACAAACCCTCCGAGATCGGTACGGTCATCACTCAGGTCGAAAAATGAAGTTATAGGATATTTTACGCCCTTGACGACGTTATCTTGGCATTTTTATTACATCTATTACTAGGTACGTGCCATGCCGGGTAAAAAAGAGCCTTGAGCGACATTCTCAATTTGTGCAGCCTTCGACCTGTCACCAAACGAAGGGCGTCAGACCGATTTACCCATTCAAGGTTGGCAAATACTTCTATTTCGCAGTTTTTATATCCTGCAAGTATGAATTACTCAATAGAGCATATTTACGCAGCTGTACGAGATCGCCCATTCTACAAATCGATTGAATGTGCTGGCTTCCTGGCGTAGGCCCTGGGGGTTGAAAGGCCGGAGGGCACGACTTCGGAACAATTGTATGGAGAAGAGCGAAAAATCGTATCGAGAACAAAGTGAAAATGAGGTTCAAAATTCAAAGGTGGTCTAATTTACAAGCTTCAGGACCTGAGGAGGCGGCCAGTTCTAGTGGAGCCACAGGCATGCACAACCGTCCCCTCATATTTCCCCAGACCTTGCCAAAAGAAAGAAAAGAGATCATTTAGTGGGCGGCGGGGACCTCCTCATCCTCCTCAAACCAGCTCTCCTCGACGGGGGCGGCCTCGCCCGCGGCGGCCTGGCCCTCAACCTCGACCTGCTGGGCCTCGTAGGCGGACAGCTCACCGGCCAGGTTGGCCTCCTCGGGAGAGGCAGGGGCCTTGGGGAGGGCGAACTTGTGGACTTGGCCCTCGGAGTCGTTGGCCTTGAGGGGGGTGGGCTTGTAGGCCTTGAGTTCACGGAGGTACAGGTCCTGGACTTGGTCGGCTAAAGAGAGGGGTCATGCGGGTTAGTGACATGGCGATCAGATGTTGGGCAGCACCCCTAGGGATTGTGCCCGAGAGAATTTTTGAGACTAGAAACGTACCCCGGCGGACAGCGGAGGTCAGGAAGGTGCGGCGAGCGACAGGGACCTGTTGCCGAGAGGCACGGGTGAGGAGGGAGCGCTGGTGGTTCCGCGTCAGTTTTGACAAGTAGCGCAATCAATTGTCATGCCAAACTTACCGAGGCGCGGAGGGACTGAGACATCATCTTGACGGGTAGTCGTGGTCGACGAGGAGGAATGAGGGAGAGGTGGTGCTCGACAGGATGGATCTGATCCGTCTTCCGTGCAGTTGAGGTTGGAAACGACTTCTCTTCGGAAACTCGGCTTGGCGCTTAGTCACCAGGATACCACACGTGATCCTGGGGCCTGGCGCTGTCGAGTCATTGAACCTCTCAGGGTTGCCTCTCTCTTTGTCTCTTTTTCTTCATCTCCCCCTCCGCCCTCGATCCCACCCCCTTCATCCTCATCCTGTCTCCGGAACTCAACTATCGACGTTATTGCTCTTTTCATGGCATTTACAGCGACCCGTTAAGTTCTACGACCCTTTTCGTGAGATATCTCTTACGGAGACCTTGACTGGTTCATCGCGGTCGGACAAGCAAAGGATTCGAGGTTTCTCACTTTCTTGCACAGAAAGCGCAGACTGGTGACAGTTTTCCCCACGCCTGCAAGAGGGGGGTGATCTATCGAGTTACGAGTGGCCACCATCTAAAAGGTAATGATAGTCTGTTTCACCGAGGATCTGGGGAGGTCCGTGGCGTCACGGAGAGATTCGTTTGACAGCGACGCCATGGAGAGCCTGTCTTACCTGTTAAAACTGGAAACTCGAACTGGGCTAACAGTCTACGCAAGTAGTGGCTCGCAATCCAGGGAGATAGCTTGTTCCTACCTGCATCCTATCGAGTCTCCTGCTCGATAGGCGGACGTCCTTTCGTTCTGAATCTCGCTGCGCTTGTCGCCAGCCGCCAAGACGTATTCGCCACTTTTTTTCCATTTATACGGCCGCAAATATAACATACCTGTATCTGCAAGAAGAATCGCAAGGCGACGCCAGCAACGTTTTGAAGCAATCCGACTGGCAAAGAAAATGGCTTCCATGACACCCGCAGTGAAAATAGAGGCGGCGGTAGCCACTGCCCCGTGGAAGAAGAACCTTTCGGCGCATGTTATCTGCCCCGAATGCAAGGAAGTGCCTCCCAACCTGGAATTTCCTGACTCTCATGAGACTGTCTGTGGTTCGTGCGGCCTCGTCCTTGCTGATCGCGAGATTGATATGCACTCCGAATGGCGAACTTTCTCGAACGACGACCAAAATAATGACGACCCATCCCGTGTTGGTGATGCCATGAATCCGCTGCTGAATGGAGATCAGCTGGAAACCTCGATCGCCAGTGGTGCATCGGGTCGGGCTCGCGACCTTTATCGCGCTCAGAACAAGCAATCCAGTGAGAAGGCAAACAAGCAACTGCTTGCGGCCTACAAGGAAATCGGTTCTCTCTGCGACGGATTCAACATTCCGAAGAATGTGGCTGATACTGCAAAGTATCTGTTCAAGATTCAGGACGATCACAAGGCATTCAAGTCCAAGTCTCAAGATGTCATCATTGCCGGATGTATCTTCATTGCGTGTCGCCAGTGCAAGGTGCCTCGTTCCTTTGTCGAAATATTCGCTGTGACCAAGGTCAGTCGCAAAGAAATTGGTCGCATCTATAAGGGCCTCGAGAAGTTCTTTACAAGTCAGAACATTGAACGCAACAATGCCGTGGTCTCGTCTGGCGGTGTGCCCGATCCCAATGACACCTACCAGGCCACCACTTCCGCTAAGCCTAGCGACATGTGCAATCGTTTCTGTAACTTACTCGAGCTACCATTCCAGGTTACTCGTGTCTCTTCCACTCTGGCTGATAAGGTGACCAAGAGTGGCGAACTGGCCGGACGTTCTCCTCTATCTATTGTCGCCTCCTGCATCTACATGGCCGCTCACCTTATGGGGTCCCCCAAGAGTGCCAAGGAAATTTCATTCGTCGTTCACGTCAGCGACGGAACTATCAGACATGCTTACAAGCAGCTTTATGCTGCGCGGAAGACTCTGATTGACCCTGAGTGGCTCAACGATGGGAAGGGAGACATGAAGAATCTGCCCTCCAGCTAAAAGTGCTATTGATTGCTGGAGCTTCCCCTTTTTTTTTCTTTTTTTTCTCGCTGTAATGCAAGATGCGGGCTGCCTGTCCCCGACCCTCTATTGCCTTTTTTTTTTTTTTTTTTTTTTGTCATCGCGAGGATAACGCGATCATTATCTAACGATGCACACTCATTTACGAGGTCTTTAAGTGAATACTTTATGGTGCTTTGAATATTTTTCTGGTAGTTTGAGTAATTTGTGTACCCTCTTTTGAATCCAGGTTGTAGAACGTGTCTGGAAGAGTGTAATATAAAGTGACGCTTAATTAGCTGACTGGACATTTCAACCCTGTTTGCTGATCACAGCCTAAGATACCTATCCGGTAACAGACTTCAATAACAAGTGACGGGCGACGGCTCCCCAAAATAAATCTCATGTCTACTCTCGTACATAAAAGTACATAGAATAAATAGGGTATGAAAAAGATATGAGATTAAAAAAAAGATATGACAAGAGTGGGATTCGAACCCACGCCCCGAAATCGAGATCAGGAAACTATGCTAAGGTGTGACCTTAACCTGACGCCTTGGACCAACTCGGCCATCTTGCCTATTTGATGAAGGGTGGCTGGATCTTTGACAATATGACCGAAACGTAACTGTGATTATGCGCTGTCACCGGGGATGGACCCCCTTGCATTGCGACGAGATGTACGTGCCGGGGAAAAGCCGTCCGCTCTCTATGACCCCTCAAATTCGGATCACGAGGATCATCAGAATCATTTCATGATTTGTGTCTATTTGGTTCTGGCATGCGTTGAAAGTTTTGACTTTGTTTTTCCCTTTCTTTTTCTTGTTCTTTTTTTTTTTTTTTTTTTCTTTGCCTTCTGTCGTCCGTTACTCTGCTCTCAGGCCAAGTCTATAAAAGCCGGTCGTCTATCATGTCCCCAATCGGACGAACCATCGACATTCGACATCCATGCCGATGACCCGTGGACTATACCCTGCATTGCGACGTGGCACCTCCAGGGTCATCGAGCATTAAGCGTGCTGATTCTCAATCGTAGACGAAATCATTGCCCCATCGCGATGCTTGCGCAATTTACCCTGTCGAGAAAGAGAATATCCGGGGCGGCCGCGTCTGGGCCTTGGACGTACAACTTGGGCCAAGTCCCGGCAAACCCAAAGTCCCTCTCCCCCCCTCCCGCCCCTCCTCTGGTGGACGTGGCGGATCCAGGGTTTTTTAAGCCTCTGCAAACGACAGAGAGCCCTGCGCGCTCTGCTCGACCAAGGGTCGGTCCTATTATTCTGACGCCGATGTTGGTCTCGCCAGGCCTGCGAATGACATACTCCATGTCGCAATCATGTGTTGGACCCATCTACTCGATGCCAGTCCTAGCTGGTGGTACAAAGGAACGTCATGGCCGACGCGTACTCTGCTCTCTCATTTCTTGGTCTCCCAGGACCTCGTCCCGCTTTTGTGTTTAAGGTTTGATTCGGGAAGGGGTGAGCTTGTTGTCATGATCGTATACGGAATGCCCGAGGGGGGAGGGGTTAATCCGTCCGAGTCAGGTGTCACCACTACGGGGGCTCGCAATTCCTCTCCTGGTTTCTGGGGGAGGGAGGGGGCACGTCGTCTTTAGGGCTGACGAAGGTATCATCGGGTCGGCCGAAGCGACATTCCTGGGTTGCATGGCGTGCATCGATACGAGGGTCTGGAATGTGCCTTGTGCCTGACGGTGCCTTACTGAGGCAGCGAACGGGCGAGAACGAGAGGTCCCCAGAGTCAGCCGGTCCAACGCGGACACTGAATGTCAAGAGCCTGCGAGAATGCGCGGATTGGCGGTGGAGACCAGTGTGGTTATTGAGGTGCGTGTTCATCATCGCGATCCTCATCAGCGCCCTGCATATATTCCTTGTACCTCTTTGTGCCTGGGACCCAAACGCAAAGAATCCATGGATCGTCGGATGGGCGGATGTGGCGGATCAGGGAACATGTCTTATAGAACTCTTTCTCCAGGGGACATGATCTTGAGGAGCCGGTGTTTTGTACATCATCAACATATACGGAGGACATGGAGAGGCTCCTGGGAGGGTAAGATCGGCCTGATTGGACAGATCGGTCAGAAGCATCGAACCGGGTTCTTCAATCGATGTCCAGTCGTTTTGTATACCCGATGTATAAAAATTCTATACTAATTTCCGTCCGGGGGAAGGGGGGGGATATCACCACCACAACAAGCGAAAAAGCGAACCTGCAGATATACATCGTCCCTGCGATCGGTGTTCCTCCCCGTGTCCAGCAGCACAATGCTCCCCCCTGTAGATTCCCTAATCTTCCGGAGCGGCCGCGATTGGTGTTAGGGCTCGTCATCGGGGCTGAGAGTGCGACCGAGATGAATCAGACTTTGTTTATGCACCAGCTCTGCAGAGGACCATGGGCGCGGGGTGATACAGAAAATACTCAGCCTCCCCGGGATGGACAGGAGGGACAGGAGGGACCGGATTACGCGAGCCTGATACCTACTGCGCGCGCGGATCCGTGGATGGGCTGATAGGGGTGGAGAGTAGAGAGGTGAGAAACGTTGGGGGGGGGGGGACGTGGGGCGACTGGAAGCCCGATGTCCCAGAAGGGGGCAAAATGGGTGGACTGGATGTCTCACCTGAGATCAGGCTATGAATGAGATCAGATTCTTGTGCAGAGGTATGGCTCTCGGGGACTGCGAGTCGTGGTGGCCGCGGCTGTCGAGGGTCTGGGGATATGTGATAACAACGTAGGCATCGTGAATGAGGCGCAGAGAGGCTGGAGATGTGATCTTGGACCGGCATTCATGGGTGCTTGTCAGGAGGGGATCCTGGCTCGAGGATACTGGAGGAGAGCATAGAATAAACCGTCACAAGTATGACGTGCCAGTCGAGGAAATGAAGTCGTAGTTCGTAGTCGTCGACAAGGGCGAGTGGGAGAAGATGGAGTCGTCCAGCGCAGCCAGCGCAGCCAGCACATGCGGAAGAAGCATGAGAAAAGCTTTGATTGTTATGATTGAATGGCCTTCTTTTCGCATTGCCTTCTTTTCAGCTCTTTTCAGCTCTTTTTTCTTATTTGTCCTTATTTGCCTCCAGATGCTGCGTGCTGCATTGGGTATTTTATGTTGGATAATTCAATGATGTATGGTTTTGCCTAATTCGTCCTCACACGAGAATTCTCCGTCCCGCTTGCTTTTCCTCTTTTCTTTCCCATCTTTTTGCTTCTTCTTCTGCTTCTGCGTCGGCTTCAGCTTTAGCTTCAGCTTCACTGTGCTTCGCTACCTCCGGACGACCGTGAGAGATTTGCCTGTCCAACGAATTGTTTTCCCGCGCCCCCCGATTTGCCGGTGGATACACACCCGCATCCCTTCCTAGCTTTGGGGCCAGCTCGCAAGCCGCAAGCCGCAAGCCTCCAACGACTTCACTAGTCCCGGCGTCTAAGTGGGCGTGCTTGGGCTCACTGGCTCACGAGAACCATCTCAAACGAGCTGGTAAACAGGCGCGACGGAAACCAACTTGCCAACTCGCCAACTCGCCAACTCGCCAACTCACCAACGCACTGGCGATTCCCCCCTCTCCCCAAACCCCCTTCCATCCCCAGTTCAATTATTTCCTTCCCTGATACTCCCTCACATCCGTTCCGCTCTCCCCCGCCGCCTCGGACGCGCCCCAAAGAAACGGAGACCCTTGTTCACCCTGAACCCGCCCGTTTAACCCGTTGTAGTCTTTCCAGCCGCCGATCGCTGGCTACTTCGGTGGCGCCCTTCGAAAAGTTGCAGCTGCAGAGGCGATCGATCTATCGTTCCTAGACCGACTCGGACTCTCGGATGTGTCTGCGCTGCGCTCCTTCAAACTTGCCTCGATCCACTTGCCCTTCTCCCCCTCCCCCTTCTTCTTCCCCCAGCTTCAGACGGCAGACAACCCTTAGCGGCCACCGTGTGACGGGTCATCCGGTGACGACAGTCTGATTGATCTGATTTGATCTGCCGGGCTCCGAGAATAGTGTTGTGGCTGGCCTGCATTGTCTCCGCCCTTCCGCTTTGCCATGCAGCGCGTCTGAAACTGTCACCGGGATTTCCACTGGCTGTGTATGGAGGAGCTGGTCTTCTTCGACACCATTTTCGTCCCAGCCTGCGCAGTCTCCCTGAGGGAAATGTGCGCTTGTCGACACCTGTTTCCCTGACCGCGTCTCCCTCCCCTCCCCTCTCCCCGCAAGACAATGTCGTCGCCCTCCCCCGGGACCACCGAGACGACGACCAGCAGTTACCCGAACGACGATCCGAACGGCGTGCTTTCGCGGGCGGCCAGCTATACCGACCTCCCTCGGCAGAGCTCCCGAATCCGGTCTCCCAGCCCTCCGGCGAACCTTCTCAGACCACGCCGTGCCCACCTTGGCCGAGTCGCCGACGAAAGAAACCGTGGCCGCTGGAAAGGACATTCTGCGCCGAACCTCCCTTCGCTCGAAGCACAAGGCCGACAAGTCGCCAACCGCCGTCTCGCATTTCACCCTCTCCTCCTCGGAAGATCTGAAGGATCTCGGCTCGCAGGATGCCGCAACCAAGTACCCCGAGACAAGGGCACCAGAGCCTGTGGCTCGGCCCTCGAAAAGCCGGTCGATGTCCGGACGAATAGTCAGCCTGGCACGGAAACCGTGGGGCTCGTCATCTCGATCTCCATCCCCGGCCACCGCGAAGAGGGCAAAGCAAAGGTTGGAAGAGCAATCTCCGACCCGGCTCGGACAACAGACGGATGGGACGGACTCGGACTCGTCACAGCCCTCGCGCAAGCGAACCATTCTATACAAACGACCCCGGCGTCCAATGGTTGCCGTGGTGGTAAAGGGGCACTCGGACAACCCAGATTCACCAAGTAGCCCGTCAGGCAGCTCGCTACGGCACCGATCCTCCTTTGAGAAGTTCACAGCATCCCTCTCCGTGTCCACACCGGTTCTTCCACCAATGCCGAAAGGTGCAGCAGCAACAGCCGCGTCCTTTTCTCAGAATGCTCACAGTGCTAATGATCACTCTCCGCGAAAGAAAGATGAGCTCTGGGGTATCTTTCGGGGCCTCGAAGCAGACTTCCAAAAGTATGCATGGAAATCTACCTTTCTCCACCTTTATTTGCTAATCGAATTCCGACAGATTCCAATCTAAAACGAGCTCGTTGAAAGCAAATGTCATTCGCTCCTCCCTCCTCCCATTTCTCGGCCGTCACCATTTGCATGCATCCTGCAAGAATCTCCGGCCAGAAGATCTAGATCGGCGGGTCAACATTCTCAATAGATGGTGGATTGGGATGTTGGAGATGCTCAATGGCAAGAACAATCAATCGATTTCGGGCACGGACCGAGCGGTCTTTTTGGAGGCCGTGGTGGGCATTATGACCCGCCCAGAATGGCGTATCCCGTTCCCAACAGCGCAACAAGATGGTGGACCTACCGACTCCTTGAAGTATGCTTCAACCTCAGTTTCAGAAACCTCCGAAGGGTCAGGCTCCTCCGGATCGGACTTTTTGGTTGAATCGATCCATCACAACATCCGCAATATCTTCGTTCAGAACCTGATCTCCCAGATGGCCTTCGTAGTGGAGCGGATGTCTATGAGAAATGCCCCCGCTAGCCTGGTGGTATTTTGTGGCAAGGCTTGTGCGTACGCCTTCTTTTTCTGCCCAGGAGTTGCAGACATCTTGGTCCGTCTGTGGAACACTCCACCCACTATGTTCCGCCGTATCTTCGCAGAGTCAGCAGAGTCCCGCGCTGGCAACATGCGAGCCTACACCCACGAGCTTGCCTTGAGCTTTCCAGCATCACTTCGCCCGTTAGGATTTCACTCCCATGCGCCTTTGCTGCGATATTTGCGTCAAAAGCCAGATGCGCCGTTGAATACCACCAATATTCCTTGGCAGGGTCCATGGATAGCCCGCTGGTGTGGACGTGACAAGGATCTGTTCTTCGTGTTTGTGAAATTTATCCACATCCTGTACGCTGAATATCTACCCGCAGAAACCCCCAAAGCGAAACGAATCCTAGCCCCTGGTCTGCTCTTGATCCACGCACAACTGCTTGTGGCCTTGGAGGATACTATTTACAAACAGTCTTCGCACCAACCCGAGCCTTACACAGCTGCATCCATCACATTCGACGACCTAATTGAGTCCCCAGATGCTTCTGCCTCATCCCACCCGCTGGGAGCGGGCAGAAACAGTCACCGTTCGATGGCAGAGAATCGGCTAATCATGATTTTACGGGACTTACTTTCCGAATCGTCCTCAGAGCCCAACCGGGCGCGTTTGCTGTATGCCGAGACGTTCTGCGGTCTGTTGAAAGTTGCTGCTCAGCGGATTTCTCTTTTTGATCACAATGCATGCTTCCTATTGTGTGACTTTGTGGAAGAAGTGATTCCGATCATCACACGATACGCGCATTCAATTGAGACGGAGTTGTTTGATTGGGGCTTCTGGCTGGAGGTTTGTCGGCAGATGATGCAGAGCCATAACTCACTGACCGAAGTGCGAGTGTTTTCTTTCATCTATTGTCTTTGGGGAACCTGGACGTCCACAGAGAAGCGGAAAGCAGAACTATGTTTAGACTTCCTCTTGCACGAACGGGTGTTCTACTATTATTTCAACCACTGGAGTCCGATGGTGCGCGCCTACTTTCATCGTGTCCTGTGCTGGAGAGTGGGTCGGTTCAATGGCGATCCCTCACCGTTCGACTCGTAAGTATAACTCGGCCCTTACTGTTGATTTTTCTTCTAACAAATCCACTCAGAATCATATATGAGACTCTCTCTGACCGACTCCTGCGAGTGTGGGAGTATTATATCGGATTTCAGTCGAAGGCCGAAGAGGGGCTCACGGCACCATTGTCTTCTGCCCCCTGTACGCCAGCGCCAGGCCGAAGAATCATCATTATTCGATGTGATAACCAACTCTCCCCAACGGATCTCTTCGTATCCTTTGATAGAGTCATTCCTCCAACTCCACCTGATCAGGTCCGGTCCCATCGAAGATCTAGTTCGTCTGATTCAACCAATTCCGACGGCCAACCATCTAAGCGCCGGTGGGGCCTCTTACGTGCTATGTTTGGCACCTCATCTGCCAAATCGGGGGATAGTGCGGGGGCAGATAGTAGCTCTGATGAGTCTGATAGCGCCACTACCGATCTGATCGTGACTCCCGCTACCCGATGCCTGGATGACCATGAACCAACCCCGAACAATAGCTCGGACGACCTTGTCCGGCCCAAAACACCACACCAACCGTTTTTCTTCAAATTCTCTCTGGAGTGGATGGACCGGCCACAATGGCCGACAAAGAATAAGCGTCTCTTTACCCCTTGCTTGCCTGTCGCGTCTCAGCTACATGTGCAGCACCGTCGATCCCCAACCAAGTCTACTGAGTTTGATGATGCATCCGAAACCATAGACGAGTCTGACAACACCGGCCACAGGAATGGGCCTGACGATTCGAGAGCTGCGACAGACCCAGCGCCAGAAGCACTCTCCGAGAACCAGACCAGACACCCAACTAGCAAGGACTCTCCGCTCCCAGAGCTGCCTTACAAAACTTCTCATAGCCACCTTGTGGCCAGCAAGTACGCTGGCCGCGCTCTGGCTGAATGGGCACATATTGTTTCCGAGTGCGATAGCTTCTTCGCACGCCGGCGCGATGAAGGTGTGCCTACCGATCGCATGGTCGAGACTCCAACTCTGGGAGTAGAGAGCTTCCGGAAATGAGAGGCATGCCAGTCCTCGCCCTCTGTTTTCTTTGATTCGAAATTCGTTTGGAATTTTTGATCCAAAAATCACACATAAATTTCCTCCTTTCCCTATGACATCACACCAAAAAAATTGACTTGTCCTTTACCCGAATCGAATATAGACGCCTCGTGGCTCTCGCGAACAGAAAGGAGAAGCCGTGTTTAATAATCTGGTTGGCTCTTATTTCCTTTTGTTTCCCATTCTCATCCGGTTTTTTCTTTTTGTTCTTTCTACTTCGACACTGCACCGTGTGCATGGCAGGATTTGGGGCATAGGGCACCGGCGTTTCTTCAAGCTGACTACTTCTTTCTATTCTCTTCCTGGGCTGGGCTATTTTCTCTTGGTTTTTTGTTGTTTTCTTCTCCCTTTTTTTTCTCTCCCTACTGAGGCGTTTTTTTTTCTCTCTTTTGTTCTTTTTATTGGAAGCGAAAGGCGTGCAATGCCATGGTGATAATCATTAGTGAGATCACTCAAATCACTTGAATTCAATTGGAAGATTACCCTGATGGCTATATTGCTGTATTCCCAACCCTCACACTAAAACGAAAACCATTATGCATCTCAAATTTTCTCTTGTCTAGACTCTGGTGATCACACTGCTCCTCCTTGTACATGCTCCCGGACTTGGGTATACATTATTGCCCTTCTGTTGCTGCTGCCTCCTCTGCTTTCTGCTTGTTGAGGAGATACAATAGTGGGCCCTGCACATCTTCCCGCTCCATCAAGACCTCCACCAACCGAACTCCGCTTCCACTGTGCACGCGCTCGTTCTCCAGAACCTCTTGTAGTTCGCCACACGTCCGCACCGTGAAGATGTTGTTCGCGACAGCATCCTCGTCCGCACCGAAGTAGCGCAGCGCCTGGGTGTGCCGCCAGAACGGCACATCGTTATATGCCTGTTTTCGGCCGTGGATGACCCGCTCGATGGTGTAGCCCTCGTTGTTGATGATAAAGATGAGGATGTTCAGCTTCTCCTTGATCATCACGCTGATCTCCTGCGCGGTCATTTGCAAACTGCCGTCGCCGATGATCAGCACCGTCTGGTTGCTGGCACCGCTGGCCTGGTTGTGTTCTCGCTTAGCAAGAGCTGCGCCCAGCGTGGCGGGCAGCATGAAGCCAATGGAGAGCCAGGTGACGGCGGTGAAGAAACGGGATCTCGGGGGGAGTTTGAAGGAGCGGCCGCCGTAGGAGGCGGTACCTGTTTCGGCGAGGATGATGTCGCCTTCGCGGAAGAGTGGGTTGACGAGGCGGTAGAAATTGGTTTGCATCATGAGGTCGGTGCTCTTGATGTCGTCTGTAGTGACTTCTACTTTCTCTGGACCGGACGCTTTGCATAGACGGAGGGAGTCTAGGGCTTCTAGTACCTTGTCCAGGACATCCGGGGCGCACATATCCCGGTAGATATCGTTTTCGATCTGGATGGTGTGGTCTTTGAAAGAGATTGCGGCTGCTGATTTGGGTACTGTTGTGTAGAAGTAACTGTTGGTATCGCTGTAGTGTGGGCCGAATGTTAATATGAGATCTGCGGACTCAAAATAGTCCTTCGCAGGCTGGTCGCCGAATCCTGCGGCGTAAAGACCGTATACATTAGGGAGCTGTTCATTGACAAGGCCCTTTCCAAATACAGTGACCCACGTTGGCCAATTGGTTGTCTTGACTAGCTTCTCAATTTGATCCAGGATACCGAGAGACCGGCTCTCACCATCTACCAAGATCAGTGGTTGCTTCGCACTGTACAACCGTTCTAGAATACGGTCGATGACCTTGGGCTCGTGGGAGGGACTGGGCACCACTGGAACCCGGATTGGGGTTGCCAAATTGGCCCCGGAGACAAGAACATCAGGCATGTCATCTGGAATCTCGAGATACACAGGCCGGCTGTGGATCAGCGCCTGCTGGAGAATCTGATCGATCTGATCCGGCGCGGAGATGGAGTTCATGATGTTGGTCTGGGCGACAGTGATGTGTGTCGACATGGCTGCAAAGCGGCGGTATTCGCCATCTGAGAAGGTATGATGCATCAAGGCGCGCGAGCTCTGAAGGGGTCGGGGCGGAGTCCCGACAATATGAACAACGGGAGATCTCTCGGCGTATGCGCCAGCGATGCCGTTGGCTGCCGAGAGCTCTCCGACACCGAAGGTTGTTACAACCGCAGAAAGCCCGTTCATACGGGCATAGCCATCGGCCGCGTACGCCGCATTCAATTCATTGCAGTTGCCCACCCAGTGTAGACCCGATGGGACGACGAAGTCCAGCAGGCGCAAATTATAATCACCCGGGACGCCAAAGACTGAGTTCACCCCAAGCTGGCGGAGACGCGTGAACAGATAGTCAGCGAGCTTAATGGAATCCGAGGCAGCCATAATGGGATGTTGGTATAGTTGGATATGGGACCGGGGGGAGGAGGATGCAGGTTGTCGATCTTCTTTTATACCAGGCTGTGTTCTGTCCCCGCTTCGGGCCCCGCCTTATCTCTTATCGCCGACTGGCCGATGCGGGCACGCGGGCCCCGCTGGTAGCCGCCCCTCTTTTTCTCTTCTTCACCGGACAATACTCCGACGCGCGCGCTCCAGGCTGCTAGTCCTCAATGGCATCGCGCCTGGCAGCTTGCGAGGCTTGTCGCAAAGCAAAGCTCGCCTGCGATCACCAGCAGCCGGTGTGTTCGCGTTGCCGCAATACCAAAGGGGTCTGCATTTACCGCACAGCGCCGTTCAAGCGGCGGCGGGTCGACAAACCGAGGTTCGTAAGGCGTAAGGCGCATAAGGCGCAATGCAACACTGAAAGCTCATACTCATGCTCATTGCTCGAAATATAGTCTTCCATCCCCAGATCCACCGTCAGCATTTGAGCCTAGACGCAATCCATACCCCAACCCGGGGTATCTGGGCTCTTCCAGCCATGCTGCCATCTTTAAACATATCACTCCGTCGGCGGACGGCGATCTCGGGACGGGCAGCCAGCATGCTGGCACAGAAAATGCGACCCCCAATTGATAGGGGATAATTATCTTCTTCTACAAGGTGCAGATGTCTTGCGGCATCTGCTAACCAATTACACTCTGCCTGCCATGAAGGACTTAGTTCAATTTTGGCTGGACAAGGGGACCAATCTTGCGCTCGCCGAGCCGTTTGTTGCACAATGCGCAAACAGCGTCAGCCAGTTGTTCATGTCCCACGACGAGCACTGGCACCTGGTCTATGCGCGACGCTTGCTGCAGAACTCGGCCCAACCGCTCGATATCACCGAATGCTCAGATCTCGCGAGTTTCTCGACGCAATTCTTAGATCATTGCTCTCGATGGGAAACTCTCGGGGTCTTCTTTACAGCCGTCAGTCGGGCCACCATTGACATCCCGTTCTTCCCTCTTCTCTATCATACGGAAGTAGAGCAGTACGCTCTTTCACGACTGGCGACGAAGTTGAGTGATTTTGCCCTGGAAATTTCGCTTTCTCTGGATTGCTTGAATGACCTGCAGCTCATTCTGCAATACGAAAATTTTATCCTACACTCCTATGTGGATGGCGACCAAAGTGCATATTCTCTGCATTTTCCTGAACAAATCAAAGCATTCATTGACTAACCCTTTTCATAGGCTATCACTCATGGCGCAAACTGGGGGACGTAATATCTTCCATGTATGCTTTGGGCTACCACGAAAACCTCGAGGCAAAGTCTGATATCTCGCCGTTTCTGGTGACATTGCGCAAGAGCGCATTTGCTCGAATATACTCGGCTGACAAGAATATTGGGATATTCCTCGGTCGACCGCCGCGTATGAACAGGCGTTTTTGTCATTTCCAGATCCCCTCATCCGAGAAATATGAGCATTCTCGTGGTAAAACTGAGGTTTGGAGCCAAGACTCTAAAGCTGGCTATCGAGCAGACACGATATGGTCTGCTCTTTGTGCATCACTGAAGGAAGAGGTTTGGGAGCTGCTTCAAGATAAACAGAATGGCGACTGTGCACGAAAAGCGAGGTAAGATTCTTCCTCAAATCTATCCGATCTCCAATCGAGAATAGAGAGAAGGAAAAAAAATTAACACTTCTCCTTAGCGCTATAGAGAAGAGAGCAATGCAGCATTGGAAAGATCTCCCATTCCATTTTCGGTTAGAAGGGAGTTTGAAACAGACCGCATCAAGTCCGTTCGATCGAGACTTTTTGGCCCATGTTCGATTGAACCATCTCCATGTTCTCTTCTTGCTGCGTCTTCTATTATTGAACACGCTCACGGAGCCAGATATTCCTATTATAGAAACGGCGGGCCAAATGCTTGCCTTGGTGGTGGAATGCATCCTTCTTCGTGAACAACTAACTAATTCCGGTACTGGTCTTGTCTGGAAGGTATGCGCTCCGAGCCCAATCGTCTGAGATAAACGGCCCGCGATATTGATAAAAGTCATGAACTAGGTTGCCTACTACGGACTACCCGCTGCTGGGATCATCCTCCTTGCCCTCCTGAAACAGCAGACACACGCCACAGCAGGAGTATCACGCACGAAAATGCTTCGCGACCTTAGCGTTTTTGTCGCCGAGGTGCAGATCGGCACGATCGTTCGAACCGGGGACCCTAATTATGCACTGCTCTCCAAGGCCACGCAAACCATTCAGCGATTCCTGGATTCTTTTAATTCCGATGCAGTGCAGCCCCTGATCGATGCAGGACATGATGAGGGTGGTGACGACTGGGCTGCACTTTTAAGGCAGGATTTATGGGATTTCGAGGCTGGATTTTGGCAGAGCCTGGCAGACCACCCGTCTCTTTTAGCGTTGGATCCCCAACTGCCGAATGTATAGTAAGGTATTTGCATAACTTGAATATAATTTTTACTTGCAAGTGAGCAGGGCGTGGATGCTGTGGTAGTAACAGGGGATGTCCCCAGCTTTTATATATCATACTCAAAAAGAAAGACTGTCCCATTAGAAACTAATGCATCGTTTAGGGCAATTCTTATAGGCCAATTGATTAATATCATTAACTATATTGTATTGTTATCGCCAATAAAATCGTAAAAATCGCTAGATGTTCTTCGGGCCTGTTCAAAAATACAAAAATCAAAACATTGCCACCCCCTTGTATGACTGTCTAGCCACAACGCCCTATCCTTTCATTTTGTTCGTTTCAAATTGGAGTCATACGAGAGACCACGTTCACTCAGCCTCCGTTGAAAGCGCAAACTTGCTCAACGCCCGGAGACGGGCCCCGTAGATGTAAAGTAGCCAAATACCCACTATGCCGATAACACTCAAGCCGCCGAGGAGACTCACACCCCGTGCAACGCCCAGGTTGTTGAAGAGCGGGTGTGCAAACAGCACACTGCCGCATGCAAGCGCACTGCGGAAGAAGTCGTTTGCTGCGAACAGGCTCGCCGCGTACATTGGATAGCTGAGCGGGATATAGACGAATAGACATTGCATGACGATGAAGACAGTGGCACCGTAGATGGTAATGCCGATGGTGGGTGCAATCCAGTGGATAGAGGCGCGCGCGGTCCAGGCGAAGAGGAAGAGGCCAATCGTGGGACCGACAGCGGCAGGCAGGGCAGGTATGAGGCGGGATTCTTGGACAGGGAAGCCGAGCCGTTCGATGCGCGGGTTCATCCAGAAGTAGAGGTAGGAGAAGTAGATGGCGATGCCGATGATGCACGAGACCAGGATACAGAGGAAGACGAGGCCAATCTCACCGAGGTTCATGTCGTAGTAGACTGGGTAGACCAAGGGGAAGACCTCGAAGAAGGAGTAGTAGATACCGTAGATGATGGCTGTGTAGATCTGAACAAACAGCACAGCTGGGTCTTTGATGGTGATCTCGAGTGGCTTGATGAGGGCGTCAACGGCGACGTCAGAGACCTTCATGTTGTGCTGATTGATCTCAGATTGGGACATAAAACGGTCATTATTGTAGATCTTGCGTAGGCGTTCAGCGCGGCGAAGCAGGATGGTCGCGCTGCTGGTTTCGGGGAGGAAGAAGAACATAAGAAGAAAAACGGGGGCGGATGCCCAGATGGACTCGTAGAGCGACCAGCGCCAGCCCTCGACAGGGACGGCGAAGCCACTGAGGAGCGGACCCAGGGCAGCTGAATTGACAATGTTAGTATTTGACAACAAGATGGTTGGATGAGATTAGAGGTCGACTTACGTCCACAGTAAGCCGCCGACACCCACGCCATCATGGCATACGGCAAAGACATGAGGCTATACATGTCGCCAATCGACGCACCGCCAGAGGCGAGACAGGGTGAGCCGAAGAAACCTTGCAGGAATCGTAGGACCATAAGACCGGGAAAATTACCCACCAGGGCAGTGGGAATGGAGATAATGACGAAGAGAAACATGGTGATGATGTACACCGGGTTGCGGCCAATGACGGGGATCTCACTCAAGGGCGAGAAGATCAAAGGCCCAGTCCCGTAGCCCAGAACGTACAGAGATAGACCGAGTGTGGCCAACAGGTCGCTCACTCCGAATTGTTGCATGATACCCTGAACGGAGGAAGTATAGATCGCGGATGTGGTATAAACAACGAATGTGTATAGACAGATAAGCGTCGCCATCAGCGCACGCTTGGTATTCGACCAGTTATGGGGGTTCTCCGAATCGTCGGTATAGTACCAATCGACGAGGATGACACCATCTTTAGTCTTCTTGGGAGCGATGGGAATTGACTTGACTTTCTCAATCTCATGTTGTTCGTCGGCCTCCAGACGGGATTCGGTGAATGGGAGAGTATTTTGCGTGCTGGCTCGGCTAAGGGGTTCGCTGAGAGGCTCACTGCTCTGACCGGAGTCGTTCCTAGGTGTCTCCTTCTTCTCGTCCGAAGTGACTGACTCGTTCATGATTTGAATCCATGGTTCGGGAAGTTGGAAGTCGGGCTTCTCTTCAGGATATTGGAAGTACTTTTTCTTGGTCAAGAACCGTACGAGCTGCCCGAACGGGGCATCTCGTAGAACATCTGCCATGATGAATATAATATATAATAGAAAGGAATTGAGAAGTTTGACCCGCGTCTCGAATGTTGAGAATTGGAGACTAGTTGGGGGTTGTTCCGGCGATACTTTTTATACTTCGGAGCTGTCCACTTAGGGCTGAGTCGTGGCAGGAGAAATATCAAGGTAGCACGGGAATTGCCAACAGCTGCTTGTCGATATCGACCCCAGGAAGACCCTGAAGAACCAGAGAGAGGGTTTTTATAGCCTCATCTTCCATGGAAAATATCAATCACATCACGCCCTTAACGCCGTGGAATCTCTCCGAGTAGCCTTAACGTTATGCGGCGCGTCATTCTACATTACCAATCGACAACCATTTGCCAGATTTGGGGGCTATCCGCTGCTCAGGTAAGCGATCCTCAAAATCCACATCCTTTTTAACGGAACTCAATCTTCTGGCGAATGATAAATCCCCATCCATGCGCATCGCACCTTCAGTCTGGTTCCTTCTCGTTCTCAACCAACGCCGACCGCGTGTCGTGAAGCTCTTCGCATTATTCATCCCCATTATAAATCAGGCCTTCCGCCAATGAAATCTGTTGTTCACCCACGGCTGGCCTAAGCCGCCCCACATCTGTCAAGGGTGCATCATCGAATTGTCCCGACCCCGAGCCGCGCTGTTGGAACCACTTGAAATCCGTCTTAAATCCGGACAAACTTAATCTACGCTCTGGACGAAATACACGGATGAAGCTTAAGACGGGAAATGGCATTAACACGAGCTCTCATCCATGATTCATCGCACGCCATCCTCGCCTATCTCGCTCTCTTACCTCGCCCGAGCCCATCACTCTCCCGATTCCCGGTGATAACGTGTAAGGCCGACAGCCGAAGATGTCGGAAACAAAACCACAATCAGATAACTAAATGGCCCATTTGACTCATTCTGTACGTCGCCGCTTGGCAGCTCGCCTGGCCATGGCTTATCGGAAACCACTTATGACCTGATGTCCAATTATTTCAGGACGAGGCGGAGATGCCGGCTGCCTGAATCAAGAACTGCGCGGCTTCATTCGCATCAGAACCATAGCTCAAGTGCGCCATCACATTAAATCCGTTTTCACAGACGGGATCTCCCGACGCGCAGAATTCCTTTACTTTGCTGCTTGAGAGCTTCCCGACCGCTTCCGCCTTGAAAGGGTCCCCGAAGAGCACGGCGCCGGCCACCTGGGTCGCGGTTAATCGGTTCGCCGCATTGTGCACGACCATCGCGCCTTGGGAGTATCCACCAAGGACAACCTTGGTATCGGGACATTGCTTGAGCGCCTGCTCGACCAGGTTCGCCATGATTGGTCCGCCGTTCGAGCCCATCGCAACGTTGCTCTAAAGGATGTGATTGTGGTTAGTCGGACCTCACCACGAATAACAGCTGCACAGATGGGGGCCAGATCGTTCACACACAGTGGCGAGATGACAAGGCAATTATTGATCAACTCACCTCTGCAGTCGCGGTATAGGTCACGCCTTGCACAGTGACCTTGTTACCAGTCAACGAGTTCAGCTGGGTCGCGACTTCTGGTCCAACAACGGACCCCATATTGCCCATCTCATCGCTTCCACGGGCGAAGATGAAGGTCAACTCCTCGCAGCCCGAGTTCTCAGTGACACCATTTTGGGTTATCGAGCCTGATTGGCGCTTGGTAAGACTCCCAACGCTGGGGATGAGAGAGGATAGCGCACCAAGACCGCTGCTACTGCCACTTGATCCGGTAAGGCCCCCAAGACCCTCGAGGCTGCTGCTTCCAGAGGGAATAAGAGACTCCAACGCTCCAATACCGCTGCTACTACCAGATTCACCTAGCCCGCTACTGCTGGAGGGGATGAGGGACTCTAGAGCCCCGAGACCGCTGAGACCACTCAGCCCGCCACTGGAGCTCGGAATTAACGACTCAAGAGCGTCGAGACCACTGCCACCAGAGCTCGGAATGAGAGAGGACAGGCCACCAAGACCGCCGCTGCTAGAGCTCCCCAAGTTGCTGAGTCCGCCCAGTCCGCTGCTACCAGAACTTGGGAGGAGGGAAGACAAGGCACCGAGATCACCCAGCTGGCGCTTCTCAATGGTCCTCGTGGGTGCCGCCAGAGCAGCACCCGCGAGGTAAAGCAGGACAGTAGACTTCATGATGTAAAAACGAAGGATTTGACTGTAGATAAAAAGAACGACGAGAGACAGAGACCAGCTCTAGAGCGTATAGGAAGCGAATGAATGAAAATTTGATTGAAGCTGAACGGTGAACAGATGTCGTCTTTTTATATTGAATTCCTAGTCCTCAATGACGATCGCTGATCCAAGTTTTCTCTTCAATTTAGTCTTTTTGATTTCTCTACCGGCTCTGAGTTGCCCCAAATTTGTTGTATACTCCCACTTTGACCAATCGGGCATTTGGCAGGGCTGTTGAAACGATGGACCCTGTTTTATGGACCCGATGTTTCACCGTGCGACAACGACAAAGTTTGTCGAGATTCTCACAATCCGTCATAAGCCTATGCATTCCTCAATTTTTGGGAACGGCTTTTGATCCTTTCTCGTCTGAAGGATGTTGCAAGTTATTGAGTGATTGTCCTTGGCGATAATTTGGTCTTGAAGGGAGCGTGATTGAGTATCGTGGGGGCTATCGTAAAATGCTACTGACAGGCATCATCAATTCTAAACTAGGAACAATGAACATTAAAATTCTCCCAAAAGCATTAAAGGCATTTTTAACAGATCAGAGAATGTTGAAGATTTTGGACCTGCAGATGCAGGGTGATGTTTCCTCTAAATGAAAGGGTCTACACAGAACGACTCAAAATTGAGTTATTCGTGCCAAATGGGGAAACCCGGCCGACGGCCCTAAGCCCGAGGCTTAGGCCCGTTGGGCTAGTTGGTGATCAGTCACAACACTCAAGAAACCGAGGAGTCCGGCAGTTCGAAATTCGGTATTTGGTGAGCCGAAAGTTGACCCTTAATTAGCTTGTTCCAAATTTGAGATGCTATCTGCGAAACTTACCTGTGAATTCAATATCAGGACTATCTAGTAGGACTGGTAAAATATAGTTGCGGGCGATCTATAGCTAATAATTTTTCAGGATGTTCACACGAATAGGATATTTTTGCATGTGTTGAGTACTCTGGCTCTTGTGCATTGTGGTTTATGAAACAGTTAAACACGATCTGCTTTCGCTTTGTGTATTATCTTAGCATGGGCCAGATAGGGAGAACATGCTGGACCTCAATAAATTGTCGGGCAAGAGGCTAATAAATATGATATGTAATCATCCACACTCCGTTTTTTCATGATGGTAGAGACTTCGCACTATCGAGAATGGGGTCTCATGGAAATATCATTGGCTGTATTGCATTTTTCTTCTGTAGGCCTATCACTTGCTTGGATGAGACCCTGCATTCTAGGGTTACGCTTCAGATCGCCTCGCACGCGACGGTCCAGTTTTGTGGAACTTTCGGACGTCAGATAGCTCGCAAGATTTATACACACTCAACTATACAAAATGAGGATTTTGTAGTTACATTGCGTGGCCCTCGCTAAGCTATCACACTAATATACCATAGCTGTGGCGAACTCCCGAATCACGTGCCAATGCAGGAAAGTTGGCCACAGTTGGCCGAACCTTGGCACTGCAGTTCAGAGACACCCCCGCGTCTTCCATTTTGTCTCAAGACTGATGTTTTCCATCCCACTTCATTATCTAAAACATGGCGCGCAGTGGCCGCCAGGCATTATTTTTTCCCAAGGTAGATGAAGCGATCCTGACATCAAAACACCCGCCTCCACTTTCGCGGCCACAGACGATCGCGCCGATCTTTGATCGTAAGAATTTTGATCGACCAATCAGATCATGGTCTTCGAACATCGCGAAGACATTTTATCCTGAATCGGAGGCCTATGGGCCCTCCTTGGCCCCGGAAAAGCCTCTTAGCTTCACCGATAGATATTTACGTGCTTTCCTTGCTGATAACGAGAGACTCAGGCTCTCCGTCCTTTGGTACTATACTCGCGATGTCCTCAAGGAAGCAGAATTCCTCTCTGGGCTACAAGAAAAAGCATATCTTGCCCAAGAATCCTTAGGATGGGAATTCGCTGTTATCGGAATTCTTGATTTGGATGTCTATATACGTTTGGCCACAGTTGGGCTTGAGCTGGGCATTCTTCCACGAGGTGAAACTATTTGCGCCCATACAGTTACTCAACCACCTGGGGTAAGATTTAGACCCGATGCCGCTCATTACACTCTGCTGAACATTTTCTTAGAACGTGTTCCTGTTACCAGACCTCATGGAAGACTGGAGATTCCAAGAGTGTCCTTATCTCGAGAGTGGTGGACTGAAAGCCTATGCCGGCGTTCCACTTCGAATACAAACGGAATCTGGTGAATCTGTTTCCCTCGGATCACTTTGCGTGGCATCGAGCAAGAGTGAGCAGCCTATTTCAAAAACCCAGCATCAAACGCTAGTTCAGTTAGGCGATTGGGTTATCTCTGATCTTGTGCAATGCACAAGAGCCAGACGCCAGCGAGAGCGGCGTCGTATGTCTGAGTTGATCACAGTAGTCCAGAAAACAGCAAATGATACAGGCTCTGCGGAACCTGTCTTGGATATTTTGAGAACTGTATATCCCGATGCAATAATTTGCTTGCAGCAATCTAGCACAACTCATGTCGAACTCAACGGATCGTATTCTGTTTTGGTCGCTGATCTTCAGGATAGTATATGGGAAGACGTCGAATATATTGATGAATTCATTGCAAACTCAAACCACCTTGCGACTCCATCTGACAGACCTGTGCGCATTCTTTCTGCCGAGTGCGAAAGCATATCTGGATCTTCTCTACTTGTTCTGGCATCGAACGATTTTCATCTTGTGTTCGATGATGTCGATCTATGGTTTGTTCGAACCTGTGCCGATGTGATTTCCCAGGTATGGCGCCAGAGTCTTTTGACAGAGGCATTAAAAGCAAAAGACAAATTCTTGCGAGCATTCTCGCATCAACTTCGAACTCCAGTACATGGAATTCTGGGCTCCGTGGAACTTCTGGGAGAGGAACTCAAGTCGCGGATTCTCAACAGAAATACAGCCTCGACCTCTGTTGTCGAGAAGAATACGTCTACAATTAATCACAGCGAGCCTTTTACCTACCTAAATATGATTAAGATGGCAGGCCAAGATCTCACATCAATGATCAACAACTTGGTTAGTCTGAATAAGTGGTCCGATATTGCCTTGGCAGAACGACACTATGGCATGCATACTTTTAACGATCTCGAGGCAGAGTTGGAAAGCGAAATTAGCAAGTTCATACTGTGTGACTCACGGTACACGACACCAGTGTTCTTCACTCACAATCTATCATCACCATGCACGTCCTTCCGCACTGACCTTCGACTGCTCAAAGACACTCTACTTCCACTGCTCATCAACGCGATTCAACACACGTCAGAAGGTACTGTATCGGTTACCACATCAATGGACTCTGACTACAAACAAGTCATTGTTGACATCGAAGACACTGGCTGTGGTATCCACCATGATTATCAGAAGCGTATCTTTGAAGCTTTCGAGAAAGTTGATTCGCATTCGGCAAGTGCTGGACTTGGTCTTACACTTGCATTGAAATTTGCATCACTTATTAACGGCTCAATTGATTTGATTTCTTCGGAAGTTGGCCGTGGCTCTCATTTCAGGGTCACATTCAACGTGCTTGAGTGCGATTGTCTTTCGACGCCTCCTCAGTCGCTACCTGCACGGCTCAGTCTGTTGCCTTCTCAATTCTTCACGATGAAGGGAGATCAGGATAACGTATCACTGATAAATCCCTTCGAGTCTTTCCTAAGAAAGAACGATTTCATTAAATCAGATAGTATAGAAGACTGCTTGGTTATTTTTGAAGCCGCGTCCGATCTCGAACAGCACCGTGCAAACCTGTCCCGAATCCCCGCCGGACAAGTTGGCATATGCCTCGTTGCAGATCCAGAGCAACAGTATGACCTCGAACAGCCAACGAGCAACATTATCTATCTCAACAGCCCTTTTACAACTTCAACACTTCTTTCAGCCCTCGAGAGCGCACAGAATTTTTTCATAACAAGGCATTCCGTGTCACCTTTACTACAACCTCCCTCAGAAGATACCTCCCCTACACAATCAATCGACCACCAAATTACATATACGGACGAAAAATTCCAATCGCATGAATTGAATTCCAGGCCAAATGGCTCAAGTTCAAATATGACTGTATCGCGCACATCACAACCCGATGTATCTATCCCTGTGGACCTGAAAATAACCGTGCGATCACTCTCAATTTCTTCTCGGCCCTTGACTTTAATTGTCGATGACAACGTGTTGAATCTCCGCGTCATGGAGAAATACTGCAAACGAAGAGGATTGCCATATCTTTCCGCAACTGACGGCTCAAAAGCCGTTGATATTTTCACTCAGCATCAATCGCGATCCGCTGCAGGCGACGAAAGCGCGATCGAACTAGTATTGATGGACCTGCAAATGCCAGTGTGCGGGGGCATTGAAGCAATCCGGCAAATTCGGCCGCTGGAGCAGCAAAGAAAATACGCAAAGAGCTCTATCTTTGTCATGACTGGCCAAGATAGTGTGGCGGACAGAAACGCTGCAGATGAAGCCGGAGCCGACGAATACTTTGTGAAACCGGTCATCCTCACGCAGCTCGATCGCCTTATCCAGCAATATTTTCCTGCCTTCAAGTCACATTAGAAAGAACACGTACACGAATCATGTTTCACGATATTTTTGGGGGTTATTTCACAATATGTACTTACCTACACACTACATGGAAGCTAGGATGATAATCTACGCCACTGAAAAAGCGAACCACTAACCCATACTGGAAAGTAAAATGACAAACCGTTTCCATTCTTTTGCTACTTTTGGATACGATGATCCACGAATTATTCCTTGCAAAAGGACATTGAATGACCAAAGAAGAGCGCATACTGGGACGGCTGAGCGGGATTGCCAATATGATGACTATTTCTGCACGGAGAATTAACTAGCAAGCATATATACTTGAATACTTTACCGCATATTCATCAGCGTACGTGTCGATGTCCCCTACGTATTATCGTGGAATGGACCCAGCCAGTTCTGTGGGACCCTCCTGAGAGCTCAGAGACGTGCTAAAAAGTTGTTGCCTTATTCCTGTCTTAATTTTTCCTTCCCACCTAACGTAGTTCCTTAGTTACTTAGATACTTAGCGAGCCTGAGCGCGCTCACAAAAGCGACAACAACTGAAACAAGTAAGCCCCATTTGCCAAGGGAGAGAAAAAAAATATGTAGAGTGACCTAGGTTCACCTAGGAGTGAGTCTAATCAGAGCATTCCCGCTACAGAAGCCATCCACCAAAAAAAATTGGAGAAAAAAAACAAGATGCCTGGGTGGTATATGACAGTGCAGAAGAACAGATGAGAGCTTCCCAAATATGCAGAGAGAGAGAGAAGAAATGTAAGACGGCCAACGAGTATTAATCAACATCCAACCAGAGCCAGACTGTACAATGCTCGGAATGGATGGCAAGAGAAAAAAAAAGATGAGATGCGGGAGGCAGGTGGCAAGAAAAGCGTGTTGGGTATGCGTGATGATGGTAAATAGGCGGAGAGGAGATAGCGAGGTATAGAGAGGGGCGGAGGAAGAGGTGGCGCGTGAAGTAGATTACATTTAGTACAGGAGCTTGTTGCTGGCGTAGTGGATGGTGTTGGCAACCCGTTCGATCCAATGCTGGGCTAGTGACCAATCGCCAGTGTTGATGCAGTCGCGAATCGCAGGAAAGATTGAGGCATCGTAGCCAGACCAGAGTTCTGGACCAAAAACTACATGGCGAAATTGAGTGCGATTGGGAATCTGAAATAGCAAAGCAGTGGGTATTAGTCGGAGAGGGGGTGAAAAGGCCTGGGAGAATTAATAGATGACTTACACCGCCACCCTCTTCCAGATCCAGGAGATGGGTATCAAAACTGGTCATTCGGACGTTGTGATTGACTCGCTGGATTGCCATGACGTTGCTTTCGTATCCACCTGAGCCCCAAACACTGTCGTGCCAGACGTCGTTCCACGATTGAAACTGAGCTGTGTTCGCCTCGAGCTCGGATGCAGCATTGAACATAAGCTGCATATCCACTTGGGCTTTCTTGGACTTTGCGAATTCATCCAATTCGTTCACCCAGGCAGTCACGTGCCTGGCATAAGCCTGCATATCGAACGGCATCATGGGATTCTCGGAGACATCCAGCAAGAGAAGACCCCAGAACTGAGCCAGCAGCTTGTGGTAAACGAAGCCAGGGTCGCCAAACCTTTCCATCCAATCGTAGGATTCGTAGCAACTGTGATAAGGGTAAGGCTCGCCTTCGAATCCAAAGTCGATGCTCGATGTGCCCGCAATATCCTGAAACGCCACATAATCACTGCCTGCGCCAAGAGGGTCAAGTTTTTGGCCCTTCTGGTCCCAAATCTCCTTCAGAGTCTTGTTCGCGAATGGGTCTGAAAGACGGCCCAAAATTTGGTGGACTGTGCGCTCGAAGACAGGAGATCCCGCGGCGCGAAAATTGGGACCGGAAACACCCACGTCCACGTTCAAGTAGGCGTACGCGTTGGCCCGAAGGCTCTCAATTTCCTTTTCCACATGCTCTGTGGAGCCGATCAGGTTGTATTCCTCCCCATCCCAACTGACGAACTCGATGGTACGGAGCGGCCGCCACCCATAAGTGAGCAGTTCGCCAAAGACCCGAACGATTTCCAAAAATACAGCAGTGCCACTACCAGGATCAACACTTCCTAGGCACCATGCATCTCGGTGGTTACCAACAATGATCTTCTTGTCGCGCTCCTCCAGCCCGATGATGGTCCCATGGACATTGTAAATGGGCCGTCGTTCCACCTCGTCTTGCAGATTCATGAGGTGGATGGTGGGTGAACTTTGATCGCCTGTCCACCACTGTTGAACCTTGGGTACTCCACCAACCCACTCCTTCGGAACCTTCGAGCCATGACCCTCGAGGGCTTGCAAGAGTCGCTGTGCATCGCGCCAGGCGATCGGGAGACTTGGGATTTTAACCAAGCCAGGACTTTCCTCTGGAGGGATTCTCTTTTTTCGTCTGGGGTCGATGCAAAACCGGGGCTGAGAACATCACCCACGACATGGGACATCAGACTCACACCACCTCTTTGCACACCGTCCGAGGGCATAAAGCGGCCCTTGGGATAAGCGGGGCCATGCACGAACCCATCTTCTGCTGGATCGGAGTATATAATGCAACCGGCAGCTCCAGCAAGCTCCGCAGCTTTGATTTTCAACGCCCGGTCCGACTCAGTCCCGTAGTAACGTACAAGAGCAATGGTACCGTTGAGGGCAATTCCTCGGTCCGCGAGGAGTTGAAAATCCTCACGAGATCCGAAATTCGCATAGACGAGAGGGCCTGTGACGTTTCCCGACTTGGAGTGTCCATGGAAGACCGGGTACTGTGCGCCGTTCTCCTCTAGCGTGGCTTCCCACACCAGATGAGGCGGATCCACGATGGCCACCTTACGACCATCGTCTCGGGGATAATTCAGATACACCTGAAACTCTTCTCGCTTCACCTCATCAAATCCCGCCTTGTGGTATTCATGCTCGATCCATTCGCCCAGCACGAAGCTCCCTTCGGTCCCTGCGACTCGAGTGTTACTGGAGACGAGTCTAAGGTTCTCGGCGATATTGGTTTCGTTGATATGAGCCTGGATGAAGTTCTCCACCGAGGAGGCACTGTAGGATTGGCCCATTACCATGCGACTGTTGAGGTTGAAGATGTCGCCGATGAAGAAGACATAGACCAGAGAGACGACCAGCAACAACGCAAAAAGACGGAGTAACATGATACAGCCATGATCCTTCAAGCGGGCGCGGGTTTCGCTCAGATTGATGGTGAAACGGAAGCTTGGCATGCGTGGGAGGTACCGCTGCAGGGGTCGTTGGATGGCGGAGAGAGTGCGGGTGAGACTGGAGAGTCGCTTGGAGAAGCGATGGCGTAGTCGGGGACGAGCGTTGCTGGAGGATCCGAGAGCCGAGTCGTCCACATCCATCTGATCGAGTTCCCGGCGCAACTCGTCCGTGGAGCCCCGGGTCGAGCCCGATGCGGAGGAGGCGAGGCCATCGAGACTCCCGCGCTCCGATTCTACCGTCGGCGGTTGGTAGTTGGAGGCCTCGCGACCGAGGAGCCCTTGCCGTTCAGCGTCGGTGCCATCGCCCAGGTCCGATCGCGAGGAGGAGGAGGGTTGCGCATATGCGGTGGCTTCTTCGTAAGAAGGAATGGGAAGGGATTGGTACTCGAACTTATCGTCGCCCATGGCGGTACGGGGTCGGCTAGGAGCCGTGGCAAGTGGAGGGCACGGAGGCGATCTGGAAGGTCATGATCTGGCTAGGAACGCAAACGAATGTCCAGCATCGTCTCCGGGATGGAGAGAGCCGTGGGAGATGGAGTAGAAGGGGGGAGGTGGGAGCGTTCGAGGGGGAGGGGGGAAGTTGGGAGTTGGAAGGTCGCTATCGCCGGAAGTTTTGGCTGCCTGGTCCATTTTGTCCCCTTGTCCCCCGGACTTCGTGGCGCAGTGACCCACGCTTCGGCCACTTCTATCAACGCGCGTCGTCAGTCACGAAGACGCCATCTCTCTGGACATTTGGCAAAGGGATATCTATTCTGTCTATCTTGACCACGCTGGAAATCATGGGGTATGCAGCGAACATTTGGGCCGATCATTCCCCGGAATCCCTGCCCAAGGGGTCCACACCATTGCCTGACGGCTGAATGCTTCTATATAAGGAGCGACCGGGACTAACCAGGGCAGAGGCGGCCTCCCGAGATTTGCTCAGTTCCCGATCCGAAGGACGGAGGACGGATTCGTGTCCATGGGCCTGTTCATGCCCGGCCCGACCTCAGCACCCATTACCCCATGAGCCATGGCAAAGGGAAGTCCCCAGGGGACACGGACATCCGGCGTGAGGCCACTCGGAGGATCCCAACTGATTAGAGCCGAGCCAGACGCTTCCGTTCTGACCGCGACCTCTGCCACCGATTCAAGGTCAAATGTTGCACGGAGCGTAGCGGAATGGCTCGATCCACCCGGAGAGGTGGATTGAGTCGTTTCCCTGGCCACCAAGGACACTCCAGCAGCCAAGTGGATACACGATCCGAGATAAGATGGCAGACTGAATTGTACACGGTAGCCATCAGCGACGGACTTGCACGAGCCATTGACGATCAGCCATTTATGCGAGATGCTCGAGGACAGAGAGCCGCTGAGGTCAGCAATCTACAGATTCTGCTCAGATGACGGAAACGGACAGACCAGGATAGGGCGCATTCACAGTGATGTTAGAGCAAGTGGGCGCACCGAGGCGGTCGAGAGTCGCAACAGAGTCATCCTCACGACAGGACCGGGGCCAGCTCAGGATGGACATCTGGGACTGAAACGTTGAAATGCGGATCAGGATCAGCTCTAAATGGCGTTTAACCCCCAATGATTCCGCGCACTAGCACCTGCTGTACCCCTTTGGACCGGGTTTATCGCCCTACCTGTACTTCATTGCATTATATACTTGGACTCTGGGTCGATCGATCGGGGATGTCCGTGGCGACATGCAGATGTACAAGCAGGTACCGGCTACCAGGCATCCGGGGACAACCACCCATCTAACACAAGTCGAGCGACCTGGCTGGACCTGGCTGAACCCTGGCCGAAGTATAGAAAGACACGAGACCCGGGTACCTCAGTAAGCGTGAACGGATATAGCAACACCCGCAGACATGGAACCACCAAGGATGTGCAAGTAGTCCCGCAAAAACACCACTCGAGATTTCCGGTCCTAGCCAGTCCGAGTCAGTCCTTGTCATTTTCCATCGTCATTGTCATCGTCAGATTCGGTCAGACTGCGACAAAAGTCTCTCGGCCTAATGGAACGAACGAACTGTGCCTGGCGCTGGTCCGCCACGGCTGGTCTCCACTCTCAAAAAATAAAATAGGGTGACTGATCGTACACGGTAGATCCGAGTACACAACAGACCTCCTTTTCCTTTTAATCGGCACCTCGTCAACCCCGTCGTCTCTTCAAGGACTTTTTCGTCGTTCAATTCTGCACTTGTGGTGTCTGCTTCTCTATCTCTCCCCCTGAATCTTTCCACCTGCCGATTCTCCCTTATTCCTATACCCCTCCATTCCCCTCCATCCCCCGCCATTTCCCCCCACCATGGCCGCTCGTCCTCAGAACATCGGCATCAAGGCCATTGAGGTCTACTTCCCTACCCAGGTAAGTCTTCTCGGTTGCCTCCCGCGATCTGGATCACCGGATGCTCACATTTCCCCCAGTGCGTCGACCAGGTCGAGCTGGAGAAGTATGACGGTGTCAGTGCCGGCAAATACACCATCGGTCTGGGTCAGACCAAGATGAGCTTCTGCGATGACCGTGAAGGTATGTGTTGAACCGCAATTGCACTCGCAACAACGGAAATGAAAAATAAAGAGAGGGAGAGAGAGAATAGAGAAGAAGAGACAAGAAAACTAACTGCGTTTGCCCCTCTGCTAGACATCTACTCCATGGCCCTCACCACCCTCTCCTCCCTCATGAACAAGTATAACATCGACCCCAAGTCGATCGGTCGTCTCGAGGTTGGCACCGAGACCCTCCTCGACAAGTCTAAGTCCGTCAAGTCCGTCCTGATGCAGCTGTTCGAGCCCTCTGGCAACACCAACGTCGAGGGTATCGACACCGTCAACGCCTGCTACGGTGGCACCAACGCCGTCTTCAACAGCATCAACTGGGTCGAGTCCTCCGCCTGGGACGGCCGCGATGCCATCGTCGTCTGTGGTGACATTGCGCTGTACGCCGCTGGTGCCGCCCGTCCCACCGGTGGTGCAGGCTGTGTGGCCATGCTGATCGGTCCCGATGCCCCGATCGTCTTCGAGCCCGGTCTTCGTGGCTCCTACATCACCCACGCCTACGACTTCTACAAGCCCGATCTCACCAGCGAATACCCCGTGGTGGACGGTCACTTCTCCCTCAAGTGCTACACCGAGGCCGTCGATGCCTGCTACAAGGCCTACGGTGCCCGTGAGAAGGTCCTTAAGGCCAACCAGAACGGCACCAACGGCGCCGTGGAGGAGTCCAAGACTGACCTGGACCGCTTCGACTACATCCTTTACCACGCCCCCACCTGCAAGTTGGTCCAGAAGTCCTACGGTCGTATGCTCTACAACGACTTCCTGACCAACCCCACCCACCCCGCCTTCGCCGAGGTTGCCCCTGAGCTGCGTGATCTCGACTACACCACCTCGCTGACCGACAAGGCCGTCGAGAAGACCTTCATGGGCCTGACCAAGAAGCGCTTCGCCGAGCGTGTGCAGCCCGGTCTCCAGGTTGCCACTCTGTGCGGTAACATGTACACCGCTACCGTCTACGCCGGTCTGGCCAGTTTGCTGAGCCACGTCTCGTTTTCGCCCAGCGAGCCCAAGCGCATTGGTCTCTTCTCCTACGGCAGTGGTCTGGCTAGCTCCATGTTCAGCGCCAAGATCGTCGGCGATGTCTCCGAGATGGTCGAGAAGCTGGACCTCAAGAACCGTCTCGAGAGCCGCACCGTCCTGGCCCCTGCGGCCTACGATGAAATGTGCAAGCTCCGTGAGCATGCGCACCTGCAGAAGAACTTTAAGCCCTCCGGCAACCCCGAGACTCTGCAGAAGGGCACCTACTACCTCACCGAGGTCGACGACATGTTCCGCCGCAAGTACGAGGTCAAGGCCTAAATGGGAGCAGCCGGGCTGTTTCCCTCGCTTTCTTTTGCCGTTGGATATGATCCTTTTTTAGACGGTTCCAGAAAAAGATTCCCCCCGAGCGTTTTTATTTGTTTCTGCTTCTCTGCTTCGGTATAGATCACGCAAAGGCCTGAGTGCGGATAACAAGCGTCCCGACCTTTTGCTAATTTTCCTTTCGCTCTCCCATTTACTCAGGTTCTTTTTTTACGCTCTTATTTCGTTCTATGTCGAGAAAACTTTTTAATGTCCTGTGCTACTTTTGTTGCTTCGGCGATGACGAATGTGATGAGATCGGCTGGATTCTTCTTCTCCAGCCCAACACCAAAATAACACTAAATCCAATTCAATCATACAAATTCTGATCAATGCATGATTTCGCATTCTCTCCTAAGCGTAAAGTTATCTGCTATTGCTTCTTTCCCCTTAAATGATAGTTCACCCACGGCTTCCGCCCGTAGTCTCGCAACCTCTCATGTATTCGCCCCCCACCTCTTGCCCAGGGAAATTACCACGCGTATTTGATCTAGGAATCTAAGCGTCGGGGTATCTAGATTCATGGACAGTTTGAAGGGCAGCGGAGGGGAGAGAGGGCATGACGGATATTCACGGAGGTAATGAAAATGACGAAGTTTGTTTAAAAGGGAAAACAAGCTTAGTTAAGGCTCTGTTGGATCTTGTGGGGCTCCCAAATCTTATCGCATGGTTGTATGCATACATCTGATCAGGGTGCATCGGACGCCGAGGGTCAAACGTCTTATAATCGGTGTTTGGCACCGATGGGCTCAGGTGTTGATCGGTACTGCATCCAGCGTAGAGTCACGGACGGAGGACGCCCTCCTCTGTACCTTAATCTATGATTCGCACGGGCTGAGACTTCGGCAAGCCAAGTCGGGGATGATGAAATGATCAACAATCTCCTAATTATGGCACATTTTCGCCCGTTTCGGCCCTCGTGGGCCTGATTTAGGAACCAACGGATTTAGGGTAGTAGGGTCTTCCGGCGCGAGAGAAGGGTACTTGTTGTGCTAATTGTGCTAAATGTGCCTATTCCTTGCTTAGTCTTTGCTTATTCTGCTAATTATGGGACATTCCTGTGACGAGCGATCGCCCGGGCGCTACCTGAGACTGCACGTACAGACTGTAAGCGCCGGGCTCGCGATATCACACGGACCGCGTCTTGGACGCTGTCTCTGCCCCGGATCAAGATTCCTCTGTGTTTGCGCGTGGGTTTCCTCAAACAACCCCTGGAAGCTCCCTGGATCTCCCTGCGTTGTCAGAGCATATGCCGAACCATCTATTTTTATCCGGCTTCCCCTGGTTCCTCTGTTCCTCTATGCTCCCCTGTTCCCCATCCTTGTTTCTAGCCGCCGGCCAGCCGATTTTTGGAGGCATGGCGCTTTCCCCCACTTGCCCCCCTGTCTCCCTCACCCACAAAGACCGCCTCATTGCTCAATTGCTCCTAAAATACAACCTTAGGTTGCTGAATTTAGAAGCGGTCGCTTCCGTGCATCTCACTAACCCCAATATGGAATCTGAAGAACGTCGGTGGAAGCCGATGCACCGCATCGCAAATAGAGCAACCTCCATACGCGCGACTGTTCGTTCTGAAACGGCGCCATTCCCCTCTGGTAGTGCCCGGAACCTCCATCGTGCCTGGCCTTGAACTCTTCGTGCCGCCGCCCATATGCATGCTGGCTCGGCAGTTTCGCGTTTCATCGCGTGGCCCTGGCGCTTTCCCTCAAGCGGAGCCAAGATCCCAAAAAAGACTGGAGAGCCTCCGTCACGATGCTTGCTGCCATGTTTCATCCCTTTTAGATGGGTGGAGGCGCATCGGTGGACCCTGCTGCTGACCCCGGCGCGTTCTTCTCTGCTGGTGTTTATATATGAGCCTACGGCTCATCTGGCTCGGCATCAATTCCTATTGTTGACTTATTTAATATCCCAATCGTGCTCGCCTCATTCCGATAATGCCTTTGTGGCCTGTCGATCAAGTGCTGATCTTCTGAGCGCCTCCACACTTTCCTTTTCTATACGTTGACCTTGGACCTTTTCGGGACATTGGTCGTGAAGTGCTGGTCACTTCCTCACTATATACGACTCTACGAAACATCAGTCGAACCAACCTAATTCGCAATGGCTCTGGAATACGCTCATTATCAACCGGCCACCCCACCAGGGGCATCATTTCAGATGCAGACTGGCTCTGTGCAAAGCCGGAATGCCTCTATCTCCCCCATCTTCACCAATGACTCCTCACCCTGGTCGACTATGACGGGCAACACAAGTCCAACCACGTCCCCGGCCCGGTATCATCATGGACCGGCTCTTCTGCCCAAGATCCGGCCCCAAGATGTGGTAATCGAGCCCACCTCGACAAGCGGACCAATGCAACAGCGTCGAGTCTTGTCAAATACACGAAACCCACCCGGCTTTGTTCCGTATACCAGCAGACCTCCCGTTCAACGGAGAAACGGGATGAATCCCGCACGTCGACTGGCCTTGGCCATTCCAAATTCTTCCACGGTCTCTCCTGGCCCCCAGAGCGTGTCTGCCATCCCTACCAGCCATTCGACCCTTTCACCCATCGTCCTCACAGGCAGCGGCAGTGTTTCCGCCATCTCGTCCCCAGTCGCCATTATCCCTCAAAAGCGAAGGGGGGCGAGGGGTCATTCTCGCTCTGTATCAACCTCGAACATTGATGAGGCGACGCTGAGCCGGTATGGCTATCCAACTTACCGACAGCTCCCCAACTTCATGCCCTATATGCAGCCGCAGACAGTGCCAAATACGCCCTGTACACCGGTGACTCCAGCCACACCCAATGTTGTGGTTCACCCATCTTATCCCCAGCAACAGCCACAGACGCCCGATGTCCTGCAGTCTGCACCAATGTCTGCTTTGCCCTCTCCGCACCCATTAGTGGTGCCCAATATTCAGTATAACTATGATCAATCCGCCGTGACTCATCAAATTTCCGACGGTTCACTCAGTCCTGTGGAGGACTCATCTCCACCTTCAACCAATTTAATCACCTACCTCACTTCCCCCACACAGGCAATCAATCTAGTCCGCAATGTCAGCGTGGTCCCGACTCGCGGCATGCACGACTATTTTTGGTGGGACATTCGCAATCTCCGTTGCTGGACCACGTTCTCCATGTCCACCTTTGATTCCATCCGTGGTCTGACCCAACTCCTGAAGACCGAGATCGCAGCATCGCTCGCCCCTCCAGTTGCCGTAAATCCAGGACGCTTAGCCCCAGAATCTGAACCCGCCCTCGTTAACCTCATCCGTGATCTGTATGCACCACGCGTAAATGCCGCCTTGGCCGTATCCCAGGGTGCCGAACATCTCCAACTCTATGCCGCGCCGGACATGCGGAATACCGGTCATAAGAACCACGGCCACCCACATTTTCTAGCCAACTATGCGACTGACCGGGAGCGTACTGGCTCTGGGCTTCCTCGTGGCCGACTCGTCGGCATTGTCAAGAGTTTCGACCGCTGGAACTCCGGCATGCGCAATGAAGGGCCGCACCGCCGTGTCGAGTATCTGAATGGACTCGCCCATCTGCAGCGCTGCATGCGCGAGCACTCCTGTCGCTATGGGTTCATAATCACCGAGATCGAGCTCGTCTGCGTCCGCGCCGGCTGCGATCCCGGCGACGATGTGCCCTATTTTGGCTTCCTCGAAGTCGCCGCACCCATTCCTCTCAAAACCGCCGGTGGAGAAACCCACGATCCAGTCCCCCCTGCAACCCCCATCAGCAATCGCTCATTCTCTTCCTCTTCCCACAATTCTCTCTCTCACTCCCTTCCAGACATCTCAGACACAGCTGACGACGTCATGGACCAGGGCTTCGCCCCCATGACTGCCAGTCTAGCGCTGTACTTCCTGCTCATGCTCTCTAAATCGGTCCCGCTTCCATCTCAACCATCTGCTCACCTCAATGTCGGTGGACCAGGAGCTCTAACACGGCAGCGAGTCCTGCCCGAGCCCAAGGACAAGTGGATTCCGGAGCCCCAGATTGGGGAGAAGCGGGATGCCAAGCGCGTCCGTGGATGGATTATGCCTCATGATGCCTGGCACCGTCGAGAAGGGGGCGGTGCACCTCGTCGAAGTGCCGAGGGTGTGAAGATGACGAAGAAGTGGCATAAATAGGTGTTCTTTTTTCTTCCTTTTGTTGTATAAGAAGGACTCACGGCGTCGGCTGGCCATGGAAGCAATTTTTTCTCTTTTAGCGGCTGGAGTTTATGACGGGGGGGGGGGGGGGGGGGTCGACTTTGTTTCTTTGGACCTTTGATCCGAGTTGGCAATCTACTTGGCTTGCGTGTTACTGTTCCCTTGTTTTGAGAATCGGGCGGTTTGCCATTTGAGCGGGTTTTCCTCATGGCTATTTGGGGTTATTTTGGGGTTTCTTGTTTATTTAGGGTTGAGTTTTTTTCCTCCCTTGGCGGTGGTGTTATTTATTGGCTACTTTTTAGCTTCTTCGCTTGAGACTTTGGGTTTGACAGTAATATAAAGTTTATGCTACATACACGTTAAATTGTCCCTCTCCTCCCTTCATCTCGCACTCGCTCCTATGTCGTATCCCGTGATATTTCCTCCCACTCGAGCGTCACGTTCAATTACAAAATCCTATGCTGGCGAGCCTCTGATGTCTCGCTAGAAGCACAAGTATATCAGCCCTCGGGGGCTCGTCTTTTCTTTCCTTTCAATCTTTCGCCTCAGTTTCCACCCGTGTGTCGCTGGACTCTTCACTGCGTATCTCCCTGCGATTAAAGATCCGAGAGACCTCCTCAAGAGACCTCCCCTTCGTCTCCGGGAAGAAGAAATAGACCATTGCCAAAAAGAAGATCAGGCAGCCGATGTAGACGATGTAGTATTTCCATTGCATCACGGAGAACGCCACCGGATTGACGTACTGGTTGAAGAAGCATGCGACGGCATCAGTGGACAATGTAATGGCCATGCCCTTGGCGCGCAGCTGAAACGGCAGGATCTCGGCCGGATACGCGATGAAGAGTGGAGAGTAGGCGAGATTGAATCCTGAGAAAAAGAGGAAGATCATGGGGACGACGGCCAGGCCGGCGGCGGTGATGTGCTTCTCTTGGAAGAGACCCGCGACGATCGTCATGATGGACAGGAAGAACAGCATCAGACATGTGCCAAGCAACCAGAGAATCCGTCGCCCGTACCGCTCGGACGCAATGGCGCCCCCAGACGAGAGCAGCAGATTCCAGATCTGGAGGCCTACGTTGACGGCCGACTGATCGGCAGCACGGGTGATACCGACAGAGCCCAGGATTGGGGGCAAGTAGTACGAGATAATACCTGAAAATGAAGGTGAGCACCACTTCGTTTGGAGAGACATTGAGAGAGAGGAGGGGTTTCTGCTTCGACTTACCGTTTCCAGCCCATTCTTGCATCAATCCAACCATCACGCAGATCACCAGTCGGTGTATATCGCCTCGAGACGAGAAGAAGGTGCTCCAGCTCCCGGGGTTCTCGGACTCGAGAATGATCGTTTTCCGGATCTGGTGAAATTCGTGCTGAACCAGTTCATCGTCCTGATTTCCATTGGCGTGGTACCTTGCGAGAATCGCCAGCGCCTCGTCATCTCTGTTTTTCGAAACCAGCCACCGCGGACTCTCGGGGACAATCAAGAGGCCCACTAGCTGGGTTAGCGGATAGCAGGCTTGAAGGAGGCATGGGATTCTCCACGACCAACTGCTCTGCAGAGAGAGCGTGGCAAAAGCCACCGAGGCTGACGCAATGGATCCCAAGCACCAACATGCGTTATAGAGCGCCGTAGCCGTCTGTCGTTGGCGTGGATGCGCAATCTCCGTGGCCAACAACGGCGCCGCCGTCTGGGCTGTTCCCACACCTGTGCCGGCCAGCACACGAGCCACGAAGAAGATCCAGTGATTCTGCACGGCGACTTGCATGATCGAGGCCACAATCACCAAGCAACATCCAATCCCCACGCACCATTTCCGGCCCATCGTGTCGGCAATATAAGAGGCCGGGGTAAACGCCATGAAGGCGCCCAGCGATGTCGCAGCAATCATCAGCCCGACAATATTCGGGTTCAGGCCGCCGATTATCATGGAAACTATGGGAAAATCACAAGTCCGATCTTCAGTAGGAGCTTCATTGGGGGCTGATTGATGCAAAGGACCGGCATACATTCGGGCAAAACAAGCAAACCGTTAATCAGACTTCCATTATACCCTGTTCCCGCCGATGAAGCGAACATAAACGCAATGCCCAGATTGAGCTTCCGCAGACCTTTGTCCTTGAGCCAATTTGAGTGCGTATTGTTCGGCAAATACTTCATCTCTTCCACCGGCACATCGGCATCCGTCTTGGGTGCCATATCGTGGAACTATACGTATCAGTTTCCTCTACCCTCGAGGACCCGGCGAATATCATAAGAAAAAAGAACAAGATCATAAGGCCTTTTCTCCATTGAGGTTCTGATTAAGCTTTATATTGCAGCGTGATCTGCAGTATCTAGCTGCAAAAGCTACGGAAGCTTCAGAACAAGGGATTCCTTCACATTCTTGCCAGTCTTTTTGCCCGTGAAACGCCCCGAGCGGCGTGGTCAACCGGTGATCGAATAGCGCGGAGAATGAAGGGAGGAATGGATAACCTCATCCGCCGGCCCTCGAGCATTGACTGCCAATAGATTTAGTTTCCGACATCAGCGATAACCCGACCGATTCGTTCACATGATAAGGAGAATTATTCTTGGAGAGCTAGGGCGGCTTCGAATGTGGGCTCGGAGCACATGAGGGGCTAATCGGGACAGGAGCTATACATTGTACTACAAGGGAGTATGGATATCACATCATACTCGATCGAGCTATGCAGCCCAACCCCCGTCGCGCTTATCACTCATCGCTATCAACCAGTGAGGCATACCGATTCCCCAGTCCACAGAACCCTTCGCAACGATTCCCAACCTCCCGGTCCTTCTCAAGGATCTCTTCCAAGCTCCAGGCAATGCGCTCCGCGCCAAGCCTGGCGCCTTCGAGATTTGGGGCCCCAGGACCCAATCGCAGGGCTCCGAGTCGCCCTGTCATGTATAGCGGCACATCTTCTCGCCACATGAGATCATCGGTCAGGCAGGGTAAACCTTCTTTGATCTCGATTGGGTATTGGCGGTTGATGTTGTTCATCAGAGGCATCTCGCGAACATCGGCGCCGGCCCCTGTTGCAAAGTAGATGTAGTCAATCGAGGGCAAGTCCGGGATTGGTGGGTCGGTGGTCAGGGTCCAGGTTTGGCTGTCAGGACTATACTGGTGTGATGTGATGACAGTCCGGGGGTGGATTGAGGCGCGGTGATGCGCGGCATGCTGTTTGACGATGCGGGCGTAGCGAGGCGTGATGCTGCCGCCATTACGAGCAGTCTTGATCATTTCAAGGCGTTCTAGGGTTGAAAAAGGTTAGAGTGGAGAGGTGGATATATCTTGCTTTAGAGTATCTGTTTTACCTTCATCAGTGTCCGCAGACCAGAAGGCTGCTTTTTCAAAGTTCTTGTACTTGCCCATCCAGGGGAGGCCGATATCGAAGTGCTTGACTGTTGGAGAGTCATTTTTCAGCACTTACGCTTTGTATGCGCGTGACATAAAGCCAAGAAACATGTCATACCTTTAAAATCAGAGCGCATCAAAAACCATACTTTGGTTACCCCCTTTCGCACCGCCATGTCAAGGATTTGAGCCGAGGAGAGTCCCCCTCCCACCACAACCACGTTTGTTTGCTGGCGTCGTTGGATTTTACTTCGCACATTCGAACTAGGGAAGGATTTGATCTCCATACTATGACAGCAAGCACTGGCACCTTCTTCCTCGCTGGATGGCTTCCAGGGGAATATCTTGGAGATGCCAGCACCGCCAGCACCAATTGCCATGACCACCGATCGGCTGTAGAATATTTGACCAGTTGAAGTCGCCAGTGTAAAGATTTTGGAGTTTGGAGCCGCGATCTCCATATTGTCGGGTAGGAAGTCATATTTAATATCAATGACCTCCTGTTTTAGAATCCGATTTGGTTCATCAAGGCCATAGCGCTGAATAATAGACGCGCAATAATCGGCGAAGAGATCGGTTGACGGAGAAAAGTAGTCTTTGCGGTCTCGTTCATCAATATCAACCCCAATCATCCTGGATGTATATTACAGGTTAGGCCGAAGATTCAATAATCATGTAATTTCTTCTCCGGTACATGGGACGAGGTCCACACTCACTGTTTCTTTCCTCCCTGACGTCTCTTCTTCTTCTTGTGCTTGCTCATCTCATGCCCTACACAGCCAGAAATCTCCCACAGATCATCCTCCCGACCCATCTCCTGGGTATATGCCAGCATCCCGTCTCGGTCTCCAGGGTCAACGTGAAAGAACATCGGACTCCGTAGCTGCTTGATCTCAAGCGTTCGAAACGCGTTGTTCCACCGCTGCATCCACTGATCACCCGATCCATCCAGAACAAGCGTTGAGATTGATGTTGATGACGCTGTGGAGGCAGATGAAAGCGATGGCACGGACGATGATGAGTCTGTTGAGCCTCGACGGTCTTCGCTGACCGACTCGATTTCGCATGGGCACTGCCTCTGTCCGCGATTCCATTTTTCGGCTCGTACCCCATTGATCTTACTACTTCCGGCCTGAACTAGCTTCATCTTTCCAGCGTGCTTTTTGATCCAATGGTAGCGCTGGTGTTCCTCGTCGGTGAACATCGCAGACGGCGTTTCTTCGTTAATGCGAGCGGCGACCGCAAGGCCGCAGGGTCCAGCGCCGACAATGATCACATCATGAATGTCACTTCCAGGAACTGGCCGAGTGGACATCATTGGCTGTGTTTGTATTTTTGCGGTAAATAGTAGGGTGCGGAACTATAGTTGATTCGGAGGGGTATATATTGTTCAACATCCGACGAGGAGGAACGAAATATTCAAGTTTTAATTTCTAACAGGGAAGAGGCGGCTTAATAGGCTGGGCGACGTCTTCACCTCCTAGTTTCTTACAATGTCCTCAGTGTCTGAGCACTTGGCCATCGAGGTACTCTTCCCCAAGGTCCTTAGTGTTGGATACTACCGTATAGGGAATAGCCGGATACTCCACAGCGGGAGGCGCTGATCGGATTACGGCTTGCATGGTGTGAAGGGAAATAGGGACCTTAGCAGCTGCTTCTCCATTTTTTTGTTGGCCTTTGACTTCTCACATTGTATTTTCATGATCTCTTATTTTTGGATTGTGAACTAGAGATTGCAAATTAGAGCTGCACGTCGCTGCACATTTTTCGCAATTCAATTGCTTAGAGGAGAAATGTGGCGAAATGCCGTACTGATAATTAATGTAGCAAATAAAACATTTACTTTGAAGTATCTAGTTTATCTTTGGGATAGAAAGGTCACAAAAAGAGGCGGACTTGTCCCCAGATTTTCAGCTCTGAGATAGAAAAATAAATCCATGAAGGGGAAGGGGAAACCCAGCATCAGTAGGAAAGATTGAGATAATAAGATCAAATTCTCGTCAAGGCAGCCTCCTGCGCTTCTAACGCCAAGAAAGCCCTACCAGCGTCAACCACCGACTCTTCAAATGTACGGTAGCTCATCCCGAGGACCTGCTTAGACTTGGAGTTATCAATTCCATAGACCTGAGCGCCGCCTAAACCAGATCCAGGCAGTCCAAGTGGTACTCGTTCTTTGATATCCAGAATTCTCTCTCGCAAGACATCTGCCATCATTTGGTAGCTATATCTCCCCTCGGATACAAGAAATCTTTGACCTCCCGCTTCCGGCAGCTCAAACGCTCGTAAATGAGCATTCGCCACATCACGCACATCAGCCCAAACCCAAAAGACATTCGTTGGTACAGGGTCACTTGATTTGGAAGTCGGAGACATCAGTCGGTATAAGTCTGCGGAAGACGTATTCAAATGTGCCAGATTAGCCGTCAGGTTTTTGTTCGGGCCGTACACCAAGGGAGCACAGATTGTAGTCAAATCCCATGATGGACATTCTCTTTCAACAAAATTCCAAGCTTCACGCTCCGCAAGTGTCTTTGAAGCACAATAAGCAACAACGGGTGATGTTCCAGGAAATGCGGCTTCTTCGTAAGTGACTGGGTTCCAGTCCGTCTCTTTATACAGATATCCCGCTCTGTTGCCCTTGTACAGATCAATTATAGATGCAAAAGACGAAGTGAGAACTACCCTCTGCACGCCAGGCGCGTACATTTGAATCGAATTCAAGAGATTTTTGGTTCCTTCAATTGAAGGTTTCAGAAGGTCACGTTCATTGTCCTCGGTTTGAAACTGGAATGGCGCAGCGGTGTGAATCACCCCAGTCACTCCTGTGACGGCTTCATCAAAAGTATGGGATGAAGTTATGTCTTGCACAATCGCAAAAGTCAACCTCCCGTCTTGGACATACTCTGGGAAGGTCTGGCTGACTTTTTCCGCTGTGGATGGGGATCGTACTGTTCCACGAACTAAATAACCAGCCCGAATGAAAGAATCAACAATGTGAGTGGCAATAAATCCGGAGACCCCGGTTATCAAAATCAATTGGTTATTCATTCCTGGATGAGATGCAATGAGCTGTCTTGAATGATAGATAGAATGTCGCTACCATTTAAATAGTTTTGATATCGACAATCACGCTCCATAGCGGATGTGATGATAAGCCGTCTTCACACCATCCTCTCTGCAAAGCGCTCTTTGTATTTATGTGATCAGCAATTGGCGACAGCTAATTTTTTCCACTTTTGGAGCTCAATGCTTCTAGGGTCTGTGCGAGCAGTCCGTTGTTGTCGAAGGGCTTGATTGACTGATCCCTCCGTGCTGGTATGACCAGAATGCATTCCCAATAATATAAACTATATAAGAAACCGCTCCATATAGAAATGAAAAGAAAAAGCTTATGGAAAGAAACTTTCCAGCCAATCAAGGAGCTTTTTCTTGGGTGCTCAATGGGTTGCGGGTTATTTAGTGTTGCGAGTATTTTGGCCCCTCCAATTCCCGAGAGCAGCAAGACTTTTAAACTAGGTCAATGCGTCGAGTATCCATTCATGTTGTACAACCCCATGAACTGCCGAGAAAATGGCTATGTATTCTTTTAGCGATGAGCGCTTCTATCCCTTTTCAGCAGGATGCGCCGGGATGTGACGTATTTTGATAGAAAGGGTCACACGGAGCCTTTTGCACGTTATTGGGATTTAAGCACAATTGAAACTTTATGATGAATCATTCTTAAATCAAGAAATCCAACATTTTGGGAACAGTACTATCCAACTATCTTTTAATGTGTATTTGATCGCTTTGATCCGTCGGAATTAGCTCCCTAACATGTCCAGACCGTATCCGCTAGCTTCGGCTAGAGACGGTTTGTTTAGGAATCATTGAGATAAAAATAAACATCGCTCCGACATCGGCACTGTCTGTTCGTCCTATCTATTTATTATGATTCGTGGTCATTTCGGGATTCGGGAGAGTCATCTGAGTACGCATTCGATCAGTATTACGATTTCCAGCATGACGCCGTCAATTGAACAAATTATCTTTTTTAACAAGCACCCATCTTCCTGCCGCATTTTCATCATCGGAGGCGGTATAGTCGGCGCTTCGCTGGCCTATTTTCTTTCCAAAGAAGAAAGTGATCGTCAGATCGTTATCATTGATAAATGTTTCGAGAAGCTGCTAGGGTCTACGGGCCATGCTCCAGGCTTTGTTGGACAGCTCAATGAGTCGCCCGCATTGACAAGTCTGGCGAAGGATACAGTCTCCGAGTATCTCAAGATTCCGGGTGGATTTAACGTTGTGGGGGGCTTGGAAGTTTCATCAACGCCTTCTGGCGTCGAGACGTTACATCACCGACGAGATCTTGCCCTAACAGCTGGTCTGCCAGCCGAAATCATTACGCCAGACGCAGCAGCCTCCCTTGCTCCCGATTTTATTCGGTCCAGTACTATTACAGCCGGTCTTCATTTCGCATCAGACGGAACCGCAAATGCACAAGTCATTACATCCTATTACCTCCAACAATCTCAGGCCAGAGGCGTGATTCTTCTCGAAGCCACTGTAACCGGCTTTGAAATCAAGGATGGCCTGACAATAGCCATCCAGTCATCGGCGGGGGAAATAGCTCTACATGGCAGCCCCATTGTCCTCGCTACAGGTATCTGGACATCGTCGTTGGCAAGCAGTGCTGTTCAATCACCAGTTCCAATCGTTCCAGTGGCACATCCTTATACCTTTACACCTCCCCGACCTCCTAGATCCGGAACACCATACCCATTTGTTCGGTGGCTAGACCACCACGTTTACGCTCGGGATCATGGAGATCGCGATGGCCTAGGTAGTTACGATCATCCTCCAATCAGTTTGAGCCCGGACAAGACAGCAATAGGAGCCTGGCCATCCGCTTTCGACGGGGTCCTATCAGAAGCTACCATGTGCTTGAAAAATGGGGATAAGTTCCTCGTCAAAGGATACAGTGATGATACGGATGAGAAGCGCCCGTTCAATGGTATATTCTCCGTGACTCCTGACAATCTTCCCCTGGCTGGGAAAGTACCTGGAAACTCTAATCTATGGCTTTGTGCCGCAATTTGGGTTACTACCGCTGCTGGTACGGCGAAACTGGTATCGAGAAAAATCCTCGAAGGGAGCGAGCGTCTGACTCTAGAAGACAAGAAGCTCTTAAATGCACTCAGCCCTGCGCGCTTTCGGGGATGTGAGACAATCACACTTGAAACTCAAGCCTTGGCGAAGTATAACGACATATATAATAGGGAAACTTGAAGCAATAGGAGCTTAAAAGCTTTCTAATAACAGAAGCTGGTGTGAAACAATATTAGATGGAGAAGAGAATCTGCAAGAAGGGCCCCCAAATGGCAATACAGGGAGCTGAGACGTTGGAAATGTCGAGGTTCCATTAAACAGAGGAAGGGTTAGATGAGTTAACTTAAGCTAAGGGGCCATGTGATGTAATCCCATGGTAATACAGAGTGGAAATTAAAGGAGCATCTTAAATAGACCTGGTCGATATAATAGTGGATCAATCTATATCGCGTTCTTCATTAGATCCAAAAGCTTATTTATAGAAGTTCCCGACAAGATATCATAGAGGTCTTAGAAATGGAAAAGGTATATCACAGGTTTTGAGGAAGACTGAGTCTTGGGATTTTCATCTGTTTATAAATATCGATATATCTGCTCTTCACATTCAGTTCGACCCCGTTTCAGAAAAAGCAAATCCAATGTATCAATCTCAAGATTGCTTCTTGGGTTGCTAAAATGTTCCACGTGCTTCTTTGGTGTAGGTGAGAGCTGTCTATTGGCTGCTCATAGTCCAATAAAATGGCGTTTTATGATTCGTATCATGCAGTCATTCTGGATGACGTGGCTACAAGTTTCAGGGATTAACCTGCTCATGTCTCCCTCGATTGGCGCCAAGTCTCCCACGGTGCACGAAGATGCTGCCTATCACTTACGGGCTGACTGGTGGCCAAAATGTGAAATCTGTAATACAAAAGTTAAGCCATGACTTGATGGCTCAAATACCACAAAAAGCGAACTCCACACCTTCGTGTATATCGAGATTTTGTTTCCCCAGCTCTTTCCTGTTCAAAAATCTTCTCCAGTAAAAATGAGTTCTGCACTTACAGCTAGGAAGGTTCTGGTAGAAAGGATTACCAATGAAACCAGCGTTCAAGTGTCCTTATCCCTTGATGGCGGAGAGCTTGACCTTCTACCCTACAACAAGAAGTTCGATTCATTACCCGAACAGACGACAGTCCACCATGCCAGCCAGAACTCGCCAACCCAGAAGATATGGATTTGGACTGGAATTGGCTTCCTGGACCACATGATCCACGCTCTCGCCAAACATTCTGGTTGGAGTTTGAGAGTACGAACTGTTGGTGACCTCGCGAGTAAGTCATGGCGCAACCTAAAATGAATTTCTTTCCCAAGAGTTCTCAAATGTTAATATACTTTTTTTTTCGCAGTTGATGATCACCACACCGCTGAAGATACGTTTCTCGCGCTTGGAGAAGCCTTTTCGAAAGCCCTAGGAGACCGGAAAGGCATTCGGCGGTTCGGCGACGGCCATGCTCCTCTTGACGAAGCCCTGGCCCGTGCAGTGCTTGACATATCTTCACGACCGTACTTTGTTGGAACATTCGATTTTAAGGATTCCAAGATCGGCAGCCTGTCAACTCAGATGATTCCACATTGTCTGCAAAGCTTCAGCCAAGCAGCTGCAGTCACGCTTCATGTGGATGTCCTGCGTGGAGAAAACGATCATCATCGAGCAGAAGCTGCTTTCAAGGCCCTTGCAATCGCTTGCAGGGCTTCTACAGAGAGGATTACGGGTAAGGAAGGCGAAGTTGTCAGTACCAAGGGCGTTCTTTCTGGTTATAAATGAGTTTTTTTTTTTTTTTTTTTTTTTTTCAAAAAAAAAAAAAAAATCAATGTTACTGGTGGCTATCAATTTTCTTAATGCTAGTTCAAAAAAAGTCCAACCAAAAATCACAATTTCTGGTTTTGGGTTATTGCAATCTGACTTGTCGATTTTTGTCCTTCTGATGCGCCCTGTCCTATTTTCCATTCTTCGTAGCCACCCGGAAACTTGTGTACCAGGCCCCTCATTGAAGCGAGAAGCCTGGTGAAGGTCAGTCAGGCCATATAAGACAGCGCAAAAATTTATGAATCCCAGGATATAACTTACATCTCACGATAGCTATCATCGCCCTTGTAGAGTATAGAATCTAGAATGTTGACACGGGTCGCATAAAGCGCATTGCGATCGTCAAAGTCTTCCACCGGCTGAGATCTTGGAAAATGCAGGTAATACTTGGTCCGATACGGCTTCTTAATTTTGTTCCAGGGTTGTCTCCACACGCCGAGCTCATCTAAGCCTCGTTAGGCTAGCAGTCAATGTACCACCAGAGAACAACATACACTCATTGTGCGCATAGAAGCATGCAGCATCGAATATAACAGGTGTATCATTATCTCCATCCATCGTAGCATTCCCATGCCACAAATCCCCATGGATGAGAGCGGGCTGGATAGAACGGCCATCGGTTTCGAGAGGCCGAAGAAGACGCGGCACTACCATTTCTAGAAAGGGTTTTGAAAGCTCAAGAATTTCCTCATTTGGGCCCTGAACTTCTTGCTCCATTTGTAAAAGGACTCGAGTGGTCCTGGTGAAGTATTCTTCCCACGAATCAGACCAACCGTGATCAATGGGAGTGTTGCCATGGTATGTTGTCACGTAGAAGCCGAATTTCCCGTCCGGCGACTTTCCATTTCGGTGTAGCTCTGCCATTTGGACTGGGAAAGTGTCGATATCAGGTAACTCGTCTGTCATGTTGCGGAACTCGCACAAGAAGAAGTGAACGTCTTGTAGAGTTGAGTAAGACCCCCATGCAATCGGCCTTGGAACCAAATGTGGAGTAACGGAGTAGATTGCACTCATTGAAGTGAATTCCCCCGACATCATACCGCGTCCAAGTTCTCTATAGGATGTCTAGCTCTGCTGTTAGAATAAACGAGAGATTAAAGGGGCTCGCTTGCCTTCAGAAAATAATTGACGGGTTTGCTATCCGTGACTGCACTCAGTCTAGCCGTACGAGTCCAAAAGCTAGCTCCATGGGGAGTCACACTGTGAACTGTCGTGTTTGGTGGAAGCTCTAACGGTTGAATATGTCAGTCGAGGTCATCAACATTTGTCACTATTAACAGAGGGCCGAGGAAGACATGGGTAAAATGAGCATACTTTTGACGACCTCTGGATCAATTATTTGAATAGCCTCAACAGGGACATCAGCCTCGCCAGTGTATTCAGTGTGCTCATTTCCCATCCTGATTGACAGGAATCCGTGATCAAGTGCAACAGAATTTTGTATCAAGGCCTCGCAAAATCGGCTTCGGAATATTTTAGCAAAGTTAGCGGGATATATTTCAATAGAATAGCTGATGACAGCTTACGCCCACAAAAGGCACCTGCAGCGTCTCGGTTTGTCCCAGTTCAATTTGATGACAGACTGGATACAAAACGGCCAAGTTTCAAAACCCGAGAATCCTCCCCACTTGCTGCATATGTGCCCTACGTGCCGGAAAACAATGCAAAGCCACAAAGGCCTACAGGCCTACTGCAGGTCTACGTAGTGTCCACATTGTACATTGGTTGGACAACTGATAGCGATTGGTAAATACAGGGGTAGCAGTGATACCCCGGGAGGTTTATCCCATATCCAGAGCGGGGTTTAAGCCACATAACAACCGGCGGCTCCAGAAAAGACCGGCTGACCAGTCATGGATAATCATGACAGTGATATCTCTATAATTGCTCCACTTTTGTGATGGAATCCCGGTAGGTATCTATGTCACATCGCGACAGCGGAGTGGGTGCGCGTAAGCATGGAAAGCCAGTTTTGTAAGCGTTTGCTTGTAATATCATGGGGATGAGATTTCTTTGCCAATTTGATGCGGCTGAACTTGGGGGTCCACCCCACCCATGTTATCAGTCCCCGGGGCCTCGATAGCTTTTCACACCTTACACAACCCATTTTCCAGCAGGTCGTTCTACAAACACCAGGCTTCTCATTGGTTGACATTAAGCCGTTCTTGATTTGTCATTCGGGAGGTAGATAGTGTTTTTGCGGCATCGTTTGCTTCACACCTTTACTTCAAATGTGTGTCCAAGAACTCGTATGGCATCATGGATAGTGCGAGATGAGTGGCCGGCATAGATCGCGATTTTTATATCTTCTCAGACAGCGGAATTATTACTACTACCTGGGGCTCTTTGATCAAGATCGTGACTGATCTGATATTGAAAAATCGCAGGTCTTGGTGCATTTCAAGATGGAAATCGTTTGTGGACCCCTCAAAATGCAATGCAAGACAACTCTACGTCACAAATACTAACAGCCGATAACGCAGCACCGTTCAAACTCCGGCGTCAGTATTCCGCGCGGACTAACGGCGCTGGCTAGAGTTTTCAGCGGGTTGTCGGTCAAAACGCAGAGCGATGAGTCGCCCGAGGAGATACGTGGGCCACTTGGTCTTAACCTTTTGTTCGATTCCGCCGAACCATTGGCTGATCTTATCTTCGTACATGGCCTTGGAGGAGGTTCACGCAAGACTTGGGTGAAAAACAATGACCCTCAGATGTATTGGCCGAGAGAATGGCTTTCGCGGGATCCGGAGTTCAAGCATGTTCGCGTTCATACCTTTGGGTACCATGCAGATTGGACGGAGCGTCGAGAGTCGGTTCTTAACATACATGACTTTGCTAACTCGTTACTTGCACATTTACAAGCGTCGTCGATAATTAGACGGGGTAAACAGGTAAATGCTCCCCGATTACTGTATAGTATCATACAGACTCTAATGTTTGCAGGTGCCTTTGATTTTTGTGTGCCATAGCATGGGTGGATTGGTGGTCAAGAGGGCAAGCACATCTCTCTCCGTTCCTGTAGTTAAATAATTTACTAATCCTTTTGTTTAGGCCTTTATCCTTTCCCAACATGACGAAAATTTTCAGGCGCTTGGCAGGAGATTTGACACCATCTACTTTCTTGCTACTCCACATCACGGCGCCAGCTCAGCCCAGTTTCTCCGTACTCTACTCAAGGCCACTCACGCTGGAGACCGACCCTTCGTCTCCGATCTCAAGCTCGAATCGCCGGCTATCCAGGCCATTAATGATGAGTTTCGGCATTACTCCGACCAAGTAAAGCTTTATTCATTCTTCGAGGCAATGCCGACGTCCATTAGTGGATTTGGCAGCGTTTTCATTGTGACCAAGAACTCGGCCATCATGCAGCTACCTAATGAACGAACCAGCCCAATCCAAGCCGATCATCGTGGTGTTTGTAAATACAAGTCGCCTTCTGATCCAAATTACATAATTGTCAGGGATTCCATAGTTGAAGCCCTCGATAGGATCACTGAGACATGTGGGTAATATCCATAATTTTCATAACTGTTCATTCCCAACCTACTCGCGCATTCAAGGCGCATATTATATTACTGATCGTTGGTGGAAATTATAATTTTAACAGCGATTTAGGGCTTGTCTCAAATGATATCACAATAAAAGCTCAGAAACGTCAACTCCGAGGCTTCTTGCACATTTCAGATGAACTGAGAGAGTGCCCTGTTGACTTCGACGAGCCAAGAATTGAAGGATCCTGTGAATGGCTTAGTAAAGTCCGCACCTTCAGACGATGGTGTGACGCTTCAGACCCAAGGATATTTCTGCTTTTTGGTAATCCAGGTACCGGAAAATCCTTCCTTGCGAAATACGTTATGGACCATGTTAGCGGTCTAGGATTCGACTGCAGCTACTTCTTCTTTCGTGCCGGGGATAAGTCATGCTCATCGCCGACAGGATGCTTATTGTCTCTGGCATGGCAAATGGCCGAGACAAATGTCTTTATTCGGGACATCTTTCTCGAGATGCACGCTTCCGAGATTCAATTCGACCGGGAGAACTTCCAGTCCATATGGAGGACTTTGTTTGTCAGCGGTATTCTTCAGACAAAGCGGGTCAAACCTCACTTTTGGGTCATCGACGGTTTAGACGAATGCTCCAACTATAGCGAGATGTTTCCACTCCTTGCCAAGATCAGCTCAGCCTTTTCTCTGCAAATATTTATTTCTTCAAGACCAAGCCCTGATGTCTATGGCTGTTTACAATCTAACGGTCTGAATGCAACCGTCTACAATATGACGCCGAAGGAGACATCTCGGGATATCAAATTTTATGTCGAAAACAACTTTGACTTCCCGAGCTTGCAAAAACTGTCGGAAAGAGAGAAACTTATATCAACTATTCTGAAAAAATCAGAAGGATGCTTCCTCTGGGTCAAGCTCGTACTCAAGGAGTTAAGAAGCGCCTTTAGCGAAGAAGCCACATGGAAGGTACTCGACGACATACCAAAGGGTATGGACCAGATATATCTGCGGAGCTTAGAGCCACTTGCTGGGAAGGAAATGAGAAAACGATGGGCCAAAGCCATCCTAATGTGGGCGAGTACATCTGTGCGACCACTAGACACTATGGAACTCAAGGCTGCTTTGCGCATTCATATTAATGAAACATTCAACAACCTCCAGAGGCATATCAGCTGGCTTTGTGGCTATCTTGTGACTGTCGATGCCAACTCTGTCATTAAAATGGTACATGAGACCGCACGCAGCTTCGTCCTCAATTTAGAGAACGGTTCAGCTATTGCATTCAATGCAGCAGAAGCACACAAGGCTCTAGCTATTGTATGTCTGAAATACCTCAACGACAAAGAGCTTAAGGCACCCCGTGCTCGACGGTCAAGTGTTTTTCAAGGCCAAAAGATTTCTCGGTCACCCTTTTTCAAGTACGCTTCCATCGCTTGGTATGAGCACATAGAGAAATCGCTGAGCACCAGCGAGGAGATGATAGACCTCGTCTACGAATTTTGCGCTTCTTCAACAGGCAATATTCTTACGTGGATTGAGCATATCGCCTCAACGAACAGAGATCTCACAGTCGTGACTCGTGCTGGCGTGTTGATGAGAAATTTCGCAATACGAATAGGAAAAGACCGCCTGAGACGAACAGAGAAACTAGATCTGATAAACGCCTGGAGTACAGATCTGATGAGAGTAGTTGCTAAATTTGGACGCAACTTGCTCCGTCTTCCAGCGTCGATTTATATCACGATACCGCCACTCTGCCCACGACGCTCAGCTATTTACCGTCAATATGGACACCTACAGCGAAATCTAAGTGTGGTTGGCATTCCTTCCTTATTGGATTGGGATGACTGTCTTGCTACAATCGTGTACAAAAAAAAGGAAGCCGCGCAGTATCTGTTGCCGCTACTGGAAACTATTTTGCGGTGGGAATGTCTACCCCCTTTGTTCGCCTGTACCACGCCAACACCTGCCATGAGTTTGCTGTCCTTCGCCATGGAGAGGCTGTGAAATTCATTGAATTTAGCTTGACTGGCCACTTGTTGGCAACAGGTGGTAATAAACGGCTTTGTGTATGGGATGCTGCAACGAAGGAATTGATCTGGAAGTACAACCTTCCCAGACCCTGTATCGCTATTATGTTCAATTCAGAGAACAATGAACTTATAGTGGCATGTCAAGACAATCAACTTCGCTACTTCAACATCGAATTCGGCCAGCTTAGGGATGAAGTTTCGTGGTTCATGGATGAAAATCATGCTCATGATATTTCAGCAGTACCAGTCACAGCTGCAATGTCATTCCAGCATAAACTTCTCGCCTTCGTGTACCGAGGAAGTCATATATGTCTATGGAACTGGGAGACAGACGAGTTTCTTGGCTTTTGTGAGAAGCCGGATGCAAGAAACAAACGCTGTCCTTTCCACGCCACTTCATTGGCGTTTAGTCCAGTCCCGAACTCCAATTCACTTGCAGCGGCGTATGAACAAGGCGAGATTATCGTGTTTGACCCCATTAAATGCAAAATTAAAGCGAGCTACAAAGGAGATACTGACAATCAGGAACTTGCATGTTCACCAGATGGAAGGACCCTCATCTCAGGGGACTCAGTAGGCATGATTAGGGTCTTCGACTTTCAAAACGCTAATGAATCGGACGGAAAATTGAGACTCCTTTATATTATCTCCGGGTTAGAGGAAAACATATCGGGCTTATCATTCTGCGATGACAAACGCTTTGTCGACATTCGAGGCCCCAAAGTTAAGGTGTGGGAGCCGACAATACTGGTCCGGCCAGAATCTGGAAGCGACGTGGATTCTATCGCGTCAGAGAGTGTTTCAACTCAAGGGCTCGTTGCAGAGGAAACTGATCCGATTACCTCCCTGGCAGTCCACCCAGATGGTAAACACGTCTTTTGCTCTACCCAGAACGGATTGATCAACATCTATGAGATTGACACTGGTACACGTACCCAGACAATTCAAGACCATTTCCATGGCGACACTATCATCCAAATGACCTTCGATAAGACAGATAACATACTTGCAATTGGTGGCGTATCGAGTAAAGTAATCGTTTATCGTCTGTCTCTCAGACAGCAAGAATGGTTCATTGAAGAGAAAATCTTCGAATACTTTATGGACGAGAGAATTGAGCAACTACTATTCAACCAGAGAGGAACCAGGATACTGGTTGTGACCACAGCCTGTGACATCGTTTACTCTTTAGAAGACAAGTCAATGGCATCTTCTTCGTGGGAGACGAGGCTTCCAGGCGTCTGGTGCAATGACCCACGCGATCCAGAAAGACTTCTTCTTGTGGTCAATCAGAAGCTTAGTGTCTTCCTGTGGGATGGATTAAAAGAAATCACCAACTCCAGCGGAATCATCCTAAACTTCGACCTTCCTCCAGACTTCGGGATCCAGAATGTCCATTCCGGCTGGAAGGATAATTTCATCGCAACCGTCTATTCCGAAGTTGACCGATCACGGTCAAGTCTCCAACTTTTCCTTTGGGACTTGGATGAGTTGAAGACAGTCGAGGAGCACAAAGACGAGACTTCGAATTCTGCGCAGATCTCTCCAAGTCACACCTTACAATCTTACGGTACCAAGATAGCCGAGCTGGTGGGTACCCTGGGTATGATAATTGGCTTCTTTGGCAATCGTGTCTTATTTCTGGACCAGGATGGCTGGATATGTTCAATATTTCTTGAAGATACAGCCCCAGAGTCCTATTACCGACATTTCTTCTTTCCTTTCGATTGGCTCAGCACTGACGGCGCTATTCTGACATTTACTACGAGGAGCGAGATCTTACTGGCGAAGGAGGGTGATCTTGCTATCATTAAACGAGGGTTGGAATTCTCCCAGATGGTCCCGTTACTGGCACATTCAGGAAAGTCATCTCCAGGTCCATGAAGCAAATTTGTTGATGGAGGTAAGGCGTTGCAGGTGAGTTGCGATGCCTGGGTCATGGATCAATTCATGCAAAAGAAGAGAGCAAGAGGTTTCTGACATCCTCAACGAATGCTCCATAAGTCACCTTGTGAGAATAGATTGTAAGATATTCATGCCATTCAGCCGACAGTAATGATACGGAAATAATCAAAGAATCAGCTTCGAATCAAGCTGTAAATGGATTTAGGAATATCAAAAATAGGATAGATTATAGCCGATTCTACTGCAAGTTGCTTTACTGTAGAAGGCTAGAACTTGCAGCTGACATGGGGATCTATAACCTCAATTTGCCGCGGTTGATATATGCGTTGGGGGACTTCGATTCTGGATTTTTCCGACACCTGCAGACGCTGGAGCTCAGAAATATCGGTCGTTCAGAAAGAAAGGCTTCCCTAGCTAAATTAGAGGTAAGGTTGCCTCATTTTGACGATATTCTCCTGAACTGACTCAAATCGAAATTTACAGGGAAAAAAGGGAAAGCTCCATTTACTAAACTTCAACTGCGTTGTTTTGTCTTGACCCCCGACGTCTTGGAAGGGCTAGTAAGATGGCCTAGAAAATTAGAAGGATTCCAAATGGAGTTCTCGTAGGGAGATAATTACTGTGAGACGGGGTTGTGGGAGTAATGGAATTTAGCGACTCTGCAGCCGATTCTGGAAATTCACCGAAAATCTCTACTTTCCATCAGAATCAGCGCTCTTAAAAACACTAAAACGACAAGTTTCAATCTATAGGGGTTTGAAAACTTGGAAGAACTGAGTCTTTCATCCACCTTCACTAACCATCAATCGGTCTATGGCCATGCACCAAGACCGACTCGCAACATCTTAGCTCCTCGGCTACGTGTTTTCCGATGGGATTTGACGTATCTAGACCAACAGCACAGTGAGGGCCTAGACAATTTTGGACAGCCGGAAGAGGATTTGCTGCGACAGTTTGTACGAGAGGCATTTGCCTGTGGATGCCCAATCCAGAGGATTGAGATCGAATATAAGCCTTCACCTTGGGAAAGTATTGGAAATGCATCCTGGGTCTATCCATGGGACCGAATGTATCCAGTGAGTGCTGATCTTGGGATTGAGATCCGGTATACCCCCCCTTCGATCAGTAGAGAAGCGTTTCAAGAACTTGTAAACTAGTTTGGATAAGCAGTATATACATTCGAGGGCGACTATGATACATGCCACATGAAAGATCATACCAGGGGTGTTCTGACTATTCTATAATCTGCTCAAATTTGTGAGATTTGGTACTTCTTTCTGGTTAGGGGTATTTGTTTCTGTTCGCGGCGTCTCATTCAACATTTCATTCAAGTTCAAATGATCTTGATCTTGATCCATTTTCAGAATATCAACCAACTGGTCTGCGGTAAGATGGTCGTTTACTCCCTCCATCCGATGTGCATACCGCAGTTTGCCTTGCTGAAAGATCCACTCGCCGCCTTGCTGGTTCCAATTCCCCCCCTTTCAGCCCTGCCCAGCCACGTTTCCATATCTGCTTCAGGCATTTGGAAAGCGCGGTGGGGAATGATTCTGGCGTGTATGGGGGTGGATCCGTGAAGCCTCTTGTGGTTCGATTCATCTGGAGCTTCTCAAAGATCGCACCAGATGGATCGGTGTAGATGGGGAAGGCGTCTGAGGTCTCTTCCATGTAGGGCACAATGAGTGAATGATCGCCACAGCCGATGATGATCACTTGGGCCGGTTTGGCGTGGGCTGGGAGAGTGTCCAGCAAGGTATTGGTGATCTTTTGTGACAATGTTCGTACATAATCTTGCTCGTAGAGACAGAAAAAATGCCGAACTGTGCGCTTTCTTAATCAACTGTGGCTGAGGAGATATTTGATATATTCAAGGCTGTGCTTACCGAAGATTACGACCGTGGTGATCGAGTCTCCCTTGCCCGCCACCAGCTCTCCGAAGCGGACTAAGTCTCCATTCTGTGATTCGATTTCCAGCTCATAAGCCTCATGAAGAGAGTCATCCGTCAACATCCCAGACGAATTGGTTGCGATCGTGTAACCGGACATGTCGGGCTCAGGTGGAATTTGCATCTCGGTGACCGAGGCCGAAATATGTAGACTTGAAGGCAGTCTTAAATGGTCGAGATCAAATATTAAAGCGCTTGATATACGGTTCTCAGTGACAAACCTATGTGGTTCACGAAGTCTAGATTCTGGCAATGACATCACCACCGTCTGCCATCCAACCACGATGGTTTTCTTTTTGATCTATGGAGTTTCCGAGCAAGGAAGTTTCGGATTATCCGACAAATATCGACCGGGGAAATTTTAACCGATCAATTTCAGATTACTCAGAGCGCATTCTGAGGTTTACCCTCTCCTGCTCTTCTCCGTGTCTGGCCCTACAGCGGGAAAGTTGGTGGAGACGGTACTGTGGATGGTGCACTCGCAGGGAGTAAAGGCTAATGCAAATGATACCAACGGTATTCAGGATTTTCTATAGAGACCTGTTGACGGCATACAAAGAGAAATATTTGTTCGCACGGTCCACGCAAAGGAGAAGCGGTGATGGGCCAAATGGAGCTCTCTGGTATACTTGAACTGCGGCCAATGGGGGCCATCCCGAAGCTGCTGATGTTGCTGTCCCTTCTTCCCCGCATGCAACTTCCCAGATGCAACCTGCCCCTCGCCTGATACGAGCTTCGAGAAATTACGTTCGTGTCGTCCAATCCATAAATCCTCTTCCCTCCCTCCCCCTGTCAACCTAAACCGACAGCTAAATCATCCAAATTGGGCGTGAACAAACGCCGGAAGCCCCGATCGCGAAGACGCCGCCATGAAGGAACCCCAGCTTCCTCCAGCAGACATCCCCATCAGCACTTCCAGTTTAGCAGTCGCTTCAACGCGCAAAACACCCCGGTTTCTTATCATTGGTGCCGGATCCCGCGGAAATGCCTATGCCCGTGCTGTGACAACAGCCACGCCTGGCGTCGTCCACGCTGTCGCGGAGCCGCACGAGTTCAAGCGGCGCTCGTTCGGACGGAAATATATCTGGGGCACGGAGGGCTCCCCCCAAGATGGGCAGGATTTTGCCGACTGGCGCGAATGGTTAGAATGGGAAACAAAGCGGCGACAACACGCAGGAAAGGAAACTGCTCACCACAGCGATGAACCTTCGACGACAGAAGGGCTAGATCCTGTGGGCGTTGATGCGGTGTTCATCTGCACCCTTGACGAAACGCACGTCGAAGTGATCCAAGCCATCGCCCCGCTGCAACTACACATTCTCTGCGAGAAGCCCCTCGCGCTTTCCCTCGCCGACTGCCTCACTGCCTACCGCACCCTCCAACCTCCACAAGGCCCTGAGGCCCACCCCCGCCCGGCCTCCGCCATCTTCTCCATCGGCCACGTCCTGCGCTACAGCCCGCACAACATCCTTCTCCGCAGGCTGCTCCTCATCGAGCGCATCATTGGCGACATCATCTCCCTCGAACACTGCGAGCCCGTCGGTTGGTGGCACTTCTCGCACAGCTACGTGCGCGGCAACTGGCGCCGCGCCACCCCGGCCGGTGATGGCTCCCTGCTCACCAAGTCCTGCCACGATATCGACTTCATCCTGTGGCTCCTCTGCTCCCCGCCGTCACTCGAAGATGCCGGCCACACATCGCACTTCCCGCGTTCTATCTCTTCTGCGGGATCTCTGACGCAGTTCCGCCGCGCCCGCAAGCCAGCTGCCGCCGGGACCGCCACCAACTGCCTTGCTTGCCCCGCCGAGCCCGACTGCAACTATAGCGCGCCACGCATATACCGTGATCACCACCTTGCGCGCGGCAACACAACCTGGCCGGTGAAGATAGTCTGCCCGGACATTGAAGATGTGTACAATACTCGTGGGGCCGCGGCTGCAGAGGCGCATCTGCTCGCGTGCCTGGCCGAGGACTATACCGATGCCGAATCCGACGCCGCCATCGCCGCGCGCCCTTGGTACGGGCGGTGTGTATACGAATCCGACAACACTGTGTGTGATGACCAGACAGTAACACTGGCGTGGGATGACGAGGCGGATGGGTCGCGGCTCGCGAAGACGGCGACGTTTCACATGATCGCACCGACAGAAAAGCAGTGCCAGCGCCGGGGCCGGGTGTACGGGACGCGCGGCGAGATCGAGTACGACAGCCGCACGATCTCAGTGTACGACTTTGCTTCAGCGAAGACGACGACGATCGATGTGCCTAACCCGCCGCCGGAGCGGGCAGAGTCGCATGGTGGCGGGGACTATGGGCTGGCAGGGAAGTTTGTGAGCGCGGTGGACGCGGTGCTGAATGCGGAGATGGAAGTCGAGACGGCGCAGGCGCGGTTCATTGGATGTACGCTCGAAGAGGCGGTGCAGAGTCATGCAATGGTGTTCGCGGCGGAGGAGGCGAGACGCGAGGAGCGGGTTGTGCGGTGGGCAGAGTGGTGGGAGGAGAAGCTGAGAGCTTCGGCTGCGACTTAAACGGCTCGACGCTTTTCGCTCTTGGGAATGGAAAGCTTGAAGTGCCTGGTCATGCATTCGTGCACTGCGGTGGCTATCTCAACGACGTGATGATGCTACGAATAACGATATATTTTGGAACGAGAATTGTTGACGAAACAGAGGGAATGGGAAACAGCCCTCCCATGATATCGCACTTACTTGGAGCAGCTAATTCAATTTGATTTTGGCGCATGCATTGCGGGAATGAACATCATTTTTCATATAGAATTAACTGGAAGGAAAATAAGGGAATCCCCTCCTAGCTCTATCGCTTACGTATACGGCAATCGTTCCATCATCATGTTCTTCTCATTTCCTGTTCCATAACCAATGATCCCCTTCCAGCGGGTCACACATAGACCGGATAAAGCGCCAGCCTAGGTCTTGACATCAGGCTCCTCACGGCCGACATACTCCTTGAACTTGAGCAGAGACAGCGCCAGAGAAACATTGTCGGCCAGGTACTCCTGGGCGCTGAGGCCGAACTTCGAGCTGTCGCTCTCGTAGCGCTCAACGTAGAGGCGGATAGTAGCGCCGCTGCTGCCGGTACCGGACAGACGGACGACGATACGGCTGCCGTCGTCGAACTTGGCGTACAGGCCTTGGTTCTTGGAGACACTGCCGTCGAGGTCGGTGTAGGAGAAGTTGCCGGCATCGACGACCTTGCGGGAGGCGATGGTGGAGCCGATGAAGGAGTCGCTGGCGACCAGGTCGGATAGAGTGCCGACAACCTTGTTGGCACCATCGCTATCGACATTCTCGTAGTCGTAGCGGGTGAAGAAGGTGCGTCCGTAGGTCTTCCAGAAGTCGTTCTGGATGGACGCGATGCTGGGGGTCTCGTTGGGCTTCTGCTTGGCGACACCGGCGATGATGTTCAGCCAGGCAACGATGGCCCAGACACCATCCTTCTCGCGAATGTGGTTGCTGCCAGTACCGAAACTCTCCTCACCACAGATGGAGATCTTCTTGTTATCGAACAGGTTGCAGAAGAACTTCCAGCCAGTGGGCACCTCGTAGCTCTGCAGGCCCTGGGCCTGAGCGACACGATCGACGGCGCCAGAGGTAGGCATCGAGCGAGCCAGGCCGAAGACACCCTGCTTCTGGAACCAGGGGATAAGCTGAGCATGGTGCGCGATAATAGCCAAGCTGTCACCGGGAGAGACGAAACTGTTGGCACCGTAGATCATGTTGCGATCACCGTCACCGTCACTGGCAGCACCAAAGTGCACGCCGTTCTTGTCAACGGCTTCCACAAGCTCGTGCGCATATACGAGGTTGGGGTCAGGGTGACCACCGCCGAAGTCCGGCTTGGGCTCGCAGTTCATGGTGCTGCTGGCGGGCAACCCGAGCTCCTTGACGAAGATGTCCACTCCGTATGGGCCGGTCACACCGTGCATGCCATCGAAGAGGACCTTGAAGTCCTTGTGGGTGCTGAGGAACTCCTTGATCAGATCGAAGTCGAAGATCTCCTTCATCATGGTCACGTAGTCAGCCGTCGAGTGGACAACCTCGACCTCGAGGGGGCCATAGCTCTTGGTGCCAATGCTCGAGGTGTCGATATCGGGAATGTCAATGTATTTGTAAGAGGTCAGAGCCTTGGAGGTCTCGTAGATCTTGTTGGTCACAGTTTCAGGGGCGGGGGCACCGTTGGCCAGGTTGTACTTGATACCAAAGTCGGCGTTGGGACCTAAGTCGATTGTCTCAGATTAGCGAGACCGAGCAATTGCATGAATTGTAAGGAGACAGAGCTGCAGTATGTCTTCCCTTCACCCGTTCCACTTACCACCGGGGTTGTGACTGGCAGTCAGAAGAATACCGCCAGTAGCCTTCCGCACGCGGATCAGGTTGCTGGCCGCGGGGGTGCTCATGATGCCATTCTGGCCAACCAGCAGCTTCTTGACGCCGTAGGCGGCCGCGATCTTCCCGATCTTGCTGATCACCTCAGTGTTATAATAACGGCCATCGCCACCAATGACCAGGAAGGAGTCCTCGACACCCTCGGGGATCGACAGGAGGATGCTGGTAATGAAGGACTCGGAGTAGTGGGGTTGCTGGAAGACCTTGACCTTCTTGCGAAGCCCAGAACTACACAGATCGGGTGGTCAGTGAGAGAGCCAGGCATTGACAAGAAAGAAATGACTTACGTGCCCGGCTTCTGATCCGCGAAGGGCTGGATGGAGACCGTCTGGACTGACATGATGAAACTGGGGGACGAGGAGAGTGTGAAGGGAGGAGTAGAAAGGTCTCACCGACACGAGGGGAGGGGCTTCCGTCATGTGTTGATCATTCCCCCACCAACCAACCCAGCTCAGACATGCATGGATCCCGCCAGGACTGGGATTGGCTCTACAAAGCTGCAGGAAGCTGTCAATTGCAACAAGGGATGTGCCATTTGGTGTCCCGCCCGTCAATTCGCCGTCTACAGTCCTTGCCACCGTTTCGCAATGGCTGTCCTACCTGGTCCCGGAGCTTTTTCTGGGCGGCAAAACAAATACTCATCGTGGGGCAACCCTCCAAACGTTCCCGCCGCCACAATACACAGATCCAGAGCACCGAGAATAAGAAGGCTAGCATTAGATCCGGGCCCGACTGGTATCAAATTGAATCAAACCAGAGTAGAAAGCGAAAAACAAAATACACATATAATACAATGAGTACCACCCTCGCATTGAAACGGGGACGCGCCCCTCACCAAAACAGTTTCTCCCGGTAGAAGCGCATTTCCGCAATGCTCTCTAGAATATCGTCGCGGGCTAGATGCACCTCTCGCTTGGTCGGGACCTGCTCGAGCAGCTCATTGCTCGCCCAGCGACGGGCGGCCTCCTTGATTGTACTCACATCCAATATTCGGTAATGCAAGAACTCTAGAATCGGGGCATAGGGGCCCCGGGCCAGGAAGGCCTTATCGGCGTGGACGCTATTCCCGGCCAGTAAAGCCGTGCGCGGAGCGGAGACGTGGCGACGAATGTACGCCATCAACGAGTCGGCGGCGGCAGTCGCACTGGTCGTGGAGGCGCGTACGGCGGCCGTGAGGCCCGTGCGGCCATGGGTGTCGATGCACCACTGCGACATGCTGTCCAGGAGGGAGTCGGGCTGGTGGATGACAACCTCGAAGCCGTCGGGTTCCAACAGTTGCAGCTGAGCGTCCGTAATGAAGCAGCAGATCTGGAGGATCTGGTCGTGCTCCGGGTTCAGCCCGGTCATCTGGTATGGTGGTGAGTTTGGGGCGTTGGTGGATATGGGTGGGGGACCTTACTTCACAGTCAATCCAGACCAAAGGGTCGGTGGAGCGGGCAAGAGGCATGGTGCTTTGGAGTCGGAAGGCTTGTAAATGCTAGACGAGAAGGTCAATGGAAGGAGGGGAAAGCCCGTGCGGGAATGCAGCGATTCATTCCCAAAGAAAAGCGCACAGACTGGAGGCGGGCAGAAAGGGAGTGGGCGGAATCACTGACCTGGTGGAGAAGGAAGGCGGGCTGGCCCAGAAGACGATGCCGGGGCAGGGCGAGGAGAGATTGAAGTTGTCGGGTTCGTCTTGGCCACATGTGTTGGATGAAAAGAAGACGAGGTAAGTGCTGGGTAAAGCAAGGCGGGCGTTCAGCAGATTTTGTACGCGGACCATCGACCTTCCTCCACACCATTCAACATCCGTCGGCAATCGAACGGGGCTTTGGGACTACAAATGACTCTCGAGGAGAATATAAACACAGAAGCAGTGGCTACGGGGATCCTCATTCACAATTCATAAACATGCCGCTCTCAAGCGACCCAGCTAATGTATTTCCCATCCGAATCCATGGATGATTCCTGTAGTGTAGATTGTGGACATAACGGCGTCAAGAGGTAGGTAGAAAGATAAGAAAAGAGTGAACGGCAAATATTCCAAAGGGCCATCGGCAGTAAACGATGGCCAATACAATGTCGCCGCATAGACGACACAATTCCAGCAAGGTCATGCTTCCATGATGGAGGAAGACGGTCTATCAGTTCCGCGACCCACCTCGAACTTTTCCCCCAATACGTATGAAAAGAAAAGAACTAGAGTTCAACGTCAGAGTTCTTCGTCGTTGTTCTGCGAGGCATCAGGGGCCGCCTGAGCATCAATTTTGTCCCCAAAGGACTCGGGATTCGCAGGGTTGGGGTCGTCGCCACTGCCTAGTACCTCGTTGATACGGCCTGACGACTCTGCAATCCTGCGTCGCAGAGCATTCTCGTCTGCCGCCGAGACGCTTGCGCGAGGCTTTTTCAAAGGGCTTCCGAGGAAGCCCCCGGTAGCGTCGAGAGAGGATTGTGCAGGCTCAGAGGGCCCAGCAACAGGGGTGGGCTTTGGCGGAGTAGAAGCGCGTTCAGGAGCAGGAGGCGTGGTTCCGGAAGCCGGCGTACCAGTCGAATTCTCGCCGCTGGCACTGAACGGCTCAGCAGAGTGCTGACGCTTGAGCTGTAACATAATTAGCATAGCTGCACCTCCGGGAAATGAGGTTAAAAACAGATGAAAGGTTGGACTTACCCGGATGCGTTGCACGCCATCCGCCAGCTCTCCTTGACGCTTGATGTCATCAGGGGAAAGAAAGCGGTCATCATCCTTGGCCTCCTCATCGTCAGCCTTGCCAAGAATTGGATTGTCTGTATCATCATCGTCACTATCCATTTCGTCGTCACCCTTCTTGCCCTTCCGCTCGGAGTCGTGGTCTCTGAAATTGAGGAACCCGACTGTTCCACCAGGCTTGAGGGGGCCGAGGTTGGCAAAGTCTGCTTGGATTGACTTCCGCTTCGCCGGAGTCTCCTGCGCTTTGGAATCCTTTAAAATACCCATTTTCTGCAATTGACCTGTGAATGCATGTAATTAGCTATGTTCAACCCAATAGAGCTAGCGCTTAGATTCACGTACGTTCTCCACGGTACATAAACGTAAAAATGGCATAGGGCTTGTCAGTGGGGTCAATGCCGGTAACCGTCTGGGTGCTAATGGACTTAGGGTCCAGGGTCTTGGGTTTCGCAAAGCTCGTCGTATGATCGACATCGGCATCGCCGTTGCCGTTGTTATCTTGGCCGCCCTCGTCGTCGTCATGCGCATCAAACTGTGGCGAATATTCACCTCGCTTGATCTCTCCCGATGCCAATACTCGGAACAATGCGACTTTAATCTGGCCCGCAGTTTCCGGGATAGGATCGTCATCGTCGGAATCAGAAGACAGGTCTTCATCCGATACGTTTTCTAGCGGTGCCTTCTCATCGTTACCATAGCGCATGATGCTCTTGGGCTTTGAAGGGGCATTGGCGTCCATTTCCATTTCGCCTTGGTTCTCGGCCTGTCGTTTTGCGCGGCGTTTCTCCATCTTCTGCCGTCGTCTCTCGATCTTGGCCGCTGCATCTTTACCCTCGAGATCTAATCCGTTGAGCCAGCGCTCGAGACCAACCTCACGGAAAAGGAACTCGCGCTCGGCTATACCGCCACCTTCTGAATCTGGCACACTGACCCAGCGCGAGTTCACCCAGGTCTCTTCCCCTCTACGCAGTAGTGTGGCCACCTCTTCCTTCTGTCTGCCATCGAAGTAAATGTAGGCCGCGACGGTCTCGTTCGGGGAGTTCGTCAATGCTTGGTAGGGCGCGACCGATCCGGAGAATTGACCGCGCTCGCTAGTCTGACCCGGAAGCCCTCCCACAACCTTAGGCTTGGGGGAGGGGCAATCGGATGTCGGCTTCGGGGTGGAGTATGGGACATCCTGGCCGGGGTTCAGGAGGGTGATTGAGATGGCAAAGGTGGACTGTTCCGGCTTGCCCTTGGAGGAATCGGGGACCTTAGGCGGAGGGACCGGGATGAAACACGCTATGCGCGACGCTCGTGACTGCCGCTGGATGGAATATTCGGAGATCGGGCCATCCGGGGTGTGGATGCTCACGGCAAGGCCCTTAAAACACGGCATGACGAAGCCTCACAGGAGATTGAGGGAGGCTGGTCTGTGTCGTGAAAGACAAGGAGGGAAAAGGAGGGGAGGGATGGCCCCGCGTCCGCGATGTGCGTGATCCCCCAGACAGGAAAGCTAGAGAAAGGGTCGAGTCTGACAAACGCGGGGGAGGGAATGGTGCGTTTCGCTCTTTTTTTTTTTGCTTCTGCGTCTCAGAAGAAGTGCGTATTAGCTATAGCCAAGGAGGCGGTCAGAGATAGCGTGGATGTGGGCTGGCTTGGAGCACCCAGCAACCAACTGGGTCTGGACCCCACTTGTTGCTGGTATACGGAGAGGCTGGTCGAATGAAGCTTTTCGCCGAGGAGGGGACCAGCAGGAGAATATGGGGAGGGAGGGGAAGAGCGGGCGAGCGACCGGACCTTGTTGGCTTGCGGATACGATGTACCATCTGCTCAGCGAGACACCCGCATATCCACAGAGATCGAAGGAGGAGTTGCGGGCTCTTTGGGCAGAGGAGGGGCGGAACCTGAGGAAGATGTGGACCAGCAAAACATCGTGCCCGCCGGCTCGGTCGAACACCAGGCCACGTGATGTACTTTAATTGGGACTGAGCCCTAGGCAAACGACGTGCATCTTGGCATCTGCATTCGCCGACTCTACGAGTCTACTTGGGGATCTACTGGATGAGGCAGATGGGAGCATCCTCCTGAGCTGGCAGGTTGATCTCGTCATCCCCCGCCGATACCCACATCACCTGACTCCCGACCATGGATCAGCTGTTGTGCCCGGGGCCCGCTCGACCATGCGGTGGGCACCATGGAGATAAACAAACAAATATTTCTACAATCAGAAAGAGAATCTCGGCTCAAGGGTCAATCTCATGAGAGTAGAGCTAGCGAGTGAGTGGATTCAAAGGAGTCAGATGGGGATTTCGGTCATCCTAAAGGATCTCATGATAACAAACGGCCCCTTGCCGTGGGTCTTGGGATACCCAATCAGACGGGACCAAGTCGAATACAAAGGAAGACACGGAAATCACAGATTGAGAAGAAACGTAATTGGAACTCCATTTTGTCTTTGATTCTGCAGGCACTAAGGATGACGAAAGTGATACCGAGGGCTGTACTCGGGTGTGCCGCACTTGAGCTATTGGGGTCACCATAAGACCCCACCCATTTTGAGGTAACTCTCATGTGGAAGAGAAAAACGAAAGGTAAGTGATTGAATGAATTAATGTACTTTGAAGGCAGTCAAATAATATATCTCCCTCATTCAATCATATGTATTCTATGAGGGACGGACAGAGAGCGAATATGTAAAGCCATAGTTGTAGTCCAGTCCTTGGAAAAGGACCCCCCCTCTCCATCACCATAGAGCCCAATAGTCGTAACAACCATGACGTTACCAAGATAGGAACAAAAAATCAAGAAACATCAAGTATTTCATAAGATCCAGATGTCTGGCAGAGTCTTCACTAGAACATCACGCTTCTTTTTGCACTTCAGGAAAAGCCTTGGAGTCCGTGTTCAGGTGGTCCAGCTTATAGAGAGGTTCAAGCTCCACCTTCATCCGAAAGATGTAGCGCTTGAACCAATACGGCAATGCCTTGAAGATCTGGTAGTGCATGTGTACCCGCGTGGGCACCGCGAAAATGTAGTCCAGCTCCTCGAGGGTGCGCTGTTTGGTCTCGGGGACCCAGAGGAAGATCATCACAAGGGCGGTAACGTTGAGGCCACTAGTATCAAGATCAGCTTTTTGAGTTCACACTAAAAGCTCGATGTGCAACCTACGCATAAAATCCAAAAGCACCGGTGGGTGTCATCGCGACAAGCATGCGAGGGAAGGTGATCGAGAGTACGGCAGCCCAACCTAGACAGGTTGCTACGGCCCAGGACATACCAACCTCTATTAACTTTATTAGGTTTGCTTTTTTTCACATGCATAGCCAATCATGTAGGAAGAGACGTCTATACATACCACGATGAGACAAGGGAAATACCTCAGCCGAATATGTGAAGGGCACAGGACCTTCGCCAGGCGAGTAGAACGCCGCAAACAGGAAGACAAATAGTGCTATAGCACCCAGATGGGCTCCGGTGGTCCCTGGAATCCAGAAGCAAAACGCAGCCGCTAAGAGAGTCCATGCCATTTGTGGGAAGGTAAACAAGAGCAGGGCTCGTCGGCCATAAGTGTCAATAGTCCACACAGCGGGGAAAGCAAAGAGAAAATTAACAATTCCGAATCCCCAGGATGCGAACAGAGCTTGGGTGTCAGTTGCGCCAGCCTTTGAGAAGATAGTCGAAGAATAGAATGCCACGATGTTGACTATAGAGACTCGATTAAACAAAGGCTTGGAGTTGGCAAGGGTCAAGCATAAAGTAACTTACTTCCGCACATCTGCTGCGCAATCATGACAGTGAACGAGGCGAGAGTCGCGCGGCGAACCCGAGGGATAGTGAAGAGCTCCACAAAACGAGTGACATAGTTACTGTCACCAATCATACTTTGCTCAATCTGTATCTGTGAGTGAATATAGTAAAGATCCCGCGCAGCCTGAAGCGACGTATTACGGAGGCGAACAAGAGACTGATACGCCTTGTCCATCTCGCCCCTTCTGATATACCAGCGGGGAGACTCCGGGCAGAAGTAAACTCCACAGACAAGAGGAACCGCGGGAATAAAAGCCGATCCAAGTTGTAGACGCCAGGACAATTTACCAGTGTCTTTCACCGCCAGGTTTGCACTAGTGCCTAGGAAAATACCAAAGGCCGTCCAGAGTTGCCAGCACATCACCAGCCCACCCCGAATCGCTGCAGGTGTGTTTTCAGCACAGAAGATAGGAATTGTTGACGCCTTCAAGCCCATGCCAATTCCGAGAAGCAGTCGCACGACGAAAAGCTGCGGCCATGTTTGAGTGAATGCCGATCCAATTGGGGTCAGAACACAGAAAACCGCAGAAATGAAGATAGTACCACGACGACCAAGGATGCGATTAACCGGATCGGATAGCCAACAGCCGAGGGCAGCGCTCGCGATATACGGAGCTGCATTGATGGCCCCAACAAGCCACTGATTGCGTACACTCGCATCCTCTGGGATACCAAAAGCCGTTGGGAAAGACAGATTGGCTCCGTTCGAGCCAGTTTGGTCCCAACCCTGAACTGCAGCACCAATAGAACAAAGAATGATAGTGAAGTAAAGTGCCTTGGGCTGGCGCCATTTATGGTTGACCTCGTCATGCAGTGCCATGATTTCCGCTTCCGTTAGATCGGGCACGGATTCAAATTCAGTGGGATCGCGAGCAACTAGAGCACCTTTCTTGAGCTCTGGAAGAATTTCAGTGATGTGATACTCATTGGCAAAATCTTCCACGTCATGAAGCACTCGAGATTTGGACAAGCCAGCAAGCGGGTTCTTGATCCTAGGAATGGGTTAGTAATTACTCGTCTATTTAGGGTAGAATACAGCGCAAACAAAAAGATCCTAAGGGACGATGTGGAAAGATTTCAGAAGCATACTTGGCCGACATGTTGTTCTGCAGGCTGACTTGTTCAATATGACCTTTCTCTGCACTATCTTCATCGCTAGAACTGTTCCTTGTCAACTTTGTATAACTGATACATCAGTACATGGAAGAAACTGACTTCTGCAGGAGGTCAATTGTTTCTTTTTCAACCCGAGTGATCGTTTCTTTCCCCACTGGCGCTACCATGTCTTCCGCCACCGGGTTCACGGTGTTTTTGCTCATCTTTAATGGTAAGAGACGGATAGGTGATGGACTAGATAGTTGATCAAGGTGGATAGAGAAAGTATGAAAATATGTCCCAGAATGTATCCCCTGGGGCACCTTCAAATCCAAAAAGATATGAAGATATGCACACCAACTGCACGGGAATACAGGACGCTGCTATACTGGTGAGAGATACGTGAGAAAAAAAGGGGGGAAGATGAGACAGACCACTTGATGAAAATCAGGGAGACAGGCCACCTTTTATCATTCTACGCAAACGAATTCGCTCTGCTCCCCCAATTTGCAGACGAGCCGGGATTGAGAGGAATAGCGGCATTTCATTGGACCTGAGAAGGACGTCAATACACTCTGAGAACAGAGTTAACTTCATTGGTTTTCCTTTCTCGGCAGCCTCATTTCCTATCTCATTCCCGAAACGGATCGTCTACCCCAATTATGGAGTCCCCAGCGTGGGGCAGGGCGTTCTTCGGTTGCCCATGAGGAAACCAACCTCGATTCATTCTTCATTACACTCGTCATCTAGTCATGAAGACCAGAAAGCGGTCCGTCCGCTATTCGAAATATGGTACGCCACGCCATGGGGGACTTACATGGACGGGGCGATCTTTTCGATGCCGAGATTTAACGCCCAGGCTCCGGCTTCCATCAAGTTTGACGTCTATATTTGACCATTGGCTGTGCCTCATTCTATATCATGGTGCTATGAACGGCGCTGGGGGCGTTCTGTTACAGCCTCCTCTTCTACATCAACTTCGCCTGAATAAATAGCTTTATCATTATTGAGCATGTCCAGAAAACCTGCCGTTGTTCAGGTCCGAGAGCTGCGAGGGGCAGGAGGGCATTGTGCGGACTGCAGATGTGGACACGCGAATAGGTATAAGTGACTCCAACCAGCTGGCATCTCGGATTTGGGAAAGTGGATCTTTTTTCCCTGTGCCTTTGGTGAATACGGAGTACGCCGTAGATCCGTCGTATTGGGAATATCCGTTAGGAAGCAGTCAGAGACAGGGAGAAAGCCTTGCTCGGTGCGCGAGCCTATCAGTAGTTCCGGTCAGAGAGATCCCAGGACCCCACTTTATTTACTTTGCAAAGCCAACTATCATACTTCTCGGCCCTTGCTTGCAACCCAGACCGTCTCCATGTGGTCGGTGTCTGGTTGCGGAAATTGAGAGAATATTTCCCCACGGGGAGGGAACTGAACAGAACGCGTCATGTGCGTTCGGGTGGGCCATGTGGCATGGAAGGAATCGCCGGACTCGGGCGCCTCGGACAGTCGACAATCGGCTGGACACCAGGCCACACCAATGCGACACTATTCGGGCCTCAATTGATGGCTGAAACTATGGCAAGTTTGCTTAGGGTGAAAAAAAGGAAACAGGGCCTTTTGCCGTTGTTCTCTCTCCGTCTCTACGGTCAACAAGCCTCTGGGCCACAAAGCAAATTTAGGAGACTATACTGAATCAGGACTAGGCATAGGTTATTTCTGCCGATGAAGGTTTGCAATTGGTAGTCATCGGGGCTGGTCTGACGGCGATCAACTGACGAAGAGCTTGTGCTGACTTGAGTCCGGAGGTTTCAGGGTGGGCCGAAGGGATTGAATCCGGACACAGATTGCATCCGGTGAAAATGCCAGCGATCTGGTCTCCCATGCGCACCAGCAAGGGGTGCAGAACGTTACCCGATGTCTCCGAGATCACGAGGCTGGTGGAGACTGGCGAGAACAGAATCCGGGGCCTCTTGAGATTCTGGAGAAACTGGAGTATAGGGAGTCTTGGAGAAATCGAGGACATCGGGATCGGCCCCAGCTGCCGCTAGGAGGACACTTTAAGCTACCAATTTGTGTTACTCTGGGCCCGACACTAACGCGCGATCCTTCGCGGTTGGCTGCCCAGATCCACTGGCTTATTGGTTGGCCTCTCCCGTCTTCGGCCTAGGATTCCCCTTCACAGAGAAAAAAGGTGTGCCGCTGCGACCCAAGCAAATTCTCTGGATATGCGCGGCGATTCAGAGTTTGAGTCGGGAGATGTGTGAAATACCGAGTGATGTTGGTCTTCGGTCGGCATAGTCCGGAAATGGAAATTCGAAGCCGACGGGCCTCTGCTTCCAGAAAAGGGATTCCTGTCGCCGGGCCGACTGGGAGCAAGCAAGAGGACAACGGTAGCTCGGTTTCTAAACAAATTTCAGATATTGGATCCTACGGTCCACAGAAGCCAGATTCAATTCTGTTGGATGTCAACAGCTTTCTCCAGGCCGGGATGGAGCATCGTCAGTGTAATGGCATCATACACTCTGCACTCATCTTCGGCGTGCACGGTATTTTACAAAGCTCGAGGCTTGAGCGATGTTCTCTCCACTATCTCTCCCCAGTCTCGTTCATCCCGCATATGGTCTGGGACGTTGCGACCCTAGGGAGCTCGTGGCTTGAGTCCATGTGGGGATCGGCTGCTCCGTTCTCCCAATGCGTCGAACCCCGGAAAGGAGGATGTCGTGTTATAAGCTCTACGCGAGTCATGACGCCTGCAAGCCGGGAGTCTAGACGAAGAGACTTGGGGAGTTATCTGGATGATGCTGGGAGCGTATTACTGTGCGCTTTAGGTTTGAGATTCAGAATTCGGATTTTGACGGGAAGTGCGATGAAGGCTGTGATCCAGGTCAAGTATCCGAAGGCCCATGTGCCCTCATAAGAAGTCAAGATATACAGAGTGTCTGCAAGTGACAAAAGCGATACGCTTGAACCTGATGCTTGTCTCCAATCTTTGTCTGGTCCGTCAGAACTTGCTTGTAGATACCTCGAATGCCCGGGGCAAATACAATCGAGTGGCGCTGCCATGGAGTGAAAGAAACCGGTCACCGGGCGTCTTGCCATGTACTGTACGATCAATTTCTTGTAAAGGAGGTTTGCTAGCCATACAGAATCCTAGATCAGAAGTTAGAATTGCGCCCGACTGCAAGGGGGAAACAAAGTCCCAAAGACCGGGCGAGGGTGCTGGTTTCGCGCTGACGAGTCCGCAGGATGGATCGCCTTTTGCAGGATCAGGTGTGTATCTAGATATTTGAGTTGTTCTTGACGGTACATGTAAGCTGTCTTGGCCATTGGATTACGAGAATTGACACTTAAGCAGTGGCTGATAGGTGATCTGCTCGTCTTTCTATGCCTATGTACAAGCCCAAGGCCTCGCCTTTAAGGTTTAAAAAGTTTTCTGTTGCACCTTATATATGAAGGCAAAAACACATACACATCTAGTACTCTTCGGTCGAAGGACAATCAGATAACTTGAGCTTTCCAGTTGGGCATAGTTCCGCCCCCACCAAAGCCTACATCCTTGTACCGCTGAGCTCCGTTACTTCGTGGCAAGTGCGCCGCATATAGAATCTATGAATGAATACATAACTATATTGAAAAATTACTTATCACCTTGGAAACTGTCAGCAACATAAATACGCTGTTCGGGGACTCGGCCTTAGAAACCTGAAGATGACATCATTCACACCGATCGCTCCGGTGGAGCTGACAAATGAGCCCGCGGAGGCCGACTATTGAAGCTCGATATCGAGTCGCCGAGTATATTTTTCGTCCTGCACTCTCCTTTTTTGGCGATGCTCCCTCGTACCTTCAATACTGGCACTTTTAAAGCTGTTTCACGCTTCTCCAATTTATTACCCCCCATCCGTACCTCATCCACCACCATGACGTCCAACATCACGCTCTACAGCTGGCCCACCCCCAATGGTATCAAGGCCTCGATTACCCTAGAGGAGCTTGGTTTGCCATATAAGCTTGAACCGATTGATATCAGTACCAATATTCAAAAGGAAGAGTAAGCATGGCTGCTCGCCTATCTCCATTCAGCGAGTCGTACCAAACTAATACATGGTCAAAACGTAGGTGGTTCTTGAAGATCAATCCGAATGGCCGCATCCCTGCCATCACCGACGGCTCGCAGCGCGTCTTCGAGAGCGGGTCGGTTATGATTTATCTTGTCGACATGTACGACACAGACCGGAAGATAAGTTATGCGCCCGGCACGCCCGAACACATCGAACAGGTCTCTTGGCTCATGTTCCAAATGGGTGGCCTGGGTCCCATGCAGGGTATGTTGGAGAGCAAATTACGAACTTGATTGTCCTGTTCGTCTGACTGGAGAATATCTTTATAGGCCAAGCTAATCATTTCCGTCTCTTTGCGGGGACGCGTTCTGATTATGGTATTAAGCGCTATATCGATGAGACCAAACGACTCTACTCGGTTCTGGAGTCCCGTCTGAGGGAAAGTCCCTACCTCGCTGGCTCCAGATACACAATCGCTGATATCGCCAACTATTCGTGGGTCCGGAGTGCTCCTGGGTCGCTGGAGATCGACCTCTCAGAGTTCCCAGCTCTTCGGAAGTGGGCTGACGAGATTGGCAAGCGTGCAGCGGTACAGAAGGGCGTCAATATTCCGGACACTGGACGCACGGACGAGGAGAGAAACGAATTCTTCCGGACCGCTCGCGCTAAAATTGACAGTATGAACAACTCTGATAAGCATTAAGCAGATTGATCAATAAGCGATCTCATGGGGTTAGGGCAGACAATAACAATTAGTGTTCAAAGGAAATCCCAATCAACTTGTGTACATGAAATACTCAGTGGTATTTTAGGAGAAATATCACAAGAAGTAGAAGCAAAACTTACAATTATCATCAAAGGCAGTGTGCTGGGTATATGTAGGGCATAGCCCCCCTGGTTAACTATCTTGGAACACAATCGTTTCGTCTTACGGGCAAGACTCGGCCTCGAGATTGTGCATTCCACCGTCTGACACCTTGCAAAAATGCCAAAATACGCTGCAACATCGCTTCCATACTCTCGTCAGGCTGGTTCCACTCAACAAGGGCTGCTGCTAGATACATCCATGGCCGATAAAACGGTGGACCCTGATTATCCCGACGGACGACAAGCTCATAGTCAACGTGAGAGAGCCTTTCGAAGAGTAATGCTTGACGATGTTTCCAATACGGCCAATATGCAGTAGTTTCTTCGATATGTGTCGTCCATTGGAAAGGATTCCACAAGATGCAATATTTATTGTTTGGTTTTGGGAGGTCAAACATCCCCACAATATGGTCGATCAGTTGGGTCACCTCCCAGCGAAAGCGAATAGTTGCTTCGATATATGAGCTATATTGCTGATTTTCCCCATGTTTGTAGAATCCGAGTATCATGATGCCCAATCTGTAATTTCGTCCTCCATGCCAGTCTCCTGGGCAGGTCTTGTGGAAGAGCCGAGCTATCTCTTTGACAGGGCCAAGGCGAAGACTTTTCCTCAAGTCCTCCATCAAATCGTCGTCATAAGGAGTTATATTTTGGCAGTCGACTCCATGAGGAAATAAAGACCCTCTTGCCCTTCGATGTTGGCTTAAACTAATGCTATTCATTCCAGATGGGAAAGAGATCTTAAGATAAAGATTGGTTTATTGGTGAGCTCGTCAGGTATTTCGAAGCAAAGAGTTCTTCAATTTTATCTGGTCTCGACTGGCAGTTATACTTTTCCTGTAGAGTCCCAATAAAATCTATTCTTTAAATGATCTAGTTGTGTCGCCCATACCGTGGTTAGTCAATGAGTGCCGCGTCCCAATACGGCAGAGTGAAGCATAGAAATAGGTTTAGGTCGCACGGGAGAGAACGGTTATTCTGCACATTCTAGCATTTGCTATATATCACTCCCCGGTTGTCTTGGTTATCCTAAATTTTATTTGTAGTCCGCTGTAGCTTGCGAATATAATGTCCATGAGACGTTGCATCGTGTTGGAAGTGGATCCCGAGGGAAGCAACGTGGGTGGATGAGCTGTTGGTGGTTTAATTGCACATTCCCCGCGCCGACCGGCGATATTCATCAACCCATCATATCTTTCGAGCGAGAAAAATGGCATCAACAGAGCTTCAGAAGAAAGTTGGCCAGGTGAGAATTCAAGTCGATTATTTGAACATTTGGCTAACCCCGTGGCAGCTGTTTGCAGTCGGTTTTCACGGCCATACACCGAGTCTCGAGATCAAGACACTCATTCACGACTACCATGTTGGAGGCATCGTTCTCTTCTCGCGTAATTTCCAGAATGCCGCACAGCTCCAGGTAAGACATATTAATCAAGACTGTATTGTAATCTGACACTGACCACTCTGTACAAGGCGTTGACGCTTGCTCTGCAAAATGAAGCGCGTCTGGCGGGTCACCAGCAGCCTTTGTTTATTGCAATCGACCAGGAAAATGGACTGGTTACTCGGGTATCACCTCCGATTGCTCCACAAGTTCCTGGTCCGATGGCGCTCGGCGGTACTCACAGCCCAGAATTAGCCTACGAAGCCGGAAAGGCTACTGGTGAAATCCTGACGTTCTTTGGGATCAACATGAATTACGCACCAGTCTGTGACATCAACTCCGAGCCTTTGAACCCTGTCATTGGCGTGCGAAGTCCTGGAGATGACCCGGAATTTGTGGGTAGGTTCGCCAGCGCCACAGCGCGCGGCCTACGAGAGAAGAAGATCATTCCCAGTATCAAGCACTTCCCCGGACACGGCGACACGGCAGTAGATTCACACTATGGCCTACCGGTGATCCCAAAAACAAGAGATGAGCTGGAGCGGTGCGAACTGATCCCATTTCGTCGTGCTGTGGCGGAGCAGATCGAGACTGTTATGACTGCCCATATCTCACTACCGTACATTGACGACAAACTTCCTGCAACGTTGTCGCCTGCTGCCTTGGGTATTCTGCGAAAAGACATGGCTTACGATGGTATGGTCATTACTGATTGTCTGGAGATGGATGGCGTTCGCTCTACATTTGGCACAGAGCAAGGCTCGGTGCTGGCGTTGCAGGCGGGAAGTGACAGTATCATGATCTGCCACACATTCGAGGTGCAGGTAAACTCCATAAGGAAGGTCTGCGAAGCAGTTCAATCTGGAGCCATTGAGCCCACACGATTAGAGGAGGCTTGTCGTCGCGTTGCCCGTGTGAAGAATAATTTTACAAATTGGGATGCCGCTTTACATCAACCCAAAATTGCCGAGATGGATGCTCTGAGTAAACGAATTTCTCTGACCTGCCAGGAAGCATATGAGCGCTCAGTTACACTTGTCCGTGACAGCGCAGACGTTCTTCCCCTATCAAAGAACGCCAAAATCGTGTTTCTATTTCCCGGAGACGAGACTCCCGCAGGCGGTGCAGTGGATGGGCAGGGAACGGGTCGTCGAGGCTCATATGAAGCCACGGTATATCTCGAAACTCTGCGTCGACACAACCCATCTATCAGGGAAATCAGATATGGACAGGGCGGTCTATCTGATGAGCAATTGAGTTCTGTCAAGGCAGCGGACGCTGTCATTCTTGTTACGATCAACGCACGAGAATCGCCGTACCAGGAAGAATTGGGTAAGTTGCTTCCTCAGTGTGCCTCCTCACTGGTTTCCATTGCTGCCTGCAATCCCTACGACTTCCTCGACACTTTGGAGGTTCAGACATATCTTGCTACCTATGAGCCGACCATAGAAGCATTCTCTGTGGCTGCTGATATTATTTTTGGCACCAAGTTCCCCAAAGGATCACTTCCGGTTGGGCCGACTGCCACGAAGAAGCCTGATGTAAGTGTGACCCCTTATAATAGTGAGAAGGATGTCAATGGAATTCTTTCTGCCTGGACGGAGGCTTTGCCCACATATACTCTGTCTGCGGAGCAACTACGCCCCTTCATTACCCGGGACAATGCATATCATTATGTTGCTCGAGTTGGGTCCGAGCTAGTCGGTTTCTGTCTTGCGTATACAAACGCCCATGGAGACCCGAAAACTGTCCATATTGCAGTTTTAGCGGTTGTTCCAAGGTATCAAGGCCAAGGAATCGGGACAGCGCTTTTAACCGAAACACGCTCGAACTTCAGAAAAAAGTTCGGCATCTACCAGGTGAAACTTGGGAGCTCTTTCCCTCGATTTTGGCCTGGTATTCCTCGCGATCTCCCAGAATCAGTTCAGGAGTTCTTTGTTCATCGAGGGTTTCGACTCAGTCCGCCTCAGGCGAGATCAGTTGATCTGTTTCAGGATATTCGGAATTTTCAGTCACCCGAAAAGTATATAAACCGCGCCCGGGAACGAGGTTTTCGGTTTGCACCACTTCAGCCCCAGGACTACGAGGGATGCTTGGTCGGACAGAGAAGAAATTTCTCCGACAAGGCGGTATGATCACACACCCGTTGTGAATTTTCCTCTCATTTGATGAGCTTACGTGCTGACAATATACGTCTAGGGCTGGGTGGAGGCCTATGTCACACTCCATCCCAGTGAATATCCGGACTGCGTCATGGCCGCCTTTGATGCTCAGGGTGAGCAGGTTGGGTGGACCTTGATGCTTCCTCCTTTACCTCAGCTCAACCAAGTCTGGGCATTCCCACAGACCTGCGGTCCTAAGACAGGACTCATTGGTGCTGTAGGCGTTGACGAATCGCACCGCAAATCCGGCATTGGTTTGGCAATGATATGCCATGCGGTGGAGAACATGAAGCAACGAGGGATTCAAGGCGTTTTTGTGGATTGGGTGGCCTTGGACGGATGGTATGAGCAGGTTGGTTTTAAGACTTGGCGGAGCTATCGACCGGGTGAAACTTGAGGTTTGACACGTCGCATTGGCGCTCCAGACAGCATGTACGTGAGATAGATGGATTAGATGACCGTCCGAATTTTGATCCGCAGATTTCGTCCTGGCTTTCCGTCGGGCAAACCCGTAAGTATTAGGCCGATCCGTTTCCCCCCCCAGGCAGCAAGGGGGCAGTAAATGCGCTTGGACACTGTAAACACGGGCGGTCATGCTCTGGATTATCCTCATCTCGCGAATGCGAAAAACCGGATCGTGTGCTTATGTGAGTCATCGGGCCATCCCCTGTCCAACGCAATAGGGAGCTACAATTATTACCATTGACAGACAAGGATGGCGCCAACCTCATAGTTTGGGTGACAAATGATCCCCACATGAAAATGATAGCTCTGTGGTTATTCAAAGTCGGCCCAGATTATGATTGGCCCACCCAGCAATTCCTCCCTCGTATTTACTTCACGCTACTGCACCAGCCGATTCGACTTCCATGTGTCTGAACAAAAGTTTTACCGGGATTCGGTGCGATGGGCCGCCGATGCCCGATATTACCCTCCATCATGTCTGATGAAACATGGACTTAAATATGCCAACAGACTTCACGCGGACCTAGTACGGAGATAACATGTAGCCGCCGTGTACTATATCTATACCGCGCTCTGATCAAATTCCCCTTTTCGATGTAAGAAAATTACACCCTCCTCGGTGGCCCAAGGGGATCCTTATCAATTTCTTCCGCCATTCTACCACAGTTCACTCGACATGACCCAAGCCAGCAGCACCACGGACGTGGAAAGTCCGCCGGAGAAAGATGTCAAAGCTGTGACCGAAACGACAGAACCCGAATACCCCCCCCTCACAAGAGCAATCGTTGTGATCTTTGCGTTGTATCTGGCTGTTTTCTTGGTTGCACTCGACCAAACGATCATTAGCGTGGCAATCCCAAAGATTACGGATCAGTTTAAGAGTATCTCGGATATAGCATGGTATGGCAGTGCATACTTCCTCACATCGACGGCTTTACAACCCTCGTATGGTCGAATCTACAAAATATTCAGCGTGAGCCTCCTTATGCCGTGGTCAAATGGCATTTCGTCAATCTATCATCCGGCTAATTCCATATCAAGGTCAAATGGGGTTTTTTGGTGGCTGTCCTAATCTTTGAGATTGGGTCACTGATTTGCGGAGTGGCGCCCTCCAGTACCGTTTTAATTGTGGGTCGAGCCATTGCAGGAGTTGGAGTCGCGGGTATCTTCTCTGGCGCTCTCGTCATTATTTCCATGACTGTCCCGCTCCCCAAGCGTCCTCTTGTGTTCGGCATGTTCGGCATGGTTTGGGGAATCGCCTCGATTGCGGGTCCCCTGCTAGGAGGTGCTTTCACAGACAGCATCTCGTGGAGATGGTGTTTCTATATCAATCTTCCGATTGGCGGTCTATCCATCGCCGTCATTCTTTTGATTCTCCGTCTTCCAAACAAGAACGAACACTCCGGAACCTCTGTTTGGGGCCGTATTAAGCAGCTGGATCTTCTGGGGGCGAGTCTTCTTATCCCCACTATCATCTGTCTGCTACTAGCTCTGCAATGGGGAGGGAACAAATATCCCTGGAACAACTCGCGGATTATCGGTCTTTTCATCGGGTTCGGCCTGATGGCCATTCTCTTTGCCGTCTCTCAGCTCTACCTTGGGGAGCGGGCAACACTTCCACCTCACATCCTCAAGCAGCGCACTGTTCTCTTTTCCTGCCTCTTCGCCTTGTTCTTTGGTGGCGCATTTTTCCTCCTTGTATACTATGTTCCCATTTTCTTTCAGAGTGTGAAAGGCTCTTCCGCCATGAAGTCTGGCATCCAGCTGCTTCCTCTGATGCTAGCTACGGTCGTGTCCTCCGTGGTGATCGGTGGCTCCATCACTGCCGCCGGATATTACACACCGTTCCTAATCGTGAGCTCTGCTATCGCTGCCATTGGCACTGGCCTGATCACACTGTTCGACGTGGATATTTCCACTGGAAAATGGATCGGCTATCAGATCGTGGTCGGCGCAGGAGTGGGAGCGGGTTTCCAAGTCCCAATGACCGCTGTTCAGACTGTCTTGAAAGCAGAAGATATCCCCGTCGGAACTGCTGCAGTAATGTTCTTTCAGACACTGGGAGGAGCTCTCTTCATCGCGGTCGGCCAGTCGGTATTCCAGAATGGTTTGATTGATGGAATCGTCAAGTACGCTCCTGAGGTCAGTCCGAATGTCATTGTTGGCGCTGGTGCAACCGAAATGCGACATGTCCTCAGTCAAACAGGTCAGTTAGATCAGCTTGGGAATGTCATTAAGGCCTACATGAGTGGCCTGAGGGATGCCTACCGGGTTAGTCTCGCCCTCGCCTGCGTCGCTTTCGTGGCCAGTCTCTTTCTGGAATGGAAGAGTGTTAAGAAAGCCGGGGGTGGCAAAAATGATGAAGTGGCTGTGCCAGCTCTCTAGCCCGCCAAATATAATATATTTGGCTCATTTTTCTCCTTGGATGTGGATAGGTCTTCGTGCCTGTCTCCAATCAATGTAACACTATGTTAAAAGGCGGTTACCTCTCCATTCAGCGATACTTTATCTATATTAATTAGACAACATATTTATTGTGTTACGGATTGAAGCTTAATATGTGATAATTAATTAATTTTCTTCATATCTCTGATCTTCCATTGTGAAACTAGGCCTGAATGTTCCTGAGGGGTGTTGGATTCGATGAAAGGAGAAACGTGGAGGAAATAAATCTGGGGCTGACCGGTAATTCTTTTGGCTAGATCCTAGTAGTGGTGCATCTTGTTTAAATATTGGCTGGAAACTAGGAGAGGCGCAACGCGGAGAAATGCAGAGTTTTGGGAGTTCCAATTGTTTTGGATTTTCACGATGTGGGTTTTCAATAGATGAGACATGAGTGTTTAATATCTCGACAATGGCCAACCTTCTTGTTGTAAAACACCATTTATGTATCACCCAATTCCAACTGTTGGGCCATTAGTGTATGGCCAAGTGACTATATAATCATGATACTTAACTCAATGCTCAATAATATGGATTCTCTATGCGTTCAGGCCGTTATAGTAAGAGTACTAATTGCAAGAGCAATGGGCTTCCGATTGGTCAAGGATTCAATGCATAGGTGTAATAAAATCCTTACTAGGGTAGGATAAAGAAGAGCATGTCTTGTCAAACTAGTCATCGATTTTTTTAGACGATTTCAAAGGGTCGGAGAGTTTCTTTCCCTCACCCATTGTTTACAAAAATAAACAAATGATGAAAAATGACGGGTTAAGCAAAGAAGCTATTCTGGGAATTCTTTATCTCATATTTAGAATATTTCAGACCCTAACAAGCCCTGTGTCAAATAAGGGGGTTTTTTTGAATGTTCTTTAACAATTTCTTGTTGGCTTATGCCCGTGAACTGGAACGAAAGGCTTTAGAATGGTTGTGAATGGAACCTTTGTCTCTTGGGAATATTTACATAATTTGCTAGCACATGAAATGAAAGGTTGCTTACATATTCATAGGTTGTGTTCATATTGCATATAAGGGATCGATGCAGTATCCCAGTAAGTATTTAAGACCTCGAGATATCCTCGTCGACTTCTATTTTCCATACCCCAGATGAGATCTTCGAAAATAGCTCAACTTCAGATATTAACCTCGGGAACTTTCTTCTCTGCTGAGGTAGCGAAGCATATCAAACAATCAACAAGATGGTAACAAATCCAGAATGCTTTAAATGATACTACAATACTTGTGTGGGCTATCACTGACAATATTATGTAGGAGAATCAGAAACTCGATCAGAAAACCTTCAGGAAAGACTATGAGAGAGTAAGTAATGAGAAGATAGAAAAGCTAGAAACAAAGCTTACCGAGGCTAAAGCCGAGCTTCAAGCGGCGAAAATGGACAGGAGCAAGACCCAGGGAGAAATCCATGATCTTGAGACTCTCGTGCAGGAGCGATCGAATAAAATCAAGAAGAACAAAGCCATAAAGTACCTCACAAAGGTTACATGTGGTGCCCCGTTCTAGAAACCATTGTTTCTTTGTCTCCTTCTCTCAAACCACTTCCGCTATTTTTTTTTCAGGGAATTCTTACTCAAGCTCTTGATTAGTTAGATAACCACATGATCAAACTTCGTATTTTTCAGTCTAACAGTTTTGTTTTCCACCAATGCTATTTTCTTTGAGATTCTGTTTTCCACACTATCACAAGATTGTGATTTGATTGATCGTAATGTATATGCCTCCCTGATCTTGAAATTGTGGCTCTAGCAGCTAGATATTCCAACAGCTTGGGGTCTCGAAATAGAGAGGGCTCTTGCTGATAGTTTTCTTGTATCGATGCCTATATTCACCAAGATAAACCGCGTTGTAGGTGCGCCAGGTTTCCCCTTCTTCCTATCACCCATCTTTTTGTCCCAATTCAACACCATCATTAAAATACATGTGACGAAACGAAATTTGATGACTCTCGAATGAATGAAACCTGCCTGGCTGCATCATGCCTTAAGAACCCCGTTGTGCAACGTGAATTTGATACTTTTACCAGTCAATAAGATATAAAGTCCTATTAGACTCCTTACTGGGATCCAATCAATAATAATTATAGGATGCAAAGGATGGGAAATTTAGTAATCAGAAATAAGGTATCGAGGATAGAAAAACTAAAATTAGATTGAGTAAAAAAATCATATGTGGGGCCATGAAAAGGTTCACATAAGGTAGCATAAAGTCTGATCCTACCGAGCTACCGGATGTGACGACGGCACGAGATAAGGAGGAATTCACTGGCTCGTAGAAATGCGGGGTAGGGAGCGCGAGACAGAGAGGAATTTGAGCCTATAAATGCCTCCCTTTTTTGATTCCAAAGGCTTAACTGGAGCTGCCTACGTATCACAGGATGCAGGATCCGATCATTCAAGATCAGAGTGCCAACAACATGGGAGCAAAAGCCGATGTTGCCGTCGGGGTGGCGCATGCGCCATCCCAGCAGCCACATACCCTTGAGGAATATGAGCGGCTGTTCGGAGTCGACGAGGACGCGTATGAGCAACCCACCACCACCCGCAAAGAACTTTGGTCCTATTATCTTTATTACAACGGTAGTTCTATGCCCCCAATGCCCATTTGCATCTTCGTTAGAAACGAATGAGTTCATCTGACACTTCTACATAGGTGACAATGGAGTGGGCCCTGGGTCCTACAGCCAAGCCTTGTACGTGCTCAGCCCGGAACGACATGCCAAAACATCCACTCCAAGTTAACTAAGAATAACCAAGGTTTCAATGGGCCCTCAATGGAGCCGGCTTCCAGCCCGACACAAATCCGCCCAAGGCCTGTACAAACTCGTCTGCTTGTGTCGTGCCTTGGGCGGGTGGTACTCGATCTGTTTCATCAGTGGTGCTGATCGCCAATGGTCTCTGTTTCACCTTTATGACAGTTATTTTTATCTGGCTTGGTAGTGCCGCTGATTACGGTTCGTTTGGCCGATGGCTTCTCTTGGTGCTAACGGTCGTCTGCTGGGCCCTCCAATACGGAATGCTGGCTATCCGAGACCCGAGTCAGTGGCCTGTCGCCATGGGCATATACATCGTAGCATATATTTGCTATGGTGCTACGTTAGTGTTCTATGCCGCCGTTTTCCCTCGGCTAGCTAGGTATATGCCGCATGTGCGCAAGTCCCGAGAGGAGGATCTAAGGGAAGGAAAGATTGACCAGAAAGAATACGATGCAATCGAATCCCTAGAGAGAAACCATATCAGGTAAAGCTCATCCGAGGGTATCACTAGTTTATAACTTTATTGATAAGATCTTTCAGCAACGTGTCGACGGCGCATAGCAACATCGGATATTTGTTCACGTCGGCCATTAACCTGAGTGTTCTGCTTCCAATGCAAAACAATCAATATTCAAACAACTTGGCATTGTGTCTGACAAACTCCTGTAAGAAATTCAAATCATTTGAATATAAAAAGCTCCTAACCATTTGCGGCAGATTGGATTATTCTCGGGATTTGGTGGTTCTTGTTCCAGCAGAAGCGACCGGGCCCCAAAATCCCAAAGGGGTCAAACTATGCCACGATCGGCTTCAAACAAATATGGCTAGCAATGCGCGAAATAAGATCTCTACCTCAGACTTTTCTTTATTTCTTGGCCTACTTTCTGCTCGCCGATGGGCTCAATACCACTGGTAAGCCATTCGCCAACCTTAACCCACCGATTCCGTGCTGACAATATGAAGGAACCCTAGTCAATATTATCCAAAATGATCAAGTTTCTTTCTCGTTTCTCCAAATCACCTACCTCAATATCACACAGGCTGCTTGTTCGATAATTTCGACCTTTGGATTCTGGTATATCCAGCGATATTTCAAGTTCAAGACGAAAACGATGTTTCTTGTCACAAATTTCTTCAGCGTGTTTATTCCATTCTGGGGTATGCTAGGTTTATGGACCACACGGATAGGATATCATCATAGAGTGAGTAGTAGATACAACGGTAACTAGATTGCTGAATACCTGTTTCGCTAACATCAATTAGTGGGAGTTCTACTTCTATAACATCGTTTTTGGGCTATTTCAGGCTCCATACTACGCTGTGGGTACACATATCCGCTAGTTTTTCATGGGCTAATACAAATATGCATTAACAAAGTACGCCCAAACGATGATCAGCGAGCTCATGCCCCGTGGCTACGATAACATGTTCTTTGCGCTCTTTGGGATTACCAATCGCGCCGTGAGTATATTCTTTTGAGACCCGTATCTCTTCGCTCGCTGATTCGGTCATTTGCAGTCTTCGATTATAGGTCCCAATGTCATCCAAGCTATCATAAATGATACCCGAAATAATTGGATGGGATTTCCCTTCTTGTTTTCCGTGTGTACTGCCGCCATGATCGCCATTGGATTTGTCAATGTTGAAAAAGGCCGCGAGGATGCCAGGAAGTTCACCGAGAAGAGAAAAGTGGCTAGAGTAGTGGCAGAAACCGGATTAAGTGCTGATACGATTGGGAAAGGGAAGAATCCTGTGGAAGCTGGTGAATTAATGGAAGAAGAAGAGAATGAAAGGACGCATGGCAATGATAGTGCTTCTGCCGTACCTACGGAGAGGTCATAATAATAAAGTTCAATTCGGAACATTTCATGAATTTATTCAGATCTTTGAGCTCAGAAAACCGTCTGCTTTTAGGAATTTATCTACCCTTATCCAACATAAATGATATATATCACACCTCTCCCGTCTTCTCAGTCTCTGCCGTAATACAAGGAAGCTTGGGTTGCTTTCCCGACTTACGTTGATTCTTAGCATCAACTTTGTTACGCCAAGCGTCACCAAAGATGGTCGTAACCCAAACGCACAGCCCCGATAAAACGAGGAATAAAGCACTGATGGTGCTAAACCAACCCACGCCAATAGCTTCTACCGCTGGAAGCACAACGCCAGAGCCGAGGGCCGCAAAAACGTATCTGAACATGTAATTACCGGCGACGACTTCAGCACTCCGGCCACTGGATTGCATCACATCCAGACAGTAGGTATTTAGGCTAGGAAAGCAGAAAAGCTGGCCCACACCCTGTATAAACATAGCCAGGACGGGAACTGGAATGCCACCGACGGCTTTCTCAACTGTCCAGCCATACACAAGGATACAGCCTGGGATCACAACACCAATGAAAACAAGACACGATTTGAGCCGATCTTCTGGCACACGGATGCCGCCACGCTTACGAATCCACTTCTTGACTTTGTGATCCGCCCATCGACCTCCCATGAACGTGCCTACGAGGTAGCCACACCCTGGAGCAATGTAGAATAAACCCGACTGAATAGGGCTGGTGAGGTGGAAGCGTGGGTTCAGCACGTACCGAATAGGCGTGAGCAGGGAATACTGATTCCAGACCAGCGCACCGGCAGCCAGGCCCGCGAAGAAGAGATTCGGGTATGAGAAGAGCAGCACACCCACGCGCACAGGGTTCACTCGATGCCAGAGGAATTTTGCCTTCTGAACCAGAGTCTTATCGGTCAAATCGGACTTGTCGAGATGGTGGTACGTTTCTGGGAAGAAAAAGAAGACAAGCAGTGTACCACAGCCACCAAGAGCGGTCTGCAGCCAGAACACGACACGCCATGAACAGAAAGTGACGATCACACCCTGCGTATGGAAGAATTAGCAAATCCAATTTCCCTACAGGGTTTGATACGAGACATACACCGATGAACGGGCCAAATGCAGGTCCGATTAGAGTACCCGAAAGAAACCATCCCAGAGCTGTTGCACGCGCTCGGGGCTCATAGATGTCGCCGATGGCGGAGCTTCCCACCACAAGGAAGGATGTTCCTTGAAAGGCTGTTAAGACTCGAAATATATAGTAGCCCGGTAAATTCGGGGCCAATGCTGTGCCGATGCTGAATGCAAAAAAGAGAAATGCGCTGGTCAGAAAAATCTATGGACTTCCGGTTAGCTGCACGATGACATGCATCGTCGAACAAGCAAATATTATATAGATCTCAGTATGCTACTCACCGGTCTTCGTCCCCATACTTGACTAAATGGGCCCCAAAAGGGAGCCGAGATGCCCATGAAAGCCAAATACAAGGCATTGCTTGCATTGATGATGCTACCAGTCGTATTGTATGTCTTTGCAACTTCTGGCACGCCGGATAGAATAGAGGTGGATGAGATTGGAGCCAAAAATGAGCAAAATGCTAGGACAAAGACGATGACAACCTTGCGCTTCGGGGAGAAACGTAGGTACTGCTCGGCATCGACTTCATGGAACTCAGTGGTCGTTACCGGCATATCGTGGTGGGAGATATGACTTCGCACTAGGTGGAGATTATTTGCATTTTCGAGGGGTTGGGAAGACTTGAATTCTTTGCTTTGAGTCTCCTCTATTGGAGACAAAGCCTCCTCGATGCTCTCGATCGAGGACTGGGAATGTGAAATCGGCATGCTGTCTTGTCAATGCGTATATGTAATTTTCGCTCTATCGGAAGGACGGCGATTGAATTTCCACGACCTCGAGCATTTGCCAGCTATTAATTGGGTCTTGTCCCCTATGAATCAGCCGAAGATGCTTTTTACAAGCCAGTGACCACTTTGGAAGAAAATTGCACAGTCAAAAAGTGGTACCTTACACAGATAAGAGATAAAAATTATATTGGATTGGATTCTGAAACAAATATGGAAGATCGATTCTTCATGACATATAAAGCAACGTCAAGGAATGAGTCAGAGAGAGGACAAGAGAGAAAATTCCAAATGACTATTCGGTGTAAAACTACAACTCCCCCTCGGCCCTGGCACTCTTTGGCCGAGGATCGGCGTGGGCGGGGGGCATAGGTTTCGTCCCGAACAGCGTTGCAGGGCGCGGAATGAATATCGACCATACAAATTGCGCGATATGAGAGCTATCCTTAGCCCAGGGTCCCATCGGGCTCTGGCTACCGGCTTGTATCCAATCGATTCGGCCAGAAGGCCGCGGGGGAGCATCGTCGCCACAAGCGAGATAGGGCAGAAGGGCGGAAAAGAATCCGGGCTGAGGCGCGCGACAGCCGAACATGCCCTAAAGCGCCGGCGCTTGTGTCTTAGGTCCGGATCGTTCAGGTCAAGGACCCACGAGGGACCTGATGGATATCAAGGAGGATATTCATGCCGCAGAACAGCATTCGGCGCTATGACCGTAACCCATCCGAGTTAATGTGTTCCTGCCAAGTCAAATAGTCCGGCATCTGGGCAGGCGTAACAGTGGCAAGAGGGGAGAGGTCCACCTGTCGTGTCCCCACGACATGGCTTGTACCTGGAGAGAAGTGTACCAGGTACTTCCATTCTGGATCAGATCAAGCCCATCCTGTATCGTTCTGTTTCTGGAGACCTGTCGACGTGCCCTGTGCAAAGGCCTTGCGATTCAAGACAGGCGGAGGAGAGTGGCTGTTCGAACGATCGACCGCGCCATGACGTTATCCTCTGACCGCCAACCAAGCAACACCAAAACCTCCCTCCCCACCTTCGATCTTGGGGTCAACGTCACTCTATCTTGCTTCTTTCCTTTGTCGCTCACTCCAGATTCAATTTTGTCCTCAATATCACCATGTCGTCCAACAAGGAGCCTCAAAGCCAGGTCCCCGCCCACAGCAAGGGCTCGTGGTCGAGTTTCCTTAAGGTAGGGAGGTCTCGGAGGTCTCGGGTGGTAGCATGGTGGCATGCGTGACCAAGTTTAAACATATTTTTTTGACTAATTCCGGGTCTTTTGTGTCCAGTCGATTGCTTCTTTCAATGGAGACCTCTCATCCTTGACAGCCCCGCCTTTCATCCTGTCCTCCACCTCTCTTACCGAATATTCCGCGTACTGGGCCGAACACCCCGCCGTTTTCGTGGCGCCCGCCAAGGAGGCTGATCCCGAGAAGCGTGCCCTCCTTGTCCTCAAATGGTTCCTTACCACCTTACACCAGCAATACTGCAGCCGCAGTGAGAAGCTGGGTAGCGAGAAGAAGCCTCTCAACCCCTTCCTGGGCGAGCTGTTCATCGGCAAGTGGCTGGCCGATGCCGACCAGGACTTGGGTGAGACCAACTTGATCAGTGAGCAAGTCAGGTAGGTCATCTACAATCTAGATCTCGCTCTTTTAAGCTATAGGTTGCTCATTCGACCTACTCAAAATAGCCACCATCCTCCCGCCACGGCATATGCCATCCGCAACGAAAAATATGGAGTTGAGGTGAGTAGAAATCCGCCACGTACTCAACTGTGCCCTGTTTCCCTTATCCATAATATTAACCGGGTTATCTTTACAGCTCCAAGGCTACAATGCCCAGAAGGCATCCTTCTCAAGCACCATCCAAGTCAAGCAGATCGGTCATGCTCAGTACACCTTGACCCCTCCCGGCTCCAGCGAAAAGGAACGCTACCTAATCACCCTCCCCAATCTACACATTGAAGGCCTCATCTACGGCACACCCTATGTTGAACTGGAGAAGTCAACCAAGATTGCCAGTAGCTCTGGCTATGTTGCGAAGATCGACTACTCTGGAAAGGGCTGGTTAAGCGGCAAGAAGAACACTTTCACCGCTAGCCTGTTCAAGGCCAGCGAGGGTGAGAAGAAGCCTCTGTATACTATTGACGGACAATGGTCAGACACCTTCAACATCAAGGACGCCCGCACCAAGCAGGTCGTTGATACCTGGTCCACCAAAGAGAACGCCACGACACCGCTCACCTTGGCTCCTGTCGAGCAGCAGGACCTGTACGAGAGTCGCCGCGCGTGGGCCGATGTGGCGGCCAACATTCAGAAGGGCGACATGGACGCCGTCTCTGCCTATAAGTCGCGAATTGAAAACGCCCAGCGCGATCTACGCCGTGCGGAGAAGTCCGAGGACCGTGAGTGGGAACGCCGCTTCTTCAACTGCATTGACGAAGCGGACGACGAACCCGAGTTCCAGCATCTGGCGAGCTCCCTCGGTCTCGCCGGAAACTTGGAAGGCGACAAGACTGGTGGAATCTGGCGCTTTGACGCCACCCGCGCTGCGGGTGCTCAACCCCCGTATCACAAGGTTGGCGGGGTTGGACTGGGCCTCACTGAGTAGAGCTCCGTCATCCTAGCCTCTCCGGTTCTAACTCGAGACAAAAGAGGCTGTGATGGTAATTTGCTTCTTCGTATCAAGAGCCTTCTTGGTAGGACTGCCCTTTTGGCTGCGGAGTCCTTTACTGCCCTAACCATCTATCTGCACACATAGAGTTGAATGAGCCTTTTTTGTGAGTTCCTTACTGCTGGGGACCGTGGCCATGCTGCATTTCGATTGTATATAGTTCCAGCCCGAAGCGGGACCGCTAGCTTGCGTTCGAGTCAAGGTCAAGTAGCGAAAGTGCTGCGTATCTAATTATTTGATTTTGGTTTCCTTTGAATTATCCCTCTTCGTCCTTCAAGCTGCTTTGTTCAGCCATTATACTTCGTGGGTGTTAAGTTAAGGTTAACAGCGCAGAGCCTCAAGTCTCCCAAGAAGGCATGTGCATACCAACCCCCCAATCCCACGTAGTAAATTACCCGTAAACTATCGGCAGTACGAGTAGTTCGGATAGTTTCTAGGAAATATTATACATCGGGAGAGTGAGAGGATGTAATAGTGATGCTGAGGATCTTGGAAACATTGTTGGTCCTGGAATATCTGATTGTATAGGCACATAATTCATCACACTTTTAGGCCTGCCGCCGTTAAAGAACCCCTCCCAACGAGCAGAAACCCATCACGATCTACCTCTCTACCAGACCCAGCAACCGTCATCCGATCTTGCAACACGGCAGGAGCACAGGAAATGAAAAAAGGGCACCAGAAACCATGAACCCCATTTTCACAGAATGACACCCCAGACCCGAATTGACACCATGAGCGAGGTTTGGAAGAAAAGGAACACAAGAGAGGTAAAAGGAGGCAAAGGAAAAGAAAACAGAAAAAAAAAAAAAAAAACTTGGAAGGGCCCCTTTGGGGAAAAATTGATGGATTTAATACAAACTGCATCGACGTGAGGCAGTTGGAGCAATTGGAAAGAGGAGAGGGAGGGGGGGGGGGAGGGGGGGGTTAAAGAAGAAGCAAGGACATGGAAAATGAAAAAAAAAGGAAGAAAACCCAGGAAAATGAGAAAAACACGACACAGTTCCCAAGCCCAACCAAAGCTCCCAGAAGAGAGTAGAGATTACACAGATGTTGAGTAAAGAAAGATGAAGAGAAAGTTTGAGTTCTGTTGCCCTTCGAAAGCCATTTGCCGGCCTGTGGAACATGACATGGATGAGCTTCATGCTGTTCGTGAGCTGGCACAAGGAGAACGAAAAACAACAAACCCTCTGCTCTCAAATCACCTGCAAATGCAACGCCATATGTGTTTGAGTGAGGCGAGGAGAGGAAACGTTGGATATAGAAATGGTCCCTCGGCTCTAGTGGCCATAGTTACCACCCCAGCCTCCGGCACCGCCGGCCCCGCGGCCAGTGTTTCCATAATAGTTGCCGAAGCCGGCACCTGCACCTGCACCGTAGTTACCATAGCCAGTCTGGTGAGTCTGCGAAGCAGCACCCTGGTGGTTACCAAGACCACCAAGGCCACCGTACTGAGGGTTGAGGTGAGGGTAGGCGCCGAATCCCTGCTGGCCCTGTTGGCCCTGGGAGAGGGGAAGGCCAGTCTGGGCCTGAGCTTGGCCAGCGGCGTTGTTGGTAGCAGAGCCGGGGCGGTTAGCCTGGGCAAGGGAGGGGCTGGGCCCACCGGTCTTCGAGGCCTCGAAACCCTTAGTTTCCTCGGCGGTCACAGGGGGCTGCTGAGCAACGGGAGGGTTCTGGCCAAAGCCAGCCTGAGACCGACCGAAAACATCCGACATACCAGTGCTGAATGCATTGGCACCTGTAGCGGACTGCTGGCTGTCAGAAGGCTGAGCGGAGCCAGTACGGCCATAGACGGAGTCACGGCCGGGGACGCTCTGGTTGAAGGTACCGGCGGCGGCGTTGGCAGGAGAAGAGGAGTGGTCATAAGAGAAGGCATGAGGTTGGCCGTACATGCCACCCTTGCCGCCATAGGGGCCGTAGCTGCCGTAGCCGTACTGAGACGAATGAGGCATGCCATAGTGCTGCTGCTCATCGTACCGGCGAACATCATCATAGGGGCGGCCGCTACGACCATAGGCAGCACCATGCTGGCCCATCTGGTTCATATATCCGGCATAGTGGGGCTGGTTGTAGTAAGGATAGCCATAGCCATAACCGTGAGCGCTCTGCTGGCCAGGCATGTGCTGAGTAGCAGCAGGGGTTTGGGTAGCACCAGGAAGGGTCGGGTTGGGGGTGTTGTGGCCACTGTTGGTGGCATCAACGGGGCCATATCGGCCTCCGGGCTGAGTGGTGGGAACCTGAGGCTGAGCCTCAGCGGCGGACACGCCGAAGCCGGCGGCACCGCGGGCACCAGCAGTGGCATCCTGAGTCTGGCCATAACTGCCATAGTAGTTATAGGGGAAGCGTTGCTGGTCAACAGCATAGAAGGGAGAGTATTCACTACCGGTGGTGGCAGCGGGCTGGGCCGGAGCCTGATTGGCAAACGGCTCCTGAATTTGCGGCTGGGGCTGGCCGACTTGCTGAGTGAAGGGGTCGAAGGGCTTCTGAGACTCGGAGGAGTAACGAGCAAAGTCGTTGAAGGTAGACTCGGCTGAAGCCTGAGGCACCGGAGGAAGGCCGGGGGCGGGACGAGCAGTGGGAGTCTCAGCATGGCCCTGGGTGGAAGGAGGAAGAGAGGCACGAGGAGCAACAGGCGAGTGCTGAGGAGGCTGAGCACGAGTCTCTGCCTCTTCGCGGTTCTCATCGATGTCGACAGCGTCCCCATTCAAGCCCATGCTGCCAAACTGCACAGCGGCGCGGTCCACAGCATGGTTACCTGGCATAACCACGGCCTGCTGCTGTTCCATAACGCGGCGCTGGAAGCCAGGAGGACGGCTGACCTGCTTCAGTGCACTGGATGGCAGAGCAGACGAAGTCGTGCGAGAAGGTGTGGCATTAGCAGTAGTGGTGGGGTCGAAAGCGCTACCGACGGTGCTGGCAGCTGTAGCAGTCGGGGCAGGGGCGGATACATCAGGGATCTGCTCGAGATTGGTCTCGGTCAAATCATCCTTGGGCGGCTTCACACTGGTCTGGGGGATAGCAGGGACAGGGATTTCGGCAGGCTTCGCAACGGGTGTCTTCTGAATGGCGGCGGGAGCGGGGGCTGGTTCGGGTGCCTTCTTCGGCTCTACTGCGGGCTCTGCAGGCTTCTCGGGGGCTGCAGCTGGGGCAGCTGTTGAAGGCTTCTTCTGCGGTGGAGGAGGTGCAGGTTTGGCGAAGAGGCTGGCCCATCCCTTCTTTGTGCCCTCTGGGATCACGCTGGTCTTGGGCTCAGCCGGCTCCGGAGCTGCAATCGCAGGCTCACTGTCAGCTTCTCCTACCTTCGTCACCACGGGCTCAGTGGCCGGGGTCGTCGATGAAGGCTCTGCAGTAGAGGGGGCGGGAGGGCGAGCTCCATTCGTAGGTTGAGGGCCTGGCCGACCACCACGACCGCCACGACCCCGGTCTCCACGAGCACGTCCACGACCCTCAAAGCCACCACGGCCACGGCTTGCACGAGCAGAGGTCGTCGTGATCTCAGGTTGGGTACTCGGGATTTCCTTGGGCTTGCGGTCTGTCTTCTTCTTGACCTCTCCCCACTGCGATGCGTTGCCTAGCACAGAAAGACACCGTCAGTAAACCCTCCAGGCAAAGGGTACGATAAGAAGATCCCAAATAATGAGATAGAAAGGGTGCCCAAGCTGACCTTCGGAAATGCGCTCAATTGCCTCCTCTAGATCGCCATTGCAGTCCTCGAGTACGAACACAAGGTCTTCATCTTTCCAGTCGGAGAACAACTCCTTCAAAGGGGGCAGAGTATCCGAATATTTCATTTTCATCTGGCCGATCTCACTTTCCTCGAAGGAGGACAAGTCTGAGTGATCAGCGTTCGATCTGCTGCTTCCACCACGGCCACCTCTGTTGCTATAACCACCACGCCCACCCCGGGCGGATACTCTGCCGCGCGCGGATGGTCGGCTCTGAACGTCGGACATTGTGTCAAACGGATGTGTGAGATGAGAGAAGCGGAATCTGGAAGGAGGTCACGATGGCGTCGCAAGGGTTTCGGATGGTAGGAAGGATCTGAATGGAAGAAATCGAGTCGGTTGCACCCTCGCAGTAGAGGAACAGCACCAGGACCACAGGCACGAGGGCCGGAAATGAATCCAGAGACACAGACAGGTGAAAAGATGAGATAATTGGGGGAGGGGAGGAGGGAAGGGAGTTGAATGGGGAAGGCAAAAGCTAAGGTTCTGATGTGTTGCTCGCAGTCGCAGCTGGTCTTGGCGCTGCCTGGCTTTTTAGCGAGTGGCGCCTATTGGTGTGCTGCCACCCTGGGCTTCGGGCCTATGCTTCGTGAACCTCCTCCTGTTTCTCCCCCGAGCCCTTTAAGAAGAAGAACGGTCGAGTCCGTTGATCTCGTCGCCTCGCTCACTCCCGTCTCTCCAGCCTCTTTGCTCTCCACCAGTTCACGTCGTCCCTCCCATCACGGTCGGGTCTGTCTGCTCGTCATCCACTTCGGGCACCTCATCCTGCCTCACCGCCCACCCCTCGCGGCGATCTCCCTGGGAAGACGCACAGGGGTCTGTCGACAAACAGATTGGGACTCACCGACACCGCAATCATGAAGGGGACCTCGATCTTTCAGCTCAAGGCCTGGCCGAAGATCCACCATCCATTGCCGCGGACACCGCGAGAGTCCCAGCAGCTCCTCAACGCCCTCACCTCATCCTTTCGACGACAACTGGACCGCGCGTACCCGGCACCCAACACCTCCACCCCCAGCGACCGTCCGCCCTTGAATACTGATTCCTCTGCTCATGCGACCGATCAGCACTTGCACACCATTCTTGATAATCCCTTGTTTCGAATCATCCCACCGAAGGCGAGAACGGTGTCGCAGGATCATGCCACCCCCCAGGCAACTGAGGAACAGATGCGGCGGGTTCAGGAGCCCATGGTGGTATTTGATGAGGCTGTTGCCTCGGGCTCCGCTTCTGCATCCTTCGTGACCGACTGTTTAAAGTCTCAGTTGCTTCTTGCTCGGTCTTCGGGGGAGCAGGGAGTAAACGAAGCCCTGAAAGCCACCCGGGCAGGCTCGAAAGTAGTCAACTGGTTCTGGGCCTCAGATGGCACATCACGGCAAATGCTTCTCCAATCCCGCGCATCAACTAGTTCCTTGACCAAGTTTCTGGCCGCAGAGGGGCTCCAGAATACGGTGATGGAATGGCTAGGCATGCTGAGGAACGCGGACCTGGGTGGAAGCACCGGCCAGATGTCTGAAGAGCGGGCTCGCCTGGCTTTCAGTCACCTCCTCCACGACTTTGTGGATGCGGAATTTCGTTACGGAGGTGGACTCTGCTCGGCTATGAAGTACTATTTGCGGGCATGTCACCTCCACTTTTCGTCTCACAGCGCATCGAGTGATGCGAAGGCTGCCAAGTCAATGTTGCTAGGAACCGGCGCTCATTTGACCCGCATTGCCATGGAGAACAAGCCGGCGAGTCATCAGATTCCAGGATATCTCTATGACGAATTTTCGGAGACTATGTCTCTATTGTCATCTCCGCGATCATTACTATTCGCCTCAGTGGCACTCTGCCACCCAAGTCATCCTGACCCAACCCCTTTTATACACTTTGTGGATGGACTGTCACCAAGCAAGTTCCAAAAATGGAGTGACTCCAGGCGGGATGCCTTCCTCCGCATCAGTTGTGACGCTCTCCGCACTCTGATTGACCGCCAGAAGATCCGACTGGCGACCAACCTGGGACACCAAATTCAACAATTACTTCCAGAGGAAACAGCCATGGCAAGCATCGAGGGGTCTCGCTCTCGCTCCTCGCCTGAAGATGATTATCTTCTCAGTCGCTTGGATTTGAATTTGACCTGAGGGATCTCGTTCGAATGATGTCTTGGCAAATCTTTATGTCCTCAACCTTACCACTATCGTGGATTTGGTTCAACCTACATGGAGGACTTTGGATACTACGTATCTTGGAAAGCGCTCTGCTCTCCGCGGCATTGGAACCACATATACCCTCGCCTATTCTCAGGTCAATATCCCAGGCTGGCTACCTCGCCCGGGTATCCATAGTTGCCACCTTGGCGTGGGACATGGGAAAGGCTCGGAACGTTGTTCAGTGCCGCAGTTCTTACGGGTTTCTCGGTGTGTCTTCGGACTACTGCGGTGCGATGACGATGATTCCATCGGCTACTCCGCATGAAGACTCCACTGAGGCTGCGCGCACGGAGTACACTCCTCTTCTTGGCATTGCTTACCTTCCTCTGCGACCCATCCCGCTCCGAACGAGTTTTTCTACGAAGGGCAGAGAATTATGGGCGATAGAATTGAAGGAGACCAACCGTGGAAGGATCGGAATCGAGTGTCACTTGGGCCATTCTGTCGTTGTGCAACAACCCCCTCTCAAGGAGAACAGACGGCTGAGGTTGCAGGGGCGAGTCAGCCCCGTCCGTGGATGAATGGGGTTAGCGTCTCCAGCTGCCCTTAGTAAACGTCACCGCGCAACCTCACCTCAACCCCCGAGATCAAGCAATTCTGTTTCAGCTTCAGCTTTTCTTTTTGTACACAATTTTTTAGTCCTGAATTGCAGTCGCATTCCCCTCGCGATTTTATCTTTCTCGTGAAACTCGCCTACCTTGCAAAAGCACGTGCCGACGTCTAACATCATCGATCCACCATGGCCAGTGAGGGTTTCCACGTTCAGAGTGTTCCTTCGGCTTCAGGTGTGTTCTTTCTAGTAGCGACGGCTCTTGTTTAGGTCGATTGGACTTGGTGAGCTCTTTCGAGCAGAAGCTATCGGCCTAGATAAGAGCGCAAGCTTACTATCCCTCGCGCTACCTTCAATCTTCTCCGTACTTCAGCTTGGTAAATGATGACTAATGGGGAACAGCTACACCCGCAGGCCCAGCCCCAGTGGTCAGTGAGCAGCGCGACCAACCGCCCCCGCAGCCGGTTCACAGCGTGTTGAATACTACCCAAACAGATAGTGAACCTGTCTTGCTGGAGAAGGCCAAAGCTGGGGCTCATGCAGATCGTCCTGAAGCCCCTAAGCAGACGGTAGAGACCCGACCGCCTGCGGAGCCCGCCTCAGATCGCTCACTTGGCGGCACCGTCGCAGCTTCAGAGCCACAGGCTCCCGTGGAAGCTCAAAAGGCAGAGTCAAAGTCAGAGTCAGACTCGCACAAGGTCGAACTTCCACTCGGCAAAGAAGAGCCTCAGATTGGCGAGAAACGTGGCCTCGACGCAACCGATAGTACTGCTCCAGCGCTGGGAGTCCCTGCCAAGCTTCCGTCGGAGAAGCCTGACGAGCATGAAGCTAAGAAGCAGAAGACAGATCAAGAAACCGCTGGTGAGACCAACGGCACCTCCACTGGTGCGCCTGCTACGGCCGCACCTCCTCAAGCCACTACATCTACCGACCCCGCTGCCTCCGCAGCTCCCCCAGCTCCTGAGGCTTCATCGGCCCCTGCGTCCGATGCTAATGGGGATCTAAAGAAAACCGGCCGCTCCAAGAAGGAAAAGATCAAGGACGCGGTAAAGAAGGCCATTCCTAGCGATGGAATTGGTAGCCGGACTCGTAGCCGGACCAAGGGTGCCTAGGTGCCCAATGGCGAGATGTGTCAATTCGGATGCGTACGGTCTCGATTTGCCCTCGTGTTATCATCCAGGGTGATGGTATTTTCCTTCCTTCGCATCTCGCGTACGTTCCTGGTCCAAGTGTACACGACTATCCTGGCCGGAAACGCCGGTTACACCCAAAATTCTGTGGGGATGTCTTGATGCGTATGAAACTATAATCAAAAGCAATCGATAGCTCTCTAATAAGTTGTTTTCGGAGAATCGTATATCCCACTGTAAATCAATCGATCCATTCCGGGTTGACCCTAACCCGCTTTATGGATGGCGACGCTCAAGAGGCCGCCGATCATCGGGGGCTGAGTCATTTTCCCCCCGGAACGGAACAACCAGCCCCGCTATCAAAGGGAGATGTGTGTGTCATTGGCAATTATTAGATTGTTATGTCAAGTGCTTAGCTTTTTCTTCTACATCTTCCCCATAAATTCCCAATTGCTTCCTATTTTACAATGGCTGGACAAAAGATTTGGCTCCGCGCTGAAACTAAGCCCGCCGAGGCTCGGTCTGCCTGTGAGTGCTTCCCCTCCCCCCACTATCCCCAGGTTCAATGGCGATTTTATGAATCCACGATACGGAGGGCATTGCTGACTCACAACTGGCTAATCGCAGTGACCCCAACCACCTGCAAGGCATTGATTGATGCCGGATATGATGTGACTGTCGAGCGTTCCACACAGCGTATCTTTGAGGGTAAGTACTCGACCGCTTTCGCCGCGTGCGCATTGCGAGAAATGACTCAACAGACTAACACCTTTGACAGACGAGGAATTTGCCAAGGTCTGCCGATACCTGTGTCGCCCTTCTCTCCCCTACATATGTATTTTTTCAGAAGTCCTAATCGGCGTCAATGGTGATAGATCGGTGCCCCTCTCGTCCCGGAAGGCTCTTGGGTCAAGGATGCGCCCAAGGATGCCGTCATCCTGGGTCTGAAGGAGCTCCCTGAGGATGATTTCCCTCTGGAGCATGTTCACGTCACGTTTGCCCACTGCTACAAGCAGCAGGGTGGCTGGGAGAATGTTCTGAGCCGCTGGCCGCGTGGCAAGGGTCTCCTGCTGGATTTGGAGTTCCTTACCGATGAGGTCGGCCGTCGGGTTGCTGCGTTTGGCTTCTCTGCTGGTTATGCCGGATCCGCACTGGCTGTCAAAAACTGGGCCTGGCAGTTGGCTCACCCCAACGGTGAGGTCCTGCCCGGTGAGGTTCCTTACGCCAACCAGGATCTCCTGATCGAGTCCGTGAAGGAGACCCTGGAGACTGGCAAGAAGGTTGCCGGTCGTTTTCCCAAGATCCTTGTCATTGGAGCGGTGAGTATTGTGTTCTCTTAAATTGAGGAGCGTAGTCTGATCAATGCTGATAACCTTTGAAGCTGGGACGCTGTGGCAAGGGCGCTGTACAGTTGGCCAAGGACGTTGGCATTCCCGAGTCCAACATCATCCAGTGGGACATGGAGGAGACCAAGAAGGGTTCGTTGCTCTAGACTAAAGCGAATATTTGAGTGAGCATACACTAACATTGGACTTAGGTGGACCCTTCAAGGAGATTTTGGTGAGCCTTCGATCTGCCTTCTATAGTAGGCTGAGACGGGAACCATTTTGCTAATTGTGATTCAAGGATGCCGATATCTTTGTGAACTGTATTTACCTCTCTGCCAAGATCAAGTGAGCCCTCCCCGCAATTTCTTCGCCCGCTCGAAGAGCAGCATACTAATTAAGGACTAGCCCGTTCATCGACGTCGCATCACTGTCTGCCCCCGGCCGGAATCTCTCTGTTGTCTGCGATGTCAGCGCCGACACGTAAGCAAAAGCGCCATCTCCCAGCGGCTATTTGGGCTTCACTAACGATGATATTCTTCCCAGCACCAACCCCAACAACCCCATCCCCATTTACGATATCACCACTACCTTCGACAAGCCCACTGTGCCCGTCAAGCTGCCCGCTGGTTCCCAGGGCCCGAACCTGAGCGTGATCAGCATCGACCACCTCCCTTCTCTCCTTCCCCGTGAGAGCTCTGAGATGTTCAGCGAGGCGCTCATGCCCAGCCTCCTTCAGCTGAAGGACCGCGGCACTGCTCGGGTGTGGAAGCAGGCTGAAGAACTCTTCAATGAGAAGGTTGCTACTCTTCCCGAGTCTCTGCGCGCTTAGGTGAGGCGCTTGACTTGGGTGCCGATACCTATGAAACCGAAAAAGTGAGAACGGAAGATATGATTTGATGGTACATTTATAGAGTTTGGGATGGGATCGCAGGAAATGCTTTAAAAGTGTTTGCATGTTTCCCTTTCGTATTTTCGGGACTCTACCTCTCTAGCTACATACTCTATGTTTCTAGGAGTAGTAACTTCACAGACATTTTTGTCTTGAGATCTTTAATCTCTGTCTTTTTAATCTGTGTTGAGAGGTCTGCTGTCCCTCTTCTTAGTGACTTGTCTCCCAGCAGACTCTCAGGAGAGCTCTGTAGACGAGGACCAAGTAACAATTCACTCCAATGCTGTGTCCAACGTTGACGAAGGGATGTATAAAATGTACTAACGAGATGCTGTATTTTCTGGGCTATGTAGATGGGTATTGACGGGTGTTATTTTTCTTTTTTAGACCTATAAGATTGTGTGTTAAGAAAATATGGAACACACGAATGGAATATATATGTTGGTGCGCTAGGCGCTAATACCTCCAGGGCAACGACCATGATGGTGATGCTGCCTGGGCTCGAACCTTACTTTCATCTTCGTCTCAGCCCCGCGAGAATGCTACCCGTACTCTTTTCGCCATGGACGAGCGCAATGCGGGGTTTCATGCCTTCATGCCGGACATCCGAAACATCCGTCGCGGGGAGATGACTGATGCAGGTGCTCGGTCGGACGAGTAACGAGAGGAACCAACTCCCAACAGCCAGACGCCTGACGGAGCAGACATCCAATTGTGTCGCGGAGATTGAAATTATCCGGATTTTTTCCATTGAATCTAAGCGCCCGGGCGTTGCGAGTCTACGAGACCGGAATCCGGTGGCTCCTCGAAGGCCCCCCCCCCGGTTTCTCCGCATGAACCCTTCGGGCCACTCCTGCCTCCCCTCTTTCCCCAGCCGAACCCGTTCAACCTAGCATTCGTTCACCCTCAACGTTCTATACCCATTCTGCAGAGCGGACACCCTGTACACAACTACTGGATCGGGTTGCTCCCCCGGATACTAGGCGCCATTCCCGCCACTACCCGTCATTTCGGCGATCGAGACGGTTTGGACGATTCTGACGATGTGGCGATGAAATTGCAGCATTGATTTGCCTCGATACCACCCTTCACCACCGAATTCCGACCCCTCCCTTTCCTTTCCAACCGCGGTCGACCCTATGCAAGAAAAGCCGACCACAGTGGCCGCGTACGCGGCAGGCGCCTCGCTCGCCGCAGTGGCGCTGTTCTATGTCTTCGGTCCGAACTACACCATCGATGGAGATGAGTCCAATGACAGTAATCGCAAGAAGAGCATCGTGGGTCTGTCCAATCTAGCCAATGACTGCTTCATCAACTCGGTGCTGCAAGCCCTGGCTGGCCTGGGCGACCTGCGAGTCTACCTGATTCGCGAGCTGCATCGGCGCGAGCTCGACGGGCCAGAGGTCTACAACTCGGTCCCAAGCCAGGAGCTATCCCGCGTAGAGCGACCAGATAAGCTGCGGGAGCTGCAGCAGGGGCTAATTACACGTGCATTGAAGGAAATGCTGGATAGCTTGAATGAGCGACCAATTTACAAAAAGACCATCTCGGCGCGGGGGTTCATCCAGGCCCTGGAATTCGCGTTCCGCACGCGCATCAGCCGCAACCAACAAGATGCGCAGGAATTCCTCCAGATTGTATTGGAGCGGCTGTGCGATGAGTACCATGCAGGAGTTCAAGCCAGGCAGCGCACCCTCGGCCCCATTGGCGCGTCTGCTGGTTCAGGCGCGATCGAAACCGTGTCTGACGCCAGTGCAGATGAGATTCCCTCCGAAGTGGAAGTGCGGATTGATGACGGCTCCGCCAATGGACTACCCGCCATTATCGATACAAAGCTCAAGGAGATCGATACCGAAGCCGGGTTTCCGTTCGAGGGCATGCTGGAATCGCAGATTGTCTGCCAGTTTTGTCAATACGAGTATAAGCCGAGTCGAACGGCGTTTGTCAACCTCACTCTCCAGGTGCCACAGAAGAGTTCCGCCACCCTCAATTCGTGTTTCGACGGTCTTCTGAAAACCGAATATATTGAGGACTTCCGGTGCGACCGGTGTCGTCTGCAACACGCGATTGAGGCCAAAATGCAGGAACGGGCTCGCACGCGCTCCCCGAGTGACCAGAAGCGATTGGATCATGAAATCGCTCGCATCCGCGTGGCCTTTGATACCGACCCAGAGAGTGACCTAGCTGGAATCGAGATGCCTCGATCGGAGCTGGCGCCTAAACGACGGATTGCTCGGCATATGCGTATCGTGTCTTTCCCCAAGGTCATCGCTATCCACCTGTCGCGGTCTATCTTCGACCGCAGCAGTTCCACCAAGAATGCGGCCAAGGTCTCTTTCCCAGAGCGATTGCCCCTGGGAGGCATCTTGAGCCAGACCTGGTACAAGCTCCTCGCGATTGTCTGCCATAAGGGTAGCCACCACAGCGGTCACTATGAGTCCTTTCGGCGCAATCACCTGTATGCTCCCTTCTCGACCCCCGATGTCTTCAGCTCGTACGCGCAAAGCCGCGTGGCCAGCGAGAACCCATCTGCAGCCCCCAGTCCCCGATTGGCACCGCGCAGCAGTCCCGATGCCGACCTGGGAGGCGGCAGTCGCAGCCTGTCAACGGCGACCTCGTCCACGTCGCTCTCCAACGCTTCCTCCCCCCCCTACGCAGCAACTCACACCTCCCCAGCCCCGGCCCACCACCTCCAACTCGCGGCCCTCCTTCCAAAGCAGCCACTCCCGATCCTCCACTCCTTATCAGCTTTCAGGCTCGGACAGCAACAGCCCGACTCCCGAGCAAGGGCGATTCAGCACCTCGTCAGGTCCGCGCCCCTCCCGGTCCATCCCTCGCACCTCTGGTGAGGGCTCGTCGGGGGTCAGCTCGCGACTGCGGCGGCGGCGCAAGCCGAACGATCGTTGGTGGCGGATCTCCGATGAGAAGGTCAAAGAATGCAAGACCGCGGACGTGCTGGGCATGCAGAGAGAGGTGTATCTGCTATTTTACGAGATTGAACGACCCGAGTCGAGCCCTGCGGCGGCGGAGGGTCGTCTCTAAGGGAGCAATCTGCATGATGTTTCCTCTTTCTCTGCCTCTCCCTCTCCCTCTCTCTTTCTCCCTCCCTCTTTCTCCCTCCCTCTTTATCCTTCTCTCTTTTTTGTTCCGGGAAGCTATCGGCTTCTGTCATTGAGGGGGGGGGTTTCCCGCACTTGTAGACGATCTTTTTGTGCCGTATATACACCACCTTACATTTCCAACATCGGGCGTGCATTGGGGGCCCGGGGGACCGGAGCCGGTTCTGTTGATAGCCGATAGCCGCACGGAGACGGAGAATTAGAGCCATAGAGGGGGAAGAAAAGATCTATAGATCTGGAGATCCATCGAGACTTGAAAGCTCGAAATTCAAATGATTTGATGTTTAAATGCCTACATATCTCTCCCATACTCTAGATCGGGAAAAGCCGCAGAATATACAAATTTAGAAAAGCAACCTCCCCCCTCCCCATAAAAGAAAATTGATTTCAATTAGTAAGAAAAAGAAACAACAACAACAACCACCACCACCATCAAATCACTGTCTGGTGACAGGACAGAATTCCCTGATCCCTGACGAGAACCTTGTTGAGGAAGCGCTGTTGTTTGGGGCCAACCCCGTCCATCCTGGCGCTGTGACGTGGTGCCGATCCGAGACCCAGTGAGCCCGAGGGAAGTTTGCTGCCCCTCACCCGGATTGGCGTCCGAGCAAAACAGGGGCAAGGATGGCGCAGAACCGGATTGGCAGCCACGCTGACGATGCAGGGACGCGATCGTGTTCTTTCGATGATTGTATGGTGGATCTTGGGATGTTCTTTACTACGGGGGGTTTTTTTTATTTATTTTATTTATTTTTTTTATAATGTTTGTTCATCCTTTTTTTTTTAGTTCTCTGTTTCGCCGAGGGAATGCATGAGAGGGACGTGTGACCTGCAAGGTCGAGCTAAGCGCGTAGTCATAACACAGTGCAACCGATTGCCAACACGCCCGTGTTGGAAGGAAGCACGGCGAATGGCCTCGAATCTCCTCGGTTCCCCGCTGGGGACGAACAAATTACGGAGTCGACGGACGGGAAATCATCGAGTGGTCGCGTCCAAGGGTTATATAGTTCTTTGGGGAGGGGGGACGGCGTCACTATCTGAGGGGTTCTCGATTCTCGATAGTTCTGATTTGACAGTATTCCATGGTATAGATTCCCCCGACTGATCGAGGGTCTCGTTGTGGTCAGTCTTTGAGACCGTCTGGCCTGGTTTCCGTCTATAGATTCCGAGGATGCATGCCGTAGGACCGGAGATGACATACCCCGCCAACGGAGCTGTCGTGGTGATGCAAGCTCGGGCAGGTCGGGCCAGCACGGGGAGATCCGGGAAGCCAGACCACCGATGGCCTCGGGTGATGGGGAGGGGTATATATAGATTGGACAGGGGACGGCCTGCTCTGAACCCTCTGCACCCTAGACTCGACGAGCCTACAAGCGTCCTCCCAAGCCTACTCCAAGCTTCTCCCCGTACGACCATCCCGAAGAGGACGATTTCTGCTGACTTAGCTGAAATCATTGTGACCTCAGCACCCGCTCCACCACCGGTGAGTGTCTCGTTCACCGATGACGAACATGACGCCCAACCAGAAGCAGCAGAACCACCCAGATTCCCCGCCAAAAAAACTGCCCCTCCTCGCCCGCTTTCGTCGCCCGGTAAAGCACTCGTCTTCTATTTGACTGACCTTGTCTTCCTCTTCCTCTCAGATCTTCCCACTTCATTCCTCTCTCCATCGTGTCCCACTATCCAACTTCATATCTCATCAACATGGGTGTCCTCGAGAAGCTCAGCCGCAAGTCCGGTGTCATTGTCGGTGACGACGTTCTCCGTCTCTTTGAGTACGCTCAGGAGAAGCAGTTCGCCATCCCCGCCATCGTAAGTTTGACCTCTTCCCCCTCCCCCTTACTTGGAATCCCTTGGAATCCCTTGATCGCTTTGAATTGCACATCCACACCATCCCTGTCCTATCTTTCCCCCCGTCCCCCGCCTCCCCCGCCACTACTGCCAGAACTCCGTCGACTGACTCCCCCACCCCCCCAGAACGTCACCTCTTCCTCCACCGTCGTTGCCGCCCTCGAGGCCGCGCGTGACCAGAAGTGCCCCATTGCCCTGCAGGTTTCCCAGGGTGGTGCCGCTTTCTTCGCTGGCAAGGTATGTCTCCTTCAATCGATATCCCCCGATCTCAATCGACCCTGGCCTGTTCCACCGCCTGGATCCCCCGCTTCCTCGTCCAATTCCTGGAGGCTGGATGTGGGGGAAGAGATATTTGGGGTCGTGGGACGAGAACAGGATGACCAGATCGGGATGCTAATTGCAATCAATAGGGTGTCAGCAACGATGGCCAGGCTGCCTCCATTGCCGGCTCCGTCGCCGCCGCTCACTACATCCGTGCCATTGCTCCCACCTACGGCATCCCCGTCGTTCTGCACACCGACCACTGCGCCAAGAAGCTCCTGCCCTGGCTCGATGGCATGCTCGATGCCGATGAGGCCTACTTCAAGCTTCACGGCGAGCCCCTCTTCTCCAGCCACATGATCGACCTGTCGGAGGAGCCCGTCGACTACAACATCGCCACCACCGCCGCCTACCTCAAGCGTGCTGCCCCCATGAAGCAGTGGCTCGAGATGGTAAGTTGGGACACCTTTTCCCCGGGGCTTGGATCGAGACATCTCTAACCCTCCATTTGTAGGAGATCGGTATCACCGGTGGTGAGGAGGATGGTGTCAACAACGAGGATGTGGACAACAACTCTCTCTACACCCAGCCCGAGGATATCCTGGCCATCCACAACGCCCTCTCTCCCATCTCCCCCTACTTCTCCATTGCCGCTGGCTTCGGTAACGTCCACGGTGTTTACAAGCCCGGTAACGTCCGCCTGCACCCCGAGCTGCTCTCCAAGCACCAGGCCTACGTCAAGGAGAAGACCGGCTCCTCCAAGGACAAGCCCGTCTTCTTCGTCTTCCACGGTGGTTCCGGCTCCTCCAAGGCCGAGTACACCGAGGCCATCAGCTACGGTGTCGTCAAGGTCAACGTCGACACCGATATGCAGTACGCCTATCTGGCCGGTGTTCGTGACTACGTCCTGAGCAAGAAGGACTACCTGATGACCACCGTCGGTAACCCTGACGGCGCCGATAAGCCTAACAAGAAGTACTTCGACCCCCGTGTCTGGGTCCGTGAGGCCGAGAAGAGCATGAGCAAGCGTACCCAGGAGGCTCTTGAGGACTTCAACACCTCCAACAACCTGTAAAGCGAGAAGAGTGACCCTTCTCTATGATGTCCCACCCCCCCCACTTTCCAACCCTTCTTGTTTCCCTCCCTCCCTCTCAACCTTCACCTCCGCCTCCTTCCAACCCTCTTCATTGAAAGGGTGATCTGAGTCGCTTTTATTTCGTTTCGCCCTCCATCATGCGAAAAAAAGTGGGGCACGCCCGGGGATGCTGGCGTACCGGTTGTATGTAGCGATGTATTTTCGACACGTTTTAATGAGAACTGTCCATATCCGGTCTTGGAACCGTTTTGACGATATGATCAAATTGCCTTCCGTGTCTTCTCCGTATTTCCCTAGACCTAACCCCGTTGGGAGTGTACTTTTTCCGGATGCAGGATTTTCATGGCGCGAGGAAACCATGTCGGATCTGCAAGCTTTGGCCTCGGGAGATTCATCTCGTAGAGTATCAGTATGTGTAGAGTATCAAAAAAAATTGAGGCGCGAGCCGGGCACCTGACCGCAGATTCAAAGAGCAGCAAGTCCGGGTGACTTATTCTGGACTGGAATTTGACCGCCGCCTACAGTGATGAACAGACTTTCCACAGCTCATACCCTACTGGAAGGAGTCCCGGCCGGCACCTTTCCGTATTTAGACTATAGCAACAATGAAACTGAAGTAGTCAGTGATACACTCGCCTTCCTCGAAGTTCGAAGACCCTGAGAATATGCCTAGAGTGTCCGCCAACACTTTCCGTGGCTATTGAGTCATCTCATTGAATGGCCAACCTATGTTAACGGGTTGCAAACTTGTCGCGTGCGCATCAGCTCGATTGCTGAGATCGGGGCGGATGGCACTTCTCGAATCACAACCCCCGGTCTAGCCGGATTTGGTTCAGAAAACACACTTCAGGGCCGTCTCATCTATGAACTGCAGGGGAATTTTTTCGAAATAGTGGTGAAAGGCGGATATCACCTAAATAAAAATGATTACAGGAGTGGAAACGCGAGTTTACGTTCTCCGGTATAACGGGCTATCCACCCATCCCCTCTGACAACTAAACGCGCGGGGTTCTATGTTCTACAAGGGCGGTTATCCATGCAAAATTTCCATAACTACTATACAACGAGATACTCAATAGCATATTTGCTCAAGATGAAGCAATCTCTATATTAGGCAGGTCGCGACCGGCGTGGAGCGTCAATGATAAAGCTCATTTTTGCAGGTACTAAGCTCAATAGAAAATTTTAGGCAGATGATCTAGGCAATATAGTATATAGATTCAGGAGAGAGGTTATATATCAAGTGATGTTATTTACCATATAGTCAGCTGCTCCAAACTAAGACATAATGTCTACGTGACGAAGAATAGTGAAAAAGATGAACTGCCAGTGTTCCAGCCACTGATGACTAACCTCCCAATGACACCTCAGGCTTCATTTTGTCCCCACAGGTCATCCTCCAGCAGGAAATTCAAGGGCCTGCTGAACGTGGATCCTGTGCGAACTTCGCTCCATCTGAGTTCAACCGTGCCTCAGGAGAACTGTGGCTGATTTGGCGTCCTGTCGGTACACCCAGGCCTTTGGTGTCAGTGTGACCCTGGATTTTATCGAACCATCCGTGACAATGTTCCAGATTTCTCCCCACGGGGCGCCTGATTGGCTCGTCGGGCCTCACCCTGCGTCGGTCTGCCAATGATGTGACCTGGAATGGGTCTGAATGGAGAGGCATAACGTGTCGGGGACGCCACCAGGTACGGCGGCCCTGGTCTGTACACACTGCGACTTGTTGACACACAATCGTCGACGGGGCCAGGGCCGCTGCAACCTCCACATTCCCACCTGCAGGGAGCGAGCAACGTGAGCCGAAAAAAAAAAAAAAAACACCCAGAGACCGCGACAGGCTTGGGGTTGCGTCTATCGGCTAGAGATCGGCGTCGCCGCTATCGCTATCGATGACCTTCTAATAATAACCAAGCCAACGCTTTGAACTGGCCAGTCTGGACCCCCAGAACCCACTTTTCTTGCATTCTTGGGCTTGCTTGTCTCACCTGTCCGTTGATCGTCCTTATTTTTCAGACAGCGTCATTCTCCGCTCGTTCATTGCCACCTCTTTCTTCTTTCTTTCCTTTTCACTCTCGTTATACCTGGTCGTGAAGACCGCTGCCTCGATCGTTTCCCTTCTTTTCCCTTCATGTCGAGTCTTCGTTCTTTTTGACTGTGATCTGTTGATCTCCTCGGCTTGTGGGACGTCATGGATCTGCACCAGGGATTACAGTCCCGCGACAACTCTGGGACTGATCAGTTCATCAAACTCATTTCAAATCCCTTCAAATCGGCGGTAAGTTGCAGCTGTGGTGGATAACAGCGCGAGAACCTTTGCTGATATTCTGGATCAGTTCACAGTCACTTCGCTTTGGGCCTCGCTAGGAACCTCTCTCGGCACCACAATCCTCTGCACCCTCCTCTTCTCCCTGTTCCGACCCCGCCACTCGCTCGTCTATGCACCCAAAGTGAAGCATGCCGATCGTAAACATAGCCCGCCGCCCGCGGGCAAGGGTTTCTTTTCTTGGGTCAAACCGGTTATCCAAACCCGTGAAGCCCAGCTCGTCGACACCGTGGGCCTGGATGCAGCGATTTTCATTCGTTTCACCAAAATGTGTCGCAACATCTTTATCCTGATTAGCATCATCGGCTGTATGGTCATGATTCCGGTCAACGTCACTCAAAGCAAGGGAAATAGCTACACCTCTGGGGTCTTTAGCACCATGACTCCGCTCTATGTGACAAACCAAACGGCCATTTGGAGCCAGGTTGTCTGTGCCTGGTGCTTCGATATCATTATCGTGTTCTTCTTGTGGAGGAACTATAAAGCCGTACGAACCCTTCGACGACAATATTTCCAGAGCTCCGAATACCAGCGCAGTCTCCATGCACGAACGCTGATGGTGACGGATATCCCTCCATCAGACCGTACGGATGAAGGGATTTTACGCCTCACCGACGAAGTCAACCCGACTGCTGCCCTTCCTCGTGCTGCTATTGGACGTAACTCACGCTCTCTGCCAAGCATCATTGAAGAGCATGAAGAGAACGTGAGAAAATTGGAGTCAGTCCTAGCCAAGTACTTGAAGCGCCCCAATCAGCTGCCCGCAAAACGACCCTCCATGCGCCCTCCACGCAGTCAGCGCAGCAAGCACCCCGGTGGAAAAGTGGACGCGATCGACTATCTCACGGTTCGAATTCGAGTCCTGGAGGAAGAAATCAAGCATGGCAGGGCCTCGATCGACCGCCGGAATGCAATGCCGTACGGCTTTGCAAGCTGGGAGAACATTGAACACGCCCATGCTGTGGCCTGGACTGCTCGTCGGAAACATCCCAAGGGCACCACTATCTCGCTCGCGCCTCGACCAAGTGATCTCATCTGGGAAAACCTTCCCTTGACCAAATCGTCGCGCAAGTGGAAGCGTTTCATCAACTTCATCTGGGTCACCGCTTTGACAATTGTTTGGATTGTTCCCAACGCCCTCATTGCGGTGTTCCTGTCGAATTTGAGCAACCTGGGCTCTGTCTGGCCGAAATTTGAGACCTCGCTTGAAGAAGACCCCAATTTGTGGGCCGCTGTTCAAGGTATTGCGTCACCCGCGGTTACCTCGCTGGTCTATCTCGTTCTACCTATCATTTTCCGACGTTTATCCATCCAGGGCGGTAGCAAAACCAAGACCTCCCGAGAGCGACATGTCTTGGGCCAGCTGTACGCTTTCTTCGTGTTCAACAACTTGGTTGTCTTCTCATTATTCTCGGCTGCCTGGACTTTCGTCTCCTCGGTCATTGATAAGAGCAACAACGATGAAAACACTTGGCAAGCTATTATCGAGAGCGATCTGGCTTACAAGTTGATGAGCGCGCTGTGCAACGTATCCCCGTTCTGGATCACTTGGCTTCTACAACGGAATTTGGGGGCTGCTCTTGATCTCGTGCAGATTATCAGCTTGGCGTGGGTTTGGTTCTCAAAGACATTTCTCGCCCCCACGCCTCGTCAGGCCATCGAATGGACAGCCCCCCGTCGTTTGACTATGCCAGCTACTACAACTACTTTCTTTTCTACGCAACCGTTGCAATCTGCTTTGCCACTCTCCAACCGATTGTCCTGCCGGTGACCGCATTGTATTTCGGCGTCGATGCTATGCTCAAGAAGTACCTTCTCATGTACGTGTTCGTGACTAAGAACGAATCTGCTGGCGCGTACTGGCGTGTCTTGTTCAATCGTATGGTCTTCGCCAGCATTCTTGCCAATGCTGTTGTTGTGCTGGTTGCCAAGGTTCAGGGCAGTACTGCCATGGCCCTCTGCGTCGTCCCGCTACCTTTCTTGATGCTGGGATTCAAGTTCTACTGTATGAAGACCTTTGATGCCGACTGTGAGTTCTACAACCGCGCCAATCTCACCGACGCCGAGGCGGTTGGTGCTTCCAAGACTAGTAAGAAAGCTGCAGAGCGACTGAACTCCAAATTCGGTCATCCCGCTCTCTACAAGCCGCTCATGACTCCGATGGTCCACGCCAAGGCCGCTGAAGCACTCAAGGAGATCTACCAGGGACGTCTCGACCACGGCGACATGGCGGGCGAGTACTCCGATATTGCGATGAACCCGATGTTGTCTTCTCAGCCTGGCAAGGCGGAGCCTGCTCCATTCGAGATGGTCCCCGAGAACCATCTCGACTTCTCGTACTACAAGGACCGCGCCGACTTCCGCGACGAGTTCGGTGGCGGCATCTATGGCCGCCCAGAGGATCTGATGACCGAGCGCTCTCAAACACCGCGCAGCACCCTCGGCGGCGAATGGTCTCCCAGCTCCTCCCGTGCCTCCTCCCCTGCACCCTCCCTGCCTTCCATGTCCGGCCTGAAGCTGAATGAGGGCTACCAAGACCCCGAAGGCGGCCTCATTCACCCCGCCTTCCGCGTGCCGCTCTCACGTGGTGACAGCGGTGGTGCGCTCAGCAACAATGGCCTCTACCAGCACCACTCGAACGAGAGTGAGACCCACCTCATCGCCCATGCTCAGACCCCCGCGCAGGTCGACGCCAACCCGATCGACCGATGGCGTAGTCGTGGCTACGGCCCGGTACAGCAGGACGAGGACCCGTACCAAACCTCATACGAAGCATATCGGGCCCCGCGGTAGCCGGTCTCCGTGGGTCTATTGTATCTATCCCTTTTATTCCCTGTTTGTCTCTCTTTTCTGTTTTCTGTGAAAGCTATCCCGTGCATATATCCGTGGTCTGGTCCTACTTACTTCTCTGTTTCATCTTTGACTATCCTTTGAACATTTACTCCTTGGAGAGCCGGGCTCTTGGACAATGGGAATTGGTCGAGGACGGCTCTATCTTGAGATACGAAATTACGACATCTCGTCTGCTTCAACTCCGTTGTATTGAACCAGATTCTGAAAATAATCATATTTTTAACTGTACAAGAAATGAATAAATTCTCGATTACACTTCTCTTCCTAATGGGCCGTATTCTCCAATTTTGTGTAACTTCTTCCCTTCTTCCCTTCTGTTCCATTTGATGTTGTTTTCTTGGACATCCTGCTACCCTTTTGAAGGCCTTATGAATAAAGTAAACTTGTATAGATCAACCTAAACTTGAGGTGGGTGGTCTGATATTCGACATCATGTGAGTGAGAAAACTCGATGAAATTCTATTCGGTGCTGCAAATGCACACCATTTCCCCCTTCATCTGATCGAAAACCCTTTTCAATGTTTCTTGTTCATCATGGCCTCGCAAGCTTATGCACAGCCTGAGGATGATACTACCTATATGACTAATGGCAATATACTGAGCTAGTGAATCCTTCCCTTTGAATTAGCTCCAGTTGCGGCTGAGATTCTCAGCAGGTGGATAAGATTCCTTCATGGGGTTTCAACCTGCTTTCGGCCCCTGATTCGCACTATTTCTGTGCCGCCTCCATGAAAACTGCCTTCCGTTAGTAACCCTGGAAGCGGAGAGCCTATAATTCAGACTGAACAAGACCGACTGATCATTCTACTCATGGGCTCTGGCGACTCCCCCGCAACGCAAACGGCCGTCGATGTGCCTGGCTTCCAGCCCAGCGGCCGCTTCTACGCGGCGTTCAGCAGTCTCTGCATCGTTATTCTGGCTGCTGCCTTAGATGCGACTTCGCTGTCCACTGCTCTTCCGGTATCCTGCCATCAGCTAACTCCCCCCCCTCATGCCTTTGCTTTCCGCACTCCCCCCTCTCTTTTCCGAGCAATATCGCAATCTATAATTCCAGTTCTCATGGTCCTAATTCGGATATCGGCAGATCATCTCCCGGGAGCTAGGCGGCTCCGCCATTGAGGCGTTCTGGGCCGGCACCTCGTTCCTGCTGACGAGTACGGTCTTCCAGCTGACCTTCGGGTCGCTGTCCCAGACCTTCGGCCGCAAGTACCTCATCATCCTGTCACTGGTTCTGTTCACGGCGGGGTCAATTGTGGCCGCCGTCGCGCAGAGCTTCACGACGCTGCTGGTCGGCCGCAGCGTGCAGGGCGTCGGCGGCGGGGGCATCATCAGCCTGACAGAAGTCGTGATCACAGACTTGGTGCCGCTGCGCCAGCGCGGCACTTGGTTTGGATATGGGAGCGCGGTATGGGCGATCGGGTCGGTGACAGGCCCGGTGATTGGCGGTGCCTTCGCGGAGAGTGCGTCGTGGCGGTGGATTTTCTGGATCAACCTGCCTATCTGCGCGGTGGGCTTGGTGATGATCATCGTGTTCCTCAATTTGAACCGCGTGCCCGGATCGTTGGGCTCGAAGCTGGCCCGGTTCGATTGGACTGGCGTCTCGCTGCTAACGGTGTCAGCAACGAGCCTACTGCTCGCTGTGTCGTGGGGCAATGTCATGTACCCGTGGTCATCGTGGAAGACGATTGTGCCCCTAGTCCTAGGAATCCTGGGCCTGATCGGCTTTGTGTGGTATGAGGCGGAAATTCCACTGGATCCTATCGTCCGCATTGCTGTTTTCAACCAGCGTACGGCGTTGGTCAGTTACTTGGGGACGTGTATCCACGGCATCGTGCTCTGGTGTCTACTCTACTACCTGCCCCTCTACTACGAGTGCGTTAAAGGCTACAGTGCCATTATCTCCGGCGTGAGTGTCTTCCCCGAAACATTTACCGTGGCGCCGGCGTCCATTGTCGTCGGCGTCCTGATCACGAAACTGGGGCGTTTCCGGTGGGCGATCTGGGGCGGCTGGACGTTGAGCACGCTCGGCATGGGTCTGCTCTACCTGCTTGACCCGCGAACCTCCATCCCCGTGTGGATCTTCCTCAACCTCGTCCCCGGTGTCGGGCTGGGCATGCTCTTCAACAGCCTCGGATACGCGACGCAAGCCGGCGCCCAGGAAAAGGACTCGGCCTGTGCTGCTTCCATGTACACCTTTGCACGCTCCTTCGGCCAGGGCATCGGCGTCGCAGTGGGCGGCGCCATCTTCGACGCCCAGTTCGCCATCAAGCTGCGAACGTACCCGGCCCTGGCTTCCGAAGCGGCCCAGTTATCGCGGGAGGCGAGTGCACTTGTGGAAATTGTGAAAGCGATGAATCCGGACTCGCCCCGACGGGCAATGATTATAGAGGCCTATGCGGACAGTCTGAGGGTTGTCTGGGCCACGATGGCAGGGCTGGCCTTCGTTGGGCTTGTGACAAGCACGCTGACACAGAAGCTTGATGTCAATCGGACGCATGAATCAGAACAATGGTTACAGAAGGGGGAGAAGTCCTTGAGCTCGGCAACTCCCGCTTGAAGGTATAATCGGATATGGTGGTTGGGCGCGGCTCCCGGCCTTAATGGCCTTGTGTTATAGAAGCTAATATAGAAGCTAGTAATGTGTAATCCGGCATAGTCATAGAGGCCATGTATTATAGATGGAAGGACGGGTTGATCTCCTGGATGGCCGCCTCATATGTCATCCCGTTTTGAAGTATAAGAGTTTTATAGATCTGGTTGGGTCATTTCCCTGCTTGGCTTTCCATTTCTCTTATTCGAGGAACACTTTCCAATCAGAGCCCTTGACTTCAACACAGCCCCAAGGTGCCTCAAGATATGAAAGTCTGCTTATTTTCGGGGATTGACTCATAGACTCTCTCTCGCCGCGGGCTGCACAGCCTCACCGTCAAGACAGACGAAAGGGGGGGGAAGGGCGGGCAACTCGCTCAGGCAGCACTTTTCCTCCTTCGTCTAGTGCAAGGTCTGCTATATCTGCTATATAGTTGCCTGTCCGTTTCTTTTCATCCTGATTTTTTCTATCTTGGTTCTCTTCCTCTCCTTGGAACATTCGCATCTTCGAGGTGTTTAGACGTTCCGAGAGGAAACAACCGCCCCGATGGATTCTCGCCCCCTTCATCTACTGAGATCACCTTCACGCTGTATAGTCGATTGCTTACTTCCGCCTCCGAAATAGCAAGAAACCCAAATTATCGTTGCAATGTCCTGATCTATTCTGCCTCCGTCCTCTCCTGGTCTAGGGATCACTCCACCTCTTTCGGGTGCAAGGTGGAGGTGGAGCCCTCCACGATGGCTGAAAGGATGGTAAGTTGCGGAAGGATCCATGGAATCTCTTGACCCAATGCCTCGAATCTCATCTACGCCTTGCACACCTCCACTCGAGACATCTCATCTCTCCTCCGGTCTGGCCTGGCGACGTATCGAGGCCCTCCCAATCCCTTGCTGCAGGCTCACGGTCCACGCTGCGTTGTCCAATTTCCCCTCCCACCCCCACCGAAGTCCCCGCCATTCCCGCGCGACCACGTCAAGAACGCAGAACGCAAAGGCAGACCAGAGCCGCATCGCACGTGAGAAGGGCTACCTCCTCGCTCGCTTCCGGCCAGCCCTCGTATCACCCCCTCATTGCCATCGAAATCACTCCCTCCGGATGGCCTGACGAGCCCATGGCCATGAGCGTGTCTGCCCTGAGCGTGGCCGCCGAAGAGGCAGAGGCCGCTGCGGCCGGCTTCGACACCTTCCGACCTTTTCTCCCCGAACATGCGTCGGAGGTCACCGCCCTGATCTCGGAATTCTATGCCATCAGCTCATCTCTGTCTAGTCTGGAGACCTTGTCCAAAGATCCTCGTTATCTCCGAAACTGGCCTCGCGCCCTTCCCGATCTGGAATTGGTTCGCTCGAGCTTGAAGTACTCGATCGAGGATATCTTCGATTTTTTGGCCTCCTCAAAGGTGGCGAGGTCGGCCCACGAGAGCATCGGCGGACCTGGGTAGCCATTGATCGGTTCTTCTGGCAAGAGTCTAATTACTCTCTCGCCTCGCGTTTAGCGAAATACAAGGCCTTCCTGAGAGAAATTGGCGACTCTGTGAGAGAGTATGCACCCCACCCCACCCTCTCCCGTCTGTATTACCCACAGACATACTCCGCCCGTTGCAACCAAAGAAACAAAGAACAGGAGAACAACGCAAAGCAGATGATCTCAAAATAGACTAACTTGTTCGCGGTCACATACAGGCGTGGCTCCGAATCCCTGCTCTTTGTCACCTTGCGCAGCAACATTAAAACCCTCGTAGCAGATCAGGAGAAGCGGCTCGCTCCGCGACTCGGACGCATGAATTTTGGTCGCCATTCGTTCCTTGCCCGTGAGTGGCCACCCTCGAGCACCAGCACGGAATCGCCGAGTCCTGCCAATGACTGGAGGCCTCGTCGTCGGTCCTATGACCGATCGCGTCCGTCGCATGCCTCGCCTCAATCTCCTCAATCGCCCTCGTCCGGCACCTTCTCGGATTGGCCCCCGTCTGTCCCGGACGCGCCCAGTTCACCGCTGGGATCCACAACAGCAACTACTACGAGTCGCTCGACTCATTCGGAAGCTGTTCAATACCATTGGGTCAAGGATGTATTCTCAGGATTCGATACCGAGACGCCGCTTCCTCCAGCACGAGAGAGGTGAGAAGATTTGGGCAAATTTGCGTTTCATGCTTCAAAAATGGCTGATTGTCGTGAGCTTTACAGAGCGGGATGTTTTGGCGATCCTTCTCCGAATATCAAACATTGGCTTCAAGATCAAGGATATGAATTGCTTTTCCAATTGTACGTCTCTACACCTGTTTGGCACCACTTCAACATCTAATCTATTAATTTAGAGCATTCAACGATGCTGCCAACATGACTGTTTATTATTACTTGCGCGAGAAAGACCATCGGGTTCGCATTGTCTGCAAAGTCCCCCACCGCACCCGAGCCAATGAATACTATTGCCTGCCTTTGAATTTGCTTGAAATCATCCGAGAAGGGTCGTCCCTTCATCTCTGTCGACGGAAGCATTCTGGCAGTGAGCTTATATTGTGGGCAAGCCTACAATTCACGTCCATCGAAAGTAGGTTTTCCTCCGAGTGTAAATCACCTTTTGGGGCCCCGCCTGACTTTTATTTCTTTCTAGACATGGTTGCATTCTTCGTTAGTTTTCTCGCACTTCGTTCGCAGGATAATGGCCACCCGGTCGAAGGGATTCGTGATTACGAGTTGGAAGGCGAAAGAGAACTATACGGCGGGTAAGCACAATTCTTTCTCTGGTTTCTTCCATCTAGTTATTAGGTTGATGGTATCAACTGATTGTAATAGTCGCATTTACGATGACGATTATTCGCATGCCTTGCGCATATTCCGTGACAAGACAACAAAAGCGGTTCGGCTCCAGGCATCCGTTCATAAGGGCGAGATGAACCGGTGAGTGTCATTCATTTGAACTCCACGCTCCCCTCTAATTTATTCTTGACGAGACTAATTCGAACATCTTCAGAACGCCCGTCTGGACCGGCTTCATCACTACTCACCTAGTGCGCCGTGGCTGGCTGAACCGCGTCAGTGACCGCAGTGTAGTTATACGAGACTTCAAGCCCATCATCTTAATGCTGCCTGACGATTATATGCCGCCACAAACAAGTCGGGGCGACCATGTGCTCAAATTTGCTACTGCAGCTGGTACCCGGCTCTCCCTCTCCCCTTCTATCCGATCATGATGGATTGAACAAAGACTAATGACTTGTTTCTATAGATGCCGATGCCTTTGTGGAAATGATGGAAGATCTAGCTGCAAAATACCAGCGAGACTATGTGATTGCTTCCTAAGTGCGCATGTGTACCTTGCGAGTAACAATTGGTGCCGTGTCTGTCCTAGGCTGTTATGACTGATGATTTACGCTGATATGATGATTATGAGCATAATAAAAAGCTGGATTGAGATTTTGGAGGAAATATTATGAATAGCTTTTGACTCGTTGTCTTTTTTTGGTGGCGCAGGCCGTTATGGTGTCAAAGAGTAGGCTTAAAGCATATGGAAAGGCTGGGAGGTTGCTTGTTGGGCGAATATCATGCTTGTAGTGAACCTCTTGAGTGTATTTGAATATACGACATTTGCATTTGCATACGAGCTTTTAATCTCAGAGCTCAAAGTTGGGGCTTGAAACCATCCACGATAACGAAACGAGCGATTTAGGCAAAGTGATTTAAGACAGGCAATAAGGTTAGGCCGAATCCTCTGGGTTGGTGGTTCGAGGGAGATCCGACCCCTAACACTCCACCGGATCCTGTACCAACCGTTGACGACCCGAGGAAAGGCGGTGCGGAACTCGACACCTTCTCCGCACCTCAACCACTCCTCCATCATTCGTTTCTCCCATGGCGTGGTACTCGATTCTCCCGCCTCAACTCATCCAGTTCGAGAGTTGGGCGGTGCGCATCTTCGTACGTTGGCCCACCCCTCCACTCTGCTTCTTGGCTAACATTCGCGGCGCCCTCCTCAGTTCCTGCTCGGCCTCATCACCATCGTCCCCTGGGCAGCGCTCATCGTCTTTGATGCCGGTCTTTACCTCTACCGAATGGCGCTCTTCGAGCTGCCGTGGATTGGCGGACGCGCGCGCGGCCATCAACACCCTCGTGTACCCGGTTTGAACGAACGAGCGAACGGCCAACGGCGGGCCTTCGGATTGCGCGGGGTAGAGTCACATACCGACGATGGAGCACAGATCAGTTCAAGCGGTATAGCTGAAGACCCACGAGCAGGAAGCGAAGCCCGATCGGAAAAAGAGAACATCGCTCCTACCACCGAAAGTCGCGCATATGCTGGAAACGATCGGAGCCTAAAACGCCGGGTGTCCGGGCGAACGTGATGCTATTCCCTCACCTCCCCCCTGGAGCATCTCTATCCTGTCTGTCTACGGAGTTTATTTATTCGATTCGGGGTGTTCTAAATGCGTTCTGGATCATGTCATGGCGTTGCGGCATTGCTTTTCTTCTTCCTGGTTCTGTCGGGCGATACCCGTTTCTTTTCGATGATATCGATGAAAGGGACAAGGTCTTTTATTTTCCTTTTGATTTCCGGTCTGTTTTATGAGGGGACACCTGGTTATGACTCTGGTGTTTTGTTGTGAATATATCTTAATTTCCTCGTGTTGCTGTTTGTATTGATACATGTTTGAATAGGTATGCTAGAGAACTGCGGAATACCTCGGCTAAACTATGCCTTTTTGGCGGAGGCAGGAGGGAGCAGGTGGTTCTCAATAATATTCCTAACAACAAATGCTGCACATAAAGCCATTGTGATCCCTTTCATGTAAGCACCAGTTATAAAGATTCATGCCTACAGGCACAAGTTGTTCTTACTGCTGGGATCATTTTGGTAGCAAAGTTGGTTTGCTTGATGAGAGATTCGGAGATCTCTGGATATCTGAATACTTTTGAATTTTCTATCTCACAGCAGATCGACTACTTATAGACGCTCGAGAACCTTGATCAAATCAGCTGAGACACCCATAGCAGTGACATCACCCCCAGCGCCAGCACCCTGCACAATCACCGGGTTGGCACCGTACCGCTTGGTGTAGAAGCTGATGATGTTGTCGCTACCCTTCAGGCCAGCAATGGCACTATCCTTCTCGAAGTACTGTAAGCCGACTTTAACGGCCTTGGTAGCAACATCGATGCTGCCAACATAGCGCACGACCTTGCCCTCCTTCTCGGCGGTGGCCTTGATGTTCGCCATCTGGGAATCAAACTCGGGCAGACGAGCCATGAATTGGGCGATTCCATCGGCAGACGAGGGCAGAGAGGCAAGCTCGGCGGGGATGAGCGACTCGATAGGGAAAGAGTCGGGACGGGAGACCTCGAGGCCAGCCAGGCGGGCCAGGATGGTCAGCTTACGGGCAACGTCCATGCCGTTCAGGTCATCGCGTGGGTCGGGTTCGGTATAACCAAGCTCCTTGGCCTGGGTAACGACAGCGCTCCACTGGGCGTCCGAGGAACCCGAGGCCGGGGCGAAGGTGTTGAACAGGAAGGAAAGAGTACCGGAGAAGACACCCTCGATACGGGTAACTTCATCGCCAGTCGCAACCAGGTCCTTCAAGGTCGACAGGACGGGCAGGCCGGCGCCGACGGTGCTCTCGTGGTAGACAAGGGCTTTTCCTTCCTTGGCAGACGCAAAAATATCCTTCCACAGAGACAGGTCGTCGGAGAAGCCCTTCTTGTTGGGAGTGACGATTGACACGCCCTTCTTCAGGAATGTGGGGTATTGGCGGGCGAGGTTGATGTCGGAGGTGTTGTCAACCAGGATGGCACGTCCAGGAGCTGAAGCAAGGTATGTAGCAATCTCCTCAGCGGGCAGAGCGCCGGTTTTTGTCAATGAAGGAGTGGCTGCGGCGGTTGCCCAGTCGGCCGCGGGGATCGCCGGGGAGTAGGCCGGTGTCGGAGCGAGAAGGGTCTGAGAAGAACGGGCGAGGAGGACGAGCTTTGGAGCATTGGGAAGACGAGCGAGCTGGGACAGGAATGCGGTTCCAACACCACCGACGCCTGGAAAATTGTGTTAGGTTAAGACTCCGCAAAGCGATGCTCCAATCGAGGAGGGGTATCATACCAACAACGCCGAGATAGATAGGGCTAGCGGACATGGTGAAGAAGGAGTAAAGACCTCAATTGGACAGGGTTGAACGGTAAAATTGAATGGAATTACCGGAATGGAATAGAGTAGAAAAAAAAACCAATCCTGAAGAGAAAGGAAGGGTCTCTCAAAAGGTATGCAAGGATATAGAAATTGAGTCAAGATCCTCAACCTCGTCATCTCGTGGGGTCCGTGGGGCAACTACCACCCAAGTCAGCAGGTGACTCAGCATTTTCACCCACAGAATCAGGCAGAAAACCTTATCGTTATCGGAACATCTGAAGCTGGCTGGGCTTATTTGTTCGCAAGCCTGGTGCGGAGCTTCGATCATGGCTTCTGATCAGTCCTCGCTATATGGACAGGCTCGTGCCAAGTCAAAGGGCACAAGCGACTTGTCCTCATCGTCTAATCTCGCCTTCAGCAGCCAGCTCTCCTCCCTCATCGCTCAAGGCTCCAATCCCTCAGCTAACGCGCGCCCACGACCATCCAAAACTGCGAAGACCGACATCTTCGGCAAGCAGAACAAAGGCGCCCAGAAGCGCGCTGCGGCTGATCTTGAAGAAGGTGACCATCATGATTCGCAACAAAAGCATAAGCGCAGCCAGGATATTGGGTCCGTTGATGACGCCACCCTCAATCGATCCAAGCGTCGAATGCAGGAGAAGGTGCGCATATACAATGACATGAAAAAGGGACTGTACCTTGCCGGAGATAGCAGTGGTGAAGAAGATACATATGCAGGCTCAGGCTCGTCTCGACAAGAAGATTATCTGGCGCGCTTGCGGCGCAAAGAGAAGGAAGGATTGGTGGATTTTGATCGCAAATGGGCAGACGAGGAGCGTAAGAGGGCAGAACGCTCCGATGAATCTGAGGAAGACGACGACAATGCGTCTATCATATCCTATGAGGATGAGTTTGGTCGGACCCGACGCGGAACCAGAGCCGAGGCAGCTAGAGCTGCCCGCACCAAGGAAGAAGAAGAGAATCGGGACAGAGCGCCACAGGAGCGTTGGCGCCCTTCTCGCCCGGAGAATCTTATCTACGGCGAAGCTATTCAAACTGAAGCTTTCAACCCTGATGCCAAAATCGCATCGCAGATGGCGGATCTTGCTGCCCGACGAGACCGGTCACCCACACCGGAGCATGTTCACTATGATGCTGAAGCTGAGGTGCGCAATCGTGGAACGGGCTTCTACGCATTCTCTCAAGATGAAACCGAGCGGTTGCGGCAGATGGAAGATCTCAAGAATGCCCGAAAAGAAACAGAGCAGGAACGAGAAAAACGGGTGCGTTTAGCCGCAGAATGGCAAGCGCATCTTCAAGATCGAAGACAGCAGATCCAAGAATTACGTGCTCAAAGGCAGGCAGATGAGTTCTTAGGGGATTTATCTATCCCAGCACCTACGATAACTGACGGGCATTGAGGCAGTTTTGTTTATCTATGTCTTTTAGCGATACCCCTTGTTCATATATCTTTCAACCCACCCGTCGGGTACCCTTCAATAAAGCAACGATCCCTTTCGAATATTACCGTAGGATTGAGTCCATAAAGGGGGTTTTAAGCACTTCCTTTTCGATGATATGGGACCCCTGTTTTTCTTACCCCGGCTGGCTCGGATTCTATCATAAGAGAGCATCCGGGGCGGACGGTGAATTGAATTGTAAACACCAATATCCAAGCGTCAATTTAAGCATATTGAATTGGGCGATAAATTTTAGATTTCCAATTGCAGTGTCGATACTCGAGCTTGGCTTGCCTAGCAACATGGGGCGTCGCTGGGACGCGTCATGTCCTGCCGATGTACTGTACATAGCTGAGGATCCGAGGATTTGGGGTCGGGGAGGTGGAGACATCCTCCAATCCTTCGTCAGCTCAGGATCTGCAAGGACAACTAGTTTGTTGGACGCCTCAGGCGACTAACGTGAAGGGTCTTTCTACCAGATATAGTACACACGAGCTCGAATGTTCTCATACGAGGGAAATGCGATGCTGCATTGAATTCGTCGTGAGCAACATTCAATTGATGTTACTAGAATCCTTTTAGAATTCCTACTACATAGCCCACTACCGGACCAGCTGAGTGGGCATCATACTTCGACGTTCATTGTCGCGTAAATCAATTGTACACTAGTCCAAGCCGGTCCACAGCACAGCCCAGCGGGCAAGGCTACCAAGCTTTCCCGCCATTTTAACCACAGCCGTGGCCCCAATTGAACCAGTTCAACTATTACCTTGCCGTTTCAGGACTTAAATTTTCGCGCTTGATTCCCAACTCAGTCCTTGACTCGCATTTTGGCCCCCATGATGGGATTGTAGAATGAGGCCAATCTGGAGGATGACTCCTACTTAAAATCCAGAATGCTCATATAGTTCAGTCATGCCATTCTTTCCAGATACTTACCATCTTCTAAAACATCAGTTCACATAGATTCTAGATCTCATATTCCCCATCCGGTCTATTTTTCGCAACAAAGCAAGAGCTTATTCAAGTACAATGCCTCAAAATCAGGATCGGAAAGCTTATGACCCTGCCGGCAAGCTTATTCCCACCATCCTTGATGAGCTTGCTGCAAATGAGCCAGACAGAGTCTATGGCACACTGCCAATGTCTCAAACCGGATATGAATCTGGAACTCGGACGATCACATGGCGCAAGCTTGCCAATGCCGTCAATGGCATAGCCAGGTGGATGACCGAAAACCTTGGTCCGTGTGAGAATTTCGAGACGATCTCATATATTGGACCCCACGATATGGGCCACCACATTGTTTGTCTTGCCGCTATGAAAGCCGGCTACAAGGGCTTGTTTATATCTCCTCGATATGGAACTGTTGGATCAGTACGGCTGATGAAGGAAACGGGATGCGAAAACCTGTTGGTCTCGCCTCTAGCGGACACTAAAACACGGGATGCCCTTGTCGCCGAACATGGCAATCTACGGTCATGGACTCTTCCGTCTCTCCTCGATCTATTTGAAGTTCATCAAGACTTCCCATATCTCAAGAGCTATGAAGAGGGTAAAAATGATCCTATGTTTGTGCTCCATACTTCGGGCACGACGGGCTTTCCTCGACCCATCTTCTACCCTTACAAATGGGGTGTGGCTCTCGGCCAACAACGGCACCGAACAGCAATTTCAGGATACAAACCTCTAGAGTCCACCTGGATGGGTAAACGGATTGTTAGCACCACGCCTCCTTTTCACATCTCTTTTTTTTTGGTCGGTGTGATTTTGCCATTCTATAGTGAAGCTACCATCATCTACCCGCCAGCCACAATGCCTCCAACCGCAAAGACAATCGCCCATGTTGCCGAGCACCTACCAATAGACATTGTTTCCTTCCTGCCAAACAACGTGGAAGACCTTGGCTCAGATATCAATCTCCAAGAGACGTTTATTAAGGCAGGAATCAAGTCTATCATCTGGGGAGGTGGGCCGGTAGCCCAAAAACCCGGAGCTGCGGTCGCAAAGCTCTTCAATCTGTTCACCACAATGGGCTCCAGTGAGGATGGCATATGGCAGGCGATTCGTCGAGAGAAGAATTGGGACTCGTACCCATTTAATGGCATGACCTTTCATCCGGACCATAACATCGAATTCCGTGATCAGGGTGACGGCTTGTATCTCGCTGTCATAGTGAGAAACTCGGATCCCCAAAAGATACAACCGGTGTTTTGTCTCTTCCCCAACTTAACGGAATACAATACCAAAGACCTATTTCGACGCCACTCGGGCTCTGGAATAGACAGTGTGTGGTTCTATCATGGCCGCACTGATGATATGTTGATCTTCCCAACCGGGTTCAAGTGGTTCCCAGGAACCTCGGAGGAACACATTCAGACAGGCCATCGAGATCTGTTTGAAAAAGTTCTCATTACAGTTACAGGGAACAATGTGGTAGTTTTGTTAGAGCCTACGGCCGCTCTTCGCCAGCAGATGGATCGAGCTCAACAGAGCGAAGACAAAGAAGCACTTAACGAACTACGTAACACGACTTTGGACCAGATTTGGCCCACAGTGGAGGATTTGCAACGAACTTGCCCGTCCGTTGTTTGCTTTACCAGAAGCCGATTCATCTTCACGGATGCCGATCGTCCCTTGCTCAGAACTGCTAAAGGCACTATTCGACGCAAGGTATCGGAGGAACTGTACAAAGACCAGATTGAAGCTGCATATGGTCCCGAGAAGCAAGAGGTATATTGAGTCTATTTCAAACAACGTAATGGGCTCAGCCTCTCCGGGGGCCATTGAATGTAAACCAAAGATCTTCTGTTTACTAGAACGAGCTCTGAGAATCAAACCATTCAAAATATCACTTTCTTTACAAGATCACCAGAACTACCTGTGCCGCAACTGAAAAGTTGTCATAGATCAAAGTTTTTGACCGCTTCAGTGACATGTTCCTATTCATGCATTTGATGGCGCAGCAGAGCGGAGCGAGATCGGAAGAGCAGTATCGTCATCGGAGGCATCCCACAGGAGAGAATAGACTCCTTGTTCTTCGCCGGCCTTCTGAACATAGAAACTGGAAGAGATATCTCCAGAATCAGACTCCACCATTACCCATTGTCCATAGAAAATGAAGCCAGTGGTTGTCTCGTTGGACAGTGCTTTGGCGGTGAATCCCATCTGATGAGAAGAGGAAGAAGAGCTGGGTATGTACAACATTTCGTTAGACCAGCCAGCCGATGCCTTGGCAGTGCCATTGGGGTTTGCGATCCACTCGCTAGAAGACGAGTCTGAGCTACGCTCAACTATGGGAGGCGAAGTCATTCAATGAGTAAAGGACCAAATGATGACATGGCAGGTAGAGCGAGCGGAAATAGACTTACAGACAATCGGGACAGCGTTGGACGAAGTCGAGTTGGATGGGTCACCAGCGAAAGCCTTTCCTACTCCAAGCGTTAGAAACTTTGATGAGATATCCAATTAAAGCGTACACAAATGCTAAGCATACCATCTGCATAAAATATCTGAAGTCCGCCGATTGTGTCTCCGTAGGCATACAAGCCGAAGCTTTCATCCACGTCCGGAGCGGAGCGAGGCACAAAGCCAGAGGCAGAGGCCAGGAGGCACAGCAGTGCACCGGAAAAGAGATGACGCGCCATTTTATGCAACAAAGATTCTTGGAAATGTTCAAAGTAGATTGATCTCGACTGGTGTGCTAGACTTGCGTTTTTATTTTGTCAAGTGCTCTATAAATTCAGCGCGCCGATGACCGGGTTGACGCTCTTCCATATATGGCCACTCCAGGTAAGGTAATAGATAAAATAGAGTATATCAGGGGTACCACGCTATTTTGATGATGGCATATTTGTGGCTTGGACGCATTCGAAGAACATTGGCCTGAAGCTTCGATCCGGAGGTGGACGAACTCCACTGTTCCGGGCCGCGTGGTAGCTGACGTCGATGCTGCAATAATTGCGGGTACCCTCAAAGTATACCAATCAGCCCGAACATTAATAGTGTAGCGGTAGGTCAAGATGCACTCCGGGAACGGTAGATCTAAGGTTGTTCGCGTGTCTTTGGAATCCTGATTTCCGAGCCATTGAGTCTCGCTACCGAATTCCACACAAAACTATAGGCGTAAATACATTTATCTTCAAACTTTGAAAATACGCTCATCTCTTGAATCACAGAAAATCATTCGCCGCCATTCAATGGCAGCGAGTGTGAAACAGATCGACAAAGTAGAATGGCTATTTTTATATACTGTTCCTGGTTTTGTCGCCGCGCAATCTGCCACCATGAACTGTGCACAACAATGGGGCCGATCCACAATAGCGCGAACACCCCTCAATGGGATGCAGGTTTTTGCTGCTTCTTAAGTGGTTTAGCATCTGCCTTATCAATACTGTGCCAATCGCTTCACCTTTCCGGTTGCGTGTCAGCGTTAAGCTTACGTTTTCCCAACCCATGCGGAATGCATCCGATCCAATCAACTTCAGCGGATTTTCTATCCAACTAAAATAGTCTCATATAATTATTTGCTCCAGGGAGTCATCAAAATTCATCAGTCAGCGGGCTGCACCGGGATCTGGTTGAGGTGGATATAGAAGTATGATAAAGCTCGAGGATACGGCAAAAACGAAAATCATTCTCTCATTTTGTGCTTTCCTTCTATACATTCTTTTATTCTCACAATATTGCCTTTTTATTTCTCTTTTGTTTCTATCATTCTTTTTCATATGGTTTGATTGAGTCTTTCATTTCACTCAAATCATTCGTCTTCTACAGAAACTATCATGAAGGCTATACCCATTGTCCTCGGTTTCCTTGGGGCTGGTGCCGTGGCTGCGGTCCTTGACAGCCATAAGTCTAATTATAATCATCATCTCCATCCAAAACTCAAACGAGATGCCTGCTCTGGGAATACAGCCAGTGATAGACAGACATGGTGCAACTACAATGCCAGCACGAACTACTATGACGTGGTCCCAAACACCGGCGTGACCCGGGAATATTATTTCAACATTGAAGAGGTCACTGTTGCGCCAGATGGCTATTCCCGAACAGCGATGGCTGTCAATGGTTCGATTCCAGGTCCGACAATTCAGGCTGATTGGGGTGACCATGTCATTGTGCATGTCACCAATAGCTTGGCTTCGGCAAAGAACGGATCTAGCATCCATTTCCATGGAATTCGCCAAAACTACACCAATCCAAACGATGGTGTTGTTTCGATCACTCAGTGTCCGACAGCTCCGGGGAAAACAACAACTTACAAATGGAGAGCCACGCAGTACGGCTCGTCCTGGTACCATTCTCACATTGGGCTGCAGGCTTATGAGGGTGTTTTCGGTGGCATCTTGATCAACGGACCTGCTACTGAAAATTATGATGTTGACAAAGGCGTTCTCTTCTTGAACGATTGGAGTCATCAAACGGTCGATGAGCTTTATGATTCTGCCCAGTCAAGCGGCCCGCCCACTCTGGACAATGGCCTGATCAACGGAACCAATGTTTACGGCGAGGATGGTTCCACTACCCAGACGGGATACCGTTTCAACACATCGTTTACCGAAGGTACCTCCTACCGTCTGCGGCTAGTGAATGCGGCGGTCGACACGCACTTCAAGTTCTCAATTGACAATCACACCCTCACCGTGATGGCCATGGACCTCGTACCTATCGAACCTTTTGATACCAAAGTTCTTAGTATCGGCATGGGTATGTTTACTAGCTTTTGAAAATAAGGGAATCATCATAACTTACTCGTATATCTAAATAGGCCAACGTTATGATATTGTTGTTCGCGCAGATCAATCTAGCAGCAACGAGAGCTTCTGGATGCGTGCTATCCCCCAATCAGCGTGTTCCGACAACGACAGCTCGGATAACATCAGGGGCATTGTGTACTATGGCAGTACACCATCCACTCCGACAACCTCTGCCTATTCGTACACTGACAGCTGCGATGATATGGACATGTCCGATCTGGTGCCATATCTCTCTCAAAGCGCCTCCCTTCCTTACTATAACGCGAGCGAGCCCGTAACCCTGGGCGAGAACTCCGAGAACCTCTTTCGCTGGAAGATGAACGGCACGTCGATGCAGGTCTACTGGGACAACCCAACTCTGCTCCAGATCTGGAACAACCAAACGTCCTTTGCGAATCAAAGTGGTGTGGTGGAGCTGCCGCGGGCTAACGAATGGTCCTACGTTGTGATCGAAACTTCCCTCACCGTGCCACATCCTATCCACTTGCACGGGCACGACTTCTTCGTACTTGCCCAGGGCTCTGGCTCGTATAGTTCCTCGGAAATCCAAAGCTTGGCCAACCCGCCTCGTCGCGATGTAGCCATGTTACCTAGCTCTGGCCACTTGGTAGTGGCTTTTAAGACTGATAATCCCGGTGCATGGTTGATGCACTGTCACATTGGATGGCATACGGAGGAAGGATTCGCTATCCAATTCCTAGAGCGATATGAGGAGGCGCGCCAATTGATTGATTATAGCACTCTTAACTCTACTTGCGAGCAGTGGGATGAATACGTGCAAGTAAGCAAGGTCGAGGAGGAAGACGATGGAATTTAGACCTGGAAATTGACAGGAGTTAGAGGTGGATAACCGTATACACAACAACGATCTAATAAATCGACGGTAGTGATTATTAGGAGCATTGGAATATATATGATCCAGGATTCAGTATCAGTCATTTGTAGGATAAAGTTGGGGTTCCTCCCAATAAGTAGCGAAGCTTAGTTTAACGAGACAGAGAGCTAAGGAGGCCAAGAAGACTCAAAATGCGCCATCTGCTTTGAACAACTCGATTTCCTCCTGTATTATTTGGCATGGCCTTGCCAGGAAATTTCCAGTGTGATTTTAACAGTCGAGTTGAGCCGACCAGAGAGCGCTCGAAAGTCAGCCAGGAGCTTGAAACTCCAACTCCAGATCATTCCAGAAACCCCCCACCTCCGAAATTAGAGAGACCAACCGGTGAATCTGACATTTCGTCTATGTAGGATTAAAAAGTGTACAGGGAGACAGCCAATTCGTTTGATTAAGTATAGACTAATCAGCAAGTCTCGAAAGGTGCCAATCTATCATTCATCAGCCAGCAAATCTATATATCTACCGGCTAAAAATATATAGGGCAAACCCACCTATGAACATAGCGCGTACGATTGAAAGACCGCTAACTTACGAGCCCAACTCGTCTCCAGATGCCGCCAGGTTATCAAAACCCATCTACATAGATCCAATCACCGCTCATTGCAAAAACACAATGCCATGGCGGAGCCGAGGCTGCCAGCTTCAACCTGTGATCCGAGCAACGGGGAGCGAGCCTCAGGCAGCGATCGGAGATCCCCCCGGACGCGTCAGGGTAAACAAAAGCAAGGAGCTTGGGCCACCGCCGGGGCCGGAACCATGCGGGCTCGCACAAGCCCGCACAGGCGTAGACCGGAGAGCTCTCTGAACCACGGGTCTAGTTCGGAGGAAACGTGATTGCAGATTACGCGGTTTAGTGGGATAAATAGAGATTGGCGACTATGAGATAGAGAGCTAAACAATTGGGGATGAAGAAAAAACAAAGGTGCAAGTTCCAGGGAAAACGGAGTCGTATTGAGTAGACTAGTGTACAATAAACGGGGTTCCCGAAGCTTAGGGATCCCTGTCTCGCACCCCGTCTGGGAATCCCTCCTGCTCATCCCATAGACCGACTCATACAACTAGAGACCTAGACGGAACAAGATCGGGCGGCAGGTCAATCCAGAAGAGAGCCGCGAGAAAAGCCATCTCCCTGAAAAAAGACACATAACACTAGGAGCCCCTCATCCAGGGGCGTCATAAAAAGCAAATAAAAACCACCGAGGTACCATCCTTAAGACCCGTGAGTGAGAAACGTAAAGGAAAACCGGAGACTAGCGACCAAGAACACAAACGCCAGAAGCTGCGCAATTGAGGTTTGCAACACGACGTTTAAGAGGACTCCTCCTCCTCCTCGTCTCGCTGTAAGGTGAGTTAGTTTCATTTGGGGTCCATCGAATGAGAGGGCCGGGGAGGGAGAGGGGGGGGGGGGGGGGGGAGACTTACAGCCTGGTAGGCGGCCTTCTCTTCCTCATAGCGCTTCTTGTCGGCGACGGCCTTCTCCTCGAAAGGCTTGCGCTCAGTGTCGCTAAGAGCCTTCCACTTGTCACCGAGCATCTTGCCGACCTGACCTGGGGTGGGAATGAGTATCACACCGGATAAAAGAGGGAACGATGAGCAATATTGGACGAGTAGCAAAAACATACCGAAGGAGATGCCAGGGTTCTCCTCGCGCACCTTGTCACGGGTGTCATTGGCGAAGAACATGTAAGCGGACAGACCACGCTTGGGAGCGTTGGGGTCTGTGATACAAGTTAGGATCCGTGCCGGACTCAATTGGCCTGTTGGCACTTGATCGCCGAGGCATTACTTACCCTTCTTGCGGCGGGTGGCCTTCTTGGGAGCGGCGCGCTTCTCCTTGGGCATGTTGGCTGTGATTCGAGAGTTAGTGATAATTCGGGAGTCGGAGAGAGTGGTTGGTTCAATGGCACCGGGGTATGTTGGAAGCAAAGCGAAAGAGCGCGAGGCATAAAAGAGGACAGTAAACAAGCACAACGCAAGGATGCGACAGTGCGGCGATGCAATGGGGGAGTGTAGGGATGGGGTCGCGCAAGTGAGAGACGTGATGGCCACTCGCGCCCAAGACGCGACTCTTGCCAAAACGCGCCCGAGGCCTCAAAATGACCACGGAAGAGAAGGAACTTACCGAACTTGAAGTTTTTAAAGTGAAAAGATTCAAAGGAAGCCGATCAGATAGAATCTGAGGAAGAGCTTGAGTTAGCGGTGATCGTCGACACATAGATCAGGCGCATCGCGACCGCGACATCGCGGTCGCGCGAAGAAAATAGCATTGGCAACAAGCTCAGAAAAAGAGATTGGAAGCCGATTTGAGCGCAGAAAAAAAGAATCAAGAGTGGTGGTGGGTGTTGTGATGCTGGGTGTTGGAGCGGGATATAGAGATATAGATATTGGGGGGGGGGGAATATGCAGTACCTGAGCTTGTATGGGAGGAAAATGTATGGGGGAAGCGTTGTTAGGAAGATGGGAGAGAGAGAGGGGGGAACGCCGTAGTAGTAGAAGAGCAGAGTCAGCGAGGGGGGGGAAGGGCCACTGTAGGGAAAGAGGTGGGCAGCACAGCAAGGGCCGCTTGTCTGCTGACTGGTATGTAACGCGTATTTTATTCTGAGGCCGCGCTGACGGTTGCCCGTCCCTACTCCCCACGCCTTTTTGTATGGCGCATGTGGGCTCCCATCCTCTCTCACCTTGGCGTTTCTTTCTGAATGGGACGGGCATCTTCCTGGTGGCTAATGCTCTGGGCCTAATTTCTCTATCTAGGTCCTTCTAATTTTTGGGGAGGGGGTTTTTGGACCGAAAAAAAAAAATCAGAGATGAATAATGGGATGCGAGACTATCACTGTCTGATGGGGTGTGAAGGAGCTGAAAGCTGGGAGAGACCATACATCAAACGGTAACATACCTGGGCCTGCCCATAGTGGAGAATTACGCCTTGATCCATTCTGCTAAAACCGCACATCCATCGTACCGAGTCCGGTGTAAGCCATAGTAAAGTGACCTCCCACACAAGGGCCCCGTACCTGGTCATTACGCCCATGTAATACTAATCCACTATTCCTCGGGCAATCGACACGCGCAAATCCCAGAGCCACTCACTCTTGGTGTCTGCCTCGTCTCGTTGAGCAGCATGGGGCATCAGTAAATATATTTTGCTTCTAGATCATGGATTATTCATCTCTTCTCCTCGGTGGTTCATATCGGTATGACGATGATGAATATCTAATATTGATCAATGAATAAAACAACCAAAATAAAACGGAGTCAACCTCCCAAGTCGACGGCATAACAAAGGCTACAAAGCTAGTGGCTATATCCAATATATGCGGAGTGACAATCTATTCTTGATTAGATATTTCTCCAAGGTAAGATACAGGCCATTCCCGCGACACTCTGGAGGGTCCAAAATGGCCTAGGCGATGGAGCGGAGTAATTCCTATCGTACAAATGCCACCAAGACAGCGTGAGCAACCCGGAACGACACAGCGAAACATACTGTGGGTACAGGCAAAGACCGACAGTCACATCTGGGCATATATCGATACAATTTATACGCCCAAGGAAAGAGTGTGCCCCGGACAGGGGGCTCAATGGGCTGGCTTCGTTGTCGGGGCGAAGTCGAGGTAGAGAGGTACCTTCATATGCATGTACGCCCATGGACGCGTATCTTCAGCAGGACTGGTTTCGATGGGTCGTGTACCATCTTGCCATACTTCACGAAAGGAAGATAAAACACACACGTAAAGCATAATGGAAATAACAGCGCAGAAGAGCCCCGGCGGGCTAAAGGGAAAGGCGAAAGGGGAAGAAGAAAATAAATCGAAGGGGACAGACACGAAGCTATCGGGGCGGAAATACATCTGTGCTTAGGGCCTTTTGCAGGGACTTTGTTCTGCCCAGTCATCCACACCGTCTCGACCGAGGATGCAGATACTCAGTGCGGAGTACATGATTCACTTAGCTCGAGGCAAGGGCCTCAGAGTTGCAACCGTAACCCGGACCGGATTGCTCAGCGTGGCGTACCCTTTTGGCGTAACCGCCGATTGTAAACACGGCCATTACCCTGAGCATCGCGTTATCGCCCGTCGTCCCAATCCTGACGAAGGTAGGAGACAAGACAGAGAAACAATTCGAGGCCGGCCCTCGCAACGATCCATAACGATCAAGGTCAGAAGTCAGTGAGTTTTGGCCTCGTCACCAGTCGATAGTGGCTCTGGCTAGCAATGCGGAGGACAAATTAGAATTACCCGGGGTCATTCTAAGACCATTCATGCTGATAGATGGATTCAGAGAAACGCTCTCGAGCTAGGCCATCTTTACAATCAGCAATACGGCCTTTTCCTGACGATCGCGACCCAGGTCGCCGGGTCGGACAAGAAAGCGGGCATGGGTAGAGACCTTGATATGGGGAAATCACCATGGTCAGTAATAATACATAGGACTAATATAGCCATACTAATATAACAGAGACAGTCAAATCATCATCGTCGATTGGAGCCAGCCCTTTCCTAGTCGAGATCACACCATGATCACAAGCTCAAACGCTCGTCCCATTCGAGAGGGGGCGCCGGTTCAGATACTGTATTTCCCTTTTCCCGCTTGGTGCAGGGGTCTTTTCTCTCGGGACTCGAGGTACTTCTCTCTCGCTCTCTCTCTTCCCCCCCTCCTCCTCCTACTAGTCAGTGGAGAAAGGCCGAGAGGAAAAGAGGACGGTCTGCAGATGATAGACACTAATGCGAAATGGCCTGCGAGGGACCTTGCACAGCTGACCCTATAGTGATAGGTACATCTGGATTGGAGGTCAAGGAGCAGCCGGACGTATGTACCATTTCTCTCTCCCTCTTCCTCACTGGATAGCAGTGCAGCCGTTCTTGTATAGGTCTATTCATCTATACCACTACATCGTCTAGGTGTCGGTCTATAGGTACCAATGGACAGAGAATAGTCCGTACCGCAGTACCGCAGTACCTCCCGTACAGGGATTGTTTGGGACCACATTCCCGCGTTCCCCCATTCCGGTGACAATACTGTACACTGGCCATACAACCGTACGGCGTGAATCCCCTGGTAATGTTACCCTTCCATCTCTTCCGAGAGGCGTCATAGAGTTGTGGGGATTCTGGTTTCCCCCTCTCAGCTTGGGTAATGACTGGGTAATGGGTAAGATTCTCTGAGCCCATTAAAAAAAGTCAGCTCCGAGAGCCTAAAGCATACTAGTCGGTCCCCCTTCAAGTCCGTTGGCCCTGTAACGCGGCATTTCTGCTGTCTTCCCCCCCCCCTCCTCCTGGGTTCTTGGTGTCTACATATGTAGTTCGTGGTACTCCTGTACTACGATCTACTGGTGCGTGCAAGCTCGGAGGCTTGGACACAAGAGCATATAGGTGCAGGACGTCAGGCTAGGAAGAGGGAGAGTGTGTGAGTTGAGGATCTGCTGCCTGTGCGGCTGTACTTCGCTCTCACCGGCTTCGTACCGATGGCGCGTCCATTGTAGGGGTCGTGACCTCCCGCCCGCCAACCAAGGGAGTGCCCGATGATACCAAGCCCTAATCAGGATTGATTATCAATATGGGAGGTTTTCTATGATCTGGAATGGTATTCTTTCGAGGGTCGTATTCCGATGATCATATTCTCGAATCATCGATCGTGATCCTTCGCCTTTTACCTGGTCTCCCCGTCGAACATTACCGTTTCCGAAGTTGCTTTTCGTCATTGCGGGTGCCCAGTGATGTCGTCGTGGGTCAACAGGTCTTGCACGGCCACCCTCGACCCCCGACCGATGAGTATCGGTATTATTTGCCTGTCGGATACACTGATGGTGAAACAAAACAAGCCCTAACAGGCAACACGGGCAAAAAGGGGGAAAGGGAACAGAGCACATATGGCGGTATAGTCAAGTAGATTGCACTATGATAACCCACGATTTCCGAGACGCCCTTGAGCAACACCACAACTTCAACAACAATATGCCATCAAGACCTTTGAACACCATATCATCAGAAGACCGAAAACAAAAAGAAACCCCCTTCCCCCACCCCCCAAAAAATAGAAAAATAGTTCAAGAGCAAGCATTTAGTCATCACTTTCATCCAGAACGAGCCTCCGGAGAGTGTCATCGTCCGCCCAGTTGAGCCCGCTGCCGACCACCATAGCACTAGCAATATTCTTCATTATCTCCCATTTGGCTTTACTCGCTTTGTGCTCAGCTTCTAATCGATTCAGCTGTGATACCATATTGGCATCCTGAAGTTGCTCTCGCCAGGACGAATCTTGCTTCGTGAGTTCTAGCAGCTCGCGCACCAGCGCCTGGTTGTCTCGGTTGATCTGGATATTCTCCACCTCTGCATCAGATAGCTGCTGGAGGACCCGGTCATGAGCCGAGGCTAGATTCTCCTGGGCCAGGGCCAGGATATCGCGGCGATTAACGAGTGGAAGGAGGGCGCTGGATGAAATGATTAGCCGGGATCAACACCACCGCTAGAGGCTCTTGGCAGCATCGGGAATCGGGCAATTAGAGAGCAGATACGTGCCGTTCGGGAGGCGTGGTGGCCTTCAGGTGAACGGCTTTCAAGACGGGGTCCGTCATGAGGATCGTGCGGGCGGCGGTCCTCCTGACGGCGTATGTCGCGCGCGCCTCCAGGAACTCGCGTTCTGCGACCGCAAGCTGTTCGTCCACATGGTCGCCCGAGAGAACCTCCGGCTCTACAGGATAAGCATCTGTATTAGTAGATAGACAATAGAGAGCGAAGTCAAAAGACATGAGCGTTGCAGAATATGAATGCCAGCAGGGTTCCCCCGCGGCCAATGCAAGCATTGGACCTGGACCGTCGTACCTTGCTCCAGTAGTGCTTTTTCGAGCTGCTGTTCGTGGATTTGGCTGGCAAGCTGCAACACCAGCGCCTCTTTGTCAGACAGCGTCACCACATCTCGGACGTCATCTGCGGCGTAGTCCAGCAGGGTCGTCTCTGCTGGGAGCAGGTGAGGCACGGCCTGGCCATTTATGGTCGCCATGAGATCGCGTGGAGGGTGCCTTGTGATATGCGCGGAGGCGGTGGGGAAATCGTCCTCATTTGGGGAGCTTCAGCCTTCCCGCTCTTAAGTCGTCACCCTCGCCTGCGTCTCTTGAGCTTGAGCGGTGGCGAGGAGGGGGATTATGTCGTTGCACGTTTACATTGCTCACTCGGGTGAGCATTTGCTGGTGGATCCAGTGGCCTTTGCTTCGTATGTGCCCGCTTCCCCGGAATCTGAGGCCGGAGCCCAGGTTCCGTCGTGCTGCACGCTGACCATTTATACCATCATAGACCCGACGCGCTGAAATCATGGATTCTTCGAAATACTTCTATTCCTTCCTCGAGACAGATATTGATGACTGCCCGGGGCAAGAACGTCAAGACCCAGACACTGGCCACAGAGGTATGCCCATGCCATTCCCGTGCGATTCTCATCCAATATCCATACAGCCGGACCGCACTCAGGGTAGGAGGAGCCGAGATCACTGACAGGATGCGAATCTAGACCGAAATCTTCGTATATGATCGTCAATATGTGAGCGAACCCGGCGACTTCGAGCTGCCCGAGCTGCCCGCCCCCGAACCATTCCAACCCAGCAACCCTCCAGCCTCCCTCACGGACCAGAACGACCTCCAAGCATGGCAGAACCTCTTCATGACCCGGCGGACGTGGGCACTGGATGTGTCTTCTCGTTGCGGAACGATCGACAAGAACATCCGCGAGCATAGCGAGCGAGCGGATGTCATCAATCGCGCGGTCGGCGTCGCACTAGAGAACCTCAAATCCCACGTGGGGAATCTCGAGCATCGCTTCCAAGAAGCACAGGCTTGGGCGAACAATCTTCTAGAGGAACAACAGGCTGCGCTGGATGGCTGGCAGCGCGCTCTGGCCACACTCGATAACATTCCGGCTCGAAAGGACTTCCCGATGCTGGGACGCCCGTCCACGCCAAAGAAAGATAAGGACCGACCGACAGGGACCCTGCGAGACTTCGTCGATATTGATGAGGTTCAGCAAGCCGGAGTCGAAGCGGCCGCGGTGTCGCCACGCTTCGCAAGTCAGGTACAAGAGATCGAGAAGACCGTCAGCAATATTGCCTCTGATACAGAAGCGTTGATCAATGATGTGCTTCCAACTCCAGCCGAATGCGACGGTGGACTCCTCGAAGAAGTGGAAACGATCGTCAAGAAGATTGGATCTGACTACGAACATGTCCTCGGCCTAGCCAGCCATCAAAAAGTGCTTGCGAACATCTCCCGTCTGGCACTCAACCACACCCAAAACCTGCTTCCATCGCTCCAGGAGCTTGGCAAGGACCTCCAAAGAGACCTGGAGCAAGCAGTACAGCGTCGAGGGATCACTGAGAAGACGGCTCTACAGCATATGCGCATTATTTCGTTCATTGAGTCACGCCTTGCGGAGGCTCACAACCAACTAGTCAACCTAGATGTGGACAGCAATTCATTTGACGTCGTCTACGGTGTTTTTCAGATGCCAATGATCTACGGCTCGATTTTAATTGAATCTGTTCGGCGACGAGAATGGAACGATAAAATCAAGACCGATTCGTTGACTCTCGCAGAGGAAATGGCAGTCTTGAGAGATGAGGAGCAGCGTCGAAGGAAAAAATGGGTCAAGTCTATGGGCGATTTTATCTCATTCGGCGACACCACGACACCCGGTATTGAAGTCAACCTCCAAGGCCAAGATGACGACTGGCCGGAAGTGACACGCAAAGAGATCGATGCTTATATTGAGGATTTAAATTCCAAGCACAACTTATCCAATGTTGCTGAGGACCTGACTCAGCTTTTCAAAGAATTAGATACTCCAACCCGCCAGCAAAGACGACGAGCAAAGGCTTTTAAAAACGGGAGCGTTTTCGACATGAGCCGAAGCTCTATGCTATTACGGGGTGATGATATGGTTCGAAGCCTCCAGGAGGAGAAGACGAAGCTCGAAGAACGGCTTAAAGGGTCTGATAGTCGCATCCGCAAACTCGAAGACTTGCTTCATCGTCAAAGTCACCTCGGTCGTCCTTCCAGTGGGCAATTTGGGCCGGATTTTCCGAGCTCGCCCGCCTCACCGCATCCAGACGCTCTTTCTCGACGTTCGTCCATTTCGTCAAGACGAGTTTCAATGACTCAGTCTCCAGAAGACCGAGCCCTTGTGCAGCGTATTGTATCACTGGAAGCCGAGCTTGCCGTTGAAAAAGATACTGTGCAGAGACTTCATAAGGAAGCCCATGCTGAGCGTCAATCGAACACGGACAAGTTTCAGGAGGCTCAGTCTACCAAGGAGGATCTCATTGGAAACCTCGAGGCGCGCCAACGTGAGTTCGAGGATGAACGTAAATACTTGGAATCGGAGGCCAAAAGGTATAGGCTGCGTGTGGAAGAGGTTGAAGAGGAGCTCGACAGGCTCATGGACAGCCGCGAACACGACAGACACGAGGCTGATGAACGGATCCAACAACTTGAGGCCGATTTACAAAGCGCCCACACGACCTCTGCAGAGGAAGCCCAAAGAGCCATCGATCTGAATGAAAAGATCCAATCTCTGCAGAGCGAAGAACAAGTCCTTCGGTCCAAAGTCAACGATTTTGAACGTCAGCGTGGCGATTGGGATAAAAAGGATCAGGATCACTATCATGCTCTCCAGGCAGCTTTCATGAACTTGTCCCCAGGAGGTTCTGTGCCTGTCGAGCTTCCTGGAATTATCAAAGCTATTGAGATTCTGTCAGAAGGCTTGGCAATCCATGCCAGGAGTGCCGAAGCGAGTGCTTCAAAAGCATTGGCTGAGAACAAGTCTCTCGAAGAGCGCGTGACACAGCTGGAACTTGAGATAGAAGGACAAGCAAAACTGGTCAACGAACGAGGAACTGAAGTCACCCGTCTCACAGAAGAGTTGTCGCAAACGCAGATAGCTTTAACTGCCGCGAAAAATGATCTGGATCAAGAGCTGTCGAGACTGAATACCTTGCAATCCAAATTATCTGCTGGTGAAAGCGGCACCGATGCATTGCGGGAACAGATCGCTGAGGAGCAGCGGAAATACGCCGAACTGTCACAGAAATTGGCAGGAGCGGAATCCGATACTCTAGATTTCAAGAAGAAAGAAGCAGATTGGGAGAACAAGCTCAATGTGGCATCAGAGGCAGAACGACAAGCCGTGACCCGCTATGAAGCCCGAGGTACCAAATCCCATGAACTTTCCAAACAGCTTTACTCGCAAGTCGAGAAGCTAGAGCGGATGCTGGAGCAACTGGGTTTCGCAATCATCCAGCAGGACGGCCACCTTGTTATCCAGCGCGCATCCAAACTCAGCGCCTCCTCTACCCTTGGCGAAAGCATTGCCCAATCTGGTATCGTTTCTGCAAAGCCCGATTCCGCTCTGCTAGATTGGATGCACGCCGAAAGCCCCAGTGAAGAGGAGACCAAGTTTGCAGCCTTTATGGAGAGCTTGTCTCATTTTGACGTCTCTGTTTTCGGGGATGTCGTTGTCAAACGCGTCAAGGACATCGAACTACTAGCTCGGAAGTGGCAGAAAGAAGCTAGAGCCTATCGTGAAAAGTATCATCGGGTTCAGAGCGAAGCTCATGAGAAGATTGCCTATCGCTCCTTTAAGGAAGGAGACCTGGCCCTATTTTTGCCAACTCGAAACCAGGCCATCCGTTCTTGGGCCGCATTCAATGTTGGCGCACCGCATTACTTTCTCCGTGAGCAGGACTCGCACAAGTTGCATACTCGCGATTGGTTGCTTGCGCGCATCAACAAGATTGAAGAGCGCGTTGTTGATCTTTCAAAGTCCATGAACCTGAATAATAATGCGCCAGATCGGCGATCGATCGGAGATGTCAGCGACGGTGCCTCTCTTGATGACGATAATCCCTTCGAGCTGTCCGATGGCCTTCGCTGGTACCTCCTCGACGCAGCAGAAGAAAAGCCCGGTGCGCCCGCAACCCCGGGCATCGCCAAGAGTACCGTCGCTTCGGCGCATGTTGATGCCAAGGGTAGTATCCGACTCAAGCGCCCAACTGAGGAAAGCACCGTCGCTCAGACGCTGTCCAAAAGCCTCGAGAGTCGCCGCAACAGTTCCAACTCCAAACGGGGTACTCCCACACCTTCCACAAAAGCCAACGACTCAGCTTCCGATCTAGTCCGCTCCCCGGATGTAAATGCCGGCTCTCAGCCGCGAGAGACGGCCCCGATTTTCGACGAGGTTCGCCGTGACCTGCTCCTTGGCCCGTGAAAAGTAGGATACCGATCTCTAGCTTTTCCCGGGTCCAGTTTTTGAGGGTTTTTGAAAGAGCTGACCCTGTTTTCTTTCATACCTAGGCTGAGAATCGAGCTCCCGATCCCGGCTTAACATCAATCCCACATCCAAGAGTGAGTGAGGTCAGCATGTCCCCGACATCCCCATCTTCCCGGTCGACCTCGAGCCGTCGTGGTAAGCCGCGGCCTTGGGAAAAGTTGTGGTCCGTTGATTATCGGTTTGAAGATGGCGCGCAATAAAATAGCGCGGTACAGAACCTCAGGAGCATCTGAATTTTTGCAGTCATCGCATACTTTGTCTTTTTTTTTTTTTTTCTTGTTAATTTGCTTTTGATGCTTCCTTCTATCTATTTTGTTCGTATGGTTTATTTTGGTCTCCAGGCAATGCGCATGCCTACGTATGGCCGAGGGACTCCATTTATGTATACCCTTGATGGGGCTTAGTTTGATGAGATACCCAACAGTACAAAGCATATTCATTCTTTTGAATACTCTTGATTGAAATGAGTTCCGATCCGCTTTTCCGTCCAGATAGTGAAAATAAATCTCGTCCGCGTACTCGAGAAGCAGCTCTTCACGATGGGACGACCTGAACTCTACAAACTACAGTGTATTAAATGCGAAAAAAATGGAGAGACAGAAAGACAGCACATGCACCCTTCTTGCTTGATCATCTTAAACTGTCTAAAATTAGTCGTGATATCTGCTTCTTTAAATTAAGCAAACCCGGTTCACACCGGTAGCTGGTGAACCTTTTTTTTTTTTTTTTTTTTTTCTATAAACGAAACGTCTGTTAATTGGACTACAGCAAGGAAATTTGACACCAGGGTACCGGATTTGGGAACTGCGCAGAAACATATCCGTATGTCTCACCTCTTTAGGTAAAATTGAATATCCCTCCTAGTTTACCGAAGTAGTTTGCTAATACTATTATACGATCTCCTGTCTATAGAGGCGTCGAGGATAGCAATCGGGATGTGTATGGCATTTCTTTACAGTACCAGGGGATTCACAAAGAACAATCAATATCAGGATTTCCTTAGAGGGGAGACTTGAAAATGGGTTAGCGACCCTGGTTTGGGTTGCAAAGAGACGATTCGTATCCATAATGGAGCGATTGGTAATTTTCATGGTTATGTTGGTTCTTGGGGAGGACCACCTGATGCTTGGTTCTGTCCTGAGAAGCGTATACTGTACTAGTATCGAATTGATTGTCCTGGGAAGTCGAAGCCCATCAACTTTACAGTAGAACGGAATGCCAAGATTTGCCAGACACTATCCGGTATATATGAATAAAGAGACCGCCAGATCGAAGTATACTAAAGCAAATGTCATGAGGACACATCGTCAACGCCAGCCATGCCACCTAGATCATCCCAGAATTGACCAAACTCCACATTCTCCTCCTCGAACATTTGCTTGGCTTGCAACATCGCAGAACGCTGCCTCTCAGGCGTGAACCCACCGGGTTGTGAGCTCTCCCACTGGACAAGCTCCACCCAGCGGAAGAACAGGTCCTCTTTGCCCATAGCCGTGAGTTTATCTCTGAAGGCGAGGATCTGATCTCTCTGCGCAGAACGTTGAGGCGTGTTCTCGTCCTCGACACGCCAGATCAGCCAGCCATCCGCATCAGTATGGACGAGCACGGCCGTACGGAACTCATCGAGCTGCACGCCCTCGCCCTTGCGAGTCAAATCAACCAGGGCGTGCGCTCGCACCATTGCGCTGTAGTCCAAATTCCAGTCCTCATCCACCAGTAAGTACCCTGTCTTGCCGACGCGCTCCGGCGTAACAGCCGCGACAATCTTGTCGCGCATAGCTTCGTTGTCGCGAATCCACTTGTTGCGCTCGAGCTTGCGGCTCCAGTTGCGGTGGCTGCGGCGAACGATGATCTCACGGTCCCGAAAGCCCACCGCGCGGCGCCAGCGCACCGGTCCTATTATGAAATAAATCGGCCAGGTCAGGAACAAAGTGACGAGGAAGTAGTCGATCAGGACGGCGCTTATCCGCTTGAGGATGATCTTTGCTATTTCGGTCCACGGAGTTATGGCTGTGTCCACGCTCAGGGAACTCTCCATCCCTAGCAGCATCATTAACATGGCTGGGTAGGTGCTGATGCCCATATAGACACGTAGTCCGACCACGATGGCCACCACGACGTTCACCGCAGCGGGAACGATAAAGGTCTGCCATTTCAGATCTGTTGCGGTCGTGTCGATGTGTACCAGGTATACTTCCTCCGAGGACAGAGGCTCGACAAAGGGTTTGAGTATGGCCGGAATCTTGTTGAATGGAGGGATCGGGCCAGTCACTGAGCTGGGGGTTGAAGTTCCCGATGAGGCCGGTGTTGAGCCGGGCGTCTTCCGACGAGAAGACTTCGTCATAGTGGGTGTATCTGGATATGGCCTCAACTCGGAGATACTTTTGCTGAACCTGGTTGTGTCACCTTGGAAGTTTCTTGTGGGGGGCGCACAGCAGCCCGGACGGTTTTATCGTGTTGTCGTCGATTCAAGTAGATGGTCAGTGCAAGTGAACGGGTCACATGTCACAGTAACGAGTCACTTGCTCTGCGGCGGGCGATGCTCGCATGATTCCGCGCTCGCAGACACGAGGGAAAAGACAGTAGCCAGTAGGCAGAGACGGCACCAGTGGCGTCAAAGTGTTTGACCAAGAACCGAGTCTGACGAGTGGGAAAGGGGAGGTGGGAAGACTGAAGTCGAAATTGAAAACACGCAACAAGTGAAGCTGTTGCTGGCCGCTCTAAACCCCTTCGGGAATGCGGAAGCCCGCCGGTATTTACGTGAATGCCGCATCGTCAAAGCAAACATACCTAGGGTAATTTCAGCTCACGATAACTACACTTCCATGTGGGCGCGACATCACCCACTGATATTTGACTTGTTGTGCTAGAGGGAGGGGATCTCTTTCCTCTGTCGCCATGTCAACTCCTCCTCGCAAAACCGACCGAGTCTCTCTCGCGCGTCTCCATCACCCGCAATCTCCCTTTGGTCGCGCGCGAGACGCAAGCTACGAGTTCGACCTTGAGAATTCCAATTTCCCGACTCCATCCAAGCAGAATGCTACGCGTCCCCGACACAGCTATCGGACCGGTACTCTAGCGGGCGCATATCGAGCGACCTCGCGCACGAGCATGTCCGACGAAGCTACTGGACTCGGACTGTCCACCAGCCCACGAATGGGTCGCGATTCCGTTGTCTTGCGCTCGCCCTCCTCGCAGACGTCAAACCCACCCGAAGAACTTGTCGACGCATACAGGAGAATTGAAGAGGATGGGACCCTTGCTGACTTTGTGTCGCTGGATGGCTGGGATGCTCATCTGGATGGGCGCCCGGCAAGTCGCTCGTCGCCAAGGTCAAAAATGAGAGAAAGAGAATACGAAGGACGCGCATTTTCGGAGGCTGGCTTCCTGGAAGATTTTGCAGAACAGTCACCACGCCCAGGGAGAAGGACTAGCGATTACACCAGAGATGAGCAGCGCCTGCGACGTGTCACGGGCAAGGACTCGCCGGTGTTCAGCAAGGGGACCGTCGGCGCACGATCTGCTTTGACAGCAGAACATCTACAACGACGTGAAGACGAGGAGCTGCACCCCGAGCCAGAAGATGATGCAGGAGAGAAAGGCCCATCATTGAACCTCCCGCGTACATGGGGCAGTCGAGCAACCCGCCGGCAAGAATGGCTCAGGAATGTCAGTGGAGGTTCTGAATCGGAGTCACGAGAACTAAAGGGGGAGAAGAACACATCAAGTAAAGCTCCAGCACTCAGGATGAGACCCGAAAACGATTCAGCCCCGAGGCCTTCAGTCCGCCCTTCTAACCGGTCCTCGGAACGAACCCAAATCCCCGCCCGAAGCGCTCTCGGAGAAAGAACGGCCAATTTGTACACTCGCGATGGACAAGAGAACAGTGAGGAAAAGACCTCTGGTCCGGACCAGAACGTAATCACGGATGACGGTGCTGCTATCCCGAACACTCCCATCGTTGTCTACAAGAATTCGAAATTCACTAAGCCGAGTCCGACGAAACGAGATTCACAGGAGCTCCTTCGCAAGCTATCAAGAGCCGAAAGCCCCAAACTCGGCCAGATCCAAACTCCTGATCCACCGAAGCTCTTCGAAAGAAGAATCTACGACAAAACCCCAAGGGTAACTGGCGCATGGATTGATACACCGATGACCGAGCGAGTGGCCGAGAAGGTTCCGGAACTTCCTGCAGATTTGACCAAAAATCTTGGTCCAGCATCGGTGGACCTTCCAAAGGAAACAGAAGATTCGACACGACAAGAAAAGCCGACGGCAGTTGTCACTTCGCAGCCAGAAGAAATTAAGCCTGAGCTAAGCCCGCCAAGCACTATTGAATATCTAGACTCTGAGATGCAACCAGCGAAGAGAAACAGGCCGCTTTTAGCTCGACCGAAACTGCCAAAAAGTGGCCTGGAAACCGTCATTGAAGATGTTAATTCTGGCAAGGAAGCACTCGATCTGGGAGATGATACTCTCGAATCTCTCCAGGCTATCATGGATGACAAGACTGAATTGAAAAGTGAAGAAGAGGAGGAAGTGGCTTATGAACAAGAAGTACTTGAGAGGCTTAGGCTGACTAGTTCGAACGGGCATGACTCGGTTGATCTCGACCGACTGAACGAGAAGCTCCAGTCGTTGATGAGGAACATCAACGAGGTAAAGAATGGTCTTAATAGCCTTGAAGGACATGTTACTAGGGATATCGCCATCGCGGGACGGCCTACATCTCCAATAAAAGAGCGCCAGCAGGGCGTGCACCCTCACGACAGCGAACACTGTGAGAAGTGTGTCCATTCTGACGGTCGTATCTACGCGGCTATCCCATTCCCTCGTCTCTGGAAGCGCAATGCAGCCAGCCGGCGGGTCCAGCTCACCCATTTGGGCTTGTTCACTGTCGTGTCGCTGACCTGGTATGTTATCGAGTGTGTGATGTGCGAGCAGTACTCTCATCCGATCATCTCCGATACATGCGATGGCTATTGCCTCCAGCCGGATGCACCTTGGTTCCCCTTTGTGACTGTGACCATGCTCTGGCGATGGTCTCATTTGTCGGCTGTCCTTGCACCCGTAATGACAATCGCCGTCGCCATCTTCCGACTTGTGGCGCAACTGCTGGGTCTGTGGGATGGCTACGTTGATGAAGGGCCCCGGTTGAGTAACATTGTCGGAGAGGTCCGCATTAACGGTACTCCCGTCGCGTTTCCCTGGCTGTTACCTCCAGGCAAGAGTGGTGCACCCCCTCCACTGGCATCTCCACCGCCCCAGCCTGCATGGACTCCACGCACCGAAGCACCCAATGGAGATGAAGACCAAGGGTCTATGGATGATGACGAATATGTTTAATAACTATATCCCGGGGCTGATGGTGCATTCAAAATGGCGTTCAATTTCTGCTTTTTTCCCTGGCTATTTTCGTAAAGATGGTTCTGCTAGGCAGTTAGGCGCTTATAATTACAGCTATACTTAGTAGCGACATCGAATATGAATAATATCACTCAAAAACTCATATTTGGTTGTCTCATTGATACAAGAATTCTCACACTTTGATAATGGGCGCTGCAGTGAACCAGCCGTTTTAGAGTCGAGTATTCTTAAGGTCAGAAGAGTATATCATCATGGTGCTTCTTTGACCTCCATTTGCGATCTAGGTCGCTCCCATGCCCCCTCACAAATCGCCGCCATTTGGTTGTGATGGTAATTTATCGAACATATGTCCATTTGCAAGATCGAAATCATAAGAGCCTTATGGAAATAGGTTTGTAGCAGCAATTGAAAGATCTAACGACGTCATTAATAGTATCAATGGAAGATGAAGGCAGCGAATCATTCAATGTGGAGAGGATTTCCCAGCTCGACCTGCACAAAGATAAAGCGAGATAGCTGAAATGAGAAACTGAATGATTGGGTCACCGTAGAATTGACGCTGAATTCGCTTTTTTTATCATTGAGCGACTAAATTAAGTTCGAAGGTCGGCCTGACCATTGCAGGGGAACACAGTGTTAAGGTCCTCAGAAGGCCGGTGATTATCCTTGCCTTCCCTTGACAATGAGGTTCGTAGTTGGGTCTATGATCTACGATTTTCGAGTACGCAGTTTTCTTTTCTAACAGTAGCATCCTTAATTATCTCTAAAATTCGGAGATATTCAATTTGATGAACGCTTCATGTCTTCAGATACTACGCAGAACCCCTTTTTCGTCCTTGTGCCAGTGCTAGTCGATCACGATGCCACTGAGTCCATCGTTAGCATCCTAATCAAAAGACCTTTTGGATAAATGCTATCAATTATGAAAGAGTAGCGTTGCACTTACCTCGCCACAAGATATAGGCTCGAAGAGAGCCGGGTGCTCCTCATCAATGCATGTGGTTACAACCTTGCACACGGAATCGGGATTAAATCCAAAGAAAAATGGCATCGAGTATCGCGATGTTGTCTGCCGGTTATATACTCTATGCACGGTGGATCTGAACATATTATTTGAGAGCCGCTGCAAAAAATCTCCGATGTTTACGACCAATGTATTGGGAATCGGCAGCGTATCTAACCATTCATCGCTTGCGGATAAGACTTGTAATCCACCCGAGTTGTCCTGCCATAAGAGCGTAATACACTGGATATCAGTGTGGGAGCCAATCCCAACATCTAGAGTGGCCTCGGAGGCTCCCGACTCAGGCGATCCAGGATAGTGTACGTAAAGACCATCGGCACCAGGGTGCGTGGTTACGGCGTCGAAATAGTCTTCAGGCATATCAAGAGCCAGCGCGAAGATGCGGATTATCTTGCGAGCAAGACTGAGGCGGCGTTGCCAGAACTCGATGGTAATCTCCCGGAAACCTGGGATATGCTGAGTCCCTTCCCATAGAAATTCGTCGTTACCATATGCATATGCTTCATTGGCGAGGAAAGGCCCCGAATCAGATATCCTTGGGTCATGTGCAGGATTATAGCGCATTGAAAAGGTTTCTTTTCGGTCTATATGAAATCAATTAGAGAGTACCAGAGTATTGGAAGTAGCATAGAGGTGCTAGCACGTACCTCTGGTTTCCGATTTATTGATTTGAGTACTCCGCAAGCTATGAAAGCCAACGGCATCTTTGCTCTTCTTGCTCGACACCAGATTCTTTTGCTCATTAGTCTGGTCGAAGAATGCTTGCGCTTTTTCCAGAGCTTTCTGAATCAAATCTTCGGGGATACCATGGTTTCTGATATAGAAAAATCCAGTGTTCTTCGCGGCTGATCTCACCCGAGCCGCAATTAATTTTCTAGCCTCGAATCCATCGTCAATAGTGCTGAGGTCGATGATCGGTATTTCATCTTCGGTGGGCAGTCGAGGGGGTGCAGTTGAAACTCGCCGAAACTCTGCTCCGTGAAGAGTGAGCAGTTCTATCTGAGTGTATTCGGCCACTGGTGTTGCGGCTGTCATATTTGGGTAGGTCGATGAATTCAACTGCGGGGTAGTTCAGGATTGGGTATAAAGTTCTTGATTGTGGTGAGATATAAGGTCAGACCCAAGGACTTGGTTACGGAAGCTAATAGCGGCAGAAAATATCAAGTACCTTCCCATGCATGGCGCATTTTCTAGCTAGAATTCAACGAGTGTAAATAATTGGAAGACACCAACACCTCACAAACACTATATACCGTTTTTGTGAGATTCTGCTTACACTGGTCTGCTACTTTCAAGCATTGAATTCCTCTCTCCTGGTAATACATTTGCCTACACTTAATTTTCAGCACATCATCCGTACCTCATGGAAGCTTTCATAGGTCTATGTAAATTCATCTGGAGCAAGCGCAATGGTGGAGTAAAAGGATAGTAAATGCCGGGGATCAGGAGCTCTTTAAAGGGAATGTATAAGTGTTCGTTGGGTAATTCAAGAATCAGGGTACCTTCCAGAACTGCCTGGAAAGTAATTCAATCCATAGTATATTCTTTGCAATGAAGTCTTGACTGTCAACTGGCTACGAAGTAAAACTCCCCTTTGCAATGCGCCAAGGAGCTGCAGATGTTTGTTTTTCGAGGAACCACAGAGCCAATGGATCTAGGTGTCACAGAATCATTGCGGGAGCTGTTGCTGAAGAGATCTATGAATCTAACATTGCGCCAATTTTATTATATCTCATTGAGGGCATTGTGACCCATCCGGATAGGCTTAGCGTGGGGCGGGAAAATGGCAAAGGGGGAAGACCTCGGAAGATCGGAGGACCATGTTTAGAAGCCCATGATTGTTGTGCCTTTCAATTATCCCTTCTAATAACATTCTGATCCTTTTTTTCCCGCGATTGATTTTCCGAGAAGATCTTCAGAAACGTGTGATGAAGTCTAATGCCACTCCACAAGCGTCCCAGATCATAATAGCTGTTCGTGAATCAATATCCGAGAAGAGGGTCGTGGTGATTCGGTCGTCTCGGTTATTCTTCCATCCAGAACTCATTCAGTTGACCGAACTCGATTTGAGGTAATTTCCGCGTGCAGATAAGGATTGCCCAGACTTTCCAGCAGAGCGTCTGGGCTTCCTGGCTTCGTGGCGCAACCGGGGCCACCCAAACTTAAATCTCCCTTCAATCGAAAGCCCTAGTCAGCACAGGATTTCGGAAGGATCGAGAGAAGCCACCGGCGCAATACTCAGCCGGGACCTTGTCTTGGAATAAACCAATTTTAAGTTTCTGTTTTCACTCTCGGTGGGGGCTTTGAGCTCCTCTTGAATCAACTATTTCAACCGACAAGGATTCGTTGCCCTTAGGGTTTTTAGTAGGAGGGCTCCGGCCCCCCGCTCACACCAATGGCATTGCCCACTCGGCTCCTGAGACAAGCGTCGAATTTATCGCAAATTTGAGCGTCTCAGATGGCTGGCAGATACTGACACTTGCAAAAGAACGCTTCAAGAGCAATTTCGCAGCAGGACAGCCCCAACATATTCGGGCTGACTGTACTCATGAGTTTGTATAGTTCTCTCAGCGGGATCATCCTCTACTAGGCATGATCACCGATTTGCAATCGGCCGGGAATCGAGATCAAAAGTGGAACCGGCCACAATGAATCGTAGATCTTGATACAGTCGAGACGACACGGACTCCTGTGTACAGTAGCATTGCCACATGGCTTGGCCCCCTCCTCGGTCCACTGTTCGTTCTAGCTTGCTGTTAGTGCCCGGTCTAGTGCTCGTTCGAGATGAGACGATCTAAACTAGCTGGACTGCCGCCAGAGTCGTGCTCTCCTCCGCCCCTCCAAGTCCTTTTTCCTTTTCTTGAGATCCTCAGAAGAAATCTCCTGTCCTTGCAATCATGCCTGCTCCGGCAGAAGAAGCCATTCGCACGGTTTCAGCCTTGGCTACGCAACTCGGCAACCAAATTTCGGTTTATATGCTCAACTACCTCAGCACCACCAATGACCTCCCCGACGGCTTCCGCGAGCTTTCACACACTTTCCTCGATACTTGTCGTACTCTCTGGGCCATTGAGGCTGGCGTGACCGAATTAGCTGGCGCCAACCGCGCACTCCCCGAGGTCATCATAAACGAGGTGGAAAAGAAATTCGTCGCTGCCTACCGTGATTTTCAACATCTTGAGAAGGTGATTTTGAAGCTCGTGCAGTATGAGCACCGTGGGACACTTGGCAAGCTCCAGCGAGGATGGCATCGCCCGGGTCACGAACTCAACCGCATTCATGAGTCGCTCAAGAAAACCAATGAAACCCTCCAGATTAGTGGTATGGCTTTTCACTGGTCTCTGGGTGAAGCCCACCCGGAGGAATCGGTCGGCATTGGATACGCCAGTTTGGCTGCTGCGCTCGACCGCATAGCCAAAGGCCGATCGGTGATGGGCATCAACAAGGTTATGGCCATCGAACATGACCAATCTGTATCATCTTTCAAAAGCGTATCGCCCAATTCTATACACTCATCACCATCCGTACCCCCCAAGGAATCGCCCGCCACTCTCCGAAGTAGCCCGAGATATCTTGCGGCCAGAGAATCGAGTCAAGACAATACACACGATCCCGAAAGTATCGCGGACGACATGTCATCGATCCTCTCCCTGAATTGTTTTCTTAATTCTCATCCCAGTCAAGAGGCGGAGACATCCCCCCCCCTTGAGCATCGGCCGTTGCCGCCACATCCAACCAAGACAAGTTCGGCGGCCTCTCTTGCGGAAATAAACACGAGACGGGTTATAGACTTGGATCCTAGTTCAAGGAAATCTGGAAAGCCTGGACCATTGACATCAGATGCGTTTTCAAAGCCGCGTCATGTACCCCACCAGTCGATACCTAGTGGTGGCCCTAAGCCGCGCACTAGCATTGCATCCGCCCTGCGTGGGCGTGATCATACTTTGCTCGAACAGCTACTCAGTAGTGGGATGTCACCGGACAAGCAGGACCATTTTCATCCGCTCAACGAAGCTGTCATCCAACGCGACATTGAGAATATACGGCTCCTATTGCTCTTCAAAGCGAACCCAAACATTCCAGATTCCCAGGGGAAAACGCCGCTTACTTTGACTGTAGAGCAGACATTCGTGGATGGTGCGGTATTATTATTACAGCACGGCGCCGATGCAAACTACAAAGTGAAGGGAGAGCTTGAGTCACTCCTGGCCGTTTCTATCGCCAACAACAATCTTGAGCTAACGCAATTACTTCTTGCACATGGTAGCAATCCGAATGAGGAGACCCGCAATGGCACAAATTTGTTGATCGAGGCCATCCGCGAGCGGACATCGCATCACCTGGTCGAGATCTTGCTAGATGCCGGCTGCGATCCCAATTATAAAGACAACCAAGGCAAGACTGCGCTGTGTGAGGCGGTACAAAGCGACCAGCCAAGCATTGTGAAAGCTCTACTGGACCATCACGCGAATCCAAACCTACCAGGTCCTGAGCATGCACTCTGGTCCGCTGTCCACCACCCAGACTGTCTGCACATCCTGCTCTCACGCGGCGCCGATATACGAAAGACACCTGGTATTATGGAGCAGGCGACAAGTGTCAACAGTATTGATGCCGTTGGCGTCTTGCTAGAGGCGGGCGTTGACCCTAACTGCAAGAAGGACGGAACATATACGCCACTGTGCTCGGCCATCCGTGATGACCGACCAGACATTGTCGCGTTGCTACTCAGCCATGGAGCCGATCCCAATTTAATGGCGTCCGAGTATCCAGCTTGGAAATGCATCACCCACAATCGCCTACACTTCCTTCCAGACCTGGTGACAGCGGGTGCGGACCTCCGCTATCCGCCAGGCATCGCCGAATGCGCCGTGCAGTTTAATAACCCAGAGGCCCTACACTGGGTTGTGGAGCAAGGAGGCGCCAACCCCAATGATCGTAACGACCTAGGCCGCACAGCTCTCACCACCGCAATCCGCGAGAATCGCCCGGAGATGGTGAAGTGGTTGCTGGCACATGGCACCGATCCCAGCATTCGTGGGCAAGACTGGCCCGTGTACATGGCGACCCGGTCGCCGACGTTGTTGCGGCTCTTATTGCCCGCCATCACTGACCTGGCCGCGCACAAGGGCGTCATGGAGAAGGCGGTGCAGGCGAACCAACTGGAGAGTGTCAAGTTACTGCTAGCAGCCGGCGCTAGTGTTGAGTGGAAGAATGGCGGCGTCTTCTCGCCCCTAACAACGGCGCTGCGCGAACGTCACTCGGCTATTGTGCATTTCCTCTTGAGCGAGGGCGGCGCCGATCCCAACGCCCCTGGAGAACATTTGCCAATTGTCAAGGCAATACGGCGGTGCGACGATGGTGATTTTTCAATGATCGAGCTGCTTCTCGAAAAGGGCGCCGACCCGAACAAGTGCTATCGGGGCTGGAATTCGATTATGCAGACCATTGAAAACCGTGATCTCCGGCTCCTGCAGCTTCTAATTGAGAAAGGCGGTCCTGTTGATTTCACACAGAAAGACGAAGCAGGTCAAACGGTCCTTGATATGGCTGAGGCTTCCGGCTGGCCGGAAGGGACTCAGCTTTTGCTCAAGAACGCTCGCTCAGGATAATTTCGTTATCGTCTGGGTAACCTCTTTGAGCCTTCTATGGCATTCAAGCTGTTGGAGCCAAATGCTGTGAATCATCATATATTACCTCCTTGAAAGTCTTCCAATTCTGTAACTATTCAAAACGAATTATGTAATGTTTTATGTATGTGAAGCTAGTTAGTCGGGAGTTTTGGGCCATTTTTTAGCACATGTTTGATGCAGTTGCCAGGGGACATTGAGAATTACATTCAGGGAACGTTCGAAGACAATACCAACGTCAGTGAGCTTTTTTGTGACAGAAATAATTAGCGACGCTACCTTGATTGTTAAAGTACTCATTAGAAAGTCGACCGGATCTAATTTATCTATAAATTTGATAATTCATTCTCGTTAATACATACGTCGTTGTAGAGGAACATTGGGCCCTCTTTCCTTCGCTCTTTATGCACCAGGAACCATTGGGTCATGTGCGACCCAAGGCTCACAAGTAGAATGTGCGGATCTCTAAGACCAATCACACGTGCCTGTAATGGATCCATATCCACCTCTGTTGCCTATAATAGCCAGGTACCAGGTCCGCCTCAGCTTATTGGCTATTTATGGAGCAGTAATTAAAGAAGGCCTAGAATTTGATATCTTCTTTTCAAACTGGCCAATGATGAAGAAGAAAAATGCATAATGAGTGATTTCTGCACTATCGAGAAAACCAGAATCGGGTTGAAACGGCCAATCATTGAGAGATAGTAAGTTATATGCGATAATTATTGGCTAGTTATGCAGCAATGCACTGCACCGAAGGGGGGTTGGTCAACATTATCTAATGAACTAGCTTGGAATATAAATAATCACTAAGCAGGAGTACTTGGAGCTACAAAGCCACAAGAGCTCTCGATATCCTGATACCCTGATTCACGGATACCATGGAACCAATTTCCGCAACTGCATCTCAAACAATTTCCCCGCCTATATTTTACTGGGGTACACCGGTTGTGTTGATAACAACGGAGAATGAAGATGGAACATCCAACATTGCGCCAATGTCATCTGCCTGGTGGCTCGGAAATCGATGCATGCTAGGCTTAGCATCCAGATCGCAAACCACGATCAATTTGATTCGCACTAAGCAATGCGTCCTTAACCTCGCATCGGATAATATGGCCGTGGCTGTCAATGCACTTGCAAGAACAACTGGGTCGAAGAAGATACTGGACGCGACCGAGGAAACAGGCTTCAAACGCCTGAACGGCTACAAGTATGTGCCTGATAAATTTGGACATTCGGGCCTAAATCCTGCGGCTTCCGAGCTGGTCCGACCGCTTCGCATTGCTGAGTGCCCTGCTCAAATGGAGGCCGAATTAAAGGGGGTATATGAAATGATGCAAGACACGGGAGGAAGAAGACTTCTCGCACTGGAGGTGAAGATTCTAAGGACTCATGTTCATGAAAAAATTCGCATGGCTGGGCATGCAAACCGAATTGATCCAGATAAATGGCGTCCCTTGATCATGAGTTTTCAGGAACTATATGGACTCGCACCCTACAAGACTTCCGAGTCAATTCTTGCCAAGATCGATGAAGAACAATATAGGGTATTGTCCAATCCTACAGACGACGAGATAGCAATGGAAAGCCAGGTTTAATACTCTCCGTGGCGTTCCCTTGTCATTTCGTGCATGATACACAACAGAGATGTTCCCCCTGGGTGGGAGAAATGAAATCAAAATCTGATACTCCTTTGATATTGCAGTGGGTAAATAGCCTACAGGGTACTGAGGTTCAATTGGATCATTAGCTCAGCATACGATCGCTAATGTATAGTCTTTTCTTCCGGACAGTCTGCATAACACTTGTTCCTGCACCTTTATAGTCAATGCTTAAACCAACTCGAAATATCTTCTCCTTTCCTGGTGTGTGGTGATTGAGTTGTTTGTCTATTGATGCCACTCGATCCATCGCTTTGTCAGACTTGCCTACGAGGGCCACAGTTTAATATGTATATAGGCAGTAGAATGATGGGAGGGGCCACGTCAAGGCGAATCATAAGATCAAGTGTTGTTCTTCAAAGAAAGGTTTTAGCAAGTTGGAACGAGAGATTTAAGGTACAATGATGATCAAGATGGCTTTCCGTTAAGGGAACTTGCAAGTCCCTATTAGTGCCTTACACCGCCCGCCCCCCCCCCCCCCCCCCCAACCCTTCCAGGTTGTAGGTGCGCCACGTACAGACTGCCAACTAGAAATTACTAATGCCCACACGGGCCCAAGCCTAACCTCACCTGCTCCGCAAATGGATTGGGGTTTAGGCCCGGTCCTTGAGCATATAGTGGGCTGTTATAAAGAATTCCGCAGGGAATACTTCCATGGCGGCCTCAATACCTTATCCCTCCTACCCCGCCTGACCTGTCACATTCCTAGATCATTCATAAGTGTGTCTGGTGTATTTAATCTGAGATCCGAGAGTCCATCTTCTGCATCTTCTGAATCTTTCTAGGATTCAGTCTGTTCAATACAGGGCTTACTACATCTTTATATCTGATTTCTCGTTGATTCCTTACCTAGGCGATAGCCTACTAGGCCAAACTCCCATGGTATATCCTCGGCAGCGCAGGTCTCAGACTTAGAGATGCTTATCACCAGATATTGAGTCCCAAATGAACGCTTATGACGAGCTTAGACGTTTAATGGAAGTGGCAAGTTAACGTTCTATCTCTCAACTATTAGATACTAACCTTTTCAATAGGTACTCGCTTGTTTAATGCGCGGATGTTCTGGAAAGACCACCAGGACGAGTTCACTATCCTTGCAAGCCTAGCGAGATGTTCCTTCCACTCCTGCTACTGGTTCTGGTGTTGAACGGCTATTCAATTATGCTCGTGATATCTGCCACTACCGCCGAGGTTCATTGAAGTCGAAAGCAATCAAAGACCTAATGATGTTAATGTGTACGACACGGTTTGATGATGAACCAGAGCAGTTGACCTTGATTGAATAGTATCTCTATACACAAGAGATTCATGCAGCAAGAGAAGAGAAGGCTTTTCTGAAGGAGAAGGACGAATTTGATCTCATCAGTGACGGCGAAGATGATCCTCTAGATACGAGATCTCAGCATCTACAGCGACCCAGCGAGCGTGCTCTTGGTAAAAGGCCAAGAAAGGAATCAACACCAGCGCCGGCTAATCAAGGGCCATTTATTCAACTAGATAACCAGGATGATGAGGATGATGAGGAAGATGATATAATATCCCTCTTCCTGATAATAGTGGCCTACTTGGAGAGAGTAGTTCTTATATTCGTACATCTGGGAGAGTTTCAAAGCGTGCAAGACGAAACGAAGACCTCTTTGTATATCAAAAGCCATTTAATTAATAAAAATCGAATCTAAAAACCTCCTTGAACTAATTATTGCTAATTTTCTTCACTTTTGACTAGTATATCCTATCTTTGACTAGACGTTTCAGCAGAATACTCAAAATTCAGGCAAAACTGCCCAAATTATGCATATCACGGGTTTCAAGTTGACACGTTTGTGGGACCTGAAGTTCGACTCCAAAAGTCTTGAAGTTGAATCGCAGTTCCAAAAATCTGGAACAGGAGCCTGAGTCTTGGCGGTCTCGATCCGAATCGAACCTGGAGAGTCGCAATTCCTGCCGTGGTCTAGTGGCGCGCTATGCGCCCAAGAATGTCATTCGCCTTGAGGCTTTCGTATCGCCGGAGATGAAAATCTTAGGGAAAGAAGCCTGGCAGGGGCTGTTTGAGGCAGAAGGATCAATGATTGTGAATTTGATGACATACATCGATTGATCAGTTTTTGCAGCGCTGTGGGAGATGAGGCATCTCGCAGGCTTCTGCGAGCGTTTTGTCTACGGCGTTGGAAGGAAGGAAAGGCGAGCTTCTTCGTGAGCTTTGACACGTAGGAAGCTCATAGTACATTTACTTTTGCCGTCAATTAGTAGATTTATAGGAATAAATGTCGGCAACCTCGATCGAAGTTCCTCGTTTCATTAATTTACCCACGGAGTTTGCCAAATGAATCTTTTAATACGGTCGACCCATAAAACTTGGACAGATAACAGAAACTACCCATGTGATCCATCGCTTCACTTTCACCCCGCAACTCTCGTGCATATATCGGCGGGGTGAATGCCCACCCGTGTGGGGCGGTGGGCTACCTGTTACTTCAAATTCCGTATGATTCCGGTTAGGAAGTTGCGAGTGCAAGCCATTTTTCCGCATGTTCGAATTAGTGTGTTTCATGGGAGCCTGCATCACCCGAGGTCAATCTTGCCAAAGACGAAATGGATGTCCTGTCTAGAGGGGTAGATACAAAGCTATCCTTCAACCGGCCGCTTTCGAATCATTTGTCTCGTTTCGACAGACCTTAATAAAAGAACTACATACTTCGTGGCCCTTCTCTGTCATGTGCCTTGACTACCTCTTGCAGGCGAGACATCAGTCTCATTCAAATTATCAACAAATAGAGCGCCAAAAATCTGGCATAAAAACAGCTTATTAATTGCAGATAGGTATATTTTTATCAACCGCTCAGGAATCATGTCTTCTATCTAGTTTCGACACCATGCAATATTACTTATACAGTTGCGTTAGTCTGGCTCCCGGTGAGGAACTTTAAATATAATATTTTGAGATGATTTTGTAGCCATAGTGTGCTAGAAATTTGAAGAAAATATTGGTTCAAAGTGAATTATGCACTTCTTTGCTCATCGACATTGGGCGGCGCTGAAAACTGTTAGAGAATAACTACTTATACAGGGTAGAAAGCCTGTCGACTAGGTAGGAAGATAAACGTCAAGTAAGGAAAGCAAAACACTGTTTCTTGCTATTATAGATCTCTCTATAATCCTTAATTTATGTACAAGCTTCAACACTTTTCCTACATAACCAAGCAAAGACGATGGATTATATTATAATATACGGTCTGACGTGGCCCCTATGTGTTAGAGATAAGCAAAGACTACAGAGAAGAGGGGTTCACGAATCCCTAATAGAAGGGCACCGAACCCTTAGGGTCTTGTAGGTTATATATCCTTATTAGGGAGAAGTAGGGCTGTCATAACGAAGCCTGACCGATAAGGTGTCGAGTTGATACCTAAGGTATAAAGTTAGGAATAGCTTCATATTGCAATATCATATGACAGAAAGCCGCCGATTAGCAAGATATAGCCGTATCGCTTTATTCAACGGCTTCCTAAATATCTTCAATTAGTGCCTACGAATTAGTATACGAAGGAATTAAAGCGAATCCTAGCAGAGGACCTAGCAGAGCTAACGTGTTTCACTAGTGAGCTGCGCACACCAATGAGCTGCGCACCCCATCCAAAACGCGCTTCCCACGCGTCACCTACTATCTTCTACCATACACCATGCCACCAAAACGTTCTGAAAAACGCTCAAAATCACCAGATAGGGAGGGTAGGATACTACTTGCTATCAAAGCTATTCAAAATGATACTACCCTATCTATACGAAAAGCAGCAGCGGTTTATAGCGTGCCAGAGAGCACGCTTCGAACGCGTATAAAGGGCGTTCCAAATCGCCAGGATACACGATCACCACGTCTTAAACTGACACAAGAAGAAGAGGATTCGCTTTGCCAGTGGATCCTATCGCTTGATACGCGTGGTGCTTCCCCTAGGCCTTCGCATATTCAAGATATGGCAAATCTTCTACTAGCAACGCGTGGTAATAACAAGCCTTCTTCTATTAGTGTCAATTGGGTAACACGCTATATTAAACGACGACCAGAGCTCTGTACACGCTTCTCTAGACGCTACGACTATCAACGTGCGCAAAACGAAGATCCTACTAGTCTACGCGCGTGGTTTAGACTAGTAGAGCGTACGATTAATGAAAACGGGATCCTTCCTAATGATATCTATAACTTTGATGAAACAGGCTTTGCAATAGGCTTGATATCTACTACTAGAATCGTTACACGGAAGGATCTATACGGTCGGAAGCCTCTACTACAACCTGGAAATCGGGAGTGGGTAACAGCAATTGAATCTATATCGGCATCCGGCTACTCGCTTCCGCCGTGTATAGTATTTAAAGGGAAGGTTTATATTGCTAGCTGGTTTGATAACCTACCGAAAGACTGGCGAATCGAAGTATCACCGAACGGCTGGACTACCGATGATATAGGCCTGCGCTGGCTAGAAAAGCTCTTTATTCCAGCAACTACTAGTCGTACGCAAGGCAAATATCGCTTATTGATATTAGACGGTCATGGAAGCCATCTAACACCACAATTCGACCAAATCTGCCAGCAAAATAACGTTATACCACTCTGTATGCCGCCGCATTCGTCACATCTTCTACAGCCGCTAGATATAGGATGTTTTGCTATCCTAAAGCGCTCATACGGTCGCTTAATCGAGGCCCAAGCCCGCCTAGGATATAACCATATCGATAAGCTCGACTTCCTAGAAGCCTATACCCTAGCACGACAGGAAGCCTTCCTACCTAGCACTATACAATCAAGCTTCGCTAGCGCCGGCCTAGTTCCGCTAGATGCCGACCGAGTCCTATCAAAGCTTAATATATCGCTTCGAACACCTACACCTACTACTAGTAGGCCTAGTAGTAGGAGTAGTGCTTTCGTGCCTACTACACCACATACGATTAAGCAGCTTAACAAGCAAGCTTCATCTATCAAAGCTCTACTACGCAAGCGCTCGTGCTCGCCAGGAAGCCCTATAGAGAGAGCGCTAGATCAATTAATCAAAGGCACTGAACTAGCGTTTCATAACACTGTTTTACAAGCGGAAGAGATTCGGCAACTACATAGATTCAACGACAAGAAACGTCAAAAACGCACACGTTCTACTCGCCAGATATATAGGCAGCAAGATCCTACGGTCGGCGAATCTATATCTCTAGATTCAACGTTGCCAGCAAGCGTTGAAGCTATTCAAAACGATGATGCAGAGCTTCCTCAGCAGCCTACCGAGGTCGCTAGGCCTACTACTAAGCGTGTATTTCAATGTTCTGGATGTGGGAATATAGGGCATAAGATTACTCGGTGCCCTAGTAAATAGTTGAATTAAATATATGGCGTTTTGGTGGAAAAATAGTGTTTTCAAAAAGTAGTGGTTGGTAGGGTGCGCAGCTCATTGGTGTGCGCAGCTCACTAGTGAAACACGTTAGCGTATTAGTACGATTATGTCATATAATATTGCAACATGAAGCTATTCCTAACTTCACACCTCAGGTGTTAGTTCGACACCTTATCGGTCAGCCCTACTTCTCCCCAACATAGATGCATGACCTACAAGACCCTAAGGGTTCGGTGCCCTTCCATTAGGGATTCGTGAACCCCTCGTCCCTGTAGCCTTTGCTTACCTCTGTTACATATGGGCCACGTCAGACCGCATGTTGTAATGTGATCCATCGCCTTTGCTTTGGTCATATGGGAAAGTGTTGAAGCTTGTACATAAATTGAGGATTATAGAGAGATCCATGATAGCAAGAAACAGTGTTTTGCTTCCCTTACTTAGCGTTTTATCTTCCTACCTAGTCGACAGGCTTTCTACCCTGTACAAGTAGTTATTCTCTGACAGATTAACTAGCTTAAACGATTAAGGAGACTACATTACCACGCCTAGTCTATAACTTTGATAAATACAGCTTCCAACTAGGCGAAGGAAGATCTAGAAACGTTATATCTTTTTAGGTTAAACTATACATCTCATGTGAGGATTTAGATGATATGGACGTCTATGTCATTCTCCGAAAGCTGGACAGCTCTGGGGAGGCACTTCTCAATTACAACATTCCTTGGGAATACCAGAAACCTGGTACAACCGCAGATATGATTCCGGATGAAAACATCTACAAGTATGTCGGACCAAGCGGACGACTCCGTGCCTCCAAGCGAGCTGCAACAACAGATGAACCCGATATCCTTGAAAATAGGAAACAAAATCGAGAGCCTACGGAGTTGTTCTTTCCTCACGACAAATCTGAGAAAGTCCCATATGGTCAAGTCGTGGAGCTCAAAACTCCGATTTTGGCTGGGGGCATTCGCTTCGAGGAAGGGGAGTCGCTGAGGTTGGAGATTAAGGGGCATGATCCAATTCTCCCGGAGTACCCAGCTCTGAGAAAGGGTCCCACAAATCTGAACAAAGGCCGGCATGTGGTATACACTGGGAGCAAATTTTTATCTACTTTGACTATACCATTGACAAAAGTGTGAAGGGCCAAAATCCTTTCTTATGGGGTATGGAAAAGACCGGAAGCTGGAAACATTCTTTCGGAGATATCAGCAATTAAAGCACTGAATATGCAAGATCCGTTTGCCGCTAGTTCTTTCCTCAATCATTTTCTAGAATATACATTGTCTTACACTCGGCCTCTCTTTGGCAGGCCCAGACTGGTTGGGTAGATTGTATGAGCAAGGCTGCTCTCGAAATTTTTCATGCTTACAATAATAGACAGCCAGTCTCAATATATCGATGTGAAGAATTACTAACTGGATTCTCTAGGAAGCCTGGATTGAATGAGACAAGTTTATTATAATTAATGAGAACTATCCGAGGGGATTCCTATTGAAAGCGTCTCCTAATCTAGAAGGCCTGTAATTTATAGTGCTAAATTAGCTAGAAGCCCCCATAGAATAACTTTTTTCTTCCAAATCAGTACATGATTTCTTTTAAGAGCTTTGTTCAAGATTTCTAATCAAAGAAAAGTAAACAATTAGGCAGTGATTGTTAGGGAGCACACTAGGCACGTGCTTCTTACATTGAGCAAAAAAGCCCACAATGTCAATGCGCTTACGCATTAACAGCCTAGGACCCAGATATAGTAACGCACGATCGTGTATTCCCCAACAGTGATAGCGACAAGGCACGCATATATTAAGGATAAAGAAATATATGTTGAGGAAGGCCGCATAATACAGGCGAGACCTATATATATCACTATATGCTTAAGCTTGTTATAGGGACACTCGATTTACTATGTGTTTTATATAGTAATAGGAAGGTGCTACTTGTCAGTGTAGTAGGCTATCGGTTAGGTAATTAATTAACAATGAATCAGGTAGGAAGCTATAGTATATCGTATATATTTAATGGACTCGAGACTTAGATTTAAAGGATTCGCATTCTAAGTTAAAAATAAATAAACTACCTACGCGGATTGTTGCTTTTGGGCTCCGACATGGCTGGTCTGGAGCAAGCCGTGCATCTCCACAGCGTGTGAGATCCATCAGCGACCACGGATTCCAGAACCTTGCTCAGCGTCACCAGGAGTGAGATTGGTCTCCATGCTTTGGCAATGGTGTAGTCTTCCTTAGTCTGCTTTTTGAGTGACATGATATTCGCATGCCTCCACTTTCTTGGCAACGTGCTTTCATCCAGTGATCCAAGGCCTTCGTCGCTATTTTGATAATGGGCCGAATGGATCGGATGGAGGTAGCTGATGATGGCGGCTCAAGCTTGTCCTTTTGGAGCCATCGCCAATGTGGCTGCCTCAGCCACAGCTTCCGCTCGCTGTTGGGACCTGCCCTATCGGGTGCAACCTGCACTCCTGCTCCCCGGATGCCCGGTTCTGGTGTTGGAAAAGGGATCACAGAACAGAGGTAGGACAAGATCAGCTGCCCATTTTATGCAGAGCTCGTGTTCAGCAGCATTGACTCCGGAAATCCGCCAAAGAGACTGAATGACAGCAATCATGAGGCGTGCAATTAACTATGCACATCGCTCGCGGTGGAGGCGGATTTGTGTGTTTGCGTTAGTTTTGTTCGGAAGGAAGGGCAGTATTCCTTGCTTGAACGTTGATGTTTGACTCGATCAGCGAACTGCCTCCCTGTGCCTTTCCCTTCGGGTGTGGTTGCCCTCCATATTTCATGATAAAGAATCAGCGCAAGGGGACAATGAGATCGGTCGCGATAGAGCACGAAGTAAAAAGCGGGGATCCTGCGAGATCATCACGTAATCCACTCTCTTGCTCTTTGCAACTCACGATCGAACCACGTTGTGCTGATCAAGTACCACCATGGGAGCAGCTGACATCACGACTCAGGCCCATGTCTGCAATTTCTGCTTGAAAGCGTACCGGCGGCGTAGGTAATTTCACCCAAGATGCTTTGCCGTCGCTGAACACGCGATAGCAGCAGCGGCCGCAACGGCATTTAAAGCAGAATCGCCAGACTGACGCGGCAGGCATATCTAGGCGACTTGCTCCTCCGGCATCGACGACGATGTCAAGGGCCGAAGAAGCCGGCCACGCGTCGAAAGGCTTGCATAACGTGCGCCCAGGCCAAAGCCAAATGCACCTATTCGCGTCCATGCCAGCGGTGTGCCACGCGGGGAGTTCCTTGCGAGTATGAGTCGGTTCCCCCGCCATCTGACGCGCAGGCGCTGGGGCTGGACCTCGACCTTGACCTCGTCGAAGATCTCGCAATATTTGCAGGGTCTATGCCGTTTGCAGGGGTCGTGAACACCCAGTCGTCGCAAGTGGGGCGGAGCGCCCAAGAAGCTCCGGCAGGCAACAGCACGTCCATGTCCAACCCAATGAACCTAGACGAGTCTGCGAAGACTACCGTAGACTCGCTACATATAGGTAATCCCTTCTCAAGAGCGACATTCGGAGCCTGGGAAGACCCCAGAGCAGACGTCACTTTACGGCCATTTACCCTTGAAGAGTTGACGCAGGTTTTGGAGCAGTACCCCAATTTACTTGTACGTGATGACTTTATTTCGCCTATCCTCCATCGCCTCTTGTACGACGAAGAGGTACCCAATATGACGACGCTTGCGCACACGTCTATGGCGGTTTGCTGCGGGTCTGCCATGGAAACCGCGCATGGGGCACGCTTCGCACGGCAGGCAATGGATATGGAGCGCCAGCGACTCATCCAGAACTACCCCACCTACAGCTGCATGCAGCAGTGGGATGCCCTGCATGCCATGGTTGTGTACGGGATCCTTGAGCTGCGCGTGTCGTACGGTACTGGGAAAGATAGCTGGAAGCAGAAAGTTCACTCCAAGGGCCTCAAAGCCCCTTTCCTTGTGAAGATGACCCAGGTCTTCATCCAGTCCCATAATAGCACCCCAGATTTGTCTCTCCTGTCGGCCAATGACTCTAGTCTCAACTTTGAGCGATGGAATGTCGCTGAAACGGCGCGACGTACCATCTTTCTCGCCAATATCCTCCATTTCCTCAGTCATCACGATCCCAATACGGGCAGTCGCCTGCCATACTATGAACCTCTGGATGATGAGCTCATTTTGAACATGCCATTACCCTGTAGTCATGCCCTGTGGTCGGCGCGAACCGAGCAAGAGTGGAGGCTCACGATAGAATACGGTGCGGCTAACTTGGACCCTACGATCCATGACCTCTCGACGGCATTTCACCTAGTCCCGAGCTACTTGACACTGAAAAACCTACTAGAAAATTTCTCTTCAGACTTTTTGACAACCATTGTCACCCTGAATTTTGGATTCGGGGGCTCTGATGAGTTGCGGAGTTTCATTGTCCTCTGTGCTCTGTTGCAATTTCCTGGGAAACAGAATCAACGGCACCCACCATTCTGACCCGACCTTGACTAATGATTGCTTGGACCGGAACTCAGTACACGAAGGACATCGAGCTCCGTTGATGTCTTTTATATTGCATTTTGCGCTCCCTTGAGTGAACAAGATATCAGGTGTGATCGGAGTTTAATGGTCGCGACCAACCAACTCCGTCCGCGGCGACCAACTCTCTCCGGACGAGAATGTGCCACTCAAGCTATTTAGTGTAGAGGTACGCTCTTGATAACAAGGGTAATTATTTATTTCATTCACAGTTTAGGCTCATCTTATTTCAGTTCTCTTTTCCTAGTTTCTGTCATGGTGTTCTCCGACAGCATCTACCGCATGGCGAGTCTCGGGGTTGCTGTTGGAAAACATTGGAGCTTTCATGCTGACGGCGGCACAATGGATTTTAAGCCCCTGAAAGAGGTTTGGGGTCTACATTCAGGTGTCTACACCCCGCGCCAATTAGTTGAAGCTTTCGCGCCTCTGCTAGATGCCGTTGTATTCCGTCTGGGGAACGATTCACCCGGCGCGAAACCAGCTCGAGTCCAACTGCTGGATAACCTCGCGGCCAACCTGGCCACCGATACGCGAGAGACCACACTGCGACTTATTGAGCCTCTCGATACGTCTCGTCAAGAAATCAAGGATCAGGCTAATCGAATCGGACAGACCTTGGTTCAATGGGCTCGCGACTCTGGCTCTAAATCTTTCGATCCCGAAATGTATCTTCGCAGTCCCTGCGAAGGCCACTTGCTGATTCCAGCCAATGTTAATTTGATGTTTGGTGACAGAGCCGCTCCACATCTGATGCAACTTTTCAACGAATACATGCACCAGATGGTTCTCCTTCGCGACGCTCTCCTACCCTTCCAGAACTTTCAAGATGTACTCATTCCCGTTAGTCGGGAAGCGAGAGGAATTCGCTACCTAGAAACGGCGAGAAGCCAGTTTTTATCCGAGCTGTTGACCAAGCAGACCACGCAGAAGGGCGTTATCTCATATGCCAAGGCTCTTCTCGCACCTGGGCTCTTACGTACCGCCGATCCTGGCTACGGCTTCCAGTATATGCATGGGACTGTGTTGCCCGCATTTCTAAGCGGCGAGCGAACACCGCTTCACTTGTTGCAATATATTCCCGCCAAGCTCAAACCTTCGACCACTGAAATTGTCTTCGATTATCGCTTCGTTGATTATTACACTGCTCCCCGCCTTCAGATCCCTGATGGTATCCAGACGGCCGCAATTGAACTGGGGAACTTCCCCCAAAAAGCGAACCTCCAAGTCAAGCAGTCGAAAGTAGACATCCTGCCAAACTCAAAAGCCGACGGACCCCAGCAGCTTCAAGTGGAACTTGTATTCAGTAATGGCAAGCGTGTTACAGTTGATCTAGGCCAAATTGCCCGCGGATATCGATACTCATACTTGGCCAACGATTCCTCTCCTGCCAAGGAAGAGACTTCTGCGAAAGGAATATCCAATCCCACCCATTTATATGTGGTGCACGATCCAGCCAGTATTCTGGAAACACCTGACACTGGTCTCGTTACCGCAAAGGAGGGAGGTATTCACATAATACCAACTCAGGACCCTCTTGTTGTATTGGCAGTTTTGGGGAAATTATATCCGGAGAATGTCGTTCTTCTTCCCGATGATGAAGGACTTGACCATGCTGCAAATACTGGGAAGGGTTTTGGGCCTAAATTCATTATTTGGGGTGGTATCAAGCGTGGAGGACTCAAAGGTTTCTTTAAATGAGAGTTGAGTATCTGGCACGTGATCAAATCGCTTCGCAGCCATGATCAGGTATAATCTAAAGAGGAAAGGTTCAACATAATCCTTAGAATAATGGGTGCAACTTTTCTACGATAGCATAGATTGCTAAGAGAAATACCGATGACAATAATTAAAAACACGAAATCATGATGTTACGGACTCACCAAGAAACAAGGGGTGCTCTGGAGCAATGGATCTCGCTGGGGCCCCGCAGGCAGGAAATGGCCGCCTGGGCACAACGGGCGAATCTACGCGTTAATTCTATGCATTATTACTCATGTATCTCATTATTTATTATAGAAATTTAATGTATTATTTCGGCTTCAATATAAGGACATACACATAACTAGGAGGAAGACTTAGTAGTTATTAATTCTGTTCTATTAACGAACTAGGTGCTCTACTACTAATAACGTCTTCAGACTACTCTATAGACCTAAGCCTATATAAGGCCTTAGAGATTTAGTAACGGTACAGTTACGAACATAATCCCTACATTCAACGTTACTGGCATATATTGAATCTATCCAAAACGATGCTTCAGAGCTTTCTCAACAGCCTACTATAGGCGCTGAGCCTACCACTAAGCGTGTTCTGGATGTAAGAAAAGAGGGCATAGGATAAACCAGCGCCCTATTAGGCAGATTGAATCAAGTATCGAATGTTATGGTGGCAAAATTCAGTATCTAGGATTGAATTTTCTGATAGGGTAGCGACTCGGTGATGGTGGCAACTTGCTAGTGAAACACGTGAATAAGTTGTCAAGGCATTTGAAATAACTATCAATTTGAACTACAAATATGAATTCAACGGGCAATCTGTGTCCTATATGACCTTCTTCCCCTCAAGCAATGGTCATTGTGCGAAGAGCGATGTTGTTGTCATACGGGACGAGTTTATCGATTTCAATAGGACCCCGGGCACAGGCTAGTCCACTGGCTAGATCGATGTTGGACCGGTCGCCAGCTGCAGTGACTGAGACAAGGAGACGGTCTCGAGAAGAGTTGTGCAAAGGAATCCATTCAAATGGACCCACAAGCCTGCTACCACCGGGTGCAATATTAGTCACAGTAATTGGGCCGGTGGTAGTGGATTCAAATCCTTCTGGCCAGCTCGATATCGCCGCGTCAGCCAGGTGATATGCGTTTACCCTGACCGAAGGCACGGTCACTGTGCCACGATTTCGCACTCGAACATAACCGTAGTTCGCCAAACCCTTCAGCGGATTCTGGTGCACGGTACCAGAATCCGCCGCGCGCCGGTTCCAGACGCCAGGTGCCTGGTCCCAGGTAGATGCGTAATTGTAACCACCGTTCCGTCCATCGTCAATATAAATATCCACGGCAGGAGGTGCACCTCTGGTGGTCACCGGAGTTGGTGCACCCGGGCGTTGATAGAGACCCTGTTCTTCGAAACTCCAGCGGATGACTTTTCTGACAGCACCTCCCGGGAAACCTAAGACCTCACCCCGATCTGCCAACATCATGGCAGTCACGTATGGCACCGGAGTTGGTGTGGGGGTGATGGGGCTAGTTGCCAACGATGCGATGCCCGCAATGATCAAGTAGAGCATGTACCGAGAGGCCCATTTGCGACGTACAATATCGCTAGAGTCACCCCCAAGGCATCGGTAGGCCCGGAAGAGACATGTGTTGAGAATCTGCTCGCTCAGATATCCTCCGCGGTCCTCGGTGCCTCCCCAGGCCCAGCCATTGGCGATCGAACGATCATGACGGCGACCAATCGTGATCCACGGGAAAGAATTAAATCGATCGGGGTGTTTGTTGACCGGATCACAGAAAATGGAGCCCAAGGCATCTCCGGCACTATGGGCAAATCCGAAGTTCGGACTATGGACAGCTTCCCATAAGAGAGCATGACAGAACTCATGCGCAGCAACACGGAAATCCGAGGCCATGCCCACGGAAGTGCCAGAAGCGGCAAGGCCGAATATAAATCCCCCAGAGCCATCTCCTCTAGAGTTGCCGGGCGCCTTGGCGTTCACTGCATTGCTGAACCCGCGATGGTCCACTGGGAGAGGGAATTGAGAGTCGGGAGCGGTGCTATCAAATAGCGATCTCACATCAAAATTTAGCTCTTCTAAGAGCTTGAACAGGCGTGCCATTTGGTAGTAAGCATTGCTTGCAGCAAAGCCATCGGTGGGCACGCTGAAGCGAAAGTGTCCTGTCGCGCTGGTGGGAGGAGGAATCGCCGGAGGGTCGAAATCTCGGACTCGCACATAACGGCCAGCCAGCTGCTGCGGAGAAGATGCTGTAACTTCCGGCAGCTCCTTCCATTCTCTAGCATTATCGAGCTGGGACACTGGGGCCGAAGCCGGGGGTCCGGTAGCACCGAGGCGGGTGAAGGGATCCATGGTGTATACAAAAGCATGGATGGAAGCCATCAATGCACGCAGATAGAGGACGCTTCCAGTGTCCACTTCCACGAAGACTCTCCAGTTAATATCCCCGAAGTTGGGCAGAGGCCAGGTAAATAATATCTCTCTGCAAACAAAGAAGGCCCCGGCTTCAATGCTAGACCGGACGGGTGGGAGCTCCAGTGTTGGGACTGCCACATCCACACCGGACTCTTGAGTCTCATCCTCCTCAGTCTCCAGTCGGCTACTGGGATTGAACTTATATACCATGAGACGCTGTGTATTGATCACAATTTTTGGGCGGGTTTCTTCAATCCCGAGAAGTTTGCGAAGACGCTTTTCATCCAGCTCATTGCGGGCCACGGCATCTCTCTGAGGGCTTCTGGTCTTGACATTCTGCTCAATGGTACTGACAGAGCTGATAACATTCAAGTCCTCATCCAGGGTGATACTGAAACCAGCCTCCCAAATGGGCAAACCAAGAACAGTTTGCTGGTAAGAAACGACGGTGCATTTGTGGCGTGGTCTTGGGCTTCCGGCTAGGTTGAGTGCGGGTGTCGAACGGTCCGTCATTCCTGGCTGCGGGGTGATGCTGGTGTTGAGGTCGTTGAGGTAGGCCTCCGGTATTCCATAGATTGTCGCAGCATCCCTCAGGTACTGTTGGCTGACGCTCACAGCATCACCCTCGATCGATGATACATCCGCCACATATGGGGAATCCAGGTGGTCCAGACTACGGACGACCCCTTTCTCGTCTTTGTCAATGAATGTATCTTCGTGACTGAACATCATTGGTAAAATATAATAAAAATCAATTGATAAGAAGACTTTAGTTAATGTTCGATGGAACAGAGTTAGTGAAGTTTTTGGATCGTCGCAGGCCTCTCCTTTCTATATATAGCCCAAGATCCAACTAATGGGCTACATAACTGCTTCATTTCCTCTTTGTCTGGTCATTCTCACATTTCTGCAGGCTACCAAGCCTGACTGCGCTTAATTTTCCCTGTCTCAGCCCCCATTCATCTCATCATCCCTACGAGAGTTCAAAAACATCAACTCCAGCTGAACAAGCCACTTCGTACCGGTCTCCGTGGGTCAGCTGGCTAGCCCTGCCTCTGGCTCCATTCTCGTTCCACAATTTCACATTAACTTGGAGGCTAATTAACCCTTCTTTGCGGTAAATGAGTGCGAATCTTTAGAAGTGGCGCTCGTCACACTGAGAACGGTTATTGGAGATAAGTAAAAAAGATAGCTTCAGCCCACACATACTTCTAGGCAGCTAGTGTCACTATCATATGACCTTATCTGGATTTTATACTTAAAACCTGATAGTAAAAGACTGTCATCATCTAAATTGATTGGAAAATGCACGCGACTAGCCTCGAAGTAAGCAGCATCCGGTGGCGTGGAGTAAGCCGCATAGCCCAGAATTGTGGCTCGGTTTGGATGCCGTCCTAATGGTTATAATTGACTAACGACCAAAGGCAGATATTTTTTACGCTCTTGGCTCTTAGTCCAATGCTGAGTCCATTTGGTTTATGTTCTAGACTTCCCTCAGCCTTTGAAATGTCTTCAAGGTCACTGTCAGCAGCCACCATCGGAAATAGTTTCTAAATTACTTGAAACTTGATACACTTTCTATATTCCGTTGGAGCCATCACAAATGCTAACAATCTGCCTTATCTGCTCCAAGGGAGCATTGGGATTAGTTTGCCATGTCACATACACATATCATTGGTGGCGTTGTATCTCATTCCAGAACCGGACATATGGTATACGAACTAAAAAGCAAACATAACCGACTAAACACAGTGTCAGCAGCATCGACTACAGAGCCCTATCCACATTTTCAATAGATATAGATTCGGTTCACTATTGACCGGAGCAACAAAGGACTATCCACCACAGCGACACTATCCTGCAGCCTAAGTATTCACCAGTAGGCGTCGCTTTGAGCATTTGGCTATCCGTGCTTCCAATGGACCGTGGCCCACTGACGTAATTAAGGAAGATGGCAGTAACTATCCAATCCCGATACAAAGGATCACCATGACTGACCTTATCCCTTGTAAAGCTGCAGGCAGACAGCAATCTAGACTTTTGGATTTTATTTTGGAGGGACTGGTTTCGACTTCAAGAGACTCTTCATAGTCCCTTTTCGGAGACATAGTAGCAAGTGATACGCGCTAAATTAGTGCCGATCTCAAAGCCTGTCCGCGAGGCCAGGTTCATCTGCCCCGCACATGATCTTCTCATAATAGATGGGGATGACAAAGCCAACAGCTCAGTGGCGTCTAGATCTACCTTTCACCAGGAAGTCTAAATATAAGTAGTAAAAGCCCCACTCGTATCCACTTCGTGTTTAACCAAAAGATCGGGCAAAAAGAGCACCTATAAAGGTGTGTGGCGCTACCCCTCATTTTGAACCCCAAAAGCTGAAGAGTAAGTTTAAGCTGCCAAGGCTGACGAGTTTGGTTCTTCAGTGCGATGCTCTAGAGCGCACGAGGTTAGCATTCTATTGGCCATATGATCCATCCATATACAACTTGAAGACATGATTGGAAGATTTCCCGACTCAAACATAGCTCGCCAAGGATAGCAAGATCACAAGTCAGGTTGAGGGGGCTTTTAAGGCCGTGCTTCTATCGCAGCTCAAGTTCAGTATATCATATTTTGTTTTGTTCCCGCTATTATGAGTCTTATTTGTCTTTGTCATATCGCCCATATTGAGCAAAGATACGAGCCTCAATTATTTCACACCCATTGGACCGAAAACAAAATGCGCACATGATCCTCATTCATCGCCAAAAGCAAAAGCGCAAAAAATTAAATTATTTATTTCCTTTTTTCAATAGTGTCATGAAACTGTAGGTGCAAGGAAATTAAGTGTGCAGAGGACATTTCTGGCGTATCAGTTTTAAACACCAAGGTGTAGTATATAACACTGTCCCCCTTCGTGATGGCGTCAGCGCAAGACCATGCGAAGCAAAGCTTCCTGAACTAATGGATCTTACTACTACTGCAAGAAACTTCAAGTCAATATCTACGCCGATATCAGCAATTTATTGTAGATATCATGCCATCCAAGCAGTAACTTCTTTTTTTTACCTCGTCAAGGGATAGATAGCTAAGAAATCTTCTTGATATAATAAATGCCCTTCAGGATCTTCCATGATCCTTCTACATATTGGCCGATTATGCGTTCTAAAAACTTTCTAATGAAGTGGATTTTATAGAATTATCTAGCGAAATGCCCCATTGACTTCGTTCCTGGAGGGATTTCCTAAATTTATGAGGATGGCGGATGCTAGAATGATGTACAGGACTTCTGGAGCGTCTTGTCGAGAATCATGGACAGAGCTGACTGGAAGTAATATGTAACATATGAGCGAGCTATTTTCATTCGTTCTCAGATTCAGGCTAAGGCAGCGTCTCATTCAAGCGATCATGTGTAGAGCCGGAGTAAGCTAAATGTAGGGGTCAAGTAGATTCTTTGATTTTGGTGAGTAAAAGAGGGGCTTAAAATAGCCACAGAGATAGACTTTTTCGGCTGCCATTGTATCAGCCAACGCTGGTATGGAAGAAATAACAGCACCTTATCCACTCTATCAACCAAGTGATTCGTTCAGACATGTCAACACAGAATTAGTGATTGGACGAAATTGTTGCCCTAAAATACAGGCAGCAAAATTCCTAGAGTTATTTGGATCTTAGGGTCGAAAATCTTCGCGCAGGTTACTAGGTCTTCTTTTTATACACCTTCGAAAATTATAACGTTTCGAGAATTGTATACAAAGCCCTAATTGACGTTGGGCATAGTATATAGCCCAGTACATACTAATAGTAGGTGGTATCAGAGCGAAGATACCACCACATGTTCCTAGGAGAAAATTTACCGTATCAGCAATCACCAAGGACCTAGGGGAAGCGCTAGGTATATCTAGTGGAGAAAATTCATTCAAAAATTGAACGGTTGATTTGCTGTTTTATTTTAGAGTTCTTTGCACGTGTATCAACTCAAAAACCGATCCCATCTAGTCGCCGCTGAAGTGTTGAATTTGCTATATCATAACGCGTATTGATTGTACGAAGCGAATCGGTAAGCCATTTTTGAAAAGTTTGAATGTCAAACAAAATTCAATTCTCTTGTTTAACATTTTTGACCGTTCTGACAGGGTTTTGATGGCATGATAAGTGTTTGAAGATAGTGGGCACTCGTACACACGCAATTTTTGATGGCGGCCCACTCGCTGGCGAAATACGTTAAGATATAGTCAGGCAAAGGACAAAATATTCGACGAGCAGTATATTCTTCTTCGTACCTTATGGTTAGGAGTTTTGATCAATCCTCTAGTGAGAGCATAACATGAATTGCCTATTCCCAGAATCCTACCGCCATGGAAATACTTTGATAGCCATTACCGCGGTTATGCCGTGGCCATTTTTGACCCATTAGACTGTCTTGAATCAAAATTTTAGACATATGGGAAACTGTATCAATTATTATGCAGTGGGTGAGTCAAATTAATAGTTCCTTAAAAAATTCTGGAAAATCCATCCTTAAGAGGTTGAAATCCGACAAAACATCATCTACGTGGATGATGCTGCCAAGACTAATAATCCAGAAAGGTTTAAATAGGCATGTCTCCAGCTGGAGGGTTTGCATCCGGAGCATCTCCCTTTACGTATCTCAATTGAATATATCCCACGAGAGCATGAAGAAAGTCGATATTTTGGTTTTCATGATCGGATAGAAATAAAGCACAAGCAGTGTTCTCACTTTAAAGAAAGCAAAAACTGTAAAGAGCGCCAAGTCAAGTGGCTACATGTAATCTTCATAGTATTTTTTTTATCAATCTATAAAGGGACGGGGGTGAGGTAAGAAAGTCGTTACCCCAGGATCCAGAGCCTAGTACTGCATAGAATCGGAAGCAACACCAGTGACAGGTATCATGCAAGAAGGTTTAAAACTAGTCTCCTCTTCGTGCTGGCGGATCTTGGTGGTTAAAGCTAGGCTAGTTATAACTGGCATTGATATGTCTAAAAGAGAGCGTAATCAAGTTGAATAGGAAACATACCTTGATTGAACAAGAGAGATGATAGTGTGACAAAACTCTGAGCGATCAGTGAGCATTGGGGTCTTTCATATGACGTCACTGCTCTGGTAGAATAACTTTAGAGCATGCAACACTGGAGCAGGTAGGTGGCATTTGCTCGAAAATTGACTTATTGTCCCCCAGGGCCATTGGTAAGATGGTCGACATCTCCGGTCCATATTTCAAGAGACTCTGGGGTAGTTTGATCAACTCGCAGTCAGGCTAAGACCAGGAGTGAGTGTATTGGCAGGTATTGGGACAAACCATTTACTATCTGTAGTAATCAGTCCTCATATCCAAGATCTTTTTCTTATTACTTTATTCTGGATATAGCCTGGTATGGGGGATCAAATCTTTGCTCGAAATTGGAGAACACTGATCACATATGGGATATAGGATCCAAGTAAGAAATCCTGGTGAATCTCTTCGACCTGTCAAGTGACCCCAGGGACAGGGGTAAGGAGGGAATTTTGCACAAGTAAAAGATAGCAAAACAACTTCGAGAATAATCAAGTAAAGAAATAGATCAAACTCTTGGATAACAACAAGCTGTAAGTCCGAGGAAATCAAAAGAATAGATATTGTAATTATGAACCCTGTTTCTGGAGAATGTGGTATCATGAGCGTGATCGGCCCTATATCAATAGGAAGGACTGTACCACCATGGATACTTTATGACCAATTACGGTATATCTAGTATCTCGTAAATTGAATCTTTGTCCTTGGGGATGTTTATAGTGTATTGCAATATTCATCCCTTTACATTTTCTATCACGCTTTCCGCTGTATCCTAGGGCCTAGCAAGTATTTCTGTACCTAGCATTCTTCATCTATCGGCCAGCGCCAAAAGAAAGGGCACCGTTTGGGCTTGTAGAATAGAATAACTTGCTCCTCGCCAGCCCCACTAGTCGTCTTGCTTTTACCGCCTATGGTAGGACAAGCAGGAAAAGCAGGAGTCGATTGGAACGGAGCAGGCAGGTTTGTACGAGCACCGCCCTGCTGGCCCCAGCCAAGACGGGTAAGAAATTACGCTTAGAGTCGCGGCGTTCCGGAGACGTTGTGGATACCAAATCAAGATACGGTCCATTGACCAGAGTGGTTGGGGAAAGGCACCAACTGAAAACTGGTCTGCCGGTGAACATCGAATACCAATACCTGGGGCAAGAACAAGATAGATTAATCCAGCGAGAAAGAATCTCTCCATCTTCATCAGCGTAATCCCATGATGATTCCGAGCAATCGTCTCCTTTTCTCAACCCGCACGGGGAAGGCGGGTCCAGCCCTACGAAGCCCTATGGCCCCGTAGAAGAAGCGTGGGTCGGAATAGGTCGAAAATAGGACCCCCAATAATAAGAATGATCCAATACGAGCAACAAACAAACCCGTTTGAAGGGCCCAGGCAGCAGCGATTTTCAATATGAATAATTAGCCGGTCGCCCGAAATCTGAGTGCAACTCTTTTACCAGGCCGAAATCCCTTATCCTTGTCGTCCGGGGCTTTTCCCCCGTCCCCCTTCCCATTTCCGAGCCTTCACTGATTTGACAGCCCTTCCAGATCGTCTCACATCTGCAGCCGCCCAGCCTTGACAGAGTCGTCCAGAGTCCCCCAGAGTCGAAGTCTAGCAAGCCTCCGGTGGCTTCCCAATGGCTCCTCTCATCAAACGCTGATCCAATACCAGTACTTGCATTCTCTACCTAGTGTGCGTGTCTGTCAGCTATTCGCCAACTATTCCGGAGCCATGGCGGAGAACTTGGACGATCAACGGTCGAATTCAGATCTTTGCGCCCTCAGCTCTTCTCACTTCTTCGGAGTTGGTGTTGGGGCCGGGTTGTAGGGATGCATCCCTGCGGTCCGAATCTGGCACTGAGTGCGCCAATCCGCGTTGTGGCTTTCGCGAAGTATCGGACGGCCCATCCAGCCACCGACGTATCCTCGATATCAGAATTCAGAATCCAGAATCCAGAATCCAGATACGAGATACGAGCCACATGCGCTATGATGCCTTGCGCTGATCGATGACCCTAGCCGCCATGGAAATTCCCCGACTCCGCCGAAGCCACCAAAAGCCTGGTTTCCGGCTGCCACGGCCAACAACCTAGGCGCGCACGTGACAGGAGACTCGCGTTGTGGCTCGGAAATTGGCAGACGTGGCGTCGTCACAGCTTGGACTCTACATCGAAGGTCATCACAGACCAACCAACCATTGACGCAATGTGATTCGGTCCTGAAATTGCCAAGAGCGGGCCATCGAATGAACGCGCCTCTCGAGATGGCCCGTCTCCCCCGGTGGATCCAAGTGTGGCCCGGGGCCCCCCCCTCCTCCCCCCAAATTCACAATGTGCCACACAGTCAACAGGTCGACATCAGCGGCACTGCAGCAATCCTGGATGCCCATCATCTGCGGTGTGACGCGACTCCCGGACCATTGTATTCAACCCGACTATCATAGATGTCAGGGATGATGGAGACATGAAGCAACCCTGCCAAGAAAACCAAGCTCGCGAGCCAAAGCTTTTCCTTGGGCGAAGCCTTCGAAGCCTTTTTCGGGGACCGGCTCTGTTTCCTTGGTTTTCCTTGTTTCGCCAGGCCCCCCCAAATCAAACAAGAGTGCCTGCCCCGAGCTGACCTCCAGCGCATCGCTTAACCCTCGCGAGCCCAACAGACAAAACAACCAGGCGCCTACCCGCCAACCCAACTTGCAACCCCGTCAACCTCCAATTGTGTGAAACCTGCTCTGCAATTGTTTGCAAGCGTACTTTACTTCAAACACCAACCTCCGAAGACCTCACACCAGGCCGGACACCAGAAAACTCCTTGGGTCGGGTCGCGAATCCAAATCTCCCATGCCAAGCTCACCTACTCCACCCCAGCCTGATCGCCCCTGGTCCCGCGAATGTGGCTGTGTTGAAAAGAAAAATAATTGAAGATTGGTCGAAACTTAGTTACCCTTTTTGACAATAACAATCCTGAAAATCTTGGATAGTCTGCCTGGCTTTCTCTCTTCCCCTCTCCTAGCCGATCCTTTTCCTGACCGCTATCAGTATTCACTCCTTTTATTCCCTCTCTTTGTCACCCGCTGCGCGCTCGTTTGGCTGCGTCGCGTCTGCTGCCGCTCGCTTTGTTGATTTCCCGCAAAACCCACCTCCCTTGCTTGGCTGTGCTGCCAGTACCCTTTGACTGTTGCATCTGCACGTAACAAGAAAGAATCCCCAAAGGACAGATACTTCCTGGATTCAGGCTCCACGGGTTCCTTCCTTCAATCATAGTTTCCGCCTCCCTTCCCTAGTTCTTCGATATCATCTGTGGCTACGATATAAGGGGCTGTGCCACGTCACATCCCGCTCAATCTGTGAGAACCGACTCTATTCTCTCCACTGCTGACCTCTGGATGGTCGAACTCGGTTGAAAAACTCTCTTTATTCCTCAACGTACGTGGCTCCCCATGCGTGGATCTAGGCGCCTATTTTTCCAACAGGCCCCGGCGTTCAGGCGAGGCGCAGCACACTGGGTGTTCTCACGAGAGCCCAAGTGTGTCCTAAAGCCCATGCCCTCCGCGCCTGAAAGCCCTGCTCTTCTCTCTTCCTAAACTGTCATAACTGGAAGAAGGCTCGGCGGCGATATAACCCTGCAAGTTCGGTGAAAAGGAATAATATACTCATGGTTCACAGCGCTTCATTCTACGATCTAAATCCGCTACCTATTCGTCAAGGCAATTAATACTGCATTGCCTCTTTAATTCCCATAATGCGTGAGTGCTAAGCCTTCCTATATACCTTACACTCTCATCACTTGATAGGCCCTGCAGGGGCTATACCCTTGATCTAGTGGTCTCTTCATGCAGTCACTGCCACCACCACTGCAGGAGAGAGAGAGAGGGAGGGAGAGGAGAGAAAAAAAGACAAATAGAGAGCTGATAATACTGAAACGATGGCTCTAGATATCTACCGCCGCAAAGCCCGGAATCTAGCTTGGTATGACCAAGACGGCGAACCCGCGTCTCACAATCCATTCAAAAAATTCCGCCGCCGCCCAACTCGCACAGCCTCCATTCCACTTGAAGATCAGGGCCGGCCCCGAGATCCAGACAGGGATGTCGAAAACTCCCCGTACCCGCCAGAGTCCGCAGGCAGCGACTGGCAAACGAATGGGAGCTACGGCGGCCCGGAGCCGTCTAACATCAGCCAAGACCCGATCAATGCCGACACAGTGACCACATCCCGCGGTGGCATCGACTTCGAGGCCGAGATCGAAGGCAATCAGGCGCGCCAGCGCGGACCCAAAAAGTCCGGTTTTCTGGGCAAGTTCAAGCGCCAGCCGAGCGAGGAGCACGGCCCTGAGGATTCGAAGCCGCTTGACGAGGCACCCAGGTTCACTGTGGCGTCGCAGATCCGTGCGACAGTGTTGAATTCGTGGATAAACATCCTGATTGTCGCCGCGCCGGTGGGCATTGCCCTGCACGCGGTCGACGCGAACCCCATCGCTATCTTCGTGGTCAATTTCATCGCGATCATCCCGCTCGCCGCTATGCTCAGCTATGCGACGGAGGAAATCGCTATGCGCACCGGTGAGACGATTGGCGGGCTGCTGAACGCATCGTTCGGCAACGCCGTCGAATTGATTGTCGCCATCATCGCTTTGGTCAAGAAGGAGGTGTTGATCGTGCAAACATCGTTAATCGGCAGTATGTTGTCGAATCTGTTGCTGGTCATGGGTATGTGCTTCTTTTTCGGCGGCCTTGAACGTATGGAGCAGCACTTCAACGTGACCGTCGCCCAGACGGCCGCCAGTCTGCTTGCGCTGGCTGTAAGCAGTCTGATCATTCCTACTGCGTTCCACACCTGGTCCAGCGCCAAGCAGGACCACACCGCAGAACTGTCTCGAGGTAAGTGTCTATCTGATTATATCTGACTGGAAGGGGCCCCGCGTTCGCTGTCTTTGTAGCTATACCTAACTTCTTGTACTTGAATGTCTAGGAACCAGCGTACTCCTCCTTATCGTTTACGGCTGCTACCTCTTCTTCCAGCTGAAGTCGCACACCGACATGTACAACGCCCCGAGTCAGAAGGTCGAAAAGCGCTCCAAGAGCGAGGGCGATGCGAACCGTGGCATTGCACAAATTGGCAAGATGACCGCGACTACTATGGGTGGGCGTGGTGCCGCGCAAGAGGTCCAGTTTCACGATCCGGAAGACGAGGACGAGCAGCCGCAGCTGACGTTGTGGGTTGCTGGATTGACCTTGTGTGTGTCGACTGCACTTGTCGCTGTCTGTGCCGAGTTCATGGTTGATTCGATCGACGCGCTGACGACGACGACGAACATCAGCGAGACGTTCGTGGGTTTGATCCTGTTGCCAATCGTGGGCAATGCTGCAGAGCACGCGACGGCGGTGACGGTTGCATGGAAAGATAAGATGGACCTGGCGATTGGCGTGGCCGTGGGCTCGAGTATGCAGATTGCGCTGCTGGTTTTACCGCTTATTGTGGTGATCGGGTGGATCATGGGAGTGGATAATATGGTAAGCGACTCTATTCCCTATAGATGTGCACTGTACAACTGGGGTTTATCAGTGTCGAGGGGGCTCTTTTTATACTGACGTGTGTGTGTTAGACTCTCAACTTCGACAGCTTTGAGGTGATCTTACTGTTTGTCTCGGTGCTCTTGGTTAACTACCTGATTGGTGACGGTAAATCTCACTGGCTGGAGGGCGTTTTGCTCATGATGATGTATCTGATTATCGCCATTGCTGCTTGGTATGTACCCTGGCTATAGCTCCTTGTGGTTTTCGTTTTCCTCCGTCCCTTTCATGTCGACGAACAATTTCTGACGTTACATTTTCTCATTAGGTTCTTTGATTGATTCTGCGAGTGATCATCCAGGCAGTGCCTTGGTCGGCTATTCGGTGGGTTGCTAATTTGCCTTAGAAATTTTTTAGCTCTCTTGTATAGTGCCTACTTTATTATAATTTTTTTTTTTTTTACTTTGACGTCCTTAACTTCTCTTCCCCCAACAAGTAAGGTAGTATCGGGGTCGTAATGCTTCAATCTATGATAGTTGTTAGTTAATGGAAAGTAGAAATGATCCGACCTGCCGTGCGAAACAGACACTCCCTGTTGGAGGACTCCCTTATTTCTCTCTTTTATCCTTCAACGAATTTACTACTAGTCTTGATATGTATATAGATCGGAATGTATCGACGCCCCGGATTATCTCTATGGTCTCAGCTCGGAATTCGGGTTTCATCGAAGCCATTATATCGACATACGCTTTCCTACTTCTCAATCTACAACCCACCATCCGATGTATTGAGAGCTCAACTGAAAAGCATGGCCATAAGCTCGCTCGCACGAAACTACCCATTTGATCAATAGTCTCTGCAGAGTCAGCCCGCAGGACTCAGCATTATGCCCGAGCGTATCCCCAGACCCCACGCGGAGGAAGCAGGCACCGGCAGCCACTCTCATCCAGGCCGAACAGCCTAAACGTCCACAGCCTAAATCGGTTCTTCTCCCAGCCGCTCCCCCCGCCCCCGAATAGGTTCAAAGGCCGACCCGACCCTAGCTTGCCCCCCACGTCCCATTATTGGCTCCATGTCTGGCAGCATACAGACGAGCCACTAAAGTACTTCTGAATACCACCGTCCTTATCGAGCAGAAGCCCCGCCTAGATCGCCGTGCTCTAAAAAAGTACTCCGTACTACTACCTCGCTATACAGGGAAACTACTATTCCACCGAACCCCACACAGAGCAGCCACCTGTTTAGCACTTGCCCTTCCAGATCTTTCTCAGGGCATGCCTAGAAAGCAGGGGGACCGACCTTGGAGCAGCGTGAACCTTTACTCCAAATGGGCGACGTTTCATCCGGGCATCAGCAAGGAACCACATAAAAAACAACTAAGGCCCATGCCACATGCTGAACGCGCTACTGCTCCCATTCCCCCATTTTCCCCAATGACGCGAAGCAAGACATCATCGAGCCGATGCTTTCTGGTGTGGTGTGCATATACATCCTTGCTCGCCTCCTGAGGGCAGCGTCCCTTGTAAATCTTCACACGCCGACGGGCTAAACGCTCATGCCGCAGGCCCCAGCGATGACAAGACCCGGGCGAGACTGGGGGAGAGAACTCTCGGGATCGGGATTCCATCGGACATAGACCGTAACCCATTTTCTCTGTGCTGTTCTTTCCTTTTACCCGCACCCGATGTGGGGGGTGGATTTCTTCTGGGGGGCCCAGGAGGGCATTGCGATTCATGGAAGAATATTGTGGACGCCGTTTTATTATGGGACGGTTTGTCGCCGGGTCGGGCGGGACAAGTTCGGTCGGGCCGGATGGTTTGCCGGGAGAGTGCGTATTATGGAGGGTAAGCGGACCTATTGCAGCGCAGCGCCTGCTGAGTATATCACTAGATTACAGTTGATGAATTATAGATTAATCTAAATATAGGGAATGGGATATTTGCATCGATCAAGTCATCTCTCCCTCTCGGTGACGAGGGCATCTGTTTGGCGCCCTATATTTGGTGGCTTTGGGGTTAAGAACGGTCGGACACGGCTCCGTGTTGGGACGGGACGTAAGATCCCGATCCCCTTGTTTTTCCCACGAACCTGGGCGCCGGAGAAACGGGGAAACTCTAGATCTGATCATTCTATAGGACATGCGATTTATTTTGCTAGTAAAAATAAATACGAAGTCGGCATTCTAGGTACAAAGGGTAGTCTGCGAGCCAGATCTCGACCGAGAGTATGCGACAGGACCTTGACAGTGGCCGAGCCCGTTTGGCAGACCGATTCGGTAATCCGGAGCGCGGCACGGGAACCCCCGTTGGATCGGGTAAAAGGGGAATCGGGACTGGCAGTACTTGCTGTGTGCGGTTCAGAAGGGGACTTGGGGGACCGTTTGAGGGGCCGGAGTTGGATCGAGGTGATGCAGGTGATTGGACAGGGACTAAGGAGGAATTAGGTAAAAGTCCAGGAGGGGGTGGAGTTGGTCAGCATGAATAGACGGCGGATTTTGGCATAGCATGGAATTATGATCATTCAAAGCCTGTCAGCTGAGCGTTGATCGGAGTACGGAGCCTATACGACGACGAAATGGTAGGAAACAACAGCTTCCTAAGATGATTGGCGGAGGGAGAACGCTTGGATTTGGTGGCGGATGTTCCCCGTGGGATTGACTCGATGTGGAAGTCTGGCGCGCATCCCCAACGCCAAGACCCGAAGAAAAAAAAAAAAAAAAGGGAAACCAGGTCTGGGCTCTCAGATCTCCGGCGACAGCGTTTCTTCTATAGAGTAGAGTGTGGTATTCGTGGTGGAGGCCGTGGTAGTATCTCACCGAGAGGACGGTAGGATTGCGAGAGTTGTGGTCTCAGTCATTGGATCTCAGTCATTGGACCGTGGAGTGGCATTTAAACAGCGAGATCGTGTCACTCTCTACGGAGAATACGGAGTTGATGGAATTTCCGGAGTATAGCCGTCGCTAGGATATACTCTACCTCGTCATGAAGGCCTCGGAAACACGGCATATCCCGGGCCATATTGTTATGCATCACTGATTATACAGTTGACTCGTCGGCGCTAATAGAGTCGAGACATATTTCGTAATGCCTCGGGAAACAAAAAGGCGAGAGAGCAAGCGGCTGCTTAAATTTCCCTGTTAAGCTCACTCTTCTCCGCACCAATTGCTCTCGTGCCTGGCCGAAAAAAAATCCACCGGGCAAAAGTCAAACAAGGATCCACTCGGTTACCCTCACAGGCAAAAGGAATTCCCGTCGCCGAGTCGGGGCGCACATGAACGTCCAGTGATCTCAACCCAGGATTAGTCGGGGTCCGCCGTGGTTAGGGATGCTATGACTTTCGGCAGAATCCTGGGTTGCCGATGCCTGGTCATGGCTCAAACAAGGATCGCAGTACTCCCAATCCTCGACCTCGTTCGAAGTACTCGACAGCTGGACCGGGACAACTCGGTCTATTCTCGATAGCGCCATTAGGGCCAACGCCTACGAACTCCTATGTGATACTACGATGATTGTCTCCCGAGGGTATCCAGCGTCCAGCAAAAGATCCAAAGCATCAGAGGGAAAGGATCCGAAAACCACGTCGGGCCAGGGCCGACTTTACCTAATGCGAATTCAGCGAATGCGGGGTTGCCCGGGGTCGGGTCGCTGGCGCCTCGGAGGTTGGAAGCCAATCAGGGTGCCCGTCGGACGGAACCGAAATGCGACGGGTCTGCCGTGGGGGGAAGGGTGAAGAGAAAGGCTCACGCCAAGTCTCGGTGTATGACTATCCCGTGTGTCACCTTGGGCCAAGCATCGTCATCCGAGGCAAGGGGGCGGACAGGGTGGGCGAGCGGACAACTGGGGGATGTACAGCGTACAGGGTACAGGGGCGGGGATCGGGACAGGCATGCTCCATTCAGAGTCGAGCCTGCATTCTCCTTGCCAAGGATACAAGCACATGATGCATACCCCAGATGATGGTCAACCAGGGCGCTGCGATCGGTCTCTGCATAACCCGCAGAATACAGATCTTTCCTAAGCCCAGCCCAACCTGCAGGAAGAGGGGATTCCCGTTCGTTCCAAGGCCCAGGCCAACCGCGCCCGCGACCATGCAGCGCATAATGTTGGGCCGCGCGATCAACCAGAAACCCAGAGAATGTCGGAATCAAGTTGCTGTTCCGTAATGGGCTCAAATTACGGGGATCCTCCCCGAGAGCAACCCTATGGAGTGTCCAGACAGGAAAGTAGTGGGCTCCCCTCATGGACTTGGAATCTGGGGGGGGACGACCGAGGAATGGTGCGGAGGCTGCCGTCAATGAGACCTAAAACATAGGTACCTAGCCCTTGTACTTCTGCCCGGCTGCCTCCCCGTACTCGACCTGGATAGCGGAGGCGCGGGGGCGGGGAGGGGGCGTAAGTGGAACAGACATTCGCTGCCCAGTTCGTCTGATTCAGTTATCGTCGTAGCGCCATAGCCACGGTCATTCAAGCTCCTTTCTCACTACTCGACCAATGTAACTTCCGGAGTGTTGGAACGAGGATCAATCGCGGATCGGCCTCCCCGCGGGGAGCCCCGGGGGCTCAGGGACCCGCGTCCATTGGGTGACCCCCCGTCCTGGGCCCGGGGTGTTACTCCCCCGATCGTCCCGAGAGTCCAATGTCGCCCCCTCCCAAAGTTGTAGCGCAGCCCGCGAACCCAAACTTCCAGCCCGAAAAAAAAATCAATAAATATCATAAGAGCAAGCGGAAACGAGAAGTGGAGGTCCCCTAGCTCAGAAACGAGCACGAGCCACAGACCGACGAAGGAGTGCTGGGAAATGGGAATACCCGAGGGATCACAGACCCCAACCCGAGCCTATGATGGTCCTCCACCTCAGGTGTGCCCCTCTTTGGACCGACGCCATGTGGGAAAGTGTGGGAAAAAGACCAGAGAATCTCCAAGCCCTACGGGTTCGGCCTAATCAGTCTTCACCGGTGGATCACAATGGTGGAGGCTTGGTCTGTCCCCCCGTCCACCTGCCATTCCTCGCAGAACTGTCCGGACGTCTCGCTTGCCTGTTCTGGAGTTCCCGACAGCGATTGGAAACGTATGGTCCGGGAGGGGGGGAAGAAGAGGTTCTTGGAAAATCAGATCTGTCCACCTGGCGACTTGCCGATCGGGCATCTAGAGGGCAGAGAGAATGGTCCGAGCCTGGCCAGACAGCCTGTGAGATGTCGGTCAGAACGGGATGATCCTGGTCCGAAATAGGGAGGAAAAGAAAAAAAGAAAAGAAAGAGAAACAACAAGCCAAAGAAAAAAAGAAAGTCTCCTGCAAACCCAGACATGCCGGACAATGAGACAATCAGGCCATGTCACTGAGCAGTGCAGGGAACCGAGACCTGAGAACGCGAGGGAGGGAGTGAGGGAGGGCACATCGTTACGTAGTTTCCAGTTCGACGGGGCTGACGGTTCACGGGGAATTGACGGCCTCCGCATCGGATCCCAGAAGCCCTCGTATCCCCCGGAGCACACCTGGGTGTCATCGGCGATTCGCCTATGACCGGGCCACGACCTTCCCGACGGTCACGATCCATTGGAAACATTGGCATCTCGGCTGGGGGATCATCCCATCAGGACTGCTGCCAAATCTGCAATTGGCCTGGAAGTGCGACGGTTGCGCTGTTCCACGGCTGGCTGCTGGCCCGTTCTCGGTCGGGAAAGGACCGGACGAGCAACATTTGAACAGCGTGACGATCATGAGATCATGTGGGTGCTAGACGGGGAATTGGGGACCGATCGGGGTAGCTCGGGCCTCAACGGACTCTCAACCGTCGAGGTGGCAGCGCCATTTTGATTCGAGTGAGTCGGTTGACCGCACCTGTCATGAACGAGGAGGGATTGAGGCCAGCAGCCTCGACAGTTTGAGCGGGAAGAGGATTAGTAGTCCAGTGGGAAGTGTGGGTGGTATCATGCTTATCGTGGGTATCGTCATGGCCCTGGTTGTTTGACAGGCCTCGGGAGGGGGGGCCCTCGGCAAGTGAGTTCAGACGGGGCAGGCCCGGTGCTTGGGCCTTGGGCCTTAAGGGAAGGGGGGGGGGACTTGGGGGCTTCTGGGGTAACGGCCACGGCCGGCTCAGGCACCTTTGAGTTGCCGTGATTATGTACGCGCCGGAGGATCGGTACCCCGGACTTTGGGGTTGTGGGCTCGCTTCTTCCGATCCTCTCAAGTCTAAGACGGGGGATCATATATGGTTTTACTGCGATAATAAGGAGGTATACTGAATATCATATTCATATGGAACGATCGAGGAAGGGTTGGCGAATCCAGGCCCTGATCATATATATCCAGGCCGGGGACCATTTCGGACATCGGGGCGGTTCGCTTTTCTATTTCCAGCTCGGCAGCCGGAAAACCTGGGGGCTCCACTCTCCACGAATCATCCCAGCGCCGCGTCCTTGCATACTTGGGCCTCCGCAATTTCAAATGCCCTGTTCCCCAGCGGCTCTCGGCTCCATAATTTTTTTTTTTTCCCTTTTTCTTTTTTTCTGGTCTCCCCCTTCTTCCTGGTCCCTTGTCCACTTGGCTGTCATTGACCTAAAGTGGACTTATTTTACTTTCCCCCCGTTTGCCGTGTTCTCGACTCCGTTCCCTCCCGACCTACGCATTCCCGGTCCGGTGCCCCGACTGGCCTTCCCCCACACTCCGCCCATTCCCGCACTTCTTGGGCCTTCCCCTTCTCTCCCTCCCTCCATCTCTCTCTCCTCCACACGTCCCCTACCTCGCCCGCTCGGCTTTGATTCAGTGCTGCGCACTGTCGACTCAATTTTGTAAGTACCAAGACCTCGTGTGGGTGCGCGTGCTTCCACGCATTCTCTATGCGCTCGGCATATGCAATTCTGACACGGAGCCTCAACCCCGAAGGAAAACAGCCGAGGACTGCCGCCTAAGCCAAATCTGCCGACGAGAGTCTCACGACCATCACGACCCGTGCATTCCGTTTCCTGTCTTCCCTCCTTCTCCATACACAGTGCGCTCCCGAGCTTTTTCCACCTCCCCCACCCCAATAGATGGGAATCGCCGCGTGAACGAAAGATCCCGAGTTTTTATACGTCCGCAGATTGTGCGTCTGCACCGTAGGCACCATGCGATCCAGCATCGCCTGCGCTCGATGCCGACGCAGTAAGATCAAATGCGTCAACTCCGGCATCGACACCACCTGCCGCGCATGCGAATCCTCCGGCCGAGAATGTGTCTATCCGACCCCCGCGATTGGCGTGAGCGGTGCCAAACGGGATTTGGCCGCCCTGGCTGAGGGCGACGATCGAAATGGAGATTGGGATGGTCCTAAACGACATCGCTCGCGCAAGATGATCGGTGCTTCGGGCACCCCTGGGGCTTCCAAGGCCGGTCTGGATGCCCTCGACTCGTCCATCCTCACGACCAAGGTCTGGGAGGCCGTCTTTGACTTGTTTCAGTCGCACTTCGCCACGCTTCTACCTTTCCTCCACCCAGCAACCTTCTTGGGTCAGATTCGACAGCTCTCAACGCCGGCACCGCCCCCGGCCGTGGCGCCATTGGATGGGCACGATGCACCCCGGCTGCCCGGGTCCAGGTCGGACCCGTCGTCCTCCTTGATTCCTCTCGGGGTCCTGGCCCTAACGGCTCGCTTTCATCCACCCTTGGTCGCAGCGCACTCCACCGCCTCCCCTGGTCACCCATCCAACCCCCTCGCGGCATCCGAATACTATGCGACAGCTTTGCGCAGCCGGCTGGCCGGCCTCGATGGCGCGAGCCTCGCGGTCCCGGATCTGGCTCGGGTTCAGGCCCTCTTGATGCTGGCCCTGCATGAGTGGGGTATGTGCCGCGGCAAGAGCGCTTGGCTGTATGTGGGTATGGCTATCCGCCTAGCACAGGCCATGGGTCTTCCATTCGAACTTGAGAACGAGTTCCCGCCCCGCGATCTTTCTCGATCATCGCCAGGCCTCAAGACCGAGGCGGATCACTTTGGATTGACATCGCGCCGTGTTGAGCCCAAGGAGCAGACTTCAGACGACATCATTTCTCAGGAGACCAAACGCCGAACATTTTGGGCTTGTTTCATCCTAGACCGTTGTCTGAGCAGTGGCAAGTATCGCCCTCGTATGATTCGCGTCAAAGATCTTGGGATCCAGCTCCCGAGTGACAACGCCTTTGCCTTTGGTGAGCGCGTACGGACTGCTCGTCTGAACGAGCCTACTGTTCGTCGCCCACAAAGCTTTGGCTCCCAGGGTGTGCAGATCCCGAGCATCCGTCAAAGCTTTAGTGGGTTCGGGGACGAGAAACTTCCTGCTGCCAATGGTACTCCAGATGGCAAAGCCTGGTCACCGATCTCACGTCGCAAGGATTCCAGCGAGGACGATGTGGATCGATGGGAGGTTGGTGCTGAGGAGTCGGTTCTTAGCCGAGTAATTCGCATCATCCGTATTTGGGGAAGCATTGCGAAGTGGTCGTGTGCCGGTGGCCGGCGAACCGAGCAATATCCGCCATGGCACCCAGAATCACGCTTCGCATCTCTACGCATGCAACTCAATGAGTTCCAAGACAGCCTCTCCCGCAACCTGCAGTACTCTCTACGAAATACCGACACTCACATTATGTATAAGACAACTTTGGCGTCTTATACAGTGATGCATGCCGTCTATTTCTTGTCTGTCATCGTTCTACATCGTGCCTATGTACCCTTCTTACCTCTCCGCTGCAATGAACCTGTTGGTCCTTTGGACGAACCGTTATTCCCTTCCGATAAAGTCAACGGCCCTCCTGAGACTTTTTGGAGGGATAGTGCTCGCGATTTGTTCAAGGCTGCTCGACAGATGATCGATCTCGTGGTCACTTGCCAAGGCCGCGGTGCCCTTGTTGAGAATCCCCTTGTCGGTTTCGCCATCTATAATGCTGCCTTCATTGGCGTTTATGGCTCTCACTTCACTCACATGGATCCAGATGGTCTCATGGGGGCCAAAGCCCCACCGGCAAGTCATGACAGCCATCAAATGGGTACATCCCAAGCCCGGAAAGCACTTGATATTTTGCGAGAGATGCGCCCACGCTTGAGGATGGCAACTGGGTGGTTCCGTACTCTGAATCGCCTGCACAGCTATTTCTCGAAAGTCAAGCGTGAATTCCGTCGGTACTCTCGTAACCGTTTGGACAGCATGTCTGATGCCTCGGAGCATGCTGCCTCGAACGGAGTACGGCCAATTCGTGAAGGCGGTTTGGGCGGCGGTTTGGAGGAGTTCAAGCTCCTTGAAAAGCTTTTCCTGGACTTTGGAAGTCTTGAGGATCAGCTGCCGGATTCTGTGGATGATGATGGCACCGCTATCACCGTGTCTGGTGAGCCGATGCTAGACCGCGCAACCAATCTTAGCGACGCCGGAAGCAATGCTGTGAAGAGTGAGATTGGCGATACGAGCGAGCACGACGGTGCTGGTGGCCGACGTGAATCCTGGGTCCCTGTCAACAGCCCTGGTCTGCCTCTACCTGGCCACGACGGAGATCGCCGCCCAAGTCTCCCTCTTCCAACCACTCGCCCCATGCCCTCACAATCTCCCTACTCCCTGCCATCGTTACAACAGCACCACCCAGATGGTCCGATGTACACTTCATCCCCTCCCAACCTGCCTTCCATTGCTGCGACTACCCAGTCTCCGTCACAGTATCTCACTGCGACAAGCAATCGCCTGCAGCCTATCAATTCATGGCTCCCGTCTCGTCCCTCGGCGCCGCCACCACCATATTCGCAATCCCTGCCACCTATCAACGCCACAGCATCGCATAATGTCCCCGTGCTCCCACCACCAGGCTCGGTCACCCAGCTTGCTCCATCTCCGCCTTTGACCTCAACCGAAGGCCCGGATAGCAGTCTCCTGTCATCTAGTCTGGGCGGGGATGATGTGCTCGCTTTCTTGGATGGATGCGAGTGGGCACAACTATCCCTCAATGCACCATCGGAGATCGGCATTCCCGTCGGTTGGCTAAGCACCGTTTGGAGCCAGTTCAGTCGTTAAATACTTTTTACGCTGATTGAGGCGCACTGCGCTCCCCTGTACTATTATTTTCATGACTTTCCTTTACCCTCTTCCCCCCTTTTCCCCTATCATTATCCTTTGTTACTCCTTCGTCGTCGGATACATGCTCTCGTACTGCATGATGACCCCTTTTCGCTCTTACCCCTACCACCTTCGCTATTCACGAAAGCCGGTGACTGAAAAAAAAAATGGGGCGGAATCGCGGGTCTGATATTTGTGGTGTTGCAATAGCACGATTTAGGCGCCAATCGGCCCGGCAGGGATTCAATGCTTGGCTTCCCCATCGACTGAAGCTCTGAGTTTTCACGAATCATTGTTGATACCCCGACACAAACTGTGAACTACTCGTTGATGTCTGCTTGGCTTCCAGTTGTCTGGTTGTTTCTTTCTTCTAAATATCGCTTCTTGCTCTGTCTCGTCGACGCTGGAGGGGAGTCTGGGTTGTTGTGTCTGGTTGTTTTGCTTGATGGAATCGGATTCGATTTCCAAGAGCTACTGTTTACTCCCTTGCTCTCCGTGTCTATGATGACTCTGGATTTTCACCTTTTTTTATCGGTCTGTTCTTATTGTTACATGCTGTGTTTTTTCGAGCGAGCTCTATCAATTGTCTACGGGTCGGTCGGTCGGTCGGTCGGGATTGGATATGGGCATGTGCCATATCGCCGCTTCCCTTGTCTGCTTTGTCTTTGTTCTGTCTTTGTTCTGGATATGATTACGAGCCACGGCGTTACGCTGAGTCTGAGCCTGACTTAGTCTTTGATTTCGATTTGATTTGAGAGCCCAGCTGTGTGTTGTGTCAATTGATATATGCCTACGGGCGTTGTTGTTTTCTCCACCCAACTTGCCTTGATTCATTGAACTTCTTGATTTTATCCAATTCATCTTCCAAAGGTGCGTTGATAGCACCGGTGTAGATCTCTTGCAGTCTAGAGCGGATAACCTCACCCATACACTCGATGATCATTTCTCGGCATCGAGCCAGGATGACATAATCGCGACCTCCGGCACGCCTCGGCTTCGGATTTGCCAAGTATGAGAAACTCCAAGACCGAATTCAAGTCCCGCCTATCCCCTTCCTGTCTCTTCTCTTAAAATAGAAATACTGTCTGGGATATTAATCCCATGGATCGATCCTCTTTTGCCCCTTCGTCTCCCAATCCCTACCCATATGACACTAGCCGCGTGACCGAGCTGCTTAAGCGCAAGCGACGAAGTCGCGGCATCAAGTCATGTTTTCCATGTCGACACAGGAAAGTCCGCTGCAATGGAGAGAAGCCATGTTCTAGTTGTGTGCAGCGAAATCATCCAGAGTTGTGCTGTACGCCATCTACGAAAGGAGCAACCGAGGCCAGCAGACGAAGGTATGCTTATTGCCGTCTTTCTTTTTGCCTGTATACAAGAGAGCTGGAAGAGTTTCACCCCTCATTTCACAATTATCGAGATTTCATTCAAGCATATAGCTAATACGGCTTTAGCGAAGAACTGGGTAATGAATTTGAAGGGCCAAGGAAAGATCTATCACCTGCGAACTTGGCCCTGGATCTAGCGGTTGATACAATGATTAAACGCCTTGAGAGCATCGAGGAGCAGATCTCTTGCCTAAAGGCTGATCTTCTTCAGAGTCATGTAAAAAATGTCGGAACAGCAGCAGCACATGCAAGTCCGGAATCAACCGCATCATTCAGCCTTCGCGACAAGCCTTCTGTGCCGGCAAAATCATCAGGGAAGCACTTTGTCGAAGACGCCACTGGCGCGACAATCTTTCTGGGTAGCCACTCGGATATTCCTGCTGCTCTAGGATGCCGGCAGGCATCTCGCGACGCGCCGATGCCTGATGCTTTTGTGTTGGATCAGCTCGTGCCGCGTACTTATCCCTTCACTAGCCTGTGGGGGCCTGAGGCGGGCGCTGGAGAGGTTTCTATGACATTGCCTGATGATTCAGATATAATCAGGTGAGAGTGTTTTCTAACATCGGTGACCATCAAATTTGCACTGGTTCCCTGGAAACCTTTTTTTCAAAACACTGGGATGCTTATACATGTCTAGGTATTGGCAAGTTTATAAGAACTGCGCATACCCATTCTATCCAGGTCTCGTCACAATCGAACAATTCGAAACCTCGCTATTCAAGTTTCTAGATCGTCGTGCTGAACTGGATCGTTCGAATGAATTGTCCTCACTGGACGAAATTGATTCCTCCTGGCTGGCTCTCTTGTTTGCCGTGCTCGCCGGGGGTGTGCAATTCTCAGAAGATCCAATTAAAGAACGTGATCTACGATCCAAAGTCTTTGGTGAGTTCTATGAAGAATAAAAAATAGATGTAAAGGGAAGTGAAATTGGCTAACTCGACGATGCTAGTCTGTTCATCTTTTCAATGTCTACGGATCTCGAACTTTTTCAACAATACCAATTTGAATCAAATTCAGGCCATGGCTTTGATTGGCCATTGCTTGCGGAATAATTTGGACACCAATAGCGCTTGGATTCTAATGGGTATGTGGTTTTTTCATGTCTGCCTCTGATCTATTGATATAGCTGATCTTTGTCTCGCAGGTGCGACCATGCGTCTCGCGCAGAGCATTGGGCTCCATGAGGAAGCTGTCTTGCCTGAATCTTCTAGTTCCGTCATAGATAGGTATCAACGCAGACGATTATGGTATTAAAATCTCCAAATATCACCATCTTAAAAACCACTAACCCATTTTCAGGTGGATGCTTCTATGGCAAGACACGTTTCTCTCTTTCACATACGACAGGCCACCCAGCACAATCAACCACAGCAGTACTATTCCCCACAGGGCAGATTCGGGACCGGAGAAGTCATTTGCCGAATGTATCTTCACTCTTTGTCAAGTCCTACTTGACCGTGCTCGCAACTACGACACTGAGATAGTGTCTTCAACACTCACCTACAAACGCCGCGTCGAAGCCGTTTGGGATGATGCTGCTCCGTTTCTTCGCAGCAAGTCCCGATGCCGCACGCTACAAGATCACCTTGAATACCTGGGCCTCCGAATTCATGTCAACTATGGCATTTGCCGCCTCTGCAGACTCATTCTGGACACAACTTCTACTACGAACCCCACACTTGTCGACCTTGATTCATTGCAAAAGGATTGTTGTAATCGTGCCACCGAAGCAATCGAGAGTTTCCTCGATATGCACCGCCTGTCAGCGACTGTATGTCGCTCTTGGGCATTTGTGCATAATGCGGTGAGTTGTGCGTTTACATTGCAGAATATAGACGCCAGGGCGTCCGAGGCACATTCTGCAGAGCTGGTGAAAAGACTGGTCACCGTATTGGGGCATGAAGAGCGCATGTCGTCGTGGCAAGATGCTGACACAAATATTCGGTCCTTTGGTCCTTATTCCAGAGCATTGAAAGCATTGAAAGAGAGTATCTCGAATGGTTCAAGTGATATGTACTGATTCCCTTTGGTCAATAATAAATTGGCGGGGTGGAATCGAAGTGCTATACCTCGCGCTTTATACAAGTGAGAAACTTTTCAAGAGCGTCAATTTATTTCAATTTTCTTTGGACTTCTCATTCCAATGCCCACTATAGACTGCACAGCATCGCACATTATTAACGAAAGGAAGGTATCTCTCAAGACACTTCAGCCCTCTTCTTTGCTCTTACATAAAAGTTCAGCGGCCGAATCAACTGGAATTCCGGATCATACTCTACAGCATCTAGACCCTCCCGGAAGAATTCATATCGCGACACGAGCTCCGACAACAAGATTTTAACCTCGAGCAGCGCGAAGTTGAACCCAATGCATCCTCGCGGACCCGTCGCGAACGGAATGTACGCACAACGGTGCTTGCTTTTCACTTCTTCCCCGGCCCACCGATCCGGGTCAAAACGGAACGGATCGCTCCAGACCTCGGGGTTGGTATGAATTGCGTACAATGCCGGGACAATGACACTGTCTGGCGGTAGGCGGTAGCCACCGGGTAAAACAACGTCAACCTTGGTGGTGCGTCCCGGTTGGAAAGACGCGTTATGCAGCCGCTGGGTTTCTTTGACAAAGCTGTCTAGGTAAGGCAGCCCGTGAGCCAGCTCTGGCGTCCAGTCAACCGGTTTATTGGAACTGGCAATGCCTGCCTCACAAAGCTCTTTGTAGAGCCGGTCCTGCGTGCCTTCATAGTTGACTAGGCAGTAAATAAGCCACGACATCAGGGCTGAAGTCGTCGTGAACCCAGCGCCGGTGACAATGAGCATGTTTGCTAGGATGAGCCCCTCAGGAAACTTCTGGCCGTTTTCATCCACTGTGTTTAAGAGATAGTCGACGACACAGGAGGCATTGATGGCGGCCTCGTTCATTGGCATACCTGCAATTCCTGAGCCTTTGACTCGGTCGATTTGCTCTTGTAGCAGAGAGTAGATCGTCCGCTGGACTTGTTTCAGGCGCGCGGGATCACCGAACGGGAGGTGACGATACCATTCGCCGCGGGCTGTGATCTTTTTGTTCAGGGAAAGCAGGCTGGCGATGTTGGTCACGATGGGATGCAGTGGGGCATCAATACTGTTGAAGTGTTCGAAGTCGGTGCCGAGTGAGAACTTGCCGATTGTTTGCGACGCAAGCTTGACCATGTACTGGTACACATTCCACGACTGGTCTCGAGAATCGAGCTCGTCGAAGACCGCAAAGGACTTCCGCGCACATTCCTGCATTAATGGTGTATAGTGGCGCACGGCCTTGGGGCCCATTGCTGGGGGAAGGAAGTGATGGGCCAAGCGCCAATTTTCGGTCTCAGTGTCGCCGATGAAAATAGCAGTGTTGTCTTTGACACCCCAAAGCGGGTGGCTTTCGTTGATTTTCTTCGTCATATAGACTGACTCGGCCAGCGCGACAGCTGCAACCTCCGGGCTATCGGTCAAGTATGTGGTCTTGCCCATATTGGTCGTTTTGATGACATGGCCGTATTTGCGAAAGAGACGGTAATGGTTTCCGAGATGGTCTGGGAAAATCTCATAGAAACTGCCGACTAGAGGTAGACCTTCTGGTCCCTGGGGGCTCTGAACAGCTTGTCCGTCAACACGAAGTCCAATAAGCTTGCTAGAAGAGCTGGCTAACAAAAGCTCCTCGACCCTTAGAATTTCCTGATCGCCGTCTCCTTCGTGAAAAGACAGTCCTGGTTGTTGTTAGCAATCAAACCCACGTTCAAGGATTGCATCCACCAGCATACCTAAAGGCTGGGCCACATGGAAAACTCCACCAACGGCACGTTTAACATCTTCAAGTTTCCATTGTGGATCAAGTTTTACCGACTGTGAAGTCGAAATATCATCTCCAATCAAGTAAAAAGATGGGCTGTGTGGTATTTCATGGGAAATCGACATCGTGGTGCGGATTCGAGACGATCTCGAGACTGCCATTTCTGCTATTGCATGGGCAATTCTTAAATATATCCGTTTAGTCTGATATCTTATTTGCCATTCCATGTTGTGCCGGTTATCCAGGAAATCTAGAAGAGGTAAATCTATTCCGGATGTGGAATATGTTGGTCTCCGAAGTTCGGGCGAACTTCGTACGAGAGCTGCGTGGGGCAGTGGCGGAACCACCTAAAGGAACCGAACGAGAACTTGGTGCTCTTCGGGCCGTGACGAGAGACAATTTACATCCGAGCGCGTCCGAAAGTAAAATCTTCCACTTTTGTATTGAAGGCTAATCTAATACCTATATATATGTTCTCGCACAATAATAAATCTCTTGCTAGTCGAAGCTACTGTCTGAATCATATACTGCGGCATGTATACACTCGAAGAAGTGCAAAAGCACAAAACGGCAGATGATCTCTGGATTGTTTTACACAATAAAGTTTACGATGTGACCAAGTATCTTGAAGATCACCCAGGCGGGAGCGCCATCTTGATCGAAGTAGGCGGCAGTGATGCCACCGAGGCTTTTGAAGAAACCGGCCACTCCGACGAAGCACGGGATGAACTTGAAAAATATCATATCGGCGACTTGCCAAGTGAGGTATGTATCAAAACCAGCTCCATGAGAAGTCAAATGGCCTGATATCTTGAAATCAGGAGCATGCCGAGACAGTTGAGGTCTACCGCCCAACCTACGAGCAAGTTGCCCAGATAGCCGCTATCGATGTCAGCAAACCTTCAAAGAGCCAATATGGCTCTGCTCTCTATGCCCTTTTCAAATTCGGTCTTACCGGTGCCTTGGGAGTGGCAGCTTTTACTGCTTACAGACATGGTTGGGGGCCGGTCCCCGCCCTCCAGTCGTTGCAAAAGATCGGTGACCATGCTGTGACTCTCTTCTACCGACGACCCAACTCATCTGGTCAATTTTGGTCTGGGTTTGGCATTGCCAGCGTGGCACAGCTGTCGCTCACAATGGGCTTAACAATGTGGATATCTTCCAAATTGGATGTCCAGCAGGAGTTCACCCATTACTCGCCCCATCGAGCGACACGCTCTAATAAGATCATCTTTCGTAAAAGACTTGATGGACTCTCGCATGGCGTTGCAGGCAAAGAGGCTAAAAAGACATCGCCCCTTGATCCCCGCAAATGGGAGAGTTTTCCTCTCATTCGCAAGGACAACGTGTCTCCCAACGTTTACCGCTTCGTTTTTGGCCTCCCAAATGCGGATGATGTTCTGGGCCTCCCGACAGGCCAACATATCGCCTTGCGCGCAACAATCGACGGACAACCTGTGTCACGATCATACACACCCGTCTCGAACAACACAGACCTCGGCCGTGTTGAGCTTCTTGTGAAAGTATATCCGCAAGGTCAAATGACCAAACACCTGGAGTCCATGGAAATCGGCGACACTATCGATATACGTGGACCCAAGGGCGCAATGCAGTACAGCAAGTCATACGCCAAACGTATTGGTATGATCGCCGGTGGAACTGGCATAACACCCATGTATCAGCTCATTCGGGCAATCTGCGATGACGATACCGATTCAACACAGATAAATCTGCTTTATGCCAACAATACAGAGGAAGACATACTACTTCGACAGGAATTGGACGAGTTTGCACGAAAGTTTCCGAAAAAGTTCAATGTGCAGTATGTGTTGTCTCACGCTGCAGAGGGATGGACTGGGCATCGTGGATTTGTTACACAAAATCTGATTCAAGATTATCTACCACCCGCGGATGACAATCACAAGGTTTTACTATGTGGACCACCGCCTATGGTTAATGCTATGAAGAAGGCATTATCAGGGATTGGTTGGCAGGAGCCTGGTAGTTTGTCGAAGGCCACTGATCAAGTATTTTTGTTCTAACATCAACGACGAAACATGCTCGTTGAAAGTGAATTGGATTTTTTTTCGATAAATACGTGTTAGCATAAGTTCGAAATTGGAAATTTATTAAGCATTTTGGAGTAAATACGCACTTCTCATTAAAATCAGACAAATGTTGTCATTTTACTTTCTATCTGAACATATATATATTGTTCAAGATTCGCTGCAGGGTCACATTGCTATTAACGCTCTATCCGGTTCATAAGCTTCTTGCAATAAAACATTACCATAAGATGTACTTTAATAATAATCAAAAACTATGCGGCCTGAACCAAACTATTCCTATGGGTCTCCGCCTGCCGATCCGAAGTGGTTGATTTTTGACCCGAGCTGACTCCGTACTGTGTCCGAGCCGAGTCCGCCCCGGCGTTGTCTGTTGACAGCTGGGGCTCTACTCAGCTTCCAACCACGGAGTGGATATGTATCTGATCAGAGCCTCGGTGTTTTAATTGGTACCACCTAGTTGAAAAACCTTGTCATTTACGCCGATATACCCGGGAACTCCATGTGAGCCACTAAGATGTTGTATGTTCTCGTCACTGATATGTAGATGCCGAGCTCCGGTGGTGAATATTGTGGTATACCTGGTAGAAAAAGTTGTGAGCGATCATAATACACAAGGAACACTTTCCTCTATTCGGAAGCTTCTCCCGGAAACTTCTCAAGAAGAAGAATATATAAAAGACGTTATTTCATTTTTCTTCTGCTGTATCCCTTTCTCGCATCGCTCAACATCTACGTCATAACGACATACTTGTTCATTCCAATTTTCAAATATTATTTCCATAAGTTCTTCCAAAACGCAAGTCCTTCCAGGCAACCACAATGTCCGTCAAGCCTCGAACCGACCGTCCCGTAACCATCATTGGTGGTGGTGTGCTGGGTCGTCGTATAGCCTGCGTCTTCGTGGCAGCTGGTTACAATGTGCACATTCGAGATCCATCCCCAGAAGCACTTCAAAGCTCTTTGGACTACATCGATGCCCACAAGGAGGAGTTTTCATTGATGCCTCGTATCAGCAAGGAGAAGCAGTCCATTGATGGGGCCAAGGGGACCGAGACCGAGACCTCCATTAGGAAAGTTGACCTTGAGGCATACACGCAAGCTCCTTTCGGAAACTACAAAACCTTCACCGAGATCGAGCCCGCAGTTTCGAATTCATGGCTGGTTGTCGAGGCAGTGCCAGAGATACTAGATCTCAAGACGGAGACATTTGCCGAACTTGACGCGCACGCACCGACGGACTGCATCTTCGGCTCAAATAGCTCCTCTTTCAAGTCGAGCTTGATTGTTTCCAAAGTTTCGTCTGAGAGAAAAAAGCGAATTCTCAACACCCATTTTACTATGCCACCAACCATCCGAACTGTTGAGTTGATGACATGCGGAGAGACCGACCCGGGGGTCATAAATTATCTGGAAGATGTGCTGGGAGAGTGTGGCTTGCTCCCTGTGGCTGCGCGGCGTGAGTCAACGGGGTAAGTGTCCTCTTCATACATTCTCAAGTTAAAAATCTTTCCTGCTTTTGGTCTAACCACTTGGGCTGAGATAGATTCATCTTCAATCGCCTCTGGGCAGCAATCAAACGTGAGATCCTAAACATCCTCTCTGACGGCGTGAGCGATCCCAGCGAGATCGACCTTCTTTGGGAACACATGTTTAAGAATGGCCCACTACCATGTCAGCTTATGGATCAAGTTGGCTTGGACACAGTTGCCTATATCGAGGAAAACTACGTGAAGGAGCGTGGGTTGGATCCCAGAAATACCGTCGACTGGCTGCGAGAACACTATCTCAACCAAGGAAGACTCGGAAAGAAAAGCGAGAAGGGCGGCTTATATCCCCCTATCGTCCGATCTGCAACAGCTGAAGCACAGCCAGCCAACCCCCATAGCACTGCAAAGGACATTTACTTGCTTGACGTGGGCCTCGGGGGTAACGCTCGTGATGTCTCACAGGTGCACTCAAACGGCAAAATCTTGCTCCTGAATCTCGCGACACAAAAGTTGACACCTATCGTGGTTGGACAGAATCTCCCAGATGGTGTCGATGTCTCATTGGAGACCCAGCGTATATTCTGGACAAACATGGGTCGCAGCACAGCATCCCGTGATGGGTCTGTCTGGTCTGCCAATATGGATGGTAGCCAGATAAGATGCCTTATTCCACAAGGCAAAACCCACACTCCAAAGCAAATCTCAGTCATCGACTCGCGAAAGCAGGTGTTCTTCTGCGACCGCGAAGGCACAAGTGTGCACCGAGTCAACTTCGACGGCAGCAACCATGAAATATTAGTGCAACGACGTCCAACACCTGATATGATTTTGACTGATCAAATGCGTCTTTGGTGTGTAGGCATCGCGATTGATGATGAGCATGGTGTAATGTACTGGACGCAGAAGGGACCTAGCAAAGGTGGACGGGGCCGGATTTTCTGCGCTGGTCTTGATATTCCGTCTGGTGAGACCGCTGAGAATCGGTCGGACATCCGGTGTCTATTCGATGATCTGCCAGAGCCGATTGATATAGAGATCGATAGCACAACCCAAACGCTGTACTGGACTGACCGTGGAGAGCATCCGATGGGTTGCGCTTTGTATCGTGCATATGTGGGAGGGGAGAGTATTGACATGCACAAGGTTATTCTGGCACGTCACTTTCATGAGCCGATTGGGCTAAAGCTGGATCGGACCAACAACATCGTCTACGTGGCTGATCTCGGCGGTAGCTTATATTCGGTTGGGCTGGACGATGGCATGAAAGTTGAGTTGGTCAGAAATGATGGGTGCTATACCGGCATTACCTTGGTTTGAAAGGACTCATCAAAGAGTACAGAAACATTGGTTTTTTCCCCATAGAAATTATTCTACGTAATTACACAGCCAATAGCAGCTACATCATCTTCAATTTTGTTAGTCACATCTTCGGTATTCCTTTCCTTTCTAGAATTTATTTTAGGCAGATAACTTGAACATAGTTACCATAATCATGAGCACCCGGAACTAAATTTTGATGTGCTGAGGATCGACTCAAAATCAGACGGCCTGGGTTAGGTGAGCGACTGATGATGACAGTGGCTCCAATGACGAATACGTCGATAGCTGTCTCCGTGCTGTCCAGGTCAGTATCAGTTAATCTCTAACACTCTATTAATAAGCAATGGATACCGGCAAATTCTCAAATCCTGAAGATAGAGAATAAATTTGAAAATCTTGCTTACTCGGGCTGACCCGCCGCGCGTAGTGATGATGTTCGGATTTCATTAGCCGAACCCATTCAATAGCCGACAACAGCGTCGGAAGCTGTCACCTTACAATAGCCATCACAATAGCCGTGATTGAAGGAAAACAACATAAAAAGATAATATTTAATTTGGATTACTTGGATTGTTTGGCGGATGTTTTTTTGTGTCCCTTTTCTTCATTGACCACTGAATTTCCCCTACATATGCCCCGTACATAGTTGAGATTGCCTTTCAGACATTTGAGACACAGATTCAAAATGGGCAAACCGATTGTTCTTCAGTTGGGTGACGATATTCGCTGGAATCATGAATTATATGCCAAGTTTAAGGATCATTTTGAGATTCGTCGATCATACAGCATGTCGCGTCCGGAGTTCATTCAAGCCCTGAAGGAGAAAAAAGTTCGGTGATTTTTCAGCGATGTACCGTCCTTTTTGGAACACTGGTGGTGAGATGGGTAATTGGGATGAAGAATTGATCTCCTTGCTTCCCGACTCTTGTAAAGTGTACGCCAGTGCTGGTGCTGGCTTTGACTGGGTTGATACCGCTTGCTTGGCCAAGAAGGGTAAGAAATTCTATTTCGACACATATTGCAAAGGCTCTGCTGATTTTAGCTAATTAGGGATTGTGTATTGCAACGCTGCTGCGGCTTGTACTGAATCAGTAGCTGATGCCGCTCTCTGGCTAATCATTTCCACATTCCGATTGTTTTCTTGGTCGGCCATGGCTGCACGCTCACTTGATGCTGACCAGTTTGTGGATGCAAACCGCAACCTGGCCCCTGTTTCACATAACCCCAAGGGTCACACGCTCGGCATCATTGGCTTTGGTCAGATTGGCCGTCGAACCGCAGAGAAGGCCTATCTAGCTCTGAACATGAAGATTCTCTATCACGATATTGTCCAGATGCCCCGAAATCTGGAACAGGTATCTCAAGCCATTTTTCATAGGAACATGGATACTCTCTTGGCTGAGTCAGACTGTGTGGTTGTGGCCACTCCATTCAGCGGAGAAACTTTACTCAACGCATCTTTATTGTCTAAAATGAAACGTGGCTCACGAATTGTTAACATTGCACGTGGAAAACTACTTGATGAAGCTGCTTTGGTTGATGCGCTCAAGAAGGGCCAGCTTTCTGCTGCTGGACTAGATGTGCACTATAGCGAGCCCCATGTTAATCGTGAGCTCGCTCAAATGAAGAATGTCGAGATTATGTCTCATAATGCCGGTGCCTCATTGGACTCTCACATTGGATTCGAGCGTCTCGGTATGGAGAACATCATCTCGTTCCATCAAAATGGTAAGGCCATTACTCCTGTTAATCAGAATTTGGTGTTCAAGGTATTGAACTCTAAGCTTTGATTGTTGGCAAATATCACATGATATTTCACTTTGTATGTAACATTTTCAAAGATCAAACATCAGGCATAAAGCAATTCATACCACTTTCCGCCAGTGGAACGGGTTACCGTCTTCAACGCAATTAATCTCAATTACAAACCATCTTGGAATATTGTAGATGCTCGTTGTCACCGATCGCAAATTCTCATCCCCCATTTAGCCTATCCCAGGTAGACTTTTCAGTCACCCGAAAACTATAAACATTTTTCCAGTCCAACGGACGCATTCCATTTTGTGGGTGGATACGGTAGGTCAGCCAAAAAAGCGTACTTTCATCCAAAAAAGGATGGACGTCAAAATAGATAACCCTGACAACAGTGCCGGGTCCATTATATTTGGGGATCGTGCATCATGAGACGGATGCAGACAGTTGTGGGATTGAAGTCCCTCTAACGGCTCAACACTGCGATCCTGAACAGCGGTTGTGGTAGCAATCTTAGTCTTAGATTTCTCTCCTCGCAGCTTCCTAAGTAACACTCTTTTCTTTCTCTCTCGCTGTCCCTAGTTTTCTAGCAAACACCAGCGATAAAGTACTAAAAGTGCACGTCAAATCGGTTAAAATACAGAGCGAAGACTGTGTCGAAACGGAGGGGAGGGGGGGACTCCAGCAGTTGTGTGCCATCCATCTCGGACCGCCTGCATAGGTTCACTTCTCTGGGGTATGTTGCTTCTGTCCAGGTTGACCGTTGACAAGGAAGCGAGCGAGAGGGCACCATTGGGCTATAGACAATCCGATCATCTTGCAATACTGGTTTAGGGATGTTAATTGCGTCACCTATCTGCTCTGTTCAGCTGAGTTTGTCTTACGTCAAACTTTCCACACAACGCCATGATCCTTTGATCCAAATTTATTTCAGTCACCTCTGTATCTTTAATGCAGCGACGGGAATTGCACGGTCCACAGAATTGGGTCAAAAATTCTCTGCAAAATGTCGGCTCTCTTACCCAAATGTGCGGGGGAAGATAAGGCTTGTTTGCAAGGCCTTGACATATGGTCGGCTGGCCGATCCAACTGAAATGAACTTCTTCTTCATTAAAATTGGATATAGTGCGTGGATATGACCTTTACTGGAAAAAATAGTAAATCCTGTCAGTGTTTTACCGCGAAGGTCGACAATCACCTGTCTCCCAGGAATACGATATCCGAAAGTTAAAATGGGTATTTGTTTATCGCCACTCAGCAATTCGAACTCAGTAATAACAGTAGTGTTTCCTTTACGTAGAACAGATACTGCTAGGCCGATCGTTGAATCTTGCAGTGGGACGACTTGAACGAGAGGAATGTGTTCAGCCAAGCAGAATCCACAGGACTGGTCAATCTGTCCTTGGCGTGAATCTCTATCGCATTGGGCCCCCGCATAAAACTATTCCCAACTCAGCTTCGAACCAGTAAGCAGATGCTTATAGAGAGAAATCTGTCTGTCAGATGCCCGAGTCATTGTATATATCTCTCCGAGCCACTGAGCTTGCATCCATAGCTCTTTCATCGTATATAGATGCTTCAGGTTCTCCAACTGTTGTAATATTTCTGGGTCTTCGCGCCCGGATATGAGATCATCAAAATCTGCTGTGCGGCGATATATGAGACGCCAGTCCTTTTCCTCATTTTGAAGTTTATTTGTCAGATAGTTCTGATAGCCTCGGCCTTGATTTAAATGAAACCTCGACTTCCAAACCGATTGGATATTGAAGACGCTTCGGAATCTGTATAGGATATTGAAAGATGTGTTGAACATAAGCGAAAGCTTTATTCAGAGTTGAAGGGCTCCTTGCGACGTATCCAGGTCTTGGGATTCTTGGCTGGTTGTTACCATTATCATATTCCTCTAATCACCATATGCAATTAGATGCCTGGCATCTTTCGGCTAATTATCAATTAAAATGACCTACCTAAGTAATGTTCGTCAAGATAAAGCTCTCGATTTTTACAAACTTCAAAATTTCTATCAAGATCAATCTTTTCGCCTTCGAAATGTTGAAGCAAACGCGACCAACAAAGCTCGTGAAACAAAGTTTTGTTGTCGGTCTGATAGCGGCCATCAGAAACCAAGGACCCAGCATTTGTGCTTTAGTGGTCATGTTTCCACCCGAATGAAAGATGTCTTCCCAATTGTGCTCAATTATATCAACATCTGATAGTTTGGCGCCTGCTTCTGTTAAGTAAACTATGAAGAGTTAGACTGGGTGGCCAAATGCTTGTAGATATCTTTATTGAGACTTACGTGCACGATATCTTGACAACGAGGAAGGTTGGGTATTCATCGACAGCGAACAGCAAGCACAACCGCCAAGGGCATCTTCGTCCCAAGATAAGTTGGTATCCATATCCATATTCAAGGCAACAAAGCAGGGCTATTGTGAAGAAAGGACCTGATCGCCAGGAGACTAAATTCACTATATATCTCTGGTCAGTCGGAATTGTGGTGCTCATCATGACATCAAATCCTACTACTAGATGTAGTTACGACTCTCAACGGACTTCTTAGGACTGTACCATTGAGAGGCCTAGATATAGTGAATCGGAGACTTAGCACACGGAGCCCTGATGGTTTCTCAAAACCTAATTATAGTCTGCCGTGGTTGAATAGAGAAAGATCAGTGCGGTGGTCGCGCGACGGAAGGTGATTCTATTCGCTAATACCCAGCTTCTCACCCCTATTGCGCACTCACCCTGCCACCCAAGTCGCGCGACGCTAAATCGGTGCTCACCCAGTTCTCGCTTGGACCACAGTGCTGCACAGCTATATAAGCAGAAGCATGTGATTCTTTTTCAATTAATTCTAGTACATACGACCACAGGGTGTGGAGAACAGGGCTTCCCGTCCGCTCAGCCGTACTTAAGCCACACGCCGGCAGGTTAGTAGTTGGGTGGGTGACCACCAGCGAATCCCTGCTGTTGTATGTTTTTATTTTTTAATTCGTTTAAGTCTTTAAAATGTGCTATTACAGTCGTACTATCCAGTCCCTCCAGCATCCTCAAACTCCGCCTCCATTTTTGCTTTTTTGAGTAGTTTGAGGAGCGGAGGTCCGAAGTCATACTAAGCGGAACTTGACTTGACCAGTCAAAAATAGACATTCTTTGAGGAAAGGCAACCACTAGCGTTGGCTTCTCTTCTCTAGGGGTACGGTGAGTTTTCGACGACGAAAGAACAGAAGCAAATAGTGCGTACTTATAAAAAAAGAAATGAATCGAACATTAAGAGTAAACTAGACCTAGTACTGTTAGAGATCAACCGACTAAAGTCGACTAATTTTTTAGTATATGGTTTGAAATTATAGGATTTAAATCTAGCTTATAATATCTATCTATCCCGTAAATAAGAGTATTAGGGGGAAGCCATGGACCTAGTTACCTATAGCTAGCTAGTCTGCGGCTAAAGCAGGGCTCCCGGGCGACGGTCGCTCGAAGGCTACATTGATCGCCCAGCGGAATTGAGAACCGAAAGCATCTAATTCAATACTTGATTCCATCAAAGCCAGCAGGCCTAGTCGCGGCCAATTTGGCGCCATCTCTCAATAAGTTAGTCGCTCAGCTGACTACCTGACTAATCGGATCCCTCAGGTTCCTAGTTAACGCGTGGCTCTCGCTCGATGTCACATGAGTTCCAAGACGCGGCCCGTTCTGATGGAAATCGGGCTTCAAAGGCCACAGCACGGAAATCCCCAGTTCCTAGCGCTCTTCGCTCACCTTCTCCTCCTAATATGAATGAAACATAGCCCGAGGGACTGCACATCTTGGAAAACTCACATCATTCTCAAAGCCTAGCCTTTTAATTTCAATATTTGCCGTATTTCTACCTCATCTCAGGAGGCTAATAAGATGGTGGGAAACAAGGTAAACAAACCCCTCAGAGCCAGCCATCCACACCTGTTAGGGGTCTATTCATTGTGCTCAAAATGCAGCCATCGGGTGCTGATGTCGTGCAGAACAAACTTTTGAGGCCTCCTTTTTCTTTACACGTACCAATATCAGCCAATTCCTATGGCCATGCTGGTCAAAATCTCACTGCGAATGGGCCACTATTGCCGCTAAAGAATCTTGCTGGTGGTGTCCCCCAAGATCCCATTCGAAATAGCCCCATGACACCACCAGGGGATGCTACTGGCGGTATTCGTCAAGATTTTATTGCAAGTGGCGATGAAGTATCGCCTACTGGTAATATCCAGTCGCAGGAAAAACAAAGCACATCCACAGCTGCTATATCTTCTGTCTTGCCGGTGAGCTTGCCAACTATTTTCCGGGATAAAGATCACCGGGTATTTTTGGTTTCAGAGGATCTAGAGGCATATTTAAAGCAGGATTTGGACCATGCCCGGCTCAACAGGATACATGGGCTCCTCTGGATGGCCGGGAGACCTCTAAATGCCAGGCCATTACAACGACAGAAGATGATGGGTTTCGATATTCTCCTGACAGAGCAAGCGGACCTCCACCTTCTCAAGTTCTCAAATAAGATGTTTGTCAAGCCGCTTCCGGAGTATATGCTGCACATTATGTTCTGGAACACTTATCTCTGCAAATCGGAAGAGCTTTATGAATCCGCTTGTGGAATACTGTTGTCATATATTTGGTTAATCTGCTCTCCTCTCGACCTGAAATTGGCTCATAATTTAGATCTTCTCCCGCATGAGATAACGTGGATCTGGTGGAAGAGTTTTGTGGCAGACTTTCTTTCAAATATTGATGCAAACACGCTCGACCAGGTCAACAAACGCTACCACTTTGGCGAGCTGCGACTAGGAAGAATCAATTCCATATACAGGATTCGATTTTTCTTCACGCACTTCATTCGCGGCTATTTATATGGCTATAACCGCTATGCAGTCTTCTTCCAGAGGAATTTTGCCTGGATGCTCATCATATTGGTTTATTTCTCCCTCGTGCTCACGGCGATGCAGGTCGGCGCTACTGTACCGCCACTGAGCACGAACCACATGTTTCAGCGGGCTTCTTATGGCTTCGCGGTCTTCTCGATGGCAACCGTCGCAGCAGTCGTGTGTTTTGTGGGATTTTTATTCGTCACAATATTTTTTACAAATATGGTCCTGGCTATCTCGCACGAGAAGAAGAAGAGGAGAGACCGGAAATTTCTTGCTCAAGAGAGTAGGTAGGAGACACTCAAAGATCAGATGTATCAAATTTATTCGCTTAGTAGGCAGATCATTCCAACGAGACCCATCGATCAATGCTCGCTTGCCTTGCAGACCCATAGAACTCGAACTCAGCTAGAAATACGGCACTCAATCTTCATTCTTATTCCATTAAACCTCCTTTCCTGCGTAATTCTCATATTTTCACGGATATTATTTTCATCTTACCCTGTTAACAATCATGGAAGAATTATTCAAGCTTCTTTGTATAGCAACGGATTATATCTTCAATACTCCTAGCTTTGGAGTTTCATAGATGCCGAAATGGCGTCAATGGAATTGTTCGTTCGTTACGTTAAAGGCTCAGTACTCCTGGTCTCACCAATCGAGAACCATGATTTCGGTACGATTAGTCTTGCATCCGTGAATGGGCTCAATTGATTTTTTTCAACCTTCTATCGCTTGAAATATTGAATTATGGCAAAGTTCTTTTATTAAACGATTTTGGTTTGGTCCATTGGCGGACTGGCCAACTCCCATTCCAGTCAGTTTTAAGGCATATTCTGGCTACTACTAATAAGAAACCATAGTGCTGATTACTGTAGGGCGGGGGAAAAATTCCTAGGTCAAAAATAGCACTTTAAGCGGCGTCTTGGATGGGCAATGAAGGTATTGTTCAGATACTTCTTGACAGAAGGCTGATGTCAATGCTCAAGGTGGGGAGGGGAATACGGCAATGCCCTTGAGATCGCATCAAATATTCCAGGTCATGAAGATATCGCAGACTGCTTAATGATAATTTTAGCTGATATTCAAGCTGTCAGCGATCTGTATAAACTCTACATACGTCGCGATATAGCTAATAAATGTACATCTTAAAAAAAATTTAATGCGCCCTCGATACGCTGCAGAAAACAAAACAAATTGTCAAAGATATGGCAAACCAGAGCAGATACCATTGCCTGACATCACGTCTGTCATTCCACCACTGCGCCAAAATCGATGGCCGGGACTCGTCAAACTGAATTTTCAGAATATGAATAGTCGATCATACCAGGATTTGTAGCCTGCTGTTCGTTTTTCTGCTTTACCATCATAGTACGTTACCATCCAGATCATCGGGCCCGTTTTCTTCCTACACTGCCTCTCAGACTCTTGCTAGTGTCGGGAGCCAGACACACAACCTAAGCCCGGTGTCACTTAAAGAATTGTCGCTAGATTGGTAGATTTTCCCAATTCTACCAATTAGATTCCTTTTAAGATTCTGTGAACTTGCCGGATAAGATGTACCCGACGAACAAATCGATGGTGCTGTAGAACCCGGGGAGGAAAAGAGTCAACAGTCCCCCTAATGTCCCTCATGCCAAAGGCTGACTCTTAAACAGTCTCAAGATAAGCTCGTTCTCACACGCAGCCGCAATATCAATACTAGTCCTCTGTCTTTCATCCTCAGCCATCGGATCCAACCCCATGTCTATCAACCGCTTGAACCGTGCCACTCCCACGCGCCCAGAATCCGGATACATGTATTGAAATGAATGTCTGAGTTCTATCTTAACCCCAGCAAGGAGATGGAGCAGGGTAGATCCGTCATTACTTCGGGCAGAAACATCTGCACCGCATTCCAGGAAGTACTCGAAATCAGCGCCTTTGTACGTCTGGTCTTCTACGGAGCCATACAAGTCTCCATTGTGCCACTTCAGGAGGTTGAACAATGGCGTCTCTCCGATTTTATTTCGCGCATTGATGTCGACGCCTGCCCTGACGAATCTCTCGAGTAGATCCTTGGTATATTTGTAGTCGAAGTTGACAAGGTGGTGGAGGGCAGTATCTCCATTTTTGTCTGGTTGGAGGGGATCCGCTCCGTTGTCCAGAAGAAATTCAATCATCCCAGTCAGCCTGACACGCAACGCATAATGAAGAGCCGTCTCATTGTTTTTGTCAGTCTGGTGTACGAGACTTGGACTAGTAGCCACGGCGGTCTGGAGGGCCTCTCTAATGAAGCTTGCATCGATCAGGCTTCCGGTGCGATGACTTCCAATGTGATGGAGAATCGTTCTCCCTCGTTGTCTTGCGCCATGACATTTGCGCCACGTTTGATGAGTTCCGGCAAGGACTCCGTGTTGTTCAACTTTTGATTTTGGTTTGAGTCGAAGATACCTTGCCTGCAACTCTTGGATGCGGCTAAGATCAGCGTGCAGCCATTCTCGTCACGGCACTCAATATCCAAAGATGGCAGGTTGAAAATTGGATCAACAATATGGTCTCCACTTAGAAGCTCGTGAACTAAGGTCGCAGTTGTGACTGGGAAGTCTTTGGGCTCCTCACTGGAGCCTCTGCGCAAAATCTGGTATTGTTGTTGCTCAAAGGCAGAATATGGGTCTGCTCCATGCTTCAGGAGGATTTTCATCAGTTGCTTCCTCGCTTCAGGAGCTTTCTTGAAATGGTGGTCTGCAGCTACGAATAACAGTGGCAAGGCTCCGATTCCGACAGTTTTGAAATTTCCCAATCCGTTACTGCGGGAGCTTTCTTTTGGAAGCGGTTGCCTCACTATTGAGCTTCCACTTTGGGAGAGTAGAGTCTCCAAGAACTCTACCTTCATAAGTTCTAAAGCAGAAAGCACAGCGGACGGGCTAACTTCAGCACCATGTGCAATTAAGAGCCTGATTAAAACCATATCGTTTCCAGCAATCGATAGACACGTGTTGCCATCAGTGTCAATTGCATTAACATCCGCACCAGCTTTTATGAGAAATTCGGAAGCCTCCTTGGAAAATGGGTGATGAGACTTGAGCGCAACGATGAGAGGTGTCTGACCGTTTCTGTTGCGAATATTGATATCTGCACCCATTTGGATCAGATACGGAAGGGCTTTGTCCACATGCCACCAGAATTTCCCAGCAGCGAGATCGTGCAAAACTCCGTTGCAAATTGATGGAAAATGCCCTCGATCACGAAAGATACGCTGTGTCCGCTTGGCATTGACGTTGACCCCAAATTCTTCAACAACCAATTTCAGAACCTCCATGTTGGGGAGTTGTCGTTCACAGGCGGACATTACCAGTGGTATACTGCATTGGAGGTCATCTTCATTTGGATTCGTGGTCCAGTCAACACCATCAAGCTGTACCGCTGCTTCCCGTGTACACAGGCGGCCGAGAAGGTCAACAAATCCCCATCGAGCAAGCATACCCAGTGAAGTATTCCCATGATAATCAGATATGTGGAGGCTATCTCTTCCCCCTGAAAGGTTCTCAAATAGATCATAATACCTCAAAGCCAGAGCTTTCTCAGCTGAGCAATGTCGTAAACGTGTAGCATGATCTCGGCCCCACTTTTTTTCTATGCCCTCTTTTGGTTTCCCACTCGTTTTCAGGGTGTCTTTGATTGCTTTCCGGCAATTGTTTGCAATCGACATTTTTAGCTGCTTGTCCGGATCTTCCATCTCCGGATTCCACCCAATATAGATAACAGGGGGCTTTGGAGGTCGGTCCGGCAAGGGTGGAAGACAAGAGAGTGTATATCCATATTCGGGCTGCGCTGCATATTTCCATGCATACTCTAGAGACTTTTCATCACTCTCCAGACCACTCCCATACTTGACAAGCATGTTTATGATCTCGGTCAATCGTGTTGTACCATGTTCTGATTCAATCCTTCCGAAAGGAGCCAACGTATCACTGTCAGCTCGGTCGAAAAATGGACGTGTCTCATCCTTCAGCCTCAGACCTGCTGCATTGAGACCCCTATTTGATTGCTGCCGTCCTGGGTCTTGTGAAGGCATACGGCGATCCCAAAGTGAGGCTTCCTTTTCGAACTCCCCACACATTGCGAGGGGAGAGTGTTTGTGAATGTCAAGAACATCACAGGCTGCTGCGGCCTCAAGCAAGGATTTGACGGTTTCGGGGCGACCGGATCGGCATGCATAATGAAGTGGGGTTCGTCCGTCTTCATCTTTACTGTTTAAAAAATTAAAGCGTGTTTTCTCGGAAAGAGACTTGGCTCGAGATAGTATCATATCGATAATTCCGGACTGACGTGCACGCGCAGCAAGATGAAGGACTGTCATCTTATCATTTGTAGTTGCGGAAAGGTCGACACCAGCGTTGAGAAGTTTATAGAAAAATGCTTCAGAGATTGTAGCAGCAATATGTAGCGGCTGAATACCATTTTGATCAGCAACCGTTAGACATTCGCACTGTTTGAGGACGTAGTCAAAAATTGCGTGAATTGATTCTCCACCACTGTTTATGGGGAGGTCTCTTGAACAAACAGCGTGCAAGACGGTTCGGCCTTGGTTATTGCGTTGGTTAATGTTCATACCCATTCCCACCAATCGTTCCAATACTTCTCGCTTTCCGTGCAATGACTGATCAGAGACAACTTCATGGAGCGGGGTGTTTCCATCGTAGTCTGACACCAAAGGATCAACTCCTAGACTTTCGAGAAGGGAGAGTGTTTTGATACTGTCAGTAGCGCAGTGCCACAGAGTACGGCCCTTGTGGTCACGCGTATCAAGACGTGCACCCTCTCCAGCAAGCTGGCCTAGAATTTCTGCCTTATCACGAAGACCTTTGGTCGATGAAAATTGGGCAAAAAGAACCGATTGGCCCTTGTTATTGCTCAGCTCGAGATCTGCTCCGGCTTGGAGAAGAGCTTTGAGTATCTCGCGGCTGAGGCGGTTGGTTGCCTGGTGCAATGGAGTGTTCCCCGCTGCGTTCCTTAGAATTGGATTGGCGCCTGCAGCCAGCAACTCGTCAATCAGCTCACAGTCGACGTTGCTGCGCCTCAATGCCAGGTGCAATGGTCCATCTCCTTTATAATCTGTGACAGTTATGTCGGGCTTGTAGACTAAGAAATTGATTATGTCTTTGTCATGACTCATGTTGTCTGCAAGACGACAAAGCAGTGGCGTCTTTCCATCCTTTGCTCTAGGTTTATTAATATCCACCTTTTCACTCTTAAGGAGCAAAGCTAAAGCTTCGTTGTCGTGAGACGATGAACAATGAAGGACTGTCTCTCCATTGTCGTCTTCCATGGTAGGATCGGCACCTGCATCCAGTAGAGGCTCCATCCATTTTATCGATGACTTAAACGCGTAGTGTAAAGCTGTTAATCCTTTGAGGTCCTTTGCATGGACATCGGCGCCAGCTTGTAGAAGAGCTTTTACACACTCGCTGGCTTTACTGCGTGCTTTATCTCCGTAGACAGGGATTTTACACAGAGCATGAAGCGCCGTATATCCTCTGTCATCGGAAGAAGATGTTTGCTTTCGTAAGTTAGCAGTGGTAGGGTAAGGATTGAGTCTGCCTCCTTGGTCTTCTTTAACTGTCTCGCAGAACACGGTTGGATCCGCACCAGCTTTGATCAAGGCTTGAATTGTATCCACATTGCCTGTCTTGCAAGCCAGCAGAAGAGCGGTGTTGCCTTGCACCTTGGCGTTGACATCGATTCCGGGTTGCTGAAGGATTAGCTCTACAATGCTCGATCGGCCCTTCTCAGCCGCCCAATGTAGTGCTCGGTGTATGTCTTCTACACTGTTCAAGCATGGAGCAAACTCAGCCACAGTCTCTAGATGACCCGCATGGCACGCATACATCAAGGGAGTGTGACCTATGGTACTAGGTCCAAGCCCGCCAACGACACATCCACGTAAAGGGGTGTCGTTTTTCGTCTTGGGTGTCAGTGGAGTGACTCCAGCAGCAATCAAAGCCTTGACGGCATCCACATGGTTTGATTTGGCAGCTAGATGCATTGGCTTCAGCCCTTCGCTCAGTTCAACGTCCGGGTCAGCTCCGTGATCCACGAGCACCCGAATCACATTTCCGTGATTGTACGATGCTGCCCATGACATAGCCAAACTAGCAGAGTCTGTGCCAATGCCCTCGCTCTTGGATAAGATATATTCAGCAAATCGAGATAACCCTGTCCGGGCAGCGACGACAAGGGGTGTTATGCCCTCGAAATTCGAGCTTGGCCAGACCAGATCTAACCAAACACGGTAACGGTGTGTTTCTGCAAAAAAGGTCTCAAGAGTCTCATGGAATGCTTTTAGATTTTCATCCGACGCTTTAACCAGGCGGCCATGCTTGTACCAGTTGTTCGCGGCATACTCCAAGAAGGGAAATTGTAATCGTACTTCTTGTCTTTTCTTCTCCTTCCGCTCAAGGAATCGAGAGTAGCTCTCTTTCGGTCTTGACTCTGTAATTTCTATGCTGTCGAGACATCCTGCCCGCATATAACGTAGACATTCCATTGTTAGGTGCAAATTGGTGGAGCCAACTTCAAAGACTGGATACTCTGACTTGACTAGGAGTCTAGATCTGGTGTGTCCCTTAAGGAATTCGGTCAACGTATGATGAATGACCGAGACGGTCTCATCCGGCAACATTTCCAGCAGAGGTCCACAGGCATTTCTGACCTGGTCTTTAGTTTCTTTCAAACTCCGATTGCATTCAGAGTGTATATTCAACATCTCAGCAATTTCGAGAAGTCGGAGCGGGCGTGTGGCGTGGGTGACAAACTGAAGGATAAGGCGTTGGAGCTCGAAAGGCACATTCGATCGCCGCGCATGCTCTCGCAGAAGCTCATTATACATCGTGTTGAGATCCATTGGCAGTGCTTTGAGAGCCTCTTGCACATTCGTTCCAGGCTCGAGAAAGACATCCAGGGACATCTTCGCGTAAAGGAATATCCCATTGGCGCGACCGGGAATCGCTTCTTGAATCGCACTCCAATTTTCTTTGGCGACGGAGTAGCTGCGAAGTTGATGCTGAACATATGCTGCAATATCTTGATCCACCAGGCTTTCTTCGAGTCGAATTTGGTGGATTGGAAATGGCCTTAACGTGGTCTCCAAGCGGGATATGGGCCGCGAAGTCATCAAAACCTTGATATTCTTTGGGCACCATTGCCCGAGATCAACCAAGTTTTTCAGGAAACCATCATTTCCGAGATCCATCTCATCCAAAGCATCTGTCACACAAAAGGCCTTCGGTAAATCGCGCAATGCCAGCATGAGATCACTCCACAGATCGGCCGGGGACAAAGAATCGAGAGATCGCTCTTTTGCAATGTATTTTGACAGTTTGGTCTGCAGTGGAGGGCTGTATGTCAGAATCTGACATAGCCAGTCTCGCAATGCAGCAATGGGCTTGTGGTTCGCTTCGATGATCTGTCGGAAGAAGAAGTAGATCACTGGAACATTTTCCTTTTGCAGTTGTTTGATTATAGAAGCTGCCATGACGGATTTTCCGGAGCCGGGTATGCCTTTGATCCACAGCAATCCATTGTCGCCGGAGTGCCATTGCTGATAGACTTGGGTCGCTGTGAGCCAAGTACCCGTCCCAGCCAGATGGGAGGCGCTATGTCTGGAGTATTCGCCTCTTTCGAAGTCGTATGGAGTTGGCTGAAGCCATTTAGTAATTTTGGCAAGCTCGCTTGCCGGTAGTGGGAGAATGTTGCCAGAATTAAAATCATGCACGTCTCCTGTCTCAAGCAGAACAGTATCGCTCTCAGAGTCTGATCCGGACATGATTGCGCGAGCGGTCTTTATTTTGGGTTGGCGAAGAAAAGGGGAGGATGGTCATTAAATGGGAAAGCCCTAGGAGTGACAAATCAGCGCTAAAAAATGGCTAAGACGTGGCCCATGCTCACGTTCAAGCAGCCTCACAGCCTCATCTGCCCACTTCCCATGTGGGTCAGTGATAATGATTAGTGGAAGCTGCGTCTTTTTCCCACAGGAGGATTAAGTGAGTCATTAGATGCAGAGGATGCCGCAGTTTCGCGGTATCTAAGGCCTTCCAACTCGAATCAATATCCTCATGAGACAAGGCTATTGCTCCGGCGCTCGGACATAGTGAGACATGCATACAGATGTGTTTCTGCTATTCCTTTGACCCATTCTAACCAAATTGTCTTTCAGGATATTCATACACACTCCCAATCTTGACAGCCTTCAGAATGAGAGCCACCCCCCCCTCCCTCCTTCTCGTCCGATTGAATGATTGAATGCATCAATCCAATCGGGATTAACACAATATCCGGATCTAGGCAAACGATCGCCGAAAGAAGTCTTTACCTTCCATCAGTCTCCGACTTGTCCATTCATGTCGCTTCGCGCTCCTCAGGAATAGCCAATATCTAACAGTCAGATATCCTGGATGCCTTCCAAGGAGACTGCCTTCCCCTCTTTGCCAAAGCCAACGGTCGATTCATCCGCCCAATTCGTCATTCCGTGATGAGTGAAAGTCTCCCATCTTTCTTCACGGACAACATTGAATAAGGGGATATTGAGTGATGACCACATTGTGAGGAGGTAGGATATGAGTCTGGATGAGGTTTTGGGAAAGGATGAATTCAGACTCGCCAGACTGTATAGAAGACCAAATAAAAAGTGTTCGTTCCTGGGAGATAAGTTGAAAGATTGTCAACGTGCAATGGAAATGTGAGACGATAAGAACTGGGGAAGAATGGGCGAGGATTGACATACCAATGTTGTTGGATGTTTGTCCGCCTTTTTTGGGATCTCGTTGTAATTCTTATTCGTGATAGCCCACGGCCTTTGCTGCCTTACAAATTACCCCTTTCAGCGCGTACCGTGATGCCTTGGCTTCTTTCAAGACTAGCTATATGGAGTACCGCCCTTAGCTAGCGGCTCCCGTAGGCTTCTACTATACATTCTAGGCCTGCCTCCAAATGAACACGGAAGCCAGATTCGCGGTGGTCAAAAGACTTGATCTTGTCTGGTTTGGCCAGTCCTTTTCCGAGGAGCTCGGCAGCGATTGGTTCTCTAAGTCAGGCAGCATTTTACCACCCCTGTCTAGCTGCGTCTCACTGCGTGTTCGTGAGGTTCACGCACCAATCCTCAAGTCACAGGGCTTGACTCAGCCCCTCTTTCAAAACACGAACGAGGGGGCGGTGTGCATCCATGAGGCCTGTCGAAGAAATGCCTTTTCGTGATCGTGCTGCGCCGCGAAACTCCAAATACTCCCTCAAACGCAAGAAGAGGGCATCTATCGCCGGCTTCACTGAGCTGGTTCTTTCACGGAAATGACCCTCCACCACAGGCACTTACCGGGTTCGGGAGCGGAACAAGAGCTCTCGATCCGTTCCACAATCGAGCCTTTTAGTACACAGGATGGTCATGACCTCGGTCCTACTCGAAACCATTCGTCGTCGATCGAGTCGGACAAGTCAGCTGCTGTTAATCTTGACGAAGTGTTTTCTCGCTGCTATTTAAGCCACTGTGAGGTTAGAGGACTCCACGAAGCGCACCGGCGAACCTCCCATGACAATTACAATACGCCTTGCCGACCATCGGCAGACATCTCGGGAAATATGCAGTCTGAATTATCGCATGACATCAGTGCATACAATTAGACCTATCTCTCCGATCCATCAGCTGTCTCTGGGAATACAGCATCTTCTTTTCTTTCATGATACCGGTGCAACGACTTGGTCCCACGACTTAGATCCATCATCAGTTGAACCGGTGTGTGCCTAGATCTCCGAGACAAGTCACAAAGACTTTATTACTAAGACGACTTTCAAGCAATTCAATTCAGATAACATCCCAGATCCTTACACATTCGGACCCGCCGAAGATCTAAATGGAAATTCCAGTAGACACTTTTTGAATGATCTTGATGGTATACCACAAGAGTTTCCCCTTGAAGAAGAAGAAATACTTCGCTTGCAAGAAGAAGCTAGATCAAGATTGAAACTGACAGAGGAAGATATTTTGAAGCCTGGGAGACGTCCAGACAACCTGAGTGATTGTCCTGTGAAAAATCTGTATGTCTGACAGTTGGGAGTGTTATCCGATGAGAATTATCGAAGCAGGTTCTGACTACAAAGAAGATCCCACAACCGTTCCCGATAATGACACAGTTCAAACACTTCTTGCCGGTATAACATCGCTAGCAATTGAGGGGGATGGCGATGACGACAGTGGTGTTGTGAAAATCCGAAGACATGAGTCACATCTTGAGTCCGGACTCATACTATGAGGAGCTAGATAGGCTGGAGATTGAAACCGCAAAGTATTGCGGTACTGATCTAGCCCCGAAAATACAACACTGGTCGCATATTGACTGCCACGAGCACTTGTTTTCTATTATAGCGGCATTGGATACGCTGTGGGAGAATAGGTTTTGAGAGGAAAGCTTCGAGATCTTGGTCGAGGATGAAGTTCGGCCCAACGTCGCACTTGCCATTCGTATTCAGAGAGAGGAGATTGTAAATTTAAAATATAAAATGGAATCATTTCTCAAAGGTGAATGTTGGGCTGAGAATAGCCTTTGCGATCTTTCTCCCCTTTAGGCCAAACAAGGGATTAGGAAGCTAATAGACCTGCTGCTACCGGAGCGATATAGGGACGACCCGGCTTTTCCAAAACCGGACTTCTTTCAGTTTGTGAGCACAATCCTGACAGTCTTGTACCTTTTTCTGGATCACATGCGTGTTAGTTTGATCAAATTCTATGGCAAGAAAATATGCATGAAATTGATTTCGGATATGGGTGTTCTTTTTCCTTGCGGGGATTGGCTTGTCTGAAGGGCCTCGTTGGGGGCCAGTCTGGGTCCTTGGAAAGACAAGAGAGGGGGCACAACAAGGATGTCTGATGGTGTCCATCGAAATTCAATACTTTCAAGAGCTCTGGGGTGCAGTATCGTCCCTGGAAAGAACATACGATCAAGGTCTGTCTGTGCGGACAGAAATGGGGTACCTTGTGTTTGAAGGCAGAATTTCAGAAGTAAATCATGGGGAGGTTGTATGTTATTGGACAAATTCAGAGCATGGGGTTTTTTGCAGACTATCATGGCCCATTATAATTACAACTAGGACGCGATTATTGATTGGGGCAGATGTGACCAGAAGAAGCGGCGATGCCACATCATTTTCAAGCGCAGTCTCAATATCTTCCACTGTAGAATTGACACAGAAGCTCAACTCCAAACTCATCTTGTTGCAGGAGGAGCGTACCGTACAGCATATTCAACCAGCTGGAGCTCACAATGGTTATTACGCTTGCGATGGCCTTGACCTTCTGGCCCAGGGTAGTCAGTATCTCAACGTGGGCATAGTTAAGAAGTACAAGGGAATACCGGCACAAATTTGAAAAAAACCTCCATCATTGACGCATACAAATATCGACCACACAATATTGAACTTGTCCCACTCCTGAAGCATTTCATTGGGTTGAAAGTGAGTATATGGACTGGCAATGCCCTTAGAGTGACACTTTGGGATGCCCTCCATATGTCATATTTCAGCCCAAAAATCCCAGAAGGCTCCCCAACCTTGTGCACATACAATTGCAGATCCAGGTTACATTCAGCCATGCTGGACCCGATGCCACTTTCCTAGTTCGATCGATTCGACGGTTTGGCATATCTCTAAATATAGGAAGATGACCAACTATGATTTGGAAAATAATCGTATTACTTTAGCCCAAGCTGACGGGTCAAAGCGAATTCCCAAAGCGAAATTTAAGGCAGCCTTACCGTCAATTTAGCCAATCCTAGGTAAAGTTTAATGGATGGGATGTACAACCGCGGTCTCAACCAGGTCAATATTAATCACCAATACACTAGGCTCAGCGAAGAGAGTTAGTTCGGTGGTCGCGCGAGGAATGTGAAAATAACCCGCTCTCATCTAGCCTCTCACTCTTTCTATTGTGCACTCACTCTACTCATCCACATTTCATCGAATTTATTGAATTATTATACGAATATAGATGTATATGATTTGTTCTCGTGCTTTTTCTAGTACATACGACCACAGGGTGTGGAGAACAGGGCTTCCCGTCCGCTCAGCCGTACTTAAGCCACACGCCGGCAGGTTAGTAGTTGGGTGGGTGACCACCAGCGAATCCCTGCTGTTGTATGTTTTTATTTCCGTGATCTTTTTAGTCTGTTGGGTGTAACGCACCTGCTGCCCTGCCACCTTAGTTAGCCCTCTACTCTACACCCTGTGTTAGTTAGGGTGCTAATTGCAGGGCTCACAACTCTTAATTTGAAGAGCTTTTCTTTTTAAGCTCTTAGAATTCTATAAAGTTGTTCGAATATATTTTAAATTTTAAAATACTTCTGATAGCTACTAATAATTTACTTAAGGGGTCGTAAGCCTTCTTGCTAAGAGGTAAAAGCCATTAGTAGCGGAACTAGAAGGGAATAAATAGTAGATAAAGACTAACCTGAATCACTCTCTAGTTCTTAAATAGTTGCACTATATAGCACCATTCAGCGGGTCTGTATAAAAGATTAGCAAGTACTTATCACTACTATAATAAGTCGCCTAGATATAGTCTATACGCCCTACTTACGAATTGCGAGGTGAAGTATTACCCCTCACAGCCTCCCAAACGACAGAATTCTGCGAATGGCTGCTTTGCTTATCCTCTGTAGTGCTAGCTGCACTCTCATGAGTAAAACCACCGGACACTTGAGCAAGTGATACAGAGAGGGATGCTAGGGCGGCAATCTTGAAAGCTTTCGCTGCTGTGGCTTTGTCTGTATTTTCAATAGCTGATAAATCCTCGGCAGAATGAAGGCGACCTCTGAGCTGAAAGTAGTTGAACCGACCTACGTAGTGAACCAGGGCGCTCTTCGGCAAGCCTGAGAATGCAAGCAGGATGAGATAGGTCGGCGAACAGACCAACAAACCACCACACACCACGATAGAGGAAGCCTCCCAAAAGGGATAGTAGAAGCAGATGAAGCGAAGAGAGTGTGAAAGTTGATTCTCTCCCTATCGGAGATACGAAGCTATATCCTGCAAATACTGTGTACTAGGAAAGATATCCTCCAACCAGAGACCTCCCTAGTGTTGGCCATTTCCCCACTGCAATACTCAATACTATACGCGCACAATTAACAGTGCATTACACTCAATAGACCAAAAAGATCACGGAAATAAAAACATACAACAGCAGGGATTCGCTGGTGGTCACCCACCCAACTACTAACCTGCCGGCGTGTGGCTTAAGTACGGCTGAGCGGACGGGAAGCCCTGTTCTCCACACCCTGTGGTCGTATGTACTAGAAACATAATAGGAAAGGAATCAATGCTCCAGCGTACATAGCTGTGCGACCGGGGTCTAAGCCAGAAACGGATGAGGACCGTTTGTGTCGCACGACTAGGGGTGATTAGGGTGAGTGCGGAATAATAGTGTGAGAATTGGATAAGAATTAGGTGAGAACCGGAGGAGGATTCCATAGCTGGCACAAAGTCCGCACAGACCGCTCAGCCAGACTAGTGATATATATTATTAGGCATAACGCTTTGAAACAATCGTTTCTAGTATACACACAACACACACAACCATGTCAATGTTTTGTTAGATATGCTACTTTATGGTGCAAACCAACCAAAAAAAGCTTGTTACCTTATCTGCCGCTACATTGAGCATCCTTCATCTCTATATAACTCTGTCATGAATCAATCCTTTAGCTAAGATGCATAGGTCACTTATTGTCATAGAATTATTTATGTGGCATAGGTTGCTTAGGCAAAAAACGAGGATGCATTCGCTTTGTGGTTGATTTGAAACACATGAATAAAAATATACAATTCTGAGTCATATATTCAAGACAAAGAGGGCAAATTTGGTTCATTGTAAGACTACATTGATGCATCACTAATAGAAAAGGAGTTATTTACAGCAGACACGCCCAGATAAATGGCCAAGGGCGATAGTTTTGTTATAGGTCACTATACGGGTACGCCGGTATCCAGGAGCAAGCCATAGACCTTCTTTGTCGTCAAGTTTGATCCACCAGCCATCTGGCGCCGATGTGTCGATGCTGTTCAGTGGAAATCAAGAGGAATAAGCCAATGCCTCTCTCTAGTTTTTATGTTTCATAAGATATATTTGTGACTGGATAGACCCAGCCAATTCATTTTCATTTTTATATGTCCTTTTTTTCACTTTTCCCTTAATTATAAGCAGGGCTGAGGTAAAGACAAAAAATCACCTGGCTAAGAAACTCGTTTTTCGTTCACAACTCCTCGATTTGTGCTTCGGATGGGTTCAGATCACTCTGTTTTAATTAGTAATCCCTTTTTTTTTTTTTTTTTGGATAATTAGACAAATGGTATCGCCACGTCTCTGAGATTCCAGCAATCAAGCCTTCACAGCTTGTCGAAGTCCTCCTCCGATGCCAAGAACTTTATGTGGACCTTTGGACTTCTGATCGGATTTGCCATAGATTATCTGTCCAGTACTCATGGACCAAATTCCATTAGCGCTATAATTGCAAGTCTTAGGCGCAGGATTTGTGTAGTCAATCGTGATAGCTTCACTTGTATCTAGGCTGATCATGGTCCCCGTGGTCACACTCTGCTGGAACCAGACAGCAACAGTGGGAGTTGGCGTTAGGACGTCTTTGCCAGGAATCAGAGTACCATAGGGGCTAATGTAGACAGGCACCATGGCTCCATTGACCTGTTCCTGGATGGCGCAAGATGCCTCGACGGCATTCTGGAAGCCAAAAGAGTTTATAGGAATTTTAGAATCAGCAGTGACCTGGGCATCAGACCAGTTTGCAGGAAGCTAATTCGGGGTTGCGATTATTATTCGTCGAAATTAGTTAAACTTCAATACAGAGAGACTTACGCTGTAGGTTTCGCCAAAATTGATTGGTAGGAAATTGTCCGTAACCTGAAATTGCGCTATAAAAGGTATTGATCATTAAGACATTACCCTTTCTGACTGCTAGTATAAACCTACCTCCTGAACTGAATTCAGTTTTTGTCGCCGCAATTTCATAGTCGTCAGTCCAATTAATAGTAATCGAATCACCAGCAGCTAATATGATCCTTTTTAGCATCTTTTTGCTTTCGCTTATTTGCGCATTAGAAGAGGGCTATGAGACTCACTATCACAGTAGGCAATGACTGTCATCGCATTAGTAGCCCCATCATCGCTAACTCCGCGAGCAAAACAAAGGAGATAATTTCCATCATTCAGCTAAATTTAAAAATTTAGCCTTTGCAGTCCTAACAACTGGCTGGGCTATCCTACCTTTCCCACCATTGTATCATCAACGGTTACAGTCAATTGGTAGGTAGGCATCTTGGGCTTCAGTAATTTGTGAGACAGAAAGTTTAGTTGGAATTGGTACTCATGAAAGGTGAGTGGGTGGTATTATTGAAGGAAGACTTCTGAGTATATATACTTCTGCTCGGGATTGTATTCCTACTTTCTATGGAACCTAAAGTGCCACGACTAAGTCCACATGACGTCAGGAGTACTAAGTAAATATTAAATAAATACTTGCATGTATTCTGGGCTCGAAACTGCATTCAAAGAAATTGTTCTATCATGATCTAGATTTGTGGTAAGCAATGCTATTCAAGTCATTCTTACGTACTTTAACACTGTGGCGAGTGTGTTTGATGCAATTTCAACCAGAGATCTAATAAAGTCTTATGTCATTTGAAAGAAGCACTAACATTTTAAAAGAGTTGAATGAGTGCTATGCAGTTTCCTAAGGAAGCCTAATTGAAAACGGTTGTTCTACCACGATCTAGATTCACGGTTGTTCACTCTATCCAAGTTATCTTTTAGGCTTTCATTCATCAACTGGTTACCATATGTGTTTCAACTACGGGTTTGATGTATATTAGAGTATATCCGCAGCTGATATAGGCTGCATTCGGACAAGGAAACAAAGAAAACCCGAACTATGTTGGTAAGCGGGAATGTGAACCAAAATTAGGCTATTACAATGTTGGAACATGCGAAGATTGCTCAGCTTACCATACAAGAAGGCTTTGAGTCTAGATCCTGGCGCCTTAATCTTAATGAACAAATACAACAGATTATCAACCTAGTTCTAGACCTTCGTGCTCAGGAGCTTCTCTTAGCTCCAGAAAGGCGAATAGATTGATACAGTCTTCATATAGTTGGGATAATTGATTCTTACCCCTCAAAATTCAATACAGAAACATGTCTAGATTGGACTTAGGGTACAGTAAGTGAAAATATGCTGACACTGCAAGTAAGAAACACTGAAGTAAATGACATGGACTCAGCTGAGTTTAGACGTGAAAGGCAATCTAGTGTTTACCTTGCCGCTACTTATTCGATGATATCATGACATTCTTCTCAGCATCGAGATGTTTTTTTTTTCGTTGTGAGCCAGAGTCAAGCTCCGGTATATAATAGAGTGATTCTCCATACCCCTCACAGGGACATCTTTATACTTTAACATTCTTGAAATTGTTCTATAAATTTCCGTACAATAGTCGTCTTAAAAATTGACCGCTATGGCAGCTACCAAATTCATAATTACTGAAATTTCTGCCAGTCCCCCATATAACACTTCAAACTCTCGGGGTGTTATAAACGTGCCAGCTTTAGGTAAATTGACAGCAGTATGGTCACTCAAAGAGCCGCTTGTTGATGATGGTGTTAATGGGTCGATAAATCCTGTTACATTCAATTTTCCGTCCAGTTCTAAGGACCCTGTGCCTTTAGAGCTCTGTGGCACTGTCAACATTGATTTCGAAATGCACCAGGATGTCTCCTATTATATTACTGGAAAATGCGGAAATACAACTATCTTGAAAAGTTCAACTATCCAGGCCTTAGTACCCGGAGTACAAAAACTTTGGGTAGATACTTTTCAGCTTCAGTCACCTACATTCAATCCTCAAGCTGATCCTCGGTTGCCAATCCGTTGGTCTGGGGAATATTCTTTTGAGCTGACTGTCACTATAGATGATAATACTTCTCCAGGTACGTCTCCAAGATAGATATCGATGCCATATACGTTAGCTATCATATATGACATCTAATTAATTTATCATATGGCAGCCATATCACCTGATGAGCCTCCAGTCCTTGAGCTTTCGTTTGTGAAAGGACCACCGAGCAACACACAGCGTACTCAATCACCACTCAATTATGTTCAATGCAACTTTCAGAATACATATCCCATAGGACTCTTCCGGCTATTTCTCCCCACTCAAGATGAAGTGGACCAAATTGACCCCAATGCAGATGCGGGAAATTGGTTCATCGCACGAGCAATTGAGATAATTTGGAATTATGGAACAAATCCAGATGATCCTAATGTTCGTATCCCAGCACCTATTCAATACAACAATATGAATGGGGCACCAGGGTATACAGCAGATGGCTATATCAACACATTTTACCTGAAACGTTGGATGACAGGAATTAATCCTCAAGTTAATTGCTACGGTTAGTTAAGTTCTGGACTTCTAAACCTTTATGATTTAAACTAATTCATCCAATTTAGATCTGACCGCCATCACTCAATTGGCTTGTAACATCCTTGTTGGAAGTCCAGGAGGAGATATGATGATTGCCGGTAGATCGATTTACCAGAGTCCAACAGGCTTTATCACAGAGGGTAAGTCTCAGTTCGTGTTCTAGAAATCAGTGCTAATTAAGTTCTAGGTACCCTCATCGGGTGGCCAAATTATCCACAATGTAATAACCCTTACTGGGGCAGCGGTCAGTAAATCCCTAGAATTCGAAGATGTTCTCCATATGATATGTTTTCTCTTACAGAAGCCAAATTGTTGACAATCTGTTCTAGCAACTCCACCAATTAATATCCCATACATCGCGAACTTCGATGAGAAAACGGGGTCACCTTTGACCTTCTTTGATAACCATACTTGGGTCGAAATTGACTGGCCCACGGGCGGTCAAGGCGTGCTTGATGCTACCCGAAGCATTTATCCAGCTACATTGCCTCTAACGGGGCAGTGGTCTCGAAGTGCATTCCTGAGCAAAGCCTTAATTCCAACAATCACAAGCGGAAATGGAAATGGGAGCGTAAAGACATCGGTTGATCCAAATGGTTGCTGCAGTACGTCGTGCATTATATTTGCACACGGCAACTCTTTACTAATAGCAACTAGGCCAAACTCCAGAGACACCTGGTGTCACCGTTGGTGTAACAAATGTCTCATTCATGGAGCTCCTCCCGATGCCAGTTGTTTTGGGCCCGGATCAAAGGAAGATTGAAAGAACGCTCAATAATGGCAAAAATCACGAAGCGACAACGCCAGGATTTATTGTTGTACCTCTTAACGTAACTTCCCTTCAAAAAATTGTCAACAATGCCCTTGACACTCATGATCTCAGTTTCGCTGAGCATCTAGTTGGTAAGGCTGGCTCGCAGGTACTGATAGGGTTTAATGAAAGATCTGCAGGCAACTTATCGGCAACTATTGGTCGTGTTTATGTGGAGGTCTCTATCTCTAACTCATTGGTCGACACTCAAAGCAGTTTGGCCCATCGTCTCTTAAAGTTTGAGCGCAATCCAGCTGAAATTGCCAACGCAACCCCGGTTCCCCTGGGTTCATTTTCTTTTGCAATCCCAAACGAGGTATTCTTCCTTCATGGCAATGCATTTGCGAGAGTTTTTATAACTACCAGCAAGCCAAGCGATCAACAAATTGATTTACTGATGCGCGTGGCAATTCCGCTTGCCAACTACATGGCTCACCAATCTCCTACATTACCAACAGAACTGATGCCTCACCCGAAGCTAAGTTCTAGCTCTCCACATCGGGTCAAAGCTGGAGAGCGATTCACACTATCTCTTGAAAGTGACAGTATCGCGTCTACACTGGACGAGAAATTTGCCCGAGTTTCTGACCCAACGATCGTCCAGTGGCTTGGCCCAATTCACCAAAATGGCCACTTCGAATTTGCTGCCTTCCAGGAAGGAAGAGTAGATGTTTCTCTTATTGTTGCACACAAGGATAGCCTCATAACAAACGTTGAAGAGACCCGGGTAATTGTGGCAGGACAGGCATAATGGTTGTGCTAAGATGGCTTTTAATGTTGATCTTTTGTTTTCGTTTAACCTACATGTCTCCGATGTTTCTATCAGTGCTTTATTTACTTTGGGATTACCTCAGTAATAAGCATCCTTTAATCATTGTCTCACGTTCAGAACATCTGCCTTAACTAAATCGGGTGGGGAGCGAGAAGTCTCACGCTCCCACCGAGAAGTGAAATTGGTAAAATTAAGACATACAGACTTCTGCAACGGCAAGTTTTGTCTTAAAGTAATGCAATGCTCTGTAAAATACTTTAAGAGCTGCGCGGTAATCGGGTCCCTCTTTGGAGGAGTTAATGTTTGTCGCTTCGTTAAGAGAAGCTCTATCTGTTACGCATTGACAGGCCTTGAAGATCTAATTTAGTATGAGGATAACCTATACTTCCCAACTTAATGCTGGAATCTTCTACCTTTATAGCGTAGCTAGGATGAGCTTCCTGTAGTATATAGCATTGTGCATTTGTACCCACGAGTTCTGATGCTCATGGGAAAATTATATGAGGTGGTTTTTGTGTTCTCCTTGATGAGATCTAGCAATCCCGGAGCACTCAGATAAGGTATGGAGCAAGTAGGAAGGAGGAGGTAGAGCGAAGATCATTACTTGTGGAAGAAGAGAAGATCCGAGCCATCGAAGGGAAAGGCGCTAGGGATACGGCCATATGATCCGTAGTAAATGGAGGATTTCAGATCCCATCACCTCTCCCAAGCTTCTTTTGTATGTCTTTTGGGAGCATCTTCTATCGAGTATGTACATAGGTAAAGGTCAGGAATAGATGACCTGAATTGTGTCCTCAGGATATTATATATCTATCGCTCTAGACTATTAGTGCCTTACACCGCCCCCCCAACCCTTCCGGGTTGTGGGTGCGCCACGTATGAATTACCACCCACACATGAAATACCATTTTTTCCCTACCACCCTATTTTTGCTTCCCTACCCAACACCACCATCTAAATATGCCTAAATTTGATGAATCACGTATGGCAGAAGCCTGCCTAGCAGCTTCACGAGAGGAGAAGCCGAATTTCGCGCGTTTAGCACGCGAATTTGGCGTGCCTAGGCGTACGCTTTCGAATCGAATCAAAAAAGGAGCAAGGCCTAAGACAGCTATATGCAATGCTAAATACGCCCTCGAATCCTATCAAGAAGAAGCTCTTATTCGCTGGATTCAATATATGAACGATTGCTATATGCCTATCACTCCTAGGATACTAGAAGCGTGGGCAAATCGTGTATGCCAACGCGTCGGGAAGCCGCTAGTTAGCAAGATGTGGGCGTACCGCTTTATTAATAGGCTTCCTAAACATCTTCAATTAGGGCCTACTAAGCAGTATACGAAGGAGTCAAAGCGAATTCTAGCAGAGGATCCAGCAGTATTACAACATTGGTACGATCTACTAGCCCAAACTATCAAGAAGACTACGCCTGCACGTCTAGTCTATAACTTTGATGAATGCGGCTTTCAACCAGGCGAAGGAAGGTCTAGAAACGTCATATCTACTACTACTACTACTACTACTACTACTAGTAGGAAGATAGTAGACCTTCCTCAGCCAGACCAAGGCGAAAATATCACGTCTATCGAGTGTATAGCTGCCGACGGGTGGCAGATGGAACCCTGGTTCATCTTTAAAGGCAACGGGGTCTTTATAGAATCTTGGTTTAATCGAACAGACGACCTACCACCAAGAACTACTATCACTACATCGCCAAACGGTTGGATAACCGATAGTATAGTAGTTCAATGGCTTCGATTCTTTATAGAATCAACATGCGACCGTACGAAATCGGGTGAAAAACGTATCCTAATATTCGACGGCCACGGTTCGCATCTTACATTCGAATTCCTACACCTTTGCGAAGAGAACAATATCCTACCTATAGGATTCCTACCACATACTACGCATCTTTGCCAGCCGCTAGACGGTAAGCCGTTTCTAAGCTATAAGCAACACTTCCGCTTAGCGAATAACGACCACGCGTTTTAGGGTGGAAGCCCTATCGGAAGATCCGAGTTCCTTCGAATAATCAGTGATATTCGGAATAGAGCGTTTAGCCAGCGAATCATTCGTGAATCGTTTAAAGATCGTGGGATATATCCAGTCGATAGTAGAAAGGTTATTAATAGCCTTCCTATCCAAGATTACCCAGATCTTATAGCGCTAGATCTACAACCGCTTCATTCAATACTTCATACAACACCTTCACCACCACCTATATCTTCTTCTAGTATCGACCAATCGCCGCCTAGATCTATACAGGATCTAGAGAAGAATCAAAAGAAGATTGCTAGATATCAACAAGAAGATCTTACACCTAGGCAGCAACGTAATCTTGACCGGTTATTTCATCATAACAAGATTGCTATAGAGAATCTGAATCTAGCGAACGATACTATTCGCAAGATTAGGGAAGCTCAACAACCACTACAGCGCCTAATCACTAAGCGCCAGGTTAAAACGCCGCTTAGCAAAACAGGGGTACTCTCTATTAGAGATGCAAATCGTTCTATTGCTAAAAGAAATAAGAAGGAAGCAGAGGCAGAGCGGAAGCGGGTAAGGAAGCAGTGGAAGAAAGCGTATAGAACATCACCACCACCAGATCCTACACAGGAATCCCAGGCATCATTAGATAGAGCAGAGGAAGCACGTCAGGAAGGTAATATTTTCTTTATAGATACTAGTAGTATGCAGTAGTAGATAGGGGAAATATGAAAAAATGGTATTTCATGTGTGGGTGGTAATTCATACGTGGCGCACCCACAACCCGGAAGGGTTGGGGGGGCGGTGTAAGGCACTAATAGGAGTCATAGTGACGCACCGGGGTGGGTATTCTCACCCTATTCTCACCCCCAGTCTCCAGAATTCTTTACTCATATCACTTTCACTCACTCTAACACAAATGGCGACACTGTTTTTCAGGCCCAGGGCTCTTCGAGGATTAACTACGTTTAGTTTGTGGCTTAAGTGTGGCTGAGCAGGCGGGAAGCCCTGTTCTCCACACCCTGCGGTCGTATTTACTTGGTAGTAGATGAGAGTGGGATACATACGCCTACATGGGTGAGCGCCATTTTGGCCTTTGTGCTACACCGGCGAGAGGGGTAAGTGGATTTTTTACTCACTAATAGGGAATGTGCATAACTCTCACACGCCAACCCGCGGTTTTCCAACATCCCGGAGCCATTCTCATGATGGCTATGCAAAAAAAGGTGACTGTTGAATACCCTTTGACGGTTTGAGCTTAAATGAAATATCACGCGGAGTATGATTTATAAGTCGCGGGACTCCTTCTTAGCGATTGGTCCGATGATTTGAGAATTTAATTCAAATAAATGAGAGAAAAGAATTGGTGTGCAAAGCTACACGATGGCTATATAGATTGTAAATCCCTAGAAGAGAGTGAGATTTCCTAAAGCGGGCTAGTCCCATGCTAACCAACAAACACAAAACATGCTGCAACAGAAGATTATGCGTCAATAAGGTTGGTACTTTGTTGCGCCGAGGTATCCTGTCGCTCGCCCGAGTTGTCGCGGGTATCCTTGCTAGCAATCTTGCGAGCGGAGCGGGCGTAGAACTCATCAAGGGTACGCTTCGGGATACGGTTGAGGAGTTCCTTGGGGTAGATGCGAAGTAGGTTCCAAGCAATATCAAGAGACTCGAAGATGGTGCGAGACTCATAGGCAGACTGGCTGATAAAGGTACGCTCGAATTTGTCGAGGAACTCCAGAGAGAGCTTATCTTCAGAGGAAAGGGCCTCTTCACCAACGACGGCCTTCATGGCGGCTATACGGTGGATTTGATTAGAATGATGAACAAGGCGGGGTAGAAACGAGAGGAAAACATACCAGCGTCACGACCGATAGCGTACTTAGCGTAGAGCTGGTTGGATACGTCTGAATGATCTTTGCGCGTACGGCCCTCGCCAATGGCAGATTTCATGAGACGAGAAAGTGAGGGCAGGACGTTGATTGGCGGGTAAACACCCTTGTTAGCCAGTTGGCGATCAATGAAAATCTGGCCCTCTGTGATATATCTGAGAAATATTTAGTAAATTTGAAGGAGTGGCAGGGAAGTAGTAAGTGAGGAGGCAATACCCAGTAAGATCGGGAATAGGATGCGTGATATCTGTTCAAGAAAGAAAGGTTATTAAAGTCAGAAATGAAAATCTGCCCAGGGAAATGGGGGAGATTATTCCATACCATCGTTCGGCATAGTCAAGATAGGGATCTGGGTAATAGAGCCATTACGACCCTCAACACGACCAGCACGCTCATAGATAGTTGACAAATCTGTGTACATGTAACCAGGGTAACCACGACGACCGGGAACTTCTTCACGGGCAGCAGAGACTTCACGTAAAGCGTCGCAGTAAGCTGAAAGATCGGTCATGATAACGAGAACGTGCTTCTCGAGCTGGTAGGCATAATATTCAGCAGTCGTCAAAGCCAGACGAGGAGTAATGATACGCTCAATTGTCGGGTCGTTGGCCAAGTTCATGAAGAGAGTAGTACGCTCCATACTACCGTTCTCCTCAAACTCGCGGGTAAAGAATCGGGCAGTCTCCATGTTCACACCCATGGCAGCGAAGACAATCGAGAAGTTGTCGTCATGGCCATCATGTACATCCTTGGTGGGTCTAACTAGACTTGCTTGTCTGGCTATGCTCGCAGCGATCTCGTTATGGGGAAGACCGGCAGCGGAGAAGATTGGAATCTTTTGGCCACGAGCAATAGAGTTCATGGTATCGATAGCAGAGATACCGGTAGAGATCATCTCCTCGGGATAAACCTGAAGTTGCGTTAGCCCAAATGCGTATGCGTATGAAGTTGACGGGGATATATACTCGAGAATAAGGGTTGATAGGTTGGCCGTTAATATCCAGGTACTCTTCCGCAAGCACTTTAGGGCCTTTGTCGATAGCACGTCCTGATCCATCGAACACACGACCCAGCATGTCCTCAGACACACCAAGCTTTAAGCTATGACCAGTGAACTCTACTTTGGTCTGGGTTAAGTGTCAGCAGCTTTATGATTGAGACACTTTCACACAAAACGTCCTACCTTCTTCACATCGATACCGGGAGTACCCTCAAACACCTAGCAAACCAGTGTACTGTTAACGACATGTCCATCGCGGGGCCGGGGGAAAAATCAGAATGGCTGGGTCTCATTTCGTACTTGCACAACAGCTCGATTTCCTACAATAAATACCACAGTGGTCAGTTCGCCGTTCTGTTGGAAGCTCATCACAAGTACACCACCCCCACAGCTGGTCGGAGAGCTTACCTCTGGCCTCCAACACTTGACCGGAACGCTCCGTGCCGTCGGGCAAAGTCAGTGAGACAATTTCGTTGAAACTGGGGAATTTAACCTGTGTCAAAGCGCAGAGTATTAGCGTAAAGCTCCATTCCCGTGTCAAGCTGTCTCCGAAGGTCTTACATTGTCGAGGACGACCAGTGGTCCGTTAATGCCTCCGATGGTGTTATAGCGGATGCGGGGCTTGACACTAGTCATCCGGGGGTCAACGAACTCGGCCATGGCGGGCGAATCAAATCCTCCACGGGCACAGCGAGAAAGAATGAAGGGTCGGATAGGAGTCGAGTATGGTGGGATGAGCCGGGGGGTTGGTCAAGCTGTCCGCTGGAGCTCGGGCGGTAACGTGTCACGTGGTAGCTTACGACAGCCTAAGGTTGGGGTGTCAGGAGTTAGGTTACTAATCTTCTTGCCTGAGGCTTATACCCATATCCGGCGTATTGTTTTCCCGAAGTAGAAGGGTTCATTAGTGTACATGTACTTTGTTAACTATCATGAATGTTCATGATGAAAATAACACATTTTGCTGGAATGACACTTCGTACCATGCTTTGAATTCAAATCCTTCCTATTCAAGAAAATCAAGGACCGAGGCGTGAAGAGCAGGGCTTCTCAGTACCGAAGGCATATACTATAAGGTGAAGTCTTCAACCATTATTTGTTTTAAAACATGGGACTTGAAATTTCAAAGTAAGTGTAAAAAACGTCTTAAGAACTAGAAAAACGGATATAAATGAACATCCGTAGATTTTGAAGATTTTGCCGCAGTCCAAATATATTATATTGAGAGTGGATATCTTAAAAATACACAAATGAAAACAGTCAATATAGCGACCGTAAGCTATAAATCAAAATTATTTGATAGTGAATTCACTTAAAGAGCATTTCTAGGCACATGTTGCTCGATAATAACAATTTTGTTGTTGGTTGCGCTTGGGTGAAGTGATACCAAGTTGTAACCTACAAAATACCACACGTAGTACATGTAGCCGACCAGTTTCTTCGCGGAGTATTGTAGAGCGAAAGCATTTTCATGTACTCGAAAATGGAAGAAATATCCACAATTAAAAATCTCACGCTGCGCATAATGTTCTATCTTTGAATTATAATCTCAATCCCATAGAAATCCAGACGTCCCAAGGCCCTGCGCTTTGTACTGGAGTAGGGACGGAATCTAGAAAAAATTAATGGAACGAACCAGGAATTTTCAGATACCTTGCCCATTTGCATCTATCATCGATGAATGATTCGCTACTATTTGGGTACTATTCAATGTCTACTCACCCGGGACTTGTATTTATCTGGTCGCTGTTTAGAAGTTGTTCTTAGTCGCTCTCGACATCGACTTATCAATCATATCAAATCTGAACATCTCATGATGTTGCAATCTTTTTGTAGCCAACGCAACCCGAGGTTACACGTATCGCTAGCTTTATTAGCAATTTTTTGGCCGATGTCTAATTCCAACCCTCGTATTGTATACCAAACTCGATGGGCAATGCACAAAAGGGATGCTCCCGATTTTGGGCTGTAGATAGGGGACCAGGGCGCTCGTTGGCAAGTCCGGCAAGCAGACAGGATGATAGGGATCAACGAACAAGCCAACAAACCAGACGCCACACGTTGGAGGACAACCTCTCGGAGAGGAAACAAATGTTGTCTGAGCGAAAGAGTGTAGAAGTTTCATTTTCCTCTATGTATCTGAGATGTGAAGCTAAATTGGCAAGGACAGTGTACCATAAAAAATGTCATCCAATCAGAAATAACCTATCGTAGGCTTTTTCCTTTCTACAGTACAATAGGTGCATCCCCCTCCATGCGATCTGCAAGCGTACCCGCTGGGATTGTCAAGGGTGCCACCCTACCAGTGAAATCACTTGAATTTTCAGAAGGATGCCCCTGATTACGCAACCTTCGCCTTTTGTTATCAAAAACTCCCTACGGAGTACTCTGTACATCAAACCATATATGAGGTTGCCTTGTGTGCCGTCCCTGATGAACAGCAAGTTATAAAGATAGTCCCCTGGACCCACTCGGCGAGGCACGGAATAAACAGGGATGTTCGCCGGTTCCACTATCCCAGAATAATCAATTTGAAGAATCGACTGGCCTAAAGTTCTGAATTGCCGCCGAAAGAGTTTTTGCAGCCACTAATTGACGCATAAATCAACGCATCGATCGATACATCACGACAAACGTGCCGCAGCACCAGCTTTCGAGATGTTTTCCTGTTCATGCGGAGTTAAGAGTACAGTGAAGGGAGTTTCTGAGGGGAAAGTACGGAGTGTGAAACATGAAATTGGGCTCCAGGGACAGTGGCTGGCCATAGATTCTGGAAATGATTGTCTAGACTGTCGGCTTGTTGAGTAGAGAATGATTAGCTTGTGATCCTGGAGAAGCAGTTGAATAGAGCCAGATGCCCCTTGACATCACCGCGGAAAAAAGTCTAAGAATAACCGGGCAGCGCACATTCCCGTGTCAACGACGGAGAATAATTTGGAGTCCACGCCCTTGTCTTGAGAAGGTGTGAGCTGAGACGGGGTTCTCAAGGAACAATCCTCCGGAATATGTACGCGCCAAATAATGTCACGCTTGCTGTGAGGTCCGGGATGCTTGACGACATCATCCCTACCTGGTTCATCTTCGATAGGCAACATAAGCTCTTTCGGTCTGACGCGGATGACAAAAGGGATGGGCGATTGGTTGGCAGCCCATTGGATGGGGTGCGTGTGCCGTGTCTCGACCGACCGCAGTCAAGAATGCGGTCGGATCGCGATGGAGATGTGACCCGGTCCTTTGTTATGCAGATTTCTTTTTTTGGGCGCAGTCCTCAAGTGCGATCATATCCCTAGGTGAGTAAGTCCGGAGAGACATGTGGGCTGGTGGACTCGGTCACTGAAGGGTCATTTAATCCACTCCGTTTCTGATTGCCCAGTAAAAACACCTGGCTGCACTTTCGGTCTTTTGGTCTATAAGCTTTTGTCGGTCCTGTCCGTCTGGCCTGATTTGGTGGACCGAAGGGTGGATTATTGTAGTGGTGGGCGAATCAGAAGATTTTGGTTTCAGGGGAAACCGAGAAAGGCGGAAAGGAGCAGCAGTTTGAGACGAGGCACAACTTTGGTTCAACTTCTGCATTACATCAACTTGGTCCACTTAAACATTGATGTGGATCCCATCGAGGTCCGAAACAATCCACCACCAAGAAGCAATGGACCCCAGAAAGTGGGCCATCAGGGCATCAGGGCCCAATGACCCTGGAGGGTCCCGACGTATGGGGTCTCACGACATCTTCAAGGCCTGATATGCGTTTCTGCATGCCAATGATCTGTGGCCGGTGACAGCATCCGGCTCCAATGATGTGCAATGCATCTACCCACACAGCCCGCCTGATGATGCGTCGTCAAAGATAATGAGGGGGTTCCAGGGGAATATGGGACCTGTCCGGTCAATCTCCTTGCCACGGGGAAGTACCTCGCTCGTACCTTGCCTCGCAAGGATATCGAGGACCTGCGGCGTACACAGACAATCGCCATCTAGCGCCAGGGGTGCATCCACGACATTACCCACTTTCTCTCGGCTGCATCCAATCACTGGCTTTTTTGTCCTCCCCTGCTTCTTCATACTTCCCTTCTTTCCCTCGACCTCCCTCCCTTTTGAATTTATTCATTTTCCTTTCTCTCTCTCTCCCGCGTGTGCCACTTACTTTCAGTCGTTCCCTTGAGTTCTACACATTCGCTTTGAATCGAGCTTTATCGCTCAGTATGAAGTACTCCGTTCTTGCTGGTCTGTCCCTGCTGGGCTCGGCCATGGCCACTGTGCCTACCATTGAGATCAAGGGCAAAAAGATGTTCTACTCTAACAATGGCACTGAATTCTTTATCCGTGGTGTCGCATACCAGGCCGACTACAACGGTGGAGGAGCCTCTGGAAGCGGTTCCGGTGCCAACTCCTACGTTGACCCGCTTGCTGATGTCGAGAGCTGCAAGCGTGATATTCCGTACCTGGTTCAGCTGCGCACCAATGTCGTCCGTACCTACGCCGTCAACCCTAACTCTTCTCATGACGAGTGCATGAACGCCTTAGCCGATGCCGGTATCTACGTCATCAGCGACCTTTCTTCTCCCGGCGAATCCATCCAATCCAGCGAGCCCACCTGGGATGCTGACCTGTTCACTCGCTATTCTGAAGTTGTCGATGCGTTTGCGAAATACCCCAATGTGATCGGTTTCTTCGCTGGCAATGAGGTATCCAATGAAGTTAACAACACCGCTGCCATGGCCTACGTCAAGGCTGCTGTTCGTGACATGAAATCCTACATCAAGGAGAAGAACTATCGCTCCTCTCTGGCCATTGGTTATGCTACCGACGATGACCAGACCGTCCGTGAACAGATCTCAAACTATCTGATTTGCGATAGTTCTGAGGACTCGATTGACTTCTTCGGCTACAACATCTACGAATGGTGTGGTGACTCCTCCTACTCCACCTCCGGCTATGAAGAGCGTACCAAGGAGTTTGCTGACTACCCCGTCCCCGCCTTCTTCTCGGAGTATGGCTGCAACACTCCTCGCCCTCGTAAATTCACCGACGTACCCGTCCTCTTTGGTCCAAAGATGAATGACGTCTGGAGTGGTGGCATTGTTTACATGTACTTCGAAACTTCCAACGAGTATGGTCTGGTCTCCACCAGCGGTAATTCGGTCAAGACCTTGCAAGATTTCGAAAATCTGTCTTCCCAGATACAGAAGGCGACCCCAACCGGTGTGAACAGTGCCAGCTACTCCGTTTCGACCACCGTCGGCCGTAGCTGTCCCACCGTCGGTTCTGACTGGCTTGCCGCTAGTTCTCTGCCCCCCTCGCCGAATGCCGATCTGTGCGAGTGCATGTATAACGAGCTGGAATGTGTGCCTGTTGACGACATTTCGACCAAGAAGATGACCGATACCTTTGACTATCTCGGCGGTATGAAGGGCGCCATGTCCGGTGTTAACCACAACTCCACCTCCGGTGTGTATGGTGCCTACTCCATGTGCAACAGCCGACAGCGTCTCGCTTGGGCCATGAACCGGTACTACCAGCTCAACGGGAAGTCCGACAAGGCCTGCGGCTTTAGCGGTGCCGCCGAGAAGAAGTCTGCCACAACCGCCAGCTCCTGCTCTGCTCAGTCCTCTGCTATGAGCGCCATTGGTTCCGCTGGCACCAACTTTATCAATGCTGGTGTGGCCGCCTCCACTGCCGCTGGCTCCACCGCCACCTCCAAGGGTGCAGCCGCCCTTCCTTTCGGTCCCCAGTACGTCCACATTGGCGCCTGGCAGACTGGTGCTTACCTGGTGGCAGCCGTGGCCTCAGGTGTTTTCATGATCATGCTGTAGACCACTGTTGATTACTACAAAATGGCCCGCCTTCTCTTTCGTTTTTGAGCCCCTTTAGTGGGCATTTTTTTTCATGTGCTATAGTTCAGCGATCCGCGCATTGGCGCATGCTTTTTCTTGTAACTGTGGGAAATTTTTGGATCAGCTTGTTAGACTGTTCATATTTAATTTTCAATTTACCTCTGAACTTGAAATACGTTGCTCAATCTCACACCCAGTTGTCTCGAAACAATGGGTTTGGAATGTATGACTATCCCGACCACCAATTCGTCGACCCATTCCAGCTGAGCAGAATCAATGGCCTGGAACCTCAGAGCGCAATCTATCTAATCTAATCTGCCCTTTTATCCTTATCTATTTTTTTTCCAGAATGTTTCGTTTACCCGGTCTGTCAGCTCCTACAGTCGGCCCCCGGGATAGATGGCTCCAGCCGACCCGACGCCTGCGGGCCGCGTCTGCATCGACCCGATCCGACAGGCGCTCTGACTCATTTATAGCTGCCACCCAGCATAGAACTCGGTGAAATGATGGTTGGATGGACGGCGCGACTGTTGATTCCGAGTTCCAATGTATCTGTCTTTATGGCGATTGCAATGGTACTGTTAGAGAGGTCTTCTGTCAATGGAAGGCTTCCGATGATGGGATACGGAGTGGCATGATTGGATATTTCGGAGCCAAGCCCCCACCTTTGGAATATACAATTATGGTGCACAAACTAATAAACGCCAACCACAAGTAGTGAAGCCGGAATTCTGCTAAACTAACTTAATTGCATAAGCTCAGCAGCCTGTGTGACTCACCATGGCTGCTGAAAACACTCAAGTCGACTATAAAAAGCCGACTCCAAGGCAATCTATAATGCAATTAATTCCATTGCCCAGATTCCCTTCACTGCCTATTCTATCGATTGACAGCATACCTAAATTTCTCAATAACGACCTTTGCTGCACATTTTTCTTGTCCCCAATTTCCCTTGAAAAAGAATGGAAGAAATCAACAGGGTTTTCGCAACATGCAAAGCAGAGAGTCGGGCGGCCTTCATCACCTACGTGACCGCTGGCTATCCCACTGCTGAAGAGACGCCAGATATCATGTTGGCCTTGCAAGCCGGCGGCGCAGGTACAGACTCTTGACCCGGTCGTCATCAAAAACATATGGAGATATATGATCCATGCTGACTTGGAATTTCCATTTTGAATTAATGAAACAGACATCATCGAGCTTGGTATCCCCTTTACAGACCCTCTGACCGATGGTGAAACAATCCAAAAATCAAACGCTCAGGCCCTCCAAAATGGCGTGCGCATCTCCCACATGCTGCAGATGGTCCGAGATGCGCGAGCACTCGGTCTGACGGCTCCTGTGTTGTTCATGGGGTACTATAACCCCGTTCGAGCATATGGGGAGGAAAGACTTCTCCAAGATTGCGCGGCTGCCGGTGTCAATGGGTTTATTCTAGTCGACCTCCCGCCAGAGGAAGCAGTTCGGTTCCGGGACCTTTGTAAAACAGAAGGGTGAGTGCCACGATTCGGCATGTTATATCCAGGAGAATATCCGAGAAATTGACACAGTCAAGGCTATCATATATCCCACTCGTCGCGCCGTCGACTCCAGACTCCCGCATCAAAATGCTCTGCAGTATTGCCGACTCGTTTGTGTACGTTGTTTCTCGGATGGGTGTCACCGGTTCTCTGAAGGCACTGGACAGCGGCCTTGGTCAGTTGCTAGACCGCGTGCAGATTCACACAGAAAACCGCATCCCAACCGCCGTCGGATTTGGCATCAACACCCGCGCGCACTTCGTGGACGTAGCTCGCATCGCGGACGGCGTCGTCATCGGCAGCCAGATCATCACCCTACTGCGCGATGCCGAGCCTGGCACTGGCGCGACCAAGATCAAGGAGTACTGTCTGCACGTTACAGGCCGAACAGAGTCCCGGATGATCCAGCCCCCGGCTGCGAGGGACAAGAAGCCTCAACCCTCTGCTAGCCAACCCCAAGCCGCGAAGGAGACTCCCCGCTCGGCCGTCGCGCCTCTCGATACACATACTCGGTTCGGCCAATTCGGTGGCCAGTACGTCCCGGAAGCCCTGATGGAATGTCTGACCGAGCTTGAAGCGGGCTTCGCTGCTGCCAACGCCGACCCCTCTTTCTGGGAGGAAATTCGCTCCTACGCTTCATACGCTAACCGGCCCTCCTCGCTGCACCAAGCACATCGCCTCTCCGCGCACGCTGGGGGCGCACGGATCTGGTTGAAGCGTGAAGATCTGAACCACACCGGTAGCCACAAGATTAATAATGCGCTGGGTCAGATCGTGTTGGCGCGGCGGTTAGGCAAGACGGCAATCATCGCGGAGACAGGCGCGGGCCAGCACGGCGTGGCGACGGCGACGCTGTGCGCGCTGTTTGGGATGAAGTGCACGATCTTCATGGGCGCAGAGGATGTGCAGCGGCAGGCGCTCAACGTATTCCGAATCCGCCTACTCGGGGCAACGGTGGTAGCTGTGCCTGGGGCGCACCCGGGGGACGGAGGCACGCTGCGCGATGCCGTGAACCAGGCGTTCCGGACGTGGGTGACGGATCTGAAGACGACGCATTTTGTGATCGGGTCGGCTTTTGGGCCACATCCGTATCCGACGCTGGTGCGCACGTTCCAGGCGGTCATTGGCAACGAGGCGCGCGCGCAATTCCAAGAGATGAATGGTGGGCGGTTGCCGGACGCTGTGGTGGCGTGTGTGGGCGGCGGATCGAATGCGGCGGGTATGTTCTATCCGTTCTTGCAAGATCAGGGCGTCGCCATGATTGGGGTGGAGGCCGGAGGCGATGGGATTGAGAGAGGCCGACACTCAGCGACGTTGTCGAGGGGCTCGGTAGGAGTTCTGCATGGGGTGCGCACATACGTCCTGCAGGATGATGATGGCCAGATCACCTCGACACATTCAATTTCGGCGGGTCTGGATTACCCAGGTGTCGGGCCGGAGTTGGCCAGTTGGAAGGAGTCTGGCCGGGCCAGGTTTCTCTCGGCAGAAGACGGAGATGCGCTGAATGCGTTCCGGTTGTTGAGCCAGACAGAGGGCATCATCCCGGCATTGGAGAGTGCGCACGCTATTGCGGGTGCAGTGCGGGTTGCAAAGGAACTGGGGCCTGGAAAAGACGTCGTGGTGTGCCTGAGTGGACGCGGAGATAAAGACGTGCAGACTGTGGCGAATCTGATGCCCGCGTTGATGCCGGACACCAAAGGCAATGAGTGAAAACTGTCAGTTGGGATAAAATGTGTCAATTGGGTTCTTTTCAGGCGTCTTTTCCTTTTCGATTGGGCTTGGGTTGAAATACTGTTCGGCGTCTCGAAGTAAATGTTATATAGTTCATGGCAACAGATCAAACCTTCCTTTACTGATGATCATTCGCTTCAAGTTGAAGGGACATTCAAAGAAAGATTATACACTATGATTATTATCAAGATCTAGGACATTCACACCACAAATTGTAAGGGATGTTTGACAGTCAAGAACAGCTCGTCCAATGCACCCATCTATGCCATATCTTGAGGGGCCAGATCGTCTACTCTTCGACCAGTTTCTCGCCCTCTTCGCTCGATCCCAGACTGGCGAACTGGATCCCCCGAATAGCATGACCCTTCCACATAAGCAGCATCACGAAGAAGAATGAAAAGACTGCGAAAAAGGCCATCATTCCGTAAACCCAGCCCAAATCTACAGCCTCCACCCATGGATCAATGTAGAAGCTAATGGTCAGCCCATACACAATTCGGTAGGCGCCTATCACAATTCCCGCTTCTGCGGGATACTTGGTGAAACACTCCACCACATAGTTCACCGTGACAGGCACACTGGCTAGCGATCCAATCGTAACAATGAACACTGCCAACGCGAGAACCATGTAATGCAAGTGGTACTGCAGGGCGGCGCCAAAGATCCCCAGGCCGATAGGATTCAGGACGAGACTTGGGAGCCACAGGACGTGTAGTCGGTATTCCGGTTTCCAGGCCCCGTTATTCCAGCGGCGGGCGAGAGCGAGTGGAATGCGGTCGTTCAAGTAGTGACCATAGAACTGGACAAAGATGATGCCGATCCAGTGACAGAAAGTAAAAGCGGCATTCTGTTTGAGGGAGAAGCCATATCCGCCAGCAGCGACGGGTTTCTGGAGCCAGACCGGGGTCAGAGCATTGACGCCCACGTAGAAGCCAAAAGAAATCAGGGTGAAGACGCCCATGATGATGGTGACCGGACAGATTCCAATGAGGATAGGGGCAATACCAATCCGAGCCTATGGTTCCGTGATAGTCAGCAATCGCCTCTTCAAGATGTTCCAGCTAGAGATAGAGTGAGAACATACGGTTTCTTTCCAAGTAGTGGGCTGCACCACTCGCTGTCCAAAGAAGAACGTCGCTAATCGACTCGCCACGAAACCGCGGGGGATTTCAGGATTCTTCTCTACCTCCACACGGTTGAATCCCGTTTCTTCCAGAAGGAAGAAGCAGCAGATCAGTGTAAATCCAAGGAGACCAACGGTCCACCAAAACTCGACGGGGAAGAAGGCTCCTGCCGAGATGAATCCCGAGAATGTCGGGCCGGCGATGGTACCGAACAAAAAGGCCATATGTAGTGCCGTGAATGCACGACCACGCTGATGCAGAAAGAACAAATCGGTGACGATCCGCGGGCCCAGAACCGTGGGGACGGCGCCGAAGAAGCCCGAGAACAGCCGCGAAATGATATAGGGGATGTAATCATTGGAATGAGTCATGACGGCGCCCCAGATCTGGCAGATTAGTGTGCACAGCACACACCAAAAGATCACGGAGCTGCGACCCAAGACATGCGCGATAGGTGCGAAGAAGAAGGGGCCGGCGGCCATGCCAGCCAATGCCGCAGAGTTCTAGTATCCAAAGTTAGGGGAATCGGTGATTCACCAACGGTCGATGCGACTCATCAAGTGTGTTTGATGGGGGGAGAGAGCATACCGCGTACGATTCCTGGAGCTTCGTCTTGTGGTACAGCTTCTCCTGGTCTGCAAGGTTCAACTGGCCTGACAGCGGCGCAATGGCGCCGGAGAAAGACGCCAAGCACAGGGTGGCCAGAATGACATATTTGCTTCTTAGCGACCAATTCTAGTCCGTCACCAGTCAGTTTTGAGGCACGTTCCTAGGGTGCGAATCTGGATCGCGCTCCGGGGAGACATGGGCTTACCAAGGGATCTCGCGGGTGGGGACTGGGCTGGGGAATCAGGACGAAATGCGCCTCATGTGGCCCGACCGGCGGCGATTCTATGTCCTTGGTCTCGCTGGGCTCCTTGACGTCCATGATCGACTGGAATTGAGGTTAACACCCGACAGCAGTCACCCTCTGAGGCTCGCCGGAAGAAGGTCGCACGGGCTCTGGGGTAGTTCCCTTTTTGTCTTCCTCGGCTCCAGGGACGACCGTGCTTTTCGTGGCTTGGCGACCCGCTCTCTCATTTGAAGCCCGTCGTTCGGAGACCGGCGCGACGACGCGTCAGCTGAAGCGGCCCGGTGTGATCTTGTATGCGGAGGACAGAGTATGGAGTCTGCAAGACCTGCATGGTATTCACAGTCTAGCCATGAATTTGGGCGCGTTCACGGAGGGAGGACGAACTGTTGATCGTTTCTGTGGTGGTTTCTCTGCCGACTTGGCTTCGAAGCTTGTTTGCTTGTTTGCGGTTGGTGGCGCCCGGCACACGACGCGAATGACGGGCGGCTGAAGAAGGCTCGAGCCCCGGGAATCCTCAACCGAGGAGCAAGATTATCAACTATCAGCTATCAACAGCACCCTGCTGTAGTCGCAGGCATGCATATGACCGTCATACCCAGTGCATCATGCTCATTGCCGAGCAGACATCTCGGGTCCTGGGGCCGATCGCTCTGTCAACGCGATCCCACCACCGAGCATGGAGACCCACGCGGGCTGAGAGAAGGTATGTTGATCTCGTCATAAGAGACATGCTGCTACGGAGGCACAGAGAGTCAAGTTCAAAGGTCGGAGATCGTGGACAGCATTCTGAACTACAGATGAACCTTCTCGATCGAAAGCCCATCCCGCGACTGATGTTTCCGTGGTCTCCTCTTGGTTGCTCAACCGCAATCTCCTCGGCCCAGTCGATCACATTGATCGTCGACTCGCTTGAAGACTGCGAAATTGACAATGCAATCTAGAAATATATGTATAGAGGGAGGGGGAGGAGAGAGAGAGAGAGAGAGAGAGAGAGAGAGAGAGAGAGAGAGAGAGAGAGAGAGAGAAAGCCATGGTGTTTTCAGAGGGAAATCTAAAAATGACGCCGTATTTAGGGGGATTTCGCGAGCAAGAAGACATATTTGCAACACATTATAATCAGACCCGACCGTGCATTCAGAAGGATCACCAATACCAGCAGTTTAACAGGCAACGTCGCCCTAGTGAAATGAAAGAGATCAGGAGCCGGACCGCGAGCCAAAGAAACGCTAGCTATTGGTTGCTATTCTTTGACAAAGTATAAAATATAGTCGGCTTTTATACTTAACCACAATACAACCAGCCCGGTGCTTGATCAAGACAAATGTAGAAGAAAATGAACACACAAAACGTTGCCATGAAGATTCGTGTCCTTCTAGGAGACTCCCATGGGAGTAAGTCAACAAGGGCCTAGTTGCCATCCCATGCAGTCCATGCGATGACACTCAATCTAGCAAGTCTTGATGCAACTCCTGGCGGACCTGAACCCACAGACCCGATTGATTGCCTCAAAACAGAAACCAAAGGGATTGTGATGCTCTCCCTCCTCTTCCCTCTTCATACCCTCACGCTCTCCCCACCTCTCTCTCTTTGACTCATCGAATCGCAATTTGTTTCTTATCTTTCAAATGGATTGAATCCAACGGGCGTGGCTCCTGGTGGCCCGAAGTGGGGGTCCCACTGAGCTTCGCTTCGGCGACAACATCAACACGCCGAGGGCCGCTAAATACAAAACTTGTGCGATCACCACGAAGTCTGAAATGAGTGCAATTCACCAAATCGCCTGAAGTTGAAGTTGAAGTTCTTTTCAGGGGGGAGAGAAAGAAATGTCAAATTTTCAAATACAACAATTGGAATTATTTGTTTCTTCCCTCGACATTTTGATCGTCGTATACAACCAAAATGAGGGCCACCCAGGATCCGGAGGCCCAAAAAGCTTCACCAGAAACCAACTCTCCCCACGACTCCGATACGGATGAAGAGTTGCAGTCGAAACCGCAACCTATCAGTGGATATGATATTCCCACCTGGCGTAAATGCCTCATCCTGTTCGTCGTCAGTTGGATGACCCTGGCGGTCACTTTTTCCAGCACGTCATTGTTGCCCGCGACTCCAGAGATTGCGACGGAGTTCTCGACGACGACGGAGATTCTCAATGTCATTAATGCCGGCGTCCTGATTGCAATGGGATTTTCTTCTTTCATCTGGGGGCCCATCACTGATTTATTTGGCCGTCGAACGGCCTATAACGCCGCTATCATTGTGCTGTGTGGCTGCTCTGCTGGCACAGCAGCGTCGATTAACTTGCATATGTTCATCGCAATGCGATTACTGAGTGGATTCACTGGAACTTTTTTCATGGTGGCGGGACAAACTATAATTGCAGACATCTTCCCACCAGTGAGTCGTCTACCCATCCAATATATAAGGCAGTCACAATGTGCCGCATCCGTGAAGACATTAATCCGTCGAGCCATAGGTCGTACGGGGAACTGCTGTAGGATTTATGATGGTTGGGTCTGTCAGTGGACCAGCTATTGGTGAGTTGTCTCTTCTGTCCCGGGCTGGACAGAAGCATGACTAACCAAGTTTAGGTCCCTGTATCGGTGGTATCATCGTCACCTTTGCTCAATGGCGCATCATCTACTGGCTTCAGTTTGGAATGACTGCCTTGGGGCTTGTCTTGTCCCTTCTTTTTGTTCCAACCATCCACAAGAAAGGCCAAGAGATACCCGTCCAACAACCCATCAACATGTCTCTCGTCCTGCGCAAATTTAACCCATTGCGCATCTTCGGCCCATTTGTCTACCCTAACGTCTTTCTTTGTGTAAGTCGCCCACTCGGCCCGCCATCCAGATTGAAACTTACCCACACAGCATCTGACATGCGGTCTGCTCGCGACTTTTCAATATGCGATCCTCACATCTGCTCGCTCGATCTTTAATCCGCGATTCAACCTGACTACTCCGCTTGTCAGCGGTCTGTTTTATCTCTCCCCCGGAATGGGCTTTCTGATTGGAAGTGTCATGGGCGGCAAGTTATCGGATCGTGCTGTGAAACGGTGGATCCAAAAGCGCAATGGAGTTCGCCTCCCTCAAGATCGGCTTAATAGTGGCTTGATCACTCTATTTCTGGTGCTCCCGGCATCTACGCTGATTTACGCCTGGACCTTGCAGGAAGAGGTGGGCGGCATGGCAGTCCCTATTATCAGTGCCTTCACAGCCGGCGTGGGGTTGCTGGGCACTTTCAATGGGCTCAATACATATTCAGCTGGTAAGCATCTAATAGGTCCTATTCCACAAGGGGTCGAGTTCAAGTTTGACCGTCTTTCTCTAGAGGTTATGCCGCATATCCGTTCAGAGGTGATCAGTGGGAAATATGTGGTCCAGTATATTTTTGCTGCAGGAGCCACGGCGGCCGTTGAGCCTTTGATCAATTCAATTGGCGTAGGCTGGACCTTTACGATCTGTAGGTACAAATGTGAAATTTCGATGCAATTCGAGTGCTGATCAAGGATTAGGCGTCTTTTTTGCCCTTATCGGCGGCGTCTTTGTTTTCATGATCACAAAATGGGGAATTGATATGCAGCGATGGGTTGAGGACAAATATGGTATTGACGCAAAGTCTTGATGATGACGAGCTATATGCTCTTTGGAGTTGCACTCTTTCCTTTCTTTTTGGACGACAAGATACGCATGATAGAGTTCGATTATAGACATAGACAGAAACGAGTAATGACATAAGAAATGAGCGTGAGCATATTATCAAACTCGCGTTTTTCACTCACGACCAAGGACATTCCGTTGATGAATTTTGCGCACAGCGGCTGGAGCCTCACCAAAGTACACCTTACTGTCGGTCTAAGCCGACCACTGCAGAGCTAATGTTGGGTGCTCAGAATCTTTTCCACCCGTCTCCACTTTCCGTGCGATGAACCGGATGATTGGCCCCATCCCCGATACAACTTCGGTTTTAGTCACCGAGGCATCGGCAAAGACGGCGAGATCACCGAGCATTCATTATGACACATTCACGACTTTCCTTTTTCGCATTGGCCAATGTCAAGTGGATTGAACGAGATGGCACGCGGGAATGGGCTGAAACGCGGCGCTTTATTTGCCGAGCAGGACGAACATCGGCAGCAGAGAAGGAAATTTGTCGCGTGCGTTCCAGATGAACCCGGACGGTGACCACCGTGCTGATACTGATAGCCAGATGTCAACGGTGCCATGCCCATAAAATCAAATGCTCCGGAGATCAGCCCTGCAGCAAGTGCATTACGGTCGGTTGTGCCGATGAATGCGCCTACTCCGCGCGGGATCGTCAAGTCAAGGTTAGCGAGAAGTATGGCCGCACCCCAATTGTGATCAGCAGCTCTATTAAAACTCGGAAGCTAATTTAATTTCCCGTAGTTACTTAGACCAGCTGCTGGCGGAAAACCGACGCTTGAAAGAGCAATCGGTTACTTCGGCCGATGCGCCCGAAGTCCCTGGTGAGCCACATAGCGAACAGTATGCCGCCGCCTCTACATACAGCCACAGTATGAGAACAGGACTAAAAGTGAACACTAGAGAACCGTCTCGACCAACAGAAGCCCCTGATGCAACTGGCATCCAGAATCCCATTATCGGAGATCGAGCGTGGTTCCATCGCTATGATCCATCCTCGCCGCCCATCTATATCGGCGAAGCAGCGTGCTCGGCGTTCGCCACACGGTTCCGTCGGTTTCTCACGGGAAACAATGCCACTGCCCACATTGCGCGGACACAGTGGGAGCGTGAAGAAGCCATCACAGCCGCCGCCAATGAAGCCGATGTGCAGTGGCCGACATTGCATCATGCCCGGCTGCTAGTGCGGATTGCTATTCACCAGATCGGGTATCTCTACCACCTCATGATGCGGAAATCAACCTTAGACAAACTCGAGGAGATCTACCAGACAGGTAACTTCAACTGCAAGGCCAATAAATGCAAATTTTTTGCGCTATTTGCCTTTGGCCAGGCGTATTCGATTCGGTCCGACCCCTCCCCCGGGTTACGGGTTCCCGGTACGGCCTACTTTGCTCGGGCAATGAGTTTAGTTCAGATTCTACCGGAGCGGACGAGTATCACACATCTGGAAACACTGTTGTTACTGGTAGGTGGTCCCTGAAGGAGATGCGGACCGTTGAAAGCTCACGTTGATAGTCCTTATTTTCCTATTATCTGAATCGACGCCACTCCGCATACGTGCTGATTGGGAACGCCATGCGTATGGGCCTGACTATCGGGCTGAATCACAATATCCCCGAGTCTCAGCTCATCGATCCTGTGGAACGCCAACATCGCATAGAGATATGGTGGACAATCTACATCTTCGATCGGATGTGGGGGTCGAAGATGGGATTGCCTATGCAGATCCTGGATGAAGACATCCACGTCGACATGCCGACAACCATTTCGCCGCGCTGGCGACACGAGGAAGAACTGTCAGATACAGACTATATGACTGCAAACATCAAGCTCGCTCGGATTGTCGGCGAGACCATCACAAAGCTCTACAGCCGACGGAAGTACCAAGAGACCTTTCTCCAGCGAGTCCAAAAAATTCTCAAGGCCTTGAAAAACTGGGTCGAAACCCTCCCCGAAAGCGTACGCTTGAACATGGAAGACCTGGAATCAAGCAAGAAGCCGGTAGTCTCGCTACATATGGCTTTCAACCAGTGCATCATCCTTACGACCAGACCGACTTTACTCCATCTCCTGATCACCCTCCGCAAAGACAGCGGGACAAAGCCCTTGTCAGAGAACGGTAGTAGAGACCATGTCTCTCAACCCGTTCTAACCCTCAGCGAAGCATGCATTCACGCGGCGCGGCATTCCCACTCGATGATTCTAACCCGCTGGATCAACGGCACCATGCCCACCTTCGGATACTTCCACGCGCACTACCTTTTCTCATCCGCGCTGATCCTCGCCATGTCCAGTTTCGTGCCGATTGGGAACCCGAATGATATGAATAGCTTCGACTCGGCACTCGACCTCCTACGCGCGATGAGCGAGAACGGGAACCTCGCTGCGGCCGAGTTCTACCACAATTTGGAGCAGGTGAAAGTCTGCCTGGACGTATACCGGGGCACCAGTCGGCCCCGGAAGGCCGAAAATGGAGGTCTGGAGACGAGCGACGCGCCGAATACAGCTACAGCGCCAACAGTGCCAGGTCCGATACCCGGACTGGCATCGACACTGACGCTGTCGTCATCAGCGTCGTTGCCGGCCATCCTATCCAGTACGGCTACGGCTCCCATGATACCTACTGAAGCCGATCTCCTGGCGGGCCCATCTGCAACTTCCACCGAGGCATATCCCGTGTCGGCGCGGGACCTGACCGGCGGGTACACGACCGAGATGGCTTTCCTAGAGCCGACGATGCAAGACTTCCTCGCACAGTCGGATATTGACTTAGGGTTGCTGCACCCGGTCGATACATTTTTGAATGAGGCGGAGAATCTTTACACGTGTCATGAAATGTAGGACTACTAATGATTTTTTAATGTTCAGAATTTGTTTGATGATGCTTTTGTTTGATTTCGATCTAGCGGTTAATGATATCTCGGACTGAGTCAAGACTTGATGTTAGTTTCCAGGTATCAATGTTTCTGACAAGAAGCTGCGACCGGAGCGCAAGTAGACTACATCTATTAATAATCGAAAGAAACCATCATCAGTGGTTAGCCGCGGGATGGGGTGTTAGTACAGGCATGGTTCGACTGCACTAGGGGAGTATCACTAGTGAGGCAGAAAGTTACCAGACAGTCTAAGCGACGTAGGTATCAGAGCTAGGATAGGTCCTATATTCCAACTTAGATAGGTCCTACATTCCAATGAATGCGCTTCAATGAATGACTAGATAGGCCACACAAATTGATCTCGATCCACAGTGGTAGCACGCAAGATCTAGAACTTGATAATAAAATTGTTGAAAAGAAAACGATAACCCACTGCGGACACCACAATTCATTAGCACGGAGAGTGTAGAGTAACATGTACTGTATCAACCCAGGAAGGAGGACAGGAAATTCGAGGTGAGTTTTCATAGCGGCATGTACTCATGATGTCCCAGTACCTAGAGCTCAACATCAATCTTGAAGCCAAAATGTCCACCGTGCTTCGATAAGATGTCTACACAGACATGCCAAGCTTTTTCTGAGGAGGGGTCATGGACAGATTTCCTACGCAGCCAAAGAATGGCTTTTTCTAGGTTCCCAACGAGATCGGTAGCTTCGGCAGTTCCGGGTTGAGTGCGGGTGAAGAGTTCGATCAGGAGGATGGTACTAGCCTGCATGATGTAGTGCAGCATACACCACCAAGGGGAAATTTCATAAATCCAGAGCGTGCTTGGTCTGTCTGGAAGCAGACTCAACATCTGGCCAGCTTTCCGGACGCATATTTTTGCCATGAGACCGCAAAAAGCACTAGGAGGGCCGGCGCCGGTTATTGGATAAGCAAGACGGCGCAGACAGGGCTGAGAGATCAGAAGCTTGGTGGCGTAGAAGCGGAAGCCCAGGATACTCCGCTGGCGAGCAAAGGGAAGCACTTTTCCCGACTGTTCGAAGTGGAACTCTGCTGGAAGGCGAGAGAGCCAGTTGTCTGCAGTGTTGTTGAAGTTAGATATCGCAAACTCTACCTCTGGCCAGGATCTTTGGGCTGCTCCGGGAGCATACAAGGTCTCAATGACTTCTCGAGTGAGAAATGCTAGGTCCACCACATACAGAAGGTGCAGAGAAGTATTTGGTGTGAGCGTCTCGGTCATAATAATTTGATCGTTAGCAGGTTTGACCGGGCGTGCGCCTCTTTTCGGGTCTTCTGTATCCGGAGTGGCTTCATTCGAGGAGAGCAAGGAAGTGACGAGGGAATTTCGAACATCTTGGTCTGCGATAAGTTGCCTTACCCATTTGTCCCCAAAATTCTCCTCTTTATACGGGATCGGCAGAGGGGTGGTGCAGAAGCTATCCTGGGTGCTTGGGGACCGGCCAGTTATCTCACACAGCACAGTGTCCAATACAAACAATGCCCACCACACACGATATCGAGTCTCCTTTGAGACTTCCGCGACACTATCTGTCCCGCTCCGTAGGTTGAGGCCCATGGAGACTGCCGATCGAATCGCCATTCCCAATATTCGCCATGATCTAGAAAACACTGATCAGCAAAAGAAAAGTCTCATTGAGAAACAGCAGATCAAGGATAAATGATAATGCAAAGAAGACCCACCTATTGACTTGTCCTATGGAGAGGAGGTAAAATGCAGCCAGGCCTTCAACTTGGACTTGCTGAAGATTCGGATGATCTTCCAACGAGGCGGCACCCATGCTTGATTTCCAGGCACGAGCGAAGTATGCCGTATGACTATAACATGTTTCGTCATGTTGGTTCTTGACCAGTATCGAATGCTTGGCTGCGATGGCAAACACCAGATTCAGAATCGCAATCCATCGGTCCCCTGGTCGCACATTTTGATTCGCGCAGAAATACCGGTATTGACTAAAGAAGAATACCTTTCCGATGATAGGAAACGCAGGATGCACGGCTTGGAAATAGTTATCCACCAGCTGGGCCTCGATGTGTTGTGGTGGTTGGGGAAGAGGGTCATCTTCGAGGCCTGGGAAGTCCAAGTCGTCTTGGAAGTAGTTGAGGGATGAGATCGGGGGTCGACAGGGATTCTCGCCGGCGCGGACATGACCATGGTCGAGGTCACGTTTGAGTTCGTACAACCATGCTATCTCCGAATGGTCGCCCACAAACCCCATAGCCTGGACTTTTTCATCGCGGTTGAAATCCTCCTCGGTGTGACCGATAGTGATTCCGGGATGGGCGGTTCCTGTGGGCTTCAAGGCGGACAGAGCAGCGCCCTGGAGAGATTCATGGTCAGCAGCGTGGCGGTGTAGTGGTGTAGTGGTGTAGTGGTGGTAATGGTGGTGGCTTCTTTCCCTTATGGCGTATATGGATAGGGCCAGGGTGGTAGGGAGAAGGAGTTGATGTACTCCGAAGCAGGAGAGAGAGAGAGAGAGAGAGAGAGAGGATGGGGTGGGAACACGATGGGGAAATCTTACCCGGGCTAATCGGCCGCCGAGTGTCAGGTCAACTAGCTGGGCGGACTCGGCATCGAGTTTCGGGTATAAATCTCGCACCAAAGCTTCATACATTTGCACTTGCGCTGTCAAGTCTTCCACCTGCCTGAGTCTGTTATTAAAAGCCCTTTACAGGTCATGCAAGAAGGCACATCTCTGACACACTTCTGGGTCTTTTCACACTTCCTATCGCTATAGGAGCACTGGACGCCGTTATCGTGACAGCGTTGACAAGGTCTCTGCCCACTGCATTTGGCCTTTTGTTCCCGACAATTCTCACAGGCTCGCCCCACGCGGCCACTGGTCGTCGCGTTGAGAGGGCGTGTGGTTCTGGGGATCGCAACTTTGGCAGGGGTGGATCGGTCGCCTGGAGGAGGACCACGGATGGCTCTGCGGTCAGAGATCGTTTCGCTGTTGGCGGCCAAGTCCAACGGGAGAGAGTGCGGGTATCCAGGGGCTGGCCATTCGGATCGAACGGGAGCCATCCCATTCTCTGCGATGGCCGAGGCCCCCTCGAGATGGGATGGACGACGAAGGGGGTTCCCACTCATTGTGAGATGGTCGTGGGGTCGTGGGCACGCCGTGCGCGAAAGCATACATCCACGGGGGGACTTATGGTTGGAGACTAGTCGATTCGGAATGGAACGCCCTCGTGAAAGAGCCGTGAATAAAGCAGAGCGCTTATTATTTAGGTCCCCCGCAACTTGCGGAAAGTAATGGGAACAACACGCAAGGGCATAGCTTACGCGGGGGTCAAGAGGGTTTGGACCCACGCCAACGCAGCGCGATGGGACGCTGGATGTGAAGGTTCTCTCCCGTTGGCCACCACTTCCCCGAGTCGCCAAAGCCACCCCCAATGACCATTGGCGCCGACACCGGTATGGCTTTTGCACGCGAGCTAGCAGGCAAATCGCAGGCAAACCAAGAGCATCGAAGCGTAGAGGTTTGGTCTGGGCCACGATAGGTAGATAGGAATTGTTTATCCCCCAGGGCCCTCGCTTTGTATCCAAACTGCGCTGGTTTTCCCTCAGGCCAAGGGCCACTGACTGGAGAAGGAAAGGCTGGGGAGTTGGAAGCAGTGGACCGGTGTGGCGTTCGCTGATCTGTGCTATCCGCATTATGGTACGGGAAACTGTCAATGCCGTCACGGCCAGTGAAGAATGCCTACATTCAATCCATCATCTCCGCGGTAGGAGAGGTCCATGGTCGATGCGCCTAGAGGACCGAGCCGCGTCTGGTGCTCCATTGTAAATGAATGTCTAAAGTCGTGACCAGCCATAAACCAAGTCTCTCTGTAGCGTCGATGTCCCTGGTCAGCCTGGGCAGGCTCCTCATTCTGATAGGGCTCTCTTTGCGGCGTTCGGCATGCAGTAAGCTCCTGCGCAGACGTAATCGCCATACTTCGCCCCAACAGCACTGGAAGAAAGGATCGAGTTCTGGCTTCGACATCAAAGTTTGTCTATATCCTTCCAAACAAAGTTGTGCTGGCCTGCTTTGTCCTCAAATCACTGCCCTTGGGTGTGGCAAGGGTGTCGGAAAGGACGGTCAAGACGAGTTAGTGTTTTGTCATCTCCGTTGGGATTTCAGCCACGAAATCCAGGTTCATGATCCTCATCCACATCCTCATCCCTGCTCCCCTTCGATACTTATCATGCCCATCCCATGCACCTCCCCGCTCACTTCAGTCAAATGAACAGCCCTGCCCTCCAAACCGCACCGAGAGGGTAGCAAGCTTTTAGGCTGGCCACACCTTTCTTGCGAACCGGCCCACAGGCGACGGGCGAAGCCGACCATGACGACCTTGAAAGCACGGTTCTAGGGGCCGTGCCCATTTGGTACTCTATTGAATCCATTAGCCAACAGACCGCGGTTTGATACACTTTGGATCGGAAAAATTCATGGGCTGGGAAACGCTGCGGATTCAACAAGTGATACGGGGCCTACTGCGAAGAATCTCGAGTCTGCCGAGTTGGCCACAGTCAGCCGATGGCCTTGATTTACCCCCCCCCCGAAGGCCAGATCTTGACGATACTCTTACTGAACAGGGACACGTCGCCGTGCTAAAATAAGGAACCTTGAGAAAATGGATACCTCGGGCGATGCGGGCGTGGGTGTCAGGTTTTGACGAGAGGGAGAAAACTCATCCGACCTGCCAACAGCTGCGCTGCGCCCATGAAACCAGTCCTGAAATTCGTTTTGAAGTCGACCCAATCCCTTCCAAGTCATGATTACCGTGGTCGAGGACCAGAATTGCGGCGATGGGAGAAGCAGGATGCATGGTGTCCCTGCACCATGGGCACCGATGATGCAGCACTCGTCACCATCAACAGGTCAGAAAGACACAACAGTATCTCTATTAGCTAAAAGGGAACAATATTGACTTAAACCAATATTACCATAGGAGCCAACGATCGCCCCCGAAGCGTTAAAAATACCCTGTTCCGAATCTCAATAGCGGTGTCGCCCTGGGTGCGAACGGGGAGAATTCTGGAATCCGACAAGATGCTTATCAACAGCAGATGCCTGATTGACCGGCACAATACCAGAAAAATAAATTCAATGATTGAATTGGGTGAGAAACCGTGCCATGCCGAAAAATCGCACCTCTGGCATAGTTGACAGCAACAGCCAAGGTGCAGAACACACTCTTGGCATGTCGCAGCTATTTCTATGATACATAGAAGTCGAGCGTACCCTTGGCCGATATACGTTGTCATTTTCCTCCTCGCTGCGCGTCCACTTGACATGAAATGGTGCTATTTCGCCTGAATGCCGTGGCGGCATTGAGAAGGCTTTTGGATGGTACATCTATTGTTGAACCGCCGACCTTGCCAAATTTCGAGGAAACTTTTTGCAGGAAAGGGGGAATAGTCGCACCAGAAAAAGCCTATCTATCTGCTATTATGGGGTGACCTGAGAACCGGGGGGGGGGTTGCTTGTGTTTCTTTTTTTTCACTTGGCCGAGTCACTAGGCAGTGACAGGATTTGGAGTGACCTGAAAAACGTGGAATGAGCAATCGAAGCAGTTTCCCACAAGCTGTCGAGCACTTGACCTTCCAATATGGCAGGCTTTGAAACGGATTTCATGGCTTCGAGCTCCTCCAACCAGCACAGAGCCCGTTGGGCTCTCCGTATTCCCTTGGCGCAACTTGTTGCACTAGAATATGGATTTCTTTGCACAAGGGAGAGCCGTAGAAGGGACCTTATTTCCGCCAATTTGACACTGGTCCTCACGGTGAGTAAAATCGACTTGGATTAGTTTCTTCGTCGGGGCACATGGCGACCGCCCCAAGGAAGTAGGGTTGTCGCCTCGGCCCTGGCTCCAGCCTCAACGCGACCGGGTGGATCTTCGCGGATCCAGAAGAACTATCGAAGTGAGCCCATTTCGATGCAAGATCACTCGTGGCCCTTCATTCATCAGGACAAAAAGGGCACTGAGGTCGAGTGGCGTGAGCACGACCGAGCGAGCACATGGCCCAAGTCATCCCGGGGAAAAGAAAACTGGGAGGTCAGCCAGCGTGGGAACAACCATGATCCACAAGCCCCGAAAATGCCAGACGTACTTCCCAGTCCCGACGGTGTCGAAAGGACGTTTCACGGCCCCAGGCTAGCCCATTCCAAACAGTCCCGGCCCTCGGCGGCCGGTTCTGATTGAATTAAATACGTTCTGCGGGCAACGCCGCGATCACACCGTGAGGAGGAAATATTCTTGTTAGGGCTGTCGAGCGTCACGTCTGGAGGAGGATCCCGTCGACATCTGGAGGCATGGGGGACTAGGACGTGGCGTTGCTCTTGCAAGATGGTGGCGAAGCCTGGAGTATTTGAGGGTCCTGGAGGCGCTGGAGCTGCGACGGGAAGAGGAACTTCGGTCCCAAACCGCATCATTCCTTGTGACCAACCAAGGGATCATTCGGTGACCCGAGGATTCGATCAACTCCGTCATTCTGGCTCGCGGCTCTGAGACCCTTTTGGAAAGGGGAAGGTTCTACCAGCCTCTACTCCTCCTTGTACCTCGAGCTTGACGCCAACTAACGAATTGACGGGAGATCCCTTGCACCCCCCCCTCCCCCAAAATCACTCCAGACCGAGGGAAGAACGGGGAAATTGAAGCTGACATTGCACGCTACAGGGTTGGTGGCCTCCCTTCCCTGCTGGGTTGTCGCCCTGAGGGAAAGACACGTTCAGGCTTCTACCACCCACGAACGCGGTTTCAGGAGGATGAGGACAGCGACGAGGATTGATCGTGGCAAACAAGAGGCCGAACTAAGACCATAAGGTCGATATCAAAGTCGATGCAGACGACTCTTTTCTTGATCTCAGCAAACGGTGGTCGCGTTCAGGACAGATTTTCAGGTAGGTCATGTTTGGGTCATGCTAGCCCTCATCGAATGCTGCCTTGGCTTGTTGAGTGTTTTGCGTCCAGTATGACAGACAACCCGAGGCATTGCTGACTCATTTTGTCTACCGAATCATGGCGTACCCGGTGGGATCTGGGGATTGTCCCCGGCTATAACCTCTCCGAAGCATTGCAGGCAATCGCATGCAATTGAACTTTCTTTCTCATTTATTGGTGACTTGACATATTCATCTGTACATGATCTCATGCGATCCTTCAAATTATTGTGTGCGTTCAGCTCATTTATTATGAACGCTTTCGATGCCACCAAAGCCGTTGAGAGCCTCTACGACAAATTAACCATATATCCACACTCCCAACCCTGCTGCTGCTTTCCTCTGTCGTGACGAGGCCTGTGGACGAATCTCGGTTTTTGAATGAGAGAGATTTGTGGCCGATAGATCTGGCAGATCCTAATTTCAATCCGTAGAGCTTCCCTTCCAAACTAGTCGAGAAGTAAATACCACATAACCACCGAATGGAAGCCCAACAAAACATGTTTCTTGATAATCGCCACCTTGATGCCTGAGGGATAAAGCCAGACCGGAGTACTCACGTGATTACACGTGAGTGTCCCCCGATAGCTTATCGGGCGCGTCCTGAGGATCCGCAATGAGCTCTCCAAATCCACCTCCCCAATTCAAGACCGGAGGAATATGGTCGTTCCTGCCATGCAGGGAAGCTGAAAGATGTCTCTCCGGGGGCCTGTACGGCAGTCTCACCTTAGGCAGGTAAGTGCTGCCAGCTTGGAGACCATTTCAACGGTCCGCTCGGTCGAGGCGTCGCATCGTGAACATGGCCCCACGCCAGACGACCGAGTTGTTCGGCTCTCGTCCGCCAGCTTGACCCGCCGTCAGTGCACCCTTTGGGTCCACGATGAAATGTTCGCGCGAGAGGAGATTCTTCTCAACCAATCGGCATTTGGCGAATCTGGAATCCACGTTGGCGATGTGGTGGAGATCCTTCCCGTCAGGGCATCTGGCAACCCAGTCCACTCCACCCTCAAGCCCGAGGCAGGTGTGAAGGCAGTCCGGGAAGGCCATGGAGATGCGAATCCAAATTCGCAATCGGACAGCACATCTAAGTTCAAAACACCGCTTCAAAGTCGATGCTTATTCGTGGTGAAACCCTTGCCACAAGACATCAAAGCTCGCCATCCCCAGTTAGAGATCTCCGTGACAAACAGCGTCGCCAATATCTTTGGCTTCAAAAACAGAACTCAAGTCCTGGTTGCACTTGTAGATCGCGAGCAATGTGCTGCTTCCCATGTGGACATTGCATTTCGCGATCAGTTCATGGTTCGTTCGGACATGTGGAGGCTGGTCATGTCGGAGCTTGCAAATAAAATCATCTATAAAGGACAGAAGATCATGTTCATGGGCAGTATCAAAGCAACCATTAAAAATATCTTCATTCGAGAGAAGAAGGTTCTATCAGGCTATTTCTCACCGCGTACCATCCCTGTCTTCCGCAGCGAGTCAGCCAAGTATGTCCTTTTCATTCAGATGTCAAGAGAGATGTGGGACTTTGACTCTGAAGGATCCGGTGATATCCTCTTCAGCCGAGTGATCAATGGCTTTTTACCGGAGCTTTTCAAACGCTGGCTTAATTCAGACGCCAAGCACTTGGTCACCATTGTACTTTTCACACGAGTCGAATACGATGCATCATCTAATCCAAGCTTGTCCAAGCTCAATACTGGCCATCTCAGAAGCCAGTCTGCTCCGAATAATGTGCCAACCCGTGATTTTTACCGGGTTGTGGTCAATGATATGGCGAGCGGCCACTGGACTACTATTCTCGACGAACTGAAGAAGAACTTCCGCACATTCCTAAGGGATGTGTCGATCTTGAAAAACGACGATCTAGATGTTGCCGCTGGGACTGGCGTCAGAGTTCCGGGCAAACCGCATACTGCAACGATCGCTGGACGTCCCAGCACTGCTCTACGAGGTAATATTCTCGAAGCCATTCATCTTGCCTCGGCTCATCTAGCGTATGATCACATCGATCGCGATATGGTCCACACGGGTACTTCGATTATTGTAATTACCCCGGGGAGTGGCGTATTTGAAGTATCCTACGAGTCACTCGCTTCCACGACAGAGGCCTTGGCGAATCGTGGGATAGCCATAGATCTTGTGTGTCTAAGCCCTATGCCTCTCCATTCAGTGCCACTATTCAAATATCGTGCCCCTGTTGAAAGACAGACGAGCGCCCTTTCTCCAACACCTGAAACACCCCAGGGTAACATGTCACCTGAGATACATCCCTCGATCTCGAGCCTTGTGAGCAGATCATCTTATCTTTCTCCCGGATCATACCTCTCTGCGAGTCGGATGCGAGAACGCGGCGGAACTCGGCCAGGTGATTGGAGCTACGGTATTCCTCATTGGCTGGATATTTCCTATTGGAACCCTGAAACGTACCGTGAAGCTCGACGTATTCTCAAGAATGACCCCAATGCACCTATTTCGTTCACTGTTACTCGTCCATCGAAAGCTTTCATTCCACGAGTCCGAATGTATGAGATTCAAATGATGGGAGTAATGGAAAGCGAACAGTCAAATATCTCTATTCCCTATCTTTTGGAGAGCCGCGATATCAGAAAATTCCATGGCAGCTGGGCTGGGCCCAGTTCGAACAATCGCGGCCCAACAAGATCCCGCTTTATGCAACCGTCGTCTTTGAAGGTCCAGTATAGCGAAAGTCTCCGACCAGAGCCATTTCTGGAGAACGTTGCGGATCCTAGTGAAATACACACAAGGGGCATGCCGAAGTCCCGAAAAGCTACCATGGCGTGGATGGATCAGTATGATGAAAACATTTTTTCGGCTACCCCTAAACGACGCCAAGGCCAGAAATCGAGAACCAAGCGTCTCAGTGAGCCTGAGATCCAGGGAGCAAATGCACATGAGCGGATATCTGCGCGATCTATCACGCAGATTCGTGAACATCAAACGAGCGCAAATGAAAATAATCCAACTATACGGGTCGGTCCACGGAGAATAGACCCATCAAACACGACTTCGCCGCAAAGCCCTCCTCCAAAGAGCCCCTCTCCGAAGAAGCCAGCATTGAAGCCGGTGGCGGTGTCCCGGACATCACGGATATCTCGAACAATTAGCTTTGCGCTCCGTGGTCTAAGTGCCACTCCACCCAGAGCCCAAGCAAGCACAGGGGTCCATGTAGAACATGCAAATGCGCAACTCATGCCAAACCAAAGAGTGTTGGGCAGCACGTTCTCAGATACGAAGAGCATTGCCTCTTTGAGTCCTTCAGAAACCGCTTCTATACCAACGGTCATTGATGCATCCTCAAGGCCATCGACGCCCCCGACTGTCACAGAGGAAAGTCGACCCACCCCGTCTAAGCCGATTTCCATCAAGGCGCCCGTGAAGAAGTCAGCAGATGATGCAGGACAACCGGAGCGAACAGAAACACAGGGATCTCTTTCCACGTCGGTAGTAGAGGCCCCGTTCAACGATGACAGCCGCGAGAAAATATCAAGTCGGTCACAAGACCATAAGATCGAGATCACTGTCAATAATAGCTCGCGTGATCTCTCAGCCAAAGGCTCCCCGGGTAAAGGGTTGTCTCCTTGGGTACGGTCTATAAATCCCTGCAATACTCCTAAAGATGTGCTACGCAACACCAGCTGGTTTGGTCGTTGGCAGCATGCATATCCTCGTCCTCCGCACGTGGCGGTGGTCAAGTGGAAAAGCCTGAAATCCCCCGCAGTATTGCCGTTGACTACGGAAGAATTCCCCACGGCAGCTGAGCTTGCTTCTGACTACTTGCAAACGCCATACCGAGTCTTCCCGAACGATGATGCAGATGGCATTGAGGCGCCCAAGACGCGAGGCATACTCTTGCGGGAAATGATCTCCCTTCGCCTGTCTCATGGCTTTCAAATAATCATCGGCAAAACTGTAGCAGATGTTTCAGCCCAACCTGCTCTCGAATTTTTAAATGTGTTTGACACTCGAGGTTTGGAACGAGATGGAGCTACAGTGTTTTTGTCGAAGGGCAATGCTATTCATCGTCTCATCTGTATTGACGGTGGAGAGATTGAGGTGACCCGATTCACACATCAAAATTCTGCGATGCTTACTTCCCCAAAGAAGGCGAACTTCACACTGTACCAACCGGCAATGAGAACGATTCTACGCAAGGAATATGAACTGAAGGATTTCAAGCTAGATCCCACCTCTGAGGAATATAACTGGAACTATGCGGACAATTACGTGGCTGGCCACCGGGACTACCTTCACAACCCAGCGCAGCAGTTGCATTTCTGGCGAGTTCGTTACGTGTTAATTCCGATGCAATTACATCCCAATTCGCGACGCCATCTTCAGCCATTTAATGAAGACAATGAGGAGGAAATTCACTTGCTTGGCATCAGCCAGCTGACCCATATCTGGCAGCGACACAAGTACGTGTCGCCTGAGGAAAAACGATTTGAGACATCTACAAAAAAGACCGATGCAAACCCGCTCAATATCATGTATCAGACGCGAAATCCATCCGAGGTTGTCGCGGCGGAGCTTGATCGTGTACTACTTACTGATCCGGGTCTGGACAACCCCCCAGCTCAACTTTTACCCGAATCGGAGCTGTTCGAGAGATCTAGTATCAATCTATCTACATTGACACAAGCCATTCAGGGTGATAAAGGGGTGAGAATGATGGATCGACGGTGGCATTGGAGACTCCATTATAACTGTTTCATTGGGTTCGAATTCACGACCTGGCTGCTTCAAAGTTTCCGCGACATTGATACTCGAGAGGAAGCGGTTGAGTTTGGTAATGAACTGATGAAACACGGGCTCTTTCAACACGTCGAGAAAAGACACAATTTCCGCGATGGCAACTACTTCTACCAAATTAGTGCTGATTATCGTGTTACACGCCCGGAATCTCGAGGCAGCTGGTTCCCTCAGCTTCGCGGAGACAAATCAGTGCCCTCAACACCTGCAATTGGGACCGTGAAAGACTCGCCCTCTAGCTCCCATACTCGGTCTAATAGCTCTGACGAGCGTACGCCGGTCACACCAAATACACCATCCAAGACCAAAAACAAAGTCGCTATTATGTTGTCTAAATCACTGAAGTATGATGTGGATAATCGGAAACGGTCGAATCGACCCGAAGTAATTGATCTCCACTACGATCGGCTACATAATCCAGAAAATTGCTTTCACATCGAACTCAGTTGGATGAACACCACTCCCAAGTTGATTGAAGATACAGTGATCTCATGGGCCTCGACTGCAGAGAAGTTTGGACTCAAGTTGGTGCAAGTGCCAATTGCTGAAGGTTGTGCCATCGACAGGACACAACCTTTCCGGAAACCTTATCGGGTCAAATTGAAGACCCCGCCTCCTAAAGGGCCAGTTCATACGTTCTTCAATAATGCATCATTTGCCCAACCCGGTCCTCCGGACAGTCTCTACTACCAGAAAGCCCTTCTGCGCAAATTTGACTTTGTGCTAGACTTTGAAGCTAGCACTGCATTCCCAGCCGATGTGGAGGTCTCATTTTCCTGGGGCAGGCCCGACTACAAATATCCGCAGTTCATTCACCGAAGCGGTAGCCTCATTGCCCAAATCACAGACGAAGGTGATTTCTTGCTCCTCGCTAACCGACTTGTCAGCACTCGCAGCGCTGCCAGTCGAGACGCGGGCCGCTTTGAGCACCATAACCGAGCAGAATACCGAGGTCGCGCAGCTACATTCGATCCTCTTGACCGTCTCTCGCCACGCCTGTCACCGCTCACGCGACCTCTGCATGAAATCGGCAGTCCGCTACCACAGCCTGGACTGAAGGACATTGATTCTGCAAACCTCTACCGGGCACCGGAGCACATTCTCTATGCCCTACAGGAGTTTTGCGAGGATGCCGCGCAGCTGGATCAATTCTATAGCGAGTCGCACATCCGTCCAGCTTCGACCAAGGTCGAGCCAGCCACAGCAAATCTCATGGATACATCCATTCCGTCGCTTGAGCTTCCTGCCAGTGTTGTCAGCCATCATATCTCTCCTCCTCCCGGCTTGCCGTCCCGTGTTATTCCAGCGTCTCGCGACCCGCGTGACGGGCTAAAGTCGCCGGAAGTTTTGCGAGCTCGGGCTCGGGGAGAAAGTCTGAGCTATAAGGGCAGTCCCCGAAGCGGCAGCTTACGGCCACTCATGTAAGGTTTTATGACCTGTGGCGTTTCGGGAACCCCTCTTTTAAGCATTGAAGGTGTATACCGTGCATTGTCAATAATAATAGTTGTAATGTACCTTAAATTGAGTGAAAAGGATAGCACACCATATACCTGGATTTTTAAATACTAGAACCCCAATGTACTATCACATGCAGAACATACGGATTTATTTGTCTTTGGCCGATTTCATGTTCCCTGTTCCATATTATAATTTTCCCCAGCATCCCCGCTTAACAGTGCGAATACTCGCAATCCCGATTACCGGTAACCGGCCGACGCCACGAGCAAGCCGCATCCCGCTATTTAGCCAAATATCCTGCCAATTCACCCGAAACTAGTTCCTGCAGTCTGGTTGGTGGACGTACCCGATGCAAAATATACCCGAAATGCGAGTTCCAGTGGAATTGTCAATTGCCCCGCCCTACCCAACAACTGACAGCGGAGAAGTTGAGCTACCTGCGCGATCTGGGCTATGTCGGACAGTACTCCGTGTCTAATTTGGAAGCCCGGTTTCGCCGAGGAGCTCTTGAAAACGGAGCTATGGCCTCTTTTCCTTCTGCGATCGGTTTCTCTTTCTCTCATCTCAAGCTTGCAGCTCCTCGTTGCAAGTTGAAGAACAGAGCTCTCTGTTGAGAAATACTTCGCGTCTCGTATAGTTGCCGACTTGTGTTGCGTTGCAACCCCCACTGAGACAAGATGAAGTTCACTGAAGGAATGTGGTGTCTTCAGGTAAGCTATTCTCGCCAATTTATGGATGAGGCAACATAGTAATTAAAACGATTCTCTATATAGGAAGGTGTTAGCATCGAGTGGATGAGCAACGTGGAGAGGCTACGCATCGAACATGAGACCGTTCACCTGCTATTAAACAAGCTTCAAAGACATCGGGGCGATGTTTTAAATTCACGTACATGCCCAAGTTGAAATATGATCCCGTCGAAAAGGGTATTGACAAATGTATAGCCACTGTCACGGCGCAAATTACATCGCCACAGGAGGGAATCATTGGAGTGAAGCTCGTGCATTGGTAAGTTCTCTTTCGATTGAATAACCCCTGTTAGAGGCTGAATATTCTAATATGCTGTGTAGGGCAGGTCAAATTGACAATGGCCCTCACTATCATCTCAACACCAGCACTGGTCATGCCTCTGTCCGCCACGATAAAGAGACGAAGAAACTCAATTATAAAAGCGGCCCCCTTGACCTAGACGTCAACACTGCCACTAATGAACTGGGTTTCGTATTCCGTTCTCCGGATGGCAAGAAGTTGACCGGTCACTCATGGCGCTCTATTGGGTACGTTGCAGACCAGCGAAGCGAGAAGCATCGCTATGAAGACGGAATCTATGCCGAAAAGCAGGGATATATGCTTGCAGAACTCGATATTGGCGTGGGAGAGAAAGTCTACGGCTTAGGCGAGCGCTTTGGCCCTTTCGTTAAAAATGGCCAGCGAGTCGATATCTGGAACGAGGACGGTGGAACAAGCTCTGAGCTTGCATACAAGAATATTCCTTTCTATATGTCTTCGAAAGGATACGGTGTTTTTGTCAACCACTCTGGAAAGATCAGTCTGGAAGTACAATCAGAACGGACGACCCGAGTTAATATCTCCGTGCCAGGCGAAGAGATGGAATATTTTATTGTATACGGTGACTCACCCAAGGACGTTTTACGCAGATATACGACTCTAACTGGTCGACCGGGACTCGTACCATCGTGGAGTTATAACCTCTGGTTGACTACAAGCTTTACAACCAACTATGACGAGCAAACCGTTACAGGATTCTTGGATGGCTTCCGCGACAGAGATATCCCACTCGGTGTCTTCCACTTTGACTGCTTCTGGATGAAGTCTTACCAATGGTGTGATTTTGAGTTTGATGAAGAGATGTTCCCAGATGCCGGTGGATATCTCAAGAGGTTGAAGGACCGCGGGCTGCGTATCAGCGTCTGGATCAATCCCTATGTTGGTCAAGCATCGCCTCTGTTTGAAGAGGGAAAGAAAAATGGATACTTTATCAAGGTGAGAAACACGAGACCAGCCATCTATATTCCACATCTAATGCCATATCCCAGCGTACCGATGGATCCGTTTGGCAATGGGATTTCTGGCAGGCCGGCATGGCCATTGTTGACTTTACCAATCCGGCTGCATGCGTATGGTATAGCAGTTACCTCGAACGACTGATGGATATGGGAGTCGATAGCTTCAAGACCGACTTCGCTGAACGTATACCAGTGAAGGGTATCAAGTACTATGACGGTGCCGATCCAGAGCGCATGCACAACTACTACGCCTTGTTATACAACCGGATCGTCTACGAGACACTCCACAAGCGGGTTGGACCCAATCAGGGCCTTCTCTTCGCGCGCAGCACCGCACCTGGCGGACAAGCCTATCCAGTCCACTGGGGCGGCGACTGCGAAAGCACCTTTGAGGCAATGGCCGAGTCTCTCCGTGGCGGCCTGAGCCTCATGCTTTGTGGGTATATCTTCTGGGCCTCCGACATTGGCGGCTTCGAGGGAACCCCACCGCCAGCGCTATACAAGCGATGGGTGCAATTTGGCCTGCTCTCGTCTCACTCGCGTCTCCACGGCTCATCCTCGTTCCGTGTTCCTTGGATTTACGGCGAAGACTGTTCAGCTGTTTTGCGGGACTGCGTGAAGCGCAAGATTCTGCTCACGCCATATATTCTGCAGGAAGCGCTGCGAGGACACCGAGAGGGGACGCCGCTGATGCGCACCCTTTTCTTGGAATTTCCCAGCGATTTGAACACTTACGCCATTGATACGCAGTACATGTTTGGGCCCAATTTGCTGATTGCTCCTGTCTTTTCAGAGGATGGAGAGGTGACCTTCTATGTGCCCAGATCGGAAGATGATGGGACTGGGAAGTGGGTTTCATGGTTTGATCATTCCAAGACGTACGAGGCTGGGCAATGGTATACTGAGACTCATGACTTTGATACCATGCCCATTTTGATCCGGCCTGGCTCGGTGACGGTGACAAATCCCACACTGAAGGTGCCTGAAGATGATGCATTGTCCGGTATACAATTGTTGGTCAATGGCCCCTTGTTGGCAGAAACTACAATCGAAGTGGTGAATTCGGGACAAACTGATGAGGTTTTGAAGACACTACGGCTCTCTCCTGCTGGGAACGGGGAGGTCGAAGTAGAGGGACACTCGGTGGAAGTTGTTTATGTTGGCTCGTAAGAAAATTCGCTTTACTGTAGTATGGACTGGACGTTTGGATGAATGATTCTATTTGGAAACAACAATTTGCAATGAAAATATTCTAATGGCAGAGCAAAATATCAGATCAGCCATAGCAGAAAGCGTAGCATCAACGAAGAAATGGGTATCATAGTTAGGTAAGGAGGAAATATGCAAGCAAATGAAGAGACAGCAGAATTGAAAATCAGCCCAGGCCATATGCCAAGCAAGGGTTTAGGCGTCACAATGAAAGTGTTAGCGTATGAGGAGGATTAATCGTCAGAAAAAAAGAGCTAGGTGCAAGATCCATCGAACCAAACTGCGATTTTCATTAGAATCACCAGAGTTCTTCGACGTCAAGGAGCCATTTCCGGATTCCTTCACGAAGGGTGTTATCAGCACCGGCCAGGGCTCTCCGACGCTCACGGTCAGCGATACCTAGCTCAGTATCCACATCTTCACGGCAGTGTTCAGCATTGACAATCCGAACCACCTCTTCCAGGGCTCCGAGCACTATTTTGCGGCACTCCGCTCGAGGAACTTCGACTGGAGGGACGTCCTCTCCACGTGGTGTGGTACTGCCCTTGTCTTCGCCACGGCGAGCACGCGAGGGAGATGGGGCTCGAGAATGAGCCATAGAGGAGTAACCGCTCTGGCCGAGGACTCGTTCAACGGCGTCAACTAGAATACCATCGAGATCCATGACTGCCTCTTCAACAAATCGTTCTTCGATGCAGTTCGGATCCAGGCCTTCAATGACGGAGCCTTCAAGAGACTTGCCGTATCCAGAAAAGAAAGTGGGAAATTGTGAAGTGCCTCCACCGGAGCGGGAGCCGCCGGTGTAAAGAGCGCTGGCTGGGGACGGCGGAGTGTGGTTAGAAGCAAAGCTATCACCAACAATGATCTTTCGTCTCAGCCGGAGGCGTTTGACAGAAGAGCTTCGAGTATCCGCAATCAAGGTTGTTGCAACATCCACCCATCTCTCTGACCCTTCCACGTCAGGAGTTGAGGGGAAGTATGGTGTGGGCTCAGCAAGCATTGCACGCTTTATGTCGGCCTCTAAAGCAGCATATGGCCGCACTGCTTGAAGAGAAAAATCTTCATGAAAAAGCTTCAGCCAACCTGCAACATGTGTGCTGGGACCGTCGGGCTCTTTCATGGAATTGTGGAATCCAGAACCACTGCTGTGCGTGGACGCCATAGCATCCACACTGGTTATTGATGTCCGAGTCTTCTTCGGAGATGCAATAGTAGAATCCCCCGATGATGAGAGAGACAAGAATCCGGGCAGTGGAAGGTCAACGTCTACTACGCCCTCCTCCGCTCGGACTGATAATTTCAGAGGAGATTCACGGACCTGGCTGGTAATAGAAGACGGCTCTAGAGGATCGTCCACAGAGCCATGGGCCGCGGAGGTCAGTGTGGCCGGAATAGAAATATTGCCACTGGGCGCTGTCTCGGGCCGATGCTCCGCTTCATCTTCCGTGACCTCCTTGACCATCTGACTCAGCGTAGGCGTGCCACGCATTGGAGGACCAGCTATGGTAGAGACAGATCTCTTGCGGGCGTCTGATGGGGAATAATAATCAGCGCCACCAGTCGATGATTCTTGGCGCGAGCTCCATAATCCAGAGAAAAGACCACCCCAGCGCCCCCCAGCAGAAGGCAGACTGCCATTTGAGCTCAAGGCTGTACTGTCACTTCTTTGCAAGTTCTTCAGCAGATTCTCAGAAGCCAAACTTTCATTGGTATCTGCCACGCTACGGTCAGAACCTCCCTGGCTAGAGCGTGTCTGCTGTGAGGCAAAATGAGGCACCGGAACAGTGCTGCTCTGGGTGGTCATTGAGGTCGTTGCTCCACTGGTGTTTTGAGATCGAAAGTCCTTAGCTTGAACGTTTGAACTTAAAGTTTTAATTGAACGAGCATCGGATCCTCTACGAGCTGAGACAGATGGCACCGGGGTTATTTGGTCCACTGACTCAGATGGACGATGTGCTGTATCTTGAGAAGACACACTCACCGAGCGCCGGTGGTGATCGTGGTCACCCGACAATAATCGTTGCGCACGAGCACGACGCTCAATCGCTCTGCGAAGGGATTCTTGGCGAAGAACAGGAACAGTGGGGGGGCTTTGGGAGATACCACGCACGGAGGCCGACGTACCCGGTCGAAGCGGGGAAGGCAGCGGATCCAGTCGTTGTTTGGAGGGAAGAAATGCAGAAAGTAAGAAAATCAGACGACGGGCAGTCATCTTGTCTGGGCAAACAATGACGGTTCGGTGGATCAAGATAGGCTCACTATCTTGCTGTGCTTTTTGCTGCTGATTGTGCCGCCGGCGGTACCATTCAGGCCCCAGTGCATTGAGCCATTCAGTATGGTTTCCCAGGAATGCAGTCAGCAATACAAGGAAGAAGAAATTCTGCTCCTTGTCTCCGAGACTTCGAACGATAGAACGGCCTTCTTCTCGCCATACACCCCACCGGCTCTGCCCAGTCACCACATAAGGGGTTTGAAGAGCCATGCTGATCCGGCGGGTGCTTCGAAGGGCCTCGTCCTTGAGTTTGGAATTAACAGCAAGGATGTTGGCGGGCAGATGCACGAATGTTTGGTTGGTGCGTTGCATATTAGGCGGCTTTGCAGGTTTTGGGTGCTGTCCAGAATGGGAGTCCACCTTTTTCAAGAGAAAAAGAATCTCGTTCCTAGCGAGCCTCTCCAAATGAGACAAAGTGCGAGTTATGACATCCCAGTGATCGACCAGCATATCCAGACGTTCATCCAGGCTCGCAGGAGGAGACGCTGCTGACAGGCTATCATCAAGAAAGCCACCGGGCCAACGGTAGTCGGAATCCAACGAGCTGGACAATCCGGACCTCGGGATATCTGGTCCAAGGGTGCTGAATCGTGACACAGGCCGTCCAGAGTTTCGCGCAAGTAAAGGTATTTGGATCGTGATAGCGACAGCATACATGGGGGTTTTCTTCTCTTTGATCTTCTTCCGCTTCGACACGTCGGGAAAAGGAAACCCCATTTCAGGCAATGACTCCTGGTATATGGCATTGGCATAGTCATGACGTTCAGCCGACGCTTCAGGTCCCTCTGGTAGGTTGACGCTGAACATGCGGGTTAAGAGAACTGTAACCTTAGCCGGAGGTTTGCCGTCCGGTCCCCGAGAAGATGCCATCAACCCAGAAGGACTGCCAGTGGTGTAGGCTCGTGCCAGTGGGCTTCGGGTAGCGGGCGAGGCACTAGCCACTGTTCCTGGGTCCTCATCAGCCGAGATGATATGCATTTTCGTCGATGAACCCCGGTAGCTGAATGCACTGCTGCCAAAGATGCAGTTGAGTAACCCCGTATCATTGGAGTCAGCTCCATGTCGGGAATGACCCGATTCATTCCATGTCCCTGTCTGTGCCAAAGTTGAGCTCCGGCCTCGGGCTCGCGAGAAGGCACCGGGACCTGCGGGTGAAGATCGTCGCGCGTCAGCAGCGGCAGAAAGGGGGCTCGAATCGACAACGGAGGACTGGGTAAGGAGATTTCGGCGAGAACCACGAGAGAGACTAGATACCGCACGGGAATGTCGAGCACCGGATTGCTCAAGGTCTCGAGAGTCGATGCCAAGGCCGGTAGGGGGTTGTTCGGATGAAGCACGAGTGTCGAGCAGAACGCAGGCGTCGCGATCACCTAGAGCATTCTGAGCCACGATCACTCGAAAGTCTTTGATGGAATCTAATTCCATTCCTCCTCGATCGTCATGTGCACCTGCAGTCGAGGCATTTGGGGAGTGAAATGTTGTATGTAGTGGGTATGCATGGGTATTAGAACGGCGCAGCAAGCTAGCATCGGGAAAGAGAAGCCCGGAAGTGTGTTCTTCCTCCGTGACCGATTCAAGAGGGGTTCCATGATTTCGAGAAGAGTATGCTGCTGGATTCAGGCTCGAGGCAGCAGTGCTGAGAAGTCGGCCCAGCATGATGACGAGCCACGGCGGAACCCGCCGTTAGAAATATACTCGGTAGTGCAAGGGAGACGAAAACGGGCTGAACGAGAAATGTCGTGTAACGATGGGTAGCAGACAGCTAGCTGAAACTAGACTGCATCTACCCATTATCTAATTCCACCGAGCAGAAACCATCATCAACCGATGGCGGGGGAGATTTTGAAGGGTTGTTGGACGAATGGAGGGGGTTGGAGATGGAAAGTGGGATGAACTGCAGGCAGTGGGGCGTTTGGAGAGGGAGCACTGGGGGAATTGGCAGACAATGACCCCACAAACGAAGATATCGAGGTCGAGCAAAAGAAAAGAAGCCCCAGGGCCGGCGTCTTGAACGGTTCTTGAAGAGGGAGTGGGGAGTGGTGGGCTAGAAAGGGTGGAGAGTCGAAAGGGCGGTGAAGATCGGACAACGGGGATGCCACATGATCTCAGCCTCAACGTGACACTGCATCAACAACACTGACTCGGTGAGGACTCTGATCTGTGACCGATCAATCCTAATGCTGGTATAGAAAGCTACTGGATTTTTTGAGGGTCGGCGCCATCTCTGGATTCGTGGAGGTGAATCTATTGTGCTTCATCAAGATGGTATAACTACATACACAACTAAAGACCGACTATGGATCTTCATGCTTTCGATTGTCGTTTCACCTTATCGACCAATCGCTTCAAATCCTCCGATCCAGGGTCCTTGGAGGCCTTCTTCTGCTTCTTCGAGCGGTCCCAACTGTCCGGTACCGTCTCGGGCTCACCGTCATCTCGAGTGCGCCGACGTTTACGACCCTCATCGAGCAGGGCCTTCATGCCGGAAGTTGACTTGAAGCGGGGATTGGTGGGATCGATGGCAAACTCGTGGCTCTCAAACAGGCGAGCAAAACGAGGATCGCTAACATCCACGTTGAAGTCATCTGTGACGGGGACTTCCTTAGATTTACCCTTGCCCTTGCCCTTGCCCTTCTTTCGTCGGGCCTGCTTTTCTGCCTTTTCGATTTCGTTCATGTCAAAGTGCTTGATTGCGGCTTTCTCGTCATCCATCATCAAGAGTTCAAGCTCGGCTCGTTGAGCTGCGGAGGCAGCTTCCTGGGTAGCACGCTCCTCGCGCTTCTTGCGCTTCTCCTCCTTGCGGCGGGACGCAGAGGTAGCCTTGCTACCTGGGTCGTCGAAGAATGGGTCGTTGAAGCCCAAATCTTCATCTGCTTCTTGTGCCGCCTCGGCTGTAACATCTTCTGCGTTGTTGGTTTCTTCGGCTAGTGTTTCACCCAGTTCTGCAGCCTTGGCCGCCTTCTGTCTCTCCTTTCGCCGTTTCTTGCGTTCGCGCTCCTTTCGCACATATCTCTCCATAGTGCTCTCCTCGATTTCGGGCTCGTTCTCGAAGATAGTATCCTTTCCGTGGCCCCCAGCAAGACCTGATGTGAAAGTAACTTCCATCTCGCCAACTGGACCTTCCGACTTGGAAGAGCGAGTCGGCTCCGTGCTTAGGCCCAGTAATGCTCGCATACGCTGTCTTTCGGCGTCTCTCTTCGACATCTTGGTGCTTGCGCCTTCGCCGGCGGTACTATCAACAACCTCAACGCCTCCGTCTTCATCATCCTCGCTTTCGGAGCTGTCACTTCCGAGATAAGCCTTGAGGTCATTCTCATCAATATCTTTCCGAGAGCCTCGGAACGCGCGAGCCTGGGCTTCCTTGCGAGACTTGTCATCAGCATCCCAAGTCAATTTGACTTTGCTGTGCTGAAGGGCGTCCGTGACGAATTCACTGGGCTTGTATCCGTCGGGAATACGAGAACACTCGTCACGAGGCTTGTCGTCGGAGAAATCAGTATCATCGGGAACGAAACGAAGATCGAAAAAATTCGCGCTGGACAAGTACTCCGCCCCATCCACAAGATCGTAGACGTGTTTGGCAGAGTCTTTAGAAGAGAAGGTGAGAATCGCGTAGAAGTAGCGTAGGCGTTCGAGCTGGTATTGCCGCAATTGCGTAGAGTTGAACTCTTCTCCTTCGTCGGCCTTGAGCATGGATTTTTTGATCTCTTCCTCTTCTTCATCGGAATCGAATTCCTCCTCTTCTTCACTCGCTTCTTCTTCTGTTTTGGATGCGAAAATCTCTTTAGGCGGCCCTTCGATCTCTTCTTTCTCCATGCGCTCTTTTCCGAATTCGCTAGGGTAAATTGATACATTCTCGACACGATTTCCGGTGGGCAAGAAACTCGAGAAAACAGCCATCAAGTCTTCAGAACGAATATTATCCCAGTCCAGGTTCACGACCGCTATCCGCTTTGTGACCTCTCCGAGCGGTATATTGGACTGCTGCCTGTCAGGAAATTCGACTTCCTCGTCTTCATCCTCCAATTCTTCCTCTTCCTCTTCTTCCTCACTTGAACTATCTTCTTCAGAAGATGAGGAAGAAAATCCACCGTCGCGAGCGGGATCATATGGACGTTCCTCAACACGTTTCAGTTCCTTCTGCACTTCTTCATCGTCATCCGCACTGATGTTGCTCTGGTCCTCATCCTCATCCTCGTCTTCGTCAAGGCGGTAGAACTTCTTCAACTGCTGCTTTGTGTCGTCGCGAGCCAGTTTGCGCCCATATCGATCAACAGCAGCATTGCGAGAAAAGTCCTTGTCGTCAAGAACATGTGCAAAGCGCTTGTCGAGTTTAACGTGAGTCTGGCGCTTGCTTGGAAGACGGTAGCGAGGATCCGTTTGAATGCTAGCAAAACGAGGGTCGGCTGTGCATATCATCTGTCAGTTAATGGACTTCATCCATTGGAAGCCGGTTTTCATAAAATCGGCTCGGGGTTCTTAGCACATACTGATCACCGAACCGGCGCCTTTGGCCTTAGCTGACTTGTTTGACTTCTTCGTGGCTTGTCCTGCCATTGCAGAATACTGCTGGATGAATCAAAGGACAGGGAAAACAAAGTTAAAACCAGTAACAGGTTTGACACAATCGAAGTAATCGGGAAGAACCACTGTCCTCAACTGCGGACAAATTTCTTTTTTTTCTGCCAGATTTTATGGGGCGGTGTGCAACACGTGAATATTCCCTTAGAAAGGATAGCCTACGACCATTCCACGCCTTGAACTAAAGTGGCCAAAGTCGCGATTCTTGTGTTTGAGTTCCATTATGGTGCTGAGCTTGAAAATTTAAAAGTGGTTTATGTATATATGATTGCTAGCAATGCATGAATGGATGTAAAAAGACTTGACAGATAAGATAGCCGTGGCCGGAGCTAGCAACCAAAATAACGCTTCTCCATCCACCTGGGCTCACCTTCTTCCTCAATCCGACCTACGACAACATTGATCTTGGAGAAAACTGCGGTGAGTCGTTTGATTCCCGTCTCTCCTGCAGCACATGTGACAAAGACAATCCTCTCTTCTTGCACGCCATGATCAATAAGAACTCGCACGGCCATCAGTGCTGCTCCGCCGCTGGACATTTGTGGATCTAGAAGCATGACCATAGAATGCTCTTCCAGCTGCGGTGGCAGTCTCAAGTAGTGCAACTCGGGCTCAGAGCTGTTCTCATCGGTCTGGATCAAGACGCGACCAGTAATACAGTCAGGAATAGTCCGTTTCAATGCCGTCTCCAAGCATGAGCCTCCGCGCAAGATAGGAACTGCGGAAACAATGCCCTTTGGGTTTAACCCCATGTATTTGTTCCCTTGTGGTGTTTCTATATTAGTCGGAACATACACAGTCATGTCTAGAGCCCTGGAATCAAAAGTCAGAAAGGTAGAAGCCAATTGTCATCTGGGAAGCATTGGAACAATACTTTTCGATAAGAATTGATGCAAGGCGATCAAAATAGAAGACAAAATCAACGTGTTCAGTTTCAGGATTTTGTAAGATAGTGTTCATGCCGATAAACTGAGGTGTTGCAGGCATCACATGCACATTTGGTGGAAGTTCGACCTTGGCAGCAATGAGGCCAAGCTTCCGCAGTGCTTCAGTGTGCTGTTCTGACTTCTCCTGGAGTTTACGTTGGATATGCTTGACCACCATGTCTAAAAGGGTCAGTTTTATTCACAAAGGAGAGAAACGGACGTAGGACGCATTCACCAATGGCTGTTTTGTTCTCAATACCACGAGGGATAATGATATCTGATACTGAGTTAGACCTTTTCTGGTGGCTATTTTTCGGTCAGAATTCATTACCAGAGACGTGTCGTTGAGGTTCCACAAATCTTGTATATGATGGCTTCACAAACTGGAACCACTGTTTGATAATGCCATCAATGTCGCGACCTCTTTCGCGAACATCGCGGAGAACTAGGATAAAGCGTAATTAGTGACGCGCAATTGTCTGGAAGAAAGTAGTCACAAACTTCTGCGTCCAAGACAGACATCCATGTCTGCCTCAACGAAAATCTAAGAAGTTTATCAGCCCAGATCTCATCGACATATATCGAGAGTAAACATATGTACCTTAACGTCGAGCATCTCTGCGATTCTAGTATCGTGCAGGGCCAAAATGCCCTCCAAAATAAGCACTCGGGGTGAGTATAAGGTAGTGGTCTGTGTTTGGCGTTGATGATCGGCAAATGAATAGACTGGGATATGGGCTTTCTTCCTTTGAAACAATGTTCAGTCAGGTTAAGACAAAAACACGATAAAGTTCATTTTAAAAGACGAATTACCCTTGTTTCAGATCCCGTAGGGTCTGTACCAAAAGGTCAAAATCAATTGATTCGGGGCAATCGAAGTCATATTCATTCGCATGGGCTTTTTGATGTTCTTCAGAGGATAAAGTCTTGTAGAACGAGTCCTGCGGCCAGCCCATGTTAGAAGCTCCCGCCACTCCGAACATCGAGCTGCATACCGTCCGGGACATACCATGACCAAAATTACCACCCAGGGAAGGTTGAGTGACTTGACAATCTCCATGGCCACCGAGGTCTTACCTGAACCGGAGCTTCCAGCAATACCGATAATGCTCAGATCCTGCCATGGTGGAGAGTACTTGACCTCTGGGGTAAGCGAGTAAAACGGTGAGGATGTTTCCATGGCCGCCAGGGAGAGCCTCACACCGTCACACCTTTGACCGACAGGTACAACAACGCTACAGCGATAGAAAGAGAGCAAAGGTCCCGAAGTCTCCTAATCAAATGTTATCAATTCAAATTCGCGGTCTCGTCTCTCTTGCGACGATTCGGGCTTAGCGCCGGTCCGTTCGCTTGTGGCTGACATAATCGCTTAAGTCGTTTTCTTTCGTCCGCGAACTCCGTTCTTCTTTCTCTTTTACCACTTCCTCTTCAGGGCCTTTCCCTTCCAGCGTTCTGCCTTCCTCCATGGCTGTCGTCTCTCGGGCAGCCCTTCAGCTTGACGGATAGCTGCAGACCAGATCCAAGCTATAGTCTGGCTCTCATAATGTCTTCCGCTAATCTTGTATGCTGCTCGGCGTGTTGACACCCGTGGTTGCAAGTTTTTAACACTGCACAGATGTCTCGCACTTCCTCGTCGGCTTCGCCGATATGGCATCAGTTCGAGCGGAAGATCGACGAGGTCAAGCCATCCAAAACGTGAGTCGATGCCCTCCCTTACCTCCAACCTTCCCCGCCCCTACCCTTCCCGGCCTGCCGTGAAATGATGTATCTTGAAATCAAGTTGGGAATCTCTCTGAAAATTCTTGAGGAGAAACAAATTGACTTGTCTATCTGAATCACTTGTCACATTGCTACATATTATTTTGACCGGTTATCTTGCCTCTTTGCATCCGCTAATATGAAGCCCTCCAGTGATATCAACTACTTGGTTATGGACTACCTCATTACCAATGGTTATCCCGCAGCGGCAAATAAATTTGCTGTCGAAGCCAACATCCAACTCCGGACGGATTCGGAATCCATTCAGGAACGGGTTGATATTCGGACTGCCATCCACTCGGGGGATATCCAGGCAGCCGTTGAGAAAATCAACGAGCTGAATCCTCAGGTAAGATTTTGCCCCATCCTTTTTTTGCCCCACCCCTTCCTGCTACATGATTATATCAAGTTTCATGCACCACTCCTATCAAACCCTTCGGGGAGTTGCGGATAAACAAACATCTTCAGTCCTCAGTATGAACAGCAGTTCACTATAAATCTGCCCAAAACATCACACATTGGTCTTGTCTGTATCAATGCTAACATGATCAATTAGATTTTGGATGAAGACCCATCACTACACTTTTCGCTGCTGCGTCTGCAGCTGGTAGAACTAATACGTACCTGCACAGACACTCCGGATGGCGATATCAGCCCTGCTCTCGAGTTTGCAACCTCGCAACTAGCACCGCGGGCCCCAACCAACCCGAAGTTCCTGGAGGACCTGGAGCGAACTCTTGCGCTACTGATATTTCCCTCCGATAACCTTGCCCCTTCTCTCGCCTCTCTTCTAGACCCAAGCCTCCGTAAAGACATTGCTCAGCGAGTCAATGAGGCTATCCTGCAGAGCCAGGGTGCTCGTAAAGAAGCACGCCTCCGCAACCTTGTCAAACTCCGGGCGTTCGCTGAGAACAAGGCCCGCAGTGCGAAGAAGGACATCCCGGAGAAGTTGGATATTGGTCTCGTTAGCGATTCTCATGAAAGCAACAATCCGACCAGTAACAATAGTAATCAAGACAGCAACGGTGCCAGCCAAAATGGCTCAGGTGATACCGTGATGGTCAATAATGGCGATGCCGATGCCATGGTTGTATGATTCAGTCCTTGATCATCTTCCACTTCTGGACTGTTGTCGGCATGTTCTGTGTACACTTTCTGCCCTCGACGCAGCCCTTTAATTCGTCATTTGTGTATCTTAGCGAGGCGCTCCAGAACATGGTCATTTTTCATCGGTGTTTTGGCGATTCTAGGGGTTTTCGGCTTCCGGGAGCAAGTTCAATATACCATTCATGGATTACATACTTCTTTCCAGTTAAATTTTCAATAATATGATCTCCGTCTTCCGGCCATTTTCGAGACATGATGTATGCCAGTAATTCTTCAACGTGGGCGAGGATATATATAACTGGTCTTCGACCTTACTAATTGTATACGTATATATGGACAGGTCTGTATCTATATATATCTACGTGACAAGTCTATGAGCGAATAATGCATTCATATGTTGACAGTGCTAAACACAAGAACTAGGGGGAAGAAGGAAAAAGACTTTAAAAGTAAGAAATTGTCGAATATGATCAGAATCTCTTCACCCCGCACAACCGTGACAGACAGCCAAAAACTTACGATCTCCGCCCTTTCAAAAAACATTGGACAATCAAAATAGAAGACCTCTCAAGATGGGCTAAATCAAACAAGCAATGGTCTATATGCCTCACACAAAACCAGCAAAGTAGTTAAGACTTCGCCAAGCCGTAGTTTTACAAGTCAAGAGCGGCTGATTCAGTCATCCCTAATTCCACCTGAACACATAATAGAAAGTCGTTTAGAAGCTCATGAGATCTGGACAAAGGTAAATTAGTCAACACGTTGGCATCAGACGAATAAAGTAAAAGCACATACCTCTTCCAAAGAGTGCACGCTTGGCCCAGTCCATTGCCAGCATACACCGGGTGCGGAAGCTGACGCTCTCGGCAAAATAGATGCTACGCCAGAGATACATGGCAATAACGCCACCGCTGAAGCTCATGCCACCAAAGTCAAAGATCGCAGCATTGCTAATATAAGCGAGACTGCCCAGATGTTTGTATTTGAAAGCACGGTAGACAGCCTCATCGAGGTCGCCATAGTCAATCTCGTTCGCCTTGAGGCCAGGCAGAGCGGAGGCAATCTTGGTCAGCTTACGGCCCAAGTACACACCCTGCTGATTCGCACGCTGAGCAGTGGCGGGCAGGGAAGTAAGCTTGGTGTCGATTTGATGGAGCAGTTCGGACAGCTCGCCATAGTCGAGGGTGCCAGAATGGTCTTTATCATACTGCTCGAAGAGACGGTCGAGGCGGCGGAGATGGTTCGATGCTTGGGGGAAACGCTTCTTGACTCGGTTGGCAACATCTCGCCATTCAGAGAAGGTCAGGTGCACTTTCTCAGGATCTTGACCCTTTTCCCAGGCAATGGTACGCAGGAATTTGATAATGTTCTGTGCAACGTTGTTTTGAACGGTGGAGCAGTCGCCAATGGCATATACATCACCCAAGGGGGCTCCGATAACACGAAGATGGGAGTCGGTTTCCAGGGCGTGCTTATTATTCTGGCCTTCAAGTTTGTTGGACAGTTTTTCGGCGATTTCAGCACGAGCTTGGATATGTCAGTTAGAACCAACAAACGGAGTGAAGACAAAACAAAACGTACAAACTCCAGTTGACCACAAACAGAATCCAGTTGGGATTTCCTTGACGACTTGTTTGCCATCTTCCACCTGGCTGAAAAGAACACGATCCTTTTGCACTTCCTTTACACGGGCATTGGTCAGCACTTCAACGCCGTCACGAGCAAATCGGCCCTGCTGAGTGTTAGTAATGAAATCTCTTCGGTATTTAGGGGATGAGATAGCATGCCTCGGCGTATTTGGAGAGTGCTTCATCGTAGGTGTTCAGAATGTGAGTTCGGCTCTGGATAATGTGCACGGAGATCTCATTCCGGACAATACGAGGGAAGGAATGGAGCAGGTCTTCATTGAGCAGATCAAAGAGTTCAGCAGCAAACTCGACACCAGTCGGGCCTCCACCACAGACGACGAAAGAGAGCAGACGCTTGCGTTCCTCATCACTGGTGGTGGGAAGGCAGGCCATTTCCATGTTCTCTAGCACTTTGTTCTTGATCCGACGAGCATCATCAATGGTCTTGAGGAAATTGCAGTTTTCAAGACCCTTGACACCATGGGGGTTTGTCACACAGCCTAAAATGATACAATGTCAGCCTGGCACAACACACTGTTGGCTCAGCAGATCCGCGAATATCGCACTTACCAACACCAATAACCAGTTTATCATATGGAAGATAGAAATCTTTCTTGTTTCCATCCTGATCCACTTGAGAGACTTCGACCAACTTTCGGGAAAAGTCGACGTCTGTTGCGGATGCCTTCAAGAAATGACCATTTACACGTTCGATAATGCGACGAACAGGTTCGACGAGAGACCGGAGGCCCAGAGTGCCTACTGTGGCAGACGGGAGCATAGGAGTAAACAGGAAGTAGTTAGTCGGGGAAACAACAGTAACATGGTAGTCACTAGGGTTCAGGTTCTTAAGCAGAGCGATGCTACCCCAGCCGGTGCCAAGGATTACAAGTCTCGGCTTGTCCTTTTGCTCTATCATAGATTCCGAGTCATAGTCGCCGACGAGGACATCCGCAATGGGAAGGTTTTTGGGGCCTCCGCGTCGTGGGTTAAGAGCCAGCTCGGACACGGGGATGTCTGCGGCGCTCGGGGTTTCACGGTAGGTGCTGGCATCATAAACGAAAAAGGCGACAACGATGACTCCAGTGCCAATAACAAAGAAGCCGCAGTATGCAAACGTCTTATAAAGAGCGTTAAGAATCTTCGGTCGAGTCTTTGTTGCAACCTGAGAAGCAGCGCTATCCGATTGAAACCGGATCGGGATTAATACTTTGGGAGCTCGCTGGGAGACACGCCGCGGAAGAGGGCGGCTGGGAGTATGCAACGAGCGCAGAAAGGACGGTTTGTCGAGAAAAGATGCTCTGAAAGCTTGCGGTCGCGCTGGTATTGTTCCAATTGACCTTAATGCATGGCCTGCTGGTCGGCTCCCGCCCAATGCCGCGCGCATCTTGAGGAGACGGACAGGAGGGGGAGATTGAGCGAATGGAGGTCGACAACGGTCGACAGTAAATAGGCAGGTCAACGCCCGCCCCAGACAGGATGACGGAAATGTCCACAAAAAGAGATTCTTAACGAACGCAAGTCTCTCGAACGATTGAGCGAAGAGACAGCGCGCGCCGAAACTTGCGGCGCCAGCTCACACGCCGACGTCATGTAGCAATGCACCGGTCACGTGCACACGGAAATCGGCACGTCTCTGCATAAAGTGGGCACAGGCGTTGGATTAAGCCTGGGCCGCAAAAATGCCAAGATCAGAGAAACAGAACGCAAATAGAGATGAAATCTATTATATACTTATGATGGGGATAAATAAGCTATAGGAAGACCAGCCCGGAAGCTCCGATGAAGCAAATAAACCCTCCCCATTCGCGCCGTTGCATGCAAAAAGAAAATAAGCTATGTATCATCAATCAACCGCCCCTTTCCAGTCTTGGTATAAGAGAAATCGCATCCCTGAAACCCCGCTAGTGCAAAATAAAAGAGATAAAAAAGAAATAAACGCCAATGTGCAGTCATGCAGATATAAAAAAATGGACACCTATCAGGAAGGGTAATTTGGATTGCACCGGCGATTGGTCAATCCCAAGGATCATCGGGCTCGGCACTGGACGGGTTCTTACCAACAGAGCCTTTCCGGCTCTTCGGCCGTTTGCTGAGACCTGGATTCGAAACAGAACTCTTGCGCTTCATCGGCCGTGACCCACTGAACCCGGTTCCCAGGTCATCAACCTCCCCAATAGCGTCCAAGGTGTCTCCCTCGGCAGTGTCCTCACGATCTATCTTGAACTCCTCGTCGATGGCAAGCAGGGTTGAAAATTCGCGACACTTGCTCAACATGGCCTCTTGGCTGTCCAGTGAAGCCATGTTCCTCACAATAGCATCCCAAAACCTCTCTCCCGTCACACCGTGCACTTTGCCAGGAGCCTTATTTAACTCCTTCGCAGCAGGCTTGCTGTCCTTGTCCTTACTATGGGAATTTTGTCCGTAGAGCCGTCGCAAGTGTGTCCGTGCTTCCCACAGCATCGAGAGTGAAGCAGCCGCGGTGGCTAACGTCCGCAGAGCAACAGAGTTCACTTGCTGTGGAACGCTTGCGGACACCGGCATATCTGGCGTAAGGCTCATCATGCCGGTTGGGGTCTCAACCATAGGAGGGCCAATCGGGGTCGGGAAGATATCAGTTTCAATTGCATGTGCGACAACAGTCCCGGTCGATGAAACGATCCGTTCGATGCAAGCAATAGTGGGTATTAGTTCAGCGAGTTGGCCGTAGTCGAAATATGCGAGATTTTGGGAAACAAAACGAGCCACCAAGAGATGCTCTGGAGGGTCTCCATTAGCATCGAGTTTCTTCAACTCGAAGTTCGCTTTGGCACAGAGGTTTGAGAGAAACTTTTTCTGGTATCGACTGTTGCTTATTTTGACGATCTCAAAGAGAGGTGCAAGCTTTGCAACGTAGGGACGAGGGGTCGCACCATTCGAGTCACCCACAATATCTCGTTGATAGTAGAAGGCTTCCTGGATAGCTCGCATATACTCCCTTTCGAACATTGATTCAAATTGCTGGTGAAGCATTTTGTGAGTATCGAAGGCGACCTTAGCGATTGCCGGCACAGTTGACGTCTCCAGGGAGACAAGAACACCAGCGCATTCCTTGGGATGAACCAATCCTTGCCGATTAATGCTTGCAATAAGCTCAATGGCGGTGAGAGAACAAGCATCTTGTCGCGATTGTGCTACCTTCAACATGCTTTTCAGGAAGTTCTGAGCAATTAACGCAGCAGCGCCATCATTGTCACTAGCTCGTAGGGAACCGCCTAGGCGAGTAGAGTCCTCTTGAGCGGCTGCCTCGGCAGTTGGCACCACTCCTTTCTCGTGCTTTCCTTCATGAATGAAGAAGAAGTCTGCAAATGATCGAAGAACAATATGTTGGAGTACAGGCGAATCCTCTTTGAATACATGTGCAAATGTCTTTCGCGTGGACTCGCGGCCAAATTGGGCGGGCCAAGATTGACAGACAGAACCCACACTCTCAAGAGCCATGACCCTCAAATCGTCGGGCTGCATGTATTCGGTAAATGGAATAATGCGATCGACCATAAGAGTGGCTACAGAGCCACCAGACCAGGTCGGAAAAGCGTTTTTGAAATGGTTAATGTATTTTTCAAGATCACAATGCCGTCCGACACAGCCTGCAATTCTGATGTAGCTTTTGGCACGTGCTAAAACAGTTGCATTATCGCTGGAAGACATGTCGACGCTTTTGTACTGTTGCAGTGGTTTGAGAACAGAGATTGTCAGTTTAACCAGCCTGTCTGTGTTTTGTAGGACACCATTAATAGTCCAAAGGCATGCCATGACCTCATTCAATTCAGAGCGGGATAGTTTAGCAACGCTCTTGAAAAGGTCATTTTGCACGTCCTTCAGAAGTTTATTATGTGCTGAGGATAGGTACGGCAGAATGCAGCGATAGATAACAACCACTGATCGAAACATGAAGAGATCGTCCGCAGTTGCAAGGTTGCCGATATATGGGTGTAAAGCCTCCAGCTGATCCGGGCTGAAAAGCTTCGCGTTTGCTTTAGCAAAGACGGTGATAGTCTGAAGGAGAGACTGCAAGAACTCCTTTGCAGGTGCATCTTCCACAAGCCTTTGGAACATGATAGATACCATCATTTTGCAAACCTTGAAGTTCATTGCCGCTGACTTAGACTTGTCCGAGAGCACTGCCTTCAGGCATGTACCAAGAGAATCAAGGGCATTGTCACTGCGCTGAACAAGGCCGACAATCAGACCGACCTGTTCACTGAGTGCTATCTGTAGCTTTGGCCCTTCGGATGTGGAGTCGATTGTTGCGTGGAAGGGCACTAACCATATCTCCTCAAAAGTTTGACGAGCCAAGCTTGCGACGCCTTCCTCGTGGTCACCAGTTCGTAGAAGGAAGCTATCCAGAATGGCTAATTTTAATTCGTGACGAGAAGTCTTGTGGTATAGGTCCTTCAACAATCCGATGCAGCGTTTACGAACGCCAGCAGTTGGGTCACCTGCACATGCCAGGATACTACGACATCCTTCTTCTTCCAATTTTGGTTGAAGTCCGATGCATTTCGCAATCAAAGACAATGCAGAGTCACGAACCATTGGTGAGGCATCTGTGGTGCAACGAAGAATCAAACGTAGTACCGAAGCGTCCCGGTCTAGAAGAGTTGGGTCTTTTTCAAGCATTTCAATGACACTTTTCAGACTTCGACTGCGGACCTTAGCCTGGTCGCTGGCGATCGAGTTGAGGAGAACTTTGAGGATAGTATCAAAAGCTTTCCCAAAGCCCGAGTTCAGGACAGTCAATATATAGGCAAACCTCCCGTGCACATTCGAGATGACATGAAATTGTCTGTAACGCAGGTCAGCGATTTCTGGTACTTAAGATTATTTTGATACATACTTGTGCGTCTCCAACCAGCGCGAGTCGGAGAAAGACCTTGACAAGAGTACCACCAATTCATCAGTCACATTATCGTGTACTATTTCTTCTTTGTCGTCGGAATTGTAGTAGAGGTTGCAGACAGTTTTTGCCCACTGAGCTAAATAGTAGCCCCGTGCACTAGTCAGCTGCGAATTATCGGAATTCTTGTCTTGAGAAATATACTCGAGGGCCATTCGATAAGGGCCTATTGGAGCGACCAGATCTTGTGGATGAAGTGCTCGCGACGAAAAATCCTCGAACTGGTGCTTTAGACAATCTGTGAGGTCACTGTCCGAATCTTCCAAAGCAGGAAGCATGTGCTGGGCGGTGGCAATGAGGTCTGAAATAGCAGACCCCATCCAACCCAAAAGTTCAAGAGCCATGCTCTTAGCTGTAGCGGGGCTCTTGTCAAGATCTGCGATACCAACCATGTGAGATGCCATGATTCGAAGAAGCAGCTCAGACGCGGGCCAATCTGTAGACCCAAGGACATTGATTAGGTCTTCAGTGAAGAGGTCAAGAATATTGCGGAATGGCTGGTCGCCGCTTTTTGTCGCATTCATAGCACGGTGAACTATAAATTTCACAATGTACTGCGCACTGCGCACTGCGTTGTCATATAGTCGATTAACTTTAGCCGCTAGTCGTTCTAGAGATTCATCTAGCTCCTCACAGTCATCGTCAGGCTCTGGTTCCTTGGTATCATTAGCGTCACCCATGAGTTCGTCATCATCGTCTTCTGTTGTGGCCTGCAGTCGAAGTTTGGCCTTGGAGCGTTGTGTTTCCAAAGCAGTAGTCTGCACAAGCTGAAGAACCAAGGCAGTCAGAAGTTGGATACTTTTCCCATCCGCCAGTTTAAATTGCCTTGCGCTTTGACGGGTAGATGGAAGTTTTTCCAAAGATCCGAGGATTTGATTCAAGATATAAGAGCGCTGATCCGGGTACTTGGAAAAGATTTTTGCAAGAACATCCATTGCCCCACGTCTGGCAGGTTCAAATTTTGATGAACCAACTGCAGAATCCCGATCGTTGTGAGCATTCTCGACAAATATCAACTTCGCAGCAAAAAACAAGACCGAGTTGATTGGAGTCTCATGGACCTCGATTCGAGATAGAAAATCCGCAAAAAGAGTCAAAGCTTTCTTGCTCTGGTGAATAAGACTTGCGATAAGACGTCGCTGAGCTGAGAAGAACTTGAAGAGATCAGCATCCTTGCCACCGGGGCGTGATTCAACAGCAGGAATGATGCAATGATCAAAAATTTGCTCAATTACTGGTGGAATAGCCTCGATGAGATCCTCAGGGCACAGATCACGTTCTGTCTGTCGCCCGGACATTGTTTGCAAAAGGGTCCCAATAGCAAGCAATGAACTCAGAATATCCTCCACTTTGCCCGTCCATTCTTGAACTTCACTTTCACTGGATGGGTCATGTAAAGTAAGCTGCGCAGACTGGGCAGCAAGAATAGGGGTTTCACAAAGTTTCTGGATTCGTTTGAGATAGTCGGATGGAATATCCTGTAGCCTGTCAAAACCGGAAACTTTCCGAAGAGCCTTTTGGAGGCGGTTATGAGCATCCGAGGAGAGCACCAAGCCATGTACTTCCAATGATCTCGTGTTCATAAAAAGCGGATTCGGTCTGTCGGCCGTTGGTCCGACTGTCGCTCCTGGTTCAATCTGATCTTCCGCCTCAAAGACTTCTTGGAGAAGATCTTGTAGCCTAAGCAGCGCGTCATCTGCTTCCGCCTTCTGATCTTTCAGCCGTACGTCAGTCATCATGTCCTCTCGATCAATATTCGGCTTTGGTTTTGGCTGCTTGGGGTTTGAAGGCGTAGGTTTCATTGGGATGACAACAGAAACTTGGCTCGAAGAACGTGAGATCGGTTCAAAGGACGCAGATTGAGACTTGTTTGCGACGTATGCCTCTTGGTTCGGAGGGATCAAAGCCTTCGGTATTGGCTCGTTCTTTTCCACTTTTATTGTCGCCGGCGCAGATGTTTCGGGGTCTGGCGTTGGGTCAGCAAATGAGCTCGAAATTCAGTGACAGGAGTCTGTTATGGACTCACATCTAAATGCTATTTTTGTGGATTCCAGAATCATTTTTGCAAAAGGACCCAGCGTGCTGTGGAGGGAAGAAATTCCAACAGAGGCGATTGAATGCGGCTGTTGACCATGACTGAGAGTAGGAGGAAACTTGAATTTGCTAGCAATGAAAAGTTATATATCAGTAAAGCCCGACTTTTCTGGGGGTGATTAAGTACTCACAATTCCGTCAGTTGTTCTCCATCCAGCAATTGTTCAAGGTATTCTCGAGACGTCTCCAGGCGGCTGGACTCGTCCAGTCCAGACTGGATCTCCGTATCCAGTTCGTTCAATGTCTGGCGGCCTGCCTGCAAAACATGGTTTATAGAGGTAGTATTGGATGGGCGACCAACGTCCGGTCGTATAACACAGTCTAGAAACCAAGCAACTGTTAGCTATCATTTCGGTGTTTCAAGGTTCTTTGGTGGACGGACCGAGCCCAAAGACAGGAGCACTGGACATGGAGGAGTACTGCAGCGCCTCATCCACAGACAGCGGTCTAGGCTGAATTGGGAATGACATGGTAGTGCCATAGGGCTGTTGCGATTGCGGACGGCCGTTGATGACGACCTGTACAGTTGGCTCTCTATTCAGATCCATGATGGCGGTTGGCAAGGTGAATAGGGAAGGCGCTAGTCGAAGGAAAGGGGGCCTGCTCGTGGCAGAGGCATCGCATAGGGTGTGAACATCTATAGCATGCTTCACGCGGGTCTTCTTTAAAAGCGACCGGGCAAACGGAAGGAGAACTAAGGAGAGCGCTCCCGATGACCGTATATTCGTTCATCAATCCATTCGGAGTGCTTACTGCCGCGTCCCACCGCCTATAGTTGGTATCGAAATGGCCCGTGCGGTCAAAAAAAAGTCACCATACCGCATCATCTTTTGGTCGCTCTACTCCCCTGGCTATTTTATACCTGATACATTGTGGTGGTCCATTTATTGAATTTGTCTCTTCCCAAAATGTCTGTGATTGGATCCTTGATCTTCTGCACTGATTGTGGCAATCTGTTGCGCGAGTCGACTGGAGATGCGAATGCAGTTCTACACTGCAATGTCTGCGGAGCTCGGAACAAGGGTACGTGAGGTCCCTTTCTGCGCATTAAAAGGTTTTTCTAGGGATGCAATGGACTAAAGTGTCTAAATAGATACAATCCCTCAGACTATCGTCTCTGAATCAAAGCCTGCTGCGTTTCCTTCAGCTCTCCGAGCCAAGCGCTCTGCTGTCCAAACGTTGTCCGCTGAGGATCGCAAAACCGAGGCCATTACAGCACATACCTGCAACCAGTGTGGAAGGAAAGAAATGTTCTTTACTACCGTCCAGCTTCGCAGTGCAGACGAAGGAAGCACTGTATTTTATCGCTGTGTCTGCGGTTATAAGTATGTCTTGTCGCAAATCCTCGAAATTTCAGCAAGATGCTAATTTTACACTCCAGGGAAACTTCGAACAACTAGGCGAGGGAATAAGAGTGCTGTACAAAAATGGAACCATGTCTATGTTTTGGCTGTATAACAGAGCAGGTTAAAAGTATCAAAATAACGACGTCACGACATTTTTTTTTTTTTTAAAAAAAACCTTCAGGATATCCATCACGCGGCAGATACCACGGCAGCTCCCTCGGGAATCAGCGCATACTCCATCTCACCATTCTTTTCAAACTCCGCCATGTCCAGAGCCACGATGACACTGTCACGTACCACCTGCTCAGGGTCATTAAGGAATTTCTTCAGAGTATCCTCGACACCCTCCTCGTCACCTAAGCTGCCCAGGGCTTCCGCTGCTTCATGTCGCACCATTCCAACCTCCTTCAAATCACCCAGACATTCTGTGAGGCAGGGAATCGAGGCAGGGTGGCAAAGCTGGCCAAAGACGAAAGCAACCTCGTGACGAAAGAGGGCAGAGGGGTCCTTCAGGCCCTTGGATAGAGCATTCACTGCGTCAACGGCAGTGGGGAGATCTGGGGGCGAAGCAAGATCTCGCAGACCGAACATGGCACGGTATCTTTGGAAAAGAGGGAGTTTGGTGTCGAGTAGCGTTTTTTCCAGGTCGGGAATGGAGGGCTCGCTGGTCTCCAGCGGCATGGGCGGAGCAGGATCGATGGAGGTGAAGTCACTGCATATTACAAGAAATCAAAAGGTATTAGCAAGAGTCCGATACCAAAAGATCGATGTAGACCGTAGCAGTCCTCTCGTGTCTCGAGTCGTCATACCTGGGCTTGAGCTTCTCGGTCTTCTTCTCATCGGAATTCTCCCAAAGGATACGGTCCACAGCAATATCACAGGTCTCCCGAATAATTTCTAACTCATTCTCATCATCGCGCAATTTCTTCAAAATATCCAGGCTTTCGGGATATCCAAGCGCACCCAGAGCCTCGGCAGCCTCGTGCCGACACATAGCATCCTCCTCGACATCCTTCACCACCTGCTGCAGGTATGATACAGAATCGGGGTTTCTGGTCTGGCCCAGGCAGTATGCAAGCTCGTGCTTCAAGAGGGCAGAACGGGACGCGAAAGCGGCGGCGATAGCTTGAATGGCTGGGAGAGTCTGCTCGGTGGGAGGCTGCAGGCAAGCCAGGTGCTTGAGGGAGAAAAGTGCGCGGAAGCGGCGAGCGAGAGGTTCCGACTCATTGGTAACAACTTTGCGCAGGGCGAGAACGGTGTCATCCGCGCCCTGAGTCTCGGTAGCAGATGGCGCCATGGTGGATTGAAAGCCAGGAGGGAGTAGTGGGGGGAAGAATCGTGAAGTGAGTTTTGCGCGGTAAGTCGAACAATCTTTTTGATCTTATCATGATTTTTAGGTGGGGTGGCGGGGCTGCTGGGCTGCGCCGATTCGGGTCTGGTTGGCCCGCGCAAAATTTCTCCTATAGTCGTGTGTAGAATGGCTGAATGTGCTTTTATTTTCGATCCCCAATGATTACTAATTCCTGACTAGAACATCTCGATGGTCCTTTTATACTGATGATTATAAAAACCTACCTACCTTTATGAAAGATGAGGTGCCCCTTGAAGACTTTCTTCAACCCCAAGTTTATTGCTCTCGTGGAAAGTGAAAAGTTGAATCCCTGAATGATGGGCATGCATGGATGGCGTGAAATTGAATATAATGATTGTAGTACTCATTGCCAGGGGAACATTCAAAAGCTAGCATCAGCGCTTTTCGCCTCTGAGAAGTTTCCGCAAGCACAGAAGAGTGTGGAGTTTGATAGTACTCTTGGCCTACGTGAGCAATCAACGCCGATGAAACCGTCTTTCCTAATTTGATGATATTGGGAGACGCGCATACTATGCGTCGGGTAATAGCAAATTGCCTTTCCATTGCAATCAAGTCATGGGAAAAGAAAAATACTTCTGTTGGCCTGCAAATTTCAATTACTTTTTGATAGCTGCTTCAGTAACATTCTTCAGCCGAGCACCAAGATCCTGGTTGACACGAGCAAATAGTGCTGAGTACTAGTTAGACAGATCATTCTCTACCACAGAAAACGAGGATGGTTGACTGACCATATACTTCATTGCGAAGTCGAGCGGAATCAACATTCTTCACGGTAGAAGCCAGGTTCCCAATAAGTCTATCTTGATGCCCAGGGTCTCGGCCAATAACTTCCCACAAAGCAGCCGGTTGAACAAAGTCATCATTCGTGATATGGCTCGTGAAGGTCACGACTTCTCCAACCCATTTCTCATGGTCTGTGTGCAGACTCAGGGACTGAGGGCTCGTGCCCTTGATATCGGGGTAGAACTTGGTGGGCTGGAGCGATGAATTCACATAATTAGGGTCACCGCCGTAATTATCATCGAATCTCATCTTGCCATCTCTCTCGAACGGACAGTAGACGGGCACCTTGGCAGCATTTGTGGGAAGCTGCTGATAGTTGACACCCAGACGGTAGCGTGCCGCATCGGGGTATGCGAACAACCGTGCTTGAAGGACTAGAGCCAATTATTAATCCTATGGACTGAGAAAAAATATTGATGGATTCAAATATTCAAAAAATAAACTCACCAGGATCGGCTGAAGCAGACCAACCTGGTACCATGGTAGATGGGGAGAACGCGGCTTGTTCAATGTCGGTAAAATAATTGCGAGGCTAAGAACAGTTAACAACCACACGTAACCGCTCTTCTATATTCTGGGTATTACATTGCGATTCAAAGTCAATTTGCCGATTTGACGCAGGGGGAAATCGTGATGTGACCACACTTTGGTCATATCGAATATATTCCATCGGTAGTTCTCGGCCTCTGACGGGTCCATGACTTGGACATAGACATTCCACACTGGGTAGTCTTTTCTGGCAATTGCGTCAAACATATCACGAATTAGATAATCCGGATCTTCACCGGCAATTCTTGTTGCCTCTTCGCGGGTGAAATTTTTGACCCCTTGCTGGGTTTTAATATGGACTTTGATGTATTTAAATGATCCATCCTAGAGTTGCAAAGATGAGCCTAATAAATTCACTTCAATGTTATGAACCATGTAAAGAAATCTCACTGACCTCTTTAGTGAACTTGTAGGTATGTCCACTGTAGGAATTTATACGACGAATGGAGGAGGGAGTTCCGCGGTCACTGAAGAGATGAAGCAGTTCATGGATGCCTTCTGGGTTACCCACATGGAAGCTAGATGGCGTTTGTTACTACCGTTGGGTGAGGTCTTGCGAGGTTTTGCTTACTCCCAGAACTAGAAGTAATTAGCATAATTCCTTTTAAATATCAAACCATTCCCTACGTACCATGTTCGCATCAGGAAGATGAGTCTGAGGGTGTCTCTTGTGAGAACGATTCATGGAAGGGAACTTGATGGGATCCCGGATGAAGAACACAGGCTACACAGATGTTAGTATCTCTTGCTGATATGGTAATATCGTGTGCATACTGTGTTATTAAATACCCAGTCCAGATTTCCCTCGTCAGTATAGAGTTTCATTCCCCAGCCATGAACATCGCGTGCGGTATCAGCAGAGCCCGACTCAGGACCGACAGTGGAGACACGAAGGAGAACCGGGGTCTTTTTTCCAGCCTTTTTCAGAAAGCTAGCGGAAGTAATATCCGAACAGTCTGCAGTCGCTTCGAATTCTCCATATGCGCTGCAACATGATTATAGATCAGCTCAGAAGATGCGGCTCTGAGGCTCTTCTCAATGACGTACCCCACAGCTTTGGCGTGGACAACACTAATCGGGATTTTTCCTCCTTTATCAGTATGCACAAAATACTGCATCGATTGGGGGTTCCATGCCTACCGTTCTGGAATTCGCTCGCGGGAAAAATGCGCTAGGGTCTCGATGAGTTGGGTGTCCTGGAGCAGACCAAGCCCTCCTCCCTGTTGATTCTGCATCAACACAGCAGTGCTGCTGCTAGCGAAAGGACATCCTTTTCAAATCAGCCCCTTCACTTCCGGTGTGAATTCTCTGCAGCGGTACTGACCCTCTGCAAGTGTATAATATCGTTCCGACATGGTGCAGAGTACTTCTGTCCTGAGGAACTTTCAAATTTTGGAGCTACTGGAACCGAGTTCAATGATTGACTAAGTAGGTCGTTGTCAAATTGTTAGGAAATTGGGGTGCCTAGACTTTTATCCCCGAATGTTCGTGGCTTTTGAAATCTACTCTCTGTTTGATCATTACATCATCCACTTCCGTACCGGAGAACCGCTTTGTCACACTCGGGTAAGCTGGGATTAGATATATGTCGACTTGTCTGGTACTGCAGCTCCTCATAGCAGTCAAATTCAATGGGTCCAGGCTACCAAAGGTTTGATTGATCAGACCCAACCGTCATGACGGTAGTCATATTCCAATCGCGGACTATGGGATGCAAGCCCCACCCGAGTGGGTTTAACGGTCAGCGTGCTTGTTCACTCGAGCTTCTGCTCAGATGCCCCCCCCAATTGGCTCTCTTCTCTCAAGGATGATCGCGCGGACTAGACCTCTGGTTCACAAGGCTCTGGGTCTGCGGGCAGATCAGACCCGATACAGCCGGGTGGCTTCTTATAGGCTTGAGAAGTTCGGCACCACACCTAAATCATCCAGCATATTGAAGGCTTGTTGGCCAATTAAACATAGAGCTACCGGAACCCAATCCATGCTGTATACAGTACATTCTGGCAGAACTGCCGTTTTGCAGTGAGCAAGGTGATTGGTCTTCTACTATTACCAGAAAGGGCTAACGCAGCCAACGCCTTGCGGACGCCGATTGCAGTGGGTCACGATCTCCAGACGTCTTCACATCGGCCCCACCTTCCAGCGCACCACATTATACATTTCTCTATCTATGGAAGCAACTTTGATTTTGAAACGCATCAAACAGCGCAAAATCGGAAGGAGTGTCGGGTGGAGCCGTGGCGGTGTGTTGCGCTAATCATCTGTCAGGCTACTCAAATTCTTGAATAGTCATTTCCTCCCCGGCTTTCCCGGGACCCTGTTTGCGCGCTCAAGCAGCGCCTCTAGATGCCATATTTGTTTATTTAGAGCCATGTCGTCAGATAATAGCTCCAGTGGGTCGCGTTCATTCCAACGGAGATCTCCTCCGGAGGACAAGCATTCACGTTTCACGTTTGTGTCGGAGAGCACCCAAGCTGACGCCAGAAGCCATGCGATGAGAGAGCATTGGCGGCAACGACACAGCCGTAACAATGGCACCACAACCCGACGTGTTCAACCAAAGCTCCTCCCCAGTCCTGCGTCGGGTATTGAGCGAGTCAGCAAATCCCAAGATCGGCATTCCACCCGTGTGCGTTGGTTCCGGAGCCATGGCTCTCATCGTCTGGAGACACCGACTTCCAGAAGTGCATCTAATGATACAGACCAAGATCATGATGAAAGAAGTGAGCCACTTGGTGTACCCGCACAGCTTTTAGGTGGAGTCAGTCATGCTCTATCAACCTCGAGACTGGATCCGTTTCAAACGTTTCCCGTACATTTGACCAGTCAGCACCATAAATTACTGCATCATTGTATGTTCACACCATCATGTGTATGTGGGGGTCGGAACTAAATGAAAATTGTTAACAGAATCATAGGGATTGGTACTCATGCAACAATGATGTTTGAAGGACTCGATATCCCAAATTTCAACCCAATGAAGGACGTATGGTTCCCCTTGGATCTCTCTAATGCCTCTTCGTTCAATGCCATCATGGCCCACTCTGCGGCACATCTAGCTCATCTCTACTCCGGAACAAGCCCCGAAAAAGGAACAAATTCAGCCGATGCCTTTAAATTCAAGGCGGAGGCTGTCCGGATTTTGCATGAATGGCTCTGTGATCCAGAAAAGGCACTAAGTTATGATGCCTTCGCAGCAGTCATTCGACTGCTCACATTCGAGGTCAGTGCACTTCCAAACCACTGTCTAGCATCAGGAGCCGCCGATAAGATAAATACCTGATCCATGCACAGAGATACTGGGGTACCGCGGATGAGTGGAACATCCACCGTAGCGGTCTCCAGAGGATGATTGAAGCCAAGGGTGGGGTTAAGAAGCTCCACGATAACTGGCGTCTTGAAATGGTTGTCTACCTGTGGGTCTCCTTGGGTGCTACCTTTACGTAGCTGTATTCACTAGGCCACTAACAACTACAGTGTCTCCCTCATGACCAAGCCATCCTGGTTCGAGTCGACAAACAATATCTCCGAAATTTCCGAGCCCTCGACCGATGCCGCGTTTACCTCGGATCCCTCATTAGACTTCCAAAAAATTCGCTGTCTATGGCTGATTTCGTTCATTCAAGACTTGCGCACTTTTATGGGATTCTCTTCGCGTTTCTACACCCACGGTCTATCCACATATCCATTTATCTACCACGCAGTCTGTCATCTCCGGGACGATTTTCAGATTTACCATACCAACTCTTCTCTCGATACTGGCATATCGAAACCGGAATATGACAGGTTAATTTGTTTGTTTTCCATCTGTGTGATGATGCAGGATTCGATAACATCTCCCTCTCCACCCACTGGCTCCATAGGCCAAGTATCCCCCACCAATGTATTAGATCGGTTGGACACCGCTCTCGCAGGATCCCAGAGCAGGTGGAGCGATTCTGTTCGGGGTCTGCTCCCATTCTTACAGCACCACCTCATAAAGTTCCACGCCGATGGAGCTCAGAAAACAATTTATATCACGCGAATGGCGGAGGTCCTGGGACAGCTGAGTCTAGAGGCACGAATTGGGGTCGAAAAATGTCTTCTCAACATGCTGTGTCGGTCAAAGGAAACATGTGCAACGTTCTTGGTGGATGATGGCTGGACTCCAGACTCACTGCTGTCATCTATGCATGGACAATAATAGCTACAGCTGCCCAAAACTCTGCTTAACATGGCCTGCTTTGAGCTGGATGAGCAGTCTCGCGAGCCGAAATCCTTGATTCACTGATCCAAACCTAGTCGAAGAACGGAAATCAGGCATGGATATTTCAATTTGCAAATAGTATGCAGAGAAATGCAAATGCCGCGTTATTGTTGGAATTCATAGTAATGCTCCCGTCACCCAATCAGTAATTCGGGCTTTATCTGGTGAAATCTAATAAACCCAGCTCAAAACCCTCGGCAGTCGACCTATACCAAGCTTTGTTATGGTCCAGACTCTCCATATCCTTGAAATGAGAGACTTTGACCCGGAGAATACCGTATTGCTCCTCTAAAGACACTTGATCATGCATTTTTCGCACCAACAAGGCTTCAGGCATGAAAGTCAATGGTATCATGAAAAAGGAATTGTGGAGTTAATGGTCTTGGAAAACTGGACGATAGACATGCATTATCACGAATGCGAGATAGAGTAGTACAAACAAGCTATAATAGGGGAGTTGAGAATAGGCAATCGATTTTCATTCTTTTCTACCATCTTTTTCAATTCACAATATCATATCTTTTAGATTCATCGGGTATTCTTTATGGAGGCTTCCGATGGAGCTCATTTTAACTTGATTGTTGTTAGAGGCGGTATAGCTGGCAACACTGTTGCCGGACAACTCGCCAAGAACCCTAATATGACTGTCCTGGTAGTCGACGTAGGCATTAGAACTTCATACCTGATATAATTGCTATGCACGAGGGTATCTGATTCAGCTATTATATTCTCACCAAGTGTGATGGATACAAAAACATTGTGGTTACTGAGCATCTGTGGAAGATGCCTTTGGATCCCTGCCAACTTGCCTTCTACCCTTGTGGCACAGCTTGTTTGTCAAAGCCATTCAACAGGGTGGGGTTGATCCAAATTTGAGAGTACAGGGCGTTCAAAATCTCCGAGCTATCGATGCCTTCGTCATTCCTATCATCCCCGACTGTCGTATCCAGATCTACATGGTTGGAGAGAAGGGCGCTGATTGCAGCAAGAATGATCATAAAGATTTGTACCAGCCACTCTCTAATAAGTTGTGACTGAAAACCAAAAGGCTTTTTAGAGTCCATGATAATTTAAGGCAGCAAATTGTCTATTAATAATGCCCTTACAGCAATGAAAATTCAGTACAAGATCATTTTCCACCAAGTATATTAGTATTTGCTTACTGGTGGACAACATGATTCATAGCATCTATAGGGCGTAAATAAATTTAGAAAAAAAAGCAATGACGATATATTTTAACTTCCATTCGCTTCTGGTGTGAGATCATGTGCAAAAAGGAAAAACTTACGGGAAACTTGTTTGAGTAAAGGCATTATTGAAAATATCACGAAAGGAACTGTCAAATTGAGTATTCTTCCGCAGCCCTCAACAACTCCAGGTTACATGAGTCCGGCATAGGTTCTACCTTCATCCTCTAGCTCCTCGTCTTCCTTCAAATAGTCCTTCATCTTATCCAGAGCACTCTCCTTCTTGTCGGTATCGGCGTGCTCATGTTTATCCTCTTCATGAGTGTCCTCCCTCTGATCTTTCTTCTCTTGGTTCTCATAATGATGATGTAAAATTCTCTCGAAGAAGCCCTCATGATGAGGCTCTGTGTTTGTATTGGATTCTAATATAGAAAGTCAGTAAACCGATGTGCGGATGCTGCGGAACGGGAAGATGCGCACTGTCAGCCATAATATTTCTGATATTTCACACACGTAGTAGTATCTCTTTCTCGGGATTTCTTCAAATGTATGTTTGAATGAGATATGGGAAGTTCAGTCTGGTGGCAACACCTGGATTACACATGGAGCGGGGAAGCCGACCAGCTTAAATAAATAAAGCCGATGAAATAATAATGGGTTTATATCGTCATGAGCTAGCATGCTTATAATAGTACATCATAGGAACAACCTAGTTACTAAGGCTGCTTTCTCATTATAGGCTGCTTGGTAATGAGCGCATCATTGACCGGCTTCCAACGCCCTGGGAGCTGAAAGTGTGGAGAAAGTTAAACTGGCGGCATTTCCCGATGAGCTGAAAGGCTCCCAAGCCACGCGTTCAGTGCCTCGTTTCTGTTATTGCCTTCAGTATTTAGCACTGTCCTGGTTGGATTATACTACCGCCACAAGTGGAAAAATCGTGCCAGGGCCACAGGGCTGAATACTTCCTTGGGAGCCTAAATGTTAGTCCCAAAACTAGTCTTCGTGGGACGTTGATGAATTCCGATCAGGAATTTTGGACGACTCTTAGTCATCTATCCTATTCTCGGTCCTTTGACTATTCCTTATTATTCTTTAGAAGAATGGCAAGGGACAGTGCGAAGCTAGATGGTGGGAAACTCTGTTTAAATCAACCACTGAGATGCATTCGTTAATGCGTGAAGGATCACAGAAAAGCAATCCGCACTCCATGTAAATGTGAAAGCCAACAGTCAAAGATGTAGGAACTTATTCACTTGCTTTTTAAGGGTGATACATAAATATACGTATATTATCATCATCATCATCTTCTTCTTCTTCTTCTTCTTCTTCAGACCCCAGAACATATGCCAAGTATCATCACACCGATTAAATGGGTTGTGTTTCGAGACATGAGCCTTATTGCTGGTTTTAATTTTCTCCATTCGATCAGAAATCATCAGGTCACGCAAGCTGGTGTAATTATGAAGATAATACATTCACACCTGTATGTAACCCGAAGTGTGGAGTATTTGGACCAGATTTAACTCAAGAACGAGCCTCCACTAGTAAAGACACCAATAAGATGTGATTTGAAATATCAATTCTACTGCTGTTTGTCGCATCTTGATTTAGATTGAAGAAAAAAAGGAAAAAAAAATTTATATACATGATACACCTTGAAGCACAATCATTTGGTCTTGATGTGCTTGAGCTTCTTGGGTTCGTGGAGGAAATTGTTGGCGTAATTCTTTGGTGTGAACCGGCGCTCATTCGGCTCCTGGACAAAGTATTCATAGCCCTGCTTCTGGGCAAAGGCAATGGCGTCCTCCTTTGACTTGAACTTCATGTGGGTTCCCTGCATACCATCGGCGGAAGATTGCCACCCCATCAGCGGGTTCTCCCATCGGTGACCTCTCTGCAAGATATCCCAATCCATACGCCAGTGGTGTTGATGCCAGGTGCCAGACTGAGTAGCGGCCTTGGTAGGGCGGTAGATTCTGCAGCAGTTAATGTATCAGCAAAACCAATTCTGTGAGTCCAGATGAACACGATATGACCTACCTGACAGTGCGGGCCTGCAAATCAGTAGGGGCACCAGACAGAACAGCAGCAGGAAGAGCACCAGTGGGCTCACTGCCATCCATGACACGTTTAGGCACGGGAGAAAATTGACTGTTGTAAGAAGAAAACCAGGTCAGCAAAGAAGGGTTTGCGGCAAGGGTCAATGAAGTAGTCCATACGAGGTTCCGTGGTCAATAGTAGCCTCATAGTCTGGCTGATGACGGGCCATTGCCTCCGAAGGGCTCTGCTGGTTGATCAAAGAGCTATCCTGGCTGCGCGTGGTGGGAGCATCGGCCGGGCTGGTCTTGACGGAAGCAGAGCCCTTCGCGGCATTGGAGACAAAGCGGGCATTGATAGGAGTCGCAAACCGAGTCGCACGGAGGCCAGAAGCACCTCCAATTCTGAAGAGCGACATAGTGGCGAGTGGAAGAGTGGGAGGTGGTTTGATGTTGGAGACACTGCAGTTGCAAGAGGAGGTTGATCGAAGAGTGCAGGTCACGGTACATCCGAATGTGGTTTAGCGCATTTGGTTCATCCGACCACCCGCTTCCCGATCACAGGTTCTCTTCCTCCTGCATCATCAGTCATTCCCGGTTCACTCGCGCTGCGAAAGACAGTAAGTTGCCTCAGATGGCTGTGACAGATTCTTTGGTGAGGAATCAACCTCATGCGACCAATTTCTCACCGCTTCCAGTCCCGACAAGATGAGCTACATCGCCCGCCGTGGTCTCTCGACCCTGATCCCTCCCAAGGTATGAATGTCCCGAATTGCGAAATCAAAGCCATTGCAAGCGATTGCGGATCATACTGACTGTTCTGTTTTAGATTGCGTCCCCCAATGTGAGCCCCCCCGGAATGTGTGATGCTTGCCTTGATGCCCAGCACTTCTGCCCCGTACCTTCCCGAAGTCTCTTTTCGTGCGAACTAGCAACTCGATACTACGCTTATTTTTGCTATCCCGACTCGCTACTAATATGAACATACAGGCCATCGGCGCCGCCCAGGATGCTGCTCGCATGGAGCGTGTTGTGAACTTCTACGCCGGCCTTCCCCGTGGCCCTGCCCCTCAGGTCAAGCCTACTGGTCTCCTTGGCCGCTACCAGGCCCGCTACTTCAACAAGAACTCTGGTGCCCGTAAGTTCTAGATTGATGCGACATACAAAGCACATTGATATTGATTCGACTAGCTCTCCTGCACGCCATTGCTGGTATTCTGCTCATGGGCTACAGCATGGAGTACTACTTCCACCTGCGTAAGTTGAACCCCACAAACATGAATGCGCCGATGTTCTTGTTTTGTATCTAGCTGGATTGGAGCTTACTAACTTTACAACCTCAATAGGCCACCACAAGAACCACCCTCACTAAATCTTCTCTTTTGTTGAATGGGTGGAGGGTTGATGTACATACTGCAACCTCTGACCCTCAGAGCCAGGCAGTGTAGGAATTAGAGACTCTTGAATACCGAATCTCACACCTTGTTTCATTATTATCAACTTTCCATAATAGTTGGATCCTGTGGTGCGGAAGACCTCAGAATGTGATTACATGATGTGAATGTAGTGGCCCTCTATTGCTAGTATTCACAAGCCTAGAGAAATTGGCCTGTGGTGTTATCCCTGATCCTTTTCGCTACCATCAGGGGCAGCAGGATTATGAAATAATTGGTATTCCCAGGGGCTTCATCTGCTTTATCCACAAATCACCGAGAATAAGTTCCAAAGGGAAGACTGTCTCGGGAGTATTTGCGGAAGCAAATAGAGGATCGTAAAGTCCGTAATGTCATTCGTCAAGAGTTTGCTCTAGTATACAAGTAAGTTTATGGGGTATAATTATGTTTATCTATTATGTCTGAGAGCTAAAGTATCGACCAATACAGCTTGTTCCATGTAGTATTCAGTCACGCGCGGCTTCCTCAACATGCCTTGTCTCTGATAAATTGAACGGAAACTGTAAGAGATCTTCCTAATCTCGAATTGATATAGAATCCGCAAGCATAAGAATTTGACCGTATCATCCTTGGGCATATTTCTAGGTTCTCAATTCTGGGCCTCTTGAACATAGCTGGGAACGGTGGCTTGACACAGACTACGTTATGGGTGAAATGGCCAAGCCACCTCCTGGGACAGGATGGTACCTGATCGGCCGAGCGTGAGAATTCTGGACATTTCTGGACAGCGTCTATCTGTTTTATTCTGAAAATTAGGCATGGAATAACGTTTTTTTTAAGTAACCTAGGGTTATATATTAACTGGTGCAGATTAGGTGAGGCTTGCTCAAGCTGATAGTCCTACTTAAACATGTGGAGATTTGTTCATTTAGATTTTCCGTACTTGTAATAGAAAAGGGCTCAAATATTAGGACACCATGTGCACGTTATATATGATGGGGTGTGGTGACTCTGATGAGGCTTTTCCGATTGATGTATGGGGTTAGGTGACCTGAATCCTATTTAAGTACCTGAAAGATATGCTGAAAATTCCAAAGTGTATAGATAGTGGATGAGATGAAGATATCAGAACACTTCCAGAAATATTGACTGGCATCTGATTGCAATACACAACGCATAATGCTCGACGCAATTGTCGACGATACGATTGGGAGATGCGTTGTTATGCATTGCGTATGTTGCCTGCGGCTGTTGGCGTTATGAGACCTCACAACCTTCCCGGGTTGACGCTAACCGAAAACAGCCAACCCTCAGCTTCAAACCCGAGAATCATCTCAACGGGCCTGAACATCATAACCATCCATCACCCTCCTTCCCACGACAAGACCCTTCTCCCTACCCTCCTCCCTATTCTTGGGACTCTCCCTAGGTTGCGGAAATTCTCACACGCCTTTCTCGATTCCGCACCTGCTCTCGCCGAGCGCTCCACCTGGCCTTCTCAACAGCTCCTGGAGGTTGGCCGCCTCAACGTCTACTTCCTGGTTGTGCAGTCCCGATTCTCAAGGGTGCAACCAGAAAAGTGAGCAGTTCAACTGTGGCGATCCCTGGACTCTGACAATAGGTACGCAGTCGGCAGTCTCTTCTGCTCCCATGCGAGCTTGACCCGCGGCTGCCAACTCGCGCCCGCATGACTCCATCCCCATCCCCCCTTCCCCGGATTCTGAGAGTGCAGTTCTGACAAATGCCGCCTTTTATCAACTGTGCAGACTCGAGTATTGTTATGGCAGAGCAGAGCGGCCGCGATGTGGTAGATCAGACCCTGTCGGGCGGCGAGCCTTCGCCTTCCGACGTTCCTGCGAGCACTAACGACAAGCCATCTGCTGGAGGGGACGTGGGGGAGACCAGACATATCGCATCGACCTTGGAACCACAACTATCAACTGACCAGCAACCGATCGACATCGAGACGAGAAACACGCCTGATTCGCAGGCCGGGAGGACTGAAGGTGATAAGCATACCGAAGGCTCATCTATGGTCGGTGGAGGCTGTTGACATCCCAGAGCGATCGAGCAGCTGATTGTATGATAGGATATTTCAAAGCAGGGTACGGGTTTCGTGGCATCCAGAGTCCTCGAACTGAATGGGGTAGCGTCGGCATCCGATGGCGGGGACGACACTGCTTCACTTGGCGGCTCGGAGTCAGATGCCAGCCGGACTGATGGAAGACATCACAATCGGACTGGCTCAGTCAAACGACCTGCAACGTTCAAGCCTGTTTCCTTCGCCAAATTTACCGTACCAAAGACTCCCGGGGCAGCTGCACCGCCCAAGGCGCCCGAGAAAGGTCATTTCTCCGTGTTTTATCGATTAACAACTCGTGTTACTGACAAGTGAATAGTCCCATCAACATCAACTACTCCCCTTGGTACGCCGCAACCAAGTTCACGACCACGCTTAGTTGCAAAGACCACGGCTGGCATGCGAGATTCATTTTCCAAGACTGGTGCAGGTGGTGGCAAGGCTGATGGATCGGGGCCTGACCCGAACCAAGTTTGGAATAAGAACCGACGTATGTGCTTCTGTGAAGTGCCGCTTAATGTTTATATCTGGAAACTGACTGTTGCCTTGCGCTTAATATAGCCGTCCAGCCTACACCCCCGAAGCACTTGACCGACGAAGAGTTGAAACAACAATATGGCATACACATGACTTCTCGGATTCAAGAAGATGGGGGAGGTACCGAGGCGAAATGGGCCGATATTGACGATGACGAGGACGATTGGGCCCCTGAGACGATTGAGTGGACAGACGGCACAAAGGTCACGCTTACCCACACGGAGCCTGCGCCCTTAGCAGATCAAAGCAATGAAGAAACGAAAGATCTCCCGCCCCCGGAGCAGATAGCGATGAAGGATCCGATCAAGATTGCGGCACCCAAGCCAACAACGTCGGTTGGGCCGAATCCTACGGTGCTTCGCCTCGGGGCGAGCGCCGAACGGCAAGCCAAGGCTGCTAGCATCTCTTCTAAAGGAACCAACGATCGCGTGCCATCGGGATCTACAAGTCCAGCCCCCCCGCCGGCCAAGTCTCCTTGGGCCGCTTTACCCCCGTCGAAAGGGTATCTCCAGTCAACCCACCAGTTCATATTCATTCGCAACACCCTCGAGGTCCTGTCAACTATCCTCACCGAGAGGATGGCCATCATGTTCCTTACCATCCAAAGGAGATTGCTGCGGACGATTTCAATCGCCAATGGAGAGAGCCTGCTCCTGGGGCTCCTCGAGAGCTGTACAACTCTCGTTCAGGTCGGTATGAGCCTGTGGCAGATACTCGTCGAGGGTCTTGGCGCCACGACCAGGGCCCTCGTCCTGCTGTCCTCCAACGGCAAAATAATGTTGATACTGCTGGACCAGCGGAGCCATCTGCTGCATTCCAGACACATCGTTCAAGCCACCAGGACGGTATGGGTTGGAACCGCCGCCGCACATCGTCGAATGTCAGTGGCGGTAGTGGTGGATTCGGTCGTCGCATGTCATTTGGGAAGAATGATATGCCGCCAAGATATGTGGAAGCTCGACGAGGCTCTCAGACCAACGGCATAATGGACCCGGCTCTGATGGGCCGAGAACCTGGTCAATTTCAGGAACATTCTCCTAGTCAGCAGCACGTTGGACCCAACTGGGCCCCGCATCCATCTGCTAGTGCAAGTGATGGCTTAGCTGTCGAGAAACCGTCAGTGCCGACCGCGGTGCCGGACGTGCCTCAGGAAGATCCTGTTGTACTGCAAGAACGTATCATGAAGGAGAAGCGCCTTGAAGCTCGGCAGCGCCGTATTGAGCAAGAAGAAAAGGAGAAGGCTGCAAAGGAGGAGAGGATTCGGCAGAAACTGGCGGCTTTGGGCCCAGCTCCGGATAAGGGCCAGCGCAAAGATGGCGATGATAGCCGCAAACCTCAGACTCCCTCAACTTCGAATGCAACGGTGGTCAGCTCTCCCCCTAAACCACCAGTTCCCGAACCAACCGGTGAACCAAAGCAATACGGAATGATGAAAGTTCACCATCCAGATGCAGTCAAGAAACTCGTTGCCGCAAACGAGAGAGATCGAGCGGCAGAGAAACATTCAGAGAAACTCTCAACATCTCAGATGCGTCGAGGTCCTCCATCTCCTCGTGAACAGAAACGCGAGCCTGCTTCCACGAGCGCTGCCAAACAGCAGAATGAACCTGTGCCGCAGGATGGCAAGACCGATGAGCACGGTGGGCAGTGGCGTGGAAACCTCAGCGTCTCCTCGAATTACACCCCATGGCCAACTAATAACACCAACCTTCCAACAACATCACCAACTGTCAAGAATCCATGGAAGCCCCTGAGTAGTGATAGAACTCTTGGCAACGGTATTTTTGAACAGAGCCTAGGGGGATTCGCTTCGCGGGAGCTTCCTTTGCGGAGCCAGTTGGGACTTGATCCAGCACAAATCCCACCGCCGGCATTTTCAGGCGTTCAAGAATCTACCTCGATACCTCCTCTGCCGTCGCCGGAGACCAGAAATGCACCCCATGACCCATTGAGTCCTATTGGACGGCCAGGTCCCATTGGACCTCCGAGCTCACAACAGTCTCAATGGCAACCAGAAGGTCATAACCAGGGTGTTTTGGGAGCATCTTGGAGTAACTTCCATATTGTTGCGGCTCAGCAGGCACGCGCACAGCAAGAGCAAGCACGCCAAGAGTTCAATACAAACCTGGACAAACCAAATCCAATTGCCGCTTCTCTCAAGGAGACCTGGAAGCCAACACGGGGTGGAGAAGATGCGTCCCAGCGGAACATTATTGGAACTCCTCATGGAATGGTCAACAAGAACAGCAATGGTTCCCCTTCTAATACATTGACTGGCTTGGATGCTCCCGTGGATGGTCTTCCGTTCTCCGACAATCATGCTCGTCCTCTCACCAGCGTTCCTGCGCGTAGCTCGCGTTTCTTCCCTCATGCCACTGAGCAGCCGAAACGTTCGACAGCAGAGAAGTACGATTACCAGCGCAGTCCATCGCCCCCGCCTCCAGAGGAGATTTCAAGTCACCCTGTGTACTTTGGCGGATCTGGACGGCCCTTGGTTCATCTTCCCAATCCTAAGCCCGTGGTGAAGCTGCCCCCTAAAGCTCTCGCTGCTCCAGTTCCTCCCCCTACCTTTGCTTCGATGGCTGCTGCACCTCCACGAGGCCCACCGGCCCCTTCGACCGCAATTTCTTGGCAGGAGAAGATTAATGGCCTCTTTGGCAAGAAGACACCTGTGGAAAAGAAAACTTCTTTGGCTGTTGCGTCTGCTACGAAAGAACCATTGGTTGTTCAATTACCTGCTGCTACTGTGTCTGTTTCGCTGCCTCATATCGAGAATATCTTCCAGATTGGGGATGGTCATATTGCTGTTCGACAGGTAGAAGAACAAGATGAAATCTTCGAGGACCGCGAGCCGGGCTCGCTGCCCAGCGTTCGAGTCCCAAACATGGCTCCCGCGAATGCCTGGGATGCTGCACCCGCGCCTCCGCAGTCTCGTTTGCGTGCCAGGATTCTTAGGCCGATGCAAGTCCATAGCATTGAGCCGTATCTGGTTGGAGTTGGTGAAAAGGACCAGTCGGGCAACATTCGGGTATTGATCCGACTACCCGGAGCAGTTGCAGCAAAGACCATCAATCTTCCAAGGAAGGCCGGTGGTCCGAACGCAAGACAACGCGGCTCGCCCAGCTTCAAATCACACAAGGGAGGCAAGCCCCGCGAAGCCTCTGGCAGCACCTCTAGATCTAAGAAATCAAATTCTTCGCAGCAACAGCAGAGTGGAACCGCATCGTCTTCTCCACGTCACCAGTCTCGAGGCGCATCTTGGGGTCCTCGCTCCCTCAGTGGCTCACGCTAGAAGAGGGTTTCTTCGTTCGCTAATATTTCGCGGTTATCAACAGCTGAAGCGACCGTTGAGCATCTTTCATTTTCGGAACTCACAGCCATAAAAACACCTGCTGCTACCCTGATACAATCACGGCGAGGCTTCTTGCCCGAATGTGCCCGGTTCTTTTCAAATCTACCTCTGTGCTTGCTCTTTCCTCCCTTACATCTGAAATAAGAACGACAGCAGGGCCAGAAAGAACATCACAACCCACTCATCATATTCGCCCACCCCCCACCTCTCTCACAACCCGCTTTCTTCATGTTATGTACTTTTTTTGTTCCCTCCATTTTTCTCGTGCCCACCAAGCTATGTGCGTGGGTTTGCAGCTTATTGAGCCCAGGATGTGCAGCGGATCAACCCGCCTTTTCCACCCCAAGGGCAGATCATGAGATCATTCCCACCTCGTTCACGCAAGGTGAGCCCGAGTATGACATATCTATTCTCGGGCTTCACTTTCTTTGTCCCTTTTAGCTGCCGGCAATCTGCCTGATGTCCAATGAACCGCAATTTCCAATGTCCTGTTTGCGTTGCGTTCAAGCCATCCTGGACCTAGCCTTCTCACAACGGGCGCGGTTTCCAAGTCTTGTATCATGCAGCCTCCTCAATTCATATCATGTAGTCTTGAATGCTTCCCCTCTCCGAAGCCTGGTAATTCTTGTAGGGCAAATCTTTATGTCAATGCCTTGCTAGTAGTAGATAACTCAGATAGGAAATTTTGACCGCGACGTCACCTTCATAGTCATCCTTAGTATGTAAACTTTAACCTACAAGTAAGGGCAAAGGTAGTGAGGACGCTGCATCTCCGTATGGGAGTTTATTATGCACGAAAAGGCATTGAACTAGTGTACAAAAAAATAGAGGTATCAAATAGAAATCCAAAGCACCCCAACCCAAAACTCCACACCTTTGTTCGCCTCGAATAACCAAAAGGAAGAGGCACCGTGCGCCCATAAATTATCGTAATATGCGTAGTTGGCTTGTTTCCTGGCCTCCTCTTGTCTACCAATTCCAGGTCCGGCTGGAGGCAGTGAAAACGGGAGGTTTCCACTGCAGACGGACAGGATCGATCCTCTTCTCACCTTTGACCTTTTCTTTCTCAAGGCGCTTCTGATGCTCAGCGACTACCTGGTCGGTAAGGACAATGACCCAATTTCCTTTCTGTAGATATTTCATTAGTCTCAAAGCGTGGGTGCAAAGAGGGAGAGGAAAGAAATCATACATGGTATCTGAGCATATTGTTGACGAGCAGTGTTTCGTGGACATCCTTCTCTGTCATGGAGGTGAGAACAGCCAGCTCATTCTCGCTCATAGCCTCGCGACCCGGCTCAATCAACAGCTCAACAAGAATCTCACGCCAATAGCGACGGTAGCTGAGAAGACCTAAATCACTCAGCGGCTTCTCGGGGGAGCCAAGCTTGCCCTCGCGCTTGCTAAGCTCGTAGCTGAATGCGATCAGTAGACGACCGTATCCCGCACGCTGATACTGCGGCAGCGTCATGATACAAGCCAAGTTATACCCTTCTGCAGAATCCTTTTCCTTGGAAAAATAACCGACCATATGGCAGCCCGTTTCATCACGAGTGCACATGCAGTAGAAGAGGAAGGGATCGACATCGTAGTAGAGGGTCTTATGGTCAAGGAAGAGCTTGCTGAGGAGACACAAGTTACGACACCAGGTACGCTGCCGGCGGCCATCGACCTCGAAGAAAGAAATGTTTTCATCGCGGTAAATTTCGTTGCCGGGAGGGTGAACCAATGTGCATTTGGCGCGGTGGCGCTCAAAGGAGCGATAATTATCGAAGTAACTGAGACAAAACTCGTCGATATAGACCAGATCGACGTCTGAAAAAGCATCTGGGTAAGGTGAGAAATACCATGGCTCAACATAGAACTTCCCCATCTGGAGTTTGGTCAAGTTTCGCACACGATGAACTTCAGTCGGATTTTGGGTCATGCTTCCACCGGTCCGGAGTCGTTCAATTTCTTCTTCTCGAGTAATGACCTCGCCTGAAGCAGTTTTCACCTCTTCGTCCTTAAGTGGAGCATCTGTCATTTCAAGGTCTTCTGAGTCTGTGGCTTTCGGCGTTCCGACAGTGGACACGGCTTCAGAACCGACCATCGAGACATCGCCGCCAGGGGTGTCGCGGTTCTCTTTGCCTCCGGCCTTAGAGGGGCGCGGAGTCTTGCCAACATTCATGTTTTTACCACTAGCCAAGGCATCGGGGGTTCCTGATACCTCACGGCTATCGGCGCGCGCACGCTGCTTTTGGACATTCTTGCTAGGCGCTTTATTAGTAGCACTGCTCTTTTTTTTGTCTGATTTTTCTGGCTGCGGCCATTCCACCTCTTGGGTAAGGTCAATTCTTGAAGCAGCAATCCATTCTAAAAGCATCCATTAGTTTCGAGGTCAACTTCAAGTAAAATGAGAGGAAGTTTACCATCAAGACGCTTGTTAAAGTCAACATAGTGTACGCTAGGCTATGTTAGCATGTAACATTCTTATGGACATGAGGTTATATGAGAAGGCATACTAAAATGAAGGTGCTCCTTTCCGTTCTCTAATCGACAGAATCTCTGCTTTGCGAAGCTGGCCATCCTGATATGACCGTCAGTTTCATATCACGTGATTAATGCCAGACTCTGCGTGAGCGAAACCAACCTTCTGCACCATCGCCTTCACACCGAGGCTACCATGCTGGTCAGTATATGCGACCGGCAAAATGTGATACTGATAATCACAGGAGGGAGTTAACAGCTTCTCTTCAGCCTTGCATGGACTTACGTGATGGTGTTGATCGTGGCGAACCCTTTCTCGACGGGGTCGGGCGTCCCCGTCGCCTCCCCCGGAGTCTCGGACGCCCATAATGATTGACTGCACGTAGACTCAAGCCCGTTGAGGACAATGAAGGGATGGGTTTGATGGATTTGATGCGATGCGCGCCCTACTGGAGTTGGGTGGTGAAGGCGGAAGAGAAGGGCGTTTGAAGCAAAAACTTACGTCAGCAGCACCGCATCGGGAAGTGGCAGATCCGTCCCAAAGCGTGTTGTTTAGGGTGCGCAGTGTTATTCTTCGTAGCAGAATAGTACGTATATTCAACAATCTCTCTGTATTCCGAGAAGCAGAGATTACTGGTGTCATTCTATCTTCTCCCATCATCATACAACTTGGAGCCATATAAAATGGATAGAACGCCAAGTAAATTTGCTAATCCACCCAAAAATGTTCACCTTCCTGGTAATGATACAGAAGTCTAGCCTGCAATAGGTTCATGATGGCTAGGGATATGGAATAAAAGAAACAGAATCAAGGAATTCGACCTCTTAATGCCACCCATTGACAGTAGCCGTGCCCGCAACGAGCTCATCCAACTCGTCCTTCCGGCTCTTATATAAGTCCTGTGCCTCGCGCTCCCGGCGCATGACGAAGGACACCTCCTCACGCAATTTCTCGAGACGCCGAGAGACAGCAGCCTCCTCGGAAATCTGGAGAGTCCGAAAAGAATCCAAATCATCTTGCGCCTTGGGCAGAGCCACGCTAGCCTCCAAGATTTTTGTCCGTAACGTCTTCGCGCGGGTCTGATAACCGCCATAGTGTAAGGCCAGCTTTTTCTCCAACTTATTGCCCTTCTCCGCTGTAGCAAGGAGTGATGATTGGACATTATCGAACGCGCCGATCATGCGTTGTTCCTCCTGGAAAGTATCCTTCTCATCTTCATCATCGTAGTTGTCCAGACCCGGGAGGGCATTGGCACGAGTTGATGACCAAATATCATCAAACCTTTCTTGCCAGTCCTGCTGTTGTTGCTGAGCCTCTGCAGAAGCAACTTCCGCAGTAATCGCTGCGCGAGCAGCTTCCAGAAATCTGTCATCAAGGCGGCCAAGTTTGGGCGCTTTGCCTTCCACCTTTGCGCCGGGCACTGGGAATTTTCGAGATTCGTGTGCAATAATGATTGCAGCCTCATGGGAAATCAGGCCCTCCGCAGGGTCAGTTACACTAGCCGCGCGCTGCATCAATGCATCGAGATCAAGAACCATAGGACGTGGTAATCCACGCTGGTATGCTTGGGACTGCCGCTTGAATTCAGCCTGGGCCGCCTGCTCCCGCGCTTCCTTCTCTCTGCGATCCCGCTCAGCCGCATCCTCTTCGGTAAGTTCGATGGCAGCAGACGGTTCAGCAGCCTCAGAGGGCAACTCCTCCAACTCCCACTCAGTCTCCTTGGGTTTCGGAAGTGAAGATAGCTTGCTGCGGATTGACTGACGCATGAAGTTCTCGTGCATCTTGATATCACGGGGAGTGCTACCAACGAGCTGATTACCTTGACCTTCCTTGTTCAAAGCAAAGTGGTCTCGAGGTGTACGCAGTGGGGTAGCGCCGGGTCCAATTCCACCATGCATGGGAGTTGCTCCAATGCCGTTGGCTTGTCGAAATGGTGTGGCCATTGGGTTGGGCGTGACAATCTCCTGCCGTCGCGGTGTGATTCCATCGAAGCCAGTTGATGAGCCACCCTCGTGGAGAGGAGTGTTCTCGCCTCCGAGTAGAGAAGATTTTGTTTCAGTCAACGCCCGAATGTTCTTGATCTCGTTGGCGATATGATCATCCTCGGGAGCAGCGCGAGGTGTCCGAATAGGGGTTCCGCCAACAATCGCACCATAATTTCCAATGAGTCCTCTAGTTGTTTCTTCGTCGGCACTCATCCGACTGGCCTTGTCACCGGCCATGCCCATTTTAATAATATCCTCCATTTCCCCTTCGCTAATTTGTGGCGAGGGTAGAACCAAGCCCCGTCGCTTGCTGCTCTGCTCTGCTTCACGGATCTTCTGCATCTGCCCGGCGCGCGCAGCGGCCGCAAAGGCAGCCGAATTGCTGTTTTTGTCGTTCTTCCGCTTCTTGCGCTCCGCATCTTCATCTTGGTCACCTTTCCGCTTATTGGCCAGCTGTTGCTTGCGGGGGTCAAACATTTCCCGCTGGCGTTCATTTCGTGATTGTTCCTCTGTGGTGTCATAGAAACCAGGAGCGGCGGGCTTCTCAAAGGGAATATCTGCGTTGTAATCCATTTCGCCAGGCTTCCGAGTGGTGACTTTGACATTGATTCCGGCATTCTTGAGCTCACGCCGTTTCTGCAGTACAGCCAATCGACGCGACTCTTCCAGTTGGCGTTCTCGAGCCTTTCGCTTCGCCTTTTTACCCTGTGTATTCGCGAGACGCGCACGCGCTTCACTCAGCATTTCCTTCTCATCTTCATCCAGATCGATCGTGTCAGGGCGCGCAGGTTTGGATTCAGGATCAGGGTCCAGCTCGCCAGGGCTATAAATGGATCAGTACTGATAGAATGACGATACGGATAGGGGATGTCATTAAACGTACCGGAGACGACGGACATCATCCGCGCTAGGGGCCGCTGTCTCACCACCCTCCGGACCTCCCAGTCCAAATTCATCGTTTTCGCGAGCTTCGGCTTCGTCCAAAAGTTTCTGATAACGTTCGAGACACTGTGTGGCAGTACGACCGACGATGGGGGCAATTGTGCGCCATTGGGTTGGCATGAGCTTCGCCAGATGAAGAAGCTTCTCATCCTCTTCTCGCGACCACTCGACCTTGCGAATACCGGGATCGAGCCATTCTACCCAACGTGCTTTGCATTGCTTTGGTGTCTTTCGTGCCAGAAGAGACGAAACTCGGGCCCACTGGTTGAGACCATATTTCGAAACCTATCATCCGGTTAGCATCTGCGCGACCAGGAAAAACGCGTACTTGTATGAATGGTATCAATGAAAACGTACTGCTGCGCGAAGGACTTCGTCCTCAATATTGGTCCTGATAATGGGTAAGTTGGTGTCGCCTTGAGATGGAATGTTCACACGAGAGCTTACCAGACACCTCCTTTGACAACAGGCATGATGTGCGACTAGACAGATATCTCTGTCAATCCCCCAAATTGAAGTGATATTATCGCCAATCCACCTCCGGGAAAATAAAAGGCAGGATCCCAGGGTTCAGATTGACGCGCAACGGTGGTTTGGCGGAGCTTGAAGAAAAGCGAGGTCGCCAAGCGTAAGTGACTTGACCGCCCGCGCAGGCCGCCCCCGCGTTAGGTAAGCGGGTCCAGAATTTTTGGCCTTTTTTTATTTTTGGTTTCTGAACTTCCGAAAAAAAACCCGATTAGAGCATCAGCCATGTCGCCCTCGGTGGATGCCCCTCAGCAATTCAAGCAGCCTTCTCGTAAAGGCAAGAAGGCCTGGCGCAAGAATGTCGATGTTACTGAGGTTCAGGAGGGCCTGCGTCAATTGAAAGATGCCGAAATCAAAGGGTACGCCTATCGCTATCTAAAGGGTTTTCCATAATATACAGGTCTTTTTATTCTGACTTTCTAAATAGTGGTCTTGTGTCCGAGAAGCCGTCTGACGAGCTGTTCACAATCGATACTATCGGATCAGAAGATGTTCGGAAAGCGATCGCAAAAAAGCATAAGCCTCTCAGGGCCGACGAGATCATCGCTCAGCGGTCGGCCATCCCCGCATTGGATGGACGCAAGCGTGGAAACCCAAATGTCACCGACGGAATCATCGAACCCAAGAATAAGAAGCACAAAAGTGATTGGGTAAGCCGCAAGGAATACCTGCGCTTGAAGCAAGTTGTGAAGGATGCAAACCCACTCGGCAAGAAGGGCGACAGCCAGATTTACGACCCCTGGGCGGATGATGTGGATGAGGCTCCTACATATGATGACCCTCGATTTGATTTCTTGGAGAAACCAAAAGCCAAGGTCGCACCAGAGACTCTGAAACATGCGCCAGTATCACTTGCTAAGAGCGGTAAGGCCATCCCCTCTGTTAGCAAGCCCCACGCCGGAACCAGCTACAACCCAGTCTTTGAGGAATGGGATCACCTTCTTGTGGAGCACGGAGAGAAGGCAGTCGAGGAGGAAAAGAAGCGCCTGGAAGAGGAAAAGAAAGAGGAGGAGAGACAAAGGTTAATTGCTGAAGCCCAGAATGATGACGGCGAAGTCAAGTCCGATGACGAGAGCGCATGGGAGGGCTTTGAGAGCGAATATGAGAAGCCCGACTGGCTTAACAAGAAGCGTCCAGAGCGAAAGACCAAAACGCAGCGCAACAAGATCAAGCGGAGGAAGGAAGCTGAGAGACTGGCGAAATGGGAGGCTCAGAAATCCAAGAAAGACGAACAACTCGCCCGAGTGCAAGAGCTTGCCGAGCTTGCCGAGCTTCGAAAGATCCAGCCTCAAAATGATTCCGATGCTGATGAATCGGAGGAGGAGGAGATGATCCCGTCCTGCGCCGCAAGACGTTCGGTGGAAAGAATGCGTACGTATTGGATTTGCTCACAATTTCCTGTAATAGTGTTAACTGAGGCCTACAGTGTCCCCGAGAAACGTTTGGAGCTGGTCCTTCCTGACGAGCTGCAGGACTCTCTTCGTCTCTTGAAGCCCGAAGGTAACCTTCTAGATGACCGATTCCGAACCCTCATTGTTCAGGGCAAGTTGGAGTCTCGAAAGCCAGTGACTCAGGCTCGTAAGGCGAAGAGAAAGGTGACCGAGAAGTGGATGTCCAAGGACTTCAAGATTCCTGGGCTCGATTATTAATTTTCTTTCTGTTGTATCTAAAAATGGCGTGCATCGGCGATTGGACATGAACATACCTTATGGTCAAAAACATCCAGGTTTTTATTTATATAGTTATTCATCCGGGATCCAGAGGGCAAGAATATAAGTTTTGTTTCTTTTTTTTTCACTCTTTTTTTCACACGAACCCAACACTTATAGAGCGAGAAAACTAAACAGACACAGACACCCTCTGAAGGTCGATATAATCTACTGCTTCTGGTTAGCGCCCATTGCCATAAAGGCGGTGTGAGTGTTTGGACCATTTTGCCCGTCATTTTTGCCGTCAGAAAAAAAGTCCAACAGGAAACCACGCTCCAACCCACCACTCCCCACGATGCCATAGGATATATAGGCATTTACAAACTTTGAAATGGATTCTATTAGCCTCTCCAGCAACTGGAAGAAGTTACAGGCCACTCTTACAAAAGGCAGCGCCTCGACTGCGGTATCAACAACAAAACGCAAGATCTCGGACCGAGACTCGGTGAACGCTACCGTGAAGAAGCGCAAATTTACCGAGAAAGATCAGTCCAAAGCACGTGTGTTGAAGACACCGTTCAAGCGAAAGAAGATGGCAGATAGTACCGATACTACGTCTTCTTCCAACTCTGCTGCTACTGGCTCGCGCAGAAGGTCTAGCGCTGGAGTTTCGTCAAAAACTGAGACCAGTTCAAAGGAAAATGAAGGTCGCTCATCAACGTGAGTATCGGCCTTTCTGAATGATTTTTTTTTTTTTTTGGTTTTTATATCACCATATCATTAACGCATTCCATTCCAGTGCGGAGGTTGGAAAATATGTCGCCATGGATTGTGAGATGGTGGGTGTCGGGCCAAACCCAGACAACGACTCCGTTCTTGCGCGCGTCAGTATCGTCAACTTCAACGGCGATCAGGTCTATGATTCATATGTCAGACCCAAAGAGATGGTGACGGATTGGCGGACGCATGTTAGCGGTATTGCACCAAAGCACATGGCGGAAGCACGAACTCTCGAGCAAGTCCAAAAAGAAGTGGCAGCGATTATGGACGGACGCATTCTTGTCGGCCACGCTGTCAGCAACGATCTGGACGCATTGCTTCTAAGTCACCCTAAGCGCGATATCCGAGACACAAGCAAACATCCGGAATACCGAAAGCTTGCGGGCGGTGGTTCCCCTCGACTGAAAATGCTTGCTGAGCATTACCTCGGTCTGAAGATCCAAGAAGGTGCTCATTCCAGTGTGGAGGACGCCCGGGCAACAATGGCTCTATACCGGCGGGAAAAGGACGCTTTCGAGCGAGAACATCTGAAGAAGTGGCCGGTACGGAAAGTTCAAGAGAACAAAGACAATGGTGATGGCCAGAAGAAAAAGACGAAGAAGAAGAAGAAGCAGCATCGCAAGCGATGATGTGAGACAGTCACCCGAAGACCAAATAGTCGTATGTATTGTAGAGTTGCAACTATATATACCCCGTATTCGCATTCGTGAAAATATATTCTGAATATTCCTTACTAGATTGAACCAGAACCTGTATTTCTTGTCTATAAAGTTAATTTGATCTGCCTGAAATTGGAGCGAGCTCTTACCAGTGGTCACATACTCGACATTTTCAGACCGCCGAATTCCGCCCACTTAACGCGGGAACGCGAGACGCGACTCGACCACCTCGACCACGCCGCAACAAATCCACCAAACCACCACTATCATCTAAGACTTGCTACAACGACTCTTGTTAGCATCTAATGGATATTTGATTTGTCTGAAAATTGATCAGTCATCTAGATCTATCAACCAGCAAACCATTTCGGGCGGCATTCACAGGCCATCGCCTGTCTCCGAGGTCCTCCAATTACCGTAAACCTCCATCCCACCACTTTCACGTTCCGATTTCAGGCATGTACGCCTTTCAGACAGGCTCTCAGCCTGCCTCTCAATCTCCAAAGGAGAATTTCGCTCCTCGAGTCACTCCAAACATCCTTCCTTGCCGAATTAACCACGATGGTCCGATCGACTCTTCCGAACGGTTCTGGGCGCCTGTCACAGATGAAGGTACATAGAGCAGACATTATAGGAGCTGATAAAGACCGGGGGCTTAAGAAATATGATATACTGACGTTATGTCTCTGGCAGAAGCCAAAAAGACTGCCTACTTCCGTGGGCGCAAACTTCGTGGTCGACGCGTTGCAGTTCCAGACGGCTATCAAGGTATGAACCCTAGACGTGAACCTCCTAGAAACACCCAATTCCCTAGCCTAACTTGGTCGACCCTCTATTTTTCAGGAATTGTCGCTATACCGACGGACCGCGTGCTACCAACTTCTCAACAGACCGACAAGAACGCATTAGACGACGACGAGGTTGTTGAGGTCCTGCCAGAGGAGCCAGTCAATATTCTTGAAACGCAAGGAACATTTGATGGGATGGTAGTATGGGGGCACGAAGTTCTTCCTGCTTCGGATGATACGTTCGTCAAGGGGGTAGAGGAGTGGATACGCTTTGCTGAGACTGTGAGTATATTGTCTAGCTCTGGGAGAAATAATTTCTGACTCTCTGCAAGATGCATGGGACACCGCTGCCCGCCGCGAATAGTAATAAAAAGTGACTATATAAGTAACTGGTTGTTTGCGTTCTGAATGGCGCAAGATGGTGGAGATACCCACGGAAGATTTTCTGATTTGGTTATATTGCATTATCCGATATCAAATCTACAGGACTATTCGGTAATCATGCTTGTCTGGTATTAGAAATAAAAGCACTTGACAGTCTTAGGCTTAATAGTCCTCATTTGGCGGTAGCCAGTATTAGGTTTCTTCCCGAAATATTTTCAGAGTGCTATCAAGTGCTTCTAATAGGTGGCGATGAAGTACATTATCCTCAGGCTGCTAAAACTGATTAGCCTGGGAAGCACAAGGCTTATTCTAGAATATCAATTGCGAGATCGTTCAACTTCAATCAACTTGTATCGTCACTTCTTGCTTCATATTTTCCCCATCATCTACTTGTTCCGTCTTGAGTCATTTCCTCGATTCGTCTTACTTCGGTGTGATGGCAAATAAAATGTCTTTCTCTCTCCACAGATAAGCATGATTGAATAGATGATACTCATTTTATGGATATGACATCATTGGAGTAGAAACTCTTGTAACATTACTCTATGTTTACCTCTATTGTCATCGGTTGTATTTGTATATCCTATATTTGCGCCATTGAGCCTGCTTTGAGAAAAGGTCCCATAACGATTGCCTGTTTTGGATCTAATTCTGAGACAGAGCTTTTAAATGCTACAGTATCTTGAATATGTCAATGGAGAAATAAAGTGCACATCAAAACCTGTTACAAACAAGGACACTAGAAATATAGACGGGAGCTCGACTCTGTTTGGAAGCTCTACAACCCCGCGCGATAAGCCTGACCGCCCTCTCATTCTGCAGCCGATAACAAATATCTCCCCACGCAAGTGGTGCTTGTGCTTGGAATCAAGCCTCGCAAAGCTATTGGCCGACCTAAAAAAAAGTTTCTCAACATGGATGGAGCATCTTTCAACCCGAAGGCCGTTCCAGAGGCCTTGATATCTCAATTCCAAGTGACAAAATTGCTCAAGCAAGGTATGGCACTGGCGCTCCTGGCCCTGGCGATGGAAGGATCTAAGCGATTACACAACAGACCAAAATGGCAGACGGATTGCTCTGCTTGGTACAATTGATGATCAGCAAGGCATTCTCATCGCTGAGCGTGCGGCCTTTGGCACCGAATCTTTGGAGGTCATCCAAGCATTCCACGCCGCCATTACGCGAGTCAAGAATCTAGGCGACAACGACATCTACCGGTGGTACCTTGCCTCTTCCAATGGGAACAGCCAGTCCAATGAAGGTCAAGAAGACCTCAAACTGAATCTAATTTGGCCTTGCACAGCGCAACACATCAAGAAATATTCAGATCAGCAACTTCGCATGGTGACTGAGACCCCGGAGATCTACCAGCACCATGTACGACCATTTATGCAGGCCAAACGTGAGGAGGGGCGCTTAAACTGGGTCTTCAACATCCTTGAGGGTCGCACTGAGCAAGAGGATGTCATTATGCGGGATGCCGGTCACGGCCCCGAGGACGCATTCCTCATGCTACCAGATCTTAACTGGGACCGGAAGACCATGAGCTCGCTGCATCTGTTAGCACTGGTACATCGCCGAGATATCTGGAGTCTCCGTGATCTTCGGAAGAAACACCTTCCCTGGTTGAAGTATCTTCGGCAGCGTGTGCTGGAAGCCACTGTGAAGATGTATCCTGATTTGGAGGAGGACCAAATCAAGCTCTATGTGCACTGTACGTTGCCACACGTTGCGTTCTATTCTGGTTTGATATCCTCGGGCGCCTAGGCTTACTGTGACATCAGATCAACCCACTTATTATCACTTCCACATTCATGTCGTTAATGTTATGTTGGAAGCCGGCGCTACCCAAGCTACTGGGAAGGCCTTTGGCTTGGAGAACCTGATCTCCCAGCTGGAAACTATTGCCGGAGATGAAGATGCCAGTATGGCTGATATGAGTTTGACTTACTATCTTGGTGAGGCGAGCGAGCTGTGGACTGAAATTTTCGCCCCCTTAAAGAAGGAAACCTAGGCCCTGCCAATAAATGGTTTGAGTATCCAATTTTAGAACGCGAGAGATCCTCAAACCCACATTTAAATAAGATGATCTCTTATTGTGAGACCAAAAGAATTATTTCGCCTATTTTTTGTCCTGATTGGCGGTTTTACATGTTTTAGATGTTGGGTTTCGCATGGCAAAATATTTGCAGGCGCCAACACTGGCAGCCGGCGCTTGCAAGTGATAGGATTTATTAGCCCCTCTCCACCCCGAATTGATGAGTTCCTGAGATTTAAAAAGAAATCCACCCCCAAAGAACGATGACTCCAAACATGAAGCTGATCGTGGATTGGGGTAATAATGCGCAGGAGACCTACACAGAAGATCAATTGATATCCCGCATCACTGTGTCCCCAACTTCGTTTGCCGCCCAAACCAAACGGGTCTTTCGACTGTCCTCGAAAGCTCTAGCAAAAACGTATTTATCCTCAGAGGTAGAAGATGTTGTAGCCGCATCGAATATGGCCTGGCGTCTAGGGATTCGGGTTCCTTTTCTGAAGAAGATCGTCCGAAGCGAGTCTAATGCCTATTGTGTGATGGACAATATCCCAGGCAAGACACTTGAAGACATCTGGCCTGACCTGGGATGGCTCGCGTCCATCGGTCTTGGTATGGAGCTGCGTGAATATGTCCAGCGTCTCCGATCAATGACTTCATTTACTGCTGGCGCACTAGATAGTGGTGAGTGTCGGTCATACTGGCTTGAGGACCGATTTGGTCTGCCTGCGAGAGCCGGTACCAACGAGATAACACACTTTCTCAAATTTTGGAGCAATTTTACTTTGACCAAGGAGACAAAAGAGACCGACGACATGATAGATCTTCCATCTCCGCGGATACCAAGTGTATTAATGGCGGAGAAGTTTGTTCTCACGCACCATAATCTTACGCCTCAGAACTTGCTTCTCAGCGATTCGGGGGATTTGTGGCTTCTTAACTGGGACTTGACAGGGTTTTATCCGATCTACTTTGAGTATGCAGCTATGCAGAATTTCCAGATCCCTGAGGAATGGGGGTTCTTTGCGCGAATGCGGTGGTATCTATTTTCTTGGATCGCAGCGGGGTACTATGGCCGTGAGACTCGGCTGCTGGAAGCAATCAGGGCAAAATCGACTCAGTTTGAGGTGGGGAGGAAACCCTTCCTCCTGAAGAGTGGAGGGCCGACCAGATATCCTCTCGTCTGAACTGCTGCGGATTGCATAGGCTTTTGTAAATATATCAGACGCTAATTTTGCAAGAGGGAGGATATAGTAAGCACCTTGCGATGGTCGTCAACAGAGCTAGCTGTATATCAAGTAGTAGTCTTCGCTAGCAATGTGAAAACATAAACATGTAACATAATTTCTTGATTGAATCTGTCTGGTCTTTCCACGCAGAGGCACTAACTATGCTCAGGGTAGTGCGCTACCACTGATTAGAAAGGGCTAAGAAGAGATGAAATTAGAGGCATTCATCCTTAGAAAAAAGAAGAGAAAATGTCTCAGGCCGGATTTGTTTGATATCGGAATATTTTATATACGTCCGACAAGTATGTAGTAGATTCTACTATATCGGTCAAGGTCACCGGAGCAGCTTCCCCGTGTGGAGATCGCCGATAACAACCGACCCCGCAACACCAACCTAACTTCCAACGTCAACTGAAACACCTTCACCTGTCACCCTCCTCTAACTCTTCGAAGGTACCGATATTCAGATTTACCTCCTGGACCTCCATCATGGCCGATAACCCCGACGTCCCGGACACTCAAAAGGCCTTCGTGCCACTCGGTCCGTTCCTCTCCTCCCCGCATTCACAACAAAATAACCCAAGGCATCCCAATTTACAAACCCCACAGAAAACAACCCCGAAGTCATGTCCCACTTAGTCCATCAACTCGGTCTCCCCCAAACCCTCGGCTTCACCGATGTCTTCTCCATCGACGAACCAGACCTCCTCGCCTTCGTGCCCCGCCCCTCCCACGCCCTCCTCCTCGTCTTCCCGGTTTCCACCACCTACGAACAATCCCGCGCCGCCGAGGACAGTGCTCTTCCAGAATACACAGGCTTTGGCCCCGCCGAGCCCGTGACCTGGTTCAAGCAGACGATCCGTAACGCGTGCGGGCTGATCGGGCTGCTGCACGCCGTCTCCAACGGCGAGGCCCGCAAGCACGTCATCCCGGGTTCCGACTTGGCTACATTGCTGCAAGAGGCGGAGGGCCTAGCGCCGATGGCACGGGCAGACCTTCTGTATGCGAGCAAGGCGCTGGAGAGCGCGCACGCCGACGCGGCGAAGCTGGGGGACACAGCGGCGCCGGATGCAGAAAACAGTGTGGACCTGCACTTTGTGGCGTTTGTGAAGGGGACCGATGGGGTGTTGTGGGAGCTGGATGGACGACGGAAAGGTCCGTTGGCGCGGGGCAAGCTCAAGCCAGAGGAGGATGCACTGAGCGAGGCGGCGCTAGAGCTAGGAGTGCGGCGGTTTTTGAAAACAGAGGCACAGGGCGGGAATCCAGATTTGCGGTTTAGCTTAGTGAGTCTGGGACCTGTGTTTGATTGAATGGAGGGACGATACGGTAGGTGGAGATGATTGAAAATGAAAGGGCTTTTTCTGTGGCGTTTATGGGCATTTTTAGGAATAGATCGTTAAGCGGATGACGAGGCGCAAGTTCAATAACTTGGCTCGTGGCTCCTTCTTGTATAGCATAAAGAAGCTATTTTATTCCTAGCAACGAGGTACGATCGCAAACATGCGTTATTGCATGGAAGGTAGCAAGATCTAATTGCTAAATGAAAATCATGCTGTCTAAATATAAATGCCAATGCGTCTTGCTCGGTATGTATCAAAATCTCAAAATAAGAACTGCGTTTCTGCGAAAAACTCCAAACGCTGGACAGGCCGCTGATGAGTCGTTTTCTGGATCATGCATTCTCAATATGCCTTGTATCACTGCTGTTGCTGCTTTCCCGACTCCTCAACTGGAGTGGCGGTGCGAGTCTCAGCGTCCGTTAATTCATTTACGATTGTATTATTTTCGCTTAGTTCTCCGGTCTCATCGCCTGTGGCTACTGGTTGATCGTTTTTTGCAGGAGTAGCATCGCCTTGTGTGCCCAGCGTCAAGAAAGGAACCATAACCAGGGACAAGCCGGCCGCCGCGGCAGCGAACCAATAGACCGCTAAGTAAGGGCGAATAGCAGGCGTAGTGGCCGTCATTTGATTGGCAACAGCATTATTGACGGACGTCGCAATGCCAAGGCCCAGGTTATTACAAAGCTTGCTGACAGTATTGAAGATACTGCCCGCAATAGATTGCTGGGACGGAGGAAGCGAAGACATCACGTACATCTAGACGTGTCAGCAATGGACTCAGAACAGATATGATTGAACGTTGGCACTTACATTTGTTACGTTAAACTGGATGTCAGCACCCACCACGATGAGAACAAGCGCCGGGAAGATGTATTCCCAGTAGATAGCGTCTTCCTTCATGAAGCTCAGAATTAGGAAGGAGGCGGTATACGCCAAAGCCCCGATGCCGGTTAATAAAGTGTTGCTCACGCGGTGCAGAATCAGACCGCAGACCACATTAACAAGCACGCCACTGACGACCATGGGGAGTAGCCGCGCGGTGATATCGAGTGCTGTAAGATGTTTGACCTCCTGAAGGTACAGTGAAAGATAGAAAGAGACCGCTGCAAATCCCATGAAACCAAGACAAAAGGTTGCCATGAGCTAAAAAAAAATCAGTAAGGCCCGAAGGCCAGAAAGTTAGACAATAGAATGGGAGCAAAGACCATACCAACGAGAAATTGCGGTCCTTCCACACCCACAGGGGCATCAGAGGGTTTTCTACGACGGACTGCCAGTACAGAAATCCAACGAGAAGGAAGAAGCCCACAATAAAAAGAGCGAGGACGTAGCCAGTCTTCCAACCATCGGGAGCATCGCCAGCCAATCTACTTAGGTTGTTAGAAAATCGAGAGAAAAGAAGAGACATATGCTGAAGTAGGGAGTACTCACGAAAGGGAGCTGGAGAAAAAAGCAAATCCGACGACCACCAACGCAGTGCCAAAGAGATCGAATTGCTTGACAGCTTCAATACTGACTGGGGTCCGAGAGAATCCATCCGGTGGCACAGTCCAGACTGTAAGTACGGTGAAGATGGCATAGACGACAGCCAGCGCCCAAAACGAGGCACGCCAGTTATACTCATGCGATGCGACGCCAGAGATAATCATGCCACCCACGAACCCAAGTGGATTGCCCGCACTAAAGCAAGCAAAGGCCCGATTCTTTCGTATTGACGGCTTTTCGTATACCGCGCCTAGAGCCCCCACAGCTGGTGGGACAACCGCAGCGGCAAATAGACCTAGGATACCGGAGAAGACATCCATATAGATTGCATTGGTCGCAAATCCGGCGACCAAGAGCGAAAGTGTGAAGCCCGCCATGCCGATAATAAAGAGCACCTTGCGGCCAAACATATCGGCGAGCTTGCCAAAGGTCAGCAAGAAGGCACCGCTGCTAAGACTATTGGAGGCAGACATATGGTCAGCGAACTCTGATTAGGTGAAACGAGGGGAGCAGCCATGTCAGCGAAGGGTTGAGAAAAGCAAGATGAAAAAAGGGAAAAGGGAAGCAAAAAGATGCTAAACACGTACGAGGCACCGGCATTGATCCAGGTAATCTCCGCCGAGTTCATATTTAAATCGGACCCAATGGACGCGGTGACTCCCACAATAGCGCCCTGGAAGAAGGATTGTTGGCCGATAGCCATTGTCGCCGTTAGAACAAAAAGACATTCTTGAAAAGTCGAGTTGAAGCATTTCGGGCGCTGCGCATAGTCTGGCAGGTCGTCTGTAGCTAAAGTGATGTCCGGGCCTTTTTCCTGGTCGACATGGTCGAGTAATTGTGACACCATTGTTATCGCGTTCAAAGACACCAGGCGACGCTCTCACACTCACGATCACCTTTAGTGTAAGCAACGAGGAAATTTAAGAGAGAAAAAAAGGAGTGCGAGAGAGATAGTCGGGGTCGGAGGTCCCGAGTTGGCCCCGACGGCGTGGAGATCGCGATTACGACAGCGACTAAAAGAATTAGCCTCTTCTCATTAGCCTCTGTATAGACAGGGGGCGGACGCGCTGAACCCGTTATATGGCTTCATTTCTAGCGCCTGGCTAAGTGGGGGTGGAGAATTTTTTTCCTACTCGACCACGGAACCCGAATCTAGACCGACAACTGGTTGCAGATACATGGCGCATCGCCCAACAGTGAACGTGCAAATCCGACACTGGGCGTCGCAATGAGAGACCGCCATTGTTGGAAATGCATGCTGAGAAATCGATTTTGTCAGCTGCGGATGGTTTCCGCGATACCTCTTGATGAGTATGGCGCTGGTGATTGGCCTGGGGCGGACTGGTCATTACCCTATTTGGTCCTAGCGCACGCGTCCAAGATATCGCGGCTATCGATGCATCCACTCAAATATCCGCAGACGCGATAGATATTCATCCGATGAAGGCTTGAGGTCGAGAAGCCATATTGAGCATCATAGAAAGCGCTCAATATCCTGGAAACATACGTTAATGCTTGATTCCCGAATTAACTTGTTGGAAATGCGAATCAACAATACCGAATTTGGCTTCCAGGAATATAACCAGTCACCGAAACCCTTTGATACAAGATCAATGTCCACCACACAATTCGTAGTTGAACTCAAGCCAGCCGACATATTAGTTCTTGTCATTTCTTCTGTTCCTTGTGAGATTTATACGGAGTTTCCACTAGTATTTTTGGTCCGAAAGTAGATTGAGGCCGAAAGGAGCCTTCATTTGTGAATAATAATTTCTCTACTTTTGAGAAGGAATTGACTATTATTTCCAGAATGGCCAACCCATCATTAGAGAAAAAAAGGACTTCCCAGGCCGCTTAAAATAAACCAGCAATTCTAGATCCTCGGGTTCTATCACATTGTCTACCAGTCCTGTGTCGGGCGTCAATTCGGACGTTAAATAGACGAACTACGAGAAGGATTGTATTGACAGGATTATTAAATTGACCGAATGCGAGATTTACCAGGCCATATTCTCGAATGTAATAATGTGCCAATGACACTCTCACCGCCAGTGTATGACGTTACATCGCCTACATGAAGATAATTGAGATAGACAACTGGAACCACGAAGGGCTTTCTTTGTTGAGTTTCCCGCATTGAATAGGTGCAAGTTATTTGTCATCACATTGACCAAGGCCTCAATTCAGCTTGAATGAGGAACGCAATTACTGCTAGGATGGCGTAATTATTAAACAGATCGAAATCATAGAGTGCCCGCGGGCATCCCATTCCCAGGGACTGTAGATGAAAGATGAGCCTTGCTGGAAGATGTCTGGGCTTGGAGGGGCCAAACACACTACAAGCTGTCAATGCATGCAGATTTCATCCTGAAGTTCATTCCCTGAATCCTGGAATGCTGACCAACTTCTGACTGTCACATGGAGGACCTCCTGTCTTACTTGGAGACGTAGCTTGCACCGCGACCGGCGAGACTAATGCTCGATAACATCACACATGTCGGTCAGGGGATAAGCAAGTCCCATGGCAGATAAAAGGATCAAGGTGGCGCAGCCTCCAAAACAGGATTATGCTAGATCATAAACTGCCATGAGTCACAGATAGTGATGGGTCATATTCTAAGAGTGAGCTAAAGAGGCAGCTCTCCTGCGAGCTGGGCAAATATTGCATTAGTTCGTCTCGCAATAGTCGACCCAGTATTCACGGGCGTTGAATTTCAGAACTTCATTACCACACGCCCACCACTCAGCCGTTAAATTTCGAGCAAATACTTCCAGAGCCGAATATGGCTGGTGCACTGATTTGGGACCGAATGGACCATCTGTTTTGAAGAACAACTGTTCAAATAGAGATTTCAGGTTCGGCTTCCGAGAATGAAGATCTGGTACCGCCGCAATCACTCGTCTGCGAATGCTGGCAGGATCAAGACCCAGTAAATCTGTCTCCTGTGAAATGGGCCCTGGATTTAGGTTGTGACTCGATGCTGAATCCATGGTGGATTTATTTCTTCGTCCAATGATGAGAATTTCGTACGGCTTTCTCCAGAGCCCGTCCAAGGGGGACACTGGCTCTCCGTCGACGGTAATTTTAATCCAAATCCATTCCTCGTAGATCTCAAAGCCAGAGCGCATCAGTGCTTCATAGGCAGCTCGTCTGGATTTCTCCGAGTTGGTCACCCAAATAGCCGCCAGAGACTCCTGGCTGTGAAAAGACCTGCTGGACGTAGCAGCCATGTCTGGATTCCAGGCTATGTTATCATTAGTCCGGCGATAGGAATGCACTCGCAGGATATCCAGCAATCTTTGGGTAAGAACTTCCATTTCATTTACTACCTGGTAGTGACAACTGCGCCGGACTGATTTGTTCGGCCAGGGGGAGTCGAAAAGAATTAGATTGAAGGTTTGACTAGCAGGAATGCTTGGGATTGGATGGTCAAGCGCCATTACTTCGGAGGGATACCTGGCACTGGGCTGCGAGAGAGGGAGTGTGCAGCATACAAAGGTCGATTTAGGTGGAATAACATATTCTGCAGGCTCATTAGGTCTCTTTCCATGACGGGTTGTCTGGATCGCAAGAACCGCGGCATCCGAGGAGGGGTTCTTCACGATGCCCTGTATGTCCGCAGGCGTGTCGAAGCTATTGACGGACGTAGTCGATAGAATAACCGGGGGCCCTAGTTGTGAAAACGCAGAATTCTCACTTGACTCTGAGCCAAACGCCTCGTGACTGTGCACATTCAACTTGGAGTCAACCAAACTCTCATAGTGCCGCTTCTTCGGTGGATCATGGCCAATGCCATCTTCCGATGACCTTTTTAGCTTGAGGTTTTCATCAATGACCTGACGTGGAAGACACCATGGTCGACCAGCAGCGCAGTATTTCGATTTAATATCCCGCAAGGCAGCTTGAACTAGCGGCTGAATGAACTCGCCATGATACCGCTGCTCGCTGAGTGGTATTCTCTCCAGCACTTTGGCACGCGCTATCTCTGTCTTCGGCTCTGTGCATGGAAAAGGTATTTTCAAAGGTGGCATAGAAACAATATGCTTTTTTCTGCTGCAAGGGAATGATCCTGATCCCGATGCCTCTTTACTGGACGTTGATCGAATCTGGTCTTGATTTGTTCGTGTCGACTGGCAAGTTAATTCTTGAGCCAAAGCGATTGAATATGGCGTGTCCATGAGAAAAACTGTGTTCTCTGGAGTCTGAAATATAATATCCGAATCATGATCTCGAGAATTGGACATTGCAGCCCTCGTCTCTCTATTCTGGTGGTCGGTCTGAGAGGGGATGTTGAGGTGAGTTGCGGACTCGGGAGAGGTTTTCCAGCTTTGGTGGGCGGACGCCGGAATGCAGATTCACCACCACATCGTGACATACCCAAATTTGAGAAACGCAAGACATCCGACTAAAGAAATGATCAAGTGTACCTTGGTGATTTTCATTCGCAAAATAGCCCGGGAACTCCTATTAAGTGGACTAAATCAGTCTCCTACTAGAACATCGGTCCAACCCAAGAAAGAATCCGTCCACTCTAAGGCACATCAAGAAGCCGAGCCAGTACAAATTCAGAAACCGACAGAAAAGTCCACAGAGAGAGAAAGAGGAAGAGAATTAGGAGAAAGCGAAGAAAAGTTATTCTTAGAATAATAGAAAGAGGAGTAAGAGACCAGAAGATCAAAGATCGCAAGATACATGGACATTTAAAAAGCGCTGAGTCTCCATGAAGATACATGAATTGCGTCTGGTCGCCTCCAGACAGCACACTTTTTTTTTTAATGATACCCCACCTTCCACCAAGTTGTCACTCCCATGTTTCCCCCAATGACATAGATTGCTTCCTGTCCGGCGATCCAGCGTCCGGAACGAGAGCGAAGGCGAGGGGGAAACAATATATCGCACCAAGTCGATTTGATTCACAACATAGCTAGATAACCCGCTGAATCTCCATGAGAAAAAGATGGCCAAAAATTGAAACGAGGAAAATGAATTTATACATGTAGATGGAAGCAGGGAAAAAATTTCAATTAAAATCATACGCGAAGATCAGCGCTAAAAGCCATGTTAGCAGGCAATCACCTCAAGAGTGGTTGTGTAAATATAGAAGGTAGACTCACCCGTACACGTCGACCTCCGCTAGACTGCCCCTGTACCGGCTGTGCCTGGGCATAGAACTGCGGAGGATATTGGTACATTTGGGCCGGGTTGACCACTGGGCTGAACTGTTGCGGGGGATAGTTGGACTGGCCCAGCATTGGACCAGGATTCATCTGGCCCGGCGCGGCAGAGAGCGTAGATGCCTGTTGGTTCTGGAGAGAGCGGAGGTTCTCAACCGAGGGCGAGGCGGCGGGATATCCAAAATTGCCACCTGCCATGCCGGGGTACACACCGGCGGGAGATACACCCCGGGCCTGAGCAGCAAGGTATGCCTGGTACTGCAGCTGTTGCTGGGTTAGAGGAAGACCGGTGTCTTGGCCAAACCCGATACCATTGACACCGCCGAGTCCATTCAAGGGAGCTCCAAATCCGGACAGGCCGTTGGAATAGGCGTCGAGCGGCGCAGTGTTGTTCTGATCAGCAGAGATGGGTCGTGGATCAGCAGTCTGGCCAAGCATGCTGGAACCAAACTGTCCACTGTACTGTCTCTCCAGGGATGGTTGCGCAGGGAAGTTAGAGCTCCCATGGCGGGAGGACTGACGGTGTTGCGATTTCTCAGGCGTAGAGGCATGGCTAGCTCCGTGCTCACGACCGTGGTGCTCGCGTCCATTGCCACGGGAAGACAAGCCGACTTCATCCATCAGGCGCTTGTATCCTTGGCTCGGTGAGGCCTTCAGCTTGGTGAGCACTTTGGACACATTCTTCACAACTTCCGATCGCATGGACTCGTCGAAAAACGGAGTAGTCAAAACTTTGAAGATCAGTGTTGCGCCAGAAGTTTGATCGCTAAGGATCTTTTCAAGAACTTCATCGCCAGGGCTGAAGAAGAGGGCCTTCAGGACGATATCCCGAGCCTCGGGCTCATTGCGCTGGTTAATTACCTTGAGGACAGTCAGGTAGGCAACCTTGTGAGTGCAAAGGTGGACGAGATGAGGCACGAGACGGGGAGCGAGGACCGTTCGACGGTGGGGAAATGTACAGGTATCGAGGAACCAGGTCAGCAGTAATGCTCCGTTAGCATTGGTAGCAAGCTGCACACTATGCAAGGCGATGGCAGCTGCCAATGCACGCTGCTGGTCCTTCGAGGCATGGTGGCTTTCCAGACAGGCCCGCATAGCTCGGGCTCCAAATCGGCCTTGGGAAACCTCCCACATACGGCTGAGCATAGTTTCAAAGATAAAATCGTTGAAGGGCGTGCCAAACCGCAAGCAGCACTGAAGCACATAGTTTCCGTATTGATCAAGGAAAAGCGACACTGTGTAGGGACGGAGGGCGTCAACAATCATATTCATCTGAGCTGGAGTCTTGGCAACGTCAATGATCTTCTGCGCGGCCCATGTTCCATTCTTGTGTACGCCAATTTCAGCCAAATGAGGTGCAATGTGAGAGAGCATCTGTTCTTTAGTAGACTCGGAACAGAACTCGAATAGCTTCTGGACGACCGTGTTACCCAGATAATCGGACGACAGCTCGGCAATTTCAGGGAGCATAGCTCCGGCCGTCTCCTCAATCTCTTGGATCGAGCAGGCACCGTTGTCAATACGTTTGCGAATGTCACGCAAACGGGGTGCATCAAACATCCGGGTCTGGCTAGGCTCGGGAATCGTCGGAATTTCATCTTCAAAGGCTTGGAACTCAATAGCACTCTGGATGGTGGCCGTGATGTTGCGCGAGTCATCCTCAGTGGCTCCGAATTCTTGAACAATCTCGACCATCTCCGGGAGCAAGTCAATGAGAGCAGGAAGCTGAGGCACAACACTAACACTATCGGTCCGCTCAGTCCCATCGGATGTCAAATGAGATTTGAAGTTGGGATCAGGGGTTGGAGATGACTGGATGCCATTGGCACCCGGAGTTCCAGTAGCAGAAGCTCCAGGAACCTTCGCATAGCCAATTCGGACAGGTCCCGCACCAGGGAAGATCTCCTTGCCATTCAGAAGCGACTTGGCCTGTACAGCGCTCTCAATTCGTTCAAAGTTGACGAAGCCACAGTTCTTGTGGGTCAGCACGCGGGTGGACTCGATTTTTCCGTACATGCCGAAGATGGCCTCAAGCGAAGTTACAGTTGTGGAGACGGGGATGCTGCCAATCCAGAGGGCTCTGGTCGGGCCATCCTGATTGTTCTCATCTCCCATCTCGCCGGCTTGTCGAACACCTACTGCGGCGCCACCACTTCCTCCAAGGTGCAGCAATTGAACGGCTTCGGAAAGTTCATCATATTCACCGCTCTCCGCGATCTGAAGATCAGCAGCACTAAAGCTGTTGTCGAGACGAGAGGGGGTGGCAAGGTAGTTCCGAATAGAAGATCGCTGAGGAGGTGCTTCCAAGATACCAGCTGTCCGGGCTCGAGGCCGGCTGACGGAGGCATGGCTGGCAAACGCTTGGACCGCAAGGTTGTGCTGGTGTATCTGGGCCTGTGTGGCGGCCAGTTGAGCCGCAGTTGCGGCCGCTGAAGGGGTAAGCGTGCCGGAGGGGATTTGTGAGTAGCGACTCTCGTATTCCATGTCCTCGTCATCTGCGTATTTCTCCTTCGCATTGACTGAATATGAACGGAATCGATTATTATTCTTCATCATCGCCAGCTCAGCCAGGAGCGGCGGCAGCGCAGAGGCTTGCTGCTGCTGCTGCATGAGAGCCTCCATGGAGGGCCTTGCCAGAGTCGCCCGGGCCTGCTGCGGGGTCTCTGCCAAACCCAGGTAGTCCAGTGTCTTCACATCGGAGTCGGTCAGTCCATCTCTTGAAAAGGACGACTGGCTGGGTGAGGTTGGTCCTTCCGAAGACCGGATGCTCGTCAATGTTGTAGCTCTATCGCGACCAGTTGACCAATTAGTAGAAAACAAGGAAGGGCCGAAAGGGCTGCCTGTCCCCAGGAGGCTGCTCCTCTGCGGCATCGAGCCAGCTCGAAGACGGGATAACATGGCCGGGGTTGCCGCCGCTGCAGAAGTCGTAACTTTGGCGCTCGGTTCCATTCCAGGGGGTCTAAAGGGACTGGTGGAAGGTGTCGGGCGGGAGGTCTGCGACACGAATGGCTGCTGAATATCCATCTCATTGAGAGTTCCCATGGGAGGAAAACGAGACGGAACGGTGCCGGCGCGCGCTCGGCGTCCCGAGCCGGTGATTGAGCCACTGGTAGTGGGGATCAGGTCCGGAAAGCTATCCTGACTTGGAGATTCGGGGATATTCTCGCGAAGCGGAGTCGAATGGCCACTGGTCGGTGGGCCCCAAATGCTGGGAGAGACACCTTCCTGTGCTTGGATCTCGCGGGCTCTGTAAGGGCAAAGAAAAATAGTTAGCACCGACCAATGTGCCCGAGGGTATCGCAACTTCCAAACGGCGCGAGCTACTTACCTTTTCGGGTAGAGACGTGTCCCCAACTCGTGAGAGGGAGAGCCAGCCCCCAGCCTTGAGGCACCAATAGATCCCGAAGAGCCAAACGGGGCTTTCCCCGTCCCAGACCCAGCCAGATCACTGGGAGAACTTCGCCCTGTCGATGTTCCCGACATGGGCTGCGTGGTTGGAATGTAGTTGAAACTCATTTGACCGTCTGGTCGTGAGACTGGTAACATTATGGATTACTTTAGTCCGGCACCAATGCGAAGCGGTCTTTCGTATTCACGTCCACTCGCAAGACCCAGCGCATATACCAGAAGGAATTGATGCGGGTTGATCAACTCGATGAATGAGGGAGGGGGTTCTGCTCAGAAGCGGCAGTACGTGGCAAGCACCATAGGGTGGATTTTAACTGGGATCAAAATTGTGCGGTGTCCAACAGATGAATCGGGACGTCGAGGAAAGGAAAATTCGATGCGACCTAGAGAAAATAACGATTTCACGGTCAGTTGGAAGACGGACGAGGTTCAGAGGCGTTCGGTGTTTGTCCGGTCTGGGGCGCTCGGGGGGTTGCAGGAACGGGGGGAGGGGTTGACAAAGCGCTGCCACTTGGGCGTGTCCAGGATGGGAAGTGGAGGGCAAAGTGAAGATAGACGGAGCGGAGGATTCCTCTGTAGACACTGACCGTAACAAGAAGTATGCAAGCAAAGATCCCACGACGTTTTGAAGTCGTGAACGTATGACGATCTCCGGTCCGTGTCCCCAAAGCGATTGAATCAACCCGGAGGATTCCCAGCTGCTTGGATTCGCTCTTGATGGATGTCAAAAGGGCGCAGGCTCAAATGGATGCATGTAAAATCAGAGAAAAAGTCCACACGAACGAGCGCCAAGTGAGGACAAGCAGCAGGATGGAGAAGGATGGTCGGAAGGCCGAAGGGATCGAGGTGGCTGGAGGGCGAGTTAGTTTGCGCGGCTCCGGCCCAGAGGCGAAAGGAACCCCAACAAGGACGGGGGGAAGGACGAGGAACTGTCACTGACCCTCGTCAAATTGCACAGTCCGAACAGAAGGGTGGTGAGAAAGGGAAGAAAGAAGTTAAGAAAAAAAAAAACGAGGAAGAAAAGCTCAGGGAAAGAGAGGGAGGGAAAGAAGGAGAAGTTGGGGGGAGTGTCCGGATGTTCGAGGCGATGTGGTTGGTCAAAGGCGGCCTCTGTTCAGCTTCAATTCCCACAATACAATTGTGCCCCGGAGAACACGGCGACCATGGCCCACAGTTCCCTGTGAACAATTCCAGCCAGGTTTCCTGGCAATTCTGGAAATTCAGCTACAATTGACAGTGACTAAGTGATTCTACAGAACACAGAATACGGGCAGCCTTCTTCAGCCCGGCAGGGGCAGTATTCGATGCAGCGTTTGGTGAACACAGCCCCATCGATGTCATTGCTCTGGAGACCCAAGAATTGAGTCTACCTGGAACCTCCAGGCCCGGAGAGACAAACACCCGGAGGTTTCTACGAACCCTCTCAACCGGATCGTGGAGATCTGAAGATACTCATCCGGCAATTCCCGTATTCCCATACAGTGGGCCGTGGAATGGGTTGGCGGCTGTCATGGTGGTTTGGAAAGAAGGGAGACATGGAAGACAGGCCATGCCGGGTCTTCAACGAAGACCTGGCGTGGAAACAGACAGAAAGCCCCGCATTCCGGGTGCGTCATGCCTGGAATACGTCCGAGAATGAACGAGGCCCTGCAAATACGATCCCACCCAGCCGACGGCCGCCAATCCATATTACCTGTTCGCTGAATCCAGGTGGATGCCAGTCAGGGCCAGTGGTGATGCAATTGCCCCCAACAAGGCGAGCAAGGGAACTGCTATCGTGGGCGTTCCGAAACCCGCGCCCCAAAAGACTGTTTGGAGTGGATGCGCGCAAGGGATGGGTCAGGTACGTGTCCTGATCCTTGTCCTTGGGATCTGTGAGCGCCGGGATCTGAATTCAATCGCCATTTGGAGGGTCTTGTGGATGAGACAGTACAATGCAGCTGCTTCTTAGTGTAAAGCACAGCCTGAGGGTTTGACGTGAACAATCGCTCTCCTCGTGAACCCCGATGTCTGCCAAGCTTCGGGGAATACTCTCGGCTTTGCAACGGGTACGGACGACGGAACGCCCGGAGAATCAGCTCGTGGGTCATATCGTGCCGCCTGGGACATTCATGATTGAGGAGCCGGTGGTCGGATGGTGTGTGGATGCTCTTAGACAGCTTGTTCCAGGCTAGTCCGATCAATAGAAAATAGTCGCGAGAAGGTTAAGTTGGAAATCATGGGCCGTCCAAGCCGGCGCCTGAAGGTGTTGTGGCCTAAGGCATGAATTCATTTAGCCGCCAGCGCAAAGCCACGCCGCGACCTCCACTAGCGCGCGCTCTCTCCCTCTCTTTCTCTCTCACTCTCCGAAGCGTGGAATCTTCGTCCTCCTGCTTTGCGCCCACGTCACGGGCCTTTATTCCCTAATTCTGGTTCCCGTGTGAATCTCACGCGGCTTACTTTTCGGTTCATTCTTATCCTCGCCGTGATCTTGCCTTGTGTGAGTCCGGCTCGCGTCTGATGCCCAGTCGCTCACCCCTACACCGCGATTAGTCTCGCAATCTCCCGCAGCCATCTCGAAACCCACGTCAAAATGACAGACCTCATGGAAGAGTATCCCTCTTCTGGCATCCCGTCCTCGGGGGAGGAGGAGGAAGAGCTACAAGTGGAGTCTCTGATCCAAGGGCGCGCGAAACGAAGCACAGCAGGATTACACATGTCTGCACTCATTGATGCTGCCGCTGACGATGATTTGACGCTACTTTTTGAGGAAGTGGAAGACGATAATGAGTTTGCAATGGATGCAGAGGCCGCGGAGGAAGACGATATGGGGCTCGACTCGTCCTCGGACGACGACGATGACCAGGGACCGAACGCGCAGAATGACTACGAAGGGGAGATGGAGCTACAAAAGGAAGAACGCAAGAAACGCCGAGCACAGAACGATCTCCGATTTCAAACACTGCGTAAACGAGTCAAAATCGACCCAACCGCTGTGTCCTCGATACCCGTTCCACCCCGCCCGAAGAAGAAATCGGAGCGCATCTCGTGGCTCCCGACGGTGGAGGATGGACCGACACGATCGTCCTCTCGCCGACAAACGATGGTCAACAAGGAGCTGACCCACGCGCGTCTCAAGGATAGCCAGGAAAAGCGCATCCGGATTATCGCTACGATGAAGGAGGCCGAGAAGCGGAAAGCCCATCTGAAGCCCAAGGAGATGACCCAAGAGGACCATCTTGCCGAAGCTGCAAGGATCGAACGAACAAACAGCAAGAGCTTGAATCGATGGGAGCAGACCGAGAAGCGGAAAGCCGAAGAACGACGGGCCAAGATCGAGGCGCTGCAGAATCGTCGTCTCGAAGGGCCTGTTATCTCTTACTGGAGCGGGTTGGCTACCTTTGTGAACGGCCGCTTGACCCGAGTCGGCAAAGTGGATGTCAAAATGAAACCGGAAAAGGAGGAGGTCCGTAAGAAAAAGAAAGAGAAGGATGAGAAGCCTGCATCGGAGGTGCAGGCTGCGCAGAGCACTACTCCTGCCCCATCACAACCACCGACCGCATCAGTACCATCGGGAGGAGATTCTGCTCCGGCACCTAGCCAGCCTAGCCAGCCCAGCACTAATCTTCCATCTGATCCGCAGCCATTGCAAGAGACATCCAATTCTGAGCCCCCTGCCAGTCTTCCCACACCTGATATCACAGAGTCCAACAAAGCAGACGCCAGCTCGGATGACAAGCCAATCGATGAATCTATGGAGCAGCAGTCTGCAACAGAGCCAGCGGTCACGAAAGAGGGCATTCAAGTCCCATCTGAACAGCAACCCGTGCGTGAGACCGCTGTCGATAGTGAGGTGGCCAAGCCTATCGAGCCAGAGGGTTCGAATTTGTCCACCGATTCCACTGAAAAACAATCCGAGCCTGTAGTAGAGGCGGTAATTCCCCGGCGTCCCTCTGCCCCTACACCAGGTGATGCAACAGAATCAGCGTCGGCAGAGCAAACAGCAATTGAGATGCCAGATACCGAACCGGATTTGATGGACATAGATCCTAAGCCAGAAATCACTGTCGGCACCCCCAAGGCGGAAGAGTCACAGCTATCTCCAACAGATGATCGATCAAACAAAGCAGCTCTGAACGGTACAGACGTACATACAGGTCCCGGAGAGGCCCCTCAGACCACCTTGGCACCAAGCATCACTGAAATGCCGTCCAAACAAGTTTCTTCCGAATCTGCACCTGCAGCTGCAACTGCAACCACCACGCCACCGGACGCTCAGAACCCTCAGACCCCTCAAGCCCCCTCCACCAATGCGGCACTGCTGCAAGCCACGCCGCCCAATCTATCTGGAGTGCCAACTCATGGCCAACAAATAGACAATAATGTTCCTCAACCACTGATCGAAACACCTGGCGCGGCTGCCGCGGCGGCCGAGCCCGCTGCGTCCGAGATCCCACCACTGCCACTAGTGACCGAGCATATGGGCCGCAACCTGACGATTCTCGAGAACTTTGATGATCGGACCGCGCACAGCAAGAAGTTTAGCATGTACTTCAATGCGAAAAAGCCGCCGCGCCTGACCAGTATGTTCCCGTCCCTCGTCCCCCCCCTCCCTCCTCACGCTTTCCCCACTCTACCCTTCCTCATCTATATTCCTATCTTGTGCAACACAGAAGGAGGCAATGTCGCTAATCTTACCCTCCACTACTGTAGAAATCTCGTCATCTCTATGTGTCATCACCTCGCTCCCATCTCGCTATCGCGACCCCGAGACCTCCCTCCCTTACGCCAACTCTTATGCATACGGTCAAATCCGGCGCATGTTATCGGAGGGTTACGTCTGGAGCTCGATGCTGGGATGCTTCGTGGGACCTGCAGGGTCTGCAGCCCGGGGTGTACCCGACCGATTCCTCGGCAACAAGACTGGCTCTGCCGGCGAGGGCGAGCAAAATGAGACGTCTGGCACGGTCAGCGCGAATGCCAATCCGACCAGTACTGAAGTTAAAGGCGAGGCCAAGACTACAGCTGAGCCGATGGAAGTTGACAAGTGATGCGTCGACCCTGTAGTGCGCCGAATGTACGATAATGTCCCCCATAGTTTGTGTATAGTGATACCCTTCCGAGCCAAATATCAATTTACCGGAACCACCGCGTCCTCTCCGCCGTCTAGACGTTGTTTCTCTTTCTGCCTCGAATTAATCTCCCCCATTGAGTCGGTGACGTGCTGGACTGTCACTCCGACTACTTTGCTACATCCCCCCATTCGCTGTTGCCCCCGAGACAGCATTCATCCTCGCCAAAAAGAAACACGGTAGAACGCAATAAAAGGCCTTGTGCGTATCCACTTTTTTTTTTTTAACTCGCGAGTGTATTTTGGGCTCTTCACAGTGTTGTCTCAGGGGGTTCCACCTATGATGTCTGCGACCCCTCGACTCCGCTGGTCAGGGTCGGCTCCGAGGTGCGGGAAGGCATCCACGGTTTGCGGGCGCGGAAGGTGACGGGAGTCAAAAATAGTAAGTTTCGAGGGGGGGCAATTACACATAATTGATTGTGGGTTTTATTTGTCAGGTTGAGATTGGTCCCCTAATGAGTGTTCTTTTCTTTTATCTCGCACTTCTTGAATAGGACCGTTGTTGGCGAACGCCTATACAAGCCCCCGGGGGGGGGGGTTCGGGTATATATATCTCTGATGAAGTATATAAACGGGGACCTGCAGTTGCATCACTCCGTCGACACAGAGTGCAATTAAAGTGGTAGTTCGAATACTATAACCCAAGGCCTAGTTCAGAACTAGTAATAACCTTATCAAAAAACCATCCCACAGCAGAACCACCCTTCAACGTCCACACTTATCCACTTGTTAAACTCTGAGGAAGAATCGCCTCACTTGATGTCATCGACTTTTTTACAGTAGGTCTTCCCCTTGCGCAATCGAGTAACACATCGTCTGACGTGCGTCTAAGCTCATTGACGAAATGTTTTCTTTTTATTCATCTTTTCGTTTTGATCGACTCCACCCATCACCCACAACACGGCCGATTGGCATCCCTGGGTATGTACATAGATTTCCTTAGGCCAGTTTCGAGATTCATCGGATCTCCCGCCTGTCGAGACCAATCCACCTTCTCTTCCTTATCCAATTGTCCATTGGTATCAGAGCACACTCCACCGATGTGGCGAAACCAATACAAATACACGTAGAAGGAGATACTAGGCACCTACGTGTCACAGCAAAGGGCCGGAACCCCCAACATAGTCTGGACCAAACTTCCCTCGCCTCCCCTCCCCCGGCGGGCCAAGGCCAGCTGTGGAGGAGAGAAGTGACGGGCTCAAAACAAACGCACTGGAGGGGTACACAATGGCATAATGGCCGTGGATAAAGGTGGATCGCACGACCATTTGGGCAGCTGTCTCCATCTATCCGAAACACGAACCGCGCGGAAGATCGACGTCTAGGCTCCAACAGTGGATAGTGTCGTGTCATGGCCGAGAGGACTCGGCCCTCTTTCCTCCTCTTTGTCCTCTCTTTCGCCCGGCATACTGGCTGCATGGGACCCTTCCCTCCACCACAACCCCCGCATGGGTTCTTCTAGATTTGTGTCTTCGCGGTCTGGGCAAGGTAGGGCAGGACACGGTGATGGACGTGTCAGGGATGTGTCATTGGGTGTGGGGACGATATGTCCACCAACCTCCACCATGCCGATGACTCTTTTTTCCAGTTTCTTTCTTTTCTTTCTTTCTTTTTCGGATTGATCACCCCCGGGGTAGTTGGGGGGCAGAGAGAGAGAGAGGGTCGATCACCGAATCGGCATGGGTGGAGGAAGGGGCGAAATGGTCCAGGCATCGCCAAAGAGAAAGACTAAGAGCGTCCGAGAGTGACCGATCATGGCCCGAGTGATTTTCGTGGTTTCTGGCGGTGAAGCAAATTGCGAAGCAGGTACCCTCGGAGCCTTTTCGATGGCGTCAGGTCTGAAGAGGGTTTACGGGTGTCTACGTGCTCGAGGCATGATTGAGAGGAAGAAGTTGCATCTGGTCCTAGGATGTCGTGATGAGAGCACGACATATATACCTCTCGACTCAATTGTTCCCTAGCAGATCTCCGTAGAGAGCGAGCGAGCGAGCGAGCGCGTGCTGAGATCGAGACATCATGGTGGTGGATGAGGTGCTCAGGTCTCTCGATCGCAATCTGGGATGATTGCCGGGGCACTACTGCAGGCCATTGGGCTTTGGGCCCTGGTCGCCTTGGTCGCCCTAGTCACCTTCAGACGATTCTGTGGCCAGGCAGAGGAAACATCCGTGCGTATCAGACGGGCACGTTTCTGAGGCGGAGGGTGCACGGGCGAGAACTCGACGTGGTATTCGCAACCTGGTCGTTTTTTTTTTTTTTTTTTTTTGGTCTCCCCTTCCGAGAAAAGCAGAACGGAAAATAAAGAACAGCCAAACAAGACGCGGGAACCTGGGACGGTGGGCCACCGATAATTATAGAAGAGACCCCGGGGAGAGGACAAGGCCCAGGAGGAGGGACGACTGGTTGCGGAAGGTGGACGTTCGAGGCGGGAGTGGATGCTGGTCTGGATCGGGGGGAGTCCACACCACCATTGCGTGGCCGGGGAGGGGCAGCCGGGCGACGACGGAGGGGTGTCGTGATGGACGATCGGAAAGTCTAGATTCTCGACTGGCGCGGTGATGGGATAATGATGATAATCATTATTTATAACCCACCCTCGCTCTTTCTTCCCCCCCTCCCTTTTGCCATCAGAGAAACAAAGATTGATCTGGGGCTGTCAACCCTATTCTTTTATTTTGTTTTTATTTATTTTTCTTCTGTCAACCCCCTTCCCCACGACTGTTCTACTTTAAAAACGTCTTTCCATCCTCCGGAGCCTGACTGATTCCGGCTGTAATCCCGCTTATCAGCCGGCCCCGATTCGCCGCTTATCTCGCCGATCCCTCCGATAAGCACGGCACCACTCGACGCTTATCAGGCCTCGTTCACTCATTCCACAAACTCTCGATTCGAGGATTCAGGGACTCGAGATCTCGTGCCGGGTTGCCCCTCCAGAAATCTCCAATCTGCAATCTCCAGAATCAAGCCCCAACCCCGACCCCCGCCGAGTTTAATTCTCGTCGCCTACCCGGCAATCCTCTAAATACGATCGTCTCCCTCCGCGGATGTCCCTTCCCGTCTCCATCCTACTCTCCCCATCCCCGTCCACCCCCCCCAAAAGGTTCCAACAAGTCTAAACAAATCCCTCGTCTGGAATTCTTGGTGCTCCACTCGTCCCGCAAGGTGCGCCAGATAAGATAGCACGAGGCATTTATTCTTGTCCCGGTGGCTTCACCGCCATCCCTGCTCCCCCCCCAAAACAATGACTCAACCAACCGCCCATCGTCGTGCTCCTTCCTCTCCTCATGCCCATTCCTCCAAGCCCAAGACGATCCGTCCTGTTCTGCACCGTCGTGGCACCTCGGGCGTCAGCCTCTCCATCTCCAAACTGGGCGCGGGCTCCCATACGAGAAGTGTGAACAGGGACGACGAGACCGATCTGGATATGGCCGCCAGTTTTCTCAACTTCTGGTATGTTGTTATCTCTCTTCCCCCCCCAAAACCATCCCTCAACCTTGTCTGCGAACCTTCACCGTCCTTCGCTCGCCCCCTCCCCCTTTCTGAGGGGCAAATCTCATTTGAAAGGGGGGGCGAGCGAATTCTATTTTCGGAGGCTTGTGTGAGGGTGTCTTATCTACACCCTATAGCCCGGCCCGGTTCCTGGCCAGGCATGCCAGCTGCCGTCATCAGCGCTGTTGGCTGTTTGGGCCTGTATCCTGCGTCCTGGCTTCGCTTGTTTCGCTTTAAATAGACCGTCGGCTAATGTTCTTCGATTTAGCGCCATGTGCGAGAGACAGATTACCATCCCCAACAACTCCCTCCTATATTGCAGTGAACGGTATGTTGGCTCATAGCTTTCCAACTCGTGATAAAACCCTCGACCGGTTCTTTCTCCCCCAATTCCCCCTTTCTGGTGTTTCTTCTCTCTTGATCCGTGGTTTTTTATTTCTATCTCGCCTGTTTTTTTTTTTTTTTTTTTCCTCTCTTTTTCCCCCCATCTATACGTGTTGATCCGGCTGTAACTTTTCAAACCCTCCATATACTAATCCGCTATACTTGCAGCTGCCGCCGCAAAGACTCTTGCAAACCACTCTCCGCTTCTTTGCCTTCTATGTCCAACATGTCTACCATGTCCTCGACCATGACTCCTTCATACACCACCGCTTCCTCCACTTCGATCTCCTTCTCTACTTCTCCGCCCGCCTCTCCGCCTCTCTCCCCTCGCACCATTGTGGCTCCCATGACTCCCACTCGGATGCCGTCCACCTCCCTCTCCTCCATCCGGATACCCACCGTCAGCCACGATGGCAAGTCAGATCTTGACCCCACCGAATGGAAGCCCGTAGAACTCGCTGGGAACCGGGGCTCTTCGACCTCGCTTGCCTCTTCCGCCGCCTGGTCCTACCTCTCCCAGTTCCATGGCCACCACCCCGCGGTCATGCTGCCTCAGCGCCGCACCCACCGCAGCACCACCAGCCTGCCCGCCCTGGACGGCGGCGCCAGCCACACTCCGTCGCTAGTGAACACTCCCTCGTCCATCGCCTCGTCCGTCAGCAGCACCGCCTCTGACTACCTGGCCATGTATGAGCCCTCCGTGCCGCGCCCGCTTCCACCCCGCCACAACCCGCTCTTCGCCGGCAGCGCTGCGACCAAGGATGTGGCCTTGGTTGTGCCGCGCATCGCCTCCACTGCCGAAGAGGTTGGCGTCGCCGAGCTGTCCGACAGCGGCTCCATTTTCCCCGCCAGCAGCGCTGTCTGGGAAGACTGCGAAAAGACGGCTGCGCCGATTCGCATGGTCCGGAGCCTCGGTGTCGAGGTGAAGGCTTAGATACGACTGATAGGAGGACTAGTGTGGGGGCGTTCGAATGACGTACCTGACTACCGTCCGCCATCAAAGTAATGCTTGGCATTGGCCGCTGAAGGAATGGGAGTTTTGGTATTTCTTTTCTCTTGTTTGCTTGGTTGAGCGTGAGCCTTCGGGCCTGGAGATTTGACCCCTTAGATCATTGTCATGCGATGATGATATGCCTTTTTTTTTTCTTCTTTTCTCTACACTTGGCTTGAGAGCAGATAGATTTCTTTAATCATGGATGAAATAAAATGTGCGGAGCACACCTCTTCAATCTGATATTTACTTTCCCTCACTTTTGATCACTCTTGCCATAGATATTCCTTTGGGGAACCTGAATATCTCTGGTGGTAGTTGGAGCCATATTCTGGGAGAACAAACAACGGGTTGAGTGTACGCCTAGGCACACCGAACTCACATGCTGAACGCGTGATATTCGGCTTTTCTATACGTGAGGCAGCCAGGCAGGCTTCAGCCATACGAATTCGTCATATCTAGGGATATTTTGATGGTGGTTTTTGATAGGGAAGCCAAAAATTAGGGTAGTAGGGAAAAATGGCGGTTAATAAGTGGTTGGCGGTTAGTGTGTGGCGCACCCACAACCCGGAAGGGTTGGCGGGGCTTTGTAAGGCACTAATAGTAAGTTTAGAGCACAAAATTCCCGAAGTAGATAATCCGCTCACAAACTTAGCCTAGTACCTCTTTTAAGCATTAATTCGAGACCTTTCAATCATCTATCACCTAAACAAAACATTTCTATTCCTTTTTATCACCTCTGCCCCCGACTATCTCTTTCCTTCTCCTCCCCCTTGCTCCTCTTCTATCCTCCGTGCTCACTTCTTATTTCCTGAAGCTTTAAGAGACTACTTTATGTTATCGCTATTTTCAATATGCCTCCTTCTTGAGCACGATCCTTATTTCATGATGGAGCACTTCTCGCCTGTGATTACTATTGTTTCCTGAGTATAAAATCTCGGACACTGTCTGAAGAGTGTTTTGAAAGACTAGATATTCTCGAAAATGATATGGCCCGGTTAAAACCCTCTCAAGATGGAAAATATACGCCGAAGTCGCAAGAAAAAATCTAATTTTTCTCCTCATCTGTCTTAAAGAGATGTTGATACCAGCTTGACGGGCATTTTGGGACCAAGATTTTTAATTGCTTTTACTATCTTCCGTTGTTTTCAAGGAGCGAACTTCGTCCGCTAGGTATAGCTATATTTCTTGTATATGTGTGGCGTTTATCGAGACATTTCATGCACCGTCCATATGCGTTGAAAGCCTCCATGAATATATTGCCTATCAAAAATTACTAAAAGATCCAATTCTTAAGCATTTCACTGCTGGCCAGCGCTCCGCACTTGCTAATAGCCTGTGATGTTAGTCGCCAGCTTTCATCTTGCTTGGTTTCAAGCCTCCCTTCGCTATGGAATGGCTGTTTATATTCGTGAAATGGTCCACTTGGGGAGTCTATATTTGATTTGAACGCAGGGCTGACCGGACTGTGTTTTCACAAAACCACCCGATGTATGACTGGTTACTGCGAGTTTGTCGTCGGCTCAAGAATTAGTGGGGAGAAGGAACTGTTTTGGGCAGAACTTGGCGTGGGATGAGCACTACCATGCTGTACATGCATTGGCACGATCACGAACTGTGCTGACGATGGGCCCGGAGATAGAGTATTGGGAGATGGAAATGGAGGGCCGATTAAATCTTGCGTGTACGGGGCGGCGGTTGATGCCACGGGTGCGTTTGTTGGACGAGGAAGCCGATTCAGATCGGGCATTGGATGCATGATGTGGAAGGAAGTTATATCTTATGTCCTCATACAGAGAGTATACAAAGTATATCTTGAGCTTTTTCAACAACATTGTTTATGCAATCCGGAAAAACAATAGTCATTTAATGGAAGAACAGTGACTCACCTGAATTAAGAACACAGCCAGCCAGTAAAAATACAAACACAGCAGACGCGCAACAAAAGACAACACTTCAAAAAGAAAATTAAAGAAAACAGAAAAACCGCCATCCCTCATGGGTTGCCCACTCCCTCCTCTGTCAAATAGAAAACAAGCCGGTTCTCATACCATAATCCTCCATGTCAACATCCCAAACTCAGAACCACCTTGGAACTCATCAATAGAAAAATTACGCAAGATCCAGCAGGGTGACTATATGATCCTAGTATCATCAATCTCCTCCAACAAGTGGGATCTCACTTTCCAACCCCTAAGGGTGAAAAAAACATCACTCAACTCCTAGAAATCCCCCGCAGTGAAGCAACACATCCAGCAATCCTGTGCCTCCTTGTACAAAGCAGACGCCTATAACAAAAGAGAAAAACAATCAATTAGCAATTGCCTCCAAAGCACCCTGCAGGATTCCCCAAAGAGAAGACGGAACTTACATATGGCTTCGAACACTTCGCCTCTCCCTCGCTCGCATAACATTGCCCCATACAGAATGAATTGCCCTCATCCTTCCCACTCGGCTTGCCGATCAACACCGGCGCAACATCGCTGTCTGGCTGGAGCGGATCAATCGGCGCAATTCCACCGTCAGCATAATGCGGCGCATGGAAAGCCTCGCGTAGCGGCGTAGCGGATGGGCTCGCTGCGTGCGCGGCATGCGGGTGGAATGGCAGTTGCTGGGCCGAGGCGTGATGGAGGGGGCGCATAGAGGGACGGGCTGGGCGCGAGAGGGGAGTGGACGGGGTTGCGGCCGGGGTGGAAGAGGCTGGGATGGAGGGGAAGGGTGTGACACCGTTGGGAATCATCGAGCGGATGAATTGGGCGGGGGCCTGGGTGGCCAGGAGGGCGGTTGAGAGGGTGAGGAGGGAGGGGAGATGCATGGCGGGCTTCGGTTGTTTGATGGCTTTCTGTTTCTTTTTTCTTTCTCTTTGTGGCCAGACTTTGGATTCTGAACGTGTGTATATTGCGAGGCGTCTTTTATTTTGGCCACGAATTGAGCGGTTGTGTTGGTCAATAGCTGGCTGGCTGGCTGGCTGGCTGGCTGGCTGGGTTGGCGAGTTGTCGGGCGTGAAGGAGCGATGAAGAGGAAAAGAAGGAATTGGTCGAGGTTATCTACGTTGTCAAGTAGGTATTGCGCTAAGGCTTTGGGGCAAGGGAGGAGGCGTGTGTTTGTGGACGTGGATGCATTTTTGCATTGCGCGTTGCGGAATGCGGGTTGTATACAAATCCCGCGATGATCTGGGGAGGAGTATTTGACGTAGAGTGCTGGGGGAATAGAACACCGAAGAGAGGTTTATTTGAATATATGATCATCTACTAGAGATCCAGAGCATTGACCGTGTGAGTGAAAAATCTTATAGGCCAAATCTGGCAGAGTAGAAACAAGGAATCTCGGTGGGATGATGCGGTGGTGAGAAGTTAGGGCTATGCGGGTGACGTCCGCACGCTGTGATCGGATGGTCCCCTGCATACCACCTCAGCGCAAGAAAGGCTAGGGCTTGTTGCCTTCAGGTGCATTTTTGAACCAATCTCTTCTCGATTAATTAGAAGTAGATATATTCAGTGACAAGATTTTGATATGAAAATCAAAGGGGCCTAGGGAGACATGCTGCGATGATTTTGACGCGGGAAAGGGGGTTCCCGTAGGCTGGAGTGGTGTGATTGATGAGCATGATAAGGGAGTTCCAAAACGGACAAAGTCGCTTTCTTTCTGCACTGTAGACTGTCCCGAGAATGACACTATTCAAGAGTCTAGATTTGATTTACGAGAAGCGTCGGGGTATGAGCATACTGAAGAGTATCAGCGGACTATTCATGAATGAGCCAGAAACCCGAGGTAACAAGCTGGTCTTTCTATCGGAAGTCAATGAGACGATGGTATCTTTGGGCAAGAGCACCTGAGGTCTGGGACTTCTGCATGGTTCGGGCGATATATGTCGGCCAGTGAGAGTGTGCAGAGCACGAGCCTAGGCCCGCTGGCCAGCTTCTAAGAGGGGGTTGTACATCAGCGCGTCACACAGCCGCGTCTTAGCTCAGCAGGCGTGTGGCGCAACCAACCGGAGCGTTTCCTGTCAGTCGCGGCTGGGCCGAGACCCCGTTAGAACGAGAACTTTCGTTTACTGGACCGGTCGACGGGCGCCAAACGACGGTCGTCACATTCACAACGAGGTCAGATGGACTACCCGATGGACTATAATAAGGCTAGAGTAGGGACGGAGAGGCTCGGAAAAAAAACATCCTGTGTTTTCCACCGTCAAACCTGTACGCCAGCCAATCACTCGAGGTAAATAATGATGATATCTACAAGCTCTGTTTTGGGGGCAAGAGGCCTGGACCTTGGAACTCGATGTATCGGCGACGGGACACTGCTGGTAGTCCGCCAGCCTCTGACTCGCTCTCTGCATCAGATGCCATCGCGCTACCCTGTTACCCTGTAGTCTTCGGCCATGTTCTTAATCAGTCATTGACATCGATCGGCTGATTCATGACCTGGAGGGGTTGCCAGGGTTTTCCATGCTTTCTTAATGTCTATTTCTGGCCATCACACTTTGAGGGAAAAGTGCCACAGCAGGCTCTAGGATGTGAACTGATGTGCAGGTGACTGAAAGATCTCCTGCGCATCTCCGGTTGACCCCATATAGACATAATCCGTTGACCCGGCTCGGCTCTTCTTGCCGTCATGGTCAGCACTTGCAGGAACATGCGGTGCGTTGCACAGTGTACTGGAGAGTCCAGTTGGTGGGCTGATCGGCGCCATGGTTTCTGCAGCGATACTGCTCGGACGGGTTCCGGACGCCAGCCGCAGCTGCTGTGAGATGGTTGTCGTATGTACAGGCCTCCCGCCCCCTTCTCCCCAGATGGCGCGCTTGCCTCCCCAGTCATCTTCCCATATTAAACCCATCCATACCGGGAACAGCGGGAGCTCCAAAGGGCAAGCCAGGGTGGCATGGCATACCCGTCTCGGGTTTCGACAGGACGGTCCTCGGCAACAATAACATCTTTTTGAGAGTCCGGAAAAGATATCCTGAACCCAGTTGAGAAATGCTTGACCCCCCCTCCCCAATGGTCCTGGATAATCCAAGCGCCTCGTCGCTATCTGAAGTCCTCGCCGCGTTGTGATGCCAGCGCAACTGACTATGACGCCTCGATAGGCGACCATGGAACCGGACTGGGGGCTTCTGGGGGCGTGAAGCCTTTTGACACACGTAAATCTGACGCCCGTTCGGGATAGAGGCTGCCGTCAAGTGGAGCCCTGGCCCCAATAACCTCGCCAGGAACCATTTTCCGGGCAGCCACTGAAGGGAAGAATAGGGTTCTCCCTTTCTATTTCCTCGCCCTTCGGCAGGAAGAGAGGAGCCTTGACTTCCGGGTACTCGAAGCTCTGCAGTCGTCACGGTCGTGGAGAGTTGGACTTCAGGTGATCATGGCGACTGGTCTCTCCGAGACGTTTGGAAAGAGCACACTCGGAGCACATTGTGAATGGTATTCCCGAGACATTCCATCTAGCAAAGAGGCGTCGTCTTCTCTGACAAAGGTACCTGGGAGAGGCAGGGCCTAGCCGTCCTGTCCAGAAGGAAAACAGGGTCTGATGCTGACTCTTTCAACCACTTTCCATCCAAGTTTCATCTGGGTCAGTATGCGGACGATGTGTTGCAAGAGAGATGGCATCAATCTCTGATGATCATCCAGGATGAATCATAAACGCCTCCGAAGTAGAAACTTCGACGAGTAGGCGGGCCATCTGGCCGACCGCGTTGGACATCTCCAAGTCACGGACGTGACGCTGTCTGGGTGAATGACTGACCTCACTGACCAGAGCAGGTGCAAAAGATCCTGTCGACTTGCTTTTCACAGCATCCGACGGCGAGCACCACTGCTGCCCGCCCTCGTCAGGGATTCCCACCCAGAATCGCCACCTTCCCAGTCCGGAACCTCCTATTGAAGAAGCACCCGATGTGCTGTCAGACTCAGGTTTCTCAGGACGAGGATAAATCGGCGACGATGACTATCACTGGCGGCGAGAGACAATTTGCTCTCCCGTCACTTGACCGGTACTGCTTGGGTCAAAGATCATCAACAATCCACCAGCTCCCCTCGTCTTTCCATCATCAGGTGCAGCACTTCGTCGGATAGGAGCTAGGCCCCGTTCTTGAAAACGATAGCCGGCCGGCCCTCCTTGACAATGTTTTCCAGTAGCTGACAAGCTGAGGACGTTGTCGAAATGGAACGACCGTGATCATCGCGACGCCACCGGGGACCTGCTTCCACACACGATACCAAAGCCTGCAATGATCAAGCGTAGATGCCGCTGGCCATTGAAAAATTGTACCCATCAGTCAGGTCCGTGAGGGACACCTCGCTGGCCACACACACACACACACACACACACATCCTCGGGTGCCTAACAGATCAAGACCTACAGCTAGGAAACCCCTTTTACCACTGGCCAATACCCACTGCCATACTGCCACACTGCCGAGGCTTATATTTTCGTCCCAGATTCCGATATCCCAGCCACATTTCATGGGCTGACCATTTCATGGACTGACAAGTCGCCCACGCAGCCCCTGACTTAAGAGCAGATGCGGAGCACCATGCGGGCCTCAAGCGTACCCTGAGAATACCATATAGACCAACTAGCTGGACGACCAATATACCCAATGTGGCAGATCGGATCGGATGGTCCCTGCCAAAGACTTCGAATCTTCCTTGACTCGGGTTTCCATCGATATCACGATATTTGGATGCTTCAGCATTGTCAAGAATCCCAGTTTTCATACCTGCAACCCATACTGCAAGCTATGTGTAGCCATACCGAGATTGGCTGCGGGGAGTTCGAACAAGAGAAGGGGGAAGAAGGGATCGATGGCGGCACGACCGACGATAATTCCGCTGCATATCGAAGGTGACTTATCGACTTGCACAGCGAATTTTTGATGGGAAGTTGTGGATCTGGCGTCATGACCTGGATGCTTTTTTCGGAAGGGAAAAAGGGATACGAAGATCGGATGGCAACGATGAACGTGTTCGGGGATACTCTGAGCTCATTATGGACCGACCAAGATTCAAGAGATCCCCAGAGCCGTGGGATTTCCAAGCCGTGAGCAGTACTGGGCTCGATGGTTCACAAGGAGAAGGTAGGAGGGAAGAAGGGACAGGGGGTTTTCGTCAACGAAGGCAAACGGGAGGACAATATTCGCTCTTATTTTTCGAGGGGCCTCGGACACGAGCTAGAGCAAAGAGCAAGTCAACAAAGCAACGTCAGGTACACTTTCTTTCTCAAGAACATCGAACTGGTCTTACACATAAAGCGTTGAGGTCTGTTCCAGAATGTGTGTTCGAGCCAGGACGGAACAAGACCGGCCATGCGTTCGCCTCCCAAGAACGATCTTCCACAGCTCATTCATATCCAATGAGCATTCCCTTCGGGGACGGCATCAGATCTCATTTACCGTGCTTTCAGAGACGAACCCATGGTGCTCTTGTGTCAGACAAGGACCGCTAAACCTCGATTGTGGCTGGCAGTCTCCTTACCCTCGAAACCGAGAGGCCAACCCGAGGATTTTCTCGGGTTTCAAGACGAGTTCTACGCCTTGACTCCTCATGAGCCATGGGTTGTGCTCTTCTGCCGTGCCTCCGGTGATTTCAAGATGGAAACTCCGAACCTGTTCGCAGGAGAAGGGAATGCCGACAGTTCCTAAAGGACAACATCAATACTTGGACACTGGGATCCATCCAGGGCCTTTCCCACTGCAGATCATGGCGAGACCGCTTATATCATCACCAGGCACGGTTTTCTCTTGGCTCAGCAGACACCCATATACCTGCCCGGTGCAGTTTACGCCACTTCGGGGAGGATGACAATGCAATGGCGGAAGCCCCGAGTTCACCCCAGGTTTCAGCAGATCATCGCATCGGCCCAAAAGGGACCTCGGGGACTCTCTGCCCTGTCGGATTTGCCTCATTGCCCAGACCGGCAGACTCTCCAACAAGCCTGTTCTATTCCCTAAGCTGATGATGGTGATTCCCTGGCCACTGACAGGGAGGCTCAGAGTCAGAGGCGAATTCGAGGGTTGATACTTTATGGGTCCGAGGACATTGCCGGCTTGCGCCTACGATTGGTTGGCTCTTTTTTCCGGCCCAAACAACAGCCTACGATTAGTGAGAAATCAACAACAGCCTGAATCTCCGATCTCAGAAACATTGGGATCGCGGCGGCAGCAGGAGAATCTCCTGCCCTCAGTGTTGAGGACCGAAAGAAGGAGATCTCCTGCCCTGCGCCCGCTGGAATCTCCCGCTATATTGTCCGCCCTGCGCCAACGCAGCGACGCGGCTTGGCCTCTTGAGCCCGGCCGGGGGCTGCTTTTACGGAGTCGATAGGCGCGGCCAATCCAATGCATTCGGTGCCAGAGCGATTTTGGAGGGGACTTCGCACGTCTTTAGTTATCCGGCTTTGAATAGCGTCCCACCTTTTTTTTCCCTCTACCAATCTACTCCCATCTTCGTTTCCAGTTCCCAGTGTCCAGCTCCCAACTACATGTACCACTCCATTTCAGGCCGAACGCATCCCTTGGTTTTCTTTTCGATCTGGTGATTTGCCCCAGTTGAACCAAAAACTGAAATATCGACCGAGAAGACTCCAAACTACACGGACTACAGTGTTACTTGAGTATGACCGACCGCTTTTTTACGTATTTCTTCTCTCCTCTCTCCCATCACCTCTCCATCTGCTCTTTTCTAGTTTCCAAAGTTCTTCGGGCCGTCCCTGCTGCAGCCATCCCCTGGATAAGCCCTCCATCAACCTGTTCCTAACCCTCTTCTGACTGAAGACCCGAGTCCGACAGGTCCCATACTAGACCCCTCAGAAACTGCCATCTCACCCTCCTGTTGTCTTCATCCAGCCTTCGTTGTGCACGCAGGTCCAAGAGATCTGTAGTGATCGAAAGAACGCCTCGTAGCTAGTCCAGTTCAACCCCGTGACCACCAAATCTGCCAGCATGTCTTCCCGGACGCCAACCGACCCCTCTCAGAACAATGTTGGGGGCCACAGCCCAACGGGATCCTCGAGGTTAGTCACTGCATCGTCTCTTAGTGTTGTCTCAGCGTTGTATTTAGGGAAAGGGACCTTCCATCGGGAACTGGTTGGCCTTGAACGATGCCCTGATGGGGAAAGAGCAGCGGCTGGAGGATCCCTTTCCTCCTCCGACCCCCCTTCCCCATCCCCCTCTCCCTCGTACGACCTGAGGCTGAAGCTCGATCTCTTTATATCCACTCCTACAGCGCGCGCGCCAATGTCGAAGCAACGGCCTATTATCAATCTTTTCTCAACAGACTGCTGGATCTCATTGCGCGGGGCGAGCAAGCGTCCGTTGATCGAGTCATCGCGCGCATCCGCGCCGGCGACTCCGAGCACCAGATCCTCGCCCTCATCGACCAGGTGCACGGTAACCGCTATTAACAATATGTGCGGCACTCAGGAAGGACCCGTCTCTTTTCTCTAGCGAAATGAGAGCCTTTCGTGGTCGTGTTTGCAGCTCTCCCAGTAGCAATGCCGGGAAGACCAGTCAGTCTCTTGCGAAACGAGGTCGGATTCACGGGAATTGTTAAGATGGGGGAAGCTGTTGCCGGGAATGTCTGTGGGGCATTCAACGCGGTATGGTGCCATGGCCGATTGTTAGGAGAGCTCCACGGATGGGTATCTGCCCCTTGTTGTCTTTGATCTTTTTTGGTTTTTTTTTTCTTCTGTTCTTTTCTTTTCTTTTCACTATTTCATTTCGCTTTTCAGGGCCTGCGAGATTTTGGGATGCCGGGACTATGCGCCGAGTGGTAACATAGCCGCAAGGTCATGTCCGGCATGCGCGAAAGGCTTTTTTCGGCTCGAAGAACGTTGACATGATTTTCATGACAAGATGAGATATGACGTGACGGTGAGACGAGGACGAGATAACTTGATAGCGCGTTCTGTTTAGCAAATGCTTCCACTGCTATGCTTGATTGATCCTCTCTTCAATGACTATTCTCCACGGGAACCGTGCTGGTGAATGGCGTGGTTCCCATCTGAACAGCGTATTTGTGGTTGTCGTCGCCACAGTATGACATCGGCAGATGCAATGCGATCAAGTCACTAGACGTTGATTAGCCATGCAGTAGGAAAAAGGAGCACCAAGAAAAAACGCCAACCCTGGAAAACAAGCGAAAAAAGGAAAGGTAAACTATAAAAACTCAATTATACAGGGCTCAAAGAACGGGTTGGGTGGTGGAAGTGCGGAGAAAAGTCGCCCCTGATATCATCGCTCGCAACTTGGTGGGGGAAGCTCCCGAGGCTCTGGCCCAATGTTTTTTTTCCTGGTGCCGACAGTGGTTCGAGGTGGACATATGGTTTCGTCAGAGAAAGTTCTTCAGACATGGTCAGCAGCGTGGCAATAAAAGAGGGCGATGGCAAGATCCCCTTGCCATCGCCCTTATCTCTGTCAGACTTATCCACATCGCATAGAGATGATGAGACTGACGGGTCAGTGGAGGCGAGGGAACGGAATAAGCAGATCGATGGAGATCGCGACTACAGCCCGGCTTTGGCGTATAAAAACTGGAGATGGGACGATCGTACAGGTCTGCAGCCATCAGGTTGTTTCGTCGTCGGCCATGTCTTTCGACCTTAAAAGCTTCGCGCAGCATCAACCTCCTTTAGGGGAAACATGAACCCTGTCAGCCAGGATCACTCGTCTCGCAAAGGACTGCAAAGGACTGAGAGGCGTATTACCTGTATTTAGGTCGCCCAGACGCCCTTCATCCCTGCTCAACAGAGAACGGAATGGGGCTGGCTGTGGGCTGCCACGGATGTGTATCTCCGCCCCGTTAGAGCAATGGAATCAAGGGCAGTGGAGCACAAGCTCGCCCCAGACGGGGCCCTGCGCCGCCCCTCGGCCGCAGAGACAGGACTGCCATTTGTGAGCAGCAGTCATTCTCATCTGCAAGACGCCGAGTGAGAGGGAGGAGGGAGGGGGAGAGAGAGAAAGAGAGCGAGGATAGCGATGTGAGGGAAAAGAAAGATGGTGAAAATAAGGGCCCCAACTAAAGCGCATCCCCGACTCCCGTGACCGGCTGGACTGGCCGGACAGTCTCCGTTGAGATCGCGACTGCGGGACTGCTGGATTTCCCTCCTGTTGTCCCCTTGGACCTCTCATCCTCGCCTTGCGTGGGCGTTCTTCCCCATCTCTCGAGGATACCTCGCCCTCTTGAAGGAATTGGCAAACACGCGCAGCCCTAACCTGGATAGGGAAGAACACAAGTCCTCCGCTTCTCTCGCACAAGTTTCTTGCAGGTTCTTCCTGCTGGCCTTAAAGGACGCCCCATCAAGTACCCTGGTTCCCTTACACAAAAGACTTCTCGATAAGATCCCGCAGAGCACCTCAGCAAAGAACAGCCACCCCTAACTCCAGGATGAAGACTTTACAGCACAGCGAGCTCAACCACAGACACAACCCCTTCCCAAACGACCACATACCTGCCAGCCATTTCATCCCATTCGCTCTCACAAACTTCCAGAACTCGCCAAAGCAGCCCAAGCCGACATCGTTCAGAATCGAGGATTTGACAAACTTCCCCCACACTGCTCACATTATCTCCTAGCATCCTTGTCGCCAGTATCTACCGAAAACGACCTCTTCAAATACCCCTTCAGGCCATAGTGCAAACAACCTGAGGGGGGGCTCACAACTCTGCTTTACACCTCTTCTTCATCACTGCATTCTTCCAAAACAAGCTTCTCCTGAAAGACGACCACAAGTACACTCTTCACAAGTACGCGCACCCCCTGCGACCCTATCTTCCATCAATTCAGGCCCCCACCTTCCCCTCACCCCCGCCTCCCTCTGCACCTACATCTGCAACATACCTTATTTGCAGCTCGTCTTGTGTCTTTGATCCTAGGATCTTGGATGGAAGTCCACGGATCCAGGCTACTAAGAACCCAGAACGTTGGATGTTGAAGCCACAGAAGCGGAAGGACCCAGTATTGAAACGTGCTCTGTGGGACAGGCATTGCCTTGAGAGGTGTGTAGTGTGCGGAGGTGAGCAGGGACTTCATTGGAATAGACGTGTATCTATTCAGTGAGAGGATGAAGGTGACTGGACGAGAGCGGGGATGGCTGGGGACAAGCTGAAAGTATGAGTTGAAAGAGAAGTACAAAGATTCTGAAAGGGAAGTATAAAGATCGGCAACGAAAACTGGATGCCAAATCAGCGGTACCAGGAACCGAAGATGAGCGCGAGAAGGTGAGGGGAGGGGAGCATACACGGGAATCCAAGGTCAAGCGAACGAGCCAAGAACAGCGAAGAGCAGATACCAACCAGGCGGGTATAAAACACGCTCATCGCCGCGGCGCTCTGGATGCCCGGCCGTCCTTTCATCAGACCATTCCGAAGGCGCTGTGCAACAACGAATCAGCCCGATATATTTCATTCCGAGCCAGCGGGGCTCGGGCAAAACTGACCTACAGATCGCACCGGTATGCGCAGCACAACCCTGCGTGCACCACGTAACGCCGCAGGAAGTGCTTTATCAGATCAGAATCAGCCCGATACTAGCTACGATGCCCTGAAAAGGGACAGCGTGGGTGTGGCGGTGGGTATTTTAACACGAGTAGTCATCGTAGAACCACTACTGCACTGAGAAAACAATGCCAGCTTCTGAGTTGGCCAGGGGTTATGCCTCGGGAGTTGGAAAAGCTCAGGCTGGACAAGGATATAGAGGTAGAAAGACGAGGCGTTTGATTGAGAGACAATTACGTTACGACAGAGCCAGATATGAGAAGTGAGAAATGAGAGGGAGAAAAAATGGAATAAATTTCAAATTTCATTGCTTCCATATATGGATGGGCCTTGAGAAACATGAGCTCCCTCCTCTTTTGCAAACCCTTCCCCTTTTCCAGAAAAGTCATTCCGATGTGTTTGATTCCAAGCGTGCTCATCACGCATCATGACAAAATGTTAGGTTTTGTTTCCCTACTTTTTCCGATTCGTAGAGAAAGAGAAGAGAGAAAGAGGTCGAAGATACATATACCATCGTCTCTTTCTCTCTCTTTTTTTTTTTTTTGCTTACGGGGTGCAGCGGCCCGTGTAGCGGGGGTAGAGTGAGCAGTCACGCACGGTATACCGAGCGCACAGCCAGGCCAGGAAGCGCTCCAGACCAAGGCCGTAGCCGCCGTGAGGGGAGGTACCATACCTAGAGAGAGTGGAAAGTAAGCATTTGTATCGATACAAGATCGGGAAGGAGAAAGAAAAGAGATGAAGAGTGACCTCATGGTGTAGAGGGTGAGGGGATGAGGGGACGGTAAACTCACTTGCGCTGGTCAGTGTACCAGTAGTAGGGCTTGGGGTCCATGCCCTCGTGCTTGTAAGCAGCCATCAGTTCATCCCAATTGTCCATACGCATGCTGCCACCGACAATCTCGCCAACACCGGGCATCAGCACGTCCACACTCTCGGTGACGCGGCGGTCCGACTCGTCCTTCTTCATGTAGAAGGCCTTGATCTCAGCCGGGAAGTGGGTCAAGAAGATGGGCTGGTTAATGATATCGGTCATCTTGCGCTCGGCAGCCTCGGCAATGTCATCACCAAAGGTGTGCGGCTGGCCCTCCTCGTTAGGGATGTCATGCTCGCGCAGCCAGTCGATGGCGTCTGAGTACTTCATGCGGCGGAAAGGACGCGACGGCGGCTTGAAGTCCGGGTTCAGGGTCTTGATGTAGCCCGCAATCTCGGGCTCCGCCAGCACATGGTCGATGACCTGGCAGATCACGGCCTCCAGGTGGTCCAGCAGGTCGGTGAAGGTGATGAAGTCCAGCTCGGCCTCGATGTGGGTGTACTCCGACAGATGACGGCGGGTCAGGGACTTCTCGGCACGGAAGGACGGGCAGACACAGAAGACGTCGCCCAGCGACGGGAGACAGGTCTCCAGGTACAGCTGTGAGGATTGGGTCAAGTAGGCGTTCTCGCCGTAGTAGTCGAAGCCGAACAGCGTGCTGCCGCCCTCGACTTGGGTCTGCACCATCGCCGGCGGGGTCACTTCAAGCATGCGGTTCGACTCGAAGGCCTTACGGAAAGCACGCAAGGTGGCGGCACGCACCTTCATCACGGAGGAAGAGGTCTCACCACGCAACACCAGGTGCCGGTTGTCGTAGAGGGTCTGCGGGTCGGCGTCCGGCGCCACGCGCGTGGTGATAGCCTCCTTGTCACCGGCGGCGCGGCCGATGATCTCGAAGAAGTCAGCATGGAGCTCCCGGTTGTTGGGAGCGTGCTGCTTGGGTGGCACCGCGCGCATCTCGCCGTGGATGGACATCGAGGTCTCCAGGGTGAGGGTCATGATGTCGTAGGTCTTGACCATGTCGCCGGTCAAGATGCACTGGAGGTAGCCATAGCCATCAGTGAGGGTGATGAAGACATAGTCCTTCTGCGCACGCATGCGGTGGACACGGCCCAGCACGCGCACTCGAGTGCCCGGGACATCAGACTCGGGGGTGCGGAGTTGGACGACGGCCGGGTCGGTGACGTCCAGGCGAATGCGCACAGGCTTGGGCAGGGAGGTGTCCTCCTTAATGACGACCTTCTTGGCCTCCTCCAGGACCTTCTGGCGCTTGTCAGCCTCGGCCTTCTCGCGAATGGCGAGTTCGTGCTCCTTGGCGGCCTTCTTCTTGCGTTGCTCCCACAGGTTGGTGGCTTTCTTCATGGCGGACTTGGTGGCGGGCTTCCACTCCAGCTTGGCGGCGGGATCCACATCTTCGCCAGGGGCGTCAGTCTGCGACTTGCGGGTGAGGTACTGGATGCCCTCTGTGGTCGGTGGGTGCTGCACAAAGGCATGGATAAGGGTCTTGTAGGGAGCGGTCTCAGAGCCGGTCGCCGGAGCTTCGTCGCGGCCGACGTCCTCGTCAATGTAGATGGACGCCATCTTTGGTCCGCGGGGTGCTTGTCTGTGTTCGATCGAAGGCACGGAAGGGGGCGCAAGAGGGGAAGGAATCTGTTTCTATAAGCATATTATTTTTTTTTGGGTGGTGTGAGTCTTATCTCCTGGTTAATGTGACTCATCTGATGATTGCGGCCCGTAGGGAGGAAATGGAGATCTCCATTTGCCTACACGGTGTGCAGCCGCAATGATCGAGCCATGAGGAGAGGCACATACCGAGAAGGACCAATGCGCTGATCTGGGCTCAATTGGCCAAATGGGCGCGAAGGAGGAGGTGAAGCAGAGGGAGGAGGGTTGGAGGGGTAAATTTGCATTTTCCCGATAGCGATCGCGGGCTTCCCCATGGGTGCCTGAGGCAGCCCTCTTCCGATGAAATCGGCAACGCGGCCGGGGTGTTGGGCCATATTTTGCGACCAGATTGAGAGTGATCGATCGCGAAAGAGGAATGGCATATAGAGAGAGTTGGAGGGTCGATCGCGACTCGGGGTGATTGGAAATTGACCTTCCACCTTCCTCTCCGTGTGCTTCTCTGTCTTCGGGGTATACTCCGTCCATATCCCCGTATTCCCGTACTCCCGTCACTCCTGTCCCCTATGTAGTCGGGCCGATTGCAATAGATCCAGCCAGACGGCATTTGAGACTGAGACTGAGATGCCAGTTCCGCATTTATCAGTCCCTCGGGTCTTTAATCCTTTGTACAACCGGTGAAAGCCGTGGAGATGACCGCATGAGCGGGCAGTTGGCGGCGAGGATTCTCATGGTATACTTCGCGGATGGAGGCCTCGTACAGAGCAGGACGGAGTAATGCAGCGAATCGGATCAGAAGTCTATGCCATTCTGAATCCAGGCAGGAATACCCACCCGTCTATCCCTCCTCTTCGTCGCAGAGATGCGATCGAGTGTCTCAGAGAGGCTCTCTCTCTCTCTCTCTCGCGCGCGCGCGCTCGCTCGCTCGCTCTCCAGCCGCATGCCTGGTCTGCCAGGGGTAGTGGCGGCGCGCCCCATGTTTAAAGGATGGTGATTGGCGGAGTCGCCCATGATCCAGTTCTGCAGGAGCCACGGTACTTTTGGGAAGAACCGGGCGACAATTTGGGGTTAACCGTTGCTGTTTCGGGTTTAAGAGGCCAAACTGGGGTTTGGCCCAACTCAATGGAGAGCGTAAAGAAGCAAAGTAGCAGAGTCGCGGAGTCCAAGAGCAGAAGCACCTGGTTCTGGCAGGGCAGGGGGGGGGGGGAAGAACGGAAATGGATCCTCGATCGATCTAGTCCCAGTCGTGATATATGATAGATGCGATATACCGTTATGCTCATCTCGAATTCGTCGTGATACCGTAGCTTATTTCGATCCTCTTGCAATCTCCGCGGCTTCAATGCTGTGTGTCTCCTGCTTTCTTCTGCTCGCTTTTGTCGCCTGATACTCCTGATACTCCTAATACTCCTGATACGCGAAAGACCAGCGTCGTGAGTCTGCTAACTCGTGGTGTCTCCCCCTTTTCGATGCCCCTTGTTTCGCCTGCTTCGTGAAGTCTGGTGAAGTCTCGTGGAGTCGTGTCTCGTGTCTCGTGCTCGGCTGCTTGTTTCCTCTGTCGCTGTTCGCTGTTCGCTTTCTTCTTCTTTCTTCTCTCTTCTCGCTTCTCGCCCCTTTTTGGATCCCTTTCCCTTTCTTTTCCTCCGTTCACATACCTTGCCTGGATTCACGTCCTTGCCTGTTCATTCTTTCCCCCACTCTCGTTTCGCTTTGCTGCTGCTCCGGTAAGCTCCTCTCCTCGTCCCCTGTTCTCCACTCTGCAGTTCGTCAAATCCCCCTTTCCCCTTTTTCCCTTGAACGCCAGCCCAGCCCGTTTCTCCCGTTTTTAGCTAATGACGGGTCTCCATTCGCGGTAGTCTGGGTAGTCTTTTTCTTCCTTCCCTTGACTCTCGGCTTCTCCCCCTCCCCCCCTCCTCTCTCCCTAATCTGTGGGCTCCTGCATGGCGTCTCCTATATACCACACTGGGACCTCATCGTGAATTCAACCTCGCATATTAAAGAGTGAGTATCAAGTCTTCTCTCTTCCTCCCCCCCTGTCGCCCCAGTGCTCCCGATCTCCCGTGCTCCCATGCTCCCCGTTCCCCAGGCTCTCCAAGCTCTCCTGCCCCCTTCCCATGTTTTGCCCATGTTCCTGATCTTCCCCGTTCCTTTCTCCCCCCCCGAATTCAACGCGCGCTGCACATCCGCCCCCGAAAAGATTTTTTTAAAAAAAAAAAAAAAAAAAAAAAAAAAAAAAAAACTCCCGCTCCGAACATTCCAATTAACATTTTACACCAATTTTCTAGACACGTCGCCTGTGACTGCTTTCTTTTCCAAGTCCTTCTGTTACCGCATTTCTCGTCCTGCCTCTCTTTCTCTTGCGGAAACTTATCAACAACCTCGGGCCTGCGGGAAAAAAAATAAATAAAGTGGGTTCTCCTGAATGGTGATCTGATAATTCCGACCCGCCCCAGCTCCTTTGCTGGTCAACAAACAACCCTCCCCGTGGAGTTCCATTCGCCTTCGACCCTCGTTGGGAAGCATCAATAACAATCCATTGGTTGTTACTGACCAACCCTCTTCCCTCCCCCTCCCGGCGAATCGATCGCGGTCAACTCTCACCTCGCCATGCAAGCCGCGGATGCATCAAACATCCCGAACAGTTCGCGTCTGATCCCTTCGAAATATCACTTGAACGGCGACACCGGTTTTTCGCACGGCGCCTACCATTCCAACCATCCGAATCAAGGTTTCTCCAACCGGAACGCTCGTCGCGCCAATATCCCTGCCATCAACACCGCCGCCGCCGGCCAAACCAACGACATGGCTTCCGGCGGGTTCGATATGAACTTCACCCCCTTCTCCCGTCGCAGTTGCTGGTGGGTAGTCCCTTCCAGCCCGGAACCCCCTCGGCCTTCGCCTCGCCTCAGTTCGCCAATTTCGGCGGCTTTCCCCAAGCCAACGCCAACGGTCACGCGCCCAACTCCCAGAACCAGCTGGGCAGCCCGACTCAAGCCATGCACAATCCCGGCTTGTATTCGGGGATGATATCCACCGATGGCCTCGGCGCCTCTCAGCTGCTGGGGGGACCCCAATCCCCCATCAATGGCCTGGGAGGACTCGGCAGCGCCGCCCTAGGCAGCCCGGCGGCCTCAGTGGCGCCGGGAATGTTGTCGAGCACGAGCCGAACAGTATATTTGGGTAACATTCCGGCTGAAACAAGCGCGGAGGAAATCCTGAACCATGTGCGTAGCGGACAGATCGAGTCGGTTCGGCTGCTTCCCGACAAGAACTGCGCCTTCATTTCCTTCTTGGATAGCAGCTCGGCTACACACTTCCATTCCGATGCCATCTTGAAAAAGTTGGCCATCAAGGGCAATGACATCAAGGTGGGCTGGGGCAAACCCTCCCAGGTCCCCACCTCCGTCGCGTTGGCGGTACAGCAGTCGGGCGCGTCGCGTAATGTCTATTTGGGCAACCTGCCGGAGGAGACCACAGAGGACAATCTGCGAGAGGAGCTGGGCAAGTTTGGGCCCATCGACACCGTGAAGATTGTGAAGGAGAAGGCCATTGGCTTCGTCCACTTCCTCTCCATCAGTAATGCCATGAAGGCCGTCACACAACTCCCCCAGGAACCACAGTGGCAGGCCCCGAAGCGCGTCTTCTACGGAAAGGACCGCTGTGCCTACGTGTCCAAGACCCAGCAGCAGAACGCTGCTCAATTCTTGGGTATTGCGCCTGGTTATGCCCACGTGTTGAACTCGGCGGACCGTGATCTGATCTCAAATGCGCTCGCCCAGCAGTCCGTCGCTGCGGCCGCCGTGGCGACCACCGCTGGCGGTGTCAATAACCTTGGAAACCGTACCATCTATCTTGGAAACATTCACCCCGAAACCACCATTGAGGAGATTTGCAACGTCGTCCGGGGCGGTCTGTTGCACCACATCCGATATATCCCCGACAAGCACATTTGCTTCGTCACCTTTATTGACCCCACCTCGGCGGCCTCCTTTTATGCCCTGAGCAATCTGCAGGGCCTGATGATCCACAACCGACGATTGAAGATCGGCTGGGGTAAGCACTCGGGCCCTCTTCCGCCTGCGATTGCCCTCGCTGTCAGCGGTGGTGCTTCACGGAATGTTTACATTGGCAACTTGGATGAGGCTTGGACCGAAGAGCGCCTGCGTCAAGACTTTTCTGAATACGGCGAGATTGAATTAGTGAATACGTTGCGCGAGAAGAGCTGTGCCTTCGTCAACTTCACCAACATTGCCAACGCCATCAAGGCCATTGAGGGCATGCGTAACCGTGAGGAGTACCGGAGGTTCAAGATTAACTTTGGCAAGGACCGCTGCGGCAACCCCCCGCGCCAGGCTGGGAACCACGGTAACTCTCCCCAGAACCGTAATGGCGCCGGTTTGGAAGGCCCTCAATCCCCTTCCCCGGCTCCCAACGGGTTCCAACAGAATCTGAGCCAGTCTGGATCCCAGTCAAGTCCAACCCGGCCTGCTCTGTCTCCAGCCCCCGGCTCTACTGGATCCCAGAATGGTCAGCGCCACCCCCTGCAGACCGTGTCTTCTCCCTCGGGAGTGCTGAATGTGGGTTCAAACAACCCCCTGACTATGTACCTAAACCAAATGTCAGCCCAACAAGCACAGGAACAAGAGAACCGCCTCAATGACTCCATGGCTCTCGCTGGCCTTCAAGGCCAGTCTCAGACCCCGTCACAGCAGCCTTTATATAATGGCACTACCAATGGGGAGCTTTCCAATGGCACCATGGAAGCTCCTATGCACCAGCACAAGTCTTCTGCCAACGGCTACCTGAGCGTTGCCGGCAACTCGTCTGGTCCCGGCCACCATGCAACTGCTAGCACCAGCAGTCTGAGTGTGCCACGCGCCCAGCACTCCCGTGCTGTCAGTCTGCCGTCGTTCTCACAGGAGCCATTTGGACCAGTCTCTGGCCAAAGTCATATCCGCACCGGTGCCCATCAGCCCCAGAGCAGCTTCTCTAGCTTTTCTGCGCTCGGGGGGCTCAACCACCCCGGATTCGGACTGGCTATTCAAAATGAGAACTCCTTGCCCGGCTGGGCTGAAGAGGAGATTGGGGCTAAATAATTAATCTTGCCATGCTCCGATGACCTACCATTTTTGACTCATAACCCTGGGTGAATTTTTATGGCATTTCCTTTCTTTATTATCTTCCTTCTTCTTCTACTACTACTACTTTTCTTATTTCCCCTCCCACATATAGTTCATTTTTGATCGTGATGCCATCTTTCTCTACAACTTTTTTTACTACTCTTTTTTCACCTTTTTTTGAATTTGTTTCTTTTCTTGTATTGGTCCTAATATCTTTCTGACTCTTTGTCATTCACTTTTTATCTAACTTTTTTTTACTTTTCTTTCCTTCACCTTTTTTATGGTTATTCTGGCTTGGCTCTCTCTTGTCCTCTTCTCACCCTGTTTTGTCTAAACGCTTCTTTCCCTTTTCCGCCAATGGTTTTACTACCCCTTTAATCCCCTTCGTCTTATCACTTTGTATTGCTAGCTGGCTATGAGCTTCCTATTTTCCTTTCTTGATTTTCTCCGTTTCCACATTCGGTGTCTGGTTTCTATGTCAGAGAAGAGTGTGAGGTGACCAGTGGCCATCTTCGCTCATGGCCAGATCAATACTGTCGACCCACCCACCCCCTTGCTCATAGACGGGAATTGGTCACCGGATAGACTCTCCTTCCTTATCATGTGTTTCTGATCACTTCTTTTTCTTTCTTCCTTTTTGAATTATCATGCCATTGGGGCAGGTTGCATCGGGCGGTCCGATCCAGTGGAAATACCCCCAGCTTCTTGCTTTCGTCTGCGACTCGTGGGAAGGGAGGGGGAAATGCTTTTGGGAGCTTCTTTCCCCCCTCCCGTTTTCTTTTCATTTTGACTTAAGGACGCATGCTGTTTGACCTGCTGATGTGTAATTAGTGGAAAGATACTCCCGGGGAATAAAATGAGTTGATGAAAAAAAATCATTTGTGTGTGTATTTGTTGCACAATACTATATTGTAGAACCTCGAAACGTTGGCAGGGAAACGCTGATCTCTTTGTAGATCTATATTATTTTACTAGTGATTTTCTCCAATGGTATAAAATAACGTAGTAAATTGTCTGGGATTCTGGTAGCATGCAGAGCCACCCACGGTCTTGCGTCTCAGACTACCGGACCTGTCCATGCATGCAGTCGCGGCTCTGATGTCACAGTCCGCATTGTCGGGCCCGTCAACCCCTACCGTGGCGTAGTATCAAGCTGTGCCCTAATTCAACCTCGTCCTCTCAACTCTGGCTGCCTTCGAGATATTCGTACCAAAGCTTATCTCTATATATCACCCCCCTTCTCCTCTTGTCTTATTATATTCAGTAGTTCCAACCATTACTTGTATCTTGTTCCATTATCATCCTTGACCTCGGTTCCGGCCGCTCTGCCGCCATATCTCGATGTGACCCCGGCACCTCAATTCGCTGCGTGCTTGATATTTCAACTACCCTCAGCCACCCCCCGCCTTCGCCTCCGGCACGCCGCTGAGCCGACTGGCAAAGCCTACAGATGCGCTGCTGGCGGCAGTGTCTGTGACACTGGGTGATCGAGACGTCATCGAGTGTGTGATGCATTCCGGGAGTTGGCGACGCCGGATGTGGCGCCTTACTTTGACACGGTGATATCAGGTCTAGTGAGCGCAGGCAGTGGGGTACGACAGTGTGTCGTTCAGCTCTCAGAGGCTCTCTGTAGGAAGCAATTCCATACCATTTGACCAATCGATTTCAGCCGTATTAAAGTCTTTCTGGAAGGGTCTGGAGGTGATGATCAGGGAGAAGAAGAAGGCTGGCCCTGTGACATATCTATAGGCGAGGCTTCCTCCGGGTCACTTCGATGATTCAATTCCAGAGAGATGATTAATTGCGGTAAGACACCTCACGATGCGAGGAGTATTTATGTAGGAAGTAATTCCAAATTGTTCAATCAGTCAGTTTTAGCCGTACTAGTAACCTTCTGGACCGTAGGGGGATGTGGCCCTTCTGATGTTATTCCGGCCGACTTCGGATGCGAATCGTATGCATAACGATATACGAACATTCACAGGGACCAACAAGTTGGATTCGGACTCCTTTATCGTCATACCTTCGGCAAATAGCGGAATGACGACATCAAGATTATAGAAGGAGAATGATTGTCTTCAAGATTCAGTTGGAATAATACACCTTTGCTATTCTTCTTCGATTCAATAACAATTTCATATTGTATTCATTGTCCTTAACTAACCAACAGGCCGCTACCCTGCAAGTAGCACCCTAACAATATGAATCATTACAACGATCATTACCGGTATAATATTCTGCACCTTTTCAAGTTTGCTTGTTGACTTTAAAATTTTTAAGCTACGGAAGATTATTCGGGAGGATAAGATATAACGTTAGGAGAACATCGAGCGAGGAGAGAGTATTAAGAGAAGGTTAACAGTCAGAAAGGGTGGTATTTATAAGGAATGCCCTATAACATATACATCTCTAGTTTCACTTTGACAAACCATATTAGGAGCCTTTCACCGCAATTATTTCTTTTAGTAGTATAAATTTTGAAACCGACTACTAAGGCACTATAAATCCCGAAGGGCTATTACTATAGAAATAAGGCAAATCTTGTAGCTCATCTACCATAAGTTAAGGGCCTATAATATTTGTGCGGTACTATTATCTTGCCGCGATTGGATACCTCAAAAGTATTTAAGTACTGTATCATTAAAGGGCCAGACGGCCACTTTCACTTTGAATGTAAGCCAAGCATCATGAGTCAGAACTCCATATGGATTGCACTTGCAATACTAGTGACTGCGGTATGACCATGCTCTGTTTCCCTAACAGTCGATCTGGCTAATAGTTATCAGTGTGCTGGGCTTGCTATACTTCCTCAGCAAGGTGGTCTCACCCCTTCATATTCTGTAAGAAGCCTAGATGACATCTATTCGCAGAATAAAATGTGCTCACCACTCAGCAGATGCAATCTTCGAGCGGCCCTCTTCATCCGGTCAACCGAAACCGCTATTGGTTAGGGCACACGGTGAATGATTTGCGCAGTTTTGATCCGAGTCTAAGCTGATTCGGCTCAGAGCATGAGAAGGTAGACAAATGAAGCAGTCACTTTCATTTTCCTTCTGCCAGTATACCCCAAAAAATCCTGCAAATCTTGATTCAACATGTCCCCTGTTTCCCGTCTTCTCCTTTCACCTTCACTGGGAACTAGTGCTGTGCAACTGGCACTGTGGCGACAAAACATTCACTGCAATTATCTTGGAGTATACTGGCAGGAGGAAAATTTAATTGACTGCTTCATTGTCTGTCTGATGACAAAATGATAAGCTAGTATTATCAAAAAAAAGGGCCTACAGAGCTTGACAACAGCCATAGAATCTTCCGTGGCATCTTCAATATCTTATCCCTTGAGACCATCCTCTGTATATAAGCTGTGATGACTCTGCTTTTCTTTATGTCCAGTACGAATAAGAAGTGTTTCTATCTTCACAACCCCAAACATTTTAAACACAGTGCACTTGGTCAATCGTCGACGCCCCTGCATGCTATTCCCGATAGCAAATGAGCGATCGATAAACGCCTTGAGTTGAGCGCTTCTTTCGCGTCAAGGAAATTACCTTTCCAGCAACTTAATATGATACTACAACCGAAAAAACCAGAGAAAACAGGAAAGACATAGTTTCTGTAATGAGCTTCAATCTCATCATCGATCTCGTGCTGTCTTTGGATTTGTGCTTTGATCACATCCGGATCATCAGATTGGGGCCCAGAAAGCTCACTTTTTGGGGCCCTAGTCGCAACCAGCTCGTATAGCGTAGATCTCAAGCAAAATTTCCGGAAACTTCGGCGGTCGGAGGGTCATAACCTCATGACAGGTCATGTGATACCTTCTCGTAGCCTAATGCTAGAGGGCCTGGGCACTGGGAAGGCTTGAATTTGCCAAGTCGTACATGGAAATCATCATCATGGAAAACCTGTCGGAGTGCAAGATCCGAATGACTGACCCCATGGCTGTGTATTATGACGACAGCTTTCAGGATCTGCTAAAACCATTTTGATTGATAAGGGTGATCTTTTTTTCGAAGAATAATTCGCAAGCTGGTGATGCCGATAGTATTTGATGTCGACATAGTCAGATCTGCACATGAAGAGCGACTCAGTAATTCGCGGATGAACGCCGAGAATTTCGTAAATCATAGCTTCGCATGCTCTGCATGGTTCATCATCATATATTTTGTGGTGCAAATATCCTTGAAATTTTCAACCTTCCACGTTCGCTCCTGCCCTTTGAGCCTCCCTGGCAGACTCGATATGCAATTAAACGCGTTCTCAACTTCTCTCCTCAACTCCCTTCGCAATTTCCTCAATGTCGGATAGTCCACCAGTATGTGAGTGATTTTTTTCTTGCGCGCCGCACGCACAGCGATCGTCGTCGCGAAATTGATATGCCTAAACGTAGGTTAATAACCAATTGTGTATGGCCTGTGCGTAGCTGGGTCAACAGGTTCTTTCGGTTCCTAGGCAAGCTCCCATATAGCCTTTTCAAGTAGGTTGCTGGTAGAGTGCCCTCAATCTTTCGACGATGACCGCCATTGCTGGACGAGCAATTCCTGCTCCCATTAATTGCTCGTGTTTTTCAATAGAAATACCCATATCTCGGCGGTTCCCGTGTCTCGGAGGATAGCCGCGCCCAAGCATACTCGTGGCCCAGCCTTAACGAGGTCTCTAACAAACGAATCTCCAAGCCTTAACAAGTTCGAGTCTCAACTTAATAAGGCCCCTGTGCCTTAAACGAGGTCTGTCCGATATCATCGTTCCCTTTAATATCACTTGCAAACAATTCTCATCCAACGCTTTGCTAGCCTGTGTATACTGTAATATAATTTTTCAGCGAGCTGTGTGACAAAGATACCGAAGACCAGGCTATCACTTCTCCCTTGTGCTTGTAATAATAGAGTGGGTGATTTTTTCGGCTAGCATATCTATGGCCGTAGTCAATGATTATGTTTTTATGTCCGCAGGACTGTTGATCTTCGAAAACTCACAAACAGTGCTCTGAGGGTGACCCGGAGGCAGCGAAGGAAATGAACTGGCATCCACGACTCGAAGTCGTTGAACTCCATATACCCTGGCAGAACTATCGAGCACCGCCATAGCATCATTATGCTTGCCCATTTTACAAGTACATGCCGGATGCCAAATAGGAATGACCGAATTTCTGATGTACTGAAGAATTTCATCGTCGGAGCCATCTGCATGCTCAGGAAATGAAATATTTGCTGTGACAATAGACTGCAAAGGCTGGCCATGCCAAATGTCTCGTAACCGCCGGTATAATGCAATAGCCACTTCTGTATCGGTCTTGGTTGTAAGCCAATTTGGATTCACTACTGGGCGATCAGAAGTTGAACCACTCGAAATTGTCACATTCCCTCGAGATGTCGGTGCAACTAGGATCCCAAATATGGAGGCATACTGGTGTCCATCTGCAGGTTGATCCTGGATTGGAGAGCTCAAGTTGCCCACGAATCCGTTCCCAACCAGATACTCCACTTCTGGCCAATCATCTGGTAACGTGGCGAGGTCGTCAAGAGTTGCTTTCGAGAGTTGCTCACGATAAGACCGCGGAAGTTTCTCCCACCCCATCAACTCAGGGACATTGGTGAAAATTCCTTGATGCTGGAGAATGTACTCAGTGGTTCCTTTCAGGAAGTTTGCTGGATCTCGAACAGACCGAGTAGCGGTGTCCATGTTGACACGGTACGATGGGGCGAAAAAAGGGTGATCCCACATGCCTTGTCCTACCCCTGGAAGATCAGAGATAAGCGGAATGTTGAGTCCGTTTAGTGTTTCCGCTGGCCCAATACCTGACACCATCAGAATCTGGGGGGAGTGAAATGCCCCAGCCGAAAGTATGACTTCCCGTGTTGCTCTGATATGATATTGTAACCCTTCTGTTTCCACCTCAACGCCTGTCGCTTGCTTGCTGGTAGTGAAGAGGACTCTTTTAACGAGAGTTTTGTCATATATATGGAGATGTCGCAGTCCTTGTCGTTTTAAGAATGCCTCTGAGCTACTTCGAGTCTCATCGGCAGGATTGATGGTTGAAGGATTGTACTGAGTGCCAGAAAGCTTGCCGCTATTAAAATCGGTGGCTTCACTAAGCCCCATTGCTTCAAGTCCAGCCTTCACCCATGTAGCAAATGGGGATACATGGTTTGTATAAGACACTTGAACGGGACCTGGATTACTGCTAGTAAACGCATTGGCACGGAAGCGGGTTGTTGCATTAAGCAAACGTTTGGAGACATCTGGAGGTGTGAATTTCACCGACTTCTTGAAGTATGGCAGAATATTGCTCCACCTATAACTCTCATCTTGTAAAATATCGGCCCACTTGTTGTAGGACCCAGCTGATCCTCTTACATGAGGCGATATTGGTTAGTGCCTTGGATCCACACTAGAATGAATTCACTCTCTTATACTTACCTTTGGTATACCATTGCATTCAAGGCTGATCTGTATACAGTCAGAAACAGATTAATTGCGCTCTTTTATCCCTTCCTAATAGGCTCTACATACGAGCCGCCTAAACATCTTCCTTGTGCATAGTGGAGTTGCCGATTATTAGCCCCACTTTGCGGAGTTGTGACAATTCCCCAGTCCACTGCATGGTTTGTGTTTTGAGGATTGGTGCCGATAACGGCTTCATATGCCCCCGGAGTTGTGGACAGTATTGGCTCTGAAATCTCATGGAATACCCCTTTCTCGATAATGGCAACCTTGAAACCTGACTCCGACAAACGGCTGCCGAGAGTGCTTCCCGCTGTTCCTCCGCCAACAATCACGTAGTCGTACGTAGGTTCAGCGCCAACAAGAGAAGACACAGTGCCGAGAACTCCATTGAGAATCGGAAAAGCATCGTTCGAGAGCTCCAGATATGGTTGTACCAATGCATTAGAAGATAACCAACTCAATGGAATAATTGTAACAAGGAGGGGAAGGAGCATCACCAAAACATAATAAGGGTATTTCATGGCTCAAATATTATGAGATGAGTCCTAGCCAAATTTCTTGGAAAAGAAGGAACGTTCTGGTAACTGACAACATGGGAATAGAAAAAAAAAGAAAAAAGGGAACCGTGCATATCTCCTGGTCGCCGCTAGACTTTAAACTTGATTGCGTCATGTTCCCGCCTGAAGATTTTATCATGAAAACTCCTAAGCGGTCAAGATTCAAGTGGTCAAAGTAATTTCACTTAAACATGCGGAAAACGAAACAAAAACTCGAGAGTATGACCTTCGCTACCTATTGGCTCCGAGCAGACGCAGACGGCAAGGAGTAGAATGCCAGTGTAGTCAAACCCTTGTTACATGCATGAAATGAAACTCTGTTATTCATTGCGAATATGCATTCAAAAGTGGCGTCCAATCAGTCCTTTCATCTAGAGCATCATCCATTCGATCCAGCCCCTTAATTAAAAGGCAGGTCGTATTACCTATTACCTGCAAGAACGGGAATAGGAGGATAGAGAAGATGTAAATCAGGTCTTCGTAACAAAGTTTTCTCATTTTTGCGGCGTTCTTGTTTTTACAGTACATTTATAGCCCGTTTCTCTTACTTGGGAAAATCGTTTCTGTCAACCTTGTCACCCTCCGACGAGATGGCTACCCCCGAGCACGTGAACATTGGGAACTTGAACGGACGATGGATAATCGTATGTCATTATACAGTCTATTGAATTCTGATTTCAAATTCCACAGCTTTATTACGACTCTGACTGACCTTGATCCATTATCTAAGGACAAAGAGCTCTCGAGTGACACCGAGCCACCTTTAGAACTGGTAAGATAGAAGCTCCCCGCACATCCCAATGATAATAATAGACGATGACTTGTATCTGGCTAATATAGTGCCACGATTAATACCTAGCAAGGAATCAAATTCTTGACTCGGAAGGCTGTGAGCTATCTGCGACCAATGCAAATCATTCAAATGGACCATATTTTTGGCTCATCCAATGCTATTCCTTTCGCTCGGATCAAGGCAATCACGAGCTCGGGCGGCATCTTTCCTAGTATCACTGAAATTCGAGATTTGACGTGGCAGTGGAGTCACCGTATGGATTTCCTTTTTGGGTCAATTAAGCACCGCAACCAGTGGATCCACGGATTTCTTGATACAAACGGCAGGAGCATCCCAAATCTGAAGCCCATCACTGAGATTCCAGACCCGAAAATCAAAATGTTTTTGACGGGTCAAATTACGCCCGAGGGCCTTCAAAAGGGAAGGTTTCTCGTGGAAAGCGCTGGTCCAATAGCTCTGAATGATAACAAAGGAATGTGGGTCCATACTTTTGACGTCAATGAGGATCGTGGGTGGACCACTGAGCAGGTGAGCTTATCTTGTTGTTAAATGCTTAAGTCGACATCAACAGCGCATCACTGATGCCGCTTTTGATTAGGTTTGGGGGTTTGAATTAATTGATTCAAAACGCTATCTTACAAGGCGATATATTGTAGCCAATGGGAAAGGAAGTTACGTCTTGGGCCGAACGGTTTTTTCGTACGTCGGAGAAGCTTAATTTCGGGTCATCCGCGTTGGCAGGCATTCAAGGCTATCTTGAAGCAGAGCGAACTAAAATTAGGAATACAGCGAGCTGATATTTCGAACGCGGGCCGAAAAATCATTTGCAGAATGTGTATGTCTTTCTCCTCTGCCCCGTAGTCTCTGGTCAGTATCTCGGCTTTGGTCCAGGCAATATTCCTTAGTCAACAGGCTTAGAAGCCCAGCAACGGCCGTACAAACGCAGCAGAATACCCAAATATCTCGGAGACTCTCGGCATACACCTGTCTAAGTTCAATCTTAGACTGGTCAAGCTGCATTGTGTTCATTTTTCTTACCATCACCTCTGCGTTTCGGCTGATTTCGCCCGCCACGCCGGCGAAAGCAGGGTGTTTGAGAAGATTGCTTTGCATGCGATTTTGGAAAATGACCCCACCGATGGACATACCCAGGGCCTGGCCAAAAGCACGGAAAAAGCTAAAAAGCGCCGTAACAATCACGATGGATTGATTATCGGCGCAAGTCTGTATGGCGTACGCGACGCTGGTTACTAGTGCACCAAGCCCCAGCCCAGGGATAGCAATAAGGCATACCCAAACCGCTACTTTGGTCGTGATATCAAGGTAGCAGAGAATGCCAAAACCAAGTGTAGCAACTGACCAGGCAATCCATATCACAGTACGGTATCGTCCACAGAAAACAGCTATTGCCCCGGCGATGCAGGCGCTGGGGGCGATGGCAAGGGCAAGGGGAAGAGCAGCAACGCCAGCCATAAGAGGAGTGAACCCATGCACTGCCTCCGAATAGAGAGGGAGATAGTAAAGTAGACACCAGAGAGTAAGTCCGTGGAGAGTAGCTCCAACATAACTGACAAGAAGGGATCGATTTTCAACCCCGGAGAGACGGAGTATGGGATCGATGGGAACATATGTCTCATAGACCAGGACCCCAATGATGCCGAAAAATCCAAGCACAAGGGGCACCAACGTGTGCCAACTGGTCCATTGATACATAACACCACCCCAGCTCAAGCCAACCAGGAATGAGCCAATGCTGCATACAAACCCTGCTAAGCCAACTATGTCAAATCGCTTCACCTTTTCGCTGCGTGTCATTGTCTCAGTCGTGATTTTCAAATATCGAAAAATTAACGGTGTAGATAATACGGCGAAGGGTATGTTAATGTAAAAAATCCATCTCTATTACAATTAGAATGTTACGTTAGCAAAAAGCACAGCCGTCATAGATTTACTTCTCTGGAAGTGCACTGACCCAGCTGACATTGGTGCAAAATCCACCACCTAACACTGGGCCCACGACGGAGCCTATACTCCACATGGAACCCAAGACACCCCAATAGAGGCCTCGATATTGGAGCGGAACCATATCGGAGACAGATATTTCACTCAGAACGATGATGCCTCCCCCACCAGTCCCTTGGATAGATCGGCCGACGAGCATGCTTTTGAAGTTGACGGAGACACCACACACAATTGTGCCCACGAGGAAAAGTATGGTAGCGCAAATAATAAGTAGCTGCCGGCCAAAGGCGTTGGAGAGTGAGGTGAAGACAAGTTGGAAACCTTGCGGTAATCAGCGAAATCCGTACGTCTTCAAATATAAATGTTTATGAGACGTACATGCGGAGCATAATACAAATGAGGTTCCGCTCCAGAAGGCTTGAACCGCGGTACCTCCAAGATTCTCCGAGACGACCTTTCCAGGTTTGTCAGCCCCCAATGTCTGGAATACGCACATTGAATGCAAAACTTACCGGAAGTGCAACAGAAAGTGAAGCGGCTTCCAGTGCCACCATCAGAGTCAAAATGCAAAGAGGCAAAAAGGCCAAGATAACCGAGCGATCAACAGAGAACCCAAGCCTACTTCCGACCGGTTCATACTGGCCCCTAATTCGTTCCATGTCTAGATTTCCCGAGTGGGTAGTACCTTCTTTCGCCGGCTGGAGCCACAGCTATGCGGGCCACGACAAAGAGCAATTTAGCTTGGGCACGGGAAACAAGTAGGTTAACCTCACTTTTTCAGTTGCCTGACCAGTCTGGCAAGCAATATTTGTGGCGGGCAAAGATGTGGAGGAAGAAGGGGGGGGGTTGCAGTTCGTGGAGGAAAAGTGAACACCGATTCCTTTCTCTACTTATCCCACTTTTGGGTCGGAATTTACTACTGAATTTTATGGAATGTAGGAATCTACAAGGCAAGGTAATCAAGGAATGCATCCCTGTCCTTTGAATCTAAAACTCTATAGTATACTGCCGTCATGCCGCACTTGATATCCCCTATTCCTACAACCGAAGAGCTTTGATCCTCACTATATAATTGCAACTCTTCGAATAAACCAGAGAAAAAGCATAGGACAGCAACTTGTTCTCAATTCTCATAAGTATCATGTGGGAATATTATAGCAACAAGAATATCCTCCTGACGGGTGGCTCGGGATTTTTGGGTACTGCCGTTATACATCGTTTGGTCTCCGAGGCGCACCCCCGACGCATTTATATTCTATGTCGGAACGGTGAGAGGTGAGAAAAATTCATACGGCGGAGTTTTCTCCTGTCAAGGGTTGCTACTAACTATTCACAGTCAGCTTTTACGCCGGTGGTACAGAGTTTTTTCAGCGTGTGAGATCAATCATCTATTGGCTTCGGAAATCCTCACCGTCCTTGAGGGTGACATTCAGAAGCCGAGGCTTGGGCTCACTCCTCAGATGCTGACGACACTTGAGAGGGAGGTTGATATCATCATTCATACAGCATCAACTATAAATCTCAAATACTCGCTAGTTCAGGTATTTGACACTATAATTTCTCCCACCGAGTCACTGGCTCGAATGGCGTTGCTCTTTGAAAAGCTCGATCGGTTTGTTTACGTTTCGACCGCCTTTGCCAACTCTCATCTCTACAAACTTGACACTGCCTCTGAGACGGAAGTGGATGAAAAAGTTTACCCTCTTTTTGGAAGCTCCAATATGGCGGAAGATGTGGGTACGCAGCGCGCCTTCGAAGAAATCAAGCAACATGGTAGCACAGCTGAGTTTCGGCTTCACGACTTTCCTTGGCCATATGCATACGCCAAACACCTTGCAGAGCGGCTAGTATTGGACCTTTTTACGAACGCGGGACAGACAGAAAAAGTCCTAATTATACGCCCCTCTGTGATCGGACCGGCTGAACGATATCCCTATCCTGGCTATAGCGTTCCACTCTCAACACCGTCAACAGCTCTTGCAGCTGCGATGATTGCAACCCCCGCATTTAGCATCCTTGTTCCTACAAGATGTCGCAATCCAGAAATAGGAGCTACCATTGATGAAGTTCCCGTCGATGTTGTAGTTGATAGACTACTTGCCCATCTGGCTTACCAAACAACCGGCTGTGTGCATGCAGTTGCCGGTGAGAGAGGACGCCTGAATTTTAGACAGTTCTGGAAAGCCGCGATGCGTTTGCGACGACTTCCATGGAATTGGACTGTGGTCTGGTCATCTACGACTGATTGGCATTCTCCCTGGCTCCATCCCGTGCTGCGTCTATACGTGATCTTAGGAACCACATTCTTGTTTACCGAACGGAAGACGGAGGAGCTCTGCAAGCTACTGCATCCCAATGAGCGTGATAACCTGGCTCTGTTCAAAATTGCAGCACCTGATTCATACGAATTGATGTCAAGGAGGGAGCATATACGTCTTTTGATCAAGATGTTCGCCAGGACCACATTTTGGCCAGCCTGGCTTCTAGTACGCCTATGTCGTTGAAAAAAATAGCTTCACGAGGAGTTTTAAGGAAACATATTGTCGCTGTTATTAGATTTCGTTATAGGGCCCGTGTGGTCTGAATGAAAGTCAGACGATTTCTCAACCATTTATTATGCCTAATCCATACAATCATGACGGCACGACTAGTCATGATGCCCACAGCTCTCTCCAGGAACAGGGAAAAAAGGATTTCCAGATACATGTAGTGTAGAATAAGGAAAAAGTAAATGAATTCACAACAAAAAGGAAAATACCTTCGCCTGACGCCTTTAGTGGGTTTTGTGTTTGGTACTTGGATTGTAAGTCCTGTAGAAAAACCGCAGGAAAAGATGAGTCAATGGTAAAAGATAAGCGGCAGTCAGAACAAACGCATAGAACTGGCCGCTGTTTTGTAGACACTGGACAATTCTAGTGTCTCCATCATACCTAATTGATATGGGCTCCACGTCATTATTATCAAAAAAAAACTGATTTTCGCCATCGTGCAGGCGACTGTAGGGCGGCAAATCGTATGATAGAAAGGCATACAATGATGCAAGAATCCCTCCAAGCACAAATTGAGCGATTTGCATCTGAGTGAGCGTACGCTTGATAGGAACAGGTATAGTAACTTTCAACGAGGCAAGAAGATAATAGGTATACTAAAGAAAATCAGTTAGCTGGCGGTTTTTGTGAGGGAAATCCCCCAAAGAGAGCATGCTAATACCATGAGTGTGTGTATGCCGGTGTTGAGAACTAGTCCAATAACAGATTGCGGCGACATGTAAACCATTCCGGACCACGTGCAAACAATAACTCCAGCGTGGTGATACATCTGCAGGTGCGATACTTTTTTCCCTTTAGCCAGAAGCAAGATCGTATCCATTATTTCGTAGAACTTTGACATGTAGAACATCCAAAGGTAATAGTCAATTCCCTTTTCCCACAGGGGCACCCGCATTTGTAAATCATGTGTGTTTGCGTTGAGTATGGTCGACGCGTTCCCAACAATGCTCTCAAGACTTGAGACTTGACAGAGCATGTCCACCACTTGAACATGGTAGGACGGAGTTTCCCAAGGTGGAAGGGAGGATTTGAGGCACAGGCAAGTACCAGCAAATGCCCAAGCGGAGAAAATTGCCAGAGCTGCATTGTGCACAAGAACAAACCGCCTGAACATCGATGTCTTGGCAGCCAGCCATGGATGGTGACCCCGTTGTACATTAGCACGATTGCTCAGACAGACGAGTATAATATAGGATATCGCAGTGAAGATCGGAAACTTGACGTCCAATGAGTATCGGTAAAGGCTTTTGTGTATGCCTATCGGGCGTGCCCAAGACCTATTCGTCCAGGAAGCGGGGTCTGCTAGGAGCTGGGGAGGACTGGGAGGAAATTGCAGTATGTGCCCGTTGGGCCATCTGAAGTATAACGAGAGTCCCCTGTCTGCCATTGTTCCAAGTATTGCCTTGTAACCAAGTCTACCAGAGTCCGAGCTTTATTTATGTATGAGATTACAGAGTAACAAGATCACGGCAGCTTACTGCTTACTCGGCATCCGAACATCAAGCCCTCGGGAGTGGAGCTGGATGCTAGGGACATATTCAATCTGCATGCTTCGCCCAAGACGCGTAAGTTTACCCATTCCAAGATGTTAACTCCTTAAATGTTGATGAGCCTAGTGCAGAGTGCTGATGGAACACGAGGAGCTAAGCAAGATGTCGCTTACTGAAAAATAGCTGTGCTTTGATTGACTCACATCCACATACACATTTCTGAAAAATGTATCAGCACCTCCGATTTATACTATTGGGTAAAAAAGCCCCCTTCTTGGCCAACTCAAATCTCCTAGCATCCACACTTCAGATTTAGCTTTCGCGAAAAAATGAATCTAATGAGCTGCAGATCCTTGTATCTCTAAATCTGGCTGTGATTCAGGAATGAGAATGGGAATGCAGCTCAAGACAAGTCCACCCAGAATCGGTCCATCACCATGACGCATTTGATAAAGGGGTACAGCAATGCCACTATAATCTTTGTGCGGTGTGACTGTTGGAATGGGTAATCCTGGTTTGGCTGTTGTCGTAAATACTGCGTATGTATATATTCTCCTCGATCGAGGAAGAACTGCCAACTCGTGGAATTTAACACCGCTTCATTGCCCCCGATTGCCATTCTTCGCCATTATTCCATTTCTCAATCTGTGTTTTGTTGAGTTCTATTCTTGAATGCTTTTCACTGACATTTTGCTGCCCGGAGCAGCATGTTTCACTTTGATGCTTTTGATCCACCTATATTGGCAGCCTGGAGATCGAAGGAATGAAAGGTTTATGAGTTGTATGCCTCCTAGAATGCTACCCTTTCATTGGTTTGGCATAAAGGATTTCTGGTGGCTTTATCAGGCTGCTAAGGAGAAAAGGTGGATTGACTACATTGCATTCAACCATGATCTCCATGGGCATACCTTTGGGTTTAGCATGCTAAATCAAGATATCATCTGCACCATTGAACCAGAGAACGTCAAGGCCATACTAGCCACACAATTTTCTGAGTTTGGTCTGGGACTCAGGAAAAAACAGTTTCACCCGTTACTTGGAGAAGGAATCTTCACCATGGAAGGGGTTTGCTGGGCACAGGTTCGTGCAAGGTTGAGACCTCAATTCACCGCAACCCAGGTATGGCTCCACTCCGGCGTCTTCAATGTATGCATGATAATGGCTATACATATAACAACAAGTTTTTGACTCGCAGTTTCCCTAGATGGCAGATGTCAATATGTTCGCTGACCGCGTAACCGAAATGATGCGTTCGATACCACGGGACGGATCCTGTTTCGACATCCAAAAGCTGTTTTTTAAATTGACTCTTAATTCAGCAGCTGATTTTCTATTTGGGGAATCAATTGACATATCGAACTCCCAGTCTTCGGAAAAATCGACATCAACAGACTTTCAAAAATTTGGGGAGGCATTTGACTTGGCACAGGACTACCTTGCCGCGCGGAGTAGAGCCCAGGGCTTTTACTGGCTGATCAACCCTAAGGACTTTCAAGATGCTATCCACGTGGTTCATCAGGTGATCGATGAATATGTGCAGCGTGCCATTTTATGGACAGATGGATCTAGCTGCAACAAGAACTTAGGGAATCGGTATAATTTCTTGGACGCCTTGGCTGCAGATACTCAGGATCCAAAGGTACTTCGAGATAATGTTCTCAATCTTCTCTTAGCTGGCCGGGATACAACTGCCAGCCTGCTTAGCTCAACGTTCTATTTTCTTGCTCGGCATCCAAACGTATGGAGGAAGCTCAGATTGGAGGTTCTAAAGCAATTTGGCGATCGCTCAAAACCGATGAGCGAAATCACGAGAGATAAGTTGAAAGACCTAACATACCTGCGATACGTCGTCAATGAAGGTGAATTTCTACCAGTGCCGTTCCTGTCCAAGCGAGACGTTGCTTATTGAGAGCAGTTTTGCGACTTTTGCCCCCTGTCCCTATAAACTTTCGAGTTGCCAACAAAAACACTTCACTTCCATTAGGAGGAGGGCCCGACGGAACAGCCTCTATATACGTAAAAAAGGGCACTCTGATTGCTTATAGTCTTCATGCAATGCATCGACGGAAGGATATTTGGGCCCAAAATGCCGATGAGTTCCGACCTGAACGCTGGGAGGAAAGGGGTAAGCACGGGTGGAACTACCTTCCCTTCAATGGGGGTCCTCGGATTTGTATTGGCCGTAAGCCTGTCTTCCTGCCCTTTTATAGTGGTGATAAGGGAGTGTTAAGATCGCTGATTCTGCAGGACATATGTCAAAAAGAGCAATACGCACTCTTGGAAGCAAGCTATACAATCGCCAGACTGGTCCAGGAATACGATGTCCTTCAGAGCGCTAATCAAACTCCTTTGAATGACCCTAAACTACGATCAAACTTGACTCTTTCCCATGACGGGGGCGTGATGGTGAGGATTTTTAAGACAAGTGCATTATAAATTCAATATCAGCTTAAGAAAGGCATCATCTCCTGAAAAATTTACATTTAATTTAGTCTGCCAGATTACGGTACTGTTTGCTGTATCATGTTCCATCAAAAAAGGTACAAGAAAGTTCACTGCAGCCACTGGTAAATTCGTTCATTACAAGTGAGCCCAGGTATGGTAGTTGGATTCTGCTTATGCGTTCAATGGTCACCGAAGCTGAAAAGAGCGTGAATTTCCTTCTAATAAACCTTGCGTGTGACACGATCCTTCATTCCCTCTTGGAATTTGGAAATTATGGCACCCTGACCGGACGAAATGTAGAATGAAAATGCAATTTCTCATACGGTTTTTAGACCAGTGTGTAACGCTGCATTTCCCAATTTCTCAGGAATGGATATTTTCAAATATAAAGTGCTGGTATTTTTTCTTCTACGGAACTTGAAGATCGACATCCTATTCTGAAATTCCTACCCACAAGCAGTGGCACAATCATATCTCCGAAGGTTTAACTAGGCAGTCTTACCCCTTGCAATATGTAAGGATCATATCGGAATTTATTTCCCTCTCATATGTGACAAGTAGCTCGCAAAGCATTAACTTATTAAAGCCCGACGCTCTCTTCGTCCATCCAAGACATTATTTTCCTGCCATTATTTTTTTCATCGGCGGTGTACAAGACGGCAATAATTAATCGCAGTCAACATTTATTTTCTCTACTCTTCATCCCACCTCCAATCGAAATGAATTACTTATTCGTGCTCGTTGTCTGCGCATTAAGCGCCGCGAAAGCTGCTCCTCTTGGAGAAAGCAGCAGTGTCAAACCCCAGGTAGAAGATTGATACTGCTGCTATTGACCTTCTAGTAAATCCCAGGCTAATAGTACGTCCAAAAGCTTGTAGGTGACTGCCACGCAATAACGATAGACTAAGCAATCGCAATGAACCTAATTCGGTAAACAATTTAGGCTGTAAGTTCTATTTCTTACAACTGTGTGCGAATTAAATGAGAGACTGACTCTGAATGAAGAGCGTAAGTAAGATTGCCAGATATTTGGGCTTCCACTGACTTCGATGAGTTTGTGAGTATTCTTCCTATAGAGAGGGGTCCACAAAATGAAGGCCTGTAGTTGACGTTTTGAAACTATTGAAAAGGGGGTGAGTCGTCATTGCTGCTTTTTGAGATGTCTAACTCACCCCATGATACCATAATAGCTTGTGCGTTCTTCCATTTTCGAAATTCATGGAGGGATTAATGTCTAACAGTTGCTTGAGCTGGATTCAATAGGATGTGAGTACCCTCTGTCTACTAATACATTTCTTTCTGATAAATTATATAGCTTGTAAGTCATCCTGCTGTCAATGAACTATAGCTATCAGACGATTGAAAACTGAGACCATCTTGTGGAGCACAGGACGTGAGTTGCCATACAAATACGAGTGCATGGTGTTTTCCATGCTAATTTTGACGTGGTCTTTCAGATTGTATGTGGTATTCAACTTGAAATCACTCCATATTACATTTAACTGATTGACAAATTTTACTCTTCAAAAGCTTGTGAGTACGAACTACCATTTACTATCAATGAATGTGCCACTTCTAACCGATATTCAGGGAGTAAGCTTTAACCCAACTTGAAACCATGGTAACGACAAGACAGACACAGTGCAAATACTTATACGTATATAGCTTGCAAGTATCCTTCAAAGAGATTGAGCAGCATGGGGCGAAGTTTGCTAATTGCCTCTACAGAGCGTAAGTAATGGAGGATCAATTATTCAGCGCAAATACTGATGCGGAGGGTGACATTGGACTATCAGGTGGTAAGTTATATCTGACTCTGAATTTATTTTCTGGGCAATGCACGTAACAAAGAACCAGAAGGTATGTAGACTCATGCGATGCGTGCGCTCCGTTGCTAGAAGTAATAAAAGGCTGAGATGCTGTTTTGGGCGCCTAGGATGTAAGTCACCCTGTATGCCGGCTTGTTTACTGCTAATTTAGGATGATCAGCATGTATGTTTTTCCAATCAGGAAACGAAAGGCCCTACTTTTAATCTTCAAATTCTGAGCCTTCATTCGGTGAACAGAAAGTAAGGGAAACCATATGCTATTGAGAGCTGATATGGTCAGAACAGCCACTAAAGACATGACAGAAAGTGAGTTTTTCTGTTTCAAAGGAACTAGGTCAACGAATAAAAGAGTATTTAACGGGCTTGGGATTTGATAGCTGGTAAGTGACTATCGTTCACACAATTCACTGTTCGAGAAGACCGCTCACAGTGATGGATTATATACAGGAAGTAAGTCTCACCCATGCTATCAATTATAGAAGCAGATTTGAGCGCCGGATTAATCTCATTGAACGTCAAAGCTTCAAGGAATCGACCCTACCAATCAATAGAGGATCGGATTGATGCTCGGAGCAAATTTTAAGAGTAAGTTGGGGTCCTCCTGATTATCATCATTTTCAGCAAACCTAATATCTTTTGCACAATGAAAGGAAATTCTGCTTCAAGAGTGGTAGTTAGAAAGCTGTGGAGGATGGAGGGTTACCAAGGGATATTGATCATTCAAGGGAAAAGTCATGTGCATGTAATATCAATCCTTGAGACGGCCTGACTAGGACTGGAAATTTTATTGCTGGAAATCAGACTACACAAATCCCAGGAATTCATATACTCATACTATTACTTATTTACCTAGTCGTTGAAGCAGCAAAAATACCGACGGATAGACCGGAAAGGCTAAGGTATCATGCTTCGCAGCTAGCCGGGTCTCTAAGCTTATTTGGATCGACTCCAACGCCGTTCATTTCCGAGGCGGCATCACCATACAATGGTCTAGATGAAGGTTTATGCTTTCCTTTGTCTAAAAAAGTCCAAAAAATTTCGCCTATTGTTGGAATGCGAGGCTTCTTGGTGGTAGGGGAGCCAGAAGTACGAGAAACTTGCAAAATCTCGGTCTCCATTTCCGCCAGGTCTGTGTCAGGATGAGCCGCATGGCTGGTCGCCGTAATAACAAAGATGTTAAGATGTTCGGAGGTAGATTCGCCAGATGACTAATACCCATTGGAACTGTTGCTGTCATTAGAGATTCAACGCTCAATATTAGCACCACTTGCGCTAGAACCTTGATTTCGAGTAGCGGTATTCAGCCACGAAGAAAACCAAAGTGAAGAAGAGAGAAAAGCGAAACACTTACGGTTGTTCAGGTTGGCCAGCGCCGGGGGAGCCGTTTGTCAATAGAAGAGATATCCTTGCTAAACCTAATCTTCCGAGTTAATAACAGTCTCTAATTGGAATGCCTGTCTACTCACCTATCTAATGGCACACCAATTTGTATTCTGTTAAAGAAGCGAGAGGCGACCTTGGTCCAATTAGTTGGCTTGACTAGAAGCAGAATGCATGCATGATGGAGTTAATCGAATAATTCTACTCAACAGCTGAGCATGGAGCACTTCCCCTGAGCGTATCGCAATTTTGAGATGAGTGGACCCTGATTGAAAGGTTGCCAATTATGTTTCACGGGAGCCATTATATTTGATAAATGTTTAGGAGAATGGGATCTGCCTCAATAATGCGATTGCAACGAAATATTCATGACATCCATTGTTCTATACTAGTCATTCGGGACCTCAGAGCCTCAGTATCGCATTTCTGGGCAGTTAAGCCATGAAAAAAGCTCGTTCTCATTTCTTCCCCCCGCAAATTTAATTGGGTAGTCTTTTGCAATGACCAGGGAAGGTATGGGCCTGATCAATGGCAGGTGTCCTTGTAAAACCAAAATCGAGGGCCGCCCCGAAATGATATCACATCAGTTCGCCGCTACGACAGCGGGTCAATGAATCTTTCAGATCAGTGGAAGCGAGGGCTCGAAAACAACCTGCAGACAATTCTGGCTGAGTAGCGTGTTGATTTTGGCACGCACTGTCTATAAACCCAATATGTTAGCATCCAGCTTACCCGGAAATCTGGCTTTGAAATTTCACACGACATGACTCCCGGCCCTTTCAATAGTCCCACAAACAACGTTATCATGTGAGTGGCCGTATTTAAAGGTCTGGGGAAATATTTCTCTCACTCCCCTGAGCTTTCAACTTACCGAAATGAACCTACTAAAACGTTCAGAAGATTCTTTCCCTGTATAATGCTATCCAGACTTTCACAATAGAAAGTATCCTCGTGGCCCTGTTTTTATTTGGTGTTTGCTACTATCTCTTGAGCTGTACAGAGCTCTCTTTCCCTTTAGGTGTTAACGGAAAACTGAGATACCTCTAACTAGTCTTGATGATTTACTGCATCAGACTCTAAGTCAGCAACTTTCTGTAGGGTAGCATCCTTGGTCTTCTTAGATAAGGAAGAAGAAGAACAAGAAATGCGCCGTTAAACATAGATGGTGTTAAATAAAAGTCCTGTACCCTGGACCGCGCTAAGAAATACCCCTAACAACTATTTCGATATCATTCTTGATATCTAAGTATTCTACATAGTCAGATCATAACCTGTCGGCAGCAATTCATATGCCTGTCGCGAGGTTGTAGTTTTCGATAATGAGTTAGATATATTAGTCATGGAGTCCTTTCGTGTTCTACTCTAATCTGTGACCCCGGGGCGTTCCGAGTCCAACGTAGTTTTCATACTTCCAAGTGGGAATAGGTTATGTGTACTATAGGTATCAGAGCGTGATTTCCACAAAACTTAGACAAGACTTGGAGGTGATGTTGAGAAGAGCCACGCAAAGAATTCTCTATAGATGTTGACGTGGAAAATCTCTCAATATAAGTTTCCGAGGAAGAAGCCTACGAGATCTAGACCTGATCCTCTGTTAAGGACCGAAAGCTATCTAGTCCGGTATAGTCCCCTATTGTGCCGGAGGCTATATTGACGTTTATCTTGTACGCTGCCGTATAGTTGTCAACACAAATACTAGAGGTTACCGAGAACAAGATACCCTGTTCAGTATTGTAGCTATCATCTCTAGACACCGTAGGTCTTGATGTAGTAATTGCAGAGGTTAGGACTGGCACTAGGGTACTGAAAATAGAATACGATGTAGAATGAGTTGCTTCTTCGCTAGTTTCCTTATTAGTCACGCGGCTAGCGCTTAAGGCATCATTAGTGCTCGGAGGGATAGCGGAAGCGAGGCCGTTTAACGGTATTGTGCTAATTAACGTAGTAAGGAGAGGTGTTGATTTCGATAAGCATTTTAATTCTCTTACGTCTTGCTTGCTACTAGACGTTCTTTCTTTTTCTGGTGATTTCGACCCTTTCTAGGTTGTTGCAAGACACGCCAAACTCGGATACTTTGCCGCCTCGGCATATCCCATCCCAGTTGAAAATGTTCAAGGAATTCGACTCCCAGGCGGAGTTGCGCCGGAAGGGAAGAAACTCGGAATCCAAAAACAATGACATGGCATTTTTGAATAAACGCTTCTTTGAGAGTGGGACGTGTTCCATGTTATATTGTGAGAATTGATGAGCCAGCCAGGCTATGATCACGTTTCTAGTACTAACAGTAAACTCGATTGAAGGTCATCGATGAGATGGCCCGGTGCGGCCACCGAGACGTCGTTTGGGGTATCAATGGCGGATCTACTGTTGGGTCTCCTCCCTTGAATCACTATGGCTCTGTCAAAGAGAAGAGGCACTGATTCGGTCCGCTTCTGCAAGAACAGCAGAGGCACGGCCTGGCGGTTACCGAGCCTGGCGGTAGGTCCTAGTTACCTCTACCGAAGCTCTCATCTCAGGCATGTCCTCTCCATAGCCGGATGCGATGTTGCTAGCATTCAGACGGTTGCTGGGATATCGGCAGATGGCTGCCACTGGGTGATTAATGGCTCAAAGAAGTGGATAACTCAAGGCCAAAAGGCCGACTACCTCTGACAGCTGCACGCACGGGAGTGCCAGGCGCAAAAGGACTATCGGAGTTTATGATCCCGATGAATTCCAAGGGGTTACCAAACGGAAGATGACGAACTCAGGCGTGAGTCCCAGTGGTTAGTCTACCCAGGTTGCCAGGGACTTGCAAGCTTCTATTAGGATCCACATACATTGAGTTTGGTGATATTGTCGTCCCGAGTGAGGATTTGGTTGGAGGAGAGGGCGAAGGATCCGCAATCATCATGTCTAGTATGTTCTCGATCACACCTGGTGCCCGTCATTTCCTGTGCAGAGCTTACAAACGAAATCAGCTTTCAACCATGAGCGAATTTGGATGGATATTAACGCATTACGGTCGGCTCGCGTGTCCCTGGAAGACGCGCACAATCATGCCCTGTGTCGTGAGACATGGGGTAATAAGTTGATCGAGAATCAGCTACTCCTAGTCAAGTTTTTCGAGATGGCGCTCCTTTTTGAAACTTGCCATTCGCTCATGGAGAATGTGGTACAGGGCTTTCGTCTAGTGTCCGCGTCAGATGTGGAGTTTGGAACGTGCACCGCGATCCTGAAGGTACAGGCAGCTCGCACTTTGGAGAAGGTAAACCGAGAGGCACAGCAAGTATTTGGGGGTCTTGGATATTCTCGGTGGCGCCGGTGGTAGAGTTGAATAGATTAGTCGCGATGTTCGGGTCATTGTGGTATCTGGTTGCAGCGAGGAGATCCTGCTCGACATAATCATCAAGCTTCAGCGAAAGCTCACTGCAGCACGTCTTTGATACAAATCTTGACACTCCTTGTAACTGTCTATCTAAATAAGATCAATTTATCAATTTTATATCCTTGAGATCGTATGCAATATCCTTCTTTAATACCAATTCATTGTCAATTATATCTTGAGATTAATTACTTTCATACCTAACCTAAAGGTCGCTACCCTGCAAGTAGCACTATGACAGTAAACCGACATCAAGTTCATTGGATATACATAATAATGATCCCTCTCTGGGCTATCGGTATTAGCGACGCTACCGATATACAGTACATACGTAGCAAAAGGAAGCGCCATAATTGGCCATATTATAAAATAAGTAGGGCGTATATAAAAGCGGGACAAATTGCTGGGATCCATCAATGAGAGGCGAATATCTACAAAACAGCGAATTATAAGACCACAAATTTCTACAGCTGCCGGTGTAGTAAGAGTCCTGGTATCGCAGGATCGAACAAAGTTGAATACTTTGCCCAGCCAACCACTAACAGAGAATGCCCCTATATCTCCATTCACTGGCAAAGACCTTGAAGTGGAGCTGCTGCAAGTTGCGTTCCACTTCCATAGAGGACTCTTCGATGATGAAACTCGCCCGACAAGGCAGTTTCCGATGACGTTTTCCGTGGTCAGATCATCCCCGAAGCGGGAGTAGTACAGTTGTATTTAATTTTGTTCCGTCCTGGCAGTCTTACATGAAGCCCCTGAGGGACTTTGCTAGCAGGATAGTCTGGTGAACCAGTGCTATTGATCATAATTGGTGCAAGTATCAGACTTCAGAACATTTCCCGTTGCATGAAACTGAAAGGTCGGCACACTCCTGTCATTGTAGCTAATATGTTGAATGACATATTCTTGTGAAGGCTGTGGCTGAAAAGGCTTGCTTCCCAGCTTTTATTGACCCTATTCCCGACCGGAGACTTTTGGGAAGTGGCCCTTATGTATACAGATGCAAATTGTTTTCCACTTAGATCATGAGGGCGTTCTCCGCGTTCCCCCCCCCCCCCCTCTAAATTTTAGAGAACCACTGACCTCCAATAAACAGTCCAAAGGCGCATGGATCTTTTAATCATAAATCATAAGCCATGCACTCGCAATATTATACGGTGTATCTGAGTGTCACAATATCGCTGACCCTGAGGCTTAAAACATCGATGAGCATCCACCGCTCCATCGCCTAATCCTGCTTTTGGGGCGCTCTAAGTCCCCATAGCCCCAAGAAAGCTTTTCTGGTGGGCGCTGTTTGGGGTCCTTTTCTTCTTGGCTCATTTTAATTCCATTTTGACCGCTACTGCAATGTAACCCGCGCCTCCCACTCCATAAGAGCAATAACCCGACATTTCTCGCGTGGAAAAGCTTAGTCTTGTTATTCAAACTATCATTGAGATCGAATCACTATAATAGATTTCGAAATAGCATTTCAAGCACCTCATTGTTCTCATTTTGATCAGAGGGCATCGTGGCTCAATTCTTCGCACGAGTTTTCGCCCCCATCCAACTAACAAATTAACGGGCGGCTCAGCGAGCGCGAAGGATCAATGGAGGTCTAGCTTATATTAGTGTAATTACTACCATCGGTACCATGTACCTGAGGACCCCTAGTGGAGTTTGTCAAATTTAGCACGATAACTAGGGCTCTGTTCGGAAGTCCGGCGGTTGTTCAATTAATCATTCTTCGAGAAAAACTTCCCCTTTCGACCCCCTCCACCTTATTGACCGTCCGGGGAGCATCTTTTGCAATTCACCTTATGATTTAATCTTAAATCATGGGCTTGCCGATTATCAAGACCTCCGGCAATGGGTTTCTGAAATCTGAAGAGCGATGGCAAATCAAAGGTAAGTTTCCGCGAGAGTCGAGTACTAGCCTTTCCATTTACCCAAGCTAATCCACTCGAAAACCAAGGCGTCACATATGGTTCATACGAGGCTGCAGAGACCTCGTCTGATGTTCTAGCCAAATCAAGCCAGTGCGCAATTGATGCACCTCTACTGAAGCAGTTGGGCGCGAACACAGTCACTGTATACTATGTCGATCCAACACAGGATCATGATGACTGCATGCAAAGCTTCGATGACAACGAAATATATGTCATCGCGAACCTGGTGAACACCAATCAGACCGCCGTACGTATTAACAGGAAAATAATTTTGGTACTTTCTGCTTTGAGAGATCTCTTCTGATACCCTTTCAAGAGCAACGAAGGATGGGATATGTCCCAGTACACACGATACACCAACGTGCTCGATGCAATGGCGGGATATAACAACCTTTTAGGCCTTCTCGTTGGTGTCGAGACGATTCAATATAATGCTTCCGGCTCAGGTCTGGTCACTACCCTGCATGACGATTATCAACATCCATCTTACAACCCAAAATAGACAACGAAAACATCCTCGCTCCGTCCCTTAAAGCAGCAGTCCGAGATATGAAAGCATATACCGATGCCAGAGGATATCGTACTATTCCTTTTGGGTATTTTACAGATGACGAACTCAAGATTCGACAGCAACTGGCAGAGTATCTGGTGTGTGGAGGAAACAGTAGCGAGACGATTGACTTTTTTGGACTCAACACCTATGCTTGGTGCGGAGACTCCACATACACCTCTTCCGGATACGAAAATTACAATTCGATATTTGGGGCCCTAGGAGTGCCTATATTTATTTCAGAGGAAGGGTGCACTGCGGTTCAGCCCCGAAAATTCACAGATCAGCCTGTTATCTTCGGTTCCAAGATGTCACCCAATTGGAGTGGTGCGGTCATCTATGAATGGCATGAAACGTAAGTTCCGATCACCCATCAACCTCTTTCTCTGACTCAGTGTATGATCAACTGACACAGTGGTAATCAAGAGGTGAGGATTACGGGCTAGTCAGTTATACATCGTCTGGAAGCTCCCAAACCCCATCTCTGCTCCCTGATTATAGCAGTTTGAGTAAAGAATGGGCCTCTTGCACCATCAACACCACTTCTCCAATGACTATGACGAGGCCGGCCTGCCCTTCACAGAGCAGTTCCTACTGGACACTCGATCCGAGTGCTACGTTACCGACAATTGCCGGCCTTAATATTGCAACAGTGAAAGCCGCTAGTGTCACGGCTACAGCTACTTCCAGTGGTTCATTTTCTGCGGCATCTGCAGTATCTGCAGCGTCTAGTTCCGGCGAATCTGGGCTTTCGGCCGGCGCAAAGGCTGGAATCGGTATTGGAGTTGCCGCCGGTGTGATCATAATCGCAATTGCGGCGTTGTGGCTCTATTATCGGTTGAAGCACCGTGGCAAGCCTGGCAAGGCGAAGCAGTTGGAAAGATCAGAGCAGCCCGAGACGGCAGAGCTTCCCACCTCGGAAGCTAGAGCCGAACTACACGGTTCAGGTAATATAGCGGAGATGTATTCGGGTTCAACAACTCATACACACGAGCTGCAGGCTTTGGGGGCTTTGGAAAGACCTCATGAGCTGGATGATTCTTCGGTTCAGCCGGAAACAAACAGCACGCGAGAGAGCCCCAGTGAAGCGCAACCATCTTCGCCTTCCAGGGCAGAAGCAGTGAATCATGATGCGAGAGACCCTCAGGCTGCGCTTTTAGGACCATTCCAGCCAGAGCAGGAAGGCCCTCCGCTTGATGGGTCGTCGCAACGCTCAATTAGGCACTTGGAGAGCTGAGAGTGACACACTTGACGAGCTGTCAACTATCGAGGATTGGCCCAGCACTTTGGTACTTCAACTTCACTTGCTAGATACCTCATGAATAAATGACCTTTTGCCTGCCCTATACATTTTCAATCACATGTAAGAACCAACGAGCCGATGATTTCAAATCATTGCTAGCGCTTTGCTCCAATCTTCACAACTTACTAATTCACCAACCCACAATGTGGGATTATGTATCGGTCCAGGGCTTTCATGAATATTATTGTGTATTCCAAACCCTAGCAATTTATCTTTATATTCTCCATATTACTCGGCTTTGTTTAAATTTTATGTACCATATATGGTGGTAACCCTCTCCGGCTGGTCTACATTTTAGGTTTCTAGACTTTTAGGGCTTAATCATGCACATACGTGGATTGAACAATTTTAAGGTTGTCATTGATGTGCATCCATTGCTCATAGCAGCGCGAGAGGGAGAAACTATCTGAAACTGATGAATTGCGAGTAATAGAGATTCTGGGTAAAATTTTTTATAGAACTCGGCTCAGGTTCAATATATATCTATTCAAACAAGATTCGGTTCTTTAAATGTGACTCCGGAGTTTGCTAATACCTTCCCAAGTCAGTCAGCCTAATGAACATAATCACACAGTTCTCGAGCCGATTAATGCATCCCACATGCGAGGATGAGCTTCATGACGAAGTTATGTACATACTCTCAAGATGCGACACCAACATTTCGCATCTCTCTCCCACCTAATATTGTTAATGGTTTTGGGGAATAATCTAGATTGAACAATTTCATATTTAACTTGTCGAGGCGATTGCCAACTGCCCACAATATTGAGGCATTGAAATTTGTTAATGCCTGATATTATAGGCTTGAGTTTGAATCCACGTGATCCAGACTATGCCCGATCCAGCTAACGCAAGAAAGCTGCCATCGGCGCTTCTTTCATCCATTGCATTCCCTCTATCTCAGGTCGCACAATCCAGGTCATCCATACTTTCCAGGCGCTTTGCAAATGGCTCTTCCTCCCGAGCAAATTAACATCAAGCGCCGCCGCGAAGAGGAACCGGTGGAAACACTTTGTACGGATACCCCTCTTCTCGCTTTTTTGCCCTTGTTTTTTTGGTACCCCCACGATCTACACCCCACCAAACACATTCCTGCGACGATGTTTAATCGGGTATCTTTTCTTGAAGCGCGACTTCATCTACCCTTATTTATTCAACCTTGCTTCACTGTATCTTCCGTTTCTGCTACCATGATCTCTTCCCTCTCCCAACACATGTTTATCGCCTCTGCGAGCGTAGCTTCATCCCTAGCGACCACTAACGTCCATTCCAGATATACAATCTTCGTTGCACCAGACTAAGCGTCGTTTCACGGATTTTGTCTTTCAGAGAGTCACCATCAGCAGTAAAGATGCTGTCCAAGAATCAGAGTCCGATTCTCCGGCTCCAGTCCACCCGGCTACCCAGAGACTGCTGCGTAGTCCTCGGTCTGTGAGCAGCCTGCATGTGCCCCATCGCCGCACTGCACCGGTCACCTCTTCTAGTGGTGTCCCTTTGGTTCGGGCTACTTCACCCGGCGCCGAGATCCGCGAAGCCCAGCGCATGGCTGCTGCAAAGAAGGAAGCCGAGGAGAAGCGCAGACGAGCGCTGCAACCTCCGCAGGCTGGACCCGAAACTGCCACTCATGCGAACATCTCATCGGTAGTCGATCTAGCAGAGCAAGATGTAGCCTCTAGAACGTCCTCGCCGAGCCGTACGAGTTCTTTGCGCCGATTTCAGATCTCTCGGTCCAGCAGCACAAGCCTGGGCTCTCTTCGCGGTTTCAATGGCGGCATTCAGAAGCGTCGGGCAGATGGCGCGACGCCAGGCGTTGCTGTTTTGGTTGAACAGCTGCGGCGCCAACCACACTCTCGACAAGCATCGATGGTGGCCGACCTGGTCGAACAGACACGTACAGAGGGACAGGACATCACTATTAAGTCAGTAGAGCGACCAGCATCGCCAGTCAAGCCCAGAAAGCGTCCCGTTGTGAATCAAGCCGAAAAACGGTGGCGTGAAGAACGCAAAAGCGTAATCACGGCCGCAAAGCACCACCTCTCCCAGACGCTGGAGAAATCTGCGAACGCCCACCAGAGCACTTGGGATGAAGAATCAGAACGTCTCGCGAAGGAATTTGAACAGGTCGCCTTGGAGATTGAACAAGACATGGAAATTGATGCTCACGAGACAGAAGTTACCTCAGCCCCTCCGAATTTCCAGCGCAAACCTGTCTCTCCCCCGAAGCCGATGAAATATCAGCCTCGACCACCGAGGCAGCCCTATGTTGCGGCACAGCAGTCCTCAAGAGATCGTGTAGAGGTTCAAATGGGAGACGTTGGCCCTGGCGCGGACCCGGCGGTGGCGGACGACAGCGAGGATGATTACGTCTACGACGTGTATATTCGGCGTCCCTTGGCCGAAAGTGATATGCTTACAAACCCATTGGCCGAGTTCGAGTCCGAGCAACAAATGAAGCAGTTTGAGGCGTCCAATCGGGGCATTGGTGTCATCGTGATCACTGCAGAGGACGAAGAATATTGGGAGCACTTTGTTGAGGATGACGAAGAGGAGTGGGATAGTGAGGATGCTGACTCGAATGGTGAGTGAATTTGCTTTATGGACCCTGAAACCTTTCATGTTGGCTGTCTTGTATTCCAATGTCTTTGCATTTGTATCACCCGGTTTGGACTAGAATGTGGAAAGCAACACGCAGGACACGAGGAGAAAAAGAAAAAGAAACTTTGCTGATCGAATGCATTCACAATTATCCCCACACAGCCGAGAATAATCCCGCCAATGACTATCCAGATGAGGAACTCTCTTCCTCGGATGAAGATGACGATCCCTCTGCCATATATGCGAAGTATCGACGTCATGGGGCATCTGACGATGAGGAGTTTGATTTCGACGACTCTGACAGCGAAGGCGCCCGGTATGGATCTGGATTTGGATATGGGCAACGATATGGCAGGGATGTGGATTCTGATGGCGATAGCGTCTGATTGAAGATCGATTTGGAAGACAACGACGCGATTGGCGTGACCCTCAAAGGTATCTTGTGTGTGTGTGTGTGTGTGTGTGTGTGTGTGTGTTGAGGGGGTGGCTGCCCGCCCGAATGGCGCGTGGTGTTGCAGATACACAAATACCGGGATACTGGTTTGTCAGTCTGAGTGCCACCATGACATGGGGTTCTACTTCATCTGGCAGGCTGCGGGGGAGGAGGGTAAGGGTTTCATCTGAAAATCTTGTTGAACCCTCTTTGGCCTGGGCTGGCCACGCCAATCGGGTGCGCGATCACTGAGTGATTTCCATGGCCATGTTTTTTTTATTTGAACACAGTCCCTGTTACTCGAAAGCCTTAAGCGGCATCGGCAGATGTTCTTTTGGCATACCGACGATCCTGTCGCAGGCATTTGTCCTTGGCCCACCCAACCTAGGAGGACTGCGAAGTACATGCCGATCCCAACAAAAACCATTACGGTCTGTGAGGTTAATGGCTATTGAACAACGGAAAATCCAGAGCCCAGATTCGGTCAGCAGGCCCACCATCATCACTGACTGCGCTACTGAACTACCCGCGCCTGCCTCGCGTTCTCTTTCTTTCTCTCTTCTCCTTTGGACAGAATAATTTATTTTCTTTTTTTTCACTCTTTCTTACCCTCTCCAGGCTCGCCCCCAACTTCCCAAGCTGATGATTATCGGGACCGATCAAACCTTGCCGTCGGAGATGTTCCGGAGTACGGACAGCTACCTTGCCACGTGGGGGAATATGATGCGGGGTTGAAAAGGCTGAATCGGGTATTTTCGGTGCGGATGAGCCACCAACCCCGCCATTGTCAGAGGGAGTTGGATATTGTCAAAGGGAATAGAGGAGTTTATTTTATTGATCGCCCTGGTCAGGTGTACGATATCTGCCACCCTAAGCCTGGGCAGTGCAGATGATATTGGCATGAAAAATAACATAGAGACCCAATGAGAGCATGCTTGATCACATCCAGTTCTTGCCATAGAAAGGCAATCTAATCAAGAAGATCCAATCAGATATTGCTTTTGCATGTCCTAAATAAGAAAAATGCGGGAATGAGGAATAAGAAAAGAGAAAATATTTCAAAAATTCCATTTCTAAGCCAAAAAGAAGTGGTATAGTATGTCTCCTGGCACCAAAATAGATCATTGTTTGCTCTCAGTAAGGCTATCGGTAACCCCCCTCTCCCCTCCCTCCCCAATGCAGGCTAAAATAGTGTTTCCCCGCCATGCAGGTATTTCAGATCAATCCTGGACGAAGAGCGAGAGGGCCGACGTATCTTGATCGATTCAGGAAGGAGTCTCCTGTCCCGTCTCTATTTAGGGGGCCCCACGCTCTGTTTGTCAAGAAAGGACAAATCAGTCAGCCTGCATGCCCTGAAACAGTTTGCTACATACTGCATGCACCATGCAGCCGATCGATCCCGTGAGGCGACCGAAGGCCACGATCCAACAGGGGGCTGATATCACGCCGTTCACCTTGCGACTGATTGAGTAAAACAAGACGAGCAGACAAGCGACGGGGAGAGGTGGGGGGTGTTAGCAGTGATCTTCATCTTGTTTGTTTAATGCAATGTGACGATGCTTTTGTTCGTCAGAACAGTGCACACCACCCGCAGTTCGTCCTACATACATTCAAACATGCCGCCTCGCTAATGCACCTTCGGAGAGACCTAGCAGCATGAGGCAAGAGACAAGGGACAAGGGTAGCGATACTAGTCCTATTCAATGGTTGAGGGCATTTCCCGCCTACAATTGTCTATTTTACCGCAATCTACATCATATTAGCCTCTGTCAACTGCAGACGTCACCTTAGGCGCCCTAATCTAACCCGCCTTGCAGAGATCGCGCGAATCGCTTATACCAGGCCACCCGTGTCGTCAGCTCAAGGCTCTAGTGACTGGGGGAGCTTTTCTGAAGATAATCTCACCCGCATTTCTTCCCATCTAGCTATAAGCCAACTACACAACATTAAATGTGTGCTCTATTAATAATATGATTATAATTTTGGACGAGAACATGTGATTGGCAATATCACGCAGATTATACTTCATAGTTAGTCAATCCAATTAGGTGGTTCGTTAAATAACTAGCTAGACATCGACTTACTTTACAATCAACTACTGTACCTACGATAACTAGCTGACTGTTTCCATGGACCAAAAGACCCAGCCGAAGAAGATCTCTCCTGTTTCCGCGCCTGTGTTTTCCGAGTCCACTCAGGCCAGAGTGCTCAGAGGGAACACACGGTTCCATAGATGGGGCCTTGATAATCTACCGAATCCAGCAGCAACCAAGTAGTGGAGTTCGCGATGTAGGGGGCCAAAAGAAGGCAGACCGAAATCAGGATGCCTGCGGGACGGTGGTATATTGCGTCGTCGCAACTCCAGAGAATGCCTGACAGAGGGGGCAGTGAGGCTCTGCTGGCTCCGTTTTCTGGGCGAACGTATCAAGAGGCCCGCCTGAGTCCACCGAGATATGCGCTGTTCGGAGCGGGTACCAAAGTTACTTGTCCACGGCCCACTTTCTAACGCCACGAATGGTACTAATTGTAAGAGCGGTACCGGGGTTTACAATTTTGCAAAATCCGGTTCTGTATTGTTGAAGTGCATCGTAAAATACAGACATTCACAGCACAAGATTTTCTCTCGGCCACAAGCCTATCATCATTCCCTTGATCTTAAATTTTCGTCGCTATTGAAAGCGATAGTCCCGCTCTTTGCCTCGAGATGAGATGAGCCGCAAAGTCGGCCGGCTGGAAACCCCAGTCACATCATTCACAGCTGCAGGGTGGTTGCTGGTGTGCATGAATGAGGCCGGCAGCAAAGAAACCCACTGTATCGCTAGTCTGAGGCAGGATCCGGCTCCATCATATCTTTGCCCCCTAGCGCAAGAATAATAAAGCCTAAACAATACATAATTATTAGGAAAATCATCGTCAACGCCGTGCCGCCTATTCTTTTTTAAGTTTTATGGCCTATTGCAGAACCATTTGCCGGCCTCGTATAGACACCCTCCATCATGATTTGGATATGGCGTCAGGCCCATGTGGCGCCGTGATGATCATGAACAGGGACAGATAGATCGCCTGAGCAAAGACACATCATAAGTCAGCCAGATCCACTGAGCTATGTGCCGGCCACGGAGATCACCGAGACTAAAACATGCACTGAGAAGCCCGTAGTGGAACCATCACCCGTGGAGTGCAATGAAGCGAAAATTGGGTCAACTGCACAAATGGATTTGCCAGATTTGGGGGCCGGCATGGACTTGTGATCAAACCAAAGGCCATCCAATTACGAATCATCGATGGCCGGAGAATTCTCGCTTATGCTATTAACCTATCGATCGAACTGGCGAGGGGGTACCTGAGCAGTTCAATTTACAGTATACCTATGAATTCGCCACAAACTACTAACGTACTCAGTTCGCGCACCCCTACCCCCCATTCGACTTGGGACTTGCGACCTTATTTTTTACTTAGTGTGCCATATTCCGTATATGCTTGAAGTAATTCTTTTGCAAATTTCATGTTACCGGTGGATCCCCTGATAGGTATTGAATAGTTTTGGCTCTCGCACATACTGCCGAATATAGTCACGTCACAGTATGTCACCGCAGAGATCTGATTGATGAAGAATGGACGACCAAACCTGCGCTAAGGTATAGCCGTGCGTCCGGCGACCTGTCAGTTGGCGCGGAATGCGACATCAATTCGGGAGAGCTAGAGCAAACAACAGGCTCCAAGCTCTCAGACCCCCTCAGAGGACCCCCTCCCTCTTTTCACAGTTACTACTTCCGAAGAGTGGTCATTACAAGAAGAGCAGAAACCATCGCGATGAAGGGAAAGTACCGTCCTGTGCTTTCACTTGCTGCAAGTTGCTCTTAGCCTGGGGCTAACGTCCCGGGTGACTGGCTCGCGGTGTGACGGTTGAAGCATTAGCCCTCACCCTAGACACCACCGTCAGTGCCTCTGGCGCCACTGATTGGGCCACTGGCCATGACAAGAATACTCTGCTCAACGTAACCAGGCGCCGTTGCCCGGCGCACTTGCTGATGATGCATTGACCGGAGAATTTCCCACCCCAACGCTTTGTTGGATGAAACCTCTCCTCGCACACCTCTTGCCCGTGAAGGTAATAGGTCTCGGTTGCTATGACACAGAGATAGTGAGAACCAGGACAAAATGGCGACGCCAAGCCTTTCCTTGACATTCCCTCTTTTTTTTAAAAAAAAAAAAATTCATGCCGGATATGTTTCCTCCGGGTTGATCTATAGGCCCGGGGTTGGGATCGAAACATCTACAGTAGCCTGGAGTGACTGCGACCTTCTCCCCGCGCGGTCACATGAACAAGAGTCAAATCTTCATGAGCAGCGCCTTATTATTATCCTGGGCTTGGCTGTGATTCTAATATTTTCGTCGGGTTTCGGGTTTAAGAGAATATCTTTTCTTCTCTTCTTTTCTTTAATAAAAAAAAAGCCTCTTCATGATAGAGATTAGAGAAAGCGGGTGGCCAAGTGACCTTCTGTAGAAGCCACTACATAAAAGACCAATCGATCTCTAATCAGAGGCCGGATTCTTCACCCTGCGCAAAGCATCATTATAGTTAGCTGAAGAGAATCACCCGCTTCCTCCCGTTCCGCACCTGATACTTCCCACGTTCAGGTTTCTGGAAACGGGTGTGAGATCATCGTGTATCATATCATCCCCCTTACTCCACACGTCCACCCTCCACTGGGGTCTCCAGACAATGCAGGATGAAGGCACGTTTCCTTATTGTACAAATCACAAATGGCCCATACTTGACCCCCTCCCCCTCTTTCCTTTGGATCATCTGTAGCGGGGCCTCACATGAAGACACTCCCAATGACTTCTGCATAGCTGCTTAGGGCTTGTCTTGGAATCAGAAAGCAATATTTCCTGGCAGAACCTGCTATCAGGAAAAGCACTGTAGTGGCGTTCACTGGGTTCCTTTCC